AGAAATTTGTCGACCTGAACTTCTATCTAAACCATCTGCTAATGCTTCACAATCTCCAGAATTTGGAGCATGGGAACTAGAACAAGTAATTTGAAATCTTTTTGTAAAGGAGTGCTTTATTTCTTTAATGATTTGAAATAAGTTTGAAAATTGGAATTGGTTGTTGTATTAGCCCATAAATTTATCAAACTTTCGTCATTTTGAGCTCTTTCCAAGATTAAGTTGGCTATATCACCATCTAACGCTTCTTTGCTGATAACTGCGTTATGACCAATAAACTCAGATAAAATAACGGCATCACCCCACTTTTGACCTTGTAAAGCATGAGAGTAAAGATAATAAGCTTCTACTAAAGCAGCAAAATTGTCAAATGAATACATACTGACATTCAAATGAGCTCCATAACCTGGATCTGAATCAAAAACCAAAGTACCATTCATTTTTCTGTCTTCAACAAAGCTTCCATTGCTGATTTGAGCTAGTAAGTCTTCATAAATGATTGCTTGAACTGAAATAAAGAAGCTGAAAAAAATTGTAGCAGCAAACTAGAATGAGTATAGCATGATCAAAAATACTTGATTGAATGTAGTTAGAAAAAATGGTAGAGATATACGTCTTTTCATAAATGGAGGGTTCTTTGACCCTCTATTTATACTCTTCTATGGACGATGGTGTCAGTATATAGTTGTACGATTCTAATATAGATCTAAAAAAATTAAGAGGTATTTCCAAAATAAAAATTTAAAATTTCATGTAATAATTTGAAATCTAATTAGAGCTCTAGTTTCTTTCAAAGCCATTCTTTTAATTATTACTGAAACAACAAAACCATAGTAAAGGCTGTCGGTTTTATCGAGTTTTAATTGAATTAATTTACGTAAACAATGGAGAGACTATATTTTTGATGTTTTTATGAAGTAGAAGCTAAAAAAGTTAGATTCTGTGACAAATAAAGTATGAAAATAATTCTTTCAATGACGGAGTAAAAAGGTAACATCTGATTTGTGAAAAGAACACGGGTGGTTTCATATGGAAATGGACTAAAAAATAGGAGTTTCTATATGGATGATTTTTAATCGAGCCATACGGATCTAAAGCAGTACAGCTTTAACTGCTAGGGTTTAACTGCTAGGGTATCTGAATAACAATTTTAACAAATGTTTTTCTCCTTAAACTTTTTTATTCACAAAAATAGATGTATTCTCGTGTGATGATACAGTTTTATCAACTTCAACAAACAGGTTATAAAGTACTACGTAGGAGCTAAGAAACGAATTCAACGTGAAACTTAAAGTTTGATGAGGTGTTCTTTTTATCTCTATTTTTTTAGACATTCACCGAAAAGGACACGGTTTAAGTTTTAATATTTCTACTAAAAATAGCTAAGCCAATTATAATGTGACAAACAAATAAACTAAATCTAACACTCAAATTTGAAGCTAGTAGTTAACCTTCCGGACAACAAATTCTCCAATGGTATGGCCCACCTTTCAGACTAAAAAGCCGGAAAGAAATACGGCCAATGATTATTCATAAAGTGAATTTTAAAAACTCCCAATTTTATAGTCGTATTACGAAAAAAACATATATGAGAAGTAAGAAAATAAAAACACTAAATTATTAAGGGAGACAAAATAAGCATATATTACTTGTTAACGATCACCTATTAAGTTACCTTTGAACTACTTTAAACAAGCCCTAGAAACAAGATCCGAATTACAAACATTTGCCACAAATAACGCAATTTGAATTCGCGCTTATTTAACAACTCCTATTGGCTGTACTAAAATTTTGATGAAACAATTTCAAAAGCTGCTTTTTGATTAAATCTAAGAATAAATAAGGTCTTAAATTTGTGGCTATACGACTGATAGAGTAAAAACAGGTTGATGTTAAAAAATTATAGATTCACCCGTTGAAATACATCAAATCCCGATTTGGGATGCATCACTCAAAAGTCATCTTCTTTAGCAACAGAAAAGAATAGTTTAATAACTGCAAACTTGATGGGAGAGACTCAACCAGATAATTATCACGAGTACATGAATTCAAGAATACCTTACAATTACAAATTGAATGAAGATTAATCACACTGTAATTGTGAGATAATTTAATAACATTGAATTTACTAGATACACTATTAGACTGGAGATTGTAAGCCTTTTTTTAGCATTTTTTGAATCGGGAATAAAGTTATGAGTAATATGCTTCACTAAATTATATTAACCTGCAATTACTTCAAATTAAAAGAGGCTTCAATGAATATACTTTGAGAATTATAGCTTGAGTATTGAGGGAGTTATTCACGAATTGATTTTTGAGATTAACCATGATAAGACTGCATATAAGTCAGATTTGTCTCAAAATTAATTTTTAAGTTGGTGATTGTCGTCCAAATCTAATACCAACGTAATATTTTTCTCGCTCTAGTGTTCAACTGATTGGCTTACATTTCATGAACAACGCATTCTTTGGTGATAAATACCACCAATACGAGATTAAAAACTTTAAATTGTATATTTACATAAGCCAAAACTCATTTGAATGCTTTTTTTTTTTTGAGTTGTCATTTTGGCATTTTTTCATCAAACAAAAATTTTTCCAAAATTGAAAAGTTGAGTATCTTTTTATTTGGCCCATAAAACAACGGATCATAACATTAGACCTCAATCAAAGATGCAGATTTTGATTTTAGCTGCTCTGCTCTGCTCTGCACTAAAATTGAGAAATTTCGAAATTTTCTCTTAATTTTAAAGAAATTTGAATAAATTGACCCTACAAGAAATCCGATAGCACTTTTAATATTCAAACTTAGACATGATGAAACTGTCTAATTTTTTAGTTCCGTTATACAAATAAACCTTGAACGTTCGGGTGTTGAAGAACTCAAAACTGGAAAATTAATTTGACAACAGTGTCACGAAATTTTTGATAAAATTTCAAAACGGTTTGACGTCTTTAAAACATTATTTATGGTGCTTACTGGATCAAAACAAACCAGTTCAGCTACCTATGAAGTTGGTAATCTAAGTCCAAATACTGATAATCTTGCAAAATTGAGTTATTTTCCATTTTTTGAATGAAGCATAAAGTGCCCAAAGTCATGTTTTATAAAAGGATTTCAGCATCTAACTAACCTTAACTATTTTGAAGGTGTAATGAAAAAAATGCGAGAGTAACACATCAATGAACGAGGGAGTTATTAGTGATTTAATTTTGAGTTAAACAATGTGAGACTGCATATAAGCCTCTCTTGTTTTAAAATTAGTTTCAGAAAGTAGTTAATTCTCGCCCAAATCTTGCGCCAACGTAATACTTTTCTCGCGGTAACGTTAAGCCTGCTTGTACTACTCACATTGTCTTATTTGTTTAGAACAACGCAATCTCTGATCATGAATAGAACTTATATGAAAATGAGCTTTAAATTATATAATCTACATAGGTCAAATCATCAATTCTTAAACATTTTATTTTTGAGTTGTCATTTTGGCATTTTTCCACCATACAGAAATCTTTCGAAAAATGAAAATCCATGTATCTTTTAGTTTAGGCCCAAAAAATTCAATTTAACAATGGATTATATACATTCAACCTATTATTAATAATTTAGACGTGATTGCAGCTTCTTTCGACTAAATTAGAAAAATCTCGAAATTCTCGCTATGAGAAATTTTAGATAAATTGACCTTACTCAAAATCTGACACCACTTTGAATATTCAAATTTAAACATCATAAAACTATCGAGTTTTGTAGTTCCATCATATAGCTGAAGCTTGGAGTTTTTTTGATTCAGGTAATCAAAATTGGAAAAGTTTTTTTTCAGACGAGGTTTGAAAATTTAATAAAAAATTTCAAAACGAGTATGGCGCCTTAAAATTAGCATACAAAGAATTGTTAAGATCAATAATAATAATAAGCCAAATCATCTATATTAGAAGTTCGAAAACGAGGTGTAGTATTCGCAATTTAACGTTTTTTTGCATTTTTTGAACGACGAATAAAGTGATCAAAAATAAGTCTTCATGAAAAATACCAAATCAGTTCAATTAGTCCTACGGAGCCTTTAATGAAAAACATTTGAGATTAATATCCTAATTTTTGAATAAATTGTCAATCTAAAATTTGAAATCAAATATGAGGAGACTGCATCTAAGTGAATTTGTTTCAAAATTTAATAATCGTTGACATTTATTGAGATAGTGTATAGTCAAGTTGATTTTATATCTTTAATCATTACTTTAAAGTAATTCAATTTGTATTTAGAACAGAATCTTTGCTAATTTTTAACGGTACTTAGTCGACTTATACTAATATGCGTTAAGGGGTATTAGATCACGTGCTAACCAATTTACTGAAATATCATTGGTTTATTTATATAACTCCCTAAGAATGCAATCAAATAACTACTTCGAGACGAGTATTAGCACGAGAAATCATCCAGTTTCTGATGAATCTGTAAGTTGTTATTATCTTATTTCAATGTACTATAGTTCCACTGAAACTACTTTTAATCATTTGAAGAAACATAAGCCGAATTGTATAAGGGGTATTAAAATTTTGCACAGCCTTATTATAAGTATAGTTGAGTAAACAATAATACTGCTATCATGAGTTACACCTATTAGAGTAATTATATGTAAAGATCAACATACTGCATATAAAACCAAACTTCGAATGTCATCAATTTTTCTTGATAATTTTTATTTATTATTTCAAAGGTAAAATTCTATTTTCAAAGATAAAATTCTATTTTTTCACCACGGCCCTTCGAGAATCAATAACATCAACCAACATTTCAACTACAGTCTTTATAAGAAATCTCCTTTCATTACTTATTTGCTCATGACCAATTAGTTTATAAACAAATTAAAAAAAGTGTTTCAAGTACTTATCAAAGATGAATTTAAAAGTTGAAAATTCAAATCAATCAAATTCAACCATTCATATACTCAAGAACAAGAAACTAATACGACTAGCTATATTTTCTAGTCTTTTGCTTATGGTAGTTTATACCAGTTTTAATTTTTCAAATTTAATACAACCTCAAAAGATTAATTATACAAAGAGTTTTAAGTTCATAGTTCCAAAACTCGAAGAACAAAATAAACTTGAACAATTGAACAAAGATAGGAGTGAGTTCCCGCTTAGTGATAAATTAATAAATCAAAATTATCAAACCAAAACGTTAAAAACATTTACAGATCCATTTAAGTTTATAAAATCTTCAAAAACCCACCATGAATCTCAAATTTGTCTACAATTAAATCATAAAGATGAAATTTCAGTATCACCTCAACAATTCCTCGATGCTGATTTATCCATATTCTTAAAGCACTTAAATCAAATTTCAGAATTTGAATATATTATTGACCTAGCTAGACAAAAATTCAAACCAACTATTCCTGAATCAAAGCAATGGTTTAGATTTGGTGGTTCTTCCGTTTGGTTACCTAATTATAATTGTCATTATATGGTAAGTAGAGTATTGTATACTCCTTCAGGTATTGCAAATAAAGCATTTGCTTCATTTTTATACATTCAATTGTTTGATACTAATTGGAATGAATTACCAAATGATACAATTTTGGAAATTCCGTTTGAAGAAGAAGTTTCAACAAATACAGTTAAATTGGGATTTAGAAAAGAATCATTTCCACAAATACTACCTATACCATTTGATTACGAAATGCATGTTGAGAATAATAAATATTATTATGGACCAGAAGATCCAAGAATTATACTAAGATATCATAGAGACTTTAAATTTCACGAACCTTTAATTGTTTTCAACATGAAGGATTTGCAATTGGTTAAAAGAACCATGCATATATATTTCCCATATTCAAAAAGGTTGAAAATTTTCAAAAAGAAGAATGAACCATATGCCAAAATTGAAAAAAATTGGACTCCATTTATAAATAATCATCAAAGGAATAAGCTTAATTTTATATATTCAATTATCCCATTGGAAGTTTTAACTTGTGATTTAGATTCTGCAATTTGTGAATTTCTACAGAAACCAGTGAAGAAAGATTATAATTATGTTGGTCCATTAAGAGGAGGAAGTCAATTATTACCAATACCAAAAATAGCCAATAACTTAATCAAGTCTTTACCCTCAAATAGACAAATTTATATTGGTTGGGCAAGAGCTCATTTAAATAAATGTGGATGTGGGGAATCAATGTATCGACCAAATTTAATAATTTTGATTCAAGATTATAATCACAAAACAAATAAATATTATTATAAATTGGGTTATGTTTCTGAATATTTTGATTTTGATGCAAAGGTTCCATCATGGATTATTCCAAAATTGGATGAAGATGGACAATTGATGGATACTGAACCAAGACAGTGCGAGGGTAGAAATGTATTGATTCCTAATTCAATAGCATATTGGGATATAAAATCAATTAGAAAAGGAAAAAAATTATATGATAGGGCCAATTTTAAAGACATTATTGAAAGTACAAATAATGAAGAGTTAGAATTTCACGATTATATGGGTGTTACTTTATCAGCAGCCGATAAAGATGTTAGTATAGTTCATATAAATGGTTTATTAAATTATATTTTGAAATTACTGGATTTATTTGATGAAGAGAATGTAATAGAACTGGATAACTTATTTCAACTTGAAGGTTATGAATTGAATAATAAATGTGCTATGATTGCAAGTAAAGAATATTGTAAATCATATGCTTTAAACCATGGTGTTGTGTTTGGTAAAGATAATGGTAATTAAGATTTAGGGACTTTTATAGAGTATAGTAAAGATTTCAGTTCTATTGTGGATCGTTTATTGATAGTTAAATATTGATTACCGAACTCGTAAATTTCAATAACCGTTATAAACCGAGAAAAAATCTTGGATAGCCGTTCATCTATGGCATAAAAAAAAAAAGAAATTTTTTCGGATAAATTCTGAAACACGAAACAAAAAATATCATAAAAAGAAGAAAATCATGGAATAATTCAGTTATATAAGGGGTTACCATCAAAAAATGATTTATAGTAATGGTCCTTCGATTATACCTAAAAGAACAAACTTTATACTTTTAAGTTGTACCTTTTTGGCTTTATATTTAAATGTCCCACTTGGTTACGAGATCTTGATACGAGCGAAACTGTTTCTTAGATTTTTCTAAATTTTTTTCTAAATTTTTTTCTAAATTTTCTGCGTCAATAACCGGAATTTTTTTCAGATCGCAAATGTATTAACTAAAATTTGATTATGATCGGTCTTATATAAAACAAATTAAAGTAGCTGCCATGTTAAAAAAATTCTCTAGCCTAACATTTTCATTATCATGGATAAAGAAAAACAATCAATAGACATAAATCAAAATGATATAACTTCATCCTCATCAAATGAAGATCCAATGACTTTAACCCAATCACATTTTGAAATTCATCTACAACAACAAAATAAAGAAAGAAGAAGAAGTTCTATAAATTCAATACATAAAAATACAGTTGAATTTTTTAGAAAAAGTTTGACTGGTGATAATGTTTCATATAATGAAAAGAATGACGTTGAGTATTCTGTACATCATATATATGGAGATTTAAATAGTGAAGAAATCAAATTACAGAGATCAGCAACTAGAAGATCAATAATCAACGAAATAGAGAATAAAATAGAGGATAATGATGATCAAATAGATGCCATAGATGAATTAGCCATACCAGAAACTTCAATAATACTAGTACAACAACATGGTAAAGATTTTGATGAGATAGATCCTGAATTAGTTACCTTTACAGAAAATGATCCAGATAATCCTAGAAATTGGTCAACTGCAACAAAAATTTATCTTATTGGATTTGTTTCATTATATGCATTAGTTGCTCCCATGTCTTCATCAATGGTTTCACCAGCAGTTCCAGAAATTGCAAAAGAATTTAATATAACGAGTCCAGTCATCAAAGCAATGGTAGTTTCAATTCAAATTTTATCATGGGCTATAGGTCCATTGATAATTGCTCCTTTATCTGAGCATGATATTATTGGTAGAAAATTAGTATTAGATGTAACTTGTTGGATATCACTAATTTTTAATATTGGTTGTTCAGTTTCTCAAAATACTGCTCAATTAATGATTTGTCGTTTTTTCTGTGGTTTATTTGGTGCTAATGCAATGTCAATATGTGCTGGTAACATAGCTGATTTAGTTGATCCAAATTATAGAAATATGGCATTAGCTGGTTATTCATTAGCTCCATTATTAGGACCAGTTATTGCTCCTTTGATTTCTGGTTTCATAGTTGATCATAAGCCATGGAGATGGAGTTTTTATATATTATGTGCATTTAATGGATTTGTTGCATTAACTGCTACTTTTTTGTTTAAAGAAACTTATGCACCAACGATTTTATTAAGAAGAGCTAAAAAATTGAGAAAGACGACCGGAAATGATAATTTACATACAATTTATGAAATTACTGATAATGAAACTTTTATAAGTAAAGTTTGGATTTGTATGTGTAGACCTATTAAAATATTATTTTTCCATCCAATGATTGTTGCATTAGGTTCATTTATGGCTTTTACTTATAGTTTCATGTATTTAATGATTACTACATTTCCTGAAGTATTTGGAAATCAATATGGTTTTAAAACAAAAGGTAAAATTGGGTTAATGTATATTCCATTAGGTATTGGGTTTTTGTTAGGAGTTTTTATTTGGACTTTTTCAATTGATAAAGTATATTCTTATTTAACTAAAAAAAATAAAAATGTTGCAAAACCTGAATTTAGATTACCTTGTTTACTTGCATCTGCAATATTTATACCATTAGGATTGATTATTTTTGGTTGGAGTGTTCAATATAAATTGCATTGGGTCTTACCAAGTCTTGGATCAATCTTATTTGGATTTGGATTAGTTGCTGTCTTTCAAACAATTCAAAATTATTTCATTGATATGAATACAAGGTTAGCTGCAAGTTCAGTTGCTGCTGGTGCAATGTTTAGATCAGTTTTTGGTTTCTTCTTGCCTTTGATTGCAAGTAAATTATATGGTAGATTTGGTTATGGATGGGGTAATACATTATGTGCATTTATTGCAATTGTTTTAGGTATTCCATTTCCAACATTTTGTTTCTTTTATGGTGAAAGAATTAGAAATTGGGCTAATAAAAGATTTGAAATGGAACAATTAAAAAGAGACCAAAAGAATTTGGAGAAAATGAAGAGGAAAAATAATGATTTAGCATAGATTTATAGACATTTAATATATTTATTTATTTTGGTAAATTTTTTGGCAATTAATTAAGTGAATTTTTTTGCAACCATTAATTGGTAGCTCCGGGGCAAAAAAAAAAAAAAATTGTTGATAACGATAATCAATAATGACGACGAAGATTCCAGATTTATTATCAAACTTAACAGATGTTAGCGCATTTCCACTACATAAACAACTAGAGTTACTACCTACAAATGATTTTAAAGAGTTTATAGAGAACCCAGAGCTAATAGAATCTTATATTCATCAATTGACAAAGTATAAGGAAAAAGTTGAAAAAGTTCAATCTACATTATCTACATTAAAAATTATATTAAATGAGGAAATACATCAAAATTTAATTACTAAATATCAGCAATTGACGAAAAAGATAAACTCCCAGATTAGTACCATACGACAAATATATCAAGAATTTCAAAATTTAGAAACTGTTCAATATCAATTATTTTCATCAAATTTTAATCAGGATTTTTTAAAATACAAGATGAAGAAACTAATTGAAAAGACAAATATTGAGAGTAATGAGTTTGGTAAGAAATTAAGTAAGGCAACTAATGAAAATGAATTTAATAATATTATAAATCAATATAAAGATACAAGAGCAAAGTATCATTTTAGACAAGAGAAATTGAATAGATGGGAAGAAGAAAGAGTCAGTGGATTTATTTAATCAATATGCATAACTTAATCTAAGACATACTTAGAAAATTCCGCGTTAAATTTAAAATTAAACAACGCATAATTTGAATCTTTGATTATGCGTTTGATGGTTATGATTTCTGATACCAGTTCTTTATAAACAATGAATATACAATATACTAGAAACTTCTTGATATACTGTTTTACTATTTCACCATCTCAGTCTTGAAATTTACCAAACTAAAATTTCGGTTATAAAAAGTCCGCGATTTTTTTTTTTATTGATAAAGGAAAAACTCTTCTTGAACAATTAATTGCGACCAACTATTTATTCACACATACTTATCTATTCATTTATTAGACTCAATTGTTCATTATGATTGGTCGAATTAGTACAAGGAGATTCTTGTCTATTACTCCAAGATTATTAAATCAAAATAAACCTTTAATTAAACCAAAACAATCATTAATTAAAAAAGTGGTTAAATATAGTTTGGGTACAACTATTTTAGCTGCAATTGGTTTTACTGGTTTTATTGGTTATAAAATTTATGAAGAAAGTTCTCCTGTTCAACAACAACCTCAAAGTCCAACTTTTCCAAATGGACAAAAAAGGAAAACTTTAGTTATATTAGGTTCTGGATGGGGATCAATTCCATTATTAAAAAATTTAGATACTACTTTATATAATGTTGTTATTGTTTCACCAAGAAATTATTTCCTTTTTACTCCGTTATTACCAAGTGTTCCAACTGGAACTGTTGAATTAAGATCAATTATTGAACCAGTTAGATCAATTACAAGAAGATGCCCTGGGGAAGTTATATATTTAGAAGCTGAAGCTACTGAAATTGATCCAAAGAATAATAAATTAATTATTAAACAATCAACAACTGTTCATTCAGGTCATTCAGGTCACGATACTACATCTTCAAAATCAACTGTTTCTGAATATACTGGAGTTGAAGAAATTTCTACGAGTTTGCATTATGATTATTTAGTTGTTGGTGTTGGTGCGCAACCTTCTACATTTGGTATTCCTGGTGTTGCTGAAAATTCATCATTTTTAAAAGAAGTTAGTGATGCAAGTGCAATTCGTAAAAGATTAATGGATGTAATTGAAGCTGCAAATATTTTACCAAAAGATGATCCTGAAAGAAAAAGATTATTACATGTAGTTGTTTGTGGTGGTGGTCCAACTGGTGTTGAAGCTGCTGGTGAAATTCAAGATTATGTTGATCAAGATTTACGTAAATGGGTACCTGAAGTTAGTGGTGAAATTAAAGTTACATTAGTTGAAGCATTACCAAATGTTTTAAATTCATTTAATCAAAAATTAATTGATTATACAAAAGAAGTTTTCAAAGATACAAATATTAATTTAATGACTAATACAATGATTAAAAAAGTTAATGACAAAACTTTAATTGCGTCACATAAAAAACCTGATGGTTCAAGTGATACTTTAGAAATTCCTTATGGTGTTTTAATTTGGGCAACTGGTAATGCTGCAAGATCATTTACAAGAGATTTAATTTCAAAAATTGATGAACAAAAGAATGCAAGAAGAGGTTTATTAATTGATGAAAGATTAAAAGTTGATGGTACTGATAATATTTATGCTCTTGGTGATTGTACATTTACAAAATATCCACCAACTGCTCAAGTTGCATTTCAAGAAGGTCAATATTTAGCTACATTATTTGAGAAATTAAATCAAATTGATTCAATTCAGTATGCAATTCAAAATCCATCAGCTAATCAGAATATTGAAAGATTAAGTAAAAAATTAACTAGATTACAAAATGATTTACCTAAATTTGTGTATAATTATCAAGGTTCATTAGCTTATATTGGTTCAGAGAAAGCTGTTGCTGATTTAGTTTGGGGTGACTGGTCAAATATAACAAGTGGTGGTAATTTTACATTTTTATTTTGGAGATCTGCTTATATTTATATGTGTTTATCAATTAAGAATCAAGTTTTGGTTACTTTAGATTGGATAAAAGTAGCATTATTTGGTAGAGATTGTTCTAAAGAGTAAGGATGCTAAAAAGTAGTAATATTAGAAGTATTATAAATATATACGAGTTCGTTTTTATTTTTTTTTTTTGTTTCAGATTGGGTTGCAAAAATGACGGTAATTAAATGTTTTAATATTAACAAATTTTCAATTATGAAAGGTGATTCATGGCATCATTATCCTCAAAGATCAGAATTATCTATTAATATGGTTAAAGCAATGGTTGATTTTAATGTTGAAGTTCAATGGAAAGGTGCAATTTTAGTATGTAATTTTGCAACAAATTATTAACAGGGTACTAACAATTCAGGATAAATTTATGTTAAATATGGATGATAAATGTGTAACCACTTTACTCTCAAGATTTCCATGTATCGGCTTAAAACAAAGTGACATCAATGGTAGTATTTTAGTTAGATTTCAAATTAGTTTAGTCAATGAATCAGATTTTGAAAAGTGTTGCAAATTTTTACAACAGGAATTAAAGGCTAATGTTAATAATAAATTAAATGATCCAATTTCGTCTCAACAATTTCAAAATGATAATTCTCAGTCAAGTCACCTTCACTTACCAGTAACTAGTCCTCAACAAAATATTTTGCACCCAAATTCAAATCAATCACAAAACTATAATAATGTCAATTTAGATCAATTAATTCAAGCACTTTCAAATGCTACTAACAGTCAATCGCCTACTCAACAGCAATCACCATTTTTGCAACCAGAACTAAGTTATCCATTACAATCGCAACCTCGAAATACAACAATTTCACCGAATTCAATTTCATCACCTCAAGGTATGATGTCTCAAACTATTACTCCCCAATCACTTTCACCACAAGCTTATTTACAACCTCAATATTTTCCATACTATAATCAAAATCAAAAGGAGTCACAAAAACAAGGAATTAAAATTCCATTAAATGATATAACTGATTTGAAAACCTTATCAGATTCTCAATTACGTGCAATAATTCGTAATCAATTAAAACAACCTGAATTTATCGAATTAGTTAAAAGATTAGATAAAATTATTAAAAATTAAATAAATAATATTCTATAATATCTATATTCCCCCTTTATATACCTTAACCCAATTTTTAATAGTTAATCCATCACTCAATTTCTCTTCTTCAACTACTAAATCATAATTACCAAGCCATGGTAATAATCGAAATTTGAAGTACCAAAATAAAATGCAAAATAATATACAAAATAAACCTACTAATCCATAATTTGGCCAATTTTCCAAACCAGTTGGATTTGGACTATATTTTGAAACAAATGGACCAATTGTTAAATAAATATTAATAATTATAACTGATAAAGTACCTATGAGTCCTGCTTTTATTGGAGCATTTAAATCTGGATAGTTTTTTCGAATTATAAAAATTCCAATTGCAACTAATCCAGTAGCTACAGACATTGGAAATCCTTCCAAACTAACCATATATGAATAAATATCACCATGAGGGAAAACTACAATTATAAATGTTGTAATTGAACAACTTAAAATTATACTTCTTAATGGTCCTCCAAATGGCCAATTTGATGCCATAAATTTCGAAAATGGTAAATATCCTTCACGAAACACTTCTTGATCAACTCTTGAAATTGTATATAAAACAACAAATATATTACCACCGGCACATAATGCAATTGATAATGTTAATAATTGCTGTCCTAAGACTTTACCAAATAATTTTTCAAATAATATTGACCCTGCTAATGTTGAACTATTTGCCAATTCTTCATCGGGTATCACTATAAGATAAGCCAAATTAATGATAAAATATGTGATAGTCATGATTATTAAAGAAACTGGTCCTGCAATTTTAAATGTTCTAATTGGATCTTTAATCTCATTTGAAACAGTATGTACAGAATTCCAACCACTAAAAGCAAATGAAGCTTTGATCACAGCACTTGAAAATGTAGATATACTAACTTGTTTTCTAGTTTTAAACACATCATTCCAGCTAATTTGTGAATCAATCTGATTTATTGATTTTGGTAAAAACACATAAAGACCAGAAAGGATCATAATAACAACAAGAACCAATTTTAAACCTCCTAATATATTTTGAATTTTAACACCATGATTTACACTAAATCCATGTACTATTGCAGTGAAATATAAAAATAATAATCCAGTAAATCTTGTTTTAAAATCAGTAATTTCCAAACCTAATGCATGTATACAATATTCCCCAAATACCAATACATTTGAAATTGTAAAACCAAAAATAACAGAATATACAGAAAAAGCAACAGTAGCTAATAATTTAGGCTTATCATAAATAAATTCAAGAAACACTTTAGCACCTCCAGATCGTGGAACCACCAGACCCATTTCTAAAAATACATACAATCCACCAAATGAAGCAACACAAGCAATAAACCAAGCTAAAAAGAATAAATAAATAGATTGTCCACAATCTTTATATATACCAGAAGTAATACTAAAAATTCCACTACCTAATATTCGACTAACAAATAATATAATAGTTGAAAATAATCCTAAATGTCGACCTTGAGGTAAATCTTCAAAATCTTGTAAATATGATACTCTTCCATTTAATTCAATTGAAGGTTTTAAATATGGGTTCTCTATGGGTGGGGTTATTAATGAATCAGTACTCGATTGAGAATTATTTCTTTCAATTATGGTAGTTGCAGGAATGGATGATGTGTCGATTTTGTCCATTTCAATAATATCTTTGTTATTATTGACTGTTGGATCTACATTAATACTATTACTTGATTTATTTGTTGAAAGCGGATCAAATTTTAAAATTGGTTGTTGATCCATTATAAAACAACCATGGAAACATTTTTTGCGCGTTTAAAATTGCCACAATTATTTTTGATGAGATAAGTGAATACTAAATTCGGCTGCAAAATAAACAGCTATATTCATATTTGCAGTCAAATGAAATCAATCATGGCTGTCAAAATTTAGTAGTTTGTATACGTATATATTCAGCATTACAATCAAATGAAGACCTGCTTGATATTGCGAGTAAGGGACTAGATTCCCCGAGAAAAATAACCATATTTCTCAAATCAAGTAGAATCCGAGTCACTTAGCTATTGTGTATCGATTTGACTTTCCAACTGATTAGTCTCAAATTTTCTACTCGCACTCGCATGCTCTTATATTTTCGCCATGTTAGCAGCTGATATGGATACCCTAATTTGAATTATACACTTAAAATTTATAATACAAAGCTTAACCCATAAAATGTACTTTGTTTAGTTGCTTATACAAATAAAAGAGTAAATCGAGCAATCAATGTTTATCTCCGTGCTACGAAGATTTGCTTAATTAATGCTTCCCATTGAATGACCAGAATTTGATCTCTAAATTTGGTTCACTTAGTGGTGCAGTTTCAATTACAGCATGAGTCAATCTTATTACTACAGAGGAGTGTCTTGATTTGTTAGATTTATCCTGCTGCGTCGTTGAATACCAAACAGTTAACTAACAAAGTACATTGCGGGTGGACAACAAGCCACAAAAAAAAATTAGGTATTGGGCAAAGTATGATACATGTGTATAAGTAGATTTGAACGAACTTATTTGGAATGTCAAACAACCCTATTTTTTTTTGGTATTGCATTATCATTCTTTAGTTAACGCTTTCCAAGAACACAAATATACCATCATAGCGGTTCAAAGTAATAACAAAAAATTATGCTTGGGTTTCTACGAGTGCAATTTGGCCGTGGCACCCTTGACATACTCTCTTATATCACAGAAAGCGCAAAATAGATCTGAGTTAACGCGATTGAAAAAGCAAAATTTGAATTGTATATCGCGCATACCAAAAAAGTACATACCCCCCCCCCCCCTCCAAAAAAAAATATTTAGAGAATTAAAAACAAGGCTAACTAATTGATTACACATGTAAAATATGTCAAGTTTGGTATCATCCAAAAGCTAAAATTTGGCTTCGAATTTGAGACTTATAGGACCGTAGAATCTGAATTTTGAGACAAATTTGTCAAAGAATAAGAATTGATCAATTAGTTTGCTCAAGCTTCTACCTTAATGTAAATTGAATTATCCAAAAGTAGTAATAAAAATGATATACATTTAATATAACTATATATTAAGTCAAGGTTAAAGAGATATTCAATTTAACTATGCACTAATCCCAAAAATTGTCAAAGATTTTTATTGGGGGTTTCCAAAAATTGCCGCCGCCTGGTAAACGAGCCAAACTATATACTAGGTCAATTAGTACAATTTCTCCAGTTACTATACAACTTAATCATCACTTGCTTCAACTTCATTGCCTTACCTCATCCCAAGTGGTGTATAGAATGCAAAAATATAAAAAGGTGTGAATTTGGGCGACTATATATACTCAAGTTTTGGCCTCTTCTTTCGCAAAAAATAAATCACCAAAATTGAGACATTAAAACGCGACAATTAATAAAATAAATATATAATAATACAAAATAGTACATAAAGAATTTTAAAGTTCACCCTTCCTATTAACCTTCATATTCTCTCATTCGTCTCCACTCTACTATTTCTTTGATTTTTCATTAGTTAAACTTTGCTCAATCAAATCAATCAGTTTTTCAATTTCATCAAATTTTAAACCACAACTTAAAGATATCAACTTAATATATTTAAATAAATTATCATCACCATTAGATGCATTTGAAAAAGACTCTATAAATCCATGACCATTACTTTCTTTCTTAATATTCAAATTAGCTATTGGTACATTGATACCAGATTCAATAATTTCATTAACTAAACTTCTTCTCTTGATAATTTGATTTTGTAATTCAATAGCTAATTCTAATGCATCACCTTCTTCAACTTCTTGTTTGTTAATAGCAGCATCATTTATAACATTTGCATGTTTTATGTTATACAAATTGTGATATTTCAACTTTAAACAATTTAATTCTTCTTCTTTATTTAATAATTGGAACGTAAGATCGTTTATCAATCTATTTATTTCACTCTGTATTATAAAATCCTTTTTAAGATCAATATTCAAATCTAAATGTTCTTGTGATGATGAAGTAGTTTGTTGTGAATAAGTATTTGAATCTTCTAAATCATCTATCAAATTTTCATATTTAAAATAAGATAATGTCTTTCTTTGAGATGATATTTTTAATTCTGATATTTGTTTAATTATTTTATAATAATTTGAAATCGTTTCATCTTTTTTATTTAATTCTTCAGTTAATGAAAATGCCAAATTTGAAAGTTTTTCAGTAATTATATTAGATACACTATTTTGTAAATTCATTGCTTGTTTAGTTTTAATTAATTGATTTTCAAATGAAATGATATTATTAGATATTTCTGTTTCTTGCATAGTTATATCTGGTTCATTTTTAGCTTCATTATCTAATTTTAATACAAAATTATGACTTGCAAGATAATCTTCAACTGTACATCCTACAAGATTTCTCAATTCAAAATCAATAAATTTATGATAATTTATAAATGTTCTAATTAATTTTTTTTTCAAATTATAACTTGCTATATGAAAAGCTGTATTACCATCTGAATTTTGATGATTTATAAATTTATAAATTATTTGAAATTGATCATTTCCTTCTTCAACTTGTTCTTCTTGATTTTCAATTAATTTGACTAATAAACAATCAAGATAATATTTTGATATTTTTTCCTTTTTGTTTTCAATAATATGATGTAATATAGTTTTCCCGTTACTATCAACTTTATAAATTGAATTTATCAAAGCTGATAAAATATGATAAAAGCTTTTGCTATTATAAGCGTTGTTGAATTTAACGAGAAACATTAAGGGAGTTTCTCCGTTATTGTTCCTTATATTTGATGATATTTCTGATTTAAAGGTTTTAAGCAAAAATTCTATAATTGGTAAGTTTGCCATTGAACATGCCCAATGAAAGATAGTATTACCTTCATTATCAATGCTCTGATTAATATTGATCTTGCTTAATGGTTGAGGTGGTACAAGTAATTTTTCGGGCAATGAATTTTGTAATCTTACATTGTCATCAAGAAAGAAAGATAATAAACTTTGAAAATAGTCATTATAAATTTGATTTTCTTGACTTAAATTTAAATTGATACTTGGTGATCGATATTGCTGAAATAAAACAGAATTTTTTTTGTCAATGGAGTTTCTTGAAACTCCAAATAATTCTTTTGAAGAGAGTAAATCTTGTTGTGATTCACCAAATTCATACCTTCTCTTTTTGGCGATGATGGTCGTATTTGACTCATCATCGTCTGTTTCTCCATTATCAATTGATTCAATCGGTTTTGTATTCGATCGACTCAATGATGGAGTTCCACTTAAGGTTTGTGAACGCCTAGGTCGTCCTCTTTTCTTTGGTTCATCAGATGAAAAACTAGAACTTTGAAATGATTCTTGAGCTAGAAGTTTTTGTTGTTTTTTATTAAACGATGCTTGTCTTTTTGCTATATTTATAGCCAGGGCATGATTATGTTTTGGTGCTGGAGGAGGTGTTTTACTTTCACCTTCAATATATTTATATTCAAAAATTGGTTTTAAAATATCATAAACTTTAAAATTCTTTGCAATTTGTTCACCAATTTGTAGTGGAACATAAGTACCTTGATATTTACCATAACCACCTTGAACTTTTTCATGTATTCCAGTTTGAACATCTTTTTCAAGAATTCTAGTACGTCTAGCCTTTGGAAATTTAGCAATTTTTAAAATATGAGTTGCATTAATCCATGAATCATTCTTTCTTCTCATTATTGGACCTTCAGAAGTTACAAATTCTAAAACAGGTACATTCGAATAAGTAGCTGAATATATAGTGGAATTATTTTCTAATGACATGATGAAAGAATTGTTGTTATATGCATGTATAATAAAAAATAAAAGGAGTGACTTGTAATTAATCTCTCTTAATAAATGGGTATTGGTTGAGGTGTACTGTTGTATTTAGAAAATAGAATGATAATTGACGTAGGGTGGTAAAGAAGTTTGTTTTATGTTATTATTTTTCGGTTGATAATAAAAAATTAAAATTTCTATGCGCTACCAAGTGCAATAAATATATATTGATAATTCATCTACATACAATTACTTTAAATATTCTATAAAATACAATACTTATTAATAAAATTAAACCAAATATAATATAAAATAAATATTTACTTAAATTTTTCATTGTTTTGTTTGAAATTTGCTCTTCTGTTAATGGTATACTAACAACATGTTCACTAGCTTGAAAACATATATCTCTTCTTTTAATTAATTCACATTGTGATAAATCAATGTCTCTTTTTAATATAGCTTTACCTAATAATATACTAGTATATTGTTTCAAAGAGTTATTAAATGTTAAAAAAGCAGTATTTAAAATTAAACTTTCTCTTTCAAAACTAGTTGTAATTTTTTCAATTTTTTTAAAATTAGATAAGTCAAAATCTGATTCACTAGTGATATTATCAACAATAACTGAGATAATAAATAACTGAGTACCTTTACTTAAACTTTTTATTATTGTTTTAGTTTGTTCTGTTAAATACGGAATAAGTAATTTTTTCAAATTATTAAAATTTTTGAAAAATATTTCAATACATGATAAATTTGAAATTATATGATGTTCAAATATTTCCGATGTTGTATTTATTATCAATTTACAACTTGGTTTAATATCATTATCATAATTTTTATCCTCCCAATTTTCAAAATTTTCTTCATTTAATTTACCAAATATTTCATTAAAATCATCTTCTAATTTTAAAATAATTATATTTATTTTCGAAGTCATTGATGTTATATCATCATAATTTGGTATCTTCTTAAGTAAAGTGGAGTATATTGTAATTATATCTGAATATAAATGTATGATTTTTTTAACATTTATGATGTACTTATAAATTGCATTATTTAAACAATATTTAAATATCTTAGAATGGGTTATAATTAATTTTTTATCTGAATCAGTTAAATTAGAATCTAATGATATCTTTCTATCACCTATTGTATATGGCATGGCATTGATCTATCGATTGGTATTAATTAGTTTTTTTTCTTTTAAATCAGTAAGCAAAAAACTATTTTTTATAATTGGACTGATTAAATACGAATACATACTAAGGCCATAAATTAACTACAGAACGCGTAGAAATAGAAAAATAATACTACTACGATATAAACTCAGTCCATTCTTGGCCCCAATTGCTCCATTTAATGGCCACCAAATTTAAATCGAAGCGTGAAATGAAACATTTTGGCCTTGCGCTGATTATATGCAGTACTATATAAATATATTCTTTTGCTTTTTCTTGCAACAATTTTAATCATCAACAAGTATACGAATTTATTTGATACCAATGGGTGTTTTTAATCTATTTTCAAGAGGTGGGTTTGATCCCAAATTATTTGAAACAGAATTAAATACTATAACTAATAATATAACTAATTCAAAACAACAAATTATAAAATTACAACTGAGATATAAATTATTAAAAAGATCATTGATAAAATATTCAATTATAATTTATTTATTTATATTTATTTATTGTTTTACTACAACTAAACATGTAATTGCAACTAATCAAATTCAATATTTTATAAAAGGTCAATCAAAAGAGAAATTAATTTTATTATTTACTTATCCATTCTTCAGCATTTTATTAATTAAATTTATACATTTACTTTATGGATTCTTTATAAATAATAAACAAAAATATCTTAAAAATCAACAAAAGAAACACAAGGATAAAATTGAAGAATTGAAAAAAATTACAAATTTTAACACTACTAATGAATTAATTAATAAATATGGTGAAAAAGAGACACCTAAACCGCAACAAAAGGTTCCATTAACTAAACAAGATAAGTTGAAACAACAAGCTTTTAAAGAATTGAAAATTCCACCTACTGCTAATATACAAACACCAATAAATGATGTTAAAAATATTTCAAAATCTGCTAAACAGCCACCTAATCCAACTGCTCAATTACAATTACAAAATAAATCCGAAATTAAAAAGAAGAGAACTTTCCAAGATAGAATTTTAGATATTCTTATTGGTTCGGATAATTCTGAAGCTATTGAAAATCGATATGCTTTAATTTGTTATAATTGTTTTAATCATAATGGTTTAGCTCCTCCACATACGGAAGATCCATTAGATGTAAAATATCATTGTTGGAAATGTGGTGCATTAAATGGGGGAGGAACATTATTTGAAAAAGAATTAAAACATGAAGAGTCACCAAAAGAAGAATTTAAACCAAAATTAAAGGAAGAAAAAGACGTAAATCAAAATACAAATGAATCACCTAAAGAATCTAAACCAGAATTGCAGGAAGATAAAGTTAAACAAGAGATTGAAAAACCAACAATTGCCGAAAAAGAAAGTCATATTATACCAGAACCTTGTACTTTAGAAGTCAAAGCTGAAGAAATTATAGATTCCAATCCAGAGCCAATCGAAAACTTACTGTCTAAAAAGCATACTCCGGAAATGGAAAAAGTAGTAAATGAATAATGAAAATGTATAATAAATATTATGTACTATTTAAATTTTCTCTATTGTAAATCCATAATAGCATTAACCATATCACCATCATGAGCTTTTAAAGCTTTAACAGCTTTTGCTCTAGAAACTTGAGTTTGTTCAACAACAATTTCAATATCTTTTGGATCTAAACCTGATTCATCAATTTCACCTTCATCTTCTTCTTCATCTTTTTTATTATCTTGAATTGAAGCCTTTTCTAAATCAGCAGTAATTGATTCTGGTGATTTATCATCACTAGTTGATTTAGCATCAGCAGCTGCTTTTTGTAAAGCTTCTTGTTGAGCTTGTTGTTGTTGAGCTTCAGCAATTCTTTGATTCATATCATCAACTTTAGCTTCACCAAAAACAACATAAGTACCAGCAGCTGATCTATAAACATCTGGTTGATCAATTGCATAAATTAAATTACCTCTTTGTTTAAAAGTAACTCTTGAAATACCTTTAATTTGTTTTAAATTTAATTTTTTAATTAATTCTCTTGCTTTTTTTTCATTCTTTGGAATGACATTAACATCTGAACCTTGTGGAATTTCTTCAATTGACATTTTGAATTTAAACTTTACTTATTGATTTTAATAAAATATTCTAATTTTTCAGTTGTTGGAAATGAAAAATTTTAAAATGTTAGTAGTGTAAAGTGGCATTTTTCAACCAGTAGTGTGAGTTCTAATTTATGTACTATATAAACCATCTCATTCCCATCTCTTTTGCTATTCTTTTCTTTTCTTTTCTTTTCTTTTCTTTGTCGACGTACTTCATAGGATCATTTCTATAGTTTACGTCCCTCTTTGACTCTTCAAAAGAGCCACTGAATCCAACTTGGTTGATGAGATAGATTACCTTTATACCCTTGAAAGTGAGAATAATCAATTTTTTGCTTGACTATGATTTTCATAATCTGGTCATCTATTCAATTTTGTTTTGCCTTTAACTACAAAATCCTTTGGGATTTGATAAAGGAGCGACGATCTTTATCCTTTTCATTATTACTTTTCGGAGGAAATTGATTTGGATGGGTATATGTGGCTGTCTGACAAGTTAAATCAAAAACTGATTTAGTTTTTGTTTCAACTAGAGATACCAATGTTGTGATGTCGACCACCAAATGAGATTGTATTACATACAGTTGTCAAGGTTATATTGTCAAGTGATAATATAATTTTGGGAGCTGATTATAATACATGGTTAACGTCATATCTCAAATCTAAGACATAGTTTTAGTTTTTGTTTCAACTAGAGATACCAATGTTGTGATGTCGACCAAATGAGATTGTATTACTAAATACAGTTGTCAAGGTTTATATTGTCAAGTGATAATATAATTTTGCGAGCTGATTTAAATACATGGTTAATGTCATATCTCAAATCTAAGACATAGTTTGCGACATCTTTGACACAATTTTTCAAATAATTTTGCCGGGTTTTGAGCACAGAAACTCGGAATTAAGTAATAATAATTTTATTATTTTTCATTCGACCGATTCAACCGGGGGGCATTAAAATTTGAGAAAATTAATACCAAATTTAATACCATTTCTATTATAAATACAGCCATGCCGAACGTTTATTAGATTTCAATAAATGATTGATATTAAATAGGCTTAAATAAGGGAAAAAGCATGGTTAATCAATAACAGTTTTATATCAACTGAGTAAGTACTCAGTAATACTATATCTACAACTCCTCTTTACTCTATTAAAAGCATGTTCAATATAAAACCAATAAAGTTTTAAACTCTAAATGAAGCACTTATTAGTAAATAATAATTATTATTTGTTTATATAACTTTTGTTTTTCAACTAAGAAAAAATCTGATACAAAATTAAAGAATTTATAAACAATTATAAAAATAAATCAGAAAAACTAAGAAATAGATTTACAGCCAACAACTAAATTAAAGATTTGTTTAACTATTTATCATCTCATCAACTATATATCAACTTACTCTATATATCATTAATATTCACTTTTTATTTATTTACTTGCATTAAATTTTTCAAATCTTGCCAAATTTCAAGATTCACAGGGCATACCCCCTTAGGAAAATAAATTTAAATTTTATTTCATACAACAAACATAAGATAATAAAATTTTCTAATTTTTCGTAATGGCACAAGTACTTGGTGATTCATCTGTGGTACTACCACCTCCTCCACCTCAAAATCCAACAACTTCATCAAATTCATCATTAAGAAAAGATAATGATATTTCAAACGAGTCTAAAAATGTATTTTCATCAACTGGATCACAACAAAATCAATCTGGTAGTTCTAGAAAAACTGCACAAGATTTAATACTCACTAAACCACCAACTTTTAAAGATCGGATTCATAGATGGTTCTTTTTAAAAGGTATTGCTAATAGACCACAATATATGCAAGATATTTATGATAATATACCAAGAACAATATATTTCAATTATGATTTACCATCTTATTTAAAAGACTCAAAAGGATATCCAATAATTGAATACCCAAGAAATAAAATTAGAACTACAAAATATACTCCAATTTCTTTTTTACCGAAAAACATTTTATTTCAATTTACAAATGTTGCCAATTCATATTTCTTATTATTAGTTATCCTTGGTGCTTTTCAAATTTTTGGTGTTCCATCACCTGGTTTAGCTGCAGTTCCATTAATTGTTATTGTTTGCATAACTGCAATTAAAGATGCATTTGAAGATTATAGAAGAGTAGTAAGTGATGCAGAATTGAATAATAGTCCAATACATTTATTAACTGGTGTTTCAAATCCTAATGTTTTAAAAGATTATGTGGGACCATGGAGAAAATTTAAAAAAGCATGTACTAGAGGTACTGTTAAGACTTGGAAGGGAATTAAAAAATCATGTATATTCATATGTGGTAATAAACATCAAAAGGCCAAATTTGAAAGAGAAGAAAAATTACAAGAAAATTTACAATTACATCGTGTTTCAACGGTGATTTCAGATTATACATATGTATCAGAAATAGAACCAAGATATAGTATTCAATCACCAAGAAGATCACTTCAAAATAATAGAAAATCAATGCAATCAGCAAGATCTCATCATAAGCCAACAGTAGCATTACCTAATTCATTATTAAATCCATTATTAAAAGATTCAAATGCTCAAAATCAAGGTACAAGAGCTACTTTTAAAAATAGATGTTGGAAAGATGTGAATGTTGGAGATATGATTAGAATAAGAGCAAATGAAGAAGTACCAGCTGACGTTATAATTATTTCAACTTCTGATCCTGAAGGTAATTGTTATATTGAAACTAAGAATCTTGATGGTGAAACAAATTTAAAGAATAAAACAGCTTTAAAATGTGGTGGGAATAATAATTTGAAACATTCTGATGATTTAAGCGATACTAAATTTTGGGTAGAATGTGATTCACCAAATCCAAATTTATATACATTTAAGGGGACAATACATTATGAAAATTTTGATTCTCATAAAAAATTAATAAATCCAGATGAAAAAGAAGCAATAACTCCCGATAATGTATTATTAAGAGGTTGTACTTTAAGAAATTCAAAATGGGTAATTGGATTAGTTGTATATACGGGGTTAGAAACTAAAATTATGTTAAATTCAGGAATTACACCAACTAAAATCTCAAAAATTTCAAGAGAATTGAATTTATCAGTTATAATAAACTTTTTGTTACTTTTTATCCTTTGTTTTATTTCAGGGTTAATCAATGGGTTATTTTATAGGCAGGATAATAATTCTCGAAATTATTTTGATTTTCGACCATATGGGTCAACACCAGCAATTAATGGTGTTATTGCATTTTTTGTTGCTTTAATTATCTATCAATCATTAGTTCCAATCTCATTATATATCTCCATTGAGATTATTAAAACCCTACAGGCTTTTTTCATTTATTCAGATTTGAAAATGTATTATCATAAATTGAATTTCCCATGTATTCCTAAAGCATGGAATATTTCAGATGATTTAGGACAAATTGAATATGTATTTAGTGATAAAACAGGTACTTTAACTCAAAATGTTATGGAGTTTAGAAAATGTTGTATTGGTGGAAAAAGTTATGGATTAGCATATACTGAAGCAAAACAAGGATTAGATAAACGTCAGGGACTAGATGTTATAGAAGAGGCAAATAAATGGAAAAAGAAGATTGAAATGGATAAAGAAGTAATGATAGATCAATTAAGAAAATATTCAAATAATAATCAATTAAGAGTTGATAATTTATCATTTGTTTCAAGCGACTATACTAATGATACTTTTGAGTCTGCTAATAAATCACAAAAAGCAGCTAATGAAAAATTCATGTTTGCATTGGCACTTTGTCATACTGTCGTCACTGAAGAAGATGAACAAGATCCATCATTACGTGATTTCAAAGCTGAAAGTCCTGATGAAGCTGCTTTAGTTGCTGTTGCAAGAGACCTTGGTGTTGTATTTAAAGAAAGGTTGAGAAAATCATTAGTTCTTGAAGTTTATGGAGAAGAGGAAGAATTTGAATTACTTGAAATTATACCTTTCACATCCCAAAGGAAGAGAATGTCCTGTATTTTAAGAAATGAAAGTGGAAAGATAATATTATATACTAAAGGTGCAGATAATGTTATATTCCAAAGATTAGATCCAAATTCAAACTCAGAAGAGAATATCAAAAAGACTGCATTATATTTAGAAGATTATGCCAATGAAGGTTTAAGAACATTATGTATTGCTGAAAAAGAATTAGATTCTAAATTTTATGAAAATTGGTCAACGAGGTATAAAGAAGCAAATGCTTCAATTGATGATGATAGAGATGAATTAATTGATCAATTAGATAATGAAATTGAACAAGGTTTAGTTTTATTAGGAGGTACTGCTATTGAAGATAGATTACAACAAGGTGTACCTCAATCAATATCAATTTTGAGTCAAGCAGGTATTAAATTATGGGTTTTAACCGGTGATAGAATTGAAACTGCTATTAATATTGGATTTTCTTGTAATTTATTAGAAAATGAAATGAAATTATTAGTTGTTAGACCAGATGAAAATGATCCTGATAATGTTGAATATATTGATAAATTAATATCTGGTTATTTAACGGATTTCCAAATTGATATAAGTGATATTCCAAATACAGTTAAACAATCAAAAAAAGATCATTCTATTCCAGATTCAAAACATGCTTTAATTATAGATGGGGCAGCATTAACACTAATTTTCAAAGATTATTCCGAACACGAAAATGGATCAATTAAACAATTAAAAGATAAGTTTTTATTACTTGGTAAACATTGTAAATCTGTTTTATGTTGTCGTGTTTCACCAAGTCAAAAAGCTGAAGTTGTAAAGATGGTTAAAAATGGTTTATCTGTCATGACTTTAGCTATTGGAGATGGTGCTAATGATGTTGCAATGATTCAAGCTGCTAATGTTGGTGTTGGTATTGCTGGTGAAGAAGGTAGACAAGCTGTGATGTCTTCAGATTATGCAATTGGACAATTTAGATTTTTAACTAGATTATTACTAGTTCATGGTAGATGGTCATACAAAAGATTAGCAGAAATGGTTCCGTGTTTTTTCTACAAGAATGTTGTTTTTACGTTGACTTGTTTTTGGTATGGTATTTTTAATAATTTTGATGGGTCATATTTATATGAATATACTTATCTTATGTTTTATAATTTGGCATTCACGTCATTACCAGTGATTGTATTGGCTGTATTAGATCAAGATGTTTCTGATACTATATCATTATTAGTTCCTCAGTTATATATTAGTGGTATATTGGGTAAAGATTGGTCACAATATAAATTTATATGGTATATGTGTGATGGATTATATCAATCAGTTATATCATTCTTTTTCCCATTTTTATTATGGTACAAATCATTTCAAAACCCACAAGGTTTAGTAATTGATCATAGATTCCTTATGGGTGTAGTTGCTGCTTGTATTGCCGTCACTGCTTGTGATATTTATGTTTTATTACAACAATTTAGATGGGATTGGTTAACTTTATTAATTGATGCAATTTCAATTTTAATTGTATTTTTTTGGACTGGTGTTTGGTCAGTCAATTCAAATTATTCAGGTGAATTTTATAGAGCTGGTGCTCAAACATTGGGAACTTTAGCAGTTTGGTGTTGTATTTTTATTGGTATTATTGCTTGTTTATTACCCAGATTTACTTGGGATTTCCTCAAAGTCAATTTCAATCCTTCTGATATTGATATAATTAGAGAACGTGCAAGACAAGGACAGTATGATGATTATCCACACGGTTACGATCCAACAGATGCAAATGATGTAGAAAGACATAGATTATTAACTGAAATAATTGAACGTGATCCAGAAGTATTTGAAAAATTGGAACAAGAATATAAAACAGATGAATTGGAACATGAAAATAAGATTGAAAAGACATTTAAAACAATCAAAAGAAAGACTACTATAACTTCATCAAGATCAAGAGCAAATTCATCACGTAAACTAAGAAGAAATACAATCAATGATCAATTTCATAAACATAAAATTCCATTAAATGAATTAAGAGAACAGATGATAAAAGAAGGTCAATATAATACTGCAAGAACATCATTGGATAGAATAAATACGACTCATCAATTACCAGGATTAACTCAAGCTGAAACTTTATTATCATATCATACCAGAAATAGTATCAATTTCAACCGTTAAGTTAAACTGAAACCTCACCATATCAAACGGTATCAATTTCAACCATAAAGACTCAAATGTTACCGTTATATTCGATTCAAATTTATGTATTTATATTTATATATTTTATTAGATTATAGATTTTTTTTTTCGTATAATTTTTTTTTTCAATCTCTTTATGTTTTCCTTTTCCTTATTGACACCGGGGAAGGATGATGATTCATTCAAAGCATCATTATTAACTTTTGATAATGAGTTTAAAATTTTAGCTGATCCATATTGGAATGGTCAAGATTCAAATATTGTCACATTTTTGGAGATTGAATTGCAAAAAGTTAATGCAATATTATTATCTCATTCAACTGAACAATTCCTAAGTGGATTTATATTATTATGTATAAAGTTTCCAAATTTATTATCTAACATACCGATATATTCGACATTGCCTGTTAATCAATTAGGTAGAGTTTCTACAGTTGAATATTATAGAAGTCATGGAATTCTAGGTCCAATTTCAACGAGTTTTTTAGAATTAGATGAAATTGATAATTGGTTCGACAAAGTTAAAATTTTAAAGTATCAACAACTGCAGAGTCTTTTTGATAATAAAGTAACAATCACTCCTTATAATGCTGGACATTCATTAGGTGGTACTTTTTGGTTAATTAATAAACGAATAAATCGTATTATATACGCACCAAATTGGAATCATTCAAAGGATTCATTTTTAAATAGTGCTTCATTCATATCTTCAAGCACTGGGAATCCACATTTATCATTATTAAGACCAACTGCATTTATTACGAGTTCAGATTTAGGTTCAACAATTTCACAAAAGAAGAGAATTGAAAAATTTTTAACATTGGTGGATGCTACTTTGGCAAATGGAGGTTGTGTATTATTACCTACTAGTCTAAGTGGTAGGTTCTTGGAAATATTTCATATAATAGATGAAAGATTGAAAGGTGCTCCTATACCTGTTTATTTTTTATCTTATTCAGGTACAAAGACATTATCTTATGCTTCAAATTTAGTTGATTGGATGTCTAATAAATTTATAAAAGAATGGGAAGAAACTTCAACTTCTCCATTTAATCCATCTAAAGTGGATTTATTATTAGATACTAATCAATTGGCTCAGTTACAAGGTTCAAAAATTGTATTTTGTTCAGGTGTAGATTTTGATACTGGTGATATATCATGTAAAGTATTACAAAATTTATGTAATGATGAAAAAACAACAATTATATTGACAGAAAAATCTAGAGTTAATGAAAGTTTAAGTTCAAAATTGTACAATGAATGGTATGAATATGTAAGTAAACAAAATGGAGGAAAAGTTGAAAATGGGATAGCTATACCAATGGAGAAGACTTTTGAGGTACAAAATTTCACAGAGGAGAATTTAACAGGTAATGAATTAATAGAATTTCAGAATAAAGTAACTACTAAAAGGAAAGAGAAATTATTGGCAAAAGTAAGAGATCAAAAGAATTTAAATTTGTTAAATGCTGATACTGTTGATGCTGAAGATTCATCTGATGATGATGAAGAAGAAGATGAAGAGGATGAGATAGTGAATGGAAATGCAACTGAGAACAATGATGCTACTGTTGCTAAAAATGAATTTCAAGTTGATGAATTGGCATCTCATGAAGCTTTTATAATGGATCGTATTAAAACATGTATGGAAAATCATTTACCAATAGATATTAAAATCACACATAGGTTGAAACCAAGGCATGCTATATTTCCATTATTAAATTCAAAAGCTAAGAAATTTGACGATTATGGAGAAATAATAGATATAAAAGCATTTGAAAAGAATGATGAATTTTCAACCACTCAAATTATAAATGAAGGTAAGAAGAAATTTGAAAGTAGTAAATCAAAAACACAAGGTAAGAAAGGTAATGAATCAAAATTGACACCACAAGAACAAATAAATCAACAAATTTTAACTAAATATCTTGACGTTTTGGAAAATCCAGTAAAGAGAAATACAACAAGTTTTTCATTAAAGATGAGATGTGCTTTATCATTTATCGATTTTTCAGGATTAGTTGATTTAAGATCATTAGGTATAATTGTCCAATCATTAAAACCATACAATTTAATAATCATACCAGATAAAAATAACATTGAAAATGGTTTGGTTCAAGTAGAATCATTCTTCAAAAAACAACAAGATGAAGCAGAATTGGAACAATCTAAAAAGAATTTAATGCAATCTACAAGATATTTAAGCTTATCTACAATCAGAGATGGTTTGTCAAGTGCATTTTCACCTTATTCGAATAATAAAATGAATGTATTAGTAGTTCACAATATTGAAGTGATCAGTATTGGTACAGAATCAGAATATGGCTCAATCGGGTTAAATAATTTTGAAGTGAATCTCGATGATGAAGTTGTAAAATCATTAAAATGGCAAAAGATCGGTTCAAATTATAAAATTGCTAAGATATATGGCGAGTTAGAAGTACTGAATCAAGATCAAGAACATAAATATCCTGAAAAAGTATCAGATGTACTTAATTCCCAAACTCATTTCAGTTTAAAGAAAGTTGATCCAGATTCAACAATTCAAAAGAGAAAACAATTCATGAAGACTTTAAAACAATCAAAATTAGTATTATCTACTGCTCCTAAACTTGCAATTGGTAATATTAAATTAACTGAACTTAAAAAGAAATTACAAGCTGAGAATTTAAATGCTGAATTTAAAGGTGAAGGTGTTTTAGTAGTTAATGATAGATTAGCAATTAGAAAAATTGCATATGGTATTGTGGATAATGATGATAGTGGTGATGTAGTTATTGATGGGTCAGTAGGACCTTTATTTTATAAAGTAAAAGAAATGATTAGAGAAATGTTAGCATATTTATAAATAAATTTGCAATATATAATTGGTAGCTTTGGTTACTTGTCGTGTAGAATTTTGAACCAATTAAAAATATTTCATTATTATATATAATAGATTGAGAGAAGTTGATTTATCATGCAACCATATTCAAGGAATGGAGGGACTAGAAAATGTTTCTATGAATTTCAATTATTAACTGCTTGTTTTACATCCAGTGATACATCCAGTAAAAAACAATGTGTTCCAGCGTATGAAGATTATAATGAATGTTTACATGGTAATAAAGAAAGAGAAAAAGTTAGAACAATGTTACAACAATTGCAAAAGAATAAGGAATCAAAAGATGGTGGTGTTACAGCTGAAGAATTATATAAAAAATCAAATAAAATTTATGAAAATTTGGATTTATTAAATAAAAACTAATCAAAAATCAACTTCACAAAACAACTTACGTATAATTCTCTTCATTTAGGATCAACTATCGTACAATAGGTCAATTTAGATCAACAGCATATTATAATTGTATATTATTCAATAAAAATTTAAAAACCTTTTCAGAATCACTCTGAGAATTTGTCCACTTGACTTTTTCCAATTACTAATAACAAATCCCTAAAAACAGACCTCTATAGCTTCTATTTAGCTTAGTCTTGTGTCATTTCAATTTTGTAAGTCTTAAATCTCATTTCAAAATTTACGAGAAAGAAAATCAAAAATTGCAGCATTTTATGAAACTTCATGTCTGATCAAATAACAAGTAAAGATATATTCCAAGATGCTTTTACGAGACAAGAGAGTCAGAAACTATCAAGACCAAAACAGACGATACAAGATCTTGAAGAATTAAAATCTTATCAGCAAACAAAACGGAAAGAATATGAACAACAATTGAATAAAAATAGATTGAATTTTGGTCAATGGATAAGATATGCACGCTGGGAAATTGAGCATAATCATGATTGGAATAGAGGTAGATCAATTTTTGAAAGAGCATTAGATGTGGATATTCAATACGTACCTTTTTGGATCCAATACCTTCAAATGGAATTAAGTTATAAGAATATAAACCATGCGAGGAATCTACTTGATAGAGCTACAAAGACCCTTCCAACAATTAACAAATTATGGTTTTTGTACATTCAAACAGAAGAGATGTTGAAGAATTACGCCATGGTGAGGCAACTCTTTGAAAAATGGTTGGAATGGCATCCTGATTATATTGCATGGGATGCTTATATAAACTTTGAATCAAGATATGAAGAGAATGAAAATGTAAGGTTATTATATCAGAGATATATAAAGGAGTTTGGGAAACTAGAGATTTGGAATAAATGGATAGATTATGAATTAGAAACAAATAATGAAGTAGAAAATACCAGGAGTATATTTGAGAGTTGTATTGATTTGAACGTTAATAAATTGACGGAAGATGACGTTGTGTTTGCTGCTATTGTTTCCAAATGGGCAAACTGGGAAATTAGCCAAAAAGAATATGGTAGAGCTAAACAAATTTATGATATATTATTAAACAATCATTTTGTATTACCTGATAATATAAAGAAATTGATATATGATTCATTTGTTGAATTTGAATCTAATTTTGGTAATCAGGATAGTTTAGAATCATCAGTTCTAGCTAATCGAAAATTAAAATATGAACAAGAATTGGCTTCTGATCCATTTGACTATGATTCTTGGTGGTCTTTATTAAATATACTCATGGACAATTATTCTGTCGAAGAAATACGATCAGCATTTAAGAAAGTGACGAATAATGCACCACCTGATAAAACTAAAACTATTAGATGGAGAAGATATATCATGATATGGATACGGTATGCCTTTTATGAAGAGTTTGACAACCATAATATTGAATTATCAAGAGAGATATGGAATAAATGTTTGAAAATTATACCACATAAACGATTTTCATACAGTAAAATATGGAAAAACTATGCAGATTTTGAATTAAGAAATAGTACAAATGATGAATTGACTAAAGTTAGGAAAATATATGGCAGATCAATCGGACAAACGTGTATTAAAAAGCCAAAACCAAGTATATTCCAGAATTATATCAATTTTGAGATGAAATTGGGAGAATATGATCGAATAAGATCAGTTTATGAAAAATGGCTAGAAGTGGCCCTAATCACACAACTGCCAGCAAATGATATAATCACAAAATATTTAAATTTTGAAATGGAAATTGGTGAGTATGCTAGATGTGAATCAATACTAGATCTCGCTTTTGAGTTCTCAAGTAATGAAGATACTTATACGTGTTTCAATCAACAAGATTTGTTTCAAACGGCTGTTGATTTCTTTAAAGATGAGATGAAATATGACAAGATACGTGATTTATATGAACAGCTTATAGAACAAGATCCAAGCACAAGTAACTGGATTTCATATGCCTTATTTGAGTCTATAATACCTACAGCTGCACAATTGGAAGAATATTTAGCTACAAATGATGAGGAGTTTGAAATTGATGTAGGTGAAGAACAAATTGAGAATACAAGAAGTATATTTAAAAGAGCTGAGGAATATTATAAAGATGTTAAAGATGATGACAATAGATTAGTTATACTTGAAGTTTGGAATGATTATGAAGAGGTAAATGGAACAGAAGAAAGTTTAAAAGAAATTCAATCGAAATTTCCAAAAAGAGTTACTAAACATAGAAGAAATACACAAGGTATTGAAGAAGAATATATTGAATATCTATTTCCAGATAAAGAAGAAGACCAACAAAAACCACAACCAAACAATATTAGTGAATTCTTATTAAATGCTAAAAAATGGGCAGAATCTCGAAATAATTAATATATGTATATATTTATATATCTAATTACCACCTCTCAAAGTTAAAACTAAATGTAATGAAGCACCAGCTTGAATACCAGATCCTTGAACTGATTTATCATCATCTAATTGACTACCATTAAAAATTAAACGTTGTTGCGCTGGTGAAATACCTTCTTTTTCTTCCATCATTTCTTTAATGGTAAAAACTTTATCTTGTGGTTCAATATCAACAGCAATATCTCTACCGGTCAATGTTTTCACTTTAACTTGCATCTTATCAATTCAAACTTTGGATGTAAATTAAAGATGTAAAGTAATTAAGTTATTTTTTGCCTGCGAAATTTGAAAACCTATACGGTGAATGTTACCAACTCCAATTATAAATGATATAGACTATGATAGAGTATATGAGCCATCGGAGGACTCATTTTTGTTACTAGATTGCTTTGAACAAGAACAAGGAACATTACAACTGAAATTGAAGGGTAAATTGCCGATTATAACTGAAATTGGGACTGGATCAGGCATAGTTACTACTTTTATACTACAGAATATACTTCAAAATGGTGTTTATATGACTACTGATATAAATCCGCATGCATGCAATCAAGTACTACAAACTTTGAAAGCTAATGGTCAAAATAACAAGGTTGATTCACTACAAATGGATTTAACGGGTGCTATACGATCGAATTTGATAGATATTTTAATTTTCAATCCTCCTTATGTACCAGCTGAAGAAGTACCAGATATACCTGATTCCAATGATGATCCAACATGGTTGGATGTTGCATTATTAGGGGGAGAAGACGGAATGAAAATTACGTGGAAGGTGCTACGAAATCTTGATAAAATTTTAAGTAGTGATGGAATTGCATATATCCTATTCTGTGCAAGAAATAAACCCGAATCCATACAAGAGTATATGCAATCCAGTGGTTGGAAAGTAGATATAATACTAACTAGGAAAGCTGGTTGGGAAGTTTTAAGTATATTGAAATTTTATAGATAGAAAAAAAATATACGACGATCATCGCTTTAACTAAATGTCAACCACCAGGGGAAGATCTACATCAACAGAAATAGAGACAAGATGGTCTGATAAACCAACTAGATACAAAGAGTATGGTAATGTTAAATTAGATACAATTATAACTGGTCATTTAACTCAAGAACAATTGGATGCTTATCAACAAATTTTCAGAATTGAAGAAATATCCCATTATTTAAGATTAAGTCAGCAACAACATAGAAGTATTATAAATATACTACCTTCACATAATATAGATGACTCAGTCAGGTATAAAAGAGATTTATCACCTCCTCCAAAGTATGATAATCAAGGTAATAGAGTAAATACTAGAGATGTACGAATTAAAGAAGATCTCGAAAAGGAAAGACATCAATTAGTTGAATTAGCTGCTAGTTCTATCAAAGATTATATCGCACCTGAAGACTATAGAAAACCAGCAAAAACAATGGAGAAATTGTATATTCCAGTTAAAGATTATCCTGAAATTAATTTTGTGGGGTTCTTAATTGGACCTAGAGGTAGGACTTTAAAGAGATTACAAGATGAAAGTGGAGCAAGATTACAAATAAGAGGTAAAGGATCAGTTAAAGAGGGTAAATCTGTGTCTGCAATAGAGGATAAAAATTCAACTGGTGCTGAATCAGCAGAAGATGATTTACACGTTCTTATTACTTCAGATTCACAACAAAAGATAGCTACTGCAGTTAAATTATGTAATGAAATTATTGAAAAGTTGATATTTTCACCAATTGGTCAAAATGAATTGAAAAGAGAACAATTGAAAGAATTGGCGGTTTTGAATGGTACACTCAGAGAAACAAAACCATTTGATCCAGAAGCATATCAAAAAAGGCAACAGAATAGATTTGATATTACCACAGTTATATGTAAAATGTGTGGTAAGATAGGTCATTATGCAAGAGATTGTAAAATGAATAATGGAAATTATAATCAATATAATAATACAGATAGTTATACGCCAAGACAAGAGGATGATGAAGGAGCAAGGAAAAGACATAAAACTGAAGAAGTATTACCACCATGGCAACAACAACAACAAAATAATAAACCAGAACCACCAAAAGCAAATGTGCAATTACCACCATGGCAACAAAATCAAAATACACCACCACCTCCTCCTCCTGTTAAATTACCACCAGCACCTCCAGTACAAAATAAACCTCCTCCTCCACCAATTTCAAAACCTGCTCCACCACCACCAACTCAAAAGAAACAACCACCACCACCTCCAAAATCATGAATACAAAGGCTTACGATGTCAGTAATGAATATATATCTCTTGTTTACTACGTCTTATTAGTTTTTTCTTGACTTTCTCAAACAAAGCTTTATCGATTTCCTTCATAAACAAAGCAAAGGGAATAAATCAAATTATAATGAATATATATTAAGTCTATAATTTTCTGTAACGTTTTATCAAACTTCATGTTGATTTTCTTTCTCATGCATTGGTGCTTCAAAACTAATACAATATTTTGATTTACTTCTTAAATAATCACCATAAATATAAAACAAGAAAGGAACTGGAATTAATGCACAAGCTATAGCTCCTAGTAAAGTACAGGCCCATTTGATCTCTAAATTTTCAAACATTTGTCTTGAAAACAAGGGCGCTGCCGCAGCCATCGAACTTCTTAATAAAGTATTTGCTGAAAGTGCTGAAGCCAGGACGAATAAATAACAATCAGTAATATAAGTCAAACAAGGTAAGAAGATGGCAATTAAACCGATTCCGACTGGGCATAAAGCTAAGGTTGGTACAAGCCATAATACATCATCTCCAAACCCACCAGACCATCCAAGCCAAAACATACCACCTGCAAAGAAGAATGAACCAATCATCATTGAAATTAAATGATTCTCTGGAACTAATGTACCACCATTTCTTTCTGTAATTCTTTGATTTCGTTTTTCAAGTAATGAAACTATAATACCTCCAATGAATGTACCTATGAACATACTAATATAAGGTAATTCTGAAACACCTCTACTCCAACCATAAGTTTCGCCAAAAATCAATGGAATGACGGTAAGGAACATGTATAATAAACAATACACAAATGAATTGTATAAGGAAATGAAAAATAAAATTGGATCAGTCAACATTCTTAATGGCTTTGTAATTTGTGTCTTTACAATCTCTTTAATTGACAACTTTATAGATTCTTGAGGTGCATGAATTGCCCAATTACCAGTTGCTCTTCTTAATTTTTCTGCTTTCTGGATTAATATAACATCAGCTAATGTTTCAGGGACGAACAAAGCTAAAACCAAACCAAACGATCCAACTATAGCAATAAAATAACCTGTCCATCTCCATCCTAAATCATCGTTCTTAACTGTAAAACCGCCCAATATTGGGGAAATCATTGGAGCACCAAATATTGCCATTGCAAATACTCCCAAGGCTTTATTCTTATTTTCATTTCGAAATATATCTGTCATAATAGAAGGTACCAAAACAATGTTAGAAGCACCAATAAAACCAGCAAAGAAACGACATAGCATAATCGTTTGTATATCTTTAGCAGTCGCAACACCAAATGAAAAACAAACAAAACCTAAATTAGAAACAACAAATGGTATTTTCCTTCCATAAAATTCTGATAATGGGCCCCACACTATAGGACCAGAAGCAAAACCAAGTACAAATAATGAAGTAACTAAAGCAGACACTGTCCATGATATATTGAACTCAATCATTAATGATGGTTGTGATGATGCAAATAAGGCACTTCCCATAGCAACACCGAACGAAGTAATTAGACAAACAAAAAGTATATATGCCTTAATTGGAAAAGACCAATTATATGGATGTAGTGGATCATTTAAATCATATGAAACTTCATAATTTGAGCGATGAAGAATGGGTGGTGGCATTTCTTTATTATGACCCATACTTGGTATTCCTTGACGTGAAGCCTGCTTAAATAATGATTCTGTATTTGATAATCTTCTAGATTGTGATCTAGCTAATTGCAAACGTTCATCATGTGGATCGAAATTGTTTTTCAGTATGGCATCTTGAAAATTATCAATGTTTAAAGTTTCTGCTGTTGATATAGTACCTGAATTCATGATTTCTATATCATTTCAAAAAGTGGATTTTAAGGGACTTATATATTGACAGTCATCGACTTTCATTTCTTGGTTTACATCATCTTATAATCTACTATAACTGAAGTAACATCTTTAAGATCTATGGCTTTAACGAAAGTGGCACAAAATGAATTTTTTTCGGTGATACAACGAAGCGAGAGAATACGAAGAAAAAAGTATGGTGAAGAGCGTTGTAATTAAAATTAGCTTGGCGTAAATTACAATTATTCCTCGGACTTTTGACAGATGAATCAACCGCTGGATCTAAAATTTGATATAATGATCTATATATTTGAGTATGGGCTAATGTTCTGTACCTGTTTCTTCACCATATTATTAATTTCGCAAAAATTGAACGTTGTTAATTGTTTGTAAGTCCCAGCTTATCTGGATTTTGAATACATAATATGTTTTAACCATTTTAGTTGCAATTGTAATTCCATTTATTCTTTTTAGTCTGTTTATATTTAATCTAACTTGTGCGATATGTATTGCGCTTAATTTAAGAAAAAACGTTGTTTTGAAGTTATGTTTCTTCCCGTATATGCCAAGCTAGCTCTCAAACTTCTTGACATCGGGCAAATAGCTAGATACTTACTGTGTTATTTGAATTGAATTGTAACGCCTTTGTAATTCAACATGGTTTTTCTAAGCCTCGATGTCTTTATATTGCATTACCTTCTTAGTTAACCTCCAAACAATAAATTTATAGTAATAAGATCTTTACAACTGTAAGTGTTACTTAGAAGTTGCTATAAGAGATATGGCTATTACTTCTTTCTCAATTTGGGATTCTATCCAACTCTTTAATACAGAATTAAATGCTGAGGTTCACATTTTATTATCAGGTACAAATATCAGTTTACGCTAAATAGACCGAAGCTCAAAATGGATTAAGTTTGAGAACTTGAACTCAAATATCGATGGGGTTATTTAGAATTCAAATTGAATAATTAATAGTATCGAGACTGCATATAAATCAATTTGTTTCAGAATTTTTTTACTTTTTTGATGCGATGAAATTTGGTGCGACAAAATAATTTCTGACGACTCGTACTAAATATATTAGCATATACATCATAAACAACGCATTGTATCGGAGTAATAACAAGTTATACAAAATCAGCAGTTCTGACTTATTTATTTGAAATACTTAAATTCTCATGAATCATAAATTTTTTTTTGGTGTTGAGTTTTTGGCACTTTTTCACCGTACAAAAATTTCCCAAAAAAATGTAAATTCGTGTATCTTTTGATTTAAACCCCATAATCCTCAATTAAACAGCGGTTTTTAAATAATATACCTAAAACAATGATGCTGGGTTATATTCTAGCTGCTCTCGATTAAAATGGAGAAATCTCGAAATTTTCTCTTATGTACGAGGAAATTTGAATAAATTGATCTTTTGAAAATCTGGCACCACTTTCAATATTCAAATTTGGACGTGATAAAACTATCCGATTTTGTAGTTCTATCACATAGATAAACCTAAAATATTTTCGTGTTAAGTTATTAAGACCTTTGGAAAAATAATTATTCAAAAGTGGTTCGAAAATTTTAAATAACTTTCAAATCAATTATGACGTCTTGAGAGTATTATCCATGACTCTTGGGATATCAAATAAACCTAATCAGATGTATTCGAAGTTGCTAATTGAAGTCTAAGTACTCATTACCTAGCAAAATTGCGTTTTGATCAATTTTTTGAATGAAACATAATGTTATCAAGTATTTATTAAATGAGGGAAAATTAATGTTAGCCTACTTTGAGTTGTTTGAAGTATCAATTAAAAAAGTTTGAGAACGACAGCTTTAGTATTGAGCCAGTAATTTGCATATTATGTTTCATGATTGTCTCCTACAAGACTGCATATAAGTCATAGTTGTCTCAAATTTTTCAACAAGATGATTTGGTGAGAGTAAAATATTCTCTCGTGCAAATTTTAGGGCCACTAGTACCAAGCGTGTCGGCTTAGATTACACGAACCAAACGATTTCTCGAGATAAAAACCATTAATATGAGACTGGAAACCTTGAATTAAATTTTTTGCATTATTGGAAGCTCAAATTTCAAACACTTTTTTTTTGAGAAAATGACCATTTTCATCATACAAAAATTTTTCAAAAATGAAAATTTTTGGATCTTTGTAGTTAGGCCTATAATTTTCAACTAGGCAACGGATCTTGCAACCTCAAACTAATATGCTTCAAGTATGTCTAGTTGTTTTCAACCAAAATTGAAAAACTTCAATATTTTCTCTTAAGTATGGGGAAAATCGAATAATTGATGTTACAAAAATCCTAACTCCAAAACTAAAAGAGTAACTAAACTTATCTACGTTTGTAGCTGATAACTCGTGTTTTTTTTTTGTTAAGGAATTTAAATTTAGAAAAGTATTCAAAAGTGAATATATTCGTAAAAAAATACAGTTCAAAATTTTTGTAAAATTTTCAAGATGATTATGGCAAATTTAAAAACACCATGTATAGAATTTCCAGAAAAAGTAATTAAACCAAATCAACTATATTAGAAGTTGCTATATCGGGTCTAAGTATTAATCATCTCTCAAAATAGCATTTTTTTCTATTTTTTAAATGACGTTTAAAGTGATCCAAATCAAATTTACTCGACTCATACTATCGAATAATTATTTTAACTAATCCGAAAATCATAATAAAGTAGGTTTGAGACCGAAAACTTGAATATTGAGGGAGTTATTCACAATTTAATTTTCAACATGAAGTATGCCAAGACTGTATATAAGCAATTTGCTTAAAATTAGAATCTGAAACATCACTTATATGCCGACTTGTAGTAGTTAGTCTTAAAGATTAACTTGTAGATTACCCCCCTCGGTTATTAGGTTCTCATACTCAAACTTTTTTCATTGAAGCTTAAAAAGACTTGGAGTAAACTGATTTCAATATGCGCTCATGAAACGCAATTCTGATCAATTTCAGCTTTATTTGAAATATACAAAAATACGTTAAAGTGCGAGATAAACAATGTTCAGACTTCGTCTAGCAAGTTTTAAAATAGCTGATTCGGTTTATTTAATATAGGAAATTCTGTGAGTAATGTTTTAAAGACGCCAAAATCGTTTCGAAATATTTTCTGAAATTTCGTTCCACTTTTGAAAAATTGATTTTCCAATTTACAATACCTTAATACAATAAATTCCAAGAGTTATCTATGTAAGAGAACTAAATTTTGGTTAGTTTTATTATGTGTAAGTTTGGCTGTTTAAACTGATGTCAGATTTTTTGTAAGGTCAATTTATTCGAATTTTCCCATACTTAAGAGAGAATTTTGAAATTTTTCAATTTTGATTTGCACGAAACCAAATCATGTCCGGTTCTTTAATTTGAGTCATATTATATATGATTCGTTGTTTAATTTAATGTTTATGGACTAAATATAAATATACTCTGAGTTCATTTATTCACGATGATTTTGTATGGTGAAGAAAAGTTAAAATGACAAGTCGAAAAAAAATGTTTGAAATTCAAAATTTAAGATAAAAATATGTAATTTGGTGCGTCTTATTTGATATAATTGGTCATTATCTCGAGGGAATGCGTAGTTTATGACATTTAAGCCAGTGAGTTTGAAGCGATTCGCCGTAAAGCTAGTGCAAAAAATTATTTTGTCCGTACCAATTTTTCGCATTGAAAAACACATACTTTCTCCCATATTTCTAATTTTTTTTTTCAACGCGACGACTTAGTGTGACAAAACATTTTTCGTGTAATGATTTAATGATTAAGCCGACCACGCTTGGTATCGATTGGCTTGTGTGGCCATTTCCAGCTTTGAAAAGAATTTGGTAGCACTGTTATTTTTTTAGCCCGGTTCAACTTATAATTTTACCAAAACTTATCAAAACTTAGATTTATTAATGGATGCATCAGATGGGTTCATTCCTATAGTAGCTATATTTTATGCAGTTTTTCACCCAATTGAAGGTACAAAAATTGTACATCAATTTCCAGAAAACTCAATATCAACTACTACAAAATCCGAAGAAGAAGATGATCTCGAAAATGAATTTTTCAATTTTGATACGGTCAAAAATTATGTAATTCCAAAACCAAAGCTATGTAATAGATTAATTTCATTCAAGATTAATAAGTTTAAAGTTATAGGGTATCCCGTAAATATGCAATCAGAATATTATTCCCGTAATTCGTTTAGTTTTAATTTTTGTTTTGTATTTAGATATGGAATTGGAGATGTGAGTCCATATGAATCAGCAATTAAGAAGATGGGAGAAATGTTTCAGGTCCTAGAAGAACAAAATAAAATACTATCCAAGCTAGATAAGGAGAATATATTTTGCAAGAATAGAAATTTAAGAAATGAAGAGAAATCAAAGAAGGTCGATTTGGAAAGCTATACTACTACTATAGAGAATTATGATCAAGAAGTTTCAACTCCTAATGATGCTTCAATGAATGCACCCGGTCATTCTAAAACTAAACAAATTACTTTAAGTTCAATAGAATCATTAATTCAGCAAATTTATCAAGATTTAAATAATTATTCAGAGTGTTGTATCCCATTAGATAATTCAAACCTGGTAGATATTAAGCTATTCCCAATACTCCCACCACCAGTAAATATAAAGGCATATCAAGTTCCAATAGCAACTGTGAAATTGAATTCTTTAGTTGATGTAAATTGGGATCCAACAATGATTAAAATACTACCTTATATAAATGGACTCAATTCAGTGAAGAAAATTTCTGAATTAGCTGATGCTAATTATTTATTAACAAAACAATGCATTCAACATCTTATGCATTATAAATGTATTGAAATTATTGATATTTTTCAATTTAGTAATATTTATGCCCCAACAAGTACAATTGGAGACTTTTTAAAATTTGATTCAAAGATGGCAGAAGAATGTCAAGCTTATGTTGTAACTACTGACTCAAATGATTATACATTACCTTCATCATATTCTAATACGCCAATTGCAAATAATTCACCAAAACCAAATGAATTCTCACCATCATCAAACTTCAAAAAATTTGCACAACTGAATTCAATATCACCGTATACTAAACAAAGTTTTTTATCTAGATCACCAAAAGAATATACTAATAGTCACTACCTAAACCATTTTGCCAACGTTACGGTGCCGAGTAAGACTAAATTGTTTCACTTATATAGATCATTGAATCAAAGTCTTACTGTGAAAGAATGGTACATACAAAATAAAGATGATCTTGTAAATATTGATATACGGAGATTTATAAATTTTGGAATATTGAGGAAGATAATTTATCGAGTATATTCTTATCCGTTATTAAATTCAATTACTCGAAGTTTGGAAAGTGGTGATGAATTTCAATATGATAAATATTTGAAAATGACAAAACATGAGAAAAAGAAAGTCAACGATTCAAATGATAACCTATTAAAGACAAAGGTAAATGAACAAACATTAAAGACAGAAGGTGGGAGAAGAAAAGTAAGTTTTACAAATAGTCACAACTCAGATAAAGTAATTACAAAACATTATAATTCAAATGAAGTTATATTTGAAGATGAAAGTGAAGATTCTGATAGTGATGAGAGTGGATCATTTCATATTCCATTGAGTGAACGACGAATGAGAAACAGTAATGCATCATCTTCACAACCACGATATTCAAACGATGGTTTTATGTTTCTGACTGATGATGAAGAAAATGAAGATAACATAGAAGAAGAAAAATTTATAAATCTAATTAAATTATTAAAAGGTTTCCAGCATTTTGATAGTATATGTACTGAATTACAAATATCAAGAACAGAAGTTGAAAAAATGATTGAAAAATTAGGATCATTTAGGATAATAAATAGTTAATTTTAATGAATGAAATGAGAGCAAAAAAAAACTGAAATTATAATTTCTATTCAACGATGAAATGATTCAACGGTCATGGTGATAATTGTTGATCAAGATTAAGATATATCACCCAGGGTCATCAAGATAGTATGATCTACTACCACAATCAAATGCCACTCGAATCAGTCAAAAACAACCGATATTTCAAAAGTTCAAGATTACTACCAATGTTATTATAATAAATCTCATTGTCGTGTTTGATCAAGTGACATTAAATCATTCAATAATTTGCGACATTCAATTTTCGAAATTAAGTTTTTTTTTTGTTTATTTTTTTTTCTTTTCTTTTATTTATTTCAAAACCACAACAAATAAATAATCAATATAATCAACAAATAATCAATCATGTCTGGTAAAGGAAAAGTACATGGAGGTAAAGGTAAATCATCAGAAATTGCAAGATCTTCTACATCACATTCTGCAAGAGCTGGTTTACAATTTCCAGTTGGTAGAGTTAAAAGATATCTTAAAAAATCAGCTCAAAATAAAATTAGAGTTGGTTCAAAAGCTGCTATTTATTTAACTGCTGTTTTAGAATATTTAACTGCTGAAGTTTTAGAATTGGCTGGTAATGCCGCAAAAGATTTAAAAGTTAAAAGAATTACTCCAAGACATTTACAATTGGCAATTAGAGGTGATGAAGAATTGGATAATTTAATTAAAGCTACAATTGCATTTGGTGGTGTTTTACCTCATATTAATAAAGCTTTATTATTAAAAGTTGAAAAGAAAAAGAATCAAAAATAATTTTAGGTGGTTGATGTTTATTGTTAGTTTTAAATTTCTATTAATTGTATTATATTCATAGTTTTGTCTAAGCTTTTATCAAAAGATTATTGTTATTGATTCCTATTTACATGTATCTATTTCTTCTCTATTGGGGGTGGTGTCATCATTTGTTTTAATTTCTGGTACTATTGGTTTGGTATCAGCTTCTTTCTTGATCTCAGGCATTATCTCATTTCCATTTTCAGTTTGCTGTATCTTTATATATTTTGGACTATATCCATCTGGTACTTTATAATCATCCAATTTAATATTAAAATCTTTTAATTTAAGTTTTAAATATTCAATTTCATTTTGTAATACACTTATATCATCAGCTAATGCATCTCTTTCATCACTTGCTTTCTTTCGAGATCTATAACTTTCATATAATATTAAACTACCAGCAACTGAAAATATAAAAAATTCGGAAATGAAAGTAGCACCTTGATCAATTGCTTTATTATCATTCAACGGACGAATTTTTAATTTCTTTTCACCTAATAAATGCATCCTTAATTTAATTTCTGTGGAATGTAATGTTTGAGCAAATGTAATACAACCTTTTCGAAAAGTTTCATGATTTTTAGCTTGTAATTTAATTGCATTTCCAATTGGTTTTGCAATTGTTCGAACTAGTAATGATGTTAATTTTAATGCAATACCAGACATGAAAAATGAAAATTAACGAATGTGGCTATTTGAATAATTATGAGTCTCTTTCTAATTTCTATATCATTTATATTGAATCTAGTTTCTTCCTGTTAAATTTCGACCTATAAATTTAGGAGTGGCAAAAGAAAAATTGAAAATTAAAAATTATCAAAACATTCTATACCAATTAGGAAATAATGGAAATAATAAAAAAATCTATACATCGTCTATATAAGAATGGAATATGCTAAGAGCTTAAATCTCACCTCTTTAGCTCAGTAATACTACTTGTATTACAATATTGTCTAAAATCTTCAAAACACGCCTCAACTAATAAATCATATAATTTATCGTCATTAATCTTATTTATGGTTGTAGCATTACCAGTTCTGACTCCCTTTGGTGCATAATCATGACCCCAAATTCTTGAATTTCAATAAAATGGAGAATAAAATGAAGTATCGGCAGCAACAAATACTTTCATACTAGATTTAATTAAATCAGGAAATGACATAAATGCAGAAACAACTTCATCCCTTAATGGTAATGTCTGTTGATCGTTATTCTCAGAGTAATTTGCAGTACCTACAAATGTAAGAATATCTTCAAAGTAAGGATTTGATACAAGAATTTCATACGAACCAGCTTTATCAATCAATCTATCATACAATTCTTGAGATGGAACTAAATAATTAGTAACATTAACTCCAATAACTAACTCTTTCCAATCAGCAGTAAGTACAATTTGAGCAGCTTCTGGATCTTGGATCAAATTTATATCTGTATTTATATCATTGACAATTAAACTTCCTGTAGCTTGTGCATATTGATTATCAGAATAACCACCCATAATAAACAATCCAGCAGACTCATTTACAAGATTAGGATAGATTTAGATTGCTTGTGCAACAGTTGTCATCATACCTGCAGCATAAATATAAATAGGATCAGTGTCTTCATATTCTTTAACGGCAGTGATCAAAGCTACTGCATCTGGTAATGTATCATTATAAGTGAAATTAGACCAATTGTAAACAACTTCGTATCCTGGAGCAAATCCACCTTACCATACTAATTCACCAAACATGTTTCCCAAGAATGAACATTAGTTCGTAATGGATTTTGAGCACCAACATAATGTGGAATACATGATAAATTGTAAGTCTTTAAAATGTCAGCTCCTACTCCCATTGAGTCAACAGTAGATGAAGAGCCAAATGAGCCAGAAATTCCAACTATTTCAAAACCAGCTTTCAATGGGAATAATACTTGAAGGGCAGATAATCCATCATTATCAATGAATACTTTTTTTGAATAAGCGAATGTAAAAAAAAAAAAGAAAGAATAAATTCATAATGAAGTGATAAAGAAGTTCAAAAATTTTTCGAAGACTAATTCGAATCTAGAGGTTATCTTTCGAATGTTTCATCATTTAGATTATGAAAATTTGAAGCCATTTGGTAAGAAGTTGCAAAAAAAAAAAAAAAAAAAAAAAAAAAAAATAAACAAATTATAATTAGACGACGATGCATAAAGAACAAAAGAGGGACATTAATAACTACTTTACAATTTAAATTGTATTGGAGGAAGTGGTCTGATCAAAACTGATATTAGCTATGTGTACTGATCAGCCTGGCTCCTCTTACTATTGTTTTCTTTTGCAATTTTTAGGTCAAAATATTTTACTAAATAGCTTATTTACGTCTGGCAAGTCACCAAACGTTTGAAAAATTGTATGAGAGATCAATCAATCCGATATTTGATCTTTGGCAACCAACAACATTGAAATAGCTTAAAATCTAAATTTTTGTTTCAGATCTGCCGTTTTTCCTAATTGGGATATACTGTTGCAACAAATCACAGATCCAATTTTAAACGAGCATTGCATCCATTTTATAACCATCTGCCCCTAAAAATAAACGATGTCATTTCCACCTCCACATTTAAAATAATTCTTGATTCTAAATCATTCGTTCCATACCCAACAAATTACTAACCCTTGGATATAAAATTTGTGTTTTTCTTCAATTTCAAAAATTTATTATCAACATGCCACATTCTGGAGATCATAATACTTTTGAGAATGAAAGTTCATTACGTAGCTTACCTGTCCCTTCCTTACAGTCAACAACTCAACAGTTATTAAGTGCTTTAAAACCATTAGTACCAACCAATGAATACGCAGAATTATTACAAGAGTCGGCAGAATTTATATCTAGTGATTTAATAAATTTAATTCAACAACATCTTGAAGCAATTGGTCAGAATCCAAAATATACAAATTATTTAAATGTTGTTAATAATGACACTACCCCAGCTGTTTATGGAGAATTAAAAGGTGATATATTACCACGTAATCCATATTTGATTTTGGAAGAAGATCCATATTCGAAAACTATAAATCCTCCAAATCAAGCTGAAAGATCAGCTAACTTAATTAATTCCACGTTAAAATTTATTGTGACATTACGTAATGGGACTTTGAAACCAGATAGAACACCAAAGAATAATAATCCGCTTACAATGAATTGTTATAAACATTTATTTGGAACTACCAGAGCACCTGATTTTACTGAAAATAGTAATGATTTGAGAGTTAAGAAATATTTAGATATTAACGATTCAAGACATATTCTAATTATTGCAAATAATCAATACTACAAATTGGAAGTATTAACTCCATTTTTTGAAGAAGAATATAAAGAAACCTACTCAAAACATAAGATTTGGTTTAATGATCATGAATTGTCTAAAATTTTACAATTAATTATTGATGAATCAGATACCGTTGATCCTATTAAATCAATTAATAATGCTGTTGGTTCGATCACTACCCAGTCTTTGAAAAATTGGAAAATTGCAAGATTAGCATTAAGAGAATCAAATAAAGACAACATGAAACTTATAAATGATGCTTTATTCGTTCTAGTACTTGATCCAAACTCACCAAAATCAGATCAAGAGAAAACATCAGTTATATCTCATGGTACTTCCGTATTGTCTCATGCTAATGTTCAAATCGGATCATGTACTTCAAGATGGTATGATAAATTACAAATGATAGTCACTAGAAATTCAGTAGCTGGAGTTGTTTGGGAAAGTATGTCCATGGATTCAACTGCAATTTTAAGATTTATAAGTGATATATATACTGATTCAGTATTGAAATTGGCTAAAAATATTAATGGTAGTGAATATACTTTATTTGATAACAATGTATGCTTTGTTTCATCAAGTAATGACAAACCAGAGCCAGAAAAGATCCAGTTCAATTTAATTCCAGAGATACAAAATATTATACACCTTTCAGAGACTAGATTGGCTGATTTAATTAATCAACATGAGTATAAAACGCATATGATTAAATTGGAGTCAAACTTATGTAAGAAATTCAATCTTTCAGTAGATTCAATAATGCAAGTTTGTTTTCAAATTACAAATTATTCACTTTATGGAAGAATGGTGAATACGTTAGAACCAATAACTACAAGAAAATTCAAAGATGCAAGAACTGAATTAATACCTGTTCAAAACGAGTCATTGTTAAATTTAGTCAAATTATATATCTCCAGTGCAAAATCACAAGAGAAGTTTGAATTATTTAAGAAATGTAGTCAAATACATACTAAACAATACCTTGATGCAATGAATGGAAAAGGTTTCGAAAGACACTTGATGTCAATTGTTCAAGTTATAAAGAAACCGAATATTGTAAAGACTTTAAACAATATCAATACTCATCTTCCAACAATCCACATTGATGAAAATACCGATATACCATTACTTTTAAACCCCAACATTGAGAAATTGACAAATCCAGAATTATTAATTTCAAATTGTGGTAATCCAGCATTATTATTATTTGGTATTCCACCTGCTGTTGATCAAGGTTTTGGTATTGGTTATATCATACATCATGATAAGGTCATAATTACAGTATGTTCAAAACATAGACAAACTGAACGATTTATTGGAACATTTCATAAAGTTATACAAGACCTTAAGTCAAATTTAAGACATAAATCAAATTTCCTTTTGTCAATTTCTGATTCACAGCTGAGAAAGATGGAAATACAGAGATTAAGAGTTGAAAGAGAATTGAGTTCAGTTTCATTAAATTCACCATCTACAAGTCATCCAATTAAATTAACTGTCGATAAAGATGATGCAACTCCAGATTTAGAACCTGATAATCAAAGAAGAAACTCGACTTCGTCATCGGATAGCGATAATTTTGAATTGATGGGTGGTTATGGATATTTCGATTATGGTGAATTAGAATTACGTAGAGATTTAATTTCCAAAAATGAGAGTTATTTGAATAGTACAACAAGTTCAAATTTAAGTAGCCCATTAAGCTCAAAACATCATTCAGGGACAAATCTAGTCAAACTAGCAACTATGGCTACTAAATCACAATCACCTGATTACGATTTGAAACAGAAACAATCATTAAGTGAAAGAATTAGGGATAAATTATCTAGAAGTGAGGATACATTACCTTCTGTAACTTCAGAAGATAGTCAATCATCCAAACCTAAGAATTCTATAGGCAGATCTTTAGATATCTCTCAATATCATTGAATTTATACACTATTTCTATTTGGTACCAAATTTTGTATGCGCGATCATTCTATCAAAAATTATTGTTAGTAATCTTGATCTTCTATGTTTTCACAAGTTGGTATTGCCAAAATAAATAAAAGTTTAATTAGAATACGAGGTCAAGATGCAACTAAATTTTTAAATGGTTTATTAACATCAAGACTTCTACCTAACATAGTGAAGAAGAAACAACACACAATCTCAGAATCTGAAAATAGACATGCTGATTTACAAAATATAATTGATATTCATAAAAATTATGGCAGTATGCATGAGGATATATATGATCCAGATAATATAATAACTGTGAGTCGAGATGGTATAAATAGTATGATTTTAAATTCAAAAGGTAGGGTAGTTACTGATTGTTTTTTATATTCAAATCCATTGCATAATTATAATAATGAATTTGAAAAGGAGTTACAAGAACCAAATTATTTACTAGAAATTGATTCATACAATGTTTCCAAATTGTTAATGATGTTAAAATTGCATAAATTGAGTGCTGAGGTGGACATAAAACAAGATCCAGAATTGCATTCATATTACTATTATAATGATACTGAAAAATTTGACAACTGGTTAGAAAATATTCAACATGAGTATTTTAAAACTATGAATCCTATAGATGCATTGCAGAGCTCGAACTCGTTTATAAAAAATGAGATATTATTTAATAAAAATTACGCAAGGCATATTATTGGCTTTGCTATTGATAATAGAATACCCAACTTTGGAATAAAAATAATAACTGATAAGAAAGTAGGTGAAGGACAAGATGGTATACCTTTAAGTGATTTATTTTCTGAAAAATTCAAGGGACAATTTAAAACTAATGAAATATCTGAAGCTAATGTGACTGAAAGAAGATTTCAGAATGGTTTATTTGAAATCAGGGATGTTTCAAAAGTCAAAGATGTTTCCTTATTACCTTTTGAATGCAATCTCGACTATATAAATGGTTTATCGTTAGATAAAGGGTGTTATGTTGGTCAAGAATTAACAATTAGGACGTTCAATAATGGTATAATAAGAAAACGTATATTTCCAATCCAATTTTTCAAGTTAGGTGACGCTGACACTGTCGATATTAAAAATGTACCAGCTGGAATGTTACCAAAATTGGATGTTACACCATTACAAGAACCAGAAGAGAAACAAGAAGAGAGTACACAATCAGCACCATCACCATTTGGCTCTTCCAAAACGGTCAGAAAGAGAAATCATTCATATGGTAGAATATTATCAATTGAAAATAAATTAGGTTTAGCATTGTTTAGTATTTCAGATATTGAAAAAAATCCTATTTATAAAGTTCAAGTCCCAAGTTTAGATGATAAGTCTAAATACATAGGTGTTGAAGTAATGATCCCTGATTGGTGGCCAAATTAGACCAATTGTCGTAAATAGTTAGATTCTGGTATCAGAATATATAGATCAGTTTTTTTTTTTTTTTTCACCAAATGACTACTGATTTTATACCAACTGAAGGATATCTTCAAACAATATCGCATGCTACCGAAACAATAAAAGCTAAATTAGCTAATACAAAATTGGCTAATCCAAGAGTAATGATAATTTGTGGATCAGGTCTCGGTGGAATTGCTGATATACTTGATGATTCATCAAAAATCGAAATTTCATACGAGAAAATCCCAGGGTTTAAAACTTCAACTGTTCAAGGACATATTGGTAAATTAGTGTTTGGTTTAATTGGTGATAAAAAAGTTCCAGTTATGTGTATGGTTGGTAGATTACATTTTTATGAAGGTTATACTTTTCAGCAAACAACTTTCCCAATAAGAGTAGCTAAAATATTGAATATTGATACTGTTGTAGTTACAAATGCAGCAGGTGGTATAAATTCTCAATATAAACCTGGTGATTTAATGGTTATTGAAGATCATATAAATTTCCCTGGTTTAGCTGGTTGGCATCCATTAAGAGGTCCAAATTTAAATGGATTTGGTCCTAGATTTCAACCATTAAGTGATGCTTATGATTATGATTTACGTAAATTATTTTTGACTACAGCTAGAGATAAATTGAAAATTACTAGAAATATTCATGAAGGTACTTATTTTTTTGCAGCTGGTCCTACTTTTGAAACTAGAGCTGAAGTTAGATTGATTAGGGCATTAGGTGGTGATGCAGTTGGAATGTCAACTGTTCCAGAAGTTATAATTGCGAGACATTCAGGATTAAAAGTATTAGCTTTATCGTTAATTACAAATGCTGGTGTCGGTGAAAAACCACCAAGTGCATTTCATGAAAATCCAATTGCTTTAGATCAAGGTATGGCAAGTCATGATGAAGTTTTACAAGCTGCTGATGAAGCTTCAAAAGACGTACAAAGAATAATTGAATCAGTGGTTAATGAATTATAGATAAATGTATATTAGACTTTATTGATCTACTTCTCCTGCAGATTCCCATTTTCCTTGTAAATTTTCTTTCCATAAACTGATTTTATTATCACCACCAGAAACAGCTAATATATTTCCTGATAATGACCATGAACATCTCCAACATACATCTGGGAATTTTTCATCAGTTAACAATTGTTTTTGCCATTTACCATCTTTATCTTGAGTCCAAATTAAAACTGCTCTATCTTGTGAAGCAGTAGCAATATATGAACGTATTAAAACAGATGGCGACCAAGCAACATCTCTAACCCAGTCAGTATGACCTTCTAATTTAGCTTCTTCTATATATGTGTTATTAGTTGGATCATATTTCCAAATTTTAGCAAGATTATCAGACCCACAAGTTACAAATCTTCTTTGTAATTTTAATTGATCCTTATTTTGATTATTTATTGTTGTATTTGTTATTGGTGCCCATGAAGCACAATTTACACCTATTGAATGAGCATTAAATATTACATGTGACGTAGTACCATCATCATTAAATTCCACTATTGAAACTTTACCATCTGAAGAAGTACATAATAATATGGCACCTAATTCTTGTGGTGCCCAACTAACTGAATTAACACTAGCTTGATGAATTGTATGTTCAGCTATAATTGACCATTGTTGAGGTTGTTCAAGTTGTTGTTTCCAAATTAAAGCTTTACCATCATATGAACAAGAAGCCAATATTGAACCAAATTTAGGATGTGCCCAAGCAACTTGCCAAATTGGACCTTCATGACCAGTTAAAGTTGTTGTTAATTTATAATTTTCATTACCATTCCCATTATTTTCAATATCAAATATTTTAATAGTTTTATCAGATGAACAAGTAGCTAATCTTTTACCATAATAATCTAAAACAGCATCATGGATTAGATCTTCATGAGCATTACCAATTGTGACCATATTATACTGTTGATCTTATTCTGTTGATCGTTTGATGAAAAAATATAAATATTGGGGACGTGTCAAAACTAAATTGAAAATTTACCAAATGAATGATAATAATAATAATGATAAGATATATGATGATTTATTAGATATTACTTGTATGATACAAGTATTGACTCAGAAAGTAAACGATTCAGATGAATATATTGGTAAATTGGAAAATATACTGAAAGAATTGGTTTCAAAAGAAAAGTATAATGAATTATTGAAGGAAACGGAAGATATACGACTGGATGAAGATAGTGAATATACAGAGATTAGCAGGCTAGAAGAGGACAGAAATTTATTGGTCATGGTTATACAGAAGCAGGACTTCATATCTCAGAAACTTATGGAACTAATTGATCAAAATGAAGACATATTAAAGATTATTAAAGAATTCTTATCATCTAAAAACACAATAAATCAACAAGAGATAGAATACTCAAGAAAGATATTTGAAGGTTATATAAAGGAGAATGTTGAACCAACTACGAAACAACTAGAGAATAGTTTAAATGATTTTGACTCAAGTTTCAATATAATTGGTGATAAATTAACCAAAATCAAAGAGTTAATAGATAATGATACTTTACAATCTCCAGAATATCAAGAATCCATTAATAATTTAATTCATTCATTAAATAATATTTAATTATCTGTTGCTGCTATACTATCTTTTGATGGCTCTCTACCAATATATGAATAAGCACGTTTTATAATCAGTTTATTAGGATCTAATTTAACCCAAACGTGTCTTATCCTATCTAAATTCATATTTGATCTGTTAAATTTGAAAAAATGGAAAATGGAAGATAGAAAACCATATATATACATTATTATCCATCTTAATATAGTCATTTGTTCGGGATCATTTTTCACATTACAATAGTAATTCTCATTACCAGTTAATTTAAATGCTATTTTATTTCTTTCTTCATGATCAACATAAATTTGCTTGAAATTATTCAGTTGTAATACTTGATCAATCATTTTATTCATACGAGTTTGACAATCATCATTTGATTTAATTTCAAATAATTTGAAATTCTCTTCTAGTTCTTTTATACGTTTCACGATGATTCTGGTCTCATAGGATAATCTATCTATTGTACTTGTTAAATTTCTCATGTTATATTCTATTTCATCGGCCATTCCACCTTCTATTAACTTAGATTTAGCTGAATCCATTTGATTTTTAAGATTTTTCAACTTGAGCAATTCTAAATTCATCAGTTGAAATGATTTATTAACACTTACATTCGTAGTTATATCATGTTTCTTATTACTCTCATGATAATATTTTCTTAAATATTCATAATTTATCAACGTTCTTATGTTTTGTAAATAAATTTGTGAAAATTTGGCAATGGTACCCATTTTAGGATCAGGTTTAAGTAATAATTCATTCTCAATACATGAAAAACTTATACTTCGAGAACGTAAATTCACACTTGGTGGCTCAAAAGCAGTTTTATTTAACAATTCAGTGTCCTTCTTCAACAGTAATATATTTAAATTCTGTTCATGTTGATTTTGCAATATTGGCCATGAATTCCTCCTATTTAAATCATGTTTGAATTTAGCTAAAGGATTTTGAAAGCCAGATATACTTTCACATTTCTTACTAATTGATCCATGATTTGAATTTACACTCTCTACAAAAGAATTAGAATCTCCATTATTTAATTGTAAAAATGAATCAACCATTGTGGAAGATTGAATTGATGTTTCATCACCTAAATTAACACCAGGTTCTAATAATGAATGAGTTAATGATTTTTTGGATAATTGGTCATGATTTACAAAACTTTTCCTTCCAAATTTTTTAGTAAATCCTAAAGGATGTTTATCTGTTGATATTGGTAACATTTGATTTTGAGCAATTTTATCTTTTAAACATTCAAAATGATACAATTGTTGTGCATTTGCATCTTCTGACAATGATCTACCTCTACGTCTTGTATGATGATGACCTGGTTCTCGTTGTGGTGATGGTTGTTCTGCTGATATTTGCAGTTGTAAATTAAAAGGACCACTATTTTGAACTCCATAAAATAAACGTAATAATTTTTTACCCGTTAAATAATTCTTTACAAGTACGTCCAAGTCCAAAGTCTCTACATCTAATGGACTTATCGTATCTGCTAACTTTGCAATTCTATTTCTTATCCTTCCTGTTGTTGCTTTACCTGTAGGTACTGATTTATCTTCCATATCTCGATTACTAGCTGCATTAATATGATCTTGAACAGTTGTTTTAACTACATTTGTCAATTTTTTCAATTCTTTCTTACCATAACTTCTCTTTTGTGATGTTGCACTTGTATTTGATTCTCTTGATGTGGGTGGTGATCCTAAAATATCATAGTCTTGCTGATCAATTTCATTATTTCCATAAGGCGATGAATAAAAATAATTTGAATCCTTTTGAGGTAATAATCTTGCATTAGTCATGGTGAATAATTTATTCAAAGTTTCCATATCTAATTTCCTTGTCTTTTCAAATTTAAATTGTCTTTGAAATTGTCCAATTGATATCATAAAGTTTTCAAAATCAAATGGATCTTTAGGAACATCAGTACCTCCTACTATTATAATTCTTAGTCTTACACTTAGTATTAAACTTATGATAGCAGCGACTGTAATTGATGGTAATGCACCATTTTTAAAATTAGGTTTTATATTATAATGAGGTAATCCAATTAAATTCCACCAATTCATTATTGCTTCTTCTGTTTTTGCACATAATAAACCATTACAATATTTAGCATCTAATAAATCAAAATAAAATAATGAAGTCTGTATAATGTTAATTAACTCTCTAATGGCAAATTTTACCGGTATTTTAGTGTTATATATCCGATACATTTGACGAAATTTATCTTCTGATGCATCGGATAATTTATCTGAAATTAATGACATTGACCGTCCAGTACATTGTAGCCTCTTCAAATTGGAATTTATAATAAAATACTTTTCAATCGCTCTTACATCACCTCCAGGTATTGGTATCAAATTTAAATTTGAAGGTAGTGAAGTTAAATTAGTAACAAAACACACTTCATTTGAGTCATTAGTGGTTGATTCTCGTCTTGTTGGAGCTTTACTTGATAATTTAGCTAGTGTTATAGTTTCATTATTACTATTTGCTCGACTTGTAGACATTGATGGAGGTCTTGACGTTTCCATTTTTTTAATCTTTGAATGGTTTTGTATAATTTCATTTAAATATTCTTGAAATCGAAGGGGGTAATGTTTTGATGGTTTCTTGATAATTGTAAATTTAACAACTGAAATTTTGGAATTTTCATTTCCAGTATATGCAGATATCACACAACTTATATTTCTATTAATCATCCATTGTTCAACCAAATATATCTCAAATCCAGTAACTTCTGATTCTTCAATTATATGAAACTCATTGGATTGGACAAATTCTTTCTGAAAATATTTCACTGCATTGAAGTCTGGAATTACATATGTGATGAAATCATTAGGATTACTAAATTGGTTCTTATTGTTGATTGAATTTGTACCATTCATTAATGTATCACGTTTTACCGTGGGATCATGATGAGTATTATTATATCCATTATTATTTATACCGTTAGGATGCTTTAGATTATTTACTGAAGATCCTGATTGATACCCTAATGATAACATTAACTAAACCACACCTAAGAACCAAGGAATATTAATCGTAAATTAAGAAATTATAATTCTGTGCTTGGTTAATTTTATTTTTAGGTCCTTTTGGAAAATTGGTTTATATGCAGAATGTGTCACTTTTAAATATTTTGACACAAGATTGACAAAATTGACATGGATGATTGTGAGACTTTGACGATAGGTTGATATCTGGATCAATTGATAATGTGCAATGTTATGATTTGTTTTTCTAATCTTTTCTTTCAGCGATTCGAAGCCTTGGAATAATTTAATTTTCGTTCATCGTCGATCAAAGTCTAAATCAAAAACCTATTGTTTTGCAGCCTGGTACAGCATTTTTGTCCTCTGACTATCCTCTCAGCTTTTACAATTGTTGAGACCCGTTATTGATTGATAATTACGATCCATCTTTCTACAATTCAAATCTAATTATCAAAATCCTATCAAGTGTCTATCAAAGTTTGAGCATTTCATATTGAGAATTGTAGAATTGTATACATTAGTAATTAAACAATGTAAGACATCCTGAACAAAACTTTGCTGCCATTTGCAACCAAAAAGAAGTTAACCAATTTTTTACAATTCCCAATTACGCATATACGAGAAAACGAAAACAGCAGCGAAAATTCATGTAATTAAGATTAATCAAAGAATCTCATTATAAAAAAGTAGATAGTAGTAAATTGGAGATGGTTAAGATAAAATCAATCTTTAATATACAAAATTCCTGATACCAAAGAGGTTGTACTGTATATAATTTTAATCTTGATAAGAAAACTCGGCAGTTTCCATGAGGCGCTTAATTTGGATCGATAAGGCAGTTTGATCTCCATCAATTAGTGCTAATTGATTCATCGAAGAAAAAGGTTTTAGTTTAGCTTTTTAAATCTTTTAGATAATCAGACAAAATTCTTGAATTTGATGAGATTAGATGAACGCACGAAAAAATCAAGGGGAAAAGTTTATAAGTTTATTTTTTAAAATTTGTGATGTCGTATTGATTAATAAAACTCATTCTAGCATGATTGAACTTAATGAATCGATATGGACCAATCTATTAATAATACTAATAATACTGTTGCGGTTTTATTCATTTGCCATGCCGTTCGATTGAAAAAAAAAAAAAAAAAAAAAAAAATATTATGGCAATTGGTGAAAATCTACAGTATGCAACAGTTATCACATTTTGCAGTTGATTGGATTGAATTAAGTTAATCAGAAAAGTAAGAAAGCTTAAATATTCTTAATTTATTATTATCTTTTAAAACTTTTTTATTGTATGCAATATCAGTCTAATTTATAATACTCTGATTCAGCATGAAAAAGCAAAACTGGATCTTATTAGTATATAGTATATAATGTCGGTAAATTTCTACTAGATCATTTTTTTCATTATCTATACAATATGAATAAATCCGATCAAAGTGGAAAAGATGGTAATAGTCAAATTGAAGTTGAAGAATTGAGTAAAATATCTAGTGATAATATTAATGAAAATGAACAACCAAAATCATTATGGCAAAGAATAGTGAAAACTTTAGAAGTACAACCAAAAGGAGAATTATCAACAGCTCAAATGTTTCTTTATAATCATGATTTACGTCCTGTTGAAGAAGCAAGAAGACAATGGAGTTGGTATAATTATGTATTCTTTTGGATTGCTGATTCATTCAATATTAATACCTGGCAAATCGCGGCTACGGGCATACAGTCAGGCGGTATGAATTGGTGGCAAACATGGCTAAGTGTATGGTTGGGGTATGGCCTTTGTGGTATATTTGTTAGTATTGCTTCTAGAGTTGGTATAATGTATCATATTTCATTCCCAGTTGCTGTTAGATCTTCATTTGGTATTTATGGTTCATTATGGCCAGTTATAAATAGAATTGTAATGTCATTAATTTGGTATGCTGTTCAAACTGCAGTTGCTGGTCCAACTTTTCAGTTAATGATTTGGTCAATCTTTGGTAAAAATGTTCCTAAAAATATTTCAGATACTATATCTGATCCAGATTTAACAACTTTTCAATTTTTAGGTATTTTCTTATTCTGGTTATTTCAATTACCTTTTATTTGGTTACCACCACATAAAATAAGACATATTTTTACAGTTAAAGCTTATGTTGTACCTGTTGCAGGTGTAGCATTTTTAGTATGGACTATAGTTAAAGCTGGTGGTATTGGACCAGTTGTACATCAAAAGGCTAAAGTTGGTGGAAGTGCTTTAGCTTGGGCATTTATTGAATCTACAATGAATGCATTAGCAAATTTTGCAACTTTAATTACAAATGCTCCGGATTTTTCAAGATTTGCAAATCAACCTTCAATAGGTATGAAATATTTTGTTTATACTTTATCAATTCCAATTTCTTTTTCAATTACTTCATTAATTGGTATTTTGGTAACTTCTGCTTCAGAACACATGTATGGAGAAGCAATGTGGTCACCATTAGATGTATTATTCAAATTCTTAGATGATTATACTCCCGGTAATCGTGCTGGTGTATTTTTTATTAGTGCTGCTTTTGCTTTAGCTCAATTGGGTACAAATTTATCAGCAAATTCATTGTCATTCGGTACCGATTGTACTGCATTATTACCAAGATTTATAAATATTAGAAGAGGTGGTTATATTTGTGGTTTATTAGCGATTGCAGTTTGTCCATGGAAATTAATTTCAACATCATCAAAATTTACAACTTATTTATCATCGTATTCAGTTTTCCTTTCATCAATAGCTGGTGTTGTAGCTTGTGATTATTATTATTTAAGAAGGGGATATCTCAAATTGACTCATTTATATTCATTTAAAGCACCAGAAGATAAATCAATGGATTCAATTTATAAATATAATAAAATTGGATGTAATTGGAGAGCTTATACTGCTTATATTTGTGGTATTTTACCAAATATAGTTGGGTTCGTTGGAGCTACCGAAACCCATAAAGTACCAATTGGAGCAACTGAAGTTTATAGGTTGAATTTTTTCATGGGCTTCTGCTCAGCATTTTTGATTTATGCTATACTAAATTACTTGAGTCCAATTGATACCGCCAAACCAGATGTTGGGCCATTTGAGAAAGGTTGGTATGAAGAATGGGCTGACGTTGAATTATTTGAAGAAGAATTAGTTGGTCATGAAGTTCATGAAGGTTTTGAAAGATTTGAAATTGAATCAAATAGTTCAAGATTAACAAAGAAAAGTTAAAAATAGATTAATTGTTGCTTCAGTTCTTTTTTGTGTATTATTTTGATATTTTTAAGTTTTGTTACATCACTTGTTTCCGATTTGATATTTGTAATTTGGACTTATTTGCGTAAATATAATTGCCTTTTTGAGCGTAACCATGTGCATTAATCAAGTAAATAGTCTTTTGTTATATATAGAATCAGTTACAATTTGAAGAATTGAAGATTGGGGTTTAATTGAATGATGCTCTCAACTTTCACAATAATGATGAGTATTTATACGAAAAGTTGGTGCTACAAAAACAACATCTCGCGCTAGCATTGAGGCGACTCGTGCTAAATAACTTGCCCCATATATCGTGAACAGGGATTCTCCCAAAATAAATGCCTATTATATAAAATCGGTAGCTCTGGTTTATATACTCTAAATATCTAAAATATTCGATCTCAAATTTCTTTTTAAGTTGTCAGTTTGGCCCTTTTTCACCATACAAAATTTTCGTGAACAAATAAACTCAAAGTACGTTTTTATCTACCGCCAGAACTTTCAATTAAACGACGAATTATATATAATACGACTCGAACCAAGGTGTTGAACATGATCTGGTTTGATGCAAATCGAAATTGAAAAATTTCAAAATTTTTTCTTAAGTATAAGTAAAATCGAATAAATTGACCTTTGGAGAAATCTGACATCATACTTGATATTCAAATCTAAACATAATCAAACTATCCAGTCTTATAGCTCTGGCACGCCAATAAATCTTGGATTTTTGTGTTAAGGTGTTCTGAAATGGGAAAGTAATTTTTTGAAAATGGTTCGAAAGTTATATATAGTGCAATTTTGGCTATTGCAATGTATCCATGGAAATTGATAAATCCAAGCTCAAGATTTGCAACTGATTTATCTACGTATGCTGTGTTTTTAAGTGCAATAGCTAGTGTTGTAGCTTGTGACTATTATTATATACGAAGAGGTTTTGTCAAGTTAACTCATTTATATTCATTGACAGCACCTGAAAACTCGACCGAAAAATCGATTTAGAAATTCAATAAGATAGGTTGTTATTGGAGAGTTTATACTGCTTACATAGCTGGTATTTTACCAAATATAGTTGGATTTCTTGGAGTTATAGAAACACATAAAGTTCCAGATGGTGCAATGAAGTTATATAAATTAAATTTCTTTGGTGGGTTCATTACAAGTTTCATAGTTTATTCTGTTTTAAATTTTATATCACCCATGGAAATTGGAAAAGATCCAACTGGTCCATTTGAAAAAGGTTGGGGTGAAGAGTAGGCAAATGTAGAAATGTTCAAAGATGAATTAACCGGTAGTAATACAGAAATTGAACTAGTTGAAGTTCATAATGATTTTGAAAGGTTTAATAATGTAAAATTAAAAAAATTAAATAAACGATGACTGTATATACGAAATATTTTTTTGACATATTCTTTTCATTACGCGGCGCGATAGCGATACCATTGATGCAATTGTTATTATTTCGAAGGTTTTCCCAGAAAAATAAGGCAAAGTTTATTTTACCCAAGAACTACAAACTTACTAAGGGAGTAGCAAGACAATTGCCGTTTAAAACTGCATTTTCTATATGGTGGAAATCATTATCAAAAAATAGATTGCAAGAATTGCAAGATGAATTAGTTGAGTTGATGGTTCCCACGGGATCGATTGAGAACCAAAATATAATCAAAGAGAATAAAAACGTTAAATTAGACGAAAACGGGAATTATATTAATGAAGTTGGTTTCAAAGTCATCAATAATCCAAAAGGGATAACTAAACATTGTGTTTTTATTCATGGTTATGGAGCAAGTTTGGGTTGTTTTGCCAGAAACTTTCAAATAATTACTAAATTTCGAAATCCAAAGTCAAATTACAATTACCACATCCATTTTTTAGATAATCTAACCTTTGGTTTAAGCTCAAATCCCAAATTGCAAAATTCAAATATTTCACGTTGGAGAATTAAACCAGCTTGTAATTTGAAATTGATAAATGATGAACCAACTGAAAAATCTAAGTTATATAAGAAGTATTATAAATTGATTGAAGGGTTTCAAATTGCTCCAAAAGAATTCGAAGAGTATCAGGAATATTTCACTCCAATTTTACAAGATTTAGAAACATTTTATTGTGATGGGATAGATCAATGGAGAAAGAATTCGGGTATAGATAAGATAGATTACTTGGTTGGTCATTCATTCGGTGCTTATTGGTCAGCTTCATATTCGTTAAGATTTCCCGACAGTGTTTCAAATTTAATTTTATTGTCACCAGTTGGTATGGAACGTCATGTATTAGCTATTACAAGTAATGAACAAGCATTGGTCCCAGAAATACAGAAACCAAACCTAGATCCAACTTCATACAAATTTTTGTCAAGATATCCTATTTTATCAAATAGTCAAATATTAAAATGGTATTGGAAAATTCCATTCTTGCCTCGTATACTACCATTTTTAGGTCATTGGGGAACACAAATGTATTTTAGTTTATGGATGAAGAAATTATTAAAGATTAATAAGTTGATTGAAAAACATGGAGGTCCAGAAATGATATTCAAAAGTAACAATGATTTGGTGTATGGAACTAAAAAAGAGGTTGAATTAATCATTGAATATTTATATAATTCAATAAGTACAGGTACAACTTCAGATATATATATCAAATATTTATTGACTCCAGCAACAGTAAGTAAATGGCCATTATATGATAAATTTGTAAAGAAATTGGAAACAAATCCCGATGAATTCAAATTCAATTGTCATATATTTTACGGGCAATATGATTTTATGAATTCCGAAGCTGGTTATAAATTGATTAAGTTATTAAATGAGAATATTGATAATGGTAAGAAATTCACATATAATGAAATTTTGGAAGGTGGTCATAATTTATACATTGATAATCCATTTGACACCAATCAAGTCATATATGAAATTGCAATGAGTGAAGAAAAAGAATTAGTAAAGTCGGACGACTAAGAGTCAATCTTCAAAACTTATTTATTTATTTATTTTATAGATTAGATAGACAAGATATTTAACCAAGAAAAAACTACAAATATTCTTTCTCGGTATAGAAAGTATGTCATATGTCAATATTGATATAGTATAAATTGCATGTCACTGATAGTACTATCTTGATAAAGAATACGTTCACATTGTACAGATATTTTTTAGCGCGTTATCATTGCCTGATTTGGATAGATGTCAGATTTTGGCTGATCCTAGGGTACTGCATATAAATCTGCCCTGAAAAATTGTGATAACCATGGCCGTACAATAGACTATTATGGAAATAATTTGATAAACCATGGCGCATATTACAATAAGATAATGTAATAATGTAAAGTTTAAAAATTAAGGTCTGTAATGAAACTATATAAATGGAGACTCGGGAATTAGGTTTATTAATTTGTTTTCTCAAGTTGGTCGCTCAATTTGGTCGCTCAATTTGGTCTATTAAATTTTCATAGAATTCTAGCAATAACTATCAAACTAGTATCATGTCAGGAAAAGATTTAAAGGATGGAGCTCAAGTACGTCCAGTCTTATCATTCACTGAAGAAGTTTACAATGATAAAGATCTTCATGTTTTAACTACAATTTTATCACCTTCTGGAAAGGAAGTCAAAATTACAAACGATGTTGATCAAGCTATGAAGTTTGCATTAGCTCATAAAGATGATGTTACAGAGATTGATGATAAAACTAATTCAAGATTATTTAAAAAGATAAATCTATACATGTTGCCAATCATGATGTTACTGTATAGTTTTCAGTTCATGGATAAAGTATCAACCAGTTATAGTGCTATATTGGGATTAAGAACAGAGTTAAATATGGAAGGAGACATGTATGCTTGGACTACTACTTGTTTTTATCTTGGATATTTGGTTTTTGAATTTCCTACAAGTTATTTATTACAAAGATTTCCAGTTGCTAAGACGGTTAGTATTTTCATTATAATATGGGGAATGATACTAGCTTTATGTTCTGTTCCTCAGTATCCTGGTTTTATTGCACTTAGAACGATTTTAGGTATTTTGGAAAGTTCAATCACACCAGCATTTACAATCATCACATCACAATGGTACAAGGTCGAGGAACAGTTCATGATTTCAAGTTTGTGGTTTGCCTCCAATGGAGGAGGGTCTATTTTAGGCTCTGCTATTGCTTATGGTTTGTTAAAAAATGATGGTTCATATTCATTGCCTGCTTGGAAATTGGTTTTTGTTGTAACAGGATGTTTAACAATTTTTTTGGGATTTCTAATTTTAGCACACGTTCCAGATCAACCTACTAAAGCATGGTTTTTAACTGAACAAGAGAAAGTGTTGGTAGTCGAAAGGATTAGATCAAATCAACAAGGTTTTGGAAATCCACATTTTAAAAAAAAACAGTTCATTGAAGCAATATTAGATCATAGAACTTGGTTATTCTTCTTATTTGCTTTGTCTTCCAACATTCCTAATGGTGCGATGACTAGTTTTGGTTCAATTTTGTTAAATGAAGATTTCGGTTATCTGACTTCAGATGCATTACTTATGGGTATGCCACAAGGAGCAGTTGAAATAATCGGATGTCCATTATTTGCTTATATTTCAACATTTTTCAAATCAAGGTTACCTATGTCAATATTTATAACCGCTGTAACTGTCATGGCTGAATGTTTATTAGCATTTGCTCCACAAAAAGAAGCAAGATTAGCTGGATTATATCTTTATTTTTTAGGTCCAATAGGATTTATATGTATTATATCAATCATTGCTTCAAATGTTGCTGGTCATACAAAAAAAGTTACTGTAAGTTCCTTCATGCTAATTGGTTATTGTGTTGGTAATTTAATTGGACCGCAAACTTTCATACAGGCTCAAGCTCCAAGTTATAGTGGTGGTAAAGTTGCGATTGTAGTTTGTGGAGCTTTTTCATTACTTGTTTTAATATTGATTTATGTTTCATATTTTTTGGAAAATAAAAAAAGAGATGCAAAAGGTTTTACTGACATGTCACATATCGAAAATTATGAATTTGCTGATTTAACAGATAAAGAGAATCCAAACTTTAGGTATGCTTTATAAAATATAAATAAACGAGAGATCATTTCCTATATTCTTGAAAATCTGTTTCTGGTTTTCTTTAAGATTCAATAAACTAAAAAGTTCTGGTATCTTCTTTATCACTTCCATATACCCATCAAGGCTATTGATCTAAACTTTAAATTATTTTTGTAGAAAAGGGGTGATCAAATTTAATTTTGCTTAGAAAATAAATCATCGTCAATGTTCCATCAAAAAGATCATCATCCCTTGGCGAAATAAATACGATCAAATCTCAACCTGTCTTTCTATACTTTGTTAAAGGATAATATCCACGTAGGATTCAAGAGACCATATATATATGTTCGTGTGAACCACAGTTTATAGATTTTCCGGTCGTAGATTAGAATTTTAGATCTGTATCTAGAATTATTACCAATTAGGTAATTCGGACTTTTTTTAGCCATCTTAGTAATTAATTTTACTTCTTTTGATAAGTGATGATTTGTTAAGAAATTAAAAATCTACAAACCAGAGGAAACTATAAATGATATGTAACATTTATTAATATTGTTCATTTATTATTTATTAATATAAATTATTTTCAAAAATATTTCTTAATTTATCAAATTATATTACATGGATAATTTTTACCATGGATATTACGAAAGGCAATATGCGACGAGATAATGAAAATGAAATAGGTATCTCAAGTAGTATAACTACATATTCAACAAATTCAACAGAAGAGCAAGAACAACCATCAAACATTTTTCACAATTTCATAGACTCATTCAAATCATTTGATTATTCTACCTTGCCACCTATTTATGACCTACAACCTACAAATACAAATGACATATATCCATCAAAATCACAAAATATACATCCATCTCATCCCAATTTTGATTATTCAAATTTCACCAGATTAGAAAGAGATGCTTTGATTACTGCAAATTCTCCATTAACAAAAGGACTAAAAACTTATCATCTTACGTACATTTCCATTGCTGCTGTATTAGGAAGTGGTCTTTTTATAACTTCAGGTAGTTCATTATCTCATGCTGGTCCATGTGGTATTCTACTAGTTTGGTTATTTATAAGCTCAATAATTTTCGCAACCATGTCATCTTTATCAGAATTAGCAACTGCATTTCCAGTAAGTGGTGCATTTGTTACATTTCCAACGTTATTCATAGATAAATCTATTGGTTTTGCTATTGCTTGGAACTATGCTTTACAATGGTTAGTTACTATGCCATTACAACTAATTGCAGGTGCAATGTGTGTACAATATTGGAGACCAGATTTACATCCAGCTATATTTGTTACCGTATTTTATGTTGTTATTGTATGGTTAAATTTATTTGGTGTGAAAAGATATGGTGATATAGAAGTTGTATTAAGTTTAATTAAGATAACTGCAGTTATTGGATTTAATATTCTTGCAATTATTGTTGTTGCTGGTGGCGTTCCTGGTCAACCTTATATTGGTGGAAGAAATTGGCATCCACCTTTTAATTCATCAGAACCATTTAAAAACATGTGCTATATTATATCAAATGCTAGTTTTTCATTTGCAGGAATAGAATTATTTGCATTAGCTTCAGTTGAATCAGCAACTCCTAAAACATCAATTGAAAAATCAAGAAAGCAAATTTTTTATAGAATATTGATATTTTACATATTATCGATAATTATGATTGGTTTTTTAGTTTCTTATAAATCACCACAATTATCAAGAGATAGTGGTTTTGGAATTGATATAAATACAAGTCCATTTGTCATTGCAATTAAAAATGCAAATATTCATGCGTTACCATCAATAATGAACGCAGTAGTTATTATAACTGTTCTATCAGTGGGGAATTCGTCAGTTTATGCATCAACAAGAGTATTATGTGCAATTGGTTCGTTAAAACAAGGTCCAAGTTTCTTATCATTCATAGATCGAAATGGTAGACCAATGGGGTGTTTAATTATTCAGTTTTTACTCGGTTTATTAGCTTATTTAGTTTGTATTCGTGGTCAAAGTATAACAGTTGAAATATTTGAATGGTTATTAAGTTTATCTGGTTTAAGTGCATTATTCACTTATTTATCGGTAAATATATGTCAAATTAGATTCCATCAAACATTAAACTATAAAGCAAGAATTCCAAAAGAAGAATTATTATATGTTAGTCCCTTATGGTGTTCTATATATGGTATAATCACAATATTGGTGATATTAGGATTACAATTTTGGGCTGCTTTATTCCCTCCAGGTGAAGGTAAAGCTGATGCGAAATCATTCTTTAAAATCTATTTAAGTTTACCCGTATTTATTGTTAGTTGGATTGGACATAAGATTTATGATAAAGTATTTAATGATATTCCATTGTTGAAATTATGGTTATCTGTTGATGAGATTGATGTTGACTCAGGAAGAACACAATATGATTTGGAAGCAATTAAACAGGAAATTGCAGAACGTGAATTGGAAATGAAGCGAAAACCCTGGTGGTATAAAGTTTACAACATATTCTGTTAGGGATTATTTATTTATTAAAGAGGGACAGGAAATATACACTTAGTTATTAACTATTGCAAGCATATCTTTTGATCTCGCCCTAGACCAGATTCATCAAAAAATAATTATTTCTTGCCAAATTGTATATATCTAATTTGATTTAGAGGGGGGGAAAAGAAGAAAAGTATTTTATAAGAATCCCCTATTCAAGATAGCCTGATTAAATATACTATAGAAAAAGCATCAACAAGTGTTCAACATAGAAATTATATTGAAATGTATTAAATGTGTGCCCAATTCCTTTTCAAACAATTTTGTAAACAATCATATTCTACACGTTACATCACACCACGATCTGAATAAGTCATATAGCTATTTGATTCTTCATTGGTTGCAAAATAATATTTATTTTTGTTGATTCGAGTAATGTTGTTTACGACACGAAATTGAAATTTTACGAGGTAACTAAGAAAAATCAATGAGGAGATATTAGTATGAAAAGTGGAGTGAGATTTTGCAAGCACTACCACAAATTATTTTATGGCGACCGTTTGCCCGTTTGAAATGATCAATGATATAATAATTGTTTGGCCTGACTATTTATATTTAGTGGAGTTTGAATTTAGGAGTAGAATTAAATTAATTGTATCATACGAGCTAAAGCCAATTCGTAACGTAGCAAGCTTGTGCTAAACAAATTGAATCAGTCCCCGTAGTTGACCTTTTTCTAACTTGCAAAGTTTAATACCATGAATTCTATTACCGCCTAATTCTCGACCCCATAAAGAAAAATCGCGAAAAATTTCGCTGCAGGAGTGAAAAATCCGGAGACGGAGTTGTTAATTTTATATATGAAAAATTAATATACATTTAAATGAATACTATAAGCTATATAAAATATAAAACCAAATAATAACAACTAACAAACCCTACAATAACTAACCACCAAATAAAAAAACATTCGTAAACCAATCGTGAATCAAAATAAAGCTCATGGAAAAGCACTAGTTATGGAAAACCATTTTCGATAATTGGATTGTATCAGCTCGTTATTTGTTTTTATTATATCCTCTGTATTATTGATATTTATATTTGACTGACAATGATGGTTGGAGTTGTTCGTTAATTTTTGATTGCAGATGAAACATTCATATAAAAATTGTTTGTCAAAATCTGGTTTTTCTAACTCTATGGAATAAGTTAAGTTTGGAGATACTAATGGACTCGATATTGGTGATATTATAGATGATTCTGATGATATTGAAGAAGACCTTGAATTGTCATTTATATTTTCATTAGATTCTGATTCTATGTTTAATTGAAAAATATCGTCATCGTAAAAGTCTTCGGTAGTTGATTGATTTGGGTTAAACATAATGATAAAAATTGAAATTGAAATTATCGTTGATAAATTAAAAAAGTTGGGATTATTTAGTTGTATTTATATAACTACTAAAACTATGAAAAAGGTTATGATACTCTTAACTATGACACAATTATTTTTTTTTTTTTTATAATTTTTTTTTTTATATGGGGAACACGTGAGCTGAGAATTTTCTAATAGTTATTTTTATTATTTAGCTCTCCACCACCACAGTCATATTTAACTGTGTATTTGTGGTTTAAAGACAAGAATGATTCATTGTAATATTGAATTCTTTGTTTATTCCTTGATCTGCTCTGTTTAGAGGGGGGTAGTTAATAGATGTTGAGATAATGATCATTATACTCTCGTTTTTGTCAATTCAACTAATTGTCTGGTAACTATTATCAAAATATCTAAATACAGTATTTTATCATATTAGTAGTTACCACAATATAATAATGCGCTTGTAGAGTTTTCACCAATCTCATAAAGTAGAGTTATTCAATAGTTGTCTTTTGTCTTTTAATGCTTATTAATTAACTCAATCGTCTTTCTGACTCACTCAACAAATAAAAATTGAATTGCGAATACGATGAACAAGATGTGCAGATTCGCTAATTAATGTCCACGATTTTGGAACCTCACGTTAAATTTTTTTTTTTTCTACTACTGGTTGTTAACAAATGCCTAATCGGTAAAGTTAATCAATAGATAAAATGAAATACTGAATACAGTGAATCATTTGAATTTCTTATCTGTTGATGATTCATAATCCACAATCTAAAATTTTTGTAGTTTTATAATTTGTTGTTTTACTATATTTGACTCATTGAATTCCACCACCACATTTATTCATGATTGGACTGAAATTTCTCTTGCAACAAAGATGCAGCTTTCCACAATTGCTGATTAGTTTCAGTTCGAGATTTAGAGGCAATGAATTCAACGTTGTACTTTTTCACAAGAGGTTGAGATATATAGAGTGAGAGATTTTAAAGTTTAGTTCATTTATCTTTGCTATCTTCTTATGCCATTCTAATGTTTTCTTTTGTTTGAGCCACTCTTAAAAAAAAGATATTTGTTGTCTCAATTTCCATGAGGTGAAAATAGAAATTTGCTCAAACTGAGTCAAAAGTTACTCGTTTTGGATTTTACAGCCATGGTACCATTTTTTAAATATTTAGGGTAACATGTCATTGATCGATAACGCTAGATCTAATTATTTATGTCCAGAAATTTTCTACTACCTAATTTAGTTTGAATTTCGATGGAGATTTGCAATACCCTATTCGGTTTTGCAATTTGAGCAAATTAAACAATATTTTTATTGTGAGGTAATTATTTTGAGTTAATTACACAAGAACTTGTACATGGATGAAGCTGACATAAACTTTTGTCTTATTTGAGACGCTTCATACTCTCCTTTATTCATATTCCAAACTGAAAAGTACGCTATATGTTGATTTAGCTAAATTTTATGGAGAAATTTTTAAGGGGTAATTTTAGGCGGTACACCACTGACCAGAGTGATTTATTTCAAAATAGTCACAATAGTTTCATTGTCCATTTTACAACAACTCTAACCGGATACTGATTAGTAACATCACTAGATTAATTGAACGTACTAAAACAACTATATAGACCGAAATCTGGTGATAGGAATTGAATTTGAATTTTGCAACAGATACAAATTGTGGAAATAGCACAACATTGATTACGTTAATGTAAAGAACTACTTTTGTAACAAGCTCAATTTCATACCACGTATTTCAAAAGCTAAGACAAGCTTCAGTATGTCAATACATTCAAATCTAGATCAAGTTTTATGATTATCTTATTCAACCATCGATTTTAATCATTGACAAGGATGGCAGTAATTTGCTTAGATACTACAACGTGGTGAGTAATCATATTTAAATCAGTTTACATATGAGATACTATTGACAAGTTTTGTAAGCTTTTGCTTGGTATCATTTGCATCATTTGCAACTCTTGACCAATTTCAACACGTTGTGAAAACAACATCAAACTACATTATAATTTCAATGACGTACATCTATCACAAATCAATCCCAGATAAGCACGGTGAACACTTAAGCTAAGCCCAGTAACTCCTACTTTGAATCGAGATTGTTACAAGAACTTCTAAGCAATTGTGTCACTAAATAAAAATATTATTACTTTGAAATTTACAAAGTATCAGAGCAAACCCTGAGCTCGAAGAAACGATATTTTGATAAAACCGGTCAAACAGGGTCTAGTTACAATCATAGTACCTCGAAGCTAGGCCTCATCCTCATTTATACTGTTGCAAAATTTTCAGTATTTTCGTCGCAAAACTGTGAGAAGTGATCATACTTGAATATTGTTGATGATAGTATCCGAGACTAATTGTAGCACCTTTATGATGCAAAGGTCGTTTCACATGAAGATGAAAACTGAAGTTGAAATAGACCTTCTTTGTAGCTTGTTCATATAAGTGTTTTCATGCTTACCAAGACATTTGCAGTTGTATTCTAAACATAATCAAACATTGAATATGCAATTCAAGATGTTTACTTAGCTATTTAGGTAACAACTTTTAGTGCTGAGGCACATGATATACTTAACGAAGCTTTTTTTAAACATATTATGCGATTTCATGTTTACTCAAACATGAGTCAATTTTCTATAGCTACAACTGTTTCATATTATATTTCCCACTTTAACGTTTATTATATCTCCTAGGCCCTTTTCTGGGCTAATTTTTATTTCTTTTGTTCACAGCGTAAAAAAATTTTCATCTTGAACCCTCCAGCGTCAAATCTCCAAAATGATACAGTTTTTTGCAGCCATTTGCATAGATCTCTAAGATTAGGTACTGGATTTCATTAAAAACCTACGTTGACTCACAGATCTAACTGAAAAATAATAAAAGTATTCAAGATTGTGACCTGCTTTATTATTTTCAACTGTTTCTTTTTCAATCTGTTGATAATTAACCAAATAACTTAATACCAAACCAACCTCTACAAACTCACGTAATCACAATTATTATCTAATTACGCAATTATTATCTAATTATTTCTTTTGAATCTATTGAAAATCTTACAAGTATCAAATTATATATCAACCAATGTTCTAAAAATTATTATTATTTCTATATTTCACGATAACGAAACACTGAAAAACTTTTCACCATAGTTAATCAAAGAATCTAGATGAATTATTATATACTATTTTACATATATGACGATTGTCTCATCGAAAGAATTAACTAATAAATGAAAAAGTATATAAACCCATACGTATCCTTCATTTCTTCTATTTTCTAAATCAACCAACTATTATTACATTCATTATGTTATTCAATACATTCTTTTTATTTGTTGTTTCAAGTTTAGTTTATTCCCAACCAGTTCAAAAATGTGCGTTACCTAAAGATATTGTTTCAGTAGGTACTCATGGATGGGCAATGTCTCCAGATGAACCATGTATTCCAGGTAAATATTGTCCTTATGCTTGTCCACCAGGTCAATTAATGAATCAATGGGCGGAATCTTCCAAAGCTTATGCATATCCAGATTCAATGAATGGTGGATTAAAATGTAATTCAGATGGCTCAGTTTCAAAATCATTTGATCGTCCATATTGTAAAGATGGTAAGAAAACGGTATCAGTTAAAAATAAATCAGGTAAAGAAGTTTCATTTTGTCAAACTGTCTTACCTGGAAATGAAGCCATGTTAATTCCAACTGGTATTCAAGGTAATTCTGAACAAGTTTTAGCTGTTCCAGGTACTGATTATTGGGCAAGTACTGCTGCTCATTATTATATTAATAAACCAGGTATTGGTACTAAACAAGGTTGTGTTTGGGGTAAAAGTTCAGAAGATATTGGAAATTGGGCTCCTTATGTTGCTGGTATGAATATGGATAAAAACGGTAATACATTTGTTAAAATTGGTTATAATCCAAAATATATTGATGATTTTAATGGTAAAGTTCCAAATTTTGGTATTAGAATTGTTTGTGATGATAAATCTAAATGCAATGGTTTAGAATGTGAAATTAATCCAAAGGATGGTTATAATAAAGTTAGAGGTCCAAGTAAAGGAGTTTCATTGAATGCGCAATATTGTATTGTTACTGCTACGAATTATTCAAAAGCTAAAATAGAAGTATTTGAAGTATAGAGATATAAATATATATGTTTGTTGCCTGTTTTAATTTTTAAAGTTTGATTTTTTTGCAGCCATTTTTTTATTAGCGATGGTAGCATTTAAAAATTAATCAAGTGTCATTGTTGACTTTTACCGACTACCACATATCTTTGTTAGTAATTATATTCTTACCATGTGTATGGCAAACTGTATGATTAATGTTGAACTTTATCGACTCAAATTAAGTTTAATTTAAAATATTTTAGTTTGACAAAATTGAAAAATTTATGAATCGTTGAAGATCTCGTATATTGTCCATTACAGAGCATTAAGTAGATGAGCTAGACGAATCTTAGTGGTTGACTTGTTTATAATACTAGAGGACATGGTAGGTGACTTCGTAATCAAAGTGTTATACATGAATCAAAATATTTGAGAAATATTTTAAAGGTCAGAAGCATCTCCTCGAGACTCAGTAAATCAGCCCAAATATTTTGAGGTCAGAACCATCTTCTCGTGATTCAGTGAATCAGCTCATTCACAGACAATCTAATCTAAGACTTATTGACTTGATCATTAACTATTTTATAACCTTTTTTTATTAAATGAATATGTATATATATATAATTTTATGTAAATTGTTCGTTTTTGTTTTGTTTATTTTAACCAATTAATAAAGTTTCTTCATCAGTAAAGTCATATTCCGGTATTTCCAAGTTTAATGGAGCAGGACCTTTTCTAATTCTACCTGAAATATCATAATGAGAACCATGACAAGGACAAAACCAACCACCAAAATCACCAGCTTCACCAATAGGAACACAACCTAAATGAGTACAAATACCAACCATTATTAACCATTCTGGTTTTTTAACTCTATCTGAATCATTTTGAGGATCTCTTAATTTACCAATATCAATATCATTAGCTTCTTCAATTTCTTCACCAGTTCTATGTCTAATAAAAATTGGTTTACCTTGCCATTTAATAATAACATTTTTACCCAATGGAATTGCACCTAATTTAACTTCAACTTTAGCCATGGCTAAAACATCTGCTGAAGCAGCTAATGATGATAAAAATGCTTGAACTGTTGATTTTGCACCTGCTGCTGATAATAAACCCATTGAACCAACCATAAAATAAGTAAAATTTCTAGATGATTGACCTGATTTATTATTTAAATATTGTGAATAATCTGGTTGTTGATAATTTGATAATTGAGTTGATGTGGTTGATAAAGTTCTTATGGTATCTAAATTGTTAGTACTAATTCAAATTGATATTTTCTTCTTCCTTTTACATACTTTTTAATCCCAATCCATTTCTCAATGATCTAAATGCAAGGGATGACATATTTGATATAATGATAATATGTTTTATAAATAGGTTGATTAATAGGTTTTTCTATTAGTAGTAGATTTTTTCAATGATATTTTTCTATATACACAACTGAAAAAACTGTTAATAATAAAATTGTATAATAAATTTATTCATGTTTTTATTGGTTAATTTTATATTGGATATACACGACTATATTTTGCAGCCAATATCAGTTGTTACGTTACAAAAGTATAGTATTTACATTCTATTAACATTCTATTCTATATATTTATTGGTTTTTCAGATGCAAATGTAGCTGCAACAATTAATGGTAATACTAAACTTACATCTGCATAAACTTTAACTGATTTAGCATCACTTTTAATTTTACCCCAACTTATAGCTTCATCAGGTCTTGCTCCAGCATCAGAACCATCAAATTCTTGACCTGTATTTATAAAAACAGCATAATCTGCACCATTTCTCATTAAACAAGCATTACAGATATGATGTTTAATTAAACCACCACCTAATATCAACATACCTGCTTTATAAGCAGCCATAGACATTGAATTTATTCTTCTTATATCTGCAACAATATCTAATTTCAATGCATGTGGACTTGATTTAAATGTATGGAAAAATAGCATATCACCAATTGATCCATCAGTTAAAGCGGGGCAAAAAATTGGAATTTTATTCTTATGAGCCCAATATAGAACTGAAGTTTCATCATTAATTTCTTTACCTAATCTATCAATTAATTTACTTGGTGTTAAAACAGTATCTGATTCCAAATCTAAGCTATCTTTTCCATTGTCCTTCAATGACTCTTGTTGTTCTTCCAATACTTTATCTAATATCGGCACTATCCATTCTTCAAACTTACAATAGTTATCATTTGGAACTAATAAATTACCAATACGATTCATACCTTGATCTCTTAAACCTTTACCTGGTAATGCAAAATCTCCCATATATGTTGGGGCTAAACATTTTATTAAATCTTCTTCAATACCACCTGCAGTTGCAACTATGGCAGATACCATTTTATGTTGTACAAGATATCTTAAAGTATCTCTTAAACCTGAACTTATTAAATTTGAAGTATAACCCATGAAAATTGTTGTTTTTTGATATCCTTCATCATCAAATTCACCATTTTTTTCATGATCTTCTAATTCTGATTCATGTTTACCCCTCCATGATCTCATATCATCTATTATATTACATGCTTGACTTAATGAACTAGCTTGAAACCCCATATTTTTCATGGAAGAAATTAAATGTTTTGCAGTTGAATTATAAGCTTCATTTTTAGAATAATCCATACCTGAAACTTCAACAAAATCATCTGGAACAGGTATTGATTGTTTTAAAACTGCGTCTGATGCTAATTCAGGTAATTTACCAGTACCACTCATTATAAATAACCTTGTATCAAATTTGAAATTTTTTTTTAGATGTATCGCGCGATATAGAAAAGACGAAATTGGCAATTCATTCCGAAGATACAGATTGAATATATATTAACGATGTCTATGCTCTTTCTTTTACTTCTGGAGTCCATGAATTACATTTTGGTTTTGCTGTATTATATGTAACAAAAGCACCTGGAGAATTTGTTAAATTTGGTCTATGATGTTCAGGTAATGGATATGCTCTAGTTGTTTTTTCATCACCGATTAATGAATTTGGTGGTGTATTTGTACCATAAGCTAACCAATAATGCCAACCTGGTTCTACTTGACTCATATCTTGATGCCAATTAGCATATTCTACCCATCTTGTTCTTAAATGAATTTCTTCAGGTGCATCAGTTTCATAAAATTTATTGCCCCAATCATCTATACCAACTAAAAAACCTCTTTTAGTATCATTATGATGTTGAATTTGCCATGCTGCTCTTTTAAAACCTGATTGATATATGTTTTTTATAGTACGAAATATTGAAGTAGACATGCTATCAGCTTGGTTATAATTTATTTTATTTTTCTGTTGATTGGATAGAAAATTATCACCAAAAAATATCAATTTTACACAACCATTGAATGCCAAATTATAAACAAGAAACTGATAATTTACAAAAGTTTAGAGCTACTTTACAAGCTATAAAAGAAGCAACTGATAAAATAATAATTGATGTTGAAACTATACAACTGAATAATAAAGAAATCTTAAATCAAGCTACTGATCTAGATAAATCAATTAAAAGGAGACGTTAAGTCTATATTTAAATATTTACAATTGAAATATTTGGAAAATATTTATGTTTACCTTTGGTGATTTCATTTTTGTACAGATTTGAAACATTGGATAAATCATTTTTATGAGCTTGTATGATTTTTGACAATTTATCAATATTAGAATCCAACAATTTTGCAGATTCAATCAATTGTTGATACCAAGTTACCACTAATGAGTCTTTTATGAAGTTGTGCTTATCATTTTGGATATATCTAGTCAATGATTCATAATCTTTTATAACATCACCCAACCCATTTTTGGCTTTCGCTAATAATTCAATGCTTTTCATTAATCCATTAAAATCCAACTGTGGTTCTGTAATTTTCAATATTTTTTGAAATTGTTCAAATTTGGGAAATTCAGGTATGCCAATTGATGAATAAGGTTTCATTCTAAGATAATATAAATGTTCTTGAGATGTTAAACTTTGACTTGGTTGTGAAAAATCCATCAATTTTAATTTGGAAAGAACAATTAAGTATGAAATTTGACAGTTTATCAACTGCCTCATTACCTCATACGATTTAATTAAGTAGTCTTGATTATAATTTAAAGTTTTGGTCAATTGCGGTATGATTACTTCTTGATTATAACTCTGTATTTGTTTCAACTGTGTCTTTTTAGGTCCATTTTTCAACTTTTTAATTTTGTTAGGTATCGTAGTTTCAATATAATTGATCTTACCTAGTATAATATTTATAATTCTATCTTTTAAATGTTGTATAATGTTTAATAATAAATATTCACCATACCAATATATTAAATAATATTCAAATGGTTTATAAACTTCAGTTTCAAATCCATTGATTAAAAATTCAAACATGGAACACATCTTACTATAATATATGTATGAAGTAATACTGATTGCACCCTCTCCAGTTTTCAAAATATCTCCAAATTGTAATTTGTTAAATACATGAAATTCAAAAGGTTCCCATGATACCTGTATTGTATCCCAAAGCTCCAATGATTTTGATATCAATTGTTGTGAACGACAGAAATTAGCACCATAAACACAAAGATTATGATATATTCCACTCTCTAAATCGTTAAGATTCTGGTTGTATAATTTTAGTAACTCTGCCTTTTGAGTAGAATTCAATTGTGATAGACATGACTCAAAATTGAGTAATATGATTGTGTTTTTACCTATCAAATTCTCCACTAATTCAACTACTAAATTTGTAAGAGTCATTTCGTGACTTCCAAATATTGATTTATCATCTCTTATGAAAAACAATTGAAATAGACCTCTTGAAAAAACTGAAAATTTTGAGTCAGAAATTGGATACTTAATGTTGTAATACAAGAAATCTTGTAACTGATTTATGGCAATTATTTGATTAGCTTGATTTGTAAATGTATGAATAGTTGAAAATATGTTAATTAGATGATTATAAGTTGTTTCTAAATCTATATCTGTTAATTCGGCAGGTATGTTTCTATTTGGTAAATCTACTTGTATAAATTTTGAAAATGCACCAACTGGTAAAAGATTTTCATCTGATTCTTTACCTTTTAATTTCTCAATTTCGGATACTGCATCTTTACAAAATGTGAATAGTTCAAATTTATCACTCTCTTGTAGGAAATTGATTTTTGTACTTAGTATTTTTGATTCAATTGTATTTAAATATTTCATAATTTTTAATTGGATAATTATTGTGCTTGTATTTTGATCAAATTCAGTCTCGTTAGATAATATCCACTCAATTGTGTCGTTTAATTCATCTAATATATTTTCAACGGGTATGGTTTGTAAAAAATTGAAATTCATGTTTCTAGTAATGAGATCTTCTTCTTCATATAATAAACTATTTGAGATATTAATAATGAAACCAATAAATTTACACAATGCAACAACAAAACTTTTCAAGACCTTATGAACTAATAAAAATTCAATCCCTTCTTCATGTTTACTATTTATTCTTGTATCTATGAATGATAATTCCGTGGGGTTTTTCAAATAATTTTCCAAAATTGTTGAAACATATCTACAGCTCAATATTGTTACTGGTAAACTATCTTTCTCCAACCAATTAATCAAACATTTATATAATTTTAACTGAATTTGAATTATCGAATCAATCGACTGGGGCTTTGAACAATCAAATAAGGTTTCATCTTTTGATAACTCAATTATACCAGTATCTAATCTTGGATTTAATACTTCTAATGCTCTAGTACCTTCCAATAATTCAAATGGGGCCGATTTCACAACTTTGTTGTTTGTAATTGATTTTATTGAATCAAAAAATGTCGTTGTGATATCAATTAAATTTTCTTCATTATTAATTTGCAAATCTTCTAAAAAATTGTTTAGTAAAATTCTGTGACTAATTGAGTTATTTACTTACTTATAGATGGTAAGTCCATTCTCAGACTTTTATATTCTCATTAGGTTTCACTTGTTATAATTTGGTTGTAAATTTGAAAAAAATTAGTTTTAAATTTTTTATCGTGTGTTTTAGTTCAATTGTTTTGATTTTGATTTCTTGATAATTTGCAGCCAAAAATTATGATAAATTTGATGCTGCAGCATACTATGATAACCGTGCGGTTATAATAGAGCGGTTATAATAGAGAGGCAAATAGAGTCTGTTTGCAAACTAGAGATATCAAGAATGGTGGAGTTCAGTGGAATTTTCGAAGTTTACCAGAAATTCTCCATGGTTAAATAAATTGCAGCTTTACATTGATACATCAGCTCATTATCAGAAACATATAAAAAAAAAAACCATTGTTTTAGTCTTGTTAGATCTTAACCGTTTCCAAGGATATCAAATTACTAGACTGACTTATTCTATTATGTTAAATAAGGGAATCTAGATTTCGCATTGAATTTACGTGTGGGACCAAAATTTGTCTTAGACCTAGAAAATCGCATAAAAAAACCGTTTAATTATTTATGGCTGTAAAAGAAGCCAAAAGAAGAATTTAAAACATTAAATATTCGGACTAAAAATATAACAAACATAAAGCCGCTTCGATTCCGGAAAACGAATGGTCACACAAAATCTAAAAAAAATTTATTTGAACAGTTTTCAGGGATAAACAAAGCAATAGTATAATATCGACCATTGACGTAAGATGATGAATTGATCCAACTATTCAACTCCAAGCCTATTTGATAAAGGGGTTTGATAGGATGAAAGTAAGGAGATAATAAAATATTGGTAGTGTACTTAATCTAAATTGTTTTTTTTTGTACTACATATTAATTAGTAATCATATATATATAACTACACGTATTTCCGATTTTTATTAGCATTAACCCCTTTTTCTTTCTTACCATAGCAAACAAACAAACCAAACATTTTCATTATTGATATTACTACCTACCCCTGATATAGATATAGAATATTAGTCACAATGTCCGATGTTAAAAGACTGCACTCCGAAGTTAGTTCATCACCTTATGATTCATTGAACGAAACAAGAAAAATGACAAAAGCTGGTCGTAAACCTTTAGAAACTGAACCAAAATCTAAAAGAACAGCACAAAATAGAGCAGCTCAAAGAGCTTATAGAGAACGTAAAGAAAAGAAAATGAAAGAATTGGAAGATAAAGTTAAATTATTAGAAGATAAAAATATAAAAGCAATAACTGAATCCGATTTTTTAAAGGCTCAAGTTGCTATGTTACAAGAAGAATTGTCAAAATTTAGAGGCGATAAACAATTTGATTTTTCAACTTTAAAAGTTGGTAATTTATCAGCCACGGCACAAGCTCCAAGAATTGATTCATCAGTTTCATCATCATCACCAGAAAATGAAAATTTATCATCTAATAAAGGTTCAGTATCGTCAAAATCTTCATTATCGTTTGATCATGGGTTTTCATTTGATAATCCTTGGTCTAAAGATAAATTATCATTGCTAAAACAACAACAAAATCAAGAAAATCAACAACAACCAAAATTATCACATCGGTCATCACAAGATAGTAATAATTATAGCTTATCTAATTTAGATGAGCTTCCAGATTTAACTTCATCTGGGACAAGTCCATTAAATGTAAATTTAACAAATTCATCAAAATCAACACCAAGTTCAAACAATTATAATTTATTTGAAGAAAAAACAAATCCATTCTGTGCTCAATTAGGTCAAGCTTGTGGTGATAGAGAAAATCCAATACCGAAATTTAAAAAAGAAATATGTTCAACATTAAAATCACCAGATGAAGAAGATCAATCAAAACATGATTTTTTTAATTTTGATAAAAATAATTTAGATGATCCATTATCATTTTTGAATGAGAATAATTTTGATATGTCATTAGCTTTTGATTTAAATAATAATAAACCAGATTCATATTTAGATTTATTAACCACTGAAGAGTCAATATATGATCCATTTAAAGATACAACTAATAATAACATAAATACAAACTATAATTTTAACGAATTTGTTAAATCATCAATACCCAATGAAGAAAAAGATGAAAATAATAATAATGATCCAGATAATGAAGTTGTACCTGCTCCTGAATCAACTATGAAATGTAGTGAAATATGGGATAGAATAACTGCTCACCCGAAGTATACTGAATTAGACATTGATGGATTATGTAATGAATTAAAAGCAAAAGCAAAATGTTCAGAACAAGGAGTTGTTATAAATACAAAAGATGTCAATCAATTATTACAAAATTTTAAAACTTAAAAAATTAAATACTAGCTAGTATGTATATGAGAGTTAAAAATGAATTCACGTTGTAATTATCTATTTAATCATCGACCATAGGTATATCATATTCTACTCTATCTTCTTCATCTAAGAATTTATCAATATCATCTAATGAAGGAGGTTGAATTTTTGATACTTCAGTTCTTGATGAATTTTTACAACTTTGATCTGGTGAAACATTTGTAAATGGAGTTTCTTCTTTTGAATTTCCTTTAGGAGTTGGAGTATGTTCTCTTGATTCTTTTTCAGTTTCATTATCTTCCATATCTACATCATCATCATCTTTTTCAGATTCACTTCTATCACTTTTTTCTTGATTAATTGCATTATTACTTGTATTACTTGTATTACTATGATCAACACTAGATATATCATGAAGAATTGAATTTGTATTTGATTTATCTTCATTTTCAATAGCCAGTTTCAATTTTTGTTCAATTATTTCAATAAATGAATCTAAACATCTTTTAGTTTTAACATCTAATTGAAATGTTTCTTCTCTTGATTCGTCTAATATCTTCTTTGTATCCAATAATGAATCTTTTAGACTTGTTAATAATTTAGATCCTAATTGTTCAGATATGAAAAATTTTGGTAAACTGTTTAATATTGCCTTTTTAACTATTTTTGTACTATCTTGTTCAAATGCTTCTAATAAATAAACCAATTGCCAATAATGAGAAGTTGATTTCAAATCTGGTTCAACTAAATTTTGTGGATTACACCAATCTATCAATTGTGAGATTACATTAGTAGGTGATATATTTGATAATTTTTCCAAAAATTCTTCCTTTTCTTCATCATTATGATACGTTATAAATGTATTTTCTTCATCAAATAATTGATATATAACATCACCAGAAACTGAAGCTAATCTAGATTGATGATTTGATTTTGAATATGAATAAACAGGTATACAAAATGCTAAAATTTGTTTCAATTCTTCATTTTCTTCAATTGATGGATGGAAATAAATTAAAATTAATGCTTCAAATAGATATTTTTCACTTTGAAAATCTTGATCATCTGAAATTTCTTCACTATTGAAAATATCAGCTAAAAATAATTTACATAAACCTTCAGCAACTACACATTGTATTTCTGGTGATCTACTAGTTAATGCTTTATAGAACAATCTTGAATATTTAAATTTTTCTTCTTTTGATAATATTGAAATTCCATGAATTGATAAAATATCAATAATTGATTTAATTCCAATGATTTTAATTTCATCATTTGAAGTACGTATAAATTTTATAAATGAAACAACAGCATCTTTGGCAATGTTTTTATCAATTAATGCATATAATCCAAGACATTTTAAACCTAAAATATGTAATGCTTTGTTATCATTTTTAGTTAATGAATAATTGACAATACCAGTATAGATAGAACTTAATGATAAATGTTGATCTAAATTTTCTTCAACTAATTCCAATACATGTTGAGTTACAATTAAACATCTAATATATAAATCATCAGGAAATTCTTTTTCAGAAGTTGCTTGCTCTTCATCATCAAATGTATTTTGAGCTGAATGGAAAACATCATCATCTGCAGAATCTCTAATATCTGTAATTATTTCAACACTCATTGCAACAAAATCTTTTTCATTAATTGATATTTTCTTTAAAACTTTCAATGCTGTGGATATCAATGTTGCAGGTAATTTATCTTCTGTTAACGTTGTTCTTATCAATTGTAAGATTTTTCTTCTACCTATTTCATCACTAAAATCAAATTCAATAGAAACTGATAATAATTGTAATATAATATATTCTAAATCATTTATTTGATCTTCAAATTGGACATAATCATGTTTATCATCTTGTTTAAATTTTTCCAATTCTCTTAATTTATTTTCCTTTATTTCTTCAAATTCTGCTTCATAAGCAACAAATTGTTCTTTAATCAATTGGAATGTAGATATGATCTTTTCTTGAGATTCTTTAATTTCCTTCATGTTTGTTTTTGTATTGTTTAATGCTTTTTTCATATCTTCTGCTGATTTATTTTGAATTGATTCAAATATAAAACGTGTATCATCATTTAATAAATCAAGTAGCTTACCTTTACCAGTATCCAATTGTTTTAATCTTTTAGTTACAACTTCAATTACTATTTCAGCTCGATCTATTGATTTTTGACAACCAGCAGCTTTTCTTTCTAAATCATCACCTTCAAATTTTAAACCAATCATTTCATTTTCAAGAAAATAAATTCTATCTTCAATTTTCTCTATATCATGCTTATGTGCTTCCCAATCTTTTACCAATTCTTCATTTTCTTGTAAAACATTAATTCTCAATTTCAAATACTCTTCCAAAATTTGTGACAAATCAGTAGCATCAGGGAAGTTAGAATCTATTATATCATATAATCTATTTTCATTACAATGATAATAGAAAGTTCTCATTAAAAATGCTTTATCAACAGTTAATTCTTGCCAAAATTGTTTATCAATTTTTATAGTTTCAATTATTTCAGGTCTTGTTTTAAAAAAAGTTTGAATTGCCTTTTCAGCAACTAAGCTTTCTCTTGGAGTTAATAATTCAACAAATTCCGATATGTTTTTATTAACTAAATCATACCAATTTGTACATAATAATTTTGTAGCAGCTGATAAAACAGAATCATCTCTATCATTTAAACCCCATTTCAATAAATATTCCCGATATTCATTGTAATTTTGATGTTCAATCCCATTTAATTCTCTACATATTCTTGAATATATTAATCTTCTATTTATTGAATTTAAATCTTTGGCTCTTTCCAAAATGTATGGTAATGTAGTTGTTGTTTTCTTTAAATTTAGATATGCTGCTCTTCTTACATCTGCATTTTCATCATATCTAGTCAAAGTTATTAATTTCTGTTGTAACTGTTGTGATAAATCTTTAACTTGACCCATATTTTCAATTTTCAATTCATATGTTTGAAATTTGGAAATTGCGACCGTGGCAACTATTCTAATAAAGAATTCTTTATCCTGTAATCTTTCTTCTAATGAATTATATAATAAATGGACTATGTGTTCATGAATTTCACTAATAAAATCAATCATAAATGATAATAGTTGAACGACTCTATATCGTATCAGTTTATCTTTGGATCCAATTCCACGTAACAAATGATTAATTAAAGATTCAACAAATTTAGTAACTGGTGATTCTAGCTCTTCTTCTGAATCATCATCATCATCTTGTTCTCCTTTCTTTTCCTTGCCATTATTCCTTTCTTGTTCATCTTGATTTAAACTTCGAATGAATACGGAAATAAATTTAGCTATTCTATCACCATATATATCACCTTTCTTTAATAATAACATTCTGTTCAACATCTTAGTGAAACACATTATAAAATACTCCAATTGATTTATATCTGCAGATTTATAAAATATATGTTTCATAACAATTACCAACTTCCTATGACCTGAAATTCCAGTTTGTGAGTCTTGAAAAACATGTGTCATTGCTATTTTGATTTGATCAGATGATGTAAATTGCTTGATGGATGCTAACGTTGGCTTTGGGGGTCGATTCATTTTGGTTTGGTTGTGAATTATATTTGTTTCTTTGTTTACCTTTATTTTTTTTTTGTATTACTTTTGATTCGTATTTTTTTATCGATGCGAAATAGACGTGTTGTTAAGCGGCTTTTTAATCAGAAAATTGAGGAACTCCAATAATCTTCAATTTTATAGAAGCTCTGTTGAAGATCAATATTTACAAATTTCAGTATAGAAAAGATTCTAATATGAACTCTCAAATATATAATTTGAACTATTTTTTCTAGCCAAAACTGATACAATACAAATCGCCTTGAAGCTAGCGAGAAATTTTATTTTGTTCGCACCAAGTTATCGCGTGGATCGACACCTTCTTCGTGTAAAATTCTGAAACAAAATTGCTTATATGCAGTACTATGATGGATAATCTAAAAATATGAATTGTAAATAACTCCATCAATGCTCCAGTTCGCTTCTTCAAACTAATTTGATTGCAAGCGTCAGTCTCAGTCTACTTAGAGTAAATTGATGTTGATTACACGGTATAAACAAAATTTTGATGACTTTATTCATCATTCAAAAATTGCAAAAAACACGTTTTTGGAAGATAAAGAACACTTAGACCTCATTTTGCAACTTCTAGTATAGCTGATACGGTTGTTTGACCCCAGATAACCTTTCTGTTATGCTATACTTTCAAGATACCAAAATGCTTTTCAAATTTTTGCAAAAATTTCGATTCACTTTTGAAAAATTGTCCAATTTTGAAAGCCTTAACAGAAAAAAAATTAAGGTTTATCAGTTACACGAACTACAGATCCTTTCGTTAGACGTCTATGTTGATTTCGTTTGTGGTGGTAGATATTTCGAAAAGTCAATTTTGTTCAATTTTCCCCATACTTAACAAATAATTTTGAAATTTTTCAATTTTGGTTTAGATCAGCTAGAACCAAGTTTAGCACCTTCATTCAATGTGTATTATATAAAATCCGCTCTTTAATTGAATGTTGTGGACCTAAAAAGTGGCGTAGCAATCACTTTGAAAAAATTTGTATGATGAAAAAATGCCAAAATGACAACTCAAAAAAAAAATATTTGAATCATAAGGTTTAAAGTGCGTAGAGTAAATATGTCACGTAAGATGTTTTAGTATGATTTGTATATATCACCAGAGAATGCGTTGTTCATGATATACAAACCATTAAATTTAGTAAAAGTCGCCCTAGAGTAAGCGCGAAATTTTACTTTACTCGCGCCAATTTATCGCGTCGAAAAATACATATATACTTGCGAAACAAATTTGCTTATATGGAAACCTATCATAGTCAATTTTGACATGGATTTATTAGTCAAAAGATAAAATGGAAATCTATTGATAATTTAAGTTAAGATCTGTATCTCTGTCAATGAGAGCTTAAAGGTATTGCAGTAGCAGATCTCGTACCTTTCGGTTGCTCAAGAACTAAATCTATCAAATCGTATACGACCAGATTTTACAAATTTATTAAATTCCCCCAAGAAATTTCTCCATATTGTACTTCTTTGTTCATGACTACTTGCGTCTCTTGTACCGGTTATCCTCTCAATATGGTAATTGTTCATCAATTTGTTAATGTATTATAATGATTTTTCATTCTATACGACCATGAAATCTTATACGACCAAATTTTTTTATACGAGATCTCGCTCCCAGTTTTGTGTTTCTTACGAGGCTAGTTAGGAAATAGAAAAGAAAAAAAAATAACACGGTGAAAATTTATTTTTCAATAATATTAATATTGATATAAATTTTAGGTGTTGAAATCTTGAGAATCAGATTTGACTTTTATTTTCAACAATAAGATTTTAGGAAGATTCAACTCATTTATATATTCAATATTTATTAATTAAAAAATGGCTCCAGTTCAATTAGCAGAAAAAGATCATGAAAGAGATCAAGAATTTACCAAGGCATTACATGGTGAATCATATAAAAAAACTGGTTTATCAGCTTTAATGGCTAAAGCTAAAGATGCTTCAAAAGTTGCTAATGAAGGTTATTTTAAACATTGGGATGGTGGTGTTACTAAAGATGATGAAGATAAAAGATTAAGTGATTATTCACAATTAACTCATCATTACTATAATTTAGTTACTGATTTTTATGAATATGGTTGGGGTTCATCTTTTCATTTTTCAAGATATTATAAAGGTGAAGCTTTTAGACAAGCAACTGCTAGACATGAACATTATTTAGCTCATAAAATGAATATTAATGAAAATATGAAAGTTTTAGATGTTGGATGTGGTGTTGGTGGTCCAGGTAGAGAAATTACTAGATTTACTGATTGTCAAATTGTTGGTTTAAATAACAATGATTATCAAATTGAAAGAGCTAATCATTATGCTAAAAAATATAAATTAGATCATAAATTATCATATGTTAAAGGTGATTTTATGCAAATGGACTTTGAACCAGAAACTTTTGATGCAGTTTATGCAATTGAAGCAACAGTTCATGCTCCAGTTTTAGAAGGTGTATATGGTGAAATTTATAAAGTTTTAAAACCAGGTGGTACATTTGGTGTTTATGAATGGGTTATGACTGATAATTATGATGAATCAAATGAAGAACATCGTAAAATTGCCTATGGTATAGAAGTTGGAGATGGTATTCCAAAAATGTATTCAAGAAAAGTTGCAGAACAAGCTTTAAAAAATGTTGGATTTGAAATTGAATATGAAAAAGATTTAGCAGATGTTAATGATGAAATTCCATGGTATTATCCATTAAGTGGTGAATTAAAATATTGTCAAACATTATCAGATTATTTTACTGTTTTTAGAACCTCAAAATTAGGTAGATTTATAACTACAGAAGCTGTTGGATTAATGGAAAAATTAGGTGTTGCACCAAAAGGGTCAAAACAAGTTACTTATGCATTAGAAGACGCAGCTATCAACTTAGTTGAAGGTGGCCGTCAAAAATTATTTACACCAATGATGTTATACGTTGCAAGGAAACCAATAGAAAAGAAATAGAGATGCATAGTTAATATATATAATAATTCCTCCATAGTTAATATATACATAATAATTCCACCATAGTTAAGAAAAATTGTATGAGATCATGATAATATTTTTTGGTTGCGAATTTTGTCAATACGGAGTTCACGTTTTCTTTATCCAATGTCTAAATTAAATAATCCAAACGCTGAAGGTTATACTGTTGTTAGAGGTTTATGGAAATTATATTATAACCAAGGAGAACGTAATTATATTGCTCCAAAAAGGTGTAATGGTACTTATGATGATCATAAATTTGTTGTATGGCCGATTGCTGTTGCAAGTCAAGCCGTTGTTGATGGTGCAAGAATATATCCAGAATTAAAACCATTAATACCTGCAGCTTGTGAAATCTTTTTTAAATATAAAAATCAAAGTAAGCATGCTTATTCAGCTACTGAAAATAAAGATAATGATATTTATTATGATGATAACGCACAAATTGCAAGTTGTTTAATTACTGCTTATGAAGTAACTGGGAATCCACAATATTTAGCCCAAGGTAGAGAATTGGTTGATTTTTTAATGACTGGTTGGAATAATGATCCAAAAGCTGCAACAAAAGGTGGTATGTTATGGCATATAAGTAAAAGTTTATTAAATGCATGTACCACCGCCGAAGTTGCAAAAGCATGTTTACAACTTTCAAGATTTGTTAAAGATGGTAAAAGATATATTGATTTTGCAATCAAATGTATTCAATGGCAATTTAACGTCTTACAAGATCCTTCAGATAAATTGATTATGGATGGTGTTGGTAAAGGTGAAACAAATGTAAGTGAGGTAAAATATTCGTATAATTTAGGTACAACATTAACAGCTGCGTCACATATTTATCAAATTACAAAAGATGAATATTGGTTGAAAAAGGCAACTGAATTAGCAGAAGCAGGTATTAATAGAAATGTTTTCTTTTATGATCGTGATTTCCCTGATCATTTAAGATATTGGAGAGATGGTTCATATTTCAATCAATTATTAATTGAAGGTTTAGCTGATTATCTATTATATTGTGATGATGCAGTTTCAAATGAATTTGGTCTTAAAATTCAAGAAGAAATAAAACGTCATTTAATCATGTTTTATGAATTTATGAAAGATCCAAAAGGCGGATTATATATTCAAAGTTTTGAACCACACAATACTTATAAAGAAGTATATGATGCCAAATATAAAAACTGGTTTGGAGATGGTAAAGGTTGGGGTTTAAAAGGTGAAGATAAAGGTGATGATGGTAATCCACAATATTGTTTAATGGGTCTCGGTGCTGCAGCAAGAGTGTTTTTCCAAGGTGCAAGAGTTGCTCCTAATATAGATTATTAAATTTATATTCTATACTTTTAATTTTGGTATACTAAATGCAGGGTCTTTAGGTAATGCAAAATAAGGTCTTTCTATAACTATAATTTCATTTGAACCAAAATTATCCGCTTTCAAGATTGGTCTATATTTATCAGTCATCCAAAATGGTTTTTTATTAAGTCCATTGCTATTACTTTCTTTTATTTTAATTTGATTTCTTAATTTATCAATTTCACTTTGTTTGAGTGAAGATTCTAAATTTTGTGCTTCTTCATCCTCTTCATCGTCGTCTGATTCATCAATTGTTAAACCATTATTATTTCTTTTCTTACCACTTGATGTATTTTTATAAATTTTATTAATTGGTATATTCATTGATAAATCAAAATAACATAACCATTTAGAACCATATATCCATAATAAATCATTTTGAATAAACATATCTTGCGGTTTATCATCCAATTGTGTAAATAGTCTTGGTAAAAACTCGCTATTTCTTTTGGACCATGGAGTAAGTAAACCATTTTCATTTGGTTGTATGAAAAATTCATGAATTTTATTTTCTTCAGTAAGTAGAATTAATTTTTCGTCATTAAAACATTTGATTAAATGTGGGAAGGTAGAAAGTGTTGTTAATGAGTAACTTTCTCCATTTTGTATGTTGTAAACTTCAATTGAACCATTGAATTTTGATATTATTAAATTTTCTTGATTTGGTGATATTACAAGGTTATTTATTGATGAATAATATGTGTATTGAGTTGGTGAAATTTTGGTAGATAATAATTCGATATCACCAATGAGTTGGATTTTCATTTCTTCAACATTTATTTGAAATTTGTAAATTTCGTCATCTGGAGTTAAAATTAACAACTTATTGTCGTTATAAAATTTAACTTTTTTACCTCCATCTAAAATCGATTCGAAAGCTTCATCTCTGAATTTAATAACTTTGAATTTGGAGCCATTTTCTTCTAATTTGAATAATTTGATTGAATTAATTTTGGATACTGCTAATAAATTCTGTTGCTCGTTAAAGTCAACGTCTATAATGTTTTCATCATCTGATAATACAATCTTAGATACAAGTTTATGTTTAGTTTCTTCTTTATTTTTACTAATTCTCCATATTTTTATAGTTTGATCTTGCCAAAATATGATCAATTTCTTGTTTGGTATAACTTTAGTATTTGAAATTTGTTGATTTATGAGTAGTTTTTTATAGTTTCCATCATGGAACTTCAATGCATCTTGTATGATTATAGATCTTTCAACACCACCACTTACTAAAAAATTGATTCTTTTATTTTGGAAAATTGTCATTGATCTAATATCATTAGAATGTAATAATCTGTTAGAACTATGAGACCATTTTGAAGATTTAGTTTCTTTATTTGTGAGTAAATCAAATTGATGTATTTTTCTATCAACACCACCGGTAAAAAACTTCTCTTCGTTTAAATCTGAAACAATACTCAATACATCAGCATCGTGTATTTTAAAAGTTTGAATTAATTGATGATGATGTAAATCCCATATTTTAACAGAACCAGTTGAATCTCCACTAATCAATTGTTGTCTTTTCTGTAGTATGTTTAATGACCAAACTAATGTACTTTCATGTTTTGATTTATCAACTTTCATGGTATTTAAGATTCTTCCTCTATTTATATTCGAATCTCCTCCGACTGTATCCCAAGCTCTAATTCTTCCATCAGCACAACCTCCTATTATATTATCATTTAAATTATTCCATTTTATACTTAAAATTCTTGAATCTTGTCTTTGACATATTATATCATATTCTAATGAACCTTTACCCCCACTTATATCTATAAGTACAACTGATCCATCATCACAACCAACACACAATTTATTTTGACTTGAATTTATGTCAATGCACCATATTATCCCTGCGTTACAATCATAATTTATGATTGGTTTTCCTGTAACTAAATCCCATTCAGTTATATAAGTTGATCCACCAATTGAAAATAGCCTTGGAGCCTCATCATTTGAAGTTTGCCAGCACAAACCTTCTATGGATTTATTTTTAGATCCATATATAGTTAATTCATGAGTCCAATTAAATTTAGGATTCCATATTTCTATATCACCATTACTTCTTCCAACTGCCAATCTTAAATCTGGTGTTATATTATGAGATGATGGATGTGAAAATGCTAATGAAGTGATGGTATGAGGTGTATAATCGACGAATCGACAACGGTGAAAATCCATTCTATCAACTGGTAAAACTTTTGAGATGAGATTTTTTTCAAAAGCGCATAAATTTATTTGGCAACCAAAAATAAAGCGATCATCTAAATTAAATATACCGTCTTTTAATTAATTAAACAAAGCCTACAAAACTATTTATAAAATTTAATAATCTAATAAACCATTTATTCTCATCAGTACTCATTACCATATTAATTACTAATTCTTTCTTTTGTTTACCTTTTAATGCTGTTGGTTCTTTAATTATAGTACTTTTAACAATTACATTCTTTTTAACACACCAAACAATAAATAATATTGTAAATAAACTAACTGAAAAGTTTTTCAAAAATTTTAATGAATTCCATCCAATAACTTTTAAAATATGAATAATTTTCCTTTTCATAATTTCATAATCTTCAAGTCCATCATCTTCTGGATTTGGTTGTTCTTGAGCTTCTCTTCTACTATTAACAAATTCTCTTGTTAGTTTATTTATTATTAAATTTACTTCATTTTGCCAATTTTTGAAATCTTCAATTATTGTTGTATTCTTATTATTATTTGCTCCTGGTAAAGAATATAAAGAACCTGGACCACCACCAGCAGTAGGTCCAATTCCTGATTGGGTATCATTTTGTTGTTGGTGTTGTTGTCTTTGTTGTTGAACATATTCATTTAACGATAATTTTCTTGAATGGGAATAAATTCTCTGTAAATTGGATCTACCTGATATACTTGGAGTTTTATTTGAAAATCTATCATATTGACTAAACAGTGGAGATCTTGAAGGTAATGGAATATCATGATCTTCTTCTTCTTCTAATATTGGTATATCTTTAATTTGATCCCATAAATATTCTAATTCATTTAATAATTCTCTAGCTTCTAATGTTCCACTAGCGTAAACTCTCATTGTTTCAATTAAATATGAAATATATTTCCTTTTTGCTTCAATTTTACTTAAACCTTCTTCTCTTTTCCAAGCATCCCATTTTTTTTTAGCACCCTCATCTTCAGGAGTAAAGCCAACAGGTCTAGGCATTATACCATCTACATTTCCTTCAGTAGCTTGTTTATATAAACCATATAATTTTATTCTATTTTCCGCAGGTGGCCTTGGCAAAGAACCGTAATTTGATCTTGACGATAAAGCACGAATAGTGGATATAGCTTTGACAAAAACACGATCTGGGCAAGTTAGTAAACTATCAATTTATTGATTTAATTGAGTTACATACCCACACTGTCAGACATCTTTGATTTAATATTTATGTTGTAAATGTGGTGTCAATTAAAATATACACGTTAAAAATGATTCACGATAAATAAATAAATAAATTATTGTTACAATGTCTCAGAATCTTATTAACTTTACTTCTTATTAAACAAAGACTCTTCTCTTATTAGATTAAGCTAAAGTTGATCAATGATTGAAGGAATATAAATATTGTGTTTTGATTTGGGCACCACCAAGAAAAATTGCGCACGTATTAAATTCATGTGCATTATATATGATTGTTGTTGTATTCTTTGTTTTGTTAATTTGCAACAAGATCTTAGAGCCTGAGATCAATTTATATGAGATCAATCGATTTAGTAAGATCGATTGTTGATATTTACTCTTGTTTGGCGAGTTTTGTAGTACATTGTCAAGAATATATAAAGAAAAACAGTATAAAGCGAATTCAGTCAAAATGTATAGAAATAAATGTAAGTTACTGAAATGGACCTATTATATTCATCAAAATTTGAATATAATGGTGAGTAGTCAACTAATATTAATTTAGGTTACGCTAAAATAGGAACTAAATACAGTAAAATATCATTAATTATATTTCAAATCAATGAATTTAGCACCAGAGTGTTAGTAACCAAATTGAAAAACTGATTATTCAAACTTTATCAAAGAAATAATCAGATAATGATAATTTCACATCTAACTAACCCATTGATATCGTATCAATCTGTTGATTGTTGATTTGTTTCAAAAAGAAAATATTAGTTGAAACAATTTTTTTTTTTCTCATCTTGAAAAATGAATAAGAATTTTGCAACCATCGTTTAGTTAAATTGGGCCTTGAATTGAACCCTATTTAATTACTGTACTGTAGTAGCCTGATAAACTTTATGATTACTGTAGTAAATTCAGTTAGAGTTAAAGAACAGTTCAAATATGGTAGTTATTGCATTCTTCCGATTTCAAATAATCTATTCCTCCGTTAAGATATTTATTAAATGTATACAATAATTTAAGCCTAGTTTTCTGGAACTTCAATTGAACCATCATTGATACCATCTATAATATCGTGAGGGTTTTTACCATTAACTCTACAACCAACTGATTGAGCAGTACCTAAAATTTCTTTTGAGACTGATGCTAAGCTTTTACCAAATGATTTATCTTGCATTTTTCTAGCAATTTCAAAGATTTCTTCTAATGGAATATTACCTGAGTGTTTAACATTTTTTTCCTTTTTTCTATCTCTGACTGGTTCTTTTAAAGCAGTTATGACTAATGATGAAGCTGATGGAACAACTGATGCAGTAGCTTGTCTATTTTGGATTCTTAATTGAACAGTAACTTTAATACCTTTGAAATCTTTAGTGGCTTTAGCAATATCTTCACCAACTTTTTTTGGTGATAAACCTAATGGACCAATTTTTGGGGCTAAAGCTGATGAAGCACCAATTTCACCACCAACGGCTCTTAAGTATAAGAATTTAACTTCATTTGGATCTAATTTTGGTGGCATGATTAATTATTATTGTAGATAAATTGTTTGAAAAAAGTATTGAAATTTTTTTTGTCTTTTAGTTAGATTTGATAGATTAGTGTGTACATTGGTTAGTTACAATCTGGTGTACGACAATAGAGACATGCTGCAAAAATGTCTCTAAATATAATGCGCGCTCGTAAATTTAAATAGTATAAATGTCTATTATCACGTTTATTTGTTGCCAAACTAGGGCTATGAAAATGTCGTATGCGTTTTGCTGCCAAATTTATAATAAACCACCAGGGATATCTTGACCAATTCTAGCATCTTCATATAATGGACTGTTATCATAATCTACATCTGGAGTCGTTTCAGCTAATTGTCTTAACATAATTGCTGGATGTTTACCTAATTCTTGTAATTCTTTGAATATGACAACTGGTTTTTCTGCTAATTTCAATATTCGTTCTTTATCGCCATAACATATAACTAATACATATCTAGACCAATCATCTCTTGGTATATGATGCCTTTTCATTGCTTGTTGTAATATTTTCAAACATGAATCATCAGTTGATGCTCTTAATTGTTTTAAAGGTTCATTCCCACTTGAATGTGATGCTTGATTAGTATTGACCGTATGAGTACTCATATTATTTGACTTTGCAATACTACCTATTGTTGATGTACTATTTGATGAAATTTCTTGAGATAACTTTGGTTTTGATTCGGAGTTTAAACTTTTATTGGAATCACTATGAGGAATTGGTTTCAATTTGAAATCTTTTGGTTTTAATTCATTTAGTTTTGGTACCGATTGAGGTATGATTTTACCAGTACCCATTGATAGAATAGTACCTGATGAAAATCTATTAGATAATGGACTTGGTTGTGCTGAATTTTTATTACTTCCATATAATGTACTAGTAGGTCGTGATTCTTTTTCTTCAGGCTCATGAGAATTGAAATAACTTTGTGATTCCACGGACACTGGCCCAGGATCTAATGTTGGTGTTGGTAATGGTTTTGAATCTTTTAATAGTCTAATTACAGGAATTAAATCGGTTTTTAATTTCGTAAAATTATCACTTAATTTTTTAATTTCATCCTGAGCAGGTGACATTGGTGATGTTAAATTTGAATCCTTTTGTATATCTAAACTAATCTTTTTCATCATATCCTGCATTAACACAGTTGATAAGTTTAATGATTCTATGGAAACATAGTTATTATTTATATTTATATGATTTAGTTTATAATCTGGATCATTTAATGTCTTTGGAGGTGAATGTTTTTTATAGTGTTGAGTAATTAATTCATTAATTTGCTTTTTAATTAATAATCTAGTTTGTAATGACATTATACCAACTTCTTTTAAATGTTCAGTAGTAAGGAACGGCAATAATGAACCATCAATATTATTATCTAAAAATACATTTCCTATAATTGGTCTTTGATCTGGAGATAGAATTGAATTAATATAAGTTGATACTTGAGCAGCATCCCATTGTAAAAATGATTCATTAATTACTGGTGAAGTCATATTATTTTCATAATTAAATTGAAGACCGAAATCATGAATTTTTCTTGATTAAGAAATTTGGCGTGTGGAGCCAAACTGATTAAATTTAAGGGGTAGGAGAAAAATGGACGACCCCTTTAAAGAATTGGATCTTTATGTTTCTAAGTTCGGTTCCACCACAACAAGGTGTTTTACATACTTATGGTTTCAATTTAACTGCATTTGAATTTACTCAGAACTATCAAAGTTCTGAGAATATTTTATTATTTGTTGGTGGTTTAGGTAATGGATTGTTGAACGTCCCTTATCTACCAGCTTTATCGAAATCAACGTCAGATTTTAAAGGAAAATGGAATTTAGTTCAAGTTTTATTATCATCTGCTTATTCAGGCTGGGGTACATCTTCATTAGATAAGGATGTTAATCAATTACAGAAATGTATCAAATATTTTAGATCTGAAAGGGGTGGTTCAAGAAACAAAATTGTATTGATGGGTCATTCTACTGGATGTCAAGATTCAATTCATTATTTAACGAAAATATTGACTAAACCAGATATAGATGATGTTTATAAAATTGATGCTGCTATACTTCAAGCTCCAGTAAGTGATTCAGAAGCATTTTCAAATGAAAATGATGTTGATGATTTAATTAAGCAAGTTCAAGAAGAATATATTGAGAAAGGTAAGGAGGATGAATTATTACCTAACAAATTCAGAAAGTTAATGTTTAATACTCCTGTAACTGCTTATAGATTCATTTCATTAGTAGGTAAAAGAGGTGATGACGATTATTTTTCATCATATTTGACTCAAGATGATTATAAACAAACATTTGGTGTTATAACTGGGCCAATTTTAATCTTATATGGTGAAAGCGATCAATTTGTGCCTGGATATGTTGATAAAGCGAAATTAATCAATAAATGGGAAGAGGCTACACCTAAAAAATATTGGAGTAAATATAGTTCAATAATATCGGGTGCAACTCATGATTTAAGTGATACTCCAGAGAATTCAATTCCAGATTTAATAAGAGCTGTAATTAATTTTATAAATAATCTAGATTAAATATAAAATGTATCTATTTGATTGATTAAATTATCGTAATATTGTTTTAAGCTCAAGTCATCAGTTAAAACCTTTGGTTTTGAAAAAACGGATTTCCACCAGGATTTTTGAGATTCTTTATCTTCTGGTATTCCAAGGTCAACTGGATTAAGTTTTGATATGAGAAATCTGCCTTGTGAATGATTTTTCTGTGTTATTATAACTTTGCATAAATATTGCCTTTGTGAAAATCTTGAAATATAAGTTAGTGGTGTTTTCAAATCTTCATTTGCATTTGTAATTAGATGATCGTTGTTTGATGGATGTAGTTTTAGTCTGTTACCGTAATTATAAACGATAATCTGAAATCCAGAGTCAAGAATTAAATAAGTTTCATCTCCTATTATATCAAAACATGAGGAATCTAAAGGTAATCTTATAGATTTTCCATCCTGTAAGTATACTAGCTCGGGTTCAATCACTTTTAAAGATAAATTTAAATTCATTCTCATGAACCATAAATGATAAAATGCAGTTTCATCGGGACTTGAATTAAATATTCTAATTAGATTGTAATTCTTTCTCAAATTATAAATCAACGAAGGTAAGTCTTTGAAATTTTCATTAATTTCATACTTCGTTTGTAGTTTTAAGTGTGGATTATTTGCAGTTTTCGAATTAGCCTTTATAGAAAGACCACCAAAATGATGTAACAATTGTGTAAAATTCGTATCTATCAACTTGATCAAATCATCAAATGATTCAAAACCTAAACTTGTATCTATTTTATTAATTAATAATCTTGTTAATAAAACAATCCAAGCTCGTCGATCAAAAGTTGATAGCAATTTATGTTCCTTGTAAATAATACCTTCTTTAAAAAATGCGTTAGTGGTAGGCTTGCAAATTGTAAATAGTTTAAGATACCATTTTTTATGCTCTTGACTCCAATATTTTAATCTATATTGTATATGCACCGATGTGGGGAAAGTTGATGATATATGCTTTGAAGATTTAACTGTATCCATTTTGAAAAATATACTAATCGTATCATCTTTATTTAATTTGTTAAATTTCCATCTATTTGTATAATTTTTTTTCAGCATTGCTGAATCAAATTCACCTAATTGATCATCTATCTTGTCGTTATACATGTGATGATACTTTGATGCTTTATGATATGACGATGGTAATGCATAACCACCACCAAATAATAGTTTTGATGTCTTTAAACCTGTCGATGTTGAAACCTCGAGTGTAGATTTATAACTAACCATCTTTATAGTTTGGTTAATACATGATAATAACTGATATGCTTTAAATGATTCAAAACTGTACATAACACCATTTGAATTTCGAATTAAAGGTTTCATTTCATATGCACCAACTTGATCTATGGATCCGACAAATAGGTTAGTTGCCCAAATGGATTGTGAGTCGTTGATATCATATTGAGTGGAGTTCAAAGATGGACTATATGCAATTTCAAATGCTTTACTAATTGATAGACCATTTGTAATGTATGATAATGCTGTGTAGAACTTTAAAGATGATGTCAAATAAGGCGCTTCTAAATCAATGATGTTCTGATGAGATCTCATACTTGAATTGCAATCCACAATTTTACCTGGTTCTTGTGTTCCTGGTCCACTTGTGAAAAATAAAACATTTCCAATTGAATTCTTGACTTCGGATAATAAAACGGAGTAAACAAAATGAGCAAATCCAGTACATCTCTCTGGTTTGAATGACTTTGAAAAGGTAGGTTTAATGCTCTTGATGTGATCTATAATTTTTGTCTTACTTTCATGATTAAATTTGATTAAAAAAGTACCATAAACTGCAGCAGCAATGTTATTAGCTGACTCTTTGGGTGAAAATTGTTTGTCATTAACTATAGCCGTTTTCTTATTATTGGTTAAATCATGAACATACACTCTAGAATCGAATGTAATTAATCCAATTAAACCATTCTCGGGTACGGCATTTAAACTTTCACAAATTACATCTAGTAGCGATTGAAACTCTTCTGGCGATTCAATATGCTGATACTTGTCAATAACAAAAACATAAACTAAAGAAGCCTCATCATTTGATTTATCGCTTATATCCCGTGGTAATTCATATTCAATAATTTTACTTGATTCTCTCAATTCCATGGGCCAATCCTCTGCACTTTTTGCTGATTCAGGTATATTCAAATTTCCTATATATGTTCGTTTCTTACAAAATGGACACCACCACATATCATTAGCTCGATCTAATTTTATAAATGGATTTATTAATGTTTCACATTGTTGACATTTGATTGGTATTTTATTTATTCGGGGTACAACTTTTTCAATTTTTGAAAATGGTGTGAATAAACAACCTATCGGAGTTGAAATCTGTGTTTCTTCTAGTTTTGTGGACGGAAAGACATTCCAATTGAATCGAATTGATTCATCAATCATCAATCTAAGATAAGAAATTTGATCTGGTGAAAATTACTCTAAATTTGCGTGCGGCGCCATTTTTTGTCTAGTATGGTTTTGCAGCCATTTGCAACCAATTGCTAACACGAGTTGTCTCTTATTGAGGCCTTCAGATCATGTCAGTAGTACTTTTATAACCTTGATCGATATAAATTAGAACTTTATGAGCTAATACGTTGTGAATTATACTAAAAGTCACTTGATAAGAAATTTGCAACCAATAATCGACTGCAAACAGTGATTAGAAAGAGCCACACCTTCTAATTATAATGAATAAGATCTATTCGACTAGGCTTATTATCAGATGTCTGACTAATCTAAAGCTTAAATTCTTATGCTGGAGTAGTCTGAAAAATGTGGTGTTTTGCAGCCACAATTTCCTCTCAAAATTTAAACTATTTAAGAAGCTCGAAATGCAACCTTCAGTTTCTTCATTAAATTAGTTATCAAGATGCCAGCTCGTTATATTGATGTACCTAAAGCCGTTACTGGTGGCGGTAAAGTTGTTGTCGATTTAAAAGGAAATATTAATTACAATGAAGATACAATCAAAAGATTAAATGAACAATCAATTCCCTATTTACCTGCTTGGAATAAGAATGAGAAATATGAACCATATGAATTTGTTGAATATCATGATCCTGCTTTAAGAGCTGACAAATCATTACCAAATTTATTCCCAACTGATTCTAAGTATGAAGTTTCTAATATTTCACCAAAATTAGGTACTGAAATTAAAGGTATTCAATTATCACAATTAAATGCTGCTGCTAAAGATGAATTAGCATTGTTAGCTGCTCAAAGAGAAGTTTTAGTTTTCAGAGATCAAGATTTTATTAGTAAAGGTCCAGAGTATGTTACTGATTATGTTCGTCATTATGGTGAATTACATATTCATCCAACTTCAGGTGCTCCAAAGAATTATCCTGATATACATTCAGTTTTAACAGGTAATACGGATGAAGATCCATTTCAAAAAAGAACTAATTTAGTTGCTTATCATTCTGATGTTTCATATGAATTAAATCCAACAGCAGTTAGTTTCCTTGCAGTTACAAATAGTCCTAAAGAAGGTGGTGGTGATACAGTCTTTTCAGATAATATTGAAGCTTATAAGAGATTGTCACCATTATTTAGAGAAAAACTTGATAATTTATATGCTATTCATAGTGCAGTTGATCAAGCTAATTTATCAGTATCTCGAGGTGGAGTTGTTAAACGTTTACCAGTCGAAAGTAAGCATCCCATTATTAGAAGCCATGTTGCAACTGGTCAGAAAATTTTATATGTTAATAAAGGTTTTACTAGGAGAATTGAAGGTTTAAAAATTGAAGAATCTGATTACTTACTTAACTTTTTGTACGATCATGTTACCAAAGGTCTTGATTTTCAAATTAGAGTCAATTGGAAACCAAATACAGTGGTTGTATTTGATAATAGAATTGTAAGTCATAGCGCTATATTGGATTTTAATTCAAGTGATGAAAATGCTAGATTAATCGTTAGAATAGCGGCTAAGGGAGAACGTCCTGTCCATGATTTAGAAGATTTGAATAAACCTGATAAGAGTATAGTTTACGAAGGTCCTGAATATTTAGGAAAACGATTAGAGAAGTTAAATATTTAAATAGCTATTTAAATTTATAAATAATTTCATGCTTTGCATTCGAAACTAAAGCACAATTTTTCATATCTCTTTTTATAATCTCAGCTTCTGGTCTTATATCAAAATCAAAAATGTCCATTGGAACACTAAGTGTTGTACAAGCATTTGGAACGTCTACTATTCCTGCAATTTCATTTTCAATTGGTGCACTTGATAGTAACATATAAATTTGATAATCATTGTAACCAAATCTTCTTAAATATTCAATGGCTCTAATACAAGCTTGTCTAAACGCAGTTGTTGCACACAAATACTTTTGATTACCATCTTCGTCTACTGAAAAACCTTCAAATGTTAAGTATCTTGATGGTCCATAATGATTTTGAAGATCACCTGGAATATAAATTGGACTTTTCAAACTCGATTCTTCAACACCACCTTTAATCAAAGAAGTTTTGATTGTAATTAAACCACAACACTCCACAGCTCCGCAGTAAGTTATCTCTGCACTTCCCTGGCTATAGTGAATGTCCCCTAAAGATAGCTTTGCTCCCATGACATGAACTGGTAGGTAAACTTTTGATCCTCTTGATAAATTTTTGATATCACAATTTCCACCATTTTCAGGTCTTCCAGGGATAGTTCTTGCACCTTCTTTAGCAATTTTAGCAGCCAATTCACCAGTAGCAGATCCAGAATGTGCATTTAATTCTAGTGGTAAGTTAGCAACACTTGTTTCATAATCTTTTTGAATTTCATTAACTAATTTAGTTTCACGCTCATTCCATTCTTTTAGAATTTCAGCAGATGGGGCAGTTCCAATAATACCAGGATGAATTAATCCTGTAAACTTAACATGAGGAAGATGTCTACTTGTTGCGTGAATACCTTCAAAATCAAAAATAGCTTTAGCACATTCTGGATAAAATTTATCTAAAAATCCACCACCATTAGTTTTATGAAACACTCCACAATAGCCCCAAGGTTGTCTTTCTAAAGGTTGAACATCTTTAATTTCAACTACCAAAACATCACCAGGTTCTGCACCATCAATATTAAATGGGCCTGATAAATAATGAATTCTGGATAAATCAACGTTTAAAATATCATCAGCAGTATCAGTGTTTTTAATTTGATTACCGGTCCAATCAAGACATTCAACTTTAACAACTTCCCCTGGTTTAATAGTTTCAGAACATGGAATATCAGGATGCCATCTATTATGAACTTGAGGTTGTTGATCACCAGGTTTATCTAAATCAACTCTAGTAACGTAACGAATTGGATCAATTGGCATTATTTTTGTTAAATAGAATGCTAGCTAAAGAATTAATTCAATTGAACAACTTAAATTTTCAATGTTGACTTCTTATCTCTAAAATTGAAGAATTTTAAGCAGGGCTCACAACGAAAGATACGAGAGTTCTACATATAATAGATCTCACATCTAAACTAATACGAAGAACTTGAATTTCAAAATTAAGTACTTACAAAATCTTTGACTTGTAAGACGCAATAGACTTTTGAGTTGGCCTTAGTTAATTAAGAACTTAAGTTATTTGTAAAGATGTATCTTCACACTGCTAAAACTCTAATTAAATTATACATTCTGCAAATATAAGGAAAAACAGTGCAAAATGACCAATCGTGGAATTCAATTATATCCCAATTTCATCATTCAAGTCTTTCAATTAACACTGAGATCAACTGAGTTTGGGCTCAAGTATTCGGTGAGTAAAGTCATAATGTATTCAAGTGGATAGCCTATTTAAAAATCAAAAACTGCAAAATCAACTCATTTGAAAGCTACTATCAATACTTCGACTTACGAATCAACTTTAACTAATCGTAATAACTGCAAAGCAAGTCTAAAACAATAATTGAAGAGTTGTGAATGTAAATGAAATAACAGTCACGTGCGGCAATTTATTCTCAACAAGTACGATCTGGTATAGTTTATCAGAAAAGATTGGTACCATTCCGATGTAGTGTAACGGCTATCACGGTTCGCTTTCACCGAGCAGACCGGGGTTCGACTCCCCGCATTGGAGCTTTTTTCTTTTTTGCATTTTTTGACTATCTTTTTATCTCTCTAGAACTTTTTTGCTTTAACAGTTTTTACTTAATAAACTCTAACAGTTGAAATTTTACTCAACCCTACTATATATCTTACTCAAGGTTGTACTTGTTATTTGAATTTCAAAGTTAATCAATTTTCTGATCAATTTTCGCTTCCCATGGCGCTAGCCTTTTTTTTTATCAGGTCCACTTTTCTCGCGCTAATTCGTATCAATATTTTCTTTGAAAAAAATCCATCTCATCTCGAATTCATAATGGCCCCAAGACAATCAAAAACAGCTAAAAGAGATAAATCAAAAAATAAAACAAGAACTGTAGATTCAGAAGTACTTTCAGATTCAGCTGCTCGAAATTTATTAGCAAATCAACCAAAATTAACACCAAAATCTAAAGTCAAAAAACCTTCAAAACTTGCAACCAAAAAACAACAAGCTAAAATTAGACTATATGGAGCCAAAAATGGTAAAGAATATTCAGAAAATCAATTAGATATACCGACATTAAATAAAGCTATAGTACCTGGAGTCAAAGCAAAACGTGGTAAAAAAGGTAAGAAATTTATTGATGATAATGATACAATAACGATGACTAGATTAGTTAAATCTATAAATGATAAATATGATCAAGTAAATGAAAGTAAGTTAGAAAAATCAAGAAGGTTAGAAGAGATACGAGAGTTGAAAAGACAAGAATTAGAAAGAAAAGAACAAGAAAAGATTAATAAATTAGAAGGTAAAAAGAATGAAATAAGAAGCAAAGCATCATTAGCAAGATCAAATAGAAGAAAGAATGCTAAAGCAAGAAATGCGGAAGAAGAAGCTGAGCCCAAATCTAAGAAAAAGAGGGTTTCATTTGTATAATTCTATATTCTAAAATGCAAGTCTTCTTCTACGTATAGATTCTTTTCGTTTCTTACTATAGTAATAACCATAAGCAATACCAACTAATGAACCACCTAAATGAGCTGCATAATCAAAAGTTCCCCATCTTAATGCACATCCAGCAGCATTCCAAGCAGCAGTACCTAAAAATAAAGTCCATGCTCCACCAGGAATTGGAATAAAGAAGAAACCAACTGGTGAACTTGGGAATAAATATGAAAATGTACCGAAAACACTGAAAATTGCACCTGAAGCACCTAATGAAGCGACTGAAAGTGACGATCCAATCAAAACTGGAATGGCAATTGATGCAAATGATGATATAACAGCAGCATTCAAATACATTGTAGTGAAATTAGATACACCTAATACCATGACTAAAGTAGATGCAAATGATTGGAAACATAACATATTAATAAATAAATGAGTAAAACTTTGATGTGAAAATGCTGAACCTAATAAGGTCCATGGAGACTGTAAATTATCTTTGAATAATAAACCATATTGCATTGTGTATTTTTGAAATTGAGGTACTTTCCACATTAAGAATACAGCTCCATTTATTGCAATTATTGACCATATTAATATTTGTGGGTTTTGTCTAAAAATTTTCAATGGAGTATATTCAAATAAATAAGGTGTTATCAAAGTTGTTCCCACACAAAATGCAGCTGTGAATATGAGTGGATTCTTTAATTTATCCCAACTAGTTCTATTATAATATTGATTATAGCTTTTCCAAGTATTACTTCTTCTTAATGGTGAATTTTCGAACGGCTTAAATTTAAATCTTTGAAGTGGTTTCACAGATGAATGAAAGTTTTTAATCCCATTTTGTTTAGTCAAGTTTCTTAATATGATGTTACCATTACTATAGAATTGGTTCATACGTAGATTAGCGAATAATTTAAACATGGTAATGTATTGCTGCGAAAGTAATCGAAATTATACGAAAAAATTTATATTTATTCCAAATCAAATTCATCTTTTTCTTGAAGATTAATTTTACCTTTACCAGTTAATCTTGCAGCTGCTATATTCTGAGTTTCAACTTGTCTTTTAACCTTTTGAGTCATTTTTTCAATTTCAAGTTCTACATCTTCTGAGTCTTGTTCAGCATATTGCATAACTAATCTTCTACCTAATAAGTGAACACCTTCTAAATGATTCATTGCATTTTCTGCTTCTTTAGCTAAATTAAATTCAACAAATGCAAAACCACGAGCTGATTGATCAAATTTTTTAGGAACTCTAACTGATTTTAATTGACCAAAAGCACCAAATAATTCCAAAATATCTTTCCTTGTAGCTTCGAATGGTAAATTTTTAACAATAATTTTACTGGATTTAGCTTTTTTAGCAGTTGTTGTACCACCTTGTTTATGAGAAATTTTCAATTGTAATTTATGACCTTGTAAAACATGACCATCTAATGAAGAAATTGCAATATTTGCTTGTTCTTTGGTTTTAAATTCAACAAAACCAAAACCCATACTTAAAGTTTTACCAGAATTTTTTGGATCTGGTTTAGTTTTAACTGTAGCAACGACAAATCCTGATAATGGTTTGAATAATGCTGATAATTCTTGTGCAGTAGTTGAGAAATTTAAATTCTTTACAAATATTGATACCGTTGGACCTTGCACATCATCTTCATCATCATCTTTAGTATCTAATATATCCTTGGCAGATACAGCTTCGACAACATCACTAGGTTGTTGAATTTGTACATATTCATCTTTAGTTGGCTCGCCAGTGAATAAATCTTTTGGACCTTTTTCAAGATATAGTATACTTGTTTTAAATCTTTTATATGATAATTTTGTAAATGCAGCTCTTGCACTTGGTGAATCTCTAAATTCTATAATTGCAATTGTACCAGCTGGTGGCATGATCTTTCGTTTAATTTGACCATAAGTTGAAAATAACTCACCCAATTCTTCGATAGTAGTATCAAATGGAAAATTTTTAATCAAGATTATTTTATCATCTCTTTCTTTCTTATTAAAACTAGTTAAATCAACTCCTCTATCTTCGAAAAATTTCCTTACATCACCGATCACATGAGCTTCAGCTAATGCTTGTTTAACTGCAGAATTTGAATTTTCAGGATCAATTAATTGTGATTTAGTTATACCTAATTTTGATGCTACTGAATCTAAAACAGCATCATTATTCATATAAAGTGAATTCCAACTAAATTGAGTTTTTGCAGCTTGTGCTTTCTTTTTCAATTCTCTTTGTTTTTTCAATGGTAAATTTTTCAAATCAAATTCATCTAATCTATGATCTTTCTTTTTATCTGCCGGTAGTATATGTAATAATCTACCTTGAAAAATTTCTTTATCTAAAGCATTGAAAGCTTCTACTGCATCATCACTTTTCACAAACTGCACATAAACAAAACCTTTAGATTTACCAGTTCTTGTGTCAATGGCAATATGTACTTCTTCTAGAGGACCATATCTTTCAAATAAAGATCTAAATTCTTGATCTGAAGCATCATATGATATATTTCTGATAAATAAACGTCCTGTTTCCTGTATTTTGTTGATAGATTTGTCAAAATCAGATTCTCGCACTTTTAATTCTTCTATTGGTTTTATTTCTTCAACTTTTTCTGTTTCTTCAGCTTTTTCACCATTTTCTTTTATACGTATACTTCTAGCTTTAAGCCAATCCATATCTGAAACATTTTCATCTTTAGCTATAGTATCTTCTGGTACACCAGCTAATGGAATCATCTCCTCCTCCTCTTCATCTTCTTCTTCATCTTCAACTTTTTCATTAAAATCATTATATTCATCATCACTTTCATTTTCTTGAGCCTCTATCACTTCAGGTTTCTTTATTTCATTACTTGGTTCTTCATTTAATGCATCTTCTAATACTTTATTTGAAGGACCACCCTGGCCATCTGCAATTGCATCATTTGCCCATGATTTAACTTGATGAGATGGTTTCATAGTCTCCATATATTCTCTTAATTTTGGATTATTAGCTATTTCTCCATCTATTTCAGATGTTGGTTTTATCTTTTGTTTCTTTCTTTCCTTGGCCCTTTCTTCTTGTTCTAATAATTGTTCTTGTTTTCTTTTCAATTTTTCTTCATCTCTTCTTCGTTGTACTTTAAATGATACAGGTACATTTGGATCTGAAAATGACTTTGCTAATTCAACTTCTATTCTTGCAGTATCTATAAATGCCTTGTTAAAAAATTTGGCAGCATTTTTAGCTGAATCTTCTGTTTTATAACCAATAAATGCAAATCTTCTTGATTCACCGTTTTTCTTTTTAACTAATTTAACATCTGTAACATCACCTTCTTTACTGAAAAATTCTCGTAACTTATCTTCGGTGTAATATTTAGGAAGTCCTTTAACTATTATACGTGACATAATTTCCTAGATGAGATTAGATCAAGAAAAATAAATTTATTCAAAACCATCTCAATACCTTTAAGCCGCATACATACCCGATTTACTACAATTGATAATGGAGATTATAGATCATTTAGGATTAAGTGATAAGTCAAAATCAAGAGTTCTTTGGTTTAAAGGATTAATTTGTTTATTAATTTTATTTTACTTCACAGTTTTATATCAATTGGTTGCAATTTTAAGTTTAGGATTATCGATTTTATTTCCAGATACTGCAAATTTGATAAGAAATTACACGGGTAATCTATTCTGGAACATTGGATTACACATGATGGTAAGTATTGAATATATGTCCAAAATTATCAAGAGTTATTAACAATTAGAAATCAAATAGAGTTAAATTTAAAATTTATGGTGATAAATTAGACGCTAATCCAGCTATTGTAATTTGCAACCATTCTTCATTGGCGGATACTTTCATTATTCATTATTTATCAAGATTCTCATATAAAAATAAAGTAGATTTACCAAATCTAAATTTCTTTTCATGGTTTTTAGTTTGGAGAGTACCAACAATTAAAATTATTTTACATTGGTTAAAATGTGATGAAAATTGGGAAATAGATGAAAAATCAGTATTATTTGTATTTTCAAGATTACTAAAATCAAAATTTTCAGAATGGATTATCTTATTCCCTGAAGTTAATATTTGGACTAAAGAAAATGTTCATTTACAAACTGGATTACAAGATAAGTATTTTTTACCAAAATTTGAAAATGTATTATATCCACGATTTTCATCATTTTATAATATAATAACAGCATTAAATAATTCAAAACCACATTCTTATTCAAATTTATATGATTTAACAATTTTATATACTAAAGATGGAGAAGAATGTGGAGAATCACCTACATTAATGGATTTTCTAGCAGCTGATAAACAAATTACAGTTACAATCTATATTAAAATAAGATCAATTTCAAGAATACCTACAAAACGAAAAAAATTAGAAAGATATTTAGAACAGCTTTGGAAACATAAAGATAAATTATTAAGTCAAATGAAATCTGATTATGATAATCAAATAAATAATATTCATTAACCTTCTTCAATTCTATCAATAGGTAAACTATAAATTCTTGATTTACTTTTTTCATCTCTTTGAATTCTATAAAAATGATCAGTAAATCTATCACCTTGAATATGAGTTAAAAATTTTTCATCATGAGTAATTACAATCAATTGAAAATTCAGTTGTTGTTTTCTATATTCAATAATTTTGTTTAATGCAGCTGCTAATGCCTCGGCATTTTCATTATCTAAATTTGTAGTTGGTTCATCTAATGCAATCATACCACAATTTGCACCAAAACATTCAGCTAAAGCTAATCTAATTAGAATACTAGCTAAAACTTTTTGACCTGCTGAACATCTACCTCTCATATCTAATTCACTTGAATCTTTAACCATTACAACTCGATAATTATATGATCTATTACCTTTAGCTTGTAAATTAACATCACTTTTAATTGCAATAGTTGAAATATCGGACCCTTTATATGTTTGTGACCATAATTCATTTAAAATTCTATTAATATCTTCCATTTTAATACTATGATATTTCATAATTGCATTATCTAAAGCTTTTGAATAGCTTTGTATATCATTTGAAACTAACATATTAGTTTGTAATTTAATCCATTCTTCATGATAATTTTTATTAACATCTTTATATTCAGTTTCTAATTCTTTTTTAAGTGTTGCTATTTGATCTTTGATTTGTTTAACCTCACCTATTTTTCCAGCATGTTCAGATGTTAATTCAGATAATTCTTCTCTTAATTTTTTGGAATTTTCATGATATTGTTGTTTTTGAGTTTGTGCATCACTAATATCTATTGCATTCAATTGAAAATCAGTTTCATCTAAATTATTAATTTGAGTTCTATAATCTATATTTGCTAATATATTATGTTCAATTCTTGATGCATCCATAACTTCTTTTTCTAATGATTTGATCTTTGTTGAATTTTCAGATAATTTCTTATTTAACGTATCAATTTCTTTAGTTACTGAATTCATTTGAATTGTATTTTCTTCTAATTTTGATCGTAAATTAGTTTCATAATGGATAATTGATTCATTTATCGAGTTAAATTTACCAGATAATTCTTGAATTGATAGAACTTCAGCTTGCATTTTCTCTTCCAGTTCACGATTTCTCTTTTGTACATCTTTATATGCCTTTTGTCTCTCATCTTTTGTTGTTTGTAAATCTTCCAATGTAGATCGTATAGTTTTTAATTTAATTTCAGCTTCTTGTATCAATCTTTCATTTTCAGTTATAGAAGATTTAACAGCTGTTATTTCAGCTAATGATTTTTCTAGATTACTAATTTGTAATTTTGTATCTTTAATTTTATTTTCCAATCTTTGAATTTCTCTTTGAACTTTATATTTTTCTTCAGTATATTCATTTAAATTTGTTCTTAATTCTTTAATTTTACTATTTGTATCTTGTTGTTGTTTTTGTAATTCAGTAATTGAAAGAACAATAGTACCAAATCCACTTAAATCTTCATTAATTTCATCAATTTGACCATTAACTTCTTGAATTTCTGAATTAAGTCTTGTAATATCAGATATTGGTTTTTTCAATTGCAATGTAAAATTTAAATCTTGTTTCATTGTATCTAATTTACTTTGTTCTTGTTTAGAGGTATCATTAAATTTAGTTTGTTGTTTTTGTAAAGCTTCCAATCTTGATTTTAATTCTTTGGATTGATGTATACATTCTTTGTATTGGATAACTTTTAAATTTATTGCCTTTGTATCATCCAATTCCTTTTTGATATCGTTTGCTTGATTTTTAATCTCTTGAATTTTAGTCTCATCAACACTTTTCCTTAATTCGATAATAAATTTTTCTAATCCGTCACTATCAAATGATCTTTTACATAATAAACAACATTTACTTTTATTCGCCAATTCAAGTGCTGAATTTTTAAAATCTTTAGTAACTTCTGAAGTATTTAAATCTTCTTGTACATTTCTAAAACTTTCTTCTAAATCTTGTACTATATTTTCATAATCTTCAATTTCAGATTCTTCAATAATTTTTGTAATTTCTTGTTTTAAAGATTCAAATTTATTCTCATTTTCTTCATGCTCTTTATTAATAGATTTAATAGTTTTCTTATTCGATTCTAAATCACCTTTTAATGACATGACTTTCTTTTGTTGACTATCTAGATCAGTTTCAAGGATTGACAATTTTTCATTCAATTGTATTTCACTTTCATTATTAACATCATTTCCAACGACTTTTTTAAAATCATCATTTATCGATTTAGTCAATTTATCAACTTTTTCACTTTTACTTTTTGTAGATTCTTGTAAAAATGTGACTCTTAATATTAAATCAGATTGTTTATTACTTGCAGTTAATTTTTTGGATAATTCATCTAAACTAAATTCTAATTTTGAAATTTCTGAATTTGCATCAATGATTTTTGAATCTAAATCTTTTACTTCATCTAAGTTCTTTTTTGTTTGTAATTGGTTTTGAGTGTGTTCTAACTCAGATCTCTTAGATTCTAATTCAATTTCATCATTATCACCAGCTACTACTTTCTTTTTAAGGGTGGTTAACTTTTGTTTATAATTCTCAATATCTTTAAATGTATATTCTTGATGTTGTTCTTCTCTTGAAATTGCATTAATTGATTCTTGTAAACTTGATTGTTTTTCAGTCTCAGCTGATTTATTATCATTGATTAATTTCTTTTGTGAATTAATTTTTGACTTAAACGTCTTTTCCAAAACAGGTTTAAATTTTAATATATTTGTACTGGTATCATTTGATAAGTTGACATTTAAACTTTCAGCATGTTCATTAATTATTTTAGCAATAGTTTCCAAATTTGTCTCATATTCTGATTTTTTACTCTTTAATGACCCATCAAGTCTAATCAACTCATTATAGTCATTTGTCTTTTGTTTCAAATCCTTATTTATTGAATCACTATCTTTATTCATTTGATCAATCTTTTCTTGCTTTTTCATAGTTAAAGATGCAAAATTTTCCTGTTTGATTAATAATTCTTCATCTGATTCATGTAAAATTTCAATTGTTTGTTTTGTTCTTTCCAATTGTTCTTCAATCTGTTTCTTTTTCATTTGTAAGTTTTCATAGTCGCTTAAAGTTTTTTGAAATTCTTGATTCGATGCAAATAATTGTTCTGCTTGTTTTTCTTTGTCTTCAATTTTCAAGTTTAATTCACTAATTTCAGTTGTAAATTTATCAACTGATTCATTCATACTTTTTAATCTAACTTCAACTTTCTTAGCTCTGTCTCTATCAACTTTTAAATGTTGTACACTTTGCTCAATAAATTTTATATCATTAGTCATATCTTTTTTAATCGTTTTCAACTGATCCAAGACTTTAGTAAACTTTGAAGCTTCAAAAATATCATCAAATTTCTTTTTCAATACTGCTGGTTCACTTAATGGCCATAAACTATCATCCTGATGACAAAATATAACATTATCTAAAATTGAAGTTGAAGCACCTAAATAAATTGGAATTTGAGAATCTAATTCAGCAGTTTTTGATGAAATTGAAATCTTTTCACCACGTTCAATTAATGATAATTGACCTTCCATAGTTTTAAATGTTATAGCACCACTTGTAGTTGTTGTTCTTGCTGATTTCATTGATGCTTGAACTGATCTTGTAGTAATCATAGATTTACCATTTACATTTTTAAATGCTAATTTAACTTGACCATTTACAATAGTTCTTGAACTTAAACTTGGATCATGAACAAATGCACCACCTTTTGAATTTGGTGGTAAATTACCAGTTGTTGCATATTTTAAACATTCGATAATTGTAGTTTTACCACAACCATTTTGACCACAGATTAAAGTTAATGGAAATCCAAATTGAATAGTTTCATCATTTTCTGGTTCAAATGCTCTTATACCTTTAATCGATAATTTATAGATACTAGACATAAAATCCCAGGGTCTAAATTCAGAATTTAATTAATGATTTTTGATTTACGCGTACAAAAAAATAAATCGTTTATTAAATAAATCTTATATACTGTCAATTACGTAGCTACCAATTGTAGCTACCAATTGACGTTTATCTATTCTATATGTGTTTTTGATAATTCATCTGCTAATTCATCAACTTTCTTATCTTTATCTTCAAGACTAATACCTGATAATTCTTGTTCTAATTGTTCTAAATCTAAATCTTCTTCTAATTTATCTTCTTCTTCTTCCTCTTCCTCTTCTTCTTCTTCTTCATCACTGTCTAGTTCTTCTAATTCGTCTAATTCATCTAATTCACCAAACCCTCTTTCTTCAAATATAGAATTAATCTTTTCAATATGTTCCGAATCTTCTTCAAATCTATTACCATTTAATTCTAATGTTTTTAAATTTGGTAATTTTGATACAATAATATCAGCTAAAACTCTCAAACTCTCAGCATCTAATTCATTATACTGTAACTTCAAAGTGATCAATTTTTCTTTAGAATCACCTTTTTTGAATGATTCAATTAATTTGAGTGACCCTTTACTTTTTAATAATGAATCATTTAAATTTAATTCATGTAAATGTGTCCAACTATGTAATGCATCAGCTAATTTAATAGCACCTCTAGTTGTAATTGTATTATCTTGTAAATCAATAATTTTCAATTTATGATTTTTACTTAAGCCTTGTTCAATTAATTTTGAAATACCTGCTGGTCTAATACCATTTTGATATAATTTAACAATTTCTAAATCTGGATGATTTCTCAACCCAACTGACAAATAATTAATTGAACCGTTTTCTAATCTATTTCTACCACAAATAAAAGTTTTTAAACTTGGTAAACCTTGTTTTTTCTTTGCTAATGATAATTTAAATAATGCACCACCAATTCTTGAACCAGCAAATGGACCCATCCCATTATTTGATAAAATTAAATGTTCAATGAAAACTGCTTTTGTTAAATAATCTTCTATTGGATCAATAGTTTGTAATCCAAAAGCATTATCTGAAAGATTGATTAATTTTAAATTTGGAAATTTTAATAATGTTGGTAAAATATATTCTAATGATTTTGGAATTTCAGTATTTAATCTACCAGTATATAAATCTGAAAAATCAATTTCAACAATTGAATCTTTATGTTTAATTAATGATTCACTTAATAATTTTGAAGCTTCAATACCTATAGTATTACCTGAAAAATCGATTTTTTTAATAGCAGATTTTGAATTTAATTCTTTTAAAATTGGTTTAATATCATCTTCATTATTAAACTTGATTTGTCTACCAGCAATTGAATAAGTAGTTTCCGGTGTAACACCTAAATCAACATCAATGAAAGTAGGTGAATTAGACATAATAAACAACTAAAGATCTAAACTCTTCTCAAAAGACGATTTGGTTGTAAAAAGTACAAAAATGGTGATAGTGTATTAACCAAACAAATTGATTAGCAAAATTTAAAATTTTAAAAATTTTCGTTGATAGATTGAAAAAAGAACGATCTAGATCTTAACACAATAATAATATTATCAAGATGAACATGACAGGTAGAATTCCAACACAAGCTCCAAAAGAAGAAGAATCAACTTTTCAAAAAATAAAAAAATCACCAGCTTTTACTATTGGTACACAAGTTGCTTTATTTGGTTTAGGTGTTTTATTTATTCAATCTCCATTAATGGATATGTTAGTTCCACAATTATAAATGAAAGACAAGAATAAAGATTCAATAATAACGTAATGACTTGTATATATAAGGGTTTAATATAAATTATAAATTAGTGATATTAATTTGAGTATCGGAAAATTGAGCTCAATGCATCGCAAAAGAAGTATTAACTTAGAGATGAAAGTGCAAGATAATGCATACCGATCAGTATGATTGTATTAATTGAGCATTCCATGACACCAAAAAGCTATTCTGTAATTTTGCCATTAAATTAGTCTTAAATTGACAGTATTTATTTAGTACTCATTCTGAGTACAATCAAGACAATGATTGCTAATTGGTTAAAGAACTTCATTGATGCTTCTCTGAAGAATTCGATTTACAGCCAATTCTTTTGAGACCTGTAGTGGAATTTAGCTCGCAGCAAATCCAAGTCGCGCCAATCTGGTTCAAAGTTTTTCCACATTCACGCATCTCTGAGCCCCAAATTTGCGGCATATGTATGCGACACCAATAAAAATGATGTCTGATGGAGCATTAGGTTCGATCTAAAACTTAATTTTCGAAGCCATCTAATAATGACATTGATGTCATTCAATTCTTTATGAAATTTTGAGTAACATTGGTATAAGTCACAATTCTTCAATTTCAAATCTTTTTACTTGTTATCGTCAAATTAAAACTATACACAATTTGCCTTCAAACGCTAGTAAATTTCCAATTTGACCTTTAAACCACCGTCAAATCCTAATCTCAATTAATTTTCACCATAATGTGTATACTGGCTGCATTTATATCTTTTCATGTATGGTAAATCATTTCAATAAATTTCATACATTAAAGCATAAATCTGACTCAATATTGGCTTATATGTAGTCTTGAGATAATTAATCTTAAAATTTAAATCGTTAATAACTCTTTCGATATACAAGAAATTTTTCTCAAAAATATGTCATGAAAACTCTTCACGTACTAAAAGTTGTTTGGTACTAGTTCTGTCAAAAAGAAGTAATCCTGATCACATTACTCTTCGATCAAGAAATGAGAAAAAACGGTAAATTGCAAGATAGATAACCATTGGACCTCGGTGTGCTACTTTTACTACAGCTAATCTGGCTCATTTGATCCCGAACACTTTTTGAATATACTTTTAAGACGCGGTAATCGTTTTGAAATTTTTGCAAACATTTCGTTTCACCATTGAAGAATTTCTTTTTATATCTTGAGTACTCGAACACAAAGATAATTGAGGTATATCAGGGTGATGAGCTACAAATCTTGGTACTTTTATCATATGTTCATTGCGATTTTGATTGCGGAGTTGGATTTTTCAAAATGTCGATATATTCGATTTTTCCCATACTTGAAAGATAATTTTATAATTTTGTAATTTTTCAATTACTACAGAGCAAAGCAAAATGTATTCAGTACGTTTATTTGATGTATTATATATACAATTCGTTGTTTAGTGGAAAGTTGTGGCCCTAAATAGATATTTCTATTGAAACCACTTTTTCGAAAAAATTTTGTATGGTGAAAAAGTGCCAAAAATCCAAGTTGAACAAAACATCTCTGAAACATATAGTTGGAAATATGTGCAGAGCATGATTCAAAGCTCCTGATTTCATTTATTGATCCTAATTTCAAGAAAATTCGTTCTTGACGAGAGGTAAGCCAGTACGTCCAAAGCGGGTCGCCTAGAGGTTAGCGCGAGAAAATACTCTGTAGCTCCGGAGTTTTCGATACATAGCAAAAAAATAGTTCTAAAACAATTTGGTTTATATACAGTTGTGTCGTCGTTAATTTTAAAATTTACTTGGTGAATAACTCCCTCAATATTCAAGCTCTATCTTTCATGCTTGAATGCTTGATAATTTCAGCCAACTTAAGTAAACTGGTGCTAGCGTTGTAGGTGCATGTAATCCTGATCGCTAAAGTCTTCGTTTGGAACAAAATAACATTTAATATTGACGGGTTTACAGAAGTTTACCGCCTTATTCTCGCCCAAAATTGATTAGTCGTTGTCAATTTTATGCGACCTGGTTTTGCGCAAAAAAAATAAAAAAATCAGGGGGAGCATTAGGTCAATCTCATCTAAAAAATAATTTTTAAACATATACAATAAAACCAACCGTATCATTCGATTCCTTGTGAGATTTCGAGTAACATTAAAATGAGGCGTTTTGTTTCATTTCAATTTGTTAAGGTTGATATTGGTAAAAATAAATTATCAGGTTGAATGCGTCTTGCGACACTAATATGGCATAGCCGCCTATTGAAACCGTAATCCTATTGGTCAAAACTTTAATACCCCCTAAGATCTTAAGCAACAAATTTAAAAGGAATGAGATAACGAAGACAAGACAACATCCTGACAAGACTCACTATATTTGTAATCATGGTGTTATTATATAGCGGCTTTTGTGTACAGCTAAATTTGTTATACTCGCTAAGCTGTCGAGTATTAGTTCTTGGTTGAAAGAATAATCATTGTATTCGTTCTAACTAAATTGTACATATGTTAATTATAATTGGTATAATTAGATATAATGAATCTCGGAGTTATCAAATTTCAGATGTCAATATGGTCAAAATAGATTTAAGTCCGAATCTAAATTTTATAAACCTTACACATCAAAGATTTACTGTTTGAAATGAGATATAATAAACTTCGTAATGTGGGGTATACGAGGTTCAACAATTCCCAGGGTTATCTTTAAGACATATCTTTAAGACATAAACTTAATGATCAGGTCATTTATAGGGTACTTTGTAATTGCATAAAAACATTCGATATGTTCTCGTTAATTTAACTCTTAAAATCGTAACCAAAAAACAATCAAGTAAATTAATAAATTTTGCAGCCGTTTTTATCAATACCTTTTCACATGAATGGTTGCAAAATAAACGATTTGACATCAGTTTAAGAAATTATGACATAATTGATTATGTAAGAAATGTTTTAGATTTTAGTTAGACATTCCTCGGTGTAAACAAAACCTCGGCATAAATAAATACGATCCAAGTTAATTTTTAAAACGATATAGTCAATCCCCTCCTTGAACAACAAGATGAAATTTTTTATACAATAGAACCTAACTAAGTTGATCTTTAAGGATTTATTGTTTTTGTGGCGATTAATCTATTAGCATTTAATAAATTACAGACAAATGGTAGCGTGGAATGGAATGTTCATTATTTTTCAGTCCGTCGTAGTTCGTTTCTTTCTATTTTTCTCCCCACATTTCGGTGCATTAGTTTGATTATAATGATTTGGTCAATTACCCGAGCTAAAAAAATAACGATTTTGCAGCCATTTTCAACCAAGTTCGGTTTTTGCCATTAACGTCGGAATGAGCTATAGATGTTTAAACAGTCATTTGGACTAGCAGCAAATTAGTGAGAACTTTCAAGTGGATACTAGATTGAAAGGTCGAAGTTTTAAAAATGGTTGTGCCTTTCGGAGTTAAATTAGAATTCGCTAGAGAGATACAAAACTCCGTTAATACTATGACTTGGTAGTAGTTAAATCCTATAATATAGTTAATAATATAGTTTATAATATAGTTAATAATATAGTTCATAATATAGTTCATAATATAGCCAATAATATAGTGAACCATTGATAATTACTAGCGTTTAAATTTATTATAATTTGTGGAGTAAAAGAAGAGATTTTTGAAACTTAAGCACACTAATTATTACTTGTGAAAAAAACAATGAAGAAAAGACAGACCACATTTAATAATAATAACTAATAATAATAATAATAATCAATGAGTTACACATGGAGCTGATGTATCATTGAATGCATGCAAAGAGTTAATCAATGATACAACTTAAAAATTATGGAATGATTTTATTATATCTTTTTTTTTTTTTTTTTTTTTATTATGTTCAGTATCAATTGGTAGTAATATATTATTTTCACATTAGTTAGGTACATAATAAAGAATTGCCTGTGAAATAAATTTCATATAAATATAATCCAATATAACCCCCAGATTTATTTTTCAATCTTACTTTTTTCTTTTTACATTTATCAACATCTTTTTATATTAACTATTTTATTTATTTATTATCAAATTTCAATAATATTTCAAGATGGTTTTTACAACAAATACAGTTTCAATATCTCAAGGTCCTGATCCAAGATCATTGATTCAAAAAGAAAGAGCTGAATCAAAATTTAATCCTCAAAAAATGCAATACTTTTTAGAAGGTTCAAAAGAAAGAGCTGAATTAATTAAACAATTACTTCAACAAATGGAAAGAGACCCAATATTATTTACAGATGGTTCATATTATGATTTTACAAAAGATCAATTAAGAGCTTTAACTGCTACCAAAATTAATAGAATTTCAAGATATTTAGAAGGTGATTCAATTGATGTTTTCAACAGAAGATTATCATTATTAGGTGTTTTTGATCCTGCTGTTTCAACAAGAATTGGTGTTAACTTAGGTTTATTTATTTCTTGTATTAGAGGTAATGGTACTTATGAACAATTAAAATATTGGGCTTTAGATAAAGAAACTGCTACTATTAAAGGTATTTATGGTTGTTTTGGTATGACCGAATTGGCTCATGGTTCAAATATTATGGGTTTAGAAACTACAGCTACTTTCGATAAAGCAAATGATGAATTTATTATCAATACTCCACATATTGGTGCTACTAAATGGTGGATTGGTGGTGCTGCTCATTCATCTACTCATTGTACCGTTTATGCTAGATTAATTGTTGATGAAGAAGATTATGGTGTTAAAACTTTTGTTGTTCCATTAAGAGATTCAAACCATGATTTAATGCCAGGTGTTACTGTTGGTGATATCGGTGCTAAAATGGGTAGAGATGGTATTGATAATGGTTGGATTCAATTCTCAAGTGTTAGAATTCCAAGATTTTTCATGTTACAAAAATTCTGTAAAGTTTCAAGAGACGGTGAAGTTATTTTACCACCATTGGAACAATTATCATACTCAGCTTTATTAGGTGGTAGAGTTATGATGGTTTTAGACTCATATAGAATGTTAGCAAGAATGTCAACTATTGCTTTAAGATATGCAATTGGTAGAAGACAATTTAAAGGTGATAATGTTGATCCAGATGATGAAGAAGCTTTAGAAACTCAATTATTAGATTATCCATTACATCAAAAGAGATTATTACCATACATGGCTGCTGCTTATGTTGTTTCAGCAGGTGCATTAAAAGTTGAAAGAACTATTGAAGAAACTTTAGCAGAATTAGATGATGCTGTTGATGAAGATGATGATGCTGGTATTATGAAAGCTATTGATGCTATGAAATCATTATTTATTGATTCAGGTTCATTAAAATCAACATGTACCTGGTTAGCAGCAGAATCTATTGATCAATGTAGACAAGCTTGTGGTGGTCATGGTTATTCAGCATACAATGGTTTTGGTAAAGCTTATAATGATTGGGTTGTTCAATGTACTTGGGAAGGTGATAATAATGTTTTAGGTATTTCAATTGGTAAGCCAATTGTTAAACATGTTATTGCAATTGAAGATGATGGAAAAGTTGTTAAAGGTTCATCAGATTTCTTGAATCAATTAAAAGATTATACTGGATCAAATGGTTCAAAAGTTATTTTAAACAATGCTTCGGATATTTCAGATGTTAAAAAAATCATTCATGCAATTGAAATTGCTATCATTAGATTATCATATGAAGCTGGTAAAACAGTTAGAAAAGAATCATTTGATTATGTTGGTGCTGAATTAGTTAACATTACAAAATTAAAAGCTCATCATTACTTATTAAGTGAATATGTTAGAAGAGTTGATGAATTTGATGATTCAGAATTAAAACCATACTTATATAAATTAGCTCAATTATATGGTGCTACAATGGTTTTAGATAAATTTGCTGGTATCTTTTTAACTTTCAATGTTGCTTCAACTGGTGCTATTACTGATTTAGCTAAAATAAATATTCCACAATTATGTAAAGAAATCAGACCAAATGTTGTTGCTTATACTGATTCATTCCAACAATCAGATATGATGATTAATGCTGCTATCGGTAAATACGATGGTGATATTTATGAAAACTACTTCGGTTTAGTTAAACAACAAAACCCACCAAAAGACCATAAAGCTCCATATTCAGCTGCATTAGAAGCAATGTTGAATAGACCATCTTTAGAACAAAGAGAAAGATTTGAAAAAACTTTAGAAGCTGGTGAAATTTTATCAAAATAAGTTAACGAGTTGAATAATAGCTCTTTTGATAAGAGTTGATTTTTATATTTAAATAGTAATGATTTCAAATAATGTACAACTGAAAAAGATTGACTAAAATATTTCTTTACTTCAAATTTAAATGAATTTTAGTCTAAACTTCATGTTGCAAATGGTTTTGTGTCTCGGTTGCAATTCTATTTATGGGTTTGTAGAATAGAGTGATCTATTTCGGTTATAGTCAAACAAAAGCTATATAGTCTCACTAAATATCTTTCTCGATTCTTCAACAATGTTACTATCATTATTTAGAGTCTTTAACTTATTTTTATTGGGCAATGGTTTTTATAAATCAATAACTACAAAATTACCACCCCATTTAGTAAAATCAGGCCAAATCCAATTCCTTACAAACTGCTCGCTTGCTACAGCAATGATAGAGTTAGTTTTCTCAATTAGTTTTGGTAAATCAGTATGGTTATACACGTTAGCCTCAAATTTGGAATTCAATGTTATTGTAAGCTATTGGACAATGTATATATTTTTTTCAAAAATGGTTGCAGAAGATGACGTAGATAGATCATTTTTCATGGATTTACAAGTACATGCTTTTCCATACGTTTACTTATTTATTGATTCTTATAAGACCCTTTCATTCATTCCGTCTACATTAATTACAATAGCCTATATTTTCTTTTATTTCATATATATGGAATGGGAAGTATCGAAACATATAAATGATGGTGTAAGTGGGTACCCATATCCATTCCTTAAAGGGAAATCATTAGTTCAGAGATTTATACATATAGTTGTTTTCGGTTTAATTGGATGTTTAAATTATTTCGTTCTTTCAATAAGAAACAAAATTTAAATAGAAAAAATATACGATTAAATGTTAGTTAAAGCTTTTTCTTTATATTGTTTCATAAGTGGATTAATTCAATGCTTTTCATTACCCCTACCTCCCCATTTACAGAAAGGAGGTCATTGGCAATTCCTAACTAATATTTCATTGATTATAACCATACTATCAACAATATTTTCAAATTTTAGAATATTGTATAACGTGGCATCAAATTTAGAATTTACAGTTACATTGACTTATTGGGTCCTCCATTTCATTCTTCCTCATTTTCTTAACACGAAAGAGTTTAAGCGTGATTATCTTCTTGATTTCAAAATTCATTTATGGCCATACATCTATTTATGTTTTTTTGCAAAGGGTAACTCAAAAAATAATAGAAAAAATTTAAATTGGAAACAATCGGTTCGATATACTTTATTGATCATATTGGGGTATTGGACTTATATTGAATCCATTGTAGGCTTTAATAATGATGGGGTTACCGATTATCCTTATCCATTTTTACAAAATAAACATGTGATTGTTAGATTAATATTAGTTTTCGGAATCTGGATAATTAGTTGCTTCAATGTTTTGGTATTTAGTATTAGAGATAGATTTATACGATAATACAAATGAATATTTCGATACAGGTTGTTGATTTTTGACTCTTTACTCAAATGAGGTTTTGTTGATTCTTTAAGGGGTATTTTTGCAGCCAAAAACATTAAGGGGTATTTTCATGTAAATTTCATTTATTTTTTAAACTAAGCTTATACCCTTATATAAATCAATTATTGCGATAATTTCTTAGCAACTTCGGCCGTTTTACTAAAATGTTCTCTTTCATCTAAAGCAACTCTCTTTAAGTTTTGTTCAAATTCTTCTGAATATGGAGCTTTATGAGTAGCTGGATTATTAATTGATTTAACTTCACCCAAGTAGTTATTGTAAATATCACCATTGTATTTACCAATTAATGAATTAATAAAGTTATCTGGTTGTTGGAATGAATCAGTTAAACCAATAACATAAGGTCTAACTTTTTGACATAATTCTTGTGGATATTGTTGAGTAATATAAGAAGCAACTTTTGGAGAAATAACACCAAATCTTAAAAATTCACCAATAAATGGACCTAAGATATTTGTAACGTAATATAATCTCATGACATTTTCCAAATGTGGTCTTGTTGGTGATTTTGCTTTAACATCCTGTTCTAATTTATCATTAAATGATTCTAATAAATAATAATGACATCTTAATTTTGATAAGATAACTCTTTGAGCACCAATTGCATCCCAAGTTTGATGAGAAATTGGAATTAAATCAACAGCAAATTTTGAAATTAAACCTGCAATTGCTTTTAATACACGTTCTGGATCATCAACGTGTTCTTTAATTCTAATAACTGCTTTTTTAGCTTTTGATAAAGTTGAAGCATCATTTAAAAATTCCATTGTATGATCTTTTAATTTCTTGTTATTTAAAATTTGTTGAACGTTCTTTATAATTGTTTTACCAGCAGACATTGCAAGAACATTATTATCACCTTCCCAAGTACATTGAACAACCCAGTCGTTAAATGATTTACCAAATGAATTATATGATGAATAACCATGACCACCACAAGCTTGTCTACATTGATCAATTAAATCAGCAGCATCCCAAGTTAAAGTAGATTTTAAAGAAGCTGAATCAACAAACATTGATTTAGTTGAATTAATAGTATTTTTCAATAATAATTTATCATTAGTTGCTAAAGCTTTATCCAAGTTTTCTAATAATAAATCATGTTCTTTTTCTAATCTATAAGTACCAACTGCAGCTGCATAAGTTAAAGCTAAATATGGTAATAATCTTCTTTGATGTAACATGTAATCAATTAATTGAGATTCTTCTTTTTTACCAGGTTTTGCAAATTGTCTTCTACCAACAGCATATCTTAAAGCAATTGTAGTAAATCTTGCACCTATTCTATAAGAATCAGTAGCCATACCAACTCTACCTTCTAATAAAGAAATATAAGATAATTGTTCCAATGGTGGTAAAGTAACATTACCATGTTTATTAACTTTACACCATCTTTGTAACATGAAAAATCTTGGAATTCTAACTTCAGTAAATTGAATCCAACCATTATCAACACCTTGTCTACCCATTTTAGCACCAATATCACCAATAGCAATACCTGGTAATAAATTATGTTGAGAATCTCTTAATGGAACAATAAATGTCTTGACACCATAATCAATATCTTTAACAATTAATCTTGCATAACAAACGGTATGAGTAGCTGAATGAGCAGCACCACCAATCCACCATTTAGTAGCACCAATATGTGGAGTATCAATTAAGAAAGAATCAGTTTCTTCATCAAAAGTAGCAGTAGTTTCACAACCTGCAACATTTGAACCATGGCCCAATTCGGTCATACCAAAACAACCATACATTTGTTTAACAACACCAGATTCTTTACTTTTAGCCCAATAATCATATTGTTTTTGAGTACCATTACCTTTAATACAATTCAAAAATAAACCTAAATTAACCAACATTCTGATACCTAAGGAAGGATCAATAACAGTCATTAATTGTAATCTTCTTCTAAATTTTTTATATGGTTCGGTTTCAATAAATTTAGTCATTTGATTAATTCTTAAAGCAACCAATTCTCTTTCTTCTTTTTGAGTTATATCAAAATATTCTGCTTTTGTTTGTAAAACAGGATCTCTTTCAATTGATTGATATAATCTTAAAACTTCATTTGATTTTTTTTCATTACCTTCTAAAAATTCATGCATTTCTTTTGGATCCCAATCTGTTCTTGCACGTTCTTTTGCAATATCACCAGCTGGATTTGGAGGAGTTTTATTGGATATAACATTTGCAACATTTTTTGGTTTTTGATCAACCTCTTTCTTTTCAGGTTTAATAAAACCTTTAGTTTTAGCAAGCAAAGCCATCTTGAAGGTAAATTAAATAAATAATAATTAACTTCTGATTAAAAATTCAGGAAAGAATAAAAATTTAAGGAAAATCAAACTTTATATATAAACTGATACACTACTATTATTACGATCTAAATTTTTCAGTGGAGTGCGTTTTATAATATAATTCGCCTGTGGAAAAATGAATATTTCCATGTTTGAAACCAAGAGATTACAGTCAACCTATACAATTACACGTTTCACTAGTGACAATTTCTATATTATCACCATCTATTACAGTATCAATTTGAGCTTAATTGTTGTTATGCTTCATTTTGTTTCCTTAATTTGATTTTTTTCCCCGGAGTTAGTGTGCTGTGTCTTAGTCGACGAAAGAAAAATAAATGGATCGAATTGTGGGGTATGATAACTCATGCCAGTTGGAAAATTTATATCCCTGGAAAATATTTAAACTTCGACTGAATTGATTTTTAACAACCGAAACAATTTTAAAGAAGCAAGAATCGAATGTTTTTTATCAATTCATTTCTTTTCCCTTTATTCAAGTGGATGTACCCCTTGTATGATCATATTATATTATGGCTAATTATAATAATGTTCAAACTCTGCATAATGAAATTTAAGTATAACCTCGGTGAAAGTTTCAAGTACTATTTTTTTTGCAACAATGCGAATTGAACTTAAATTAAAAATATTTAATTAGCGGGTTGGATAGTGGTCTTATATGAAGCGAGTTTAACAAACGGTTAATCATGGAGTTGTTTAGTTATTGTATAAATTAAAAAATTTGAATGACTAGAAACGGCTAAGAGATAGATTTATCATAATAGCCCCCAAATACCCCTTAATATTGATCTTATCGAACAAACTGACCTTATGTCAAAAAGTCAATATCAATCAACTCTAAAGGCTTCAATTAATGCTTGAGAAAGATGTTATGGTTGAGAGCAACCATGGAGTAAAATACCTTAACATCACGTCAGATTGACATGCTTATTTTAAATCTATAATTAATGCTGATAAATTTCAGTTCATTTGTTGACCAGTTTTCTTATTTTTATTGGATCTAAATTCAACAGATTAGTTACTGTAAACTTTTTCAAGCGACAAAGATATTAACAAATGGTCAACTCGTCCTGTTAATTTTCTAATCTCTCGGTAGCTTAGCCCGGTAAAGCGGAAGACTGTAATTGATAAAAGTTATCTTTAGATCGGGTGTTCAAATCACCCCCGGGAGATTTTTTTGTTTTTTTTCTAAACCAATTGGGCAGTAACTTAGGTCTATTTTTTTTTTTCTCCCACGAAACACTACTAAACTATTTTGGTAGAGTCAAAGAAGCTTGAGGCAAGAAGCGTTTAAATATTTTAACGATCAGAAAGATAGATTGTTTGTATATTCGTTGATGTTGATTTTTCGCTAATTCTCTTATACTTGTAATGATTTGCGTTGTATAATTAAAGCTATTAATTCGCAATTCTAGTATTTTATTATATTTTTGCAATATTTTAAAGAAAATATGCGTCTATAGATTATTTGCTGTAACAGTAGGTGACCAACAAAGAATGATTTATCAAAAGCATACCGTCTTAGGTACTTTTGACTAAAGAATGATTCTTAGGCTGTAAGTATGTTTGAGAGGAAGGTATTTCAAGTGGAAGTTACAAAATTTTCAACTGGCGGCCGCTTAAACTCAGCTCCCTAACTAGTATTAATATTGAATTTTACTACCAATTTAATTTAGTATCTTTGATACAAGTCAAGAGCATATTCTGAATCTCATAAACACTTAATAATAGAAGACTTAGTACCATAAAGTTATAGAAATGTCCGATATTATCGTAAAACTCAATCTAAGGTCGAAATATTTCGGTTATAATTCGAGGGTAAAACGTGAGCTACAATTCTTCCCAACTCGACATTAATACATTGAATGAGTATACACTTTACTTTTTTCCCCAACTTCATACAATGGTCTAACAAGCCGTGTAAAACCTCGATTCGAAATTCGTAATTTCGAAAGGCTTATTCAAAGCTAGGACATGGAGAACACAGCATCACCGAAGGTTAATAGCAGTCAGTTAAAGAATTCTTACAACTATTCCTCCTAATTAGAGTTAGTTTAGACTTTTCGAACGTTTTCCTCACTTTTCTTAAATCTTAGAAATATACCGATAAGAGGTATTTTTCCAACTTAAACCGAAAGTACATACAAAATACCGTATCTTAAGGTCACGCTTCAATGAAGTTTTACTAACAAGATACATAAAATTTACGAATAAGTTTTAGTTTATACATTTTGGCTGCGAAAGAAATTTACTTATTATTATTATAAGATCTTAGTAGTAATTATAAATTTTAAGTCACATTTTTATTTTTATTTTTTCTTTTTTTCTCTTGGTGTTCACTTTTTTTATAAAATCCGTAAGATCCTCAGAAATTATATAATTATCAACAAATCCATAATTTATATTCCATAATCGTAATCAATTAATATAATAAATCATAATGGATTCAAATAAAATTATTGAAGTTATTGTTGCCATCTTTTTACCTCCATTAGCTGTGTTTATGAAACGTGGTGCAGATTCTACATTTTGGTTGAATTGTATTTTATGTATATTCATTTGGTTTCCAGGTATTTTACATGCTTTATATATTGTTTTACAAGATTAAGGAGATGAGTTTAGATGTAAAATTATAAGTTGTTGTTTTATGTTTTAATATGTTTTCACAAAAAAAATATCGTCATTTATACAGCTAAAATTTTCGCTATAATAGTACGTTGCTTTATTGATTGTTTTATATGTTTTATCAAAGTCATAGAAATATATACATAATTTAAGAAATAAAATTGGTCAAGTTAGTTTTTTTTGTTTTGAGTTTTGATGCTCATCAATTGTTCATTTCATTCTCACCCACTCCCCTTTTTTTATCGTCCAGTTTTTTAAAAAATCTCATAACTAAAGATTAAATTCAATTTAATAGGAGAGGTTATCTTATAAGCCTCGAAGATCGAATAAGGTGTTAGACTTTATCAAACTTATCAAGATGAGTTGGAGATAAGCTTATAGAGGAAGCGAATGAGCCTCAGTAAACAATTGGAAGTTTACATAGTGAAATTTCGCTTTACTTTAGGTTTGAATAGTCTGTAATACTTAATTTGAGATTGCATTGCTTAAACCTTGAATATTAAAATTGAGTATGTCTATTAAACGAGTATATTTTCAATTATTTTCAATTATATTCAATTTTGCAGCTAAATAATTGAACAAAAGATTCGTAATTTAATCGCGTAAACATTTATATAATACCCACAAAGAAGAAAAAATGGTACAAACTAATCATTAAATTTAAAGGTGAGAATGTACATGTATATGTATGTACTGTAAATCTCTCTATTATTAGTTAAATTGCGTCAAGCATTAAATCAACAGACAGATCTAGAATTGATACAGATGAAATTTCAAAATAAAATAGGGTTGAAGGTCAAATAAAACGTTGAGTAAGAAAGCATACAAGTAGATTACAATTCTATTACAATTCTATTACAATTACATTATCTAGCCGCTTGTTAAAACCTTGTTATCTTCTATTGTTTATTCGCATCTGGACGCACGGCAAATGCACAAGCACATGGTAGCATTTATTATTTATTCTTAATTTGGTGAAAATGAAATATAGTAGTGAAAGTTGTCAAAATAATTTATTTATTTTAAGCCTGGACCACAAAAAATCACCTCGCGTCTCTGCTCATTTAATAACCTATTATTTTAATGCAGTGTGAGGCTCAAAATATATTTGATAATATTAGGTCACTGAACCAAGTTAATACAATAACTAAATGTATTTCAATGCCCTAGACTAATTTCATTAATTTTTTGGCTCTAGTTTCTGCTAGCTTTTTACATAAGATTGGTTTAAACAAATTGATATATCAAGTAGTTCGTGCATTTACCAATCATATTTTCCTTAATTGGTTAACCTGTTCAAATAATAAAATAGCTCGCGTAATATTCAAACAGACCTTGGCGATCTAAGACTAATAAAAAATTATTTAATTTTTACCAATATAAACAATAATAATAAAATCATCAAAATTTTCTGTTCAATTTGTCCATAATTTATCCATAATTCTTTGAATTTTAGCCATTTTTATTTATTTGTTTTTATTATGTATCAACAACCAAATCATTCATATTCTTCAACAGACGCATTAGGAAGATTGTCATCAAATAACCCCTTTCGACATTCCCCAATTTTACAACGACAATCATCAGGGCAACAACAACAACAACAACATAAGTATAGTCCAAGAAAGTCATCTCATTTGTCGAATAGTTCATCTTATTTTGATGAATGGGTTAATAAAAACAGAGATTTAATTAATGACAATGATGAAGAACAAAATTCAATCATCGATGATAATGAAATAATTAGTTTATACAAGAATAGCACAAATGAAGATAAAAGAAATAGGTCAAATAGTAGTTTATCAAGACCAAAATTTCCTCCTCAACCAATTAGATCCAATAGTGATCCAAACTATAATAAAAGGTATGTTTATTTATACATTTAACCATTTAACCATTTTAGGGTATATTGGAAAGGAAAAGAATAAAAGCAACCATTTATCATAGTGAGTGCAATTTTAAAGTTTATTTCCATTGATTCCAGAGTCGCAGAATGTAAAAGTTATATTATGCTATAATTTTACAAAATGGCTCATAGCCTCAAGTGAAAGTAAAGTATTCGCATAATAATGTTCAACAGTTATTATTATTTACCATTATTATTATTGCTATTGTGAACCATAGTTAACTTTTCTCTATACAAATTTTACACTGTTAATCGAGAAAGCAAAAAAAAAAAAAAAAAAAATTATATACCAAAGGTTGTCAAGTGATTACATTCCAGTTCAAGATATAATTTTATTTCAAATATTTTTTATCTTATTCTTTTCCAATTTTCCAATATTATCGTTAATCAAAATTTTATTCGAGTACTAACAGTATTATTTCAAGAATGTCTAATAATCCATTTTTAAACCCACCAACAACATCGATTTCAACAACACCAACGACTGGCACAAATTCATCAGGTAATACTAGAAATAATTCTCCACCTGCAAGACCACCTAAACCATCACAACTAATTGATGATTTGGCACCACCATCATATGAAGAAGCTGCAGGTAAAGAAGCTGCTCAAAGAGAATACAGAAATGAAAAAGAATCTAGTTCAAGTTCAAGTTCAAGACCACATAGATCTTCTCATAGTCACCACCATCATTCATCTTCACATCGTTCATCATCAAATAAACATAGTACAAGAGATAAAAAAGATTCTCATCATCATCATTCATCAAGATCTAAATCGTCAAAGAAAAAAGATCCTGTACAAGCTAAAAATTTAGATACAATTGATAAATTAGATGTTACTGGATTCTTTGGTGGTGGATTCCACCATGATGGTCCATTTGATGCATGTACACCAATTAGAAACAATAATGAAAAAAAATTAGCACCAGTCAAAGCTTTCCCAATAAATGGTGCAAATATGTCAATTACAGGTGGTTCAAATATGAATAAAGATGATCAAATAAATCTTGCATTTGGATATAGGAATAATGAACTTGAAAATTTATCACCACCAAAAAATCAATCAAATCCAAGTATTTTAAATTTTGATGCAAATTCAAAAGCAATGCCAATTCATGGAGATACGACACAAGGATTAGGTAGTTCTACATTTTTAAATGGTGCACCTGCTCCAAAAGCAGCACAAGATGATAATAATTTAAATTTAAATAATGGTGGATTAGGTAGAAAGAAATCATTAGTACAAAGATTAAGAAAAAATTCAGGTAGTGAAAGTTCAACAAGAAGATCATCAAATGATGGATTATATCATGCTGTATCAGATTCAGGTAATGGAAGAAGAGGTAGTATGAATAATTTGGATTTTGATGATGTTGATGAAGATTTAAAGCCTCCTAGTGGTAATTCTTTTATTAGAAGGGTGAAAAGTTTAAAAGTTAGAAGATAAATAGTTATATTGTATTGAATTTACGTTTTTAATTTATTTTAGAAGAGATCTGTTTTGTATTGTTAGTTTCTTGACATCTTCATCTACTGTTGCAAATTTGACATGCTTTTCAACGCAGGAAGACCCCAAATTTAATTTTGTCTCTAATAGCTATAAACTGAAGGTTGAACATCTACGATGGACTGATTACCGGGGGACGTATTTACAAAATAAGTTTCAAAATCAACATATAAGTGTATGGACTGCATATAAGTTAAATTTGTTTCAGAATTATATTTTGTAGTATATAATTTCTCGCCCGAACTTGGTGCCAACAATATATTTTCTTCGTGCTGATCATAGGGCGACTCGTGCTATATGTATGGACTTATATGTCATGAACAAAAAATTCTCTCAGTATAAAAGCTAATTCTATGAGCTTAGAAACTCTGGATTATATACCCTCAATATTTAAAATTCTGAAATTTAAACATCCTTTTTTTGAATTGTCAATTTGGCGCTTTTTCATCATACAAAATTTTTTCAAAAAAATTAATTCTTTGTGAATTTTTAATTAGGGCCATAAATCTCAATTAAACAACGGATCATATATATTATTTTATGATTTAATGTGTGAAACTTAATTCTGGCTGATTTAAACAGGAATTGAAAAATTTCAAGATTTTCTCTTAAGTATGGGGAAAATCGAATAAATTGACTTTTCTAAAATTCCACCACCACAATCAAAATCAACATTGAAGTATAAAAAAAGTATTAAGATTCTTAGTTCCTGCAAGCTAATAAACCTTAAGAATTTTTGTGTTTATGTGTTGAAATATGGAAAAGTAATTTTTTAGAAGTGAAACATAATTTTTGCAAAAATTTCAAAACTATTACGGCGACCGGAAAGCATTACAGGAATGGTACTTGAGGTTAAATAAACCAAATCAGCCATTTTAGAAGTTGCTAGATGTGGTCTAAGTATTTCTTATCTTTCAAAATTGCGTATTTTCCCATTTTTTGAAAGAAGCATAACTTGCTCAAAATTGTATTTTTTAGGAGATATTACGATTATTAGTTGTTTCTACGTAAATTTGGATCGCAATAAATTAAGTTTGAGAAAAATTCCTCAAATATTGAAAGAGTTATTCACAAATTAAGTTTCAAGATTAGGTACTACCAGACTGCATGGAAGTCAATTTTGTTCAAGGAATATAAAACGCGTAGATTCTTGTGGCCATTTTTTCATAGCGAACGGCTCTCGAAATGAGCAATTTCTGGTACCAATTTTCCGAAGCGAAATGGCCTTGAAGTTTCTTTCGAATTAGTTGGCGAATTATCGCCATGTTAAAGATCTAGTTATGTGAATGATTTCAGCTCTATTTAGTAATTCAGTTGATACAGGCTCTGATCGCCAGAGTTATTTTTTGCTAGAATTAAATTCTGATCAATGTAGTAGCTGAAACTTTAAACAGATTTTTAAACAGTCAGAACTTTAAAAATTCTAGAATTTGAGGCAAAATTGCATTTGACCGTATATATGTAATAAAATAAACTTTTTGTTTTCGAAAATGACGTTAAGGAATTACATACAAAAAATGACACATTCGTCGGCTTGGAAGTAATCAACCGTAACGGATAAATAACACTAACGAGACTGAATGGTGTGGGAGTTGACGCGAGCTTTCGTGTAAATTGACACGAGTAAGACCTTGTGAAGAACCTGCTAAAATACTTTAAAACTTTTATCGTATAGATATTGGGCTTACGTCTACAAGCTTGAAATAAAGAGTGGTTTACTGTTATAGGATATTCCCTAGTTTTAAGAAAATAACTTCTGAAACATTTGAAGAAGAATTAAAAATTAAATAAAAAAAAAAAAAAAATTTTAAATCAAATTTGAAGATTTTACAACAAATGTTTAAAAACACCAAAATACTATCACGTAGATTATCTACATTTTCATTACCAGTAAATAAATCATTAGAAGGTATAAAAGCAACAGGAGAGAATTTTCAAGGTTTATTTTCAAATAAAACAATAAATCAATTATGGTTTGAAAGAGGTGAAAATTTATCATCGAATTTAAATAATTTATTAAGTCAAACATCAATATTAAAAAATGATAAAGAATATTCATTACAAACTATTATATCATTAAGTATGAATACACCTGAACTATATCAATTACATAAATATGCTTCAAATTTATTTAATTTAAATTTTTTCATTGAAAGTTTAAAACAAAATGATGCAAATAAAATCGAGAAGAAGAATGTTGATGCATTATTAGAAACTCCAAAAAACTCATTTGGTAATATACCTACTGATCATGATTTCTTGGATTGGATAAATTATTCATTTGGTTCAATTGAAGAATTTAGAAATTTATTAATAAATTCTGGTAGGGCCATAAATGGTGATGGTATAGTTTGGGTTGTTGCTGAATCTTCAATGAGTGAAAATTATTTGGATAAAAATTTACCACAAAAGGTTCCAAGGTTTACAAATTTAGCAATTGTAAATACTTATAATGGTGGAGTTTTAAATGATGCTGAAAGATCAGGACAAATTAGTAGAATGAAGAAATTATTAAAAGAAGAAACAGAAGAAGACGAATTAGAACTAGGTTCAGTTGAAGAAGCTGAATATAATGTTGCATATCACAATAAAAGTTTAATACCTATATTATCAATCGATGTAAGTCCAAGAAATTATTTATTAGATTATGGTGTTTTTGGTAAACAAAAATATCTTGAAAACGTTTGGGAATGTATTGATTGGGATGTTGTATTAAGAAGATTACCTGAAAGAACAACACAACTTATAACCATGTAAATAGTCGTATATATATATTAACTTTTAATTACTTTTTTAACAATTTTTTCAACTTCATCCCAATCGTCTGTAGGAACTCTTGTCATCTCAATATCACCAAAATATTCTTTTATTGCCATTAATATATTGTATGATCTTTTATCATGAATAAATGAAATTGATACACCAACTCTACCAAATCTACCAGTTCTACCAATTCTATGTAAATAAGTTGATGGATCTGGATTACCATTTTTATCAGTTGGTAAATCATAGTTAACAACCATTGAAACTGATGCTATATCAATACCTCTTGCAAGAACGTTTGTTGTGATTAAAACTTTTGACCTACCTTCTCTGAAATCATCAATTAATCTATCTCTTTCTCTTGTATCTAAACCACCATGTAAAATAGAACATGTATGACCTTCTTGTTTCATTTTTGCATATAAAATATTAGCAGTTTCTTTTCTTTCAACAAATATAATTGATGAGCCAATTGTTAATAAACCATATAATTCACATAAAACCTCAAATTTATGATTTTCTGAATCACAATCCATATATAATTGTTTTATACCTTCAACATTTAATTCTTCTTGTTTTAATTCTAATGAATTTGCATTTGGAACAAATTTTTCAGCATATTTTCTAACTTCAGTTGGGAAAGTAGCACTAAATAAAACTAATTGACAGTCTCTTGGTAAAAATTTTTTAAATCTAACACATTGATCACCCAAACCTTGAGCTTCCAACATATTATCAGCTTCATCTAAAACAAATACTTTAACTTTTGAAGTATTTATTATTCTTTTACGCGCTAAATCTACAACTATACCTGGAGTACCAACTATAACTTGTTCACTAATTGCTCTGCTTCTATCATTCGGATCAGGTACTACTAATTTTGTAGTTATTTCAGTAAATTTACCCATTGTTTGAATAACTTCTAAAGTTTGTCTTGCCAATTCTCTAGTTGGTGCCAAACATATACATTGTGGTAATTTTACTGATTCATCAACTCTTGATAGCATAGTTAATGAAAATGCTGCTGTTTTACCAGTACCTGATTGAGACTGTCCAATCATATTTCTTGGTGGATCTGATAATAATAAAGGTAATGCTTTTTCTTGAATTTTAGACGGTTTATTAAATTTCATTGCATAAAGTCCTTTCAATAATTCTGGTTTTAAACCTAATTCTTCAAATGATTTAACTGAATATAATGGTGAATTTGGATCAGCTTGTAAATCAGCCAATTTAACCTTAACTTCGTACGAATTTTTAATCAAATTTGAATCCCCTTGCTCTGATTTTATGGATACATCTGTAGTTGTAGGCACACTTTTTATTGATTCATCTTTAAACTCTGATTGTTCATCTTCATCTTTTAATTTTTCGGTGGTGGTATTTTCTGGTTTTGATTTAACATCGTCTTTAGCATCTTCTTTTTTCTCAGCAATTTTTTTTTCAACTGGCTTAGTCTTTTCTTCTTCTTTTATATCTATTGATAAACTAGCGAGTAAATCTGATGCATCAGCATCGACTCTTTTACTTGACATTAGTCTTTATTAATTTGAATTCTAGATTAATTTTTTTTTTTTTTGCGTTGAAATATTTTTGTTTCAGAAATTAATTATTTTGACCATCATCGTTGACTTGACTTGGAGTAGTAATACCATCAGAATGTGCATTATATTGGGAACTGACTTTGTTATATACCTCCCCCAACGTTTAAAAATGAACTAACTTTTTCTCTTCCATTGAATTGATTTGAAGAGTAATTAGTGAATCATCAAGAGATTGGTGCTATGGATTCATCTTATAAACAATATACAATACTCATGGACTCAGCTTCGTGCTATAAATCGCGCAAGTAGGCATCATCAAATTTTTTTTTGCGAAGGGTGAACCATGAAACTAAGTCATTGCTTTTATTGCTCCATTTTGGTGGCTACAATAGCAATGGGGGCAGAAAAGTCCGATTGGATTTATGATCTTGGTTTAGTACTATTTGGTTCAAGCGTTTGATTTGACGCGAGGCTAATTAATTTATGAAAAATTAAAATTAACTTAGTTTTAATCAAATGTTTCAATTAATTAAAGGGTTACGTGATTTACCAAAAGAAATCACCACAATCATTGTTCGTTTATTACCTAGAAAGTATCAGGTTGTTTTTTTACAAGATAGGATATTGAAATGAATGTCTAATCATACCTATGTTATTACATACCGTTTCTGTTCATCAGAATCACCATACAATTTATTCAAGAACTAGTTACTTTTAGATTAGAATACAACTGGGGATGAAGAATTGGATAGGAAATACTACGAATTCTTCGATGTAGAAGTTCTTTCTTTTCATTAGAATATACCTTTTTTAAATCCATGGCCTCATTAGTTGCAGTAATTAAACAATATAAATTCATGCCTAAAATATCGAATTTACTTGCCGGAGATCTCAAATTTCTTGATGTTATCAATAAGATAGATTTAATTCACATTATTTGGCATAAGTATTTTGAGGGTGAAATCGAATGTTTGCAATTGTTGGATACACCATTTATATTATATATCAAAACCTTAGAAGATGAACAATTATTGTTCTTGGGAAATGCAATCAAAATCAGTGTTAGTGTATTGATTCGTAGTGCCAGTCTTTGTGGTCCCACTTCAAACTTAAAGTATTTGAAAGTTTTAGGTGACTATCGTAATCTAAAGAGAGCATTATTTTGACCACTTAACTACTTTCAAACTACCATTTACGGGAGGAACAGCTCCAGGTAATCAAACGGAAATTACGTCAACATCAGTCTTGAACTTATATAGTCAACTTCAAACTTTGACTTCGGAGGAGTTCCATTCAAAATACTTTAGTTCCTTGAAACAGTTGGTCAATTTGGAAACATCGATAATCAGAGATACTGCATTTCCATATGATTTGTTTGACGCATATGGTGTTTTGCTGAAATTAAGAAACTTTACTTATTCAGTTGATGATGTCTTCTTACTGGAAAATGATCATGTAGGAATTCGTGAATATTATGTCTCTATTGATTCAGAAGTTGTATTTCCTGTCAATTTGAAATATATCAAAATTCTTTGTTATCATATCACTATAAAAGAATCAATTCAATTTCCTATTAAATTGGAATCTTTAATCTTGGAGGTCAGAAACCAAAACAACAAGTAGAAAAGCTCAAATTTTCAGATACTTTGGAGTCTATTGAAATTAATGGAAAAGAAGAATTAACTAGTTTCTAATAGAAATGAAAGTAGGTAAGTTACGTAGTTGAAATATAAAGCTAAAAATCGTTGAACTCGAGAATTTATGATTGAAACAACAGTCGGGGATGAGATAGACCGCTTGTAGAGTAGTTGCTAAAAATAGAATTTGGTTTCAGACTATTAAATTTGAAATATATTAGCACAGAATCAAATGACTTTCAGTACGGATGTGAAACCGAAATTTGAGAACATGATCTTTGTCGTAGTTTTAGACGAAAGTAACTAGTATACAAATTTTTTCATTATTCATTAATACAAATGCTTTTTAACTAAAATCATTAATCGATAAATTAGCTTTATCACACATTGATTTAAAAACTCCGTTCTCATTAAATAAATTTATTGGTTTACCCTTTTCAATAACTTCACCTTTATCCATTACAAATATTCTATCATAATTCACGATTGTTTTTAATCTATGAGCAATACATAAAATTGTACAATTTTTAAATTCTTTATTGATTGTATTTTGTATTTTCAAATCAGTTATGAAATCAACAGAACTTGTAGCTTCATCAAGAATCAAAACCTTAGATTGTTTAATTAATGCTCTTGATAATGCAATCAATTGCTTCTCTCCTAATGAAAAATTTAAACCTTCATCTTCTACTAATTTATCTAAATGAAATTTATGAGATAAATTTGATAAATATTCATCAATATCTTCTTCAATTAATCCAGCAATCTTCAATGAATTTGCTAATTTCAAATCATCATATTCGTCAAACGGATCTAAATTTTTTCTAATTGTACCTAGAAATAAAATTGGATCTTGTGGAATAATTGATAATTTTGATCGTAAATCATTCAAACCCAATTTCGAAATATCAACACCATCAATTTCAATCTTACCTTGAAATTCAACTAACCTGTATAATGCAGTCATAATCGATGACTTTCCAGCACCTGTTCTACCACAAATACCAATTTTTTCACCAGGATAAATTGAAAAATTTAAATTTTTAAGAACATAAGGTAAATTATCACGATATTTAAGATTGACATTTTGAAATTGAATATATCCAGATGATGGCCAATCTTCTTGAGGTTTCATTTCTTCAATCACATAAGGAGATTCTTGTGGTAATTTAAACGCATATTCGTATAATCTTTCAACAGAGTTCATTTCTGTCTCAACAGCAGTCATTGCTCTAACACTTAATGATAATAACCCTACTAATTGAATAACATAATTTAATAATAATCCAGTTGAACTTGCACTTATATTAAATTGACCTGTAACACACATAATTGAAATAATCAATGCAAATGAAGCATTTATAAAATCTAAATGAACACATAACCATCTTTGAGTTGCAATTGATAAAAAATAAGCTTCATTCATTTTATTTATATTACGATTCATTTTGGAAATAAAATTGTATTGATTATTAAAATTTTTAATTGTTGTCATACCAGTTAAAGTTTCATTAAAATTTTGATAAACCAGTGATCTTGCAATTGCTTCTAATCGTTTAATCTCTCTACTTGATGCAGTATAAAAGTTACCTAAAAATACAAAACCAAACCCTAAAAATGGAATTGCAATTGCAAACCAAGGTAAATAACAAATACATAAAATCAATATACCAATAATCAAAGCTAACGGAAATATGAATAATCTCATTTGTTCTCCAATTTCATTATCCAAAGAATCCGTATCCTTCGTAAATCTATTTAAAACTCTACCAATTGGTGTTTGATCCATGAATGACATTGGAGCATGTAAAATTTTAGCAACTGCTTTAACATTTAATGTCTTTGCTGAACAGTTTTGCATATATGCTAACATTGAAAATTCAACTCCAGTGAATATAACAGTTAAAAATGAAAGTATTACATAAATAGAAACATATACGTTATCCGACATGTTTGAAAACTTTCTTTCTACCCAAAATGATAACCATGTATTTGTAAAAACTTGAAAGAATGTAGCAATTATGATTATTACAAACAATAAAGGAATTGAAAATTTACCAAATATACCAGATCCCAATTCAATATACTTTTTATAGATTTTCCAAGAGATAGCATTAATTGATCTTTCCTCATCTATAATTAATTTACCATTATTTAAGGACGTTTCTAAATCTGATGAATCATATACCTCCTCTTGATTTATTTCTTCATTTGAATTTTCATTGTGGTCCATTAATTCTTTAAATTCTGGATTACCTGATAACGTAGATATTGAGCCAGTATCTATAGTACCGCACTTATTAATAAACACGAGTTGATCTGCATACTTTAAAATACTTAATTGATGTGTAGCTAAAATTATAGTTTTCCCTTTCAAGTACTTTTTGAATAAATTTTCAATTATGTGTTTACCAACTCTTGAATCAACGGCACTTATAACATCATCAAATAAATAGATGTCGGAATCTTTATAAACTGCCCTTGCTAAATTGATTCTTGCTTTTTGTCCACCACTTAAAGTAATACCTCGTTCACCAATTTCTGTTTCATCACCAGCTGTAAAATTTTGTAAATCATCCTCTAATGCACAAGCATGTATCACTTTTTTATATTTTTCTTCATCATATTCTTGACCAAATAAGACATTTTCTTTGATAGTTGCATTTTGAACCCAAATTTCACAACATGATAATAATTTTTTATATATTTTGATTGATTCCAGATTTCTTGCATTTCCTGATAATGCTTGCAATAATGATGATTTACCAGAACCTATCAAACCTGTAATAATAACAAATTCACCATTTCTTACAGCTAAATTTATATTATGTAAACCTGTAAATTCATTTGAATTTGATGAAGTTAATGTATCAACTGATGAAGAGTCGACTTGGGTATTTGAATCATTACTCCAGTTGAAATTTCCATTTGTAACTTTCAAAGCATATTCTGGTTCATAACCTATCCAAAATTGATTATCGTAACTTTTCAAATTTTCATGTAACTCTTGTGTATATTCTGTTGATGAAATATATTCAGTACATCTTGTAATACCAATCAATGCATCAACACCAGAAGCTAAAGCAATAGGTAATAACATAATAGCTTGTGCTAAAATTGAATATAGACTTAAACTACTAAACACTTTACCTGGTGCACCCATTGAATTTGTTTTCCATAATGTTATAAATGAAATCATTGAAGTTAAAACAGGTAATGTAACAGCATAAGCAGTGATGAAATTTCTTAAGACTTTAATTGTAAATAAGTATCCCATTTCTGACTCTCTAGCTTTAGAGATTTTCAATTTATAAGCAAGTTCCCAAGAATAAAATTTTATAATTTTCAAGTTTTGCAAAATTTCCCTCATTAATGATATTCTTGTATCGGTAAATTTCACTAATTTATCTCTTGTTGTAAATAACTTCTTTGTTGCTAATACACAAATAATTAATGAAACTATAAATAAACCAATACCAGTCAATGCAGGAGCACCTAAATTAACGATCAAAATAACAATTGAAATGATAACGGGGATTGGAAAACAAAAAATTAATGGTGAAAACCCAATTGCCAAATCAATTCTTGTTAAATCCGTTGACATTATACTTGTAACTTTGCCAATTGGAAATTTAGATTTGGTTTCACTTGATAAATTGAAACTTTTCAAAAACAATGCTTTAGTGAGTATACCTTTTGAAATAGCACCACAAATCATTGAATTGTGAAAAAAATGATTTAATAATAACCCATTAATGGAAATTAAAAACACTGATGCAATAACAAAACCAATACCTCTATTGTATGTTGTATAAATTCCAAAATATTTAAATTCAACAAAATCAATAATCTCCTTAGTTAATAATGGTGAGAGCGCAGTAACTGTAAATGCACAAGCTAAACAGATAGCACTTAGGATATACTCAGATTTGAAAGTTTTAAATAATGCAAATGGAATAAACCAGCTTGACCATTCAAAGTCATCTAAATTACCATGTTTTGAATGATATTTTTTTTGTTGATTTATTATAATTCTATTTAGATTATCTTCCCATTTTTTGTACAATTCTTCAATCGTTAAATCTTTAGATAATTTAAATAAATCTTCAGGATATAATGTTCTTTTATAACCTTTCTTCAAAATTACCCATAACCACCAAAATCCCATTCGTTTGAAAAGGTTTGATTTTTTCCATGGGTATTCTATTCTTTCTTCATACGTAGGTATTGGATCAACTTTTTTTGAAAACAATCTTGAAAATAATCTTGATTCATTAACTATTTCAGGTTGTGATTCTAAATCTGAAGAATCTTTGGAACAATAATTTATCGATGATTCATACTTGAAGTTTCTTTGTTTTGGAGTTAAAATATGTTGATCATAATATATTTGTGAGATTGATTTCAACTTTTCTTCTTCTTCTTCAAATGGTGATCTAATTACACTTTCTTCACTCAGATAATAATCTCTATCATCCATAATGCCACTTGAGTATAGCAACTAAATTTAGAACCAAACGAAACCTCTAAATATATAGAAAATTTTTTATTTTATCATTATCAAATCTAATGTACCATGGTATAAATAATGATCTGCTCAAATCCCAGTAACACTTAAGAAATTACCCTAATAAGTTAAAATGCAAGATTTGTAATTATTATTCACCGTACAAAACAAGACATTCGATGAAATGAGTAAACTCAAGTCACAAAATGTTAAATTGATAACAAAAACATAAACTTTAAAACTTTAAATGATGAACAATATATTAAATGGAAATAAAGCCATATGCGATAAGTACGTTCTGTGCCTAATTGAGCAATAAGCAAAGATAATTTTTTCTTCTCCACTCTTAATTTCTTAGAATTCTACTGATTAAACATGGCTGAAAAATATTTTAATATTATAATTCATCTTATTGTGCAAAGTGAGTTAAAATTGTAAATAAACCTGCACAAAATATCTCAATCGGCGATTAATAAAATGCCGAAATCAGGAAAGTGAAAATAATATGCAAATTTGACTCCAAATCAAATCAACTTTATTGAGCCACCCTGGAAAACAATTAGCCCATAATAATCAATGATAAATCCTGTTGTTCTAATTCATTTAGATATCCGCTTATCATGAAGAATATCTCAATACATTTTTCTTTCCATTGTTAATTTTTAAACCCAAAAGTCTAAATTTAAAATTAATTTTTAAACCCAAAAAAGTCTAAATTTAAAACTAAAGTATTAAGTCGTAAGACATTTATTATATATTAAAACTATCAAAGCTTAATATATACATGATACTTTTGATGATGGATTAAGTTCTTTCAAATCAAATTATAATTTATGCTCTTTTGCTGATCTATAAGGAAAATAACTTGATATATTAACATCATTTTTGATTTTATTATAAACCAAATCCACCTCCAGAACTCCCACCTCCAAAATTATTACCAAATCCACCAAGACCTGAACCTGGACCTGAACCTGGACCTGAACCCGAACCTGGAGGTCCAAAATTACCAAATGGATTAGGTTTACCTTGTTGATTGTTAATATTTTGTCTCAAATTTGACGGTAAACCTTGACCTAAATTATCTAAATTTTGTTCACTATATGGATCATCAAATCTTGCTCCAGGAGGTACACCTAATCTTGAAGTTTGAGACAGGTATTCTTTACCAAATATAGGATGATCTTGATGTGGATACATACCCGATGGTTGTTGACTTTGTTGTTGATTTAATGGATCTAAATAAGGTTGAAAAGTTGGATGTTTAGGTAAACCTGGTGGATTTAAATCATCAGAACCAATTGGAGGTAAATTAATTTGATTATTATGATTTACATTTGCATCTCTAATTTCATATTCATCTTCAAAATCAGGCATATCTGCAGGTCTTTGTCTTGTTTTAGTTTGTTGTTGTTTTTGAGCAAACGCAGAATTTACACTTGGTATATATGGTTGTTGTAGTTGTTGTAGTTGTTGTTGTTGTTGTTGTTGTTGTTGTTGTTTTTGAGTTTCAGCTGTCGACGGATTATAAGGAACTTCAGGAGTTGGAGATTTTGCATTAATACTTTCAGTATCAGTATTTGATTCTTCTATAGTTGGACCATCATCATCATCATCTTTACTAATATCATCAGTATTGAAAATTGATGAATTTTTCTCATCATCAACAATTAATCGAAATTTTTTATTAAATTTTTCAATTAAATTTGATGAAATTTCACTAGTTTCTAATGGAAATTTAATTTCTATTTTTTCATCAATTGTAAACCATTCCCAATTAATTAAAGCATTATCTAATCTACCATAATTATTTAATAAATTAATTAATGATTGAATTTCTGATAAACTTGTAAAACTAAAAGTTAAGATTTTTTCATCATTATTTTTGAATAATTCTAATTGTTTTAATTTTGATTCATTTGTTGTAACTTTTAATTTATAATTATTTTGTGGGAATATACTATGGATATATTTGGTAACAAGGTAATAAGTTAATTCAAAATAATTATTAATAAGGGAATCTGAAAATGACATTGTTTGATAAACTATGTACTTTGTACTTTTGTTTCAGGTTGATAAAGTGTGAAAATAATATATAAACACGTTTTATAATAATGTTATAATTGAATGATCTGATATTATATTTGCAGCACGTTAATGATAATAAAAAAAAGTTTAGTACTTCAATCATAAAAAATCCCTGATAGAATAAAATAGAATAAAAAAAAAACATGCAGTGTCGCGAACATGCAGTGTCGTGTCGTAAATTATAATTCTTTGTTATCAGTGTCTCATTTTCCTCAAAAAAAAAATTGCGCGCCCAATACATTATAAAGCAATTATAATATACCGATCAAACTGTGTTTTCAAGAGTTTGCTCATGTCGAAAAATGCCAATTAATCGCAGATAATTTACGACGAGAAGTACAGTGTCGTGTCGTAAATTATAATTATTTGTCCGTATCAACTAATATATTTTCTGATATAATGTTTGGGTATAGATGTTAACATTTCGACAACTGTATTAATGGTACAATACAATTGGTTTAGTAGCATCTTGTGTATCGTTCGTTAAGCCAGTTACTATCATTGTATAATTAACCGCAGTTACCTCTCCAGTGTCAATAATCTGCCCCGTAACAGACGATTTCTTCCAATCGCATTAAATTTGTTTACCGAGGCTCTTGAAATATTATCCAGTAACAACCCTTGGTCTATAGAATCATCGTCATCGTCATCCCACATATCGTAACACGTAGTGAAACTTATATTTCCTCCTACAATCCCATAACATCGACTAGCTATTCTAACCGTTTCAGATGTGTCAAATACTTCTCTCATAACAAGGATTAACAATACATTACTATTAAATATCTGAACTCTCGCGCTATTTGGTATCCCTAATTTAATTAGACATCTCATTAAATTAACTGAATCTACTCCAGTAGACCCATCTCTATCTAAAAAGCCTAAAGCCCTGTATGATGATAATATGTCTGTGTCATTCTCTATTATCAGAGCTACAGTTACTGAACCTAAAATAAGACCTATTAATAAATTTGCTATTATTAACATAATGAAAATATATATAATTAGTATTAACTGCCGTATCAACTAACAAACTTTCAGAAAAAGCTTTTTTCTGAAAATTTGCGCCCAATACCTTATAAAGCAATTATAATATACCGATTAAATTGCGTTTTCAAGTGTTTGCTCATGTTGAAAAATGCCAATTAATCGAACATAATTTACGACCACCAGTACACAAAAATATGTTGAATTAAGTATTATGCAAGTATAAAGCTGTATGATGAGTCATGCATAGTAATTTAGACCATCGATAACTATAACTCTAACTATAACTCTAACTATAACTCTAACTATAACTCTAACTATAACTCTAACTCTAACTAATCGATCTCATTACTTAAGTGTAATCTATTGATTGTTAAAGCAAGCAATAAATGTAATCGACTAGTCATTGCGCTTAATTTGAAAAAAAAAGGGGGTGGTGAGAATTGAAAATTGATTTTTTTATTTCGGCATCATACAAAATGATACGGAATAACGGGAAGCGCGCGCGACCTAACTCCAATTGTATAATTTTTAATGCCATGATAACAAACTATTTGGCATTAATCTTGGTCATGATCTAACTCCAGATGTAATTTGAAAATACAATTACAGTAAAAAGAGGGGTGGAGTGTGGGTTGATGGATAAATAGTTAAATCAATTAGTCCCTTTTTGATCATGAGACTACTTAGCTAATTATGTTAATCAAACTAAACCTTATTATCAATTAGAGTTTAAACTAAGATTACTACTAAAGGGTAGAATAGAATATTCTCGAATCTAAGACAAGCTCGGTGTCAATTCCTCTACAAGCATCCTTGACCAACCGTACAACAGAACTCTACTCTACAACAGTAATTTGTCTACTCTGGTACTTATCTCGTTGGTTACTGAGTTTTACTGAGTTGTTATTATCAACAATAGTCGTTGTATAGTTAAATTTATCAGAAAAAAATAAAAATAAAATTTTACAATAGAAAATTCTTTTTTTGATCAACAATTTTTTTTTTTCTCAGACAAAGTTTTACTCATAGGTTTAAGAATCAAGGTTTTCTTTAATTAATTATCCATTAAAGTATTCAATTAAGTAGTTAGTATTATTCTTAGTGTTATTTTATCAATTAATTATATCAATTTTTATAGTGTTAACAATTGTTTACGTTTAGTTTTATTATTTTTAATTATCAATCAATTTCATTTATATTCAGTTTTTTAATATCATATAGCAAAACTTAAATCCAAGTTTATAAATGACAACTACAGTTCCTTTAATTTATTCATTTCCTGAATTTTTAGGTGTTGCTGATGCTGTTGCTGATCATGTTATATCTGCTCAAAATCAAACTTTATATAATTCAACTGATTTATCTCAAATTGAATTAATTAAAAAAGGTGCTATAAGTAGACCTCAAATTTTAAAAACAAATTCAAGTTTATCAATTATAAATAATAATAATAATAATAATAATAGTAATAATAATAATTATAATAATAATAGTAATAATGGTTCAGGTAATACAAGTAATTTTCAATCGACATCACAATCTCGAACATCAACTCCAAATCATTCACCATCTCATTCATCAAGTCATATACAAAGTTCAAGATCAACTTCAAATCTTGCTGCTGCTACATCATCATCATCAACATCAACAACAACAAATGGTCTAAAATTGAAGAAAGAAAAGAAAATTAATAAAAAACAAGAAATTAGATTTAAAATTGCAATTTCGGGTGGTTCTTTAATTAAAATTTTACATCAAGGTTTATTACCAAGACAAGAATTAATTGAATGGGATAAATGGGATATTTACTTTGCTGATGAAAGATTGGTACCGTTTGATAGTCCAGATTCAAATTATGGTCAAGCAAAAAGAGAAATTTTTGATCATATAAAAGGTGATAAATTTCCAAAAATTTATCATATAGATGAGTCTTTAATTAATGATCCACAAGAATGTGCTTATGAATATGAAAAACAATTGGTTCTAAGTTTTGCTAAAAAAGATTCTGTTAAATTACCAATGTTTGATTTGCTATTATTAGGTTGTGCTCCAGATGGTCATATTGCAAGTTTATTTCCAAATTTTGGTGAACAATTAAGAGAGAAATTTGCTTGGTGTATGTCCGTAACTGATGCTCCAAGTGGTCCAAAAGATAGAATTACTTTAAGTATACCTGTTATATGTCATTCTGCAAGAGTTACTTTTGTTGTTGAAGGTTTGACTAAAGCTCCAATTATAAAAACTATTATTGAAAGACCTGAAAAAGGTTTACCAAGTTCTATAGTTAATGAAAGTGCAGCTGGTAAAGTTGCTTGGTTTGTTGATGATGATGCATTGAATGATTTATATGATATTGTAAAGAAGAAGTATAAATTTTTAACAATAACTGATAATGAAAATTAATGTTTTATTTATATAGGTCTTATAATATATACTAGTTATATAAGAGAAGTTGATTAATTCCAGTCTAGTATTCTCAATTTATATATTAATTATCCTTGATTATATACTCTTTTGGTGCTCTACTTGCGTATTCTGTCCATGAACCATCGTAAACTCTGATTTTAGCGTCTTTCTTAATTTTTTCAATTGCAAATTTTAGTATAACAGCAGTAACTCCAGTTCCACACATAACAATTATATCCTTATTTAAATCAATGCCAGCATTTTCAAATTCTTTTACAATTTCATCAGAAGATTTGAAATTTTTTAGATCATCTCCAGTTAAAACATTTGTAAAAGGTAAATTTTTAGCATTTGGAACATGACCAGAAGACAATCCAGGTCTAGGTTCCGGTGCTTCACCAGAAAATCGTTCTTTAGATCTAGCATCTATAATTGTATAATTATCAGTTTGATTATTTTTCACCAAATCTATCAACTCTTCGTACTCAATTACTTGATCTGAATAATTTTTATTAAATTCAAATTCAGAAATACCTTCATATTTTGAATTTTCTTGCTTTATTTCTTGCACTTCAGTTTCCTCAACTGGATACTCACATTTCAAATAACTTAGATAATTATCTAATAGATAAACTTTTGGATGTCCATATAATGAGAATTGCCATGCTGCTCTTGGACTTGAAAAAATTCCAGATTTATCATAAACCACCAAAATATCAATTTTGGAGACTCCCAATTCTGAAAACGCTTTATTCATGACACTCAATTTTGGTAACATGTGAGGATATTTACTTTCTTCATCTATATATTTATCAAGATTGAAATATTTTGAATTTGGTAATCTAATTTGTTTAAATTCTTTAATTGCATTTCGAGGAGAATTTGGCATAAACCAAGTAGCATCAATTAATTTAACATTGGATTGATTAGTATTCAATAATGAGGATCTTAATGATGTAGGACTTATAGTAGACAAAAATGATTTCATCCTATTATATTGTTTTGAAAACTTATGAATGAATCGATCGGGATTAATAAAAGCAAAAATCGCAGGAGAAATTCTATAACGGAAAAAAAACGCATCTATTTGTGGAGTGTTTACTTATATACAGTTTCTATTTCTTAAGGGGTTGTTAGGGGTTCTCCTATTTACAGATGTGATTGTGAATATCTTGAAGTATCAATTTTCATGAATTCACGTAAACACATTGTAGCATATGAACTAATACCTAATTGCATAGTTAAAATGACAGCAACTTTATTCCCATCGTCATCCTTAATTATTCTATCTAATGTTTCACCTGTTTCTTTCTTATGTTCTAATAATTCCAAATCTGTTCTCACTATTGGTTTATTACCATCTTCTTCATCACTATATTTAACAATTTCATAACGTAAATTCTCTGGTTTTGTTACGATTTTTCTATAAGTACCTGTTAATGCAAATGTTTTGTTCTTTCTTGTCATTTTGAATGGATCTAAATCATCTTTAGACATGACATCAACATAGATATGTCTTAATTTTGGATTTGAAGGATATTTAACTCTGAAACCAGCACTAGGTAAAACAACATCAAATATAGTATACTTGCCAGATTCAATATCTTCTTTGGTTAATTCTTTAACTTTTATTTCTTCATCATTTGCTATATCTTCTTCAAAATCAGAATCATCATTAATTATTTCTTTTGATGTATCATTTAATACTAAATCACCTTCTTGTAATTCTAATCCATATAATTCAATTCTTTTATTAACAACTAAATTCCAAATGTATGATTGATAAGCATGTGAGTACATCATTCTTAAATTCTTAGGTACTGACATAATAGCTTTATAATAACTATTTTTATCAAATTCTTTTGTAGTTTCATCTTGTTTTTCAAAAGTTAAAGTTTTTAAAATATTATATTCAGCAATAAAATATTTTGGTAATGTTTCAAGAGCTTGTTTAGGATCTCTAGTTTCTTTCCAAATCTTTCTCGCTTCTACTGTTTTTGGATGACATATTTCTTGTTCTGATAATAATAAATCACACAATGATTTCCAATCTTCTTTAAGTACACATTTACCTAATTCATGAGAACTTATTGAAAATGAACCAAATCTTTGCATACCAAAATAATTAATAAACCCTTTAGTTTTTAAACTTTCAAATGAGTCTCGTATTATATCTTCTACTGAATCGTTTGAATCTGATTCTAGTTTGACATCTCTTAATGTAATTATAAATTCATTACCTTTTAAATCACCCAATTTTAACGGATTTTCTTCATATTTAAACCCACCTAATCTAAAATTTGTATTCATTTTATTTAATGCATTTAATCTTGTTAATTTACCCTTTGTAATACTCATTCTTTGACATGTTACACCACGACGATCTTTAGTGCCTGCATAATTTACAAATTTATGACTGATTTTCAATAATTTTGCAATCGTATTTGCAACCTCCATAGTATCTCTATTTTGTTTGAATAATGTAAAATGTAAATTTGGTTTATATGGACCGATACCAAAATTCAACACACCATTTTCATCAACTATATTTAAATCTTCCTTAGGTTTTCTTGCTGAGTTTTTCTTTGCTATTTGAATTTTAAACGTTTGTTCTGGTGTAGTTGTAGTATCTAATCTTCCATTAAATGCTTTTCTAATTAATTGATGTAAATTTGTTCTTAATTCTTTATCTGAAAACGTACTTTTAGTTTCAAATTTTGAACCATTAAAAAACAATTGCTGAATCTGTGTTAATTCATCTTCATTTATATATTTGAGTAATTCTGACTTATCTTCCTCTAACAATTCCTGTTTTTTATTTTCAATTTCTTGTTTTTCTTCAGGTGTTTTACTATCATATTCCAATTTTTCTCTAGCTTTTTTTTCTTTATTTGTTTCAATTTCAAATCCTTCATCTAATAAATGCACTACATTACCATTTGGTTCAATTTCATTGACTTGAAAATCAGAGTGTAAAGTTTTCAATTGTCCTGAAAATCCTTTTGAATTCGCATTTATAAAATGAGTAATACCAACATCAATCTCTTTTAATTCTCCTTGACATAATCGTATTTTCTTATTATTTGATATTTCACCACTAATTGTTCTTTTTAAATTTGACATAATTATATGACGAAAGTACTTTAGCATTAAATTTATTTTTTGTGATGGGGTGGGCATATAAAATTATACGAGCGAAAAAAATGGTTGCAAAATATTAAAAAAAAAAAAAATAATATATATATATATATATCTAACCAACATTGGTATGTTGAAGTCAATCATTCATTCAGAGACCTATTTAATCAATAGCTCCAATTCAATTAATGATACTAGTAATTGTGCCAGAATTCCATCATTGAAGAATGAAAATAATAATAGGTATTCTACTTTATTAGGAACTTCAAATTCAAAAAGATCAAATTTTTTAAAAGTTTGCTCATGGCCTTTTCAAAGAATTGAAAGTTTAAATGAACTAAAAAGAGAAGATGATACAGAAGTCAGAAGTACTGATTTGGAAGAAAAAGCAATGACTTTTTCAACTTCAAGAAGATCAAATTTATTTCCATTAAGAAATAATCCAAGTTTAGAAAACATTAAAAAAGTTTCATCAAGATCTAGTAAAAAAGGTAGCTTTGAACCATCAAACCGCTGTGTTGTAATTACAAATATTACATCTTCAATGGGTATTAATTCCGTTATTCAACAAGTTTGTGGTGGTCCATTAGAGAAAATTGTACGTCATTCAAATTCATTGGAAATTTATTTTATATTCCCAGAACATGCAAAACAATTTTATATGTATGGTAAGAATAGTGGTTTATTAATTGTTAATGGTTTAAAATTAAAAGTTCAATGGTTATTAGATGACGAAAATAATCAAATTATATCTCCAAATTTATTAAGCCAAATTTTACACAATGGATGTAGAAGATGTTTAATAATTTCCAAAGTTATTCCAAATAAGAAAATTAGAACTGGAGATAAGATGTTTTATCCAGAGCCTGAAATTCATTATTCTAGTTATTTAAATGTTTCAGAAATTAGATCTGATTTTAATAAATTTGGTGAAATTATGGATATTGGATCAGTAATTAGTCGTAAATTGTGCTTTAGTGTATTTTACTATGATATCAAACATGCAATCAATGCAAAGAATGAATTTGAATTAATTGGTTCTGAATTAAATTTAAAATATAAAGATTGGTCAATTTGGTATGGTAAAGATATTACTGATCGTGCTTGTTTTGCTTTATAAACCAATTGGTAGCACAAAAATTAAAAAATTTTTGCAATCAAAATTAAATCTCTATCTCTTTATAGTCAAAATGTAAACAAATATGAATTTGAAATAAAAAAATTAGTATTTATCAACTTCAATCAAATCTTTACTTATCTATCATGTCTACACCTATACGTTCAAGATCTTCAATTGGTGCAACACCCAGTAGGAATGGTTTTAGACCTCCATCAAGATTAAATAGTTCCCGAGGCTCAATTAGTTCTGGTTCTGTTGTGACGCTGCCGACCAGATCAAGACCAAATAGTTCATTTAATTTAAGTCGACCAACTACTCCATTTAAAGAACCATATACTGGTACAATTACGGTTTCAATTAGACCCAATCCCGTAAATATAGATAATAACTCCAATTGGTTAATTTCAAATAATACAATTTTAAATACTCAAGATCAAAATATTCAATTTCAATTTGATAATATTTTCAAAACTCAAGGTGGTTCTAATTTTTCAGTTTACCAAAGTTGCTGTTCTCCAATAGTTGATCAATTTTTAAATCAAGGTTTTAATGGCACTGTTTTTGCTTATGGTATGACTGGATCAGGTAAAACTTATTCGATAAAAGGTGTGACTGAAGATCCAGGATTTATTGAGTTGACAATAAACGATATTTTTAGATTCATTGAGAATAATCAAGGCAGTTATAAATATGGGTTGAATTTTTCGTATCTTGAAATCTATAATGAAAAAATCAACGATTTATTAAATTTGAATAATGTAGATTTGAAAATTAGAGATGATTTAAGTGGAGATAAAAAGATTGTAAGTCTTACTACTACTCCTATTCAATCTAGATCTCAATGTTTAGAATTGATTAGAAAAGGTGAAATTAATAGAAAGACAAGTTCTACTGATTTCAATGCACGAAGTTCTAGATCTCATTCAATTTTACAAATTAAATTAACAAAGATCGATATTTTGAATAATTTAGAGACTAAATCTACATTGAGTCTTTGTGATTTAGCAGGTTCAGAAAGAGCATCATCAAGTCTTGAAAGAAGAAAAGAAGGTTCATATATCAATAAATCTTTACTTGCTTTATCTAATGTCATTAATAAATTATCTACAAATTCAATTGATCATATACCTTATAGAGATTCAAAATTGACTAGATTATTACAACCAGCCTTAAGTGGATCATCATTAATTTCAATTTTATGTACAATTCAATTAAATTCACAATATCAATCTGAAACTATAAATACTTTAAGATTTGCAGCGAGAGCTAAGGATATAGTCATGAGTGTTGAAAAGAATACTTCTTCACAATTGACAAATAATGTAATACAAGATTTGAATAATATAATTGAACAACAAAGAAACGAAATTGAAAGATTAAAATCACAACAAGGAAAATCAACAACTACTCCAACTTCTGTTGATTCTGCTGAAGTTAAAATTTTATATGAAAAATTGGATCATTTAACTAGATTAACAGATTTGCAAAAAACAGAAACAATCTTAATTAAAAATGATGTATTGAATGATATATTAGGAAGTGAAATTGATAAATCACAAATTGTAATGCATAATATAGAAGATTTTTACAAAAGAATACTGTATGAACAACAAGAATATAAATCATATATTGAAATATTAGAGAGTAAATTACGAAATCAAGAAAATAAATCAAATAATGATTTTGCTATGGATATTTTAAAAGAACAAGAAGAGGAGATAATCAACTTAAAAGAACAATTAAGAGATAAAGATCAAATTATAAAGAGTTTAAGTAACACCACCAAATTAAGAAAATTAGTCGAAAGTAATAATAATCAAAATCATGCAACTCCAGATTTTAAAAGACCAATTATAAATATAGTAACAGGTAAAGAAAATGATATTTCAAATTTAAAAGAATTTCAAATAAGTCCTAAACCACCAAAATCAAATTTTAATGTAATTGAAATGGATATGGAAACATTTTAGTTGATGTTAATAGACGCTGTTTAATGTGAGTACCAACGGAAAATAGTACTAGATTTGTAGATGCGGCTTGTGCTCTTTATTTTGCGCTTATTTTTACCAAGATCTGAAACTTGCAGAATTCCGCTTCTGTAAGGCTGACACGTGATTTTTAAGACGTTGAACATTTTGATTTCGCCTTGATAAGATAATGAAACTAAACAAGGATTAAATATTTCACAAGCCCGTAGTTTATGTTTAGGAAATATAGATCTAATTCAACAAATAATGCAAGACACAATAGAAGTAATAGCACAAGTGATAATGGGAATAATAATATAAGTCCAGTAAGGAGATTTAGTCAGCCTAATTTGGTTAGATATGAGATCTTGCATTCTACTTCATCTAATTCGTCAAGTTCATCAAATAATTCATCAGCTATCAATAGTGATAATGAAATATCACCTGCAACATCTACCAATGAAGAAGAGAATGAAACAAAGTCAATGTTATCAGAAACAAATACGTTAATTGCAAATAAAGAAACTAGATTAGAATTACAAGAAACTTTTGTTGATAATTTTACCATGTATATACCTTATTTATTAAGACAACGTAGATTATTAGAGCAAAGACAATTGCAAGAACATGGAGATGGAGAAGAATATAATGAGGAAGTAAATTCTTCAGATGATGATACTATAATTGATGCAACTGCAAATGTAGTTACAAATTATTCACAAAATACAATTTTAAATCATCAAATATCTGAATTTGATTATAAAAGAAAGTTTATAATAGTGGGAGGAATATTGAAACATAATCTTTATATATTTCCAAGTGAGGAGTCCTTTAAGTTATTCAAAACGCTACGGTCAAATGTCAAAAAAGAAAGGAAGAATTCAATTATAGTTTATGATTCTCAAGGTAATATCAAGAAAGCTAACGTAGATAAAGAAAAAGAGAGAATTGAGATTAACGATGGAAATATAATTGATTCTCGATCACATTTGATTCCCATAGATTATAAGATCAAAGGTGAAGGTCTACCTATTCTAAAAATGGAAATGCCATATTTACCGTTATTCAGAAAAATCCCTTTGTTTACTTTTAAAAAATATTTGGAGATACCCAAACCACCAATAGATAATCATCAAGTTGAAAACGAAGAAGTTGAATTTGAAACAACTACAATATGTAATGTTCAAGCTAAATTTTTACAAAAATTTAGAAGGTTTATATTTGAATTCAAATTTGATAATAACAAGTTTAAAGTATTAATGTTTCAATCTAATCTGAAACCATTTGCGGATTTCATATATAAAAACACGCGTTTCAGAATCATTGGTCCTTCAATCACAAATGGGATAGTTTGTAAATATAATCCTCATATGAGATTATTAATAGTTGATAATGATCAACCAAGTTTATGCGATGAAGTACAGAATAAGAAATCATCATCGATTTTAAAAAAACATGAATATGAAAATGCAAAATTTAATATCAATGATTTTTCAACTTATGTAAATCCAATACCAACATCAAAATTTGCAAATGAGGAAATTTCAATAAATTCAAATGATACAAATTATATTTCAAATAATTTACCACCATTTGGATGTTTTAAAGATTCCATATTATATTCAAATCAGAATGGTCTTTTACCTAAAATGTATTCTGAAGTGGGTAAAATAGAAGTATATCAAGATGATTTAATTTTAGAATCAAATCCAGATTCCACATTCTCTGTAAATATTGATTCCATTGTCATATGTTGTATATTTGCCACATTAAGAGAAACTTCAATTAGAAATGCTGGTAAAGCTGCAAAACCAGCTGGATTTAATCATATTTTTTAGTTTACTAGGTAAAGACAAAATTCAATCCAATTCAATCCAATTCAATTCAATTCAATTCAATTCAATTCAATTACTTTGTATTAAACTAACTTTTGATACATAATTATATACAACGTTACAAAAAATTATTACTAAAATCCTGGTGATCTTGATCTATCTCTTGGTCTTTCTCTTGATGGAGATCTACTATATCTTCCTCTATCATCATTTCTTGAATCCCTATAACTTCTATCATCATAACTATTTCTTGAATTTCTATAATCATTATAACCACCACCACTTCTTGGACCACCTCCTCTACTTGAGCTTCTATCATAACCGCCACGACCTCCACCACCATAACCACCACGTGAATAACCACCACTACGAGAATCTCTTGGTGGACCTCTTGAATCATAACCTCTTGATTCATATTCACCTCTACTTGAATAGCCACCTCTTGGTCTCGAATCATATCCACCACCACCACGACCATAACCTCCACCATATCCACCTCTTGAATATCCACCACCATATCCATAACCTCCACGACCTCTAAATGAACCTCTTGTTCTAACTGAATATGGATCACTTCTAGCTACTTGAACAGTCAAATCATCTTGTCCATCCAACGCTAAAGCACGTTCACATGATTCTGCATCTTTAAATTCGACGAAAGCATATTTACCCCCATCATCTGTACGTGGTGGTGGTATGTCTAATCTAACTAATTCACCATATCTATTGAATTATATTAGTATTTTGAAAAACAATTGATTTTTAATAATTTTAAATGACATACTCTTCAAATTTTGGAGCTAAATCTGTGGCTGATACATCTTTACCAAAACCTGTAACGTAAAGGGTGTTTTTAGGCATTATTAAAATTGATTTATTGATTTATCAAAGTGTGACACTACCGACAAAAATTTCAAAGATTTCAAACCTTGAAAAATTGAATATATTACACGAACGTAGTTAAAAACCTGATTAAAAACCTGACGACATTGTATGTTAAGTGAAATGATAAAACTCTTGGAGTTTGGTATGGATTACAGAATAAAATGATTTGAAATATGGGAAACTATACATTTATGAGATTGGAGGAAGGGGGGGGGGGGGGGAGAAATAAATAAAAATGTTTTTCTATCGATTTCAATTGATTGAAATCTAATGAAATATACTGAAAGGAACATTAATCTATTATAATATGGACATGATAATAAATATAATAAATATCGATTTAAATCATTGATAATGAAAATGGGATGATTTTTTTGGAAATATTATTCATGAAAATTTAGAGGAACATGGTATACAAAATTATCCAGTGAAGTATATTTGTGACTGATTAAAATGACTATATTTAAATTATCTCTTTAATGAACTAATTGACTATCAATTTATATATATGACTCTATATCAAACTTATATCATAATAATTAAGGAATAATTGAAATTTGAATTAGACGAAGAAAATATGATAAAGAACAAAAAGAACAAAAAAAAAAAAAAAAAAAACTTCACTAATTTAAATTTGACCAATAAACACACACAGCCGCACCATTTCCATATCCGTATAGACTTCCAAAATAAGTAGTATCCTTGCTACACATGCAATATGAAAAATCTAGGTCTAATGCACGTGATTTCCCAACATTTTTTTTGTTGAATAGGTACGCACTAAGGTACTACTATATTATGTACGAATCATTGTAATACAATTAAACTTCTGTTTATCGTCTAATTTAAAAGAAAATTAAAAAACAAAATTGAATGATTGTTTAAATTGAATTAAAAAGTTGTAAGTAATTGTCAAATTTCAAATTTGGTATTGACCAATTGTTATAGCTCATTTCTAAGTATATACTACAGACACATGCAATTATAAGATAGACATAGGATTTACAATTGAAAACTGTTCACATTTGTTTGTTTATTTGTTTATTTATTGTTGCAAAAAAAGAAAAAAATTAATTTGGTATCTCTACCAATTTAAGCTTTCAACAATAAAACGTTTTATACTTTATTGGCTTAGGCTTATACTTAAGGTGATCAATTAACTACTGTTTTGTAATTTAATAGATAGAAAAAGATTAATTGTGAAACCGTGGCAATTCTAAAATTAATACTGTATTAATTGTTTTATATGACTTACCTTATCTTACTTTTTGATGTATCAATACTACTTCCAATTATTTTTCTATAAGGTCAAAAGTTATTGAATTGACAACATCATCAATAACAGCTAATAGAAGAAACACGTATCAGAATACAGTAAAAACCCGTTCAATATATAATAGATTTATATATCAGTATATAATAAATTATTATATACATAAATCTTAATTTGAACCAAAGGGAAAAAAAAAAAAATAAAAAATAAAAAAATAAAAATAAAAATAAAAAAAAAAGAAAAACGAGGAAAATTTTTATAACCAAACAAATTGACAACCAAATATTGTCAATATATACCCAGCAATATATTAATAAATTAATAGTTCAACCTACTTTAATAATTGTATTATGACAACTTCATTAATTGATGAAACTAGTCATGATACTTTAAATTCATCACTGAATTTACTCCAAAATAATACCAATAATAATAATAAAAATACTGACAACAACACCAATACCCAATTTAATAATGATAATTTAGAAAGTCATGATATACTAGACGAATTTTTAGATCAAAGAGTTTATGATTCATTAGGTAGTAATACACCTCATAATTTTCAATTTAAAACAGAAGCTAGTAATCATGATAATTTATTAGATTCATTATATACATTAACTAATGACGATGGTAAAACATTTCAAAATAATTTTACAAATCAAATAACTCCAAATAACGATGATTATTTTTATTTAGATATTAATCAAGATTTACATCCATCGACTCAATCATCAAATGATATTAAAAATTTCAATCATCAAACACCGCCACCCCAGCAACAATTTCAACAACAACAACAGAATCAACCACAATCAAATATATCATTCTCTCCTAATTCTGTGATATCACCTTATCAAAAACAATTCTCAGATTTTGATGTTGTTAGAGAAGAATTGAGTAAATTAAAATTTGGCAGTCATCATATGAAATCTGTACCTGATTCAATTAATGTACCTGATCCTTCGTATTTAGATTTTTCTGAAAAATCAATGAATGCTTTACCATATAAGTTATCATTATCAAGTTTACCATCATATTCAAGGGTCGAAACTCAAATTAAATGTAATTTAGTTTTAAATCCTGCACCAACTCAAATGTTATTACATATACCACAAAATTTAATTTCAAAAAACAAATTTTGCCTTAGTGAACCAATTGAAACTTTAAATCCAAAATTAAAAGAAAACTTGTTATATCTTGATGCTTTTGTTTTAACTTCAGATTTAAAAAAATCATGTAATATTTGTTCAAGATGTATTAAAAGAGAACAAAAAAGAGCTTCAAGAGGTAAAAATACCGATGTTGAAGAATCAGTTAATAAATCAAATGGAGCCGTTAAGAATAATCCAAATACATGGGCTAATGAAAATATGATGAAAAAAGCTGTTATTTTCAATTGTAAAGAAATTGTTTCATTTCCATCTCCAACTGGTTTAAATAATGATGTTACTAAATCTTTAGAATTATCTGCTAGAATTATTTGTTATTGTAGACATCATAAAGAATCTGAAGGTTTTAAATTATTATTAGTTGTTAAAAATTATCAAGGTGAAGTTGTTGCAAAACAAATTTCTTCACCAATCATGATCATGGATAGAAAAAAGAATTTATCAAAAGATCCATCAGCTACAAATTTAACAACTTTCAAAAAGAAACAATCTTCAGATTCAGAAAGATCACCTCAAGATATTCAACAACTATCTCCAAATTCAGTTGATGAATCAGCTTCACAAACTAATACAGATATTGAACTAAATAGTAATAGAGGATTAAAGAGAAAGAAATTATCTACTGATGATTCATTTACAAATCCAATGAATGGTTATTCACCAGTAAGTAATAGTGATACAAATATATCCATACATAATAATAATATTAAACCATTACAATTTCAACAACAACAATCACAACAACAAAACTCACCACAACAAAACTCACCATCCATCCAAAGAATTATACCTGCGCAAGGTCCAATTAGAGGTGGTATTGAAGTTACTTTATTAGGTTTTAATTTTCGCCCTGGTTTACTGGTTAAATTTGGTGCACATCAAGCCTTGGCAACTCATTGTTGGTCAGATACAACTATAGTTACATATTTACCTCCATCTACACATGCAGGTCAAGTATTGGTTAGTTTTGAGAATCATGAAAGTTTAATGATGGGAGGTCAACAACAAATATTTACATATACTGATGATACTGAAAGACAATTGATTGAATTAGCCTTACAAATTGTTGGATTAAAAATGAATGGTAAATTAGAAGACGCAAAAAATATTGCTAAAAGAATTGTTGGTTCAGATAAAAATTCAGGTTCTCAACAAACTTCTCCTAATCATCAATCAGCAAATGAATGGTTTGATAATGCCCATAAATCTTTAAAACAATTAACAACATCAGATTTATCAACTCAAGATATCTTAATAAATTTATTATCATTAGTTGATTTACCAAATTGTCCTATTATAATACCAAATTGGCAATTGACAAATAAACAAGGACAAACTTTGTTACATTTGGCAACACTCAAATCATACACAAAATTGATTAGATTTTTGATAACAAGAGGTTGTAAAATTGATTTGAAAGATAATCAAGGTATAACACCATTATTTTTAGCTTCAATGTGTGGTTATCGTGATTTAATTAAAATTTTCATTGATTGTAAATCTAATTGGAATTTGAAATTATCAAATGATAAATATTTAAAAGATTATTGTGATTTAAATGTATTGGATATGTTTGAAAATTTTAAAGAAGTTCAAGAAGAAGAAGCTCATCAATCAAGTGAAGAAGAATCAATTGAAGTTAAAAAATCATTATCATTAGATTCATTAAATTCAATGTTTGATATCAATTATGGACGTCATGTATCAAAGATGGTTCAAGAAGATGAATTACAAGAAGAAATTCAAGATTATTCAAGCTCTGATGAACATTCTTCAGAATTTGCTGATTCTGAATTTGAATCAGAAGATGATTATGAAGAAGAAGAAGCTGATTATAATCAAGATGAAATACAAGAAGTTAATGAAGTTTCAATAACACCTCCTCAATCACCACCTGGTTTATGGCAAAAAATGAAAAATGTATTTAATAATGAAGAAGATACTGATGTTTTACCCACTTATGATGATTTATTCCCATTTGGACCTTCACAAGGAAAACCAAAATCACAAATTGAACAAAGAATTAATACTGAACAACAACAAATTGAAGATCAAGGTATTCAATCTGATTCATCAGAAGATATGGTTGTAACATATATTAATCATCCAAGAAAAACAGTTGAAAATGATAAAATGTTGTTTTTCTTTTGGGTACCTTCATTAGTTTTAATAATGGCCTTATTTTTCATGATTTATATAATGGGGTATCAATTTCAACAAATTGATAAGATTAAAGATTTAATTAGAGGTTTCGTCGGTAATTTAATGGTGGGCAATGAAAGAATTGGAAAGGTTTTTAATAATAATATAAAAGCATGATTTAATAATATTTAGTTCTAGATTAATGATAATAATATATATTTTAATTTATTTTGTTCATTCTGGTATATTCTCGAATCTACTAGTATTTCGAAATATTACACAAAACCGTTCTCATCATTGAAAAAAAAAAAATAGGAATATAAATCAAGCTATGAGTGAAGAAGATTCTCATATTGATAAAAAACCAAGACACAGTATGACAGAAGAAAATCAAGAATTGTTTTCCACAGTCGGAGAACAAGCTCAAAATGTTGATAATGAAGTTAGAAAAACTGGCGCTGAAGATGCTGAAGGTCATCCAGTTCAAGAAGTTGATTCATTATGTATGAATTGTCATGAAAATGGCGTTACAAGAATGTTATTAACTAGAATTCCATTCTTTAGAGAAATTATTATAATGTCATTTGAATGTCCTCATTGCGGGTTTAAAAATAGTGAAATTCAAGCAGCTGCTCAAATTGCAGAAAAAGGTGCAAGATATGTTTTAAAAATTGAAGATAAAAAGGATTTTAATAGACAGGTAGTTAAAAGTGAAACTGCAACTGTTAGGTTCAATGAATTAGATATAGAAATTCCTCCAAAAAGAGGTCAATTAATTAATGTTGAAGGTATTTTACAAGAAATGATAACGGATTTAAAATCAGATCAAGAACAACGAAAACAATTACAATCTGAAATTTATGAAAAAATTGAACAAGTTATTAAGAATATTGAAAGTTATTTAAATGGTGAAAAATTACCATTAACTGTTTCTGTTGATGATCCTGCTGGTAATTCATGGATTGAATATGTTCCAAATGAACCAAATCATAAATGGGCAATGTATGAATATAATAGAACTGCTGAACAAAATGTATATTTAGGATTGATTTCAGCTGATGATGTTGCACAACAAAAGCAAAAAGAATTGGAAAATAAGAAACAAGAAACTTCAAATTCAAATATAAAAACAACTGGATTTATATCTGATGCAACAGATATTGAAAATTTTGAAAATGAAGTTCAAACTTTTGGTGCAACTTGTTCATCATGTTTGAAACCTTGTGAAACTCATATGAAAACTGTTAATATACCACATTTTAAAGATGTTATAATAATGTCAACAGTTTGTGATCATTGTGGTTATAAATCAAATGAAGTTAAAACTGGCGGTGCAATACCGGAAAAGGGTAGAAAAATCTTATTAAAAATTACTGATCCTGAAGATTTAGCAAGAGATATATTGAAAAGTGAAACTTGTGGTTTGAATATACCTGAATTGAATTTGGATTTAACTCCAGGTACTTTAGGTGGTAGATTTACTACAATTGAAGGTTTATTAACTCAAATTGCTGAAGAATTACATTCAAGAGTATTTACACAAACTTCTGATTCAATGGATGATGAAACAAAATCAAGATGGACAAGTTTTTTTGCAAAATTACAAGATGCAATTGATGGTAAAATTGGATTTACTATAATAATGGAAGATCCTTTATCTTCATCATATATTCAAAATGTTTATGCTCCAGATAATGATCCAAATATGACAGTAGAAGATTATGATAGAACATTTGAACAAAATGAAAGTTTAGGTATAAATGATATGAAAACTGAATAATATAAACAAATGATTGTAAATTGCTTAAAGTAACTAACTTTAACTAGAATTTGCAAAAAATATAGGTAAATTATGAGAATTATAATTCAAACGAACCTCTAATCTCTATTGGATGTATATTAAATTAAACATCCATTATAACCTGAAACATTTCTTTGCTTACATGCAGTCCAAACATAGTTTAACTTTAAACTTAAATGGTGAATAACTCATTCAATATCCAAAATTTCTTTCTCAAACTAACTTCGTTATAATTGTCCCTCATTTTAGAGTAAACTGATGATATTATTCACTGGATAAATGAAAATTTCATGACGTAATTCGTTATTCAAAAAATGGAAAAAATCGCTATTTTGCGAGTTAATTAACACGTAGACCTCATTTACCAACTTTTTTACTTAGGCAGATTTATTTAACTCTGAAAATCTTATTTATGGTATTTTCAAGACGCTATATTAGGTTTAAGAATGTTGCAAAAATTTCGAAACATGTTTGAAGAATTACTTTTCCAATTTTGAACAGCCTAACATAGAAATATCTAAGCTGTATTTAAAGTTAGAACTACGAAATTAGATATCTTCATCATGTTCCAGTTTGAACATCTAAAGTGGAATTCGATTTTTTGTAGGGTCAATTTGTTCGATTTCTCCATAGTTGAGAGAAAATTTGAATTTTTTTCAATTTTGAACCGTAGCGCCTAGAATTAAGTTCAGTACCTCTATTGGAGGCTTGAGATATATAATCTGTTGTTCGATTGAGAGTTATGGCCCTAAGTAAATAGATATGCTGAGTTTCACTTTTAGAAAAATATTTGTATGGTGAAAATATGTCAAAAATTGATCTTGAAAAAAAAAAACTTGAAATTAGTTAGTCAAAATATGTGAGATATATAATTCATGGCTCCTAATTTTGTATAAATGATTCTTATCTCAACAAATTGTGTTGTTAACGACATATATGCCGATACAGTTAGTACCATCTCGCCCAAGACTTAGCGCGAGAAATAATTTTGTCGAACCAGATTTTAACGCGTAGCAAAATCCGATTACAAAATCAAAGATTGCGCGTTTGAGATCTGAGATCGGTTGCAAATCTATAGATACGAGATCTGACACGCAATGTATCAAAATTGCGCATTAAAAATGATACAAAAAACCATTGGTTTTCAGTAATTATTAGTAAGCACTGTTCGTCATATTTCTAATCTACATCTACTGTTCTTGGTTCCACTTAAATGAGATTCTATAGCTCAATTCGAATTTGACAGTTATAAAACCCCAACTTCAATTTCCTAAACGAACTTTGATGTTTATGACTTTCTGACCATACAAAAATTTTTCTAAAAGTGTAATTCTACGTGTCTTTCGTTTTAGGGCCATAACTCTCAATCAAACAACGGATTACATATCTCAAGCTTCAAATGAAGGTGCTGAAACCATTTTTAGATGATAGAGGTCAAATTTGAAAAAATTCAAATTTTCTCTTAACTATGGTGAAGTTGACCTTACAAAAAATCGAATTCCACATTAAATGTTCAAACTGGAACATGATGAAGATATCTGATTTCGTAGTTCTGACTTTAAATACAGCTTAGATATTTCTATAGTAGACTGTTCAAAATTGGAAAAGTAATTCTTCAAACATGTTTCGAAATTTTTGAAAAAAATTCAGACCGTTATTGGAGTCTTGAAAACTTCATACATAAAATAATTGGAATAGAATCAACCATAGCAGCAATAGTAGAGGTTGCAAATTGAGGTCCGAGTATTAGGTTTTTAGCAAAATAGTGTTTTTTCGATTTTTTTAACAACGGATAACTTGATCAAAATTAAATATATCCAGTACACATAAACATCAGTATATTAAATGGACTGACCTTTATACCTAAATTGGCTTGAGGAATAGGCATGAATATTGAAGTAATTGTTCGCAATTTAGATTTCAATATTAACTATGTGAGGACGGCATAAGAGTTTGTTTCAGAATTGTTATAAAGTATAATTACTTGTCTAAAAACTGAATAAATAACGTATATATATAATCTCTATTTATCTTTTTTACTTATATCACCAAAAGTATCTTTCCAAGATGAACTTTCTATAAATTCTTCAACTGTATCCACAGTTATTTCATCTTGGGGTATATCTATAGATAATTTTGGTTTCAGTTTATCTTTCATGTGTAAAATTGGTGAATTTGGAAAATAAACCCCACTTGACATACTATCATCAAATGGATTATGAGGAGGTGAAGGTGAAGATGATGGTTTTGGTTCTTCCTCTGGTTCATTTAAAAAAATTGTTGGAACTTGATTTATCAACAATTTATCATTTGTTAAATAACTATTTCTTTTCAATTGTGAATCAAATGCAATATTATCATCTCTAATTCCTAAATTTTGATCCTTTTTATATTTCCATCTACATGCATAAGTTGCAATTGTTTCATAAACACGTTTTGTATTCAAGCGTTTAACCACTTTTTGTAATAATAATCTTCTTTCTAAATAATCAATAAGATTAAAACATTTACCAGTATCAAACGTAGTATATAATGGTAATTGTAATATAATTCTTGTAAATGATATACCTGGATCTTCATTTAATTCCATAGTTAATAAAGCTTCTTCAATAAACATTTCATAAGCTTTTCTACGTTCTCTAATTTTGGGAATATCCATTTGAGAAAGTATTTTATCTAATTCTTCATAATGTAAAGTTAAATCATATGGATTATTTGGAGAATTTCTTGTGATCCAATTTTTACACAATTCTTTAATTTCTAATGATCCAGTATAAAAATGAAATGATAATGAACCTTGTAATGAATGTAATAATTTTGGTAATTCAATTGGTTTAATATATCCTGTTCCTTGAGGATCAAATTTTTGCCATGTTCTTTTAAATTTTCTAAGTTCTTCTCTTTGTATTAATTGTGAGTAACTTGATTTGTGATTAATATAATCAAAACTATCTAAAATTAATGAAACAAACATATTTAAAAAAATATACATTGATATTATATTCCATGCAATGAATAAAATATATGCATATTGTTTTGAACCACAATCATTTCGATCTATATTATCACCAATTGTACAAAATGGTTGTGATAATGTATAATCTTCCATTATATAATTCCAACCTTCACCAAAAGAACATCTAAATAAAACAATTAAAGTTTTTGGAACTGATCTTAAATTTATATTATTTGATCCATTAGGTCCAATTTTAGTTAATCCAAAAAATTGATTCATTGCAATTGCAAAAACAAGAAATACAATTATCCAAGTAAATGATAAAGCAATTAGGGAAGGTAATGAAGCTGAAGCAAATCTTAATAATTGACTTAATCTATCAGATCGGGGAATAATGAATAATAAAATTGCAACTAAAAATAATTTATTAAAATTGAAGAACGGTGAATTTGGTTCAATTTTGAAAGAAATTTGGGTAGTTATAAAAGCACCAAACGAAATTAAAAAGTTGAACACATTCCATCTGTAATGAAAGAAAGTTTTAAATCCTTGACCTATTAATAACATAACAGCATTTAGGAAAAACAGAATTGACGCAATTTCATAAATAACAGTTCTAAATGTATTTAATCCACTTGAACTTGGGAAACATTCAGCTAATAAAGCAACAACGTGAAAGAATAATATAATATTTAATATCCTATTCCATATTAAATTCCTTTCAACTGTCATTTTATAACAGAATTTCTTAATCATTTTTAAATTTTCCGGCTTTTTTCTTTTTGAAGGTTTGACTTGAACTAATATCTTTTTTACCTGATACCATGATATTTGATCAGTTGTCATATATGCTCTACCTGTAGTTTTTGAATAATTACTAATAATAACAGAAACAAATAATGTTAAAATGAAAACGATACTAATAAAATTAAATAAAACAATGAAAAATCCATTAAATGGAGTTGCATTAGTACTTGGTACAGTTCCAATTCCAGTACTATCCATAAGATTTTTTAATAAATCAGACCAACCTTCTAATGAAACAATTTCAAATAATGAAGCAAATGAAGAACTAAATTTATTAAAATTTAATTGTGGATGTGTATAAACATTTGGACTTACTACATCCCAATTAAATACTTCATTTTGATATTCATTAAAACATTCATTCATTGTCGATTCTCCATCAAGACAATAACCTAATCTACCATTAAAAATGTTTAAACCCCATATTGAAAATGGAAATAATAAACAAAGTGAAATTATAGCAGCATTGATAATTTTACCAAATCCTGCAATCATTGTATTATGAAAATTTGCTTTTGCAGTTTCACTTATAGTTAATAATCTTAATGCTCTTAGAGCTTTTAAACCACGAACAATTCTTGATAAATTCCCATCATTTTTTAAATATGCAATAGCTTCAATCCATAATGAAATTAATACAATTAAATCAATTACATTCCATGAAGATCTAACATATGCATTAGGTGTAAATATTAATCCATCTGCAAGTACTTTAATTGCAAATTCAACTGTAAATACCAATGCAAATGAATATTCAGACCAAAAAATCCATGTTATACCATCATAATTTAGTCTATAAATTGGTGTCATATAACAAGTTAATACAACTAATGCAATAGTAGCTAAAAACATTAATACAACAACAGCTTCAGAAACAGGTTTATATGGTTCAACACCATCTATTCTATCGCCATGACTTGGTTTGACTAATCTTTGACATAATCGTCTTAATGGATGTTGAGGAGCGATAATATAAAAAACATAATTATATCTTGGATTATCTTTAAGAAATTGAATTTGTTTATTCAACATGTTTTTCCTTTCCTTCATTATATGTTGTGCAAAATTGGCAGGATCAAAATTTTCAAGTGTTACTTTATGATTATTTTGAACTTTATCATAAAATGGATTTTGGAATATGTTTAAAGTTCTCCAAAAATTTATTTGAAACCATCTTTTCCAACTCGATGAATGTAATTCTCTAATTGATTCATCATCATCAATATGGATTCTTTCTCTTTCAGTTTCCAAAAAATCATTTACGGCAGTACCTGAAAGTAATAAATTAATGACTGCTTTTTCCAATTCATCTCGAACTTCATTCCTTTTGAATAATTTTTTTTTTATTTTACTTAATAAACTTGATTCAGTAGCTATATTTTGTAATTTATTTGACATTATATCTATAAATTGTAATAATTGTTGTTTTCGTTTACCTTCTTCTGAAACTTCCAAAGTTTTAGCAATAACAGCAATGAAAACATTTAATATAATAAAATTAGATAATATAAACCAAGCAATTAAAAAAACGGACCCAAATGATCTTGAAGATGTAGTTGTAGCATATTCTTGTAAATGAAATAAACAATCAGTCCAATTTTCGGTTGAGGTAATTACATATAATGCAATAAATGAAGCTGGTAAATTATTCATGGGGAAGTCAACATCATCTAAATCAGATTCAGGAACTACACCTTCAAAATATCTTGATAAGATAACAGATACAAGAAATAATAAAATGAAATAAAATAAAGCTAAATCGAAAATTGCCTTGAAATTACCCATAATTTTTAACCATAAATTTCTTGTAATTGAAGTTGATAAAACAACACGATAGAATCTCATTAATTGAAAAACAGTAAGCCAATAATAGGCATGTCCAAGTCTATTTTTAACTGGACCTAGGATAATAATTGATGTTATAATAGCAAGGAATAAATCAAATATATTTCTCTTTGATTGAAAGAATAATCTCCAATGTGGAAGATGTATTAAAAACCTTATAATTATTTCAGCTAAGAAAACAGCAGTGAAACCAGATTCAAAACGATAAATTACATGTCTTCTTGTCTCTGACATATAATAACTTCTAAAGCATTGAACAAATAAACTTACAAAGACAGCAATAACTAATAAAAACTCAAATTTGTAATACAACCTCAAAAATATATTTTGTTTTTTCAAAAATTCAATCCTTTCTTCATGTAATTGAACTTTTTCATTACTGAATCCAAATAATTTAAATATTTTCCTACCTTCTTTCTTTTTCTTTTGTTCTTCTGCAACTTCTAATCGTGTGATATTAAAAGATGCGACAATAACAGCAATGAAAACATTTAACAACCAAACAGTCATTACAAATATACAACCAATGAAAAATAAACAAGCTGTCATATTATCTGAATCCATTGTATAATACATTATATCAGTAAAAGTATTAGCACTCATTACAACAAATACTAATTCTAAACTTTGTAAAATATTATCAAAACTAACTGTTCCACCATATGGATTATCACCAGAAATACATTGAGAATACATTGGACATCTATAACCTTTAATAACACCAGTACTATTCCCTTGTCTATCTAGATAAGACATAGGCTGACCTTGTAATCCAATAAATGATCCGCAATAAGAATCATCATTTATCCATGATTCATCTGGATTATTTGGATTTGTCCATACACAATGTCTAGTTAATGAAGATTTAAAAGATTGAACACCAATAATTCCAAAAAATAACCAAAAACAACCAATGAAAATAGAAACATCAATTAATTGAGGTATGGCAATTTTTAAAGCAGTTAAGATAGTTGTGGTACCTGTTGTTAAATTACACAACCTCAAAATTCTTAAACAACTTAATGATCTAAATAACATAATATGATGATTTGCATCATAATGATTAATTGATAATAATAGAGAAATCCAAAAACAAACCATGGATATAAAATCTATTCTATGCCAACTATGTCTCATAAATGCTCTTTTAAGTTTGAGGGTATCAAAAGTTTTCTGTATTTGTGGTTTGAAAAATGTATTTGTTTTTCCAATTGGTTTAATATTTGATTTTGAATAGTGATGCAGTTTAATAGGTTCTGAATATTTCTTACCTAATAAATTATCAACACTTTCATTTAGGTTAATTTCTTTTATATCTACTTCGTCACTTGAATTTTGGTCTGAGTATATTGGATCCTCTTTCTTCCAAAAATTTTTAATTCCAAAATATTCAAATATTTTGATTATGTTAGAAAGACTAAAGTATTGTTTTTTTAATTCATTTTCAGGATACGCTATTCCTAGATCTTGAAACATTATCCTATCATCATAAAAACCATATGCTATCATTTTAGCAAATATTTCAATTGTATAAACTATATTAATTATAACTAATAAATAATCAGCCCAATTATAACCAGTGTAAAAGTACCCATTTAATTTTGATGGATTCCATTGTCTATAAGATAATAAAGCAACTTGTAAAATTAAAACAATGAGGAAAAAGATATCATTAAAATTTGAATCTAATAATTTATAACAATATTGTCGTATTTTTGATTTTGGTGAAAATATTCTTAATGAATTACCAAATAAATGCATTGTTTCTAGATTCTCAAATTCTGGTTTCTCAAATTCTGGTTTCTCTTCTTGGTCATAGGATAAACCTAAACCTTCAGTTACCTCATTTTCGTCGGTGATTGTTAAATCTGGAATTGATTGATTAATACTCCTTATTGGAGATTTCAAACTATGAGAATCAAAAAATGAATTGGTTTCATGTAATGGTGTTTTTAATGAATTTGTATCAATAATGCTCAAATCATCATCTGTGTTTTGCCGTCCAGTACCTGCTATACGATTAGATATTCGAGATATAGCATCTTTAATTCTAGTTGGTGATGTATTTTCATCTTGTTGAATTATACCAGATTCTAGATGATATGGAGTCAATTGTGGATGTAAATGAACGGGACTTGAGATTTGAGATTTAACATCATCATCAAATGGAGATCTTAGATTTTTCATTGGTGATTGAGTACTAGTCATATCTTGTAATGGAATTTCATTTGTAAAATTTTCTTGATTTTCATTTGATAGACTTCTTGACGTCTTTTTAGAGACTGGAAACCAATTAGCTTCATTATTATCACTACCTAAGGCAAAATTTAAACCTTCTTTAAATTCTTTCAAGTCATCATCGGTGTTAATTTGTAAATTAGGAGATTGTAAAGATCTAGGAGATGACGATTGATGACTTATGACACTTAATCGATTATTACTCCGTATTGATATTTTATCAGAATGATACGAGTTTCTCTTGGGGAGTTCATCTGTTATTATATGTAATTTCGGTAAACTGTTGCCAGGGTTTCTATTAGATTGTTGTTGTTGTTGTTGATGATTAGTTGAAGTAGAAGTTGAAGTATAAGTTTTATTTGGATCATATTCTTCATCATATAATTGAGAATCATCGAATGGTGAAGTATAATTGTTATTCATTCTTGTATAATACTTTAAATCATTATTCGTCTATCTATTAATAGTAATATTTGATTTTGTTTGGTCCTTTTTTTTAGAAATAAGAGAGGCGTAGATTTTGACACATAACACTAATTAAATGACACACAACTAACTGGCAACAGCCTATCCAATATAACTATTACTGGAAGAGACTTTGGACTGAATAGAATGAGGTGGTGATAGTAGTATAAAATGAGTAATTTATGCTATATAAAAATTTAGATTTGATCACGTGTATGATCACGTGTATATAGTTTATATTATAGATTTCCAATTCTACATCAACACTCAAATTGTTAACAATAGATACTCTAGATCTATTATTACAAAAGATTTTTAATGAAATAGAATGTGGTGATAGTAGTTACTATTGAGTTATTTGTCCTATATATACATTTATATACACATTTTAAATTCTTTATCACGTGCTTGGTCACGTGTAAACCGGCCAATTTATAAATTTTTACCAGTTGAAAAATTTTGTATCTGTCAATCTACATGTCACAGATACTAAAATCATTTCCAACCAAGGAAAGACTTCATCATATAAGAAAGACATATTGTGAAATATTCAATCAATATTATAATCCACAAGCAAAAAGAAATCCAAATAATATCCTAAGAAAACCTTTAAAAGGTCCTCAATTTTTAAAATGGTATGGTGATAATTCTTCAACTCCAACTTTTTCAGATTTTAAAAAATGGTTTCCTGATTTAAAATTAGTGGATCCAAGAGAAACACACAGACAATTTATGGTACAAGATAGAAAGAGAAGAAACAAGGGTGCTCCAAAGAAGAAAAAATTGTAAGTATGTCAGGATGCAAGTCAGGATGCAAATGACAATTATTCAACATGTATATATCTATTTAAGTTTAATTTTTTTATGGATAAACGTATCTGTTAACTCATCAATATGTTTTCTTGATTTTGGGATAATTTCATAATCAGATTGATACTCTATGACGATATTGTTATTTATAAATGTTGCATTTTGTATAGTCTGAACTGATTCATAAATTACGTTTAGCTGAGTATCATAACTTAAAACCTGTGAGTCTGTAACTATGTACAATATTTTGTCGTAATATAATTTTAGTATTTGTCCAGTATATTCAAATTTCGAATTAAATTCATTATTGAAAACTAGTAAATGTTGACCAAGGTTGAAACAAATGTTATTCTCAAACACTTCTAGACTTATAATGTTCTTGTACTCTGTAGGTATACTCAACTTTTTCACGATTCGAAGCACTTTCATTGATAATTTCTGGATATTGAGTACTCCATTATCAATATTTGCAATTAGCAAATCATCATTTACCCACCTACATATATAATTACAATTCAACCCATCTTGAAAATTTTCAATATTGATAATTGGCCTCTCATGTAAATTATAAACCATTAAATGATATCCAAACAAACTATCATCAGTATTAAATATCAGCAACCAATTACTTAACGGAGACCACTCCATGCTTGGATTAGTAATTAAATTTGACTCAATTTGATAAGATTTGATAAGTTGACTAGTTGATCGATTATTATAAAAATGATAAATTTTGGGAGGGACATTATATTCAAAACTATTAGCTATAATTGAATAAAATCTCCTATCTGGTCTGACTACGTGTTTTCCAATTGGTTTGTAAATCTTGAATAGCACTCTAGTACAATCAAGTGAATATATTTTTGCAATTAGGTGATTTTTCGTATATACAATCAATTGAATACTATTTTCATAAGCACCTGTTCCATTCTTGACCGGAGGAATCCAATGAAATTCTGATATTCCGTCAAATTGTGATTGTTTGATTATGATTGGAGGTGTATTTGATTCTCTGATGTCATATATGAGTAACTGATCATTACTGATTATTCCAATTTTTGTAGATTTATTACCTGGTATAATTTCTTCCCATTTTAAATGACTAATATTCAGTTGTAATTGATATTGTCTGTATATTGATCTATTCTGTATCTGTATTATCTGTAATCTATTATCATTAATTGTAGCTATATATTGGTTACATTTCGATATTTTCATTCTATAAATAAATTTGTTTCAGATTTTTTCAATTCAAAACAAAAACAAACAAAAGAAAAACAATAAACAAACAAATGTCAAATAATGATGATAGTAGTAATGAAGAGATAGAAAGACCAAATAATCGAATACTGACGAGGGATAATAAATTATCAAGTTTATATAATTCAAGTCAACAAAGAGAAAGTGATTCCAGGTTCGAAGAAGATGGTGAATTCATATATAAACGAAATGCTTCTCCAGATCAAAGAAAAAGAAGAAAGATAAATACAAACACACCAATTACTCAAATTCTTGAAGATCATATAGTTTCATCAACAGAATCAAAACTAAATAAATTGAAATCTCCATTTGGTGAATCTGATCAATATATATCACCATATAATCTACAATATCAAGTATCTAATCGAAATGACGAATCTAGCTTTGACAGGGTCAAACAATTAATGATACGGATTATGAAAAAACAAATAGAAACAGAAATGTTTCAAGATCAAGATCAAACAGTAGTCAACTCGGCAAAAATAATAAAAGAAGAAAGTATAAAAGATTTGATCGATCGACGAATTCATATCAATAAACAATCGGATCTAATAGTTGATCCAATAATAGTACCTAATCCGCATAATGTGTCAAATTGTGAAAATATTCAAATATATTCAAAAAGGATAAAACAATTAAAATTGCAATCTCATGAATGGAAAGAAACGTTCAAAAACTCAATACAACCAGTAGAGAATATGAAAATTAATTATGAAGAGAATGAGAAGAATGATGACTTGATTAATGAGATTAAAAATGATTTAGAAATCGTTAAATCAAATTTAAATATAAGTTTAAATATTGATAAATTATATCATAAATCTTATCAACTACTAAAGTCAACTGATGTAATGAAACTGATTAAAGATGATACGATTAAAATTCAACTTGAAAAATTGATTACAAATTATATTAATACAAAAGATAAAATTGATCCTATTGAATTGATCAAGGCTATTTGTGAATTAGAATCGTAAAGATGCAGTAATGATGCAGTAAGGATCCAGTAAGGATGTAGTAAGGTTGTAGTAAGGATGCAATGGTAAGGATGCCAAAATGGTTTATACAATCAATTACAGTCTCTTGTAAAATCTATGTGTTCCAAAAGATTTATTAAAAGCAATATTAAAGTCATGTGTAAGGATGCCAAATGGTAGACAAGCATGCAAGAGAGGATACAGAGAGTTTTAAACTAATACAAATGACCAGATATACTATCAACTACAATATCTTGTATTATCATTATATTTCAGTAGATATGATAAAAGTAGTATGTCAATTAGACCCATAAGTAACGTTACAAGACAGGATTCAGAGAGCTTTGCTATAAATATGAATGACTAAATACATTCGACTACTATATCTCGTATTATCTATATATTCCAATAAATTTAATAAAAGCACTGTGTCAACTAGACTCAGAAGGAAGATTGCATCCTTACATTATTTATTTGAAAGCCATTAAAAGTATTCAAGAATATATATATCGTCTTTATTCTAACGTACAGAATTGGGATCTGAGAATCGGGGCATAGATCTCATTAAATGGACCCTGAGAAAAAGCCATACATCTACAATGCCTTGGGTTTACGAGATCAAATTAAGTATATTTAAACTAGCATCATTCTTGAATATAAACGATTAAACTATCTTATATTATATTTATATATACCAATAGATTTAAAAAAAGCAATGTGTCAACGAGAGTCATAATAATTTTGTAATCTATATATTTATCATTATATCGTGGAAGGCATACAGTGAAGATGTGAAACACAATGTGAGGATGCGACAGCAATTTAAATACAGCTTAAATAAATTTGCAACCTGACAGGCATCCTGACAGGTCACCCTGACAAGCATCCTGACAAGCACCCAGACAAGCATCCTTACTCCTTCTTTTTAAATAAAGGTTCACCAATATTTTTTCCTCTTAATCTAACACCCAAAGCTCTTTCTAATTTACCTAATAATTGTTGATTTGGAACAGCTCTACCAGCTTCATAATCATTAATAACATTTGGTTTCTCATTAACTTTAGTAGCTAAATCTTTTTGAGTTAATTTTTTATCTTGTCTTGCTTTTTGTATAGTTCTACCTACACTTTGATCTACTTTTTTAACTTGAACAACATCATCTGTAGCATCTAATTTAGTTAATCTTTGACCTTCAGGATTTGATTTTGTATTTGCTGAACCATATTTTTTTTCAGTGCCAACTACTGCACCAGATCTTCTAGCTGCATTTAATTGAGATTGTGTCTTTGCAACTGTTTCTCTTGGTCCACCGCCGCCTACTCTTGCTTTTTGACCGATAATAGTAACTGAATCCCAATCTGACATAATAAGTATATACGTTGTTAATAACTGATGATTTTTTTTTCACTCTCACCAATTTATTTCTTGCCACTTTTCATTTCACACGACTAAGGAAGAACAGTACAGAGCAATAGTTGGTATAATGGATATTGAAGTTCAATCTAGATCAAAGAATATTAAATCATATTCGTCGAATGAATTATCTCCTGACTCATTAGTAGAAGAATTAATTCATGAATTGTCATTTGATAACAAACTCTCACCTTATAGATTAAGATTAACAAGATTAGATAATGGTAAACAAGTACCATTAATTCCACATAAGACTTTTCATGAAAATGGTATTTCTGAAAGCTCAGAGAAAATAGGTTTATTTGTTAAAGATTTAGGTCCCCAAATTTCATGGAAAACAGTGTTTTTAGTTGAATATTTTGGTCCATTTATTTTCCATCCTATATTTTATTATATTCAATCATTATATAATACTATTGATTTCCCACATACTGAAACTCAACAATTGGCATTTGTTATGGTTTTGTTACATTTTTTCAAGAGAGAATATGAAACTTTATATATTCATAAATTTTCAAATTCTACAATGCCATTGTTTAATATTTTTAAAAATTCAACTCATTATTGGATATTAAGTGGTTTTAATTTAGCTTATTTTATATATTCACCAGAATATAATAATGGAATATCTAAATATTTATTTCATACAAGTAATCATTCAAGTTTGATTAATTATTTACTATTTGGAGTTTGGATATTTGCTGAAAGTTCAAATTTTATTACTCATAGAATATTGAGTAATTTACGTGACAAAGATACTAAAAATTATGTTATTCCATTTGGTTATGGTTTTGATTTAGTTTCATGTCCTAATTATTTCTTTGAAAGTGTATCTTGGCTTGCTTTTGCTTTATTAGTTAATAATTGGTCGGCATGGGTATTTTTTTTAGTCAGCTCTGGTCAAATGTATTTATGGGCAATTAAAAAACATCAAAGATATTTAAGAACTTTTGGTGATGACTACAAGAAGTTAAAAAGAAAGATTTATATTCCATTTATTATTTAGATTCAAATTTAATTGAAATACTATTTACACAGTGTCTTTCATTTGTTGGATTTGAATAACCTTCATTACGGAAAATATGACCAAGATGGCTAATATAGTTAGTATTAATATATAATTAAGTGTTTGTTGCATTTATAAGTAGCAAGTAGCTGCTTTGCATCCTGACTGCTTTTGCATCCTGACTTGCATCCTGACTTGCATCCTGATGCATCTTCACATCCTTACATACCCATCACAATTAGAACATCTCATTTCTTCTCTAATCATTCCATGAGATTCATCTTTATAAATTTTAATTGAATTTGGTAATGCTTGATAAAAAGCTGGCCAACCACAATGAGCTTTAAATTTTGTATCTGCTTTATATAATGGTTGATTACATCCAGCGCAATTATAAAATCCATCACTTGCTGGAGTATTTGTATATTCACCAATATAAGGAGCTTCAGTACCACCTTGTCTAAGAACTCTAAATTGTTGTGGAGATAAAATAGCTTTCCATTCTTGTTCAGATTTAGACATGTTTCTAATAAATTGTGTATTCAATCTATATAACTTGTTCATCTTAAGAAATAATTGTAACTACCAATTGTGTCATCTGTTTCCCATTTAATTTCAATATCAATTTCTCTTGGATTAATTTCACTTGGTTTACCACTAATTCTACCTTTTATAATATCTCCTTTCTTCAAATCAAGAACCTGATTCATATAAAATACAGTTTGTTTCCAATGTGTATATTGATTCATTGGACCAGTTGGTAATACAACTTTTTCATTACCAGGAAATATAGCATCCCAATAAACGACATAAGCATGACACAAATCACTATCAATAGCAGTTAATTCAAATGGTTTATCAAATGACAACTCCTCTTTTTTAACAGTATTTATATCAAATTCAAAAAATTTACAACCATTAGTGATTAATGATTGATTATTTACAGTATCTACTAATGGTTCTTCCATTGCAACTTTAATAAATGGTGAATAATCAAATCCATAAACATCTTCCCAATAATAAATTTTTTCATCTTTATATTGTCCATCTTCGATACCAGCTATATACATTTGACATTTATCAGGGAAAATTAAACCATTAGGAACTAAATATTTATCTCTTGCATATAAAACAGTATCTAACATTGATTCATATAATAAAAAATATCCCATCCATTCGGAGATAATTATGTCAACTTTATCTACAGGTAATTCAATATCTTCAATTTTACCTTGTAATAATGTAATTTTATCTGAAAATCCATTTAATTCAATTATTTCCTTCGCTTTGTTTATAATTGAACTCATATCTACTGAATAAACATGTTTTGCTCCTGCTTTTACGGCAAACATTGATAAAATACCAGTACCACATCCAACATCTAATACAATTTTATCTTTAAATAATTCTTTATTACGATACATTGCATTACGATAACTTAATGTTCTTGAAGTATCTTTTAACATTTCTTCATGGATACCAAAATGATCATACGATGAAAAATAATGCTGTTCATATTTAGATAATTTAGATTTATCAGTAGCTGATTCACTCATTTGATAAGGTTTTCGTAAATTTGAAAAAAAAAAATAAAAAATTTTCGTGGATCACATCTCACTAAATTTTTAGATATGGTGTTTTTGTGTGAGTATAGAGAATACGAGATCTTAAATTCAAGTTGTTTGTATAGATGTGATAGAATTTGTATTGTTATCTTTGATCAGTTTGTTTTGGTTGTCGGTGGAATGATCAAAGTTTATAGATTTTTGTAATATTTTGCAGCCAAAAGAATGATCTCTAACTTCGGATTCAATATGAACACAAGAAGTGAATGTAATAATATGAAACAAAAATAGATGCAATCTAAGTCTACTGTTTTACAGTGTTAATCTGATCTTCGATTTACGAAAGTGAAATAATCATTTAGTGGTTAATATGATTTCGGCCTGGATTATGAAAGCATTAATTTATCACTATGTTCAGCTTTTTTTATTATCCAAGTACTTGGATTAAGCTAGATTTGGACCAATTTATAAGTGAACAACTCTTCGATTTTGATTAAAACTCGATCGACTCAATTTGGTAGCATATTTTAATTTTGCAACCAAATAGTAATCGACTAAATTTCAGTTAAATGCATATATGTTTCCATTATACGCAACACAATCAATTTCTCTTAGCTTATTATACGTCGGCTGCTGAGATTGAATTGATGTATATCAAATGTACACTGAGCTATTAGTTTTTAGGAAATTTTATGTATGGTGAAAAAATGCCAAAAATTCAAACGACGAATGATTCGAAATCCAAACTTCAAAATATGTAAGTTATATAATTCAAAGATCACTGAGCTGGTCGTTATCTCGAGCTAATGCGTTATTCGGGATAGATATATAAGCGAATTAGTTTAGTACCAGGTCGCCTCAAGGCTAGTGCGAGAAAATAACTTTGTCGCACCGAAATTAAATTTAAATCAGAATATAGTACAATAAGAACAGATATATTCAAGCTTGCCATATACTCTATAACAATAAGTACTTAAGGCACATATTACAGATTGTACTATTTATCGAACTTACTCATATACTCTGTAATTATTAAAAAAGAATTAGGGGAATTGGATAGCATTAATTAAAAATTTTTGCGGTTAATAGAGGCGAACCTTTTTGTATTCAAAAGTGAAATTAACAATTTAGATGCCCTTCTACGTTAGACGTAGCCGTTTAAAATTCAAGCCACCAATAAAGATACAAATTAGCTAATAACTGGAGTGGTAAACTAAAGTGATTTGGTTTTGCATAGGAAATGAGTTTTTTTTTAGTAAAACTTCATTTATGATCTGGGTTTTATTATGCACAAGTCTCAAAAGAACCTAGATGTTCAAATTTTAAAGGAGAAATTTATACTCAGGGTAACTAGTTTAGTGGTATAACGTTCCCTTAGCAATTGTTCGAACTAGGCTGTTTGTAATTAACACCTTTGAATGCGAACAAAAACTTGGGAAAGGTCAGGGGTTCGATTCCTCTGTTATCCATTTTTTTCTTCATTCTACAGCTTAAACATGAGCAGAATTGTATTTTTTGCTGATCTTCTAAGTGAGATGCGTGTTTCTATTTCGTGTAAACACCAAAAATGCTTTGCTACCAAATGCGAGCAGAAGTGCTACTCAATCTGCTTATTCGTCAATTGATCTTAAGTACGTTCATGCTTATTTTAATCCTGCGATTAAGACTTGATCTTATTTTCAATTGTCAAACAATTGACGCAAATTCAATTTTCTAACTATATTAGATGGATGATTCATTTTGTGTAAATTTCACCGAATTTTGAAGTTTATAAGTGTAATCATTGGTTCCATTTTGCTCAGTTATTGTGACAAGTCAGAGATTAAACTCAACTTCTTGTACCAAGCTTCTAGGGGTTAACCTAAGTGAGTTCTGAAGGTTCAATCCTATCATTAGAAGTAGATTTGTGTTATTTAAAAGTATTCCAAGTCATCGTCAAATTACTTCGGTTTAGCATACTTGGCAGAATGTTGGTTAGTAGACAGTATTAACAGAATTGTTTAGTCAAGATTTATACTTAGAGCCCTAGAGGGTAGTGTAGATTGTCTTTGGTGTTTTAAAAATTTGAATCTGAAATCAAATCTATATTTGTTGATTCCGCCGCACGAAAAATACATCTCGGATCTAAGATAAGATCGGAACTCACACAAAAAGATGGATCTAGGATTTTAGATCTTGACAGACGCTAATAAAAAAAAACCCAAAAAACAAACAAAACAAACCAATAAATAAAGTTAGACAATCAAATTCTTATATTCTCTATACAACCAAAATATCAATCAATCTAATTTTATCACTTTAAAATGTTTTTCAGCTTCTTCCAATGTAAAATTAAATTCAGCTTGATGCCATCTTTCATGCAATCTACCATGCATTAAAACTAAATTCGGTTCATCACCTTTTGTATCATTAACTTTTTTCTTACCAAATAATCTCAGTTTATCAACACTCCATTGAGATGTAGTAATCTTTTCCCAATCTTTTGGTTTATTAAAACCTAATCTTTTCAATTTTGGTGAATTCAATAAATCAGGATCCAAAACAGCTGTATTCTTTGGTTTACTAAAATATATCAAAACTAACCTTTTATAATCTTGTTGATCAATTGGTGAAGAAACAACTCTATGAATACTTGATTTAAAATAGCCACCAGTGATAAATTCCATTGTATCTGCAATATTTACAATTAATGCATTTGGTTTATGTCCAACAAAATTCCATTTACCGGTATAATAATCTCTAATCTGTAATGATAATATTGGCTGACTAGTTATAAAAGTGAACCCACCTGAATCCGAATGACCTCTTAATGTTTCATTATCAACTTTCTTTAAATCTTCTTCTGGCATTTTTTCATATTGCATAAATCTACCAGGTCCAGCTCCAGATTCATCATAATTTCCAGGAAATGTTTTAAAGTAGTTATCAAATAAAAAACCTTCAGGTACTTCTAAAACTATATCACATAAATTACAAAGCTTTCTTAAAACATCATTATGTAAGAATCTATAATATTCAGCAATTTCTTTTAGGTAATCTTTAACAATTTCTGGATAATTATTATATTCTAAGTCGAAAAATCTATCATGTTGCATATTATTAAAATTGTAATGAGTTATTGAGTCTTCAACACCACCTTTCATTGACCAATAACCTTTTGGTTTGAAACCAGAACCTTGTTCACCACCTAAAGATTTACTTCTATCTTCCAAATCACTTTTTAAAGCACCAGCTAAATACTTTTTTTGTTCTTCAATTGGAAGTTCTAATAATGATTGTGCAATTGATTTTAAAAATTCGATTTTCTCAATTGGGAAACCGTGATTGATTATGGAGATGAAACCATATGTAGATAATGATTTTTCAATTTTATCAGCTAATGATTTTCTTGTAGCAAAGTTTTCATCATCATACAATGAAAAATCAATAGTTTGTAAATCTATTTTATTTTTAATTGGGAACTTTGATAATGGAGCTTCAATGAAAGGTCTTAAGTTGTATTTATTTGGAACGGGCATTTTCTATTTAAGATTTAGTAAAGTTTTCTTTATATATATCTGAAAACTGTGGAATGTGGCGTTTCAAAAATTTTGAACCGAGAAATAAGCAAAAACCGATTACTTGCTCATAGCGCTTATTCAAACCGTTTTAAGTATAACTGTATTGTATCCGGCGCAAGATCTATCAATTGTGGTTTGATTAGATGATGATATGTTGATTTGTGAAACATTGCAATTTATGAGATATAAAAATTCTTGAAAATTACCCGATTAGGACAAAGCGCGATTATGTTTCAGAACACGCGCAATTTATCATAACTTCATTTATTCGTAAAAAAGTAACAACAAGAACTAAATACGATCATTTTTCAATATCAACATGTTCAACATGTTCTCTTTCTTTCAACATATCTTTAATTTGATCACCATCCATCTTTTCCATCATTTCACCAGCTGAAAATACTTCAACTTCAGTTGATTTGAATTTTCTAGCACCAACTTTATCTCTAAATAAGACATCCAATTCTGCAAACGTTTTCCCTTTCGTTTCAGGTAAAAAGCAATAACACCAAATGATTGAAATGAAACAAATAACTGCCCAAACAAATGAACTTTTTGCACCTAAATTCCAAGCTGTAGGATTAAGCATATAAGGTGTAACTATACCAACAACTATATTTCCAATGTTGTAACAGTTTCTTGCCAACATAACAGTTCTTGCTCTTAATCTAGCTGATGGCATTTCCGCAACAATACAATAACATAACGGACCAATTGTTAAATCATAAAAAAATGTATAAACTAATAGCATACTTCCAGCTCCCCATTTAGCAGATGTTGAAGTTGAGACCCCCATACCACCAGTAATCATTAAACAAACAAACATCATACATAAACCATAAATATAGATTGTAAAACGACCAAATTTTCTAGAAATGAACCATGATCCTAATGTACCAACAATACCTAAAGCATATTGGATAATTGAAAATGTGAATGACATTGATTGTGCTAAACCAGCTTGTTGGTAAAAATATGTACTATAACCCACTAGAAAAGTTAGTAATGTAGTTAACCAATTTAATAATTTACATACTCATTGTGGCACCTGTAATACTTTGAATAAGCCATGTAACACATGCTATATGTGTACGTCTTAAATTTGAACCTTTGAAGCAATCTACTATTGAACCTGTAGAATCAATGGCACTCTCTTCTTTAACAGTTAATTGTATTTTTGTGACAATATTTTCTGCAACAAGTTGTTTTTCAGGCATTGATAATAATCTTGTAACTGATCTTTCAGCTTCTTTTAATCTACCTTTTTTAACTAAAAACCATGGACTTTCGGGAGCTAAAAAGACACCAATTAATAAAGGAATAGGCCACATCCATTGAAGACCAAAAGCAATTTTATAAGAATCTGGATTTGACATTGTTGAAATCCCTTTGATAACACCACTTGAAATCAATTGACCAAAAACCCAACAAACATTAATGTAAGTAGTCAAGTATAATCTTAAAGGTACTGGAGCAACTTCAGCTGCATAGGTTACTGCTAATGTTTGATAAGACCCCCAAACTAAACCCAAAAGAACATAAGCAACAAGTAAAACTTCAATATTAGGTGCAAAAAATTGTATAAAAATCAAACCATTAATGGCACTCAATGTGGTCATTAAAACTTTACGATAACCTATTTTATCAGCAAAAATACCAGCAAGATAAAGTCCAATAATTTGAGAACATTGATAAGACATTGAAATACCAGTTTGCCATTTAGCAGGTATTTGATATTCATCTAATTCAGGATAATATTGACCAAATTTTTGTGTAAAACCAGGAAACGCAAAGAAACTAGTAATTAAATTTAAATCATAACCTTCCATAACTAAAGCTGTACTTAAAACAACTGACCAACCAATAGCTTTAGGAAATGTTCTAATACCTTCTAATAAAGTCATATGTTTATCTCTTTTATCTTCAGCTTTAGCTTCATTTGATAAATCTAAAAATTTACTAATATAATTATCATTAGAGTTAGTATTGGTATTACCAACTGATGATAATTTATCTTCAACTTCACTAGTTATTGAAGTTGTAGCAACTAATTTTTCACCTTTGTTATTGTCAGACATTATTAATTATTAAAATTGTCCCAAGGAAATTCATTGCAATTTATATTTCACAAAGACTCGACATACATTTGGTAACTTTTCGAAGATTTTAAGAATTATAGCACAAATGTGAGTTGCAAAAATAATAATTTTGGAGGCATTTTACCATAGTGCAGTTTAAAGTTTCCGAAGCTTATTGTTCCCCACATATCTCTTGACAATGACAAGAAATGTCTTTGTGTTAAGAAATTCAATTTTAATAGGTTGAACTTTAAAATTAGCACACGGCTCGACCCTGCCAGAAGTTATGGAAAATTTTTTCTATTTCTCTCGCGTTTCGGATTATCTTATTATCGCAAAATTGGAATCTTCCCCGAGCCATATCGACTACACTATTTACAGAGTGCTTTAGTCTTTTCAACAAAAGAGTAATTCAGCAATATCTTTCCTCAATTCAATACCTTCGCTTTTCCGTCGGTTATTTCATCGAATACTACATGTCAAACCAACAAAATTTTAATTTGCGAGAATTCGAGCGAGATTTATGGGGTAATTTCTTAACAAAGGAGTGGGATCTGAATTCTCGGAATAATTTTTAAAATTCTAGCGAGAAATTTTACGAAAATTATCACCAACACCAATGTTGAAAAATATATAAAGATATCAAAATGTAGCAATTCAAATTAACTAATTAACGATGACTATCGATTATCAATGGTGGAAAACAGCTACAATCTATCAAATTTGGCCTGCTAGTTATAAAGATTCAAATGGTGACGGTATTGGTGATATTCCGGGTATTATTTCAACTTTAGATTATCTTAAAGATTTAGGTATTGATGTTATTTGGTTAAGTCCAATGTATGATTCTCCACAAGATGATATGGGATATGATATTAGTGATTATCAAAAAATTTACCCCAAATATGGTACATTAGAAGATATGCAAAATTTAATTGATGGTTGTCATAAACGTGATATGAAAATTATTTGTGATTTAGTTGTTAATCATACATCATCAGAACATTCATGGTTCAAAGAATCAAGATCTTCAAAAACAAACCCCAAAAGAGATTGGTATATTTGGAAAAAACCAAAATATGATGAACAAGGTTATAGACAACCACCAAATAATTGGGGATCTTTTTTTTCAGGTTCAGCTTGGGAATATGATGAATTGACTGATGAATATTATTTAAGATTATTTGCTAAAACTCAACCAGATTTAAATTGGGAAAATCCAGAAACTAGAGATGCAATTCATAATGATGCTTTAAAATGGTGGTTTGAAAAAGGAGTTGATGGTTTTAGAATTGATACTGCTGGTTTATATTCAAAAAATCAAGCTTTTCCAGATGCACCAATTGTTTTTCCGGATTCAATTTATCAACCATCAGGTAGATTAGCACATAATGGACCAAGAATTCATGAATTTCATAAAGAAATGTATGAAAAAGTTACTTCAAATTATGATGCATTTACTGTTGGAGAAGTTGGTGATTGTACAAAAGAAGAAGCTTTGGAATATGTTAGTAAATCAAGTCATGAAATGAATTCAATCTTTTTATTTGATGTTGTTGAATTAGGTTGTGATAAAAAAGATAGATTTAGATATAATGGCTGGGATTTAATTGATTTGAAAAAAGCTGTTGAAAATCAATGTGATTTTGTCAAAGGTACAGATGCTTGGGCTACTTCATTTATTGAAAATCATGATCAACCACGTTGTATTACAAGATTTGGTAATCAAAAAAATTTTAGCAAGAGTGGTAAATTATTAGCAATGTTAGAAACTACGTTGACTGGTACATTATTTATTTATCAAGGTCAAGAAATTGGTATGACTAATTTACCAAGATCTTGGGGAATTGAAGAATATAAGGATATTAATACAATTAATTATTATAATGCTTTTAAACAACAATATGGTAAAGATGCCGATTTTAAAGAAAAAGAAGAAAAATTAATGGATGTTATTAATTTAATTTCAAGAGATCATGCAAGATCACCAGTTCAATGGAATTCAGATAACTATGGTGGATTTTCAACCGTTGAACCATGGACAAGAGTTAATGATAATTATAAAGAAATTAATGTTGAAAATCAATTATACGATAAATCATCAATTTTACAATTTTATAAACAATCATTAAAATTAAGAAAAAAGTATAAAGATTTATTTATTTATGGTACTTTTGAAATTTTAGATTATGGTAATAAAAAATTATTTACATATATTAAAAAATCACCAACTTCAAATCCACCAAAAGCTTATGTTGTATTGAACTTTTCAACTGATTCAGTTAAATTTGAGAGATTGATCGATAGTCTGTTTGAATTGGTACATGCTAATGTTGAAGATGTAGATGATGATTTATTATCACCATACGAAGGTAGAGTTTATATAGTAGAATAAATATTTTTTTTACGAGATTAATTATGCAAAATGAAGAACGAAAATCTCTAAGACAACAAATAGCAGAGGGAAAAGGTATGTAAGGATGCCTTTTTGTAAGGAGTTTATACATTCAACACTCTACTAACAGTTTAGCTTTGAAATTACAAGAGTATCAAGAGAAATTTGAATCAAAAAATACAACTTATATATTGGATGAAAAAGCAGTTAAATTCTATAATGAATTAAAAGAAAAAGAACAAAAGAATGATAAAGAAATTAAACAATTAATGAATAAAGAAATGAGGAGGTACCAACTGATGAAAGAGTCAAAAGATGTCAAACAACGAGTGGTTAAGAAATCAATACAAGTAAAGAAAAAGCAAAAGATAACAAACAAACCTGAACAATCTCAGACTAAATCAGCTTCCAAGTCAGTTCCCAGTGTTGTTGGTGATTATTCATCAGATGAAGATGTATGACAATTTTCAATGTCATTTTTTAATTTGCGAAAAATAATTTTTTTCAATTTTTCAAATTTTCACCATACCATGTTTAACTTCATTAATAGATCTATTGGTCAATCACCAATAACTAATATACTTTTACAAACTAGAAATAAAATGAAAACTTCCAAAACTATAAGAAATAGAATTTTTATAACTGCTGAAGGTATTAAAAGAAAAAGAGCGGGCACAAATCATGGTAATGGTAGATTTAGTGCTCCATCATTAAAACATCTTAGAGGTTTTATAACGATACCAAAAACACATGGATTATTAAAAAGATATAAACAATTTATAAAATAAAAAACATGACGAATTAATTACCGAAGACTGGATTTTTAAAGAGATTCAAACGATTTACAAAATAGAAAATATTGTACATAGTTTAGTTAGTTTAGACTTTGACATGTTTTATTGCATCTTTACATGTATATTAACTTTTATTATGTTCTATTTCCTTCCATTGTCCATCTATTTTCTTAATCTCAGTAGTTGGGAAATAATGATAATCAGTTTTTAATGAAATTGCCATTGGTATATTATCAAAAGAAACTAATCTTAATTTAATATAAGTTTTATCAGGTATGGTTTTGACGACATTTATAAAATCATCTAAAGTTCTTGTTTCAATATCATTTACATGAGTTATAAAACTAATTGGAACTATTCCATATTGTTGAGCAGGTGAACCTGGTGATTTTTCAGTTACATAAACTTCAGATGGAATTTTTTTCATTAATTGTCTTACTCCATAATGTGGAGTTTGCAATAATGCACCTGACCAGAAAACAATTTGATCAGTATCCTTGACTGAAATGATGGGTACTGTTAATGTCATTTCTTGTTTTTGTCTTACTATTCTGAATGTAAGATTATCTTCAAAATACATTTCTTTAAAATCTCTTAAACTTTTGACGAGTCTATTATTCACAGTTAATACTATATCACCAGTTTTCAATGGATTTTGATGCTGATTTAATTTTGGAGCAGCTACTCTATCAACTGCTAAAAATTTGATTTGATCATCTGCTTCATTTTCAAATTTATCTATCCATGATTGTGGAACTCCTCTTGTTCTACCTTGAAATACAGTAATTGAAGCAAATTCAGCAGTTAAAATTTTTAAATCACTTGGTATTATATTTTGTTGTAATGATTTAATAACATCTAATACATCAGTTACATCTAATCCCATTCTATACATTGCTTCATTAGTTTCTCCTAAAAATGTTAACCAAAATGCTCTTATTGTCCCATCATTATCAACAAGTATACCAGTACCACATTCTTGAGTAATTTTATTATCTAATAAAATACATTCTAAATTAGTACCTCTATATCTTGGGGCAAGTGAACTAGGAGTTACATTTAATGATGAAATACCACTAATTTTTATATCATCAGTAACTAATCTAAGATTATAATTATAACCAATGAAAAATGATTTATCACCTCTTTTTAATGGAACATTTGAAAATTTTGGAGTTTGAACATCAGCTAAAATTAAACCTGGATCATATTTAACAATTGCATAATTTAAATGAGGATGTAAAAATACAACTTTAGCTGATATATCTATTGATTCAGCAAATACAATAAAAATATCACACATATCATGAGGTACGTATCTTCTTGAAACTAAAACAAATCCATTTTTAGAATCTATAACAACCCCATAATTTATTTCTTTTTTAAATGGATGTGAATCAATCCCATTTGGACATATTGTTCTAACTTGAACAAATGATTTAACAAGACTAGAACATGCTAATTTGGTCGGATCACTGAATGGAATATCTATATATTTTGCATTTTTAGGTTGTGGTTTAGGTAATGTTAATGGTTTATCTTGTAGTATTGTGAAGTCCCATAATCCAATTTCATCATTTCTAATAGCTTGTTTAAATGAAGAATCCCAATGTCTATCTAAATAAATAGTTTGTATATAATCAGTATGCATATCTGAAACATGACGATAAGTAACTGGAACTCTAGCACCATCAGGAATCAATTTCATAACTTCAATAAATTCATCTAAATTTTTAACTGGTTTATCATCTATATTTTCAATTATCCAACCTAAACTTTCTTGACATGAAAATTCAAATGAACCAGATCCATTATTTACAAAAACTCCTCTAATTGGTAAACAAAAACATCTTGCAATTTGATAAGATAAATCATTGAAAGAAGCACCTCCTATGGTAACAAATCTATTTGGAGTTATATCATGTAAATTACCAATTTTTATAAATTGTTTAATATACTCACCACCTCTTTGAACGACAAATTGTAATTCTTTATCAACATTTTCATCTAATATTTCATCTACCCTAATAAAAGTGGAAATATATTCACCATTAATTGATATTAATGTATCACCTTCTTTTATAATATTTTCAGCAGGACCTTCAGGTAAGATTAATTCAGCAACTAATAAACCAATTTTATCAGGAAACATTTCTCTTGCTTTTGCTTCAGCTTCAATTGTTAATCCTAATCTTCTACATTCATTAAATGGTTTTAATTGCCATTCAACTTGAATATCACCTCTTGTAATTGGTAAATTATTTTGTAAACATTTGAGGGCCCTTAATGGTCTATAAACAGGTAAAAAAAAATCAGTTGAAGCTTCAGTTGAACCACCAGCTTGTAAAGCAACACACTTACCATTTTCATTAACAACAGGAGAACCAGAAGAACCACCAGTTGCAGAAGCAGCAGCTTGAATATATTCAGTATTAAAATCATTATAAGTTAATGAACCATATTCAGGAGTATTTCTATCTAATCTTGATATAATACCAGCTAATATTGATAATTTTTCACCAGCATCATTACCAACAACTCTAATTTCGGTACCAATTTTAGCTAAATCTGGACATAATTCTAACTGTGATAATTTTAAATATTTAACATCATTCATATTAAATTGAAGGAAACCAAAATCATGTATTGGATCTCTATAAATTGGTTTTACATCAAGTGATTCATGATTATCAAATACAATATAACCAGTAAAACAACCTGGTCCAACAACATGTCTATTTGTTAAAATTAGACCTCTTTTTGAATCAACTACAAATCCAGTAGCTTCTGAAACTATTGAAGTTTCTGTATCAAATGAAACTGTATGAGAAAAATGGATTGAAACAACGGCATTTATAACTTTTGAAATAGTTTCTTGCCATTGATTATTATCTGAGACAACGGCTAAATCTAATGAATCATGTGATATATAATCATCATCATCTTCTTCTATATCTATATCTATATCTTTTATTTTCTTTTGATTACCATTTAATGTAGTATCAGCTTTTCTTTTGGTCATAATATATAACCAGTACCTTAAATCAAACTCTAAGAAAAAGAAAAAAAAAAAAAAAAAAAAATTCATATCGTGTGATGCCTAATTTATAAGTTACGAGATTCTATTATGTATGTATGTATGTATGTATTCATTAGCTATTTAATGCTGTTTCCAGCCATGTTTTATAATATTCTATTTGATTATTAGATTGATATAATACTTCTCCATGTAATATACCTCCAAATAATTCAATTAAATCCCATCCTTTTCCAATTTTTTCATTTCTTTCATTTTTTAAATTTAGTTCTTGTATCGTATCACTACCATACATATATTGTTTTTCAACTTCTAAAATCCATGGTTCATCTTTAACCCATTCTCCAACTAAAGTACACCAAGATTGTAATGACCATTTAGTTAATCCACCTTTTTGATATTGTAATAATAAATCTAAAAATTCACTTTTTGCAAATACTTGTTCACTTAATAATTTATGATTTATTCTTATATAAGCTGCATATATCATTCCACAAGCTAATGACCAATCAGATTTCTTGGTAAATTTATGTTGATGTACTAAAAAAGTAGGAACCATTTTAATTGTTATATTTGCTGGAATATAAAATGTATTACAAAATTTGATGAAATCAGGTATCAGTACATTTTTAGTGTCGTAAACGTACGTCTTTCCACCAATTGTAGTTACTCTTGTTCCTTTTTTATTTGGTGAATTTTTTTCTTTATTAGGTGAGCGTGAAGGTGAAGGTGAAGGTGAAGGCGATAGCGAAAGAAATGGCGATTCTGAATTTTCATCTAATTTCAATTTCAGTTTCTTTTTAGCTGGTGTTTCTGGATTTTTCTCATCAATATCATCAATATCATCAATATCATCAATATCATCAAATGTTAATTTCTTCAAAGGTGAATTACCTGTAATATTTGAATAATTTTTAGTAGAATTTGGTGATCCTGTAATATTTGAATTTTTAGTAGAATTTGGCGATCCTGTAATATTTATCTTTTTAGTAGATTTTGGCGAACCTGTTAAACTAGTAGATAAACCTTCCTTGACTCTATTCTTTTTTGGAGTAGACACTGGGGTGTTATTAGCAGAAATTTCATTCAATAATTGTCTAAAGTCAACCAATAGTTTTTCAGCAATCTTTGGTGAAATTGGAATCTTTTTAATATCAGGTTTTGGTAAATCAAATTGTTGATGGTATTTTTCAATTATAACAAAAGTACATAAATGATACCTTGAAATTTCAGTTTTATTATTCAATTGTAGTTTTCTTAAACTTAACAGATATAAACTATTAATATAACCAATCAATTTACTATAATATATACCATTATAACCACTTGTAATGTCATTTATAGATTGTTTTACTTGTAATGAAGTCATTTGGTAGTTGTATATTTATTCATATGTTTACGCATATAATTATTTATTAGTCGTGTACCGGAAAAATAATTGTATTTTTTTAACCAACCAAAAATATTTCATTCTTTATTATTTTAATACTAAGTATACAATGATATCAAGAAATATATATAGATCTAGTATTATACAATGTTGCTACTTATCGACTAATAGTATATTATTACAATCCAATACTCCTATTCCATCACATTTAAACCAAGTTTCGTCAAATTTAAGTGAACCAACAGATTCTCACGGTAAAGAAATTATATCTGGTGCTCCAAAAGATTTAGTTACAAATAGAGTAGTTAGAATTTATCAGGAAGCAAAACCCGCAACACAATCTGGTCATCATAATGGAGATCATTGGAAATTAGATTGGGATGTATTAGGTAAAGGTAATAGATGGGAAAATGATTTAATTGGTTATCAATCTTCATCAGATTATATGCAAGGTACTATAATGAAATTTGATACAAAAGAACAAGCAATTAAATTTGCAATAAATCAAGGTTGGGACCATTATATTCAAGAACCAAAAAAGAAACATTTTAGAAAAAAAGAATATGCTGCTAATTTCTTTCATTCACCAGGTCCATTAAAACATATTAGAACTAAGTAAGCTCTACACTGTCTGTCTATATATTACAGTGTGTGTATAATATATATTATACAACCCGCATTTCCATCTCCATATCCATCTACATCTCCATCTACATCTCCATCTACATCTCCATCTACATCTCCATCTACATCTCCATCTACATCTCCATCTACATCTCCATCTACATCTCCATCTACATCTACATCTCCATCTCCATCTACATCTCCATCTGTTTCTATTGGAATACCAAATATTCCATTTCCATCTCCATCTCCATCTCCATCTGTTTCTATTGGAATACCAAATATTGAAAAAGCGCAATTTTTTTCGCTTTTTTATTTTATTTTTTTTTTATTTTTTTTTTATTTTTTTTTTTTTTTATTTTCTTTTATTTTAATTATCAATTAATCAATAAACCTTGTATATATTATGTCTTATAGAGGTTCTTCTTATAGTAATAGAAGATATCAAAGACATGATTATAATACAGATTATAATAATGATTATAATACAGATCATTATATAAAACATGATAAATTTAGACCAGAAACTACTTCAACGCCAAAATCTGGTTTAAATACTCCAATTCAAACTCCAATTTCAAATATTGTTGTACCAGGTACAAATATAACAAATGGTATTAATAATAAGGATAATGAATTTGATAAATTATCTCATCACTCAGATTTAATTAATTTACTCCCACAATCATTTCAAATAAATCCATCAAAAAATTTTAAAATTATTTATGACCCCGAATTAGATAAAACGTTATTATTAGATAAATATGATAAAAAGAAAAAATCAAAAATTATACGATATAATGGTGATGGTATTTCAACTGTATTTGATCCAAGAAAGTTAAATAATGATTATCCTAAATTAAATAAAAAATCAAAAAAATTTCCATTTAAACAATTACCAATTCCAAAATTTACTTTTGATAAAGATTCATTAGGTCCTGCTCCTTTATCAACACTTTTATTATGGGATTTACCTACTAGTGTAAATGAAACTTATTTAAAATCATTTTTAAGTTTGTTTGGTAAAGTTGAAGAAATAAAATTTATAAATGATGATCAATCTGCTGCTTTTTTAGGTATTGCAACTTTTAAATTTCAAGGGAATCCTGAAAAATCAAGAAATTTAGCTCAAATTTTTATAAAACAAGTTAAAGATGAAAATATTTTAATTGATGGTGTTAAATTAAATATTAAAATTAATGATGTAAATGATGATTTATTAAATGAAAAAATAGATTCAGCAAAGAGGGAATTTCAAAAACAACAACTTAAAATAAAAGAAGAAGAAGAAGAGAGGAAGATGAGGCAAAAAAGACAACTTGAAGAATTAAAACGACAAGAATTAAAAAAGATTGAAGAAGAAAAGAAACAATTACCCAAACCTGAAAAATATAAACCGAATACAACTATACTATCCAACAGACGTCATCATAAAGTTGTAGATGGAGTTTTTTTACCAAATGAATTAAATAAATATATTAAAGATCGTCCATATATTTTAATTCATGATAAATATGTACCAGTTAAAAAATGTTCATCACAAGATCTTAAGAGAATGTTGAAAAGATATGATTGGACAAGAGTATTATCTGATAAAACTGGTTTCTACATTGTATTTAATTCATTAAATGAATGTGAACGATGTTTTCTAAAAGAAGATGGTAGAAATTTTTTTGAATATAAATTAATTATGGAAATGGCAATACCTGAAAATTTTAAATCAAGTGTCGAACAACAATCAAAAGGTGATTCTGTAGATGAAGCTACAAATATATTAATTAAAGAATTTCAATCATTTTTAACAAAAGATATAAGAGAAAGAATTATAGCACCTACTATATTAGATTTATTAAATCATGAACATTATCCTAATTTAATTGAAGAATTAAAAGCCAAAGAAAAAGAAAAACCAAAACCAATAACATCAAATGTCCTTCTTAAACAAAATGCAATGTCAATATTAAAACAACAAAGATTACCAACTTTTAAAAAAAATTTAAAGAAAAAGTTTCATATACCTATGCAACATGCATTAAATGAATCAGAATCTGAAGAACAAGAAGAAGATGAAGAAGAAGAAGAGGAAACTACAAGTAGATCAGTTACTCCAATGCATAAAAGAGAACGTTCTGAAACAGCAGCAACTGAAGATGAACCACCAAATAAAAAATCAAAATTCTTGTATGATTCATCAGATGAAGAAATGGAGGAATCTGAAGTTAAACAAAAACAAGAACAAGTTGAACAAATTCTTGATCAATATCAACCGACAGAAAATGAACCAAAAACAGTTTATCCCGAAATATCTACAACTTCTTTCAATCTAGATGCATTACAATCATTAATTAAAGATGATGAAGATTTAAAATTAGCAAAAGATATCTTACAAGATTTTATTGCCTCAAAAATTTCAAACATTGATTATTGGGCATGGAAACAAAAAGATGTTGTTGATGAAATTATAGAAGATGAATTTATTGAAGAATTACCATCAAGATTAGATTCAATTAATTCATTTAAAACAGATGGTTACAAAAAAATTCCTGATTCTGATAAAATTGAATATTTACCACATCGTAAAAAAACAAATATATCAAAACCAGTTAAAACAATTCAATATGAACAAGAAGAAAATAATGAACAACAACAAATCACTAATAATTCTCGTGTTAATAGAGCCAATAATAGAAGATTTGCTGCTGATATTGCTCAAATAGGTACTGAATCAGATGTTTTAAGTTTGAACGCATTAACTAAAAGGAAGAAACCTGTTACTTTTGCAAGATCAACCATTCATAATTGGGGATTATATGCAATGGAACCAATTGGAAAAAAAGAAATGATTATAGAATATGTTGGAGAAAGAATTAGACAACAAGTTGCTGAACATAGAGAAAAAAGTTATCTTAAAACAGGTATTGGATCTTCTTATTTATTTAGAATTGATGAAAATACAGTTATTGATGCAACTAAAAAAGGTGGAATAGCAAGATTTATAAATCATTGTTGTAGTCCAAGTTGTACTGCTAAAATTATAAAAGTTGAAGGTAAAAAAAGAATTGTTATTTATGCATTAAGAGATATTGAAGCAAATGAAGAATTAACCTATGATTATAAATTTGAAAGAGAAACTAATGATGAAGAGAGGATTAGGTGTTTATGTGGTGCACCTGGTTGTAAGGGATATTTGAACTAGTAAGGATGTAAATACAAGATCTACAACGTAAGGGTGCTGGTATCAATCAATTATAACAAGTGTTTGTTGCATCATTACTGCTAAATACTGTATAATCATTACCATCCTTACTACTAAATATACGACGTTAACTATGGTAAATCCACGTGACTTGATCTATTCATACAAATTGAGTTAATTACAAAACAAACAAAAAATCAAATTAGGTAAAATAAAAACAAACAAAAAAAATATATATATTTTTATTAACGATGTTATAAATTAAACATTGAAGTCAGATTTATCAATTTATATATCATTCCTTATTTATTCGAAATTAATTAGTGATTCTTATTCATTAATTCATTAATTCATCATTAGATTATAGATTTTTAAAAAGTTTGATTTGTTTTTATTCATTATTCGTTATTCGTTATTCGTTATTCGTTATTCGTTATTCATTTCATTTAATTCAAAAAAGAATTGAAGCCCAAGGTTTGATACTTAGCGCTTCTTCAATAATCATATCATGTCGTCACGATCACAACCTTTGCAAGCTTTGCAAGCTTTAAATAATGGTCAATTAAATGCTAGATCAAATAATATCACACCTATTAAATCAATCAGACGTAATAAAGAAAATATTCAACCAACAGATAAACAACAACAACAACAACAACAACAACAACCAAAAAAGAAGAAAGAAAAATTATCTGCATTATGTAAAACTCCTCCATCAATTGTTAGAACAAGAAATGGAAGAGATTATCGTCGTGGTAATTTTTTAGGTGAAGGTGGTTTTGCTCGCTGTTTTCAAATGAAAGATTCTTCAGGTCAAATTTTTGCTGCCAAAACTGTCGCAAAAGCTTCAATTAAAAATGAAAAAACTAAAACTAAATTATTATCAGAAATTAAAATTCATAAATCTTTAAAACATCCAAATATTGTTAATTTTATAGATTGTTTTGAGGATGATGTAAATGTTTATATATTATTAGAAATTTGTCCAAATCAGTCATTAATGGAATTATTAAAAACAAGAAAAAGAGTTTCTGAACCTGAAGTTAGATTATTTATGGTTCAAATTGTTGGTGCTATAAAATATTTACATTCAAGAAGAGTAATTCATAGAGATTTAAAATTAGGTAATATATTTTTTGATCCAGAAATGAATTTAAAGATTGGAGATTTTGGTTTGGCATCTGTTTTACCTTCAACTGATTCCAAAAAATATACAATATGTGGTACACCAAATTATATTGCTCCAGAAGTTTTAGGTGGTAAAAATACTGGTCATAGTTTTGAAGTTGATATTTGGGCTATTGGTATTATGTTATATGCTTTATTAATTGGTAAACCACCTTTTCAAGCAAAAGATGTTAATGTAATTTATGAAAGAATTAAAAAGACTGAATATACTTTCCCTGATGATAAACCAATTAGTTCACTGGCAAAACAATTAATAAAAGATTTATTGAGTTTAAATCCATTAAATCGTCCAAATATTAATGAAATTTTAAATTATGAATGGTTTAAAGGTCCATTTCCAACAAGAATTAATGAATCAAGTTTAACTGAATCACCAAATGAATTTAATTTAATATCAAAAACTCAATCAGCTATAAATTTTAAAAATGCTAAAAATTTAGCAGGAATTTATACACCAAAGAATAAGAATCCAGTTGAAATTTTAAAAACTGATTTAAATTCTGAAAATAAAAAATTATTACCACAATCATTATCACCAAATGATACAAGATTAAAATATCAAGAAGTTGATCCAAAATATATTGGAAAGAAGATATTTTCAACAAACTTTCAAGTTAAACAAATGAATTTAAATATTTTACAAATTTATAAAGCTATTAAAGAGTTGGAAAATTATCAAGATGATAGTAGTAGTATAATGATACCACATTTTGAAACTCCAACATTAATAAGTAAATGGGTTGATTATTCAAATAAATATGGTTTTAGTTATCAATTAAATAATAATCATATTGGTGTTTTATTTAATGATGAAAATACAATTTTAAAAACTAACGATAAAATTATAGAATTAATATTTAATGAAGATTCATGGACAACAATTGAAAATTCTTCTACACAACCACCGACTCAAATTCATAGACAACTTCAAATTATTGATTTTTTTTCAAAATATATGAATTCTAACCTTTCAAAAATTGGAAGTGAAATTCAAGAGAATAGGGAAATTATATTTTTAAGAAGATATACTAGAAACTCATTATATATAATGTTTGAAATGTCAAATGGTAATTTTCAATTTAATTTTCTGGATCATCATAAATTGGTATTATTTAATTCAGAATTTGGTATTGCAATATCACATATTTCACCAACAAGAAAAATTACAACTATACCATATCAATTAATTAATAATTTAAATTATCATAATATTCCAGATTATCAAATTAAATTTCAAAATATTAAAAATGCTATAAAAGAATTAATTTAAATCCACCTAATGTATAAATATTTTTGCTTAAACTCTTTTATATTAAATTACAAATTGTACGAACTAAAAACTCATTAATAATCATCACCATCATTAGCTAATAAGGCTTTTAAAGACCATTCTTCAGTAAATTTATGTTTTATAAAATTTAATTCATTTAATAAACCAGAACAAGCATTTTGTAAAGCCTCTTTTGGAGAATAACCATCATCAGTCTGAATTCTTAATACAAAATTAGCAAATAATGGATGTTCAACTTTATAAGCAGCAAATAAAACTCTCTCATCTTTTAATAATTGAGCTCTTAATAAATTTGCCAATGTATGATCTTCTCTTTCAATTTTAACAATTGCAGCATTTGGAACTTTTGAGTCGGGGGTTATTTTTATTCTGATAACATGTTAGTACCAAATATAATATAATCTAGTGTAATAAACATACTTATCTACACCATCAGGTAATATAAACAATTCAAATCTATCTGGTGCATTCATTATTTAATGTTTCAGTTTTTACTTTATATTTATATTTTTTTTTCAATTTCACAAAACAAACCACGACAATTACATAATATATTACATAATTAAAATGATATCCGGGTAACATTTAATGGCATTTATCAACAAATTATGAAAAACGAGTTTCTTTACTTTGTCTCATTAATTATTTACAACCATTTCGACTCCACAACTATCATGTTCAATCAACAACAAGATAATCGAAATAATAATCAACATCCTCCTCGTCCATTACCAAATTTACCACCTCCTCCAAATTTACAAGGTAATTTACAAAGTATGTTTTGATTGATGATTTTATTTACACGAAATTACAAGGCCCAAAATACTAACTCATTATTGCAGCTACTTTATATCCTTTACCTACCTTACCAAGTTTAGGAAATGGTGGTGCTGGTGGTTTCACAATCCCATCAATTAATCAAGTATGTATAGAAAACTCATGGGTTTTTAAAGTTATATACTAACTGTTTTCAAGAATACTTTAGTACCACCACCACAATCAAATCATCAAATAATACATCAACATCAACCAACAAATGTATCTACTCCAACAACTGCTCAACAAACTGTAGAGCAAGTGGCCAATCTTGGAGGTATACCAAATAGATCATCTACAAGTAATGCTTATAGACCATTAAATGTACAAGATGCTTTATCATATTTAGATCAAGTTAAAATTCAATTTTATAATCAAGCTGATGTTTATAATAAATTTCTTGATATAATGAAGGAATTTAAATCAAATTCAATTGATACCCCAGGTGTTATTGAAAGAGTTTCCACTTTATTTAAAGGTCATACAAACCTTATACAAGGTTTTAATACTTTTCTACCAGCAGGTTATAAAATTAGTTGTAATTTAAATGAAATAAGAGTAACTACACCAAGTGGTAGTAGTAATTTATATAATCAAAGAAGTGATGAGCAAGATCAACAACAACAACAATCTTATCAAGAACAAAGTGTAGCAGCTACTGCAGCTCATCAAAATGGTGGCGAACAAAGTGAATTTAATCATGCAATTTCTTATGTTAATAAAATTAAAACTAGATTTGCTAATCAACCTGATATTTATAAACAATTTCTTGAAATTTTACAAACTTATCAAAGAGAACAAAAACCAATTGCTGAAGTCTATGAACAAGTTACTCAATTATTTGCAAATTCACCAGATTTATTAGATGATTTTAAACAATTTTTACCAGATACAAGTAATGCTCAACAACAGCAACAACAACAACAACAACAACAACAACAACAACAACAACAGCAACAACAACCAATTCAACAACCTCCTCATCAAGATGTATACCAAAATGGAACTCAATTACCTCCAGTTGGAAATTTTCAACCCGCTGGTCCTAGTCCAACACAACCTTCATATCAATTTTATCAACCACCAACTGAACAACAACAACAACAACAACAACATGTTTATGAACAACAGCAACCAATCCAACAACCATCTCAAGTTACTCCTCAACAACAACATCCATCACCGCCTCAACAACAATTACAACCTATTCAACATCAAATTCCTCCACCACATCAGGTCCAACAACCACAACTTCAACCTCAAGTTCAACAAATTCAACAACAACAACAACAACAACAACAACAACAACAACAACCAGCAACTAGAAAACCAAAACAAGTTACACCACCAGTTAATTTAACTTTAGTTCCTGGTATTCCAGAACCTGTTCCACCTTCAGGTACAGCTAAATCATCATCATTATCTGAAGAAATTGCATTTTTCGATAAAGTTAAAAAAGCAATTGGTAATAAACAAACTTATAGCGATTTTTTAAAATTATTAAATTTATTCACACAAGATATTATTGATAAAGAAACTTTAGTGGAAAGAGTTGAAGGATTTTTAGGAGTTGCTAATGTTGAATTATTTAATTGGTTTAAAATGTTTGTTGGATATGAAGATAAACCTCAAACTATAGAAAATATAACTTTTAAAAAACATCAACTTGAATTATCGTATTGTAAAGCTTATGGTCCATCATATAGACAATTACCTAAATCAGAAACTTATATGCCATGTTCAGGTAGAGATGAAATGTGTTGGGAAGTTTTAAATGATGAATGGGTAGGACATCCAACTTGGGCATCAGAAGATTCTGGATTTATAGCACATCGTAAGAATCAATATGAAGAAATGTTGTTTAAAATTGAAGAAGAAAGATTGGAATTTGATTATTACATGGAATCTAATCTTAGAACAATTCAAATTTTAGAAACAATCGCAAATAGAATTGCAAATATGACACCTGAACAAAAGGCCAATTTTAAATTACCACCAGGTTTAGGTCATAATTCTCAAACCATTTATAAAAAAGTTATTAGAAAAATTTATGATAAAGATCGTGGATTTGAAGTTATTGATGCATTACATGAAAATCCAGCAATTGCAGTACCGATTGTTTTAAAAAGATTGAAACAAAAGGATGAAGAATGGAAAAGATCTCAAAGAGAATGGAATAAAATTTGGAGATCGTTAGAACAAAAAGTGTACTTTAAATCTTTAGATCATATAGGTTTAACATTCAAACAAGCTGATAAAAAATTATTAACTGTCAAACAGTTAGTTAGTGAAATTAGTACAGTTAAAGTTGAACAACAAAATAAAAGATTACATCCATTAACTCCAAAATCTCAAGAACAATTAAATTATAAATTTGGTGATAATGAAATATTATTTGATATTTTAAAATTGGCTGATGTTTTTGTAAATCGTTCATCAACTTATTCAACACATGATCGTGAAAAATTATCACAATTTTTCCAATTTTTCATACTGATATTTTTTGGAATTCCAAGTGATGAAATTGAAAAAAAAGTTGATGCAAGAGGTAAAGTTGAAATTATAGAAGAAGAATCTAAAAAGAGATCTCGTGATACTGATTTATTAAAAGATGTATTGAAAAAACAATCGAAAAAGAATGATAGACCAGAATCACCACCTGAAGTAAATGAAGAATTAGAAAAAGCCAAAGATTTGTGGATTGTTTCAACAAATACTAAATTTTCATTACCAGAAATAAACAGTACCAGACGTAACAAGTTTAATTTGTTTTGTAATACCACCATATATGTATTTTTCCGTCATTTAACTACATTATATGAAAGATTAAAAGAAATTAAAGGTATGAATGAAGAAGTTGGTAAAGAAATTAAAAGTAGGAAATATCCACAATTTGCTAAAGATTTAAATTTATTATCACATCAATTAGAAGATATGGGTGTTGCTATAACTGGAGATGATTGTTATAAACAAGTTTTAGAATTATCTGAAAAATTAATTGAAGGAGATGTTGAACATCAAATATTTGAAGAAAGTTTACGTCAAGGCTATAGAAATAAAGCTTATAAAATTTATACAATTGATAAAGTAATTCAAGCATTGGTTAAACATATGCATAATATAATTAGTGATGCAAAAACTTCCGAAATGATTGTATTGTTTGAAAATGATAGAAATCAACCAATTTCAACTGCAAAAGAACAAATACTTTATCGAATTGCAGTTAGAACATTAATGTCAGCAGATGAAAATATGTTTAAGATAACAATTAATGAAAAGGATCAAAGTGTAAATATTCAATTTATAAGTCTTGATGATTTAACAATTAATGATCATGAAAACAATGAAGAAGCTTATAATTATTATGTTACAAGTTATATCATGTCTCATCCAACTGAAGGTGTACCTGCATCTAAATTGCAAATTCCATTTTTAAATTCTTTTATTGAAGAAGTTCATGAAGATTTAGTAGAAGGTAGATCAACTAGCGGATTAAAAGTTTCAATTAATGAAAATTCATATAAATTATTTTTTGAACCAAATACTCATGATGAATTCATATCGAATTCAATTTATAAAAAAGATGAAAGAAAAGAGGAAGATAAAAATGAAGAAAAATTGGTGAGTTTAACAAATATACTTGAAAGTGAATATGGTTGGAAGTCAACATTGGAAGAGGATGAAGATAAAGAGTTTTATGAGAAAAGAATTCAAATATTATATGAAACAGGTGGAAAAGAATTTAAAGAATATATTGAAAATAATAAAAATGATGTAAAAGAAGTAACTGAAGTGAAAGAAGGTGATAAAGAAGATATTGAAATAAATGAAGTTGAAGCTAAAATTGCTGAAGAAGAGGATGTAAAAGAAGAAGTTGAAGCAAATGCTACTAATGACACATTACCAATTATTAATGATACAACAGAAGATAATCAAGAGTGATTTGTATAATAAATTTGTAATATATGAAATTTTTATATTAAAATTTTCGTTTCTCAGCAGCTTCTCTTGCTGTTCTTTCTGCTGATATACTTTGAGCTAATTTATTTCTTTGTTCAATTCTTCTACATACAAAATCTTTACGATTTCGAGTAATTAAAATTCTTAATATAATATCTTCTTTAAAATTTTGACTCATTATTGGATCATGTCTTGCTTCTTTTAATTCCTTTTCAGCCTTTTTCCTTGCTCTTGATGTTGCACTTTCTTGTATTGTTTTAGATCTTGAAATACTTACATTACTTCTTTTTGTTTTATAATTTCTATGATTTAACATTTGTAAATAAGCTGGTGATAATTTTTCAACTTCATCAATTAAATAATCATCATCTTGATCATATAATGCTGGGATTAATAATAATGATTGATATTGCTCAATTTTTAATTCTTCCATTGGTGGTCCATTACCTTCATTATGAAAAAAATTAGATAATAAATTTAACCAACCTAAAACAGTTTCAATTTCAATTCCTTTCAATTCACTTTCAAAACCTAAAACATTGGCAAATTTAATTGATAATTGCCATGACGAATCACTAAATTTAGCTTTTGATAATTTTGGTAACACTAATTCATCAGCTGAAATAACTATAATTTTCCAAGTTTCAACCATAACTTTCATAAAATTTTCATCAGTTAAAAATTCTTTCAATACAGATAAATTCATATTTAAATAATCACATAAATTTTCAATTGATTCTTCAAATTCTTCTCGTGATGGACTACCTTTTGAACATACTTTTTTAAGATTAAATTTGGAAAAACACTGTTGAATAAAACCAGTAAATTTTTCAACTATTAATTTAATTGATCTTTCTCTTGCTCTATGTAATGATCTATAAGCTCTTCCAAGGACAAACATTGCATCAAGAGTTTCACTTTCTAATGCAACTTCAATAATTAATTTTCCTTGTAAATCTAAATCTAAAATAATTTCTTGTGGTTTACCATCATTATTGAATTTAAAAGGATCTAAATCTAAAAATGCTCTTCCACATACTTGATGTTGACCAAATCTTTCATCCCATACTAACAATGATAAATCTAATGAACTATTGGGGCTAATCTTTATTTCAAATTCTTCATCGTAATCTGGATCAGATGACTGATAAATTGTTCTTGTTTTTCCAATTAGTTTCTTACGATCACTTAATGTAACATATGGACTTATTCTACCAAATGCTGAATCTTTTGATGCTCTAATATTTTCTCCTCGTATAATTCGTATTGCAAAGACATGACTTAAGTATTTCTTATGAGCATTAACATCTAGTCTTTCAATCGTTTTTGATATTGATTCTGGATCAACCCATTCTTCCAATTTAGTTAAATTATTCATCATTGCTGATATATTATTCAATGCAATACATGTTTCTGCTTGAAAATTGTAAACAACTTTAGGTTCTGACCTTTTAGTAACGACGTTTTTAACTTCCTCAATCCAATTTTTCTTTGTTTCAGGTTCAATATCAGGCTCCAAATCTTTAATCAATTTATTTGTAATTTGTTCAGAATAAAATAATGCTCCATTCGATATACTTTGTAATAAAATAGTGTATGCTTTTGCTAATTGATAATCATTTTGCCAATTTATTTTCTTCAAGGTAATTAAATACTGTTTAATAATTGTGAAAATATCAAGTATAGCCTGACTATGCATTTCTTCATTAATTGGTTTATAATCATCCCTTTTTAAAGCTTCTTTTACTATATTCAAAATCTTTTCATCACTCTCCAACACCCAATCTTCTAAATAATTGAAGAAAAACTTCTCAATATCAAACTCAAATTTTGATCCCTTTGAAGAAACTTGTAAAAAAATATCTCTAATTTCATTAAGTGATTTATAAATTTCTAAACCATCAGAGTATGGTATCTTTTCATCTCTTTGACGGTAATTACCATGTATATGTATAAGTATAGTTTCACAGTCTTTGGCAAATCTTCCAGTAGTTAAACTTGCAACCACTTTAGCAACATTCAAAAAGCCTAATAATGGATTTTTGTATCGTTTCTGTAATTTTTTAATATCATCAACTAAAGTATCACAAATATTTAATATGTGTAGTATGTTGGATGTATTATCTCTTGGTAATTCATCGAAATAAGAAGTATACCTTTTATTTGCAGCTTTCAAGACGGTTTTTTCTAATTTTGATTCCCATTTTTTTGGTATATTTGTTTCTTCAATTTTGGTAAATAATGCATCTTGTTCTAAAATCCCTAAAAACATTAAAAGATTTTTGAATGATGGTTTTTCAAATATATTGTTAACTTGTTCTTTTATACTATACATAACTTGATTATAAGTGTCTATGAGTAAATCAACAAATAAGTCTTGGTCCTCAATTGACCATAAGTGTTTATTTTCATAATCCATATGGCGATTTATAATTGTCCTACAGTAGTTGAACAACTTCTCAGTAGTATCAATATCAACAACTTTATCATTTGATAATGCTTCACAATTTAGACCAGCTAAATATAATGCGACCACTCTTGTTGGATAATCAACATGCCATACTCTATTAACTATTTCAAAGAAATCTTGTGAACTTTTATTCAAAAATGGTTTTGATAAATCTTTTATATCATCTTCTAATTCAACTAACATGCAAACAAATTTAAGATATTCATTTCTCAAATTATTAGGAAGTATATAAAAATCATCTTGTTTAGGAGGTAATGGTAGTAACTGAACTTCAGCAGGAATTTTATACCTATTTATACATTGTTGAGATATAGCTTTCTGTCGTTCAATCCAGGAGTTGAAAGTATCTTCAGATTGGAATTTAGGTCGATTTGAACTCAGTATACTTTCAAGATCTTTAATATCTTTATGGAAAGGTTTGGCTAATGCAGTATCCTTATATTTGAAAACATCTAATTGTAATTGTACATCATCCACTTTAAATAATTGCTTGAATAGTTTAACCAAATTTGGATTTAAGTCAGCCACTCTATAACTTTTTGGTAAATATTTATTATTTCCATTACTTGTCTCCTGTTTTCTATTTGATTCAAAATTTTTCTTTCTTTCATTCAACTTTGTAATTATATTATTATCATAATCTTTCTTTGATTTTACAATCTCTATTAAATAGTCAATAAATGATATAGTTTGTTTAAATGTATTTTTCTTGATTTCTTCATCATCTGTAATTCCAATATTTTTCAACTCCAAATTTGCAAATGATGCAAATTTAGTTATAATAAAATCCATGTTTTGATATTCCGATCCAGTAGAAGGTAATTGACTAAATAATCGTAATAAAGTTCTTCGAAAGTTTTTATCGATAACTTCATCAAACATAACCTTTTGTAATCTTATTTTCAATTCTTTTAGCACATAATTTGGTAAATTAGAGTCTAGTAACATACTGAATCTTGGTTTATTCGTAGTTGTATTTTCAATAATTGGAGTTCGAAATCTTGCTTCATTACTATATTCTAATAAGATAATTTTCAATAAATTTTTATATAAATCTGATTTATCAACATCTGATAAATTTGTTTTCAAACAAGTATTACTACCATTTAATAAAATACTAGTTGAAGTAGAACTAGCTAATCTTTTATGTTGATATGGTCTAGTTTGTAAATCATTTTTTGACAGCATTTAATTCATTAAATATATTTGGATCAAAATAAATAAGAAATAATAAAAATGACATAAAATACGCCAGACGCATAAAAAAAATATGACATTGGTGCTACCAATCGAATTATCTATATTAATACACAACTACAAAGAATTATACTTGTTCAATTATACTTCTTCTGAACTTGATTTTGTTGAGACTCTACTATCTTCTTCCATTTCTTCATCACCATCTTCAACTTTTTCCTCTGCTTCTTCAACCTCTTCCTCTTCCTCTTCCTCTTCCTCTCCCTCTCCCTCTTCACTTTCTTCATCTTGTTCTTCATCATGTTTTGGAGCAGATGCAGTAGTACTATCTCCAACTTCTTCTGGTTTAAAAATATGTTTTGACAATATCTTATTCATTCCAAATGAATCAACACTCTTTTTTTTAAATAAATTTTGTAATTTATCATCACAATCTATTTGTCTTTTATCTTTTGGATTTTGTAGGTTATTCTCTTTAATATATGCCCATAAATGCTTAACAACTTGTGCTCTACTTAATCTTTCTTTGTTAACTATTGCTTGTAAATCAGCAGATAATACCATTTGTCGATTAAATACATTATTTGCACTAAGTGGTCTTTTCGGTTTTTCAACTTTTGCTGCTGATTTTCTAGCCTGTCTAAAAGCTGCTCTTCTACCACCATTTTCTTCTCTTGATAATTTTGCAGCTAATAAAGCGTCTTGTTTCTCCATTTGTTTTTTAGATTCTTCTTCTCTTTTATGTATTAAATCATAATATCTATTAAGGATTATTTCATTGATATCTTTCTACAAACTCTCGTTAGTAATTAAAAAACCAACAATTTATATTCTTACATACTTTATTTGGACTTAAATCAATACCAAATAATTCTTGTAAAGCATTTCTAATCTTTTTAACCGTAATTTCTTCTAAATTGGCCACGCTTAAAATAGCCTATTCAATTGGTGTTAATATCAAACAAATAACATTTTAAGGTTCACTGTATTTCAACATACATCTATTGTAGGTAGATATTTCTCTGGCTCATAATTTGTACTCATTGAATTGATGATAGATACTTGATAAAACCGGTACTAATATTAATTAATTTACTAGATTTAGAAAAACTAAAAAAACAATAGATGAAAAAAAATACGCTACCAGTTGTATTTATCAATATTATTTACTTATACCATTTGCAGCATTTTTTAAATTTCTTTTATGTTGTAATTCATTCTTTTTAATTAATTTCTTTCTTTCTGCTCTTTTTAATGTTCTTGGATCAATTAATTCATCTTCTGTATTTTTAACTTTTTCATCAACTTCAACCAACCATTGTTGATCTAAATCTTTATTTTTACCTTTATAACCCCATTTAGGTACCCATTCTCCAGTTTCTTCATTATATACTAATTTTCCAGATTTTTCTTTTGCTTTTATACCTTTTCTTTTGGCAAATTCTTGCCATTTTGTTAAAGGTTTTTCTTTTGGTAATGATTTTTCTCTTGGTAAAATTGTTAATGAATCTGGTAATCTTAGTAATGTAATAGATGATGATTGTCCTGTTGATGTAGAATCTACATTATCTGTTGTAGTTTTAACAGGTAATGATAATAATTGATTTATTAATAATTGCACATTATCTCTAGTTATTGATGTTATATATTGTTCTTTTTCTTGTTCATTTTTATTTGTTAATTGTGTATTATCCATTGGATTTGGATCAAATGTAGCTAAATTACCTAAGTCATAAGTATTAGGTATTGCTTTTTCAACCGTTACTGGTTTATATTCTGGTTTTGAATTAGATTTATCTGACATAGTAATTAAAAAGATGAGATGGTTATAGAAAAAAAATAAATAAAAAAAAAAAAAAGGCTAATAGTTCATTTATCTTCTCATACTATTTAACATCCAAACAGATACCAATGCCATTACTCCAATTGCACCACCTGCCATTATTATATGTTTTAAATTCTCTTGATCAGTTTTTTGTTCTATTTCTAATCCTGGAGTTGAAGTTTGTGGATTTTTAGCTGCATCAACTAATTGTATAAACAATTCATGTAATGAACTCGTCCATGAACTTGATATATGTAATGGTGAATTTAAAAATAAATCACGAGTATAAATTTCAGGTTGAATATCTGATCTTTGTTGTTGTTTATCTAAATCAGCTTTTGAAGCTATAAATACTGATGGAATTTCATCTAAATTTTTCAGATATTTATTTCTTAAATCAACTAAATATTGAAAACTTTCTGGATCGGATGAATCATATATATAACATATAACATCACATTGATCTAATCTTAATTTATTTTCTAATATTGCAGGTTCTAGTTCACCTAATTCTTCAAATATTAAATAACATTGTTTACCACCTCTTAATTCAATATCTTTAATAACTAACCTTGGTTGTATAGTTGGTGAATATATTTCACTATATGATCCATCTTTTAAAAACAGTTGTAATAACGAACTTTTACCTGATTTAGGAGCACCCAAGATGAAACAATTAAAAATATTTCGATCATTAACTGATGTACGATAAATTTTACCATTTTTTTGTCTTATTTTCCTTGGTTTTGTTATTTTTAAAGCTTTAGTACTATTATTACCTTCATCATAACCTAAATAAGCTAAATATTCTAAAGTAGTTTTATAATTTAAAAAAGTTGTTAAATTCCATTGAGCTAGCCAACCTTGTAATGTTACATAACCTTCATCATTACATACAATTGACGTTGGAAATGAAGTTTCAACCCATAATTTAGGTATTCCAGGAGTTGGTTTAAATAAATTTTCCAATTCTTTTTCATTTAAACCTCCATCATTATCTTTATCAAATTTTATAAATAAATCAACAAAGAATTTATAACCAGTTGGTGATAATTCAACACTTGAATTTTCACTAATCTGTAAATTGGGATATAAAAATTTATCATTTAATGATAATGAATTTGTATAATGATAAGCTCTTAGTATACACCAACAAGTTTCATGTCTACCCATTTCACAATATAACTTATTTAATAGTATAAATTCATATTCTGATAAACCTTTAATTTTTGGATCATTGTAAATTTTCTCATTCAATTTTGTTTTGATTTCATTAAATTCTTCAATTTTTAAATTCTTTTTAAATACTTTATTATGTAATTTATTAAACTCATTGAAATTCAAACAATCATCTTGATCCGTATCTGATAAGAAAAAAATCCTTTTTAATGCAGCAATTGCCCCGGGCTTTAAATTACCTTCTTTTGTATCAAAAATTGGAGAAATTGGATGTGTTACAGCTCTTTGACATAGATAAAATGCTTCAACTACATTATAATTTAATTTTGCACTTGCTCTTACACCAGCTTCAATTTCTTTAAACTCATTAATTAATGGTATAAATTCATCAGAATTTTTGAATTTTATAGCCTTTTTATTATTTGTTGATAATATATCAGATTTATTTCCAGTTATAATAATTGGTAAATTAATACCTAAAGATCTGAAAAAAGGTAGCCAATGTAAACTTATTCTTTCATAAGTATAATGATCACTGTAAATAAGCCATATAACATTACTTTTTTTTAATTCATTTTGTAAACTAGTAATATCAGAAGATGAAGTATCTATAATAGTAGTAATATTTGGAATATATTGAGATATTTCTTTATTATCTAATGAAAAGGAAGAAGATTTTTTAGACTTTTTATTATTTGAAATTGATTGCAAATTTGAATCTTGTAAACTTTCATAATAATCATTTTTTGAAATTGTTATTGGAGGTAATACATGTTTTGTTTGAGATTCTATAATAGTTTCTTTAATTAAAGACGTTATTAATGAAGATTTACCAACAGATTCATCACCACATACAACAATTCTGATTGTATCAATTGACATATAGCCAAAAAAAAAAAAAAAAAAAAATAAAAATAGTATGGATACTGCATATATTTATTTTGCAACTACTTATCAAAAGTAGAAGTGGATATATACAAAGAGTTCTAGTAAAACTTATCAAAAGTAGAATTGAAATCATCAAAATTGGCTTGTGGTAATTCTGGCATAAAGTGTTGTTGTTGTTGTTGTTGTTGTTGTTGTGGATGATGCATTTGTGGTTGATGTTGATGCATTGGTTGTGGTTGCAAATTTTGAGCATGATGATGTTGTTGATGATCTTCTTCAGTTTCAATTTCTTCCTCCTCCTCTTCTTCTTCTTCTTCTTCTTCTTCTGCACCTTCTTCTTCTTCATCTTTTTCATTTACAACATCAACATATTCACTTAAATTATCATTTTTACAAATTTCTTCAAATTTACTTTGTTCCTTTTTTGAAATAATATTTTTAATATCATATAATTCAAATAATGAAAATTGACTCAAAGTTGAATTTAAAATTTTAGTTAATTCTTGAAACCATAACATTTTTTTACTTAATTCATTTAAATTTTGATAATTTTGAAAACTTGTTGTTAAAATTTGTAATTTTTCAAAATTTTTTGAAAATTTATCTAATAAATAATTCAAATTCGATTCATTTGGTAATTTATTTAATTGTAAATTTGGCCATAAATTAATTGGTAAATATAAAGTTAAATAATATAAAAAAATTGAAGGAGAAGCATCATTTGAAATTGGTTCAATTAATTGTTTTTTAGCAAATTGTTGAACAAACCATTCATTTGTATAAATTTTTGCTTTAATTCTACGATCTCTTAATTTTCTTCTTAATTTACTTTTTTCTTTTTGACCACCAGTTGTAGAAATACTTAACATTTGACTTCTAGCCATTGATTTTTTAGTAGATTTTCTTTTTCTTGTAAAATTTTTTGATAAATCTTCACTATTTCTTCTACTATTACTACTATTACCTGAATTATCAACTAAATTTGTTGAATTAGCACTATTATTCGCAGAAGAAACTACATCAACACTTTTTCTTCTTTTTGAAGCGTTTCTAATTGCATCAATTTCCTTAATTGGATGTAATGAATCACCTTTTTTACTATCTAAATGTCTACCTAAAGAGCCTCTATGACTAAATTGTTTATCGCAATATTGACAATATTTACCATTATTAATAAATAGTTGATCGCTACCACTTCTTGATCTTCTCATTGGGCTAAAACTTAGTTGTAGTTGTTGAGGTATAGGTAGGGGAATGAATGGAGCCGCGGGCTGTTGTTGGATTGAATGATGTGGAATTGATTGTGGACCAGGAGAAGATTTAAGAATCGGTATTGGATTAGATACAATCTGTGGCTGTTGCTGTTGATGTTGATGTTGATGTTGATGTTGTTGTTGTTGTTGTTGTAGTTGTTGTGGTTGTTGTTGTTGAGATTGTTGTGGTTGTTGTTGTTGTTGTTGTTGTTGTTGTTGTTGTTGTTGACTTAAATTATAACCTTGTTGTAATAAATGATTTGGTAAATGATGTTGCTGTTGATGTTGATGTTGATGTTGAAGTTGAATCGGTAATTGATTTAAATTCATATTTTGATTTGAGTTATTATAATTATTATTGTAACTATCCCTGATATTATTTATTATGTTATTATTATTAATATTATTATTAATATTATTATTATTACTACTACTATTATTATTATTATTATTATTATTATTATTAACCATAATCTAAGATTTAACTGTAATCAAATCATCTAAATAAACATACATATATAAATGTTTTAGACGACAAGAAAAGGAACAAATTGATCAAATAAAATTATTATTAAACCAATTGAATTGAATAATTAAATATCAATCAATGGAAACAACAATTAAAAGATAATTTATTCAATCAATATATAAATTATAAAAAGATGTTGAAATATTTAAGATTTTTTTAATTTTTAATTTTTGATAAAAAAATAAAAAAAAAAAAAAAAAAAAAAAAAAAAAAAATAAAATTAAAATTAAAATAAAATAAAAATAAAATTTGGGTGCAAAATTTGAATTTCATTTAAAGTAATAAAGTTATACTATAAAGTAATACTATAAAGTAATACTACTATAAAGAATACTATAAAGAATACTATACAGTAATATTATAAAGTAATACTCTACAAACAACTAAATATTTAATTAAAAACTTAGTTCGGACTATTTAAAATCTAATGCTCCACTTTTAACTACAATTGAATGAATAAAATGAAATATTATACAATATTTAAAATTTGAAGTGATTAAATTATTAATAAACGCAATTGGTAGTTACGAGTTGAATCTAATTTATTTTTTATTCATTTATTTTTTATTTATTTTTTATTTATTTTTTATTTATTTTTTTTTCATTTTTTATTTTTTATTTTATTTTACTTTTTTTTTTTTTTTAGTTTGAAATCGAAATTATTACTTAATTTGGTTAGTTTTCATTCAATGGTTTTTTACCCCAATTTACTTTAAACCAATTAAACCAATATCAATCTTTCTCTTTCTCTTGTGCTATCTGAAATAGATTATAATGGATCGTTCTATACTTGTACTAAAATCATATCTATTTCATTTTATTTCATTTTATTTAATTTTATTTGTTCCTTAATCTTTAACTAAAATATTTTCCCTTTTTTTTAACTAAATTTGGTATTTTTATGAAGATTTCTTAATTATATTTAAGGGTTCACATTATTATTTTTATTGTTGATTTTGTGTTATTTATTTATCTTTTATTTTATTTTATTTTTTTTATTTTTTTTATTTTTATTTTTTATTTTTTTTTTTTATTTTTTTTTTTTTTTTTTTTTTTCTTCCCCAATGTTTTTGATAATTGTACCTTGTTTGACGTCAGATGTTGGTTTTTATTATATATATATATATTCGCATTAAATAGAAATTTAAACAACGTTTCATATTTGTTAATTAAACTGTTTCAATTGCATTCAATTAATAATGATCTGATCTTTACTAGTTTAATCGTTTGTTAGTTTGCTCGTTTGCTCGTTTGCTCGTTTGCTCATTTGCTCGTTTGTTGTTTTGCTCGTTTGTTGTTTTGCTTTTGCAGTGGGGAATCGCTTTTTAATTGTACGCACAAAATTTTTGATTATAAATTGAAAATCGTTTCTTTCTCTGTTTCATAGAAAATTGTTTGATTCTCGTCATTTACAATTTTATTAAAAAAACTTCTCATTGATAAACAATTTCTTTATCGGTTTCCATATTATTAAAAAAATCATTGATAAAAAGTCATTGATATAGATTCATTGATATAGATTCATTGATATAGATTCAGTGATATAGATTATGATTATCCATTTCTTTATCGTTTCCATATTAATAACTAACTAACTAACTAACTTCTAACTAACTTCTTTTAGTCGTATATTTTAAATATCTAGTTTATTTACAATTTCTTTTAAATTACTTACAAATCTATCTTGAATTGAATCTCCATTTCCTGATACAACTGTTAAAACTAATTCATTTAATTCGGCGCTACCCAAAATATCAACATGTTCTGCTGTTTTAGCGCCACCTCTTAAATCAAAACGATCTGGTTCATGTTTAATTTCAACTATTTTAACTTGTACATTCCCTGGATTATATCTTGATTTATTTCCTTTAGCCCATTCATGACACATTGTATGAGTTAATAATGAAACTGTACCATCTCCATCTCCTAATGCAACTCCATCTTTTGCATCTGGATCAATAACATAATTTAATTTCGTTGTATTATAATCTGCTGGTATATATTTATATGATCTTTCTGTTGGATTACCTACTCCATAAAAACAATACCATTTTAAATTTGGTGCATTCGGTAATGCAACTTCTAAAGGATTTGTCCATTTCAGTTGATCATTATTATTGTTTTCCAATTCTTTTTCTGTTTTTGCAATTCCAAATGAATAATTTTCTCGAACTCTTTTCGCATACCAATCTGGTGAATTATTTAATAAATGCTCAATACTATCATCAATTGTATGTTTCTCAATTGTACCATCTCGTTTTCTATAATTTATAAATGAACCAAATGAACCAGTAGATGGTTTTTTAGCAATTGTTTGATTAATTCTTTTATTATTTTCATTTTCTGTTTGTAATGTATTTATTGGATCATCTGGTGCATAAGTTAAATTGCCCCAAATTAAATCACCTCCTTTTGGTATCATACTTGCAACTCCACCAAATGTACGTAACATGTCAACTCTTTCTCTTCTACTGAAAAATTGCTCTAATCCATAAACTGCTAATGCATTTAATTGAACTGTATCTTTCATTTCTCCTGAAATTAATGCAGGTATGGTTTTTGGTGTACCTAAACTTGAACCTGATATATCAACAATTGATTCTATATATTTATCAACCCAATTTTTATCATGAGATTCAAGCCATTTTAAAAAATAAAAAATCACTTGAGATCCCATACTATGTCCTACCAAAACTGATTTTTGTCCCGTCATTTTATAAGTTAATTCAATATGCGTTCTTAATTTGGTAAAATAACCATCCCTCCTTTCCAAATCAATGTATAATAATCTCCAATCATAAGCTGCAGAAATCATATTATCAGGATTATATCCAATAACTGCTAAATTCTGTAAAATTTTATTCCAAATCCAATAACCTGCCATAAAAAAATCTGCTGCTTCAAAACCTTGTGCAGCTCGTACTTTAATATTTGGAGGATCTAAACCTGTTTCTTCATCAAGTTGAATATGTTTCAACCAACATCCTTTTTCTAAAATCATTGTTCGTAACATAAAAAATGATCCCCATAATCTTTTTCTAAAGTAAGAGATACTAGGACAATCTCCTGTTGTTGTAGTTCCCCAACTTTCTAAACCAGTCGATATAACTCCAGGAACCATCACAACATTATATTTACTTGTAAAATTTTTAGTTGATTTTAATCTAATACCAACACTAAAAGAATCTGCTGAACCATGTAAATTATCATCTGATTTATCATTAACATCACGTAAATATGATTGAATTGATGTTGGTAAAATATTTTGCCAATTTTTAAAATCATCAAATAAATTATTTAATTGATCTAAATTTACAAATTGCTCTAAATCTGCTGAGAAGGAACTTTTGGTTGAAAAAAATACTGTTAATATTAGACCTAATACAATACCTAATATAAACATAACACGTCTTGATTCATGAATTTTCTTTTTATGTTTTGATTTGTGATGCGGGTGGTGATCATGATGATGATGATGATGATGATGATCTTCATCTTTTGATTGCTGATCTTCAATTTGATCCAAATTTTCATTCTTATCTTCTTTTATATTATTATCGATTTTTTCACCATTTATAGACGAAGATTTAGCAATATTATCATTTTTATCATTAAACTTTTGACTTGATTTTTTCTTAATCTCGGATTTATCTTCTGTTGATCTATCTTTAGTTTCCTTTGAAGATCTATTTTTTAAACCAGTCATATACAATATATATCAAATGTCAAACTATAATTAAAATGTCAATGAAGTTATAGTATAATTATAATGAATTGCAATTATAAATTTGTTAAACAATATTTATTATTTAATTCTTGTGAAATGAATTTTTAATTATAATTGAATTTTTTTTTTTCTGGTGCGATCTTTTTGATTGTCGTATATTTTTATATACGCATATACAATTAGACATTAATTATGACATTATATATTGACTATCCAAAACAGTTATTGATAAATTATTGATACTGGATAATGAAGAATTGAAATAATATAACTTGAGGTGTATGGTCGTTTTATTCTGGTTTACACTCTACATGTTTAATAGGTCTTAAATATTTATTTATAACTTAATTTGAGTCTGTACGTTGGAAGCTCGAACGATAATGGAACTCAGACTTGTTCCAGATTAAAGCTTTAAGTGACACCTGCAAACAATTAAGTTTAAACTGAGCTCATGATATTCTAAGATTATTGAACTTGCATCAGTTAGACTAAGATTATTGAACTTGCATCAGTTAGACAATAACAAATATTTTCAACTGTAAAAAAAATTACTAACTTGTATATTATGCTTTTGAAACTTAATTACAACCTAGTATCATAATACAATTTCTTTATAATGCTTCCATTGTATAATCATACTCAATGCCTGGGGTAACACTAGATATAAATTTAAGGAATATGATTAAATATTGATCAACTCTCATTCCATTATTTTCCTCATCTTCATTTCCTTCATTCTTCAACTTTGAATGTTTCATTAATACTTTCATTACACTTGAATGTTTACATGGATGAATTGAAACACTCATTGTATTTGAACTAACTGGTAAATTTTCAATGGTTGCTGTTTTATCTTTATAATCACTATTTATGTCCTCAAACATTTGGTTGGGTAATAATGGAATACCATTTGAGTCATAACCAACTAAATATAATTTAGGAACTCGATATGAAGTCGAGTATGTAATGTATAAATCATATTTTCTCAAGTGTTTGTTACAACCTAAATCATCATAATCTTCATTTTCTTCAAATTCTTCCCCTTCTGCATTGTTATCAATTAGCTCATCTATATCATTAAAACCTTCTTCCGTTTCTATTTCCTTTGCATCGTCTTCTTTAACCTTCCTGATTTGCTTAGATTTAACCCATCCGTCTTCATCAACTTCCTCCTCCTCTTCTTCTTCATCTCCTTCTTCTGATAATTTTCCAAGATAATTATTTGCTCTTTGATAACTTGGTACATGTTTAGTTATTAAAAATTGTTTATCCGGTGGTAAGAATGTTTTTAAATTTGCTTTTGATGTTGGTGCTGACCATTGCCATGTTGGAAATTTTGAAACTAGAAAATCTCCAGCTTGCTCAAATTCTTGGGGACTTATTTGTCCAGTAGTTAAAAAATTTGAATTGTTGTTTATTGGAGTTAGGTATTCTCTTAATGACGATAATTTTGATCTAATACTCATTCTTAATCTAATCTCTTATCGGTCGATAAGTTATTTTTTTGTGACTAGTATATTAAAAAATGCGTGGAGTGGTAATCTTTACACGACCTAAAATATACACGTGAATATTCACGTGCTGCAATTCATTTCATTAATGTTATTGAAAGAATCTTAAAGTGTAAAGTGAAAGGATTCAAGTATTAAAGTATAGATGATTTTGTTAAACTTTATATTACCGTTATCAGTTTTTTTTTTGAAATTTTGCTAATTTTGCTAATTTTTTTCTAAAAAAGATGCAAAACGATTACGATGGTGTTCATGTGACAAAAATTAGAGAACCATACTCTCACTTCAGACTGAAAACTAATATCTTTTATTTACAAAGACAAACTATGAACAATACACGGGCTTGATTCTAGAATAAGTACTTCTAATTTGATTTCGAGGATTGAAATATAATTTTAATGAGCCTTATATATAAATAGTCGTAACCTGATTTGATTTTGGAGTTAAGGGTAATTACATGATGTAAATTTGTTTCAATTAAACCGAAACAATTGAAAATAAACACCCAAGAAATAATAATATAAAACAAACATTAACAAACCCTGTATTTTAATACACGTAACATTTGAGACTAGATTTTAGAATTCCAGTTGACTCATTCAGCAATTCAATGAAACAAGGTTGGTTCTACTTCTGACCTGGGTCTGTTCTACAGCATGTTTCCACGTCGATTATAGTGATTTCTTCTCGTCTTGTTGAATATGTTTGCAAATTTTGGTTGCAATTTCTTGCTTACATAATAAAGGTAAACAAAACACTATAAACAAAAAAAAAATAATTGCAAAACACAAAACATAAACCAAATAAAAACATAACACACGTTAACGAGTATCACACAAAATATAATTACTATATTCGGGTGAGGAACAAGAATCATCCATTTGATGAAATTATCCGTAATTCTTTCGCTCTGTTTTCTCAGAATCTTGAAGTATTGTGACGCATGGAAAAAAATGCGACGCGAAAATTATTTGGCACGTTATAGTGGAAAAGAAATAGGTTTGTTGAAACCCTGGCAGACTCAAATAGCAATAAGCGGGTAGAAACAAAAGGGAAAGTAAAATGAAGGTCTAATACTTTTTCAAGCTTCAAACATATACTTCAACAAATGCAAACTATACATGAAATACATTTGCGTAAATGGCACATTTATACATTTTTAATTGGCCATAAAAAGCTTCAATCAAATGCTCTTTTCTAGTATTCTATATTTGTATTTTGTGCATAAACTATTACTTACTAATGAGCATGAATATTGGTAATTCTTTACATTATTTATTTTCTTTGTATACTACTACTTATTTTGGTCTCAATCAAAACATTGCACAAAATTAAAAACACCAAATTTTTTTTTTCATTTTCTTTTATTTATTTATTATTAAGTTAATTATAGTAATAATATACTGTTATTCAAACTAAGACTAAGAGAAGACCTTATTGAAAAGAATACAATTACTATTTACCAGCCTAGTATTTTTGTTTTTCTAAATTTGTTGAATTATATATACGCTTTGTTGTTTATTTATCAATTTGAGATCAAAGATCTAAAACTAAAAATAAAATTTATATCAACAATTACGTCCTTTTTTTTTTGTTCAACTAGTGAATAACAGCTATAGAAATTGAAATCTATGTCATTAACAAGTAATAGAATTGCATTATCTACAATATCAAATAGTCACTTAAATTCAAGTTCAAGTTCATCATCTTCACCGTCCGGTTCATCATCAAATACAAATTTATCAATTAATTCAACTCCAAAAAAGAGGTTACTTGCCAGTGGATCAACATATTCAATACCAAATAACAATTTTAAGAAAAGACGACTTGATTTCAATAGCAAATCATTTTCAACGTCAACTTATGTTAAAAAACATAGTCCTTTAAGATCAGTTAGCTTTTCTGATTATAGAACCACTTCATCAACTAAAAATTCACCAAAGCAAACACAAAAGCAATTAACTAGAACTGAATCTGCTGAAATTGCAGCTAATAAATTGAGAGTTAGATTACAAATAGCATTTTCTAATGTAAAATCAAATCAACAAAATAAAACTCCAATTAATCCAATTAAGGCTCATCAAACTTCAAAATTAGAATTACTAATCAAATCATCATCAACAGCATTAAAATCACCGCCAAGATCATGTAAAGGATCACCAAATACAACAATCACGACTTTAAATTATGATTTAGATAAGATTTCAAGTACAAATAGCTTGCCTACTCCACCTGAACAACCACCAACTCATAAAATCTTAACAAATTCAATTAATATCAATTTAAAGGGTAAAGAATTATTTAAAACTAATGTTAATTTATCAAAAGTTGCAAAACTGAAACAATCTCAAATTAAACAACAAAAGGAAAAGAAAAAGGAGAATAAAAAATTACAATTGTTGGAAATTAAAAAAAATTCATCATCTTATGTTCCAAATGTCAAAAAATTACCTTTGGTAAAAAATGAAGATAAAAAATCATTGAAATCTATTTCAAATTTGAGCATTTTTAACCCATTAATAAGTAATGAATCAATATTGCCATCAATTTCAAAAACAAGTCCTTCAGAATCTTATCAGTTACCTCCTATTGACAAAATCTTAAGGACTCCAATTAAAGAGTCTGAAAGGTATTTAGGTCATATTAACAAAGATAGTAATAACAACAATGAAACTACTGCATCTAGAATACAAACTACAGTAGATGATACAATTGAAGATGATTCGACAGTTTTACAAAACTCAACAATTGTAGAAAATAGTACGATTGATCAAAATGCAACAATAATTCAACATGATAAAGAAGATAAAAAAGATGAAGATGATGATGAAGAGGAACAAGAAGCTTCAACAATTTTCAAAAAGGATATACTTACATCTTCACCATTGAATAACCATCATAACCACCATGGTAATCTTTATTTTGGTACACCTAATAGTTTTAGTATTGCTAAATCTTTGTTGCAATTAGGTGGTCATCGCATGTAATATTATTAATTTAGTCATTTTCAATTCATTTTTTTTTTTTCAAGATTTAAAATTTATTAATCACCATGTATTATACGTATTTAATAGCATACTTTATTTAATTTAAATATATAATTTAATAGAAAGTCTACAATCGACCACGCCCGAATTACGCTGAAACAGCTATGTACATGTAGTAATTAAGCACAAAATTGAAATTTCGTAGAGGTTAAATGTAATTGTTACCCAAAGTTTGCTAAGAAAATGAAAAGGTATCAATTTGCAGGTATCAAATTCGGATTGAGCTCAAATTTTCCGTTCGAATGGTGGAATGGTACCAAGAACAGCAAGTTTTGATTAAAAACTAGATGCACAGTGCTAACTTGACATCTGCTGAGAATTAATGGCTTTTTTAATATTTTCTTTAGCGCGCGCTTATGGTACTTTTTTTTTTTTTTTTTTTGTTTCAGATCTCAGATCTAAAACGCGCAATTTTCAATTTTGTGACCGTGTTTTTCAATGATATAAGTAACTTAAATTTCGTCACGTATTTCGTTATTCAAAAAATGGGCAAAAAACGCAGTTTGCAGGGTAATTTAACACTTAGCCTTCTCTTATCAACTTCTAATATAATTGGTTTGGCTCATTTAACTCTAAGAATATTAATTATGGTATTTTTAAGACGCCAAAATCAGTTTGGAAAGTTTGTAAAAATTTCAAAGCATGTTCCAAAAATAACTTTCCAACTTTGAGTACCTTAACTTAAAAATATCTACGTGGAACTACAAATTTCAATAGCTTCATAATATTTAAATTGGAATATTAAAAGTGGAACTAAATTTGATTAGGTCAATTTATTCGATTTTTCCCATACTTACTCAATTTTAAAGCAGAACAAATTCTATCAAGTCCATCATCTTTGATGAAATTATAGTATATAAATTTCGGTATTTATTTGAAGGTTATGGCCCTAAATTAAAGGATACTCAAATTTACATTTTTCGAAAAATTTCTGTATGGAGAAAAATACCAAAAATGCCAAAATGACAACTCCAAAAAAATATTTTAAAATATTCAAATATGATTTATATGAGATATATAATTTAGAGCTTCTGATTTGATATGATTGGTTCTTATTTCGAGAGAATGCGTTGTTCATGATATATACGTCAAAAGTTTTAGTACGAGTCGCCCTAAAGCTAGCGCGAGAAATTATAAAGGTCGCACCAAATAATTGCACTAAAAAATACATACTCTATGTTTGGTCAAAATGTAGAGTGTAGAATATATTTATAAATGATTCGAATGAAGAGTTTGGTCAAAATTTGGCTTAAATCCTATGCCGCAACTTGTTTGTCAACATAATTCATTCTATATCAGATCTAATATATTTAAAAGTAGTAAATACTATCAACATAATCAACTTACCAATTTAGTTTATTGCATCTTTACCGTTGACTGCCTCCTTACATGATAAGATGAAATTAGTTTAAACAGAACAATATGTTATTTTCCTAAACAGTTAGTATGTTTTTTGCTTTCAGTTTTATAAAAATTTTCTAACCATTTAATATTGTCTTCAAGACTAATCGAATTTTATTTTTATAACTCATCATAAATTTATAAAAACATACCATTTTTTTTTTTAAAATTTACCATTTAATAAGTTTTTAATCATATCTTTCCCAGTATAAAATGCAGTATAATAAAAAGTTTGAAAATCTAAAGTAGAACTAATTGTATCTAAAAATCCAAAAGGTAACATTGCAGGAATCCAACCTTGAGCTAATTCTAAAGCAAATGATTCACTAGGCATAGAATATTGTTTAACATGACCTTTTTTTAAATGATGTTGATCACCTGGATAATAAATTTCTGGTTTTAATGCACCTGAATAAGCAGCATTTTGTTGACCAGTTAAAATTGTAAAATAATCATCAGCAAAATGAACTCCAGTATGACCTTCAGTACCAATTGCAGTACCAAAAAAGATTAAATATTCAGAAATTGAAGCGTGTAATATAAACATGGTACCCATTGCACCTCCAGCATTATTATATACCCAACCTTGATCAAATGATAAATCATTAATTAAATTTTTAGAATATTGATTTTGTAATTTAGAAGTTAATTGAATCATAATTTCAGTTGAATTATTATTTGGAAATTGCTCGAGTGTTTCATTAACTAATAATTGTAAAGTTTTTGGATCAAATATATAATTTGAAGGTAACCAAGTATAAAACAATTTATCTAATATAGTAAAAGTTAAAATTGGAATTAGGATTAATGATGAAAGAAACTTCATAATGAATAAACTAGAATATTGAACTAGAATATTGAACTGAAATGAATTAAAGAACGATTGAATGAATGAATAAATGAATGAATAAATAAAAGTTGTTTGGTTATAATATTGAAAATTTTTATACTACTTAATTTTTTCATTTATACGAGAGATGCGAATTTTATGCGACCGTCGTATGAAATAATATTAATTAATATAACCACCGGTTCAATAATATTACACCTTAATACCATCAATGGGTGATAATTAGTTAGTCAATGTTTACAATTTTAATAACTACTGGTGCTACGATTACATTCAAATTATTAATTGATATAATTACAGATGTAGATTTCATAGAAAATTTAATTAAATTACAAGTTTCAAAATTATATATTCAATATGGAAATGAAATAAACAATGGTAAAAATAAAAGTAAACAATATTTTGATAATTTAATTGAATCAAAACAACTAGTTAAGATTTTACAATTAAATCAAATTGAAAATTACCATTATTTAAATTCTAAAATTGAAATTATTGCATTTCCATTCTCATCTAATATAAATTCATATATTAAAGAATCGGATTTAATTATTAGTCATGGTGGTACTGGATCTATACTTGATTGTTTAAAATTACAAAAAAAATTAATTGTAGTTATAAATGATCAATTAATGGATAATCATCAATATGAAATTGCAAATGAATTTGAAATATTACAATATTGTAAGAAATATGAAATTATACAATTAAAAACAAAAGAGTTTTTTGAAGATATGGATAAATTATTAAATGATAAGATTAAATATAAACAATTTCATGAATCTGATGGTGTGATTTTGAAATCAATTATACTTGAAGAATTAGGTAAATAAAATAGAATATGAATATATTAATTCATTTCATGCTCTAAATATTTTTACTATCAAGTATTTAAATTTCAAAATGAACTAAAACAATTGATTCTTAGAAATATGAAATTGATACTCGTAATCATCAGATAATAATCTGATCAAACTAATCTGACGAGAGCCAAGCTGAGTTGGGAGAATCCATTAATAAAGGGCGAAGTCAAATTTAAAACATAATAATACATTGTTAGACGATATACCTTTAGCTTTTTGATCTTCACGATTGATTGCTTGATTCCAACTATCTCGACGTTAGTTGAAAGCATCACCAATAATGAAGAATTCATTGTTCATGTTGTGTCATTTTCTCAATTCATCGCGTCTCTTGAATAACAACCTGATTTCCATCATTTCCCATTTTACAATCCTACTCAAAACCAAGATACCTTATCGATTGATTAAAAAAGAAAGAACAAAAAGGAATAAAAAATTAACGAGATTTGATGTCAATTTATAATTCACTATTTGGTTAAGAAATCGGTTTAATTACGGTTGAATTTCCTAATTTAGAAATACGCCACACTACTAAATTTAGAGTTAAATCCGTTGATTTTATTTTTGAAAAACTACCAAATAATTATTATCCTCCCCCCATACACGACCAAATAAATATCTCTAATCATAAACACCAAATGACAATTAACAATATATTAAATAATACAACAATTAATAATGACACTAGAATATCACAATTATACAATACAATTAAGCAGTTTAACAAATTAGACTTAGTTCAATTAGATCCATCTTCATATACAAATGACCGAAAATTTCAATATTTACTAATAATTATTAAATTTGAATTCTTATTAACTAATTATCCAGATGAAAGTCAATTAATAGATAAATTAAATATAGAATTAACTACTACAAATAATACAACATCAACATCAACAGGAGATTATTTAGATACGTTTATAAAATTAAAATCATCAGATTTATTAACTGATTATCAATTTTTATATACACAAGAACAACCAAATTTAATAAATTTAATTAATAAAAAAATTGTAATTATTAATTCAATTACTGATAAATCGTTATCATTATCAATTATTTCAAGTATACAAATTAAAATTTTACAATTATATTTACTTTCAAACTTTGATTTCAGGAAAAAACAAATCAAAAATTATTTAATTGAGAACCTATCAGAAGAATATAATGAATATTTGACAGATTCTTCCCCATTTGTAACTTTTGAACTTTTTCAAAGCTATTGTACAGATCAATTTGGTTATGGTAGTTTTTTTCAGATTTTTCATTCAGATATTTTAATTTCAAATTGGATTGAGAATAATATTGTGAATTTGAATAACTACTACAAGTCAATTAAAATTGAGACAATTTATAAGTTATTAAATATTGATACAGATTTTAATATTGAATCACTATTATTTAAATTAATTATTGAACAGAAGTTGAGTAATGGTTCAAAAATTGATCAAATTAATAAAATATTAATATTTGGTGATGAATTTGAAAATAAAAGTAATAATAGTTTGAATAATCATGTAAAGAAGATTGGGAAATTAGTTAATGAAATTTATGTAAATATATAAAAAATTAACATATATAATAATAATTGGTGATATTTATTTTTGTTTTGTTTTGTTTTGATTTGGCGGTGGCGGCGGCAGCAGCATCAGCAGTATCATTTGGTTCTGTACATCCAAAAATAACATTACCAAAGAGTCCAATACCGCCGCCACTTTTATATTTTAAATCTTTACCGTAAAAAAAGTTCCATTTCGTGTATGTATTATTATATAAGTTGAAGTTTTATATTAAAGTCAATTGACTTTGATGAGAGATTGATAGAGAATTTAGTTGTATTTATAGACTAAAAGTTTTATTAAAAAGGGGCTTAAAGTCCGATAATATAAGGATTAAATTGTTGAGTAATGTAATCGAACCTGCGTCCATTTTATTATCGTCAATGTTTAATAATAATTAGTAAAGCTTACACAATAAATCTGTTAATCTTGAAGTCTTAATCATATATTATTAAACTTCAGGTATAATTTGTTCCAAATAATCAATCATATCTTGAATATTCTTTTGAAAAACTTCTATGTGTTTTTTCTTTACCTCTATTTGTAATTTCTTCAACTTCATCTTCATTTAAATCAAAATCAAATATTTCCAAATATGATTTAATTCTATCTTCATTAGAGGATGTTGTAATTGGTAAAGTTCCCTTTTGTAAAGCCCACTTTAATAAAATTTGAGAATTTGTTTTATTATATTTCTTTGATAATTTTTGCAAAATTTCATCCAACGGACCTGGACTTGCTTTTGTAATTGGACTTAATCCACCATAAGTTTCAATTAAAATATCTTGTTCTTGACAAAATTTAACTATCCCTGGAGTTTGATTTTGTAAATATGCAGAATATTCAATTTGATTAACTTGTGGTTTATATTTTGGATTGGATTTTAATATCTTTGTTAAATCTTCAATTGTAAAATTTGAAACACCAATATTTTTAACTAAACCTTCATCAACTAGTTTTTCCAATTGTTTCCAAGCTTCAATTAAATCATAACCGTGAGATTCTTTTGATATATATGGGAAATGTAAAAGATATAAATCAACATAATCTACTTCCAATTCTTTTAAATCATTTTTTAAAGCATCATAAGGATAACCAAATTTTGAAATTTTGGATTTATCAAATGTAAAATCACCAGCTTGAAATTTATTTGTAATAAATAATTTTGACCTATCAATACCGGATTTTTTAATAGCTTTACCGATCTCTTTATTTGTATTATAAATTTCCGCACCATCAATATGAGTAAAACCTAATTTTATAGCAACAGAAATAATATTAATTAAATTCGAATCAATTTCATTCCTACCTAATTTAAACCATTTTGTACCAGTACCAAAACCAATTGCAGGAATAGTATTACCATTATGTAATTTAAATTCTTTACCAACTAATGACATTATAAATTAAATACCTGTGCTGTCTGTCTATTGATTGAATATCTATTGTATTGAATATTTGTTGCAAAAATCTACAATAGTGTGGCATAGAAAAATATAAAAAGTGCGAAACTATTCTATTTATATACAAAATTAATTACTAATGAATAACGAAATTTATAATTGCGAATTATTAATCAACAACAAATTTATATTTATAATTACAAGGAGATATTTAGTTGATTTTTACTCACAACTAAGTATCAAACTTGTAATGTGATGTAATGTATGAACTTCACTTTATAATCCATCTTCATTTGTGGCTTGAAAGCTAATTGTGTTGATAATTGTGTTGAACTTTTTCTATTGTGGTAGCTCCTTTTTTTGCAGCCTAATTGAACAATAGAGAGATTGATTAATGAATTAATTAATTTGCAACCCCATATTCTGTTCAAACTGCCAATTTAGATATTTTATTGTTGGTCTGTCTGTCTATTGAATGATTAAATCATCAATGTACTGTCGCGGTTTATATCTGGTTGGTTCACTACTTATCAATTAATGTACGTCGTGTTATCAGCAACAAAAATTGATTTGTTTTACATCATATATAAAATTTATTATATTTTTTATTGGATTGGCAACCAACTGGTTTTAACAAAGATTTTTAAAAAGATATGAGTTTAGAAGAGACTACTCCTTTACTCAGTACTAGTCATCATGAATCTAATAATAATAAAAATAATGATAATGGTAATAATATAAATAATGGTAATAATATAAGTAATATAAATAATAATAATAATAATAATAATAGTAATGATAATAATAATAATAATAATAGTAGAAAATTAAGTCATATTTCGGAAATCGATGAAGATGATATCATATCTTATGTTCAACAACGAAGGCAATCTATAATTTCAATAGGTAATGATAAAATATCAAGATGCGATTTTAATAATAATAATAAAAATTTAAATAAAAAACAGTCAAATCAAACTTTAACATCTCCTTTACATCCAACAAGTTCAAAAAATTCAATTTCAAATTTATCAGTTAATCAAGTTTTAAATTTACATGAATCTGAATTAATCAAAGAACCAAAAACAACAATTAAAAATGAAACTAAAATATTATTAAAATATTCATTCCCCTTAATTATTACTTTTCTTTTACAATATTCATTAACTGTTGCTTCTGTATTTTCTGTTGGTAGATTAGGTTCCTCAGAATTAGCTGCTGTCAGTTTAAGTTCAATGACGGCTAATATTAGTGGATACGCAATTATACAAGGTGTTAGTACTTGTTTAGATACTTTATGTGCTCAATCTTTTGGTAGACTGCAATATAATTTAGTTGGTATTCATTTTCAAAGATGTAATTTATTTTTATTGATTTGTTATATTCCAATATTTATACTTTGGTTTTTTCTAAGTGAACCTTTGTTAATTTTTTTAATTGGATCAGATCAATTTGATATATGTGTACTTTCAAGTAAATATTTACAAATTTTATCATTTGGATTACCTGGGTTTATCCTTTTTGAAAATGCAAAACATTTTTTACAATGTCAATCAATATTTCATGCATCTACTTATGTTTTAATAATATGTGCTCCATTAAATGCTTTTTTAAATTATGTATTAGTATGGAATAAAACAATCGGGTTGGGTTTTATAGGTGCGCCATTATCTGTAGTTATAACAAATTGGATAATGTGTATTTTATTATATTGTTATATTTTTTTAATTAATGGTTATCAATGTTGGCCAAAAGAATCAATCCTTAATAAAATATTTTGGATTAATTGGAATAAAATGTTAAATTTATCAATCCCATGTGTATTGATGGTTGAAGCAGAATGGTTAGCTTTTGAAATTATAACTTTTCAAGCTGCAAAATTCGGTACTACTACATTGGCTGCTCAATCAATTATTTCAACAACTTGTGTTATATTTTATCAAATTCCATTTGCTTTATCAATTGCATCTTCAACTAGAATCGCATGGTTTATTGGAGCAGCAAGTAAAAAATCTGCAAAAATTACAACTTATTCATCATTATATACTTCATTAGTTTTTGGAATTTTAAATTGTACATTTTTATATATTTTTAAAAATAATTTAGCTTCATTATATACAAAAAATAAAGATGTAATAAAATTAGCCTCAAAAGTTTTAACAGTTGGAGCTGTTTATCAAATTAATGATTTTATTTCTTGTTCTACTGGTGGTATTTTAAGAGGTCAAGGTAGACAATGGATAGGAGGCATTTTAAATTTAATTGGTTATTATTTAATTGCATTACCATTAGCTTATATATTAGCTTTTTTATATGATTTACAATTATTAGGTCTTTGGTTTGGTATGATTTTTGCATTAATTTTTGTTAGTTTATTACAATTATATTTTGTGTTGTCTAGTAATTGGGATAAAATAATTGATGAATGTATTGAAGAAGGTATAATTGAAGATGGTTTAAATATTGATGCACATTCATTATTACCAAGTATGAGTAATTCAATAATTGTATAAAATAGAATAAAATTTAATAGACAAACATTAGTCTGGATGTCAATGTAAGGAAGGGTGCTAAACTACTATCATTAATATTATGGCATCCTTACTACAACTGTTGTATCCTTACCACATCCTTACCATTATTTATTTTCTTGACCGTAGTTTCTTAATTTGATTTCCATTATCTTTTATAAAATCATCAAAGCATGCTTCACAAAGCTTAAGAAATCTTTCTTTATCATTATCAATACCATTATTAGTTAATTTAAATTTAAAAATATTTTCATTCATGATATTTATACTACCGTATATTTCATTAGTTATGGACCGAGGGTGTGAATCTATATTTTTTTCTTCTTCTTGTTTTGATATTAATGATTCAATTGGAGGTAATGATAAAGGATGTGGATTTCGTTGATGAGATGAAGTGACGTTATTATGATTATTCCTAATTGGATTGATGTTATTTATTGGTGGAAGTTTATCATTATTCATAATTTGAGCTGATGAAAAGAATGGTGACGTATTGGTAGTATATTTGTTTTTATTAAAAGTTTGATATTGAATAATAATATTGTGTGTTTCAAATGCATCCATCCATCTGTAGTTTAACTATGAACACCAAAAATTATATACACTATAACAAATGATAAATTTGATTACTGAGTAGTAGAATCACTCACAAATTACTCTCCGAATTGAAACTGTGAATCAATAAGAAAACAGTATTTCGTGAAGAGTTTCTATATTTGAGTGATTACGTTATTATACAACTAAACATTATAAGTTATGAATGATCACTCACAACCAAAGGGAGAGATGAAAATTGTTTTATTAATGTATGAATATTCTTTAGCTTTAAGTTATTCCAATTGCAAATGGAGCCTTAAGGAATAATCGAAATTGAAAAAAAAATGCATATCAAAACATCAAATCAAGAGAATTCAAAGATTGGCGAGAAATAGATGCATCAAGGTAGTTTCTTACATTGGAATGTAAATAAAGAAGTAGGAGAAACACTACGTGAAAAATTCCACACAACAATTTAAAATTTTTCAATTTGAGGCTTCAAAAGTACATCATTAAAAGTGTCGTGATTTTGACCTTAATGATTTCAGACATCAAGGATCATGGCAGTAAACCCATGTATCCAAACATGTGTTGACATAAATGTTGACATAGAATGTTTACATTCCTTTAAAATCATCTATTTTTGTTATATATTTTAAGAAGTAGTAAGTGCCTCAAGTGATTTAATCTTTGCATTTAATTTCTCAATTTCATCTTTATAATTTTGAATTTCTTCTTTATGATTAACTTGCAATTTTTCAAATTCATGTATAATATTCCCACATATATTCTTTATTGAAACATCACCAGTTTTTGATTTGATCAATTTGAGTTTCTCCTTAATTGAAAACTCAGTCTTTACAACGTTACCTTTCTTGGTTGTAATTGACTGTTTCAAATCTAGATATTTTTGAAATAATTCATGATATGAACTTAGTAATTTATTTTTAGTTTGTAGTTCTTCATGGTATATTATTTTCAATTTTTCATATTCTTCTATAATATTAAAGTCATCATTGTAAAAATTTATAATATTTGAAATTTGTTGAAGTATTTTATTCTTTGATTTGATTTTAATATTTAAATTTTTCAATGAATGAAGTAGTAGATCTGAACCTGCTTCATAAACTTTATCTATTGACTCATAATTTATTTCCTTTGATTGATCTAGTTTGACTATTGGATCTTCAATTGAGCTTTTTGGTAATTGACCTGGAATATCATAACTAAATTCATTGTCAAATTCATCATTTTCTTTTTTGAATAATGAATCATCTATATAATTTGACCTTTTGAATTTATATTCCTGTTCATCATCGGAATAATCAATTACTGTGCCGTACGTATGTTTTTGGGTTTCCGTATGATTGAAGTTTATAGTTGGTGCATTGATTAAATTTGAATATGATTCACTATCTCCTAATAAATATTTAAACATAAATTTATATCAATTTGTAGTTTGTTTATTTTAATTCAATGTCGCGTAAATCAAATATGACAATTATGTAAACGCGTCTCCGAATTATATGCAGGATCTTCATAACTAATCTTGAAATTTGAATTGTGAATAACTTCATTAATACTCAAGCTAATTCTCTAAAACGAACTTTCTTAAATACTTTGATTGTTCTAGAGTAGATTGATGACTTTATGCGCTGGAAAAACTTGATTTTGATGATTTTAAGAATTATTGAAAAAATTGAAAAATTCACTATTTTGCAAAATAATTAAAACTTAGACCTCAATTAATAACTTCTAGTATATCCGGTCTAGTTTATTTGAGCCCAAAGATGGCTTGTATGATATTTTGAGGAAGTAAAAATCGGTTTGAACTTTTTGTAAAAATTTCGAAACACCCCCAAAAAATTACTTTTGTAATTTTGAATATCTTAGCTCAAAAATATCCAAGTCAAACCAATATACAGAATTAAAAATATGGATAGTTTCATCATGTTAAAATTTGAAAATTAAAAATGGAACTAATTGTTATTGTTAAGTCAATTTATTCGAATTATTCCATACTTTAGAGTAAATTTTGAAAATTTTCAAATTTGAATTAGAGCTAGCACAAACAGGTATACCACTTTATTTGGAGGCTTAATAGATATAAACCGTTGATTAATTGAGAGTTATAGATGTTAATAAAAAAGATACTTAGATTTCCATTTTTTTGAAAAATTTTTGTATGGGGAAAAAAGCCCGAAAATTCAACTCAAAGAAAATATGCTTGAAATTTAATATTTAAAGTATTTAAGATATATAATTTAGAGATTCTAATTTGATATAATTGGTTCTTATCTCGAGAGAATGTGTTGTTAATGACATATAATTTAATGAGTTTAGTACGCGTCGCTCTACAGCTAGCGCGAGAAATTATTTTATAGCCGCTGCTTTATCGAGTTGGATATTAAATGCTTTCTGGTATAATTCTGAAACAAATTTGCTTATATGCAATCGTATCATAGCTCATCTTGAATTTGTGGATAACTCCATCAGTAGTCAAGTCAAGTTTTCTTTCTCTAACTTATTTTTTTTAAAAATTTCGATCCAATTAGAATGAGTTGACGTCAATAGGCACTGGATATTCACATAAATTTAGAATGAATTGATCTCAATAAGTCACTGGATTCACATAAATTTGATGACTATATTTTTCATCAAAAAAAATGGACAAAAAACGTTTGATAGCGAGATGATTAACACTTAGGCGTCATTTGATAAGCTTCTAAAGTATTTGACACAGCTTACTTTTCCCCAAAGTAATTCTATGTCTCACCCTTTCTCTGCGTCAGAATGGTTGGAGAATTTTCAACTACTTATACACGTTGAAAAATGTATCAAATTTGATTTTTTCTACAGCGGAAATTAAGGTATCTAAATTAAACAGGCAAAAATACGCAACAACAGGAGTCAGTTGAAGCTTAGACTCAACACCTTCACTTGAACGAATTAATGTTCAAACTTTAAGTCCGTGGCACGAAAATAAGACTTTATTACTAATGAAAAAGGCACAAAATCTCAAAAACTAAAAATACTAAACTAAACTAAAATCAAATCATTTCTAGATCGGCTTTATTTCAATTACATTTCATATGGCATGGAGCAAGAATAATACCAACCTTAATTATAATTTGGAGATCCAAATCAGAACCAATTCAAATCCATTGCTACTTATTAAACACTTAAGCTAGAAAAATTAAACATTATACGACAATAACTTGTGTTTATAAATTGAATTGTTTAAGTAATTTGTTTATTTGGTCCTTATAAACTACAACACGGATTTACTTTTTTAAACACTGGGCCAAAAACCAAACAAACTAATTTGTTTTCATGATTTACAGAAGCTAGACGAGTTTATGAAGAGATTTGTAGATAACAAAATGCCGTTGCATTGTAAAGATCTAGTCGATTTAGTCGTCGTGCATATTATTTTTTATCGTCTAATTATATTTTATCGTCTAATTATTTTTTTTCAATGTCGGAAACATTATGTAAATCTAAACAAAGAGTTTTTCAATGTCTATATTTTTAAACTCTGTGTCATGAGAATGAAATATCTTTCGATTGTCTTTTACAAACTCCGTGTTAAATCGACTTATAATATACATTATTTTATCGTTTAGTGTCTCAATTGTAAACCATTTTTTGACTTTATAACACGAGCTGGATACGAAAAGTTTACAATTAATCACAAATTTGAACTTAAACTTTGTTCAAACAAGAAATAAGAAAAAAAATTGTTATTGTAAAAATTATCATTGAAAGATAAACAAACTACAACAACTCTTACATTTTTTGATCAACATCATAACTGTTTTAATTGTAGTTAGTTATTGATTAGTAAAGGATTTACATTAACGCGGAATCTGTCAAAATCTTAACTAAGTTATAAATTAGTTTGTCGGTAGATTGGTTGATGAAATGTTTGTTTTGATTATTCCTTAAAAAGGCTCAATCTGTATTTTAAACAAAACCTGGTCAGAATATTTTTAATCTCCATTCAAAAACACAATACGAAAATAAGATTTAACAGACAATCCAGATTTAGTAATAAATTTAAGTTACACGAAAAATTTAAATTATTATTAAACATTAAACAATAGACAATAATTAATGTTTTTAATTTAAATCTCTGAACAATACAATTGAAAAATTAAACGATTGAATAAGGCATCTTATAGCTTTGAAAATCATTTGGACAAAAAGTGATAAAGATAACTATTAATGATTATCAATTCAGCTCTATTCAAACCCTTCATTAAAGGGTCTTGAAAGTTTTAACCCACAACTATTTTAAGGGGAGTTATAAACGTAAAACTATTGAAGATAGCCGAGGGCAGAAGCAAGATTTAGGGGGTGACAAATATTTTATGGGGGTGAATACTGCATAGTGGCAAAAGTTTAATTTGCCTTGTGTCACATGTCCATTCATGTTAATTTTTAGCCCTAACTTTGATTATTTTTTAGGTACCAGGGACATTATTTTTAGTTTTGTGTGCTTTTTATTTTTAGACGAGAATGTTTAAACTTGTTAAGTATTTAAAAAATTTTCACCCATTATGTTAGTTTACTTTTATTATTGTGATTATCACGATATTTCCGGTTTGTATTTGAAGAGATATTAGACGATTACAATGTTTGAATTGAGCACAGTTGAAATCAAACAGACAAAATAGAGACAGAAAACCAATTATTTAACTGTTTTATTACCGTGTTGGTTTTTACATTATTCATTGTAATCTATTTAAGATGATGTTTTTTATTTAATTGGTTCTAAAATTATAAACTAATTAGATTTTACAATATTTCTAATTCAATTCTGTACCTCATTATTGTAGTAAATTCATTTCGACACCTAGTTTTTATTTTATTTTATTTTAATTCATCACCATCATTCTCTGTTGAAATGTACACTCATAATATGCATATGTATATCGTATCCCAACCAGCCACATAGATAGATATTTTTACTTACGAAATATTAATTATAACAGAGTAATAACAATTATACAAGTGTGGTAAAATTAATAAAGAACAATAATACTAAAACCTTATTAAGACAATAACATACAACCAACAGTTTTCAATAATCACAAAACTCATAATAAGATGGAATATATAGCTTATTTTTGTGTTCAACCGTTCTTTTTTTTTTTCTTACGTATTAAGCGGAGTTTAGTTACCTATTGGGTAATATCTAGTAAGACTAAATTACGATAGAAGATGATAGATGACCAGCGTTAAGATAATTATTATATTTAGCATTCAAATGCCATAAGCGTCAAACTATTAATCCGTGATTCTTATCTCCACTGAACAAATGAAAGTGAAAAATTTCACACGAATGATCTCAAACAGTCATATTGTAATGGTTGAAAATTTTCTTCTCAAATAACGAAAAGAACGTAAAACATAAACAACTTCAGAGTCAGAAAATGTTAATAAACAAATACTTACATGCTACAAAAACTCCAACCCATGTTAAAAATTAGATTTAAATTTGTAGATGTGAAAAATTTAAGTTTTGTGTAACCAAACCTAAAAATACCCCCTAACGCATAAAAAAAAAATAAAACCTAAAACTGAAAAAAGAAAAAAAGAAGAACTGATGATACTTTCTAGAATACCAAATTATGTCGATCACTTCTTCGATTATAATTATGAAAATATTATTTATAAAGTAAGATATATCCACCATTTCATTTAGAAAATTACCTTTCACTTTTCATTCACTCATTTCAGTTCATTTTTTAGTTTATTAGTATTGTATATTAACTTTTGTTTTGTACCATCACACAGGGTTGTAAATTCAATTTATAGGTTAACAACCAAGTATTAAATTCACTACCTTCTTTTTCAATTCTGTTCATTCATTAATTACTTTCATTTTTAATTTTGCTTGTTTACTTTTGTTAGTTGCATTTATTTCGTACAAGTTTTATTTTCAATTCATTTCATCCTTTAATCTTGTTGCAAAAAGGAACTAATTCACATTGTTTTTTTTTCAATTCTTTTTATACAACCAAACTTTGCATTAATTACATAAAAATATTCATTATGATAAGTCTAGATAAACCAATGATGACTCCTAAATCAATTAAACAATCAAGGATGCAACAACAAACTTTAAATCCTGACAATTCATTCAGTAGTGTTGCTTCTGCTAGTTCTTCAGAACCAAAAGAGTTTAAACAAGAATTATATTCATCTGATCTTTACCAATCTGAAATCTCAACTCATAATCAAAATTTACAAGAATATAATTATGAAATTCGACAAATAATGTATGAGTCAAGTATAAAATATAAACCAAAATTACAATTGTATAAACAACAACCATACGTTACATTTGAAATCAGATCAAAATTAATAGACTTTCTTTTGAAGATGTCAGTTAGACTTAAAATATTACCATTTGTATTTTTCAAAGCTGTTAAAATATTTGATAGATATTGCAGTAAAAGAATAGTTTTATTAGATCAATCACAATTAATTATTACTACTTGTTTATGGTTAGCTTCTAAAATAACAGGAGGTAATAATCATTTTGTAAATTTAAATAATTTAGATAAAATTGGTGGTAATAAACATTTTAAAATTGTAAATGATTTAGGTTATGGAAATGGTGGTAAATACATTGGTCCAACTGAAAGATTTAGATTACCTAAATTAAATGAATTGGTTAAATTATGTGGTAACAAATGTAAATATGACGTTGGAATGTTTAAGCAAATGGAATTACATATTTTAAATACTTTAAATTGGTCAATTAATGAAATGGGGATAGAAGAATTTATCATTCAAAGTAATGAATTCAACATTATTGATCAAAGTAAAATTGAAATTTTCAAATTAAAAGAATATTTATCATATGTATCATTATATTCATCAGAATTATTCGATGTTAATACGATAGAATTAAGTCAAGTTATATTAAATTTAACTAATGAAATAGTAATTTCAACAGATCCAGCTATTGAAAGGCAAATATTAAACTGTCCTCCAGTTTCAATAAGTTTTGAAAATTATAAATTCATAAAGAAGAATTTAATTAAATCGATTTTTAATGCATCTGATTATTTAAAAAGTTTATTTATTATTTATAATTATACAAATTATTTAATCAAGCAAATTATCAATCAGTACAAAGTCAATATACCGACGGATAACAATTCCAATACCATAACTACTCCAATTAATAATACATATGAATGCAATGATTATGTATCACTGACTAAAACAACATTTTTACAACTAACACCAAAGAAGAGAAACAAAATTTATCAAAATTATAAATCATCACCAAAGAAATTACATACGAATAGTCATTCAAATTGTTCATCTTCAGATTTTCAATTAATAACTCCACCAAACTCAGCTAACTCAATTAGTTCCATACAATTACCAAATAGTTCCAATATTCAAAATTATCAATTTTTAAATAATCCAAATTTTCAAAATATAACTACAACTTCATCACCACCAACTAGATCAATAACAAATAATGATAATAAATTATCAATATTAACAAGTTTTAATGGTTCAACATCCACTATTTCATCACAATCATCAAGTTATAATAATAATAATATTAATAATTATAATGATATTTTTGAAAATCCAAATGTTAATCATTTTAATCTTTGTGGACTGAATATAAACAATAATGCTTCAACTCCATTGAGTGAAAATGAAAGTCCAATATTCTTGAATAAGAAAAACAAATCATCAATCGTGTAAGATACTATAAAAGTTAAAAAAAGATTTTGAACAATCATGTAAGATACTATAAAAGTTAAAAAAGATTTTGAACTTGTACATTAAATAAACTTTGCATTAAATATATAATAAACAAATTTTATAAAGATAAATCAATGAAGCTCTAAATCAATGAAGCTCTAACTTGTGGATTTTAAAAGAGTACTAATCTGATCGTGGTAATATCTTTTTAGTGTACAACAATTGATACACGTCTTTTTTTGCAACCACTCTTTGGTAGCACTGATTTTTATGGTTGCATTTTTGCAATCATTTATTCACATACTTAATCTTACATTTGTACCAACAATGTCATATTTTGACAGTATTGTTAAGTCAATATTTTAACTTTATACCATATACTTATGATTAAGTTCTAACTCTGTTATTTCCAATTTAATCTTAGCCAATTTCTTATTAACAGCCTCCTTATTACATAATCTACAATAAGTGGTAACAAAATCACGATAAAATTTTTAGCAAGCAGTAAAAAAAAATATTGAGATAGAAAATAGAAGTACAATATAACCAAACTTCTTCTTTTATACTACTATTGAACATTTACAAATTATTTATAAGACTCAAACATTGAAATATAGACACTCGTTTTTACACAAGACAATACTTACTCACAAAATAAAATGTTGTTTCCTAGTTTGATACTATTTATAACATTATTGATTCGCGAAGTAATTTCAGATCCAAATATGGAAGAATTGGAAGGTACATGGTCATCAAAGTCAAATACAGTTTTCACAGGACCTGGTTTCTATGATCCAGTTGATGAATTACTTATAGAACCAGATTTACCTGGTATTTCATATTCTTTTACTAAAGACGGTCATTATGAAGAAGCTTTATATAGAGTTGAAGGTAATCCAAAAAATCATTCATGTCCAGTAGCTTCGATTACTTATCAACATGGAACTTATGAAATTTTGTCAAACGGTTCAGTTGTTTTAACTCCTATTGCTGTTGATGGTAGACAATTATTAAGTGATCCTTGTAATTCAGATGATCCTACAAAATCAAAATATACAAGATATGTTCAACCAACATATTTTAAAGCCTATCGAGTCTATGTTAATAATTATCATGGTAGATATGCTTTAGAAATTTATCAATTTGATGGTTCAAAAATGCAACCTTTATATTTAGCATATAAGCCTCCATTAATGTTACCTACTACTGCATTAAATCCAACTGATCAAAATTCCGAAACTGATTCAAGTTTAAATGAAAAAAGACAAAGAATTAAAAGAAGTTTGGAAAATCAATATAGGACAAATGCGGTAAAACAAGTTTATAATGAAAATTTTGATAAATATTGGTGGATTCTGGTTGGATGTTTAGGGTTAGCATCTACATATTTTTTTATATTCATGAAATGAGAGAATAGACAAAATTTCAAGTATAGCTAGCTTTGTATTTTCAATGTACAATATGTAATTTTTGAACTAGTTTAGACTCATATGACATCTACTAAAATACATTTTGATTAGAAAAAAATGCACAGTAAAATCTTTAAAAAGCTAACGAATAGAATAGATCGTACATACCTTAGGAAGCTTTAAGTGAGAATCTATTAACTAGCTTAATCGGGTGTAGATCTAACAATCAATGTCAAGCGTAAGACCATAACGTTTTGAAAAATTGATCTATTACCAACTTGATAAATTCACTTCTTTTTAATGCTGTTTATATATATGTTATATCTTTACAAAGAGTCCATTTAAGCTCAGTCTCAGATCTTCAAGTATCTATGTTTGACCTATTTGTGTTATAAATTTAACCATGTAACGTAAAAATCTTATAAATAAATTCATTCTCTCCATCAAAGGAAAAAACTAAAAATCACGAATTAAATAATCCCAAGGGCAAAGTTATAATATACATTTTTACAATAATGTCATCTTGGTTTGGATCTTCAAATTCTACAGTTGAATTAGATAATAAAATATCAGAAGCTACTTCAGAATCTATACCTAATGGAGAAATAGATTTAGGTTTATCATTAGAAATTACTGATTTAATAAGATCAAAGAAATATCAACCAAAACAATGTATGAAAGCATTAAAGAAAAGAGTTTCTTTAATTTATTCAAATCCAAATTTATTAACTTCATCTTTAAAATTGACTGATTTATGTATTAAAAATTCTGGTTATGCTTTCCTTGTTGAAATTTCGAGTAAAGAATTTATTGATTATTTAGTTGATTTTATATTCAAATTACATTATAATACAAAAGACGAAGAAGGAAATAAAGTCGGAGTTTTAATATTAAGCCTTATCAAAAATTGGTCTAAATTATTTAAAAATCAAGTACAATTAATTTATGTTGAAAAAAAATATAATGAATTACGAAATGAAGGATATGAGTTTGATAGTTTTGAGGATGAAATAGCAAATTTGGATATATCCGACTCAAAATTTATTGATTCTGAGGTTGCTCCAGATTGGATTGATTCAGATAGTTGTATGATTTGTTATAATCCTTTTTCAATGTTAAACCGAAAACATCATTGTAGAGCTTGTGGTGGAGTATATTGTCAAACCCATTCAAATAATAATATTCCATTGGTGAATTTGGGTATTATGGAACCTGTTAGAGTTTGTGATACATGTTTTGCAAAACAAAAATATAATAAAAAGAGTGAAGCTAGAAAATCTACTACATCTAGAAGTCATGTAAATGTTGAGGATGAGGATGAACAATTAAAAAGAGCAATTGAATTGAGTTTAAAAGACTCAGGTAGTAATAGTGTACCAAAAAGAGAAGTAACACCACCACCTCCCCCACCACAACCAAAACAAGCAAATGAAGATGAGGAAGATGAGGAAATGAAAGCTGCTTTGGCTGCAAGTTTAAGAGAATACGAATCACAAAAGCAACAACAACAACCAGTACAAGAAGAACCTCAAGATGAAGAAGACTCAGATGCTTATAATATCAAATTTCCAATTTTTAATCAACAACAAGATTCGTATCCTCAGCAGTTCCAACAACAACAGCAACAACAACAACAACAAAATCCGTTCGAGCAAGAAAGAGTTCAAGAATCAATATCTAGATTTCAATCACCTACACAAGTTGAAGATTTATCACAATCAGAAGAAGAGCAAATTAATTTATTTATCACATTAATGAATAATGTCAAATCTGATCCCAAGAAATCAGATGGTATAATGTATGATAAAAATTTGAACGAATTGTACCTTAAGATTATAAAATTAAAACCAAAATTAAACAAGTCATTGAAAAATTCAATTGAAAAATATCAATCATTTATACAATTAAATAATAAAATGAATTTAATTAATAATTTATACAATAAATTTTTGGATAATACCATTTTACAACAACAACAAGAATATGATTATGGATATAATAGCTATAACTATAATAATAATGCAATAAGTCAACAATCGACAGGTTACCAGCAACTGTCTACTAGTTATCCACCAATAAGTCAACAATCAACTGGGTATAAAAGACAGGCTGCTAATCAGTATCAAAGTAACAGTTACCAACAACAGGAAATGAGTACCAATTATCCATTAAGTCAACAATCAACAGGATATGAACAAAATTATGAATCTGCTTCTTCACCACAACACATTGCTAGATTACCAACTGGTTATATTTCTGGTCAAGGTACAGGATATCCTAAACAAGAGAAATTGCAGCAATTGCAGCAACAACCTACGTATCCGACATCATTGAGTCAACAATCAACAGGCATATCAACAACACAACCAAATGAATATAATAATGATTATCCTCCAACCTCACAACAACACACTGGATATCAATATCAAAGCTCCCCACTAAAGCAACAATCAAATCCGTATCCAATTAACTTACAACCTTCAGAACCAGATTTCGAAGATGAAGTGGAAGAACAAAACAATAATAATTATCAATCTTCAGAACAATTATCAAATGTTCCATTTAACAATCCTGAAATGGTAAGAAGAGTAAGCTCTACATTACCTCCCAACGCCGTTGAAAATGCTTCCTTAAAGTTTCCAACTTTGAATGATGTAGAACAAGACTATGAAAGAAATAAAAATAAGCATTTGAGTGATTTGCCTCGATTACCAAACAATTTACAACAATTTGAACATGATGAACCAGAAAGAAAAGAACCCGAGCCTGAACCATTAATAGATTTATAAATCACACGTAAATATATATTTATATTTAATTATTTTACTTATATAATTTAAGTAACTATGCAATTTTGATAGATTATGCAAGTACTGTATATAATATGACTCTGCATCGTAAATTCGCTTTCGACTCTGTTTGGTGGTCTCGAAAAGAAGACTCATTAGTCATAGTTTGTATAATTAAGAAGATCTAACTATAGTGTTTAAGAGTGATCAGTTAATAGACAAGAGTTATGATATTATTATGTTATCTTGTTGCTCAGAGTATCTATCTATATCTATGTTGCTTTTTAGCCCCACCACGTTTTAGTTTCCAGATTGGCTGATAGGCTATCTTCATCTTAATGCATAGATATTAATCGAGCTTATTGGTTGTTTTTAAATGCTTATAACTATTTATTTTTTATTGGATATTCTCTAGACATGGAGGTACTTCGTACTACCTTCAATGTCATCTGGTGTATAGCCCTTTCACTTTATACCAATTTTTCAAATTCTTAACTTTGCTACCAATTAAAAAAAAATTTCAATTTTGCGATATTTTTCAAATATTTTCACGTTTGCAAAATTTTTTATATTTACCCATAACTTTTCTTCGTTAGAAAGAGTATTTATATAAATAAAAGACATAGTATCTTGTTTCATTGGTTAACTAACTTTAAATTAATTTAATTTTATTCATTTTATTATTTTATTAATTTTTTTATTAAGTTTCCTTCCCCAAATTTATTGATAAATATAACCAAAGTCTGTTTTAATTTAAACAGATACGAGAGCTGCCGATTGAAGTCTAATTACATTAATTACTCACATTTTCAAACGTGAGTGAAAGTAGAAGAAGAAGAAAATATAACACCTATCAACATCAAAAACATCACAAGTTAGAGAAAAGAACGTACGGAAAAAGTTTAGTAGATGACACCTTCCATTGATTTTCAAATTGAAAAAATTAGTAAATTTCAAACTATTGATAAAGAGTTTACTACAAATGTTATTAAAAATACTTTAATTGATATTTTATCTAAAATTGATTATTCAAATTGTGAACCAGACGACGAAAATTCATTTTTCATTTGTAATTTAAATCAAGTTATTAAATCTTATAATTATTGGTATCAAGAATTACCTTATATTAAACCGCATTATGCTATTAAATGTAATACTGACGTAAGAGTTATTAAATTATTAAGTGATTTAGGTTGTAATTTTGACTGTGCGTCAAAATCAGAAATTGAAACAATTTTACAATTGGGTATTTCACCAGATAGAATAGTTTATGCAAATCCATGCAAGACTTCATCTTATATTAGATTTGCTAAGGATGAAAATATCAATTTAACTACAGTTGATAATGTTGATGAATTATATAAATTATCAAAATTTCATCCAAACTGTAATATTTTAGTTAGAATTTTAACCAACGATGAAACATCTCAATGTAGATTAAGTACCAAATTTGGTGCTTCAATTGAAGAGGTTAAAGATGAAATCTTACCAATTGCTAAAAAATTAAATTTAAATATTGTTGGTGTTGCATTTCACGTAGGTTCAGGTGCAAAAGATTTTAACTCGATTTATGAAGCAATTAGAGATTCAAGAATTATATTTGATGAAGCAATTGATTTAGGTTTTAACATGTCAATTTTAGATATTGGTGGTGGATTTGAAGTTGAAACTTTTAAAGAATCATCATCAATGGTTAATTTTGCAATTTCAAAATATTTCCCCCAAAAATTTATTAGACAACATGACATCGAATTTATTGCAGAACCAGGTAGATTTATGGTTTCAAATGCATTTCTTTTATGTTGTAATGTAATTGCAAAAAGAAAATCAATGTTATATTTAAATGATGGATTATATGGTAATTTAAATTGTATTTTATTTGATCATCAAATTCCAGAAATTAAACTATTAAAACATAAAAATAAAGTTTATTATGATAGAAATGATTTACCAAATGATGATTTTAATTATTCTATTTGGGGTCCCACTTGTGATGGTTTAGATTGTATTTCAAAAAATACAATATTAAATTATGATGTTGATATTGGAGATTGGTTATATTTTCCAAATTTAGGTGCTTATTCAAGTTGTGCAAAAACACAATTTAATGGCTTTAAACAAGATAGTAAGATTATTTATGTTTTTGAATAGAAGTGAAGTATATAAATTGAGATTACGTTTAGCGTATAAATCTTGTTTCCCAACACGTGACTGTTTCAAATCTAGAGTTAGAGATTTTCCTCTTTGAGCACCAATGTTCGATTTAGTCCAAAATTGAGCCTCAGAAATGCCTTGAATGGTATAATAGGTCATATAAAGTTTTATAGTTGTTGTGTTCCTAATAAAAAACTGCACCAAGAAAATTATCAAATAACTAAACATTTTATATTTAGAAGCAAACAATAAATCAAATATAAATCTAATTATCAAGTTATTTAACGATTCATACGACCTTATACCTATTAAAAAATCATTGGTGATTATTAATTTACATTCTCATTATGTCCAGGAATGTACAACATAATACTAAGCAAATCAATAATGCTTTAAATGCTATTCATCATAAAAAATCATCAATTCCAATTTCAAAAAATACGAGCCAGTCTACTCATCAATCATCAAAGAGAGATTTAACAATTTATATAGACGAAGGCGGTAATAAATTTTCGACTATTGACAGAGCTATTAAAACAATTGACCCACCCGCAACTTTTAAACCAAAAGATGAACAAGTTTTTTTACCAAATGGGTTACCTAATCATGAATTTATTAAACAACATTTTATTAAAGAAGGTAGATTACAAGAACATCAAGCAATTAAAATCATAAGAGATGCAACAAAATTGTTATCTAAAGAACCAAATTTATTAAGTGTACCGGCACCAGTTACAATTTGTGGAGATATTCATGGACAATATTATGATTTAATGAAATTATTTGAAGTTGGTGGTGATCCGAAAAGTACAACTTATTTATTTTTAGGTGATTATGTCGATAGAGGTTCTTTTTCAATCGAATGTTTAATATATTTATATTCATTAAAATTGACTTATCCAAATTCATTTTGGATGTTAAGAGGTAATCATGAATGTCGTCATTTAACGGAATATTTTACTTATAAAAATGAGTGTTTACATAAATATTCTCAAGATTTATATGAAGAAAGTTTACTTTCCTTTAATGCTTTACCTTTGGCTGCTATAATGAATGAACAATTTTTTTGTGTTCATGGTGGCTTATCTCCACAATTGACTGATTTGGAGAGTATAAGAAGGTTGAATAGATTCAAAGAACCACCTACAAAAGGTTTAATGTGTGACTTATTATGGGCTGATCCAATTGAAGAATATGATGATGACAATGTAGATCACGAATTTTTAACTAATAATGTTAGAGGTTGTAGTTATGCATTTACATATAAAGCTGCATGTAAATTTTTAGATAAAACTAAATTATTATCAGTAATAAGAGCTCATGAAGCTCAAAATGCTGGTTATAGGATGTACAAAAGAACAAAGACAATGGGTTTTCCAAGCTTATTGACAATGTTTTCAGCTCCAAACTACTTGGATTCTTATAATAATAAAGCTGCTGTTTTAAAATATGAACATAATGTTATGAATATTAGACAATTTAATTCAACTCCTCATCCTTATTGGTTACCACATTTTATGGATGTTTTTACTTGGTCATTACCATTTGTTGGTGAAAAAGTTACTGATATGTTGGTTTCTATTTTAAATGTTTGTACTGAAGAAGAATTGGATGAAGATTTACCATTTAGTGAATCACAAATAAATATAGAAAAAAGAGGTTCAACTCCAACTTCACCTAGATTTTCACCAAAATCTCAACCACCATCATCAATACATAACAAATTTGTAGCAGAAGATGAAGTTATTGACGAACTGGAAGAAAGTTTAGAAGAAAAGAAATTGGCATTAAGAAATAAAATAATTGCAATTGGTAAAATGTCAAGAATGTTTCAAGTTTTAAGACAAGAACAAGAATCTGTTGCTCATTTAAAACAATTAAATCATGGTCAATTACCAAAAGGTTCATTATTACATGGTAAAGATTCATTACAAACAACAATAAATTCATTTGAAGAAGCAAAAGAAGCTGATCGTATAAATGAAGCATTACCTCCATCATATGAAGAAATAAAAAAATTAGAACATGAGAGAAATGAACGTATTAAAAAACAAATTGATGATGATGAACATTCAAGTCCTGTATTTCAAAGGTTAATTCGAAAATTATCACATAGTTAATAGTTAATGAAATAGTTTATAGTATATTTATTTTGGTAACCACTTTCGCTCTAATTCTGTATATTTATTTTGATAACCACTTTCGCTCTAATTTTCGCATCAGAAAATTTACGAACCGTTTGTGTTACACGTTTATTTAGACGTAGTAAATTTATTAACTATGAGTCCAAAACCAGTAGTTATACAAGAACAACCAAATGTAGAAAATACAATACCTTCAACAATATATCAATCTTCATCACCTGAGAAATTTTCAATTACAGAATTTGATGATAAATATGTAATTTATGGCGGTGGCTCAAATTATAAATTAAATTTACAACAACAATATAATCAATCAAATGAAATTCCAAAGATACAAAATACAAGTATATCTTTATTTGTGCTAAATACAAATCTCATAATATGGTTCAATGAGGAATCAAGAGGATTAGAGCTACCTTATAATTATATTTTGTTAAGTGGTATAAATGATGATAAATTAATTATACAAATATTAAATAATGAGGTAATCTTTAGTGATGCTTATGATATAACGTTGATAATAGAGCAAGGTATAGATGGCGTTATGAATGACAATTCATTAATCTCGACCAATGATAATTTATTACAAATTTATAAATCTTTGAACAAATGTTCGTCATTTTATTTAGATTCAGAGGACGATGATGAAGATGAAAAGTTTGAAGGTATACAAATGGAACCAATGTTGGCACTCCCATCTATAGAGGATAAAATGTTTAGAAATCAAGGCAATGCAGATGATCTAGAAGATGAAGATCACGAAGTAATAGGTGAAGCAGGAATGGATGTTGATATAGGTTATGCTTCCATATTAGGAATTAAAAGAAATGATTATAATAATGATGAAATTAATAGAAAACGACATAGAATTCAATGAATATATAAATAATACTTAAATTCCTTATTTTTCACGATTTTACTGAATCTTACATATGAATTTCAATTTTCATAATTTTCATAATTTTCATAATTTTTTGCTATCAAAATTAACAAAAATCATCAATCTAAACAACCAATTTTACTACCAATTTCTTCAAATACAAAATTCTTCACAGAACATTATAAGAGATCCATTCTTTATATGAAACTTAATCTTTCTCTATGAAAACAAATGAAGAGAAAATACAATTTAAAAATCATTTTTTTAAATTAGGCCAGGGTAGAATTATTTTGGTCGATGATTTACAATTTTGGTCAAAATTTTATACATTACCAGAGAACTCAAATGAAGTATATGAATTAATTACAAATAATGATATTAAAACGATACGAAATCAAAACCTACCTAATTTAATTAATCTCATACGTATTTTAATATTCAAAATTATTGAAATTTCGGAGTTTGAAAAATTGTCAAGTATAGATATCTTTCACTTGCTTAACTGTATTAGATTTATCAACAGAATATTACCTTTAATTTATGAGTTGGATAATTATTTTAATTGTATTGAATATGAAATATTCTGGAGTGGTGATTTTGACCCTGTCGAGTTTACAAAAAATCAAGAAGAGATTAAAATTATAACTGATGAAAAGTTAGCTATTAGGTTCTTAAACAGTTTGATAAATTTATCTTTTACAAAAGGATTTACTGTTGAGTCAAAACAAGTTGGTGGCAAGCAATTGAGTGTTTGGGAGCCAGGAATTGGTTCTTCGGGAAAATCCACTAAATCAAATACTATAATCGATTGCAATAGAATAGAAGTATTAAGATTAGTTATTACTTTATGTTGTTCACCTTCATTTTATGTCAAACCTACAAATGTCGTATCACAAGGTTCAAAATTTTTATCAATTTTAGTTTCAAACATTCCAAAAGTCGAGTTATTAACCTTTTTCAGTTCATTGATAAATACAGTTTGTAAAAAAGAAGAGTCAAATCAAGTAAGAAACACGTTGAAGACAAGTTCATTTCAATTATTGACTGCAATGATTGTTTATCCAATTCCTATAAATGATGAAATAAACTTTTTACTACATGAAAAGCCAAAAAATATGATTAGACTATATATTGGTAAAATTCACAAAGATCATGAGTTGAAGTTTTTAAGTAGTTCATTGATTGACATTTTAAGAGCTCCAATATGGTCAGAAGATGGATTTATGTCAATGATTACAAGCAAAAACATGCCTGATTCATGGTCATTAGAATCTACAATATTAATATGGGAATTAATACAATGTAATAAGAATTTCAGAGCATTAATCGAGACAAAGGATTTAGATGAGTTAATGATGATACTAATATTTTACATAATTAACTATTATAACAGTAATGAATTCAAGAATTTGATTCGAATATGTTCATACTTTTTATTGTATTTGACTACCATCAACATAGACATAATTTTTAATCCAATAGATTTGGAATTTTATGAATCATTACCCAATAATTTGAAATTATCAATTACACCAATTACAACTAGAGATTTTATAATATGTCATATCACCAGATTACTAATTAATTCAACAACAGCAGGACAAAACAACTATTTAAGCAAACCGATATCTAATTTGCTATTGACTACGATGGTGAATATACTTTATAACATTTTACCACCAGTTTCCACAGAAATCATCAAGTATAAATCAGATAAATCTAAAAAATTACAAAATTTTAATCCAAACGGGGGTTTATCTTATCAATCATCATCTTTACTTATACAATTAATATCAAAATTTTCGTCAAATCAATTTTTATTAGAGCATCCAATTCATTTAGACCTTATTGCATTATTAATTAGAGCAATATGTACTACTGCGCTTAAAAATCCTAAACCTTCAAGAATGTTATTATTTTGCATACTAAAAAATGAAAAGATATTTGATGAGTTATGGAATACTATATTTAGTTTTAATTCAATTTGTTTTAGAGGGAATAAGTTAGCTAGAATAGAAGATAATATAGAAATAGAAGTACCATCAAATTTGCATGAAGGTCCACAACCATTAACAGATACAGAATCGATTGAATCATCCTTAAAACCCACACCACCATCTGGTTTTTCAATCAAAGCTCGAGAGAAATATAAAAAAGATTTACCGTTACAAAAGTCGTGGATGGGAAACGAGTCATTAACTATTATCCTAACTATCATCATGCCACATTTAAAGTTAGTCCTTAATGAAGTATGGTCAGGTATACAAGGCACCTCCGTTGATAGTTTTGAATTGATACAAAAAATCGAGCAAGCTGATTTCAAAGAACTAATACAGACTAGCAAATCACAAATTAAGCATGATTATTTGCCAGATACACCTTTTGAAATGTTGAAGTTTAATTGGAGCTCATTATCTTTAGGTTGGTACACTTCTTTATTATATGGACAAATCTATAATTCGAATAATATAAAACAGAATAAAGCAGTTAAGAATTTAACTACTATTTCAAATTGGTTTATGAAGAATAATGAAGCAGATCAAAATAGGATAAATGAGCGGGTAAATAATTCATTAGTTAATGTCAATATTTATGAATCTACAAATATTAAATTGTTTAATATTGAAAAAAAATCAGAAGGCTTTTTCAATTTCAATAAGGTAAACAACAACGTCAATAATCAAGCCGTCCCATCAACACCAAATATAAATGTCATGACCAAAAGGATTAATGATTTTAGATTTAATGGGAAACCCTCACCTGTTATAACACCAATTGATGAAAATAATTCTTCAGATACAGATAGTTTATATTATAATAGAAGAGCTGGTAGAAATTCAGTAACGAGTTTACATTCATTAAATACATTAAATAGAACAAGGAGTAATACTCCTAGAAATTCATTAAGTCAATAAATATAAATCTAGACATTGTCTATCTTCTTCTTCCCTTTTGTACCAATTCGAACCCGTCATCATATATTATTGGACCTTGCGGTTCTGGTTTATCCACATCCATATCGACATCTTCCAGCTCTTTTTCATCATCTTCATCTTCATCATCCTCACTATCACTTATATCTGGATTATTTGGATCTTTCTCAATATGAACTTTTTGAATCTCCTTTTTTTTACTTTCTTTCTCCAACCATTTATTATATGATTCATCTATCAAATTGTAATTTTCAACTTGTACTTGTCTATAAATTTTCAATATTAATGCAGCAATTTCTAATGCTGAATCATTATCGATTTGAGTTTCAAACTCATCGTACATTGCATATAATAAAGTTTCTTCAATTAATTGATTATCCACAACTTTAGAATCATTAAATAACTCTATAACTATACCAGATATCCAATCTCTTTTCTCATTTGATTTTGTACCACCCCATTGATTTTCAACTGCAATATTTAATTCATCCCATTTATAAACTGCCATACAGACACCCAATTCAAATTTGGCTTGTTGTTTTTCATTTTGGAATGTTAATGTACCTTCGGGGACTTCAATGAAGTCAGTAGGATCAATGGATGTCATTGTTGAAGATCTATAGAATACAACTTTTTTCACTCATCGCGCTTCAGAATTTATTTATATTCATTATAATTCTATTGATTTACATAATTCATTATCATTCTTAAGAACTGAACTTATTTCCTCGTCATTACCGTTGAGATCTATCAATTTTGATCTTTCAAATTGAGCATTATTTGTCAAAATTATTCCCGATTCTACTAATGACTTTACAATCTGTTGAAAATGTAAAATTCTAAACCCGTTTGAATTCTTGAATAATAAATCAAATGTATCTTTTTCATTTGATAATGTAAGGTTGTTTTTCATCTCATCAATTATATCTCCCAATTCGTTTATAGCTAATCCACTTCTTCTAATTCTTAATAAAGCAGAAGCTAAAAATAATTTGGAAGCATATGGTAAACCAGATACAAACTTAGATAATGGTGAATTTATAGTTTCTTTAATAGCTTTAGCAATATGTGAAATTAAAACTTCACAAGGTTTCAAATCATCATTTGAATCTTTATTACTATGCTCAATTTCTGCTATCTCAACTGCTTTTCGACAAATATTTAATGCTCTTCTTGCATCACCAGAAACACTTGCAACTTTTCTAGCTGCAAATCCAATTGCATCTTTCTTAATTATGACTTTCTTCTTATGAGTTCTTGAAATCATTTCTAATCTATGTTCAATTATTTTTGCCAATTGATCAAATGTGTACCCTTTAAATTGAATTCTTCTTAATCCTAGTCTTGATGATATTTTATTTGATAAATTTCTTTCTGGTAAATCCATAGTATTTGCAACAGCAATAACAATCAATTTTGAATGTTCATAAGTTGGCCAATTGAAAAAATTATACATTACATCTTGTTTCTTTTGTGCATGAGCAATTTGATCTAATTCATCCATTAATATGACTAATGGTTTTCTTTTCTTATCTTCATTTTTGAAATACTCTTCTAATAAAATTGCAGCATTTGTTGAAGAAACTTTATCACCACCACTAATTTTTTTCCATAATATTTCATAAGCAATTGTTGGAGTCAATAAACGTAAGCCATTCAATTCTAGAAATTCGAATTTTTCAAATTCTTGTAATTGTTCGATTGCATCTTTAATGGTTGCTGTTTTCCCCATTCCAGGTACACCACTTGCATATATACAACAACCAGTTTGATATCGAATTGAATCTTGAATATTCATGAATATAAAATCGAATTCTTTTTCTCTACCTGGTAATGCATTTAATTTTTGTGATGTATGTAATTTTGCTCTCATTTCTTTAAAGGCTTCTGAAGTTGGGTCAGTTAATGCAACTATTTTTCTCTTTTTGGTTGGTGATAATTTCTGATGTAATTTAGAATCATCATCTTCTTGTATAATTTTAAATCTTTTAGTTGGTGTTAATGCAGCATATAAATTATGATTCTTTGATTTTTTTGGTGTTGTTGGTATAGATTTGGATGGAGATTTTCTTGAAACTGATCTTCTTTTTGGTTTTTCATCATAGTCACTCTCAAATTCATCATCTTCATCATCACCCGAGCTCTCTGGGTAATTATCTTGATCCAGCTCTGGTTCGTCGCCTCCCTGTAGAATAACCAATCTCTTCAACATCTGGTTCATGGTCTGATTGTTGTTGCTGTTGGTCACTTACATCACTACTTGCAGCATTATCTTCAACATGCTTTTCAATGATATCATCGTCGTCGTCAATATTTATAACATTTGCTGATCCTCTTTCTTTCCGTTCTTGACCTTTATTTGATTTTGCCATTATAGCCTCTAATCTTAATCTTTTCTCTTCCGTAGATGCTTTTGATCTATCAAATTTTGGTTTATTAACACCATTACGAGGTTGTGGACTTGAACTAGTACTTAATTCAAAATCTGAAGCTCTTTCTAATGTTTTATTTTCTTTCATTTTCCTTTCTTGTTGTCTGCTTTTAGCACCTTCTCTTGTTTTTTCAGTAGTTTGTTCTTTCTCTTGTTTTTCGAATAATTTAGATTCTATAAATTTTCTAAAATTTGGTCCAGTCATTTTACAAATTGTTTCATATTCTCTATAATCAAATTCTTCACTAAATTTTGTAGATTCATCAGTTGCTCTTCTGCACATAAAAGTATCTTTACAATTTGATTCATCAATTGTAATGTCTTCAAATTCACCTTTCGAATAAACATTAATTTTATCCAAAATATCACCAAAATTGATTTTATCAGATGCTGGAGTCAAATAAATTTCATTTTCCTTTGCTTTTATATAATCTGGAACATTTTTAATATCATCAATTGAAGTAAACCACAAACCAATGATTTCAACTGGATCACTTATACCAATTCTAATATCAGTAATTATACAATGTACGGTAACTAATTTTTCTTGAGCACCATCTTGAATAACTGAAATACAATCACCAATTTGTAAAATTAAACCATCATTTATTCTTTCTAATGTAATTTTATCAGTTAATGCAGATGTATTTGAATTTGAATCTTGTTGTTGTCTAGTTCTTCTTGATCTTCTCGGTGTAATAACATCACTTTTATCATCATTATCTGGTGACTCCACACTACAATTCCAACCTTTAAATTTTCTAGAATAAGATGACATTGAATATAATATTTGTATATATATATTTCAATGTTTGGTGTATAATTGCAATATATAAATTTATTAAGACGTGTGGTTGAATATTCATATTATTTTTCGCATTCGAATTTTTATTATGTGTTTCAGATTTTGCGTACATCGTGATCAAATTTGACTAAAACGGTAATTTTGATTATTAGCGTAAATGTTTATAAAATTATAAAACTGTATAAAAGAAGAATTGAAAAGAAATTGAGCTTAAACTATAATCATCTCATTTAAATATTAGTATAGGTTCTCCGACATTTATAATTTCATCTAAATTTAATTTCAAATCAAATGCTTTTGATAAAATTATTTTAAATATTTTTTGAACATTTATGGAATGACTTGTTGAACAAAATATTATTGGAGCTTTCATTGCATTTCCAAATTTTTTAGCTTGTTGAGTTATTTCAATTTGATCTTGAAATGATAAATCAATAAAATGATCATATTTTGTACCAACTAAAAATGGTATAGCAGTTTTATTGAAACCTCTAACTTGTCTATACCATTCTTTTATTGAATTTAATGTAGATTTTCTTGTTAAATCAAACATAAATAATATTGCGACTGCATCATTTGAAACCAAGGGTAGCATATTAATAAATTCTTTTTGACCACCTAAATCCCAAATTGAAAAAGTTATAATTGTATTTCTAATTTGTATTTTCTTATCCATAAAGTTTACTCCCAATGTTTGTATATAATCTTCATCAAATGAACCTTCAACATATTTAACCATTAATGATGTTTTACCAATTTGTGAGTCTCCAATTAGTCCAATTTTTAAAGCAACTCTGACAAATTTTGAGTTAGTACTCGAGATTCAATTGCAATTTATTACCCATACATACTGATTATTTTGCTCATAATTTTCTTCTTCCATAATCTATTCTCTCGATTCTAATTCTATTTGTTTATATTCGCGTTTCAAATCAAATGATTTTGATCTGCTTACCCTTTTAAATCAGTTATGTAATGCAACTAAAAGTAGTTATGTAATACAAATAATTGTTGTAGCCCTAGTCTTCCATAAGTATAATGTGACTGGTAGTGCTTTGTATAAGTATTGTGTATTTCACTCCAATTTTCATATTTAATTATGTAATCACCCATAGTTAAGCTTAATGACTATAGTGCATACATATTAAATTAACACTAGTACTATCGCACCCATAGTTACTGTCGCACTAAAATACTATACACAATTTTTTGATAGTATTGAAAAAAATTTTAAATCTTTTCTGAAATTTTACTTGTTTTCTTTACTAAATTAATTTTTGATTACAACAACTAATTGAATCAATATGGCAGTTGGTAAAAATAAAAGATTATCTAAAGGTAAAAAAGGTTTAAAAAAGAAGGTCGTTGATCCATTTACCAGAAAAGATTGGTTTGATATCAAAGCTCCAACTACTTTTGAAAATAGAAATGTTGGTAAAACTTTAATTAATAGATCAACAGGTTTAAAAAATGCTGCAGATGGTTTAAAAGGTAGAGTTGTTGAAGTTTGTTTAGCTGATTTACAAGGTTCAGAAGATCATGCTTATAGAAAAATTAAATTAAGAGTCGATGAAGTTCAAGGTAAAAATTTATTAACCAATTTCCATGGTTTAGATTTCACATCAGATAAATTAAGATCATTAGTTAGAAAATGGCAATCATTAGTTGAAGCTAATGTTACTGTTAAAACTGCTGATGACTATGTTTTAAGAGTTTTTGCTATTGCTTTCACTAAAAGACAACAAAATCAAATTAAAAAAACTACATATGCTCAATCATCAAAATTAAGAGAAGTTAGAAAAAAAATGATTGAAATTATGCAAAGAGAAGTTTCAAACTGTACTTTAGCTCAATTAACTTCAAAATTAATTCCAGAAGTTATTGGTAGAGAAATTGAAAAATCAACTCAAACTATTTTCCCATTACAAAATGTTCATATTAGAAAAGTTAAATTATTAAAACAACCAAAATTTGATTTAGGTGCTTTATTATCTTTACACGGTGAAGGTTCATCAGAAGAAAAAGGTAAAAAAGTTTCATCTGGTTTCAAAGATGTTATTTTAGAATCAGTATAAGAAAGTAAATAGCATTTGTATATTAAAATAAAAAAAATAATAATAAGTTTGTATCATGGATTTTAAAAGTAATTTGAATTCATTGCGAAAGGTATTTATCAATGACCATTCTGCAAAAATTGATACCATAGGTATCAAGACTCGCGAGATTCTGGCTTGTTCTTTTGAAATTTGAAACCTAACAAATGGTAGCGCGCGGTTCAATGCTTGGGCACCATTGGTATTAAATATCATATTAAATGGAAGTAACACCAAGTAACACCAAGTAACACCAAGTAAACCAAGTAAACCAAGTAAACCAATTTTGTGAATCTATATCCTAACAACTCCTTGCAGTATCGTTGATCATACTTGTTTAAGTGCTTAAGATACACTGTCCTCGTTAAAGACATTTACAAGTGATATTAATCGAATTAAACGATATTGATTCATTGCGCTAATTTTGAATCTATGCAAACTCGAGCTCAATTGTGCTTAGCTTAAGCATTCTGGTACGTAAATATCTTGAAGATATTTCTTTTATATCAGTATTTCTATATTTGAAGTGTCAGATCCTTACCTTGATGATAATTATTTAACTTTACCAAATTGCTGCAAAAAAGAGCAAAATTTTGCGACCCCTTTAAATGTTGTCCACATCATCGAAAATAATACGATTTAGACGTTTGAAAATAGAAGAGATCCTTCATAAAGACATGAAAATGTTACAATTATGGAGAAAAGTATTGAGTTTAATTACATTATAAATCCTTGTTATCAAAATTGATTAAATAATAGAACAATAAGAAAAAAAAATAATACTACGATTTCCTAGATGAATAGTAGGTAATAATTGAAGCATTCAAAAGGGTATACCTAGTCTATTAAGTCTAAATCGGGCCTCTTGACAATTGATTATTGAACAGTATATATAAAACTAGCCTTTTGCATCTCAAATAGTTGATACTAATGTGAAAGCACCATATAAATTATAAATATTACACAAAATTAAAATATTATAAAAATGAAACAGCAAATTTAAAAGTATAAATAATTTCAAATTACAGATCAACAAAAATTAAAATTGTATACAATACAATTCTTTAATACTTTATCAGATATTGACATTACATTTCAGTAGATTTGAATCAATCATTAATTAATAAATAATAAGTATTAGTATCAATTGAATTATGACTGTTAGTCAAGTATGTAATTTAATCCACCAGGGGGGGGGTTTATTACAATTGAAATTTTCATTTAGTCAATCATGTTCAAGTGTTCGTAATTTTATTCATCGAATTTGAAGAGACTCAACTGATAGCTGACTAAATTAATTAAAAGCTTCAATTACCTCATTAATACTAACAAACTATTGTTTTTAGATACCAGATCTCGAAAAACGACCTGGGATAAATGAACTAGAATTGGAAAAAAATAAAAATATCACACAAGAACAAAGAGATGAAATATACCAAAATGGTACTCAGGTGTTAAATAATTTACCATCTAATTTATCATCATCAGAAACCAAATCATCAGATATTTCAGAAAAAGGTGAAAAAGGTGAAAATGGTGAAAAAAATGAAAGTTCAGGTGGTCACATTACTTTAAATCCATTATCTAAAAGTAAGTCAAGAAACGAAAAAGAAATCGAAAAAGAAAAAGAGTATTTAAATAATAAAACAGTGCACGACATTGGCAGAAATCATAAAGTTCATGAAGATAAATCAATTTCAAAGGATAAAAAATTAGTTTCAAAAGAAGAAGTCAGAGAATATAACAAAGAACAACAATTGAATAATCAAAACCCATTGGTTGCCTCAAAAAATCAACCAAGAAACCCAGACTCCGAAGATTTAAAAAATCAACCACAAAAAGTCAGAATTAGAGATAGAACTACTTTCTCATGGCAAAATGTTGGTTCTTGGGATGCTGGTTCTGAAGGAAATGTCGATAAAAAGGCTTTATTAAAAAATGCCAAAATTGTAGAAAGTTATATAATTGACCATTTTTATGGTGATTGGTTTTGGAATTGTTCATTAATTTTAGGTACTTGTTTTTTTGCTTGGTTGGTGGCCAGGTTAGGTGGTAGTATTTTATCATTAGGTTTTGTCTTGTTGTTCACAAATTCAGTTTATAGATCTGAATTTAGAAGATTTAATCGTAATATCAGAGATGATTTAACAAGAGTTAAAGCCAATAATAGATTAGTTGATGAATTAGAAACTATGGAATGGATGAATTCATTTTTGGATAAATTTTGGGTAATATATATGCCAGCATTATCTGAGACTGTTATGTTTCAAACAAATGAAATCTTAAAAGATCAAGCACCAGGTATGGGTATTGAAGCTTTAAGTTTAAATGAATTTACACTAGGCTCTAAAGCTCCAAGAGTTGATTCAATTAAATCTTATACTCAAAAGGGTAAAAATATAATTGAAATGGATTGGGCCTTTTCATTTGCTCCAAATGATACTGATGATATGACTAAAAATGAGATTAAAAAGAAAATTGATCCAAAAGTTGCTCTAGGTGTTACTGTTGGTAAAGGTATTATCACAAAATCATTACCTATTTTAGTTGAAGATATGACTTTTATTGGTAGAATGAAGGTCAAATTAAGATTAAATAATAATTTTCCACATGTCAAAATGGTTTCAATTCAATTTTTAGAAGCTCCAACTATTGATTATGCTTTAAAACCCGTTGGGGGTGATACTTTAGGATTAGATATTATGTCATTTATTCCTGGTTTATCTAAATTTATTAATGGTATAATACATTCTACTTTAAGACCAATGTTGTATGCTCCAAATTCTTTAGATGTTGATGTTGAAGAATTGATGTCTGGTCAATCAAATGACTCTATTGGTGTTGTAGCAGTCACGGTCAAACAAGCAAAAAAATTAAAAACGGGTAGCAATACAAAGCCAAATAGTATTAATCCATATGTTCAAATTCAAGTTTCAAATAATGGAGAAATTGATGAAAGAACAAACACCAAAAAATCAATAAATGATCCGATATTTATGGAGACGAAATATATTTTGATTAATCAATTGGAAGGAAATTTCTTGAATTTCAATGTTTTTGATTTAGTTAAAGATAAACCTGATGATAAATTAATAGGTAATTGTGAATTTCCATTAAGTGAATTATTACAAGAAGAAAATATACAAGACATCACGAAGAATATTATGGAAGGTGGTAAAGTTGTTGGTAAATTAAATTTAGATATTAAATGGTTTCCAACAATTAAACCAATTACGTTGGAGGATGGCTCAAAAGAGATTGTGACTGATGCAGAAGTTGGTATTATGAAAATTACCCTTCATGAAGCTAAAGATTTAGATATTTCACAATCTGTTATTGGTTTATTAAATCCTTATGCTGAAATTTTTGTCAATAATGAATTGGTTAAGAAATGTCGTAGAAATAGACAGACGAATGAACCTTCGTGGGAGCAAAGTTTTGAAAGTATTATTACAAATCAATCAGAAACTACTATTCAAATTTTAGTTAGAGATTCAGTTGAAAATAACATTGTTGGTAATTTACAAGTTAATTTACAAGATATAGTTTTTGAAAGTGGGAGAGGTCAAGAATGGTTTGAATGTCCACCAATTGGACCAAAAGGACCAGCACCAAAAATAAGAATTAGTGCTAGTTGGAAACCATTAGCTCTTGATGAAGATACAAGTGCAAAAGTTATAACTCCAGCACCAATTGGTGGTATGAGATTACATTTAAGAGGAGCCAAGAATTTAAAGAATTTAGAATCAGTTGGATATGTTGATCCTTATGTTAAAGTTATATTAAATGGTAAATTAAGAGCTAAAACAGTTACATTTGAAGAGACAATTAATCCACAATGGAATTCAGTTTATTTTTTGCCAGTTACAAATGAACATCAACATTATTTATTGGAAATTATGGACGCTGAACCTGAAGGTAAAGATAGATCATTAGGTACTGCGGCAATCAATATTGCTGATTTTATCAGAAAAAATGATGAAGGTTATTTCTTAGGATACGACGGAGGAAATGAAGTTATTGAACAAGCTGTATTATTTAACTCAGAACCAACAGGCTCTATTTATTATTCAGTTTCATTTTTCCCCACAATTCCAACATATTCATTGTCACAATTACATAACGAGCAAGCTTATCAAAAACAACTTGAAGAAAAACAAAAACAAGAAGAAGAACAATATCAAAGAGACAAAAAATTATATAGAGATAATCCAGAAGAATTTCAATGGGTTGAAATTCAAGAAGACAATAGTAAAGAACCACCGAAGATTGAAGTTAAATTAGAAGATGCGATTAAATATAGAGCTGGTGCAATGACTTGTCATTTATTTGAAGGTCATTTTGAAAGAAACGAAGTTTACGTACAAATATTATTTGATGAGCAAGTACATCCATCGGGTATTACTTCAAAAATTGAAACGAAAAGTTTGTCAACTAAAACCAATGCTGAATGTTTCATTAGAGATCTACCAAATTCAATTATTGTTTTCAGAGTGACTAAAACCGCTGATGTTACAAATGAAAAAGATATAGTTGCTGAAAAAATATTTAGCACTATTGATATATATGAGAAATCGTATAAAAACGCAATAAAATTGAACCTAGGAGGAAAGAATTCAGTTGAAGTTCAATTAGAGTTCACTCCTTCCATTGCTAAATTAGCTCCATTAGATACTATTTTGGATGTTGGTAAAGTTAAATTGGAAATCATTGGTGCAGAATCTTTAAAATCTGTCGATTCAAATGGTAAATCCGATCCAATATGTGTTGTTAAATTAGATGGAGTTGAAATTTTTAGAACTCAAAAGAGAAGAAAGACTTTAGACCCATTATGGAACGAAGCTGTTGAGTTCCCAATGATTTCAAGATCTAGACAATTATTATTATTGGAAGTCTATGACTGGGATTTGACTCATGATGATGAGTTATTAGGTATTGCTAATTTGGATATCTCAGAAATTCCTGCATTAACAACAACACCATTTACTGTCAATTTAAATACTCAAGGTAAATTAAATTTAAGAGCAACATTCTTCCCCGAATATATTAGACCACCATTGAATCCTAATTCATTATTACCGATTGATTTGAATATGGTTACAGATGCACCAATGAAAATGGTTGGTAGTGTTGGAGAAATTGCTCACAATGCAGTTGGTACTGGTATTGGTACTGTTTCAGATTCATTAACTAAAGGACATGGATTTTTGAGTAGTTTCAAAAGTAAAAGAAAACGTGGTAAAGATAAACATAATAATAATAATAATGATGCAGCAAGTGAATTTAGTCCTATTAAATCTCAATATTCAAATGATACTGATAATGAACATAAGGATAATCAAGAAAAACATGAAGAATCAAAAGAAGAAGAACAACAAGATGGAGATGATATTCCAGAAGAAGAAAAAGAATTTAGAAAAACACAAGATGCTGAAATTGCAAGTATTAATGCATTACCAAATGTTAGAGAAAAAGGCTTACCAGCTCCTCAAATGCCAACTTTGAAACCACCAGGTGTAATTGGACATTCACGTAATACAAGTACAGCAACTGATGCAACTAGTTTTTCAACAGGTCCAGATTCAGTACCTGGTAGATTAACAATTATTGAAGCTAAAAATTTCCAACCATCAAAAAATCTTGAAGTTAAAGTTACATTGAGATCCTCAACAAAAGATAAACTGTTGATAAAGACAAGACCAACTAAATTTGATAAACATTACCAGTCATATAGATGGAGTGAAAGTGTTCCATTTAGAAGTTCGCAAACCGGTCAATTGATTATAAATTTAAGAGAACATCATACATTTGGTAAGAGTGTATCCTTGGGTGAACAAGTTTTGAATTTAGCTGATTATATAAATGTTAGTGAAAACATACCAATAAATGTTGGTGAAGGTATCTTAATTATAAATTTAAAAGAATTCAGAACTTAAATTTATATGATGTATAATATTCATAGGTATGTTTGATTTTAAGTATTCTTTTTCTTATCATTTAATTTATTATACTATTTAATTTTCTTATCGTAAGAATTGATTAAAATTAGAGAAAGTTGCAAATATTAGGGCTACAACTTGAAATACACGTGCAACAATTTTTTGTTACTCATATGGTAGCATCATATTTCTACGCATAAATTTTCAATACAGTGTGTGTGTCAGTTTGTTAGCGAGGAAAAAAAAATTAACCAAATTGAAAAAACTTACTTTTCAAAGTTTTCCATATTATTAAATCACATAACTATAATATAATGAGTTCAGTTGTATGTTTAAAACCGTGATAAGACAATATATATATCAAGATGTAACCAATGTATCATGAAACATAATAAACAATGAGAAAAATAACAAGCTTGGGGATATAAAACAACAAAGTTAAATGAATGCAAAATATTTTAAAATCCTATTAAATTGGTTATATCTACATTTGTTGGACTATATACTAACATAATATTTTAGAATCAAAAGTGGTACCAATCAGAAGACGTTCCAGTCCCAAAACAAGCAAGAAAAACCGCTAAACCACAAAAATTAAGAGCTTCATTAGTTCCAGGTACTGTTTTAATTTTATTAGCTGGTAGATTCAGAGGTAAAAGAGTTGTTTACTTAAAAAACTTAGAAGATAACACTTTATTAGTTTCAGGTCCATTCAAAATTAACGGTGTTCCATTAAGAAGAGTTAATGCTAGATATGTTATTGCTACTTCAACTAAAGTCTCAATTGATTCAGTTGATGTTTCAAAATTCAATGTTGAATACTTTGCAAGAGAAAAATCATCAAAAGGTAAAAAATCAGAACAAGAATTCTTTGATGAATCAAATACCAAAAAAGAAATTAAAGCTGAAAGAGTTTCAGATCAAAAACAAGTTGATGGTGCTTTATTAAATGAAATCAAAAAAACTCCATTATTAAAACAATACTTATCAGCCTCATTCTCATTAAAATCTGGTGACAGACCACACTTATTAAAATTTTAAATTAATCAAATCAACTAAAAATAACTACAAATCATACAAATAAATAATTAAAAAAAGGGGGAGGATATATAAGATGATATATATGTATAAAATGAAAATATACTCATGATAATATTAGAGATAAAAAACCACATACATAGATATCAATATCTCCTCATATTTTCAATATTTTTCAATTTTATACAATTTTATATTTAATCTAATTATATCAAAATTCGATGTATAGTTTTTTCTTTTTCATTTGTATTTAATACATAAATAAATTTAACGTAATAAAGTGATATTTTTACATTACTGCTCAGTCAGTTACTTGCTTATTGTTGATAATTCTTCCGTGTTCTATATTATACTATTTTTTTTTTTTTTTTTGCAATCAACACCCCTCAAAAGATCTTGAAAAAACTCATCTCATCAAAAAATCTCTTTTAATTTAATACTTTATCAATTAGTTAAATTATGTCAGGATTATTACCATTAGCTACTTATAATTTGGCTTTACAACCATTTCAACCAGCTCCTGCAATTGAAGATGATTTTCCAGTTACAATTAGAATTTCATTAGCTGCTATAGATCCAGAATCCGTAGATGATAAAAATGAACCATCAACTTTAAGAATTTTAAAAAAATCTAGCGATTTTATTGATGATTATGAAGATGATGAAGCTGAAGAAGCTAATGATGATGAAGATGACGAATTAGATGAAGACGAAGGAGATGAGGAGGAGGATGATGATGATGATGATGATGATGATGAAGAAAAACCAAAATCGAACGGCATAAAGCAAAAGAATGATGAAGAAGAAGAAGATGAAGAAGATGAAGAAGATGAAGAAGATGAAGAAGATGAAGATGAAGAAGACGAAGACGACGAGGATGGTGAAGTTGAAGAATACGTAGTCTGTACTTTATCACCAAAACATCAATATCAACAAACTTTAGATTTAACTATAACTCCAGATGAGGAAGTTTACTTTGTTGTTACTGGTTCATATCCGATTCATTTATCTGGTAATTATGTTGAACATCCAGCTGATGAAGAGAGTGAAGATGACGAGTATGACGACGAATACGATGATGAATATGATTTAACTCCAGATGAAGACGAAATTATTTACGGTGTAGATCCAGAAGATGAAGAAGACGAAGAAGACGAAGAAGCTGCTCCAAGAATTGAAGAAATTGAAGAAGATGAAGAAGAAGAAGTCAATGAAAAGCCTACCAAAAAAAGAGTTGCAATTGAAGAAGCTCCAAAAGAATCAAAGAAATCTAAAAAAGTCAAGAAAGAAGATAAAAAATCTGTTCAATTTTCAAAAAATTTAGAACAAGGTCCAACTGGTTCAACTTTAGCTGATAAAAAAGATGAAAAAGAAGCATTAAAAGAATCAAAAAAACAAGCTACAAAAGATGATAAAAAAGATGGTAAAAAATTCCCAACTAAAACATTATTAGGTGGTGTTATAACTGAAGATAGAAAAGTTGGTTCTGGTCCACAAGCCAAATCAGGTAACAAAGTTGGTATAAGATACATTGGTAAATTAAAAAATGGTAAACAATTTGATAAAAATACAAGTGGTAAACCATTTACATTTAAATTAGGTAAAGGTGAATGCATCAAAGGTTTTGATTTAGGTGTCACTGGGATGGCTGTTGGTGGTGAAAGAAGAGTTATTATTCCACCAAAAATGGGTTATGGATCACAAGCTTTACCAGGTATTCCATCTAATTCAGAATTGACTTTTGATATTAAATTAGTTTTATTAAAATAAACATAAATAGATACATATAATTATAATACACATTAATCGCCTTGAATAGTACATACTTTGCACTATAATTCTGATACAAATTTGACTTATATGCAGTCTTAAAATATTGCAAAGCGAATTTCAAATGAATATTTTGATCGTTTTTTCAACTATAAGTCCTCCAGATACAATCAAAGCTGTCTTTTAGCTGCTAATAATCATGGTCTATAGGCACATGTTTATTTACACGGTTCGAAATTTCAGTTTATTGTCAGTATTGGAATATTAGCTTCAATCGGACTGCTTTTTATAAGTCAATGTCAAGTCAAAATTATTTTTCCCAGTATGCATTTTTGATCGCGCGTATATGGTACTACAAAATTATGTCTTCGCATTGGTTTTAGGGCGATCCGTACCAAGTGTATATTTTAGGAGCGCCTTACCGTCGCGATGTAAGAACCAATTATTTCAAATTAAAAGCTTTAAGTTATATGTATACATACGTTAGACTATGACTTTGAAAGTTATTTTTTTGAGTTGTCATTTTGACCCTTTTTCACCATACAAAAGTTTTTGAAAAAATACAAATCGAAGTATTTTTTAATTTATGATCAATTTTTTCAACTAAATAACGAATTAAATATATTATAATTAGATCAAACATATCGAGCTTGATCGCAGTTGTCCTGACTAAAATTTAGAAACTAATCGTGGCGTCTTAAAAATACTGTAATTAATCTGTTTCGAGTTAAATAAGCCGAATCAGCTATATTAGAACTTGATAAATGATGTCTAAGTGTTAATTATCTTGCAAAATAGCGTTTTTATGCATTTTTTTAATGACGAATTATGTCATGAAATTTAAGTTTATTCAATGTAGTTTAACATTATTTTAATCTGAGTGTCATGACATTTATATCAAGCTAGTTTGAGAAAGAAAGCTTGAATATTGACAGAGTTATTCACAATTTAAATCTCAAGATTTACTACAACAGGACTACATATAAGCAATTTGGTGTAAGAATTAACTCTTCAAGTCTACTATTCTCGCCCAAATTTTGCGCCAGGAAAATAATTTTCTCGCATTAACTTTAGGGCGATTCAAAAGAGTTTAGTTGCTATGAAGGCTATATTGAACTTGGAATTTCAATGTCCATGTATATATTGTTTTTTACTTCACTTATTTTAAAAGATCAACGATCTCCAGGTAAACTAACTGTTGTAACAAAATCTAAACGTAAAATTATAATCAACTCGAGTTTATTTTAACAGTAGTTTAACAGTAGTTCTGATATAAAACGCAAAATAATAGTTCCAACGCGATCAAAATGATTTGATATGAGTTGCCCTAAAGATAGCGCGAGACGTTATTTTGTCGCGGCGGGTTTATCGCTCAAACTTTACCGGATAAATATGAAACAATTTTCTTATATGCAGTCTTGTAGTTAATTTAGTTGAATAACTCCATCAAATATCATGGTTTTGTCTCATACTAACTTCATTATAAACCTTAGTTTGTTTCGAATAAATTGGTATTACTTCAAAGTTGATAAACATAACTTTGATGATTTTATTCTATATTTGAAAAATTACTTTTTTAATTTTGAATACCTAAACTCAAAAAAATCTAAGTCAAATTCATATTTAGATCTCCAAATTTCGATAGTTTCATCATGATTAAATTTGAGTATTAAAAGCGGAACTAAATTTTTTGTTAGATCAATTTATTCGTATTATTCCACACTTAAGAGAAGATTTCAGAGTTTCTCAATTTTAATTTAGAGCAGCTAACTTCATGTTCAGCATCTTTAATTGAGGCATGATATATATAATTTGTTATTTCTCTCAGAGTTTTGGGCCTAAATAAAAAGATACTTAGATTTACATCTTTTGAAAAATTTTTGTATGGTGGAAAATGCCAAAAATACAAGATGAAAAAAAAATGTTCAAATTTTGATATTTGACATAGATAACGGTACGGAAACAAAGGTTCCTGACTCCATTACAGTAGTTATTATCCCGAGAAAGTGCGATTCTTACGAGATATAAGCTAATACATGTAATACAAGATCGGCTTCAAGTTAGCGCGAAAAATTATTTTCTTGTTTCAGATTGTCGGAGACAGTAATCGACTTTAAAAAATTTGGATGTTTGCAAGAAATTTTATACGACCAACTATCTCGTATAAATACAAAATCATTGATTCCTAATTTGCTCAAATTTCTTTTATTAGTAATTTTATTTATTTGTATTATATTCCGGTGAGCTTGCTTTTATACTACCATTAAACAGGGTTCTATACGTGAGGTATATATAACCTTTCGACGTGTTTTAATTGCAATTATAATTTTGCAACACGTTAAATTGATTTTTTTTTTTTGTGGAACCCAATCCATCGAGAGATTTTCATTTTTCAACGCTTAATTCAAATTAGTAAAAATTTGTTATATAAATTAAAATTATTTCAACAATAATATCCAAATGCTTAGTTTAATTACTCAAGCAACTGGTAATGTGGCTAGAATAGCTGCGCATAAACCAATTCATTTCATAATCATCCCTGCATTATTAGCATCAATAGCTTATTTATCTATTGTTGATGATTATGTTCCAAATTTGCAAACTTCATCAATCAATAGCAATTATGAAGGTGCTGTAAGTTATTATCATCCAAAAGGTAATAATGACATAAATAAATGGATACAAGTTGATTTTCCAGAAGAATATTCAAAAGCTCAGCATTTAAATTTAATACCAATAAAATTCAAATCACAAAATTTTCAAAAAATACCACAATTAGAAAATTCTTTACATATGGATAGTGAACAAGTTTTGATTGTAGATTCTGATAAATTGGATCAAACTTTTGAGCAATTGAATACTATTGAAAATTGGAAAGTTAGAAATAATATTCATTTTAAAAAATATTACAATTTCATAAAATCAGGATATTCCAAAATTCAAGAAGCTATACAAAATGCTGACAATTTTGATATCATTTTGATTTTTGTTGCTTATTTAGCCATGTGGTATACTCTAATTAAAGTATTTTTCGATATGAAACAAATTGGATCAAAATTTTGGTTAGCATTTTCCACGTTAACTTCCTCAACCTTTGCATTTTTGTTTGCATTAGCTGTATCAAATAAATTTTTAAATTGTGGAGTTAGTTTAATAAGTTTATCTGAAGGAATACCATTTTTAGTTGCAATTATTGGATTTAAGCATAAGGTATCTATTGCAGCATTTGTTTCCAAATCATCAACAGCTTCACCAGAAGATGTTCCTCATATAGTTGCCAAAGCTGTGTCATCACATTCATTAAGTTTATTAAGAGATCATGTTGTCGTAATTGGTGCATTGTTGTCATGTGCTGCTTATGCAAATCATTTAACCGGTTTAAGAAATTTCTGTATATTAAGTTCTTTAATATTATCTTTTGATTTAATTTTGGTTTACACATTTTATTCAGCTATACTAGGGTTGAAAATTGAAATTAACAGAGCAAGAAGAACTGAAGATTTGAAAGGAGTGTTGGAAGAAGAAGGAGTCAGTTCCTTAGTTGCTGCAAGAGTTGCAGAACAATCATCAACAATTGAACATCCAAACGAAACAAATTTTTTCACTTCGAAAGATACTTCAATTTTATCATTTAAAGTTGCCATGAGTTTAGGTTTTTTTGCATTTCATGCATTTTGGCTTGGTAGTTCATGGTTATATGAATCAAGTGATTCTACTAAAAGTATTTTTTTCAAAAAGTTGCCAAAATTAAACTCTGAGGTGGTTAGTAAGATTAACATTAGTAACAAAGGTACTGTATTGACAATATTCCCAACTAGATATCTAGTACCAACTGGTTTTTTCATACAATTTGAAGACTTTATTTATTTGCTCATTACAAAATTCAATAATGCCATAAGAGATAGTTTAATATCAAAAGTTTTAGTCTTTGGATTTGCAATTTCACTTGTTACAAATATTTATTTCCTTAATGCTGCTAGATATCAAATTAGTGCAACACATAAATTGATTGAACAAGAAATATCAAGACCAAAACGAAAAAGCATTAGTGAACCGGTTAAAACAATTGATGATGAAGAAGAATCTTCAAGTAGTGGAGAATTAGAAATAAAAGTTACTTCTAAACAAAAACCATTAGATGAATGTATCAAAATACTTAAAGAGGGTCAAGTGAAAACTTTAAACAATACAGAAGTCACTTCATTAGTTGTATCAGGAAAATTGCCATTATATGCATTAGAAAAACAATTACAAGATAACAAAAGAGCTGTTGTTGTACGTAGAAAAGCTATTGCAAAATTAGCTAACGCACCAGTTTTAGAAAGTATACGTTTACCATTGGGTGGTTATGATTATGATAGAGTATTTGGAGCATGTTGTGAAAATGTTATTGGTTTTATGCCTTTACCCGTTGGTGTTGCGGGTCCTTTAGTAATTGATGGTAAACCATATCATATACCTATGGCTACAACTGAAGGTTGTTTAGTTGCATCTACCATGAGAGGTTGTAAAGCAATCAATGCCGGAGGTGGTGTTGAAACTGTTTTAACAAGAGATGGTATGACAAGAGGTCCCTGTGTTAGGTTTCCAACTTTAAAAAGAGCAGGTCAAGCTAAATTATGGATTGATTCAGAAGAGGGTCAAAAAACTATTAAAAAAGCATTCAATTCCACATCAAGATTTGCAAGATTACAACATATTCAAACTGCTTTAGCTGGTACTTTATTATTTATTAGATTTAGAACTACTACTGGTGACGCAATGGGTATGAATATGATTTCAAAAGGTGTTGAACATTCTTTAAATTATATGGTTGAGGAATTAGGTTATGATGATATGGAAATTGTTTCAGTTTCAGGTAATTACTGTACTGATAAAAAACCTGCAGCTATAAACTGGATTGAAGGTAGAGGTAAATCAGTTGTTGCAGCTGCTTCAATCCCCAAAGAAGTTGTTCAAAAAGTTTTAAAATCAGATGTTGATGCTTTAGTTGAATTAAATGTCAGCAAAAACTTGGTTGGTTCAGCAATGGCAGGTTCAGTTGGTGGATTTAATGCTCATGCAGCAAATTTAGTTACAGCAGTATTTTTAGCATGTGGACAAGATCCAGCACAAAATGTTGAAAGTTCAAATTGTATCACATTAATGGAAAAAAATAAAAAGACTGGCGATTTACAAATTTCAGTTTCGATGCCTTCAATTGAAGTAGGTACAATTGGTGGAGGTACAATTTTAGAACCACAAGGTGCTATGTTAGATTTATTAGGAGTAAGAGGTCCACATCCAACTAATCCAGGTGAAAATGCAAGACAATTAGCCAAAATTGTTGCATCAGCTGTATTAGCTGCTGAGTTATCATTATGTTCTGCATTAGCTGCTGGTCATTTAGTTCAATCTCATATGCAACATAATAGAAAAGCTCCATCAACAGCTGAATCAGCAACACCATCAACAACTACGAATGGCTCAATAGATGTAAAACGCCTTAAAGAAGGTTCAGTAAATTGTATAAAGTCATAATATTTATTTGCATTTATTCTTTGTAATAGTAAAATATATAATTATATTCATAAATTTATCATGATGATTTTGAGTCAACGAACGAAAAAAATATATCCATACAACAATTAATTCAGTTATGCCTTCACAAGAGATCGGAGTTCCAATCCCAAATATTCCACATGCTGTTTCAGTTACATTGCCAACTTGGGAGGCTACTATAGGTTATGAAGAAGGTGAAGAATGGGTGACATCTAAAATGAATTCTGGTTATCCACGATTTTTCATTCATTCATCAATACAACAATTATGTAATAACTTAACCAAAAAATATGGTAGACCAAATGAAAGATGCTTAGTGTTTCCAAGTTATAAAGTAGCTAAAAGATGTAGAGAATTTATTCAAAAGTATAGTGATAATAAATCATCCATAATTCGAGTGCTAAAATTATGTACCCCACCGCCAATTACAGAAACTGAAAAATCAACTAGAATTGAAACTTCAATTGGTGTTGTATTCTTCCCAAGTAATGATTTTCCGTTGGCTAAAAATTATTGGCAACATTCTGGTGAAGGTATTAGTTCAAGAATGAGTGAATATTTATTAAAAGAATTAGTTCAAAACGAAGAAGTTTCAAGTCGAAAATTGGGTAATTTAAAACAGGAATTGCAAGTCAGAAAAATTCAAAGTAAATCTCCGTCAATAAGATCTAACTCATCGTCATCCCAACATGGTGGAAATGAAGAAGTCGAGAGAGAATTTAATACGTTTATTGAACAAAAATATGGACGTGTTTTGGATTTTAAATTTGCAAAAGATGCAAAAGAAATTTTAAGAAGAAGAATATGTGGTAAAATTGATAAATCTACAAATTTACTATCAGAGTTTGAGAAAAATTCGAGAGGTAAAATACTAGATGAAGATGATGTATATTTATTCCCTAGTGGTATGTCAACAATATTCTATGCACATTATGCGTTGTTGAAAATTTTACCAAATAAAAAATCAGTTTGTTTTGGATTTCCATATGTTGATACTTTAAATATTTTAAGAAAATTTGGTCCTGGTGTTGAATTTTTAGGACTTGGTGATGATGAATCTTTGAAAAATTTACAAAAGGAATTAGAACACGGTTTAGAAATAATTGCTTTGTTTTGTGAATGTCCTTCAAATCCTTTATTAAAAACCCCCAATTTGAAAAAGATCAAAGAATTGGGTGATAAATACAATTTTGCTGTTGTTGTTGATGAAACGGTTGGTAATTTTTTAAATATTCATGTTTTACCATTTGCTGATATAATATGTTCTTCATTGACGAAGGTATTTAGTGGAGATTCAAATGTATTAGCTGGTTCATTGATTTTAAACCCGGATTCTAAATATTATCCTAAATTAAAAGAATTTTTCAACCAAGATTATGAAGATTTATTTTGGGCAGAAGATGCATTATGGCTAGAAAGAAATTCAAGAGACTTTGTTGAAAGAGTCAAGAAAATAGATGAAACATCATTAAAAGTTGTTGAGTTGTTAAAATCAAATCCTAAAATTGATAAAATATATTATCCAAGTATAAGTTCAACTAAGAAATATTATGATGAAATAAAATCAGAAGATGGTGGATATGGTGGTTTAATTTCGTTCTTATTTAAGGATCCTCAAGATGGTATCAACTTCTTCAATCAAGTTAATTTACATAAGGGGCCAAGCTTAGGTACAAATTTTACATTAGCTTGTCCTTATGCCATATTAGCGCATTATCAAGAATTGGATGAAATTGAACAATGGGACGTAGATAGAAACTTAATTAGAATAAGTATAGGATTAGAAGAGCCAGAAGAATTATTAAAAGTTTTAAAAGATTCATTAGTATAGATTCAATGTACATTCATTCCTGGAAATTTTAGGTGTTCACAAGGTGATGGAGGATATCTAGGTAATGATGAATCATCATGCTGAACAGTACCAACGTACCAATACTTTCTATGCTGTTGGAAATACTCTATCCATGCTGGTAAATCTGCTTCTACCTCTTTTTCATCCAACCCTCGTAAATCATAAGTATACTCGTCAGGTTTCATGAAACATCCAGTTACAAAGATTCTTGCGCAATCTTTTCCAGTAAGTTTATTATATGATTTTCCAGGTCCATATATTTCAGGTGAGGAACTAACGTCGAAAACCGAACCATTAATGGCTAAATATATAGGTAATTTTGAATTTGAACCATTATATTTTGATAATTCTTCCATAGTCAAATTGATTCTTGATTGAAATAGATTCATGAAATATTTAATATTAAGATACTTCCCATCATAGTTCCATGTAGTTGATGACGTAAACCAATAAGAACATAAACAATTTAATAATAAAATACCACCAAATATTCGTAAAGCATCAAAAAATGTGAAACGATTCATAAAGAAAAAAGAAAAAAATATAGTTGTTACAACATTGAATTATACATCTTCTACACTTTCTAATTAATACAATAATATTCTTCTAATTCATAAAAAATACTTCATCATTAAATTGATTCAAATTGGTATTATTATTTGAAAAATTAATTTTATCGCTTGAATCAGTACTTAATAAATTCGACCAAAATTCATCATTTAAAACCATATACAGATTCTCCAACTGTTCTTGATTTGCTAAATTTACGTTTTGACCATTATTATTAGTGTTATTTAAAATCGAGTTTGATATTGAAGGCAATCTAAATTGTCTATAATCGTTATTTAAACTTGCAAATTGATCTGGTTGAGGCTGTTGTATTTGAGTTGTTGGTTTTTGAAAAGCACTATTATTATTATTATTATTATTATTATTATTATTATTATTATTATTATTCCCATTTGTCGGTATTGGACTATGTGAAGTAGGTGTATTTCCTGCAGATGTAAAATTTGGAACATAATGTTTTTGATCATTTGTCTCAGTCAAAGAAACTGACGTTTTTGGTGATTGAACCTTTTGTTTATTTGGTGGTTTTTCCCTTCTATAACTTGCAGCATAAGATAAGATATCCAACGGTAAATTATTATCAGCTGTTTCATCAGTTACCAATGATCTCTTATTATTCATTCTAGCTTCACTATATATAGCTGCCAATTTCTCCAATTCATGAACTTCTTTCTCAGTAGGTTTGAAATTTTGTGGAGTTTCACCATTCTTTCTCAATAAACCATTAATTTGAGTAGCATAAGTCTGAATAAACAATTGTAACACCAATCTTGTTTTTTTCAACAAATGATTTGTTGGATATTGTAAATTAGACTGTTCAACTAATTCAGAAACCTTTTGTATTGCTATTACTGCATGTCTGGGTACCAAATCTTTCTCAATATGTGATGGCAACAGTAATATTAAATATCTTAATCTTAACAACATACCAGCAGTATACATAATTCTTGAACTAAATGTAAATGGTAAATGCGTAACTTGCTCACAAGTTAATTGATTAAACTCATCTAATGCATTAAGACATGAATTTGTACAGTTGGATATTGATCTAATTGCTAATGCATCTAATTCATTGTCATTTTTGAAAACCGAGGTAAGGCATGGTTCATGTAAATAACCTTCAATTGAGTAATAATATGATAAAAATGAATGGTCTCTTGGATCAATTTTCGACTTTAAAATCGTTAAATTCTTCTGAATCTCTTCGATGATAAAATATGATGTAGTTCTGTGAGTGGTAGTAATTTCGGGGGCATGTATAATGTGGTGGATTTTTTCTAAAACATGATTCATTCTAGCAAATAGTGCCAATTTTTTGTACCTAATCTCATTAGAAGATTCCAAAATAGAACAACATTGTTCAACATATGTCGTCCATTTAACATAAATTGATCTTCTTAAAACCAAACAAATACTGACAGTACTAAAATATATTATCAATATCAAAGATCGATATTCGTCTGTTGATTTATCAGTAGTCTGTCTAACAGAACCTTCTGTTGGATTATAACTATAAGTTGGTCTTGCTACTATTCCTAAGTCATGTAATAAACTAACACAAATTGTATTTAATAAATGGTACCTTCTTTGTCTAAATAATTCTGGTGAATTATAATATAAACATAAAACTAAAAAACTTTTAACTAATTCAATTGATTTTGTACCAATCACTAGCACTTCATCAGCAACACTTCTAATAGCTTCATTGTCAAGATATAAAGATTGGTCGATATTAAAACTCTTTGATACAATATTTGTTGCCGACATTATACAGTTAAACAAAAAAGGTTGATTTTGACGTAATTCCTCACATGTCCCATTGACCTCAACAAGTCTTATGTTCTTATAGATTTGATTTTGGTATAAATCAAATCTAACTTGAGCTTCTTCTGTTGTTATAATACCTTTACTAACAACATCTATTTTATTTAATCTGTCTCTTAATAGTTTAGTTCTACGATCTGCAACATTATTTAAATCATTCGTTAAATCGGTCAACTTAGCTGAGCTTTCAGCAAGTATATTAATTTCATGTTCCAAATCAAATTTGGATATAAATGGTGGTGAATTTAGAAATTCAGCTGTTGATTCGATGCCTTTAAATTTAGATATTGATTGTAATTGTGATTCCAATTGTTTAATTTTATTTTTTAACTGAAATATTTCTTGATCTTTAGCGTAAGGAGAATTAACATTATTGTTATTATTATTATTATTATCGATATTATTTGGAGATGGAACATTGAGGGGGGCCTGAAATTGTGAAAATTGTGGATGAGCCGATGGTGGAGCTGAAGGTATTTGAGAAGGTGGTTGAATTTGCTGAGTATTTATATGTTGCTGCATTGGAGGTATTGATGGTTGAGTTGTGGTAGCAGAAGGTGGTGTTGAAATTACAGATGGATATGAAATTGGAGGTATAATTGGAGGATTACCATTATTATTCTCCTGCTCTTGTAAATAATGATTTTGACCAGTATTATTGTGATTATTAATAATTTTATTTTCAATAAGACCTGGCTGTGATTGTTGACCATCTTGTTTTAACTTTTCTTCTTCAGCTAATCTTTTAGCTTCTAAAATTTCAGCCTTTTTTCTTCTTTTTCTAGTTTGATTTAAATCAATTTCACACTTTCTATTTGCGTTCAAACATCTCATACATGGGGCAGCCGGATTCTTTGGATCTGATGGTGTACATTTAACTTTTAAAGAATGACAACTTTTACATGCGACTGATCTTCTTGTTACTTTTTTCTTACCACTTTCTTCATCCGTACTAGTATGATTGTTATTATGATCTTGAAGATGTTTAGGTGTTGTATATTCATCTGATGATTCAGTTTTGACGGTTGACATTCTCAAATTATAATTCTTGATTATTGATTGACTAAATAATTGAAAACTTAATGAAATTTAAAAATAATTACTAGATAGGTATTTAAAATTGATGTTGTAATTTCTAAAATATTTTTATAAATACAGTTTTAATAAATGTATGTAAAGTCCAATGATATTAAACATCAATTAAAAAAAAAAAATTGGGAAGTGAGTTTTTTGAAGTATAATATAATATTTAATACTAATGAATTATGATAGTACTAATGATAAAACCGACAACTGATGATTAAGTATGAATATTTAACTAATAATAGTATCTATAAAGAGGAAGTGGGTTTTTGTAATGTATAATAATATATTAATGGATTAAGCTACTACTAATGATAAAACCAACAAGGAATGATTAACTATGAAAATTTAACTAATAGTATTAGTATCTATAAACTGAATAAATAAATAATGAATTAAATGGTTGTAATTTATGATTATTCTTTGTAAAGGAAAAGAAGTTACAAATTTGGTTTGGTTTCTTCTCTGTATATAAATTTCTTAGATTTTTTTTTTTTTTTTTTTTTTTTTTTCTTCTGTCTGGCTAAAAACTACCACCATTTATTATTATTATACGCTATAACCATACACTAATAAATGAAGAAATGGAAAGTGAAAGAGACTAGATAGCTATGTGTATAGTTGTTGGTGTTTTATAATGTATTATGTATTATGTATGTATAAATACTACTAATAATTTACTTTTGTCATGTGTCAGCCGTAAACTTATTCACAATACTAGAATAAATTATAATATAATATCCAATCATCTTTTGTTGTATACTTAAAACTCATGACTAGTTTTTAAAGATTTACTCTTTAAAACATGCTGTACTTATAATATTATAGAGTGCTTAAAATAATTTAATAGTATTTTTAGTTTCAATGTTGATCTTCTTCTTCTGATATTTTTGGTTCCTAAGATTAACACCGATATTACATTTGACATTTCAATAAATTATATAACATACATGAATTACCTCCTTGTATTAGTTTTCTAATTGTACACAGTTTAATAAGGCTAAAGCTTTGTCTAATCGTTTTAAATTTTGCTACTTTGTTCATAACCACGTAAAGCTTATTTCAATATTATAAACCATGATCAATTTCATCGATATAGACAATACGGTTAAATCGGGTTAATTTTTTTTTTTATTTTTCAATGTCGCATTTTACGTTTTGATTTGAATTATTTTTTTGGTCTTGACATTTTTTTGACATTTCCTTGACATTTGTCATTTAGCCAGCCTCACGGTCACATGGTTGGTCACATGGTTAGTCACATGATGAAAAAAATATTTAATATTGATGTAATAGATCAAAAGTTAGTATATTTTTCAACGACTACCTAAAAATATTAAAAGATCAAATATACAATTTTGCAACAATTTAAAGTATCTTTTCATAATTTAGCCAATTGATCTTAAAATTATTTCATATGTCATTCAATTTTGGTATAAGTAATATATCAAGAGGCAATAATTCATATAAAGATAAACCAACATCATCATCATTACCTTTATACTATAATTCTAAAAATTCAAATCCATTTGCACCAAAACATAATCGAAATAAGAAAATTTTAATGTTATTTAAAGGGTTCTTATATTCAATATTATTATATATAGTGTACATTTTTATATCTAATGCAATAGATGGAGGTGTTAGTAATAAAACCAATTGGCAAAGAGCTCAACTTGAAGTTAAACAAGCAATGGCAGAAAGTTGGCATGACTATGAAAAATATGCTTGGGGAAAAGATGTTTATCATCCGATTTCTAAAGTAGGTGAAAATATGGGTCCAAAACCTTTGGGGTGGATGATTGTTGATTCAATCGATACATTAATGATTATGAATTTAGACGAAGAAGTATCTAGAGCAAAAGATTGGATTAAAAATGATTTAGATTACAATTTTAATTATGAAGTTAATACATTTGAAACTACCATACGTATGTTGGGTGGTTTATTATCGGCTTATCATTTAAGTAAAGATGATTTATATCTCGATAAAGCTGTTTCATTAGCCAATAGTTTACATGGTGCATTTGATTCAAAGACTGGTATACCATATTCAAGTGTAAATCTAGCAACTGGTAAAGGTATTCCTAATCATGTTGATAACGGTGCTTCATCAACAGCTGAAGTAGCTACATTGCAATTGGAATTTAAATATTTAAGTAAATTGACTGGTGAATTAGATTGGTGGAGATTAAGTGAAAAGATTATGGAAGTTTTAGACTCAAATAAACCCCAAGATGGATTAGTACCAATCTATGTTAATCCCGATACTGGTATATATCAAGGTAATTTAATTAGATTAGGTTCTAGAGGTGATTCTTACTATGAATATTTGTTGAAACAATATTTACAAACCAATGAACAAGAATCAATATATTGGCAAATGTATAAAGAATCCGTAAATGGTGTAAAGAAACATTTACTTGGTAAATCGGAGCCAAATAAATTAACTTTTGTTGGAGAATTAAATCAAGGTATTAAAGGTGAACTTTCAAATAAAATGGATCATTTGGTTTGTTTCTATGGTGGTTTATTAGCATTAGGTGCAACAAAAGGTTTACCCTTGAAAGAAGCAAGAAATTCGCCAAATTGGAATAAAAATAACGAAGATGATTTCGAACTAGGTGAGAGTTTAACTTATACCTGTTATAAAATGTATAACGAAGTAGAAAAGACAGGACTTAGTCCTGAAATCGTACATTTCAACACCGAAACTGGAGAATCAAACAAAGATTTTATAATAAAGCCTTTAGATCGCCATAATTTACAAAGACCAGAAACAGTTGAATCTTTATTTTACTTGTATAGACTAACAGGAGAAGAAAAATATAGAAAATGGGGTTATGAAATTTTCAAAAATTTTATTAAGTATACTAAAGTTGTTAATAAAGATGGAGATGTAAGTTATTCAAGTTTAAAAGATGTTACAAGTTTGAATCAAGATGGAACACCTAAATTTAAGGACAGTGTTGAGTCATTCTGGTGGGCTGAAACTTTGAAATACTTGTATTTATTATTTGATGATTCAGATAAAATAAGTTTACGTGAATATGTATTCAATACCGAAGCACATCCGCTTCCAATATTTGAAATGGGTGATTATTTTAAAACTGGATGGAAGAGACAACCCACTTTACCTAGTAATGAAGAGCCAAAAATGAGACAAAAGGATGAAAAAATTGATCGAAATAAAAACATTCCGAATGCCCAACCTGTTGATAAATCAATTGAAGAAGAAGCTAAAGATATATTAAAAAATTTACCAAAGAATCTGAAAAACGATGAAGATATAAAATTGGAGCAAAAGGAAAAATTAAATAAAATATTGAAGGATATTGAAAACGAATAAATAAATAAATAAACAAATAAATAAATAAATAAATAAATATACAAAAAGGCTAATAATCCAATCTTGATTCAAGTTTTTTGTTCTTTTTTACGTTTTTCTTTTTCTTCAGCACTTAAAGTGAGCAACACTTGTTTCACTTTGTAAATCATTTAGTATATTGGGTTGTTCATTTTGCCTCAATTTTTTCATTTCATCAATTTGTTTCTTATCAAAGTTATTGGGTATTTCTTTTTCATCATTAGAATTTGATTCTATTTGCTTATTGGTTTCTTGAATTGTTTGACTGGGTACTTCTTTAGCTTCTGTTGAATCAGACATTGATTCCATTAAGCTTGCATCTTTTAATTTCTCTTCATATGGCTGTACATTCATTATAAGTATTTGACGAATTTTAAAAAATTAGGTCAATTTGCTTTTACTTGTCTAGGCAAATTCTAAATGAGGCTGTTAGATTACTAAAAAATTGGGTGCGAAACACAAAAAATTTTGCAACCATTTTTATATTTACAAAAAAGAAGTAGCGATACAGAATAACATAAAAATTAAAATTAGATCAAACATAATCTGGAGATAGTACAAAGATAATCTTACAACTTTAGCAGCTCACTTACATGGTGACGTAGCTTTAGAGCTAGATGATTCAGTCAAGATTTCATATTTTATCTTGGGTATTCTACCCACCCGTCTTCTTTGTTCTAGTTTCACTGAATAAAAATAACATAGAATGGCATGGTAGTTCTCGTTGATTCTAGCTTGAGGAACAATATCAACGTTTTATTTTTCAACTTGGTAGTTATTGGTATTTTAAAACCGTCAAATATTTCTTTTTTGGTGCTACCGTGATCTCAAATTCATACTGAAGTTTATTGGCACGTATTAGTTCACTTCTAAATTATGATTAACAGACTTATTCTTTATTTGTAAGAGTACTAAGAATTCAAGATATATTTTGGATTGACGTTGGGGTAACATTTTTAAGAGATTCTTAATAAATTTCTTTTTAAGGGTGTTCTCACAAGATTATTATACAAGTACTAATAATTTCAAGTTATGGTCAATTGGTGATGTCAAACATAATAGTATGAGTTTTATTTTTTTAAGTTTGACGTTGATGTTACATTTTTATATACAATTTTTACTGGGGTTGTTGTTATCTCCAGATTAATCGGTTAATAAATCCTAATTGAACAAAATAATATTACAATAAACTTTGATATTTCGAGACTATTTACACAACATCATCGTAAAAGTTCTTATTCACCTTTCTTTTGAAACTTCTATTTTTTAGTTTTTTTTTTTTTTTTTTTTTATTTTGCAACCATTTGGTCTGGAATTAGTTCCCATAAAAAATCTAAAATTTTAGTAATTGGTCTTACCAAAAACTTCCCAAAATAGAATGTCCAAACCCCGAGCAACTAGACTGTATAAAGGCAAAGAGATTGTGTTGCTTAATTGTAGCTTTTTAAATTGAAGATTTGTTCGATAGTTTGCTTTAGTCTAAATATAGTAAGGTTTTAGAACAACTTTCCCCCACGTTTTGAATACTGATAATTCTTTTGACAACATAAAAACGTCTATATGTGACTAAAACTGTGGACTGAATAAGCTGTAGTCAAGCTTAAATATGTTATCAATAATTATTTAGACGACTGATGAGATGGAAAAATATGGAAAAATCAATTCAAGAAATAAAAAGAAAATTTAATACCAAATATGTATTATTGACGTAGTGAAACCATACACTTACCCAAGTTGGATGGTTGATTTTGGTTCTAAACTCCATAGAATTCATAAAACCTAAAATTTAAAAACTTGTAGACTTGAATATGTTAGAATATAGTTGCAATAGTCGGGCTTCGTGTATTTGTGAACAAGATCTGGGTTTTCAATAGGAAATATGACAAAAAATCACAAATTAAATAATAAATATTATTTGTAACATGAAAAACCTGAATATTTTATATATTTAAGGTCAATTAAATTAAAGTCCGTTTAAAAACTTTTAACAAACTTACATGTGGACAAACAAAATATATAATCAAAACTTGTTGAGCCAATATGAATCGCCAAAATATCAATAGCAAATTCAATTCTTTAAACTTGCAAAGGATATAATTATTGAGATGATTTTTAATAAGATTAAACTTTTACTCAGGCCCTTAAAATTATTACATAACGAGGTTTGGTCGTATTACATAATTTTTTTTTTTTTTTTTCCATTTTTTTTTTTTTTTATTATTAATTATATCATAGATTTTTTTTTTAAGTTATTCAACTTTAGATTAAAACAAACAATTCATATATAAGTAATCATATTTTCATCTTATCACTATAGAAGACACAAGTATATACACATTTGTATTAACATACCGATCAACTGGATATCCAATAATCTATATTTTAAATCATACGTTCCATTTTTATTTGAGGAAATTCAAACGAGAAAAGCATTCTCTTTTATTAATCCACAAATTATCAAAAGAGTAATCAGAAATCAAATTAGTATACCTCGAGAATTTTCATAAACATATATTCAAACATATCAAGATTTCAAACCATCAAAAATGTCAAATGAAGTATGTCTTTTTTTTAGTTTAAAAATTTTCATGACATTATTCGTATACTAACGATTTGTCTTTTAGTTAAATCATAAATCACAGAATAATTTTGAATTAGAGTTAAATCCTTTTGAAAGAAGTTTTGCAAATGGTGATTCTTCTAGTCATACTAGTCAAAATTCAACTACTACGCCATTTTTACAAAAGGGAATTACTCCACCTGTATTTTCGCCTGGCGGAAGAAGATTACCTCCATTAGGAGAAAATGGAACACCTCCTATCATGTGGTTAAATCATGCTAATCAGCTTAAGAAAACAGGTTTGACACCCAATGAATCAAATATTAGAAGTGGTCTCACACCTGGCGGTTTTTTCAATCTAGGAGCTATAACACCTGGTTTATCAAGCTTATTAGGTTTACCTACTGGTAGTAATAATTTGAATTTGAATAATTTAAAGCCTACTAATCATCTACCATCTCAACAACCACAACCACAACAACAACCACAACAACAACCACAACAACAACAACATCAGCTTCAACAACAACAAATACCTCCAGTACAATCTCAACCTATAATAAATCAGTTACCACTGTCTTTACATCAAATGAACGGTCAAGTTCAACCATCTCAAGTACAGCCAACGCAACAACCACACCAATTACAACAACAATTATCACATTCATCAAATACAACGTCGACATCAAGTACTGAAAATATACCTATAATCAAACATGAATCACCATTAACTAATGATATACCGAATTCAGGTTTGCTAGGTAAAAGAAAAAGATCTATTTCTAGCTCAGGAACTAAAAAGGCAAAAAAGAGTAAGGTCAAAGAAGAGACGCAGCCATTATTAGATTCAACGAAGTCAAAGAATTCCAATAATAGCACGAATTCATCTATTTCAACAGCTACTACTTCTTCAACTGGTAAGAAAAGTAAGAAAAATTCAGTTTCAGATGAGGAAAAGAGACGAAATTTTCTTGAACGTAATAGAGTTGCAGCTTCAAAATGTCGTCAACGTAAAAAACAATTGGTTCAAAAAATGGAAGATGAATTGAATTTTTACTCTTCTGGATATAGAGAATTATCAGCTCAAGTGGGTGAATTAAGAAAGCAATTGATGAATGTTCAGAATGTTTTAATTAATCATAAAGGATGTAATTTATTATTACAACAAGTTGGAGGACTAGAGGCAATAAATCAAATCATACAGAGAGCTAGTTCAGCTATAGATTTAACTCAAGACGCTCAAAATAATGTAACATCAATACCATCGACAATCCCAACTCCGTTGAATAATAATCTAGATAGCAACAATAACCAACAACCAATAGTTCGTCCTGGAACTGGTACTATACCGCCAATGAATCAACAACAAAATACTAGCTCCAATTCACATGTTACGACACCAAACCTTTATCAACAAGTTCCAACGAATATTTCATCACATCATAGTTTGAGTGATTTGCCTCAAGCAGCTAATGATGCCATAATTTTGAATAACAATAATGGAAATTTCACTCACTGTAATCATAATGATTTAAGAGTTATAAATAGTATGTCAAATTTATCAGCAATGAATCAAAGGCAATTTGAATAGATAAGATATATATTTAGACTCGATTAACTTTATGAGTTGATAATAGTTGCTCTAAAGCTCTTTGATAGGATTGTGGCAGCCATCAAATTTTATTCCAAATTTTATAAATTATCAATAAGATTAATAATAAAATTTGTCATAATGCCAACTGCTTTTCTCAAATAAAAATAATCAGATATTGAATACTTTACAAATCATCTGAATAACCGTTTAAGATTAAAAATTGACCCCCCGACTAATACGTAATATTTCATACGTGTTTAGTATAACTAATCAACTCGCACTAAAATAATGAGCTAGGGCCAGTTGGTAGCACACCAGGTACACGATAATTTGTTTTTTAAGCCGTTTCGCATACCAACCGCTTTATTTTTTTTGATTTTATTTATTTTTTTGGATCAATCAAAAGAATAAAAAATATTCTTAATTTTATTACTGTTGGTAAACAAAAAGTTTAATGACAACTGAGTTAAAACTACCTAAATTACCAACTGCTTCACTAAAAAGATTAACTTCAACAACTTATTTGACAAATGCTGGTTTATTAACACAAGATCAATTTACTAGAAAAAAATTGAAATCAATACTTCATGTTATAACTCGAATTTTAAAAGCGAAGGGTACTAAGACTCCCCATATTTTTTTACCATTTAGATCAAAAATCAAAGATGAGAATTTAGAACATTTCTTAGGTTTATTGAGTCCCAATGGGAAATTAATTACAAATGAAGCTTTAATTGAAGAGATTTGTTCAACTATAGATGACTTTACATTAGTTTCAGCACTTAAGTTTTTTTGGTCAAGATTACCAAATAATGAAATTATAGGATATGATGTATATTTGGAATTTAAAAGAAAAGAACAAGAATTAGGATATCCTAAAAATGGATTTTTAACAATAATGCCAAAATGTTTATCTTCATCTTCTCATGCATCAATAGTTTATGATTTTCTTGACTTATTAATTAATATAATATCAAATTCACAATTTAACTATTTATCAGGTAGGAAAGTGAGTAAAATGGCAAGCTTTTATGCATTTAATAACATTAAAAAAGATGTAGGGTTTTTAAATGCAACAATTGAAAATGAATTTAATTTTATCAAGGGAATAAATGTATGGAAAAATCAGACTAATGCTTTATTTCATTTGGTGCTATCATTTTTAAGATCGATGCTACCCGAGTCAGATGGTGAAACTATTAAGATTCCAAAGACTTTACAATCTTTATTAATTACAACTAGTTATCCTCCAAATGATGAAAATGAGAATACTATAAAAAACTTCATAACTATACCTTGTGTATGTATTAAAACAACAAGACCATCAATGAATGCATATGAATTAATAAGTAAAATAAGACATAGCTTATCGTTTACAAATAAAAATGACTTTTTATCAATTGAAAACTATACAATTTTGAAAAATTTATTTTCACAAAAAGCCACAAGTGATATAATAAATTCATTAACTGAAGAATCAAGAAGAATTGTAAATAGAATTACTGCTGAACCAATCGATAATTCCAAGTTCGACTTGAATCCAGGTTGGTGTGACTGTCAATTTGAAATTGATCATGATATTCCACTATATTCTCAAATTGAAATAAATAATGTAAGTATACAAGATTATTATATATGGACATGGTTAACATCACTAGCTTCAGATCAACCAAATACTAAAAAAAGCTTATTTGGGAGATCAATAGTTGTTGAGGCTGATATAAGCGGATTTCAAAAATGGATTGTATTGACAGAGAAAACAATGACGAGTGATGAATATTTGAAACATTTTAAATTGGATAAAGAAAAAGAATTACCAAAACCATATTCAAAAAAGTCTCCAATCAAGGAAAATATAAATAAAGATTTACCACCACCACCTGTTGAAGATGGAAAATTGGAGAATGACGTATCAGTTGAGAAAGAAGAGGTATCATTTAAAGAAGATGAAGAAGATAGTAGCTTTATTGTTTATCCTACTCAAGATTATCAGGAATTTGAAGATTATTTAAATTCAACATCATTAAAGGAGATTGAAAATTTGACATCAAAATTTTCCAAAACTTCCGTTCACGAGGATATACTACCTAAGACAAAGCATAATGTTAGAAAAGCACCACCACCAATAGAATCCACAGAAATAAAACTGGCACCAATACAATCCAGGGATTTGAAACCAAAACCAATAGAAAAGGACAGCGAAATAGTCCAACATAATGAATATTATGAACCATTTGACGTATATCAACCAGAATTGGACAAAAAACAAAATAATGCAAACGAGGAACGTTATGATAACTATCATATACCAACAATAGTCCAACCTAAAATTTCAATGGAGAAAAATTCGTTTAACAATAAAGAAATACAACCACATAACAATAATGCTAATTTTGCTAGTGTTTCGAGGGAGCTGAATGATAGTACGGCTCAACCGGCCACTTTACGAGAACAAGGTGTACAACCTAGAAATGAAGATCAAAATAAACAAGAACCACTAGACGTAGAAGAAAAAGAACTTAAAGAAGAAAGAAGAAGCAAACGAAAAGAAAAGAAAAAATTAGAGAAACAAGCTCAAGCTGCACAATTAGCAGCTGCTCAAGCAGCTGGATTTCCTTTCCCATTTTTACCAAATGGTATACCACCACCACCACCACCTGATCCAAATTTGATATCCTCAGACTCATCAAAATCTAATTTTACCTCAGTTTCACCATTTTTGATTCCTGAGAATAACAAAACAGTCACAGCATCAACTAAATCTCCAGTAAAGAAGAGAAAATCACCAAAAAAGGTCAAGCCAATTGATGTAGATGAAAATAAACCATTGCCCGATATACATCCTGAAGAGCCTATAAAATTTGAGCCAAAAATTCAAGAAGAAGCAACTTTGGTAGAATCATATAACAAGAATCAACAAGAACAACATGATATGAGCAAGGTTTTCAGCTCACCAGAGAATAGTCAACCACCATCTGAAGTGTCACAAGTTAGTGCAAAATCGTTACCGAATAATACACAACAACCATCACCGCAATTCACACAGCAACTGCCTAGAGCCAAATCACAATCGCCAATTCATCAACAAGATTATTCACAACTGTTCCAAAATCCAAAAATGAATGGATTTTATCACCAACAACAACAGCATCAATATTTGCATCCAACTCATAATCAAGGACTTTATCAACAACAACCTATGTCTCAATATCAACAACCAATGATGATGCAACAGCCAATGATGACTCAACAACCAATGCAGCAGCCACCAACTCATCATCATCCATATCAGCAATATCCACAAATGCAGATGCAGATGTTAGCTCCGCAACTACCTATGCAACAACAACAATATGCTCCTCAAATAGTATCGCCTCAAATGCAACCGTTCATGACATCACAAGTGCAACTACCACAACAACAACCATTGCAAATGTATGGAATGCCACCTATGAAAAAACCAGGAATGACTAATTCAGCATCAAACAATGCAATGATGAATATGGTTCCAATGGGTCAAAGACACAACAAAAATCAAACTACGAATAAGGCAAATCTAAGAAATGCGTTTATACTGGGTAATTATGGTATATAGAACGAAGTAAATAATATAAGAGTGTTTAAAGTATCTTTTTCGTGTTGATTTTTTTCAAATCGTAAACGCCATTTTTTCAAATCGTAAACGCCCAATTTTGCAGATCTCATAAATTTGGATCTAAAGCGCGATTTATTAGATCTGTCAGATCAATCTCACAGAATAACGCAAAAAAGATAAGTAAAACAATTTAGACAAACAACTCAACAAATAAATATAAATGTAAAATAAATATTCAGTAAATCCTAAAAATCAAACAAGCAACTAAAGATATCAATAAATAATAAATAATGAATAAATAAACAATAAATAATGAATAAATAAATAATAAATAATGAACAAATAAATACTAAATAATGAATAAATAAATAATTAATAATGAATAAATAAATAATGAATAAATAAATAATAAATAATGAATAAATAAATAATAAATAATGAATAAATTATAAGTAAATAAATGTTGCAACAAATAAATAATAGCTAAGATCTTAGTATTCACTTAATCTTAATTTTTTTCCAATTTCCCTAATGCTAAATGTCGAATTTCCTCTATTTAGAAATGGAGGCTCAGGAGATTGACCCCTCGATTTAATCAAATCATCACCCATATCAAAATAACCATATCCTCCTAATAAAGTAGATAAATGAGATTTTTTTGGTTTGGCTTCAGAAACTTCTGGTTCTTTGATCTCTTGCTTTGATTTGATTTCTTCAATTTGAATTTGTTTCCAAATACTTAAAATCTCTTGTAAATAACTGTTTAATGTGACCAAAAATCTTTGAGTTTGTCTATGTTTTGAAGAAGCACATATTGATATAGAATCATCCTTTATGATATAACCAATACCAAAACCATTTGCACTTACCGGACCAAATCCAAATAACCTAAGAGCAGGGTTACCACAATTTGAAGTCGAAATGATTGTATTATTCAACTTATCCCAACCTGGATCAGCAAAGATTGAGGGTAACTCCTTGAGTATATCTGCATATGAATGATCGTTTGCTGAAACTATAGTATCTTCATTTGACATTTCTGTTGATACCAATTCTTCTTTATGTTCTTCTTCTTCTTGTAAATATCTCTTCCAAATGCAAAACAAAGCATATAAATGACGATCTACTCCTTGTCCCATTGAGCTCATTTTTGTTTGTTTTGAATGTTTTGAACATGCTTGACTTAAAAATTGTAATTTTTCCTTACTTGAAGTATTTGAATCAAAGAACTTACGTACAAATAGATTGGATTCTTGTGAAACAGTTCTTATAGCTTCTGTCCTACCATGATAAAACTGTTTAGTCATTGCTGGTTCGTAAGTACACTCGACTTTTCCATATAAAGCATAGTAAGTGACCTGAAAAGCCATTTGAATAAAAGCATCGGGACTAAACTTCATTTTTTTAATTTGATTTGAACCATAATTCTTGAATTCTAAATGTCTAAATTCATTTTGATTTATTAAATCCGATAATCTTGTTTCACCAAATCTCAAAGCTAATGATAAATCAGGAGTTAAATCCCATTCTAACTTACGTGGAATAGTAATCAAATTTTCTTCTATATCTGAAGCTGTAGTTGTGTTTGCGTTATTTGTCCATAATGAAGGTGAGTTTTGATTGATCAGTTGAGCAAATGATAAAATGGAGTCTGTATAAATATCAGAAACAAATCTAAGAACTGTATGACCATCAACACCAGTATGTTCAAAATTTATACCAGCTTTACCATTCCTCGTGATTATAATTTGTAATTTATCGTACCATCTATTTGTACATGTACCAATTTGTATACCTTTGTCCAATATACTCAAACCACATAACATGTTTTTACTCAATTCTGATAAATCATTTATAACAATATCATCTAAGCATAAGATAAACAAAGCTGAATCAATAATTGTCAATATTTCATTATTTGTATTATTTTGATAAATTAAATTATTTCTGACATTTGACCAAATTCTTCTATTTTCTGTAGTTAAAACACCAAATGAGCTTTTTGCAATTTCTGAGCTTGGTGTATTTAACGAATCCTTTATTATAGATTGAAAATTTATATTTAATTCCGATTCTGATAATATGAGATTATTATTGGAATCAAGAACATCAAACCAATAAAATTGAGATTTTGACATTACAACAATGTGATTCGAATTTGCGTCAGTTTGCATCATACATCCATCATTTGTTGGAATACGAGAAGCACCAAATAATTTAGTATATTGATACATGCATAATGGCTGACCATTTTTTAATTTATCGATTGACAATGTCTCATTTTTTAAAGCTTGAATAAATTTTAAACTAGATAACGTCAATTTTGTTGCTCTTTTGATTTGTGGATTTATTGAACTTGATTCATTTGTGAATGGATCATCTTCTAACAAAAAAAAAGGATTTAAATTTAAAACAACCGGTGAATCATAATTCAAATAAGAATCATACCAAAATTGTTCAATATATGAAGGTCTAGTTTTAGAATATTGTCTTAATTCTGAATCTAAGTACGAACCAATTCCTGATTTAAGAAAAGTCTCAACTGAAGATATAGTATTTAAATGTTCTTGTTCAGTTTGTAATGGTTTTAAAATGTTCAAATATTGAGCACAAGTTTGATTTAAATCAGGTATTGGTAATTTCTCTAATTTATCTTGTACTTCAAAAGTCATAAATATGATTGCAATAAATTGTTTGTAATAAATTTATTGAGATCTTCTTTACTTCTATTTAAATATTTTTTTTGTGGGGGTGGGAAATCGTCAAAAAAAAAAAAAAAAAAAATATATTTGGACGTACGATTACCAAAAAATAGTCGTAATACTTGGTACCAATTACCAATGAATTTTGTTCCTTTGGACGAGAATAGTACGATTTACGTCGGTGTTATAATACGACTTGAAAACTACTAAGAAAATATTCTATATTATTATAATTCACTGGATAATTGATATTTTGATCAACCAATTAATTTTATTCCATTGAAAGATAATAAATTATCCTATAAGCTGATATATTATCCTATAAGCTGATATATTATATCTACGCTATTGTGTTGACTATCCGTCATCCCTTGATTACTTTGGCTTTGAATTTAACAATAACAATCTTGTTTTAAAACAATAGTGTAACAAATATTTTTATAGATCATCTGCGAATCAATAAAAAAACTCAAATATCCATATTCATCAGTTACTATCCAGTTTTGTTTGTTTGTAAATAAAATCTGTCATTTTAATTGATCCCTTCCGTCTACATCGTTATTTCTTGTCGTGATTAAGTTATGTGTTGTGGGGCAGAAAATTCATGCAAATATTCTGCTATTACATCATCGTCTACAATATCCAGGTAACTAAAATTCATTTTCGAAAAAAGATCTCGGAGTTTTGACCAAGAAAAACGTTAACTTATAAAATAGTGATAAGATAACCTAGGAAAAGTCGATTGTTGAAGTAAATAATGAATTATCCTGAATTATAATATCGTAAAAATACATAGATGTAATAACCGTATTATTTCTTTCTATCTCGTATTTAAGTATCCGGTAGAAACTTATAAAATGAAATAGTTGAAATTACTTTTGTTTTTCCGGAATCACTGTAGTTGATAAAATTGGAATTCATCAAAAAAAATTTAAGTCAAACATCAAGCTTGAAAACAATATCCGGAACAATGTAATGTCTTCCAATGAGTGAACATCAAGCTTGAAAACAATATCCGGAACAGTGTTATGTCTTCCAATGAGTGAACATCAAGCTTGAAAACAATTTCCGGAACAATGTAATGTCATTCCAATGAGTGAAATTTATGTATTAGTCTGTTCTCTATGAACTAAGATGTGTGCATAAAAATTTGTCATAATCAATAGCCATCAGCTTCACCTCTTTTTCTCCAATAATCAGCAACACCATGTAACGACCCATCTTTTGCTCTTTTGATACCATTCATAGCTGTTAAACTACCAGTCTCAATAAAATCATGTCCCATACTACTCAACTCTTTTTCTATCCCCTTGATCTCTTCATTATATACAGTTAAATTCTCACACATAATACCTTGAGGAATCAATTGATGATGTAATCTAGGGAAAGCTATAGCATCCAATAAATTAAACCCTATATAATAAATTCTGATTATGGCTTGAAGAATAGCTGTTGTGATTCTACTTCCACCAGCAGCTCCAATCACGAAATCAACAATTCCGTCTTTTAGTATTATTGTTGGAGCTGTAGAACTCAATGGTCTCTTACCAGGTATTATTCCATTATACATACTTGGTGTTAAATTGAAAGCATTTGAAAAGTTAGTTGCAAAATCATCCATTTGATCATTTAAAATTATGCCAGTTGTTTTATCAATAATTAATGATCCAAAAAGAAGATTGATAGTGGTTGTTAATGAAACTGCATTGTTATCTTTATCAACAATGGAAAAATGAGATGTACCTGTAATGTTTTTAAAGCAGTACAATGGATTATAATTTGGATATTCAAAAGTATGTGAATCGGAATAATTGCCTTGTTCGAATATATCATCAATCCATTGATCAGATAAGTAATGATCTATATTTTTAGATTGGTCTGATGAATCACCTAATCTTGTTCGTATTGATGATAACCATTTGAAACTCTCAATAAGTTTATGTGAATATAAATAATCAGAATCTGACTTATTGAAAATACGACTAAAAAATTTCAAACCACCAAGTAAACTGAGACCAGAACTCACTCCGTTTGAAGTGTAGATTGTGTAGTTTCCAATATCCAAACTTAGTGCCTTCTCTATGACAGTATGATAATTTTCAAAATCCTTCGGAACTATTACTCCACCCCAATTTCTAACTGTTTGAATTAAAGATCTCACTATAGGACCTTCTGGATCATAAAATATGTCACTCGATCCATTATTTGCAATCATCATAAGTGTGTTTGCATAATTTTTTCTATTCAACCAGTCACCTTCTTGAACTGGTTGCCCATTTTTTGAATATAAAAAGTCGTCCCATAATGACTTGAGAAGTGGAACTTTTGAAAGAACTAAATCGTGCTCTTTTGCAGTTACAGCCTCAAATATTCTTGAACATTTCCAACCTTTTTCATTCAATTCAATTACTGGTTGAATAAGTTCCTTCCAACTTAAGTTCCCACTTCCATGTAGTTGGAATAGCTCATATAATCCTTTTAACTCACCAGGTACAGCAATTGCTAACCCTCCAATCTTTGAATATATTGCGTTGTCGTACATTTCCTTATCTGAATTGATAGGTGCCATTTCTCTAGCATCTATTGATATGATATCATCTCCATGTTTTGATAATATGAAAGCACCTCCTCCTATACCAGATGAGTGAGAATTAATTGATCCAATGCATAAGGCTACTGTAACAGCAGCATCTGCTGCATTACCACCATTGAGCAATATATTCTTTCCCATGGTGGAACAAATTGGAACATCTGATGATACCATAGCAGTCGAACCTATGTGAAGATGATCCTTGTTTGGTTTGAGAGTCGGTTGGCCTATTTTATCTGAAAGTGGATCATCTATTTGTATTGAAAGGTATGGATCTGATCTGGATAAATTGGAAATGTTAACTCTAAAAAATGAATGTTGATTGTAATTGTATAAGGAAATTGCTATGAGTATGAATGTTGGTATCAAAACTAAAATGGTCATTAGTAGTTTTCTTGTCTTTTGATGTTCTTGTTTAACCATGTTGATGAAGAAAACTAAAAAGTATACTTCTGATTGATAAGAAGCTTTGATATTTCGCCCGAAAAAAGAAAAAAAAATAATTGCTACAAACTGTGGACGCGAAATTGGAAAATGTTCTATGATATTATATTGATGAAGATGCATAATTTAAAGATAACTTTCAGAGCAGAAGAATATACTTAATGTTTTCCTCTGTGATCTGAAGTATAATGGTTGTTTTAATGATCTGTGAGTTTCGGATGACATGAAATAATATTATATTTGATTTTTTAAGCGAGATCTTAGGAATTCAACGCGGAATTTCAAAATCTAAAACATTCGCGTTTTTGCGCTTGCGTTTAAGATAAAGCCTTACGATGAAATTTTAATGATATTGGGAACAGACAATGACTTCCATTGGTCTAAAAACATTAAGAAAAGCTCAAGCTGCAGTAAATTAGGTCAAATGTTTAGTTTGAAATGCTATTATATATTTTTAGACTGATTTGTTGATAATTTGTCTTTTCTCAATATTAATCAAATGGTACATAAAAGGTCAAATATCAGCTTTTTAGAATAAAAGGTACTCTCACTCAAGTATTGGGTACTTGACGTTCAGAAATCTATATCAACTGATACTAGAAAATTCAAAAACATTTTATAAACATTTTATAAACGGGTTAAGTATATATTTGTGTACATCTAAACCACATCTAAATTAAATCTCCAAGTCGACCATTGAATCCAAATTAACTCTAAAATAGGCAAAAATTGAAGGACTTTGAATTTAAAAGTCCGCGTTTATAAAATATCAACTTATTTGTATGCATGTGGTAGCGATTTATTTATTTGCATATTTTAATAAGATGATCTCTGAAATTTTGTGGGGTAGACTATAATGGTGATAGAATGAAATTTATAGTTACGATGAAGGTTAAATATGGCAATTAACTATTAATTAAACTTTAACAGAAATCAAAGACAACGTTTAATAAAAAAATAACTTACATGATATACTAAGAAAAATAATCACTTTTCAAAGTTGCAAATTGTAATAGATTGATTGTTCTGTCAATTAAGCTACAATAACGTATACCAATTTTGTGTTATATTACTATTACTTTAAAGTCGGTATTTAGTTTAGTTCTATATTTAAATTTATCAAAAATCGTTTAAATACAAATTTGTTTTTGTGTTCACTAATTAAAAGTTTCCATTAAAAATTGTAACAAATATTTGATATGACTATTGAATCATGTTTATAATATTCAAATATTTTCTCCTTCTCTTCTATTCGATATCAAACGTTCTTATTTAAGAAAGTAATTTCTCTTGTTTATTGTAGCATTCTTCTAAATATTTGCTATCTCTCCCCCCTCAAATAATATAAAATTACATGAATGGTCAATGGACCATCGGATGAAAGATTGATGAAATTCATATGTTTCTTGATGAAATACTATACATAAAATTACGTAATCCGTTACATAAACGATCTGATTTTTTTCACTACCCCATACTTTATCTATTTCACTCAAATTTTGAAACTAGGCCCACTTTATAAAATTCTAGCACCAAATAATAAATTTTAATTCATTCCTTTCGTACCAAATTATTATAATCTTTACTCCCCTCAATCCCGTATGCATATTTTGTTTTACTGCTACCTAAAATTAATTTATATATATAGTTAGGATTACCACGAGAATTTTATTTTTTCACAACCAATTTTGTTTAATCTACAACGCTTATCAATTAACACCCATAACAACTATAAATTTAACTTTTAATATATATTATATTATTAAATGAATGAAAGTCCTAGAAATCCAATATTGCAAATTAATACTACTTCAACAAATGACTCAGATAATATAGCCACTTCAATATCTTCATCTTCATCAATTGAGTCAGCTAATACAAAATTAGGTACTAAAACACCCGGCGGAAATCCAAGAATATATAAGTGTACACTTTGTGAACGTGCATTTACGAGAGAAGAACATCTAACTAGACACACATTATCAACTCATAATAAATTGAAACCATTCAAATGTGGAATATGTAATCGACCATTTTCAAGAAGAGATTTGTTATTAAGACATGCAAAGAATTTACATAATGGAAGTGAGTTAGCAGTAAATAGGATAAGGAAAAGCTATAAACATCAAAAGGAGAAACAGAAACAAAGTGAATCAGATGATAGTGACTCGAGTATAGAAGATTATAAAACAAACTCAAGTGGTAGTAATTATAAAACAGAACCTGCTATTAATACAAATACTACTTCACCTAATGGTAACAAAAATGTTAATGTTACAAGTGTTGTAGTTGATGATGACGATTATGAAACACCAGAAAAAAAAAGATTAAAAATGTCAGTTAACATGTTAGTAAGTTAATATACGTATTATTAATCATGTGCATAACTTTTATATTGACCCCAGATCAAAGACTATGCAAAGAAGCAACAATGTAAGTAAGTATACATTGGCTTCAAGCTTCAGCTGTTTGAAATTTCTTTTTACTTTCTACTCCCCACTTTAACTTTTATCAATTACGAGATTGTAGCTTCCTTAAATCCGGCGAAATCCCGGAAATACTATTTTTTTCTTCCGATTTGTAACCGATTCTTGAGCGTGGAACCAAACTTTAATCAATGAATTCTTAAAATTCACTACCTCAAATAGCTCAGAAATAATGAAATGACGACATGCGACGGTTTTAACTTAGCCTGCACGAGCTAATTGGGGAAGAACGAACTGTTGGAACAATTATTATTGAAACTGAATTGCAACTTTCGGTGGTGCTATCACTAATTTGGCAGGTCTTGCAGATGCATTGGTGAAAAAAGTATTGAATATTTATGGGTTTCCTTTTTCAACATCTTATTTATTTTTCATCAATTGTACTGACTGAGAATTTAGGTGAGGAACTATTCATACTGCATATTGTAATTTTGATAATCACAATTTTGAATTAATTGGACCACTGACAACAAATAACATCCATCACACAATAGAAAGCTAAAAATAATCTGCTGGCATTGGAATTTTAAAATGCAGCCTCAGAGATTCTATGGTAAGTTGTACATCTGTACTTTCACTTTGTACTTCACAAATTTTATTTAGGGGGTAATAGTGATTTTTATAGTATAGAACAAATAAAAGCTTGTAAGCTCACTAGGGATCAAAAACACGGTCAAAAGTTTAATGTAAGCATAATAATTATCTGCTTCATTTTGCTAATGGATGTTTTCAAAGGAGCTTAAACTTAAGGGGTAATCATTCAAGCAAAATATTTTGATTGACCAGTTTTAATCAAAATTCAGACATTCGTCTTTATGATGCGATTCGACGATTGGACGATGATAACACGATGCCGACTTAAGTCTAGTACGATAAATTCTTTTTCTCGCCATATTTTCGCCCTAGAGAATGATACTAACATATTTTTGAAACTAATTTCACTTATATGTAGTATCACTATAGTTAATTTTCGAAACTTGAATTGTAAATAACTTCTTGAATATTCAAGCTTTTGCTGTCAAAACTTTTAGACCAAAGTAACTAATACGTCAGATTGGTTTGAAGTTATAACCTACGAGACTGCTTCGTTTCTGGTCATTTTATTCACCGATCGAAAAATGCAAAAAAACGCTCATTTGCGAGATAATCAACACTTAAACCTCGTTTTGCAACTTCTAATACACTTGATACAGTTCATTCGAACCCATAAATACATTTCATGATAATTTGAAGGCGCCATATTTATTTTTAATTTTTTTCAAAAATTTCGAACCACTTTTGAAAAATTACATTTCCAATTTAGATCATCATCCCACAAAAAATCTTAAGGTTTATCTAGGTGAAGGAACTAAAAAACTGGATAGTTTAATCGTACATTCATCAAGAATTTAATTGTGGAGTTAGATTTTTCGTAAAGTCAATTTATTCGATTTTTCCCATGCTTAAGAGAAAATTTTGAAATTTCTCAACTTTAATTCAGATCAATTTCAAAAAGGTACTACACATTAAGTAATGATACAATTATGTATTCCGTTATTTGATTGAAAGTTTTGGCCCTAAATAGAACGCAAAGTGAATTCTTATTTTTCATCAAAATTTTGTATGGTGAAAAAATGCCAAAATGGAAACTCAACAAAAAAATGTTTAAAATTTTAGCTTTGACTTATGTGGAATAAATGGTTCAAATCTTTCGATATCATATGAATGGTATTTATCACCGGAGAATGCGTTATTCATAGCATGTGAGCCGATGTGTTTATTACGAGTCGCCCTACGTTTAGCGCGACAATATATTTTCATCGGGCCAAACTTCCGGACTAAAATATAAATTCTTTTCAGAATATTTCTGAGGCTACTTGTACTATATGCAGTCCTGACATAGGTAAATTGATTTGAATAATAAACAGTTGTTCCAATTATGAAACCTTTATTCATTTATCAAATACCCAACCATAAAACATGGTATATAGTTATCACAAATACTTCAAAACATTTCTATTTCAATAATGAGAATAACAGTTCATACTGGCAATTGTCAGATATAAAGGAGAAGCATGCTAATATTAACATTGATCAATTTATGCAAGATGTAGATTTTGATGAAATTGCGTTGTTGGTTGCAAAATCAAGGGGATTAAAAACACTGGAAAAAGAACCTAAGCAAGAAGTGGAAGACAAAGAAGAGAAACCTGAGATCATTATACGAAAGGAACAGAATCTAGGTGAAGAAAAAAAACAAGAAAATATCAAGCCTACTGGAAATGGATTTGAGGGATATTCATCAAGTTCAGATGAAGAAGAAGTAGTAGACGAAGAAGAAGGACAAAGCAAAAAAATCAGTAGAGATGAAATCAAATCAGATTTTATATCATTCTTAAACTCACATTCGTCGAAAATTTCAACATATCAGCCGTGGGATTTAATAGAAGATGATTTAAAAGAAGAATTAGCTCAGAATAAGCAATTTCAACATTTAACAACTATAGAAAAAGAAGAATTATATAAAAATTGGGATGGTAAACGCGATCAAACTTTACAACAACCAAATTTATATCCATCTCCGAAAATACTATATTATAAATTACTACAAGAATTCAAAAATGAAATCAAGTCCTCCTATTATCAGATATTTTACAATTCCCATTATACAGATATTAACAACATAGAATTAGCAAGCATAGAGAAGGAAGAAATTTATCGAGAATACAAAAATTACCTAATTGAATTTTCCAATTTTGAAAAGTCTTATAAAAAGCAAAATCCAAACAAGAAAGAAAATATCAAGGTAATGAAATTGAAAGAATTCTTACTAGAGACCAAGCAGGAAGTGACTCCAAATGAAAAGTATGTTTGTACTTCGACTATTTCATCATTTGATAATTGGATTAAATTATTAAACATTTTCAAAATTTCTCCAGATATCGCGGAATCGAAAAATAATTTTTTGCTTGGTGATGAGAAAAGATTAAATACATATTTGGAAACATATAACAATTAATGTTTCATGTCACGTATAGTTGTTACTGGTGTTGGTATAATTAGTCCTCTAGGGGTTGGAATTAAACAAAATTGGCAACTGTTAATATCAGGAAAATCAGGAATAATATCAACAAAAGAATTGAATGACCGTGGGTATGAAAATATTCCGTCAAAAGTTTTTGGTAAAGTACCTGAGGGTTCATTGAAACAAGGTAAGTGGTCAATTGAGGATCACCTAGAAAAAGGTGAAGCCAGAAGATTAGCTACTTTTAGTCAATATGCTTTAGCTTGTACAAATGAAGCATTACAAGATGCAAAATTTTTAAATGAAGATCAACACATAATTAGTGATCCATTAAAAATTGGAGTTGCTGTTGGCTCTGGTATGGGTTCATTTCAAGATATATATGATAATTCAACTGCATTTCACACATTTGGTTATAAAAAAATTCAACCATTGTTCATACCTAAATTGTTAAACAATATGGCTGCTGGCAACATTTCAATTAAATATGGTTTAAAAGGTCCATTACATTCCGTTTCAACTGCTTGTGCTACTGGCGTTCAAAGTATTGGAGATGCTTATAATTTTTTGAAAAATGATTATTGTGATGTTATGATATGTGGTGGAACAGAATCCTCAGTACATCCATTAGCATTAGGTGCATTTGCAAGAGCAAGAAGTGTGACAACAAATTTTAACGACGAACCAGAAAAGGCAAGTAGACCTTTCGATGGTAATCGATCAGGATTTGTCATGTCTGAAGGCTGTGGTATATTAATTTTAGAAAAGTTGGAAAATGCAATAAAGAGAGGGCTTAACGAGCAAAATATTTATGGAGAAATTGTTGGTTATGGGTTATCAGGAGATGCATATCATATAACAGCACCGAGAGAAGATGGAGATGGGGCATATAATGCAATGGATCAAGCTATAAAACGAGGTAAGATAAATTCAAATGACGTTGATTATGTCAACGCCCATGCAACATCTACAGTAGTTGGAGATCGTGCCGAAAACAATGCAATGATGAGATTATTTGACAAATCGATAACTGTATCAGCTACAAAATCATCAACTGGACATTTATTAGGTGCAGCTGGTGCAATTGAATCAATCTTCACTATAATGTCAGTTAAAACCAGAGAAATACCACCGACATTAAATTTAGATAACTTGGGTCAACATGAAGATGATGATTTTAATCAATTTACTAGATTTGATTATGTTCCTAATAAATCGAAAATTATGGATATAAATTATGCGTTATGTAATTCATTTGGGTTTGGTGGTGTAAATAGTTCAATCTTGTTTAAAAAGTTTAGCTGATTTAATTTCACGTATTATTTATTTTTTAATACCACAATTTTTCGGTTAAAAAATTTTTTTTCACGCCACAATTTGATTATTTCGGGTAGGTTCGTACGACGAATATGTGGCAGGAGGAAAGAATATATAAACAGGATCTGATGTCAAAGACAGAATCAGCACTTCGAAAAATTTACATAACTAATGTCAGAAACTGAAGTTGAACCACCACGTAAAAGACAAAGAATCAGAAGAGAGATTAAATTTACATCAAAATATGAAGATGAAAAAGTGGAGAAAACAAAGCCAACAATTGAAACTGAGGTGTCAGAGGAAACTACCATAGTTGGTTTTAATAAGAGAAATCAGAGTATCTTATCCGTTATACATCTTGAAAAACCATTGACTATTCAAGATGAATTCCCAATACCTGAAATTAATGAAAATGAAATTTTAGTATTTAATAAAGCAATTGGCTTAAATCCTATTGATTGGAAAGGTAAGAAATATGGATTTGGGATATATCATTTTCCATGGATAAATGGTAGAGAATCAAGTGGTAGAGTTGTCAAAATTGGTTCGAAGGTTAAAAATTTCAAAATTGATGATGATGTAATTATAAGTTCGACTAGCTATAGAGATAATAGAACATCAACATTTCAACAGTATACAGCTATTGATTCAAGGCTAGTTTGGAAATTACCAAAGAAATTTTCATATGAAGATGGTGCCACCATTGGTGTAGGTTTAGTTACTGCTGGTATTTTATTTTATAATTCTTTTAATTTTGAATTATCGAAGAAACCAAAGACTATAGATGGAACCATTGTAATTTGGGGTGGTTCAACTATTGTAGGAATCTACATAACTCAACTTGCAAAAATCTATGGATTGACAGTTATAAGTATAGCAAGTACAACTCATGCTGAATATTTACAAAAAATTGGTGTTGATCATTTAATTAATAGACATCTAACAGAAGATGAAATAGTTGATAAAGTCAAAGAAGTAGCTCCGAATGGTATAAATTATGGTATTGATTGTGTGTCAAAGCAAACATCATCTATAGTACTAAAATTATTAGCTTTAAATTCAAAGAAGTTAAATGAGAGCTTGAAACCTCAATTCTCAGGTATTGTTGGAGTTCCAAAAGAAAATACACCGGAGACGGTTACCATAAGAGAAGTTGTTATAAAGAAATTTCATGAAGATATATCATTTGGTAAGAAATTTATAGATGTCACATCTTCATTTTTGGAATCCGAGAAAATAAAACCAGCAAGATACAAACAATATAAAGGTGGCCTACGCATAATAGATGATGCTTTGAAAGATTTAGAAGTTAAGGGTGCAAATGGTGAAAAGTATGTAGTTAGTATAGTGTGAATATAGATTGGGGATATTTATTAATCATTTGATTCTTCGTCATCTATTGAAAATTTATCTAGCTCATTCAATTCCAAGTCTTGATTTTGACTTACAACTTCATATTTTGCTTCATTATAACCTGGAGTTTTTCTGATCAATTTTTTAAATGCACTTTTAATCTTTGTTAATGCTAAAGATCTAATTCTACTTCCCACCATTAACCAGCCTACGAAAATCATTAAAATTACAAATATTATAATTCCATACCATCTATGTGGTTCAATATTCCATTTTGACTCATGATCAGATACTTGATTTTGTTCATAATCAAAGTAATGATATTTAATATCTTCATTTGGTACTTCGAAATCATATCTTGTTTGAACATCAAAATTTTCAGCTCCATAATGATATAAATTTTCACTTGGTGAATGATAAAAGCCTGGTCTTGGTAACTTTGCATTCGTTAAATTATTAAAAGCTTGAATATATTCATCATTAGCATATAATAATGCTCTACCTAAAGTCCAAGAAAATGATGATCCACCCAATTCTTCAACTAATTGTAATGTTTTAAAGTTATTTGATGGTTTATCAATACCAAATCTAGGAAATCCTAAACCAAGATGTAAGAAATTTAGTATCCAAGAAGATTTGAAGCATAATTCTGATAGTTCATCCTCACTCAATTGATGTTTGGTTTCTTTTTGAGAATTTAATTCTAATAATTCTTGATATGATTTTGAGCATACTTTCTGTGTTTTATCAAAGATGATTTTATAATCATAAGTATTTTTCTGATCATTTCGTTTTTCAACATTTTGTGATAATAAATTATTTATAGCATTCCAATAACCACTAACACCAATAAAATGATTTATATCAAAATCAAAACTTGGTATTAAATCGTTTAATAAACATTGACTTACTTCATCATATTCATTGGATTGCTTACAATTACTCTTAACACCACCATGAGTTGAATTTTGTAACACTGGAAATATATTGGTTAAACACTCTTCAAATTTTGACTCACCAATAAAATCATATGAATAATCATTTATATACTGTGATGTTGTGACTCCTTTTGGTAAACATGGATCGTTAATTGGTGATCTTGTTTTACCCCAATAACTGGTAACTGGATTTTCTTGATTTGACGAAACTAATGACGTAAAATATTTGGTTCTAGCTTGAAACATACCAAAGCCTAAAAATGAGTCTGAGTACACATTAAAATTTATAGTTTCAGGTTTATCATAAGACTTTTCATTCTTTATAGGCACTTGATTTAGTATTATATGATATAAATTGTTTTGATGTTCTTTAATTTCGGTTTGATTAGGTTGAAATACAACCTGTGTAGAAGCACCACCCATATCTAATAATCCATAAGTTGTATGATTTTTACCGTGCTTATGAGAATCTGGATCATCAAATGATCCGATTAATGAATTTATTGCAAGCCATCCATATAATCCTTCAAAATCTCCATCTATAACATTTACGTGACTTGCACAATCAGGTATAAAAAAATCAGAATTTGATTGGAAATATTTACATATATTATCTAATATTTGTTGTTGTTCGGGGGGTTGTAACAATCTCATTCCTCCAGTTGAATGTAGAAAAATTGGAGTTCTATAATGCTGGGATTTGGGTACGACTTTACTTGCTTTTGATAATAATTTACTTAAATGATGTTTGCCAATTTTATGAGGTGACTTGTTAAATGATGAAATACCGGGAGTGATTTTCTTATGCCATCTCCTTTTAGCTTGTATTTTGGGGAACAATGTTTTTCTTTTAGTATCAACTTCAGTTTCTGATTCTGGATCTGAATCAATTTCATCTTCCTTATCTATTCTTTTTGATAATGGTTTAAATATTTCAAGATTAACCCCTTTTTGTAATGCAATTTTTGGATTCAACCAATTATATATATATACCCGTGAACCTTTTGAACCAGCATCTATGATTACGATATAATCGTACGGAACACCATCATCAGAATATATGGGACCAGGTTTTAATTTTTGTTTCTTATCTTTCATTTAAATCAATTGCGTTGCAAACAATTAAAATATTTTTAATAAAAATAAATAAAAAATGAAACAAAATTGAAAAAATGCGCGCGCGCAATAAATTCCCAAATAGGAAAGTGTGCTGCAAATTTATAAAAATTGTTGCAAATTTTTTATATTTTGAGTAGTACTGTGATTTTATAACTAATATATTTCATAACTATTGTTTAATGGTACTATTTATCTAAACTGTATCACTATGGTATATAGTTTAGCGTATTGTTAAGTAATTGGTAGCACTCTGTTTAATTTTACACGATTAAATAATTTTATTTTATTTTTAGATCAAAAAAGCCTTACTTGAAATTTCATCACAATAAACCAATTAAATTATTATAATGTTTCCAGGCCAAGGTAGACATACTTATGGAGGTCAACAACTGAATGAATATGCACCTCCTCCAGCTGCACCACCACCAAATTTTAGTGGCTATAATCCACCTGCTCCTCCGTCTGGTTATAATTATCAAGAATATCAAAGACCAAATCAACCTCCTCCTTCGTCAGGTTATGGTTATCAAAGACCAGATCAACCACCACCACCACAAAGTTATAATAATCAATCAAGTTATCAACAATATGATAGTAGAGGACAATATTCTAGGCCACCTACTCAAGTACAATCTTTTGGTGTAGAAAACTATAACTATCTGTATTCTAATTGTTCAGGTCGTAAAAAAGCATTACTAGTTGGTATAAATTATTTTGGCTCACGTAATGAATTAAGAGGTCCAATTAATGATGTTAATAACGTTGAAAGATTTTTATTAACCCAAGGTTTCTCAAACGATAATATTGTAAAATTAACTGATGATCAACGTGTACAACGTGCTATTCCAACAAGACAAAATATATTAGATGCAATCCAATGGTTGATCAAAGGTGCTCAACCTAATGATTCATTGTTTTTCCATTATTCAGGTCATGGAGGTCAAACTGAAGATCAACCAGATCAATACGGTAATTATGATGAAGATGACGGATATGATGAAGTTATTTATCCTGTTGATTTTGAAACTAATGGTTTTATAATTGATGATTTATTACATGATTTAATGGTTAAAACATTACCACAAGGTTGTAGATTAACTGCATTATTTGATTCATGTCATTCAGGTTCAGTCTTAGACTTACCTTATATGTATTCTACAAAGGGGGTTTTGAAAGAACCAAATGTTATGGCTGAAGCTGGTCAAGGTTTATTACAAAGTGCGATGTCATATGCAAGGGGTAATACGATGGGTATGATTCAAGGTGTTGGTGGTATTGTCAAAACTTTTATGAATCAAGGTAAAGCTCAAAAAGCTCAAGAATATTCAAAACAAACTAAAACTGCTCCCTGTGATGCTATCAGTTTTAGTGGTTGCAAAGATTCACAAACTTCAGCTGATACTCAAGAAAATGGTGGTGCTGTTGGTGCAATGTCGTATGCATTCCTTGCTGTAATGCTGCAAAATCCTAATCAATCATATTTATCATTATTACAAAATATGCGAGGTATATTACAAGCAAAATATTCTCAAAAACCTCAATTAACATCATCACATCCAATTGATTGTAATTTACAATTTATATTATGAGACAAATCTATTAAATCTAGTTGTATAGTGCTTTTGAAATATACTTATTAACTGTTTATTGGATGAATTTTGAACATTCGCTATGGCATTCGCACAACTGCGAAAGTAGAACTTATGAAATATCAATACCTGAGATTATTAACATGTGTTTATACTATACAATTATACATTTATCATTATTCTTCTGAATTGGAGGATTCTGTATTTTTTCAATATCATTAATTAAAGTTTCAAACGAATTATTTATATTTATATTTTCTCTTACACTTGTTTCCATAAATTTACAATTGAATTTTTTAGCTAGTTCTTCTCCTTCTTCTTTTGATATTTGTCTTTGATAATTTAAATCATATTTATTTCCAATTAAAATCATAGGAACCAAATCATTACCAATCGAGTTTAAAATTTTATCTCTTATAATTTCAATTAATTCAAATGATTGTCTTGAAGTAACTGAATAAATTAATAAATATCCATGTATTCCAATTAAATGTTTTTCATTCATTAAACTAAATTCATCTTGACCAGCAGTATCTAAAATTTCAATTGTATATAATTGGTTATTTATTTTGACATTTTTTGAAAATTGATTTTCAATAGTTGGATAATATGACTCAACAAAATGATCTTCAACAAATCTTACTGTCATTGATGATTTTCCAACTGCTCTTGAACCAACTATTGCTATTTTTCTAGTTTTAACTGACATTGAATGAAATGAACAAGATGTGTTATATGAAGAGAGATTTGATAAAAATTAAAAAAAAAAAAAAATACTTGTAAAATCGTTGATAAGAGAAAACAAAAAATGATCAATTTTGGTTGCAAAATGTTGACAGAATAATGCGGAATGGTGGAAATTTGAATGATAGGAGTAACTAATTTAAAGGACTTTGAAAAGCCCATTGGCCTCATGCGTAAGAGGTCAGTTTTAATATACATTTGAAATTGCGAATTCGTATTTTTTAATACACAAACCTGTGAACAGTCAAAACTCTGTTTACACAATCATTAAGTCAAAGTGTTAATTAAGCCTTAAAATTAGACTTCTTTGTTTTTAATTTAGAGATATAAAGTAAAATGCAACCCTAGTGTATTTGACCGTTATTATTCCGATTCGCAACAATTAACCAAAAAGCTCATTTGATCAATTTACGGCTACAAAACGCTACTATGCTTTTGAGCTTTATGATGTTGGATTGTAACTGTTGTTGTTTCTACCTCAAATTTTAGGTTGCATGGGTAATTCTATCAAAGAATTTCAAGCTTTTTAATTTAGGTTCCATTCGAGGGTTTTATTTACGGATCAGACAAATCTTGAAAGTCTCAGAATGTTATAGATCTGTTGGTCTTATCTAAATTCAACATCTGCTATTTTAAAGGTGTTGCAATATGAATTAATTTAACTTGGTAGCTGCAGTAAATATTGGATAAGTGCATCAATAACTCTGATCGATTTAACCAGGTGAAAAATCTAGTAATAATAACTTTTGATTGACTTATTGTTAACAGACGAAGAATCATTATAAATATAAAATCGTATATTTAATATACGTCAAATTTGAGTTATTTAAAATATAAAAAAGCGGTGCGCAAGAATTCCATGGGGTTGAATAAACCAAATTAGCGATTTTGGAAGTTGTAGACGAAGTGTGACTGTTAATTTTCTTGTAATTTATCGATTTCCTGCCAATTTTAAAACTGAGAATAAAGTCATGAAAATTTTGTTCTATTGAAAGATCGTAAAATCAATTTACCTTAATGTTTAAGTTTAAGATTTCAACCTTTTAAACTGTGGGAGTTACTTGCAAAACAAGTTTTAAGATGAACTACCATACTGCATATAAGTCAAATTTGTTTCAGAATTATTTTTTTACCTTGTAATTCTCGCTCAAATTTAGCGCCAAATGAGTATTTTTCTTGCCCTAGCTTTAAGGCGACTCGTACTAAACTTATTGTCTTATATAGTATGAACAACTCAATTTTTTGAGATAAGTATTATTCTGATGAAATCAAGAGCCTTGAATTATACCCTATACATAATTGAAATATTCAATTTCAAAAATTTATTTTTTGAGTTGTCATTTTGGTCTTTTTTCATTATACAAAAAATTTGCTAAAAATGTGAACCCATGTGTCTTTAAATTTCGGGTCATAACTTTCAATTAAACAACAATTTGTGTATACTATACATTGATCAAAAATGCTGAACTTAATTCTAGCGGATTTGAATCAAAATTGAGAAATTCCGAAATTTTTGCTTAAGTATGTGAAAATTTGAATAATTCGACCTTATGAAAAATCTAGCTCCATAACAAAAAACGTGAAAAGAGTTCGAGAAAACCATATAGTTTTTTAGTTCTTGCAAGCAGATAAACCCTGACTTTTTTGTGTGGAGGTATTCAAAACCGGAATATTAATTTTTGTATAATTGTAGGACGGTGTATAGAACTTTATCGACATAGTATGTATTGCATGATATAATTAAAAACCACCATATGAACATTTAATGTGGCAAAAAAATGGCAAAAATTTCAAACCACTTTTGGCGCTTGAAAACTATTGCAGGAAGACTCTTTGAGATCAAATTCACTAAATCAGATATCTTAGAAGTTGCTAAATGAGGTCTAAGTACTGATCATGTTGCAATTAAATGTTTTTTTCGATTTTTTAAATGAAGAGTAATACAGTCCAAAATATCAAATAATACTAACCCAGTATACTCCAGCTTATTTGACTCTTTGATTGATTATTTTTGACAGCGAAAGCTCGAATATTGAGAGACTTATTGACAAACTAAGTTTTGAGATTTCCTATTATAGTACTGCATACAAGTAAAATTATTGAGAACGTTTTTTTGAATAAGCTCTCAACCCCATGCAGAACGAGATCGCGTCCAGAAGTTTTGTTTCAAGGCGAAAGTTAGTACCAGGATTCGAGCTTCTTTCAAGTCCATTACGATTAGAGTGTTTAGCTGAAGATCTCACTGCTATTTAATACTTAGTCTTCCATAATTCGATCGTAGAGAAACATCAAAATACTTCAAAGTTCAAGAATATGTTAACGGTTTACAATTACATGTGGACGTCAAAAGAAATATATGTGAGTGGACTCTGATTAAATTACTTTCGACAAAATTATGACAAATTTTATAAAGAGATGAAAAACCGTTGACCTTGTCGTGTCTTAGCACATTTCACTTTTTAGATTAAGCACAATGTCTTCAAGTATTATAATATGAAGTTAGTTGTGGTCAGTATTTTTTAAATCTGAATATTCAGCAATTAACAGATATTAATTTGCTTTGACAAACAACTGTAACACATTAAACGCAATTCAAACAAAAGTGACACAATTAACGATCTTTAATTCTTAAACCATACTGATAATTGAGAATACTTCCATGCAAACTTTCATCTACTAATCTTATTTTCGATTAACTTTTGAGCTACTGAAAAAAATTGCACGATTAGCAATTGAACCAATAAAAGATGGTATCTATTGTATTTAATTAGAGTATCAAGTGCTCAATGTTTAACTAGCTAACAAGTTGTAGAATATCGGGTGACTTATCAAACCTCGAACTTTTTTTTTTTTCATTCAGCACAACGCCTGTTTCGTTGTAAGTCAAGGCACAGAATTTTGCAAAATAATTTTATTGAAGCCCAGAATTGTACGAGGAAGGTACTAACTGAAATTTTAACAAAGCAACATTGATTTTCTTGATTTGAAGGTTAGTAATAGAATCGAATGCTTTTTTGCGCTTATTCATGCTTTGTGTTGACCGCGAATACCTCTAATCAAAGTAATTAAAAACTTAATTATAATATTGTGCATTTGTGCAATTATAAAACTTTAAAAAGGCATCGAGATTTAAAGAAAAAGTTTTAGCGTTCATAATTAGAATTTGGCTCGTTTATAACTCTCTCATGAGATGGTCGTGGCTTTAATGTCAACGAAATTTCTTTGTCGATGACAAATGGAAGTTTGAATTTAATCACACACATTTCGCCCAAAGACCAAGTACGTGTAATCGGGTTTATCAATTTTTTCTCGGTTTAGTACGACTAAAAATTTGGCGAATAATGCCATATTGGTAATTTTTAATCTAAGGCAAACGGAACAAAAGGAGGTTTTTGCGAGTTCAATCCGAAATCGCTAACCTAGGTTATAAAAAACGTTCAAGAACATCTAGAAGCTTCAGCAAGCAAATGGAATCGAAATCATCAACTGAGATATATATGAACATCCGTATTGGTTTCGAGAAAAGAAGATATAACAAAGCATAAATAAAAGTGATCACCTTTGCGTTTCGCATAGAAATCTGTTCTATTGTTTAATAAATCAAACGTTTCTAACGATCTGTTGGGCAAAAATAAATATAAATTATACAAAATGGGGTGTAGTATCATTAGTTTTTCTACATAACATAAGGTGATTTATTTCAAATGTTGGAAATTGCGCAATTACAAATGATAACGAACATTTGAAACATGAAGATTATAAAATTGTGACCTTATATTATCAATTTAAAGTTATTCTACGGAAATGCAATGTAATGGAATTATATAAACGTTAAATAATTAAACTAGTGTTCTATGCAGGGAAGTGTCATAAGATCTGAAATCTTTTGTCAAAAAAAAATAAAAAATAAAAATTAAAAAAAAAAAAAATAAAAAATAAAAAAATAAAAAATAAAAAAATAAAAAATAAAAAAATAAAAAATAAAAAATAAAAATAAAAAATATTAAATTTAGCGATATCTAAATCTTAGATGTTTCGATAAATTTAATTTTACGACATTAACACCTGGGGGTGAAACAATAAAATGTGATAAACCGAAATATTTTTGACTCAAAATAAATAATGGCTTTGCCAATTACTTTATCCTAACAATAATATTTTAGTTCTCGATTTGAAACAGAATAATGCAAAGTTATAATTACAATTGAAGTAATTATATTCATTTTATAAATTATGCATTTTTGTAAATTTAACTGGTTTTACACTTAAAAAGTGAATTGCAACATAAATAAAAAGAAAACAGAACAATTCAAAATTTGCTAATACGGAGTTAGGTACTTTGTAATTTGTGTAACCTTTTTAGCTCATGTATTCATTAAATTACTTACTGCTATTTTGTTGTCATTATAATACGTTGATATTGAAGGTAATGTTGTTTGGTTACTCTTTGGAGATGTGTTTGGTGAGTCGGACGAACTTTTAGCTTTTGGTAAATCCAAACTTGTATCTCGGGTTCTTTTTCTTGGTTGTAAATTTGATAAATTTTCATATCCCAAACAAACTTTTTTACTTCTTTCACAATTAAAACAATTTGGTTTTCTTTCATCACATTTGATTCTTCGTTTTCTACATGTTAAACATCCAGTTCGTGTTCGACGTTTGATAATTCTCCTCTTATTTATTAATGCATTATTTTCATCATACATCAAATCTGGATGAGGATGTTGAGAAGGTTGTTGAATATTAGCATGATGATGTGGATGAGAATGAGAATTTAAATGAGCTTGTTGTGGTTGTCGGATATAAAAATTTTGAGGAGCCATTGATTGTTGGATATTGTGATTTGGCTGAGACGGTAATGATGATACTTGTTGTGGAGGAATATAGTTTTGTTGTTGTTGAGGTGGTGGTGGAATTGCTTGGGGTGGTTGTTGTTGAGTATAATAGTATTGCTGATTGTTATATGGTGGTTGTTGTTGTTGAACAGGGCGTGGAAAGGAGATTTGTTGATGTTGCTGTTGCTGTTGCTGTTGCTGCTGCTGTTGCTGTTGCTGCTGCTGTTGCTGCTGCTGTTGCTGTTGTTGTATATATTGTTGATGATAATTATAACTAGATTGTGGTGACAAATTTGGTGGTGTTCTGTTTTGATTTGTATATTGATAATTGTGCATTGGACCTGCCAATGTACCATTATTATTATTATAAAGTTGATGTGGAAAATAATCCGTTGATTGTGATCTAATTAATTCAGTTCTACTTGTAGGGATTAAATTATTTTGTTGTTGTGGTGGTATGTTGGAATATATTGATGAATCAGTCAATCTTCTTGCCGGAGCAGTACTATAATTTAATGAATTATTAGACTGACTTCGATATATTAATATAGACGAATTTGAATTTCTATGTTGGTGTTGCCGTGGTGAAAGATCGTTAGATTGAGATTGACATTGAGATTGAGATTGAGGTTGGGGTTGGGGTTGTTGTTTTCCATTCAATGATTTTGCTTCCTGCAATAGATTGGATATTGAAGTTGCAGTTAATAATTCAGATACTGAAGGTAATTGAGTCATTATATGGTATGTAATAATTCATGAAAGAAAATTCTTGAATATTTAATCTAAGGTATCCATAAAAATTAAGATTACACTAGCAATGAATATATAATTAATCAATTAATAAATAAATAAATAAATAAACAAATAAACTGTAGTTGATGAATTAAATGATTCCTATAATATATATATAATGAATTGAATAGTTTGTTGGTATAAATATTTAAAATTGAATATATAATGAATTATATATGTAATTATAATTATTATTTTTATTTTTTATTTTTTTATTTTTTTATTTATTTTTTTTTTATTTTTTATTTTTTTTTTTTTTATTTTATTTTTCAAATTTTAATGAATTGTGCATATACAGTAAATGAATAGATGTTAAAAGTATTATACGTGTAGTTTAGATTAGTCTAATGAATAAGTTGTAAAGTAACCAGAAAAGTTTAATTGTTTTAAATTTATATTGTTATGAAGCAACATTTTGAATATTCTTCAACAATAAAATATACATTTATATATAAAACCATATATGGAAAAGTTAATAGAAATGATATACTATATCTTTCATTTTCCCTATTACTAGTATTATTATTTGTATCAAGATGGAATGTTATAATGTATTTTATGTTATAATGTATTTTATGCGATAATGTATTTTATTTTATGTTATAATACAATTAATAAATCAAATTTAGTAAACTAGATTGTCTTTGTCTTAATTAATTAATTAATTAATTGAAAAATTATCTAATTTTCCAAGCAAATTTGTTTAATTATTTACTCCGTAATTTTGGTTTTTAGTTTTCTATTATAATTGTAAACAAATCATCGATTTGAATAATAATAATAATAATTTGATATTTTCCTAGCATTCTTTTGATAATAAAAGTTTAAATAAAACAATTTGAGAAAAGAAAAAAAAAAAAAAATAAAAAATTGCATTACTGGTTATGAAACTAAAAATAAAATTTTAGACTATGCATTAGTAGTAACACCTTACAACCAATCACTATAAATCACTATAATAATAATAACCACTTAAAGACAAACAAACAATAAAATGGAAATAAAAACAATCAATAATGTTGTTGACTTGTAATTGTTTTAATTCAATCGAAGGTAATTTTTTTATTTTTTTTTCTATAAATAAGTTAGTTTTTGATTAATGTATCAAATAAATATGTTTCAGAAGTGAATGTTGTTGATCTCTAATTCTCTTCTAATTCTCCTTTCATATTTGTTGTAGGTTTATAAATTAAAGTGCGTTTCAATTAGATATTTTAGAGTTTTTTTACAGTAGTTTTCTACTAATTAGATAAGAAAACTATGTATTAGCTGTATAACTTTAAACTCTTTAAACTCTTTAAACTCTTTAAACTCTTTAAACTCTTTTTCACTGGTAAGAAGTGATTCAATTTTTTTTTTTTTTTACACCCGCTTAATTTTCATGTTGCAATTTTTTTATTTTATATTTTTTTTTTTGACACAAGGGGGTCGTCGTTTACTTACATTATTATGTATAGGCTAATAATATCAAGGGTTATATGTAGATCGATTTATTATGCGATATCCAATGTATAGAAAACGTTTGATTCTTTCTATTTCGAATATCTCTATACTTTCAAGTTTAAAATTTGATTAAACCTTAATATCATAATCTCTGAAAGTCTCATATTACAAATTACAAACTACAAACCACATGAATCATTCAATTTCAAGTTTACTAATCTATTTGATCTGCTCTCTTACATCCTTGTTTTTAAAAATTACTCAATTTAGTATAGTTTCTTACTTTTTTAGTAATTTCAGAATTAATAAAAGAAAAAAGTTTTCATATGTAAGTGAAATTACAATAATAAGGCTAAATTTTATCACAAAATCAAGTTCTTATTAGACTTAATGAAACTCTGTGATTGTAGATTTCAGATTTCTTTGTATATTATTTAAAAAAAAAAAAAAGATTTGAATCATCGAAGATCGAGATTTAAAAGAAAAATAGTAATTATTATATTTGATTAGAGATTATTCTCCTCCAGTATATTTAAATGCTTCTGCATTTACAGTAAGGCTCTAAAGAAAGTTTAAACTTTAATTGCTTGTACAATGAGTGATAATTTATATTAATGATTTATTAAAGATTTATTAATGATTTATTAATGATTTATTAATGATTTATTAATGATTTATTAATGATTTATTAAAGTTGGCTACGTAAAGTAAACTACATTTACACAATAGATCCGAGATTGTTAAGAAAATAAAAAAGGAATACATAACATGAGAAAAACAAAAAGAGGCATATTCATGCATCATCAAGATCGAAATTACATCAGTAAACTAACTCACTTTCATCTACTAATTTAGTTGCAGGCGCAGGATTCTAATTCTTAAAAATTTTAGCGTGGGGGTTCTTTGATAATATCTCTAAATCTCAATTTTATCTATAACTTTCTGTAAGTTTCGCTTAATATATTTTTAAGATGTTATACATATCAATCTATTTTATTTTTTACTTGTTTTGTTTCTTAGAAGTCTGTTTAAAATTGATTAACAATAGAAAAATAAATTGTAAATGCAAGACACTACGAAATTTCATGGTTAGTTGACGAACGAAACGGATCTGGATAATCCTAAATGCTTCAACAACCGAATTATATGATTTACACGTATTGTATTCTATTCTATTGGTTGAGGATTTTCGGTCAACTAGGATGCAGGAAGTGCTAGGTGATCGTAGAATAGATTATTTGATGGTGGCGGAACGTTTGGTTCGTAGACTTTTTGGTCATTGATAATATAATAATTCTCTCGATGAGGCAAATTATGTGGTTGAATTTAATTTTTAGTATTCTATTCATTTTATAACATTTTAAAAAGTAGGTTTTCATGTTCTCTTTAGGTGACAGGTCAACCTAATCATTGATCTTAGAAGTTGTTTGGGTTATCTTATCTTGATTATTTTTATGGTTAGGAGGCTAATTTATATTATTTCTTTGGAGTGAAATTCGGAAGAACTACTTACGTCGATCCCTGTCAATCACTGATTTCCTGTCGCTTATTCCACTTTTGTCGATCATTGGATCTGCTGTATCTTGAATTTTCTATTACCATGTTTACATTATCTCAATTTCAGTTACATATGACGGTAAGAAGTCGGCAAGTACAACTTCTCGAATTAATGTGGTTGTTGCATAATTGATTTGCATGTTAAAAAGCTTGTTGTTAATGTTTCATAATTCAATAATTAATTGTCAAACTCAGGTAAATATCAGGGTTGTAATATTAGACTCTTGCTCTGATTGAATCCCTCTAATTCCATTTATTAAATTCAAAGCAGTAAGAAATTAATATCAATGTTCAAATGATTAATTATGGAAGTAGGGTCATCGAGCAATTTTAGTAAGGAATGTATAGTCTTGATGCCATAAAAAAACGTTTTCATCTATCTAATTATAGTGCAAACCAGACTACATCGACGTTAAGTTCGATCTTTTTGTGATTTCGATTTTGCTAATTATATATTGGCTGCAACAAATAATTGGTAGCGCATTTTGTACCATTTTGCAACAAACGAAAAATCTCAATAAGATAAAATAAAGTGTTACTTATTATCACGTATATTAATTAATTTTATATTATTTATGTTTCTTTTCTCTATTACCTTTTGGAACCCTAGCTAACCAATAAAGAATCACGGTACCTACTATATTTATCGCAATAAATGCTATAAAGATGCCCCAATTTCTCCATCTCTCTGAATATACAGCATTAACTGAATCCAAAAAGGCATTGGTACCGGACATCTGACAAAATTGACAAGAACCATTAACACCATTTTCGAAATAACCACCAGCAGTTTTGATATATTGTCCTAAATAATCCTCACAACTTGTACCTGAGGGTGGTTGGATACTTAATAATTCATATTTTGAGCAATGTACATTGGTATTTGCTAATCCTGTGGCCATAATTGCTTGTATTAAATATGTGAATGGATTACATCTGTACATGAATATCCAAAATCCAGGTAAAAAATCTGGACCAGCAAGTACACCACAAAAGTTCAAACACATTGTAAATAATAAAGTTGCCAAATTTGCTGCATTATCCGCCAATTCATTGAATGACATACATAATTGACCCATTGTACTTGAATAAACAAAAAATGAAGTTAATAATAACCACATTAATACACCTCTTTGATTTACTTGATCTGTTGGTTCTGCATTTCTATATAATCCAACTGGATAATACCAACAAAAGAATGATAATGTACCAACTGCAATTTGATATGGAATTTCAGATGTAATTTGACCAGTTATAAATGCAAACCAACTAAAAGTTCTTGATGGAGCTTCTCTAACTTCATAAACATCTCTTTGTCTTACAAAAAATGGTAACATTTGTTGAACAATAGTATTGAATGGAATGAAAAACATGAAAATTGCAAACATTTGATTTTGTAAACCTTGCATAGAATTATTAGCTTTGAAAAAGGAAAACCCATTAAACAATGCTGATGATAAAACTAAAAATAATTTTGAATAAATATAACCAGGTGATCTCCAATCTTGAACTATAGTTCTCCAACTAACTAATAAATATTGTTTCCAAACTGGTGCTGCATATTTTAATTTAGCTTCTGGATCTTCATCCCTTGGTAATTTACTCAATTCAGTTTCCATTGTTGCAATCTCTTGTTGTACTTGTTTAAATTCTTTTGAATTTCTCCAAACTTCAAAATAATCTTGTTTTGCATGAGAACCAGGGGCTGCACCAACAACTTCTAACATCCATTCAGCTGGATTTGCTTCTTTTGGACATGGATGTGCACCATATGATTCAAAATAACTAATTAATTCAGAACAATTTTCACCTAAATCTCCAAAATAAACAGTTTTACCACCTTTTTGCAAAAATAATAATCTATCAAATTCTTTTAATAAAATAGCTGATGGTTGATGAATAGTACATAAAATAGCTTGACCATGATCTGCTAATTTTCTCATTAATTTACAAATTGACCAAGCAGTTTGTGAATCTAAACCTGAAGTTGGTTCATCAAGGAATAATAATAATTTTGGTTTAGCAACTAATTCAACACCAATTGTTAATCTTTTTCTTTGTTCGACATTCAAACCTTCACCAGCGACACCAACTAATGCATCTGCATACTCTGTCATTTCTAATAAGTCAATAACGTAATCAACATATGCATCTTTTTCTTTCTTTGGAATTTTATTTGATTGTCTAAGGTATGCAGAAAATCTTAAAGCTTCTTTAACTGTTGAAGTAGGTAAATGTAAATCTTGTTGTTGAACATAACCAATTGATCTTTGAAATGATGAATCTAATGAATGTCCATTGACCATTCTAACACCATCAGTTATAACACCAGTTGTAACTCTTTCTGATAAACAATTTAATAATGTAGTTTTACCAGCACCTGAAGCTCCCATTAATGCAGTAACTTGACCTGGTTTAACCCAACCATCAACATGATCTAAAATAACTCTATCTTCCTTTTTAATTTTAACTTGATAAGTTAAATCCTTCCAAAAGAATATCTCTTTATTACTTGGTAATTCAATTTTTTCCTTTGGTGAATCATATTTATCAGCTTCTGTTTCATCTTTGATGGTTATCTTTTCAGTTTCAATACCTGTTTCTTCATCTCTATTTTTTTCGGCTTTCTTTTGTTTCTTTAATGAACCTCTAAGGAATAAAACAATTTCACCTTTTTGCATTGCACCTTTATTAAATTCAGTTAAAGATATGTAAATTATCAAAAAGAAAACAGCAAATGCAATTGTAATCCCTAAATTTCTCCATTTATGTGAATTATAATAATCAAAAGAAAGTCGAAGGTAATCAGTACCTTTAACTACGTTAGATCCCGGCACCGCGCCGACGACCAGACACACCCTATTATCGACTGACACATTTTCAAACCCTGGACCGGAAGGGATAAAGCTTGCACACTGAAACTCACGATCATAAAACTCATTATCCATTAGCGACTCAAAAACATAACCAACGGGGTTTATATAGTTAATCCATCTCAGCCAGCCCAACAAATATGGAACAGGAATGACGAACCCAGTATAGATAACCATTGCTAATAATAGAACAGTTGCCGGGGTCATAGCGCCAGCAATTGATGTTGAAACAGCACCAAGTGATCTAAACAAATGTGACATGACCAAAGTACACCAACCACACATTAACCAGTAAAAAAAGAATCTTCCTGGCTCTCTTCTGAAGTTGACCATAAAGTAAAAGACAAAATTGAATGACATTGACATTAGAAACTTAACTGGTAATTCAGTAACAATACTTGCCAATGCATCAGCTGAAGGTCGATATAAAGCATATTTCTTGTGTTTTTCAACAATTGGTCTAGCTTCAAATAATGCCATAATTTCTAATAATGATGCAAAAGCATTAAATAAAACAGCAAAAAACAATGAAGCACCTCTATAATAAAATGAACCAGTGGTTTGATCTAAATTATAAAAAACTGAAGATAAAATCAAACCCATGACTAATTGACCGAAAATTGAAAAAATTGTAATTGAAGGATCACCTTTCATTCTTAACCAATTTCTATGCATTATATATTTAGTTTGCATAAAGAAGTTAACAGTGTATGGAGATTCTGGTCTTAATTTGCTACTTTGTCTAGCAACATGAGCATCATGATAAACATGTTTTGTATTTAACTGTTCACAATCTATCAAATGTTGATCAATTTCCTTAATTAATTCTGCATATTCTGGTGATTTCTTCCAATATGCTTCAAATTCTTGTGGAGTTCTTGGAACTTTATTGTCATAACCAGGTATAACCACTCTTTCTGCTGGATTTGTTAATGAAGTTAAATAATCTGCTGTAGTTTGTCTTTGAGGACATTCATAACCCATATTAATGAAAAATTCTTTAGCTTTATCAGCTTTACCAAAGAAGATTTGATAACCTTCATATAAGACAACTACTTTATCAAATAAATCATAAGCATCCTGTGAACACTGATAAATAGCAATTAATGGTGTTGTGTCTAAAATTGTAGCTGATGTTTTTAAAGCTCTAATAAATTCCAATGCTGTAGCTGCATCTAAACCTCTTGTTGCATTATCCCAACATTGTATATTTGCACCATTTAATGAAACTTCAGCAATTGAGACTCTTTTCCTTTCACCACCTGAAACACCCCTTACAAAATCATTACCAACATTGGTGTTTCTCGTATGTGATAAACCATAAGTTGCCATGTACACACTAGCCATATGTTTTGCAAAAGTTTCTCTATCAACATTTTCACCTCTATTTTGAGGAGTTCTCAATCTAGCAGCAAATTCCAAGGTATCGCCAACTGATAAATGAGGAAAATGTACATCCAGCTCAGCCAGATACACCGTAGATCCTCTATAATGTTTCTCAATGTCATGTTGAGTTAATCCATCATAAGTGATTGTAGATTCTTTATCAAGATTGAAACCATAAGTATTACAAGCAATTGTTTTCAATAAAGTGGAACAACCAGCCCCTGGTCTACCTAATACAACGGTTAATTCACCAGGTCTCATTATAGCATCCATCTTTTTCAAAATGTCAAAATATCTACTTTCATCTGTTTTTTTTAAATGTCTAAAACCTTCAACTGCTAACTTCCAAAGAGCATTTGTAACAGTTGGCTGATAATCTGAAGAATTAGCAACCCCATAAGCTCTTACATTCTTATAAGCAACACCTAATTTAGAAGGTTTATAATAATCAGGGTTTGAATCATACAATTTTTTCAAATTTTTAACCCAAAATTTAGCATTGAAACTGTCAGAATCTGGATTTAATTTATCAATTTCAGTTTCATTTTCATATGGACTAATACCAGGAACTTCCGACATATTTGATAAATATTTAATTAAACCAACTGATGAAGAATCACCGATTGAATCATGGGTGTAACTTCTTGCTAAATTTTGTATATCCTTGTTTGTTTGTTCATCAAACCCATTGTATTCATTGATCGAATGTTGATCTGATGAAGAATCAACAGTATTCAGTTTTTCGAGTTTGGTAGATGAATCTTCTTTGAATGAAGATGACATGATAAACCTGAAATAGTTTAATGAAAGAAATTTCAAACGAAAGATGCAATATTTATTTGATTTGTGTCTTTATTCGGTTAGGACTCATAGCTAAATTTTAAGGTTCATTATATCCGAATAGAAGAAAGATTTACAACGCCGTGCATGATAAATATATTGTCTATTTTGGTAATTAATCAATTTCCGATGACCAAAACGAAAAGGCCCAAGTTCGAAGCATATCTCGTCGATACTTTTTAAAATTTTGCAGCCAAATGGTGTTATCAAGTCGATGAATAAAAAATTATTTTTGACAGCGCAAAATTTTCGTCTCATCTTAAATATCTTTGATATCCGATCAAATCTTCTCTTATTTTACATTTAGCAATCCAAATTACATGAACATGGAAGTATGTCATAATATAAAGTTATTTGGTGAAGTACTAAAATAAAGTATGTACACGGATCTGGGTATTTTGACCAAAAGTAATTTTGTGGCTTTGTTATTGTTATTGTTCAGTAAATATTCCAGAATATTAACTCCGGTGCGAAATGAGGTCACGGATATAATTAAGGCGAATAAAGGAACTAAAGCCGCCCTGTGAATTCTTGTTCATGAAATTTTTAAACATCCGATTGCCGCTGATTATATTCTTTCCGATTAACTAATTTAGCTCATGTTAAATAAGCAAGAAAAAAGTAGAGATTTTAAATCTAGTCTCAAGTATGAAAGTTCTCAGTTAACAAAAAAGCTTCTATTTTATTTACTTACTTGTTGTATTTCAAATATAAGTTCCATTAACACTAGAAAACTAGGTTTTGTCTTCATATAATTATTCTTAAGTTTTGAACGGTTAATGGCTACGAAAAACTGATTTGCACACGGCATAATTTCTGCAATGGATGCTGAACTGTTTTAACCAATCAGAATCAAGCAATTATTCGTTTGGAATAAGACCTGATACTTGACTATAGACAGAAAGGTACTATAGCTTCAAAGATAGTCTACGTACTCCTCTGCGTTTACAATATCACCAAATTTGCATCGAGTAATTAAAAAAAAAAAACACGCCGCATTTTGTATTAGGCAATTTGAGATTTCGCGATTAAGATCTGAAACAATTATTTTGCGCGTTTATGTGAGATCAGATCTTTTTTGCGCTTTGACATAATATTATTGTATTGTTCACTGGTGAGTAGATATGTTACTACTGTTGTTCAAATGCAATTAAATACCAACAATTGACTCTTGAGTATTTGCTACAAGTTTCAACTCATGCATCGTCTAAGTTTTGAATGATTTTTTTATAGAGTTGGCAAAAAATTGCAAAAAAATGGGAAGTAATTTTTGATGGCAAAATGCAACTTTCCCATTACCTATTTCTGTTTATAGGGCTTATGTCATCATATGCGAAATTTAAGGTCGCTCAGAGCTGACAGTACGGATTCATTTCAAAATATCGAACAACATAATTCACAAAAATTGATTGACTATGAGTAGTTTTAAATAAGCTTGTATTTGCCAATTTTATAATACAGAAGACAAACAAATGGTATTTGCTAAGTTATAAGAGTGACTGTCGATTTAGAATGTCAACATGATACGTTTTTCTTATTAGACTTACGGATTTCTTAATGCCCGTAGAAGTTGACACACCTTAAATTCACTGAGCTATTGTGAAAAATCCTAGTTTGCTTAATTCACACTGTAGATACCGTTCAAAATGACATTCGCTGATAAAGTACTTACGACGCGTAGTTGGTAGCAGTTTATAGATCAAAGTAAATAAACAAAGAAAAAAATATTCACCAGGGCAAAATATCGAATGGATGAAGTTTTGGAACATACAACACAAGAACAATTATGTCGATTTATCAATATTTTCATTTCAACAGAAGAAAAGCAAATTTTAAGTCTTGATCAGAATGAGAAAATTTTAACTCAATTTATTTCCCATCATAATTCTCAATCAATTTACATAATTAGATTTGATAATAATACTCTAGAGCTTTACAACAATCTTCCTAGTATCAATGAGCTACCACATAATATATCTACCATAGTAATATTAATTAAACCCAAAGGACCAATTACATCACAAGCTCCAATTAGTCAGCAAATTAATATAGTAAATGTACCGGTCCCCAGTTTAAACCAAACTGATGATCAATTTGAACAATTTGAACAATTAAGATTAACTATAAATTCTGGTTTATCACCATATTTTGATTTCCTATCCGGATTAAATGAAGATTCTGCACTAGTTTCAATAAAGAAGAAATTCACTGAATTATCATTATCTTTACAACATTTACAACAAAGAATTCAGATACCTGATTTAATAATTTCCACTCATCCAAAAATAAAAAAAGTAATAGAAAAACTGATCGACATTGATGATCTTGAAGAAGACAGTGACACTTTAAATGAAATATCTACCATTACAAATCAATGGATTCAACAAATTCAATCAATTACTAGATTAGATCACAAAGCGAGTAATGGTATTTCAATTTTGGAAGATATTCAATTTTGGAATTCTATGGAATCAGCATTATTGAGTTTACAACAACAAATGAATTCAGAGGAGATTAAATTATCAATTGATTTATTGAATCGAGCTAAAAGATTTCATATAACAATGAGGTTTCAAAATGACACAGAATTAGTGGATAAAATGAATCATACAAAGCAAATAAATGCATTCATGAAAGAGTTGCCGGTAGATGATTTATTCATGACCAATACTAATTTTGAGAAATTCAATGATACTGCGATAAGACTCTTTTCACATTTGAAGAATAAATTAACTATACTTCCATTAACAAGAGCAATTGGTACAACCGAAGTAATAATTAATGATATTGTGATCAAATTTCAAACATTGGTTACCAGCTACGAATTGATGTCATTACTATGGAATGAGTTTATAACTATATATAATTCGTGTCAAGAGATTTTCACAACCATTGAGGATAATATAAAATATCTAATTAACTTGCTAAGAGAGTTACTTCGAAAAAATCAAGAGAAATTTAGACTAATTGAGATAAATCATGAGTTGTTTAATAAATTCAAGCTTAAAATTGATGACTTAAAGACTTTTAGAGAGAATCACGAAAATTTAAAACTAAATATTGAAACCATTTTGAAAGAACATCAATCGGAGCTTTTAAGTAAATTAAATGATGCATATAACAAAAACATTTTGTCAATAAATGCCACTGATATATCTCACCAAGGGAATTTAATTTGGAAAATGAATGAACTAGCCTATTTACAAACATACAATCATATCAATACCATGATAATGAAGAAAGTTAATCATTTTTTTGATCAGGCTAAAAATTTTAATGATATTTGTGCAATTTACGAATCATTTTTCAAGTTTAATGAATCATTGAAGCTACTGATTACAGATGATCATAAACTTAAAGTGCTCAAGATTGTGTACATTGAAGTTCAAAATTTAATGGATGCAAATTCTAATCAATCATTAAATAAATATGAGGAAATTATTTGGAATATGAGTTTGACAGCAAAAATAGAACGTTTTACAACTCTCTTGGTAAATTTAATTGGCAATGATTGGTTTGGTTATTTCATAGGTGATAAAATTAAATCAACAACTTCAAAGTTATATTCAACTTTGGATCCTCGTCCTTCGTTTCATAAATTTATCAACGAATTAAGGTTACAATCAATTGAATCATTTGGACCTTTAATAAAGATTCTGTCAAATCCTTCAAAGTATGAGTTGGTGTTGAATTTTGATCTTAAATCACTTAATATTTGCAAACAGTTGTATCTGCTAAAAGAGCTTGGATTTCAGGTCCCTGGTACATATATCATAGAATATAATAAAATTGATCAATTATCCAAATTTGCCACGAGTCTAAATGATCAAATCAAAATAATAACAAATCTATTTAACAATACCTTTCAACACAACTTTGGCAAAGCAATGGGTTTTTTATTAGCAAATCAGTTCAATTCTATTGGAGTTTTATTAAAAGAGTTAATTACAATTGAATGGATACATTTACTTCACGCGGATGATTTACAAAGTGAAGCAGCTTTAAGTGAAAATTTAGTTGAAATACAATCCTTGAACAAAGTTATACAATTTGAGCAGAACACAACCGCTTTGGCTAATCAGTTGACTAAATTGGAAAAATTTTACAATATCATAGACAATCATTATCATAGATTGAAAACTTCATTTTTTAATTTTGATTCATTCAAAGATATAGTTAAGGAAATTCAAAAGGAATTCAATGAAATTTGTTTGGAAAACATTGATAATACTGATCAATTAGCAGAGTTAATAAATAATGAAATTGCCACTATATTTAGTACAAGGTTAAGGGCTCAGTTGTTTATAATAAATCAAAAAGCAGCTAACACTAATGCCAATGTTGAAGTTTTGGAACTAGATAAATATAATATTAATATTCCAGTAGTACGACATGAATTATTTTTCCAAGAAGAATCTTTTGGTTTGTTACCTAATTTCATTGATGGAAAAGTTGAATTGTTTGATTTTTTGAATAGTGTAATTTCAATAGTTGAACAACAAGCAATTAGTAATTTAGCTGCCAAATCCAGAATAATTCAAATTAACTCCGAAACAATACAAGACGAGCTAAGTTCATTAATGGTAAACATAGACAAATTATATGATGAATGTGAAATTTATTTAAATAAGTGGGAGTATTTACAAAATCTATGGGAATTGGATTTAACAGATTCGAATGATATATCTAAAATATTTGAAAAGACATCTGTATATGATTGGTATGACAAAATCAAGGAGATATTATCATTAAGAAACTTATTTGATCAAACAGAATCATTTAAAACATTTGGGCAATTGATAATTATTGAATTTTCAAAGATTCAAAATAGAGTAGCTGTTAACTTTGATTTGTTGAAGAAAAATTTATTACATTATTTTCAAACCAAATTATCTTTAGAGTTGAAACAATTTAATCAACAATTGATGAAAACAAAAGAGAATCTTGAGGAACCATTACAATTTCATGGGGACGCAGAAAAATTGTTTGAAAATATTGACAATTATTTATCAAGTAAAAATAACCTAAGTATTTGGCTCGTTCGAACTAATCAATTTCATGATATACAAAAGTATTTATCAAATCAAAGAGTCAAATTTCCTATGGATTGGTTGTTCACAGAGCAATTGCAAAATAATTTAAGTATGATTACAAGCCTTATAGATCGAAAGTGTAAATTAATTGAAGAGAATAAAGAATTTTTGATTTCAAAAGTTCTTTCAGAATCTAAAAAATTGAATGAAACTATACGATCACTATCAAAAGATTGGGAAGTGAAAAAACCAATTGCTGGAAATATTATACCATCTACTGCTTTGCTTATATTAAAAACATTTCAAACTAAATTTGGTGAAAGTCATAATTTTTCCAATTTCATAATTAATACTGCTGAATCATTAGATGTTTCAATATCATTTGAAGATTTGTCATATATTCTAGAGGAAATTAGGGAATTGACTAAAGTTTGGTCATCGGTGAATCATTTATGGGAGGATCTTGAATCTTTAAAACAATTGAAATGGGTAGATTTAGAGTCGAGAGAATTATATCATCAATTAAATGATTTATTAACAACCTCAAGATCTTTGCCTTCAAATATAAGACAGTATCCGGCAATTTGTGATATTCAAGATTATGTAAAGGCTCAGTTAAAAAATCAACTGAAAATTTCTGAATTAAAAAGTGATTATATGAAACCACGTCATTGGAAAGTATTGTTAAATCAACTTGGATTTACTAAAGTTGATCATGAGAATTTAAAAGTTGTTGATGTATGGAATCTTAACATTTTGTTAAATGTACAAACAGTTGATGCAATGTTGGAGCAAGCTCGAAATGAGAGAACCTTGGAAGATAGCTTGAATGCCATTAATACTGCATGGTCAGAAATTACATTTGAATTATTCAATTATGAGAATAAATGCAGATTAATAAAAAATTGGGATCTATTATTTGATCAATGTAATACTGATTTAAATGCTTTATCAAGTATGAGAAATTCTCCGTATTTTGCAACATTTGAAAAAGAAATAAGTGATCTTGAAAATAATATTAATACATTGTTTCTAATTTTAGATGCTTGGATTGAAGTTCAACGTCAGTGGGTATATTTAAACGGTGTATTTGGTAGCAAGAATAATGATTTAAAACAATTATTGCCAGTTGAAAGTTCTAGATTCAATAATATAAGTTACGAGTTACTTAGTTTATTTAAGAGACTTTATAAATTTAATTTAGTTATTGATATTGTTGTTTTCCAAGATCTTCAAAATATCATGTCAAGGTACGTGGAGTCGTTAATTAAAGTTAGAAAATCATTATCTGAATATTTAGAAAAGCAAAGAGAATTCTTTCCAAGATTTTATTTCATTGGTGATGAAGATTTGTTGGAACTCATAGGAAGATCGCATGATTATAGCACAATCAATAAACATGTAAAGAAGATGTTTAGTGGTATTGATGAAATCGAATTTGATAGAGATGCATCATTAATTGTTGGTGTGATTAGTGCTGAAGGAGAATATCTTGAGTTTGTTAGTTCTGTGTCAATGATTAAATATCCCAAAGTTCATGAATGGTTGAAAATGATGGAACTTGAAACTAAATTATCATTATCAAATTTAGTTAATCAGAATATTGAAAGTTGGGGTAAAACTATCAAGAGTGATGAATTGTTAAACGTGCTACAAAAATTACCCGCTCAAGTCCTGACATTATTATCACAAATTAGCTTCACAAATAATGTTGACCCGAATATATCAAATTACCAACAATTATGTGAATTGGTTATAAAACTTGTCAATTTGATCGAATCAGATATTTCCAGTTTGACTAGGAAAAAAATTCAATATTTGTTAATTGAAATTATACATCAAAGAGAAATAGCCAAACAATTGACAGAAAAAGAATATTTATGGAATCTTCAGCAAAAATTTTATTATGATACATCAATGAAAGACCCGTTAAAAAGATTAAAAATAAAACAAGTTAATGTTGAATTTATTTATGGTTGGGAGTATTTAGGATTACCTGAAAAATTAGCGTATACACCATTAACAGATGATTGTTATTTAACAATGTGTCAAGCGTTAGCTATGAAATTAGGTGGATCCCCTTTTGGTCCAGCTGGTACTGGTAAAACCGAAACTATTAAAGCTCTAGGTCACAATTTAGGAAAAATGGTTATTGTTTTCAATTGTGATAAATCATTTGATTTCCAATCCATGAGTAGAATCTTTTTAGGTTTATGTAAAGTAGGTAATTGGGGTTGTTTTGATGAATTTAATCGATTAGATGAAAAAAGTTTAAGTGCAATTTCATCTCAAATTGAATCTATTGAATATGGATTGAGAGATTTTAATAAGCCTGTCTCAATATCAAATCGTGAAATTTATGTTAATCCCGAAACAGGTTTATTTGTAACCATGAATCCAGGTTATGCTGGTAGATCAGAATTACCGGAGAATTTAAAGAAATTATTTAGAAGTTTTTCAATGAGTAAACCAGATAGCGAAATAATTGTTGAAATATTGTTAACTTCACAAGGCTTCAAGACGGCAAATGATTTATCAAGAAAGATTGTTGCATTTTACCTTAAATTAGATTCAGAATTATCTACTCAACGTCATTACGATTTTGGATTGAGAGCTTTAAAAAGTATGCTAAATAGATGTGGAAGTTTGAAAAGAAGAAACAAAGTATCAAATGAGTACGAGTTAGTTTTAGAAAGCATAAATGCAACAATTGCACCTAAACTAGTCAATGCAGATGAAAAACTTTTTCACAAGTTAAAAGAAGAGTATTTCCCAAGTACAGAAGTTTCAAATGATAGTGCTGATATAATTGAAAAGATTGAAATTTATTGTGTATCAGCAGGACTTTTATGTAATGATAAAGTAATTACCAAAGCATTACAATTGATTGAAATTCAGAAATCGGCTCATGGAATTATGTTAATCGGGGCTCCAGGTTCAGGTAAATCTACAATTTTACACTTGGTCGCTAATGTCTTATCTGAAGAACACAAATTAATCAGAATTGACGCCAAACTTCTTTCAACCTCAGAGTTATTTGGAAAATTAGATTCAATTACAAGAGAATGGACAGATGGATTATTTACTAGTATATTAAGAAAAGTTAATGAAAATTTGAGAAATGAATCGTCAAAACAAATTTGGATTGTATTTGATGGTGATGTAGATCCTCAATGGGCAGAGAATTTAAATAGTGTCTTGGATGATAATAAAATTCTAACTTTACCAAATGGTGAAAGAATTGAATTACCGATGAATGTTAGGATTGTGTTTGAAGTTGATAGTTTGAAATACACTACACCAGCAACTATAAGTAGATGTGGTATTGTTTGGTTTGATGAATCATTAGTTTCAATTGAGAGTAGTTTCATTAAATTAATTTATAATTTATCAACTTATTATGATGAGGATATGAATAAAGCATTACAGACTAAATTTGTTGACGAATTAAAACAATTGGTGACTGTCGAATTTTTATCAGAAATGAACAATGTTGCACAAGGTATTGATCATGTTATGACTTATACTTTTGATAGAGCTATTACATCATTTGAAACTATGTTGAAAATTTATTTACGTAGATTACTGGTTGATTATGATGTTGACTTGAGATTATACACTGCTAAATCAACTATTTTATCAATCATTTGGTCATTTGCTGGAGATGCTCCGTTAGAATCACGAAATACATTTGCAAAAATGATCAGTCAAAAGGGTTCATTTGCACACGTTGATATTGTTGAAGACCTAATTGATTATGATGTATCAATAGAGGATGGTCAATGGATTAATTGGAATAACAGAGTAGTATCAACAGATTTAGAGCCTCATGAAGTTTCTAATCCAAATATAATAGTGCCTACTTTAGATACAGTTAGACATGAAAGTTTAGTTTATTCAATCATCAATGAACATAGGCCTTTGATTTTATGTGGTCCGCCAGGTTCAGGTAAAACTATGACTTTATTAGAAGCTTTGAGAAAATCACCTCAACTTGATTTAATTTCATTAAACTTTTCCAAAGATACATCTCCAGTATCATTATTAAAAGCATTAGAACAATTTTGTGAATATAAACAAACTAGCAGGGGATTCATTTTAACTCCAATAGTGACTGGTAAATGGGTAGTTGTTTTCTGTGATGAAATTAATTTGCCAATGATTGATGAGTATGGTTCACAAAATATAATTTCATTAATGAGACAAATGGTCGAACAAAACGGTTTTTGGAGAACAAAAGATATGCGATGGATAACACTTGAGAATGTTCAATTTGTTGGTGCTTGTAATCCTCCAAATGATCCTGGTAGAAGTTTATTATCTGATAGATTTTTAAGACACGTTTCAGTAATTATGGTTGACTATCCTGGTACTTTATCAATGCAACAAATTTATCAAACATTTATGAAGGCTATTTTAAAATGTGCTCCAGATTTAAGAGGTTTTGCCAGAGAATTGACAAATGCAAGTATTGAAATTTATGAAAGAAACAAGAACAAGTTTTCACATATGCAACCACATTATGTATATTCACCTCGTGAATTGACAAGATGGAGTAAAGGTTTATTAGAAGCATTAAAATCAAAAGAATATTATCAATTGATTGATTTATTACGATTGTGGTATCATGAAGGTTTAAGATTGTTTTATGATAGGTTAGTTTCAATTGATGAAAGATTATGGGTAATTGCAACATTTAGAGAACTAACAACTATATATTTTCCAAATGTTGATTTAAATGAATGCTTTAAATCTCCAATTTTCTTCAGTGATTGGATGGATTCTGAATACAAATCAGTAAATGAAGTTGATTTACGAAATTTTGTCCAAGCAAGATTAAGGGTATTTAGTGAAGAAGTTATGGATGTAGATTTGATTCTACATGATGAAATGTTAGATCATGTTTTAAGAATTGATAGAGTTTTAAAACAACCACAAGGTCATATGATATTGGTAGGACCAAGTTCCAGTGGTAGATCAACTTTAGCTAAATTTGTTGCATGGATGAATGGTTTGAAAATTGAACAATTATCAGTTCAATCTGATTATAGATTAATTAATTTTGACGAAACATTGAAAAAGATTTTATTGAGATGTTGTGATGGAGAAAAGATTTGTTTTATTATTGATGAATCTACTATTCTTGAATCATCATTTATTGAAAGAATGAATACATTATTGGCCAATGCAGAAATTCCAGGTTTATTTAATGATGAAGAATATACTGCATTAATGACTAAATGTTCTGAGAATTCTCATTCACAAGGTTTATTGCTTGATACAAATGCCGAATTATACATTTGGTTTACACAACAAATTTCACGTAATTTGCATGTTATTTTCAATATTGATGAAACTAATACTGGCCAATCAGTTCTTACTTCACCTGCATTATTTAACAGATGTGTATTGAGCTGGATGGGTGATTGGTCAGACACTTGTTTATGTGAAATTGCCATGTCCAAAATTAATGAAATTCCATTTGATACATCAAGTTATAATATTCCACCTAATTATGAAACTTATCTGGATTTTCCAGCAACAAATTTTCGAGATGTTATCATCGATATTATTTCATTTATTCATCGTTTTATTCCAAATTACAAATCTACAATTTCAATAAATCGTACACCAAATGATTTTTTAACTTTAATTGAAACTTTTACATCATTATATATGGAGAAACAATTGGAATTAGATAAAAGTCAAAGACATATAAGTGTTGGTCTAGATAAAATTCGTGATACAGTGGTTCAAGTTGATAAATTGAAGAAAAAATTGGCTGTTAAAGAGCAAGAACTTAAATTGAAAGATGAAGAAGCTAGAAAAGTATTGGATAAAATGATTGTTGATCAAAATGAAGCTGAAAGAAAGCAAGAATTTTCAATTGTAACACAAGCAGAATTGGAAAAACAAGAAATTGAAATTAGAAAAAGAAGAGAAGTTGTTATGAAAGATCTTGAATTTGCAGAACCTGCTGTTCTTGAAGCTCAACGTGGAGTTCAAAATATTAAAAAGCAACATTTAACTGAAATTAGAAGTATGTCAAATCCACCAGCTGCAGTTAAAATGACTATGGAATCAGTTTGTATTTTACTCGGTTATGATGTTTCTTCATGGAGGGATGTTCAATTAGTTATCAGAAAAGATGATTTTATCCCAAATATTGTATCATTTGATGGTGAAGCACAAATATCATTAGAATTAAGAAATTATATGGAAACAAATTATCTTGCTAGAGAAGATTATACATTTGAAGTTGTTCATAGAGCAAGTAAAGCTTGTGGTCCATTATTACAATGGGTAAGAGCACAACTAGCATATTCGAAGATCTTGGATAGTATAGGTCCTTTACGTCATGAAGTTCAAAAATTGGAACAACAAACTATTAAAACAAAAGCTCAACTAATTGCAATTGATCAAATGATAAATGAACTTGAAGAAAGTATTGAGAATTATAAAGAAAGTTATAGCCAAGTCATCAGAGAAACTGAAAATATTAAATCTGAAATGAGAGTAGTTCATGATGAAGTTGAGAGAAGTATGACATTAATTTCAAATCTTGAAAATGAAAGAACACGATGGAAAGAATCTGTTGATAGTTTTAGTGGTGAAAGAGATAAATTGGTCGGTAATCTGTTATTAGTAGCAGCATTTATTGCTTATTGTGGACCATTTGATCAACGAGGAAGAGAAATAATTGTTGAAGCTTGGAAACATAAATTAATAAATGCAAATGTTAAATTTGATTCAACATTGGTTGTTGCTAATTATTTGGAAAAACAAATTATGAATTGCTTAAGTAATGGTTTACAAAATGACGAATTATACCTTGATAATTTTGCATTGATCAAAAGATCCAAATTCCCATTGATTATAGACCCATCTTCAGATGTGATCAATGCTTTAACTAAATGTTTTAATCAATTTACTATTTCTAGTTTTTTAAATGATGGATTGTTGAATCAACTTGAAAATTCAATTAGATTTGGAGGTGCAATAATTATACAAGATTGTGAATATTATAACCCTATACTCGATAGTCTTTTAAGAAATGAGATCCAAAGAAATGGTGGAAGAACGATGATCAAATTAGGTAAAGAATTGATTGATTATTCACCAAAGTTTAAATTAATTTTATTCACCAAAGAAGCTCAAATTCAATTATCATCATTTGTTATGTCCAGAACCACTATAATCAATTTTACAACAACTAGTGGATCATTAGAAAATCAAACATTGAATATAATTTTGAAAGAATTGAAACCAGATGTGGAAAAGCAAAGAGTTGAATTAAATTTGTTAAATAGTGAATATAGAACACGTTTACAAGGTTTAGAAATTGATTTATTAGATTCATTAAATGATTCTATACAGATATTAGATAATGAAGAGGTTTTGAAAAGGTTGGAAATTATTAAATCAGAATCAGATTCAATAAATGAGAAATTATCAAATTCAGATACTGTGATTGCAATTATTGAACAAACAAGAGATTATTATAGACAATTGGCAAAGCAAACATCTGTAATTTATTCAATGATTGAGTTGTTGACCAAATTAAGTAGTTTTTATACCTTCCCATTGACAAGATTTATTTCAGAATTTATTGAGACTTTCAGGAGAAATAGTCATATTAAGCCCACTGAATTGATTATACAATCGTACAAAGAGTTTTATTCAATAGTTGTTGGATCATTGCAATATGAAGACAAGGTGGTGTTGACGTTGTTATTTTCAATGGCATTTTATACTGAAGATATTGGTGATGTGTTTAAACAAGCTTTTGTTTCATTGATTTCAGACAAGGATTACAATTTGGTATTTGATATTTGTTTAGCTAAACGAGAACCAGAATGGGATGTTGCAACTAATATCAAAAATAATGATAATCCAACTATTCAAGTATTATCTGATCTACTTTTAAATTCTAAGCTTAATGCATTTGCTAAATTGGGTTCAATATTTTATGATACACCATTTGAATCCAAATACGATTTAATACATTGGATTGAACATTTTCAATGTTTATTATTCACCTCACCTATTGAAGTTGATGCAAGTTATAAAATTTCACAATTGGCTACATCTTTAAATAAAAAATTAGTTGTTATATCAATGGGTTCAAAAGAAGGAATTGAAAATGCAAATAAAGAACTTGATAAATCAATTGCTAAACCTCAGTGGGTAATAATTCAAAATGTTCAAATGTCACCATTATGGTTTACACAGTTGGAAAATAAATTGAAGAATCCAATACATGAACAATCACGAATATTTATAACTTGTTCAACAAGTACAAAATTACCTTTAGGGTTAATATCACAAACTAAAGTATTAAATTTTGAAGGTCAAGTTGGAATTAAAGCTATTTTTAATGAAACTGTTAAATTAATTCCAGAATATATTGTGGAAAATGTCAAGCTTAAATATTTAGTATTTTTAATAACTTGGTTCCATTCTTTAATTGTTGAAAGATTGAGATATACACCAGTATCATTTAAAAAGAGACACGATATTAATGATAGTGATTTTACATTTGCATTGAAAATTATCAACAATAAAATGTCATGGGATGAGATAAAATATCTAATTGTTCATGTCATTTATGGAAGTAAAATTGATGATGTTTATGATTTGAAATATATTGATGAATTTGCAAATACCATATTTAAAGAAGAGTTTGTCTTTGATGATTTGAACATTCCTGATGGTTCATTAATAGACTGGATTGATCAATTACCAATTGAAACACCCTTATCATGGTTAAACTTAGAACCTGATGCAAATGATCAATTAGAAAATCAATTAGTTAAACAAATTCGAAATAAATTTATAAATTTAATAGAAATATAGTAAATGTAAATATCCCATAATAATATTATATATTAAGTCATTACATAAATCTATTCGTCATCTTCTTCTAAGGTTTGAGCAGCAATACGATCTAAATCTCTTTGACCATTTTCTGAAATTCTTCTACCACCTTTTGGTGAGATTTCCAAGACACCAATTTTTTGTAAAGCTTGAACAGCTTTTCTGTTAACTGAACCTGAAGCATCAACGTGTTTATGTGGTCTGAAACCTCTGTTTTTAGCACCACCATATAATTTGTTTAAAGCACCAATACCAACTTGTTTTCTTAAGTAGATATGTCTAGCAATTGATGCAGCTCTTTTGTAAAACCAAGTTTCAGCTTCTTGAGGTGGTAAATCATTACCAGCTGAAGTTTTGACAATATCAACATAACCTGGAACTTCCAATTTACCTTGTCTTTGTAAAAATTGTGCATATGCATTTATAAATTCTTGCGCTGGAACGTCTCTGTAATAAAGGTTAGTATTTTAGTCAAAAAAACTTAACTTGCCCAAGTGTGATTGGTGTCTTGAAAATCTCAAATAGGTGAAACCATAATTTAATATTTCGTTGACGTTCAAAGAGTTCTCTTTGAATCCTATCCACCACGACAGACAATACAAGGAAACCGCGTACCACGATTCCAATGGTCCTACTTACTTAACACTAACTCCGGCCATTTTGTTATCTGCGGTTTGTACGTGTTGGTTTCTTAATTGAAAGGTTTGGTAAGGAGTATTTCTAAAATTTTATTTTGTTTCAAGTTGGTACATTAGAATTTTTCAGTTCTGCATAAGACTTACAGGAGGTCGCGTCCAGTGTTCAAACTCTAACCGAGCGGGCGCCCACATCTATAACACGTGATGTATTCTCTTTTTTGATTCTCACACAATTATATCCTGCATATATACTCTTAAATTGTTCCTGTATATAAGTTATTCTAACAACTACCATTTCAAAAATTTTTCAACTACGGTTTTATAAATTTGTTTCATATCAGTTATCACCAACTTTCATTTTATATTATATAATATCAACTAACCTTTATTTGATATAAAAGTTTATTTTACACAATGGGGAAGGATTTAGAAAAACAGCACGTTAGAAACGGACACAGAGACGCTCCAAAATCAGATAACGTTTACTTGAAATTATTAGTTAAATTATATTCATTTTTAGCTCGTATGTGAAAAATTTTGAGTTCAAGAAGATGTAAAATACATTTAAAAAGGAAATTCCATATAAAATTTATATGTTATTAATGGTTTAAATCCATCAGAAAAGAATAATTTGAAATTTCAGATAGTAAAGAGACTATCAAATTGAAATTGAATGATTTCGGGTAGCTCATCACTACAAGTATGATTGGATTAGTTTAGAACTAGAACTAGAACCATCCTGCGAGTACTTTTTACAAGTGCGTCTTCTGAGCAGATGTATGGAATTACAAATACTAACTATTTACTAGGTCGTACTGATGCTCCATTCAACAAAATCATTTTAAAACAATTATTTTTATCAAAAATTAACAGACCACCAGTTTCAGTTTCAAGAATCTCAAGAGCTTTCAAAAATGAAGGTGCTTCAGAAAAAACTGTTGTTGTTGTTGGTACCGTTACTGATGATAACAGATTATTAGAATTTCCAAAAGTTACTGTTGCTGCTTTAAGATTCACTGCTGGTGCAAAAGCTAGAATCTTAAAGAATGGTGGTGAAGCTATTACTTTAGATCAATTAGCTTTAAGAGCTCCAAAAGGTCAAAATACATTAATTGTTAGAGGTCCAAGAAATGCAAGAGAAGCTGTTAGACATTTTGGTTTTGGTCCACATAAAGGTAAAGCTCCAAGAATTTTATCAAAAGGTAGAAAATTTGAAAGAGCTAGAGGTAGAAGAAGATCAAGAGGTTTCAAAGTTTAATTCTAATACTTGTATAGATGAAAAATATAAGAAGTATTTTAATTCACGATTTATGATTTTTTTTATACTACACGAAATGCTGCAAAATGGAATACATTTGGAAGATTTTCCATTAGATATACTTTATAAGATAATTGAATACTTTAGTAGTGATTATCAGTTCCCTGATGAGACATTTGTTTTGAATAATGTTAGAATTGATGCATCATATCATGATTTATTATCGTTATCGTCCACTTGTAAATATTTTAGAATGTTGCTAAATCCGATACTATATAGAACTATAAGTTTAATAAGGTTAAATCAAATTGATTCGATACTTAATAGTCCTAAATCACAAGAGAAATGTAGTGATAAATTTAGATACAACAGAGAATTTTTTAAAGAATTGATTTATGAAAATATTTCAAATTGCGATAAAGTGGAAGCAATTACTCGAAAACATATTGTTGGAGATGAATTGTATAAAAGTGAGTATCATAGTATGTTGATGATACCGAATTATTATACTTATTTGGAAGGAGATAACTCGATTTTGAAAGGTAATGATTTAGACTTCTTTTTGAATTTAAAGACGTTGAAAATATTAGATCAAGGTTGTTTTGATATTATTGATAGAGATTATAAATTGCCCAAACTCCGATTTTTACAAGTTAATGCTGAAACATTGAAAAATTCTAGTGGATTGTTGAAATTATTAAAGAATCTTGACAGGTTGGATTTATATTTGGATTATGGAGAGCTGACAGGTTTTAATATTAATGAATACCTAGAAAATAACAAATTAAAAGAAGTTAATTTATTTTTAAATGCTCCTTATTCAATTAGATATGAGGATACTATTATATTACTTGAATCTTTTACTAAATTGGATAAATTGGTCATAAGAACGAAACGAAGGAACAGTTTGTCAACTCAAAACCAATCTAAATGGAGGTTATATTCAGATTATATAGGTGACAAGTTATTAACAATTATTGAAAATGTTACTGAGGTAACTTTAGACATTGAAATTATAGAACAATTAAACTTTCGTCCAAGTACTTACACTCAAGTGTCACTTCCAAATAATAGGCAATTAACATTAGTTGACAGAGCTGCTATTGGTCCTCAATTATCGACCAACATTAAAGAATTTATTGGGATAATAATTAAATCTGGTTTTTCAAGCTTAAATTTTCATTATGGAGAGAATCTAGATGAAAGTCATATTCATATGTTAAAACTAGTCACTGATTTAGTTCAATGGATAAGTAACTCAAATGAAGCACATTATTTAGGTTTGAATTCCATTTCACTTGAAAAAACATGGTCAATCACCGATGATTCCATTCTTCGTGAATATATTTTAAATTTACTTAAACAGAACGATAAGAAATTAAATTCAATGTATGTTTGGAGTACAACACCTTTTAATTCACCAAGATATAAATCAAGGGATGCCTATAATGTTTCCTATGTTAAATCCAGAGGTGTTTCAATAACTGATAATTCTGGTTATTTTATTGGAACATTCAATGAAGAAATAGATAAACCTATTTTTACAACAACAGATCAATCAAACTCAAATTCGTTCTGGTCTAGCGAGGCATCATTATGTGATTTTGAGCAGTATTCGCTTCGTGAACGTAAAAGTCTCTTACGTTAGATTAATATATAAAACGCCGCACGAACTTTTAATTTTTATCGCCACTTTGAACCATGGTACAGTCAACACCAATACGAGGTTTCGCTAATACACCTGTTACTAAATCTATATGTATTATATCAACAATTACACCTTTGTTATTATCAATCTTATCAATTAAATATCTTGTGCAACTAATAATAGATCCATTTATAATAGAGTATCATCAATTTTGGAGAGTCATTACATATCAATTTGCAGTAATTAATGAGTCAGATTATTTATTAATTATACTACTATGGTTTCAATTTAAAGTATTGGAAAGATTTTATGGTTCAAGAAAATATTTATCGATTGTAACATTATTTGCTATTTACAATTCGATTACTTCATTAATTATAATGAGTGTAGGACAATTACTTGTGTATTATTTATCATTTGTTATTAAAGTTTGGTTATTCAAATATGATCCAACAACTGTACATTATCAAACTACAATCTTGAATGAAATTATCCCAGGGCCAATTGGTATTTTATCATCTTTATACATTTGTTTTGGCCAAAATATTCCAATTTCATATTATTTTCAAATACTATTGAAAAAACCAACAAATGATGAGTCAAGTAAGGTTTTAAACCTTACAAATCGATTCCCAATACATATAATGTACACATTATTATTGTTAAATAATGGGTTTAAATCAATAATCCCTAGTTTAATTGGGTTATTCATTGGTAAATTATATTGTTATGATTTATTACCAGGTGTCTCATGGTTATTATCAAGTACAATTTATCATTTATTCATAAATCCAATAAAGAAATTTACAAATTGGTATGTTTTCATACGACAAAAATTTTCAAATCAAACACTTCCGGAATCAAGAGCAAGTGAAGAACCTGAAGATGATTTAGATGAATCAAGACAAGAAGAAAACAGAATACGTGCAGAAACTCCAGTTAGACCATTAGGTAGTCAATTTCTTGATACATTTAGAACATAATATACTACTTTCTTTCCCTTTTTCGTCTTTCAACATCCCAATTATATAATCTAGCAGTATTAACTTCCATTGTAGTTATATTTTCTCTTAAAAATTCTAAATCTTCTTTTATAATAGTTAATTGTTGTTCATTTTTCATTAATCTATCATTTAATAATTCAATAGCATCATCTAATGAGTACTCCAACATTACTTCAGCACCTAACCATAAATAAACAGAATTTAAATTTTTAGAATCTAATGTAGCTTTATTATATAATGTATCATTTAATTCATAATTTATAGTTATTTCATCTTCATCTTTAGATTCTTTAATATAATTTATAACATCTAAATTTTTCTCAATATCTGGTATTTTTATATTTAAATCTGCCAATTGTTGTTTTTTAGATAATTCCATATATTTATATTGTTGTAATCTTTGTTGAAACATTGACATTATTGATTCAAATTCATTTTCTGGGTCTTTAATTATATTTTCTACTTTATCAATGAATGGAGCTTCTGGGATTCCACGTGGATTTGATTTTTTAGGTCTTTAAATAGTTAGTAATGGTTAATTATGTTTGGTAATTACTTACTTTAATATTTCAGCCATGATGTCTGATTTGGGTAATTTTTTTTTTTTTGAAAAATTCTGAAACATTATTATGGGAACTTGATTGAAAAATAAAGAGTGTAGAAATGGATCAGTATAGAAACTGAACCTATGAAAATGTGCATAGATACTATGTAATGCTCTACGATCTGTAATACAAAACATCGAGCTCGGGATAATGTATATTCATCGAGTTATGGAAATTTTGAAATATCATGTTGGGAATTTAGATAAAAATTGAAAATTGCAAAATTAGAGTAATTTAAGAGCTAGAGCTATGAAAATGGGTTCAAATACTCTTAAGAAGCTAAAGAATCATATTGTAAATCAATGATCTCAAAGGAATGTATATTGAAGAAAATTTTTTAATCAACTTGATCAATTATCCCATTTATTGCTGTAATTCGTTTTGTTTCTTTCTTAATTCATAAACATTCAAGACTTCTTCAGCTGCTTTAACACCTGAGTACATCATTGCTGAGAAACAAGCACCAGTTCTGGATAAACCATAACCAGTTGCAGCTTCCATACCCAGTAAAACAACACCTGGAACAATTTCTTTGGAATGTTTAACAATATTTTCTTCTGCAGTTGAGATGTCTAATCCTCTCATACCTAAGACTTCAACGTTTAATTTGCTGTTTGCACCTTTGTAAATTTCTTCCAATCTTTTTACACCAAAAGCTCCAAATGGACCATCGTGGCCAGTTGCCGATAAAACAACATTACAATTGATAGTTTGTGGATCCATACATGATTGGTTGGAATGATTTTGAGTAACTAATGTGTAATTAGTAACAACACCGGTGACACGTAATTCTCCAGTAACTTCATCCTTTCTTGTGACAAAATCTTCAACAGCTGTAGCATTAAATAACTTGACATTTGGAAATTGTAATACCTTCGATGCAATTGTGGAGATGAATAAAGCCGCATGTTTTACAACAACATAATGTCCTTCATCTTCATATGGAACACCAACAGCATCTAAAAATAAATCAGCTGGCTTACGGGCAACCATAGCAGACATAAGCTGGCCCCCAATCATACAACCGCCCCCAAAAGCAGTTGCAGCTTCACATATGGCAATCTTGAGATCAGGTCTAGTACTTGCAAGTACAAAAGCAGCTGATAAACCAGCAGAACCACCACCAATTATAACAACATCAGATTCAGCATAGTTATCCAAGTCTTCAAAGTATCTTCTAGTCATAGCTCTTGCAACAGTGGATTCTCTCATTGGAGCAAATTTAAAGTTTTCCCAATCAGCAAATTTAACATTTTCTTTGACATCTGGTTTGAGATTAACTTTATTTGGATTCTTCTTACCATCAATAGAGAATTCAGCAACAACTGGAGCAGTTTGAATCATAGTAGGAGGAGTCATTGTAAATAATTCTTAAAATATAACTTGATTCGTTTGAAATTGAAAATTGAAAATTAAAACTTATTTTGAGTTGATTGGATTCCACTGATATTTATACTTTTCAAAACAGATTGTTCTTGACCGTAATCACCATTCATCTAAGTGCATATGAGTATATCCTAATTTATTCACCGAGTGACATAACGTTTCAGTTTTAGCGCATGCCTTATAAATTATTTTGCAACAACTTAAATTTCGCAGCCAACAGAATTTTAAACGCATATAAAAGTCAAAAGCAATAACGAAAGATTATCTATATTATATCCCCTATCTACTTCTTTCACTAAAACCTTTAAAATATCTATCCCTGAATTGTTTAATATTTTCGGTTTTCAAACCATTACTTGTTATACCTATATAATTCTCATTACGTTTAACATAAACTAATAATCTTCTTGACCACTTTTGGAATTCTTGTTCTAAACAATACAATAATTCCAATTTTTCATGTTGTGGTATTAAATGTTCTTGAAAATCATCATTAGCAGTTGGCATCCAAAATGCTAATCTACCACCAATTGGTAACCTATTATTTGCAAAATTTAATAAATCATCTAATAAACTTGATAATTGATAAGGCTTTTTTGGAGGTATAAAATCTCTTCTTAAATAAGCGATTTCTCCATTTATAACATTATTTTTTCTACCTTCAGCCTTTTCGGGATTTTTTGCACCTAAAACTCTTAAACCTTCTCTTACACCATAAGGTGGATCACAAATTATATTATCTATTGAAAAATTACATCTCAAAGCATTATGGGTAAAATCCATAGTTAAAACATCAATAAATTTGTCCAAAGTATTATATTGTTTAAAATTTGATATTATATTACAATTTTTTTTACCTTGTAACATTCGAACATCAATATCTGAACCAATAACTAATGCGCCAAAATAAGCAGCTGTTACTAAAAATGAACCAGTACCAGTAAATGGATCGTAAGTCAATTTCCCCGGTTGAACTTGACCTAAATTACATGTTATTAAAGATAATTCACTTTCAAATGAAGTAGTTCCAATATATTTCCTCTTTTTTAAATCATATTTTTCAACAATTTTATTTTGCCTTGCACTTGTTTGGATTAATCTACCAAACCATAAATTAATTGGAATTTCGGCAATTTCCATACCATGAGGTCGATATTCCTCTAACACAGTAAATATTTCTTGTGGATTTTTCAAATCTATTTTACCTTCAAATGCTAAATAACTAAAAGATTCAATTAATTCGGCTTTTGCGTTATTTGATTTAACACCACCTTTAAAACTTTCAAAATCAAATTTAAAACTAACATTTTTATATTTATCAAATTCATTACATTTAGTTTTTACACTTGAATGTAATTCATTATAATTTTTACCATAACCCCATAATTCATAAATACTTCTTGTTAAAATTGAGCGATGAATTAATTTCTTTGCCTGATCATCATTTTCCAAGTCTACAATTAAAAAGGGAGAATCTTCAGAACAATGAGAAACATGTAATGGAATATTATACAAATCAGCTAATGATTCTAATTCTGCTCTTCTAAAATTTGGAAAAGATTGTGCAAAGTATATAAGATACTGTTTCATCGAGTGATATGATTTTCAACTCATCTCAAATTTTTTTACAACAAAAACAAACAAAATTACAATAATTGTGAACACACAGTAATGATATAAACTAACTACCATATATTACTCCTAGTTATGTAGTTATACATGGTCTATGTCTTCTTGCCCTTGCGTGTACCATTCTCAAATTTTGCAGTATAAATTAAAATTTGCCAACCAAAATTTTTCTCACACGGTTTGTCAGTTTAATCAACAACAGTTTATTAATTGATTGATAAATACTATTGTATATACAATTGGATAGTTTACATACATATAGTTTTTACATAGTTTGTTTACATTCAATAAATTATATTTTATATTTTTTTATTATAATCACTTGTAATTAATAATCATGTCACAAATTGATGATGATGAAGCTCTTTTTGAAGATTTATACGGGGATGATGAAAAAGAAACTACTTTAAAGACTGAAGAAGTAAAAGAAGATTCTAAACCTGAAGAATCAAAACCTGAAGAATCTAAACCTGAGGAATCAAAACCCGAACCAGTTCAACCTGAACCAGTTCAATCAGTTCAATCAGTTCAGTCAGTTCAATCTGAAATGCCTGAAGTATTGCCATCCATACCACAACCAACTTTTCGATACGATGAACCTCCTTCATTTTCAGATTTAGGTAGAGATTCAGGTAAAATGTTTATAGGAGGATTGAATTGGGATACAACAGAAGAAGGTTTAGTTAATTATTTTTCAAAATTTGGTGAAATTGTTGATTATACAATTATGAAAGATAATGCCACTGGTAGATCTAGAGGTTTTGGCTTCTTAACATTTAAAGATTCAAAAGCTGTTGATGAAGTTATAAGACAAGATCATATTTTGGACGGCAAATTAATTGATCCTAAAAGAGCTATTTCAAAGGAAGATCAAGATAGAGTTGGTAAAATATTTATAGGAGGTATTGATCCAATGGTTACTGAAGCTGAATTTAATCAATTTTTTTCCCAATTTGGTACTATAATTGATTGTCAATTAATGATTGATAAAGATACTGGTAGATCAAGAGGTTTTGGTTTTATAACTTTTGATTCACCAGATGCTGTTGATAAAGTTTGTGTAAATAAATATTTATCATTAAAAGGTAAAGCAATGGAAGTTAAACGTGCTGCTCCAAGAGGTCAACATAATCAACAAGTTTTGATGCAACAACAAGCTCAACAACAAGCTCAGCAACAAGCAATGTATCCATATGGAGCGAATTATCAAATGATGGCTCAAATGAATCCAATGGCTGGTGCCCAAATGACTCCAGAATATATGAGATATTATCAATGGTATATGTATCAACAACAACAACAACAAGGTGGAGATAATTCACAACAACCACAACAACCATTAAATCCTCAACAACAGGCTGATGAAGAAAGTGGTGATCCACAACAACCAGGAGCAATTCCCCAACCACAAAATGGAATTGACTCATCAAAACCAAATATTCCGACTGGTCCAAAAAGATTACCACCATCGGGTCCATCAAGTTATGGTGGTTATAGAGGACGTGGAGGTTTCAGAGGAAGAGGTAGAGGTGGTTTCAGATCTCGTGGATTTCATCCTTATGGAAGAGGTGGTAGAAGATGATCAAAAGTTTGCATTAATATACGAATTTGATAATTCTAATACTTATATTGTTCTTTATTTAATGGCGTCCTTGACTATTTCCTTTTTCTACTTGGTCTTGCATTTTTGGCTCTTCTCTTTTCTTTCAAATTTCTTTCTTTTTTAATTTGTTCAGTTGATTTTAATTCTTGTTTTGAACCATGTTTATTATATCCTTTAACTTGTTTACCTGATTCCAAAGCTTTTTCAACCTTCTTCTTTTGTTTATGATAATCATCTCTGAATTTATCAGGTAATTTTGGAGCTTTGTCTTGTTTATGTTTAAATCGTTGACCATTATTATCTTGTTCTATTACACTATTCGAAGATTTTAAATTTCTTTGTTTCTTCCATTCATCAAATTTACCAGATTTATAAGTTGCAGGAATTTTAACTCCTGATTCACTTATAATATATTTCTTATCAGTTGATTTTGAATTTATATACTTACCTTTCTTTTTATCCCATTTCATAACTTGAGAATTTTTTTGTATTTTATCATCATTATCTAAATCAAATGTAGCTTGTTGTGCATCATTTACAAATGAAGAACCTATAGATAATTGTTTATCTTGTATATCTGATTTTGGAGCATAATGAGACAAGTAAAAATTTGGATCTTTAAATGATTTTGGTTCTGTTTCAAATATTTTATCTAATTCATTTTCATTTACTTGATAACCATATTCATCATCATTTTTTAATATTTCATCCTCTATACCATGTGTTAATCCTTGTAATCGTTCCATTTGTAATAATTCTTTTCTTTCTTTTGCTTTCCTTTGAATTGGAGCCAATTGTTTTCTTCTTCTATTCATAAAGTCAATCATTGAATTATCACTTTCCTTTTTTGGATCATTTTTTCTAAACTCAAATACAGTTTCTTTAACATTTCTATTTTGTAATATTTCAAGAAATTCATTCTTTTGTTTTTCTAAATTTTCACCAAATAATAAATGTTGATCATCCCATGAACCAGTTTCCATAATTTCTTTTGATCTTTTAAGAGATTCTTGTGATGCAGATTGTCTTGTTCTATGATATAATTTCTCACCCTTTGTTGAAACATCTTTTAATGTTTGAATTTCATAATTATTCCTAAGTAAATTGTCATATAATTCTTGAAATGTTTCCAATTCTAATCTAGGTATTGATCCAACTATTAATCTTTCAGTATAATTGATTTTTGGTGGTATATATGCATCACCTTGCTTTTGTTTTAATAATTTACATTTTGTTTCATACATTGAAGTTAATAAAACTTTCCTTCCTAAAAACAACTCTAGGTCCAATAAATACGGTAATTCTTTTTCATTAACTATCGAATATGCCCAACCTTTATTTCCTGCTCTTGCAGTTCTACCAACTCTATGAATGAAAATTTTCGATGAACCAGGCAATGTAAAATTTATAACATTTGCTAAAATTGGTATATCGATACCTCTTGCTGCAACATCTGTAACCACTAAAATGTTGGTTAAATTAATTCTAAATTGATATAATTGATTCTTTCTTGCATGTTGATCCAAAGTACCATAAATGTACGAAACTAAATAACCTGCATCTCTTAATAATTTTGTAATGTATTCAACATGATGTTTTGTAGGTACAAAAATAATAGTTGAATGTTGAGAAGGTAATTGATTAGCTGATGGAAGTCTTTCCTTTTTAAATTTATACTTTTTCTTCTTTCCATCTTCTTCTTCGTCATCACTTTCAATTTGCCTTTTATCTATATCTTTTAAATTCTTCAATTGTTCTTGTGTACCTAATGGTAACTTTATAACTTCTTGTAAAATATATAATAGATTAGCTTCTCTTTCATTCTTCTTTGTTGAGAAAAATGCCATCTGTAAATTTTCTGAAATTTTAGTTTCTGCATCTAATCTTACTAAAATTGGTTGTGTCAATCCTGCTTTTGCAAATTCAACTAATGAACTAGGTAATGTTGCTGAAAATAATAATGATTGTCTATTTGAAGGTAATGCAAAAATTAATTCATTTAATTGTTCAGAAAATCCCATTTCAAATAATCTATCAGCTTCATCGAAAACAATGTATTGAACAGATGATAAATCATAATCCATTTCAACTTTTAAATGTAAAAACCTACCTGGTGTACAAACGATTATATCTGGTTTTGTCATCATTTTCCCAAAATCTTCTTCCAAGGAATCACCACCAATTATAACAGTTGATTGTAAATTTGTACCACGACTGAATTCTTTAACTTGCTTATAAGTTTGAATAGCTAATTCTCTTGATGGTGATATTATAATTGATCTAACACCTGAAGGACTTCTAGTTTTTAATTTTTCAATTAATGGTAACACAAAAGCTGCAGTTTTACCACTACCGGTTCTTGCCATACCAACAACATCTCTACCTTCAATAATTAACGGTATAGTTTTTCTTTGAATTGGTGTAGGTTGTTTAAAACCTTTTTTGGCAATATTTGTAAGTATAAATTTTGATAATCCAAATGATGCAAATGATCCAGCCTTGGCTTTCTTAACTGTAGGATTTTGGGTTGTATTAAATGAGTTTATATCTTGTTCTTCTTCATCATCTGATAATTCTAATTTAGGAAAAGATTGTTGATTATTCAATTTTACTTTCTTTTTGGGTTGGGGTTCATCTTTTTCTTCTTCGTCCAGGGATATTATTTCATCTTGTAATTCCATATCAGGTTCTTCTTCTGATGAAGAGCTTATATCTGAGTCTTCATTTTTAGATATTAATTGTCCTGCGATATTTATATCTTCATCATCTGACATTGACATTAGATTAAATATACCTTAAATTTTGTTTCAAAATGCAGTACTCATCTCAGAATTTTATCGTAAATTTGACCACTGCTACCAATCGTGTTTTTGCAACCAAATTAATGAGATAAAAGAAAACGATCAATTTAATACAACCACTTTCATTCTTTATATTTAAAATTCAAATATAAGAGCCAGTTAATTTGATCTAACGCTTGTGGCCTTTTTTTGGTCCTATTTAATAGCTTTGAATCTTGTACGACCAGTAGCACCAACTCCCGCCATGGATGAAAAACTTTGAGGCCTTGCTGTCGCTCCATGTTGGTCGCAAGCTTATTACAAATTAAAATTTTACAATATCGTTTTTAGCTTACATGCAGTCAAACCATAGCTAATCTTAAAACTTAATTTGGATATAACTCAGGCAATGTTCAAGTTATAGTTTTCAAACCTAATTTATTAAAAACTTAAACTATTTTGGAATGAATTGCTTTCAATTCCTCTTAGATGGACATTTAAGTTATGCATTATTTAAAAAATCGAAGAAGAACGCTATTTTGCAGGATAATTAACACTTAGACCTCATTTATTAACTTTTAAAATAACTGATCCTGTTGATTTAGCTGCGTATATCATAGATATAATGTTCTCAAGACTCCTCAACCGGTTAGAAAATTTTGCAAAAATTTCGAAACACCTTTGAAAAAATACTTTTCCAATTGTGAATGCCTTAACACAAAACAATCCAACGATTATCAAAATGGGGAACTACAAATTCTGATACTTCAAGTCTCTAGTTTCTTATTTTTGTGAGTTGTCATTATGGCCCTTTTTCATCATACAAAAATTTTTCTGAAAAATGTAAATCTGTATAACTTTTTATCTAGCGCCAAAATTTTCAAATAAACAAGGAATTGTATATATTAAGACTCAATCAAAGATGTTTGGCTTGATTCTAGCTGCTCTCAGTCAAAATTGAGAAATTTAGAAATTTTTTCCAAGTATGGTGAATTTGAAAAAATTGACCTAACGAAAAATTTTAACTCCACAATTCAAATCGTGATTAGAGCATGATAAAATAATCAAAATTTTGTAGTCCCCCACTTTGATAAATCTTCAGTATTCTTGTACTAAGGCAATCAAAATTGGAAAAGTAATTTTTCAAAAGTCTTTCGAAATTTTTAAAATTTTCAAACAGGTTGTGGCATCTTAAAGACTCAATATGCATAGTTTTAATTGTTGAGTAAACCGAATCAGCTATATTAGAAGTTGCTGAATGAAGTCTAAATGTTCATTATCATGCAAAATACCGTTTTTTTTGCGTTTTTTAAATGACGAATTACGTCATGAGAATTATGTTTATTTTGTATATTGTGAACTGATATATTCTAACTAATCATACCTTTAAAATAAAGTTAGTTTGAGAAGTAAAACCTAAATTTTGAAGGAGTTATTCACAACTTAAATTTCAAGTTTAACTAATACAAGGCTTCATATAAGCGAAAGTGTCGCAGAATTAGGTATTTGAGTGTGTTAATATTGTGCGCTTATATTGTTCACGAAATTTACCGTGGTGCTTATATCAATGACCATGGCTGTCTTATATAGTTAAACTCCTGTCTAATTAATCAAAATATACCTCAAGATAATTTTTTCTATGTAAAAAGGCATGAAAAGTACATTTAAATCGCTTAAAAATTAGACTATGTTCAAAAACAATTCAAAGATGTGACTCTGGTAATGTCAAATTCGAACGGAGCTGGAGTTTCTCTTTCCAATTAATACATGAAAGTACTATTTTAAATAAAATTTCGGTTTATAGCGGTCAATTGAAATTTTCAAAAAACAGGGGGTTTGTTAATATTTTTTATTGGGCGTTCTTTGTATCTTTTTGTTTTGCATCAGATCTCGTATCTTGTAAGATCTAGATCTATGCGATTGTATTTTGTTACTTATATTTTGCGCTTTTAAACATATGTTGATATTACAAAAATTAAAATGTCATTACTGTCTTCGTGCTGCCGTATAGTGTAATCACTGTTTCCCTATATTCGCTGGAACCATTTTGATCGATTGTTTTCTCTTTTAACTTAGTTTGATCAGTTTCGTGAATATTTGCACAAAAACACCAAAAATCCAAAGACATTGATTGTGACTTTGAATCTACTATCATTAAAAATGCTTTTAAAGATGTTGAGCTATTTGATTTTACTATGCTGCACGTTTTCAGAACGAAAATTTTACGAAAATGGTTAAAGCCAAATGAACCGTAATCAAGATAAACAAGATTAATTAGATGTAAGGTGATAACAGATGTTTAGGATTACAATTAAATTTATATATCTTATTTAATTAAAATTCACTTATTTAGCAGTGGTTGAAGCAGCTTGAGCAGCAATTTTTTCTTTTTTAGCGATTTTATCTTGAGCTTTTGAACCCATGATACCACCACCCCAATGTTTTTTGTTTTCTTCATATTTTTCCAAGTAGTTAGCATTAATGGTTGAGATTAATTTTGATAATTCAGCTTCATCAGCTTGTGAAACTTCGGTTAAAGCAGCAACAGCAGAAGTTTTTTTATGAACTAAAGTACCTAATCTAGCTTTACCTTTAACAACAGCGTATGGAACACCCATTTTTTTACATAAAGCTGGTAAAAAGACAACTAATTCAATTGGATCAACATCATTAGCAATTAAAACTAATTTAGCTTTTTTGTTTTCAATTAATGAAACAACGTGATTTAAACCATATTTGACAACTAAAGGTTTTGATGAAACATCTTTAGCAGTTTTACCTTCTGAAATAGCAGCAGCTTCTTTAGTTAATCTTTCTTTTTTTTCTTGAGTAGTTTCTGGTCTATATTTGTTGAATAATTTAAAAGTTTGAGTAGCAGTGTTTTTATCTAAAGTATTTGAAAATTGAGCAATTGCTGGGGGAACTTTTAATCTTAATGATAAGATTTTCTTTTGTCTTTGTAATCTAACATATTCTGGCCATTTGACAAATCTTGATAAGTTTCTCTTTGGTTGAATGGATTGGCCTATTCCGAAGTTACGAGGTGTTGATTCGATCAAAGGATTTGATGAACCAGTTGATTTGGTTTGCTTTGAAGCTAATGGAGCAGTTGCAACTTTTTTACCCATGGTTGTGACTTGTAGTAATAAAAAATCTCGTAATAAATTTTTTCAATTTAGTGGGATTGGTGCTATGCACGCCCTTCCAAAATTTCCGATGCCTAAATTCTAAGAGAACAAGCATAAAACATCGTGATTTAATTTAAATTACTAGCTATTTCAGTCAAAGCAATTGAATCAACATCCTATTGCTATAATAATTGATACTAACGAGTCTTTGATACTCTAACCGAAGTGGTGAAGAATGTTTAAAGATATATGCAAATAAAGTTTAGATGCAGGATATTACCCGGCATGAATAGAGTATAGTCAAGTGCTAAATAGGGCTCAACCATATTAATCTTGCGTGGAAATCATCGTCTAGATTAATTTAATGGGGGCCTTAAATAGATCGAGATCTGATAGTTATAAGATGATATCAAGTCACCAGCGACAGAGATTCAAGAATTCATTAAATAATCTAAACCGTTTATTTTTTAACAAACCTAATTACCCAAAATCTATATAAAAAGAACTAAAAAACATTATAGAATCATAAATCATTTCCATCTTTTGCAACCCATCTTGAATTACACCAACCTTTAACAGTAAATTGAGTTCTTGTAATACCAGAATTAGGTGCCTTATTATTATAAAAACTTTTACCATTAGGTAATACACCAGCAGGTCTAAATGACCGTTTATTAAGATCCCAAGGTAAATAATTACTCTTTCTTATTAAACTGTTATTATTATTACTTGTTGAATCTTCTTCCAATTTAATATAATTTTCCCAATTTATATTCTCCTTTGGATGTTCATCTAATCTAGGTGATAAAACCACACTATTCCATAATTTATCTCTTGAAAAATTTGAAATCTTATATATATTATGTTGATAATGAAATTTTTTCAAGTTTTGATTCAACTGAATAATCTTTACTAAATCTTCTTGATTAAATGAATTGGGTAAAGTGAATGACACTAATCTTGCATTATAATCGTGTGCATATAATCTTAAAAATTGAGAATTTATACGATTTTCACGATTTTTAAAATTAGATTTACCTTGAAATTCGGAGGTAATTTGGGGTTGAGATTGATTAAATGTGAATAATTCTTTTTCTTCAAATGTCGGTATTTTTTCATCTGTTAGCCTTATTGTATCATTACTAAAATGAGTAAGTACTTTCTTTTTGAAAATTGAATAAATTGATGTTTTTGGCTGTACAAAAAATTTAGAAGCGATAAAAACTTCAGTATTTAATGAATTTTTAAATTTACATGAAGTAGTATTTATTGGAGTACAACAAGTTGTAGTTGAAGTAGTTGAAGCAATTGATGGATATTTAACTAAAGATTGAGATGAATTATATGATGAATTATATGATGAATTATATGATGAGAATGAACTAGTTGAATATGGCGAAGTAGAATGATATGTATAATTCAAAGGAGAATTTAAATAACCTTGTTTATTTGAATTTAATGATGAATTGGAACTAAATGATACATCATCACAATTTTCATCTTCATAATAATTATCTTCACTATCTTCATCGGAATCGGAACTTTCATATTCTATTGTTTCATTTAATGGATGATGATTAATTGAATGATTTGATTTTATACTAGATATTGAAAATGATTTCTTCAAACTTGATTTAGATTTCAATGTTAATTTTCTTGGAATATTTGAAGATGAAGTAGTATTCTGTGATTCAGTTGAAGAAGATCTGGATATTATAGTTGGTTGATATTGTGGTTGTTGTTGCTGTTGTTGAAATGAATTAACAGCCATAATTATGTTATATTTGCATTATTTAAATAAATTGAAACCGATGCAATTAAATTGGTAGAGGGAGGAATAAAATTAATCAATAGTGGCAGTTAATAAATAAATAATGGTAGTTGGTTAATGATATCCGAAGAAATATGAATCTGTTGCAAATTAATACAAATCTAAAGAAGAAGAAGAAGATATTTATATATAAAGTAAGAAATGTGTACTTGGTAATTTTATATGCAGTACCGTCGTTTAATTGAAAGAAAAAAAAATAAAAAAAAAAAAAATAAAAAAGGCCGCAACTCATTTTTGCAGTAATAAACATAAATAAATAACACAATTTGAAGTCTATTGTCACCACCACATTGCTTTATTATTAATAATATTAATAATAAGAATAAGCTATCTACTTCTCTTTCCCTTATCTATATTGTTATGAATTTTTGAGATTTCGCCTAGTACCTAGAAACTATCAACCAACACCAAGTGACTACTACAATCTCTATTTTAATGATTATTGCTTCGAAGCAATTGGAATAAGCTTATCAGGGATGATATTTAGTTTCTTTTTAAATCAAATATTTAAAATTAAAATCGCCTATCAATTCTTATATTACTTCCAAACTTCAAGTTAATAAATTATGGCTTTTAACTTAACCAATTTTTTATCTTTTTTATCTTTTCTGTTTAAATTCCTTTGAAATAAAAGGCATCAAAAAAAAAGAAACACTAATTATGCAGAATGGGTTAAATTTATCAAGTGTTGAAATTCGAACAATAAAATGACATATTATTGCAATATGTATGAAATCTTAAAATATATATTAGATTAGAAACGATTTACTGTTATGATTTTCACTATCGAACCAGTTGCTTTCCCAGCTATCAAATCAATAACTAAAAATAATCCCTTCCATGACTTCTTATTTATCTGACTCTTGGTTTCAATTAGTTTATACGCCTCTACTTATCCCCGGAGTCCGGTGTCGTGTAGATCTGCTAAATCTTTACTACGAATATTTTCTATACTGCCGAGAATTATAAAAAAAAAAAAGGTTGAGTTCTGGAACATCACTTAAAAAGCCGCATACAAAATGGTATTTATGGTTGCAAAAAGTGAAAAAGGTTCGGTTATCAACAAATGTACTTACTATAGTATAACATATTGTTAATGTGTAAAACAATGTAATATTGTTTACTTGGGTTTATAAAATATTGGGCCACATGTTTGAACGAAACTTTGTTAACAATACGGTTAGGCAAATCTATGAAGAAAAACGTTGGGTATTAAAACGGAATTATTGTTACAAATTTTTAACAAGTTGTCCAGTTTAGGAAAGTCACGGGAAATGAGATCGCGTAAGCTAAATTTAGAAATAGTTGCAAATTTATTGCATCTTAACTACATATATAAGATATTTATTACGTTTAGGTGCATTTGAGAATGTTAAATATAATAATCTTCTACTATTGATGGTGAAATCCGACTTTTAATGTGTATTATTTTATTAACAATCTAATTATAACATTTCTCTACGTTCTACATCATTATCATTATCATTATCATTTTCATTTTCATTTTCATCTTCATAATCAAATTCATTCAATTGTTGCATTTCATAATTATCATTAGCATTAATTTGATGATTAATTTTATCATATTTCCTCTTTATTCTATTTTTTCTTCTTAATGACTCAGTTATTCTATTTAATGGATTAATTGAATAAAAATCATCAAAAATTTGATCAATATCTTCCAATTCAACTCCTTTAGTTTCTGGATAAAATATAATAACAACGACAACACTAATTATACATGAAGTAGCAGGAAATAAATACATTGCCCATTGTATCAATTGTCTTAAAATTGGAGCTAATAAACCAACAATAAAATTACTTAGCCAATTACATGAAACTGCCAAACTTACACCTTTTGATCTAACACTTAATGGAAATGATTCACCAGCTAATAAAAATGGAATAGGACCAAATCCAAACCCAAATGAAGCATTAAAAATAATAACTAATATTGCAACTATTGTTGGAGTAAAAGATTTATTCAATTTCATAAAACATGCAACCATAAATAAACAAATTCCCATAGCTAAACCAGAACTAATTAAAATTGGTCTTCTACCCCATTTATCAACAAGAAACCAAGGTGGAATTGTAGATAATAAATAAATTGTTCCATTTATACCCGTCATTAATAATGCACCAGAATCATTAAAACCAGCTTGCTCAAATACTAATGGTGCATAATATGAAATTATATTTATACCATTAAATTGTGCAAAAATTAAAGCTGAACATGCAACAAAACATCTAATTTTATATTTTGTAAATAAATATTTCCATGTTCTTTCTGATTTTGGAACATCTCTTTTTTCTCTTAATATAGAATTTTTAATCATAAAAAATTCAATTCTTGGTTGTGATGAATTCTTGTGGGAATCATATAATAATGATAATACATGAAATCCTTGTTGATCCATATCATTATCTAATAACCATCTAGGACTTTCAACAATGAAAAATCCACCAAGAAATAATATAAATGCAATTATTACTTGTATAAATAAAGGTAATCTCCAACTTAAATTTGCATAAAACGAATTTGGATGATTTCTTGCATTTTGAATATCTTGAATAAAATAACAAAAATAATCAACCCAAACACTTAAAGCATATCCAAATATATTCCCAGTAAATTCTCCACATAATAATTTACCTCTTTCTTCACCTGGTGAAATTTCAGCTTGATAAGAAACAACAATAGTTGATAAAACACCAACACCAATACCAGAAAATACTCTACCGATTCCAAATATAAATAAATTAGGACAAAAAGATTGTAAACAACCACCAATCATAAAAATAAAAGTTCCTAATAAAATAGTCCTTTTTCTACCTATTTGATCAGAAATTTTTGCAACTAATAAAGAACTAATCATAGCACCAATTTCTAAAATTGAAATAATAGTACCTATTATAGCAGCATTTGGATTATTAAAATATAAATTAAACGTATCATATGCTAATATTCCTGAACAAACCCCTTGTTCATACCCAAATAAACTAACAAATAAACTAACAAAGGCAGAAGTGAAATAAACCAATTTATTACCTTTGAATTTTAAATTCAGTGTATATTTCTTATTATCAAAATCAATATTTGTATATGAATTACCAAAATTATCAGTAAATGAATTAGAAGCTAATGATGAATTTTCAATATCTTCGTGTTTAAACACTATTGGATCAAATTGATCATCATCATCTGAATTATCTATTATTTCATTATTATCATCATTTTGTATAAATTCATTATGATTATTTTCACTATTATTACTCGAGCTTGATTTATGATCGGAGTTCAGTAGTAAAGGTCGATTATTATCAACTAATGTATGGTCATCAGCAAATGGATCTTGATTTTGATCTTGATCTTGGTCTTCTTTGGGATAATTATTTATTAATGATTTATAAGATGACATATTTAAAATTTAAAGTAGTAATAACATGTATTACGAAAAACAATAAGATTCTCTAAATCTAGAAACCGAAACCACTTTGAATAAATTATTGGAGATATATATACGTTCTTATATGCAGGTTGATTATTTAGCAAGGAAAATTGATTACATCAGCGATCATTATTACTATGACTAGGAAAAATTAACTCATAAGCTTATTTGGTTGCAAAAAATTATCACTACCAATTTACAATGAATAAATATATATATATATTAATTAATTAATTATTACAAATAGTTTATCTCTAAATGACTATATAAATGATGATGATGATGATGATGATTATGATTGATACTCACGATTATATCATAAGTGGCTCCATAACCAAAGTCCCTTGTATTTAATGACATCCTTACATTATGGTATATTAAAGTAAAGGTATCCATTCTCCTTACTTTTTCACTTTTTTATTCTTTTTTAAATAACTTTCAATATAAAATGCTCCAAATAAAGCAGTTAATGGAGCTAAATAAGCAACATTTATTATAATCGGTAATGCTTGATCAGATGTTGAAATACAACTTATCATTTGCAAATTATCTTTACTTACAATATTTGAGGTATCTATAATCCACACAAATGAATGTAAAATAGCAATTGAACCACCAATTACAAATTGAGTAATTTGTAAAGAAGTTAAAATTCTTTTAAAAATATTGGGGACTCTAATTTTTAAACAACTTAATGAAAAATAAAAATACATTAAAGAATGAATAAATGAATTAAAAACAACAAAAATCCAAATTGGCGGACTTTGATATCTTATACCTGCCCACATACACATCATTGCACCTGCATGATGATAAGATTGTAATAAACTCGAAGGTTTACCTTTTAATAATATTACAATAGTATCTATAACTTCATAAAATTTTGAGATATAAAACCACCATCCAAAAATTTCTAAATTATGATAACCTTCATTTGTTATAATTCTTGAAAATATACCTCTTTGAGAATCACAAATTGATTGAAAAAAAATATCTAATCTTTGTAATGAATAATTTTCAATTTGTACAGAAGAAAAAAAATCTGGTAAAAATTCACCTTTAAATAAATCCATAGTTGAAATTATAGAAGAAGTCATACCAATAAAAGTCCAAATTGAATAAATACAAAGGAAAACATTATGTAATAATACAAATATTTTAAAAATACTTGTAGTTGCAATTTCATAAGGAGCCGGAGGTAATTTTTTCAATTGAGCATCAGTAAAATCTAATTCTGTTTGATTTTTGTGAATATTGTTAATTTTATTATATTTTTTAATTTGTCTTTTTCTAATTATTGGATTAATAAAATGAACTGAACTAAAATAAATAATTGCAATAGTTAATGGGGTTGTAACAACCATTGATAAATAATATAAACTAGTCAAAGTTTCATTTGAAAATGGACTTGGAGGTATTGGAGTATTAAATTTAGGTAATGATTTCCAAACTTTTGAATTTGGTAAACCAAATTTAACTAACATCTTAAGATTTATTGAAACCAAACTGATAATGGTAATAGTAGTAGTAGTAGTTAACTGACAATAATAGAAATCTAAATCTATTTATATAATAAAGAAAAAAGAAAAAAAAAAAAAAAAAAAAATATATATATATATTAAATATCAATTTCCAATTAAGGACAACAATTTCTTCTATTATGTAATTATTATGTGATTATTATGTAATTATAATGGTAATTGTTATGTAATTGTTATCTAATTATTATGTAATTTTAATAGTAATTGTTATCTAATTATAATAGTAATTGTTATGTAAGTTGCAGCATAAATAATCACTATACCATATATATCATTTATTTTTATACTTGTAGAAACATTTCATGCATTCTATTAAACTTTTCATTGTATTTACAACTCGATAGTTTTAATTGGTTTGTTGTTATCTCATCTAATCAAATTAAACTTTCAAACTCACAACCCGGATCATCCAGATGTAAGCTTATTCTTACTCTGGAGAATCAAGTATTATTTACTCCATTTTGCATATAACTTTTAACGGTTGCAAATGTTTACATAATATTTAAATTGCTGCAAAAAAAATATTATATATATATATTATTTTATATATTATATACTTGAGACAAATTTAATTTAACCGGCAGTAATAATTGTTTCTTCTTAATTGGCAGTTGTAAATTATTATATTTAGTAGGTGATGACATATATAATTGTTGTTTAGTAGGCAGTTGATACATATTATAACTTTGTTGTTGTTGTTGTTGTTGTTTATTTGGTGTTGCTTGACCTTGCATCAAATTCATCATTTTAATAGGTGATAATTTAACTGGTGAGGTTTGTTGAATTATTTTATTCTTATTAGGTGACAAGTTGTTTAATTCAACAAAATTTGTAATTGATCTTAATGGCATTGGTGATGTAAAAGTTTGGTTGTTAATTTTTACTGGAGATGAACTAATAGTTGGTTCAATTAATGGATTAAATTCAATTTCACCCTTTTCATAAATTAAAAAACCATTATCTCGAAGAAAATGAGTTAAAGAATCAATAGCAATATTTAAATAATTATTTTCTTCTTTGAAATATGAAATTATAATCTGATGATAATTCAAATCTTGAGAACTGGAATTATTTTGGTTTATTGGAACCTCGTTAATTAAAACTTCAATACCGAATATGATCTTAAATGGTATTATTATCGTATCAATAAACTTTTGCTTATTTAATTCAAATAATTGTTTAAATTTCAATTGATTAATGGTTATTTTAAATTCATAATTTAATGGCAATATATTTTTCAATTGCTTTGCACAATATTTAATCTTTGATTCTGATCCTTTTATATCTATTATTAAATCATTCTTGTCATTAAATTCGTTTAAATTAGTTGGGAAATTTATAAATGTTGAATAATCATCTTCAATACGATATATTAAATTCAATTTATTATTATTAATCAACATCAAATAATGACTCTTTAATAACTGAAACTTTATCAGGCTATAAATTGTAGTTATACCATTTGTAATTTGACTCATACAACATTTATAAACCAATTGATCTATTTCACATTTTACAAGGTTTATATTCTTGGAATTTTTCATCGGACATTTAATTAGGACATTATTGTTCCTTTTGAATGAAATATTTGTAATTTTGTTGTGTTTTCTCTCACTTTCAAATTTTATAAACACATTATATTTCTTCATTATTGATTGAATTATAGATCCACCATTACCTATAATCAGTTTATGAAATACTTCTGGAATGTTGAATTTTAATTCACTAGGTAATTCCAATTCAATCAATTCTAATAAATTATAAAGAACAATATTATTTGAACAACTTTCAAGAATGATATTAAAATTAAATTCATTAAATGGTTTGAATTTGATACTAGGAACATTATGTAATTGATTTAATATTTTCATAATCTTACCATTTTTTTTACCACTAATGAAATCCTTTTGATCTTGACCTAATTCGAGAGTTAATTTGGGATTAGAAAGGATGATTGAATTTGAACTGATTAAAAATTTAATATCTTCTCGGGAACCAATTATTTGAACTCGATCTCCATCTTGACTTAAAATACATGATTTACCAACAATCGAATTCTCACATACTGTTCCCATTCCTTCAAGTTTATAATATTGTGTAGTTAGTAAAATTAACTCATTTATACAATCATCAATCAAATCTTGTGAGCAACCTTGTACAATAATACTACTCTCAGTATCGCCTAAGTTTGGCAATTGTATAAACACACCATATTTAAACATTAAATTCATAATATCTTTTTGATTATTCAATATAATTAATTCTAATTTCTCCGTTACTGTAACTTCTTTTATAATTAGCTCATGTTTAATTTCAAATAATTTACTAATTATATGTTTGATTAGTAATATATCAGTTAAATGTTTCAGCGTGAACCAAATTTGACAATATTTAGTATTTTTCACGATCCTCGAATTGTATATATTTGAAAGTAAATCAGGTATGTAAATGTTACATTTTGTCTGTTTTGAAATTTGATTAAAATTGAATAAATCAATACCTCCTAATATTGGAATCATGGATAATTCAACATTGAAACAATCGATATAAAAATCATTTAAATAATAATCGATTAGTATTCGTAACTCTAATTCACATTTATTTATATTATCTTGATTTCCTAATATGTGGACAGCATAAAAATTATCTAAGATAGAACTACTATTCATTTTAGAATTGTTTATAATTATATCAACATTGAATCTTGAACTTAATTTAGCTAATTCAGAAGTGAACAATTCATTTATTTTCATGAACTCGGCATTTGAAATATATAAGGTCTTAAAATTGACAACATTGAACTGCTTTAAGATTTGCAACTTTGAATTATTAATGAAAGATGAAGAACCTTCTATTCTTACATTGATTGATTTATTTGTAATTTGCAACTTAATTGAATTTGCATAATTTGTGTTAATTTCGTTAAATATTGACTGAAGTTTTTCAAAGTTGTCTATAATTTTGTAATTTAATTTATTTGATGACTGTAGTGTCCATAATTTATTCGTTTCGAAATATGTAATAATTTGATTATTTAATAATTTTGGATCTATTAAATAAGTATATTCTAAGTTAAAAGTAGTAAACATAATGTTGAAAAAGAAAAAAACTATTAATGGATCAACTGGATATATTCAAATATATATATATATATATATATATTGATCTATTAGAACCGACGAAACTAACCTAATTAGGTAATAATGTAAATACATAGACATCATAACTATATGCAGTACATGTCTCGTATTTTAAGTAATTGTGCATGAAAACTCAGATCTTAAAACTCAGGTCTCATATATCATATCTGAAATTTTGCCATTTTTGGACAGATCTGAGATCTGATTAAAGATATAAGCACATTAAAAAATATGACTAATACCTCGATTTTAATCTTTGTTTAAGTAAAAGTTGTATCAATGTTCGATCATCTTTTCTAATTTCTCCTTAGATCTGCACATTTTCTTAATTTTCTTAATTTTCTGAATTTTCTTCTTAACTTAAAACGGTAAGATAAACTCATCTCAGATTTTACATATTCTCCAATTTAATAAACAGAAATTAATAAATAAATAAATAATTGTATATTCATAATCTGTGTGAATCCCATATATATATCATCTCATCCCATCCAGTAGTAGCAACCCAACCTGGTTTACCCCATAAACTATAATCACAACCAATTACAAACTCTTTATGATTATTAAAAATTCCTTTACAACCACCTAATTTAGTATTTAAAAATCTTGCTCTTTCATCACTTTCATCTCTCCAAATTCTTGAAGTCATATCATAAGATGTAGAAATTAATTCTTTTGGATCATGAGGTGACCATTGAACTTTTCTAACAGCAAATTCATGTCCCAATAATTCATTTAAGGGAGTTGGACCTCTTAAATGTTGTGAAGGTAATGGAGATTGACTTGAAGGTTGATCAATTTTTGAAATCATTCTTAAATCCCATATTCTAATTGATTTATCAGTACCACCAGATACCAAAACTGTATTTTTATATTTATTCCAATCAACTGATAAACATTCTAATCCACCATGAGCATTATATTGAATTTGTAAAGGATGTGGAGATCTAATATCCCAAATCTGAATTTTTGATGATCCATTACAGCTTGCAATCATAGATGGAGAGTGTGGTGAAAATTCAGCTGTATATATACAATTTGAAGTATTTGCTTGATTCAAATGTTGTTGTTGATGAGATAATGGAATTTTTGATGTTGATTGAATTGGTGCTGCTATTGTAGTATAATCTATACTTGGATTTAATGTCATTATTGAATTCAGTCGTTGTGGTGTCCATATTTTAATTGATCCATCCCAACTACCACTTATAAAATTTGATTTATCTACTAAATTCCAATTTATTGAAAAAACTTCTCTTTGATGTTCTTTCCAATTCATTATAGGAAATTGTGAAACTTTTGAATCAAATAATTTTATAGAACCATCTCCATTTGCTGTTACTATTTGATTTTCATGTAATTCATTCCATGATAAATCAAATAGACCATCTTGAGTTTCCCATGCAATTTCATTAATTATTGAACCATTTGGTTGAATATCAAGTATGAATAATCTACCATTCCCAACTAAACCATAATTTGCAGCTGTTGCAACTGCTAATTTATTATCAAAAAATGGTGAATATTGTATACCATAACCATTATAACCTTTTGTTCTAAATGATAACATTGAAGAACCACTTATGAAAAATTACGAGAGAACAAAAAAAAAAAAAATGTATACAGATTGATTATTTTATTCTATTCTATATACAAATTCGTCTATATTTCAAATAAATCAGTGTTTAAATATTTAATAAGATCCCGGTCTAATACATTAATGTACTCTTTATCAAATAGTCTAAATTGTATTAAATCTCCTAGTATTAATGCAATTTTTTGATTTGAATATTTTATATAATCGAAATCATCATCACTTGAAGTTATAGCTTCACCATCTTCAATAACTGGTAAATCTTTAATATCTTCTAAATGAATTGAATCTAATGCAGTTGTAATATTATAAGTACTATCAATTCCTTGTTCCATAGTACCATTTTCAATTTCGGTGGTTGATTTAATTGGGCCATTTTGAATTAATCCCCATAAACTCCAAAATATTTGAACTGAAGGTCTCCAATAAATACATTCATTATATAATTTTTCAATCTCCAGTTGAATTAATCTTGATGCAGAAGAAGTATCATTTAATATTTCTTGTGGTTTTTTATTAGTTTTTAAATTTGATGATGGATATTGAAAATCATATTCAATATACGACTTTATCAAATTTAATTGTTGTAATTTTGTTGGATATTTTTCTTCATTTATATAATATGATTTTATTGGATCATGATAATCAGCCATCCATTCGCTAAAATGATTTACAATATCAAATGCAGGGAAATTTGGTCCTGAATATTCAAAATCAATAACTACTAAATTTGAATCTTTTTTATTTGATGTTGATTTAATGTTAACTTCGTCAGAATCACCTTGATTAACTATTATATCTTCTGGTTTAAAAGATTCATGTAATAATAAATTCCCATATTGAGTATCATTATGGCAAAACTTATAATTTAAACTAAATTCCAATTCATCATATTTGTCGAACAACCAATCTTTATATTTAAAAATTAATGATTTATAATCTTGAAAATTCATAAAAAATATAGTTTTTGGATCAATTTTAGCTTGCACATATCCTGGTAAATATTCATTTTCTATAATTTTTAACCATTTTTCAATTAAATACCAACAAGTAGGTAATTTTTCATAATCTTTCGCATCTAATTCAATTTTATAATGTAAATCTTTCATTCTTCTACCTAACATTTGAGAAATAATTTCATCTCTAATTTGCGATTTATTTAAAGTTGTAAAACCATCTAAAAACTGTTCAAATCTACCATTTGTAAAAATTCCTAATAATCTAGGTCCAATTCTTTTTTGTGATAATTTAACTAGAATCTGTAATTCGTTATCTCTATCAATTAATTCATCTACATTTCTACCATAAACTCGTAATAATAATGCAGGTAAATATAAATTTTGAGCTGAATCATGATATTCAATTTTATAAATTGAATTTGTTAATGCTCCACTAATTCTATTAATTATTAAATTTTGAATATTCAATTGTTTTTTATGCCATTTACTAATTTTTAATGTTTTTGTTAATGCTAAAATATCTTGTTTAAAGAATTCTGTAGGTAATGTATTATCTAAAAACACTTGAACCGATGGTATTGATCTTTCATTATCTATTTGAGTTGGTATAATTGTAATTTTATTAATTGATGAAGAACTTAATGATTTTTTTGAGCCTAAACTAGGTCTTCGAGTGCTGCTAGTTGATCGTGAATTAGCAGTCGAGTTTCTTGTTCTTGATCTTGATCTAGATCTGGATCTAGATTCTCTTATGTTAACAGGAGTGATCTCCATATTCAATTGTAACTAATGGTTGTAAAAAAAGTAGTTGATAATTTTCCACCACAACAAAAATTATGAATCGTGTCGCATGACTGAAAAAAAATAGAACAGCTAACTAATACGAACGAATACGAACGAAGAGGAACCAATAGTACGAATGAATGCAATCTTTGTTATTAGAAAGGTTATTGGGTAATGTTACTCCGTTACATTTGCAATCTGTTATTATTGATAACAATTATTCATCAATTTATCAATCTGCTATTTCCAATGTATTCCCATTAAATTGTCATAAAAATGCGCTGGTTAATAGTTTATCATTAGATTCAATTGATTATCAATTCTTGTTAAGTGGTTGCGGTGATTCTTCGATTAAATTATGGGATTTAAATCAACAAGAAATTACTGGTAAACCAAGCGAAATTGATTCAAAATTAAATAAAAATCCTAAAAATTATGATACTTTTGATTATGATAATCCAATTTCAACATTTACAAACATTGCTACAATTCCAAGAAAAACCCATCATAAATTTGGTATATCTGCTTTACAATGGTGGCCTTATGATACTGGTATGTTTGTTAGTTCATCATTTGATCATACTATTAAAATATGGGATACAAATGAATTAAAACCAGTTCATTCTTTCAATTTAAATCAAAGAATTTATTCAATTGATGTCAATGGTGAAAATTCATTAATTTCAACTGCTAATGATCATCCATTTATAAGATTATTAGATCTAAAATCAACTTCAAGTTCTCATACTTTATCTGGCCATAAAGGTAAAACACTAAGTGTTAAATGGCATCCTATAAATTCTAATTTACTAGCTTCTGGTGGGTTAGATGGTGAAGTTAAAATATGGGATATACGAAGAAGTAAAAGTTGTTTATGTAGATTAGATATGTTAAGAACAAATGATCAAGTTGAAGATGTTTACAATTTAAAGAAGACTTCGGTGAAAGCTCATCTGGGTCCAGTCAATGGTTTAATTTGGGATGAATTGGGTTCAATTTTATATACTGCTGGTAATGATGATAAAGTAAGAGTTTGGGATATGATTTCAAAAACTTATCCACCCACAAATAAATTGATCAACTTTGGTCCATTAACTAGAAATAAATATTCACAAACAATCCCAATTTTATTAAATCCAAAAAATGAAATATTAACTCAACGATATTTAATATTCCCTTCTGATTCAAGTGATATTTTAATTTTTAGAACAAATGATGGCAAATTACAAACTAGATTAACAAGAAAAGGTACAAAAAATATAGGTAGAACATGTTCAATGATATCTGGGAAACCAAATAATACTCAAATTATATGTGGTACAATTGATGGAGAAATTATAAATTGGTTACCATATTATGAACAACCAAATATTGAAAATTTAATAGAAGAAGAAGAAGAAGAAATGGATATAGAAGAACAAATATTAAGAAAGCATAAATTAGCATTACAAGGACAAAGTTTAATGAATAATGAAGTATAATTGTGTATACTACTATCTATTAATACATCCTTATCATACTTGCATCCTTCCTTACCATCCTTACCATCCTTACCATCCTTACCTTTCTTGCTTCCTTACCATACTTCTTTCATCGTCTAATCAATAAAATCAAAACGAGAAATTGAATCGTAAATTTTTTTAACAGAAAAAAAAAAAAAAAAAAATATTAATAATAATAAACCATTAATAATAAGAATACATTGTTCGTATATAATCTACTTTCTTTATGGATAATAAGAACAGATTAAGATTACAAATCATATTTGTTCCTAAAGATGATGAAAAAGCTGATGTTGATGAAAACGAAGAAAAATCACTTTGTATTAAATGGCTTCATTTTATAGATCCAAATCAATTAGTTCAAGATTTAAAAGATGAATTGACTGAAAAATTTAATTCAGAATTATCTAATAAATATGGTAAATTAATGATTCATGGTATTCAAGATATTCATTTACGTGATATTGATGGTGATTTAATCGTGGGGAATTGCTTTGATGATAGATCAAAATGTAGAGTAGTTGTTAAAAATAAACTTCATGATTTAACACAACCATTACAAAATTCAACTTCAAATATAAACTCTCCAATTGCATCACCAGTTATTTCAAATCCTCCTGCTCCAAAAATATCGTCACCTAAAACCCAAAAATCAACCACCGCAAAAAGTGAAAAAGCAGTTCCTAAAAAATCTAACACTAACGGTGTTGTTAGTAATCCACAACAAACAGACTCTGAATCTGATTCCGAAGATGATATTATACTAAGTAGAAGGAAACGAAAAATTCAAGAAGTTGTAGAAGAAAAAGAAGAAGAAGAAGCAACTGAAGAAACTAATAATTCAAATTTGGAAATTATTGATCCTACTTACAGTTCTGATGATGATGACGATGGTGATTATGATAATAATGATAGTACAGTATCTAGAGATAAAGTTATACAAGCTGATGAAAAAAGTAAAAAGAGCAAAGTTGATAAAAAAGCATTGGAGGATCTTGATTTGGAATTTACAATGTCAGATTATACTCCAATGCTGGATAGAGGTGATAGAGTAGCTGCTAGAGAAGCAAATTTGAAATTTAATGAAAGCAGGAATGCAAATTTGAAAAAGAAACCAAAAGTTGTTAAATCATCATCATCGAAAAAGGAAATTTCAAGTCCAAAATCAACTACCAAAGAAACTAGCACAACTACTTCTCTAAAGAAATCAAGTATATCTCCAAAAACATCGTCTGCATTTGCTCCACTAAAAGTAACTTCAGAATCACAACCACCATCAAAACAAAAATCTCAAAAATCACCAATAATTGAAAAATCTGAACCATCTATATCGGATTTACCAAAGGGTTCAAATGTTTTAAATGAAATTGTATTAGTATTTAAATCATTTCAAGCTAAAATTAATGATTTAAAAAAAATTGATGAAAATACAAGATCAACAGTATATTCTCGACCTCCATCTAATTATTTTGATAAATTATTATTGGAAGATTTTATGGAAAAAGATGAAATTGGATTTGATTGTGTATTACATTTAGTTACTGCAGCTACAGCACCACCATCTCCAATTATCAAACAATCAACAATGAATGTTGAACAACCTGACCCTAATTTAAATATGAATCAAATAAAGAGTTCTCAGGATCATGATTTTAAAGATCAAAATACATTTTTAAAAGATCAATATAATAAGGAAGAACCGCCAACTGTAAATTTCGGTTTTGATAGAGAATTAGACGAAGATGGAGATTTACGACGGCTTAATAAACTTGATTATGGAGAAAATAGTCAAATTTCAAATACTCACTCATCAGCATTTTGTAAAGGAGATTCATTTAAGAATAATTATAATAATAATAAAAATCATGATACATCTAGACTATTTGATGATGATGATGAATCACAAAATATTGATAAATCACCAGAAAAGAAGAAGAAAATTGCTGATTGTTCTTCAGATGAATCTTCAGATGACGATTCAATAGATGAAATGGAAAATCCAAAGAAGAAATCAAGATTAGTTGCTCAAACACCAAGTCAAAAAGCATCGCCAAAAATTATTCCACCGCAATTAACCAATATTAAAAAAGAACAAGAACAAATTGAAATAAATGATATTTCAAAAGATTCAAAAAAGGAAAATATATATATACCAAATAAAATTAATGGATTACCTTCATTACTTGATTTAGCAAATAGAGGAGTACCAGATGTTCGTGATGAAAATGAAATTAAACCAAATTTAAAAGGAATAAAAGAAGAAGAATCGTTAGAGGAAAGTTCTAGTGAAAGTAGTTCCGATGATAGTGATGATGAAGATTCAAAATTCATGAGTAAAGAATCAATACAAAGAAGAAATAAGAAGAAGAAGAATTTATTTGTTTCAATGAAAAGATAAGACTATATAGTTGCTTTTTTACTATAAATATTTCTTCCCAATATTTGAATTGTCCAACTTTGATAAGTTACTTCTGGAGGTAATGTTTCTGTAATTACAGATAATATTCTTTTATAAATTTCTCTTATAAATTCTTTTGCAATTTTTGGTTGTTCAATCAATAAAGCAGCCATATAAGATTCAAAAAAATCACCTAAAAATTCTTCTTCATATATCCTCATTTCATCTTCTTCTTTATCAGAAGGAATTTTATTATGGATCGTATATGGTAAATACTCGTTTGAAATCCTTGTATTTATAATTGAATCATCTAATGCTTCATATAGTTTATAACATTTAGCCAATTTTGACATTAGGGTATTTGTAGCTAAAATCATTCTCAATAATTGATAAGTAGTTGAATTTAAATCAATTCCATCATTACATAAATCAAAAATTAATTTTGATGTTTCTTGAGCTAAGAATAAATCTCCTAAACCATCAAGGAATGAAATTTCTCTCCTTATTATCCCATATTCACTAAAATCAAGGTCATAATGTTCTGCTTTCATTTTTTTAGCAAATGAATGATTTGGATCAAGTAATAACCTATAAAATTCTTTATGCATTAATGCCTTAACTAATAATTCTTTATTATTTAATTTTGGTAACTTTGGTAAATAAATTTTCTTATTAAAAGCTTCAGTAAATGAAACAAATCGATCATAATCATTGGATTCAAATAGTAGATCTTCTTTTATTTTTACATTTTTAATATATTCATTAAATGTTTCCAATGTATAATAATCTCGACTATCTCTAATCAATTTCATTTCACTTATTCTTAATCTTGTCTTTCTTGATTCCAAATACATTTCAATAACATATTCCAAACATGAATAAACATCATCTTCATTATAATTATGTATCATATATCCAAATATAATATACAACCAATTTTTTAATCCAAAATGATGATCACATAAAATCATGGAATTTTCTTTATTTAAAATAATTTGATTTGAAGTTAAAAAATTCTTGAGTTGTAAATGCTTAGTTGATTTTTCATCATTTAATTCTCTTTTTAAAAATGTCGATAAATCATATACAATTTCTTTAATTAATGATCCATTACCAAATGTATGATTATTAAATGTAAATAACGTTTTAATTTTACGATATGAGCCTAATCTAATAAAATCTCCGCCAAGGCTATAAAAATGATATTTTATATGTTTATCTGAATGTAATAATGCATTTAACGGTGATGGTATTAATAATGAATGTTTTGAATTTGTTCGCTTATGAACTTTCATTGATGAATTCATTTTATTAAATGATATCCTTGTTATCATTAAATAAGAAACTAACGGAAATGACTAGCAGCAAATGAGTAATAAAGAATCGGGTTTATTTATTTGTTTGTTTGTTTGTTTGTTTGTTTGTTTCTTTGTTTTTTGACTCCAGAACTCAAAAATAATAAAATATGTCAATATGTCACCAAAATTATATACCGATTTGCACAACAACGTGCTCCTGAATTAAAAGACGCATGCAATTGAAATTGAGTGACAACTTTTGTAAAGATGGATTACCGTAGATAATTTAGATTGTTTCTGTTTGTTTTGTCTTATCCATTTTGCTGCTAGTATTAGTTGTACTAGTCTGAATCTATACTGAGTTTTGTTTAACATTCGCTGTCTTATCTTATCAGTGGATCGAATCATACATTATCACAAATGGTGGGTTTTGTGTTTTCATTTTGCAGCACGAAAAAAAAAAAAAAAAAAAAAACAAAACAAAACAAAAATCTCTTTAAGGAGTAGTCATAATAAACATGTAAATATATGACTAATTCTTCTTTCATATTCACCTCAATGTAGGAAAATATGACTCAGTATATATGTATATATTTTTAGCTGATATTTATTTTTTGGTATGTCTTTTTTTGTACTGAAAGATTAGCTACTGTCCTGACTCATTTAGTTTTAATAAACCATGTATACTGTTTTCAAAACTTATTTGGTCTGAATAGCTAACTGGCAATGAATACAACCTCTAAATAGTTATTGTATTGATTTATACAACTGAACTACGCAATATTTTTTTGACAAGGTCAGCGTAAATTCTATTTCTAGTAATTATGAAAGATTTTGGCTGCAAAATTTGAAATTGCTACCAAATTTCAGAATGTATCGCGCATGATATTAGAACTGACCTAAATATTAGTCTTTTACTACTCGATAATAAAGTACCTGAATGGATAAAGCTCATATGTAAATAATTAGGTGGTCAAAAACTATTCAAAGCATATCTAATCTTAAACCGAAAAAAGCACAATATAATGGTGAAAGTTCATCCATTATCACTAATGAAGAGTTTGAAGAGCTCACACCTGAAACAAATAAACAATCTAGAGTCTTACTTGGAATAATTCGCAAATCTACAAGTGGAGATTGTAGAACAAATACAAAGGATGAATTATTGCTTGAAGATTTTGCAAGTGCATTGACTGAAGCTGCTAAGAGAAGGAGGGTAGCATTTTGTATTACACTAACGGGATTAAGTGGATAACGATAGATGGTATATTAATACTTAAGTCTTTCTAATTAATCAAGGAAATATAAATTGTGGTAAAAAGCCATCCCCGAATAAAATGGAATTACATAATAAAGACCCTATATCACATTTATAACCTTTAGAATATACAGAATGACTCATTAAACGTTTATTAACCTTTTGTATAATTACTGCAAAATCATGATCGGCATAAAAAACCGTATCGCGAGCTCAAAAAGAATTCTCCAGGCTGCTCATGGCCTTCACTCTCAACAACAAGCCTGCGTGGCGAAATGGTTATCGCTTTTGACTTCTAATCAAAGGATTCCGGGTTCGAATCCCGGCGTGGGTTGCTTGTTTATTTTGCAGCTTTAGCTCACCTGGGAGAGCGTCAGACTGAAGATCTGGAGGTACTGTGTTCGAGCCACAGAAGCTGCATTTTTCTTTTTTTTTGAGTTGTTGTTGTCCTTTGTTTATTTTTTTGCGGCCAAATTGATCGGTGAAAAAGATCACTTAAAGATTTTAAGCAGATGTGTATTTAATTCTATCCTTCGTAATATACTGAATTAATCTTGAGTTAATTATACCTTCTTTTTATTCCAATCTTTGTAAATTTTCGGGTACTTTCAATTTTTTTGCTAAATATATGTCAAATTTCTTGAAACGATTCCTTGTATCAATTTTTAAACTTCCTAATGATGTAGGAAGAAGTGTATAGTACTCAATAGGCATCTTAGAATAATGTAATTGTAATACTTCAAAATTGTTGAACTTCATCAATCCCATATATTTACAAGGCCAAAATTTAATTCGAAATGTTTAATCAGTAACGATATTTCAATTTCGTCTAAATCATCAACATCACAGCAGTTAAGTTTCAATATTTCTAAGTTTGGCAGTTTTTTTATCAATCCATTGACATAACGAGCTGATGCGTATCTCATAGTGAATGAAGGAAAAACAACTCCGTCAATTGCTGGTGTTTCTTATCCGATCATCGAATAATCTTTCCACATTACTACTAATTGGTTTTATATTTTCAAAATCAATCAAAACTGTTTTTAAATTAATTAATTTGTCTAATTTTTTTGCGATATATATATATAACCAGAACTGTCGTCATCACCTTTGCACCAAACCAAGTTGATAATAGTGATCTTCTCAATCAATAGTATGATACACCATTCCCTTCAAATGATCCCAAAGTTACTGTGGAATAATTCTATACTCGTCCATCAATTATTTCAATTTTACGAAGGAAATTGTAGTTTGAGCAATTTTTCCATAATTCTTCGAAGATAAAACTACCCTTGTGTCTAGATTTGTTCAATGAAGTAATCTGGATCCTCATAACTTTTAATAAACACTTCTTTATATAAATGGCCAAGGCAATTCTGTTCAAATTTGTTTTAGATTGACATATAATCTTCCATTGAGCATTCATCTAAGTATATAAATATATTTTCAATAAGTTCAGTTGGTAAAGTAACTAAATTCATGATTTAAATAGCCAAAGGCCATTCATTAATTAAATTAGATCAAAAATCTCGATCTCTAATATATTTACGCGAATTTAATTACGCGTAATTACCTCATGCAAGAAAATAATTTTAGCCCAAACTCTGGAACGAAAGAGTATTATTTTTGGTCGTTCTCTTCGCCTCAAAAATTTAGTATTTTAGTTTCAAGTTCTTCTATTAATTCTGATCACAAATTCTATTGATAAACAATTTATTCTTATATATTATAAAAAATCACAGAACTGATACACGTTGACTTACAAGTCTAAAATGAAACAAGATTTGTTTCAGTTGAATTTTTAAGTTGACCAAAACCAATAACATCTCTTTCAAAATCAACAGCAACATACATGTATCTGAACAAATGAGCACCAAGTTGTGCATCACTACATTTGTTAAATGAAGCATAACAATTCTCTCCACTTTGATGAGGTTGAACAAATGATCTTAAAGGTAAAGTTAATTCTTTACCATTTATTGAATATGAAAACGTTTTGCCTTCCAAAGCAGTACAATTTAATCTACCAGGTTGACCAAAATATTCATTGTTTGAAAATGCACTTAATAATTCTGAATATGCTTGGTCTGGTATACATGCTTGATTACCACCAGAATCAACAGTATAATTTTTATTTATGGTAATGTTTTTACCATTGACAATAATATAATCAGCATGACCTGCTACATTTATATTCTTAATTGATGTCCAACTAAATTCACCATCTAATTTTGAAGCATCATAACCACCTAAATGAAATTGACCTGGGAAATCAGTGTCTCCAAGATAAAATGAATAAGCTGGTTTACTGATAATACCTTGTTCATAAGCTCCCCAAGCAACATTTCTTTCTTTTGGACTTGAGTGTCCCATTCCTAATATACCTTGTGGTATCCCTTTTGCATAGTTGTCATCAACCAAGGGAAATTGTTTCAAAGTTATGTCACCAAATGTAATGTCATCTTTGACTAATTCACCAGCCCTTCTAGCACTATATGTTCCACCACCATAAGCATCTGTGACATTTCTACCTAGTCTATTCAATGTAGTTGATGCATTTGCATCGAAAGTACCCCATTGTTTACAATTCATATTGCAAATTATATTTTTATCTGGTACATGAAAATTACTTGAACCAGTATCAAAGACAATTCCAATCTTGTCTTTATTTGAACCAACTTCAACTTCAACTGAATAATAAGATCCTTTAGTAATACCAGCAGTTCCAACAAAATCATCTCTCTTTTCAAGATTTGGATTACCTTTTAAACCAAGTGATACCACTTTGTATTGTTCGTTTATAGCTGTAGCTTCTGATGAAACTAAGTATAATGCAACTAGTGATAATAATTGATAGAACATCTTTTGAGCTTTTGATATAATGAACTGTGGAACGTCTTCCCATTTATACAATTCCAGTGAATTTCAGTTGACGGATTGCAGACATCCTATTTGTTTTAACACTGGTTATGATTTGAAATTAATTCAATAGTTGCTAGAAACATAATGGAGTGGTGTTAAAATCTCAAAATTTCAAAATTTTCAGCATTTCATAACCCTTTAGTCTATTGTCTTCTTGAAAAATTTAAAAATCTATGGTTATGAACTTGTAAGTTCTCCTAAACGTGCTTTCGTCCTTTCAATTTAAACATTGTAAAAGATAATAAATATGATTTGAAGTCAAATATTTCTTAAAACAATTTGACTGCCTTTTTTACGATAAGTAATTTGATAATTTTGCACAACTCACGTCATCCATTTCTATTTAAAATAAATCTCCATTATGTTGAATAATTTTATTCAAGTTTAGCAGTTTCATTATTAATCTATGGCTCACCGAACCGAAACATATTTAGTAGTGTCAAATTAGCAAAACATATAGCGTTAAATTTGATGATAAACTTTACTTTTTCAGTTGGTAATCTATTTCCAAACTGACTAACAGCTTGAAAATAAAGTAGATTTGCTTCCAAATAAGTAACCTATATACAATCAGGAATTAGTTCATCATCTTTTTTTACCGAACCAACTTGATTTTGAAATTTTCTCCAGTTAATGCGCGATGTGAGGTTCGAACCTCTTGTTATCAACGTAAGGTAATGCGGTGATATGGATTTGTTATTCTTTCAATAAAGATGGCTTGATTTAGCCTAAAATTGTTACTTATATGAAATAAATTTCAAGTTTTATCAATTGTTGGTGGTTTATTATTGGTTGTTAATGCTGGTGCTGGTGAATTCTCAATCGATGAAAAGAAGAAGATCTATTAAAACTTATAAAACTCTTGAATATATAAAACTTCATTGAAATATTGAATCACTAAGCGAGAAAAAAACTAAAACATCACCCTAGCTTTGATACGATATAATAATTTTGTAGCTTTAAATCATCGCATTAAACGTCAGTGACTATTGGAGCTAAATTTGGTATAAAGTCGCCTTAACTCTACCGCGATTTAATATTCTACTCGCTCCAAATTTTTGCACGAAAGATATATAACTTCGCTCGGACGTCGCCGTAACTTCAATGCGAGAAATTATTATTGTCGCTCCAAAATATCGCATTCAAAAATACTGAGGATTTTTTGCAGTCAATTTTTTCGTACGAAATATAACCAATGAAACAATGTCGAATAATAATAATATAGATAAACCAACTTGTCCAATTAATATAAAACAATCATGGTGGTTAAAACTACTCTGGTAACAATCAGCACAACCAACTCCTATATCAGCTTGTCCCGTGGATCATTCATTATTTTCGTTTGAATCTTTAATTGATTATCCTCCAGGTATAAGGTACAAAATAAACATTTTACTAATTCTGTCGCTAAGTTATCTAGTAACTTAGCCAAATTTTCTAATTAATAAGTGACTTATTTGTAAGGTATTTATAATTCGATTTGATTGTGAAATCTCGATCTAAATATACGAATCATAAATCGCGCGTACCTTAAAATAAATATAAAATTTTTATTTACACCGGGACACGACCCCGCGTAATAAAATTTAGTACGATTTTGGCCGTTTCGACTTCGATTCACTTCGCCTCAATAATAACAATCGAATAAAATTAACCATCACACGACTATAAAAATTATAAAAAATTAAAAAGAAATTTTAGTGCTTCAATTTCAAGATTTTTATTTTATTACAACCGTCAAATTATAATCACAAAATCTATTCATGATAAACATATAGTACAACCAATAATCAACAGTTAAACAATAACATTCCATAATGATAGAGATCAAACTATTAAAAAACATTTTTCTAGTGGTGTTGTTTGTCAACATTTTTTATTTTGTTAAAGTTTATAAACTTGAAGAAGAAAAATTAATACAACTAGCTATTAAACATAAAAACTCGATAAATTATCATACAGATGATGAAGTACCATTTCATGATCAAAAACCATATCATTTATTAAATACACAAGAAAAAATTGCATATCTATTACATAAAGTTTCATTAAATCAAGATAATAATTATTGGTTAGCAAATACAAAAGTTGAAAATCCTTCAATTGATATAGATCCAAAATTATATTTACCAGTGAATAATAGTAATGAAAGAAGTTGGTATTATAAATCAGAATTATTTTATGAACCAAGATTTATATTATCTGTTATATTAGATGAATTGAAAAATCAACTACTAAACCTAAACCCCAAAAATATAAAAGAAAATGATCATTTAATTAAGTTACCATTTTCATGGTCTGATTGGGTTGATTTAACGATGTTAAATGAAGAAATTTCAAAATCAATAGATGAAAAAAGAAATTGCAAGTGGTTACAAGCAAAAGCAAATAAGAAAACAAAATATTCAAAATGGTGTCAAAATTTATTGGATTTGTCAGATGAAGAAATTGAAGAAATTGGTATTGCAAGAGAAGATTTACCTGGTTTTATTGTTAGAAATTCTCCAATGAATAAAGCACCTCATAGAGAAGTTATGTTACAAGGTAAGGCACATTTATTTACAAGTCAAGAAAATCCAATTTCAGTAATTTTTTTGGCTAAAAATGGTACTTATGAAGCTCAATTGATTAATAAACGACAAAGATTGATTCATACTGATTTATTTGAAAAATATTTAATTAGAAGAGGTATAAATCCAAATAATATAGAAGACATGATGAAAATCAATATGAATCCACAAGTTGAATTTAATGAACTATTAAATGCTATCAAACCCAGACCATTAAATCCTGATGATGATATTCATAAAATGAGACAAATTACCAAACAAACTGATACAAATGTTTCACGAGAACTTTACCTCGATAAAGATTCATTCCATTATAAACAAGAAGAGGTTGATGAACAATTAAGTGATTATGAATTAAGATTAAATAAAATTGACGAATCTATTTCAAATGAATTAAAATATGATCCTGCCGTGATTTCAGAAAATAGATTAAATCGTCACGAATTAAATCATTATGAAGGTTTAAAATATGCAAATAAATTCCCTGTTGCAAAAGAACCAACTTACTATAAATTGGCAACTTTAAAGAAAAATAAGTTTAACCAAGATGCTGGTTGGCATTATGAATGGAGGTTTTTCAATGGTGCCTTAAGATATATTAAAGATGAGACTTGGACAACTGAACAATTGGAAGTTAGAGAACAAATTATATTGGATAGATTATTAAGAAATTGGTTTAGATTTGCTGAAGAAAAAGGTATAATTTCATGGATTGCTCATGGTCCATTATTATCGTGGTATTGGGATGGATTAATGTTCCCATTTGATATTGATATTGATATACAAATGCCACTGAGTGAATTAAATAGGTTATCAGCCAATTATAATATGACTTTAATTGTTGAAGATATAGATGAAGGTTTTGGGAAATATTTAATTGATTGTGCTGCATTTTTACATCATAGAGATTTAGCTGCAAAAGATAATCATATAGATGCAAGATTTATTGATGTAGATACTGGTACATATATTGATATAACAGGTATTGGCATAAATAATGAAAGACCTCCATCAGAATATGATGCATATATTAGACGTAAAAAACAAAAAGGAGAATCAGTTGAATTATATATGGATAGAAGAAAACATTGGTTAAATTTTGAAAAAATTGATCCTTTAAGATATTCACTTATTGGTGGAGTTCCAGTTTATGTTCCTAATGATATTTTATCAATGTTAAATCATGAATATTCAAGAGGTACAAAACTGTATTATTTTAATGGGTATTATTATGTTCCAAGTTTAAGATTATGGATTCAACAAGATAAATTGACAAAAATTTTTAAACCTGAACAAATTTTAGATAAAAAAGGTGAAGTTAATAGATCAAAATTAGTTGATTTAGTTAAAGAATTGGATGATGAAGGGAAATTGAAAATATTAGAAATGAATGAAGATATATTAATTGAATATTATTTAACTCATAAATTAACTACATTACATGAAGTTGAAAAAAAATTTATGTTGGATCACTCATTACAACAACTGATTTTAAATTTAACTTATAATGAAGAATATCATTATTTAACATCAAAATTTAAAATGAGTAAACCAATTAGAAAATCTTTATTTGATTTTGAATATTATAGTAGATTTAGATATATGGAAAAAGGAGAAGAAAATAATGAACCAGTTGAAATTATAGAGATCTTAGAAGAAGAAGAGAAACAAAACCAAGCTGAATTATTAAAACAACAAGCAGAAGAAGCAAGATTAAAACAAGAAGAATTCTTAATGGAACAAGGACAACAATTAGAACAACAACATAAAGAATTTGAAGAAACTTGGGTAGAAACTAGACCAGAACAAGCCAATGCAGATCAACCAACAGTAGAAGAATTAGTCGATGATAAAGAACAACTTCTAAATAGTAACGATGAAATACCGCTTAATGATTAAATAGTAATACATAATTTTTTTATGCGCAAGGCAAAATTAATTTTCATCTTTAATGTTTAAATTATCAATAAATAGAGCTACAAGATTAGCTATAAGATCTTATTCAACAACAACACGTACGCCGACAGCTTTTAGAAGATCAACAAGCTCTACTAAATCAAGTGTTATACCCAAGACTGAAGAATCAAAAGAAGAAGCAACATCAACCACACCAAAATATGCGTTTCATGACGCGCCAAAAGATTTAATTATTGATAATTCAAACTCAAATCAGATAAATTGGTCAGATTCATTTCATGGTTTAGGTTCACAACCATTTTCAAAAGAAATTTGTGATGTTTTATTAAATGAAATTGATGAAAAAGATGTTGAATGTAAACCAGATGGTTTAATATATTTACCTGAAATTAAATATAGAAGAATATTAAATAAAGCATTTGGTCCTGGTGGTTGGGGATTAGTTCCAAGAACAGAAAGTTATATAACAAATTCACAAATTAGTAGAGAATATGGTTTAATATGTCATGGTAGATTAGTTTCAATAGCAAGAGGTGAACAAGATTTCTTTGGTGGTGAAGAAAAAATTACTACTGCATTAGAAGGTTGTAAAAGTAATGCATTAATGAGATGTTGTAAAGATTTAGGAATTGCAAGTGAATTATGGGATCCAACATTTATTAGAAGCTTTAAAACTAGAAATTGTGAAGAATATTTTGCACAACATGCAACAACTGGTGCAAAGAAGAAATTTTGGAGATTAAAATCAAATAAGAAAATTGACTATCCATGGAAAGAAATAAAGAAATAAAGAAATAATTAACGTGTATATATTATTTATTTAGATTCTTCCCATTCATTTTTAACAATACCTCTACCAATACCTAATTCTTCAACAGTTTGAGTTATTGGTCTTCTTGACCAAACATCCCAAAAACCTTGTTTTGGCAATTCTTTATTAATTTGACCTAATTCATAATTTGCATTTTTTGAAATTGAAGAAGTTGCTGAAGCCCACCAAGCTCTATCAATTAGTGTAACTAAACAAGTACCAAATATACCTGATAATAATTTATGTTTTGGAGGTAAATTTTTAAAACCAGCTGTTAAAACTATAGTATTTGCAGCACCTAAAGCCCAAAATACATTCCATGAATCGTTCTTTTCTCTCAAATTTGCCAAAGATGATTGTAAACCTTTTGCTATAGCAAAAAATGAAACAGCAGCTATTGGTACTCCTATCTTAAAAGTTGATCTTTTCCAAAGATATATCCAAGCATATGAACCAACAGTTGTATAAAAACCAAATCTTAATATTTGTGAAACTTGTTTTTTAGTATCAATTGGTTCCCATTTTGGATAACCTATACCTTTCGTAAAATTAGCTAATGGATTTGGATATTTATCTACTGAATTAGGTAAAGATATTTCAACTTGTTCAGTACTCATGGTATATATATTGACTTTGTCAAAAGCTTTAGTTTCAATATTTTTAGATGTTTTTTTCTACCAATCAAAATTTGATTGAAAATAATTAAGAAGTGCTGATGGAGCATACTTACTCACATATTACCCAATTAGGGAGTCTAAATACCAAACCATAAATAGTGCTGTTTATTACCGAATTAGGAAGTCTACAATTTATATCAAAATTTTCCATTTTCAAAAAAAATGAAAGATTAATTTATTATTAGATTCCGTCAGTTATGAATAAAGCATTAACAATAACTGCAGTTGCTGTTACTGCTTTAGCTAGTTATGCTGTATACTTTGATTATCAAAGAAGAAACTCATCAGATTTTAGAAAATCTTTAAAGAAAAAATCAATTAAACAAAGGAAATTAAAAGAAAAGGAAGAGAAAGAATCAAAACAATCTAAATTAGATGCTGTTAAAAAAGCTTTATTAGAAGATTTAAAAAATAATCCAATTCCAACTGATTTAACTGAAAGAGAACAATTTTTCATGGAACAAGTTGCAACTGGTGAACAAAAAGCAAAAGATAATTCAATTGAAGCAGCAATTTGTTTTTATAAAGCTTTAGCTGTTTATCCAAATCCAACTGATATTTTAGGTATTTATCAAAAAACAGTACATGAAGAAGTTTATGAATTAGTTGTTATGATGGTTGCAGTTTATCCACCAGCTTCTGTTTCAAGTATTTTAAGTAAAGGTGGTCCATCACCAGCAGATTTAAAACCTACAGAAGAAGATTTAGATTAATGTTGATGAGGATGCTGAGTGTATAACATAGATTATTTACTTATTTGTATATATTGGTTTATTCATGTAATGAATTATTATTACATCATTTCTTATTACTGCGTATTTGATTTATAGAAATTGCATTTCGATTTTTTATCATCTCATGAAAACCAAGAATGAGATTAATATTCTTACTACTATCGTTTTATATTTCAAGAGTATTTAGTATACAGTTTAAACTTGCTAATTCATCACTCATTACAAATTCTTCATCTTCATCAATTCAACAAAATCCAAATTTAACAAATTTTCAATATAAAGGTGTTTCAATTGGAGGTTGGCTAGTTTTAGAGCCTTATATCACGCCAGCACTATTTAATAAATCATTAGAATCTAATGAAACTGCAAAAGATTTGCCAGTCGATGAATTTCACTTTTGTAAAAAATTGGGTCTTGAAAAGGCAAAAGAGTTATTGACCGAACATTGGGAAACATGGTATAATGAAACAGATTTTAAGAATATCAAAGAGGTAGGTTTGAATTTGATTAGAATACCAATTGGATATTGGGCTTTTGAAAAGCTAGAGGATGATCCTTATGTACAAGGTCAAGTTGAATACTTAGATAGAGCCATTGAATGGTCTAAGAAGTATGGTTTATACGTGTTGATAGACATGCATGGAGCTCCAAACACTCAAAATGGTTTTGACAATTCTGGTTTAAGAAATATTGGGTATCCTGGTTGGCAAAATAATACGAAATATATAGATCATACGTACAAAGTGTTAAATCAGATATATTTAAGATATGGTACCAGTGAATATAATGATACAATCATAGGGATTGAAGTTTTAAATGAACCTTTTGGTCCAAGCTTAAACATGAATAAGTTGAAAGAATTTTATATTGAAACTTATAATGATGCTAGAAATTTGCAACAGGTAAATAATACAATCTTTTTACAAGAAGCATTTCAGCCAATTGATTATTGGGGTGTTTTTTTAGAATATGGAAATGTGACAATTACTCTAAATAATACAAATATGACAAAACTGGCAGATTTCGAGAATGTAATTATTGATCATCATCATTATGAAGTATTTGCAGGTTCAGTTACCCAGAATTTATCCACACATCTAGAGAATGTAAAGAACTATGCTGAGTCAATTGGTAGAGAAAATTTTGGTGCTATAATTGGAGAATGGTCAGCTGCATTAACTGATTGTGCATATTGGGTCAATGGTATTGGATTAGGTAATAGATATGAAGCTACCAAACCGTATACAGACTTTAATAAAACTGGTAGTTGTAAAGAAGTAAACCAAGCACCTGAACATTGGTCAAAAGAAATGAAGAAAGATTATAGAACATTTATTGAAATGCAATTATATCAATACTCAAATCAATCTAGAGGATACATCTTTTGGTGCTGGAAAATTGATCAAAATAATACTGAATGGGATTTCCAAAGATTAGTTAAACATGATATGGTTCCACAACCATTAGATAAATATAAATATCTTGATAAAAATGGTAAGGTTAATCAATCTAGTATCTTAAGAATCACGACAAGCTTAGTTGTACTACAAATACTCATATATACATTCATTTTATAGACAATAGAAGTTATTCATTTTGCAACTTGTTAAATGCACACCACAATTTTTTTCTGAGTCATCTGATTCATTGAAAATTATCAAAATGACTAGATCTGTAGATTTGGCTATTATTGGCTCTGGAGTTGTTGGATCAGCTTATATAAATCAATTAAAGAATTTAAAAGGTGCTATTAAATTTAATGTTATTTATTTAGCTAGATCATCAAAAGAAGCTTTATACAGTAAAGATTATCAACCTGTCGATTTATCAAATTATAAAACAGCAAAAGCTGAACCTATTTTATCATTAGATGATTTAGTTAACTATTTAAAGAATGCTAATAAACCAGTTATATTAGTTGATAATACTTCAAATGAATCAATTGCAAATTATTATCCAAATTTTATTAAAAATGGTATTTCAATTGCCACACCAAATAAGAAAGCATTTTCATCAAATTTAAAAATTTGGAAAGAAATTTGGGATTCAGAATCTCAAGCAAATTCAGGTATAGTTTATCATGAATCAACTGTTGGTGCAGGTTTACCTATAATTGGTCCATTAAAAGATTTAGTTTTAACTGGTGATAAAATTGATAAAATTGAAGGTATCTTTTCAGGTACATTATCATATATTTTCAATGAATTCTCAACAATTGAAAAAAATGATATTAAATTTTCTGATATTGTTAAAAAGGCTAAAGATTTAGGTTATACTGAACCAGATCCAAGAGATGATTTAAATGGTTTAGATGTTGCTAGAAAAGTTACTATATTAGCTAGAATTTCAGGTTTAGAGGTCGAATCACCAACTAGTTTCCCAGTTGAAAGTTTAATTCCAAAACAATTGGAATCTGTTGAATCATCAGCTGAATTTTTAGAAAAATTACCTGAATTTGATAATGAAATTCAAAAAATTAAAGATGAAGCATTTAATAATCAACAAGTATTGAGATTTATTGGTGAAGTTGATTTAAAAAATAATAAAGCATCAGTTGGAATTGGTAAATATTCATTTGATCATCCATTTGCATCACTAAAAGGAAGTGATAATGTCGTTTCGATTAAATCTGAAAGATATCCAAATCCTTTAATTATTCAAGGTGCTGGTGCTGGTGCTGAAGTCACTGCTCATGGTGTTTTAGCTGATACTGTTAAAATAGCTGAAAGAATTGCAAATTAAATATATATTAAATAATTTGTGAAAAATATTCTTCTCTCCATAATGATTTTGCTTCTTTATAGATATCTCTTAAGAATTCAGGATTTTTACATGCCAAACTAAAATTTAACATTATTTGTTGTGAATCAACATGTATAGCATTCGAATTAGATTCATAATCAGAAGATCCAGCTGATAAATTTGAACATAATCTTGTAACATGCATATTATTTGGAGCCATAAAAAAATCACCATTATCTCGTAATTCAACTATATAATAACCAGTTTTATGAATAAACTGTGCATATTGAAAAGATGGTTTACCCCAAGAATATGAAATATCAATGTTTTCTTTTGAAAAAAATGAAGTTGATCTATTATCAAGTAAATATTCCAATTTTTTAAGTAAATATAAATGATAATAATATTTATTTGATGATAAAATTTTATCATCAACAAATTCTTCATCTAACCATGGACTTAACGAAAGTTTCATTTCAACAAATGAATGAAATGGACTCAATTTTGGAATCATACATAATTCTTTCCATGGAGTTTCAACTAATTTTAAACCATGTCTTTCACATAATCTTGACCATGCAGTAATTGCATCCTCAATAAATCTATTTGTTGTATTTAACCATTGTAATCGTATATGGTAACAATGCTCAGGATTATGAACTCTATCATAATGAACAGTCATTAATTCTGGTCTATAAGATTTTTTCAATGGATCAACATCAAATTTAATGGCTTTACTAAGAACAAATTTCTTTCTTTTTTTACCTAATGAATCAGACATTGAGGATACTTCAGAAGGTAAGTTCATTGATGATGTAATTTTGGGGAGCTCTGGAATATCTTGAACTTTTGGTGATGCATTAGATTTCGGAGTCGTTGATCCTTCTTTCTTACTAAACCATCTACTTTGAGCTTTATAATATTCTTCGCAAAATTCATAAAAGTAATGACCATCAATAAAGGCATGTCTTGATTCAACATGTCTAAATAAACCTCTATTCATTAAATTTTGAGCATAAGTGGCACCTTCTTCTCTTGTATCAATATCTTCAAAATTATCAACCAACCATGATGTGAATTCTCCACCAATAAAACATTGTAAATGCCTTTTGAAATGCCAAGTTCTATCCATTAAATTTAAACCTGTTTGTTCATTAGTCAATTCAGTAATCAAATCTGGTAATTTAATAGATTTATTTAATCTCATATTTTCAGAAATCATTAATTTTGGGTGTGTACCAGTAATATCATAATTTTGAGCTTCTTCAGTTAAAAAATCATATAAATTCCCTGTATAGAATAATAATTCTGATCGTTCATCATAATCTTTGCTTGCTCTTTTTTTATCTAATCCATATTTACCTCGTTTTATAACTGTAATTAATTTACTTAATCCTTCAAGTCTAATTTCTTCTGGTGTTAAATTTTCATTAGTTAAAAAATATGCATTTTTGGGAATATTTGCTGGCATTATAACAAACTTCATTTTATGAAACTCCTTTTTATCTTCTGGCATTGCATCATCAAATCCAGCTAATACTTGATCAAATTGATTCCAATTATACTTTTGTGGTTGAGATGCAATGGCATCAACTTGAGCAGGAGTATATTCATCAGCGTATCTTGTTCTAATCAATGGGAAATATGGTTTGATTTTATTTTGTCCCAAGGTAATTTTGAATAAATCTTCTTTTGCACTTCTTCTATATAATTGAACACTGACATTACCATTGTAATCACAAAATATTCTATGAATCTCATCATCTAATGTTAAATATATTGTTGAACCAAGTGCATTACTTGGGAAATATTTAATTAAACTTTCAACATTACCAAATGGTTTTCTATCAGCTTCTGCTCGTTTAACTTTTTCTCCATAACAAATTTGAAAACCCAACATTAATCTTAATTGAATCATTTCTCTCATTAAATCAGTTGTTGTTTTTAATTCATAATAATTTTCCCAACTTAATGACACTGTATAATTTTGAAAAGTATAATCTCTTTCTAATTGTGAATAACTAGGAAACAATCCTGTTGTGATAGGTAATGCAGCTGGTGCTTGAAATGATCTCCATTTGATGATATTTCGTCTTTGAACTTTATCCGGGAATAGATTACTCCATCTTGAAACCATTTGTAGCACATTGTTACTTAATTCTCTGGATGGATTTGCAACTTCAGTCCAAAACAAAGTAGTTTCAGGTTCAACTTCAGGCTCACTTACTAATGATGATTTCTTTTTTGAATTGTTACGTGGTAGTTTTTCTTCAAGTGGGTATGAGCGAAGTGGTAATGGTGATACAATTTTTGAGCTTTGTTTAGGTGATTCTTTCTTTGTGAATAAGGTTTCTCCTTTGATTATACGAGGTGAGCCAGCACCTTTCCTATAAGTTTCAATTGATGATGTAGCAATATGAGTAGTTGATCTTTTATCCTCACTATTTTTATTTATATTGTATAAAGATGATAATGCTGACGTTTCAATTCCAGCATTAGTAACAGTACCAATAGCTGATGAAGTGGTTGCAGAACTGTCAGGTGGTAATACAGTCCTCTTATTTAAAATTAACGATAATGTTGCAGTTGCATCTTTGACTAATGGAGCCTTGAATTTAGGTTCGTCAACTTTAATATCAAATGAGATATTATCTACCTTATTTCTTTTTACAGGTTTAAAAACATTTTCATCGTAACTATCCATAATTTCTAAATATGCCTTTTCAGATTTTGGATTAAGAAATCTTGAAATTTTTACATCATTAACTTCATTCTCCATAACTCCCATCATTTGCAATTCATAAATTTTACATCTGGGTATCCATTGATTGTCAATAGCATTACCTGTGGAATGTTCTTTATAAAATGATATATCACACCAATTAGGTACACAATGACAAACTTTACCCTCTCTAATAAATCTAAATAATGGAGTGACATGTAATGGTGGTTGACTTAAACAAATTATATCCACACTAGTATCAATACTTGAGATTTTTTTACTAGTTTCTAATAATAAATCATAATCTACATCGTATAAACCAGTACCTGGTGTAATTAACATAAAATGACTCAATGAATGTTTCAAATCTGTATTTCTAAATCTATCATTTAATAATGCTAGGCCTACATTTATTGCTTCAAGATTATTTCCCTTTATTGAAGGTAATGATTGACCTTGCATTACAAATTTTGAATCTGAATCAGGATTTAGCATTATGTCTCTTTTAAAATTTGCGAATTCTAATCTTAAATTTGCCATTATTCTATCCCAATGCATGATATTGACTTGATCAACAACAACTCTATAATAATCTTTTCTTTTGGGAGGTCTTTCACCAGCTGCTAAAGTAATCCAAGGTATATCAGTTAAATCTATACTTGTAAATAGTACAATTGTTATTGCATGATGAGTACCTTTATCTCTCCATCTTCTAAAAATTTTGGGGAATAAATTATTAACTAATTTATGAAAAATTATTTCTCCATTTTCTTCAAAATGCCACATTTCTCTTGATAATTGTATTAATACAGTTAATTTAGCACTTTCAGATCGATAAATTATCTTGGTTTTTTTACTTATATAACCCGAGAACACTGTTCTTCCATTCTTATAAATATATTTGATAACACCAATTCTAGAATTTAAATATGATACTCTTTGATCTATATAACCACATGTTCCAACTAATGAACTTGAAAAACACCACATACCATCTCTTGATAAATTTACGTCCTTGATGAAAATTTCAACTGAATCAAGTTCAATACTCTCTAGTTTGGTAATCTTTTTGATTTGCACTTGACTTCTTGGTGGTATATCTAGTAGTTTTTGTAATGGTGTGGAATTTAATGAAATTTGAAATTTTGATTTTGAGTCAATATCAACTTCTTGATTATCTCGTAAATTCTCTGAATTGACTTTGAATATAAATTTTTTACTTGAAGTACCAGCTTCAATTGATTGTAATTCAAAAACTTGACCAATTTGAACTCCACCAGGGATAGCATTTGAATCAATTATAACATCTTGATGATTTGTCCGTAGATCATGAAACCATAAAGTCAATTGCACAGGATCTCGTGACGCATCATCTTGATTACTTAGTACTTTTGATAAGTTTTCTGGTTCACGTTCTATCTGCTCCTTCTTTTTACCTATTGTAATTGTATTTCCAATTTTTTTGTTTAAATACTGTTGGCTATTAGTTGAGATATTATTCTTGGAATTTCCCACTGTTAAACTTAAATGATTAGCAGACATTTGTCTTTGTGGTTTATTAATTGAGTCCAGATTCGGTATTAATGTCGTATTCTCTTGTTTATTGGATGAATTGAACATCCTAGCATGCTGCATCATATTTGGTAGACTAACATATATTATTTTTTTTTTTTTTCAAAAATTATAAACAGATAAAAAAATGGCTGCAAAAAAAGAGAAGAAAGCTTTTAAGAAGTAAATTTGTTAACTATGTATTAGCAGACTCCCAAATCAGTATTTACTATTTTCATGTCAAGTTGAAACTCAAAACTAATCGGTAAAATCTTCATTAAGGAATATATTTTCAAGATAACTAATTTCCAAACCCTGGAAATGAAATTCGAGACATAATAAAGATTGGATAATTTGCTTCAATTTTCAAAATTTTTTTCAAACATGGTTCGAACTTTTTGCAAAAAGGTTCAAAATGATTATGGCATCCTGAAAATAAGATGGATATAACCGCGGGGACAGAATGAGCCAAATCAGCTATATTAGAAGCTGTTAGATGAAGTTTAAGTATTAATTATCTTGCAATATAGCGATTTTTTCCATCGTTTAAGCCATGAATAAAGTCATCGGCTCTATGTTTATCGAGCATATATTAACATGAATTCAATCTAAATGGGTTTTGAAGTTTGTTTGAGAAAGAAAAGTTGATTCTGGATGGATTTATTCACAAGTTAAATTTCATGATAAACCATGAGAGGGCAGAGGGGGCTGCATATAAGTTGTTTCAGAATTATTCTTTGTCAGTACGTATTATTATCTATTTACAAGATTTCAAGACAAAATCATCTAAGAACCACTTGTGAAAACTGTAGTTATCTGACAATTCTGGATGAAATGAGGTTCCTAGTATATGACCTTGTTTTACAGCAACAATCAAGTCATTATTTGAATTATTATAATTCTTCAATTCATATAAAATCTCAGTTGGTGCTGAATTGTGATAAGTATTTTCAGATTTGATTATACCTTTTTCTACTGCATTACAATTTCCATCAAGTATTTTAGTAACCACCGGAGCTCTTATAAATACAGTTGGAAATTTGTCGCAACCCTTTATAAATTTACTAAAATCCAAATCTATTTCAAATGAATTTAGTTGTCGACCAAATGCATTTCTATTAACTTGGATATTTAAACCACCTAAACATTTTTGATTCTCAATACCATTTTGTATTTCTTTTGATAAAAAGATTAATCCAGCACAAGTTCCCCAAGTTTTTTTCTGTTCGTTTGCAATAAAATCGTATAAATGTGGTAGTAATTGAGTTCTTTCGGATATATATGAAATAGAACTTGATTCACCACCCGGTATAACTAATGAATCGCATTTTTCCAATTGTTCCTTTGTTTTAACTTCAATTATTGAAATATCAAAATTTGAATACTCATCTGGATTAGAATCTAGTATACAATTGAAATAAGCTATATGTTCTCTGAATGCTCCTTGTAATGCTAATACACCTAATACTATAGGTTTACCTGAAGTCATTGACTGCTATCAAATTTTTATCACCGTGCCTTATCAAGTATTTTTCATCTTGTCTAAAAAAAAAGTGAAAAATAATATTTGACTCTGATTTATGACTCAATATATTACTAACTATGTAATTACGATATTCGAACTCCTATTATTATTATACTTAGTCATGAGAATTCTTAGCGCATGCGTATACGCAAATCGTTTTAGATCGGTTAGTACAAAATTTGACTTCGGTTTCGTTCACAAGATCATAACGCTTTTTTTTTTTTTTTTCAGATTTTTCAACCTTTAACATTGAAACAACAATTATAAGTTTTTATCTTCTTTAATTACAATTATGTCAGATTTCAAAGTTAAAACAGGTTTAGCTCAAATGCTAAAAGGTGGTGTTATTATGGATGTTGTTAATTCCGATCAAGCAAAAATTGCTGAACGTGCTGGGGCATGTTCGGTTATGGCGTTAGAAAGAATTCCAGCAGAAATGAGAAAATCAAATCAAGTTTGTAGAATGTCAGATCCAAAAATGATTAAAGAAATTATGGAAAATGTTAGAATACCAGTTATGGCAAAAGTTAGAATTGGTCATATTGTTGAAAGTCAAATTTTAGAAGCTTTAGGAGTTGATTATATAGATGAAAGTGAAGTTTTAACACCAGCAGATACAAAATATCATATAGAGAAATCAAAATTTAAAGTTCCATTTGTTTGTGGTGCTAAAAATTTAGGAGAAGCTTTAAGAAGAATTAATGAAGGTGCTGCTATGATTAGATGTAAAGGTGAAGCAGGTACTGGTGATGTTTCATCAGCTGTAGATCATATTAGAACAATTAAAAAAGATATTGAAAATGCTCAAAAATTAAAAGGAGAAAAAGAAATTGTTGAATTAGCTGAATCATATAGAATTCCAATTGATTTATTAATTCAAGTTATTGAATTAGGTAGATTACCAGTTGTTATGTTTGCTGCAGGTGGTGTTGCTACTCCAGCGGATGCTGCTTTATTAATGCAATTAGGTTGTGATGGTGTTTTTGTTGGTTCTGGAATTTTTAAATCACAAAATCCTGAAAAATTAGCAAAAGCTATTGTTAATGCAACAACTCATTATAATGATCCTGTTAAATTATTAGAATATTCAACTGATTTAGGTGATTTAATGGGTGGTATTGCAATTAATTCAATTAAAGAAGATGAAAAATTGGAAAAAAGAGGTTGGTAAAGTTTCGTAAATAGTTTATTATTATTTTTAAAAATGTATATACAATGAATATTATGAATTTGATTAGATGAAGTTTTGCAAATATAAGTATCACTAAGTTCCTCCAAAATTTGTCTGAGATTCAAGCGATTATAATAAGTGATTGTTGCCGTATAATGATGGTTAAAACACAGTTTGACAAAAGATTTTCTTTGCTGTTAGCTCTGTCAAAAACAAGGCCAGAAGTTAAGCTATTTACCTATTAGCAGATTTTTGTCGCGGGTATATATGATTATCAAAATGCATTAGATCCTTTATTTTTTTTTTTTAGTCAAATATTAGGCGGCTTTTGTTTTGTCAAATATTAGGCGGTTTTTTTTACAGCCAAAAATTGTTTTTTTCTGCTACTTGAAAAGAAGAAAACACTACTTTATTTCTAATTATAAAGCTTCCAATTCCATAAATCTTGAGAACAACGTACTGAGCGTATATAATTCTCTAATTCTATAATTCTATAATTCTATATTGTTCCACGTCGAAGTCTAAATAATTTGAGAACCTTATTGTTAATAAAAAAGAAGTTAATAAGAATGAAGTTAATTAAAATGAAGTTAATAAAGTTTCAATCAGTTCCCAAAAAAATGGGAAATCTTGACTAACAAACAAACAAACAAACAAATCTGTCGTATCATTTGTTTTGGTTGGTGATCGTTATAGTTTTTACTTAATTTTTTTTTTTTTCTTTTTCTCATGGGTTTTTTGGTTAAGAGTTTTTAAGAGTTTTTAAGAGCTTTTAAGAGTTTTTAAACGGCAATTGATATTAGGCTTTTTGAGGAACCCCACAATACAACTTCGAAAATTTATGCACAATTCGAGATCTTAAATGTCTTACTTAAAAAAAAAAAAAAAAAAAAAAATTACAAAAAACCTCAATAAATAAGTTCATTATTCCTAATTTAAACATCATAAGTACTAGGTTTTGCTTCCATTAAAATTTTTCTGTTTCGCTCCAAATGTCAAAACGAGAATTGCCAATGTCAAAACGAGAATTAATGTCAAAACGAGAATTGACATTGTTTTTTCTTTTTTAAGTTTTTGCGACATAATTAAAGTTTAATTTTAAATACAATTAATATATAAGTTAAAAAATAAATATTATTAATGACGAAAAAACTAGCTTCATTGAACGTACCAGTATTGCTTACAATACAATGTATTTGGATAGACATTTCTTATCTATATTTATTACTATCTATATTTATTACTAATGACTTCATTAATTCGTTCTTTGACATCAGAGAAATACTTGGCAAAAAAGCATGTAAATAGATTAATTAATGTGAAAAAGTACTTATATTGACAGATTATTCTAACAAAATTCATTCATCTCATATAAAATTATCTAGCAACTTTTGTAGTAACACAAATGACAAATTGGAAATTAATGTCCCTCAAGAGTTACAAAAATTTTAAATACAACCTAAGCTGATTTCATAATTGAATAAGTTGATATTTTGTGATTGAATTTGCCCAGCTTTGTAAAATGTTCGTGCGGCAATTCGTTATCAACAAAATATTATTTTATATTAAATCTGATGGAATGCAAGGATTTATCGTTTAAAATAAAATATTCTTGGCATAGATTAGTTGTAAAATTTTTAATGTAATAATCAACAATCGTCCAATGGAACATAGAAGAGTAAGACATGAATGACCGGTTAGAATAGGTCTTTTATTTGACCAATAAGCTCTTTTAAATTAACATACAATGCCAAAATTATCTCGATGGATTCTTTAGAATCATTTTCCTCGAGTTTTGGGTTTGCAATTTTTTTATATACTTATATATTTCAACTTTGTGTCAGATTTAATGCAACGCGGACTAAATATATTTATATTTATATATATATATTTTTTTTTATTTTTATTTTTTATTTTTTATTTTTTTTTTTCTCTGCGAATTTAAATCTTTTGCATCTAAAACTTTTGTAAGGCTAAACGAATAATAATTTTTTTGTTTGATCTACTATTAAGTTTAAAAGAAATTTTACTGGTCATACATCAACTATGGGGTTATCTTTATTAATAATAAGCAAATTTCTATTCTCGCGGGTTTTGTTATACTTGTTATTTTGTGTTGGCTTATCTATAGAATTTTATTTTCTTGTTAAGGTTTTCAAAAATTGATCGTATTTAAATGTTGTAATTCCTTTGAATTCTTAAATTTTTTTCATTATAGATGATTTTTCAATCAAATAAAGAAGATAATAATGAGAAAAGCACTTCTTCCGGTGCCGATCTAGAATCAGTTATTTCCAAACATACAGAAGATTATGATTTATATGTTGCAAAATCCAATCCTTCGGCATTGAATCAACAAGATGGAAGGAAGTTGAGACAAGCGCTCGATGCTCGTCATCTAAGCATGATTGCATTGGGTGGTGCGTTAGGTTATGTATTCACTTGATTCGCTCAATTCAGTCGATTCAGTCGATTCAGTCGATTCAATCGATTTAAAATTGAAAAAAAAATTGAAAAAAAATTGATATGGTAGTTGTTTAATCAAGCAGTTGATGTTCATAAAAAGCGCATTTAAAATTATTGCGCGAAAGCCGTACGATGTGAGTCGCACAATGTGAGTCGCACAATTCCACTCATCAACACTACCCTATAAATTTTTTTTGCAACGAAAATTAGCCGCATACTAACATATTGTTGTAGAACTGGTTTATTGATTGGTACAGGTTCAGCCTTGAGAACAGCTGGTGCTGGAAGTATTTTAATTACTTATGCATTAATTGGTTTTGTTGTTTATACAGTTTTAACAGCAATCGGTGAAGTAGCTACCCATGTACCAATGAATGGTTTCGCCAATTACTGTAGAAGATATGTTGATCCAGCTTTGGGATTTGCAGCTGGTTATAATTATTTGATTAAATACTTAATTTTGCCTCCAAATCAATTAACTGCAGGTGCTTTAACAATTCAATATTGGATTCCAAGAGATCAAGTAAATCCAGGTGTCTGGATCACAGTTTTGTTGGTAATTATTACATTTGTTAACTTATTTGGAGTTAAATTGTTCGGAGAAGTAGAATTCTGGCTCTCTGGTGTGAAAGTCGTCACTTGTTTAGGGGTTATATTAGTTCTTTGGGTTATTGCTTTAGGAGGTGGTCCAACAGGCGATCGTATAGGCTTTCGTTACTGGAGAAATCCAGGTGCATTTATGGAGTATGCAGATTCCTCAAAGGACTTATTAATTGAAGGAGCTAAAGGTAGATTTGTAGCATTTGTTGCTGTTTTAGTTACCGCTGTTTTTGCTTATACAGGAAGTGAATTAGTTGCCATTACTTTTTGTGAAGCTAGAAGTACGTATTTTTACATTGGAACTACAAGATTTCCATTTGCCTCGAGACATGTTCATCTAGAGTTTCAGTTGAATTTGTTAAGCTTTTTAGAAGTTTTACAATGGTTGCAATACTGTTGATAATGAAATTCGATTATATGCAGGATACAAGATAGGTTACATGATTAGGACTTTCGGTAGCACAGTACAATATTGGTCCAATTCATTTAGCCAAAATAGTACAACAATTGCAACTTCTGATTCATCTATAGATACTGAATCAACTACGGATATAGCTCTTGATGATGCAAAAATAACAATGGGTTTAATTTTGAAAATACTAACTATTCTATAGATCCTAGAAGAGCTATTCCAAAAGCTATTAAATTAACACTTTACAGAATCATCGTATTCTACGTCTTAGCTATTTTGTTTGTTGGTATGTGTGTGTCACCTAGAGATCCATCGTTATTAGGTGCTTCTGGTACAAATGCTGGAGCATCTCCTTTTGTTATAGCTATAAAAAATGCACAAATTGGTGGATTAGATCATGTTATCAATGCAGCTATCCTTTTGTTTGTGTTGTCCGCAAGTAATTCAGATATGTACGTTTGCAGTAGAACTATCTATTCACTTGCTGTTGATGGTTATGCTCCTAAATTTTTCACTAAAACTAATAAATTAGGTGTTCCATATTACGGAGTTGCATTATCCTTTTTATTCTGTTTGTTAGCTTATATGAATGTTTCATCAGGTTCAGCTCAAGTATTTCAATACTTTGTTAACGTTGTTTCATTAACTGGTTTATTAGCTTGGACATGTGTTTTGATTTTCCATTTAAGATTCATGAAAGCATTGAAAGCACAAGGATTTGACAGAAAGAAAGCAGTCTATAAATCTCCTTTACAACCATATGCTTCATGGTTTTCATTATCAGTTTGTATTTTAATCATTTTAATTAAAAACTTTACAGCATTCTTGGGTGATGAATTTTCTTACGAAACATTTATAACAGGTTATATTGTATTACCGGTATTTTTAATAATCTACTTTGGTTATAAAATCATTTATAAAACAAAGATTATCAAACCTGAAGATGTTGATTTATATACATTTAAAGATGTAATTGATGCTGAATTCGAAAAATATGAAGCTGAAGATGCTGAGTTAAAAGCAGTTAGAGAAGCTGAAGGTATCAAATATGATGGAAAATGGTTTTACGATAAATTTTTGGGATGGATCTTTTAATATATGTATTTATTGTGGGACAAATCTCATATTAATTATTATTTAAATCTCTTAATGTAATTATTCATCTTTTATAAAAGATTGGTATTCCCGTTTTAAGTAATTAAGCCGCGCTTTCAAATTTTGTAAAAGCGCAAAATATTTCAAAAAATATGAGTCTTGATATTAGAAATCGTAAAATCAAGCCATTACATGAAAGAAAGAGAACTGCAGCAGCTTGTGATAGATGCAGATCAAGAAAAACTAAATGTGAAGGTGGTTTCCCATGCTCTAAATGTCTAAAATCAAGTAGTGAATGTATTATATCATCAAGAGATAAACCGTTGGATCCATTAAATTATAAAGATCAATATACTAAATTACGAAAGTATAATTGTAAATTAGAGAGAATCATTCAGTTTTTATATTCGGATATTACGTTGGATTTTTTGAGAAATCATATCGATGAATTCGAAAAACGAGTTTGTATCAATGAAATTAAACCAACAGCTGTTGAAAAACCATTGACAAATTTTAAAAAGCGGTTTATTTCAACTACTGATCAAAGTTTTATAGAATCGATTAGCCAATTAACAAATCAAGAATCCAGTTCAAAAGCATTTTCTTATATTCATGAAGGTTTTTTCAAACAGAATCTACTACCATTGATCACACAAGCAATAATTATCTTACCAGAGGACCATAAATTACGAAGCCTGGTTTCTATCTATTTGAATATTTGTGAAACAAACTATTTTTATATGCATCATAATCGAATGTATGCTAAAGTTGAAGAAATCATTGAACAACGAAGAATCAACAATTTAGATTATTTTTTAAACAATTGGGATCATTTATGTTTAGTGTTAATAACTATTGCTATATCTTCAGGATTTGAATTTGTTCAAACTAATGAAAAACCACCTCAACTTGAAGATTCACCACCAGGTATAAAATATTATTATGCTGCATTACCATTTGTTGGACATTTAATAGATTTAAAATCAATTGAAAGTGTACAAAGTTTATTATTATTTGGTATATTTTCAACAACTAATAAATTAGAAAATTTTCAATTAATGGATGGAGGTTACCTATTCATGAGTTTAGCTTTAGAAATTGCGATAGCTAATAAATTACACTTGAAGTCACCAAATATGTCATTAGAAAATCAAGAAGTTTGTAAAAGATTATGGTGGACTGTTTATACAATGGAGAGAAGACATGGTGTAAATATAGGAAAACAAGATATTATTTCACCAAAAGATATCACAGTTGAATATCCAAAATACGTACCAGAATTAAATAATAGTCTAGGTCAAAATAATAATCTTTCTCAAATTTCAATAATTGAATTAAATTTTATATTTAGAGAAATTACAGAAATTCAATCAAAATATAACGAAAGTTATTCAATTGAAGCAAAAGTGATAAGAAATTTATTGGAACAAGTTGAAGAGATTAAATTGAATTTTCCTACATATTCCAAAATTGAAAATTTGGATCCATCATCGAATTTGTATCGTGGTAATATGCATTTGAATTTAACTTATTATCTTGCAAAGATTTATATTGGAAAACCATTTTTATTATACAAGGTTGAGAATTATGATGAAATTCAAAACAAAATTGATTCTTTTGAGTCAGCATTAGTTGATCATTTATCTTCAGTTTGTATAGATGCAGCATTTTGTTCAATTGAATTATTAGCAGAATTACAAAAGAATAACAAATTGGGATTATTTTCATGTTCAGATATAAATTTTTGCAACATTTCATTATTTACAATACTAGTATATTTAAAGATGAATAAGACTGATCCAACAACATTATTATATCTAAAGAAAGGTCTTAAAATTTTATCAATGATGTCTATAATTAGCTCAAGCGCAAGATCATCGTTAAAGAATTTCAAAAAGTTGAATAAACTAGTTAATGAAATAACAGAGGAGGAATTTAATACTGAACCAATGAATAATCAGTTAGATTCATTCCCAATTGAAAATGATGCAGAATTGGTTTTGAATTTTGATAACAATTTTGAGACAAACTATGATGATGATTTATTATTCAATCACAATCAAGAAAATTTTTTAAAGGATGTTGAAGAATTGTTAATGTCGATAGATGATATTTTGGAATAAAATAGTACTTATGAATTTAAAGGCTAATATGAATATATTGCCATATCCACATCAACCTGGATCTTTCCAGCGTAAAAAGTTCTTGCAATGGTCTCAAAAGCAGCTAATCGACTAAGCAATAGCATAATTTTGTAATTCTCAATATTAATAAACAGACTTCGTATTTTGCAGCCATTTATTATTTAGGTTTTTATGCAGGAAAATTAATCCGAAGCTCATCGTAAATGATAAGTAAAGAAGAATCATTTATTGATTCAAACTCACAATATTATAGAATTGGTAATACAAAATATGGAGGTAGAGGATGTTTTGCAATTGAAGAAATAGAAAATGATACAATTATACACATTTCTGAATCACCTTTGAGCTCCACAATTTCAAAACCTTTCAAAAAGGAGGTTTGTCAATTATGTTTCAAGTATGAATTTGGGAAGTATATGAAATTTAAGGTAAGTCAAAAAGTTAATAAAGATCAGCATTGTTCAATATGGTTTTGTAGTCAAGAATGTGAGGATAATTTTAAAAAACATGATGTTAATGATATTTATATAAATAATTTATTAAATTGTGAAAAATATTACTTATTAGGTTTATCGAAGCCTGAGATCGAAGCCAAGGAACCAAAAGGTGATTTAAATGAAACTATTAATGAAGAATGGGCAAAAGTCGACCTATGGAATGAAAAAATCGCCAATATGAAACCATCCAAATTATTAAATTTAATACCGAGAATTGATGATAGTGAATATTTAGAAATAAAATATGTAATCGGAGTGCTATTTCAAATCTTTGAAGGAGAGACTAGTGAGAATCGAGAGTTATCATTATTTAAAGAATTACAATCCTCCGAAATTGAAAAATATCATCGATATCCATATTTGTTATATTCGTATATCAACATTTACAAATTCGTAAAACTAACATGTTCAAAAGAGTTACAAAAATACATCACTCCGGATTCTATACGATCTATAATTGGTAAAAATTTATCAAATGCATTTGGAATTTGGTCAGAATCAAATTCAAAAGATGAAGATAAAGAATTTTTAGGATTTGGTGTATACCCATCAGCTTCATTTTTCAATCATTCATGTGATCCAAATTTAATTAAAATTAGAATAAAAGAGAAATTAGTATTCAAAACAACTCGAAAAATTTCAATTGGTGAAGAATTATGTATAAATTATGGAAATTATTCAAATGAATCTGTTGAAATTAGACAAAAAGAATTGCAAGAATGGTTTTTCAAATGTCAATGTAATAAATGTATTAATGAATTATTTAGTAAAATCATAATTTGAATAAAATTTTTTAAATTCTTCACAATCTGACATTTCTTTTAATTTTGGTTGTTGGCATTTATCCCAATATATTCTATCAGGTAAATTTAATAAATGTGCTAATACTCTTCTTGGAAATTGTAAATCTACATTCCCAGATTCTTCAAGTTTAGCAATATGAAATTCAATTTTGTCATTATGATAAATTTTAAAACTTATGAAATCGGATTCGTCTAGTATTTTTTTCAATTCTAGATCTTCCTCTGTACACTTTTTGAATTTTAGTTTTTGATTCTTTTTATGTTTTGTGTTGTTTATTTTAACTCGTAAATCTAAAGAATTTTGAAATTTTTCTAGTAATTCTTCTTCAATTGGGATAAATTGTACATGTTTATGAATATTTGATAACCTGCTAATTTCAAAAAATACTAATTTAAATTTGGACTGTTTGAATGCTTCTACTAATGATTTCTCATATTTTAATTGTTCTTGAAATATAGGAGAATCTTGAGCTAATAAATTTGTAGCTATAATTGACGGTATATGTTCAATAGGTATGATTATACCATGACCAGAAAATGACAAATCTTTATTTGATCTAGTTAATGGACCTTTAGCAATTGTTAAATAATTATAAGATCCAATTGAAACAATCATATGAGTTTCAGTACTTGCATTACTTAAACAAAAGAAACATTTATCAGGAGTGACAACTTTAATTTTCTTAGCTTCTGTTTCTTTTTCATCTTCTTCAATTTGTCGTTTTTTCATAAAGGGATTATTTATAAGATTTAAATTTAAATCATTATCTTGTAAAATTCCAATGGAAAAGGCATAAAACCATTTCTCACCACTTCCTTCTTCTGCTAAACTTAAAAATCTTGTAACTATACCATTATCCCATTTAAATGGTTCTAATTCAAAGAATGATTTTGAATGGGAGAATATATATCTTGGAGTAAATTGTTTTATTAATTTATCAATAATTTCATTTCCACAAGTTACATTTTGTTTCATGGCAATTGCACTTGGCCAATTATTATTACTTATTATAACATCAATATTTACATCAGTGGGTATATTTGATAAATGTTCTTCTTTTATATCATTTAAAATCATAAATACTAAATTTGATTTTAATCGTATTATACAATATGGTGGTCTCAGATACGTTAAATTTGCTTTAACATCAATTAAACTTCTATCATCGACTATTTTCTCTTTAATTTCTTCTGATATATCTAGTTTATCTTTTGACAAATATGTTTGTGCTTGTAATTCAATATCTTTTGGAATTGATTTACCTTCTGGAATTACATCACCTAATAAAATAGTAGCTTCAAATGGACCATTTTTAGTATACTGAGTATTAGATTTTTCTAAAACCTTGATTAACCCATCGATCGAAGGATTTAATATTAAAAACTTCAGTTTATCTTGCATTTGGTTAGAATAATAAATTTATAAAAGTGAAAAATTATATTCTGGTTTATCAAAAGTCACGTGATACCATCTCAAAATATTATTGGATAAGCTTGAATACAATTGTGATTCTGATGGTCTATATAAGCTAGTAATGACGTTAACTTATGAGTGTGCTGCAGTTTTTGCAGCAATATTTTGGCTGCAAAATTGAAATTTTTTTGTTGATATTTTTTGTTTACGTTTTTTTTTTCAGATCAGATCTTAAAATGAACCTGAATAATATAAAAGTTACCGTTCGCGTCAGGCCATTGTTAAAAAGAGAGATTGAGAGTAATAACAATGCTGGTTCATTAATATCTATGCCTGACTCAAACACAGTCATTTTACAAAACTCAAAAACTGATGATAAAAAAGAATTTCAATTTGATGAATGTATTTGGTCGTACAATAAACAGGACTCAAATTTTGTTGATAATTATAAATATTATTCCAAAGTAGGTCCAGAATTATTATCGCATTTGTTTGAAGGTTTCAATGTTTGTTTATTAGCATATGGTCAAACATCCTCGGGTAAAACATTTACAATGATGGGAAATAAACACGAACCAGGTATAATTCCATTTTTAATTAAAGATATTTTGAAACAGATGGAAATATCAGTTAATGAAAAGATTAATAGTGAGTTGAAATTTTCATACATTGAAATTTATAATGAACAAGTTAAAGATTTATTGAGTGATTCAGATAGTAAAAAATGTAAAATTAGAGAACATCCAATTACTGGACAATATGTTGAAAATGTCAAAGAACATATGATTGAAAATTATCAACAATTTTTGAAATTATTGAATAAAGGTAATATCCAAAGATCTACAGCTACTACATCAATGAATGATAAAAGTTCACGAAGCCATGCCATAATTACGCTAACTTTGAAACAAACAAAATTCGAAAAATCAGATAGTGATAGTATTGGAGATGCAGAAGAAGAAATGATTTCTAATATAAAGTTAGTTGATTTGGCTGGTTCAGAAAGATTAACAAAGACAAAATTATATGGACAGCATGATAGAGTTAAAGAAGGTTCATTAATTAATAAATCCTTGACTGTTTTAGGTAGATGCATTAATTTGTTATCATCAAAATCTACAAATATAATACCATACAGAGACTCAATTTTAACTTATTTGCTAAAAGAGAATTTATCAGGTAATTCAAAAACATGTATGATATTTTGTGTTTCACCTATGGATTATGAAGAAACAAATATGACATTAAATTATGCTAAAGAAGTTAAAAAGATCAAAACTCAAGCTAAAGCGAATAAAGTGAAATTGTCAAATGTACCTTTAGATTGGCAAAATTTACAAAATAAAGATCAAACTATGATTGATTCATTGAAGAATGAAATTAATTTATTGAATGAAAAGCTAAGCAATTTACAATTACTACAATCAACTCCATCAAATGTAACTAATATAATTGAATTTCTAGATAAAGAAAGTCAGAAAGTTAAATTTGAGAATAAATATTTAAAGAACCAGTTGTTGAAAAAAAATAATCTTATAATGGAGCTAAATAATCATATTGATTTTATAGAAGCGGAATATGATCAATTATGTCAGGAATCATTTGAAAAGGAGATGGACTTACTTGAATCGAGTAAGCACCTACTACTTAAAGAAGTTGAATTTAAGAATAAGTCAATTATTGAAGACTTAACCAAATTTAACCTAAACAGTTTTACATAGTTTATCACACTGGCTGTGATACATTCATATATACACTAGACTATACTTAGAATAATGTTTAACCTCTACTTTGGTTACTTTGGTGCTGTTTTTCAATAGTCGTTTGTTATTTCCGTATTTGAAAAATTGATTGTCACGCACTGAAATTTATGATTTACATTAAACTATACTATTCACGATGAATGGACAAACAGAAGAACGAAAGAGATTAAGACAGTTGATAAATGCAGATAAGAAAGAAAGGTTGATACAACGGCAAGAGGAATATATAAAACATCATGATACCAATAGCAAATCATCAACAAATTCATCAAATTTCAATGAAAAATGCTGTGTCTTAGCTATTAAATTATTTGATGGTAGTACTATAAAACATGAATTTAATCAAGAAGATACCCTAATAAAGGTAAGAGAATGGCTAGATAATGAAATAGAAGTAATACCTTCAAATAAAAGTATGCCATCGTTTGCAACTAGATCATATCCATATCCAACTGGTTATTTATTTCATAGGCCAATATTACCAAGAATGACGTATAATGAAGAACAAGAATCAAAGAATCTTTTACATTTACAACTAACTCCTAGAGCAATATTAATTTTAAAACCAACTTATGACGATGAAGATTCATTATCTCCAAAACCAGATACATCGAGCTCAGGATATTTTAAAAGAGTTTATAATGTAATTTGTAACTTGAGTTCTGCCTTAATTTCATTTTTCGATTATGGTGTAGATACAAATTATAATAATAATAATACTACTACTTCAGAAGAACCAATAAATTTAACACAACCAATTATTCAATCACCTGGGTTTGTTTCATTAAGTGATCGATCAGTTTCATCTTCATTATTAAATATTCAACATCCTGAAGAAGTGGAACAACAACAACAACAACAACATAATTCCCCGAAGATTTATCATAATGAAAATTTTTCACAAGACTCTTCACTACATTTATCAAATTTTACAAGTAGATCGCCAACACCAAGACCATTATCGTCAAGTAGAGTTCAAACATTACATGATGATGAAAGAATAGATACATATAATGGTAATAGTATAAATTTAAACGAAAGAGATGAAAATGATTAATATATAGTAAGGATGTATTTACAATGTCAACAACTCTATATTGTTACGACGCAAGTACAATATACCACAATATAACAATACAAAGCTTTAACGTATCGTATAAATTTTTCGTTTTTTTCAATCTTTTTTTCTCTTATTAAATGGATAATAAATTATTCATTTCTTTGGAGAATTTATTAAGATTACCAGGTAGTAACAGAGTGGCAAATGATGCTTCTATATTAACTTGTGGTTGTATTGTATCAGAACAACAATTCTTATTGAATGGTGTTTCTACTTGTCAAATCTGTCAAAAAACAAATGTTTCAATCTTATCGGAAATTGGACCCTTGCGAGATTTATATCAAATTTTGCAACAACAAAGTCAAAGTAATCGACGTCGCTCGTCTTCAAAAAGATCTATAAAGTCAAGTAATATAGATGATCATGAATCTACAGATTTGATGGGATTATTTTATAAATTTGCAAAAGAGGAACAAATAGACCACGGCTCAAAAATTGATCCAACTGATATTAAGAACCCAGTTTCTGAACCACCGTCAATTAAATCTTTATCTTTATCTCCTACAAATTATAAATTGGAAAACAAACCACATTCACTGTCAGTTGAAAATCAGTTTGAAAAAAATTTGTTTGAAAGTCTAAATGAACAAAAGGAGTATAATTTTAGTAAATGCTACCCATTCCATCGTCAACTAATAACATTCCCCACAAATCAATTGAAGTTTAATTTTCCTATTCCATTTACAGGCAATACCATCAAGAAAGCTATATGTTCTTCAATTTATTCATTTTTAAATTTACAGAATGCATTAGAAGTTACTAGATTTGTAATTATAAATGAGAAGAGATGGGAATTATATGAATATGCTGTACCTACTTCAGATACGAGATCTCTGGTGAAACCTAAATTAATTTGTTGTGGTAAACTGACTGGTGAATATGGAGAAAGTTTGAATAATTTAACATTTTCAATTGATAATGAAATAATAATAAGAAATGATTTTAATAAAAATGACAAAGATTCAAAAATTGACCTAAAAGAAGTGTTATCAAATTATGATCAAATGTATTGTAAATTAACTAAAAATTTTTTAGTAATATCAGGTACTAAAGGAGTAATGAGAGTATTTAATATTGATCCAGAATCAACGGAATATAAACTAGGTCAACCTATATATACATATCTTACTAATTTTCCAATTAGATGTATTGCAATCTCACCAAATGAATCATTAATAGCTTGTGGAATAACCGCAAAGGAAAGAATGTCAAATTTAGAACAACCATTTGTTATACTTCACAGATTAGTATTTAATAATAAATTGGAAAATGTTGATCCAATAACTATAACAATTCCATATCGTGATCCAATTAAGATTATAAATTTTAATTCAACTTCTTCACATTTAATAATTGCAACTACATGGGAATCAAGATATCTTATAATAAAACTAAAAACAGATAATAATTATAGAAAACCAAGATTAATATGGTCTGAAATTGTATATACAAAAGAATTTGAAAATAATAATGAAACAAATTTAATGATGTCTAATGAAAGTATAACTGATGTTCAATTTGGAAATCAATATTCAAATACAGTGATAATAACATCATGTTCATTGAAAAAAACACCACCAATAATAATTAGACTTGATGGTGCATCAATAGATGAAAACGATTCAATTGAAAATCATCATGAAGATTATCATCTTAAATCATCAGAAATAATTTCTCGATTTTCTGAAATTGGTTCATTAATTCATAAAGTTGCAATATCACCAAGAAATGATGGATTAATACTCTTAGATAAAGATGGGAAATTGTATTTAATTTCCTCTCCAAATTTCAATAAATATCAAAAGAAGTTTATAGTCTTGCTTGGTGAAGTTGCAAATTCTGAAAGATTTTCAGAAAGTGCTTCTGTTATATTTAGTCCTGATGGTGGTAAAGTGTTTACAATTGATAGAAAATGTAATTTTCAAGTATTTGATTTTACTAAAGGTATTCCTGGTGATGATCCAAATGTAGTTAAATGTAAGATCATAAATGTATAAATCTGAAACAAGAATTTGGGTTATATGCAGTCTCTGCATAGTTAATCGTGAAACTTATTGTAAGTAACTCCCTCAACAATCTAGCTGTAGTTGTCAAACTTTTTTCGTTGAATCTTTACTAGACCGACATTAAACTGATTCTAGTTTCCTCTAATTAAATTTCGTTTTCACCATCAAGTGAATACATAACCAAGAGCACACCTAATGCAATCATGCTTAGATGAAGAACATCGAGGCTTGTCTTAACTTCCTTCCATCTTGTTGATTCGACGCCGAGGGATTTTATATTGCAACATATAATTTATATTCTATTATGTGTTTGGAATCGACAGCTAGATCAACACCGGAGGAAGTGCTTTTCTCATTATTATCTTCTTTATTTGAATAAAAAACCATCTATAGTGAAAAATATTTAAAATTCAAAGGAATTGAAACAGTTAAATACGATCAATTTTTGAAAAGCTTAACAAGAAAATAAAATTCTATAGATAAGCCAACTCAAAATAACAAGTATAACAAGTCCGGGGGATTAGAGATTTACTTATTTATCATAAAGTCAACCACATAGTTGATGTAAGACCAGTAAAGTTTCTTTTAAACTTAATAGTAGTTCAAACAATAAATTATTATTCGTTCAGCCTTATAAAGTCTTAAAATTATATAATATAATCTAAAATGACTGCCATATATGAGTAGGAGAGATTTTTTCTCGAAAAAGCCAAAGAAAAGTTGTATCATTAATCTATTGTTTGTTAAATATTGCCTGATAATAGAGAAATAAATTATTTGAGCTCATTCTACTATGATCAAGTATATTAATTATAATAGATAATAGAGTCAACCTCTTTTGTCAAGTCCAATTTGACTGTTCATGGGTTTTAAAGATCTACAGTAATAATTTATTAGTGCGTTTCAGATGTTCCAATTAGGAAATTTTATGTTTTCTTAATAATTTTTCTCGTGTTAAAATTGGTTTCGTATCGGATTACTTCCCAAGCAGTTCAACGTCATGTCAATGGTTGTATGAGATAAGAATACAAATTCTTGATATCAAGAGAAGGATCATTGAAATATTGATTGATTAAATTAGATAATCAAATATTCTGATGGATTTTGTTAAACTATTCTGAGATCTAATAAATTATTTTGATATGAGCTCATGTTTAATAACTAAGCTTAAGATACTATGGGCAGACAAATCAAGCTCAATTTAAACAACCAAAAAGTTCGTGATATCAAATTAAACTGGAGCCATTATTCAAAATTTCAAACTTGAAGATATAACTCTAGACATCTTCAATTTTTAAATACATCTAACGCTGTCTCCACACCTCCAAAGATTTACCTAACACTTTTTGGGTATAGCGCTGAGAGGAAAATTGATTTTGGTAAATCAGAGCTTGCTATAATTCTAAGATTTTATGCTATATTCATAGCATATATGCAGATACATTTGATGCGAAGTCGCCCCAAGCTAACGCGAGAAATTCTTTCCACACTCGCGCTTTGGGAGAAATAATCTAGGGCGTTTTCTCGTTCCACGTCGCTCCATAGATTTGTTAGATTGAAAAAAAAAATAATTTACGATGTAGCCACAACAAAACGAAAAAATGAAAAAAAAAATTTCAAATTAACCCATATACGATTTACGATGTCTAATTCCGTCCCAGCTTTAAAAGAAGATATATTAGAGTTAATAGGTAATACACCTTTAGTCAAACTCAACAAAATTCCTCAAAGTTTAGGTATTAAAGCTAAAATTTATGCTAAAGTTGAATTATTTAATGCTGGTGGTTCCATCAAAGATAGAATTGCAAAAAATATGGTTTTAGAAGCTGAAAAACAAGGTAAAATTGAACCAAATTCTGGTTATACTTTGATTGAACCTACTTCAGGAAATACAGGTATTGGTTTGGCTTTAGTTGGTGCTGTTAGAGGTTATAGAACTATAATTACATTACCTGAAAAAATGTCAAATGAAAAAGTTTCAGTTTTAAAAGCTTTAGGTGCTGAAATTATTAGAACTCCAACTGAAGCTTCTTGGGATGCACCAGAATCTCATATTGGTGTTGCAAGAAAATTAGAAAAAGAAATTCCAAATTCAGTTATCTTAGATCAATATGGTAATGTTGCAAATCCAAATGCTCATTATTATGGAACTGGTTATGAAATTTGGCAACAAACTGAAGGTAAAGTTACTCATTTAGTTGCTGGTGCAGGTACTGGTGGTACTATAACTGGTATGTCTAAATATTTAAAAGAACAAAATGATAAAGTTGTTGTTGTTGGTGCTGATCCAAAAGGTTCTATACTAGCACAACCCGAAAGTTTAAATACTTCAACTGAAGGTTATATGGTTGAAGGTATTGGTTATGACTTTATTCCTGATGTTTTAAATAGAAAATATGTTGATAAATGGATTAAAACTGATGATAAAGAATCATTTAAATTAGCGAGAAGAATTATTAGAGAAGAAGGTATTTTAGTTGGTGGTTCTTCAGGAAGTGCATTACAAGCAGCTATTGAAATTTCTAAAAATTTAACTGAAGATGATGTTGTCGTTGTTGTTTTCCCAGATTCAATTAGATCTTATTTATCTAAATTTGCAGATGACGAATGGATGATTTCAAATGGATTTGAAGTTGAAGATAATTCACAAACAAATGGAGCTGATGATATTTTAGCTAATAAAACAGTTGCAGATTTAGTTGCAAATAAATCTCCAGTTGTTACTGTTGAATTACAAGATACTGTAAATAAAACTTTTAATTTATTAAAAGATAATGGTTTTGATCAATTACCAGTATTAAATAAATCTGGTCAATTAATTGGGTTAATTACATTATCAAAAATTTTAAAAACATTATCAACTAGAAAGATACAAATGACAAATTCAATTTCATCAATTATAATTGATTTTAGAAAATTAAAAGATTTCGAAAAATCATTTACAATTAATAAAAATTCTGGATTTACAAAAAGACATTATGAACCAATTACTTTAGATACTAAATTAAATGTATTAAATAAATTTTTCGAAACCAATTCAAATGCAATTATAACTGATTCAGATTTAAAACCAGTTCAAATTGTTACAAAAGTTGATTTATTAAGTTATTTATCAAAGAATTTATAATAGATTTTATTATATATATTTATGAGAATTTCCATCTATTACCACAATTTTCACAAGTACAAAAAGTTGTTAAAGGTTCATCTGCAGATCTAGTTTGCATTTGATAATAACTAACTTTTTTATGTTTACATTTCCCACAAGTAAATCTATCAGTAACAGCTCTTTTTTCAGTTGCACCTTGAGCATCAAATAAATTTTGTTTATGTAATTGTTCCATTTCTTTACGTAATGCTTCTGGTGCCATTTCTGTTGGTTTCATATTAATAAATTCATTTGGTTTTATTGATTTACTTAATAATCTTTCTCTAATTTCTGGATTTTTTTTATTCTTGAGGTTCATTGTAAAAGTTCTTAATTTTGTACGATATGTATCATCTACTTTACCATATTGAGCTTTAAAAACTTCTGATTCAATTTCAACAGCTATTGATAATATTAATTTTGATGAATCATCTCGTTCAACAGCCAATGCAGTATATAATGCACCAACAGATGCATTTCTAGTTGGATTTTCATATAATTGAGTATTTATAGCATCTGATTTAGAAGTTCTTGGTCCAGTATAATGTCTTTTTGGTGCTTCTGGTTGTTTTGATGTATTATCTTGTGATTGATCTGGTGATTTATTACCATCTGATGAATTATCTTTATTAGCTTCTTGTTTTTTCTTTAATGAATCCTTTTTAACAGCATCTCTCCAATTTCTAATCATTTTTTTAACCAATTGATTAATTTCTGAATTATCATGACTTCTAAATTTATTTACAGCAACACCAACTTTAGTTTCTCTTAATAATTTTTCTGTAGGTATAACATCATCATTTAATATATTTAATAGTTTTAACATAGTTTGATCATCTTGAGTCTTTTCAAGATTTGATACAATTGATTTAATTTCCTTTGTATCCATTTTGTATATTTTTTTATTCTACATTTTTTTTTTTCATACCAGCTGAAAATTATATATATGGATACCAAAAGTACTTGTGTTTCCCTTGGGAAATTTCCATTTGATTATACGGAAGACCAAGTATTGGATATTGCTAGATCGGTTGGTCCTGTTTTAGATGTTAAACTTTTATTTGATGATTTAACTGGTAAATCAAAAGGTTATGCTATTATAAATTATGGTGATAATGAAACTGCTGCTTCTGCAGTACGAAATTTAAATTATATGACTTTACCAAATGGTAGATTTTTAAAATGTTCATTTATAACAGATTATGATATTGGTAATAGTAATAATAATACACAAGATGATATAAAATTACCACCATTACCTTTAGGAATACAAATTCACCCGACGCAAAATGCATCACAAGTTATATCTTCAATATTGAGTAGTATAGATCCTCAGTCAAGGTTACAAATATTAAAAGAAATAAAAACAATGAGTATAGAGAATCCAAAAACTACAAAATTATTATTGGAAAGATTTCCACAATTGAGTTTGGCATTAGTTGAATTAAGTATGATTTCAAATACGACAAATCAAGAGCTTATAGAATTAACATTGAATAAAAAGCATGTGGATTTGAAGACGTTATCATTTGAACATGTAAAATTACTACAAAATATAGAGAAGTTAAAATCAGATGAAATAAATGATTTAAACGAAGATCAACAAGAAATTATAAAAAAAATACAACAAGAGATTGAAAATGGTTCGTATGGTGAAGTGTCGTCGATTAAAGAAACTGAGAAAGGACTAGAAGTGTAATATAATTTATTATAGTTGTCAAATTATAAATTATAACTTTACGCAACGAGGCTTTGATTGAATATGTTAGATAAGACATATAATACTATGAGAATACTATGAGAATACTATGAGAATACTATGAGAATACTATGAGAATACTATGAGAATACTATGAGAATACTATGAGAATACTATGAGAATCTTGCAACTTCATTCTATACAGATTGTGTAAATAGAGACAACACTCGTGGTCTATAAATGTACAGCTTCAATATTTAAAAGTTTTAGTTTAGCTGTTTACTTTCTTATTCTCGAAAATGATGATGATAAACTATGAAAATGTTTCAAATCTCGAAACCACTCTCCTCAATTTAGCAACTTTTCAAAGTTAATTAGCCCCCTAAGGTACAAGAGTATCTAATATAGTTCTTCACATGCTTATTCCGAATCTAAAGAATATTTGTTGGCTGGATACATTTTGTAAATAGTGTGATAAGTTTAAGGTGGTTTTTTTTTTCTTTTATCGATAGCTGTGAAATTTTACTTTTCTCCGTTAAATATTCATATTCACGTTTTAATCAACAGTTATACAAAACATATATAATCTACAACATAGACTAGTTTAGTTAATATTAGATATATATCAATTGAAATGCCATCATCTACTAAACAAAAAAAAACAAAAGAAGAATTATTAGCAGATTTTGAAAATGAATTGGTAAGATTTGAAGCCATGGCTATAAAAATAGATGGATATGATGAACCATTAATATTTTCAAGAGATATGGAACCAATGCCACAAAGATTACATTTTATAATACCTGAATATTCAACATATCACTTATCAATAAGGTATAAAGTATTAAAAAGACCTTTAAGAAGTTTAACTTATCATCAAACCGTTAAAAAATCAGGTATAATTGTTGATCTGAGAGATTTACATATGATTGAAGATGCTAAAATTAATAATCATTTAGATAATGGTGATTTTCATGAAATCACATTTCCACCTGGTGGAGTTCCAGGTGGTACTTTTTTAAGAGGAGATTATCCTGCAAAATCAACAATAAAAGAAAATGGAGAAACTATATGGAGTTATAAATGGACATTACAAATTTCCAAAAAACATGATACACCAGCTGTTGGAGGATTTGATTAGAGTTTGTTAGTTACATTAGAGTTTGTTAATTAGATTAGAGTTTGTAAATTAGAGTAGTGATCAAAAATAAATGTGAGAATTTCAATAACAACAATTAATGGGGAGACTTAGACTTTTAGTTTATTGTGTATGAGAGTTTAAAGTCTGGACCTGAACTACTCTGTCTCTTTTATTTGAACGTTATAATTGATCATAAACGTTATAATTGATCATAAACGTTATAATTGATCATAAACGTTATAATTGATCATAAACGTTATAATTGATCATAATCGATGACATCTTAAATATAAAATTCCTCAATTGGTAGCACTAGTATTAATTACATAACACGTATCACAAACTTACATAATAAATATAAATTTTACTCAATTGGTAGCACTGGTAATAATTACATAACACTCAAAACAAAACTTACATAATAAGTGGTTGATAACTCAAAATGATAGATTAAGTCACTTGATCACAAAAAATTATATAAAGGTTTCTTATTCCATACATTTTTTATTTTTTGATTTCCATTACTTTTTTTATTTTATTACTTTTAAACTTTTAAACTTTTAGTACTTGAATAGGTTACAATTAAGGTTAATATTAATATTCATCTCATCATTACAATTGTTTATTAATCGAAAATACACATTTCAAAAAAAAAAAGAAGATTTCAATAATATTTATTTCTGACAAACAACATTTTATCATGAGTTCACCTAAAAGACGTATTGAAAAAGATGTAATGGAACTAATGATGTCAGATCATGATGTTACTCTAATTGATGATTCAATTCAACAATTTTTTGTCATTTTTAAAGGTCCAATGGATACTCCTTATGAGGGAGGAATTTGGAAAATTCGCGTTGAATTACCTGATCAATATCCTATAAAATCTCCATCAATTGGTTTTACAAATAAAATATATCATCCAAATATTGATGAAGGTTCAGGATCTGTTTGTTTAGATGTTATAAATCAAACTTGGTCTCCAATGTTTGGATTATTAAATATATTTGAAAATTTCTTACCGCATTTATTAAGATATGCAAATCCAAGTGATCCATTAAATACTGAAGCTTCAAATTTAATGACTAAAGATGAATCAAAATATAATGATACTGTACGTAAATATGTTCAACAATATGCTAAACATATACCTGAAATAAATGGAAATGTAGATGATAAATTGGATGAAGATGAAGATGATGAATTAAGTGATGTTGGTAGTTTATCTAGTGATGATGATATAGATGATGATGAAGAAGAAGATGACGATGACGATGAAGAAGATGACGATGAAGAAGTTGCAGGTGATTTGGAAGTTTAAAGGATGAGCATAGGTTATTTGCATCGACAAGCATTAACAGGTTTCAAGTGTTTAGGTTTATAGGTTATTCTTACATTTTAATACAAATTGAATTTGTTTTATTATATTGATGCAAAATGTTGATTCGTATATTTTTATTTTATTTTATTTTATTTTATTTTTTTATTTTTTTTTTTTTTTTTTTTTTCAAGCAATTTGTATATACCAATGGCTGGAACAAATAATGACAAGATAGAGCCAACATTAAAAAAGAAAATGATATCAAATGATGATTTATATCGACATTCATCTCAATATAATTTTTGGTCATTTACAGAAGAACAACTAGTGAATTTAAGAAAACAAACAAATTTAAAAGGTCAAAAAATTGCAAAAGATAAATTTCAACAAGAATATACAAATTCAAAATTGTCAAATCCTGAAATATTTGATAAATTTCAACAAGAATTAAAAGAAGAGAATTTATTAAATTTGATTTCCTATGAAGAAGAATTAACATTTCTTGATTTTTATATTCAAAATATTACCACATCATGTAATTTCTTCAAGATGCCAACCCAAGTTAGATTAACAGCTTCGTCATTTTTTAAAAAATTTTATTTAAATAACTCAGTAATGGAATATCATCCAAAAAATATATTATATACTTGTATTTTCTTAGCTGCTAAATCTGAAAATTATTTTATATCAATTGAATCATTTGTTAAACCATTGAGTAAAATAGATTCAGAGCATATTTTAGATTTGGAATATATTGTATTACAAAGCTTGAAATTTACATTAATGGTTCATCATCCAATACGACCTTTATATGGTATTTTTTTAGATCTGCAAGCTGAATTATTACATCCACAAATTAATCAAGATATAAATATTGATAAATTGGGTGATTTATATAATCATGCAAGAGAATGGTTAAATAAATATTATATGATTAGTGATGTTGCTTTTTTATTTACTCCTCCTCAAATTGCATTAGCTTCAATGTATGATATTGATCAAAAAATAACCGAAAACTATTTGAAAAGAAAATTTTTGAAAAATGAAAAATTAACTACCATAAAAGAAGAACCTGAAAGTACTGAAGATGTAGGGAGAACTCAATTGACTACATTAATTGAAACAATTCAAAAATGTATATCAGTTGCAAAGCAATCTCATGTTGCTGATCGTGAAGCAAGTAAAGAAATTGATAGAAAATGTTTTTATGCTTTAAATCCGAAAAATCTAATAGACAAGAGGATAAAGAAACTAACTAATAATAAAGAATCAACATGAATTTAAATTATAAGTTGAACAGACTACATAAATGAAAGATTTGTTGCTAGCAAATGTATTCATTTGATACCCAAATTACAACACATCAAGTAAGGGAAGACATTTAGATACCTAATATTTACTAGATTCAAACTGACTTACAATCAAATATCAAAATCTTCATTTGAAAATGTGCGTAGAAGTTAAATTGTATGGGAATATTTGAGGTTAATAAGACTAAGTGTTAATTAGGTAAAATGAAATCTATATAGTTACCATAGCACGATTTATTCATCAATTTTGCGTGTTTATTGAAAGGTGTTTTAAATCTACAATCAAATAGGCGGCCTGACAGTTGAAATTTCTTAAAAATTTTGGAAGCATAACCGGCTCTTATTGGCCATATTTTCCTTGCCTCCTAACCGTCAAATAATGTATAGTTTGCAAAGTAACGTTACGATTCTACCTGAATCAAAAACAAAAGTGTGTTTATCATGTTTCTCAGTATATGTATTTGTTCTTAAGGATCTTAAGGACAAAATACTACTCTCGACTTATTTAATCGATATAAATTGTATTAGAAAACGTCAAAAATAGACACTGCGATCTCAGCAATTCAATAAGATCGATTACCCATTTAAATAATAAGCATAGTCATTAAACATGAGCTCATAAAAGATAATTCATCAGATTTTGTGATAAACAAAATCAATTACAATATTTCATTATTTTTTGATCTAAATGATAAGAATTTTAATTCTGATATTTTTCTTAACATAATTAGATTGTAATTCATACCCTGTATAAGTATTATTTTAACCATAAATGATTTGGGAAGGTTTACTTCATTCAAATAAAATTTCAATGTGAGAAAAATTATGAGAAAAAAATAAAATTTCCTAATTGAGACATCTGAAACACACTAGTAAATTATGACCATGAATTTTGACGGAGGGTAAAACAGTTGTATGACACCTGACAGCAAAAACTTTACATTATCAAATGATTTATTGACTGAAATTATTATATTAATATCATAGTTGAATCAGTGAAACTAGTTTCTTTTTTCAAGTATTACGTGATTTTTAAAAAACAGTAGATAATGATACAGGTTTGTCTACAGCATATCAAAAACTTTAATTGATGTGATTCCAGTGATTATTTAAAATTAGTCACTTCAAAACATAAGGTAGTCAATGATTTATATTGTGCAAAACCGAATTCTTTTGTGGTGAATCAACAAGATGGAAGGAAATTGAAAGAAGCGCTCGATGCTCGTCATCTAAGCATGATTGCTTTAGGAGTATTTAAGGTATGTTTTACTCAATATTTACTTTGAAGTGAAGGAAGTAGTTATGATGGCTATTTAATCAAGTTGGCAATGTAATTCAGTAATTCATTTAGTTGTTGCAGAGTAATTGCTTTTCTTGTAAAAAGTAAAGAATAGAAAGCGAATTTTCATAAATACTATATTAATAGCCATATTAAAGTACCGATAATCGATAATCCAATAATTGAAGTAATTATTGCAGCTCCTGCTTTATCTTTAGTTGTTAGTGTTAACGGCTTTGTATTTTGCTTTATCTTTGGATATCCGTTACCAGGGTGAGATTTTGAAGAACCTCCATCATTTGCAGTATATGGAGCTGGTCTTTTAGGTGTCATAACGTTCTGCATCACCTCAAGCGCCGATAGTTCTTCACCAAGTCATGTTAATTGTTAGTATAATCGGTGTTTCAATTGTGAAATGAAAATCAGAGTCTGTTTTTCAATACCTCTTTATTCGTCTTCTGAATTGTTAACATACCATATACGTTATCATAGTGATTTCCAACCCCATATGGATTATCATCTGTTGAATTCCAATTTGTCCAATCTTCACCACAAGTCACACCATCATACCCACCACTTCAAGAACCAGCAGCAGCATTAGCAGAGCTCTTTATCCATCCATTAATAGTCTCTTCCGTTTGGGGAATCAATTTTGAAGTCAATCCCAAGAATCTTGCAAAATTAGCTATAAAAGATCGTTGATCATTATTACAATTTTTTGATGGTTGACAAGCGGCTTCATATATTACCATATTACCACTAATATTTTTAAAGAATACTTGAGCAGATCTTAAAAAATTCATTGAATAATTTAACCATTTTTCATCTTCTGTATAATTATATAAATAAGCACATCCACTCAATAATAAACCTTGATTATAACTCCATACATTTTTAGTGACATTTGAACAATTGTTATTTATTTTAACCCCATCATAAACAAACCACCATTCATTTTCAGTTAATAATCCAACACCATACATCCAATCAAATACTCTTTCTGCCCATTCTACGTAAGTATCATTTGCTGTGTATCTAGCTAATCTAGCTGCAAGGTTAAATAAACAACCGTTTGAAACTGAGTTTTTATAATCATAACCTGTATTCCATTGAAATATTTGCCATCTCAATCCTCCTCCACATTGATCGTCATCCCATCTAGATGACATTGTATTGAAAACAGCTTGTGCTAGACCTAACCATGATTTTTTAGGATCACTTGGATTACTGAAATTTCTTTCTGCTGCTCCCATGACTGTTAAACCCCAAAACCCTTGATCATCATTACCTTCAGTGGTACTTTGATTAAGTGGAATATAATTCAAATCATCTCCTGCTTGATATTCTAAGGCTTCTTTGATTAATGGAACCAATGTATCATTCTCAAAAAAGAATGTGTAATCTAATAAAGATCCAAATGCTGCTCCTGCTTCCCACCAATAATATGGAGATGAAAACATACCCACGGTACCTCCGTATTTGTCACCTTCGTAGTAATCTAAAACTCCCTGGACAACTGTATTCGCTGCAAGTCGAATTGTGGTGTCATTATTTGTATCTAGCCAAATACAATGTATAAATGTAACAAAATAAGATAATACCAAGAAATTCATAAACGAATGTAGTTTTAAAAAAAAATTGCTGCCCTTTTTTTTTTTTTGCAATCTCAACAAACTGGAATTTAATCGATCGATTGCATATAACAACATATCATACGCGTTGCACTGCCGAGTTTAAACAATAACTTACATCAGAGAAACTATGTTATGCACGTAGAATGTATATATTTTTCAAATTACTTTAGAATCCTTAATGATTCCTGTCAATTTATTCTTTTTGAGATTGTTTTATAATTTTTCTTGGATCTGAACCCCTTGCATGAGCCTCTTCACTAATTCAGCCACTTTATTTTGGAAAATTTTATTTTCCAAAAAATGTATTCCAATTATTTCATCATGCTAAAAAGTTATTGACACATTAAGATTTGAAACCATGTAATTTCGGTGACGACATTATATAATCGAAGATGCGCATCAATCAAGCTCAGCAGTATTCTTGTATCCACAATTTGGTGAGAATATTCTAGATGTGATTATATTAGAGATGATTTAAATGTTTAAAATTTCGAAGAATGAAGGTCATGCTATTCCCATTTCGAGCTAATCTTTCAGAAAAAACTGAAGCTAGTTTACTTTTCAATCAGGGTCCATTCTTCTTAACTTTTATGTTAATCTCGTCGAAACTTTACCTTTTAGCTTGTTTTCAATTGAATATTTATTGGTATTTTCAAAATTTTTATTTTTTAGCGGGTAGGAATTTTTTAGCGGTTACAAAACATTTTCTAATTAGGAGTAACCGCGTAACTTGATTCCGAATTGCCTTACATTTATGCCCCATTTAAATTGCCGAGATGCCAGTAGGTATACAGATTTAAATTTGAATTTTGAAAATATGTTTTCAAAAAGATTTTATTCATCTTCATCAAAAATGATTTCTCAGATTAAGAATCAAAATTTAATTAAAACTAAAGGTTTTATTAATGGACAATGGGTATCAAGTTCATCAAATGAATCATTTGTAGTTACTAATCCTGCTTTAGTTCCTAAAAATGAAGCAGTAATTGAAACAGTTCAATCAATGACTGAAGATGATTATAATAAAGCAATTGATTATGCTTATGATTCATTTGAAAAATTTAAAAAAACTACTGGTAGATATAGATCAGGTTTATTATTAAGATTATATGAATTAATGATTGAAAATCAAGAAGATTTAGCTAAATTATGTGTTTTAGAAAATGGTAAACCATATGCAGATGCTTTGGGTGAAGTTAAATATGCAGCTTCATTTTTCCAATGGTTTTCAGAAGAAGCTCCAAGAATTAATGGTGATATAATCCCATCAGCAAATCCACAAAATAGAATTTTAGTATTAAAACAACCAATTGGTGTTTGTGGTATTTTAACACCTTGGAATTTTCCATTAGCTATGATTACAAGAAAAGTTGGTGCTGCAATTGCTACTGGTTGTACAACAGTCATTAAACCAGCTTCAGAAACTCCATTATCAGCATTAGCAATTGCTTATTTAGCTCAAGAAGCTGGATTTCCAGAAGGTACAATTAATGTTTTACCATGTAAATCAAGTTCAATGGCTGGTAAATTAATTTGTGAACATCCAAAAATTAAAAAAGTTAGTTTTACAGGTTCAACTGGAGTTGGTAGTATATTAATGAAACAAAGTTCTTCAACTTTAAAAAAATTATCAATGGAATTAGGTGGTAATGCACCATTTATAGTGTTTGATGATGTTAAAGATATAGATAAAGCTGTACAAGGAGCAATTGCATCAAAATTTAGATCAAGTGGTCAAACTTGTGTTTGTGCGAATAGATTATTTATTCATGAATCAATTTATGATGACTTTAAAGATAAATTAATCTCAAAATTAAAAGAAACTGTTGTTTTAGGTGATGGTTTAAAAGAAGGTGTTACTTATGGTCCTGTTATTAATGAAAGATCAATGAAAAAAGTTAGAGAACATATTGAAGATGCTACTGGTAAAGGTGCAAAAATTTTATTTGGTGGCAATAAAAGAGAAGATCTTGGTGCAAATTTCCATGATTTAACTGTATTAGGTGATGTTACTACTGAGATGCAAATTTTTAATGATGAAACTTTTGGTCCAGTTGCTCCATTAATTAAATTTAAATCTGATGATGAAGTTATTAAAATGGCAAATGATACTCAATTTGGTTTAGCTGGTTATTTCTATGCTACTGATGTTAGTAGAGTTTTTAAAGTTGCAGAAGCTATTAATGTTGGTATGTTGGGTATAAATACTGGTGCAATTACAGAAGCTGCATTACCATTTGGAGGTATTGGAGAATCTGGATTTGGAAGAGAAGGTTCAAAATTCGGTGTAGATGATTATTTAATCATTAAAAGTTGTGTATTAGGAAGTGTTGATGTATAGGTTTATTCTACTTGTGATGTTACACCAAAATCTTGTTCATTTGCAATTTCTCTGATTTCTATTCTACTTGTGATGTTACACCAGAATCTTGTTCATTTGCAATTTCTCTAATTTCTTCTTCTAATTTTAAATCTGGTTTTTCATCAACTACTTCATCACTAGCAACTACTAAAAAATCATCATGTAAATCTTCGACTTTTTCAACTTCTAAATTGGGTATTACGATACTAGTGATATTAAACTTGTCTCCACTGACTATTAACTTTTTATTTGGATTTTCCAATCTATAATTTTCAACTAGTTTCTTACTAAATACTTCTAAATCACCTTGTTTATTCATAAAATCATCTAGTTCATTTTGTAATTGAGATATTTCATCTATTGGTTTTTCTAATTCTTCTTCTGTCTGTATATCTTTTTCTAATTCCTCTTTAAATAAATTTAAATCTGTATCTGATAATTTAACCAAATTTATTTCTGGTTTGAAAAGACGTTTCATATAGTCTATATTTTCAACATATCTTGCACAATTTATAGATTTAAAAGTTAAACTAAATAATCCACCTTCTTCTGTAATTCCATTAACTATTGATGATGGAAAATTTTTTAATGTGGCTGGTGCTGATTCATATACAGTTGGTGGATATGACTGAAATTGTTGATCGTTTACCACAGGCTCTGGTTGAGCTATTTTTTGTTTCTTGTATAAAGGATGTCTACCCATATCTGTTGGTTATAAAAAGTTTTTGTTGATAATTTAAAATCCGCTACCAATTGAGAAATATATATTATGCATTATACGTAAAATCACTCAATGTTAAAATTGGTGTTTCTGGAGATTCAACTTCTTTATAATATTCATCTTGTATAGCTTGTAATTTTGGTCTCAATTGTTTAATATCCAGTTTATCAATATCTTTCCTACATGAAAGTACACCAATGACATAATCAATTGATGAATAATAAAATTCAGGTAGTACTTCATGTTGCCATATTTGAGGTGCAATATTTAATGGATCTTGACAAGTACCTAAATTATCTAATAATTCAATTGCTTTCAAACTATAAAATAAATATTTCTTATCCTTTCTAGTAAATAAGTTTTCTAAACCGTGGAAAAACAAACTAATATCTCTTCCAATACCTTCTGAAAAGGATTTATACTTTTTAGTTGCATCTGGATCAATTTTTTTACCATCACCATGTAATACATTTTCATAACCAATTCTAATATAAGTATTTATAAAATTATCCAACAATATAGTAAAACATAATGCATATACATTATAAGTTGAATAACTTCTAATTTCTTGCATATATTCAGCAATAGTCTCCACTATTAATTCAGTCATTGAAACTTCAGGTGGATCATACCATGCTTTTGTAAATACTTTACATAATTCAGGATATAAATCATTAATTACAATCAGACATATTGTTTTAATAATATGACTAATTAATTCATTGGAAACATAAACTGTAGATTCAAAAGCTGTTTGTATTTTTGAATGGAAATTTGCATGAGTTTTTTCAAGATATATTGGCATAAATTTGTCACTTAAAGTTTCACTTGTAATATCTAATGAATTTGCCAATGCACATAAATATTCAACTAAACCTTCTTTGGAAATATTTCTTTGTTCTTCTGGTGTTAAACTATCAACATCCACAGCCACTGGTTTTTTTCTAAATAATTTTTTAGCTTTTGATTGTTTAATCAAAAATTTTTCATTATTAAAAACTGAAATATATCTATCCATTTCATCATCAATTAAGTCACGAAAATTATCTATTCTTTTCAAAAAACAAACATTCCATTTTTCAATAACTTCAACTAAAATTTTAGAATATCCTGAACTTGCAGCTACATCAGCTTGTTCTTTCAACATAGCTAATGGAGTTTTAAAATCTGGTAAAACATAAGCTTGAAAAGTACTAAACATTTCCAATTCATTTCCTTGAACATCTTCATCCCAATATTTTTGTTCATATGGATATACGTCAGGTGCTTTTGGTCTTTGAGTAAATGATTCAGTTTCTTGTTTTATAAGATTTAAATTCCATTCATTCATTTTGTTTGTAATTGTAGTTAAATAATCTTCCAATACAGATTCTTTTAATTCACCAATTATTGATTTATCAAATGGATTTATTTTATCATAAGCTAATATTTTTAATAAATCTTCAGCTGGTGGTTCTTTTTTAATTAAATCTAAAGTAAAGTCATGTAAACAATCATAATAAATCTTGCTAAAGAATTTTTCAATATCCCAAGGGAATAAATCTTCTAGACTTTTGATAAATTTTAAATCTTCTTCTAACCAATATAAATTATCAAAAACTAAAATTGTATCATCTGAAAAATGATTAACACAAGTTTGAAAAGTTTCTTGTAGATTTAATCTTAATTTATCGAAAAAGAATTTCTTATAATTTCTTTTTTTAATTCTTTGATAACCATTTAATTGATCTCTTTGAAATAGATTTCCAATTAATTCAGCTTTTAAATCTTCTTTTTCTTCATAACTTATCACAGCAACAAATTTAAATAAAAATTCAAAATTCCCTTCTTTAGTATATTCAGTTAATGAAATAGTACACTCATTTATAAACTCGTCAAATAAACTTATAGTCTTCTTTATAGGTGATGTAATTTTCTGCACTAATGATTTATAATCATCTGAAGAATTCATGATAAATCTTTCAAGATAATCGTGAAAATTTCTAGCTTGATCATATAAATTATGAATTTCTAAAAATTTAGGTAATGGATAATTTGAATCATTTTGGAATTGACTCATTTCATCTTCAATTGCAGAATTTAAATTATTTAAATTCTGATGAAATTTTGAAATATCAAAATATATATTTTCAACTTGACTTAGATACTGATTTATTAATGACATTTTACGTATTAAGTCATAATCTTTAATATTAGTTGATTCTTGATGAATATTTGTAATTTTATTTACATTTGATTTTATATTATTTAATTTTTTCATTGTTTGATTTAATTGATCAAGATTATTCATTATAGAATCAATTTGTAATTGAGTTGTTGATGATAATTTAATATCAATTGATGATTTTTCTTTTAAGAATTGTGATCTTAATGAATCTAACTTAATCAAATCATCTTCTAATTTTATTAAATTGTTTATCTTTGATAATTCTGCTGCCATGGCGATAAATTTGTCTTGGTTTGGTTTGGTGATAATTATATTTTTTTTTCGCTTTACCAAACTGATTTTGCATCCATCCAATGCTTAATATGGATCAACAAGAAATTGAAGAAATACCAATATTAGTTGCAAATGAAACAACAGATATCAAAACTGAAACTCTAAGTAAAGAAAAATTCAAACCATTTTCATCAACTCCAAATACCACTAAAAAGATACCAATAAGTATTATAACAGGTTATTTAGGTTCTGGTAAATCAACTTTATTACAACAAATTGCAAAAAATTCAAATAAAAAAGTTGCAATTATTTTAAATGAATTTGGTGATTCTGCAATTATAGAAAAATCAGTAACTATACAAGATCAATCAGAATCAGTTACTGAATGGTTGGATATTGGTAATGGATGTTTGTGTTGTACTGTTAAAGATACTGGAGTATCAGCAATTGAAAATTTAATTGAAAATTCAAAAGATAAAATTGACTATATTCTTTTAGAAACCACTGGTATTGCTGATCCTGCTCCCATAGCTCAAATGTTTTGGTTAGATAAAGGTTTAGCTTCAAATATTTATATTGATAGTGTTATTACTGTTGTTGATTCAAAAAATATAATTAAATCTTTGAATGATAAAGACGGTCATTGGCATGGTGAAGGTGAATTAATTACAACTGCTCATTTACAATTAGCATTAGCTGATGTTGTATTATTAAACAAAATTGATCAAATAGAGAATCAAGATGAAGTATCAAAGAAAATTCGTGAAATTAACTCAACTTGTCCTATATATCCAACTAAATTTGGAGATATAAGTATAGATAAGATATTAGATTTACATTCATTTGATGTATATAATATTGATATTGCTGGTACTTTTCATGGTGCTATATCTACAATTTGTTTGAATTTTCCATTTTTCAATGATGTATCTCAATTTGAAAAGTTTGAAAAGTTTCTACAGTATCTATTATGGGAAAGTGATGAAGAAATTCATAGAACAAAAGGTTTACTTGTATATAATGATGATGTTAGAGTAGTTCAAGGTGTTAGAGATACTTATGAAATAATTGAGAATGGTAAACTACTAGATTCAGTTACCGAAAACAAATTAGTTCTAATTGGTAAACAATTAGATGATGAAAAATTAATAAATTTATTAAATAGTTACATATAAATACATATTAGCTTGCAAGTTCTTCAGCTATACTATCGATTAAACTATCGATATCTTCAACTTTAATACCACAACTTAAACTTAATAATTTCCTATATTTATACATTTTATCATCTATTCCAAAATCTTTAGTTCTTTGAGTAATTTGTTCAATTAAATATTTTCTTTTAATTTGTAAATTAGTTAATTCAATTGAATAATCAAATTTATCTTCATTACTTAATTCATCATCACTTATTTCTTTATTATTTTCAAGATATTTCATTTCTAAATCTTGAATTAAATTACCCAATTGAAATGCTTGATTAAATTGTAAAATTTTAAGTAATTTATGGTCTTTTTCATTAATTGTATTTTCAAGTTTTAAAATATTGTTTTGAATTAATGCTTCACCTTCTTCAAATGAAGTTATTTTTTCTTCAATTCCCGAATTATGAAGTAATTTTTCAAATTTACTTAAATTATGTTTCGATTCATGCTTTTTTTGTTTAATTAGTTTCTCAATTTTCTTTATTTCATGATCTAATTTCTTTGTTTCATTTTCAAAACAATCAGATAATGAATTAATCATACTTGAAATCATCGATGATAAATCTTTTGATGATAATTGTTTTGATTGTATTTGTTCTAATTTACCTTCATTATTGATTTTAGGTGGGATGAATTTAAAAGTAGTTTCTTTAGGTTTGTCCGGCTCTATCTCTGATATAACAGATAATGGTTGATGATTATAAGTAGGCATGGTTTTTGGAACTGGTGTTGACACATTATATTTCTCAATAAATATATTTTCTTTATTATCTTGTAACATATCAATATGTTTATTATCAACCCTTGCACTATTTATTTCTTCATCATCTAAATCATCATCTTGAATTGTTGTTCTTTGAGTATCTGGAGTTTCTACTTTATTATAATTTGGTTGAATAGGAGTTGCTAAACCAGGAACATTATTGGTATTTACATTATAACCAGTATAATTTAAACCCATTTGTAATTGATCATGAAATTGATTATTAAGATAATTTGGAATTAATTGATATTGTTGGATTAATCCTTTTGATGTTTCTCTATTTATATTTTCTAAATCATCTCTTGCACCATATTCTAATAATGTTTTTACAATTTTAACTAATCCTGATTTAATAGCTAGATGTAAACAAGTATCTCCATGAATATCTTGATGATTTAAAACATTTTTCATTAAATCAATTTGTCTAGATTGATTTTGATGAGATAATACTGTTAATTTAGCTAAAATAATTTGTAAATAATATTTTATTGATTCATATCTTTTTGCAGATTTTGCATATGAACATAAATAATGTAATGGAGTTCTACCATTAATATCAGTATTAATCAAACAATTTTCTAATTCATTTAAAACTTTGGGGAAATTTTTCAATTCAAAACAATTTGTAAATGATAATAATTTAGATAACGGGTTTAACCCATTATTATTTACAACTAATTGATGAGCACCTTTTGATATTAGTAAATGTATCATATTATAATTTCCAATCGATGCAGCCCAATGCAAAGGGGAATGACCTTCATCATCAATTGGTTCATTAATTTTAAAATCTGCTGGTGGATAATGAATAAAATAAGGTACTTCTGCATTATCAGCACTGAAAAATTTTAATAACTGACCAGCATAACTATTATCATCAGATGGACTTGAACCAGAATTTTGTTGTAGTCTTTTTGGATCTTCTTGATTGGATGACATTGAAGTATCACTATCTTTTTGAGTAGACCAATTAGTATCATTTGAAGATTGTGAAGACGGTACTTTATTAAATACATGTTGTACATTATTTTGGAAGAATTTTTGAGGATATTGAGGTGGTGGTGGTGGTGGTGGTGGTTGCGGTGGTTGTGGTGGTTGTTGATAAGGGAAATTGTTGTTTGGTGGGTAAGATGGCATTGAGCTAGCAATTGGTGTAAATTCTGGTTGACTATAAGCAACTGGTTGTGGTTGAGAATGTGAATGTTGAATAGTTGATGTTTGACTCATATTATACATTGATGGATATTGAGAATTATTTGTATAAGTTGAAATTTGTCTTGATAAAGAATTAAAAGTAGTATCCTGTGATGTAAATGATTCTTGTGCTACTGCAGCAGCAGCAGCTGCTTCTTCTTCTTGTCTTTGTAATTCTGCTTTCTTACCAGTTTTATATTTTCTAGGAGTATCGCCAGGTTGTTTTGGTTTTTTAGTATATTTTCTTTTTTCACCATTAACTTCTTTCGGTTTTGGTGGAGGTTTTGGTTTTTCAGGTATTACTAAATTTGGGTCATTTAAATCTAAATATAAAACCGGAGCAACTTCTTTGGTAACACCATAGTTTGCTGCTAATTTTCTTGCATCTTCCAAAGGTATCCAAGTTCCTTGAAATCTACCGAATCCACCTTGTACTTTTTCATGTTGACTTTGTTGAACACCTTTTTCTAAAATTTTTGTCCTTTTAGCTTTTGGAAAATTACAACATTTTAATATTTGAGTAGCATTGACCCAATCATCTTTACATCTCCTCATTATTGGGTTCTCATTCATGATACACTCATAAACTTCGGTCTTGAAATATTGTTAGTATTTATCATGAAAAAACGCGTAATTAAAATAGTCCACGGCAAAGATATTAAAAGACATACATTTGAATAAGTAGCTCGAAATACTACTGGTACATCTGACATATTATAAATTTATTATTGAAGATTTATGTTGAAAAATATAAATTGATTAAATGAAATAAAAATATTCAATAATGACAAAATTTTAAATGTTTAATTTAAAAATGTTGTTGAATTGAGTACATATACAATTTGATGGTCTAAATGAAATGATAATTCTATAGCAAATAGTATTTAAGCAAGATGATATATTAATGAATGGTATGGTTGTAATGAAATATTATTATAGAAGTTGTTAAGTAATGTTAAATAAAAAAAAAAAAATTTTGTTTCTCAATTTATTAAGCGTACGAATTTGGTAATAATTTTCAATACACGCGTCGAGTGATTATTCCATTATTGTTTAATTACTTCCACTAGTTAGATTACACTTTACGGTGTATTGTATTATATAAATGGATGCAATGGAACCTTACTCAATTTACAACCAAGTGAACCGAAAACATGGATCGAAGGAGTTTTCTTTCATCTGTTACACTATTGTAGATTCGGTTTTTGACATATTTGAACGTGTTATTAGACTAAAACTCTAAATTTGAAGTTATGAAATATTAAATCTATGATACTCTATCGTTTTTTTTTTAAGTTATTGCAGTTGAATCAGCTAACTTAAATTTAACCTTCTTGATTTTAAGATCTCTTCTGATGTGTGATGTAGAATTCTTATTTTATTGCGTGTATTATTGCTCACTTTCGTTTTTTTTTTCAATTAATTTCCAAATTTTTGCAAAATTTGGTCACAACTGATTAAATAGAAATCAGCTCTCAAGAAGACTTGTATATATCGAGTATTCAGGCAAAAGCCTTTTGACAGGATTTCAAGCTCTCAAGTCATTTATCTTAATTCGTCAAATCAATACAGAATATCTACGGCTTGCTGGATACTTATATTTACTGTAATCATCAGAATTGGGGTATATTAGCATATAGTGTATGTTATTTCCGAAGCCTTCATCTAGTTCAGGATCGGTAGCAGAATTTTGTTTCCAGGGGATTTTATCAAACAAATTATTACAATTGGTAGCGCACTTCTTTAGATCAATCTGATAAGATCTACAATAGTGGAGTATCTAAGTTTTGAAATCAAGCTCAAAACACAAAATTCTTACCATAAATGAGTCAAGAATAATATTAGTTGTTTAATTAAACTAAATTAAAATATTTCCGAGCCAAAGAAGAATTTGTACCTTTAGTTTTTTGATTTGTAACAGATCTACAATTGAAGATAAAGAAGTTCACATATACGAGATTTAATTAAGGGCATGAAATCTAAGATTTAATACACAAAAACGTAAAAGAAATAAAAGAAAAAAAAAAAAAAAAAAAAGAAAAATATAACAAGAATCAAAAGGATCGAATGAAAATAAGAGCTGATGGATTTCAGAATAACAACAACTCCTCACAAAGATATAAAATCAAGACAATGATACTTTAATTTATATTCAAGATTTTTCTCACTAACCAAGAAAAATTTGTATTGTAAACATTCATTCATTCATACATCTAAAATGAGGGATGGAACAGTCAAGAATTGTGAAACAATGTAACACTAAACAACCAATAGTTTTCAATTCAAAGGGGTATATTGATTTACTCCATTAGATTCTCTTCCCGATCAACTACATACTTTTGTTATACTTTTGTTATACTTTTGTTATACTTTGTTATACTTTTGTTATACTTCGCCATGGTATATGAAGTCTCGGAAAAAGATGTATTTTTGTTCGCCGCGCTGCAACAATAATAAACTCGAAAATAAAAAAACGTTCAGTCAAAGAAAAATGAAATAACTTTAATCCCTTAATAAGTAATCTAAACGATGACTTAATGATAATAGCTTAACTACTATAAATAAACAAATTGGTTAATTTTAGAAATTAAATAATATTAATCTTGTATATAACAATTTGTTTTGTATCAAAAATTAATTATTTATAGTACTTGATGCGACTACGCCTGATTCTGACCTGATTCATTAAGTATAACTAACATAACATTTAACATACTATATATATATTATATATAATATATATATATATACATACATACATACCAAACATATCATAGAAATATTAAAACCACTCATTTGGCATTACAAGAAGAATTACAGTACATAACACACTTTTTATTAACGAGAAAATCAAATAAAAATAAGATATACTCCACTTCAACTTTTTTTACAACCATTTAATAATCTACAAAACATAACCTATTATTATAGTATATTATAGTATATCATGAATAAAATTAAAAGTTTACTACCGTCTACATCATCTTCAGCAAATGATAACAAAAAAACCAAATCATCATCTTCAAAATTATGGATTTTAAATGTACCAGACTCAAAAGATATGGTCACTGGTACCGTTCGAATGATGGATGATCAGGATATTGAAACAGATGTTGATACGTTAAAGAAATCAACTACTGGTATAATTTTAAATCCACAACCACATGAATCACCTAATGATCCTTTAAATTGGCCAATTTGGAAAAGAGATTTATCATTGGCAATTATAGGTTTTCAATCTTTTATTGGTGGTGGTCAATCTCCTTTGTTAGCAGCTGGTATGAATACATTAGTTGATGAATTTGATGAACCTTTAACTACAATATCTTATTTAGTTGGTGGGTTTATGTTATCATTAGGTTGTGGTTCTGTTATTGCAAGTCCATTTGCAGTTTTATATGGCAAAAGATTAGTATATTTATCTGGTATATTTATATTTATGATGGGTGCAATATGGGGTGGCTTAGCTTCAAATTTTGGTAATTTAATGGGTGCTAGAGTTATAACTGGGTTTGGTGCTTCACCAACTGAATGTTTACCAAGTTCAACCATTGCAGAAATTTATTTTGCACATGAAAGAGCTTATAGAGTTGGTTTATATACAATGTTAATGTTGGGAGGTAAAAATATAATTCCATTATTATCAGGTTTAATTTTCCAATATTTAGATCGTCATTGGTTATTTTGGATTTTAGCAATATTTTTGGGTTTTGTTTTAATTTTAACTTTTTTATTTGTACCGGATACATTTTGGGATAGGACCCCAATACCAAGTAAAAGATCTTTGGAAGAAACAAAAGCAGCTCAAAGTGTTGCAACATATCATCCACCAAGTCAAAGACCAAATGCATTTGCATTACATAGAAATCCATCAACAATAAATGAAGTACAAAGTTTATCATCAAGTATACATGAAAATGATGGTCAAAATCCTGTAATTATTACAGAACCAGAATTATTACCACATTCTTCAACTACATTGAAGAAGAAATCATATTTAGATGATATAAAATTATACCATGGTAGATATACTAAGGATTCATGGTGGATGATTGCTTTAAGACCATTTGCATTATATACATATCCTCATATCTTATTTGGTTCATTAACTTATGCATTAGCTGTTGTTTGGTTAATTGTTATATCAGAAACTATTAGTGAAATTTTTAAACATCCACCTTATGGATATGATCAACAAACAGTTGGATTATTTTATATATCTCCATTTGTTGGTGGTATTTTAGGTTCATTATCTTGTGGATTAGTAAGTGATCGATTATGTAGATTATTAATTGCTAAAAATAAAGGTATTTATGAACCTGAATTTAGATTAATTATGATTATACCTTCAACTATTTTTATTGCTATTGGATTAATGGGTTATGGATGGTCATCATATGTTGAAAATCCGTGGGTTGCACCAGTTTTATTCTTTGGTTGTTTATCATTTGGCAGTTCAATTGCTTCAACTAGTGCTATTACATTTGCTGTTGATTCTTATAGAATGTTTTCTTCTGAATCATTAGTTAGTTTTAATTTCCTTAAAAACTTACTTGGATTTTGTTTTTCATTATTTAATAATAAATATAGTGATGAAAAAGGTTATAGAAGTTCATATGTTACATATGGGTGTATTCAAATATTTGTAAGTTTATTTGGGATTATTTTATATAGATATGGTAAAAGGATTAGAAAATGGACTGATGAAAAGGAAATCATGAGAAGCTTATATCATGAAGATAATATATCGCAAAGTGTATTATCAAGAAATACAAGAGATGATGATGAAAAAGAAGTTGAAGATTCCATTGAGGAAAATACTTTAAATAAATTTAAGTAATACATAATTATTAATGTAAGATTTAGAGTTCTTGGTTTCGAAATTTTTAGAGTCTATTATTATTGACTTAGTATACATTAAAATCGTAAATCATCAAACATATTTTCATTAAAGCTTTTTGGTTTATTTGTAAAATCATTTTGATTATGAGCATTTTCCAAATTTATAGTTTCATAAAATTGATTTGGTAATGGATAACCTAATATCAGATCAAGTTGTTGTTGTTCTTGAAAATTATCAATTAATCCTTGTGAATTACCTTGATTGTCGATCTTTGAATTTAACATTTGTAACCAAATTGAATCAATCTCTGCAGAATTATCAAATTGTAAATCTTCAAAACCAGTAAAATATAAACCATTTAAAGGAGTATGATTATGGATACTTGAAGTAGAACTATTAAAAGTAAGATCATTTGATAAATTAGGTGGAGTTACCATTGATTGAGATGTAGTAATTGGTACATTTGAAGAAGATGAATGATCATTTTCACCTTTTCTAAATAATGATAGTATATCAACATCAGTACAATATTTGCTAACTAAAGTCTGTAATTTTTCTAATCCATTAGTTATAATATCAGTTACTTCAGTTACTTGTTCACAATTTGGTCTTTTAAAATGTAAATCATTAGTAGCGTATTGTTTATAAAAAGTTGGATTATGAATTAATTTTAAATAATAATTTTGACTTTTAACTATTCCCCAAGCAAAATAATATCTACTACTTAATAGACTTGTTGCTGTTAAACAAATTCTACAACATTTTTCCATTTCCATGATAAATTTATTCAATGAGTTAAATAATTTTTTATAATTTTCATCCTTCAATTTGGTTTTATGATTTGGGTTATTTGACATTTTATAAAGTGAAAAATTTGATCTCAGCATTGCAATTAAAGCAATATCACTTATTCTAGAAAGTGACAACATTAAAGATGGATTGATATATAAATCAGCACCTTCACCAAATAATTCTTGAGAACGACTAATTAACGGGAAGATAAATGGTAACATTCCATTCATTGTTAAAGCTAATAACTTTTTTAAATAAAAAAAGCTTAATTTAGGATTTTTCAGTTCGTAATAATTAAACAAATAACAATAATTTGAAATCATTAAAATATCCATTCTTAATAAAATTCCAATTTTCATAATTTTATTCGTATGGTAACTTCTATCCTCTTCTTCCAATCGATAAATATAATCTTCCATTTTACCTACTAATTTCGTAGCTCCTTGTTCCAAATGATTGAGATGATTTGTTAAATCCATCAATTTTATCGACTGACCAACTTTTTCATATAACCCTAACAAATTATTTATTGGACCATTAATTAATGCAGAACCAAATGCAAATAAAGCATAAGAAGCTTTATCGGCTTCTTTATCTATCAAATTGGAGTTTTCAGGGGTAAAATAAGGTCTTTTTGTATCATAACTATCAGGTTTTATTAAGCAGGGATTTCCATAAATATAAGACTGATTATACTCCATAATTAAACAATAATACCACATCTTCCTATACAATGTTTTCTCCCTCTCATCTTGTAATACATTTGTAGTATCTGGGTCTTTATTAAGTCCCAACATATAAGCCATTGATATAATTTGACTAATATGCAATTGTGAATTACCTCCATCTAAACCATCACCTTCTTCTGGACCATAAACTTTATATAATCTTAAATAAACTGATGCTTGTAAAATTGGAAAACTAATCTTACCTCTTTTTTCAAGATGCAATAAACAAGCTTGAGCTATTTCAATAGTATAAATGTTAATTGGATTAATTAATAAATATTTCTTTTCTTGTTCATCAACCGTCAAATTGGTCCCTGTTAATATTTTTTCATTATAAAAACCTCTGTTGTGGAATAAACTCAAATAGGATAATCTTAGAATAACAAACAATATACTGATATAAGCAAAATCAATTTGATTCTCAATTTTAAGAACCGGTTTCTCTTCTGCATAATTTTCCTTCCCTATTATTCTCTCAATTTTATTAATAAATTGCTGTTCAATAAGAAAAGGCATCAATGGATAAAGCAACGTCAAATATCTTCTAATTAATAACCACACACATTTTTGAACCGGCATGACTGATTTAATTTGTTCTATCAAATCACTTTCTCTCTCTTTTGGTCCTGTCAACATACTTAAACCTAATGCAAATGTAGTGAAATTAACCTTTCTCTTCTTTTTCAACTGTTCTTGTTCTTGTTCATCTTTTTCTTCAAATTTTTCATGTAATGCATCATCTAAATATAATGCATGTTTAACTGATTCATCTTTAGGTAACATTAATTTCTTTAATGGATCATAAGTTATTCCAACTTTTATACTTTTATCTTCTTTTTGAGATTCAGCAAATTTCCGTAATGCAATTAAAGATGAGGAATTTCGTATTATGGAATTCCATGACATTGGATAAAAATTTGTATTTTGAAATTGATTTGAATTTTGATAAAGGATTGTATAAAAACTGATGGTATCATCGCTGCTATTATAAGGATTTATTCCAATTAAAAATTTATCTTTCTTGGATAGTTCACTAATATGAATTTTACTTGTAACTGATAATTTTTCACTTAATTTAGATGATGACTTATCTTTAGTAACATTTTCAACGGGAATAAAACCGGGTCTTGATTCATCATGATAACTAAATATTACATTTCTGTAAGAATTGACTGATTTGTTGTATACCACGTCATCATCTTGATCTGAGTCAGTTTCAATAGTATTTGAATTTGATTTAGTCACTTTCAGACTAGCTTGTAATTCATAATGTTTTAAAGAAGCTTGTAATTGTTCTAATTCAGATTTCCGTATCAAGACACATACATCTTTTGAAGAATCTATAATTTCTTTTGATTCTTTCTTGGTTAATTCTGAACTTTGTTTTTTTCTCTTTTTACTCTCTGGTTCATCAACCTTCTCATTTCCATTTTGTTTATTGGTTAATCTTTCATCATATGTACATTCATTAACTATATCATTCTTGACGCAAGTTGAACATGGTTTACCTTTATCACATTTGATTTTCTTCTTTCGACAGGGGAAGCATACTAAGGAAGGTCGATTTCTTTTCTTTATAATTCTTGTTTGACCATCAGGATCCGTTTTGATTGCTTGTTTGTTAAAGTCCGACTTATCATTTACACCTGTCATTATCTAAATTAATCGAGTTGTTTAAATCACAGGACCGAATTTATGTTTTATCTGGAAACTGTTTCAGAAAAAAAAAAAAATCCTAAAACGGCAATGTGGCTTTTTATAGGCATTTGGTAGCTGCAAATTTTTATTCAATATCTCCGAAATAATTTCGGGCGCAAATATTCTTTTTTGATAAACTAATATATAATGTTACCAGTAGTGAACCATCAACCAACAAGAAAGAGAAAAAGACCAAGTTTAGTCTGTACAAACTGTAGAAGAAAAAAAGTGAAATGTAATAGAGAATCACCTTGCTCAAATTGTGTAAAATCAAAATGTCCTAATAGTTGTATTTACGATGATGGGCTTGACAATCAACCATCACAAAGTGGCAACGTAAAAATTGATACAGCACCATACGAATCTTCAGTTAAAAATCCAATAGATTTCAATTACCAACATAAAAATGCAAAAACCGATAATGTTACTATTTCATTAAGTGAATTAAATATGTTGAAAGAAAGATTACAAAATATTGAATCAAGTTTGAATAATAATAATAAAACAAGTCGAAATAATAATCAAAATCATAATCTTCAATATCCGAAAGCTTCAGGTGTTTTACCACCACCGATAATGTCACCTTTTAGCTCACCTAAACCACATACTTCCACTTTCGCATTGTCGGATACAAGAGAAAGACCAGCTAATATACAATTACCTCCAATTAATTTCAAACAACCATATCAAGATCCATCTACAATCTCAAGCACGATGTCAAATAATTATCAGATCTCATCATATTCAAGTACGGCACCACCAGCCGTTGATTATAATCAAAGTATGATTGGCTTTAATCCTTATTTAAATGAAGAAGATACAATAAATTTTTATGAAGGATATACTTCAATTCGTGTAAGAGGTCATTCTCAAATTAATCATGGTCCTTTAGCTTGGGGATCTTTGATGCAAAAAGATTATGTGTTGAAAGTACTTTGGGATCATATTGGTAAACAAAAACAAGAAAATGGATCGCTACATAATTTTGCATTGAATCAAAATCATGAAATTAACCAAGAAAACACACAAATAGTTGCTTCTGAAACTAATGAATCTGAGAATAATTTTAAGAAAAAGGCATTAGAAACTGATGGTTATACGGATTTAGTTCCTTATAATTTATTAAAAGAAAAAATAAAGAAGAAGCTAAATGAAGAAGGAAAATCAATAGGAATAACGTTATTTGAAGGTCAAATTAGTATGGAGTTACAATTAATTGACAGAATTCATCAAATTCTACCTAAAAGAAAAGTAATTTGGAAATTAATTGACCGATTTTTCACAACTTTATACCCATTTATGCCTTTTATTGATGAAACTGACTTTAGAGATTCAGTAAGTAAAATAATTGGTCTCCAATCCTATGAAGATGTTAAAATTAAAGAAATCAAGGTTGAAAAAAGATTAGATTTAGCTAAAGTTGGATTATTATTAGTTGTCCTTAGGTTGGCATATATTTCATTATTTCGTAATAAGCAATCAGTTAATGAAGAAAGACTTAATACAACGGATCCATCTGTGGAAGCTCAAGAATTGAAATATTTAATGACCAATTCAATTAGTATTGAAATCGTTCAATGTGCAAAATGCTGTTTGCATCAGTTCGACATACTTAGAAAAACTTCAATACCAGCTTTAGAATTAAGTTTATATTTATATTTATATCATTTATTTGCACCAGAAGATGGTGATGATGGAGATGGTTCTGACACACACGTTTTAAAAGCTGCCATTATACAAATGGCTTATAGCCTTGGATTAAATAGAGATCCAGATAATTTTCCTGAATTATTAACAAATAAGAAACGTAATCATTTAAGTAGGAAAATTTGGAATTTATTAATGTTATCAGATATACATAATGCTTATTCTTATGGTACTCATACAATTATTGATGATGAATCTTATGATACAAAACTTCCATTTCATGAAGAAGGTAATGAAAATTTAATTGATAAAAATTTGGATAAATTAATAACTGAAAATTTCTTTCATCCAGCTCATATCAATTTTTATCAAAGTTTAAAAGGGATTTTAAAATTGGTATTAAATGTAAAAGGTAAAACCAAATTATCACACTTGTGTGCTTTAGTTACAGATTTTGAAATTGCAATGCAAAGTAAATTCGGATGCCTACAAAAATGTATGCAACCTCCAGAAACTGCCAAATACGTATTTGAAAGATATTTCCCAGTTAAATTTTACATTTCATTAAAATCATTTTCTGTTTCATTATATTTTCATATTTTTTTACATTATGAATTCAATGATACTCAATTATCACTCTTTTATTTAAAGAAAATTTTAAAAATAGCTGCAACTGATATAATGCCACATTATTTTGAAATATTAGGTAGTTCAGAAATTGTATGTGATATGATTATAAATCCAAAATTTATTCAAATTATTCATAAATTAGATCAAATTTTAATAGCATTAAATTTAAGAGTTAATTATACAATTTATAATTTGAAATTACAATCTGGTCATGAAAAAAGATGTGTTTATGATTCAGTTTATCTTAAATATTATACTGAATTATGTAAATTTTCATCTTGTTTAACTAGGTGTGCTGAAGTTTCAATTGCAGCAGTTTCGAAATTATCCGCTAGATATTATAATGCTTGGAAAATAACTAAAGGACATACATTTTTATTAAAAACTATAACTTCAGTGGATTATTATAAACAAACATTTAACGCAGGGGATCAAAAAATTAAATTACCAAATTATTCAACTGAACAACTTAAAGATCTTGTCAATATGTGTGAAGGTGCTCTAAAGAAATTAGGTAAGCTGAATTTAGTAGGTGATGAATTTTGTGAACAAGCTAAATGTCCATATAATAGTTCAATTCCATCAACAACAGATTCAAATACAACTTCTGGTACAGATACTTCCAGTGACGCAAGATTGAAAACAAATGATTTTGGTTTGGATTTTGTTAATAATCAAGAAGTTGATAAATTATGGCTACAAATGTTATCAATGAAAAATGATCAACCTCAACAAATTAATCCTCCCAATTATAATTTACAACAACCAAGTTCTCAAAATAATAATTTCTCAGTAGGTACACCATTGAATTTTGAAGCTCCATTTACACCAAATTTTGGATTAGGTAATGCTAATACTAATTTTGATGTGGATGATAATTATGATTTTTTTGCTGATTTACCATTTGATCAAATGTTTAATAGTGTGAATATGTAAGAAATATAATTTGTATCTTCGTGATTTTATCCTTCAATTCCATGAATTTAATAGCATTATTTACTCTCAACTATTCGACGGTATACGGTATTCTTTAATTTGATTGAAAGTAGTTATCGCAAAAGATTTAGGAGCTTGAACAGGACAGAAAAACCTGATTAAATCTTAAATTTTGAGCCATTGTAAATATTATACTTATATTGCTGCACTCTTACTTTTAGAAAATAGTAAAGAAAGCTTTAGCCTTGTTTTTGATTGAGCATTTTGAATGTGCTCAAAACCAACACTTTCTAATCCATCAACCGATTAGATTAAATCAAACAAATGAAGATCAGCCGACACAAGATCAAAAATGACCTGACAGAAATGAAAATTATGAGAGCAGTAGATTTGATCATACAATTACAGAGATCCTACAGTCTTATCAATACTAAGAAAAATTTGAGCGTAATAATGTTCGTAATTCATTGAATCATTATCTTTTAAGCTAAAACGTACTTGAATCTGTCAGAAATTATCATAATCGGTTTAATACTTAAGCTGTGCTGCAAGCTCAGAGAAAATAGGAATTATCACATACCTTTTACCAATCGATTTTATTGAGCTGCAAAAAAATAAGACTTTTGAGTTTATTCTTCTTGGTTGCAAAAACAAGAATCATTTAACAACAAACTTTTTATTTACGAAACATCAATAATTCATTTAGATTGGTTTGAAATGGTTTGAAGAGTTATAGAATGCTCAGTAATGATAGTACAAGGGTTAATCTTAATAATGATCCCTACACTTTTTAGATCGGTTAGTAAACTTTTGAATCCTTTCTATCATTATCGCCGAGATTTTGTTTATTCCCGAGAAATTTCTCTTAGATCAATTCGTTAAAGCAGTCGAGACTTTTTCATCATCGATGTTAGAAGCATGTGTATGTAGAGAAGCATCTAAGCAAGTAGAAGAGTAGGCTTTTAATCATATATTGCTGCTGGGGTTTAAACTAATTTTAGATTAGAAAACAGTCATCATCAATTTGCAAAAGAGTGCAAATGACCTCAGTTGAATCAGGATAAGGTTCACATGTATGTAGAACCACCATTAATGATTATATGATGACTCAATCACAGATTAAACTGTGCGTTCGTGTTCCCTAGAATTCGACTGTTAACAGAATAAGCGTATAGTATAATAATTATTAATCGTACATAAATCAAATTAAAAAAAAAAAAAAAAATAAAAAATAAAAAATAAAAAATAAAAAATAAAAAAAAATATAATTTTATCAAAAACTCCAAACTATAAAAGCAGTTTAAAGTCTTCAGGTTTCTTTTCGAACGCTTATATCTTTATATAGATAGTGCCAATAATATAAGATATTTGGAATTAAGTATTAAAATTGGCTTCATTCAATTAGAAATTAAATCAATAGAGACGTTTTATCAACAAAGGGGCATAGTTTTAAATCTAAGAGTATTTTACCGCAAACAACAATTACTCAATGAATAAATAGTTTAATCATGACGGAAATCTCATCAATCAGTAACAACATACCAGAAGTTAATAACTCATCGTGTACAAGTCCCAGCACTACACGTAAAAGAAATAAACCAACTTTAGTTTGTACCAATTGTAAAAAGAAAAAGATCAAATGTGATAGAAAGAATCCATGTTCTTCTTGTGTTAAGATGAATGTAGGTTATACATGTACTTATGAATCAAAATTCAAATCGGTTGAGTTTAAAGCTACTAAAAAAAAAAAATCATTTTCCCCAGAAATCAAATCGCAACCCGATAATCTCGAATCATTACCACTACAAGATGAATTACTCCGATTACAATCTAGAGTAAAACAACTTGAATCAATTTTAGGTAAACAAAAACGACCATCCAAAACAAAACCATATACACGAAATCAACCTATTGAATTTCCAACTAATCCAATTACGCCAAATCCTATAGTCAACGATGATGATATGATAAATATTTATGAAGGTTATACTCCTTTACAGATGAAAGGAAATATAAGAAGAATTAGTTATGGTCCATTATCATGGGTTGCAATTGTTAAAAAAGATCCTTATTTATGTTTGACTTGGAAAAATTATTGCAATAAAAGCAGTTACTCAATTATAAATACAAGATTACCACAATTTACTTCAGAAAATATATCTGCTTTGAAATCAAATTATGAAAAATTGAAGGATTCAGATAAGTTTTTTCAAAAAAGGTTTTTAGAATTAGAAGGTTTCAATGAAATTATTCCTTATAAATCATTAACAAAAAATGAAATTATTAATGATACCAAGTCAGAATCCAAAAGACCAACTTTTACAGAAATAAGCCTCGCCAAATCTATATTTGATGGTAGATTAGATCCAGAATTACAATTAATTGAAAAGATTAAAATCATTTCACCAAAGAAGAAGGTATTTTGGGTTTTAATAGATAGATGGTTTAAATCTGTATATAATTTTTTTCCATTTTTAGATGAAAAGTCATTCAAGAAAGAATTGGTCAAAATTTTTGGTCCTGTAAGTTATGAAGATAAACCATTTGATAAAGTTAAAATTGAGAAAAAATTGGATTTAGCAAATTGTGCAATTTGTTTTATATTACTTAGAATGACATATTTATCATTATTTTCAAATAGAGATTGTGTAAATGCAAGTATCATGAAAAGTGAAACAGAGTCAATTGAAAAATATTTATTTCAACATCCAATTAATATATCTGTTATTGAAGTTGCAAATTCATGTATTCAATGTTTTCCATTCACAAGAAAATCAAATTTAAATGTTTTTCAAGCTGTATTATATATGAGGATATATCGAAATGTTGCTCCTGAAGAAGGTGATGGAGTAGATGGAGGAGATTCTCAAGTTTCAACTGCTTTATTAATTCAAATGGCATATAATCTTGGTTTAAATAGAGAACCATCAAAATTCAACGATCTATGTAATGATGAAAAGACGAATCATTTATCAAGAAAGATATGGAGTTATTTATTGCGATCTGATTTAATGTTATGTTATACACTCGGTAATCCAAAGACAATTAACAAGAAACACTATGATATTAAAACTCCATATGTAACCAAGGAAAATTCAAATATTGAAGATCTTGAAATGGAAACCGCAATTGTGGATACATTTGTATATTTAGAAAATGAATTGGCTTATATTTCAAAAGTTGTTGATTATATTTTAGATATTAATAATAGTTCTTCTGTTAATCAATTGTCAACAGATTTACATGCATTTGAAAAAGTTTTGCACAATTTTTTTAATGTTGTTGGTAATCCTACTGCTGAAATATCAATACAATCAACTCGTCCAGATATTGTGTTGTATTATCAGTCTACAAAATTGAGAATTTTTTTATCATCAAAAACTGCATTAATAGCGTTTTATCATTTAATTTATTTGCATTATGAAAAAATTTTAGATAATGAATTATCATTTTTTTATCTTTGTAAAATTTATCAAATTGGAACAAAAGATTTAGTACCACAAATAAGAGAGATTTTACATGGAAAATATAGCTCACTTGGGTTGATTTTGAATCCAAATTTACAATTGGCAATTCATAAAGTAAATTCATTCAATATGTCATGTTTAGTACGAGTCAATTATAATTTACGAACAATGGAGAATAATAAAAATCATCCGTCTCGAATGCAAACAGATTTAAATTACGCTGAACATTTCCATAAATTATCAAGTATTTCAAATAATGTTAGAAGAACATCAGATTTAACGGCTAGAATTTTAGCTAGAATTGGATCTCGTTATTATTATGCATGGAGAACGTCAAAAGCTCATGCTGGTTTAATTCAAGCTTTATCTGATCCTGATTTTTACGATAAACAAACAAGTTGTATGAAAAAAATTAAAGCATTTCAATTTACACCTACTCAATTAAATGAATGCGATAAATTAATTCATACATTGGGTAAACAAATGGAAAAATTAGTTTATTATAAAGATACAATAGATGGACAAAATTATGATTCATCACCACCAAATGAATTTGAAAAAATTCCAATTGTCGCATCTGAATTTACAAAACATACAAATAATAATAATACAAATTCTGCAACTTCAACAGTTTCAAATGAATTAATAACACCAAGTTCAATTAGATCTCCATTATTAGATACTAATAAACAAGACAGTAATTATATTGACCAAATGTGGTTATCTATGGTTGCTATGAAATATGATCCAACACAATTTACATTAAATGAATATGAGGATTTAAATTTATTAAATTCAGTTAATAATTCAAATATTTTACCTCCTATTAATTTAATGAATGAAACATCACCATCTACAATTAATTTACAAGCTCAAGATAATTCAAATCAACCACAAATATTACCTGATCAGAATGATTTTAATCTATTATTTTACAATACTGAGCTAGATTTAATAGATAATTATAATTTAGATCATTAATATAAACTGATTTATTTATTGACATATATTGTTAACAGAGAGTAATTTCTATGCATGATTAAATTCACTTGCATAAAATAGCGCAATGTTTTGCGTCTTAATGCCAGAGAACAATTTTTAACCCGTTATGCATACGTCTAGATTTGAAATTTCCAAAATAGGTAGTATTTACGATTCCGTGTCTAGAATTCGAAATTTTGAAGTTCAGTGGATTGAACCTGCTATTATGCTTTCGATAGATCAAAATTAATTCTAGACTTGGGTTGCAGGTGGTGGTATACTTTGAAGTTTTGAAATTTAGCTTGTATAATTAAGTATAAGATATTTTAGACAACTTTTCAGGACACTTTTGCATTTGCTTATGGAAGGAAGACAAGAAAAAGTGATTTCGTATACGTATATTCATTTCTTTGCGTATGAAAGTATAATATCAGAACCAAATTTTTTCAATTCTTCCTTCGACTCAAAAAGTTTTAAAACTTTAGTTGAACAATCTTCATTTTCAAATTCAATAAATGCCAAATTTCTAACTTTAACAAATCTTATATTTATAAATCCCTCCAATTCTTCAAAAGTTGAATCCAACTCAGATGAGTTTTCTGTTATGTTTTGTAATAATAATATATGATTAGGAGGTAATTTCTTCCACTCATTAGTATCAGATGCCTTCTTCTTTTTCTTCTCTTTATCCTCTTGATTTTCTTTATCTTGTAATTTTCTTTTCTTAGGATTTGGTTTAGTTGCTTCTTTCTTCTTAGCTAATTTTCTTTGTTTGATTGTTTCTTTATCATTTATTAAATCACTATTATGTTTTGCATATACTATTCTCATTGGTTTGCTAAATAGTTCGTGATTCTGTAGACCTTCTATTGCTTTATTAGCATCTTCATTTGATTTGAATACTATAAATGCCTGGCCCTTTAATTTCATTGTTTTTCCAGTTTTGATTTGTTTAATTTCACCATATTTATTAAATAGATTGAGAAGTTCATTATTCAATATTGTTAATGATACTCTATCATTTAGATTATTTACGTATATAGTTGGTTTAGGATCTGTCATTGTATAACTGATCGATGTAAAATATTGTTCAAACTGATGGTTGAAATTTTAAAGTGAGAAAAAAAAATATTGAAAATGTTTTGATAACCCCGGGTGATACTCAACTAGCTTGAGTTAACGTAAAATGAGCTTCGCTTCCATTTAATAATGAATGAGTGCAACTAGTAAAATAGAGCTTGTTTTTATAAAGGTAGATAGTACTGGTTTCAGTTTGAAGTGGAAATTGGTTTCACTTGGTTTCACTAGAAGTTTTTGAATAAGGAGCTTTTACATGCGTCAACCAATTGGATTAACATTTGGTTGCAAACCTTTTATTCATATACTTAAAGAGGGGGATTGGTTATAGAATTACTAATAGAAAACAACGTGATCTAATTATATAAGGATGGTTGTTGGTAGTAATTTTAAACACAAAATTGAAATCTTGTATATATTTTAGATACGTTATATCTAGATAAAATTTCAATATAACTCAAATCAATCAACAATAATCTGAGCCATAAAATGGATTACTCTAAGTATTGAGCCCTTACATTGAAATTAGACGTTTCTTTTGTCTATTGTTGCAAAAATAGAACAAAATATCAGCCCACTATTTCGTTGCGTATAATTTCTAATAATAGAACTTTTCCTTGCTTGTAATTGTCCCAATTTGAGTTCGGAAGTGGGTTGGTATAGATTAAAGCCTACTATTTAATCTTTCGAAAACAATCAAGCAATGCGATATACTCAAAAAAAAACGTTGATAGCAGAAATACTATTCATGAACTAACAATAGTAAGCCCTGATTTTGACATTTGACAAGAGCCAAAAAACAAAATACTATCAAAGCAAAGACTCCTTGGGAACGTGTGGTAATGGTTGGTGACAACATTGATTGATACGAAAATCTCATAACCGAAAAATTGTAAATCTTTTATCCCTTAGCTTTCAAAACAGCACAGACTCTTTCTCAAGCTGTAAGAATCGTTTGACTCTGCTAGAGCTTGCATTGTAGAGTGTCTTAATATAAATTTATTTCCGTGATTTGGTTGCAAAATAGCACGGATTTATTTTTCTGTATTTTTTTTCTTTCTAATTATAAACAAAACGCATGTTTACATAATCCAATTATATTCCATTTTGATGCTTAATATTCAGCTAATATATCTCAACTAGGTTGATGTGCCAATATCAGGTATGTGAAATAGGAGACCTTGAAGTTCTGTACTTTTGTTGTAGCTCTGGGCTTCGTGCAAAAAATGCCGCGGGAGTTAAATACAATGTAAATCAAACTGACAGGTTAGACACATTGAGGTTATTGTATATAAATGTAATTCGTATCAGTACAACCAAGCTATCGTAAGCTTATAGAATGATTTTTTGTTACTACTAACCGTCTTTTAGTTTCAAAACCAACATAACTCAAAGCTATAGCAATTAATTTAACCCACGATGGTCAAACTCATAGACACTAATCTACAACGAGTTTAGTTTAGTTTTACTCCTGATTCTGAATACCAAGAATTTTATTAATTGATCGAATATTTATTATATGATTATTTGGTCTAGTGTTGATTTGTATACATCAACTTTCTTAGCTCAACTTCGATACGTCTAAGTTTATTAATTATTCTGTATTGGCATTTCAAGTTATTTGTTTCATTTCAGGATAGAGTTATGAGCCACATAGCCATTTTTTAGTGATAAAGATTTGAAAAGTCTAATCAAAAATTTGGAGCACTTCGCAATTTAGTAACAATAGGATTTCATAATGTATCACGGTTATAATACATTACATTTGATCAAAACTGTTCACAAACGTATTATGTTAGCCAATTATCAACAATTTTCAAGGTTAGTATACTTGACACTATTTGATTGTATGATTATACGTACGAATGGTACCGAAATCTAGGCTCCTTGCTTCACGTGTGATCAACTTGTTGTGAATCTGATAGCAGCTGAAGAACTATAAATATCAATAAGAATCCACCTTCAGTTACCAAAATCAACAAGTTCAATTGTTAAAAGATTTTACAATGGTTTCAGTTATTGCTTTCACTCAACAAGTTTTAGTTACTTTAGCTTTTGCTTTATTAGCTCACGGTATTGCTATTCCAAATAGTTTAGATAAAAGAGATGGTTCAGGTGTTGTTACATTAGACTTTAATGTTGTTAAAAAACCATTAAATCTTAATGCTACTGCTTTATACCCACAAAAATATAATAAAAGAGCTGACATTCCAATTGGTTTAATTGATCAAGGTGCATCATATGCTTCTACTATTCAAGTTGGTTCAAACAATCAACAAATTACTGTTGATATCGATACTGGTTCAAGTGATTTATGGTTTGTTGCATCAGATGCTACATGTACAAATCCACAAGTCAATTGTAAAGCTGAAGGTACTTATGATTCATCATCATCTTCATCATACAAAAACTTGGGTGATTCATTCCAAATTGTTTATGGTGATCAAACTTCTTCACAAGGTACTTGGTCAGAAGACACAGTTAAGATTGGTGCTGCAACTATTAAAAATCAAAAATTTGCTGATGTTGATACGACTTCTGTTAGTGAAGGTATTTTAGGTATTGGTTATAAATCGGGTGAAAGTTTAACTGACGAATATGGTTTCCCAACTACTTCATCATATGATAATGTTCCATTAAGTTTAAAAAATCAAGGTATTATTAAAACAAATGCTTACTCATTATATTTAAACGAACCAGGTGCTCAACAAACCGGTCAATTAATCTTTGGTGGTATTGATCATGCTAAATATTCAGGTAATTTAATTTCAGAAGCAGTTACCTTACAAGATAGATTAACAATTAAAGCTAATTCAATTAATTACAATGGTAACACCCAATCATTAGGTGATGTCTTATTAGATTCAGGTACTACTTTAACTTATCTTCCTTATGATACTGCTCAAGCATTAGCAAGTCAAGTTGGTGCTTACTATATTCCAAACCCATTAGGTGGTGGTAACTGGTTCATTGATTGTGACGCCAACACTAATGGTACTGTTGTCTACTCGTTCCCAAATGGTGCATCAATCTCTGTTCCATTATCTGAATTTGTTTTCAATTCTGGTAGTTTCTGTTTATGGGGTATTCAAAGTATTTCAGGTCTAGATTTCTCAATCTTGGGTGATAACTTTTTAAGACATGCTTACTCAGTTTTTAACTTAGATGATAATACGATCTCAATTGCTCAAGTTAAATACACTTCTGATTCAAACATTATTGCTATTTAAGAAGATTGCAGCTCTTCGTTGATTTGTTTACTTTTGTTCCGTTGAGAGATTGATTTCGTAGATTAAATATACATTGATTGTATTGAAACAAGCTTGATATTTTCAATAGCTTCTGCACCACTTTTGAAGCTGCATTCGATTAACCTTTCTAATCTAGTAGATAAATTCAGAATTAAATTGGAACATTGGACATCAATTTTGTTGCCATTTTGTAATTGGTAGCGCTTTGGTACATATAAAATTGATAAGCAAAATCCCACTTAAAAAGCTCCAAGTAAGCTCCTCGACATTTCCAGATCTTGGGCATGAGGGAGTGTTTAAACCGACTTGCGTGATTGTATTTAATCAATTGTAAATACATTCACTGAAAAATTCCAAAAGATTTGACTTATATGTAGTACCACCATAGTTAATTGTAAAATTTGACTTACAAATAACTCCATCTATACTCGAGCTGTAACTGTGAAACTTTTTTCATCAAAGCTTCAACTAATTCGAATTAAGCAGATGGTAATATTCTTTTATAAAACTCAATCTTGACTTTTTTATTACTTATTTAAAAAATGATAAATAACGTTAGATTGCAAAAAAACTACTACTTAGACCTCGGCTAGCAACTTCTAATATAGCTGATTTGGTTCGATTCACTTCAGAGAGTTGCATACTATTTTGCAAAAATTTCGAACCACTTCTAAAAAATTACTTTTCCAATTTTAAATGCCTCTATACAAAAATATCTAAATCTCAATAACCTGCCAGTAATACGAAATTGAATCGTTTTATCATGTTTCAGTTTGAACATTAATTGTGGTGTCAGATTTTTTGAAAGATCGATTAATTCGATTTCACCCATACTTAGGAGAAAAATTTGAAATTTCCCAATTACGGTTCAGATCAATTCGAATTACGTTCAACACATTAGTTTTGGGTGTAATATAGATAACCTGTAGTTTAATTGAAAACTATGGTCTTGAACTGGTAAATACACAGATTTATATTTTTCGAAAAATACCTGTATGGAGAAAAAATGCCAAAAATCCAAGTCAAAAAAAAATGTTTGAAATTAGGATTTTGAAGTGTATAGAGTATACAAGTCAAGGCTTTGATCTCATGTAAATGGCACTTATCCGGACAAAAGGTTTTGTTCTTGACTTATAAGCGAATACACTAGTTTTGGATGGCCCTAATAATAGCCCGAAGAAATACTTTTATAGCACCAGATTTTCGCACTGAAAAATTAGTACTGAAATATACAATTACAAAACAAATTTGCTTATATGCAGTCCTTTCATAGTTAACCTTGAAATTTAAATTTTGTAAACAACTACTTTTATAAACAATATTTTATTTTCAAAGTAAGTTCATTATAAACTTCCGTTCATTTAAAGCAAAATTGATTTTGGTACACAGTGAATAAACAAAATTTTGATGACTTTATTCTTCACTTAAAAAATGGCAAAAAAAAAACTCTATTTTGCAAGATAATCAACATTTAGACTTCGTCTAGCAACTTCTGAAATAGCTGATTTGGTTTATTTGATACCAAATAAGTTTTGTATAATGTTTTTTAAAAAGTCATAATAATGAGTTTGAATTTTTTGTATTTTGAATCAATTCTAAACCAATCAGAACACAATACGTTAACTTAGAATTAAATATATAAAATATGTTGATTATTTGAAATTTAAATTTTTGGCCCTATATCAAAAGATACACAGATTTATATTTTTTGAATTATTTTTGTACAATGAACAAAGGCCAAAATGAGAACTCAAAAAAATAAAATATTTGAAATCTAAAACTTGAAGTATATAGCGTATATAATTGAAGAATCTTGATCTTATTAAAAAGGTTGTTATCTTTATTAAATATATATATATATTATATATATCATATAATATATAATTTGTGAAATGCGCTGTTAATGACATTATATATAATTTGTGAAAATGCGCTGTTGATGACATATTTCCATTATGCTTAGCACAAGTCGACCTAATACTAGCGCAAGGAAATTCCTAATTTTAGGCAAGAAGGAATTACAAACTAAAAAAAATAATCAAATTTAATAAACTTAACGTTTACGCTGGTTCGGAACCTGCCATTAACTTTCGATTTCTAAATTTTGCTTTCTCGCCTCATCTATATCGTATATCACGAAACAAAAATAAATGTGAAAAGCACCGTGCGCTACCACACAATTTAAATTGACCAATCATATTAATGAAAGATAGCGTTACTAATCCTCACGTGAAAGTTAAGAAAAAGATTCTTACGTAAACAAAGATTAAATTTATTTTGCATCCAAATCCATAATAATATATTGGTAGCAATTGTTATATTTTAATGAGGATAGAAGAGTCCAAATTAAGATTGAGTATAAATCACACTATAATCTAGACCATGGAGAAAGAATTGTGATCTACAATTGATTTGTTGAATCTTTATTAATGCTGTACTTTCTTACTCTTTGTTTGAACCAAAATACTATTATAATCAAGGTTTCGATGTTTCACTTTTGTGGTTTTCGAACTTTAATTACCTGTCAATAATTTTATACTTTTATATTTTTTTTTTTTTTTTTTTTCATTTATTATATAGAATTATTTAAGAAATAAAGACATCAAAATTGTTTCATTTTATATCATACAATTTCATTTTATTTATTCATAGATTATAATCATTAATATTACTCAATTTATTACTGTATCAGTATTAATTCTTATTTAACAGGTTAATATATATATATATATAAAATTTATAATTATAATGTCGTTTGTTGCTATAAAAAATGGTATCACGAATATCATCAATCATAAAAATATATCAGATGAAGAGTTAAATAAAGTTAATAAATTATTAGATAATAATCAAAGACCTTATGGTTCAATAAATGATGGTTCTGGTTACAGTGGTAGTGACGATAGAGCACAACAAATTGCAAGAGAAGAAGCTGTAAATAACGCAGCAGCATCAATAGGTTCAAGTTCAAGTAATAAAGAAGAAGATGATTTTGAAGATTCATTTTTAACAAGTTTTTTTAATAAATTTGATCCGAGAGTTATGTCGGATATTATAATTGGTTTAAGTGATGGTTTAACTGTCCCTTTTGCTTTAACTGCAGGTTTATCATCATTAGGAGATTCAAAATTAGTTATAACTGGTGGTATGGCAGAATTAGTTTCAGGTGCTATATCAATGGGTTTAGGTGGTTATTTAGCTGCAAAATCAGAATCGGAATATTATAATGCACAAGTTAAAAAAGAAAAATTGGATTTTTTTAAAAAACCTGAGTTAATTAATCAAGATGCTGCTGAAATTATGTTTGAATTAGGTGCAAGTGAATCAACAATTATATCGTTTTTAAAAGATTTAGATTCAAATCCAAAAAGTTTAATTGATTTTGTAATTAGATTTGGTAAAGGTTTAGAAGAACCTGCTGAAGGTAGAGAATTTACATCTGCTTTAACTATAGGATTATCATATTTTATGGGTGGTTTTGTCCCTTTGTTACCATATTTTTTTACCCATGTTGTTAAAACTGGTTTATTAGTATCTGTTATAGTTATGTTGATAACTTTATTTATATTTGGTTATATAAAAACTTCAATAAGTTTGGGTGAAGATTGTGGTAGACATAAAAAATTTGCAGAAGGTATACAAATGGTTGCAGTTGGTTCTATAGCTGCAGGAGCTGCTTGGGCATTAGTTTATTTTATTGATAACTGATAACATTTTTATTTATTATAGAATATAGAATAAATAAATTTTTTTTTCGGAGTTGCAAAATTTGCAGCCAATTGTAGATGATGAACACCAACAGCAATGAAACATAACATTACTATTAATTAAAGGTGCCTAAAAGGTAAAGTTTTGATCTTCTTAATCGTATATACTTCTTATGTGATCAGTATTTGATAACCTTGACACCTTATATGCTTCAAATTTGTACTTTTTAACTAAAATCAAAGAATTTTAGGAAGTTATCTAGTTTCAATGCTTGTTAATATTCAAATACTTTAATAATTAAGGTTTCTCCCGCAACTTTCATATAGTTTTGATACCAAGTTTCTAGCTTGTTTATCAATTTTGATACAATTGGTAGTGCCTTCACAATTGTTAGAAATTGTTAAAAATGGCAAATAAAAAATTCTCCTCATATTATTAAATAGATTGAATTATTGAAATGTCACAAAGAATTGTTGATATAATATCTAAAATTGCATTGCCAGCTGGTATTGCATTTGCATTAGGTCAGTCATCATTATATGATGTTCCAGGAGGTAAAAGAGCTATAATTTTTGATAGATTAAAAGGGGTTGAACAAAGAGTTATTGGTGAAGGTACTCATTTTTTAATTCCTTGGTTACAAAAAGCAGTTGTATTTGATGTTAGAATTAAACCAAAAGTTATTGCTACAACTACAGGATCAAAAGATTTACAAAATGTTTCATTAACATTAAGAGTTTTAACAAGACCTGAAGTTTCAAAATTACCTATAATTTATCAAACTTTAGGTTTAGATTATGATGAAAGAGTTTTACCTGCAATTGGTAATGAAATTTTGAAATCTATAGTTGCACAATTTGATGCAGCTGAATTAATAACTCAAAGAGAAGTTGTAAGTGCTAGAATTAGACAAGAATTGAGTAAAAGAGCAAAAGAATTTAATATTGAATTAGAAGATGTTAGTATTACTCATATGACATTTGGTAAAGAATTTACAAAAGCAGTTGAACAAAAACAAATTGCACAACAAGATGCCGAAAGATCAAAATATTTAGTTGAAAAAGCTCAACAAGAAAAGAAAGCATCAATTATAAGAGCTGAAGGTGAAGCTGAAAGTGCTGATGTTGTTAGTAAAGCATTAGCTAAAGCAGGTGATGGTTTATTAATGATTAGAAGATTAGAAGCAAGTAAAGATATTGCACAAACTTTAGCTCATTCACCAAATATAACTTATTTACCAAATGGTGGTAATGATGGTGGTGATTCAAATGTAAGTGGTGCTAAAAATTCATTATTATTAAATTTGGGTCGTTAATTTAAATTTAATCCTGTATATACATGAAATCGTTATTTATATATCTAGTTCAACTAATTCATCATGAATTCCTGGAGTAGTTACACCGTTTCTTATTAATGATTCAATATCTTGAACTTCTTTTACACATCCACTTGTAAGATTTATTATTTCATCATTTGTTTTTCCAACTACTATATCATCTTCAATTCTAATACCTATACCTTGATAATATTTTGACCATCGATCATCTTTTGGAATATATAAACCAGGTTCTATAGTAATTACATTACCTTCAACTAATTTATTAAATCTTGAATGTAGTGGAATATCATGTAAATCTAAACCAAGATGATGTCCAATATAATGAGGATATAATATTTTTGAAACTTCATTTTTAGTAACATTTTTAAAAGCTGGTAAATTTTTAAGATTATTAAATAATGAATTAACTGAAAATTCATGAATATCATTTAAAGTATAACCTAAACTTTCATCACATAATTCAATACATTGTTTATTTGTATTCAAAACAACTTCATATAAATCTCTTTGTGGATCATTAAAACCTTTTGGATTATTTGGCCAAGCTCTTGAAATATCAGCACAATAACCACCTAATTTACCACCAGCATCAATGAATACTAATTCATCTTTAAATAATAAGTCATCATTTCTGGTATAATGTATAGTTAATGCATTCGAACCACTTGCAACAACTGGAATATAAGCTTGTTTATCACAACCACCTTTAACAAATTGATAATCTAAAAATTTAGCCAATGTTTTTTCAGACATTATTGGATTTCGACTTCCAACTTTTCCAATTGCTTTATTTATAGCTCTTGAAGATATTTGATTAGCTGCATGCATGACTTTAATTTCATTATTTGATTTAATTGCCCTCATTTCAGTAGTTAATTTTGATAATGATTTTATAGGTTTACCACATTTTAGTATTATTTCATTTAAATTTTGATTATGACTAAAATTGAAAAACAGTTTAATTGGAGATGTATCTTGCAGTTGAAATTTTTTATCCCAATAAATATAATCATTTGATGAGATTAAATTTTTTAAATATATAGTTGCTTTATTTATATCTTCGACATAATCAGCATTAAAAAATTCATAAGCACCTTCTAAACCTGATTTAACACCTTGCCATAATTCCAATTGTGGGTTTTTAGGAGGTACTAACATATGTAAATTTACATCTTCATCATTACCATTATCAAATTTTTTTTCAATAATTATAATAGAATCTGGTTCTAACCAACCAGTTAAATAATATAAGTCATTATCCTGTTGAAAATCATAGAATACAGAACCAGAACTATATTGTATAATATTACCAAATAATATACATAATGATTTTTTAGGTAAATTTGAGCATAATTTTAATCTTCTTTGATAATATTCCAAAGCTGAAATACCTGGAGTCAAATTCCCCGGTGTTGGTATTAAATGAGGTCTAGTTTCATGTATAGGTTGACCGGCAGTAAATAATCTTGTTGGTCTAGAATTGATTTGAATAAATCGTTTGAATTGAATACTTACTTTAAATTGTTTCATGTTTGAAAAATAAAAAATCAAATTTGTTTCAGATTTTATTTTATTTTTTTTTTTTTTTTTTCATCTTGATCTATCGTATTTCGATTTGCAGCATTTGTTTATGACTTGTATCATTTATAATGAATTCAAAGGATATTGCTTAAACACTGATGATGATTCACAATTTATTAACTCAGAAAAATTAACTTGTGGTATTAATGAATTACCTTGGGATTTCTATTTACCAAATAAATTAATTGAAGAAAATAATGAAGAAACACAACAACAAGAACAATGTAACAAAAAATTAACCAAATCTGAGAAAAGAGGTATTAGACAATCAAAAAGAATAAATGCGTCGAGGAAGAAACAATTACAACGTGCAAATTCAAATGATGAAGAAGAAATTATCCAATTTAATTCATATTTAGCTAAACAAGAAATTAAAAAAATTTATAAAAATTTAGTTGGTGCTGGTAAACAAGATAAAAAAATTTTACAATATCATTCAATTGCATTGTATAAATCTGATATTGAACATTTTTTACCTAATGAATGGTTTAATGATAATAATATTTCGATGATCTACGAATTAATTAAAAATTTATTTATAACAAAACAAAACAAACAATTTTCTAATCAAATTGTTTTATTATTCCCATCTTTAATTCAATTATTTTTACATTTTCCAGGGGATGCTCAAGATTTATTACCTTTAGATGATTTAAAAAAGTCTAAATTTATTTTTTTACCAATAAATTTCATTGATGAGCCTGTTGAAATGGATTTAGAACAAGCTAATAATGGAGATCATTGGGTTTTGGGAATTTTATCATTATTGGATAATACTTTATACATTTATGATTCTATGAAAATTGATGATGATCAAGTTTCAGAAGCTCAATTACAAAATCTAATTGTAAAATTTGAAAATTGTAAACAATTAGTCCATGGTAAGATTAAAATTAATTATATTGAAACTGACCAACAGAAGAATTTTGATGATTGTGGAGTATATGTAATTATGATCTCATGTTTCTTAATTAATCAATTTATATTTCAAAATGAAATTAATCTTGATATTAGTAAAATTAAATTTAATCCATTAGAGGCTAGATTATATATATTAAAAACATTAACTAGATTAGTTGAATAAGTTTAATTATAAAGTTTATCAAATAATAAATCAGTAGCTTTTGTAGAAAATAAATCAGAATGAAAATTATCCATTAGAAGCTAGATTATATATATCATAAATATTAACTAGATTAGTTGAAAAAGTTTAATTATAACATTTATCAAATAATAAACCGGTAGCTTTCTGTGCATAATAAATCAGAATTAAATTTAAACCACTGGAAACTATATTATATATATTAACTAGATTAGTTGATCAATTATAAAATTTTTCAAATAATAAACCAGTAGCTTCTGTGGATAATAAATCAGAATTAAATTTAATCCATTAGAAACTATATTATATATATTAACTAGATTAGTTGATCAATTATAAAATTTATCAAATAATAAACCAGTAGCTTTTGTAGATAATAAATCAGCTTCTAAATTTGAACTTAATTCATCAATTTCCAATTGTAAAGATGCAATATTTTTACTAACATATTCTGTTTCATTAAAGTTATTTGTAAACATTTCTTCTTCAACATCATAATTTATACCAAATTTACTCAATTCTAAACCATGTATTAATCCAATTAAATTATTTGATATTTCTTCCTGTTTGGTTTCTTCAATTTCGATCAATTCAAGTAATTTAGTTCTTGTAATTTGTTGAACATTTTGAATAATTACAAAGAAGTTCTTTAAATCAATTATTAATTTAATATAATCAATAAAATTTAATTTATTATACGAAATTGGGAAATTATAATCCATTATTTCAAAATTTAATTCATCTAGTTTTTGTTTTGAGATTTTGAAATTGCAATTAGATAAAGGTATCATAACATAATTATAAAATTTAAATTCAATTGAAGTTGGATCATCATTAAATAAATCAATAATTGAATCATCATTATTAAAATTTAAGTTTAATTCATTGAACGGTTTTAAAAAAATTAAAACAATTCCATACATAACTAACAAATTAGATCTTAGGTCCGAAGTTGTAAAGATTTCCTCAAAGTATAATTCATTAAATAATTCCATAAATTCCATAAATTTAAATTGTTTAAATAACAAACTCAAATGTAAAAATTTCAAATTTGTTAAATATTTAAATTCATCAAGATTAGCAGTGAATATGATCTCATTTCGTTTGTAATATGCAACCGTAGTTAAATAAACTTTTTCCAATGGTTTAAATGAACTAGAACTTAATATTAATAATTTAGAATCATTTGAAATATTCCCATTTTCTTCAAATTCATCATTATCAATCATTGGGAACCAAATTTTTTGAAATAAACTAACTAGATATTTCAAATATGAGTATTCAATATATCTATTTTGAATTAATTGAATCTCAACTTTTGGTTGATTTGAAAAATCAACAATTGTGGCAAATTTATTAAGTATACTATTCGCAACTTGAAATTTACAATTTATGATTAATTTGATAACTATTGGTTTTATTTTAATGAATAATTTTTCTGAATTTTCCAAATCTAATAATACTTCATGTGGTTCATCTAATAATTTTTGTAACTCTGTATTAATTATAGATAATTCATTAGTTAAATTTGTTTCAATTTCATCCTTCCAACTTTGATTTACATAATCAGGTAATAAATTTTTCTGTGTTAAATATTCAATTAATTCATTAAAAATTGGATGTAAACTTTTAAATTTATTCATTAAATTGATTAATTTTAAACTCGTATTATTCAAATCATCATTATTAGATTGTGAATTTATTAATTTATTAAATTTATAAGCCAATTGATTAACTAATGTGTATTCTATATCTATATCTGACATAATACTCCGGTGTCGATAATTATAGTAATTGATCTCTTGTTGATAAAAAAAAAATATATTTAATCGTAATCTCGTAAATTAAAATCTATAATATTATTGAACTTGTTGAATATGAAGAAGCAATATCATATAATATTTGTGCAATTGCCCATGTTAATGGTAGCCAAGTACTCATAGTTAAACTACCAGCTTGATAAATAGCAGCTAATATAAGACCAATAATTGCGCCACCTATAAAACCTTTTATTAATCCAACTAAAGTATAAAAAACAATAACTAATACAGATAATAATAAATCATGAGTCTTGATCCGTAGATTATGCCGAATTTTATTAACTAAACTACTTGATGAAGCTAGTATCCCAACTAATAAATACAATACTCCAGATAATAATAATGACCAAAATATTGTAAATCTCCATACATCCCATGAAGAGTACAAAAATGAATTTAAATATGATGATCGATTAGCTCCTACTGGCCAAAATAATGATGGAAATTTAGGGGTTGTATAGCCAATGGGTACATTTGTTGAACTTATAAAAATTGACATGTAAAATGTGTGGTTAAATGAATAAAAGAATAAAATTCAATGTCATGTTTGTTTTTCCTGTCACTCTTTTATCTTCTATTTTTTTTATGACACTTTCTTTGTCTCTAAATAATTCGGGCGCGACAAAGTAATTTCTCGTGCCAGAGCTAAGGCGACTCGTACTATAGAGAATGGTTTATACGTCATGAACAACGCATTTTGACAGTATAAAAATTAGTTGTATGAAATTGGGAGCCTTGAATTATATAATCTATATGTTACAAATCTAGAAATTTTCCAATTTTCTTTTTGAGTTGTCATTTTGGACTTTTTTCAACATACAAGAAATTTTCGAAAAATAAGAATCGATTCACCATTCTATTTAGGAATATAATACCCAAACAAGCAACGGATTATGCATATGTTACCTCAAATTAATGTGCTGGATGAATTGTAGGTGATTTCAATCGAAATTGAGAAATTTAAAATTCTCTCTTAACTATGGGTAAAATCGAATAAATTGACGTTACAAATTGTCTAGCTCCACAATCAAAATTAAGATGAGAGGATATTAAATGCGTCAAGAACGATAGTTCTTGCAAACTGTTAAACTCTGAATATTTTTGTATTAGGGTAATCAAAATTGGAAAACTAATTTTTCAGAAATGGCTCGAAATTTTTGAAAAATATTCAAACCAATTTTGGTATTTTGAAAACATAATACAAACATTATCTGGGATTAATCAAGCAGAATCAGATGTATTAGAATTTGTTAAACGAGGTTCAAGTGTCGTTTTTTGCCGTTTTTTAAAAGAAATATAGAGTGCTCAAAATAGCGTTTCATTGTAGAATTCGGAAAAGAAACTACTTATTACCTGTCGAAACTTCTAATGAAAAAATTTTGAGAACAACAGGTCCAATATACAGAGAGTTATTCACAAATTAAATTTTAAGATTAACTATCATAAGACTGCATATATGTCGAAATTGTTTCAGAATTCTTTTTTTGTACGTATCGTTCAAGGCCAGTCTTTTAGCACGACGAAGTCATTTCTCGCATAAATATAAGGCGACTGATATTACGTATTGCGACCGAAATTTTTCTTTCAATGTCTCGAAAGTACTACATACGACACACGCTTCATTTTTTTTTTTTTTTTCAACGTGAAAACAAAATTCAATACTAATTGCCACCATTGAAAAACCAAATCTTAAACATAATAGTACTAATTCAATTACCATCAATTTCATAACTAATATTAGAACCAATTATAAGCAAAACAATTGATTATTCATAATGTCAAGAAGATACGATTCTAGAACCACTATATTCTCACCAGAAGGTAGATTATATCAAGTTGAATATGCACAAGAAGCTATATCAATGGCAGGTACAGCTATAGGTATATTATCTACAGAAGGTGTAGTATTAGCTTGTGAAAAGAAAGTGACTTCAAAATTATTAGATGATGATGGAAGTGCAGAAAAATTATATATTATAAATGATCAAATGTTATGTGCTGTTGCAGGTATGACAGCTGATGCTTCTATTTTAGTTAATAATGCTAGAGTAGCAGCTCAGAGGTACCTCAAGACTTACAACGAGCAAATACCTTGTGAAATGTTAATTAATAAAGTATGTGATATAAAACAAGGTTATACACAACATGGTGGTTTAAGACCATTTGGTGTTAGTTTTTTATATGCTGGATATGATGATAGATATCAATTTCAATTATTTACTTCAAATCCAAGTGGAAATTATAGTGGTTGGAAAGCAACAAGTATTGGAGCAAATAATTCAGCGGCACAAACTTTATTAAAAAAAGATTATAAAGATGAAATTTCATTAAAAGAAGCTTGTGAATTAGCTATAAAAGTTTTATCAAAAACAATGGATGCATCAAATATAAATAGTGAAAAATTAGAATTTGCAACTTTAAGTTTAAGTTCAAAAGAAGAAGGTAAAATTATACAAAAAATTTGGAATGATAAAGAGATTGACTTATTAATTAAAACAACTGGAGTTTTAAATGACAAATCAACAGGAGATGAATGAAGAAATAGATTGAATAGAAAATGAAAATATATATAATTATAAAAATTACCGCTTAATTTGAGTAAATAAAAATACCCCTTAAGAAATTGTTAAAATTAGGGGGTGGGCGCAAAAAAAAAATATTTCATCAATAAAAAGTTGCTTTACTGTTTTACAACCAAAATGGATCTAATATCTTTAGGTTTAACACCAACTACTAAAAAGTCAAATAAGATAATAAAGGTTATTAATAATAATAATAGAATATCAATCTCAATTAAACAAGAATTTGAATTATTAAATAATTTTACAAAACAATTTTTAACATCTCAATATGAAACAAATCAATCGAATCAAAATGAACAATTACAACAATTATTTAAAGAATGGTATTATTTATTTGATTGTGAAAATTTTAGAATTAATAAAATATCAAATTTAAACTTAGATAAATTAATTAAATTATATGATTCGATTAATAAATTGGAAGTAAATGATCAAAATGATAAACAATTGATAGAATTGATTAATAAATATATGATACTTGCAATTACTTTAAATTTATCAAATTCATTAATTTATAAAACTTTAATTTTGAAAAACCAACAAGTCTACTGGGAGTCAATTTATAATTCAACTAGTAATAAATTGATATATTTTATTCAGACTTTCCCTGTTAAATTATACAGATTGAGTAGTTCAGTAATTGAAAGAACAAAATATAAATTGGAATCAAATTTTAATGCTCAGGGAACTAGTGATGGTAATCTATTTTCGAAAACTAAAAATATTTCAATTGCTTTGATCAAGTCTTTTAAAAACATTGTTGAAAACTTATTCGTTCAAGAAAATCCTTCAATTACATTTTTATCAAAAACTAATAAATTTACAATCTCGTCTATTAATTGGTATCTTAAATCAATTTTTAAATCTCCAATTACTATAATTGACAAAGAAGTTAAATCAAATCTTAAATTAATTAAACATGAAATTGAAATAAATACGAGAAATATAGACATTCTAATCAAATCGGATATTAAAGACCTTGTTCCATCTTTAATTAAAATATTAGAATTAGATAATGAAGGTATTAATTTAATAGTACAAGCTACTGATTCTATTATTAAATTTGATAAATTTAAAAATTATACATCTACATCACAACCATCATTTATAACTAGATATTGGGTAATTTTATTACTTTTAATCAAATATGGTCCATCACAATCTATAAATATTTATAATAATCGAAATGAAATAATTGAATGGATTAAATATAATGGAATTGAACCAATTAAAGGATTTATTCAAAATTGGGTAATTAAACCAATCAATGAAATATTAAATATACTCAGATCAGATGATGAAATTTCAATCACTACCAAAGATTCATTAAAATCAGATATAACATCATTAGAAAATATGATTTATGAATTTGCACAAGATAATAAAATTGAAACAACTCCAGAAACAATTTCCAAAAATGTAAATGATGGAAATTTACAAATTATAATGTCAAGATATGAAAATGAAATTAGATCACCTATAAAATATATAATTTCAGGTTCATTATTAAGATTAATTTTAATTCAAATTCAAAAAGGTAAAGTTGATGGTGCAGTAGCAATTAATGGTATTGATAAATTGTTAAAATCACAACAATTAGTATTTGGAATTGTATCAATGTCACCTTCAATTATAATATTATATCAAATTTATAAATATTTTACAAGTTCTAAAAAGATAGTAGTAAATGGTAAACAATTAAATTTAATATGTCTTAAAAGTTTAAATAATATTGAAAATTTATTAATTCAATTAAAAAATAAGACAATAACTAATGGTGAATCAATTGAAGGTGAATTATTAATTGAAATAATAAATTTAATTGTTAGCTCAAAACCAATAATACCAAAAGAATTATTTGATGATTGGATAAGAGATTTAAATGAACTAAATAATAGTGATTATGATATAAGTACAAAATTAGATTTGGTTCAAAATATTTGGAATATGTATGGACCAATATTTAGATAGAGTTAGGCTTAAGTTTAATAGGACGCAAAGTATACTTCTCAAGCGATGGCTCTGACTTCTCTGATTATGCACTCATAACAGATTTCTACGACATATGTTCTAAAATATATCAAACTTAGAATTCAAAACTCTCAATTTATATATTTTTTATATATCTTTGTTTAATTTCTGTAGACGCAAAAAAATCAGAGCCAAATGGAATTGGATCTCCTGTGGAATGACTCGTAGCTTTATTCTCTGTGCCTTTTAGAGATTGATCAACTCTTTCTATAGGTTTGAAATTCAAACGATCAATTTCTTCCTTAGTTATAACAAATGGAGTCCAACAGTTCTTATTTCATCAGATCTTATGTTTATCATAAAGAATTTCATTTTTTTATCACGTGAATCATCATTATCAATATTCACAAATCTACGCTCGATTACATTGTCTGTTTGTACTGTATCCCACCATTCAGAAAAGTTCTTGACTCTCTTGAAGAATTGGGATATCTAATAAGGTCATGGAAATGTAGTAATGATTTCAATCAATAGAATATTTCAATTTTGTAAAGTACTAATTGAGAGGCTTAAAATTTATAATCTATTAATACATGTATATTTATAACTATCTATGAAAATGACCAGCATCCTCAATTGTCAACATTAAATTTATTCAACATCCACCTGTTAGATTTGTAGTTGGGAATGTATAACCTCCATCTTCAAATGAAGTTAAATTTGCATTTTCATAAATATTCAAATGTTGTTGAATATAATCATAAGTTGGAAAATCATCTGGATCACAACCTAAATTGATTTGATCTTTTGGTTGATAAATTCGTATATAATCAATTTGAAAATTTATTGGAAATATCATTGCTGGCCAATCTATATAAGCCCAATTTCTTGAAATACCAAGATTTACAATAACGCTCATGGGTTCTTTTGAAAGTGTTCTCCATCCAATGTTTCCATTAGGATGGAGAGCTTGACTATACATTGTTACAGTAGGATAATCACCTACAAACCATCTAAGATAACCTGAGCTTTCATCATTTAAATATTCAAATCCATAATCTTGATAATTATGATCTATTCCTACACCCATTTCATACCATGTTTTATTTAATGTTGTTGTTCCAGATATTGCTTGTTGAAAAGGACCGCCAGCATAAGTATTCATTGTAGTTACTGATTTATTATAAATTTCAATAAAATCATAATCTGGCATATACCAAATATCCATTGGAGCAATTTGTAAAGATTGTGAAGCAACACCTAAATTTTCCTTATTTGGATCATCTGGATCTGTTGAAATTTCAGCTTCAATTACATCAATTTCTGGAGCACCTCTACCAATACCTCTATTTGGATGAGATTCACCAGGACAAGTACATTTATTTAATCTTTGACCAGGTAAATATGATATACCATCAGGAGAACTTTGATTTGCTGTTATACCTGAATCACAAGAATTATATGAATAAGGCCAAACACCTTCAGTTGAACCTAAATAACCAGGTCTACCTAAATTCCCCATTGTCCACATACCAGGCCATAAACCAGACTTTGTACCATAACCAGGTAATTTTGCAGATATTTTAATTCTACCTTGAGTAAAACACATTTTATTCCAACTTTGAATCATACCAGATCTATAAAATAAATTATGATTTTTAAAAGCATCCATTCTTAAATTTAAAGTTCCATTTGTAGTAGTAACAGCATCGGGATCATACCATTCTAAATCTTTTGTAGCATCATAATGTAAATCCGGAGCAGTCCAAAATTGATCATCACCATCATAAAATGTACGTCCTATAGCATTAAATTCATCAGAAAATACTAAATTCCAATCATCACCATTTTTAGATTTTATTGTTAATGCATCAGATGGAGTATCTGGATCAATTAAAGTTGTACGTATACCTGAAATCATTGGATAATTATAATGAGTTAAAATTTCAAAAGATTCTGGAATTGATGTATGATCAGTTACACCAGTATAAGTTATAGCAGGTAATAATACAAATACTAAAGCAGCAGCAATTATTAAAAATAAAAAGCCAAACATTCCAAATATTGATTTTTTATCACCGTATTTTAAATCGTAATAAAATCTATTTTTATCATATTTTGCATCTTCAATTGGATCAGGATTATGTAAATAATCATCATCTTCTTTTTCATTTATATTTAAAGGAAATGAATTTGCAGGATATCCACCAAATGGACTATCTATTAATTTATTTAATGATAAAGAAGAAATTTTTTTATTTCCCAATATTGGAGTAGTTGTACTATTATTTTCAGAATCATTAATTAATGGATATCTATCATAACTTGGTGGTTCATTAATTTCAATCTTTTCTGAACGTATAGGATTTTGACTATTAAATTTATTAGTTGAATCATTCAGTGATGATAATAATTGAGAATTTGATTCATTTGATGAATAAATATTAGCAGTAAATGGTCGACCGTAACTTAAATCTAAATGATTATTATTATTATAATTATTATTATAATTATTATTCATATCATTATTATTATTATTAATATTATTATTATTAATATTATTATTATAATTATTATTACTATTACTATTACTATTACTATTACTATTATTATTAGTATTTCTTATTCTATTATTAGGTAAAAAAGATGATGAAGATGATGATTCATTAGGACTTGAACTACTATTATTATATAATGGATCAATTTGAGAACTTGAATCAAAAGATGAAGATTCATTTAATGGAGTTGCAGTTTCAAAAGGATTTTGAAGCTCTATATCTTGATTATATCCTGTAAATGAATTATTAGTTAAATCTCTATTAACCATGATTAAATCTTAGATCTGGTGATTTTAAGGAATGGTAAAAAATGTAAATATGAAATATAAAATATAAAAGTGAATGAAATAAGTAACAAAAAAATTGCCTATAATCAAATTGAAATCAAGTAATTAATATGAAATGTGACAAATATAATAACAATAATATTCTAATAACCTAATAACCTAATAACCTGATAACCGTCTAATATATAAATTAATCTATTGGAAACAATTGGTATAAAAATTAAAATTCTTTTAGTATTGTATATAGAATTATTGTATAGCTTTATTGTATAGATTTATTGTATAGAGATTTATTTTTTTTGTATGTATTGGAATAAATGGGAATAGACGACATAGACGAAAATCACACAAAATTTAGCAAGCAATATAAACTAAATATATAACTAAATATATAACTAAATCTATAACTAAATATCTCGAGAGAAATGGGAATAACAACACGAACAAATAAAAATTATGAACAATGAGTCAAGGAATTGAAAGGATGAGATCGTTTAAGAATAGTTCACGGTTTAAGAATAGTTCACAATTTAAGAGGCTAAGTAGTTTTTTATGTTTTCTGTTTTAATATTCTCGATATCAAATTTGTTGAGTTTAACATTATAAATAGAATTCACTCAATCAATCAACAATCAATCAATCAACAATCAATCAAAGAAAAAAAAAAAAACTGAAATTCTATTTCAACAAAAAAACATTAATTTTACTTTTGTTTATATAAAAGTTTGTTATTGCAACTTTTATGATATTAATCTTTTTATTTTAGTTTGAAAATTGTTTTATTGTTAGTTTTATTGTTAGTTTTACATGCATATTTCATTAAATATTAATGGTAACTTACATAGATTAATGTGGAGGATATTTTTTCTCAGAATATAGTTTAAAAAATGAAACACACAGCCTATATTAATGAGGTAGTTAGTTTTTTAGTGTTAAAGTATTTTCATTACAAATATATACATTTGTCTTGTTATGTTTTGTTTTGTTTTGCAACTTGTTTCAACCAAGAAATTTGCCAAAAAAAGATCTCTTGAAAATAGAAGATTCGAAAGCCAAGAAGATTCAACATCAAAAATGATTTATTATTATTATTATTATTATGTTGAAGAAAACCCTATAAAAATAGAAAAGTTTTTTTTTTTTCCCGAGATATTGCGCATTTCCCGATTTAATGATAATGACACAAAATGTCAAAAAATGTGCAACATTTCCTATTTTGGATTTCATGACACAAAATATTAGTATTAAAGATCTGAAAACTTTTACACTACTTTTTTTGTAATTAAGTATATTTTGACATATATTATATATATTATATTATATGTATTATATATATATTATATACATTAGTATATTATATATATTAGTTACATATTATATTATATCATATATATTATATCATATATGTTATATCATATATATCATACCATATATATCATACCATATATATTATATCATATATATTAGTCCATCATTATCTTTAAAAATGAATCAATCACCGCCGTAGCTGCCAAACTAGTAATTCCGGAATTCGAATCAAATGGAGGACTAACTTCAACAACATCAGCTCCTATTAAATTTATACTTCCTTTTAATCCATCTAATATACTAATTAATTCTCTTGTAGTAAATCCACCTGTCTCCATTGTACCTGTTCCTGGTGCATAAGCAGGATCTAAAACATCAATATCAACACTTATATACACTAAATCTTCTTTAGTGGTTACATTTTTTAAATCTTGTATAATACCTTTGATTCCTACTTTATCAATATCATTGGCTTTTATTATATGAAATCCACATTCTGAATCATGTAATTTATCATATTTTGAATCTATATATGGTGCTCTTATTCCTATATGATAATTATTTTCATCTTCTATATAACCTAATTCATGAGCATAATGTAAAAATGTTCCATGATTTAAACTCATATAATTTGTAATTCCACCTCCTAATTTTTTAGGATCCCATGTATCTATATGAGAATCAAAATGAAATATTCTAATTTTTTTTTGAAATTGTTCATTTAAATTCTTTAAATTCATTAATGAAATTGTATGATCTCCTCCCATTGTAATAAATTTTGGTAATTGATTTTTAAATTGTAAACTTTTATGTTTAAAAATTGATCTTTGACCTCTATATAATTGATTTAATGCTATTCTATTATCAAATGGAATCATCGCAATATCCCCACAATCTATTATTGTAAAATTATGAGTTGATTCATCGTATGGATCAATTATATATCCATTTTTTTTCTTTTTATTGGATTTCCATGATGATCCTAATCTTTTTGCTGAATCTCTAATTGAATTTGGTCCAAATCTTGCTCCGGGTCTATAACTAACTCCTGTATCAAATGGTGCTCCAACTATTGCTATATCTATATTATTAGAATAAAGTGTTGGATTAAAACAATTAAAATGATTTAAATGTGCATATGTTAAAATTCCACCAAACATATTCTGATCAATTGAAATATCAGACGTATCATCTTTATCTGGATAATTTACCCTTTTTCTATAATTTAAATATGTATTAAAAATAGTTTCATAATATAAATCAGGATAAATTTGATCATTTGTCGATTTAATTAATGGATTATCATTATTTTTTGAAAATCCTCGTGGTAAATTACCTTGTATATAATTGTCATATACTAATTCACCATATAATTTATCAATGAATGAAGTTTCAGTTTCTAAAATAGTTTGACAAACAATTAATGAAATAAAATATACAATTGAAAACATACTATTTTTTCATTTGCAGCAATTCGCTCGAATTATATATAGAGCGCAACACTCCTTCCCAAAAAAGACGAGAAAGAGCGCAATTCTCGTATAAATATCAATATTTATTTAAAAAGTCATTTCTATATAAAACCAATAATATTATACACTTATAGAGCCAGCTATAAACATATTTTTAATAATAAACAATAATCAATAATCCCAATAAAATAGTTATAGTAAAATCATTCGTAACATAATTTGATAAAAATTTCGTTCAAAGATTCAACTAACACTTTATTATTGATATATAATAAATAAAACAAGCCACAACCAGTTACCATAATGAGCTGCAAGTAAATAACTATGAAATATTTTTCTCTTATTGACTGCTTTTCGTTAAGATATTCATTTTGAACTTCTAAATCTTTTGAAATTGATTGTTGTTTTTCATTACATAAACTTTTTTTATTTTGATTTTGTGATTCAACAACTTTAGTTTTTTTGGAGTTATTTATATTATCTGGATGATTTATATACATCGTCATACACATATTATCAAACCTTAGTTAATGAAATGTAATTCTGAATCAAATAAATGTCAAGATTTGATAGATTTAAATAAAAAAAAAAAATAAAAAAAAATGAAAAATTTTAATCTGATAAAACAAAGAAATAATACTAATATAATAAAAGGGGTGAGTATTTATTAATTTGCTTAGTGATTGATTGATTGATTGATCGATTCACGTCCTATTTTTTATAGGCAGTTTTCGCGTTGGTCGTGGGATCGATAAATTGACTTTTGTATTAAATTGAGGCTATGTTTAGAACGAGGCGGTACTAGAAAAAATTAATCTATTCTTAATTTAAACCCAGTCTATAATTTAAAACATTTATTACAATAATTTACATAAAATAATTGTTATTCTTACAGTGTCTTTAATCATCTAACCATCTTCTTTTTCTTTTCGTTGCTCCACTTATTGTAGCTTGACTTACTCTTTCACTTGCGGCATACCAATTTGTTGGATATGGTGCAATAGTTGCGTAATTTACTGCAGATTCAGCTGTATAACTCCAACCGGGTGTAATTGTAGATTGAATATTTGGTGATTTCATTTTTGTTGAATAATAACTAACTGATGATGTTGGAAATTTCCTTGTCCAAGTTGTGGCTGTAACTTTTGAACCTGGTTGCATTTGCATTGGAGCATATCTTGTTCTACCAGTTTGTAAAGTATATGGAACTGTAAATGATGCTGAATCAACAGAGGCAGATGCAAATCCTACGGCTTGGTCTCCAGGTTGAGCTCCAGTAACTGACATTGAAAATGTTGCTGTTGTTGTTTGTTTATTAACAACATTTGACCCGCTCATATCTGTTAATCTAAATCTTTGTGAATAATGAATTGTATAAGCTGATCCTGAAAATTCTGAATAAATTTGAATGTAATAATAACCATTTGGATAATCACTTTGATCTAATTCGATATCAACACTTGGTTCACTACCTGATATTTGCCTTTTATCAACTAATGGTGTTGGCCAACATTGAATTTGACTATTTTCACCTGTACATAATGAAATAGTATATGTTTGTACATTACTTATTGATTTTTGATCATCTGAATCTGAATCATCTTTCCATGAAACTTGAAATGATGCTTTACCTGATGAACCAGAAAATGAATCTCCACTTTTTGGTGATGTTATATCAACATCTGCTTTAATTAGATTGATTATTAATAATATTAGAAATGTAAATGAAAATTTCATTCTATTGGTGATTTTTAAAACGAATGTAACTTTGATCGATATGAAAGGAGATTTAAAAAAAATAATTATATTTTTAACTAGTATAGAAAGAAATTCTTGAAATATCGTGTGATACACGACTGTAGTAGAATGCGTTATAGATTGCTAGTACTTTGTGCAAGTGAAGCTATGAGACACATACTCAAGTTACAATACAATAAGAAGACTTGTAAACTGGCTGGTTAATTATTATTTAAAACTGAGATTTAATACATAAATAGCCATTTGAAATCGCGTTGCACTAGTTGGTAGCATTTGAAATAATGTAGATAAGTCAAAACAAAAAAAAAATTAGGGCCACTCCGCAATAAGATGGCCTAGACTAGATGATAAGAAATCGTCTTAGAACGAGCTCGAAAAAAGAAAAACCTCGCGCCAAGTCATCACAGTGTAAAATATATAATTTTGAAACAAAAATCAACTTATGTAGTCCTATCATGGTTAATGTTGAAATTTAAATTGAGAATAACTCCCTTAATAATCAAGCTTTCTTTCTTAAACCTACTTTATTATAAACTTCAGCCAGCTTAGACTAACTATGAAGCTGGTGTGAACTTGATAATCATAATTTTGATGACTTTGTTCAATATTCAAATATTGGAAATAAACGCTATTAGAGGAGATAATCAACACTTAAACCTCATTTAGCAACTTCCAAGATAGTTAATTTATTTGATTATACCCCTGAAACTATATGTATGATGTTTTCAAGACGCCACGATCGGTTTGAATAGTTTTCAAAGATTTCGAATCACTTCTGAAAAATTCCTTTTCCAATTTTGAATACTTTCCCACAAAAGTAATCATAATATATTTGGAATAAGATCTACAGACCCGGTTACTTTAATGAAACTCTCATCACCAATTCGATTGTGGGGATTGAATTTCCTTAAAACTCAATTCATTCGATTTTCCTCATATTTGAGAGAATTTTTCGAGAATTTTTATTTTTGGGTCAAATCTATCGAAATTACATCCAAGAGCTTAGTTTGAAGTGAATTATACATATTCCGTTGATTATTTGAAGATTGTGGCCCTAATTCGTGAGCCATACACATTTAAATTCTTGAGAATTTTTTTTGTATGATGAAAAAAGCCCAAAATTCCAAGTTGAAAAAATAAGTTTGAAATGTTACAATTCAAATTTATAGAACAAATCAAAGTTCCTGATCTCACATAATTGGTAATCACCTCGGGAGAATATGTTGTTAATTATGTATAAGCTTATATAGTTAGTACGAGTCGCACTAACTCTAGAGCGAGAGATTATTCCTGTCGCTCTAAAATCATTGCATCGGAGAATACATACTAAAAAATAATATTGAGACAAATTTAACTTATATGCAGTTCTATGGTAGTTACTCTTACTTCGTAAGTATAGCTCTTCTCTTTTAATACTGAAGTTCTACTTCTTCTCGAATTAACATGATTCACTAATTGATCACCAAATAATTGCCAAAAATAAAGCAAAAATATGGGTCTAAATCATGTTCCGAAAAGAAATAGCTGCGTCAGTGTGATTATGGTTGAGGTCACCCACAAATAACGGCTGACCACAGAAATTATGGGAAGAACTTCACATGAGGATGCAGTGGGAATGTGATAATCACAAATCAATAATGTGGTTCTGAGATGTAAAAAGCCTTTAACCGAACAAAGTACTTTTGAAAGACCAACTTTCAAACCTTCATATCGTATTTCCATTGGCTTCTGTGGACTTAGTTATAAACATTTAATCACATTTGTAAATCTTCATCTAGCTGAAAATGACTCGTCTTGTGATGGATCTTAAATTCAAGTATATTATGAAAAGAGTAGCTTAGCTTACATTAATTCGAAACCTCATGTTTATTTAATAGACGTGCTTAATACTAAGATTGGATTTCGAATTTATCACAATACGCTTCATAAAATTTTTGATGACCTAAAAATTAAAATAAACTTATATTGCAGATAATTATATTTAAATTAGTTAAATCAAAGATCGATTTTCAGATTAAGGGTGCGGCATTATTTGAACAACACAACCATTAGCATCACCTACTACTTTGAGTATAAAAATCGCTCCAAACTGGTGAGTACTAACTATCTCAACTAGCATAGCTTGTAATTAAGTCTAATATCTGAAGCAATTTATGAAATGCCAATTTTCAAATTCGTCTTTTTTGACAGTTTTTTAAGTGTCCTTGCATAGAATGAGATTTTAAAAAATTCGTTTGTTCCTTTCTAACCGACGCTAAAAGCATCTCTAATTTTAATAACGGTTTACGCCTATTTAATAATTCTTAGAAATTTAAAATTGATTGTTCTTTTCCGTTGCGCTCTTTTTAATAATATCTTATGCAAACTTATTAATCTATCGCCGGGGTGAGACGAAATTGTATAAATAATAATGAAATTGTAATTTATTTTCTTGGAAGATCTATCCTAATATGATTATACTCAAGCAATCAAAAAATTTACTTAATAAAGTTGTACCTGGTGAATGTTTCAGCGATCAAGAAGAAAAATCGTCAAACGGTCAATTATCATCAGAACAGGGTAAAATTTCTAGGAGATCAACGATTTCAAAATCAAATGAAACATCTCCAATAAGATCAAAATCACCAGTTAGATCTAATAATATTATAACTACTTCTGAGTTGTTGTCAAACTCAAATCCTCCATCTAGGACAAACTCAACAAATAAAGCACATACACATAATAAAAGACAACACTCGCACCAAAATCATCGTCATAATCATCACCATCATCATCATCCTCATCATAATAAAGAAGAGCATATGGAATTGATTGATAAACACATCGAGTTAAGTAACGATAAGGAAGAGATAAATGTTGCTCCTCCAATAATACAAGAATACTTGCTCAAGAATATTAGTCAATTCGAATGGTTTCTAATTTCAATAATCGGGATGTTGCTTTTGTTTTTGTATTTTTTTAGGTAAGTCTGTGTATTTTATTAGATATTTGGAAAATATTTACGATTTTATTAGCTATTTTCATGAGTTACGAATATATACGTTATGTTTATACACATACTTCCATTTGAGTTTGAGATAGCAGCGGTTCATGCTACAAAGGCACAATTTTTCACAGTTCAACGGCTCTTCGCAAGTTCAAGTTTAACTAGCAGCAATATTTGATTAATTTAATAGAGTTTGATAGTCTATTCATTAACAAAAGCATCTACTGTCTTTGAGCCTCTACGAAATACATAGCAAAATCATTGATCATATTCAAATCTTAAAAACACATGGTAGCTCTCGAAATTTTGCAACCATTTATAAATTTTTGACGTATACTGTTGTGTACCTATGAATAAAACAATGATTAAAATCACAGCTAAGAAACCTTGAATCTAATCTTATTAGGCTCACACCATAGTAAATATTAATGCCCATCGGATCACCAGATTTTTGATTCGTTAGATAGAGCCAGCCAAGCTTCACTCACAGAAAAGAATTTTCATCATAATTTTCTTGATTTTGACGTTTCAAACGAACTCAAACTAAATTTCTTGGTTCAAATAACATAACGTTTTGGTATATTTTGTTCTTTTTGGTTGTTGAGTCATATCATCTCAGGTATGAATTCGATGGAACATCTTTTATAAAATAGAGATTTTTGCTAATTTTATAATAAATTTATTAGTATTACGTTCGACGTTTATGCAATTAGAAGTACAAAGAAATTTGGCTGATGCGGCGAAGGTGATGGCATCTAAGAATTTTACAGCTCGAAATCGTTACATTGATATTGTTTTAACTGACATGCTCTTTTAGTGAATCGTAATTGCTTTTTGTTTATTTTTCTCATACGATACAAAATAACAGTCTAAACGAGAAATACGGAGATGCGGCTGAAACAACCTAAACGATAATGCACTCATACGACGGTTCAACAAATGACTTCAAGTAAGTAGTTTTCAGTTGTTTAAGAATGAAGAGGTGAGTTATTTTATTAGTACAAACATTGGAGATGTTTTATTTAAAAAAGTATTCATTAATAAATATAAATATAAATAAATAATCATAATTAGATAAAAATGTGATATTCATTAAACAAATTTCACAACTTTCTTCTTATCATTATTTTGTAATTTGTTAGGAATTATACTCCATAACTGATCTAATTCTGGTTCGTTACTCGTTATATTCGTATGAGTAGATGAGTTGTTATCAAAATTATATATGCTATTATTATTATCCATATTTATATCTATGGTTACATAATCATTTGGAGTCAATAAATTATTTGAATAAAGTGATGGACCCGTATTATTAGTAAATTTATAATTTGATTGATCTATTTTAAAATATAAATTATCTGACTCATTGTCATTATCTAATTCTTGACTATCTTGCTCATTCTCCTCCTGTATGTTTGATATTAAAAAAGTTTTATTTACCGAATTTGGCGAATTTGGTAATGAATATGAAGTAGAATTAGAACTAGAATTTGAATTTGATTTTTTGGGTATAGCACTATAACTTTTATGAGGTGAACTTAATGTTAAATGAGAAGGTATCGAATTTGCTCTTGTTAATTGTGATCTATTTATGACTCTAATATGTTCTGCTGAAGTTGAATTTCTCCTTCTTTTCTTCTTATTATTAGTATTATTTATATTTGAAGATGATGAAGTGTTGTTGGAATTAGTGGCATCACTTGAGCTATTTATCCTTGATAGTTTATTTTTTATGTAACTTACACCAATTATCTTTGAAAACATTTTAATTATGAATGATATAAATTTGAAAATTATGTATGAAATAAAATTAGAAATTTAAAGTTATATTTATATACAAAATTTTAAATTTTAAGTGGTATATGCATCGTTACTTAAAAAATTTCATTTGCATCTTTTCTATTAATAGAGTATTACTAAACCTTTTATTCATTCAGTTGTATAAAGTTGACAATCTAGATAACTTATTAATAATAATAACTTGTTAATACTAATAATTGATGAGTAATTGAATACTAATATGGGATTCAACCACAATATACATAAATTTACATGAAGTTTATTGATAATTTTTCAATTCCATTGTACGTAGTAAAACCCGTCCAAAAAAAAAAAAAAAATGATTTTCTATTTCAGCCTTTTCCTAACATTACATTAAGTACGTAAATAATTCCTAATTAATGAGTTTAATCAATTACTAACTATATAATAAATTATTAAAGCCCGTATCGTATAAATGATATATCCGTGTCACTTTATTCTTACAAACAATAGTTGTTGACTAATAATTAAACAAACAATAAGCTAATCCAAACTTAAAGTTTTGATTAAATTAGTAACATGCCCATTGATTCAATTTTGTAACACTGTAAATCTTTGTAATCTACTATTATTTCTATATAATGATTTTTTTCTTGTCGTTGATGATAAGATGATGATCAATGATATCAGGATAATTATTCATTTTGAGTTGCAAATTGCAACGCACTACATTAATTTAATCAAGCAACGAAAAAACAACTATATAGGTTGTCAAGTGTGAATGCAATCTGTTTACTAATACCATGTTAGGTTATTTATCGGGTGTTTCAATACGGTTCTTCGGAGTTAATAGACGTCCTGATTTGTGTTATGTGTTATGTCGAGATTTTTATCTTTTTTTTTTTTTTTTTTTTTTTGGACCTGATTTTACCCGAAGAAAGTTAAAAATATCCGAACCACAATAGATTTGATTTTTTGTTTGGACGAATACTTATTGTAATCAGAAAAATTACTTTGGAAAGCTTAATCAGTTAAATTACAATGTAAATTGAGTGCAAAATAGATGTGAAATTAGTATGGTATAGCAAAAGATTCAATTCTTTGCAAAATCACTTCTAATTTAATGAAAGTATACAATTCTTTGCAAAATCACTTCTAATTTAATGAAAGTATACAATTCTTTGCAAAATCACTTCTAATTTAATGAAAGTGCACAAGTCTAAGTAATTTTATAATCTGAAACTAATGTAATAGAGTTTTGATTTAAGATTTTAAACAAGAGATAAAACCGTTTACATTGTAAACAAATATATTGTATTTTAAACACTAACTATCGAGAAGTATTCTTTTTCATATAATCATCAAACAATGTTCATGACCAATGCAAATACAATGAAAGATAAAATACCATTGTTGCCATTATTCAAACTATTAGCTAAACCTTGTGTTGAAGTTGATGGATTTTCAATTGATAAAGATGATTCGAATGAGGTTGAAGAACTACTTAATGTATCTTCATTCGCATCTGCAATAATATCCTCTCCTTCATTAATCTCATTGAATTCTTGATTTCCATTCGATGTAGTGATTGACGTTCTCAGTCCATCAACCAGACCATAAATTATTGATCCATCAATAGTTTTGATCAAAATTGGAGCTTGATTTTGTAAAATTGATGAAGATTTATCTGCTTTTGTAGTTGATTTAATTGTAGATTGAACTTTACTATTGCTATTTTGACAATCTTTAGTATGGCAATCAGTTATAGTTTCAACAATTGTTTCATGGCTATTTTTGATGAATGATTCTTCGTTAGCAATTGATTTACTCTCTTGTTCTTTATTGCATTGTTTTTTACCACAATAAGTTACAGTTTCAACAATTGTAATTTCTTCACCTTGTTCACCTTTAGTACATTGTGTGACACCACAATCAGTAATAACTTTAGTTACATATTCTATAGATGTTGACAAGTCGCTAGTTTCTTGTGGAATAATCTCATTTGTTCTTGTTGATGATACCGTCGACAATATTGAATTAGCTAATAATGATTCTTCGTTAGCAATTGATTTACTCTCTTGTTCTTTATTGCATTGTTTTTTACCACAATAAGTTACAGTTTCAACAATTGTAATTTCTTCACCTTGTTCACTTTTAGTACATTGTGTGACACCACAATCAGTAATAACTTTAGTTACATATTCTATAGATGTTGACAAGTCGCTAGTTTCTTGTGGAATTATCTCATTTGTTCTTGTTGATGATACTGTCGGCAATATTGAATTAGCTAATAATGAAGTATATCTCCACCACTCGATATCTCCCTGTAAAATAACATAAATAACTTCCATTAATTCAACAACGAGTCCATTTGTCGTAGTATAAATACTACTTGTAGACACATAGCTTGAAGTTGTTAATTGAACGTATTGAGTGCTTGTAATGGTATTTTCATCAACATGAATAATAGCAACATCTGTAGTTAGTTTGCCTAAATCATTCGAACTTGTAAATATTGTAGTATATGAGGTTGGTGATCCTTGGGATTGAGTAGTTGAATTTACCCATCTTGTTGTAGACTCAACAATTATGTTAGATATGGATGAAGGGTCAGCTGAAGTAGTTGTAGTTTCAGCAGATTCTGTTGTAGAAATATCATTCGCAGTTGATGTATCTCCTGTTTCACTTGCTTCATCTGTGGTGTCAATTGGCTCATCAATTGCTTGAATTGCATAAACTTCAATAATCATACAACCTCTTCCACCAGCGAAAACAACATAACCTCCATTTCCATCTTCATAAAAGCTAAAATATACTTCATAATTTCTCTTGCTTATTGATTCTTCAACCATTGAGAAATCTTCAAATAAATAATCAATATTATACAACTTTTCACCTTCCATTGACCAACCAGGTGTTGCAATATCCTTTGGCACAACTAATAATAACCCAGTTTCCGATATTTGAACATATCCAATTTCAGATACTCTAAGGTACGTGTCTTCAATCAAAAATTGAACGTAATCACCATTAAATAATGTTAAATGAGTACCGTTCGATGAAAAGCCTTCCAACTCATTTTCAAAGTTTAATACTAATTCGAATGGAAGTTCAGGATCAACAGATTCTGTGGGAACAATTACGGCATCGGTTGTTGTTGATTCATTAGAATCTTCGATAGAATAAATTGAAGTTTGAGTTATCCACTGATCATCTTGATCTTGAATGGCACTGATAATATGTGTAGCTGTACCAACTCCTTCCTCATTTGTTAAAGTCGTAGTATAAATGTATGACGATCTTTCAATTGTTGAAATTGTGGTATACCACCAATTATCTTCATCTGACGTGACAATATGAACCTCCGTGTAATCTCCATCTTCAATAATTCTAGTTTCTGTAGCTGCAATTGGATCATCCAAAGTATTAGTAATATAATAATTATCAGCATTCTCAAAATTATATGTAATAACCTCTGCATCTTTAATGAATTCACCATCTTCACCCAGTAAAGTAACTCTTCTTGTTTCACTTGCAACTGCAACTGCTAATAAACTTGTAAATGTAGTAGTTATCCAATCACCAAAAGCGTCTGTACTTTGAATAACCAAAGCTGTTATTGTAGTCTCTAATTGCTCGACATTGGTTTCATAAATTGATAATGTACTTATAATATCTCTTGTTTCTGGTGTAGGAGTTATAGTATAAAAAGTCCTTGAGCTAATGGTGTATGACCAAGTGAGAGTGCTTGTTCTTTGTTCTTCATCAATTGTTCTAATTGTTGTGAATGTTGTCACGAGTGGAAAATACGACGTGTACCATGTACCACCTTCGTCTTTAGTAACTAACTCAATACTTTGTTCTGGTTCTACCCCTACATATGCTGCAGTAGGTTCAGTGAGATAACCATAATTATAAAATGTACCATCACATAACGCACAACTTGCGGGTAATGGACGTAAATCAATAGGAACTTCACCATTATATATAATACCATCAGTACCAGTAGTAAGATAAACTTGTGTCAATTCAAATAACTCTGGATTATAACCTACACCAATATCATATTCTTTGATAGCATCATTTGATTGCAAAGTTAATATACCACTGTCAGTATTATAATTGAAACCGGTAATACCTGCAACTAATACAATAAAATTTCCATTACCAAAACCATGAATTATAATTGACAAACGATTATAACCTATATCTTCAATTAATTTCGATTGAGAATCTTTAAATTGAACTTGCAAGTCAGTTGTAGCTGTGGAACCTGACTCTAATCTGACAGTTGAATATGAATTTAAAGCTATACAACCAGCACCTTCATAAACAGTGTTGAATAAAGCTTGAAAATAAAACAAACAGATTGCACCTTCATTAATAAACTCTGTAGGAGCAAGTTCGACTCTTCCAATGTTTTCATCTTGGACTTATGCATGAAAGTACAAAACACCTGTATCATGATTGGTTAAAACGTTATTTTAAAAATTAACCTTATGAGTAGTTCCAGCTTCATAATTATTTGTATAAAATTGGAAACGATGACTATTTACGAATGTGTCCGATACGAAATAGTAGACATTGGAAACTCCATAATACACAGCATCCAAAACGAAAAATATATAATTGTTCTCATATGTCCCTACATTGGATGTACCAAAGGTAATTATGTTTCCCTCTATGTAATTCACGTAACCAAAACTGCCAACTAAAGGGAAGGTTGAGATATCATCTGGCAAATTTGTTCTTTGACTATCAACTAACATATATTGAGCTCTAACATCAAATGACTCCAAAACATTTGCTTCTCCTCTTTCTGTGTAGTCTGTTTCGATAATTTCAGTATTTATCGTTAAAAAGCTAGCGAACAATAGCAAAATCTGATAAAGCATTGGTTGATTATATAAAATAAGTTGTAATTAAAAGTTTGCTTGACTATATAAAGTTTCCAAGTGTTTTGGTAGCCATGGTTTCATAATCTCGAATATTATAAATTTATCATCTAGATAATTTTCTTGAAAGATCTTGGTAAATATTATTTCTGGGAATACCCGGTGATTGTTTGGAAATAAAACATTTGAAAATAGTAAAACACACAATCCATGTAATATTCAATATGTTGCACAGCTAGCATCTACTTATTTGCAGCATGATTCTTGAATTTTCAGCTCGTTTGTTAATTTCATTCAGATGTAATGGATCTAAGGTTCAATCGCCAAGATAATTAACAAAAAAATTTCGTTAACCGAAAAATGTAACCGGACATGGTAAACCATACAATTTCTTGGAAATTTGACCGGTAAAGTTAATGAACACGATCATATACCAAACCTACAATTAATTCAGAAAGTATTGAATTTGCTTAGGCACTTTAATCTAGAATGTGGCATTTTTTCATTTTCTTGTTACAAATTGAAATTGAGCTACCAACTTGAGTATATTTCATGACATAATAGACTATTACTATGAAATAAACTTAGCTAATTGGTCATGAGAGAAATATGATAGGTCTTAAATAATGTAACGATTAATCCAGGCATTGGTTTGATCCGGAGTACAACGTCAATTACTTTTGAAGCAACGGGTATTCTTTAAGTTCATTTGAAATGATTTATCGTTTTTATGATGTATCGTGTAGTAAAGATTGACGATAAAGAAATCAGAAAATAATTTGAGTTTTGGGAAATTATCTTTCAATTTAGGCTCAAGGAGTCATAGTTTATAACTCTTTACAGTAGCACGGGAAGTTATTCAGCTTTAAAGTCTGCATCTCTTTACTACAAAATAATCTGACTTTATTTCGATGTAAATTTGACGAGATAGGATTATGCAAAGATGTGTTTCGAAAAGAATACAGATCTTGATAAACAAGCCCTAAATTTAAGTATTACAAAGTTTATCCACTTATAATTGTATTCACATATTTACATCCTTATATTTTTTAACAAATTCCTTGTGGAATTTTGTCCATCTATCTATCCATTCTTTACCAGGAGGTAAAAATGTAGTTCTCAAATGATAAGTGTCTCTTTTTTGACCAAATCCGTTTCCAGGTACACAACAAATTCCAGTATGTTCCAATAATTCAATACAATAAATATCATCAATTTGTAAATTCGAGTTTTTAGCTCTTGAGAATAGTTTATGATAAATCTTTGAATCAAAATTCAATTTTGGAAAAATATACATGGCACCCATTGGCTTATCACAATTAATATCCTCCATTTGATTAAATGCATTATATAATGCTTCTGCTCTTGTTTGTAAATCATAATGGATTGAGTCAGTTTCTTTTTTATATAATTCAAAACTTTCATCACCTTCTTTTGGCGGGTTAATCATTAATTCCATCAATGCTTGACCACTTACAACAGAACATAAATTGATTGAAGCTAATTTAAAAACAATATCTTTAACTTCAGATTTGAAACCGACCAATTCCATATAACCACCTCTTTGGCCACATTCACCACTTACACCTTTTGAAGTTGAATGCAATGAAGCTAATTGAACTTTGTGATAAAGATCATGATTTTTTTCAATTAATTCTGATAAAACACGTTTGAAAGAAATAAAGTCACCTTTGAATATATTTTCTTGATAAACTTCATCAGCAATTAAAACTATACCATATTCTGCAGCTAAATCAATTAACTCAATCATATCTTGAGTTGATAAAATTGCACCAGTTGGATTACCAGGGTTTATGACGACTAAAGATTTAATTTTTATACCTTTTTGTTGATTATCAATGATTAATTCACGTAGTTCTTTAGTATTTGTAGACCAATTATTTGATTCATCTAAATAATAACCAATTGGTTTTGCATTATTCAAGGCAATTGTAGCAGTATATAAAGGATATTGAGGTATTGGGATTAAAAAACCTGAATTTGAATCAACTGATAAAATTTGTAATAAATAAGATACAGCAGTTGAAGCACCACTTGTTAAATAAATATTATTTGCATCCGATATAAAACCTTTATCTCTTTTAGTTATAAATTCTGCAATTGATTGTCTAATATATGGAGCACCTTGTGATTGAGAATATGCACCAACAGAACCGATATGATGTAACAATATTTTAGCTCTTTCTCTTACATCCTTAGGAAATATCTCTTTTTGATTTAACAATTCTGGATATTGTAATATGGATAATACTTGTCTATACCACGTTAAAGGTTGTTGATCCAATTGTTGAGGATTACCTATATTTGCATTTACAATTTTTTGAAACGGCAAACCATGACTTGAAGGGTCATGTTTTATTAATTCATTCAAACCATCGGCTATAATTGGTATTTTACCTCGAACGGCATATTTAGCTTCGACCGTAGATGGATTTATATCACGAATTGTTAATTGTTCAGCAGGATTGAACGATGAATATAGTCTTAAAAGTACTTTAGCATGCGTTGAATGTAACTTACAAACCTTATTTGACAACATTACTGTATGAACTTTCTTTAAATGGAATATCTATAAATCTGAAATTCTGATTCTTATATGTTGACTCACTAAAAAATCTAAACCACTAAAAAATCTAAACTATTTTTTTTTTTTAACCAAATATATTCCTTACTTGAATTATGGGGTAGTAATGACCAGTAGATACTAATAATAACGATTTTAACATTAGCAGATGTTTACTATAGTTGATCTAAATTAAAGATACCGAGGATTCTGATCTTATTTAATTGTTTCTGGTATAATGGTATTGTTCAATACCAAATCAAAAGTGTTAAATTTATTAAATACAGTTGACGCAAATCAATTACCGAATAATATGCTTAGAGATTGTAATTTAATTCTTATCGAAATAGCTGGTGTAAATTTGGGCCTTGTAGATAATGTCATATAAAAAATGCCTTACGAATTAGTCGCCAAAACGTAAAATAATTTCTTATCGGAGGTATACGTCCGGTGACGCGGTAGAATTGTTGTTCAGAGTCAAACATTCTTGACTTAGTTCACCATTCGACGGTTGATAGATGATTCTTGATGTTATATGCTTCTTGTTCAAACAATATGTTGATTGAATAAAGTCACATAGTACAAGTCAAGTGTTACTTTCAGGAAAGCTTAATGCTTTCCAATCATGTAGTATGTTGCATGTTTCAGAAATTTTTGAAAATTTTCGTTAAATTTTGAAAACTTTGGAGCGAATTCTAAGAATGCACATGAATAATCTGTCAATTCTCTGTTCTTCTTTTTAATCTTTGATTAGATTATGTATCTGCATATTTTCTATAAAAAAATGCCCATATTCTATTCACGAGTATGGTTTGAAAGTTCAATTAATGATAAGAAAATTGGGACACATGCATTCAAATAAGAAGAATCTTAAGATTCATATACTTATCGTGCTCATAAAGTTTAATCAACTATGCTTTTCTCCTCAAATTAATGCTGGTCTTACATTTTGTTTCAATTTCCAGCCAAAAATGATTTAGATAGCGTCACGGGCTGTATAGATCATCATTGCCATATAGATCTAATTAGTGCTGAGGTAAGAGGTAAGAATATTTTATATAGATCTAATTAGTGCTGAGTAAGAGATAAGAATATTTTATATTGAAACACTTATTTATTAAGAGTTCATAACCGCTCACGTGACTATTACTCAGATATTAGTATTAAAAGAGTTTTCACCAGTAAATTCTCATTCGTTACCCCTTAACATATTTTTACCCCTTAAAAAATATGCAATTCAGGAAGTACTCTTTTTTTTTTTTAGGAGATCAATGACTACTTATTTAAATAAAGGGAAAAAATATTAGGTAGTTCGAATCTTAAACAACGCAAATATCAATGGTGGTTACATGGTTTATTTACCAACCCAAATCACTAATCAGGACAAGTATACAAACTTAAAAACTCAACTAAATAGTTAAAGTGTACTCAAACGTATAATAAATTAATTCAAAATCTAGATCGCAAGACTATACCAATTAAGTTGTTTAATTAATCTCAAGACTTTTAAAATTTCGAAATCTAAATTTAACATCCTGCATATAATATCTAAATTTAAATACCTTTGGGTTTAGTAATTTTGTATATATTTGATCCACAGTGATTTGCATTGATACGTATATTAAAAGTTTAATTTAATGTTGGGGTAAAACTAAACAAAATCCATATTCTGCCTTATCATTCAAAATTAATATAACCAGACATTTCAATCTGTATAATGCACCACTGCCTAAATTTAGTCAAAACTAAACGAAAGAACCTAGATTCTATAAAAAAAGAAAAGATTGATGTAGGATTAACTAAATTTGCAGCCAAAATAAATAAATAAATAAAATAATATATATATATATATATATAAACATATTGATATATATTTTTTCGATAATAATAGCAAATAATAATTTTACAACACTGTTGTTTTTAACTTTTCAAACATACTAAACTCCGTACTATAACCCCCTCTTTTAGATGGATAAGAAGAAGAAACCTTGAAGTTGATTTTGTAGGGCGTATAAAATGAAATTCATGTTTTACTTATTGCGTTAAATTTATTGTGAGACGAAAAAAGCCCATGACAAAAACCAACCATTATTATTAATATTATTATTATTATTATTAACATTATTATTATTATTATTATTATTACTAATATTATTATTAGAACTATAACTCCACGAATTTGTTGACGTAAATCGTAAATGATGTCGAATAATGTATAAATGAAAATATATACCGTGATTTAATAGATAATAGGGTATAAAATATATGAAAATTACCCCTTAAAATTACTTCGGAACTTAATTTTTTATCTTTTATTTTTTACTCCATAAAATCACACAAAATTCGTGCTGCGGTATAAAAATCATACCATATAACCAAACGCTAAACGACTAAAAAAAAAAAACAAAAAACAAAACAATAAATAGATCATAGAACATCAACTTACAGATTTTTATTTATATATATATTAATCATATATATATATATATATATATTAATTTTATATATACACTGTTGTCAACAGATTTCATTCGAATCATTAATTTTTCAAACAAAACAGCGACTTATAGTTATTTCATTTTGCTTTATTTAATCATAAGGAGAAGATTAAAAGGAAATTTGAAATCAGTATTCTTCACATATTTAGCCGCTTGATTTGCTTCATATATAAAATTTTTCGCAACTTTGCTCTTCTCGAATAGTCATATATCGTTTAGATCAGTATAACAAACTAATTTTTATTTATATAAATATCCAGACCAAGTAATAAAAGTTTTTGATCAACGAGAGGGTTTTTTTTTTTTTTAATTAATTTATTCCTCATATGTCTTTTATTCAAATTAATAAACAACGAGATAGAGGTCAATATCAACAAGATCAAAAGTTACAAGAGTTACAAGAGTTACAAGAATCACAACAACAACAACTAGAACTGTCAAGTGCCACAACTCATCACCGAAAATGTTCATTAGCGATTGAATCTCCAACAGAAGAAAATTTTAATAATCCATTAAATGCGTTTTTAATATATAATAATAAACAAGAAGCTCAAATTTCAGAGTCAGATCCAAATTTTGAGAAAGCAACCAGTTTTATAAATAATAATGATAGTAATGATAATGAAATTAACGATGTTGAGACTAATGAGAAAAAAATAAAATCAAATTCAATGCCTAATATTCATAATTTTTTTGACAATAATAATAATAATAATAATAATAATAATAATAATAATAATAATAATAATAATTATAATTATAATTATCACCAATTTGGAGATCGTCGAATATCAATTTGTGATTTAGATAATTTTAATGATGAGATCAAATATGTTAAGCAAGGTCAGCAATATCATTTACCAATGAAAAAATTCAAATCAAGTAATGATTTACCAAGAAATGCAAGAAGAGATTTTTTGAAATTTGACGAATTTAATTTCAAGAATCATCATAGAAGAAATTCAATAGCTTTGAAATTTGAAGAACCAAAATGTATGTAATTTTAATGTTTAATGTATAAAGGAAGTGGAAGTTAGGGTAATAATATTATATTCTCTGAGTTTCAAGCGAACCAGAATGTATGTAATTTTAATGTTTATTGTATAAAGGAAGTGGAAGTTAGGGTAATAATATTAAATTCTCTGAGTTTCAAGCAAATCGTGAATTTAATTAATTCTTCAGTTCTTAACGTTGTATTATAAATGTAATTATTCTCGTATTGTATTATGTCCTATTTAATATATACAGTATAATTTAATGCATAGTGATTGTTTCATATGTAAATGCAAATCATTTTCATCATTTTCATCATTTTCATCATTTTCATTATTTTCATCATGTTCATTTTCATCATTTTCATCATTTTCATCGTTTCTCTTAGTCTATGAATTGTACTCTTCCTTCCTAATCAGTTCCAAAGTATAAACTATCAATAAATCTATTTCTAAACGGCCAGGAAGTATCCAAAATTTCCTCTTCATTATACCATAATTTATCATTTGGTTTTTCCATACTTGATAATTTCCCAATTACAATTTTAACATTTGGAAAAACATGTAAGATTCTTCTTATTGAAATTTCAGTAGATAAATAAGTAATAATAATGATATTTTCTTCTTTTATATTATGATCAATTAGTACTTGAATAGCCATAATTGCACCAGCACCAGAAATAAATTGAGAATCAAAAAGCATAACCGTATCATTTGTTCCTAAATTTTTGGGCAAACTTTCAAAATGTAATTGTGGTTCACCAGTTCTGGAATCAGATTGAATTAATAATTTACCTATAATTATATCAGGAAATGTCTTTTTCAAACTCGTGTTAAAGCAATCACCACTTCGAATTATATTAACAGCAATTGAAACTTGCTTTAACTCCACCCCAGAATGTGAATTACACCTAACACAATCAATTCGTTTATTAAATACGTTTGTAAAAAAATTTTGGCTTGCAAATTCAATTAATAACCTACTTATCCTATTGAAATAGAATATAAAATCATCTCGATTTGTTTTCTTATCAAATAGTATTGAATTAATGACCCTTGTTTGATTTGTAACTGGTAATATCTTGACATTTGAATAATTTTCAATCTTGAAATTCTTAATCGAATTACCTAATTGTTTTAAATTTATTAAATGATTCCTGGATTTACTCAACAATTGATTTTTTATATGCTTAATCATCAAATTTATCGCTATTGTATTATCTAAACCTCGAGGAATGATTAAATCGGCATTATGTAAAGTTGGATTGAGAAACTTTACTGCATTAGGTTTAACGAAATTTTCCCATTGTTTTATAGCTCCTTTTAAATCTCTTCCACGATATAATATATCTCTAGTCAATCTTCTAGCTAAACATACATCCAAATCAGTATCAACGTAAATTTTCAAATCCATCATTGCTAGTAATCTAGGATCATATAACGCATATAATCCTTCTATTATAATCACATTTGCTCCATATATAGTATTTATCTTATTTGTTCGATTATGAGAAGTGAATGAATAAACTGGGATATTCACTTTTTGACCTCTTTTTAAATCTTCAACCACAGACACTAATAAATCAAAATCTAAAGAATCAGGACAATCAAAATCAAAATCATTATTAAATGCACGAGCAGACTCACTTGGATTTAAAGATTTATAAAAATTATCAAAACTTAAAAGAACAGTCCACGGTTGATTTATATTTTGGACTATTTGTTGTGATATTGATGTTTTCCCACTTCCCGAGTTTCCAGCAATTCCAATTATATAAGGTTCAGTCCAAGGAGGAATATAATTTGATTTTGATTTGGATAATGATTCATCTTCACTAATTGCAGATTGTGTGATTCCAGTTTCGATTTCCACTGTTGCATCATCAATTGGATGTGGGAGAGTATCCATTGATAAACTTATGAATGATGAATTTTCACTTTGACTAATTCTACTCAGTGTCCTTGGTTTTAATTTTGATGTTGACATAATGTAACTAAATTTAAACTTTTAAGGGGATTTTTTATATAATAAATTTTTGACTTAAATTTGCGAAGATCATCAAAATTTAAGGAGTTGTCAAAAAAAAAAAAACATGAATGGTGAAAATAATGATAATGTACAAACTGGAAGAGGTGTAAGACGAAAAAGATATCAAGAAGATGTGGATGATCAAGTTATAGGACCAAATTTGAAAGAGTCAAAAGTGGAAAATGATGGAGAAGATAAAAACATATTGATTGAAAATCAAGACAACCAATATGCAAATGAGGACAAACAGGAGGAAAGTCTGTCTAAGAATAGTGTTGAATTATCAAAATCAAGTTATAAAGAACAACAATCATCTAAAAATAAGTCCAATTATCAACCGAAAGCAGATTCAAATTATCAAGCCCGTGGCACTAAGAAACAATATCAAAATTCAAATTACAAACAACGTTTAATTTCCCAAATTGAACATCTTGAAAGTAAGGATTATTTAACAATATCAGATCAATCGAAATTGAATCATTTACAAAATAAACTCCATAATTTACAAACAAAAAATAGTGAATATAACTTACCTACAGATTCAAACATAGATAAGCAGGACCTCCTCAAGAATGATAAAAGAGAAGGTTATAAATCAGTAAATTGGGAAACAGAACAATTTGAAAAGGCAAAACAATTAACATTACAAAATGATGATAAAATATTACCTGATAATAATGAATATGATTTTGTATTTGATGAATCTAATTATGTGAATTATGAACAAGATGAAGAATTAAAAGGTAATGATCAAGAAGAAAATGAGCCTCAAAATTCAAAAGAAGTGCTCGAAATTGAAGAAGTTAAAAAATCTTTACCGGTTTATAAATACAAAGATGAATTTTTAAAAGTTGTCAAAGAAAATCAAGTACTTATTGTTGTTGGTGAAACTGGTTCTGGTAAAACTACGCAATTACCTCAATATCTTTACGAAGCTGGTTATTCTCAAAATGGAAAATTTATTATTGGATGTACTCAACCTAGAAGAGTAGCAGCCACTAGTGTTGCAAGTAGAGTTGCTCAAGAATTACAAGTCAAATTAGGAAATGAAATAGGTTATTCAATCAGATTTGATGATAAATCAAGTTCCAAAACTTTAATAAAATATTTAACTGATGGTATGCTATTGAGAGAATTTTTAAATGATTCAAAATTATCAAATTATAGTTGTATCATGATTGATGAAGCACATGAAAGGACAATATCCACCGAGATTTTATTAAGTTTATTGAAAGATATCACTAATATTAGATCAGATTTAAAAATTATCATTGCATCAGCTACTATTAATGCTAAAAAATTTTCCGATTTTTTTGGAAATGCTCCAATTTTAAATATACCAGGTAGACGATTCCCGGTAAAGATACATTATACAAAACAACCAGAAGCTAATTATTTACAAGCTTGCTTGACTACAATTTTTCAAATTCATTTAACACAAGAATTACCTGGAGATATATTAGTTTTTTTAACTGGTCAAGAAGAGATTGAACAATTACAAGAAATGCTAAATGATGCAATAGACAAATTGAAGTCACAATTGCAGAATGGATTATATGTATGCCTGATTTATGCAAATTTACCACCAGATTTACAACAAAAAATATTTGAACCAACACCACCAAAGACCAGAAAAATAGTATTAGCTACAAATATTGCTGAAACTTCTATAACTATACCTGGTATTAGTTTTGTAATTGATCCAGGTTATGTAAAACAAAATGTATTTAATTCAACTAATAATATGGAATCTTTAGTTGTAGTACCTTGTTCAAAAGCAAATTGTGATCAAAGAGCAGGTAGAGCAGGTCGTATTGGACCTGGAAAATGTTTTCGATTATTTACTAAACAATCATTTGATTCAGAATTTGAAATGAATCAACAACCAGAAATACAAAGAACTAACTTAGTTACAATAATTTTATTATTATTAAGTCTAGGTATTAATGATTTGATAAATTTTGAATTCTTAGATCCACCGAATAAGGAAAATATAATCAAGACTTTAAATTTATTATATTCATTAGGTGCATTAAATTCACAAGGTAAATTGACGAAAACTGGGAGAAAAATGAGTGAATTTCCAATCAATCCAATAATGACAAAATGTATATTGACTAGTGAGAGATTTAACTGTGTTAATGAGATATTAACCCTAATTTCAATGTTGGGAGAGCTGAGTAATTTATTCTTTATACCCAAAAATCAAAAAGAATTGTTTGAAAAAAGAATAACTGAATTTAAATCACAACCGGTTGAGTTAGGTGATTTTTTCATATTATTGAATATCTATAAATCATGGAGATCTAATGGATATTCAAAACAATGGTGTCAAGATTATTTCATACAATATAAAACAATGAGAAGAGTAAAAAATGTATATGAACAATTGTACAAACTAACTAAAAAGATAGGAATATCCTTCGAAGAAGAAGCAACAGAAATACACCCTGAGATGATAATCAAATGTTTACTTAGTGGGTTCTTCAATAACATTGTGAAATTAAATTCGAACGGTCAACATTATATAAAAATGAAAAATGGTGGTGATAATTCAGGAATACCATTATATCTACACCCATCATCTTCCTTATATAAAAAGAGACCTAGACCGAAATATTTAATGTATTATGAATTGACATTAACAAGTAAAGAATATATGAGAAATTGTATAATATTAGATGACAAATTAATTAAACAATATTTGAAACAAGAATAGAGATAGATAGAAAGCAGCTAAATGACCTAATGAAAATATATAAAACAAGAATAGAGATAGATAGAAAGCAGCTTAATGACCTAATGAAAATATATAAAATAAGAGTAGAGATAGAAAGCAGCTTAATGACCTAATGAAAATATATAAAACAAGAATAGAGATAGAAAGCAGCTTAATGACCTAATGAAAATATATAAAACGAGAGTAGAGATAGAAAGCAGCTTAATCACCTAATGAAAATATATAAAACAAGAATAGAGATAGAAAGCAGCTTAATGACCTAATGAAAATATATAAAACGAGAGTAGAGATAGAAAGCAGCTTAATCACCTAATGAAAATATATAAAACAAGAATAGAGATAGAAAGCAGCTTAATCACCTAATGAAAATATATAAAACAAGACCTAATGAAAATATATAAAACTATAATTATACTCAATTTGGTAAAAAGATAGAAGATCGATTCATTATTGTGTAACTTTATACATTTCTTAAATACGTTGATTTATTGTTTACTATTCGAGCAAATTGTAAACAATTGTAAACAATACGCGAAAGAAAATAAAAAAAAAAAAAAAAAAAGAAAAAAATTATTTTGATGCCACAAAATTGAAATATTTGGTCTCGAATTACAATAAAGATGGAATGTTGTAAGAAATTAACGGTTAATATTAATATAATTTTACTACCGATTATGGAATTATGAATATTGACACATAAGTGAATTGTAAAGATTAACGTTGTCTTAATCTATTTATAGTCTCATTTTTAAAGTTTTTACTATTGTGATCATCAAATTAGTGTTTCAAATGAGAATGCTTGGAAATAAGGTACGACAAACTTTAAGCTGAGAGGTATAAATGAGAAGTAGCTAGTATATTTGTATAGTATATTTGTATATAGTTAATTAAAATCTCGATCAGTATTCGGAATATGAATGAAATCATTGATCTTCAATTTATGTATGTTTTATATAATGCGATTCTAGCCTTACAATTATTTAAAGTTTCACGCCAAAGTAAAAATTTTAATACGAAAAAAAATATTTTTTCGCGCGCGACATTCTTGATAAAAAAAGAAAAAAAATTTCTTAGTATTTTACTTTTTACTCCCTTTTAAATTTATACAAAAACTTTTATTATCATCAAAGCTTTTTATAATTGATACCTTCCTTTACCATTTATCATTTTATATTATACCCCTGTTTTCAGTTCATTATCATAAACAAGTTTATATTGTAACTTATATTTTGACTTACGATCTATCCATAACTAATTAGAAACAAGGTGGATCATTAAGTTTTATCAATTTACAACCAAGGGTCAAATCTATATTTTATAGTTAATATCTATAATATCAATAATAAGATCTTAGTTTACTTTATTTTATATTGATTTATTATACTAATTACGTTTTATTTTAACTATCCAACTTAGTTATATATTTCATCAATTTTAGCCATTCGTTCAGATCGTGAATCATTATTTGATATCTTTTTAAAAGTTTAGAGTCATTTAAAAGCATTTGTATTGTATTATTATTCATTAATTACCAACATAAAAAAGTTTTTCATATCCATTTTCATTCAAAAAATTTAATACTATCTATGGTTCAAACATTTACATTTAAACGACCTTCAAATTTAGTTTTATTATCATTTTTTATAAATACAATATTAGCAACTGATTATTTTGCTCCTGGTAAATTAGTTGGTTGTTATTCGTCCATTTCTGGTGGTTCTTCACAAGGTGATTATCAGTGGCAATCTTCCGGATATTGTTTAAATCAATGTGGTAATAGTGCTTATATTGCCGTCAAAGGTGAAGAATGTATATGTTTAAATTCATTACCTTCTAATCAAGTTTCATCATCAAACTGTGACACACCATGTACAGGTTATGATAAAGAAAATTGCGGTGGTGATAATAGTTATTCAATTTTCGAACAAATGAATGCCGCAGGAAATTCAAATTCAAATTCATATTCAAATTCAAATAATGCATCACCTTCATCTTCATCAAATAATAATGGTGCAAGTAGCTCAAGTAATTCTAATCCTAGTAATTATGCTTCAACATATAGATCATCATCAACAAACAACCCACAACCTACTTCATCATCAGATGAAAGTGAAACTTCATCCAATGGATCAGCTTATATATCAAACTCACCATCATCAACTGAAGAAACTGATCAACCAAGAAGTACTCAAATTGTCGTTTCAACTATATCTCAAGATAATGGATCAGTTATTTACTCAACTATAACTCAAAGTCCATCAGAAACATCAGAAACTAATCAAGCAACATCAACAACATCCGATTCATCAGCAACAAATACTTCAAATTCAGAAAACAACGACAATAATAATAATCAAAATAAATCTTCCACTGGAGCAATAGTTGGAGGAGTTGTAGGTGGAGTTGTTGGAGCAGTTGCTATAGCTGGTGGTATTTTCTTCTTTTTAAGATGGAGAAGAAATAATGATGATGATTATGATGATGAAGAAGAATTCTATGATGATAAATATTCCCATAATGGAAGTGGAAGTGGTGGATTTATTTCAAGAACAAATAATTCAACAAAAGATTCAAGAAAAACAAATAAACTATCATCGAATCATAAGAATCCATTAGAAATGCCAATGACAAATCCATTTGTTGATCCAACTGATGATAATTCATCAAGTATAAGTATAAATGATTTTAATAATAATAATCCATCAAATATAGCGAGAGCTAAAACAATGAATCATAATAATCAATTTGTTGATCCAAGAGTAAATCCAATAATGATGGGTAGAAGAAGATTAAGTGAAGGGTCGTTAATTGATGAAACTGATTATTCAAGAAAGGTTTTACAAGTTACTAATCCAGATAGGCTATAGGGGTTAAATTCTAGATCGATACCATATTTTTATTTTTAGTTCTAAGAGAAATTAATCAAGAATATTGTGTTTTTTTGATTTTTGATTATGTTTTTACGAATACTATGACAGTTAATTATGAACAGTTGATTATATATTTATGCTAATATAATATACATTGTTAGTTTTAGGTAAAAAAAGCAAAATGAAATATAATCTGTTTATTTTTTTCGGACTTAAAATTGGATACACAATTGGTAGCATAAATTATTTATTATGTAAACAAAATTATATAATTTCTTGTCTTCAAATAAATTCACACATAAATTTGAATTTCTAAATTAAATCATCCATTTTCTCCATTCATCGTTTATTTCATTTATTCAGTGATTTATTCGTTCTTTTATATTCATAGACTCATAATCATATTGCATCATGACAAATTATCATAGAGTATGTTTTATCGCTTTTTTAGGGGCTGCGCCATTAACGGCAATATTGGAATAAATATACTAACTAATATTCCAGATAAGTACGGATGATGAAGGTAATAATATAAATAATACGGTAATAGAGAATTCAAATAATGAAGATGATATGGAAGAACCAATACTAGGTTCTTCAGCAGATTTATCAAATAATACCAACACCGATTCAAATCTAGATTTAGAAAATCAAGGTGATACAACTTATCCATCACGATTATCATCAAAGCAAAGAATAGTTCGTTTTTTGCACCACTTTGTACCCATTAAACAAACATATGAAAGATTAAATAATGGTTTAAACACTGGTAGATTACAAACTAATTTACCTGGTAGATTTATTGGACAAGGTACTGATGGTGTTTTTAGAAATTTAATGGCTAAACCTGATACTGAATCAAATAGAAATAGACAAGAACAAGAATTACATCCACCAACTTATGAAGAAGCAGCTGCTGATTCATCGCCTGAATATTGGGAATCAACAATGATTTCACCAATGTATGAAGATGAAGTATTTGTACAAGGTTTACCAGTAGGGAATATTGCAAATTTTGTATGGAATGCTTTAGTTACTGTTGCTTTTCAATTTGTGGGTTTCATATTATGTTATTTACTACACACTTCTCATGCTTCAAAACAAGGTTCAAGAACTGGGTTGGGAATAAATTTAATTTTATATGGTTGGAATTTAATACCTTCAAATTTTGGAAGTTCAAATCAATTACCAAAGAAAATTATACCCAATGATCCAAATGAATTTGATATAATAAATAAAAATTCAAAAATTGATGGAATACTAGATAATTATAAATCAAGTATACTGTTGATAAATGAGAATAATAATAATTATGAGAATAAAAATTGGATTGATAGTTCAAGTAATATACCTTATGTTGCTTATGGATTAATATCTTTTGGTTTATTTATAATTTTAAAGGCTGTTGTTGATTATTATAAAGTTAAACAATTGGAAAAAGTCATTTTAAATCCAAATACAAATATAGTAGTGGAACAACCGCAACAATCTCAATCGCAAGAACAAAATCAAGAACAACAACAACAGCCAAATACTGACTAATGCATAAGTTTGAATTACCTTAGAGTTTAATTTATTTATGATTTTATAGAATTAACTATTTATTAATTTAATAATACCAACATTTTTTCATAAATGGTAAATACAATACCACCACTTAATACTAATCTACCTAATCTTGGTGTAGCACCTTTCCAAAATGTCAATAAACCTTCATTTTTAAAAATGGTAATAAAACAATTTAATGTAGATGAATATAATTTATTTGCACCCAATGCTTGCATTCTTGTTTTAACTGTATCTATTGGCATTGTTGTATATACAGTTATTATACCAGATAAAGAACCAATTAAAAATATAGTCACGGAATTTAATGATTGATTTGCTTTTATACCTTGAAATTGTTGAATCATTGTTTTGATCAGATTATAACTACCCAATCTAACTGCTTGATTAGCTGCTTGTCTCAAAGAAACAGGTACAACACCCGCATAAATACCTTTAAAACCCATATCTTTAATTAATTTTAAACTACCTTGAATTAAACCATTTTGATATTTAGGTTTTAAACTTTGTTTATCATCTATTAATGCAGTTTTAATAGCTTCGAATGGTGTTACTGCAATCACACTTTCTAATAAACCAGCTCCTAATCCAGCAATAACACCTCTTGGACCAGATAATTTACCTTGTGAATCACTTAAAAAATTTTTGATTGAATCAAATCCAAGAAATCGTACACTGGCTTTAACCGTATTTCCAATTACAAATGCAGGACAACCAACATATAAACTTGATATCCCTTGTGTTTTACCAATCGTATATATAAGTACCAATGGATTTTTTGATATTTTCAGTGATTTATCAATTAATTGTAATCTAGTTTTGGCAAATTCAAAAGGATATGTAATTACACCTTCAATTGCACCAGCAGTACCACCAGCAATAAAAGATTTAAATGGATCTACTTGTTTCTTCTCTTGTTAGTAATTATTTATCAATTTTGATTGAATTTACATACTTTTTCAGACATTCTATAGTATATGGGTATTCATAAATTCGCGTAGTGTCTGTCTGTTTGAAAAATTTTTGACTTTGAATCTTAAATTCTTGACTCATAAAAAATCGCCATGCGACAATTCATACGATAAGGCGAGAGAGAGAAAAATAAATTTGCAACCAATTTTTTGCAGCCAAATATTAAACTATATTTATTAAAAATCAAAGCTATTGTTTCTTTAATTTATCTTGTTCCTTAACTTGTCTTCTTATAGCTCTGAATGGTTTCAATTGTTTAAAAATCCATTGTAAAACCCATTCTAAAAACCATAATGGAGCAAATCTAGATAACCAATGTAATAAATAAGCAGAAGAACCAGCATATAAATTAAATTTTTTTGATTTTTTATTTACTTTAGAAACAACTTGTTTTGCATATTTATCAGGACTTATACCATGACTATGACACATGTTTTTAGCTTCCATGAAACTATCTAAGGAACCGTCAACAAAATATCTTGAACTTTTTAATTCAGCCAACGTATCTTCAACGTTTTGAATATCGGTTAAATTTGTATTTACCCCACCAGTAATCACACTATGAACTTTAACTCCAAATGGTTCTAATTCTGAATGCAATGTACATGCATAAGCATCTATTGCTGCCTTTGTTGCTGAATATCCACTTGCCCAACTCAATGGAGTTCTAGCAGCTACTGAGCTTGTATAAATTATTGAACCTTTAGCATTTATAACAAATGGTGCTAATGCTCTTGTAACATTAATATGACCAATTACATTAACTTGAAATAACAAATTCGTTTGTTCTGGTGTATGGTCAATTGCGGCATTGCCGATCGCAATTCCAGCATTGTTATAAAGAACGTCTAAGTATCCACCAGTTTCTCTTTCAACTACTGATGCTAAATTATCAATATCTAGAAGATTGGTAATATCACAAGGAATTGAAATGATTTCGAATTCTTCTTCTAATGGTTTTTGTAAATGGATTACAGATTGTGGAGCAGCACCAATTACCTTATAACCCTTTCTTGAAAACTCTTTTGCTAATGCATACCCAATTCCTGAAGATGAACCGGAAATTAAAGCATACTGCTGTCTTTGTTTGACCATATTAAAGATAAAAAAGCCAAGTACTTAAGTTTCAGTAGATGTTGATAAAAATTTTCTCCTCAAAGTTATATAGTTGTTCTACAACTGTATTATGAAAAAGTTAGAAAAGATCCGGTACAATCAAAGTTCTTATATATTAAAGAATGTTTTGGTGTGTGAAAATTAAGCTATAAAATGTGGAGAGAACTAAAAAAAATTGGACTAAAAATCGGTACTAACAAACAATTAGATTCATTTATCAGACCTAATCTCAGCTACCGACATCCGCCTCTTCATACATATTCTTGTAATATTCCAAAATCGCTTTATATTGCTCACAAACCCACTCATCAGTATTTTGAAATGGTTCATCGTCAGTATCTTCATCCTTTTTCAATTTTTGGAACATCTTCTTCCTCCGCAACAAATCTAATTTCATCCTCACGAAAATGTGGACGTAGTGGAGCACTGGTTAATAAGTGTCTTTCATGTCCGTTTACTAAATAATCTCCTACTAAAAATCTATACTTTTCTGAATCTTCTTTTTTATCGATTTGAATCATGTACTATTTATCGTCAACTTTTTCATAAGTTGAATTGTATTGAATTTTCATCAGTTCACCAACTGCTTCGACTGGTGAACCATTTGAATACATTGAGTTTCCAGCTCCTGGACCTTTAATAATCATATACGGATAAGTCACTGCTTCATCCAATTCACTACATTCTAATTTTGCCCATTTACCTTTCTTACAATAAACAGTGGACGACAGAAAACATTTGCAAAATTTTCAAAACAAATATGGCGTCTTAAAATCATTAAAGCTACGATATTTGAAGTTGATGAACCAATTCAGCTAATTTAAAAGTTGCAAAACGAGGTCTAGGGTATGATTATTTTGCAATTTAACGTTTTTTTCGATTTTTTAAATGCTGAATAAAGTTATCAAAATTGAGTTTTTTGAAAACAAATCAAAACCAAAGTACTGAAAAAAAACAATTGGAATACTTACGAAAAAAGTTTGAGAGCAAGAGAACTTAGACTGCGGGACTGACATATTTATGATTTAACTTTTGAGATTAACCATTACAAGACTGCATACAAGTCATTTTGTTTTTAGATTTGATATTTTTGTATATAATTCTTGCCCAATTTGGTGCCAGCTTAAAATGTTTCACGCGCTATTTTTAGAGAGACTCGTACTAAATGTATTGACTGATAACTCAGGAAAAACGTACTTTCTCAAGATAAATACCATTTGAAAAAAATTCACAGTATTGAATAGTCTACTTAACATACGTTAAGACTCAAATTTAAAACATTTTTTTTTTGGAGTTGTCATTTTGACACTTTTTCATCGTACAAAAAATTTTGCGGAGAATGAAATCACAAAACATGGTTTGTTTAGGGCCATAATCTTCATAAAACTATGATTTTCATATGATAGATTTCGACTGACGTGGTTTAAATTGATTTCAATTAAAATTGAAAAATTTCGAGATTTTCTCTTATGTATAGCCCAAATCTAATAAAAGGACCTTACAAAAAAGCTAACACCACATTGGATATTCAAACCACAGCATGACATAATAAAGTGATTTTGTAATCCTCACACGTTAATGTATTTAAAATTGGAAAAGTAATTTTTCAGAGGTGTTTCGAAATTTTTGCACAATTTTCAAACTGATTTTATCACCTTGAAAACATTATACGTTTACTCGTTGAGATTGAACAAACCGAATCTGCTATATTGGATGCTAATAAGTGATGTCTAAGTGTTAATATTTCGCAAAATATCGTTTTTTGCCATTTTTAAATGACGAATCAAGTCACCAAACTTGTGTTTTTCCAATGAATACTAACATCGATTATTCTAAATGAGCTAAGTGTCATCCTGAAACTGGTTTGAGAAAGAGAATTTGTTTATCGACAGAGTTATTTATAATTCAAATTTCAAGTTTAGCTATGTTAGGAATGCATCGAAGCAAATTTGTTTTAGAACTATTCGAGAAAATATGTATTTTCGGGGCGACAATTTGGTGCTGCATATTTATTACTCCGCGCTTTTCCTAGGGCCACTCGTACTAAACTCATTGGCTTATGTAACAAAAACAACACATGCTGCATATAGGGCGTTTCAGAATTTAAGTTTTCATCTGGAACTCCCAAATTTTTAAGAAGTTTCAAAATACTACGTCTATTTTAATCTAGTATGAATTTATTAATATTACACATTTATACAGGTAATTTTATCGATACACTGAATGTACCTTCCAATGGATCATGATCATAAAATACTCTATTATTATTAATCGGTTCTGGTGTCGGTGGTTTATAATCGGGATTTTTAATTTGTGTTCTATTTATAAACACTTCATTATATTCATAAATTTCAGGCACACCCAAATCAACACCACCTGGTAATATCGATGATGGTGCTGGAGTCCTAAAAGTTTTCGGTATATCTGATAAATCAGGAATTGTATTACCACGGCCAACATGAGCTGCAATCCTTCTCGAAGTAAAAGATCTACCAGTACCTCCTCCACTTGATGAATTTATAGAACCACTATTTCCTGCCAGAAGTTGATCTTCATTATAATTATGTCTTCTTTTTCTTCTACTTTCCCTTTCCATTTCTTTATCTAATCTTTCAACTTCCAACTGAGTCAATTTAATCAATTGTGGTGAATACTCCGGTACGCTTGAAGGATTGCGTAAAATTGAAAAAAAATCATCAACAACTTGATAATCTTTTGATGCTAATCTCAATGAAGGTAGAATTCTATTCCTAATTTCATCTTCTTGTATTGGTGATCCGTCAAAATTATATCCGACTATATTCAAAGCTTTATAATACATTTGTGATTGTTCTCTAATACTATGTGCAATTGCTGTTGAAAATTCACCTGGTAAATATAATTCATCACACATTGATCTTGCAAATTCTTCAGGATCATTTTCTTGACTATTTAGAATATCCCATTCAAACTGATCAGTCAATTGACTATTATTTATAGTTATATCAATCTTGATAGGTATACGTAATTCACCAAGCGTTTTAGTCGGTTTTTGTTGATAATCGGATATTTGTTCTTTTATAGTCTGTAATATAGTTTCGTAATGCATTCTAGGTATAAATTTATAATCATCCATTAATTGTTTGGTGAACTCTTCAACATTTATAATTTCTTCATTCAAATCCCATAAAAAAGTATCTCTTAATTTAAATTGATCTCTCTCTTGATCAAATTCAAGTCTTATTGGAATTAAATTCTTTGGTTTTGAATCATTTCTTTTAACAGCTTCATTGATCATTCTATCAGTATGACCCCTTTCTGGTAATAATAATTTAGTCGAAGAATTCGTGATTCCATTTCCATAACCTTGATACCCTTCTCCCCAAATACTATTACTTAATTGATTCTTTTGAGACATTGCAATTGAATTCATTCTTAGCTGTTTAATTTGATTGTATGCAGCCAAATCTTTATTCATTAGCTCCAAAGTCGACTTGTTCTCTATCGCTTGTTTTGCTAACTTTTCATGAAATTTACCATCTTTCTTAATTATGTTTTCATAAATTTTTGTATCTAACGGCACTTCTTTACCTCCTTTTCTCAATTCATCCGACCATTCATGATAGCTTGTTAATTGTTTCATTGGGACTTTACTCAATAGTTCTTGTGATATTGGATTTGAATTAACTGGAGGATTTTGACTTGGTGATTGACCAGGAACTAATGGTGAAACTCCAGGTATATTATTTATAGGAGCTCCATTTGGTAAAACTCCAACTGATGTTGCTCCTGATGCTGATGCTGATGCTGATGATGAAGTGGGTGGAATAATTTGAGGACTTGCATTAATACCAGATAAAACATCACCTAGTGAAGATACTCTACTACCCGGACCTTTAAAATTTGAAACTTGTTGTTGTAATTGTAGTGGAATAGATTGTATTGCAGAATTAATACCTTGGGACGGCATTTGATTTGGTAGTTGTTGAAGGTCTGGGATTTGTTGATTAGGCAAACCTTGAGAAATTCTTTGTTGATTTAATAACATTTGTTGTTTCATTAATTGTTCTCTGGTCATTTGAGGAGGGGGGGCACCTTGTTGTGGAATACTGTTTGAAAAATTTGACTTTTGTTGTTGTTGTTGTTGTTGTTGTTGTTGTTGTTGTTGTTGTTGTTGTTGTTGTTGTTGTTGTTGTTGTTGTTGTTGTTGTTGTTGTTGTTGTTGCTGTTGATGCTGTTGTAATAATTGTTGTCTTTGCATATAAGCTCGCATCATATCAGGAAATTGTGGATGATTCTTCATAGCTTGTAATTGTTGTGGTGATAATGAAGCAAATAATTGAGGAGTTAACATGGGTAAATTGCCCATACGATTTGTAGGTTGTTGTTGATTATTAAATTGTAGTTGTTGATTTGGGTTCGGTGATTGATTGCCCATTGGTATATTTGATGAGTTTTGGTTAAAGCTCATCTTTATCTAGTTATAACTTGAAAATTTGGCTCCAAATGTTTATCTAATTTTTTTTATTCTTTAATTTGGTATACGAAAAATTGAGAAATAATACACGCACTATAAATTAGGCTGCAAAATAAATAATTATACATTTCAATTCATAAATTCAAATATTGATCCCATATTAACATAACGACGACCACATTCTGCTAAATACTTATCAATTACTTCTTGACAACTTGCAAATAAATCTTTGTTTTGTTCTGTCAATGCATCAATTTGACCTTGAGCTAATTTTGGTAAATCTTTTGCATCTTCCAATGCATCATGTATCGGTCTTAATAGTCTTTTCTTTGTCTTTTCAATATCAAAAATAGAATGGAAATATGATAATTGATTATATAAAGCTCTATCAGTGTAATTATATCTCATTACACCTTTACAATCCATTGTTTTTCCTGACAATCCAATACATCTTCTTCCATAAACTGATATTTGCCTTGTTTTAACACCACATGAAGCATCATCGCATATTAACCAGCCAGCATAATATAATGAAATATGTTTTCTAATTGAATTTTCCAATTGAGATGCCAATTTTAATAATGGAAATGTATAATCACACTTTAAACAAGTTATACCATGAAATGTAACTTTATAATCATTTGATGCTAATATACCTCCAAATCTAAAACTATGGTTACATCTACATTTCAAGACCAAATAACTTGACTGTCTAAATCTTTCAGAATCAGTTATATTGGATTCCATAGGAACTATTTCACCATTATCCATTGCATTTTTAACTCTTAACACATATTTTCTTGTATCAATACCCAAAGCATTTGCAACTCTCATCATATCAATACCTTCAATTCTTTCCAATAATCTTTCAACTGGTGCAAATATTTGTTTCTCTAAATAATATGAGTGATCAGGTTTCAAATCTGATTTCTTTGACAATAAATCTTGTATTGCTCTTGCTCTTTCTGCATAGTGTGATTGATCCTGATCATCTATAGGAGCAGTAATAACATATGTAATAACACTTCCACTTTTTATAACTTTACCTGCAGCTCTTAATCTGAAAGCTACTTGAACTTGTGGCATTGTTCTACCATTTGGATAAGATTTTGGATCTTTTGAAAGTTTGGTATTGATTTTATATTTATCGACTGAAATTTCATTTGAATTTATTTTATTTTTCATCTCTTCAAGATATTCATAAATTTCAATTAATGCTTGTTCGGGATCTAAATCTGATAAAATTTTAGTTAATACAAATGTTGAAATGTCTTTTGAAAGTTGACAATATTCTCTTCTTCTCATATCTAGACCTTTGACTTCTAATGTAGATGTTTCATTACCTGATTTATCAACTGATGCATTCATAGCTGCGTATTTCTTTTTAGCATGTAATAATAATCTTTTAAAAACATTATCAATATCAATTTCCAATAATCTATATCGTTCATTAACTTGAATTTTAAATTGATCACCAATCTTAATTGCATCTTTAAAATTATCAGCACCGGTATCAATCATAACAGAATCGGTATCACCATAAACAACTCTTAAATTAGATGATTCTGCCAATTGTCTGGTATCCATTAAAATTTCTCTACCTTTATTTGTAACTAACATGGCTAATGGTTTAGCATAAAATCTTGATTGAACATAACCTAAACAACCATACATGGAATTTGCTGTTAATTTCAAGGCTTGTTGTTTTATATCATATTGAGCTTTTTGATACGGAGTATTTTTAGGATCCTTCAATAACTTTTTAACTTCCCTACGTCTTGAAACTAATGTATTTAATAATCTTGGTAAGACACCTGGATATGAATCTTTTTCTGGAATTATTGGCATATCTTTATCTTCATCATGACTAACATTAAATCTATCTCTATCAACAGTTGTAAAACAAATATTAAATTCTTGAATAATACTTGGATATAAAGAATTGAAATCCATAACCAATACATAATTTTTATGCAATCCCTTCTCAGGTTCAAAAACTAAACCACCTTGATATTTTGGTTTTTTATTTGATGTTTGAGTTGTTGAATCCTCTTCAGTATTTTCCAATTTAGCTTGTTGCTGGTATGAAGTATTTCTATGATTTCTATCTTCTTTATCGGGTACAATATAACCATTTCTTTTGAATTCATGCAATAAAATATACTCATTTCTACCTGCTCTTGTACCACCTAAAGTATGAGACCAGGCGTTACCAGCAATATTGGTTAATTGTTTCGATAATGATAATATTTGTATTGCGAATGCAATTTCAGCAGCAATTTTAGTATTGAATTCATTTTCTTTCAATGCCATTAAAAATAAAGTAGCATCTTCAGCATATTGACCATTTTTATAATTAATTTCCATTGCATTATGTTTTTTATGACATACGACATCTAACATTTCGGGTAACTCCCATGATTGACATTTCATAGTTAATGATTGACCTAATTCATTTGCAATATCACATAATAATCTACCTTGGAAAACTTCTCTAATTAATAAACTATTATTATAACTTGAACTACCCTTATTAATCATAGATGGCCATCTTTTTCTATTTCTACGACCAAGTGCAGACCAAGTTGGAATATTTAATTCATACATTCTGTGCACTAATACATCTAATGAGATATTTTCCATTTTATGTCCAATAAAAACATCAGGATCTATTGTTTTAATCTTCGCTGCTAATGCACCAAGTAATGACTTTTCATTTGGACAAGTTCTTAAATTAAATCCTTCTTTATTTGCTTGTTGTTGTAACCCTGGGGGAAATGAGACAGTATTGACAGGTCTAACCAATGTCAAGATATCATCAGGTTTTAAAGTTTCTGGGATTGGTGCATCTTGTGATAAATTGTGATAAGTAGCTAATGAAACAGAAACAACTTCTTGTTTATCGTGGGTATTCATAACAGTCTGAACTGAAATTGAAGTTACAGTTAAATTTGGTAATGATGGAATATCATCTTCAATTACTTTGATTTGCTCAGGTTTATCTAATGAAACCTCAATTTGACAATGAGCTGTATTTGTAATTTTATCAAAATCACCACCTTTAACTTCTAACCAACATGGACCCATAATATTTCTTTGAGTAACAAAAGCTTCAAATAAATTTGTATTTGTTCCAAATATATGTCTAAAAGTTTCACCTTCAGTATCAGCAGGAAGCATTTGAGTATTTGTTTTATTATTAAATGGAACTAAAACTTTTAAATATTCGGCTTCTTTGGGTATATGAGCTAATTCAAATGCATATTTTTTAGTTTCTGCTCTTGCTTTGATTTGGTCCAAGTTATAATTGTTTGTAAAAATTGGGCTTATTTCATCTAAAACATCATTTGGTGTAATTTCTTCAGATTGATCTTCTTCACCATCTACAACCCGATATTTTCTTGGTAAAAAGTAAAATTCTCGACATAAACCATTGACTTGAACCATTCCAGATGCTAAATTACCATCTTTAGTCAAAATTTTACCAAACAATAATAAAGAATTTTCCACATCTGCATAATCAAGCCAAAAGAATTTAAATGTATTAGATTCATCAGTAACTGACTCAACCGATAATTTTTCGGTTTCCTTTTGAAATGATTTATAAGTTGGTGCAGCAGAAATTGATTGATCAGCTTTAATTGATGTGATAGTTTTATTATTACCATTCTTTTTGGCTGCTGTTGCTCTAGGTCTTTTTGAAATAATAATATCATCTTCAGAATCCTCCTCATCATTATTTATAGGTTCAATTTTTTGAAGTACAACATCATCATCTTCTTCTGGTGTTTTCTGTTTTTTTGATTTTATAGGTGATGAAACCACAGGATCAATATTTTCTTTTTGATTATCATCACTAAATAATTTGATTGGTGATGAAGGCTGTTGTTGGATAGTATCAGAATCATCAAAATCCATAGTATAATCAGATGAAGCATTGAATGTATTAAGCTTTGGTGTTGATTTTTTAGGTATACTTAAAAAATTGAATTTTGATTTCGATTTGGTAGTGTTTGAGTTATCTTTAGATTTATTAGTAGCAAATGCTCTCGGTATACTTCGTTTAGGTGCATTATCCTCAAAATCATCTAGAATATCATCTATATTTTGCTCTATTTTCTTTTCAATTTTATTTAATCCTCTACCAGGTCTGAAAAAATTATTAATTTGTGAAGTTTTAGTAATTTTTATAGGTTTTTGATTTTGATTCTTTCCTTTTCTTCGTTTATTGAATGTAGTTATTTCTTCATCTTCATCTTCATCTGAGTAATATTTTGGTCTTGACGCATTATCCCATTCATCTGCACCATTATCAACATATCCTTCACCATTATCATCTACTATAAAATCATCATTCATTAATTGATCTCTTTTTTGAGCTCTATAAGTTTCTTCATCAATTTCATCATAAATTTCATTAAAACCATTATTATTATTACCATCATCTGAATCTGAATCTATAATTCTACCACCTTGTTGTCTTGCTCTTTTCAATTTACTTAACTGCTTGAGCTTTGCAGATCTAGACATTCTATAACAAAATGAAACTTAGTGTTCTCAAAATATAATTGAATAATAAAACCAATATCAATGATAAGATTTAATTAAAAGAATAAATTCTGAAACACGTCTGGAAAAAAAAAAAAAAAAAAAAAAAGAAAAAATTAAAAAAAAGAAAACGCGTTGGCTGCAAAATAAACATGGTAGCATGTTTCACTTTAACAATATTCATACATAATTCATACAAAACTAAATATACATCTATTATGATTTTACAATTTTACAAAAATTGATTAAGTAAACTCCTTGCAATTGTACCATTTTGAACTAAACTGGTAATCAAATTACCAACTTGACCTAAAAGTTGTGGTGCTACACTTAAAACTTGTTGAATTACAATTGGTAAAGTATTTGATTGAATTAAAGCACTGATTAACTGAGGTAATGTCAAAGCACCAGAATTTATAACTTGAACCAAGAAATAAGCAGCTGGCTGTGACAATTCTGGTGTAGTTAATAAATGTTGAATTACAGAAATAGCTAATCCTGAATCTCTCAATGATACAAATAAATCATTTAATAACTCAGATTCTCTTTTATTTAGTCTGATTTGTTTATTAGGAACAAGATTAGTTCTTAAATCAATCACAGTTTCTACTTCTCTTTTTCTTAATAAATTTGATAAATTAATTCCACCTTCTTTCAATACATTAGTTGTAATGTTCAATACTCCCGGCAATACCGCAGGATCATTCAATGTCAAATTTATCACATCAACAATTATACCAGATTTATTAATTGCAGTGACTAGATCTGTCAAATTAATTAAATTCATTCTAAGAATCCAAATAGTTGTACTGATTACAACATCGAGTATAGCTTTATTTAATAAACCAAAATCAATAATAACTAATGAAATCTGACTGTCTTTAAGAGCAGTTAAAATAGTGTCTAAGATAGGGAGGTCAGATCTTTTTTGCAACGTAGTTACTGAATAATTTGATGAATGGTTTGTGAATTGAACATCTCTTTTCATAATAATTGGTGCATAAACATTTTCCGTTCCATTATTCATTGTTATATTGTCGAATCGTTTAATGCTTGATCTTTTTTTAAATTTTGCATATTTTGGTATTCCTTGTTCAGCATTATATTCTTTTAAGCCCGCGATTAAATTTTGAAGAACTTCGGTTTGATTAACTGAAAGTGTAGCAAATCCATTATTATAAGGGACAGATAACACAAATTGACTTTGGAATATCAATAATAGGTAGACAAGGATGTTCATGATTGAAAGCTAAATTTCTGAAAATTAATTACTGTAGATAATTTAAGGCTTTTTATATTTATCTGATGTTTTTATGTTTCGAGGAAGCTACAACACACTTTACGTACAAACATACTAACTACTATAAAAACTGAAAGACCATTCAACATGAATCAACATTTATGCAATCTAAACTTTCCTTTTTGCAGCCATTTCATAATAAAATTTAAACAGTGCGAATCTGCGAATATTTGTGGAGACAGTTTTTTTTTCAAACGAGCAAAAACAAAAACATAGCTTTATTTATCAATTCTCAGGTTCAAATCATTTATTCATTTAATTATCAACGAAATATCTTTCATTAATGTCATTTGCTAATATAGATTTAGAAGCTCAAAAACAACCACTACTTAAAAGTTCTCAAGCATCGGCCTCATCCAGTTATATCGAAAATAATGAATTAGATATCATCATTAATAAAACCCTACATCAATTACAATCATTTGGACAATTGATAACTCAATTTGATAATCAACGTAAACAAATTGGAAGTAGACGAGATTGTCAACAATTGCGAAATAATATAGATGAATTGACTGACAAAATTACAGATATGAGTAAAGCTATTCAAGTTTTAATTTTAAATTTAAGTTCATTAATTAACAAACATTCAAATAAAAAAGATTCAGCTATTCAGGTCTCAAATCGACAAATTGTTATTAAAGAAAGATTAGTCAGTGAATTTGATGAATTGGATAAAAAATTTAAGAAATTAATCAAACAATACCATGAAAAGAAGATATCTACTCCGATACCGACTGATCATAAAACTGAAGATAGAAAAGAACAACAAGGTGACAATGTGGAAAATCAACAAACTCAAGAACAATTACAAATGGATGCAGAAACTATAAATCAAACCGAATTACAGTATCAGTTATTGTTAACTGAGGAACGAAATAGAGAAATTGAACAAGTAACAGAAGGTATACAAGAAATTAATACCATTTTCAAAGATCTAGGACAATTGGTAAATCAACAAGGTGAGCAACTCAATACCATAGAGGATAACATACTACAATTACATGGTAATACAAAACAAGCAGATAGAGAATTACACAAGGCAAATGAATATCAGAAAAAGAAAGGCAAATGGTCATGTATTTTATTGGTTGCACTTTCAATATTCTTATTGATTATAATATTAATAGCAGTTAGTTAATAGTTTATCCATAATATATATTTCCCCAATTTACTTATAAATCCCTTTCATATCCATTCTAATCTAAACTTTGAGTTTCAAGTTTTTCATCATTATGATAAGTACGTCTATTTTTTAAATTTGCTTCTTTTTCATCATCATCTGAATCCATATAATCATCAGTTTCAATTTCTGAAAAATCACTAGCTTCTGGTGTGCTTATACCTTCATAATCACTTTCACCATTTAAATTTGATTTATGCGAATCTTCTTCATATTGTTTAAAATGATCATCTTCATAAGCATCTGCAAATTGCGCTTGTTGATTCTTTTGTTTAGCTTCTTCTAATTTATTTCTACAAAATTCAGCACCTTTTGTAAATATAGTTTCTGCTGTTTCTAATACAATTTCTTTATTATTTATAATGGCGACTGATGCACCAGCTACTGTTCCAAGTGCAATAGCTACTTTAATTGAAAATGGTACTAAAACATTGTTAGTCATTCTATTTATAGTACTCGGTATAAATGTATTACTTACTCATGAATGGCATTATGTTTTAAATTGATCGTGGCAATAAGTAATTTTGTGTGTAATTTCTCTCCTTATCTAATCTTTTTGTTCAATTCATGACGTTTTTTTCAATGCGATAAATTGGTGCAATCGATATAAAATTTCTCGCCAGCTATAGGGCGATTCGTACTACTGATATTGACTGATATATCATGAACAACGCATTGCATTCGCATTGCATTCACTCGAACTAGGTTTCTGTTCTATGAATTTAAGAGATATGAGTTATATACTTTACATACCTCAGACCCTTAAATTAGAACAATTCTTTTTTTAACTTGGATTATTTGGCTTTTTCCACCATACAAAAATATTTCAGAAAAGATAAATTTACGTATCTTTTTGTTTAGGGCCATAACCGTCGATTAACAACAGGTTATATAAACTTTGCTTTAGTCAAAGATGCCGAGTTTGATTCTAGCTGCTCTCAACTAAAATTGAAAGATTTCGAAATTTTCTCTTAACTGTGGATTAAATCGAATTAATTGACCTTACGGAAAATCTGATTCCACATAGAATTTTCAAACTAAAGTATCATTAAATTAACTAGATCCGTATATCCCTCTCATAATAAGTCATGAATTATCTTTTTGTTAGGTATTCAAAATTGGAAAAGTAAGTTTTCAGAAGTGAACCGAAATTTTTGAAAATAATGCAAACGATTTTGACGTCTTGCAAACATCATGCTAACATTCTTAGAGGTAAAATCAACCAGATCAGCCATTTTAGAAGTAAATAGATGGTGCCTAAATATCAACTATCTCGCAAAATAGCGCTTTTTGCCATTTTTTAAATATCGAATTAAATCACCAAAACCAAGTTTGTCGAACTCATATTAATTTTGGTTTACTGTAATTAGTTTGAAGTTTATATTAAAGTAGGTTTGAGAAAAAAATGATTATCGATCGAGTTATTGACAGTTTAAGTTTCAAGACTGACCATGAGAGGACTGCATATAAGCACATATGTATCAATTTGGCTAAAAAATACGCCGCAATGTCGCTTTGTTGGTCGATAAGTTGGCACGAGAGATAATTTTTATTTCGGCCGAGAGTTGCGTTCGGATTCGTCCGTAATCATACAGGAAATCTGGGTATAAAAAAAAGAATACTTTTTTAATTTTGGCTGCAAAATTATTTGAAAAATTGAAAACCGTTCATTATCGTGTTATCTTTGGATGACAAAACTTGGTATGATATCAGAGCAATCAATATTGGATTCTGTGATTAGCACAATAAACATGTAAGTTATAAATAGGGGAAAAATTCCATTGTGGTGAAAATTTCAATGTTTTGACTCGTACAGAATCACAAAATGAAAATCTTATCAACGACAACTTTTCAACAATGAGTAATGGAGATGTTTTAATCTCAAGACCATTAAGTATATCTGAGAATTTCTTTAGGTCAAGAACAGCAAGTGGCCATTATCGAAGTTTTGCAGTTTCATCAACATACAATCAAAATTTGAACAATTTATCATTATTTTATAAAGCATTAAGAAAAACAATATTAGAGTATCATATATTAATTTGTAATGTTCAGTTCAAAGGTCAATATGTATATCAACCGTTAGAAAATATCAAACTCGAAAATATTCTACAATTTAATACTGATGTGCAGTATTTGAGAAATGGGGTGGTTACTGAATCATTTATGAAAAAGGTTAATGAGATTACATTTAATTTATACACTCAGGACCCATTATTCAAATTAGTTCTAGTTGGAGACTATAATCTCGTTTGTATATTTGAACATACTATTGCTGATGGAGTGGTTGGTAATTATTTTCATGAAATATTTTTGCAAAACTTAGCTTATTGTGATGATACAAATAATGATGTATTTGCTGTGAGTTTTGGTGATGTTCCAGAAGAGATCAGCTTAGATACTACAATTTTTAATTTTTCAAAGGACCTAAAATTCATTAAAAATTCCTTACCTCCACCTCTTGATTTATTCATGGAGGATATTGATTTAGATTACACTTATAATAATCCAGATTTTTTTGAAAGAGTAATTCCACAATGTTATAAAAGATGGAATGGAAGGTTTGATGCTATAAACACACATGAAATTAGTTTCAAAGTTATAAATTTTAATTTAGAAGAAACTAAGCAAATTTTAAATGCATGTAAAAAACACAACGTTACTTTGACTTCATACATTGTTGTTATTGAGGCATTGACATTACAGCCTATATTTGGAGACAATTATACTGTTCATAAAGTGGCAATGGCTTTAAGAAGACACATTCAAAAAGATAAAGCACCAATTGAATATCAACAGATCCTTTCAGATCCAAATTATAAAATATTGGGAACTTCAGCACACATGGGTTTTGGAAATAACATACCTCCGCTAAAGAAGTTTTCATGGAATGCAGTCAAAGAGGTAAATGATAATATTTTACAATCTACAAAGAATAAACGTGCTTTAAATCAAATGAAAGGATGGAAAGATAAAGGTGATTTATTAGATCCTACAAATCAATCATTTTTTGATTCTCAATTGAATAAACCAAAGGCAGATCATGTAAAATTTTCAAATTTGGGTTTAATTAAATTACCAGAATACAAAGTTAAAGATAAAAAAATTTGGAAGATTGAAAATATGATATTTTGGCAAGATATGGCTCCTTATAGTGCAGAATTTATGTTAAGTGCCGTTTCAACTCCTTTAGGTGGTTTAAATTTTGTTTTAAGTTATTACGACTATACATTTGATGATATACCAGGAGACAATTTTGACAAATACATAATCCAATTACATGATAATATGCTAAATTGCGCATCATAATAATTAGTTTGAGAGGCTACTGCAGTTAGATGCAAATATATATTATATTTGAAATCTTTAAGACGCTAAATTATATATTAACAGACAATGCTTAGAATATCAAAAATGAGACAATATTTATTTCCCTTGTATTCTTGAGTTGGGCAAACCCCAATTTTTTGATTATCATAATCAATTGCAATCAATTTTCACATTGTGACCTATTGTTAGTTATGAGTCAAGTATCGTAATTACATCGAAAACTGCATCGAGCATGAAATTACGGTTGTATAATACGATCAGCCATTAATTCTCAAGCACCAATTGACAACTATTGCAATTATTAACATCGGATTTATTAATTTAACAAATCCACTGATCAGAAAACGTTCCAATGTGCGTATAAATTTGCCCCAAAAGGACATAATATATGGTTATGACCTTGAATTATTCTAAATTTTTAAATCCCAATCACTAGTTATGACTCGTTCAATTTTGCAGTCAAAATTCCAAAATCGGAATCAAACACTTCCTTCACCGTTGTCAGTGTATTCCAAAAAATCAAAAAAATTAACAGACTCGTTTCTCAAGCAGCAGGTACTCAAATTACAACCGATCCGTAAACATAGACCTCACTCGTACGTGATTATCTTAATATACTCGGTCGAAACTCAAGAGACGTTACCCCGAGCTATTATAAAGCGAGTAAAAAATTTTGAAACCCCAAAGTTAGTCGAACATTCGCTCAAATTTATACAACTGTTATTACACAGTATATAAAAGGAAAATCAACACTCTTTATTCCAAAAAGCATCATAGAGATTACTTTTACACCTGTGAGATTAACCAAAACTGATTAGTTAGAAATTTTAAATTATGTGAAGGAGTTGCAAGAACGAACTTCCTGCCAAAGATGAATACAAACATAAGGAAGCACTTATTAGTCACTTACATCAGTACAGTTGAGTACAACAATATGTCTTACCAATCATTAGTTGGTTTCGAATTTGATTCTATGTAGATGTTTTAGATAAAATTATTATTTTTTTTTTTTTTTTTTTCATTGATTAATTCTGAAACATTGGATCTATATTTCACAACTAATATATTTTATAATTTATGTCATTTTATCAGCAGTCAGATGAATCAACAACCAATACATCTATAAATAATGAAAGCTCATTATTTATACGGAATAAATATACTAGTTCGGAGCAAACTCAATTACCACAAACTTCTAAATTTGATCAATTTCGAACTATAGACTGGGTTGAAGATGAACTAGATGAACAAAAGCAAAGAATACTAAAAATAAGGACAATACATAGTCAAAGTATAAATTTCAAAGATAAAATATTGCCACAAATACAAAATTGGGTCATACTTGCCATAATGGGGATTATAATTGGTTTAATTGCAGGGTGTTTGAATATTATTACTTCATGGTTATCAAATATCAAAACAGGACATTGTTCTTCTAATTTTTACCTAAATCAAGCATTTTGTTGTTGGGGATATGAAGATGAAGAAAAATGTAATAATTGGTCAAAATGGACACAATTTGAATTTATAAACTATGTTATATATGTTTTAATATCATTATTTATGGCTGGTATATCTGCTAAACTTGTTCAATTTTATGCTCCAAATGCAGCTGGTTCAGGTATATCTGAAATTAAATGTATTGTATCTGGTTCTGTAATGGATGGATTTTTAGGTTGGAAAACTTTAGTTATTAAAAGCTTAGGTCTTCCATTAGCTATTGGTTCTGGATTAAGTTTAGGTAAAGAAGGTCCCAGTGTTCATTATGCTGTTTGTGTAGGTAATTCAATTGCCAAATTAATTGAAAAATATAGAAAATCAGCATCAAAAGGTAGAGAATTTTTAACTGCTACTTCTGCAGCTGGTGTTGCTGTTGCTTTTGGATCTCCAATGGGTGGTGTATTATTTTCGGTTGAAGAGATAAGCTCAATTTTTCAATTATCTACATTATGGAAATCATATTTTTGTGCATTAATTGCAGTTACTACATTAGCAGCAATGAATCCATTTAGAAATGGTCAATTAGTATTATTTGAAGTTAGTTATGATACAAATTGGCATTATTTTGAAATACCAGTATATATTATACTAGGTATTTTTGGTGGAATTTATGGAATACTAGTGCCGAAATTTAATATCAGGGTGGTTTCATTTCGAAAAAGATATCTTGCTAATTTTGCAATTAGAGAAGTTTTAATTTTAACTTTATTAACTACTAGTTTTTCATATTTTAATCAATTTTTAAAAATTGACATGACCGAATCAATGCAAATATTATTTCATGAATGTGACAAGACTTTTGCTCATCCAATTTGTGATCCAAATAGAAATAAAGCTGGTATATTAGTATCTTTATTATTTGCAACAGTGGCTAGAATGGGTCTTACAATTATAACTTATGGCTGTAAAGTACCTGCTGGAATTTTTGTTCCTTCAATGGCTGCTGGTGCTTGTTTTGGAAGAGCGATGGGTATTATTGTTGATTTCATATATCGAAAATATCCAGATTCATCAATATTTCAAGCTTGTCATGTTGATGAGACTTTAAATGGAAAATGTATTATACCTGGTACTTACGCATTTCTTGGTGCAGCTGCTGGATTATGTGGAATTACAGATTTGACAGTGACGGTAGTTATTATAATGTTTGAATTAACTGGTGCATTAAGATATATTGTTCCTACAATGATTGTAGTTGCAATTACAAAAAGTATAACTGATAAATGGGGCAAAGGTGGGATTGCAGATCAAATGATTGAATACAATGGATTACCATTGATTGATTCAAAGAAAGAATTTAAATTTGGTGTGAATGTAGATCAAGCAATGACAAAAGAGACTATTACATTTTCAATGGATCATAATGATACTATTACATATAATGAAATTCGTCAAATATTTCAAAAATCAGACATTAAAGGATTTCCAATCATTTATTCTTCATTAAATCCAAAAATTTATGGTTATATATCGAGACATGATATAAATTATATATTAACTAATTATTTTCATGATAAATTAGATGAAAAAATTGATTTCTCAGAACCATTATTCCAATCAATAATTAATAAATCACCATTAAGAATCAATATAGAAACTACGTTAGAATACGTGCTTGATATATTTGTCAAACTCGGTCCTAGATATATTTTAATTGAAGATGATCTGAATCTTGTAGGTATAATTACAAGGAAAGATATACTACGATACTCAATCATATTTCATCATAAAGTAGATTCAGTTACCGAAATGAGAGAAAAAGAAATAGAGGAAAAAGTGTGGGAATTTATGAATCTACTATCGACTTCAGCAAGGAAGAATTTAGGTAAACTTATATATAATGATGCAAATAGATTTCTATAATACAAGTATTAATTATCTTTCCATTTCCCATGATCTTCATAATCTGCATATAACGTTTTATAAAATGATCTTCCAGCATAATCTAATGCTGCATTGACAGATTTCAATTCAGTTTGTGATAGGACATCAAAAATGACAAATATTCCAGATTTTAAAATATCATTTATTAATTTATCAAAATTGAATCTCAAATTTAAAAATATGTAATTTGTAAGTAGGATAGGTAAATGTTTTCTTAATGATTTTTTAAAAAGGTCAGATTGTGTAGTTAAATTCACTTCTTTTGATCTTTCTTGTGGTTCACATAAATTACTCAACAATCTAATAAAAGAATCAGCTGCATTTAAGCTATGACCCAATGGTTGATTTTTAGTTAATGGAGTGAAAAATGATGATATTAAATTGATTAATAAATTATGACGAGTTGATAATTTATACCTATGATATAATAATATATGAGATATGACTTGACTTGATTTTATATATATCAATTCCAGATTTTCAAATGTTGACAGTTTATGAATTATTGAACTTATAAGAGATAATGTAAATTCTAATAAGTATTGATTGAATATCCATGCTTTTTCAACAAGCAATGATTTTAAAGTATCTAAGATTAATAAAACTGAGGCATATGAATTGTTGAATAAATTGAAACATGGAGCTAATGGCAATTCAAATTGTTTGGTGGTTGTAGTTAAAAATGCACACGATATTTGTATAGATAAATCAATCAGATCTGTTGAGTCAGTTGAAGACTGTATGAATATTTCAAATGACTTCTTGTAATCTTGTTCATTTACTGATAATCTCTTTAAATAGGTTCTTAAATCTTCATATATGTCATTAAAACCTAAAGCTATAAATAAACTTAGTATGAAAATTGAATTTGTATAATTGGCATCCAAGGTAGCACAAATGAATTTAAAAATTGTTTTTTGGATCAATGGATTCAATTTAACTTCATTATTTAACCCTGAAAGTATATTTTGTAACTTGATGTTATTTGGTTTTACCATCGTCAAAGCCCATAAATACCAATTAATGCTATATAAATCATCCGAGTTTTGTAAATTGGAAATACAAATACGTGTAAATATTTCACGTAATTGAACTAGTTCTGATAACTCTATAGTATTTGAGTTTGATAATATAGTTAATGTGAATTCAATTTCGGGACTTATTTTTTTAGTATCATTATTTTCGAAATATTCAAGTAGATTGGATATTGAACCTTCAATAAATTTCAAATTGTCAGCATTTTTAATCTGTTTAACATGATTTATCCAGATGGATTCACAAATTTCAAATGTTAAACCTTTTGTTTCGGCATTTGAAGCTTTGAGTAACTCAATAATTGCATCAAAGTAGATTTCTAGTTCTGATTGATTGGTAGGATGTTGTAATAAATACTGTAATTGTTGTAAAGCTCCATCTTTATTCTTTATGGATAAATTATACAATTCATTGATTAATTCTTTTTTGATATTCTTGTTGAAGCTTACAATTGGAATTTTAATTATTAAAAATAAATTGTCTGATAATTTTTCAAATATGGTTTGAATTAGGATGGTAGTTAACTTTGGTTGTTCGAATAATAATGGATTCGGATTATCAAATACTCCAGCTGTTAATGCAATTTCAATTAATTGCTTATTAGTCTCTTGATTAAAATAATTATTGAATATGATCATCCATCTATCGAATATCAGTGATATTAACTTAACATTCTCATCATCATTTATGAAACTAAGAAATTGTCTTTGTCTAGCCACTGAAACTTCTTCTAATTCTCTTAACTCAATCAATCTAAAGATATTATAATGAAAATATAAATCATAATCAACTTCATTTAACAACACCTTTGACATTTCATAATCAACCCCATATAAACATAACAAATTATATCTAATATGCCAAAATTCATCCTTTCCAGAATTGAAAAATTCAGAATTATTTATAAAACTTTCCTTTACTGAGTCTATTAATGCATTATTTGATTCTATCAAACCTTCAGTTATAGCTTCAAAAATAGTCCTTTGAGAATTTTCCTCCTCCATTTTAAACACCAATTCAATTACACTATTCAATTGTTTATTCGATAAAGATTTAATTGTCTTTGAAACAATATTTATAAATCTCGATGATTCCCATAATTCATCTTTTTTAATTGCTCTTGGCCACACTTCGGTTAAAAACTCAACTAATTCTCTACTTTTCAAATACGAATCAACAATTACTTCAGAAACAGGTAGTACCAAATCATCTAATTCGAAACCAGAATTATATTTCTTGAACAAGAAACTTGACTTTTTAGTAGCTATTTCATTATCTATCTCAAAAATATATTTTACCATTGACCAATTCAAATCTTTAAACTGTTTATCTTTAATTTCATTCTTGTATATCTTTTCTATAAATTCGGTAGATATTGTTTTTCTAGATGATGCAAGTATGGATAATAACTGTTCTGATAATTTTGGATATTTAGCACTGATTGCATTAAAACAAGCTTCACAAACTGACATATGACTAGAAGATAATTGATCGACTATTAATTTGTATAAGTAAACTATTGATGTCGAATCTAGATCTTGCTTTTCTAAAACTTTGTTTAAATTAGGTGCAAGGTATTGTATTGAATTTGCATTGAATAATTCTTTAATTAGTATTGACTCAAGGTTGGTTCTTTCATGACTTGACAAATATTCAACTAATGGAAAACAGCACTCTTCAAAGAACTTTGTATTTAATTTCTTCGAACCATCTAGACTTAATTTCAGTGTTGTATTTACATAAATTATCTGAATTAAATCTGAGTATTTCATAGTGGTTTTATTCACATTGAGCACATACATTTTTAGCAATTGAATAGCCAAATTTTCATCTATTTCAATATATGAATGCTTCAAACATAGCTCCATCACCTCAAATACAGCTTCTAAACAATCTCCGTTATTTTGTAATAGTATTATGGCAACTTCAATAATCTTTAATCTTTGAATTTCCTTCTTCTCATCAATTAAATCATATACCTTAATCAATAAACTCCATATCTTTCTATTATACTTCCATTTTGAAAACTGGTTGCTTGATTTATCATTTATTCTATCAATTAATAAACTTAGTATGAATGAATTTTTATTTGGTAAATAGACATCTAATTTATCATTTATTAAATCATTTGAAATATTAGCTATCTTATCAATATTACCATCTTTCGACCTTATGAATTTAGTTAATGATTCTGCTGAAGATAGCTCTGTCATTAATGCCGTAAACGATTTCAATTTTGGCCCTGGGCAAAAAAAAAAAAATATTACGAAGATCATCTCAGTCAAAATACATAGAATACCAAAATTCACTGATTTCTAATTTTACATTTATATATATAACTAAAGAAGTATATACATTTCTAACTCTAAATTAATAAAGTTTCAATTTTATCTTTAATACCATAAATTTGATTTTTGATAGTTGATGCGTCATTTGAAGTAACTGAAGCAGCAATGACTGGTCTTGATACTCCACAAGCTCTACCTAAAGCAGCTTTTGAAGGAACAAATACATATGGAACATTTTTATCTTCACATAATAATGGTAAATGTAATAAAATTTCAATTGGTTCAGTATCAGCAGCCATAATTATAAATTCTGAAATACCTCTGTTTAAAGTTTTTGTAGCTTCATTGGCACCTTTTTTCAATTGTCTTAAGTTTTGTGCTTGTTGAACAACATCTAATATTTGTTGTGATAAAGCTGAATCAGCTAATGGAAAAGCTTTTGGATTTGGTGCAGACATGATATTAATTTAGCAGTTTAGTTTTAGATTGAAATAGTAACGGCTCCTTGCAAATGTATGAAATAAGCTCACCTATAAAATGAAAATAAAGGTTGAAATTCGAAAACTTTTTAGTATAGATATATTTTTATTGAGATGAGAAGTGAAAAAATATATTTTGATCGTCTATCAGTTGGTAGTGTACCGTTGGCGAAAAACTACCAATCGAATAGAAAAAATGTCGACCAGTGAATTATTTAAAACGATTAGTTTTCTTTAGTAAACCGTACAAGTTTAATAGTTTATTTATCTTAATCAATTAGAAATTATATATCGATAATGACTGATTTATGGTATGTAAAGGCATTAATTAAACTGGCGATGGTCCTGAAGAGTTTTGAGAGTGTTTTAAAATCAATTGAAATTCGAGGCTTGGATTGCTAAAGAGGTAAAAACAAGACATTGGGTTTGACATTGGGTTTACCGTCTTCAGTTATTATAAAGATTTGTTACTAACTATTATTTCAGTCCAGTTTATGCTCCATTTTTTGGATCTATTGGTTGTGCAGCTGCAATTGTTTTTACATGTTTTGGTGCTTCTTATGGTACAGCTAAATCAGGTGTTGGAATTTGTGCTACAAGTGTAACAAGACCAGATTTATTAGTTAAAAATGTTGTTCCAGTTGTTATGGCTGGTATTATTGCAATTTATGGTTTGGTCGTTTCAGTCTTAGTTTCAGATTCATTATCACAAAAACAAGCATTATATACTGGTTTTATTCAATTAGGCGCTGGTTTATCAGTTGGGTTAAGTGGGTTAGCTGCTGGTTTTGCAATTGGTATTGTTGGTGATGCTGGTGTTAGAGGTACTGCTCAACAACCAAGATTATTCGTTGGTATGATTTTAATTTTAATTTTTGCTGAAGTTTTAGGTTTATATGGTTTAATTGTTGCTTTATTGTTAAATTCAAGAGCTTCTCAAGATGTTGTTTGTTAGAAAAATTTACCAAAGAACTTCAATTTAAACAGTCAATAGATCAAAAAAATTTATATATTATTATTCTATAAATACTTGCCCTATTTTAATAGCTATACTATTTCGTAAAGTTTTAACTAAATCTTTGACATTAGGAGGAACTTTATCAATATTTCTCCAATCGAATTCTGATTTATCTTTTATATTATTTATCGAATATAAGTATAAACTTTCACCTTCTTCAATTTCTTCCTCATTTGAATCAGTTTCAAAATTATCAATCAATTCAATAATTAAAATCAAATCTGGTAGTTGGAAATGATACTTTTCATTCTTGAGAAAATGTACAAATTGAGCTAATAATAATGGATAAAATTTCTTTGGTAAAAAGTTGAATCTTAATAAATGAGTTATTTTTGATAATTTTTTAGATAACTTGATGTCTTCTCTTGGAATTGAGTCGTAGAATTCTTTTAATACTCCGTATGGAGATAAACTTTGTTTTATTACTGGATGAATTTCAAAATCAATTTGTTTATCAATGATGTTATTAATTAATTCATCATTTATTGGTTTGTTATCAACTAAAGCATTCAGGAAGATTAATTCCCATATTATATAATGAATCTTTTTCATACTACTTATATTCGAATGATTTAAACTGAAATTGACATCTTCAGGATCAAAACATTTAACAAATGAATTTAAAGCCTCGAATAAATATCCTTCATCTAATGATTTCAAACCAGATCTATAATATAATTCTCTTGCAGTTGAAACTAATCCTAAATTTGCACATATTGTCAAACACCATTCGAGATCATCATTAGTTTTGCAATGAAAGTTAGGAAGAAAAGATCCTATAGTTGTTTTATTATTAGTAATTGCATTTTTTGATGTATTTATTACTTCATTGAGTAATAATCCAATTGCAACAGGTACTAAATCATGAATATTTAAACAATCAAAAGCATGTCTGGTTAAAAAATATTCCGATATGGTTTTTGAATTTGTCAAACTTCTCAAATTGAGTTCCTCGTCTCTTTTAACATCTTTCAAATAGTAGTCTCTCAACAATTGCTTTAATTCTAGTAGTTCAGCAATATAAGCAGCTGTGAATTGATCCAATGTAAATAACGTTTCTAAGACTTTTAAATAATTTCCTTTTAAAATATCTATAAAACAATGTTCTGTCATTTCTTCCAAATCTTGACTAGTTGATTTAATTGGTGGAATTTCTATTTTTGCAGTTTCAAAAAAATCTTGGTATACTTCTTCATTATCTCGTATTTGATATAATGAAAGACCCAAATACACTTCATACCAATAATCACAAAAACTAGTAATAGTCTTAGGTAAACCAGTTATAATACAAGCTAAATCAAATATTTGCATAAATATAGTTCTATAAGTTGGATCATGGACATTATTTTTCAAATCAGTTAACGAATCTCTATATTCACAAGCAAGTAATTTCCATTGTGCAAATTGACCCTTTTTGGCAAAATTTGTATAATCAAATAATAATGCTTTTAAGTCATTTATTGCATTATATAAATCTTCACATTTATTTTCCAATTCTTGATAATTGGAATTTTCAAGGACACTTTCACATTGATCAAATAATCCACGAATAATAAATTTACTTAACAATGTATTCCAAAATTGCGGATGTAGGTACGGATTAGGATTAGATATCATAATTTCTTCTACTAATTCTTGAGAAGGTTGTGGATCAAAATTATTCACCCAATCTTTTATTAATTCTGGTTTTTCAGTTAAGTTCTGATAAAAATTATTTGAATATAGACATAACAATATAAATTTCATGAATTGAAAAGGTTCAATCTCCGAATCTTGCTCATTAAGTATCAAGTTGTTTAAATTTTCTAAAATCTCCTGAAATGCTTCATCTATAACTTTTGACTTTCTGGTGAGTGATGAGTTCGTAATTAGACCAATTGTATCATTATAATTATCAGTAATAAGTTCATTCTTTGTTAATTTTTCCAATACTTTATAATTTGAATTGATGTAACAAATATATTTCTTTTGAAAATTGTCACTAATATTTATTGTTTTCTTGTATGATTTATTATCGAATTGAAATTTCAATGGCTTATCATTTGATATCCAATCTGATAATTCTGGAAAATCGTTATTAATGGTAAATACTGAAGTGTTTCCCTCATCTAAATTTGTTGATGTTTCATCTTCTGCAATTTTTTGACTTTCTTCATTTTCAGAAATGGCTACTTCTGTCTCTGATGATACTGACACATCATCATCATCAGGTATTTCTAAAATTTCAATGTCGTCGTATCTTCTATTTAATTCAGCCATAATAGAAACGAAGGGCCGTAACAAAGAGAATCAAAACGCTAACAAAAAAAAAATATCGAATTATCACGAAAGTCGTGTATTGATCATTTATAAAACATAACTAGTTTCAAAACAGATCTGTTTTATAGATTCTTTAATATCCATACTTACCTTAGTATTGGAAATCTCTAATAGTTTACTCTGTTCAACAATATTTGCTTCGGGCAGTAAAGAAATATTTTTCTTTTGTATAATCTCATCAATCTCTTTTGAAGTTGTTTCGCTCATCATATAAATACCACCCAGCACAGTACCAATAAGGAACAATTGCGTTACCAGATCAAACATCTTATTAACCGCTACAATTTTATTCACTTGATCACCAGATTGAAAACTAAAATATGATTCAACTCCAACTTTCTGTTGATATTCTTCATCTTTCCTTTCCTTCACAAATGTTATATTACCAATTGAATCACCAATTAAAGCATAATTATACGTTCTATCATACTTTAAAGTACTTATACTAGTAGAATATTCATCTGTAGGGACATCAAATTTCACCAAATAAGTCGATTCATTATTTTTATATTCTTTTCCAGTACTAAATATCCCACTTAAAATATCACTAATATATATAGTTTCATTAGTTATTGATTGTTCAGTAGCATATGCCTGACATAATTTAAATCCATCTTCAAATATCTCGAATTCAAATTTATCTTCATTTGTAAGATTTATTGATAAATTAAGTAATACGTTCCCACTAATGCATATTTTATCCTTATATGATGATATTGATTGAAATGTAATTTCAGGAGTCAATTTAAATTTCTCAATGTTACATTGTTGAAGTAAATGTATGCTATCATTTCTGATCCCAAAGATATAAAATGGATATGTGTTATTTTTCAAAGCTACGAAAATTGCAGAATATGAATCGAGAGTGATTGGAACATGACAAATATCAATAAATTCAATCTTGTCAAATGGTAATGAATGAATTATACACCATGTTGATTTTTCAATCAAATTAAAAATTGTCTTTAGTTCACCTGTTGAATTATCATATTCGAGACTAATGAGATATTCTGACTCTGCAATGGGTAATATTTTTGTGAATAAAAGTTTCGAATATATGCTATTATATGATAAAGAATTGTTGGTGTTTAACTTTGTTAATTGTATAATTTGGACGAGGCCATTTTCATAAACCGTTAATAATATATTCAGTTGTATGAATTCAACGAATTTGATATTTGACTGTATGTTAACTTCATTGGATTTATAATAGTCAAGTTGTTTGTCGAATAAAAATAAATGATTCTCGTTATATGCTATAAATTTGTCATCAAACTTGATTAATTTCATTATTTTATCGTCTAATCTTTGGGAAACTGAAGAAGCAATAAAGTTTGTAGCTAATTGATTGAAATGGATCTGATGTAAAATGCCCTCTGAAGTTAATAAAATTAAACAATCTGATAATATTTTACTATTTAATAATCCATTTAATTGACTTTCATAAAGTATTTCATGCATTTCCAAATCCAGTTTAAAAACTTTATACAATCCTGATAAATCATTTATAAATATCAAGAAACTATCAGATACTTTTACAACATCAATTGATTGTATATCCTCTTCAAATAAATGGGGAAATTGAAAGGCTCTCTTCATACTGTATATGAAAATTTCACCATTAGTTGCACATACCACGAGTTTGTCTACTGGATATATTACTTTACAATCAACTTTTTCATTTCTCAATTCTCCATTTATTATTATTCTATCATCTTCAAATTTACATGACCAATCATCAACTTCAAAACTTTTCTCATATTCACTTATTTGTTCGTGAAGTTTTAGATTAAATACTCTCTTATTCAATTTTCCATTATCAGTTGAATTCCATTGTTCAATGTATAACTTATCACCAAACAATTCACAAGAATGTAAACTTTCAAATTTATTGCTTTTCAAAACATCAACTTCGTAGCTAGTACTGCTGTACTTTCTTATTTCACTTCCTTCCCAGCTTCCTTGACAAGTATAAAGTATATCCTCCTCATATTTCATATCTACTATAGGTGGACTAGTTTCAATTTGTGATTTTATATGAATATGAGGCTTATTTGGAAGAATTTGAAACAATACCGATTTTGAAACTTTTGAAATTTGTAAAAATAAGTCATTTCCAATGTGGAATATGCATTGATATGAGTCTGGTATAGTAGTAACTCCCAAATTCAAAAAATTGAGTTGATTAATCAAAAACAACGATTGATTCTTAAGATCAAGTCCCATGTATAGCATATAATTCTCGCCTGCATCATTAACTAGCAAAATTCTAGACTCATCAATTATAGTATAAGTTTGAAATGGTCTCGATGTTGATAATCTCTTCATTATATAAGTTTCTTCTCTTGTGGAAATTGTTACACCCTTTGGTGCTGATATATCCTTCTTCGTAAATGGAAAGTAAACCAATTTACCAGGCATGAGAACAAGAAAACCATCTTGTAAAGGTACTATTAAACTTGGTTCTTCTTCAAATTCAGAATATTGTTTATATAATTCCAATTTATTGTTGTATAATATGTAGCTTCTAATGAAAAATGATTCAGAAGTTGGATCTTTATACAAGATCACAATTAATTCGGGATTATTTAGGGTAATAATTTGTTTTATTGATATGTTTCCCACGGGTATTGAATTGAGATTGAATAATTTTTGATCAAATTTCCTCTTTTTGTTAGATGATTGAGCAATTTCAAATGAAGAATTAAGATTTAGAATTTGTAAATTTGAATGAAAAATACTTAGTACGATAAACTTTGGATTTTTATATGATGATGGGATTAATGTTGGTTTTGAATCATAATTTTGTTGTTGACCAACTATTGATAATTTATTTAAAATGTGAACTATGATTGAGGATTCGCCATTCAGATATATTAATCCAATTTCGAATTGATCATTTACGAAAAGCACCAAATCTTGATCTTTGATATTAATTTTACAGAATGATTGTATCTTGCCTTTCAATTCAATTGCATCTACTTCTACCAAATCACCATTTGTAACCTTATAAATCTCTAATATATTTAGCTTGGATATAAATATTATAGGACATGACCTGTGGTATATCAATATTGAATTATAAATTGTTGCATCTTCAAGTAATTTTGATAAAATAAACATATAAAGCAATTGTGTCAATTTTCTGCTACCAATTCAAATGTCATAAAAATCACTACTTTACAAAAGACTGACTAGTCAAACGACTGTAAAGTCACATCTGCTTCTAATTGGTCTACATGTCTTTGACTCGTTAATCCATGTATAAATTGTTGTTCAGCGTAGAGTTGATTCAAAATTCTGGCTCCAGGACTTCGATTAGGAGATTTTCAGAAATTTGATACAGGCATATCAACCTGAATCAGTTCCAATTCTGCAATATAGCTGGCTAGATTATAATGTTATACGGTTGAGAGTAATAACGATTTCAATTTCAATTGTCTATTTTTAGAATTTTTCATATCAAAAATATTTTTAATTTTTCAAAATACCGCTAATTTTGATTTTATGGTTTTTCTTGTTATTTCTATCAATTCAATTCCATACCAATATACCTAAACATCTTCCATATTATTATTAATTGGTTGGTTTGAAAGCTAATTCATTTTTTTTTATTTGCATCAATTGCAATGTCAAGTGCAGAAATTAATGTATCAAGCAAGAATAACAATAATCAACATCAACAAAATCAATCATCATGGAAATTTCCAAATTTTTTTAAACTATCATCATCTGCTCCTGTATCTTCAACTAATCATAAAACTATAAATGAAAAAGATGCTCATTATGATCATATTTCAATGTCTACTCATTCCTCGACGTCAACTACTAAATCTCAAAATGTTGGTAAATGTTATTGTTGTGGCACTGTTTTAACATTTCCAACTAAATCTAAAAAGTTTAGATGTTCAATTTGTCATACTACCAATATACTAGAAACATCGAGAAAGGAAGCTGCTAGGGTGAATATACCATTAATTTCGGTCCAGTACGTGGAATCGTTAATTGAGAGATGTTCAAAATTGAGGTCGAAGGATTCATCAAAATCGGTACATGAGGCTTTTGAGCCATTATCTACTTATGTATACAAGGCATTCAACTCGTTTGAAGTGTTGAACAACTCATTTAAGTTAAAAAACCACTGTCAACAATCTAAATATACAAAATCATATATCAATTTTAAAGCTATACATGATGTTTTCAACAAATTGCTTAAATTACCTACTAAGCAACCATTATATAATGCTTTAAAAGGTTCTAGTGACCAATTAAAACGAATTCATATATATAATGAAGATATAAATGTAAGAGATTATATTTTTTTAATCATACTACTTGAAATACCAATATTGAGTAAATCATTAGTACCCAATGAGTTAAAAGTTAGACATATGAGTGATATACCAGAGATTAAAATGTTATGTTATGATATTTTAAAAAGAATATTGGGTATATTGTCATGTATTGATCAAACGAAAATACGAAATTATATAATTCAATGGTTTTCAAAATATGATTTGAGTTTATTTATCGATAAGATTAATTTAATAAATTTATACGTTACATTTCAATTGAAGAAGTACTTTTATTTAGCTAATAATCCACATGTTAAATTAGTTTCAACACCACCAGAATCAAATCAAAATTCAAATGATATAGAATATTTTCAAAGCTTAAATTTGAAGACTCATATTGAGTCAAATGCTGATTTATCAGCCCCTTTAGTTTTAAATTTTCCTGCTGGTCAAGTTTCTTCAAATCCATTTGCAATTGGGAAAGGGAAAAAAATGTCAAATAAGGAAACAAAAGTCAAAGTACATCAGTATGGAAATGATTGGCATATTAAATCTGCTTTAATTGTGTTGACATTATTTTATAAAGCTAATAAATTACGTGCTCAACCACTTCCAGTTTCAAATTTTTATAATTCTTTGGTTGATTATGTTAATATTCGATTAGATTTTGATTCATGGCAAAGTAACAAGAAACTGAAGAATAAAGTTTTAAATAATGATCATCCTGAATTAAAAGCTGTGATTGGTTATATACACGGAACAACAGTGAATAAATCTTTATACGATGATGCATTATATTATCTTTGCCAATATCCAATTATAATCTCATTGGGTTCAAAAATTTCTGTGCTTGAATATGATGCAAGAAGACAAATGGAAAGAAAAGCAGAAGAAGCATTTATAAATTCTTTGGATAAACGAACTGTAATTGATGTTTATTTTAGAATTAGAATTAGAAGAGAATATATCGTACAGGATTCATTAAGTTGTATTAAATTAAATTCAGATAATTTGAAAAAATCATTAAAGATTCAATTTGTCAATGAACCTGGAGTAGATGCAGGTGGATTAAGAAAAGAATGGTTTTTATTATTAACTAGAGAAATATTTAATCCACAAACTGGAATGTTTTATAATGTTGAAGATTCAAATTTATTATGGTTTCATATCATACCTATTGAAAATTCAGACATGTATTATTTGTTTGGTGCAATTTTAGGATTAGCTATATATAACTCAACAATTTTAGATTTACAATTTCCATTAGCATTATATAAAATATTATTAGGTAGAAGTTTAGATTTTGAAAATTATGAGCAATTATTTCCAGTAAGTTTTAAAAATTTAATGAGTTTAAACAACTTATCAGATGATGAATTAAGAAATTTGGATATTGCATTTGAAGTTACATATACTGATATTTGTGGTAAATATTATACGCAAGATTTGATGCCAAATGGTAAGAATATAAAAGTGAGTAAAGATAATTTACATGAGTATTTAGAAAAATATATCAATTTTTTCATGAAGGATGGAATTAAAACACAGATTGAAGCTTTCAAAAGTGGCTTTAATGCAGTTATTGGTGGCAATGCATTAAGTTTATTCGCACCAAATGAGATTGAATTATTACTTTGTGGTTCAAGTGATCATAAAATTGATGTTGATATTTTAAAATCAGTTACTAAATATGCTGGATGGAATTCTAATGAAGAAGCAATAAATTCTCAACTTATAATTTGGTTTTGGGAATTTATGAATGAAATTTCAAATGATTTTAGAAAAAAAGTTTTGATTTTCATTACTGGTTCTGACCGAGTACCCGCTACTGGTATTCAAAATTTATCATTTAGAATAAGTTTATTAAATCATGGTTATGATAGTGATAGACTACCTATTGCACATACTTGTTTTAATGAATTGGCAATATATAATTATAGTTCAAAATTGAAATTTCAAGATAAGATGACACGGGCAGTTAATGAGAGTTCAGGATTTGGGATTAAATAATAGATAGGATAGGAATATATAGGGTTTATAAACGATTTTTAATTTGTTTTAAATTAATTATAATGAGAATCGGCTTGAGCTTATCTTTCTTCTTTAATAATGAACTAATATTGGCATCGAAAGGTGACATCCGCAAAAATGATGCAACTAATTCGGACTAGTATCAAATGACTTTCTTTATGAAACTGTGAGAGTCGATTCAAACAGACCTATAGTAGATAAATTATTTAACAAGTTATCCAAAAAAAAATTTAGGGCAACTTCGCGGTATATTGGGTCGTACCCACTGTGATTTTCTCCCGCGAGTCGTTTGCACTAACATACTGGTCACGGAGATAAGCGTCCGTCGTATTCAGAAGTAAAAAAAAAAAATCATTTATATGTAGTACTTTAAGAATTAATCTTGAAATTTAATCTGTGAATAGCTCCCTCAACAATTAAGATCTAATTCTTATTCTTAGCTCATTCAATTCTCCCTAAAATTTAAAGTAAACTGATTGTAATATTCTCGAATTGAATATAAATTTGATCAGTCTATTCTTAATCAAAAAATGGAAATAAAGGCTTAATTGTCAGATAATCATCACTTAGACTCATTTATCAACTTCTAATATAGCTGATCTACCTCATTTGGTCACAAGTATCATCTAAGTTATACTATTAAGACGCTATAATTGTTCAGAAATTTTTGCAAATATTTCGAACCACGTTTGAAAATTGATATCTCAAATTTGAGTACCAGCACAAAACAAATTTTAAGATTTGTCAGTGTACGGAAACTAGATACTTTTATCATATTCTAATTAGAATACTGATTGCGGAGTTAGTTTTTTTGTAAGGTCAATTTATTCATATTTTGCCATAGCTAAGAGAAACTTTTGAAATTTTTGAATATTAGCATAAAACAAGCCAAACCATGTATATTTGAGGTATAGTTTATATGATTCGTTGTTTAATTGAAACTTATGGCCCTAAATAATATTATATACTGAATTCAATTTTTCCAAAAAAATCTGTCTGGTGAAAAGTGCTGAAAATTCAAAGTGAACAAAAAATATTTAAATTGAAGATAAGTATGTGAAATAAACAATAGAAAGCTCCTGATTTGATATTAATGGTATATATCTCGATAGATTATGCTGTTCATGACTTAGAGCCTAGAATCTGTAGTACGAGTCGCCCCAGAAATAACACGAGAAATTATTCTGTCGCATCGAATTCTTGCTCTGAAAATTACATACTTTGCAATATGATATCTGATTCCAATTTTCTTATATGCAGTACAATTAGAGTAAATTCTGAATTTTGAATTCTGAATAACACCTTCAATATTCCAGTTTTCTTTCTCAAATAACTTCATTGAGATTGTCAAATTTGTTAGAGTAAAATGATGTTAATACGCATTGATCAGTCATAATTTTGATGACATAATTCTTCTTTTAAAAAATCGAAAAAAAAGTTATTTTGAGAGATAATTAACACTTAGACCTCATTTATCAACTTCTACTATAGTAGATTCGGCTGATTCAACCCCTGAAATTATATATAATGTTTTCAAAGTGCCTCATAATACTCTCTGTGTAAACAACTTGGTAGCGAATACAACAATTTTCTTTTTCAAAGGCGAGGTAACTTAAATTCTATTATTGTAATTAAAACTATAATCATAATAATGACCAATAGTTTACAAAGAGATGATGAGTTCAAGTATTGTTCAATATATGATGGTGCTTCAATAACAAATTTTATATTTCTGGTCTTAATTTCAGTTGGTATTTTAATAAGTTATCTACCTCAATATTATCGAATATATATAAAGAAAACTTCTGAAGGTTTATCAACTCAATTTTTATTATTAGGATCATGTTCTTCAATTTTCACATTGACTAATATAATATTAGTGAGCTCAAAAGCAAGGAAATGCTGTTCAATCGGTGCTTTAAATACCTTTAATTGCATAAATTCTCAATTAAATTTATTTCAAATTGGTATTCAATGTACATGTGCCATATTAATCTTGGTTTTAGTGTTGATAATTACCAAAGATTCAATTAAACAAGATAAACATGAATATGCAAGAATAGTAAGAGTAGGTAAACTAGTTTTAATTCATGGTATATTATCAATTATTCAAATTATTATTGGATTCACAACAAATCAAAATATATTATATACAATTGCTAATACTAATGGTTTATTATCTGCTGCTTTAACAGTTATTAAATATGTACCACAAATTTATACAACTTATAAGCTAAAACATCCAGGTACTTTATCAATTGGAATGATGTGTATACAAACCCCCGGTGGATTTGTATTTACAGCTACGTTATATTTTACAAAGGGTTCACATTGGAGTAGTTGGGTTTCTTATCTAGTTGCTGCATTGTTGCAGGGATCGCTATTACTTTTATGTATTTATTATGAATACTTTAAAGGTAAAAGAATTAAAAACATGGAAGAATCGGCTGAAGAATTAGAAAGAGAAGCAATTGAAAGAATTATACATGAGAATGAACAAGAACAACTTGAGCATCAAATAGTAAATGATGATACTTCTAGACCATTATTAAATAATAGGTGATAATACTAATTATTCAATATATACAGAGTTCAATATATTTCATTTTTGTGTAATATTTCATTTTTGTGTAATATTTTGTTTTGTGTAATATATCATTTTGTGTAATATTCCATTTCCGTGCATCTTTTTTTTTTACCGAAAAATTTTTCAGTAATTCTTAATCAATCAAATTTCAATCATTAACAAGATGTTAACAAACATTACTAATGTCTTACGTTCTTCAGGACGTTTAACTTCAAAAATTGGTTTAACTTCAAAAACTGGTTTAACTTCAAAAATTGGTTCAAATTTTGTGCGTCCATCATTAATCAGAACTTATGCTGCATTTGATAGGTCAAAACCTCATATTAATATTGGTACAATTGGTCATGTTGATCATGGTAAGACTACTTTAACTGCTGCTATTACTAAAGTTTCAGCTGATAGAGGTTATGCTAATTTCTTAGATTATGGTTCAATTGATAGAGCTCCAGAAGAAAGAGCAAGAGGTATTACTATTTCAACAGCTCATGTTGAATATGAAACAGATAAGAGACACTATGCTCACATTGATTGCCCCGGACACTCGGATTATATCAAGAATATGATCACTGGTGCTGCTCAAATGGATGGTGCAATTATTGTTGTTGCTGCTACTGATGGTCAAATGCCTCAAACTAGAGAACATTTATTATTAGCTAGACAAGTTGGAGTTCAAGATCTTGTTGTTTTCGTTAATAAAGTTGATACTATTGATGATCCAGAAATGTTGGAATTAGTTGAAATGGAAATGAGAGAATTGTTAACTACTTATGGTTTTGATGGTGATAATACTCCAGTTATTATGGGTTCAGCTTTATGCGCGTTAGAAGGTAAACAAGATGATATTGGTAAAGAAGCTATCTTAAAATTATTAGATGCTGTTGATGAACATATTCCAACTCCAGTTAGAGATTTAGAACAACCATTTTTAATGCCTGTTGAAGATGTTTTTTCAATTTCAGGTAGAGGTACTGTTGTCACTGGTAGAGTTGAAAGAGGTATATTGAAGAAAGGTGAAGAAATTCAAATTGTTGGTGATTTTGAAAAACCATTTAAAACTACTGTTACTGGTATTGAAATGTTTAAAAAAGAATTAGATGCTGCTTTAGCTGGTGATAATTGTGGTGTTTTATTAAGAGGTGTTAAAAGAACTGATGTTTCAAGAGGTATGGTTTTAGCTAAACCAGGTACTACTTCTTCTCATAAAAAATTTTTAGCTTCATTATATATTTTAAGTGCTGAAGAAGGTGGTAGATCAACACCATTTGGTGAAGGTTATAAACCACAATGTTTCTTTAGAACAAATGATGTTACAACTTCATTCAAGTTCCCAGAAAATGAAGGTGTTGATCATTCACAAATGGTTATGCCAGGTGATAATGTAGAAATGGTTGGTGAATTAATTAAAGCTGCTCCATTAGAATTAAATCAAAGATTCAACATTAGAGAAGGTGGTAAAACCGTTGGTACTGGTTTAATTACCAGAATCATTGAATAAATATTATATGAAAGATAATGAATACATGTACATAGTTAGGAATTTTTGAGTTCAAACACACTTTTGTAGATTCGTCGGTATACCTGTTACACAAAATTGAGCATCATAATTTTTTTTCTCTTTTCAAGATTTATAAATATTGAGTTATTATATACATATGTCAATCAATTTAAAGGATAATATATTATTATGCCAGATATAGCATCGAGTCAATTGACATTCTCAACAGTAAATTTAGAGCATGTGTATCCAAAAATTTTTGAAGAATCGTATGATTTGAAACTATTCCCTAATAATATTCAATTGTTAATTGCAGCCAAAAAAGTTGGTATTATAAAAGGTTCATTAATTTCCAAAACAATCACATTTGATGAAGAAATCATAACTGCAACCTATACAAATTTCATTCAAAATGATAAGTCACAATTAGTATTAGCTGTTTGTTTACGAAAATCAATTTATATTTATTACCCAGACGGAAAATCATATATTGTTAGTCTTCCATTCATTTTGAAAAATGCATTACCGTTTGAATTAGGTTTATTATTACAAAAAGATAATGGATCAGTTATATTTGGAAATAATGTAAACTCAAATAATCATTTAAATGCAGCTTCATTATTGACTTTAGTTGATCCAATTGATGATTTTAGGATAGTTTCAACGGCTTCAACCTCAATAATAACGCAACATGAAGAATTAATGACATTTCCAAAGAAAGATTTGAGTAAGAAAACTTCATTATGTGCTACATTTAACTCACTTGATGGTTCAATTATAATATATCATATCAAATCATTGCAAAGAAACGTAAAATTTAATACAACAACTCAAACTCAATCTACTAAGCCTAGTTCAAAGTTTCCGAAACGAAGATACGGTTCAATTACAACTACAAGCTCGGGAAGAATATTAGAAGAGGATATTTCATTGGAAGTGCCACCCCCATATCATTCACATCAAAATCAACATTTATCATTATCTTTCAACATGGATAAAAAAAGAACAAGTACTTTATTATCTGATGTTTCATCGATAGGAAGAATGGCAAGTGATCATTATCCAGCTGAAAATAAACCATCAAATTCTGGTAATGAGTTTTCAAGTTACAAAAAAGATATGATACTTTCAAAAATTGAAAAATTTGGCAAGAACTTTCAAAGAGATCATCTTCGTGTTTTTAACTTATCATTTGAAGATCAAGAAGGGATAGTTGTAGTTAATAAATTGAGAAAAGAGTTTTATGTGTTGATCTATAAATTCCCCACCTCCATTAAACAAATTTCAGTTTATAAAAATAAAGGTTATGATTGTCTACCGTTAAATTCAGATGAATATGAAGGTAATTTATTGGTTCTACAACATAAGAAAATAGCTATAATAAATCCATTTTTAAATATGACTGCTACTTCAGGAGGTTTTGATAAACCAATTAAATCATTTGTGAGTTCGTATGATTCTAATCTTGCAGTTAAAACAAAAGGTGGAGAAGTTGTGATTATAAAAGTTTTATTAAGTCCATGTACAAGTTTAGTTCAAATGTGTTTAAAATGTTTTCAATACTTGTCTGGCTCCAATATAAATCAAACTATGTGGATGTTATGGAGATCAGCTTATAACGTTAATAAAGATGAGTGGAAAGCATTTGTTATTGCATTATTATCATTGATTTACCCATTTAAAAGAGGTAATGAAGATGTTGTGTTGAATGAAATTACTGAATTAATTCCCCAAGCTAAAGTATTGCATGATATATCCAATTTAAATTATCATATTGAAGATTTAATTCCATATGTGGTATTATCATTGCATTTACTAAGAGAAGAATGTAGGCTAGATTCAACTAAACAACTGAACTATAATAAATTAGGCATGTTGTTATGTCAATTAACATCATGGATGGGCTGGCCAAGTTCCTGGGTGAATTATTATTCACTGAATTTGCAGTCTATGGATCAAAAGGTTAAATTTCTACTGGTTTTAATATTAGAAGGCCCTCCAAATTTGATCAATTCATTAGCTAGCTTATTCACAAGTAATATTTCTCGTTATTTAACTTTTTCACAACTTGTTGAAGAAAGTGATTCAGTAGATGCCGATGTAACTCCTAGAACTTACTGTATTTTAAAATTATTTGAAGTTTTAGTTTGTAAGCAATATGGGTCAAATGCAATTGTTGATTTAATGAATGAACTAAACATTTCAAGAGAGGAATTAGATACTTATCCTTTAGGTATTGCAATACCTTTGAAAGAAGCACTTTCAATTCTGCAACAAGATCCAACTTTTGAATGGACAAATAAAGGTTTAGATTTAGTTGGAAGAGAAGATTTAAAAAGACTAATATCATCTGAAAATATTTTTGGAAGTACGCCAGACAGAAATCAAGTGGAGAAGTCAACTATGAAACAAATTTTATTTGATGTTTTTAAAAATAATGATTCGATACTGCCTTGGGATGGTCAATCTGAACAAGAAAGATTATCAATTACAAAATTAATGTTTGATCAAGATAGAAGATATTATGAAATAACTACATTGTTGCATCAAACTAAAACACAAACTGCATATTTGAGAAATGCTTATGAATCATTATCAGAATATGATTTGGTTTTATTGCAAAGAGAATTGGCGAATATAGTAGCATTAAGAACATTGACTATTCCATTAGGTAGAGCTGCTTTGTTTTATGGTGGTAGAAAACCATTACTAACTGAGAAATTTCCAATACCAAAATTTAATTTAAATACATTAATATCACCAACAATGACAAATATTATGTATTCGGATGAAAAAATCTCACAAAACTTTTTTGAATGGGGTCATTTTCATAACGGTGCTTCGTCGGGTTTAAGTATAAATAAAGAAGCAAAAGGTATATCTGGAAGTTGGGTGATTTTTAATAAACCACCTGAATTAAATGCTCAACATGCTGGGTTTTTATTGGGTTTAGGATTAAATGGACATTTAAAAAAACTTGAAGAATGGCATATTTATAATTATTTAGGTCCAAAACATCCATTAACTAGTGTTGGTTTATTGATTGGAATGACTGCAAGTTCAATAGGTTCAATGGATAATAAATTAACCAAAGTTTTATCTGTACATGCTGTTGCATTATTACCACAAGGAGCAAATGATTTAAATGTTCCAATAATGGTTCAAACTGCAGGTTTAATTGGAATTGGTTTATTATATTTAGAAACTCAACATCGTAGAATGAGTGAAGTTTTGTTATCACAAATTACTGCATCTGTTTATCAAAATGATACTGAACAAGTACATGAGGGTTATAGATTAGCTGCTGGTATTTCATTAGGATTAGTTAATTTAGGTCAAGGTGATGATTTAAGAGGTTTAAATGACACCCATGTAGTTGATAAATTAATGTCATTAGCTATATCGATGAAAGATTTTCAACCAGTGCAAGAATTGGGTAAATCATGTTGTGGTGCCATAATTGCTATTGGATTGATTTATTTAAGAACTGAAAATAAAACAATTGCAGACAAATTGAAAATACCAAATAATGAACAATTATTGGATTATATAAGACCTGATTTATTATTTTTAAGATGTTTATGTAAGAATGTGATAATGTGGAGTGAAATAAATTGTACTATTCAATGGGTTGAAAATCAAATACCAAAATTTTTAAATGATAGATATAAAAATATCGAAGATGTTTCATTGGACAGTGATCAATTAGGTTATTTGAATATACTTGGCGGGATATGTATGTCAATTGCAATTAAATATGCATCGACTCATAATACAATTGCAAGAGATACTTTATTACATTATTTTGATCAATTATTAAAATTATCCTCAAATGATCCGTTAAATTATGATCAAAAAGTTGCATATAATAGTATAATTAATATTCAAAACGTTTTAGCATTATGTTTATCTGTAATTATGGCATCAAGTGGTGATTTAGAAGTATTTAGAAGATTAAGATATTTACATAATGAAACATCAAAAGAAAGTGGATTTGGTGGATATATGGCAACTAACACAGCATTGGGATTTTTATTTATGGGTGGTGGACAAATTGCATTTAATAATTCAAATAATTTGGCAATTGCATGTTTAATCATTTCATTATATCCAACGTATCCAGTTGAAAATACTGAATATGAAATTCATTTACAAGCATTAAGACATTTTTGGGCATTGAGCGTTGAGTCAAGATGTTTGATCATTAAAGATATTAAAACAAATGAACCATGTAAAATACCGGTATTAATTACAATGAAGGATAAATCGACAAAATTAATAAATTCACCATGTTTATTGCCAAACTTGAATGAAATAAGTAAAATAGAAACGAAAAGTGAAGAGTATTTTAAAATCAATATTGATTTCACATCCAATGCAGAAATATTAACTCAATTTAAGAAATCATTAACTTTATATGTTTATAAATTGAAAAATTATAAAATTTCAACACCTGATATATCCACTATTTTACAAAATGGAACTGAAATTGATGATGTGCAATTTCCAGGCAGTGAAATAATGCAGAAATTGAATGCAAAAGATTATAAAATTTGGTCCTTTGAAAATAAATCAAATAATTTACATAATATGAATTACATATCTGGTTTAAGTATATTCAATATTATTGATGATAAGCTAGAATTGATGTCGTTTGTGGATAATCGAGAGACAAATGTTGAAGATTTATATAATTTGAAATTATTATTTGAATATGCTGATTCATTACTTAAAAATGATTTACATTATATATCTGTTGAGTTTATACAAGAGTTGAAATCAAAATTATGGGCTAAAATAAAAAGTAAAAACTAATATATGATTGATGAAATGACAAATGACATTGTAGAAATTCTATTTGTTTATAATTCTCGAATTTGTGTTAATATCGTGTGATTTTAAATTTGAGTTTAACACAAAACCATGCATACATTAGAATTTAATTACGGCTGACGACGCAACAAAGCCTTTCCATTAAACTATATTTAAAGATCAAACAGTATTTGAATTTTGAAAGCTGTTTCTTTGTTGTATTGATACGTTATTTATTAATGAAACGCTTCATTTATACGATGAAACTGAATCAAAATATACGAGATCTACAAGATGGAAATAGAAAATATAAAAAAAAAAATAAAAAGTCGTGTATAAAATTTTTTTATTTGTTTGTATGTATATTTTTTTCCATTATTTTCAGTATAATAGTTAACTTATCAACACATTCTTATATAAATAACACATAAAATTCCCATTATCTCCACTTTCTTTTTGTATATTTATTTGCTTGCAGAATTTGTTTCATATTAGAATTTGTCTTAAGTTAGTATTTGTTTAATTTAGCATGGCATTTCGACCTCCTTCATTTAATTGGTCAAGATCAATGGGTCTGAAATGGCAATATAATCAATCATTTGCTAAGAATAATCATAATAATTTGACACATCCATTATCAAGAGCTTCACAACATGCAAATGAATTAAGTAATAATAAACCAGTTTCAAATAAAAGATATTTTAGCTATTATTATTATCAATTTCCTAAAATTCCCAGACCCAAACGAAATGTATTATATTATTCAACATGGTCTAAATTTGGTGGTGGTCGTCAAGACAACAATTCTGGATCGAGTAATTCTAATGCACGTCAAAATTATTATTTTCCAAAAATTAAAATTTCAAAAAGATCCTTTTCAACAGCTAATCAAAAAATCAAGATGAAAACTAAAAAATTACAGATGAGATTCTTTTCAATAGAAGCTAGAACTAAAAGACAACAACGTAGAAAATTTATTAAATGGTGGACTATTACAAGTTTAACAATTATATTGGGAGGTGTTGCATCAAAAATTCATTATGAAAAAAATCATGAAGAAAATCCATATAAAATTAGACCTCAATCATGGCATTTATATGCTTATTCTACATTACCGTTAAAAACCATATCTAGACTATGGGGTCAATTCAATTCAATTAATTTACCAAGGTGGATAAGATCACCAAGTTATAGATTATATTCAGCTATTTTTGGGGTCAATTTAGATGAAATGGAAAATCCTGATTTATCAAGTTTTAATAATTTAGGTGAATTTTTTTATAGAAATATCAGACCAGAAACAAGACCAATTAGTGAAGATGATTTAGTTTCACCTGCTGATGGAAAAATTTTAGGATTTGGTGTTATAGATAATGGAGAAATTGAACAAGTTAAAGGTATGACATATTCAATTGATGCTTTATTAGGTTTATCTGCAGATAGAAAGAAATTGGCTGCGCCAACTCATTCATTAGAATTTGATCATGATAGTGATGATGAATCTATAGTTCAAAGAGATAAAGAATTTGCTAAAATCAATGGAATTTCTTATTCTGTTGATGATATAGTAGGTGGTCATAATGATCACACTTATCATATGAATAATTTGGAATATAAAGATGACCATGATGGTACAGCAAAAGGTGAAGAAGCTTCATTTAAAAAAGAATTGACAGTTGCAGAAGCGTTAGCTCCAAATCCATTAGAAGCATTTCGTAAGAAAAATTTATATTTTGCAGTTATTTATTTAGCTCCTGGAGATTATCATCATTTCCATTCACCAACAAATTGGGTTACAACTTTAAGAAGACATTTTATTGGTGAATTATTTTCAGTTGCACCATTCTTTCAAAAAACTTTACAAGGTTTATTTGTTTTGAATGAAAGAGTTGCATTATTAGGTTATTGGAAATATGGGTTTTTTTCAATGATACCTGTTGGTGCTACAAATGTTGGTAGTATAATTGTTAATTTTGATAAAGATTTAAAAACAAATGATATTTACGAGCACGAAATTTATTCATCATCAGCTAATAGTTCACAAACAACAATTAATGAAGAAACTGCATTATTAAAAGATTATTCAAGTGATAGTTTTACATTAAATGAAGAAGAAAAGAAGAGAAAGAAGAAATTAAAGAAAAATTCAGTTTATGAAGCTACTTATACAAATGCAAGTAGGTTATTGGGTGGATATCCATTAACAAAAGGTCAAGATATAGGTGGTTTTAAATTAGGTTCAACTGTAGTTTTAGTTTTTGAAGCTCCAGATAATTTTAAGTTTGATTTAAAAATTGGTGATAAGGTTAAAGTTGGTCAATCATTAGGGAATTTTAAATAGTTATAGTGCTACATTATAATTATAAATGCATAAATTAGAAGAATATCATTGAATTACTAGCTCTTTATATCTTGTACACTAGTTAACTATGTGCGTGTATCTTTGTTCAATCTTTCAATATCGTCTAATAAAAAATTGATTTGGATCAAAATAAATAAATATATTAAAGGCTAATAAATTTTCAACAATAAAATATATAAATATACTCTCATACACAGCATTATTATGTCATTTCTAAGTACAATTAGAGGATTGGGTAGATCATCCAAGAAGAATAAAAAAGATTTAGAACCAACCAATAACTCACCAATTTTATATACTCATTCAAATTATTCTGGTAATAATTTAAAAAGATCACAATCACCAACTAAAATATTATCATCATCACCTAGTAAATTAACATTGTCAAGCACTTCATCATCAGTAAATACATCAAATAGTAATCGAGCATCATTTCAACCTAGTTCACCAAGTAAAAGAAATCGAATTTTACATCCAAATCAACAACAACAACAACAACAACAACAACAACAAAAACTGCCTTTAAAACATCGACAACTGTATCAAAATTCAATACAAAATGCCAATCTGCAAAATTCACTATTAATTGATCCACCATTATTTCTATGTGAACCATATGTCAAAATGTCATTAGTTAAAGGTTCATTTAAAACTATTGTAACTATTCCAAAATATGTAGATTATTACGAATGGCTAGCAATTAATGTTTTTGAAATGTTTAACAATTTAAATCGATTTTATGGGGTTGTACAAGAATATGTTACTCCTGACGCATTTCCAACAATGAATGCAGGTCCAAATACAAATTATTTATGGGTTGATAGTTCAGGACAGGCTATAAATTTACCTGCTTGTCAGTATATTGATTATGTTGTCACTTGGATATCAAATAAGACAAATGATCAAAGTGTATTTCCTACAAAAAGTGGCGGCTCATTCCCACCTAATTTCATTAAAGATTGTAAAAATATATGTAGACAATTATTTAGAATATTTGCATTTATTTATTATAATCAATTTGAAACAATTTTGCATTTGACATTAGAAGCTCATTGGAATTCATTCTTTGCTCATTTCATATCATTTAATGCTGAATTTAATTTATTGGATAAAAAAGAATTGGAACCATTACGTCCATTAATAGAAAAATTACAGCAATTGGGCAAGATTTAAAAGACTTAAAATTTAAAGTTAGTATAGATTTTTATAAATATAAGTCCAATTATGTATATTTTAGACATAAAATGGTTCGATTACAGCCAAAGAAGAAGATAGATCTGTAAATTTGATTGTCAGTTTGTTATATATTAGGCTAATATTAATCCGTGTAGTATAATTCGGTAATGACCGCTTAACAGAATTCCATGATGGAATTTTAGTCTGGCATGCAAACCGTTTTTTTAAACTATGCAAATACGATGAATTATGTTTGCTTCTTAATTTCATTCTTTTATGTTTTCAATTAAAAGAACTAGTACGTTAGCTAAATCTGTAAGGTTTAATAGTCTTAGTACTAGAAGAGTACAAAGATTTAACTATTTCAATTTTGCAATTGGTACTTCTTTCATTTTTGGGTTGGGGTATTATTTACATCAACAAAATTTGATTCATAATGAAGAACAACAAAAATTAACAATTGCTCCTTCTGTTTTACCATTATCTAAATTATATCCTCCTAAATATTGTGATGAAGAACAATTCAAGGAAGGGTTAGCTAAAATTGTTGAAATTGTCGGTAAAGAAAATGTGAATTCGGATTCGGAAGTTTTGGCTCAATACAATGATTCTTTTTATTCTACTCATCATCCACCAGATCCAAATAAACAAAGACCAAGTGCGGTTGTCAAACCAGGTTCTACTGAGGAAGTGTCCAAGATTATGAAGATTGCAAATGCTTACGCAATTCCAATTGTCGCAAATTCGGGTTTAACTTCAATTGAAGGTCAATTTATTAATACTCAAGGTCCATTATCAATCTCCGTTTCGTTTGCAAGAATGGATAACATTATCGAATTACATCCTGAAGATTTAGATGTTGTTGTACAACCTGGTGTAGGTTGGCAAGATTTAGATGCATATTTACAAGACTCTGAAGAAGGTTCACATTTAATGTTTGGTCCAGATCCAGGTCCAGGAGCTTGTATAGGTGGTATGATAGGTACTAGTTGCTCGGGTACTAACGCCTACAAGTATGGAACATGCAAGGAATCGATTATCAATCTTACTGTTGTTTTAGCCGATGGCACAATTGTCAAAACTAAACAAAGATCAAGAAAATCATCTGCTGGTTATGATATGACTCATTTATTCATTGGAAGTGAAGGTACTTTAGGTTTAGTCACTGAAGCTACTTTAAAATTACTGGTTAGACCAAAGAAAGAATTAGTTTGTATTGCTTCATTTCCAACAATTAGAGATGCTACAAATGTTGCTTCAAAAGTTATTTCACAAGGTATTCAACCAAATGCTATGGAAATATTAGATGATAGAATGATTTCATTTGTTAATAAAACTTCAGATACAAATTTACCTGAAAAGCCAACTTTATTTTTCAAAATTGGTGGTCCCTCAAAAGTTGTAATTGATGAACAAATAAATACAATTGAAAATTTAACTAAGGAAAACAAAGTTGTTGAATTCAAAAGATCTACTGATGAAGATGAAAATTTATTATTATGGCAAGCTAGAAAAACTGGATTTTGGTCAAGTTTCGAATATGGTAAAACTATATTGAAAGATAAAGATGATGTTCAAGGTTGGGGTACTGATATTGCGGTTCCAGTTTCAAAATTACCTGATATGATAAGTGATACTAATGATGATTTATTAAAATCTGGTTTTAAAGATCGATTTGCAGTCATGGGTCATATTGGTGATGGTAATTGTCATTTTATAATTTTGTATAATACTCCAGATTACCATAAAGTTCAACAAGCAGTAGATAGAATGGTTTTTAAAGCTATCGATTATGAAGGTACTTGTACTGGTGAACATGGTGTCGGTGTTGGAAAAAGAAGATATCTTGTTAAAGAATTAGGACAATCTACTATTGATTTAGAAAGACAAATTAAATTAGCATTAGATCCAAAAAGAATTTTGAATCCTGATAAAATATTCAAAATTGATCCTAATGATACTTTAGAAAAACAATTAGAAGGTGGAAAATTACATGATTCACAAACTGCAGCACATTTACATTAAAAAGTTGAAATTGTTTATTAAAAACACAAAATATATACAGAATTTGAAAATTAATATCTATAAAACCCTTAAAAAATCGAACGTTATGTAATACGTAAAATCATGAAACAAAAATGAAACTGAAATAATTTATGCAAAAAAGTATGATGATTCTTCAACTGATTTTAAATCAAATCCTCCTCTTTTTGGAACTTCTGGAAATTGTAATGGAACTAGTATAGTATAATCTTTATATTTTTTATCTTCTTTAACTGATTTTAAATCTTCAACATGATCTTTGATTATACTTATAGTAGTAACCATTTCTTTACCAGCTTTTACATCTTTTGGATTATCTGATTTTAATAAATCTAATCTTTTTCTTTCCATATAAAGTTCATCAGTTACTGATACTGGTCTTCCTATTGATTTTGACCATTGTTGTTTAATTGATTTTATTCTTTTAGCTAATTCAGAAGCACCATTTATATAAATAGTTTGATAAAAACCTTTATATCTTTCAATAAATTCATCTCTTAATAATTCAACCAAATTTGCTGAATGTAATTTAACAAATTGTTCTCTAATGCATTTATTCATTATATCAATATCAGCAGCATGAGTCCAAAATGAATCATGAACAGATGCAAAATCTAAATTTTTTAACCCACATTGTTTTGCAGTCATTAACATATGAGTAGCATCTAATGAATGAATAAAATTTGGAGGGAAACCAGATTGTTGTTTTCTTGAGTCAACTTGTGTTGTACCTGAAGGATTATTTAAAAAAATTTCTTGAATTGAAGTTTTTATTCTTGAAGTTTTTGAATTTCTATAAGGTTGAACACATGGTAAACCTATTGGAGTAGTCCATATAACTGAACTTGAATATAATTCACTTTCATCATCTGAATCTTGTCCAAATTCTAAAGCAACTGATTTTGTAATAATTTTAGCTGCATCACCTAACCAATCTTGAATTGCATGAGCATTTTCAAATAATTCTCTAATTGCATCAAAAACTTGTTTTGTTAGATATCTAACTAATATATGATTATCATTATTTACATCATCTTTATTTAAATATTTTTCAACTTGTTTTCTAATTTGTAAAACAGCACCAACAAATGTAACTCCATAAACATTAGTCATAACAGTTTGTTTGATAACTTTTCTTGTAACTTTTCCTGACCAAAATTTAGCCATTTCATCACCAATTGCAACACCTGCTTCTAATCTTTTATCAACTAATCTAGCAACGAATGAATAAACATCTTGTGGTCTATCACTTGGTAATAAATTAACTTGTTTTGCACCTTCAATATCCCCACCTAATGCTGCATAATGTTGTAAACCATTACATGAACCATCTTGATGGACAGGTAAATGTGATTTAAATTTAGTTGGATCTGATAATTTAGATGCCTCATTTAATTCAAAACAAACACTCAATGTTTGCCATGGTTTATCAGCTTTTTTCCACCATGCATTTTCAGCTAATGGATCATTTGCAGAATTAAAAATATTTTGTAAATTATCATCAACAAATTTTTCTCTTTCTTGAAATGGTGCTTTATCAAAACCATAAACATTAGCTAGATGAATTTTAAGCCATTTTAATCCAGATTCTCCCAATTCTTTACCATCCCAAAATAAAACTAACGATCTTGTTAAATCATTACCTAAATGATTGAAATGTGGAGATAATGGATATGCTCTACCTCTAAAATCTAAATTATGTGGGAAATAAATTTTTTCTCCTATAAACCCTCTTGCAATTTCGAGTTTGTAATTATGATCACATCTTTGCGATTTTGCAGTTAAATGAGCTAATAAAGCTTGATTTATTTTCTTTGTTTGTTCAAATTTTTCCAATGGATCAGCATTTGAAGGTAATTTTTCAGGTATTTCAATCTTTGAAACAACTGGTGGTATTGATAATACTTCTTCACCTTTATTCCAATAATGACTTATGACGTCAAACATTTGTTTATTAACTGTCCATGCAGTTTTACCTAAAACATTCAACCCATCAAATACTTCATCAAGATTACCTCTTTTAGCAGCAGTTTTTAAATAAGCTTCAGTTTCTGGAGCATCTTTCATTCTAACTAATGGACTTCTTGAATATGATGAATTACCACCTCCATAAAAATCATCCCAAGGTTTTGGTTCAACTAACATCGGTAATGATTGAGGTTGGATTGCTTCTGTGAAAGTACTCCCTGATAAGTTTTTAATGAGTTCATTGTGTAATTTCAAAACACCCACTCTACTACCTGCAACAAATTGTATACCATGATAAAATGCTGGATGGTATTCTTCAATAGCTGATGGTAATTTTGTATTTTCATTTGTTATAAATTTTTTAACTTTAACTTTTGCAACTGACATTATAAATGCAATTAATACACCACCAATTTTAGCTTTAATTTGATTATCCCATTCTTGAACTTCTTCTCCATCTATTGAATTTTTAATAATTTTTTTTAATTTTAAATCAACTTTTTTTCTTTTTGATGAATTTATGTTTAATTTAGCATCTTTTTTTGCACCTAAACTTGTACGATATTCCAATTCAATTGCTTTTCCAACTTGTGAAACACATTTAGGAACTCTCATACCACGTAATACACCACCAGTTGCATTTAATTTAAGTAATTCTAAAAGAGCAACAACTGGTGCTTTTTCTGGATTAATTTTCATAAAATATGGTGCATAAAATTCTCTTTCTTTAATTGCAAATTTATCATCACCTTGATCAACTGATGTATCACCTTCTAATAGAGCTTTACATAATACTTGTTCTTTTTTGATTAATGGAACTAAGTCTCGATACCATCTATAACATTGAGCATTTAAACTTTTTGATAAATTAAAATCACCTCTTTTCTTTTGTTCTTCAAAATCATGTTTCCATTTTTCTTTGGCACCTTCTATACCTCTAATTTCTAATTCTTTTTGTCTATCAATATTAAATGCTTCTAGTGCTTCATTGAATTGAGTTCTTTGATCGTCAGTTTCCAATTTTTTATAAATTTCATGGTAATTCAATTTCCCTTTTTCAATTTCCAATCTAGTTTTTTCTTCTAAATCTTTTATTATTTCCTCTATATCTATTGAAAATTTAGCTGCTGAATCTGCATTTGGTTTCAAACCTAATAATGAATGTCTAACAACTTTTAAACCAAAAGATTCAACTGGTAATAATTCTTTTAAATTATCTTTTTGTAATGGATCCATTAATTTGTTGGTTTGTAATTTGATGGTATCTTCTAATATTTCTACATCTTGTTTATTCATTTTATATTCGTGGTAAACTTCTTGTAATTCTTTCGGTATGCAATCTTTAGTTATAAAATCACTATCAAATAACTTGTAGTAATTATTTAAACCTATTATATCAGAATTTTTCAAAACTTGTTTTATACCCCCAAGTACATCTTCCTCTATATCATTGAGAAAATTTCTTACATTTTCGCCATCCTTCAACATCTTAGTTAAAACAATTGCATCAGTTCTTGCATCTGAGATAAAATTACATTCTTTTGTAAGTTTTTCTGTTATACTTTTGAGATCTTGTACTTGGAATTTGTTCTCTTCGTCTTCATTTATACATATTGTTTCAAGATATTTATTACAGAGCTGGGTAAACTCATGATAAGTGACTAACATGGACAATGATTTGAAGATTTGTAATGATCTGTCAAAATATCGTTGATTTGAAAATGTATCCAACATGTTTTTAAGGTAAATGACTTCTTTTTCATAAATCGGCCTTGGGACATCATCATGTTTTGTTGAAAAATGACCAGTTAATGTATTCTTTGGTTTTAAATGTGATGAATCTATTTCAAAAAATGATTGATTTTCTAGATTAGTTTTAAGTCTTGTTGGTTTAGCTGGATTTTTAAGTGGTTGCAAATATCTTTCCATAAATGGTGAAGTATATGAGGAAGTTGAAGTTGGATTTATAGTTGAAGTTTCATAATTATTTAAAGATGATTTTTTTATACTTCTTATATCATGTTTAAACTGTCTAATTAAATTTAGTCTTGATATACTTTTTAAGTTTCTTGAATTAAACAGTAGCATTATTCATGTAAAATATATGATTCTTGCCAGCGAAAAAAATGATAAAGGATAAATGACTATATACAAGGAATTCAAAATGATGATTCTAAGTGAATAATAACTGAAATGAATGTGGGTCGATACGAATATTGATTTTTAAGTGGTTGTTAAAAATAGTAAATTATGAAAATTTTAATAAGTCTTACTTTTTTTTTTTTAGTTCTTTCTATACATTTTTTTTTTTTTTTTTAGATGGAATTTCTTTTTATTTAGTACTACATTAACAGGGCCATGTTTCGTGTGAAAGTTAGTGCCATATCTCGTGGTAAACGGATTTTCATTTCATGCCGGGTTGGAGCGACTTTAGAGCGGTAAGAATATCAAAAAAATTATCATTAATTAACTAAACAATATAAATAGTATTCATAAAAGAAATGAAAAATAACATTAAAGAATCAGTATCCTTCTTAAATCTTAGCTTTATACAATTATCTCTATATCTCACGATTTTTCTATAATCCCATTTCAGCCTGTAATGCTTTTAAAGCTTCTTCATCCTCATCATCTTCTGTAACAGGTTTATTTTTACTAACACTTGGAAATGATGGTAATTCTTCTTCTTCTTCATGTATGATTGGTCTTGCTTTTTGTTTAGGTATTCTTTGTTGTTGTTCTTCTTCTTTTTGTTCATTTTCCAATTCTTTCAATTCAGCATCTAATTCATCTTCATCTACATATTCATTACCCACAGGTCTTGATATTGCATCACTAATTTCATCAGCTAATTCAACTTGTTCTCTAATTTCATCCATTGTATCTTCAACTTTATCAACATCATATTCTCCATGTATTTGCTTCATAGCTTTTGCTCCTTGTTTCATAGCTTTCATAGTTTCTAAATTCAAATTAGCACCTTCAATTGAAATTAATTGTGTTTCTAAAGTTTCAATTTGATTTTCAACTTTTATTAAATTTGCTTCATAACCTTTTTTTCTTTTTAATGCATTTTTGGCTAAACTTGATTGTTTTGATGCTACATATTTTCTTGCTAATTGATCTTGATCATCCATTTGTTGTTGTAAATGATTTTTCTTTTTATTAAGAGTTGATATATGTTCTCTTAATTCAACTATGGCTTTTTTAGGTAAATCCTTCTTTTGTTGACTATTTCCTCCAAAGAAATAACCCCACATTGTGAATATATGTAATTCGATCTGTTATATGAAATGTAAAATGGTCTGGAATAGTTGTTAGTATTAAACTTTCCCTGGTTGCCCTCACTACTACTTAAATTAAAGTTTACTGATTTTACATACAATAATTTGAAAACTGAGAGATTTATTGATATAAACAATAATATTGAATGACTGAAGTATTTTGTTCCCAATTATATATAAAAATGGTTCGTTGATAAAATGATGTAGTATTGAATATTATAATTTGACTTTCTTGATAGTAAAGATTGATATAACCAAAATTCGGTTTTTTTTTTTTTACTCGCAATATACACTACTTCACGGGGCTACCAATTGGCTATCAATTGGCTACCAATTGTTTCATATTTATTAGCTTTATCGTATATTATATTAATTGATTACTATTAACTGACGAGGACCCATATAAAAAAGAATACTATTAGTACTCCAAATATTTTCAAAAATAACCATCTATTATTTGTTATATGTGCATAATACTTTAATAATTCTCTTTGTGCTCCAGTTATATTTAAATCTATTTCTTCAACATTTTGATCAATTCTTTGTATTTGTTCACCTTGTTCACTGACCATTGTAGCTAATTGTTGAAATAAATTTCCAACTTCATTTATTGTACTTTCTATCGATTCAACAGCTCTATTTCTAGATTGTAAATATTGTTGATTTTGTGATTGTTCTTCCATTAATAACATTTGCTGTTGCTGATTAGGTAATGATAAATATTCATTATCATTCATATCATAAGGAGAGCTAATTTCTGGGTCTGCATCAGGATCATATGGTAATCTATCATTACTTTGATTTGAAGACATTAAAAATGGATTTTCATTTAAATTACTCAATGAATTTGGTGATTTTGTTCCATTTTCAATTAACGGAGAATGATTATTACTTAATCTATTATTTGATACACTTGATAAAAAATTTTCAGTTCTATTTTTATTTAAAATTTCATTCTTTTGTCTAATTTCTAAAACATTTTTAAATTCTCCTGATACATTTTTCATTTTTGAATTTAATAAATTAACTACATTTTTACTAAATAATGCTTGTTGATTATCATTAACTATTGTTATCTCTCCTTTCATATATTTTTGTAAATTTTGAATATTAGTTTCAATTTTAAAAATATCTTGTTTAATAACATATGTTAATTCTCCGATTTCAATTGGTTTATCATCAAATATAGGTTTTCTTTTAGCTAATATGGCTAGTTTACTTAACAATTCTGTTACATGAGATATATCTTTTGCTATTATACTTGCTTGTTGACTAAAATGTGATTTTTTGGGTGGCCATGGATTTTGATTTTGATTTTGTTGTTGTTGTTGATTAATTAAATTTTGCTTTCGATTTATTTTGTTATATGTTTGTACACATTGTTGAAACTCTACTGTCCTATTTTGTATAGATACTGATGACATATACTGATAGTTTAATATTATAAAATAGCTTGGTTGTAAATGATAAACCGTAATATATAAAACTAGGCTAGACAAAAAAATAAAAAAAAAAAATAAAAAAAAAAAATTAACACACTTTTATTCGCGTGTTATATACAGGATTCAACTAGTGCTACCAAGTTTGTATCAGATCTAATATTTGAATTCAAAGCCATCAATTAATCGAAGGTACCTTTAATATAGATCTACTTATTTCTCTTATGTGATAAGTTTGTAAATAAGTTCCGTTTTTGTGCTACTAGACACTACTAGGCAGTAAGACAACGTGATTCGAGTATCAGAACATGTCAATAGTGAAATGGTACCTTCCTTATCAATTGACATTTATCAGTTGACATTGTTTCCGGTACTCAGTAAACTTTTGAGCTTCTCTGTTTCCACTTTATTGTAAGCTTTAATTTGTAGTTGATTTAAAGTTGGTGTAATAAGAATATACATAAAGTGAAATTTTATATTAAAATTCGGCTTCTAGAAATGGTATTAAACTAAACAAATTAGGTTTAACTAAGTTAGTCGTAAATCTTGACCAATGATTTAGTCCAGTTGTAATTCTAATTATAGTTTTGAGTTAACAAACCTTATAATTTTAGTACAATAGGATTATAAAGAGCACGTTGGTTAATTAATTAATTAAAATCTAACTAAAATTTAAGATTTATAATGAAATTCCCCTATTGTTTATACATTTGAAATTTATTAACCCGAAATTGACAATCAAGTTGAAAAATTTGAAAAATTATATAAATTGAAGATATTCCGTAAGAAATTGACATAATAATAATAATACTTCAAGTTTCGAAATTTCTTAAGGGGTAATTTCAAGTTTTATTTTTTCGGCTGAAAAATGGTGAAAAATAATTTGATAATCTTTTTTTTTTACCTCGTGAATGTTATATATTCATATACTTTGCCTGGTATAGATTCATTATCTGTTCAACATGACTTATGGAAACGTGGTAATTTGATTGATTCGGTTTATGATAATTTAGATGATCCAGAAACTGATTTCATTAATGTACATTTAAAAAATTTAACAAATTTTAATGGTACTGAATGTGATACATGTAAATTTAGAATTAAATATGGTCAAAAATTATTAGAAGAAGAACCTGAAAATTCACATTTAGTTAGTTTATTATTATTTAAGTATTGTTTAGTTTCAAATAATAATAGTGAATCAAAATGTGATAATAATGATTTCTTTGTTACTACAAATTCGCAAAATTTTGAGAATTTTGATGAAGATTATGATTCAGGTGTTACTAGTGGTACTAGTGTTAATTTTTATGATAATGATTTTTTACATTTATTAAGAAATTTTAATACTTCAAGCGATTTAGATTTAGAATATTATTGTTTCTTTAGAGGTAAATCAGCTTGTAAATTACCTGAAACTAAAGATGTTGATGAATTTTATGGTATTCAAAATTGGTGGCCTGAAAAAAACCCACTATATGAAAAAGAACCAATTTATACTAAAAATAATGAAACTTTTAATGTTTTACATGTTACTGATTTTCATATTCAATTAAGATATACCCTTGGTGCAGAAGCAAATTGTACTTCAACTCCTTGTGCTTTACCAGAATCTTATAATAAACAATTGCCAAATCAAACTTATAATTTTACAAATTATTACAAAACTTTTAATCCAAATATAACTGATATTGATTTATCATTTTATCCAGATGCGCATTATACTTCAAATAATACTTATGTTAAAGGTTCATATTATGATTTTCCAAAATTTAGAGGTTGGAATTTTAAAAATGTACCTGCATCAACCTTTGGTGCTTATTTAGCTGATTCACCAGAAGTTTTAATGAATAATTCTTTATTAACTATTCAACAAGCAAATAAAGATAAAAAATTTGAATTTGTTGTATTTACAGGTGATTTAGTTGATCATGACGTTATTCATTGTTCACCAAATGTCACAAAAGAAGCAGAAATTAAATCATTTAAATTAATGAAACATTTTCTTGGTGATATTCCAGTTTTACCAAGTTTAGGAAATCATGATACTTTTCCCTACGGTCAACTTTCACCATTACAATATGATTTTAATAATTCATATCATTGGAATGAAGAATTAATGGCAAATCTTTGGATTCAAAATGGTTGGTTCAATGAAACTTCAAGATCAGAAATTAAAGAACATTATGCTGGTTTTTCATATGTTACTAATCGTGGATTAAAAGTTATTGGATTAAATTCAAATTGTTATTATCAAAAAAATTTATGGTCGTATATTAATTTATCAACAGAACCTGATTTATTCGGTCAATGGAAATTTTTAGTTGATGAATTAGTTGAAAGTGAAAGTAAAGGTCAAAGAGTTTGGATTATGGCTCATATTCCAGTTACTGATTATGATACATTACCTTTACAATCACATATTTTTGGTAAAATTGTTGAAAGATTTTCGCCATATACAATTGCTCTGATTTTTTATGGTCATACTCATCAAGATCAATTTCATATTTTATATGCATCAAATTCTTCACAAGATGCAAAAGATATTATTAACATGTCTTGGGTTGCTCAATCAGTTACACCATTGACTAATTATAATCCAAGTTGGAGATATTACGAAGTTGAAAATGAAAGTTTTAATATTAGAAATGCTTATAATTATTATACTCATTTAAATGAAACTTTTGTAAATGGTGGTGATGAACCAATTTGGCAATTTGAATATTCTGTTAGAGATTTATATGATCCAGAAGGTACATGGCCAAAAAATGCTCCTTTAAATGGTACATTCTGGCATTATAATGTATTGCAAAACTTGAAAAATGAATCAAATATTGAATTTAATCAATTGTTTGCGAATATGCAATATAGATACGGTCCAGGTACACCAAAATGTAAAAATGGAACTGTTATATCAGATGATTGTTATGATGGTAATTACTGTGTCATGGGTAATTTCTATTCGGATGATTATCAAAAATGTTTAAGATCAGATGATTAGGGAGGGAGTGTGTTTGTTTATTAGGGGAGAGAAGTTAGGTGGTTGGTCAAAAGTTGCGTGGTTTTATTTTTACTTCAATTGTGTCGTTATTATTTCATTCGGTCAAGTGAATACTTTTATTTAGAGTTTGTTAGATATTACATACCCATTATTAAGTGAACAATTGTAATAGCACTTTCTTAATGACCACGGCATTTCATTATTAAGTGAACAATTGTAATAGCACTTTCTTAATGACCACGGCATCAGTATCTTCATTTTATAACTTCATACGAACGCTGAAGTTCCCACTTTAGTATTGAAGAAGCTCAAAAAGTCTAAACAAACGCGTCTTATGAATATTCAAAGCATTATCTCTGTCTGTAACCTCATTTTACGCGTTGGTTTCCTATCAAAAACTGCTCAAGAATTGATATAAAATTGGTTCTTCCTTATTCTAATCTATTATACGACGCAAGAAATATATCCAATTTGATTTACTAATTAGGAAAAATTATAAACATAATAAATAAAACTAATAAAAATGGTACAGACACTACATAGTTAATTTTAATTTTTATTATGTTTACATTTTTAGAAATTTTTTTTAACAGAGACGAATTTTGATTTTTACTTTCATATCAATTTTTATAAATTCATATCTTTTTATTAACAGACCATATTTCATATTCATCGTTTGATATTTATATAACTATATTTGTACATTACAAGATTATTTATATTAAGATCGATATATTTAAACAATGAGAGAAATTGTATGTTGATTCCATGACTGACAACCAAAAGAGATCAAAGAAGGAAACGCGCTATTTATGTCAATAAATTGACCTTGCGAATAGGAGATGGTGTCATGTTTCATTTAGTGTTCAGTTATACTAACAATATACTCTAGATTCATTTATCAACAGGTCAATGTGGTAATCAAATTGTATGTATTCCACAATTAAATAATTGATTTTGATTTTTGCCAAATATTTTTTTTTTATTTGTTTATGTTTTGTATTGTATACACACACTATCAATTAGACGAAATCAAATGAATTTAATACGGGGGGTATCATACTAACAATATTATCTAGGGTGCTGCTTTTTGGGAAACTATATGTGGTGAACATGGTTTAGACAATAGTGGTAATTATGTTGGTAATAATGAATTACAAAAATCAAAATTAGATGTTTATTTTAGTGAAGCAAGCTCTGGTAAATACGTTCCACGTGCTGTTTTAGTTGATTTAGAACCAGGTACTATTGATAATGTTAAAACTTCAACTATTGGTAATTTATTCAGACCAGATAATTTTATTTTTGGTCAAAGTTCAGCTGGTAATGTTTGGGCAAAAGGTCATTATACTGAAGGTGCAGAATTAGTTGATTCAGTTTTGGATGTTATAAGAAGAGAAGCTGAAGGTTGTGATTCTTTACAAGGTTTTCAAATAACTCATTCATTGGGTGGTGGTACTGGTTCTGGTATGGGTACTTTACTAATTTCAAAAATTAGAGAAGAATTTCCTGATAGAATGATGGCTACATTTTCAGTTGTTCCTTCACCAAAAGTTTCAGATACTGTTATTGAACCTTATAATGCAACTTTATCTGTTCATCAATTGGTTGAAAACTCAGATGAAACCTTCTGTATTGATAATGAAGCTTTATATAATATTTGTCAAAAAACTTTAAAATTACCACAACCATCATATGTTGAATTAAATAACTTAGTTTCATCAGTTATGTCAGGTGTTACTACTTCGTTACGTTATCCAGGTCAATTAAATTCAGATTTAAGAAAATTAGCTGTTAATTTAGTTCCTTTCCCAAGATTACATTTTTTTATGGTTGGTTATGCACCATTAACTTCATTGGGTTCAAAATCATTTAGATCAGTTACTGTTCCAGAATTAACTCAACAAATGTTTGATTCAAAAAATATGATGGCTGCTTCAGATCCAAGAAATGGTAGATATTTAACAGTTGCAGCCTTTTTCAGAGGTAAAGTTTCAGTTAAAGAAGTTGATGATGAAATGCATAAAATTCAAACTAGAAATTCATCATACTTTGTTGAATGGATTCCAAATAATGTTCAAACTGCTGTTTGTTCAGTTCCTCCAAAAGATTTAGATATGTCAGCTACTTTTATTGGTAATTCAACTTCAATTCAAGAATTATTTAAAAGAGTTGGAGATCAATTTAGTGCCATGTTTAGAAGAAAAGCTTTCTTACATTGGTATACTTCTGAAGGTATGGATGAAATGGAATTTACTGAAGCAGAATCAAATATGAATGATTTAGTTAGTGAATATCAACAATATCAAGAAGCAAGTATTGATGAAGAAGATCTTGAATATGGTGATGAGGTTCCATTAGATGATCAACCAATGGAATAAACAATCAATAATTCTTTCTTCATTTATCTCACAAAATATTTCACTTCTTTAATTTATTTGGTTTTGGTTTTTAAATTATATACCCCCCTCAATATTATAACAAATATATAATTTCATAGTTTAATGTAATTATCTACAATTCGAAATTATCTGAAATGTATAAATGTATATTATAAATAAGATTACAAAATGAAAAAATACCCACCTAAATGCAAATTAAAAAGACATCAACTCTAATAACTTTTAACTTTAATTACCCCTAAGGAAATTTTTTATAAAATCATTTTTATCAACTTGATTATAAGCATTTTGATCATCAAAATATCTCATAACATGACATTGTTGTTTCCAAAAATTAATCAATTCTTGAAATTCCATTTGACCTTTCATATACAAAACATTTGTAATATTAATATCATTAATAAATCTTTGTCTTTCAAATTCTTGTCTAATTTTAGTTTTAATAACTGATGTAGGCATATCTAATTCATATAAATCACCAAAATTTTTTGAATTACGAATAAATCTTCTATACAAATGCAATACTCTTTTTTTCAAATCAGGACTTGATGTTGAATAACGAGTAGTTTCTGCAAATGCTGTAGCTAATGTCATGGTTTGGTAGTTGAAAAGTATTGAAACTTTTAATTAATATAGTATTTTTTCTGTTTGGTAAAAGAAATTGTTTGGTTGGTTAAATATTATATACAGGTGTAAAATGGTAGCATATTCATATTGTTATATCGTATATTGAAATAATTAAGTTAATTCATGTTCAATTTGCTTTAAAAATTGTCCTGATGGTTCAAGAATTTTGATAAATCTACATAATTCAAAACACCAATCCCATTTTTTGGATTTATCCAACATTTTAATGATTTTTAAGATTATTTTCTTATCATTTTCATTTAATTGATCGAAATCCTTCTTCTCATCTTCTTCTTTTCTATAATTTAGATAAACTATTAGATAATTGTAACATAATTCAACATTATCTATCTCAATCAATCTACTCATAAAATTTTCTGGAGTTGTATCTAATATTTTGAAAAATTTATTCCAATAAACAATTTCAATCTTTCTTAAACAATTTATATATATGAATTCTGAATTTTCTGTAAATTCAATTAATTGAAATAATCTCTTTAATGTTAATTGTGTCTTATCTTCATCTATTGTAAGATGCTTAAATAATAATAATTCCAAACAATAATGAAAATTTTCAAAATGTTTATATTTATTAAATGAACTTTCTAAATCTCCTTTATGTAATAAATCAAATTCAATAAAATTGTTAAGTATTAACTGGTGTCTTATTCTATTTTTAATAATTAAACCATTCGATTTATTTAGTATAATATTTTCAACTCCAATTATATCAATTGATTTGTTTGAAATTACATCAAATTTAAATGGTTGTAAATTTCTACAATCAATAACTATTGGTAGTAATGGTTCATCTTCTATATCTTCCAATAGATCGTCAACTATCTCTTCTTGTTGTATTGGTTTTGATTTATTTATTAGTTCATTAATTTCATATATAAAAATTTGACTGCCATTGAATAAATATATGAAATCTAACTTATCTTGAAACTTAATTGATTTGAACTGAAAGTATTCAATTGAGGAATGTAGTTTGATTAAATCATATATATTACTTGGTTTTATCACTTCAATTGGCTTACTAAATGACGATGATCTTCTTGGTGATTGATTTTTAAGTAAATAAAACTCACCATTGCTTAATAAAAATAAAAAATGTTTATCTTGAATCATACTAATTTGTATAACTTCATTCAAATTAATCTTTTTAACTATTGATGATAAATGAACCGTCTTATCTACTGATAAATGAATTTTGTAATGCTTTGATTCATTATTTTGTTCTAAAATTCTATTGGTACTTAGATTTAACACAACTAATCGATGATCACTAGTTAATAATACAACTTTTGACTTGGTTTTATTAGTATCTATAATTGTGGACACAACAAAAGTGCTATTGAAATTATATTTCCAGATCAATAGGTCACTGTTAAAAGTAATTTCTTCTCCTCCCGTCCCATACTTCAATAATGAAGTGTCAAACACAATGAATTCATCAATAAATTCATCTTCATCATCTGTGTGCTTTGGTATACGATTAATAATTATTAAATAATCTCTAAACCAAAATTGATTAATTATATTCATTGATTCAGCTAAAAAATTTCTAAAATTAAACCATAAAATATGATTGATATTACCACCAGTGGTAATTGGAGTTGATACGGCTAAATGATCACCATAAGATATTGATAATTGGTCAAATATATTTTGAGATATGGAAAATCTACCATGTTGTGTTTTTGAATTTCCTGAATGATTTTCTTGGAATTGAAATATATTCTTAAATTTAGGCGTTATTGGAAATCGTATAAGATTTCGATTTTTTTCAATTAAACTGATGTACTCCTTGTCATATAGTATATTATTAGTAGATTTTACCAAATTGATATAATGTAATTTGCTCTCATTTAGCACATATAGCACTGATGAGTTCCCCGATATAACAACTGAAGATGCTTTTAGGTATGTCTGCTCTAGATCTTCATCTACTTCATTGGAAATCTCTTGTGTGTCAGAAAATACATTACCGAATTTAGAAATCAATTTCCAGTGTTTTTCATCATCAATTAAAATGAAAAAACTTCCACATGAAGACCATTTAAATTCTCCATTATAATCTAAATTTTTTATAATTTGAAATGATTTATTTTTGATAGTTGCAATCTTCAACACATCATTCTCATTAATTAAAATTAAATTGTACTTTGGATTAAATGACATATTTTTTATATTCCCCTTACCTATTTTGTAGCCTATAAGCCCGTCAGATTCTAGACTCGTATACCAAATCTCATTCTTTGTATTGACGAATATAAAATAATTTTCAAACTCGTTAAATGTAATATATTTTATTCTGACTGAATTATACCATTCAAACTCGGAAAACACAAATAATTGCGTCTTTAAAGTTAATATATTGACCATATGAATAAAATCATCATCTGGTTTTTCTTGATGTTCCTCCTTATCATCATGATTATTAAATACGAATAAATTATGACTATTTTCCTGTAACCAATATTCTTTATACCCGATACCAATTTTTAAAATTTTGAAAATTCCAATTTTAACGTATTCAATATTGAAGTTATTAACTTCATCATCAATTGAACAATTATTTACATTTTCTACATTTTCTAAGTTTATCAGTATTTCTTCAGTACCATGAATAATTGACTTTGTAGCATTTTTGACAAAATTAGTAATTGAAAATTTCAGTGGAGTAAAAGTCATAGGTAAACCAGATTGAATTAATTCATTATTTGAATTATGTATTTCATATAAATTCTTTGAAAAGTTTATGGAAAGTTGATAAATTATTAAAAAATTTAAATTTGTTTGAATAAATAAGTTTATAGTTGGTAATTTTTGTAATTTGGATGTATTTACACTGACATTTTTAACCTTTAAATCTATATTGAGTCCATTATTTTCAATTGAGTCTAAATTTCGAGCATGATTAGCCAATGGTAATAATGTATATTTGTTGAATATGTAAATTGAAGTCGGTGTTAAGATTGCTAATAATGGAGTATGTGTTATGTCAAGTATTTCTAGTATTTCTTGAGGTTTCAATGGTATATCCACCAGGAATTGTGGACAACCATTTATCCAAACCATTCGTTTATAATTTTGATTTCAAGATCAAGTATTTTGATTTATGTTGTCAAATTTCCTCGCGCATAAAATTTAAACACTTATGATCTTACCAAAATTGTTGAGTTACGATAAACAATAAACTGTTCATTTGAAGAGCAGTAAACTAACTCCCTACTACTAAAGTAATTTTAGTCTTATTAGTGCCACTGTCTGGGCTTCATATTAAGACTTACCATTGGACTTTGCAGAATTGAAAGTTTTTTTAAATTAGCTGCAAAAAATTTGAAAAAACAGTTATTCGTAAAAAACTCTCTCTTTTAGGCAAAGGACTTTTTAATCCTAAATGAATTGATACATTGGCTTAGCGAAAATTTGGTAAAATAGCCTAGATAAGAATTTGAAGTACGTAAGTTCATTTAGGGTTGATGCAAGTTGGTGGAAGTTTGGCTGCTACCAATGAGGCCAATTCAATTTTCATGTTCTCGCGAGAAAAATTAAAAACAGGACCACATCGGCCAAAACCTATTTTTGTTCATAAGATACGCAATACTGAAGTTGACGGATAACACTTCCATGTACGAACTCTTACAGATTAAAATTTCGCTTCTGACGCTCAACAGACCAATTTAATTACAAAACCGAGAGAGAGGTTGATCTAAAAAATGCACGTGTAGTCCTTAAAATGAGTATATACAATTCCAAACTTTGGATTTCAACAAGTTGGGTGAATGGTCTAGTGGTATGATTCCTCGTTTGGGTTTAACAACTTAAGCATAGAAATTCGAGGAGGCCCTGGGTTCAATTCCCAGTTTACCCCGCTATTTTTTTTTTTGCAGCCATCAAGAGCTAAAGCTAGATTTCTTTGTGCTAATTATTGTAGTAGTCGATGCAATTGTCAAAGTTGCTTGATAATATTCAATGGCTAATTAATGAAAGGTTTATCCAACTCCGTATCTCTTGATTTCTTATTTCGTGGAAGTTATATACGTCAAAAATGTAATACGAGGTCGCCTTGAGGTCAGCGGAGAGATTATTTGTCGCACCAAATAGTCAAATCGAAAAATGATATTTATTAACAGGCGATTATTAGCATCGTTCCATTAAATCTTCTTACTTAGAATTTAGATTGAACTACAAATTCAATATTTAAGATGTGATTTTATATATTAGGAAGTAAACAAAATAAGAATAATAGAAATTAAATAAAAAGAAAAATGAAGAAATAAAAAAACCGAAAAACTAGCATTAGCAAACCAAAAATCACATCTTATTCATAAATAACTCAGTATTTATGTTTTCTTTTTTCATCTTCAAGAACAATGATAACTAATTCAATTGCTTTTGATTCATTAGTAATTGGAGCATCATAAATTTTGAAAGCGGATTTTTGTGAATTGATAGCTGCATTGTAAAATTTGGTTGACTTATTTAAAGCTAAAACCCAATAACCGTGTTTGTAAACGATTGAAAAACCTTTAGTAAATAATGCATCTGGTTGAACAGGGTAATCAGCTTGTAATTGATGATTAGCAACAACTTCAACAATTTTTTTGGAGAATAAAGTAGTTAAAACAGTTTTTTTTAATTTGAAGAAAGTATCAAGTTGATTTTTTCTAATTTTTAAAAATGGATGTTTGAAAGCTCTAAATGGTTCATAATCATCATCGTAAGTTTCATAATCATTATGGTCACCTCTTTTCCAATTATATTTTTTTTTTTTATGATCATCATCTCCATGATCATAATCATTATCATAATCATTATCATAATCATTATCATAAATTGAATAAGGTTTGTATTTATGACAATCATCATAAATTAATTGACCATCATCAATTTCACAAACTAAATCTAAATCATAATCATAGCCTTTACCATGTTTACCATAATCTTTATCATCATCGTAATATTCCTTAACGCCTAAAGGTAGTAATATAACCATCATCATAATTGTTATCATACGTTCTAGTTGGTTTATAATCATCATAACCACCAGCTTCTCTTTTTTCAATAGCAGCAGCAGAAGTTAAAACAGCTAAAACAGTTAACGCAATTGAATTAATGAATTTCATTGAAATCTTAATGATGAAAATTTAAAAATCAAGGGAATTTGGAGCTTTATTTATGGTAAAATTTTAAAATGGTGTATGCGTCTAATTGAATCCATAATTCGTGATTTGGGGTATGTTATTTGATAATTAGTCACAATTCCATTGTAATTTGAGTAATAGCCATCATCGATTTGTAATTTGGTGTATATTATGAAGCAATTCATAAAAGACTTGGCAATTTGATTTATTAAAATATCTTGTATTGACACATAATTACGATACATAATTTTGTTTGCAGCCAAAAAAAATTATATGCAAACCTAACACACAAGGCTATTTGTTTTTAATTTTGCAATTATTTTGCAACTGATCTAGATCTAGAACTCTGAGTACTACTTATATGGAACATTGTTGTCTATAATCAATAGTGGTGAGTTATCACCGTTTAAAAATTATAGTACCAAATTGGTTCAACATTAGTACCATCTCTCGCCTTAGATATTTTAAGATTCCGGCAGTTTTCTCGCCTCACGAAGGTCCAAAGTTGACTCCAAGTAAAAATTTTGAAACTTTGTTTTGACTTATATGCAATATACACATTGTAGAACTTAATAAGTCCAATACCTGAGTAAATTTCAGCCTTCGTCTAGTTTAAAAAATGCACATTTTTTTCAATGTAAAATTAGGTGGCTGAGTTGGTGACAGATTATACTTCATGTGTAATCACGCTACCAAGCGCACAGCTTACGAAATTGAGAACTTTTCAATATAAAATAGAAGCAAGTATAACCTGATATATGGGCCCAATTAGCACATACTTGTGATTTCGACATATATGGTACATTTTTATATAACCTTTTTGTTATGCTTTAATATGAATTTGATTTGAAGTCTGATCAACGGGAGCGAGACGATAATTTTTCGCGATAGCCTTAAGGCGACCTCGTATCACATTCACTAGCTTATACTTAATAAATAACGCAGTTTCTCGAGATACAAAGTATTTATATAAAGCCAGAAGCGTTTATTTCTCTGCCAATATATATGTCAAACTCCAAATTCCAAACATTTTTTTTATGAGTTGTCATTTTTAGCCATTTTTCACCATACAAAATTTTTCGAAAAATGTAAATTTGTGTATTTTTTGATTTCGGGCCATAACTATCAATCAAACAATGGTTTATATATATTATGACACAGTTGAAGGCGCTAGAATTAATTTTTCAAAGGTGAATCGAAATTTTTGCAAAATTTTCAAAAAGATTTTGGCATATTGAGAATAGGGTCAAATTGAACTAGAAATCTATTAAACTGAAGGAGCTACTTTAGAAGTAGCTAAACAAGGTTAAAGTGTGGAATATCTTATAATTTAGCGTTTTTTTCCATTTTTTGAATGACGAATAAAGTAGTCAAAATCAGGTTTTTCCAGTGTTGAACAACATCAGCTTATTATAAATGTACCGGCAATTATAATAGAATAAGTTTGAGTTAGAAAATTGGAGTTTTGACGGAGTTATTAACAAATCAAATCTCAAGATCAACTAGAATGGGACTGCATATAAGCGAATTTGCTTCAGAACTCTTGTTTTTACTATATAATTCATGCCCAAATTTAATGCTAACTTTTAAGATTTTTCTCGCGCTAGCTTTAAGGCCACTCGTACTAAATTTTAATGACTTATATATCATGATCAACGAATTTTCTTGAGATGGATACCATCTATCTCTAATCGGAAGTTGTGAGTTATACATTCTATTCAGCATAAATTCCAAGAGTGAAACAAGATTCTTGCAAAAAGTACAAAACGATTTTGACGTCTTGAAAACATTAACAGCAAAATTGTCTGAGTAAATTAAACTGAATCAGCTATTTTGAAAGTTGCTAAACAATTCTAAGTATTGTTTATCTCTCAATTTAAAGTTTTTTTTGCATTTTAAATGGATATTATCTGTTCAAAATCTTATTATTTTTTGTTGATAGTAACATCAGCTTATTATAGATTTTCTGAAGCAGTCAATGCTTTAAGTTGGAGAATTCTAGCATGTCAGTGGAGTAATTTACTCAAGTATTGAAATTTACTACTTCAAGACTGCATATAAGTCAAATTTGTTTCAGAATTATGTCTGAAACCTTTAATATTATAAGATTCAAATTAACTGACGTGCTCCATTTGAGAGCTATTATGGTCTTGAGATAATCTACAAAGTAGCTTATTATTAGGGAAGATTAGTCAAAACTTATGGCTCAAATGATTGTAAATTTTAAATTTTCTTGGGAACTCTTGTCAAAGTTAAAGAGCTTAACTATTCACTTGGAAATCATGTATGCGAGTCATGATATAAAAGCTGATTACTCACAAAATTAGAGTCAAGAATCATCTAACTGCTTTTAATTCTACAGCGATTTCAAGCCACAATCTACATTATAATGTTTAACTTTTTTCCGTATTTATATTAATGATTTAAAATATTATATAAACCCCCATTTTTATTTATTTATATGTATTGATTTGATGGACTATAGTAATATTTTATAGTATGAAATGATGTTTTGAAATAATGGTACAAATTTTGTTGTGAAATGATTTGATATAGTATATGATGTAGTTGTTTAACGGTAAGATTTTTGGAATCTTGCTCTGGCACCACGACCACCGAATTTTTTTGGTTCCATTCTTCTTGAATCAGCAACTAACAAGGTTTTGTCGTATGATGAAAAGATTTTTTTCAATTCATTTTTTGAAGCTTCATCAACATATTTTTGATGGTAAGCAACTAAACCTTTAGCAATAGCTTGTCTGATAGCGTAAACTTGTGAAACATGACCACCACCGGTAACTTTAACTCTAATGTCAATACCTTGGAATTTATCTAAACCAACTAAAGTTAATGGTTCGTAAACTTTGAACCTTAAAATTTCTGGTTGAACTAAAGTAATTGGTGAACCGTTAATTTTGATTAAACCTTTACCGGCTTTAACATGAGCAACAGCAGTTGCAGTCTTTTTTTTACCAAAAGTCTAAACATAAATTGTTAGTATTCATGAATTCGTAAATGATAAATTCAAAATGAACAACGATATATCTTGTATGAGTTCTTCCCTAAATTTGTTTCTCTCAATTATGTATCAATTTGAATAAGACTGATTCTTTAAACATACTTGAACAGATTGGGTTGACATATTGATTATGAATTATATGACTGTACTAGCTTAATAGAAAATATTAAAATTTCAAATTTTTTCTCTTTTGTTAAACAAACGAAAATTGATTCTTTGTTAATAAGCTTAACTATGGGGATTACATAATGATAGGGCTACAACCCTGATGATATTAGCTGTGCTGAGTTAAGTACAAGAGTCGCGTTAGAATTTGATTTTGTGGGCGTAACTCTCGCCTAATGAATTGGTAGCGATTTGTGTTGATAATTTTTTTTTTTTGAGATTCTTTCACATTGAAAATTTTTATAGAAAAATTATTTTTTGAAATTTTAATCATCAACAGTTAGTATACAATGGCTATTTCAAAGAATTTACCATTATTAAACAACCATTTTAGAAAACACTGGCAAGAAAGAGTCAAAGTCCACTTTGACCAAGCTGGTAAAAAAGCTTCAAGAAGACAATCAAGATTAAGAAAAGCTGCAAAAATTGCACCAAAACCAATTGATTCATTAAGACCAGTTGTTAGAGCTCCAACTATCAAATATAACAGAAAAGTCAGAGCAGGTAGAGGTTTCACTTTAGCTGAAATTAAAGCTGTTGGTTTAACTGCTAAATATGCTAGAACTATTGGTATTTCAGTTGATCATAGAAGACAAAACAAATCACAAGAAACCTTTGATGCTAATGTTCAAAGATTAAATGAATATAAATCAAAATTGGTTATCTTTGATAAAAAAACTAAAGCTTCAGAAGCTGCTCAACATGAACAAATTTCAGTCTCATCAACTTTCCCAATTGAACAACCAACTGGTGAACAAGGTACTAGAGCTGTTGAAGTTCCAGATCAAACTTCTTACAGAACATTAAGATTAGCTAGAAATGATAAAAAATATAAAGGTATCAGAGAAAAAAGAGCTAAAGAAAAAGCTGAAGCTGAAGCTGAAAAAGCTAAAAAATAAAATAGTTAAATATTCAAGCATTATGAAGTGGATTGTTAGGAGATGTATATTATAAATAAAAAATAAACCTAATTAATATCTAAATATATAAAGGGGTAAATCGTTACAATGAATTTTTACTGTAATTCATGCATTTTCGTGTTACTAATCTTTTAGAGATGTCTCAAATTTAGTAATTATAATCTACTAATTCAAATCGAGAGATTAGCTACCACCCTTTCGATTAAAGAACTTTTTAAGTTTTGGAAATAGAGATCTCCTGATTTTTGAAAATTACGTATATATTAACTATAACCTTCTAAGATGACCCATTTTATAATACAGTGAAAATTGATTAAAATTCATTATTTCATGTTTAATCGAATAAACCGAAACCCATATCATCATCTGATTCTTCTTTTTCTTCTTCTTTTTCTTCTTCTTTAGCTTCTTCGGTGGCAGCAGCATCACCAGCAGCAGCAGCAGGAGCAGCACCAGCAGCAGGAGCAGCTGAAAAGTTGAAGAAAAATTCTTTTAAGTCTTTCCCTTCTAAAGCTTTTGAAAATAAATCAGCCCAAATTGATTCAACTTCGACATTAGCTTGTTTAGTTAAAGCTAATAATTTTTCTGAAGTAATTTCAATATCTGAATCAGCTAAGATTAAAGCAGCGTATGATAAAGCAGTTTCTGTTGACATTATTATTGTTGATATAACTAGAGATAATCAAATTAAGCAAAGCAGACTATTCTTAGTTGGTTTGATGTAAAATGAAAGAGAAGTAAAATTAAATTTCTAATTTCTGTTGGTATAGTGAAAAATGAGAATAGTATTGATGTTAAGGTCCATCCTAAAGCCCTGATCAAATACACGTGACCAAAATTTATACTACTTCTTATGATTTACTGAAACATCTAACAATTCACTCTTGATATAGACCAATCTAGTAAAATTTGATTGAGATTAAGAGTATCAAATAATTAATCCTTGGTACAAGCTGAAGGTGAAAAATCTTTTTTAAAATCAGATTATCCACTTGGTAGCGATTCTCAATTGGCGTCTATTTAAATTCTAAATACCATCTCGTAATTGACAAAATTCTACATACAAATCCTTTGTCCAAATTCTGATACGTTTACCATAAATGATAAACGGTATAGCACACATCATAATAATGAACTCAATCACCGCCAAAATTATGAATGTATGTGTTGCACCCATTTTATCTAACCAAGGTGAACATGCAAATGTAAATATACAACCAATCATATTATTAATTAATGCAACCCCCGTCATCATCTCTATAACCATTTCTGGATATGCATCCATTAAATAAGACATTGAAACATCACCTGAACACCCAAAACCAAATCCAATGAATGCTAAACCTAAGTATGTAGGAAACCAAGGCCAAACTTTATCAGTTCCAACTGCAAATAAAATTAACCCAACAGGTGCTATAATAGCTGGTGGGAATAAAAACCATAATCTCATTTCTGCTTCTTGTATTCCATTATTTCGTTTCGCTAAAAATACAGTAAAATAATCTGATAATGTACCTGCAAAATAACAACCAATAACAGCACCAATTAAACATGGGACATTCATAATACCAACTTTTATATCACCATAATTATATGGTGGATCATAGTATTGATCATCTTCAACAGTGAGGTAAAACGTTAATAATGCATTTTGAATTCCCCATACAAAACCTGAAAACAAAACTGGTGGATATAAAAAAACTTTTAATAACAAATAAAGTTGTTGAAAGTATTGATTTATTCCATAACCTCGTAAATTATCAGCAAATGTAATTAGTTGAACTCTTTTCCAATAAGGTTTGGGGAATTCATTTTCACCGAGATTTAATAATGAGTCTGAAGATTTCTTTCGATTTATTAATTCTTGACTAGTTGTACTTACTATATCATTCTTTTCATCCTTTTCAGTTGCTTCAATTTTCTTATCTGGTACTCTATCAATTACTTTATCAAAATATTTTGCACGGTTAAAATAAGTTTCATCCATTACAAATAATATAACTAATAATAAGCCAGCACTTATGAACACTGCGATCCAACCAGTATATCTAAAGTTAATCTTTTCCACTATAACACTAGCAATTAAAGGACCTAGATAAGTTCCCACCGAAGTTGCAATAATATAATAAGTTAAAATATTACCTAAATTATGACTGAAATATAATTCCGATAAAGATAATTGAACTTGAGCTTCAGCACAACTTTCACTAATTCCAACAAATAATTGTGACCAGACTGAATCTGAAGTACCTTTAATTAATGCAAACCAAACACTTCCTAATAATCCTAAAAATATACAAATGAAATATGTAATTTTTCTACCATATAATGATGATAATGGTGTTAAAAAGAATGTACCCCATCCAATACCTAAGAATAGAACACCAGCACCTGTATTCATTGCTGTATATGATATACCATATTTTTCATTTAATGAATCTTGACTTGCACCTGCATCATTACTTGTTGCTGCGGTAAAAGCAGTAATAAAGATGATGATTGTAAAATTCAATAATTTTCTCCATCTTGGCCAGTTAAGTGGATCATTTACTGAATTTGAAGGTTGTGGAAACAAAATTATGTTACCTTTTGTTTTAATTTTAACTGCTGATTCATTATCATGAATTTGTCCATGCTTCTCTTTGTCAAATTTGAAAGAATAAATGCTTAAAGTGCCAGGGATGAATTCTTCATTCTCTCTATCATTAATTTCTACTTTTGTTTGAACTGATGTTAGGATTGTATCAATTTTTTCATCACCCATGTCATATAAATTTGATAAACATTAACTAATTAGATATGTAAGATATTTATATTAACTGCTGAGTGGAGATTAAGCCAAAAAAGGATTAAAAGTTTAATTTGACGTAGATATTTGATGTTTTAAATCAATCAAACGGTCTTAAAAAATTTTTCAATGTCAATATTAAAAATTAACTCCGGTTGCATAAATTAGAGATAAGAAATACAATTAGAGATGATTTTAACAATAATAAAAAATCATCACCAAATCTAAATAGACAAGAAGTAAGGTGTATATGGTGCAAAGACATTGAAAATGTAAATCGAGTTTACTCAATTTAGAATATTTTCAAAGCATTTTTCATTTTTTGTGGTAATATTGTGCTTGCTCAAACTCATCTTTGAATATCATATATTGTAACTTACTAGGGTTTGATTTTCCTAATTTTGTTTATTATTCATGCATCAACGAATTAAATTGATATATAGCCTTTTGAGCCGTTAGTGGTGGCCAATTGTTAAAAAAATAGTTCAAATCGCTTATCTTCGATGCGCAATCTAAAAATTCCGAATTGGTATTGCAAGATGCGTTTTTGATGTTGGCTGCAAAATTGAAGTAAGTAACTAATGTAATCAAATCAAACAATCAAGTTTGAGCTCATACTATTTATTGGTTCATTTTGTAGTCAGCCAATTTGATTCACATCCGATTACTGAATTATTTGGAATTTCTCACTTTTTTCATGTTTGTCAAAATGTTTGAATGCTGCAGATTGAGTTTACCATAGAATTACGTAAAAGATAATACAGTAACATACTTCAATTAGAATGTTTTTGCCAAATTATATGAAAGGCTATCAATACGTATTTATTATCTATTTTTGCGCGTTGGTAGTACAATTTGCTAAATTACAAGGCAATGTATGAAGCACTTGATAGCTTACGAGTAAGCTAATAGAGCATGAAGCTAAACTACCACTACTTATTTGTAGATTGCTGCAAACCTCTGCTTTTTTGTCTCATATGATTTTGCAAAGTGCATTTGTACCATTTGGTAGAGCTGCTAATTAATGCACTCAAAAGGAATGCGCCTAAGTAATACCACTTAACTTAAATATCTCAAAAGACTATACCAAATACTTAGTTAGCGATATTTGATCTATTTTAGGATGTACTAAGTTATGTTTGATTTTCACTTGCAATGTTATCCTCATTACAATGTAATCTACCATTAAGTCCTATTGATCTCCATCTCAAATAAATATTTTGGGACAAACCAAAGATTAGACAACACATTCGAGACGAGTTAGCAAAGTCAACGTTGAATAAAAGTGCTTATTTACCCAAGGGTCTTATTTTACATCTTGAAGTGAAGAGATCGGTTAGTTGACAAGACATCAAAATCTCAAAATAAAGTTTTTGAGGCATTTCATTATTAATTGGAATCTAAAGAACTTGAGTAATTCATCAATAATAAATAGAAGTAAATGAAAGAAACATTAGTAAGGTTTTTCATTGTCATCTTATCTCGTAATTGCCACCTAACCATTGAGACATGCAAGATCAAAATTGTTGAAACAATCAAACGTTCTAATTGAAATATTAAAGCACACAAGAACTAAATTATTACATCATGATCATCTCAAATCAGTTGATACTGATGATTTAAACTATTTTCTTGAACTTTGTGACCTTCAAATTAATAGAATTTCCGAAATGAGATCACAAAGGTCCATTGATTTTTTCTCCACAGTTTTGATTCGAAAGGAGATGATCAGCTAGAATAGCTAAAGATCACAAGATAACCAATACACATTTCACATAGTTTATACTCAAAGCGACTGCTCTTCTTTAAATTGTACTTATTACAACATTAATCTATTAATTTTGAACGATTAGTTTATTTTATATGCGATTTATACGAGCTAAAAAAAAAAAAAAAAAAATTATAAAATAAAAAAAAAAAAAAAATAGAAATTAATTTAACCCCTTTGGGATTTGCGGAAAAACTTTCATGTAAAACCATCTGAGTGAACGATACAAGTATACGGCTTCATTTGATTCAATTAATAAGGAGAGCACGTGTAGGAGTGTTAGTGTGTTAGGTTCGGATTGCTTCTATAGACATAATATCATGGGGCTAATAATATTTATGCTGGCTTTGAATTCGTGTTTCATAATCTAAAGTTAAAGCCAATCAAGAATGGACGCAAAATAGAATATAAAAATAAATTCTGAAAGGGCTTTGGTTTCTTATTGTTATTTTTTGATTTTGTGATTTTCATCATATCTTTGTCAATTTACATTTCATATGACGTGGTTGACAATAACTGACATTACTATAATCAATAAGACAATAGTAGTTGAAGATAGATAAAATCTCTACAAATAAACGCTCATAGTCACTATAGCAATTGCAAGTAAGAATATATATAAATCTTATTATATCCGTTTGTTTATAGTTACTATAAATAAAACTAGATTTACTTTCTATTTTATACACAGTTTTTTCATTTTTGATTTATTTACTCCTTAAAATTACATTATGCAATATAAATTACAAATTGTAAATCATTCTCAAATTCTTAGATTCCATGATAAAATATTTCATCCCTTTTAAAAAAGTTAAAAGTTAAAAGTTAATTTTGATAAAAGTATGGAAATGTCAAACTCATGTTTCATTGACCAGTGAATCTACTAAATTACTCTTGACCATTAGTAAGGCTTACCGATATATGCTAATTTTAGTCCAATCTATATTTAATTAAATTTGTTGTTTACTAAACAAATTAGTTGGTTTTTCGAAATCTTGAATTTTCTTTTTCTTGTACTTAATTTATTTTTAACTAGTATAAACAACAACAACTTTTAAGACTAAATTTTAATCACTGATTCAGACAAAGAAATGAGTAAGAATAAAGTTTATTGTGGGGGTAAGATATAAGGTGAAGAATGATATAGTAAAATCAACAATTGCAAATCAATGAATTTATGATAAACTGCCGTCATTTTTCTGTATCGTCTATGTGTTTCATGTCAGAATTTGATTCATAAATGATTCAAAATCTTACTCGAATACTCGGTTTTAATTCTATTTTTGATGAAATGTAATAGAAACAAAAGAAAAAAAAAATTAATCCGTGTAGCATGTTTTATGCAACATGTGTTAAATTTATACACCTGAAACGTATTTTTTGAAATATTAAATTATAAATGAATCTCCTATATAAAAAGAATATTAAATCTTTCCAATTTATTATATTGGACTTTCTTTTTCTTTGTCATATCTCAATAGATATAATAAATCATATTTTACATAAATCAACATTGTTTACTTTAAAAGATTGATTTTACAATTTTAATTTAATACTTCACACCAGGTTTATTTTCATTTCATTCGTTTTTATAATAATTTACAACGTTTTTCAATAATTTTTCATATATATAATTCAATTTGCATTAATTAATACATTCATTCAATTCTTTCATTAATAACATAATTTTCGACATGTTTAACCTTATAATATTATTGTTGGTTTATTTAATAGAATTTATAAATACAACTCCAATATCATCGGAAAATAATAATGGTATCAAATTTAAAAGAATCGGTGGTACAGTTGCATGGGATTATGAAAATGACATAGTTCGTGGTTTAAATTTAGGTGGTTGGTTTGTACTTGAACCTTATATAACACCAGAATTATTTGAAGCTTTTGGAACCGATGAGTCTAAGATTCCAGTTGATGAATATCATTATACTCAATATTTAGGTAAATCTGAAGCTTTAAATAGATTACAACAACATTGGTCAACGTGGTATACTGAAGCTGATTTTGAACAAATGAGTTACCTTGGTATTAATTTAGTTCGTATTCCAATTGGTTATTGGGCTTTTGATTTGTTACCAAATGACCCTTATGTACAAGGTCAAGTTGAATATTTAGAAAAGGCTATAAATTGGAGTAGAAAACATAATTTAAAAGTTTGGATTGATTTACATGGTGCAGCTGGATCTCAAAATGGTTTTGATAATTCTGGTTTAAGAGATCATGTTGATTTTCAAAATGGTGATAATACAGAATTTACTTTAAATGTTCTCAGAACTATACTCAAGAAATATGGTGCACAAGAATATTCTGACGTTATTGTTGGTATTGAATTATTAAATGAACCTTTGGGACCTGTTTTAGATATGAATAAATTAAAACAATTTTTCACTGATGCTTATTGGTATTTAAGAAATAAAGTTCAATCAGTTATGCCAGTTGTTATACATGATGCTTTTCAACAACCCGGTTATTGGGATGGATTTTTAACTGTTGATGGTGGTGCTTGGAATGTTGTAATTGATCATCATCATTATCAAGTTTTTTCACAAGGTGAATTACAAAGAAATATTGCTCAACATATTCAAACTGCTTGTAATTGGGGTTGGGATACTAAAAAAGAATATCATTGGACTGTTGCTGGTGAATGGTCAGCTGCTTTGACTGATTGTGCAAAATGGTTAAATGGTGTTGGTAGAGGTGCAAGATATGAAGGTCAATATGATAATTCTGTATGGATTGGATCTTGTGATTTTGTAAGGAATTCAACTCCTGATCAATGGCCAAAATGGTATAGAACAAACGTCAGAAAATACATTGAAGCTCAATTAGATGCATTTGAGTACACTGGAGGCTGGGTTTTTTGGAATTTCAAAACGAGCGGCAAAATATCTGCTGCTGAATGGGACTTTCAGAAGCTCACATATTATGGATTGTTTCCTCAACCATTGACCGATAGACAATTTCCAAATCAATGCAATTTTCCAAGCAAAAAATAAAATTCAAACAGCTTAATTCCGGCAGTAAAGAGTAGAAATACATTCATAGACTAATATAATACACAATTTCGATTTTACTATTGCTTGCATCTGCTCTGCATTGATTTATGCTTGGTTAAAGTCGATGATAATTTTGACACATTTCAAGATCGCGCGGCTTTAGACAAGAAGTTGCGGCTTGTTCCAAAGTGTGCGGCGTTTTTTTTTATGTTCTAGATTTGCAGCCAAAATATGTAAGTTACTAAAGATAGGCGACAATAGTGAAATTAAATACAATTCTATTTATAAATATTGGCTATGCAAAGAACAATGCACGATACCACGTTACAAACAATCAAACTAAACAAAAACAAAACGGAATTATAGGTATAAATTCAATATACAGTTTTGTGGCGAACCGACAGACAATCAAAACAATCAAACAATCGAGACAATCAAAATTTATAAATCGGTTATAAAGGTAACAAATGAATATAATATAAACAATCAGTAAACAAAGAGGCAGACTATTTCTTTTTCAACCCTTGCTCTTTTGCGACTTCTTCTAATGATTTAATCAATACGTCACTTGCAATTTCATAATCTTTCAATTCGTTATAAATCTGACATGAAAATCTAGCTATTAATTGATTATTATGTGATGCTATTGGTGTATAAGCCTTAGCAGCAAACATCTTTTCATATACTAAATTATCATATTCAGACCAATTCTTAATAAATTCAGGATATTCATTTGGAATAACAATAGTAACCATAGTAGTAGCAATAGGTTTTAATACAATAGCACTTCCCCATTTCTCACTTACCATTTTTGCAACATTCTTAGCTAAACTATTACAATAATTATAAATAGTTGATTCTCCACCACATACTTCTTGTCTAAATTTGATAGCATATGGTATAGTTTGAATTGATGCAAAATTTTTAGTCCCATTAAAGAAAAAGCGATCAATAAGTCTATTTTCTTGATCTTTCTTACTTAATTTAGTATCGTCTGAAATATATGAATGACTAATAGGTAACGTATGGATTTTGTTGTGATACTTTTGATTTACATATAATACTGCACAACCAAATGGGAGAAAGAACCATTTATGTAAATTGGAAACATAAAAATCGGGATCTAAAGATTTTAAGTCTTGAGAAATACAACCAATTCCATGAGCACCATCAATTAAAGAAATCACGTTATATGATTTACACAATTTCGTCATTTGTTTAAAAGGGAAAATAATTCCAGGCATGGATGTAATAGTATCAAAAATGCACAATGTTGGTTGCTTTTCTTTGAATACGTTTTCAAATTTCAGTAATATTTCCTCATCTGTAGTTGGATAATTTACATCAATGACGATAAAATCAACACCATATCTGTCTTTTAAAAATTTGACCGTGTTTCCACAAGCACCATAAATTGTATTAAGAATAACAATTAAATCACCTTTTTTGAATGGATAACTTCTCAATATTGTATTCGCTCCCGTTGTTGCGTTATCTACAATTGCCAAATCATGATAATCACAATTCAAAACCTGAGATAATAATTTTAAAGACTCGATATAATATTCCTTTTGCTCAAATTTCATAAATTTATCTGGATAATTTGCATTTCTGGTTATATTTTCAAGATATTTTTCATGAATTGGTGTTGGTGTTAATCCATAAGATCCATGATTAATTGGAATTACTGAAGAATCTAAATTAGTGAAATACTTTTCCCTAAATGGATTACCAAAAGGAGTTTCAGGTTGATTACTCATTGATTTTGAAGATGATCCGAAATTTAAAAATGAAAACATGAACGTATTTATACTAATTGATGACTAACAATTGAATTTGTGATATTAGATTTGTTTTGAATCCTTATCAATTTGGTAATTTGTACACGAAATCTGGAGATATTGGTTAGTGGATTACACAAAATCAGAAGTATATGGAGAATGAGTCAGTAATTAGGTTTTGTAAAGATATTAGTCATTATATAATTGTTGTCTATGAAATGAGAGACCAAATAAGCTGCATGATAGAGCTACTTATCTAAAAAAGCTGGCAATCGCAAAGCTAAACTTTGTATTTGGACAATCTACTACCTGAAGGTCGCATTCACACTTCTAAGATTAAGAATCAGTAGTAATACTAGCTTTTGATCAAATTATTAGTCGTAGACTTATCGTTAAACGGAATAATGTAAAATTTCGGTTTTGTGTTAAAGGGTCTCGTAAATATTTTGCGCACGAATGATTTTAACCGCAAAGGATCTCAAAAGCGCAAAATGAAAATATTAAGAATAGACTTCTTTTTAATATTAGAAAAATGGCTTTGAACCAGGGCAGCCTTAGTCTATTGATGTATAAAAGATCTCTCAAGGCATTAGAATTTCAACATGAACAAAAGCTCAATTTGACTGGGTTCAGCTCAAACAATACATGATTGAATTACCAAATAATGTCCATTCTGATGAAAAAATTCTACGCGTATAAAATGGATTAGCTAGCGTTAATTCTTGTGGTTATGGTTCTGTTATTAATTATGCAATTGCACTATTGATTGTGAGTAAATGAGTGGATGCTCGCCCTCAATTTGGTTACGAAAAATTATTCTAAGCAAGAAGAAAAATAAATTGGCAAACCTACAGGAATTAAACTTTATCTTGAGTAAGAAATCTACTTTATTACTTTAATCATTGATATAGCTCATAGGCTTGTAATCGTTTTTACTTATTGCAAGAAATATAGTATACTTTTAGTGGGTGGTGAGAAGAGACGAAAAAATCTTAAATCGAGGAGAGTTTAAATCAAAACTGACAACCAAAAGGCAATTAAACAATTATACATGCTGTCTTTACTACTAAGACAAGTAATAAGACACAATTACAAGAATGGAATTCATAATAATCTACTACGAGGTCATAATCCACTACTAATAAAAGTTTTAAAACCATCAATTCCTATTTTACAACCAGTAAGATTTCTATCTAAAACATCAATAAATCGTCAGCAACAAAAGGATCTCATACCTAAAGAGAAACCAAACTTACCAATTCAAAATAACAAACAATCACTCACCAAAGAGCAATTATTATCAAAAGCAAATAATTTTTTTGATAGATTTAAAGTACGAATAAAATGGTTATTAAAACGACTGAATCGACCATTTAATACTGATGATTATTCTGCATTTTTTTCATGGTTAGTTATGGGTAATGTTTTGTTGTTTTTCCTTGCGACTACTACATTTGTATCATTAGTTATTTTTACTGCCAATACAGTATTTGCTCAAGAATTTGTAGCTAGGAAGATAGGTGAGTTTATTACTAAAAATTCAAATTTAAATGTTACTTTTGAAAATGCAGTTGTACCTGGCTGGTCAGATGGGAAAATTATTTTTAGAAAAGTATTTGTAAGTAAAAGACCAAAAAAAGTTGAAAAATTTATCAAGGCATCTCAAAAACAAGCTTATGAAAGTAGTTTAAATAATAATACTGATGAGGAGAAAGATATTTTTGAGGATGATGGGAATTATACTCAATTTGATTTAACTATTGAAGAAGTAAACATATCTTTATCAATTAATAAATGGCTTAATGGTACTGGAATGATTGAAACTTTAGAAATTAAAGGTATGAGAGGTGTAGTTGATCGTACTCACGTTCATTGGGATCCCGATGATGATGCAACAAATTATCTAAATATCTACCAACCTGGTGATTTTGAATTTGAAGATTTTAGAATGGAAGATGTTTTATTTACATTATTACAACCTAATGATTTTAGAAAATTCGACGTCGCTATTTATAATTGTGAATTATCTAAATTACGTAAACATTGGTTATTTTATGATTTTTTAAATGCAAATGTAATGAGTGGTTCATATGACAACTCATTGTTTACAATTCATAAAAAGCAAAGATTAAGTGATTTTAGTAATAATCAAGATGATTCAGAGAAATGGAAAAGAGTAACAAGGATGAGAGTAGATAGTTTGAACATTGACCATTTAAATACTGGATTAGAAGGTCCATTTGGTTGGATATATAATGGTAAAGTTGATATGATTGGTGATGTAATGGTTCCAAAAGAAAATAATGAAATTAGTGTATCTGAAATAGTTACTATGATTACTGATTCAATTAAAAAAGAGGCTACAAGGTATAAGAACCCAGAAGTACATCAAAAACACCCAGATATGCATACAAGATTAACTAGTGATGATTATACTGATATACTGAAATATTTTGTATTAGATCTAACTATAAAATTAAGTAATGTTCGAGCAAAAGTACCATTTAAAACACCTGAATTATCATATATTAATTATGCATTAATTAGACCAATTGTAGCATATATAAATTCCAAAAACACAATAATTGAAATTCATAATAGAATAGTTAAAAACATTCAAGATTTCAGTGGGTCTTGGACAATTTATGATTCATTATTAATGGATGATATTTCTGAAGAAGTATATGATAATTTTGTTGATTATGTTGCTGATGAAGAAGCAAGATTGATAAGGATGAAAAGGGTTGGATTTTGGTCTTTACAATTACTTGTACAAGTTATAATATTTGGAATTGGAGCATTAGCGTAAGATTACATTTTAAGTATTAGCACCAACAACAGTATGTAACAACTTAAACTTATAATAGTTAATAATAAAACATAATTTCCACCAGTTTTATACATTTCTATATCTTTTTCAGGATTATAATAAACATCAACATGATTTGATTTATAAACACCAATGAAATAAACAATACAACCATAAATAGTATATGCTGTTCCAATTGGTAAGAATTCTTTTGAAAATAATTTAATAATTAATAATGAAAAAGCTAAACAACCAATAGCAGTTCTAGTATAAGCACCTTCATAAGTTCTTTGATGGGCTCTTATATCTAGTTTCAAGTTGTTTGAGAATAAGTTTATTCTTGAAGGTAATCTTTGTCTTGGTGTAATATTCTGTGGATCACTCATTGATAGAAAAAATAATTATCAATAAAATTCCATACATATAACCAACACACTTTTTATAATGGCACCAGCAAAAAGACATTGGGTTAAGTTAAAAGTACCCAAATCATTCCTATCTAAGTTACCAAATTTCCCAACACCAATATTGAAATCAAGGTTAAAAAAGATAGCTCAAGAAGATAGAAAATCAGGTATACAGTCAGTTTCAAATCTGAATAAATCATCTCCAGCACCAGATGGAGGCAATACACAGCAGCAACAACAATCTACAATGAGTCAGTATAAAATTAATGTTGGTTTAAAAGATATGTCTACTGCTGGTTTAACAATGAATAGTATTGCTCAAGGTACCTATGCATTAGATAAACTGGGCAAACCAACTAGAAAATGGGTTAAAAAACCAAGAGAATTCAAAACATTCACTGGATTTAAGGTCAAATATACTGTATATCAAACTAAAGATAAATTAACAAAGAAAGAGAATAAAGATGAAAAGAAAGTGAAGAAGGAAGATAAGAGTAAGAAAGAGACTACTGTTACGCAAACTCAAATAAAAGTAGAAGCTCAATAGTTTTGTATAGTTTTTTATGTTTTGTTTAATGAATTTATGAGTTTTATAATTATCAACAAAATTTTTCACTCTAAATGATTAAACGAGGGTGGTTAAAACAGATACGATGTTTGAGTAAAATTAGAGCAGCTGAGTCATCAACACAAGCAAATCATATTATATCCAATAAACAACAATTATATATTGCTGATGAAACTTCACCTGGTTCAATATTTTTCTTACCTCATGGTACTAGAATATTTAACAAATTGGTTCAATTTATGAAAAATCAACAAATTAAGTATGGATTTCAAGAAGTTATTACTCCATTAATGTATAAATCTAAATTATGGCATAAATCCGGACATTGGGAAAATTATAAAGATGATATGTATAAAGTAATTGGAAATGATTTAACTAAAGAAGATACAGAACATGAATATGGTTTAAAACCAATGAACTGCCCTGGTCATTGTATAATTTATTCCAAATTTGATAGAAGTTATAATGAGTTACCTATTCGATATTCTGATTTTTCATCATTACATAGAAATGAAGCAAGTGGTGCATTAAGTGGATTAACTAGAGTTCGAAGATTTCATCAAGATGATGGACATATATTTTGTCGAATGGAACAGATAAATAAAGAGATACAAAATACAATAAATTTAATTAAAGATACTTATAAAGTGTTTGGATTAAGCAATGTTGAATTTACACTTTCTACTCGACCTGAGAAATTTATCGGAGAAGTGGAAACTTGGAATAATGCAGAACTACAATTGGAAAATGTCCTAAATGAGACAACAAAAGATTGGGTTAAACGTGAAGGTGAAGGTGCTTTTTATGGTCCTAAAATAGATATACTACTAACAGACCAGTTTTCAAAAAAACATCAAGTTGGGACAATTCAATTAGATTTCCAGTTACCTAAAAGGTTTGAACTTAAATATACAAATGAACATGATACTAAAAGTCAACCTATAATGATCCATCGTGCTGTTTTTGGTAGTCTTGAACGTTTTTTTGCAATTTTATTAGATCATTATCAAGGTAAATGGCCATTTTGGTTAAATCCAAGACAAGCAATGATAATATCAATTAATGAAGCACACAAAAACCATGCAATAGAATTACAAAAACAATTATCCGGTGAGATTATAAATAGTGATCAAATTGCACCTTTAACTGGTTATAATTTCAATGTTGATGTTGATTCAAGAAATGAAACAATAGGAGCTAGAACTAAAGAAGCAATTCAAAAAGGATATTCGTATATTATACTTATTGGTGATAAAGATATAAAGAATGGTACTCATGCTATTAGAACTCGAGATGATAGAAAGATTCAAAACTTAACCACTGAGGAAATTTACAGCTTATTCATCAGTTTAGAAAACTCATATAAATAGAAATACTTGTATATATAACAAATCCTTTTTTTACACTTCAAAAACTATTTCGTTGACGACTGATTTTGAAAATCTTTAAATTTATGTGTTAAGGCATTCAAAAATCAAAAAGTAATTTTCTGAGGATGATTCGACATGAAAATTTTCAAAATGAAATTGGCGTCTTGAAAACAGGATACATAACAAATTTGGGATCTATTAAACCGAATCAGCTATACTGGAAGTTCCTAAATGCTAATTGTGAATTATCTCAAAAAATAACGTTTTTTTCCATTTTTTAAATGACGAATCAGGTCATCAAAAACAAGTGTTTCCAGTGCTAAACAAGATCAGCTTATCTTAAACGTATCGGCGCATATAATAATATAAGTTTGAGTAAGAGAGCCAGATTATTAACCGAGTGATTCACAATTTTATAAACAAGTTTGTTTCAGATTTAAAGTTTTTAAGCGTGTATTCTCGCCCAAATCTAATTCCAGCGTCGCGCTACTTATAGGGCGAGCGACTCATGTCAAATTCAATGGCTTATGTATCGTGATCAACGCTTTCTCCTGTGATCTTTCCTATCGAAGGTGTCATAAGAACTCAAAGAATTAGAGAATTAATTGAAAGATACAATAGCTGGAGATACAAAAGTTACCGAGAGACAAATATAGTGCTGAAAAGGACTAAATGTAATGAGGCAAGCATTGGAGATACGGATACTTAGATTAGAAATTTCAAATTCAATTATTCGTATTAGTATGCTAACAACTCTACATCATTTAAATTTTTTGGAAAGATGGTCCTTTTGGAAAATTTAAAGCATTCAAATTTCAATTTTTTTAATTATGAAGGTATCCACTAAATCTACTAATTCATTTTCATTCACGCTTTCGACGAATAATATATCAATGTTTCTAAATTTGAATATTTATAGCCGCTTCAGATAAAGTAAATGAAATCAACATTTCCAAATTGCATTATCTTATCATCAATTTCTCTACGACTTTGACTTTACAAAATAGATTTCTTAAGACTATTGGCTTTAACAATGGATTACTAAACAAAATAAGTTTGGTGTCTATTGTAGTATCGACAGGTAAATGTTTTATTATTAAAGAAATTACTTCAGTTGGTAATTCAAGTAACGTTTCAATTAGTTTAAGTATCTTTGTACATTAAATTTTTGATTTTTGACGAACTACGCTAATACAACTTGTTTCTATACTCAGATTTATTTAAACTGACTCATTGCAACGATTTAAATCTTTTTGCGCTTTTTTTCGAACCACTGCGCAATTCCGATTATTGAATGAATACGACGTATTTTAGACGAAAATATATACATAATTTATTTCAAAATATTAATAACCCTTTATTCAACAGCAACCACGTTCTAATCTCCCGTGGCCTCTGGCTTTTTTAAAGCTACTCGTTATGTCCTAGATGTTGTAATTTTAAAGTTGTTCGACTTATTTGCAATTGCATCAAGACACCTTAACTTTTGAAAATAGTTCATCTGCAATTAAGACTCGAGAAGATAAATTAATTCAAAACTTTAGCATCAAATACGACTTACAATTTTATCTTAGATTAACTTGTATATTTTCTATTTTCCATATCCTTTATTTATCAACTGTTTTTCCAATTCAATCCAAAAATCTCGAACAACCAATTTATCTTTAAATCTTTTATCTCTATCTACTTTTATTTCGTTCACATTCCATTCTTTAATTTGCTTTGGCGTTGATTCACTTGAATACCCCAAATAATAACCAGGATATTTTTGAAATAAAGTTTCTGGTTTTTGATATTTGTATTTTGAAAATTGCCAGGCTTGTCCCGTAGTAAAAATTGCAATTACTCTATCCCAATATTCAGGTTTTGTAAACATATCAACATTATCAACAATCATTATCCTTTGACCCAGTGGAATGATCTTATCTGATTCATGGCTAACCATTACTAGATTACCATTAGGTTTACTAAGTTGTTGTGGTTCTATAAATTTACCTTCTTCAAGAAACTGTTTAATATTAGATAAGGAAAGTAAAGCAGTGGTAGCTGGTGAAACCATAATTATAGGAGATTTTTTTTTAGTACCATTTGAAAATCCATTGGACCTACTGGATGAATATGAGGTTGTAGACGGTTTTGATCTTTTTAATTCATGCATGAATCGTTTAGCATCATTAATTAAATAACTAAAATCTATATTTTTAGAACCTCTTAATGCTGCATTATGATCAACTGATTCTATCTCAAATTTGGAAATTCTTTCAATTTGAGGATCGGAAAATTTTCGTTTAGCACTCGATTTTTCTGCTTTAGATTCTTTTTCCTCTTCTTCTTCTTTTACAAATTGACATGAATCTGTAGAACCATTTAACCAAGTATTTAATTCAGTTTTAACCAAAAATTTAAAATCTTGTATACCATAATTTGCACATTCTTTTTTATATTCCACAATTGATGATTTATCATGTAACCAACAAAACACAACTGATTTTAAAGATTGTGGTTTATCTTCATTATAAAAATTTGTAAGTTGATCCAATTTGAATTTTTCATTATTATTTCCAAATTGTACTTCTATTGCATCATTTATTAACTCTGTAGTATTACCATCTTCTGCATAAAATATTATTGGTTCATTATTTATCGTAGATGTATGTAAAGCTTTCAATGGTGATGGTGAAGACATAATCTTGTTTCAAAGTTGGTGATATTTTTTTTTTTTCGAACAGTCGAAAATTGATTAACAGAATTTAAAGAAAGTGGTAGTACTATTTCATGTCTAATGAGTTGCAACATATCAGTAAAGAAGTAGTTAGTCAATGGTGTAAAGATGCTCAATTAACCCTTAATGAAGCTAAATTATTATGTTCAAATGCTCAATCTTCATTACATGAACAATATCAAGAATTGACAATATACTTACCAGATAAATTTGAAGCTATAGAATATTTAATTAGATCTTATACAAATCAACTTGAGAAGATAAAGTCACAAGTTGATGTTTTAAATAAGTCAATTTATGAGAAAGTTGAAATTGGTATTATATCAAAATTTCAAACAATTTTGGACCCGTCGCTCAAGAATTTAAATGATGTTTTATCACAATCGAAAGAGATTGATGTTCCAAATTTTATACTTGAAGAACCATCAGAGATGCAACATAACTTAAGTGACTTTGTATCTATAAGTTCAATAAATTTACTAATTGAAAATATTGGAATTTACAAAAATAATAGTACAAAGTTGAAAGATTTATTAAAGACTAGTTTTAAAGATCGAGCACTTGTTTCATTTGACAATTTTCAGAAGGTGCATGTTCACATACTCGAAGAATATGCTCAATTGGCACCGATCATCAATGAAGCAAAGTCGAAGGTTACTAAATTATTAGAGGAAAATCAGTCAGTAGAGACTGAATTAGTTCAATTTTTGCAAATGTTAACTAATCATTACCAACAATGTGAAAAAGCATTAGACTTAATGTCATCAAATGAAGAAGATTTGAATTTGGAAGTTTTAGCTAATGACGTTCAAGAATTACCACAGGTAATAAAAGACTTAAAATCAACCATCCAAGAGAACCAAAATTCATTCACCAGCTTCCAATCATCATATACCAGTATAGATCTATTAAAGTCAGAAATTATGGAGGAACTAACTAATTTTAGAAATTTCAAAACTAAAAATCTACCATTCTTCATCACATTATTTGACTCAGTGTTACAATATTTACAAAAATCATCACTTGAAGAGACCGAGCAATCACAATCACCTATCGATGGTTATTCTCAACTTTTAAATCGTTTGACTTTTCATTATACTCAGTTTATAAACATTTACAAAACAAAATATTTAAAGGAGCTACATCATCAACAATACTCATACCCTCGCAAGTTTCTTAAAAGGATTACTGATTTTCTTGATGGTGAAATTTATAGAATTCAATTGGAAGAAATCAATCATCGAAAAAGTTGGATTTTGAAATATGGTGAATTTTTACCCAAAGAATTTAAATTACCTGGTGAGAGTGAATTACCTAGTGTTGTACAAGTTGTTACTGAAGGGTTAGAATATATACAATATGAAGATGGAGTAGAAAAGGAGTTCAATCAAGGTGAAGAAAAGTTTTTATTGGATTTGATAAAGAAAGAAAAAGGATAGAGGATGCAACTAAGGATGCAAATATGTACAACAGTTTCTTTAAATGATATTATGATAGATTTGATAAATATGAACAATTGGTAGTGTTTTGTAATCTCTTCTTCGTCTATTAATTTTTAACGTCGCGTTTTGAAAATCTGAAACAAAAATTATTTATCATTAATTAATGTCAAGGCATCATGGTTTATCATTCACTAAATCAAATATTAGTAGTTCAAATATGACAGGAAATCAAAGTCTGATGACGCAATCAATAGTTCATAATGAATATTCTGATTTAGAGGAAGATGATCAATCAGAAGATGATCAATCTAATGAGAACATGGCCAATATGAAATCATTCGTTCCTAATCTACTGGATTCAAGTTCAAATGTTATTAAATATGGAATTGGTGCTCAGCTATTAATGAAAATGGGATATCAAGAAGGTAAAGGTTTAGGAGCTAATCAAACAGGAATAGTAAAGCCAATTGAGCAGAAAAGAAGACCTAAAAATATGGGGATTAGAGAAAATCTAAGGACAAATAAAGAATCATATGATGGGATTATTGAATTTCAAGATGAATCAACTTTGAAAATACAAAAGATTTCACAAGGATTATTTGGAATTATTCAAAAATTGCAAAAATTGAATGTTGACGTGCCTGGTCATATATTGGAATTTTCAAATGAATTATCATTAGGTAAAGTTGAATTGATACCACGAGGCGAAGTATTATACAAGGAGTTAAATGCTATTCTTAAAGAGTGGGAAATGGTATATAAGAAAGAAGAACTATTGAATTTTCAAAAGGATGAGATTGAAATTGAGAATACATCTGAGAAATTGGGCCAACTCGAGCTCACAAATCTTAAATTGAAAGAATACACTACTGGTCAAATGAATGATGATGAAATTTTGGATTTTTTGACTTCTGATTCTGTTATTGATCAACCTACATCACAAATGATATTTTTAACTATTATTAAATCAGAATTAGACAAGGTGGAGAGTATAGATATTGAAGATATACAAAAACAAGAGATGGAAATAGTGCCATTATTAAACAAAATATCAGAGAAGTTTAAGAAGTACAAGTTGAAACAAAATACTTTAGATTTATTAATTTACAAAATTTACAGTAAGAAAATCACAACTACTTTAAATAATGATTCAGATTCAGATGCAATAGTTTTGTTGTTTTCAATATGGTTGAATAATTCAATATTTGTTGAACAGGATAATATTTTTGATAAATTTGCACTGGAAATATTTGCTCCTTATTTAATTGAAGTAATCGAGAATTGCAATTTGGAAACAACAAGATTACCAACTGTCATACAGGACTATTATACCATTTTTTTACTGGATAATCAAGATTTAGGATACTTTTATGATTCATTTAACATCTTAATTACCAAATTTCAAACATTTTTAAATTCTATGAATAATAACATATCAGACTTTGTCATATCACAACTTCACGAGTTTAAAAATAGTTGGTTACCATTCATAGACTTATATTCACCAAGAAGAGCAGAAACGTTATATAAAACATTATTAACATCAATGTATTTATGGTCAGATAATCAACAAGAATCATACAAATTTCTTAATATATCCACTTTTGAAACTATGTTCAAATTAATCAAATTAATAGAGAAAGATGACTTGTTAAACTTTTTGCAATTTGGAATTTTTAATCCTTGGATCAAGACAATCTATCAAGTTGATGATGTTGCTAATTGGTATTCTAATAATTACAATTACTTGACCAGCAAGCTAGACCATGTGAATGATTCAATTTTAAATGATGTTATTTCATGGTATTTATCCACTGGAATCAAAATGATTCAATCTAATTTAAATGAGGATTTGTTAGCCGGATTACCAATGGTTGAAAACTCAACAGCACCAAACATTGATCAAATTATGAATAAATCAGAGTATGATGTGAATGGTATTCCCTCATTTACGTTAATGACTTCATTTAAAGATGTAATTTTGGAATATTGTCTTAATCATAATATTTCATTCAAGAATTCAAAACAAGTACACAATACTAAAGGAGTTCCAATTCATTCATTTGAGAGAAATAATAAAGTTGTTTATGGTATTATTGAAGATGATGTTTTATGGATTTGTCAAAATGAAAATTATATGAGTGATGATTACGAGCCTATTAATATAGATAAATTAATATATTATTTGAATTAATGTACACTAATGAGTAAGGATGTGATAGTAATAAGTTGTGCTATTCGTGGTCGAATGATAGTAAACTGACTAGAAGCTAAAATGCAAACGCAGAGATTAATTCGAAAATTATTGACTGAAAAAGTTAGTGAAGGCTGACTCTGTAGATCATTTATATTCTAATATGAACCGCTTTAAGCGTCGTAATCTAATCGTAACTCGGTGGAAGAAACTTGCTTTCTTTTGCCAGAATCGAATAAACTTCTTCGATCTCATGCGACAAAAGAAATTCTCGCCTTAAATTTAGAGCGACTCGTTCTAAAAAATTAGGATATACGTCACGAAGTACACAATCTTTCCAGACGATTACAATTTTAACGAAAATTGGAGCCGTGAATTATGCACTCCTCAAACTTGAAATTTACGATTTCGAATATTTTTTTTTGAAGTTGAATTTTTGGGCTCTTTTCGCCATACAAAATATTTGCAGAAAAATGAATTCACAAAGCATGTTTTAGTTGGGGCCATAATCTTCGATTAAACAATGAATTACCAATAATAGACCTCAAAATAACACTACTGATTGGTTTGAACTGTTTTCGACTAAAATTGAAAAATTTCAAAATTTTCCCTCAAGTATGGGGAAACAGGAATGAATTGACCTTCCGAAAAGTCTGGCATCACATTTAATATTCAAACTAAAACAAGATAAAATTATTCAATTTCGTAGTTCCGAATTTTAATGAACCTTGAAATTTATCGTGTTAAGGTATTCAAAATTGGAAAATAATTTTTCAAAAGTGAATCGAAATTCTTGAAAAAAATTCAAAACGAATATGGTGCCCTAAAAATATTTTAGGTAAGAAACTTGAGACTGAATGAGTAGCTATTTTAGAAGTTACAGAACAGGGTTTAAGTATGGTTCATTCCCCAATTCAGCGTATTTTTGCATTTTTTGATCGGTTAATAAAACAATCAAACCCAGTTATTTTTTGAATATAATAGCATCAAGCTATTTTCAAATATTAGCAATCTTGATGAGAAAAATTTGACACTAAAGTTTGAATTATGAGAGAGTTATTTGTAATTCAAGTTTTCCCGATTAAATATGGTAATACTGCATATAACTGAATTTGTTTCAGATTATGCTTGAAAGTAGTACCATTCAGTGCGAAGATGTTCTCGCGAGACAAAATAATCTTTTCTGCTAGCTTTAAGGCGACTTCGTACCACAATCGTTTAATTGTTAAACCGATCATAAAAACTAATAACTGCTTTAGTTTTGAGTTTTCATACAAAGTGTCTAATACAATAATATTCACTTTGATGACCTCAACAATATATCAACTGCTCAAGTGTAGATTCAAACACTTTGAAAATTTTCGACGTTTTTCCATCTTAATCGCGGATGCACCAAGCAAAATAACTTCAAGTTGTGGCAAAAAAAAATCTCACTCTCAAGATTCAGTTCCCAAGTTATGATATAATAACTGGGAAGCTTTTATGATTACTTTAACATCTCGATCGTCGAAGTTAGCTCTTAACCTTAAGTAAATTATCATAAACCAGAATTCAACCTCTCCAAATAACTTCACGCTAAGGTTAAAAGTTACAATTCAACAAAATCAACTCAATTTTGAAGACAAAAATTAAGATAATTGAGATCAAACTACCATTTACTGACCATCAATTTTACTGTAAATCAGCTATATCCTCTTTCCAACCAAAATACACATGGTGGATTTATATCTCCATCGTTATCAAAAAAATCAATGAGCATTTTTATCAAATCATAGATTTTTTTTTTTTTTTCACCGGGGAAAATCAATTATTTAACCATGTTAAAATCATTACTTGGTGTTTCTAGACATTCTAGAGCTTTTAGAAGGGCAATGATATTAGAATTTCAACCATTACGTGCCTATTCAGAAACTCAACAACAACAACAAAAAACACAAACATTTCATGAAAAATTACAATCTACAAAATCATATTTAAAGAAATTACAAACTGAAGATTCTGAAGAAAGCGAAAGGATGCTTAAAAAAGTAAGGAAATGGGGGGTTTTATCTGTATTTATTACATTGGCTTCTATTTCAATTGCTGTTTATGATGAGCATTTTGGTGAGAAAGACGAAGGGGAATTAAAGAAATTGGAAAAAGTACCACCAATGGAATTAGAATATATTCCAAATTTGTCTCGAGATATAAGACATACTAAAGATTAATGAATTGATGAACTGATATTTTACGACGCTTATGAAATTTAAGAAGAACCTTTGCTTTCTTAACTGTACATAGAGATTACAATGAATAACTATTTATGATAAACCTATGATAAACCTTCTAACTATCACTCTTTTATATGATATCATCTCTAATAATCAATTACTTGCTATTAATAATGGAAAATTGGAAAATTATGTAATGTCAATTAGCTATATTACATAATCGGTTTCACGAACATCACATTAAATAATTTGAGTGGAAATTTTCACAGCAACTGAGGTCATCAGCCAATTGGTTTTAAAACAATTAGTATATATTTAAACACGTCTGCTTTCTTTTTCATTTGGTAATTTGTACGTTTTACAACAGAAGGTTATTTATTTACAACCAGATTTCATTTTATCGAAGTTAAGTTAGATTTGCAAATTATTTATTGCCGGTAGCCCCCATATTTCAACGGAATATCAAGATGTATAGAAATTTAATTAGAAACAATTTACGTCAATCTATCATTAATAGACCAAGTTCAATTAGATCAATTAGACAATTATCACAAACTACAAGCACAAAAAAGTCATATAGTAAATCTTCATTATTAATAGGTTCATTGGTACCTACCATTATCATTTACAACTATTTAACCTCGTCAGAGGCTATAAGAAACGACCAAGAAACTAAAGAATTTAAATATCAATCGACCTCAACTGCTAATTTAATTGAAGACAGAATTTCAGAAGCCAATGAAGAAGCAGCAACCGCAATGAAAGGTTTTGAAAGAAAACAAGAGCAATTAAAAGGTGAAACTAAAGGTGAAGAAGGTGGTGCTGCTTCTAATGCAAATACTGGTTCAAATACTTCTTCTACTGCGTCAGAAGTTAGAACTAAAGATTCTGCAGCAAAACAAGCGGCTGATGAATCTCAAGAAAATAAAACTACTAGAAAACCAACTAAAGGTACCAGAAAGGATAAACAAGTTTATGAACAAGATGAAAATAAACCACAACCAACTGAAGATTCAAAAGATTCAGGTGAAGAAAAACAAGAAGCTGCATTTAATCCTGAAACTGGTGAAATTAATTGGGATTGTCCTTGTTTAGGTGGTATGGCTCATGGTCCATGTGGTGAAGAATTTAAAGAAGCATTTTCATGTTTTGTATTTTCTGAAACTGAACCAAAAGGAATTGATTGTATTAAAAAATTTGAAAATATGAGATCATGTTTTAAAAAACATCCAGACCATTATAAAGAAGAATTATATGATGATGAAAAAGAGTTGGCCACTGAAGATGTTGAAAATAATGTATTGAAAGAAACAGATGAAGCTGTTAAAGAAATTGTGTCAAATAAATAGATTTAAACTAAATAAATATTAACAAGCACATTACTTCCTTCTCGTAGGACTAATAGGGACGAGTATATTGCAGCAAAAGAAGCCGGGAAGGTAACTGAATCAATCAAATTGAAATCAAACAACTGTATTAACATGCGCAATTATTTTTAACCTCATGATTTCCATTTCGTAGGTCAATGTTATCGAAATCTTGTAACTTTCGAGGTCGAGTTTCGGTGGATTTAGTTACACCCATTTGAGCAACTTTCAAAAACACATTCTCTATTGATTCCAACTTTTTTGAACTTAGTTCAACCAAACAATCATCCCAATCTTCAATATAATTATCAATATTCACCTCATCATCTTCATTAGTTAATATATCCCTAACTTCTTCAATGTCAATACATCTCTCATTCACTTTATCCATTTTATTACCAATTATAATCACACCAGGTGATTCAACACGACAATGAGAAATAAATCTTTTAAACCAATCTTTTAAACTTAATAAACTTTCATAATTTGTAATATCATAAACTAATAAAACAAAATCAGCACCTCTATAAAAAGCTTGAGATATAGAATTAAATCTTTCTTGACCAGCAGTATCCCAAATTTGTAAATTAACTTTATTACCATTTTCTAAATTGACAATAGTAGTTAAATAATCACCACCAATAGTAGCTTTATAAGCATTTGTAAAAATATGATATATAAATTGTGAGCGTAAACAAGTTTTACCAACCCCTGAATCACCGAGTAATATTACTTTCAACGTTGGTACTGTTGAATTAGACATTCATCAACCAAGTTTCGTTATCGTATAATAAATGATTTTCGTGTATATAAATATTTTTATTTTTATTTTTTATCAACGCAAGGCAGAAATTTATTTTTTTGCTTTTAACCATTTACTATTGCCAAACAGTATACGATGAAGATTTATTATATTGGTATTCTTAAAACTAATGATCCTTCAAAAACTATAGAATTATCATCTGCTAGAGATTTATCTCAATTTTCATTTTTTGAAAGAAATGGTGTATCTCAATTTATGACTTTTTTCAGTGAAACTGTATCTCAAAGAACGGCAAAAGGTCAAAGACAATCAGTTGAAGAAGGTAATTATATTGGGCATACATATACTAGATCAGAAGGTATTAGTTGTGTAATTATAACAGATAAAGAATATCCAACAAGACCAGCATATACTTTGATAAATAGAATATTGGAAGAATATTTAAATTTACATCCAAAAAATGAATGGGAAAATATTACTGAGACTAATAATAATTTAGCTTATCAAAATTTGGAAATATATTTAAAGAAATATCAAGATCCAACTCAAGCTGATTCTATTATGAAAGTTCAACAAGAATTGGATGATACTAAGGTTGTATTGCATAAAACTATAGAAGGTGTTTTACAAAGAGGTGAAAAATTAGATTCATTAGTTGATAAATCGGAAGCTTTAAGTTCTAGTTCAAGAATGTTTTATAAACAAGCTAAAAAGACAAATTCATGTTGTGTAATAATGTAGAAAATTAATAATATAAAGTATATCAACTGAATCAAGTCTACTACTTTCTATTGCATCCATATGATAATTCGAGTCAAAAAATGTATTATAAACAAGATTGTGTAATAAATATATAAAGTATATCAAATACTAAATCTATTCTATATGTTCTTTTGTACAGTTAAACACTAGCCTTCGTATCTAGATTCATGCTATGAGAAAATACGGTATATCAAATACCTTGGATTTCTTTCAATCTTGGCCCCCTTTATATGCTGAAATCTTTTGCATCCTTACAGACTCACATCTTTACCTTTCACAATACCAAATGCTTTTAACAATTTCCTCCTGGCACCTAATGCACTAACACCTTTACTTTCCAACTCATCATTATTCAATTCAATCAATTCATTCCAAGGAATATCTTTAAGACAATCAGTATACTTATGTAACCTAAGTACTTTTAACCAGGCAGGTATATTATTCAACAATTCGATATTTGTAATTTCCAAAGGCATCGAGGAATTTGTCATAGAACTAATACTCGTGGTTGAAGTAGCTGAAGTAGGAGTTGGACTTGAAATTGGAGATTTTTTATTACTTTTCTTATTGAATGGACTTCTCTGTATTGATGCAGGAACAGATGATGAATTCAATGATCTATTTATGTCTGCTTGTTGCGGTTGATATGGATGCTTTCTATTCGAATCTAAAGCAACTCTTGAATTTATCGTTTGTAATGCTCCTAATTTCATTGCATTAACTGAATCATCCTGATGATTTAAGTTATGACTATGATTGTATTGACCATTATTAGCTGCTAGTTGTAAGAAACTAGTCTTTTCGTATAAATGTGATGTTGGAGATTTTGCTCTATCGAGATTAAATTGTTGTTGTTGTTGAAAAAATGGATCCGCAGACTTTGGTCTTGAAAATTTATCCATTAAATAAGGGTTCTTAAACTGTTGAGGCTGCTTTCTGTTGATATTTAATTGTTCCATATCCGTATATAACTCCTGGGGATACATATTGCTATTTGAGGAATAAATTGATTGTTGTTGTTGTTGTGGTCTTTTTCCAGTTTGTAAATATTGATCCAATTTTGATTTAAAAGTTAATAAGATATCCAATGGAAGGTTTTGACATAAATAATCAATCATAATTAAATTATCTTGTGGATTTAAATTTTCAATCCAGTTGCTAAATATTAATAAATCCAGATAAAAATTAGATTGTGGTAATGGTTGTGATTGAGTTTGGTGTGGTTGTTGACCGTAATTAAATACGTTATTAAAATCATTAACTGATTGTGGTCTATTTGGAATTGAAGCCATTGGGGATACTTGATGATTTAAAAATTGTTCAGTTCTAGAATCTAATAAATTAGATAATTGAGGTTTATGAAATGATGATGTTGGATTAGGAGATAAAGTATTATTACCTAGTAAATCAGCTGTACCAGTTGTGAATTTTGAAGCTGAAGGAGCTAGCAAACTTGGATTAGGCTGAGATTGTGATTGTGAATGTTGAGTTTCATTTTGTTTTAATTGATTTTTTAAATCTAAATCTAAATCAGCAGTCAATGTTTCAAATTCATGTTGTAAATTGAAACCAACACTTTGTTGTCTTGACGTATGGCGTGATGGATCTAAGTTTGAATTATCTTGATTAATAAATGGAAATTGAGTATGACTATTTTGTAATTGATGTCGATCTAATAATGGAGGTGATAGAATTATTGGTCTTGTATTATCAGTTGTAGTTAAATTAATATCATTTTGTTTATCCATATTTCTTTTAAACTTGTTGCAAATTAATTTAATTTCTCATAGACTTAAAAATTGACCGTTCCCTATTTTTTAAAAATAATTTAGATATAATATTTTAATTATGAAGTTACTTTAACAATCCTGTTGCGAAATAAACCTTGTAAATATGTAAACCAGTTAACTAGTAAGCGAGTGAAAGAAAGAGATGATTTAAGAAAATTTAATCGGAACAATTTTTTTAAAAAGAACAAACCGACAGAAAATGATTATGTAATCGATAGTAGAAACTGTTAAGATGTATGAAAACATCAACAATTGATAGTATACACGACCAATAAGATTTTGCAGCAAGAGTTGAGATTTTTACTTAGATTAGGTTAGGGTGGAAAGAATGGCCAGTATAAGATTAGACGTAAAACAATGTGTAGATTTAATATTGAGACACATTTACTGCTGTACTTCTATTATAATTGGTTATTACAACATCAGGATTTGGCACTAATCGCAATAATCACACCTTTTAAATTTTCTTGTTTAGCTCTGTAATCTGAATAAGCGAGGTCTATGACAATTTCATCTGCAAGGATATGTCTTACTTTTCAATCTTATGCGAACTCGGCATTTTTAATATGGAAGTTGACAGTTTTGATCAAGCTGTTCAAGATGAAACTTGATGTAAAAGTCGCGGTAAACTTCGTCTAAAATTGATACTAAACATTTTTCTCAGCTATGGCGACTGGTATTTTTTTCGGTTGAATAATAATTAATTGCGCGAGGAGGATGCCACTAGTATTTAATTCTTGGGTGCAGGAATGCTAGCGATAACTTTAACCAAAATAATCGGTATTCGTTCAGCGGTTTAGCGCCAGATAAATATTATTAGTTTGGCATCTTGAATAAAGATGATAATAACCTTGGACTAGTAAAAACAATTATTGAGATACAATTGAGTACACTTGCATAAACAGATCCTAGACAGATTGATTATTCACGTTAGCCACGAAAAGAACTTAGAGCCATTTCGCTTGAGTATAGGCTGAGAGTTGGTACGAGTATTGTAATTTTTCTGCGACTTGATTGTATTGAAATAAATGGACACGGAGTTAATTATGATCTGAAACAGAAACCACTTATATACAGTCCTACCATAGTAAATCTTGAAACTTAATTTGAAAATAACTCCCTTAATATTGAAGCAGTAGTTGCCAGACTTTTTTCGATTCAACTAAGGTTATGTTAGAATAGAAATAAATTAGTATCATCAAATAATACCTATTTACGATCAATTTATTACTCATTGAAAAATGGGAGAAAACCAGAACTTAGACCTCATTTTGCAATTTCTAACACAGCTAGTTTATTTGACTCCAAATGAACTTTAAGTTATTTTTGCAAGATTTCAAAATCGTTTTAAAATTTTTGCAGAAATTTCGATTCACCTTTGAAAAATTGCTGTTTCAATTTTGAATATCTTAGCAGAAAAATTTTGAGCTGAAACAGCAGACAGGAACGACTAATCTTGATAATATTGCCATGCTGTTATTTCAAATTTGATTGTGGAATTGGATTTTTTGTAAGGTCAGTTTATTCGATTTTCTCCATACTTAAGAGAGAATTTTGAAATTTTTCAATTTCAATTCCGATCAAATACAAATGTGTTCGGCATCGTAAGTTTTAATATACATAAACCATTATTCTATTGAAAGTTATGGCCCATAATAAAGAATGTTTTATGTTTTCATTTTTTGCAAATTTTTGTATGATGAAAAAAGCCCATAATGACAACTTAAAAAAAAATATTTGAAAATTGGAATTTAAGCTTATAGTTTATATAATTTACAGTTTCTAAATGGACATAAATGGTATTTATCTCAGGAAAATCTGTTGTTCATGACATATAAGCCAATAACTGTAGTTCTTCGAATTGCCCTAATGATACCGCGAGAAAATCTTTCGTCGCGCCAAATTGTCACATTGAATTTTTGGACCCGATGAATGGTGAAAGTTATCACTGGAAGTTTGAAAAACTATCCTGAAAACTATCCGACAGGTCAGAAATAAACGAAAACTATACAAGAGACAAACATCAAACATGAACATATCTTATTTATTGAAAATCTATCTAAAACTCCTTGAAATGTATAAAATAAAACTAACCAGAAACATTAAAAAAACATAAAATACAGTTAAGTGAATGTAAGAAGGTGTAACTATTATCCTTCATTTTCTTTTTGTTTATTTAACCAAAATTTCTTATTCTCTTGAATTATTTCACTTGTAAATTCCAATTGCGGAAATATATTAACAATATTCTTGAATAAATTCTCAGCAAAAGTATTTATGAAAAAGATTTGACTTTTATACAACAATGGTTGGATCTTTAATATTTGATCTAGATCAAAGGGAATAGCATCATACACTAAATCCTTTTCGATATCGATTTCATAATTTTCCATATTCAAATATTTATCCAACATATTTACCTCCTCAAATTCTCTGCTTAATACCATTGCCCATTGACTTGAAATTCTTAATGGTCGTGTCACATTTGAAATATCAGCACATTTAATCAACAATGCACATATTAATTTTATTCTATTATCATGATTTTTAATTGATTCATTCGTCGAAAAATTTTCCAATTTATGTATGTATTCGAAATGTTCACCCATATCAGTTGCTAAAATAGATGATATAATTAAGTCTTTAATTGTAATTAATGAATCATTATCTATCTTTTTAGTAAGTAATTTTGGCCAACATATTTTCAATATTCGATTTATAAAAATTGTAGTATGAAAAGATTCCAACACTGATCTATCATTATAAATTAATGAAATTGGTGAATTGTTAGCAATCATGAATGCATTTGTAGTACCTGGATGTCCAACATCATGACCCAATGTTGCAATTAATAAACCCAATACTTGAATATTATTAAGGTATGCATTTGAATCTGTATATTCTTTACTAATGCATCCTAATTTAATAAGAAAATAAAAATTAGCTTGTAATACATCTACTGCATGTCTAAAATTATGAAATGGATTACCATTCTTATATGAATTTCGAACCATAAAAATAAGACACAACAATTCGTTGTCAATAATTTCTATCTCTTTATATTCTTCAACGCTTTCTTTCTTTATACTTTTCAATGCATGATTTATAATTATATATGCACAATATATCAAATCGTCATTATTTAATTCATGAGCTGGAAATGCCCAATTCCAAACGGTATCAACTAAGTCTTGTGTTGATTTACTTAATGATAACAATGCAAAGAAGTCAATTTCTTTAAATATCAATTGTGTCCATTCCAGTACTTCGTTATTTGAATAAACTGAACTATTTAGAATATCATACATGTTGTGTACTTTCTTACAACAATTTTTCATAGTCTTCTTTTTAGATTGTAATACTCCAGTCCAATTGCCTACTCTAATTAATCGATTAGCTATACATGTCTCACTGATGGACGATTTATCTAAGTTAGTAGATGATGTAGTGGTAGTTAAGTTTAAGTGATGGAAGAAAAACTTTAATAATTGATTGAATTCTTCAAATAGCAAACATTTTAACGATTGAGTTGGTTGATGCAGTATTCTTTGATTGATATTGTTTTCTAATACTATGACTATTGGTAAATTTATGTCATGTTCTACAAATGATTTAATAAATAAAGATTGGATGAGATGTTGTTGTGAGGTGTAATTTATAATTTTTGTTGTATCATTTGATGTTAACGAAGCTGAATTGGACGAAGTATATACTTCAATTATATTCATTAATACAACTGTGGATATTTAATAGGATTGATTATAAGAACCGTAGGGTATAAAGAAATTTGTCTGATGTCTAAGTAAATAAAGACCACCGAGTACGTGATAAAGGAATGATAAATTCGTGGCAATAATAAACTGATAATATATGGAGCCAATACCAATAATATTGAAAATTGATTGAAAACAATTTGAATAATTGATTTAAATGAATAGAATATCGTTATTTTTTTTTTTTTTTTTTTTTTTTTTTTGACTGTTAGACATTGAAAATTTCTTTTTATTTAAAATAATGTATGTAGAATACGTATGCACTGGTTATCAACAAAAGCAAGGGCACGCTAACTAACTATAGCAAAAGACTTGATCGCAGGACCAATTGTACTTAATTAGTTAGACTATGGAGTTTAAATATCGATAATTTCGGAGTTTTGACTCTACTCTAATTAATTAATTACTATGACGAATATTTGTTAATTAACCACATAACCTTGTAATGCCATCAATTTCTCACCTATTTCAGTCGCAACCAATTTTTTTAAGACAATGTATAATGGGTTATTAATAAGTATGGTATGATTTATAGTATTGTTCTCGATATCTGAAACATGATCACAGTTAGCTAATTTGAAACCACCTCATCTGACGCTTCAAATACTACATGAGCATTGTTAATAAGGTTTCTAAAGTTGATCGTGTATTTATTATTATTTGAAGTTTAAAGTATATTTCATATAGTGTGTACCGGGTTCAAAATAACCGTTTCAGGAGTGCATAAAAATAGGGTTTTGAGAAATCTTCAAATTAACTCCGGCTTATATCCTTTCGAGTTCAAGACTTCACATTGGTTTCCAGGATCACCAAATATATATATAAGCTTGACGGAACTGGGTAAATACGGTCAATGTATAGAGATGTGCGCAGAAGAATGCTGAAGATAAGCATAATCACGCTTCAGGGCTTAACAAAACGCAATTGCGCTCTTGCATAAGTTCACTATCTTTTATTCGTCACATCATTATTTGTAATATATACTAACCAATAATATCAATATACTAAATACTAGGATATTAGCAGTAATTATACTCTTAAATCTTGTGGAGTTTAAGTTTTGTTTATCTTGTATTCGTTGATTAATAGACTCCAATAAATCCAATTTATTAATTATTTCATTATTAATCTTATTCTTATAATTATTAATCTTCTCCTTATAAGAATTCAACTTCTTCTCGAGATCATTCAACTGATTAATTATCTCATTTAATTTGGCTAAATTCTTTTCAATCTCAACTTTATACTGATTTTTCTTGTTTTTTAATTGATTGTTTAATTCATGTTTCAAATCCATAAGTGATTCATTAAAGCTATATAAATAGGTACTTAATTTATTCAACTCAGTAACTGATAAACTCTCATTATTTCCTTTACTAGTCTTATTAAATATTGATTGATTCGACTGTAGTAATTTGTTGGATATGGATGACATTATAACATTCAATTGTTCAAAATTATTATCATCCTTACTCACCTGTGTTTGCTGATCTAAAAAGTTGTCTATATTTAGTAGATAATTGATTAATTCCTCATCATCCTGTATCAATTTGTCATCAGTATAACTGAAACCTCCCTTGTTTAACTTTTTGATTAAATAATCTTCATCCATCACAAAATCTCTACTATCCATTGGTACAGCTACTTGTATATTAGCATTCTCTTCCATCCATTTGAATTTTCTTTCTCCTTTTAGCGCTATCCTTGGTGAGAATTGTAAGCTTTCCAACCCATCATTAGAATAACTATCTAATTTATTATTTAAATTATAAAACTGATCCACTAGTCGATTCTTATTGCTTTTCTTTGAACTTACATTTGGTGATTTATACTGTTTTTTGAAATAATTGGCCGATTCATACATTGCTGGCGGTGTTACAAGATGCAGGTTAGACGAATTTGAGTTCAGGAATCGTAGGTTGTCACTTGATTTAGATAATCTAGTTCTGAAATTATTTAAGGTTGCATTTTCTTGAATATCTTTTTCTTGATCATTGTTTATTTGTTGAATTGGAGTTAATGGATCAATGTTAATTTTGAAATCATGTTTCTTATTTCTTTTACTCATATTGCCATGATTTATACTAATGGTAATGGCTTAATTTGAATAATTCGTTGTAACTTACTGAAATTTATTTTTAACAAACCGTGCGCTAAAATTGAAAAATAATTTAGGTACAAGATCTTTAAAGGATGAATAATTGAAAGAAAAATCACAAATAGACTCGCTTTCTACGACTTCAAAATGGTCAGAAAGCGCGTTTGAATTCGCCGTTAAGCTTCAAATACTATCAGAGAAAACTTATATCTGTTCAATTATAGTTATATCGCGTATTTCAAATGCCGTAGGATTGAAATTTTCAACCAAATAGTTATATCGTGTCTCAAAATCAACAATAGAACTAATATTTTAACATCACTCAAACAATTGAACAATTACTAAGTTTATGATTGTCTACAAATTACGACTGATATCTTCTAGATGGTAAACAACTATGAAATTATGGTTATGATTGAAAATTTCTTTAATTCACGATGCTTTCATTAAAAAATTTAATATAAAGATGGGTATATTCAAAGGATACTGGTTATTATTCTGCAGAGGTTAAGGTTGGATCAAATCAAGATAAAGTACAAGTTATTTTCGATTCGGGTAGCTTTTATCCTTCAATATCAGATGTTGGTGTTGCATGTACGGATGGTTACTAACCATTTGCAACTTTTAGATCAGCAGAATCAACAACTTTGAAAAAAGCAGGTAAAACAATTACTAGTTTATATGGTTCAGATGACGGTGCCATGATTGGTGATCAAGTTTATGTTCAATTTACTATGGGAGGTATAATTTTGAATAACTTTCTGGACTCAGCTTAAAGAAGAGCTAGTATTCTCGGTACTGGTATTGATGAAAAATACAATTTTGTTATCAATGCTTATAAAGAAGGTATTTTGAGCAAACCAATGTATTCATTTTACTTAGGTGATGAAAGTTTGCCAGGTAAATTTCATTCCGGAGGTTACGCCTCAGCAAAATTAGAAGTATTTAGTTGGCATCCTTATGATAACACATCCTGGCAATATATGGTTAACTTTGAGTATATGATCATTGATGGTAAATATATTATTATTATTCAAGTTAAAATGGCTGATAGTGGTAATGATGTTGGGGGATTAGCAGAACCAGCTTATTGAGAAATTATTGCACAATTTCCAAATGAAAGTGCTTATAGTAAAAAACATGCTTTGTTCAACTGTACTGATTTAGAAGGTAAAACTTTTACTTATTCAATTAATGGAAAAGAAATGACATTACCCTTAAAACCTTTTGTTTTACCAGATCAAAAAGGTGAATATTGTTATCATTCAGAAGATAATTCTACTGTTAATAATTTAGGTGCATGAGATATATGTATTTTGCTATTAATTATGAAAATAAACTTATTGGATTTGGACAGCTTAAAGATACTACTGAAACAAATATAGTCCAATTTTAATAGAGATATTTTTGAGACTTAGTGTTTTGAAAAGTTCTTTCAATTCTATCAGAACGATCTCACTAACTTCAAGGTGTGACAAATTCAGCAAATTATCCATTTACATGACGGATTGCTGATGTAAATAGATATAATATAGAGATGCTGATGTTGGCTACAAGCACTAAGTTACTTTGTTATACCATATTTGTCTATTATACATACTATATTTACTTTTTCTATTTTGCAGCTGAACCTCTACCACCAGCACCTTGTTCAATTAACCTCAATGTCTCATCACTTATCTCAGTATTTATCAATTCTTTCTTACCCTTATTTTGTGGGTATGGTAAAAATCCAATTTTAACTAAATAACTTATATAAATGTCATTTATATCTTCAGTAACACCTTTTCCACCACTTACATCTTCATTAGTCCATTTTGCATCTTTCTTTAATGATTTTCTTGAATTTGAATCATCTAATTCTGGTGCTTTTGTATCCTGTGGTAAATTATCCAATACAAAATGTAATAAAGGAAACAATGCATTTGATTTAGCATCTTCAATAACAAATTTTTCTAAATTTTTAGTCCAGATAAGATAATCAACGGCTTGTAAATCAAATCCAAATTTCTGTAAATCTTGTAAAAATTCATTCAATTGTATTCTTGGATGACCTGTAACGTGAGCAACTACCAATTCCTCTTGTGGTGGATTTAAAGCAGTTGAAGTTACTACTCTAGCTACATGATCAACAGGAACCATATTTACATTATTTGTAATATTTGGATATGATCCTAATTCAGCACATCCTTTCAACAATCTCAATAAGAAATCATCAGTATTTGAAGCACCAGTTTCAGTAAAACCGGTGATATAACCTGGTCTAATTATACATCCTCTTAATCCTCTTTCCCCTGCTCTTCTTATTATATATTCAGCTGACCATTTAGATTGTCCATAACCGTTACCTAATCCACTACTTGAGCCAGCTAAATCATCAGATTCAAGTATACCTTCTCCACCTTTTTGTAAAATTTCATCTGATAAATTTATATAATAATCTGTATCTAAAGTTGATGTAGACGAAACAAATGTGAAATATTTAGGTTTTCCAGCACCACATAAATTCAATACATTAATTGTAGATATAACATTTGCATCACGTAATTGAGAATATGGATATACCCAATGAACAAAAGCACCATTATGAATAATAACATCAATTTCATTAGTTAAAAATTCCCATTGTGATTCATTTCCAAATTTGTCTTCCGATAAATCACCTAATACAATTTCAATCTTGGATTTCCAGTCATCATTCCAAATACCATAAAGTATACCAGCTTGTCTAATTCTTTCTAATCCTGCTTCTTTAGTTTTAGCTCTTACATGTGCATAAATTTTGATATTCAATGAAGAACGTGATGTTAATAAATCTCTAATTATAAAAGAGCCTAAAAATCCAGTAACACCAGTAACGAAAACATTAATTAATTTTGATTCATCAATTCCAGTTTTTGAAGTATACGATTTTAATAATGCTGTTTGTGATAATTGCTTAGCATCTTCTGCATAATCAACAACTTTTGCTTTTGTCTCTTCTTCTTGTTTTGATCCATCGGCTAATTCAAAATCAGCTCCATTTTTAATTATATTTTCAACTTCTTTTGCAAATTGTTCAACTGTTGGATTTTTAAAAATTACACCTAATGGAATTTCAACATTTAATTTTTTACGTAATTCAAAAATCACTCTTGTTCCTAATATTGAATGACCACCTAAATCGAAAAATGAATCTGATTTTAAGATTGTTGCTGGTTGATTAGGTAAAATTTCATTCCATAATGATATAATGTCAGTTTCTAATTTAGTCAAATCTTCTTCTTCTTTATCTCCACTTTCTTTGATTGATAATTTAGCAACAGCTGCTAATTGAGCAGTATCTGGGAACGGTAATTTTGGTTTATCGATTTTCCCATTTGGATTTAGTGGTAATTTAACTAATGGAACAATTATAGTTGGAATAGCATATGATGCTAATTTCTTTTTAAGGTATGATTTAATATCTTTAATTAATTCACGATAGACCACCAATCCCTTGACTATTGGATCATTATCTTCTTCATTTATTTCAGATTTAAAATTAGCCAATTCTGTGGAGTCTGATTTTGGAACAATATATGATATCAATGTTGGTTCTTCATTTTTATCTCTTCTAACTAATGTAATATTCTCTCTTACTAATTTATGTTGTGATAAATGGGTATCAATCTCACCTAATTCGATTCTAAAACCTCTTATTTTAACTTGATCATCGGCTCTACCACAACATTCAACATTTCCATCAGGTAAATAACGACCAAGATCTCCAGATCTATACATACGATCTCTTGGACCTAACCAATCAGATCTCCATTCTTCATTTTTAGAATTTTTCTTGTCTTCTTCAATCCATTTATTTGAATCAATAAACCAATTGGTGATAAATTTTTCTTTATTCAAGTCTGGTAAGCCTCTATATCCTTCAGCCAAACCAGCTGCTCTTACATAAATCTCACCAACTTCACCAACACCACAAATTTGAGATCTATCATTTCTATTAACAACTAATAATTGCACATTTTTCATTCCTAAGCCTGCAGGCATAACATCTTTCAAATTTTTCAAATATATTGGATCTGCTTTCTTTGATTTAATTTCAAAATATGATACTGATCTTTGTGTTTCTGTTGTACCATACATATTTACAATATATACATTTTCAGCTAAATTTTGTAATCTTAAACAATCTCTTTTTGTTAGTATATCACCTACAAAAAAAGCATGGTGTAATGATGGAATTAATGTGGTTGCTTGTGCACTTAATAATTGACCCATAGCTGGCGTTAAATGAGTAACTGTAGCACCATATTGATTCATCCATTCCGCTAATTTACCAGGTGTACCTATATCATCACTTGTAGGAATTAATAATTGTGCACCTAAGAATAACGGCGTAAACATATCTCTTTGAATTGGATCATGAGCTATACCAGACAACATTGTGAATTTATCATTTTCAGATAAGTTAAATTTTTCAGACATCCATGAAAAATAATAAGCTAATGAATAGTGTCTACCTAAAACACCTTTTGGAATACCTTCAGAACCAGAAGTAAAAGATAAGGTTGGATTTGAATCTGGTCCAACAATAACACCTGTTGGAATATCTGCAAATTTAGTATAACTTTCCAACACATCTTTTCCATCCTTTTCACCACCTACTAATGAAGCATCTTCTAATATCTTCAATTGTGGGATTGTTGTAACTACTTCTAATTCATTATCGATATAATCAGTTACCAATTTATCTAATGTACCAGCTTTTTCTAACACAATCAACCCTTTTGGTTTAGCAACTGATAAATATATATTTTGTCTTGCTGGTGGATAAGCAGGATCAATTACTGAAAAAGTGGCACCAGCTTTCAATACACCCATGACTGCAATCATTAAATCAACTCCACGATAAGCATAAATCATAACTATATCACCTTTTTTAATTCCTGTTTCTTTCAAATAATTACCAACTATATTTGAAGCTTCATTGATTTGTTTATAATTAAATATTCTAGTTTTTGAATTTGGATCTAAAAAAGATTTAGTTTCAACAACACATGTTCTATCTGGATGTCTCTCAGCATTAGACATGAAAATATCTTGAATTGAACCTTTATAACCACTCCAATCTAAATTTATAGTTGGATCGGGCAACCTTGATTTTTGAGATTTAGTAATTAAATTAACTTTGGTAATAGAAATAGCATCATCTTTAGTTACTGTAGTGATGAATTGTTCAAACTGTTCGGCAACTATATTTATTCTTTCTTGGGAATATAATAATGCATTATAATAGAATGTAAATTCTTTACCGTTGGTGAATATTGCCAAATCTCTGAATGAACCTTCCACTGTAGTACTTAACTGCTGATTTACATTTGAATGTTGGTATGATAATCTAAATAAACCTGGTAACTCTTCCAATTTCTTCTGATGTCTGATTTCTCTTGAAATTTCAGTTAATGATCCATAATTTACATGTTTTAAATTTGAATTATATTCTTGATTTATTTTTTCATATAATTGTTTAAATGTCAATTCTGGAGTTATATTCAATCTTATTATAAATTCAGTTGAATTTGGATTTGAATCTGTTGAAATTACAATATCTTCATCACCAGTTAAACTATAAATTAAAGCTGCAAAAACTGACAAACCAAAGGTAAAATCTTGATTATTATTTGGAACCTCAAATTTATAAGTACCTTCTACTGATTTATTATTTGCTGGTTTTAAAAAATCATGTGGTAATACAGACAATGTTGGATTGTCAAGATAATCAACCCAATACTCCATGATTTTTAGTTTGATTGAATTTGGTAATTTTTTATCCCCAAGCGCTCGCTTGATAAAAGATTTTTTTTTTTTTTTTTCGCATGGCATTTTGTTAATCATGAGTCAGAATTGATATACATGTATACGCTATTCAATTTAAGAATAAAAATTGTAAATCGTCTGGAGTTAACTTATTAATAGCAGCTTCATCACGATTAATAGTCGCATTAATCATATTTGCTTTTTTATCTTGTAATTCAATAATTTTTGATTCAATACTATCTTCAATACAAAATCTTGTAATTTTTATTGGTCTTTTTTGACCAATTCTATGAACTCTGTCCATTGATTGCCATTCAACACTTGGATTCCACCACGGATCCATTAAGAACACTTGAGATGCTTCACATAAATTTAATGCAACACCACCAGCTTTTAAAGAAACTAAAAATACTTCAACTTCAGTATTTTCCATGAAATATTTAATTGTATTATCTCTTTGTTGTGGTGACATAGATCCTGATAATTTAACAGTTTGGAAACCAGCTCTTTTCAATCTCCATTCAATTAAATCCAACATTGATGTAAACTGAGAAAATACAATTGATTTAATAGTATGTTTATCTGATCTTAATTTATATAATTCTTCACATAATGCTTCAATTTTAGTACTTGATCTCCATTCACCACCATGAGAACCTGATTTTAATCTATTAACAATTGATGCTTTTGAAAATAATTCTTCATCTACTTCTAATGCGGGCTGTTCTAAATCTATTGATAATCCAATATGACAAACTGGACATTCTAATTTATTTTCTTTCCCAGCAAATGATTCAACATACTCTGTAATACACATTCTACAGAATCTATGACGACATTTAGATTCAATTGGTTCTTCAGCTTCATCATCACATAATTGACACATTATAACACCATCAATATTTTGACTTAAAGCTCTAGCACCAGCTTTTTTCAAAACTAAATCTGGATGATCAGCAATTTGTCTCATTCTAGTAATTAATGTAAAAATATTTGCATAATTATTTAAAACAACTCCTTCAGCAACATAATCATTAAATTTCCTCTTTGAATCACTATATAATGATTGATATAAATCTTTTTCTTCTTCATTAAACCTATCACGTCTAATTTCAACAATTCTTGGAGGTAATCCTAAATCATCAGCTCTTTCCAATTTAGTTCTTCTCAACATTATATTACCTAATACTAATTGAATTCTATCAAAACTTTCTTTACCAGAACCTTCTAGACCAAATTTTTGAATTTGTTTCAACATAAAATGATTAAAGAAATTAGTATGAAGCATTGGTGAATGTTGACAAATATCACAATGTCTACCATTAGAAAATTTCCAATCTTCTGATTTACATGCACATTTGGTACAGAAGTACATATGAAATGGTGATAATTTCATATATCTAATTAATGAATATAATTCACCAATTCTATTTTGTAATGGAGTACCTGATAAACACCATCTTTTTTTAGTGTTTAATTGATTTGCAGCTCTTGAAGTGTTTGAAGTTCTATCTTTAATATTATGAGCTTCATCTAATATAACTCTATAAAACTCAATATTATGAATTGGTGATTTTTCTTTTACTAAACCATTTTTTCTTCTAAAACCATATTGTTGTTTTCTATAACTTGATTCTAGAACTGAATAACTTGTCAATATAACATCATACTCTAATAAATCTTTGATTTTAGTTGCTCTATTAGCACCATGAAATAAGCAAACTTTCATTTTACCATCTGTATGTTTTTCAATTTCATGTTTCCATTGCATTAAAGCAACAGTTGGACCAACAACTAAATTTGGACCTTGAGTTCTATCATTCATAAATAAACCGATAGTTTGTATAGTTTTACCCATACCCATTTCATCAGCTAATATACCACCTTTAAATTCACCTTCTTCTTGTTTAATTAACCAATTTAACCCTTCTAATTGGAAAGGTAACATTTTTAAAGTCATACCTTCAGGATGTGGAGCTCTTTCTGGTTTTATTCTATCTCTAGTTTGCAAGTGTGGGAATACTTCCTTTAAAAAAGGATGTTGTTCAAATAATCTATTTGTATTCCTTTCGTAAGGTGAAATTTTTGGTGGTTTTCTTTTAGCAGGAGCTTTTCTTTTCTTTTTAGACGGGGGAATTGGTTTCTCTTCAGCTAATGGTATATCTGATAATTGAGATTCTGAATCTGATAAATTTATAGCATTATTAGTTGAAGACCCGTCATTTTCAATTTTATTTGAACCAACAAATGAAACTTCATCATCAGTAGTTCCAGATTCTTTTTCATCTTCTAAACTTAATGTAAATTCTGCATCATCATCATCATCTGAACTTTCAACTTTAATTTTCTTACTTTTCTTATTACCTTTGGGACGCGTTATTTGACGTGTCTTCCTTTTCTTAATAGGCGTAGGTTCATTTGCAAACGTGTCGGAATTTACTGCTTCATCTGAGTCATCTGAAATTTCAACATATGAAGTTTTTCTAGTAACAGCAGTTTTTCTAGTTGGTGTTCTTCTTCTTTTCTTAACATCTTTATCGTTTATAACAAATCCGCCCCCATCTAAATCTACATCAGAATCAGAATTTGAACCTGAACTTAACTCTGGTGCCATCTCAAAATATTATAATACTTGAATATATAAAACTAAAGCGTGTTTGCGCTTGCTAAAGGAAAGCAAATTAATTAATTGATGTAATAAATTAAACTATGGGTGTGAAAAATTGATAAATAATATTAAATCGTACATTCACTCATTAGACACAAAAATAAAAAAAATATATAATAATTTAGTATAAGCGATGAACCTAAATTATAGAGATTCGATGGCAAATTTTGCTTATGCATGTCTCTCACTTTATAATTTGACACATATGGAAATTAATATCTATTATGACTCATTTATCCGTTAATAACTAGAGAATTTAGAGGGTTTAAGAGGGTCTAATCTTGACAAAATCTTATCTATTAAAATGGTCTGAAAACCGTTTTTGATATTTTGCAGCCAAAATGATCTACGATTTAAAGCTTTATATCTATTGCTAAACACTGAAAATATTGATATTTTAGGTAAAAATTAACCATTTCTAACATTAGTTTACTTTTATATTTATAAGAATGCAAAATTTATATATATAGGTTTTTCATTTCATTAAATATTACCAGATGCAGCAGCTTTTTCTGATCTTTCAGCATCAAAAAGAAAATCAAAATAAGATTTTTCAAATTCATGAACTCTAATAAAACCATCTTCTCCTCCACTTGCATAACCAGCACCATTTGGATGAACAGCAACAGTATTTAATGGACCAAAATGACCTTTAACTCTACCAATTTCTTCTTCGAAAATTTTATGATAAAATCTAGCCTCAAATTTACCTTGAGATTCCGCTGTTGTTGTAACGTTTCTTGCTTCTTGACCACCTCCTAATATAACAAAATCTTTGACTGGGGTTATTGCTGCTGTATTCATTGGTGCATCAGCTTTATAAACTTTTAAAATTTCAAAACTTTCAACATCAATTAATGTTGCAGTTTTATCTTTTGATGAAGTTATAAAATACGATTTATCTTCAGGTGCAAATTGAATATCAGTAATACTAATATTTTTCTCTTCTGTATGTATACCATGAGCTTGTATTGATTGAATTAATTCACCAGTATTTGAATCATATTTATTAACATACCCATTATCTAACCCGCTAATTATAAATTTACCATCTTGAGTAAAATTTGCAACATTTGATTTTGAGTTATTTTGGTCAGTTTCTATTATTAATGAAGGTTTTATATCTTGATTATTGAAATCTGATTCATTTGTTTTTAAATCGTATACTGATATAGTACCAATATGACCCATAACTTGATCTGCTATTGCTAACAATCTTTTACCATCTGATGAAAATGCAACTCTTCTAACTGGTGATGGAGATTCCCATGTAAATACACATTGACCAGTTTCAACTTTCCACAACTTTATAGCTAAATCCCCACCACCTGTTGCACATAAGTTTGTTTCAGGATCTACATCAATAGACCAAATTACCCCTTGATGACCTTCTAAAGTTCCTAATCTTTCACCATTACTACTAAACCAAATTGAAGCAGCATTATCTTTAGCAACAGAAAATAATAAGTCACCTTCTCTATTATATTTAACTTGAGTTAAGGAACGCTCATGTCCCATTAACTTTATTGGTCTCATTGCCATTTTCTATAAATTGTTTACCTTTGGTAATTTGATAAATGTTTCAGAAAGTGAAAAATAAAAAAATTTTTAGTCGTGTAGAATACGTGGAAGAGCTACCATGTTGATAGTATTAGATTGCAAAACTATAGAGAATGAGTAATTTCACTCGTGATTTCATTTATTAAAACATAAACTCATTATTGATTGGTGTAATTGAAGTTAGTAGCAATTTGCCGCGGTCAAAATCCATCTATTTCTTTCCTTGTTGTATTTTGGCTTTTAATTCAGCTTCTTTCTTTGCATCAGCTACAATAGATGTTAGTATATGGTCAAAGATTATTATTATAGGTAATTACATACCTGCTGCTTGTTTCGCTCTCATTCTTTCAGCATCAGTTTCCATTCTTTTAGTTTTATCACCTTGTTTTTGATTTTTATTTTGTTCTTGTTGTTTTTTCATATTTTTAGCTCTTGCTAATTCTCTTTGATTACCTCTAGCCATTTTATCTAATACTCAAACGAATGTAGTCTATTACTTTAGCTTATAATCTCACAAACCTCCAATGAAGGAATTTATTGAGTTATTAATAATTGGTGAAAAAAATTTTACTGTGCAGGAATATATTTTAATGGTTATCAATTGATAGATTAATGAGTTCAAAATCAAATGGGATTAATGAAAAGCTACAAAATATGAGTAATAACAATAACTTTCGAAGGAATGAATTAAAACCACCAACCTTTCCAGCAGTAAGTTCAGCTCAAAGAGTGGCGTCTTCATCATCAAATCTACCAATTCCAAATAGACAAGAACCTGGAAGAAGAAAAGTAATATTACAACCAGGTCATTCACCTTTAGATTGGGCTCAATTAAACAGAACAACTCCAAAATATAAATTAAGAGGTGTTGATCCAAATACACCACCTCCCCAATGTATAAAAATAAATAAACTTGAATTACAAAAACATAAATCTAAAAATGATTGTTGGACTTGTATAAATGGTAAAGTTTTTAATATAACTCCATATATAAATTTTCACCCTGGTGGTGTTGATGAAATTATGAAATGTGCCGGGAAAGATGGTACTAGTTTATTTAATAAATATCATAGTTGGGTTAATGCAGATAGAATGTTGGAAAATTGTATAGTGGGTGTATATGTTAACTCGTAATTAATTGATTCAATTTCCAATCGTGTTCTTCAGTAGGTATCTCTTGTACTATCTGTTCTTGTAAGGACAAACCAATTAAATATGGGAGTGTACTAAACTTTTTAGAATATGTTGATAAAAATTCATCATAGAATCCAGCTCCATGACCTAACCTTAAGTTTGAAGTTGTAAACGCAACGCCAGGTACTAATATAATATCTAAATTTCCATTATCTAGCACATCTTCTCCGGATGTTGGTTCTAATAATTCAAACTTACCCTGCGGCTGCAACTTTAGCACATCTCGAAAAGTAGAGATTTTAAGCATCGATAAGTAATTGGGTTTCCTTGTTGGAATCTTTTCATAATTACATCTAGGTAAATATACTTGCTTGTTTAAATCAAAACATGATTTTATGATATCTATAGTTTTAATTTCCAGATCTGGCATATTCATAAAAATTGCAATTGACTTAGCATTTTGAAACCTTGGCTCTTTTAATAATTTATCATGTATTATCCTAGATTGCGATACCAATGATTCTTGCAGTATCAACTTTAACTTGTGTTTAATCTGTTTTCTCAATTGTCGTTTAGCCTCTTTTATTGATAAATTCATTGCAAAAGAAAATTGGTAGCAGTTTTTTTTTTTTTCTATTTTTCCATTTTTCAACTTCGTGTCAAATTTATATTTCTAGAACCAAAATGGATTTTGATTTAGAACCATCATTAAAAGATTTAATTCAACAAGATACTTTAAAATGGATATTTGTTGGTGGTAAAGGTGGTGTTGGTAAAACTACAACTTCTTCTTCAATTGCTGTTCAATTAGCTTTGCAATATCCAAATGATGAATTTTTATTAATTTCAACTGATCCTGCTCATAATTTATCAGATGCTTTTTGTCAAAAATTTGGTAAAGATGCTAGAAAAGTAGAAGGTTTGTCTAATTTATCATGTATGGAAATTGATCCTGAAGCTGCAATGAGTGATTTACAACAACAAGCTCAACAATATAATAATGATCCAAATGATCCATTAAAATCAATTATGAATGATATGACTGGTTCAATACCTGGTATAGATGAAGCGTTATCATTTATGGAAGTTTTAAAACATATTAAAAATCAAAAAGTTGATGAATCAGATTCAAAAAATAAAATTTCATATAAAACAATTATATTTGATACTGCACCAACTGGTCATACTTTAAGATTTTTACAATTACCGAGTACTTTACAAAAATTATTGGGTAAATTTCAACAATTAAGTGGTAAATTAGGTCCAATGATGAGTATGTTAGGTGGTGGTGGACAATCTCAACAAGATATGTTTGCAAAATTAAATGAAGTTGAAAAAAATGTAACTGAAGTTAATGAGCAATATACAAATCCTGATTTAACTACTTTTGTTTGTGTTTGTATATCTGAATTTTTATCATTATATGAAACTGAGAGAATGATTCAAGAATTAATGAGTTATAAAATGGATGTAAATTCAATTGTTGTTAATCAATTATTATTTGCTGATGATGATGAAAATCCATGCACTAGATGTGTAAGTAGATGGAAAATGCAAAAGAAATATTTGGATCAAATGGCTGAATTATATGAAGATTATCATTTAGTCAAAATGCCTTTATTAGGTACTGAAATTAGAGGTATTGATAATTTAAAAAGATTTTCAAAATTCTTAATTGAACCATATGATCCAAAGAAAGATGGAGGTTTAATTACAGAAATGAAAGAACAATAAAATAAATTTAGATTATCTATTACGTCTAATCTGTTTTCTGTCTACTCTTTCATAATATAACATATAAACTGTTTGTTCTTCAGCTAAAACTGAAGCTGTTGAAACTTCAGATGTATTAGCATCACTTATTCTCCAATATGGATTAGTAATTAATGAATTTATTTTCTTCATTTTAACTTTTTCTTTAGGTTTTGTTGATTGTTTTGGTTCATGAAATTGTTTCTTGAAATTTGCACTAGCAAATGCATCATCAAAATTATTCTTATTTAAATCATCAACTAATATTTCAGCTGGTGTTTGTAATCCAGATTGAATAATTTCTTCAACATTTTTTGGATCTGCTTGTATAACTGATGGTCTACGACCCATTAAACTTGAAAATCTATGACGAAATCCTTCATCATGTTCCGAACCACTTGAAGATGAACGTCTATTTGCTGGTTCGACTCCACAATGAACATCACCTAAATCATCCATAATTTCTGGTGATAATTTAAAAATATTCCCATCTTTATCTTTGACAAATAATGGTTTACGTTTATAACATTCATAATGACCTTGTGAATGAGATCCCATATGTCTAATAACTGCACGTAATCTATATTTATAAATATCATTATCATTGAATTTGAATCTTTTAAAACGTTCTTTTAAATCATCTGTTTGTTTATCAGTGATTGGTGCATTGTTTATTTGGGTATTATTTGAATCATTTGGTATTATAGTTGTTGAAGTAGTGATAGTTTGTGGAATTGATTCTTGTGATGTAATTGAAGAACCATCTTCTAAATCAGTTTCATCTTCATCTAAATCATCTGTTGATAAACCAGTTTCAGTAGCTGTACCATCATCAGTTTCAACTTCTTCTTCATCTTCATCTTCCTCACCTTTTTCATCAAAATCACCTCTTTGAACATCTTCATCTTCCATATCATTTTCATCATTTGTTAAAATACCGGAGAATGATATTTTATCCATCATTTTTTCTTCTTCACTTTGAACTATATTTTGAAATTGTTTTAATTTCTCATGATATTCTTTGCCAATAGATAATGTAAGATGATCTGTAAATTTAACTCTACATGAATTTCTAGTTATAACTTGACCATCAAACGAGGATCTTGATAAATGTAATCCAAAAATCTTTGGTGGTTTCAAAATTTGTGAATTCTTCTGCACCGTTGAAGTAATTTGTGAAACATCAATACCCTGAACTTTATAATTTTTAATATAATTCTCTAAAGCTTCGGGAATATCTTCATTAATACATAAAGATGGATTACTGTGTAATTTAAAAATTTCTCTGATAAATTTCTCTTCTTCATCATTTCTAATTTGTCTTGTAATATGCTCTTCATTCGCATGAATTTTATTAATTATACATCTCAAACATTGATAACCTTCAATTGATTCTTTTTCATTTTCTTCTAATAATGTTTCCAATTCAACAATCTGAGCCATTGGAACAGGTAAAGTTAAAATGACAAATGGAGTAAATAAAGGTTTTGAAACTCCATGACAAGATAAACAAGTCATTTGACTTAATATTAAACCATCAAATGGGAATTCAGGTATTATAATTTTCTCTAATTCAGCATAATCTTTTGGTATTAATTGATTACTTAAAATTGTATGTAAATTTAATGTAATAAATCTCAAGAAACTTTTAATTTTCAAATTTTCATTTTCTAAAGTTTCATTAATCAATTGTGTTAATTCATGAGCATCATGTTGTGATCTTGATATTTTGGCATTGAATATATTTTCCAATTCATGTAAAAAAGTCCAAACACTGATTGTTCTTGAAGTCATTTGAGTTTCTTGTAATTTTTTAACCATTTTCGCCATGGCAATATGCAATGGAATATTGAATTTTGTGTTTGCAGATTTAAATTTTGAATTTTGCAAATTCTTATTCAATTCTAGTCTTAATTTAACTAATTCATCAATATTAATTTTCTTATCTACTATAAATTTGAACAATTGATTAAAACTGGTGATAAATTTGTTTAAATATTCAGTCAATGAAGGTAAAGAAGAGTAAGCTTGTAATGAAGAATTTGCAAAACAATCATTTCTTAAATTAATTAAACCTGTAATATTCTTATCTGGACGTTTTGAAAACATTCTTTGTTGATTACTAAATGGTAATGAAGGTAATAAAATATAAATTGATGCTGATAAAAGTAACAAATTCAATAATAATAATTTCTGCTGATTAGATGATTTCAGATACCAAAATTTAACAATAGAATTTGGAATAAATGAGTAATTTGGTATTTGCTGTATTAATTGATGTTGTTGTGATTGTTGTAAATATGATAAATCTTTATTGGTGATTAAATATTTGACTTGATTCCAAATATCTTCCATATAATGAACTGGATCAAATCGTACTAAATATGACAATAAACACCAATTGAATAAACGTTTATGCAAAGAATTAAAAAACCAACTCCAAAAGTTTCGGTTGAAGTTTTAAATTTTTTATTAATAATTGTTCTATATTTGTAATTAATTATGTAATGTCTTTAATATTAACCTTTTGTATGTAAAAGACATTTTTCTATGAAAGTGGCAAATTAAATTTAAGATCTGATGTCTAATCGTGTTGCTTTAGCTATTTTTTTAAGCGTCATATTGAGTGCCTTTAGATAATACTTTCTCATATCGTTCTGCTATGGAACTACAAGTATCTGAAATTGTTGGGTAGAAGCTTACACTTATGTAATTATGCATAAAAAGAATTTGGTTCCCCAACTTTAAACAAACATCTGAAAATTGGAAACATCTGATATGGATCAGTTGGTTTGAATTGAATTCTTAAATTGAATTGTTATCCATTTATGTATATTGATAGGGATGTACAGATGTTAATCATTATTTAACTTTTTTTTTTTTTATTTTTTTGGCTGCAAAACTTTTTGCAACCATTTATAATGAGGTTTTGCAACAATCGACAAATAATTCCAGCACGTATATTTAATGTAATCAATTAGTGGTAAAGTTAAAATATCTTTTGATATTGAAGAAATTGATGACTATGGTCATGATGGTATAAATTTAGAACTAGACCTTGATACAATTACGATTACTAGAGGCATTAATAGCGGTGGAGCTTTAATCAAAAATTAATTCAAAAGCTTTTCAATAATATTAAAATAATTCAAAAACTATGTTTAGTATTTGAAGAAGATCAATATAATTATTATGGTAGTTTTGGTGGATCTGATAATGAAGAAGAAAATAAAGTTACTAATTTCAGATTCCCAGAATCAATTGAAAATTAACATTTATCATGTTCTTATTTTAAAGATTTTCATCATTTAACACAATTACCATGTTTAAATGATTTAACAATTTGTGAAATGAAATTTCCTTTGAATTATTTAATAAGAAAGATAAAATGCCCCAACTGGAGGAATCATTAAAAATCACAGATAATTCAGGACCAATTGATGTCGAAGATGTAAATCCACGAAAAATTTATTATTGGATGAGTAGTAAAGTTAAATTTGTTATAATTTAAAAAGAATACATATTGATTCAGATTTTGTTAATAGAAAGAATTTTAAATTTCCAGAAAATTTAGAAAATTTAGAAAATTTGGAATTAATTATACCTACTAGTATTGATTTAGAATTTCATTCAAGTTTGAAAAGACGTGTTAAAAAAAGAGTTATTCCAGCTGAAAATGGTAGAGCAGATCTTAAATATAGGGGTTATGCACCGCCAATGACTCAACGTGGTTTTGGTTATCCACTGGTTGAAGAATACTTGAAGGATCAAGGATCAAAAAGAGCAACATGAAAGATGGAAATGAATGAAAGAATTTACCTTTGGTCCATCTAAAAATAAACGGCCAAAAAAGGCAGCTGTTCAGTGTACTTAAATATATGATAATCTCACTTATTGTTTGAATATCGAGATCTAAAATATATTACTCTAATTATTCGAAGAACAAGTGATTATAAAAGTACATGGTCGATTTCGCGTTGAATGGCATACAGTACAGTCTCTTGCTATAGTTCAAAGAGAAGAGTAATCATGCTTTGATAAAAACATGATTGTATTTTTTGTGAGTTTGATATTTCAAACAAAAATTTTCGTGTATTACCCCCTAAGGCTAGATCTAAGTCTCATCAAGCGTATGCATACTGAAGTAAAGTTATAAGTTCAGTTATATAAATGCGGCCGCAGCCAACTTATGTTATTCAATTTATTTATATTAAGTTTTCTATTTTTATTTAGAAATGTATTATTTTCATTGTTGCAAACCCAATAGTTACAATTATAGCATAAGCAATTATTGAACTTGGTATACCTCTAGTAATAAAAATTTTAACTGACATATAAGGTTGACCAAATTCATTACTTATTGACATTGCAGTCATATTTGGAAAACCAGAACTAATTAAACCCATAGCTGAAGAACAAATTAATGCAGAAATCATAATTAATAAATCTGGATGAGGTTCTTCCATATTATTACCAATTTCTTTCATTAATGGAACAACAATTAAAGCAGCAACAGTATGAGAAACAAAAGTAGCCATAACAAGAATTAAAAATCCAAAAATTAAAGTGATTCCAAATAATGAAAAATCTTCAACTTTTGATTGAATAGTTAATGCAATTGTAGTTAATAAACCTGATGAAGCAACAGCTTTACCTAATGCAGTACCACCCATTGCTAAAATTACAATATTCCACGGATAATTATTAAAATCTTCAGTTGATAATAAACCAGTGCCAAAAAATAATATAATTGGAATTAATGCAATTATACCCATTTCACCAAATATACCAGTTAATTTTGATGCTACACACCAAAGTAAAATTGTTGACAATGTAACAAATATGATATACCATTGAATTCCAGTAAATTTTTCATCTAAAGTTCTAATTCCAACTAAATGAGTATTTTTTGAATTACAATTAAATGTAACTAATAAGAAAATCCAAATTAATAATAATGATAATATACAAACTGGTAATGCAATAATAAACCATTGTAGCCAAGATGGAGGTGGATCCATTGCACCAATTGCAATCATATTTTGTGGTGAAGCAATGGGTGATGCCATACCACCAATATTTGAAGCTAACGCAATACCTAATATTAATGCATTTATAAATGAAGATTTTTTAGGTAATGTTCTTAATAATGGTTGAATTAATGAAAAACATAAAACTGGAGCAGCAACATTTGATACCCACATTGATGCAAATAATGCAATTGACATTATAGTTAATAATACAACTGATGGATTTGTACCAGCTTTTGATAAAATCCAAGTTGAAATTAATTTTGCAATTTGATATTTTGATAATGCAGCAGCTAATGTAAATCCACCTAATAATAATAAAATTACTGAATTCCACATTGTTGATAGAATATATTTTGATGCATCAATTGAATTCATTATTGAACCATCATTTTCATTTTTACAAACATTTAAAAATACAATTAATAATGGAATTAATAATGACGTTACAAATAATGGTATTGCTTCAGTTGCCCATAATAATGAAGCACAAATTAATATAGCAAAACAATTTTTTTGAGAAGGATCTTTAAATGGTGAAAATTTTAATAAAACAATGGTTAGAATAAATATTATTAATAATTTAAGTATAACTGGATTTGTTAATGAAATATTAAACTTGTGTATCAATTTTTTAGTACTATCTTCTTTTTCTTTAGTTATACTTCTATCAACTAATTTTGAATTTGCAGCATAAGTTTTTCTTTCCAATCCAATCATATCTCTCCAAACTGTATTTCTTTCCCAAACAACATGTTCTCTTAAATGAATTGATAATTCTTGTTTTGCAGTTTCTAAATCATCTCCATGGTTACAAATTAAAGCATATAATTTAACTAATGAATTTAATCTATCATCAATTTTTTCCATTGTTGATTTTTTAAAAATATATGAATGATTTGGTAAATTTGCAAGATATTGATCTTTAATATTTGTATCTAAAGATTTATCAAATTTCTTTAATGCTTTTTTAAAACCAGTTTGATTTAATTCAATAAAAGATTTTAATTCAGATAATGTTGTAAATAAACCAATAATTCTTTTTCTTAATATAATTCTACTTTCACTTAATAAAATTAATTGTGGTGGCATATTATTATCATTAGTAGTAACAGCATTTAATTCATTCCAAACTTGTGGTGATTTAACAAACTTTAAATAATTATCTATTGATTTTGTTTTGGTTAAAGTTGGTTGTTTTTTTGATTTATTTATTATTGGAACAGAATCAGATCTTTTAACTTGTCTTCCACGAGCAGCATGAATCTCGTCATCTTCATCTTCTTCTTCTTCAACTTCTTCTTCTTCTTCTTCTTCTTCTTCTTCCGCTTGAGTAAATTCCGTATCTTGATCTGTAGTATTTGTTAGATAGCTCTCATCATGATGTTTTAAATTATTAGTTTTCAAATTTTTATTAAAAGTTTTGGACCCAATTAAAGTTTCATCAACTTCTTGTTCAAACACTTCAATATCTTGAATCAATTGATCTATATTTGAAAAAATTAATGATTGTTGATCTACAAAAAATTGATCAATCTTTTTTAATTCCGAATGTAAAGCAGCAGTAAAAACAGTTGTTGGAGATTCTCCATTACCATTAACTTCTAATTGACTAGTACTTGCATAATCATTATTACTTATTAGATGATTACTTTCTAAATCTTGATCATTACCATTTTGATCTAAATGTTTCCTTCTCAATGAATCGCGTTGTAATGAATAAATTAATTTCTTTAAAGTTGTATAAGCCAAGTATTTGGACGACCACTCAGGTACGGCGTTAAATTGTAGACTATGTGAAAATTTCATAGTCTACGTGGTTATTTAGAATGTGTTGCTGTGGTCAAGTAACTAAGTAATTAGTTGATACAAAATTGAAAAAAAGATCAACAAAATTTATAATTTTCTTTTTTCCTCTGTTTCAAATTTTATCAAACAGTAATTGACAACTAATAAATTACTCCATTTTGGTTGAACACGTAGTATTGAACAGTAACTAATGGTTTAATGGTTGGTTAATTGAAATAATTGATATAGTAAGTACTTATATTCTCGAACAAATCTCGATCTCTTAAAAAAAAGTGGTGTAATACTAATATATAGTTATAAAACCCATGGGTTTAAATATAGAAATATTAAATCTCTATTGTCTATGAAAGAATTTTAGAAGTTACTCTAATTAATCTCCACGTGACTAGTCACGTTTTTATCCATTAAATGTGTCAGTGTAGATTTGTATCGTTGATAATTATTGTATGAATTTCTTAGCAACCATAACATTTAATTAATTAAAATAGACATTCAACAGCGAAGAAAAAATATATATATTATACAATTCAATACAACTTTGATATATAAACAGGAGTATTAGACTCATATTCGTATACAAACTATAATTTACTATTACTTATTCCCATTTCATCGTATTAAATTGAATTTTGTTGCTAAATAATGGATTTTTGTTTTTTCCTCATTGGTTGTATGTATTAATTTTATTAATTTTACTAGGATATAATCTCATATTTGCTGCTATTGCCATTTCAATTTGACCAAGGTTAAAATTCTAAGCCGGTTTAATAACTATAATTGAGTTTATTATATAATTGGGTTATTTTAAGTCATGTATTTCTCATATTCACGTATTTATTTACTCACGGCTTGAATGGAAATCAAAATATAATATTTGTTTGGTGCTGCATTTACCAGAAATTGATTGTATTATTATAATTTAATTACTAACCATTTATATTAGTTCAAGAATTTAATAAACCATTAAAAGATGTTGGCAATGTTGCATGTTATTGTGGTCATTGTCATAATCAAACCGCATTTGCAACTAGAACCATAAATTGTGTTACTTTATTTTTTATACCTGTTTTACCATTTTATTATCAAAAAAGATTAAAATGTAATACATGTGGAACGACTGGTGGTCTTGATTCAACTGCAATTGATCGATTAAAAAAAGGTGAACCTGTTGCAATAGGATAAATTAAAAGTTAATTGAATTTGATTGATTTTTAAGTAGTAGACTTTACAATGTAGACTAATATATGTAATAATTTTAACATGTATCAATTGAAAATCTATTTCTAGATTAAACTGATGATATACTAAAAATATACGGTTAATTAATGGATTTTACGACTTCAACAAAAGAGAATAAATATCTAATAACAAAAATCCAACAGGCTTTGCATTTGATGAATCTTTAAAGCTGAGCTCTTGCATTAAAACTCTATATAAGTTCCTTTTCAATATAACCACTTTTCGAGTACCTTATTTCTCAATAGTCATATTGAATGGAACCGTTATTCGGGATCGCTCATAAATAATACGACAGATTCCAACACTCACCTAGTATTAATATTAATATCTCTGTCACATATTTCCAAATTGCATCCCAATGCAAATCACACCTTAGATTCCAATCCACGGAACATATTCACAGAACCGCCATTGTTGCAGGAATTAATAGTATCAAGTGAAAGCATAATTTTGACTTGTTTAGATCTAGAAACTGCTTTTCACCAAATCAAATTGACAGAAGATAACAATAATTACTACGGTAATTTTATTGAATTGCTGAAATTTTCTCTTTAATTTTTTTTTTTTTTTTGTTGATAATACCTCACTTTCTGTATTTTTAAGGGGTAATAGAAAAAAAAGACATTAACTCTTAAGAGGTAATTTGGCTAATTGGCCCAATGAAGTGATAAAGCTAAATTTGCTTGAGTATAGAAATGTATATAATGGATGTTATAGATCTAAGTATGTGTAGACTTAATCAAAAATATGTAAAATTATTCAATTTGTATTTAATATCAAATTAAATTTTATGGATTAGGCTGCGAAACGTAAAACGTATAAATTTGATACGTAAATACACAGTTTTATGATCCACTATGGTTCTTAATCGGAAATAATTAGTCTCTCAACCCCTTGAGTGATTAAAACCTGATATGTGCATACTAAAATCATTAAGTCATTTAATTACATGATTTTCTTTCCCTTCCATTCAATTCCAATTCAATTCATATGATTTCTTTAAAGTTATTTTAGATCGTTTGTTATTCAACTTGAATGATCATTTAAATTTTAATTTTTTTCCTACATATTTCTCTCCACTTAAGCCGTTTATATGAGATATCAAAGTTTAAAAATTGTTAATTAGTAAGAAAATTAGGCTTTTCTAGAAAGCTGTTAATATCGAATGTTATACTAAGAGTTTAGACTAGAATTTTTAGATTTAAAACTGATGAAAATTCGAAAAAGATCATGCAAAGAGTATTGAGGTAATTTTCTATTATTAATCTCCCATGGAAATCAATTTCCAATTCGGTTTCCTAAAATAAATATGTCTTTACTATTGTTTTTTTTTAATTGGTTTGAAGGTTAAATTCATTCTGATGTGATCATCTGCAACATTGTTTATTTTTAATTTTTTTTTTTTTATTATTATTTCTCAACTGCCGCATAATCCATATGTTATATGCTCTCATTCAATTTTAAGTTCATTACTGTATTCTAGAATATCCCTTTTTCTAATACACTTCAAACTGTTACTATTCAACTCTATTATAAATAGGGGTAATTATCTACCCCTATTCTCTATTCTATTTTTTTTTTCATCAATCAAGTTTTTCAATTTTCAATTAATCAATCTTTATTTTTTATTATTTACGAATTTTTTTAAATTTTGCAGCCAAATTAATATTATTTATTTTTTAAAGTTTTACTATGGATTCATCAAATACATTTATTGAAATTTTCAAACGTAACAAAGCAGTTGATACAAATTCAATTCCATCTGAAGTTGATATTCATTTAACATCACATGGTAGTTCATGGTTATGGGCTGCTTTTGCATTGTTTGCCCTTTTTGCAATTGTTCATGGTTTTATTTATTCATTAGTTTCAGTTCGTAAATCTGGTCTAAAAAAAGCATTATTGACAATTCCACTATTTACTAATTCAGTTTTGGCTTTTGCTTACTATACTTATGCTTCAAATTTAGGTTATACATGGATTCAAACTGAATTTCATCATGTTACAACTGATTTAGGTTATGATAATAGACAAATTTTCTACTTAAAATTTGTTGCTTATTTTTTAGCTTGGCCATTAGTTTTAACCTTATTTTTAATTAATACAAATACTTTATTAAGTGAAGATCATGAAGATTTAATTAAAAAATTTATAACAATTATATCACAAATTTTTACAAGAGTTTTAGCAATTGAAGTTTTTGTATTGGGTTTATTAATCGGTGCTTTAATTAGAACAAGTTATAAATGGGGTTATTTTACATTTGCAGTTGTTGCTCAATTATTTGTAATTTATCTTGTTTGTTATGATTTAAATAGATCATTTGCAAGTGCAAATAGAAATTTGTTGGCAAATTTAATAATTATATTCACTGTAATTCCATGGATTTTATATCCTGTTGCTTGGGGTTTATCTGAAGGTGGTAATGTAATTCAACCAGATTCAGAAGCTGTCTTTTATGGTATTTTAGATTTGATTACTTTTGGTATTGTACCAATTTGTTTAACTTGGATTGCAATTAATGATATTGATGAAGATTTTTTTACCAAAATCTGGCATTTCCATTTAAGAGATGGTGGTAGAGCTGATGTTGTTGATGAAAAAGAAGTTGTTGAAGAAACTCCAAGACATTCTGGTGACACTGCTGTTCCTCCAAGTGGAGTACCTGTTACTGCTGAAGAACCACTTCGTGAAGAAACTGTTTAATACCCTTTAATTTAATTTCAACTCAACTTTTCAAGTTTTTTTTTATTATGATGTATACAGCTTAATTTTGTTATATACCTATGTATACAGTTTAATTGTTTTAATATAAAATATATTATAAAAGGTCATTTTAACCCTTCAACATGTACTGAAATCTATTTTAAGTGGCTTTAGTAAAATTTTGGGAAAAATTCTTTCATTGTCTAGTTACAAATTTAAGCTTAAACTTAAAATAAAAGTTTCTTAGCAATATTAAGCTTAAAGCTTAAGACCTGTTATTAGTTTAGTGGGTACATCAAACTGAACTTCGGTTATTACAATTTTTATCAATTGCTGCAAAATTTTACTCTTGTAACATATGGTAGCGTCATTTTTTTGCCCTTCGCTTATCGAAATTTCAGAGTGGCAATTTTAAATTTCAAATTAATTACTTGTCAATTTCATCTTTAATTTATAAACTCAATGGCACCAACATCGTCATCATCTACAAATCAACAACTTAGATATAAACCACCATTAACTCAATTAGTCAATTTACTCAAAACACAACAATTTTACTGGTTTTTGGGTCATGTATTTGCTGTTTTATTTTTCATTTTAAATACATTAACAAGTTTTTTTAATCCAAGATCATCATTAGGATATTATAAATTTGCATTAGCATCTATAATATTAACATATGGTATAGTAATTAAACAAGTTCATTTTAAGACAAATTTCACAATTTCAAGAAGATTGTTAAGAGATGAAAATGTTCAATATTTGCTCTTAGCTTCTATTTTTTTAATTGCTAGTTTTAAAATTGGTCAAATTCATTCATCATTATATTCATTTGAAATCTTTGCTGTGTTTCATATTTTAACATATTTTCAAAATCAATTATTAGGTGTATTTATTTCAAATATTCGAGCACAACAAAGATTAAATTCAATAATTAATAATTTTACAACTAAATTTAATCAACCAGCATTATTTGCGGCCTCAAATTCTGAAATTATATTGTTATTAATTTGTGGATTTAATTTAATACCAATGTTTTTGTTATTGATATTTAGAAGAAATTTCATCGATTTTGCAATTCATTTATTCTTATTTGGATCAATTGTTGTGTTTAATAAGTTAAGATTTGATAGTAATCAATATACTAAAGTGGTAGTAGAACAAATGGATGCAAAAGTAAATCAAATATTATTACAATTGAATAATGCAAATTTATTAAACTTGTATACAAATGTTAAAAATCAAGCAATTGTATATTTAAATAAGATACAAATTCCAAAAGAACAAATAAAGAAAAACTAGGATGAATATATAGAAATTAAACAATTCATTCTTTCGTTCGTATTTTTCTTGATCTTGAGCCTCAGTGAAAAAAAAATTATCGCCAAACTTTAGCCATGTCTTCAGCTAGTGTTAAAAAGATAGCTACTGCAAACACAAATATCCTAAACCAATTGTTGTTAATACAAATAATAGTCAATTTACTTGTGTTAGTCATATATATAATTTTTAAAAGACCAACATCAATTAAACCATACATTATATTTAACATTCCTAATTTTTTACTAAATTATAATCTTGAAACTAGTGGTAGACCAAAATATGTCAATAAAAATTTAAAAGTAAGTACTGATTTGAATCAAAAGGGTCTTATTGAATATTATTTTGATGTTATTTACGTTACATTGTTTTTAAATATCATTATGGTTGTTTTTGGAAGTAATAAAGTTTGGTATTTATATTTAATTATACCTGGATATATTGTATATACTTTAGGAGGGTATGTTTTACCATTTTTGAAAAAAGATAAGGGTCAAGTTGGAACTGAACCTGTTCAGGCTGAAAATAATTCTGGTTTAAGTAAACGTCAACAAAAATTACAACAACGTAAAGAAAAAGGTGGTCAACAAGTTAAATATAGATAAGGATGTTATAATTGAGAATGGGCCATGATAATGCTAGTCTACATTAAGGAGCACAGATAGATCTCGTCATTTTGCTCAATTTGGAGGTCTCTATAGAAGCTAATGACGTTTTGTTGTCAATTTATGTTGTAAATATACACTCATTTAATATACTTCCATTAATTTGACCTTGTAGTTGACATTAGTCCTGTTATTCTATATTTCTCTTCTTTTAAATTTTGCAGCTAATGATCGCATGGCGACAATTTTTCTTAGTGAAAAAAGAAAAAATTATTCAACAAATTAATAGTTATTGAAATATGCCAAAGATATCAAATATAGACAAATTTATAGAACTATCATCTGATCTATTATCAAATTATCCATCAACAACCCTATCAATAACATACACATCAAAAAAGAAGAGTAAAAAAACAATAGAAGACGATAAAATCTCAAAAGATTCAAAGAAAGCTTCAAATTCAGTTAATTTTAAATTATACGAACCTCATTCCGGAAAATGCTTGAAGTTCAATACTTCAAAATCAAAAGAATTATCCAAATTATTAAATTTCATAGGTCCAAGGGGTGTAAGTAACCAAAATCAAAATGTAATTGGTTTAGCTAGTTTAATGACAAATGTAAAATATGAAGATAAAGAACAACCAACAGAACAAATAGACGAAAAAGAACAGACTCCAATAGTTGAAAAAGATAGTGCTCCTGTAATACAAAATGCCAATGCTACTAGTAGTTCTTCGAAAAAGAAAAAGAAGAATAAAAAGAAAAAGAATTAAACTGTATATACTTAAACACAATTACTAATTAATTAGATTACATTAATAGCTATTAAGATAAAAATCAAATTCATTATTTAAATAAACTCTTGAATTTTGAAAAAATTCCACCTTCATTTTTCTTATTCGATGAAGCTGATTTCGAAGTAATGTTTGAATCTAATGGAAATTGACCTGGAATTTTAGGTTGTTGTTGTCTTGATGGTTGTGAAGTTTCCTTTTTAAGTGTAGTTGTAGGTACATTATTTGAACTACTTGATTTGTTATTTGTTTTGGGGGTAATTGTACCTGAATTACTATTTTCTTCAATTGTTGATTCTGAAGGTTGTTGTAATAATGTTGGTTTTTGAATTTTATCTGCTTTATTAGGAACTTCTTTTGATTTTTGAAATTCAATTTGAATAGGTTCTTCAGTTGTTGTAGATTTTGATTCAATTTTTTCATAATCTGAAGATACTGGTGGTGAGTGAACAGCAGCAAATGATGAAGATGATGATGCTCCATTTTCATGTTTAGTTTCTTTGCTTTGTTTTGCATCGTCATAAAATTCTTCTTTAATAGATTCTTTTTGAATTTCAACTTCATCTTTAGGGATTGATTTTGGTGGAGGGACCTCTTCTTCGTGATCTTTAGAAACATTCTGAGGTTTATGAATTTCTTCACCTGCACCTTTTGGTTTCGAAACTTCTTCTGGTTTTGACTTCAAAACTTCTTCAACATTTTTAGTTGCATTCTGCTCTTTAGTAACTTCTTCATTTGCACCAGTTGTATTTTTAGAAGCTTCTTCTCCTTTATCTGTTGCAATTGCTTCTGGTGCTGGCTTCGATAAAACTTCTTCATCTTTAATTACGTGATTTTCTAACTCAGATTCTTCAGCTACACCTTTCTTCAATTCTGTTTCCTTTGGAGTTTCTTTGTGGGTTTCTATAGTTCCAACACCAGAAGAAGAAGGTAATAATAGATCTGTATCTTCATATTCAGCTTTTGCACTATCACTGAGTCCCATTGGTTCACCAGTAGAGTTAATATGTTTAACACCTTCTCTTTTAGAAGCACCATCTGAAGTAGGTAATAATACAGAAGCACCTTCTTCTTCTTCTTCATGATCATGAATAGCTTCATTTTTTGAATCCACGCGGTCATTTTCCTTTTCATCCTTTTCTTCAACCAATTCATTAGCATAAATTATATTATTTGCATTTCCATTCTCATCAGTTACCACCGCAAAAGAATCATTAGTTGACCAATTACCATCATTTATAATAAATTTAAAAATTATATCCTTTTTTGAATCGATCGAAATTTTTTGATTAAATGGTGGTGATGTAATTTTAGGCAACGATTGTGACCAGCTATCAAAATCACCTGTGATTTGTATTGAGTTTATACCTTCATTATTTGATGGCCTGATTCAACTTGTTAGTATCCAATTGTGGTAGCGATAACATAAGCAATCAAACTCCGAGAAGAACAAAGATTGATTATTTGTAAAGACATACCATTTAATAGTATATGAATAAGTCATAATTATAAGCCCGATGTATTCCCAACTAAAATTGATATATTAATTTGTTTTCTTCGTTGGTAATCAGTTGTTGATTTTATTTATCCCTTATTTTAAATTTAGATTAAATTTAGATTAAATTTAGATTATTTTTTTTGTTATCAAACCTACGCATCCGAATTAGGTAATAATTTGTAATTTGTAGTGGCGTGTATTTATATAAACCATTTAACTCTAATATATAACAGTATAATTGCAACTACTCTATAAGCTACTAAACATATAAATAATCCTCCAATCATTAAACTTACATTTGCTTTCATTCCATAATATTCTAAAACATCTTGTCCTGTTCCTAATAAACAATTTTCTGCACCTTCATCACAACTAAACACCTGATTTTCAAATCCTAAATTTGCACATATTGCGACTGCATATTTCATTGGATTTATATAATTTATAGCTTTGAAAAAATGTGGCATATGCAATGACATTGTACCAGCTTGAAAAATTGCCAATATAATCAAAGTTGATAAAATATTTGTAGCTACTCCTAAATGATTAAAACAACTATTTATAAATATACCTAATGATTCACCACAATTTAAACATGCAAAAGCAGATGCAAACATTGAAAAATACATTGTTGCATTTCTTGGTAATCCACATACAAATACAATCAATGCTGAAAAGAAGAAACATGGTATAATTTCAGTTGGTAATTCATTAATTAAATATGATAAACTAAATTCAAAAACTCCATAAATTCCATCTTTATATTCTTGATAAAATAAATCTTTTTCAAATGGATATAATGTTAAATTATTAACTAATCCCACATAATATAAATTCAAAACATCTTGAACTAAACCTAATCTATTAGATATACCATCTTGTGAATTTGGTAATGGTGCAAAAAATAATGTATGAATAATTGAAAGGAATATAGTCTGTCCACAACGTGAAATTACAGTATATTTACTTCTATAAGCTGTTAATAATTGTCTTTTGAAAATTGTGGGGAATGTAACGTATGAAGGTAATTGTTTATAATAGTATTTTGGAAGGTTGATATATTCATCAGATGTAGACAATGGTAATTTTTCAAATTCTTTCCAATTATCAATTAATGAAGTAATCCTACTTTGTGATTCCAATTCAACTTCATCTAATTTTTGTGAAAGTAAATCTAATATATAATCTGCAATATTTTCAGAATTGTTTTGATAACCCAATTTATCTAAATAGTTTATTATTCCATTTGAATCACCATCATAAATGACTTTACCACCTCTACTTAATAATAATAAATTACCAAATCTTTTAAACATTTCTTCATTTGGTTGATGAATTGTTAATATTATAGTTGTTGAATCTTCTCTTGATAAATCCGATAGTAATTCAAGTATAGTTGCTGCTGTTGAAGAATCTAATCCAGATGTAGGTTCATCAAGAAATAAAATTTTTGGTTTAGATAATAATTGAATTGCAATTGATACTCTTCGTTTTTCACCTCCTGATATACCTTTAACAAATTCTGATCCAATTAAAGTATCTGCACAATCTACTAATCCAGTTTGCCTGATTAAATTATTTATTATATGTGGGATATTGTAATGTTCATCTAATGGTAATCTCAATTTTGCTTGATAATATAAAGTTTCTCTAACTGTTAAATTGTCAATTAATGAATTATCATATTGTGTAACATATGCTGAGATTTTACTCAACTGTTTATTAGTTACTTGTTGAACATTATTAATTTTAATTGCACCTGAGTGAGAATACTTACTTAATTTTGATAATCTATTTGATAAATAATTTAATAATGTAGTTTTACCTGACCCTGAAGGACCCATAATGACATTAACACTATTTGATAAAAATGTAGCTGACACATTATCCAATAATACCTTATCCTCTCCTTTCTTGACTAATGTTTTAGTATTTGCTGACAAGTGAATATTTTCAACACTAATATTTATATCCTCAGTATCTTTAACTTCTTCATATTTATTAGATAATACAATTTCTTTCTCATCATGTTTACTAAATTTATTCCTTTTAGTCTGTGCCATTCCAATGTCGAAATTTTTCAAATAGATCGCAACACCACTCATTATATTAAACCCAATGACCCAAGCAATTAAATAACCAATTGGTGGACCTACCCAGTTTGGAGGAAATCCTAGTAATTTAATTTGATAATTTCCTTCAAATTCATTACATCTTGTATCTGATCTATCATAAGGACAATCACCATACCAATTTGTAAATTGATTTGCAAGTAATGCACCAAAAGCATACCAAAAGTATGCTAAATATTTAACCCATCTAACGTAAGCAGGCATTGTTCTTGCATTTACAAAATATCCACAAGCACAATTTTGTAAATGATAAAATAAATTAACTAATAATGAAGATATTGCAAAACTTGGAGACATTGTGAATAAAAGTAATGAAGATGACATTAAACATAATTCTAAAAGTAATATGATTACAAAATATGGGCCAAAATTTGAATCAGTTAAACCCCACATGAAATATGTAATTAATGAATAAATTACCGTGATTGGTATATCTTCAATTAAGAACTTTCCAATTCTTCTAGATAGTATAAATCCCGTAATTGATGAGATATTTTCACAATATTCACGATAAAAGAATACACCATCAGTTTCCCATAATCTTTCAGTTTCAAAATACATTGGAACAAATCCAACAACTTCCATAATTACATATAATAATGATATTAATGATCTTATACCAGCTAAATCATGCTTTGGTCTATAAAACATCCAACCGATTGAACAAGCAACAAATATAGACATTAATAATAATACTGATAAACTTTTGTAATCTCGATAGCTTAGTATAAACACACGTTTAGTTAATATTTTCAATTCAGTTAAAAATGAAATTTTATCATCTTTTGAACGAGCAAATAGTTTTAAATTTTGATTAAATTGTTTATAACAATTTTTTTTATCAATTTTGATTTCATCTGTAGGGTTTCTAGTCTTCCATTCTTCCACTAACTTGTTAATTCTCATTATTGTAATTTGTTCATTTTCTATTGAAGTTGTATCTTTAACTGATAAATCCATTATATAATCTATAATATTTTGATTTTTTGGTTTTCTTTCTAAAAAATCAATATCATTGAAATGTTCATAAGCTTTAGTTAAACTTCCATAATAAACTAATCTACCGCCTCGCGTAAGTAAACAAATTTTATCAAATAATTCCACAACTTCTGGCCTTGGCTGATGAATTGAAACTATTATAGTTATACCATATTGTGGAGATGTTAATTTCTTTAGCACATGGACTAATTTTAATGAAGTTGATGCATCTAAACCAGTAGTTGGTTCATCAAGGAATAAAATTGATGGTTTTGCTAATAATTGTATAGCTAATGAAACTCGTCTTTGTTCACCTCCAGATAATGTTGTTTGATGAGTGAATGATGTGACTTGTTTATCTTTTAAATGTAATAATTCTAAAACTTCTAAAATGTAATATATCAACTCTAACTTTTCCTCTTTTGAAACATTGGGTAGTCTTAAATCAGCTTGAGTTGATAATGTCTCTAATAATGTTAACCCAGGTAAAAACAAATCAGTTTGTAATAAATAAGAATGTCTCACATGTTGTAAATTAGTTTCAAATTCAATTTTACCTTCAAATTCCAATTTCTTATTCTTTACATTTGTTCGCTGAGATAAAGTATTTAGCAATGTTGTTTTCCCACTACCTGAACCGCCCATTATAGCCATTAGTTGACCTTGTGGTAAATAAAAACTGATATCATTTAGTATTTTATGTCTACCATCATCTTCCAAATCTTGTTTTCGCTGGGATTTTATAGATACTGATAAATTTCTCACTTTCAACCCCACCCTTTTCTCCTTGGGTATTTCCAACACATTTGATTCTTTCATTATAGTTTCATTGGATACTAGTTAGGAATAAACTGTTATTAAATACGTTGTGTCGGTTTTAACCATTAGTAATGTGAAAATTCTAGGTATCTAAATTTTTAGCCAAGAATTAAATTAAATTAAGGGCCTCGCCAAAATTTGCGCTCTGGTGTAGAATTGCTTCTAGACTGATTAAATCAAAAGAATAAACACACGGATGTCTAACGATTACTTATGAATCATTAGTCAGAGACCAGTAGACCCAATTAATCATTTAAACGAAGAAGAAAACAAACTGTAGCTCAGGAAATTTGTAGAAATATTCCCAGATTTGAGATCCGCACATTTTGCGCATTCAAATCTGGAACAATCTGCATAATATTAAATTACAAGAACTCATAACTTCATCCTGACTTCGATCAAGCCTTTCTTGGATTAAACCTTCAATAGTTGGCAAATTACGTTTTCTTGCGCTTGCGTTTTTAACTTTTCAATATTATCTAGGCTCTTACAGTTTGCGCTTGCGTTTCAAGGTGTCTCAAAAGCGGAATTCGATGCTAAATAGAGATCGGTAAAGAGTGGAAGAAGTTTGCGTACCTAAGAAAAAGATCTCGTTACCATGGTTACAAATTTTTGTGTCTATTTCTTTTCTAAAGACAATTTAGCTAATTTTAAAACACCTTCTTCTGAATTTGCTCCACCGATAAATCCAGTAGCATGAATGAATATACAACCATCAATACCTGATTTTTTACTCAATTCGTCATCTCTTAAACCTCTCAATTCTTTTGGTAAACCTAATCTAAATTCAAACGATGATGAAGTGACTGAAACAGTTGAAATTCTCCATTTTCCAGATGAATCTTTAAATAAAACAAATTTAATTGAACCTTCGGCATTATTTTCCTTCTCTACAGCATATAAATGTTCTTTCCATGGACAAAATGTTTGTAATTTTATTATTTCACCAGAATTATCAACATTAAATCTTTCTTTAAAAGCATCTTCAACAATTGATTTTGCAGGTAACCAACTTTTACCATAACCATTTAATAAATTTATAAATACAGTACCCATTAATTCACTACTTTTCAGGAATTGTCTATCAAAATCTGCATCAGTACAACTTTCATTCCAAATTGGATTTAATTTTGATACAATTGAAGGTAATGTAATGTTTCTATCATTAAATTTTGATTCTACATCTTTTGGATAATTATTTATACCATTATCATTTGCATCAATTGATTCTATAAATTCTTTATAGATTTTTTCATATAATAAATTAACTTTATCTTCATCTTCAATTTGTAAAACTTGTTTTATTATATCTTTACCAAAATGTTTATAAATTAATCCAGCTGATGATAATTTAGTATTGTAGTTTTCACTAAATGTAGTATCAAACTCACATTGATGATGATCAAAGTATTTAATTCCATCATATTTACCACTTACATCAACTACAATATCACTATGTTCCCAATCTTCGGGTTTTCTTGAACGTATTAATTCTGCCTCTTGAAATTTAGGTAATAATTTTAACAAATATACTGCTAATGATTCGTCAGCGTGGAATGAACCTGAATGTGTACAAATTTTAACCATTGGATTTAATTTTGCTTTCTTTATGACTGACATTAAAATATGCCTCATCGAAATTTTGAAAAAATTAATTGGTTTTGTACCTAGACTTGGCAACGCGCGCTGCGAAAAAAAAAATTGTGGCCTTAACAAATAAGATCGCTTGCATTCGTAATAAAGTTAGTTGTACATGTTGAATTATGAAAAATGAACCATGAACGACGAGCCTGTTGTGTTTTAATGGCTGATACCCTGTAAAAAGATTCTATAGAGATATATATAATATAATGCAGGGTGGTACAAACAATATTTAAAACGTATTGGATTGAACTTGCAACAAGATTTGCTGAACCAGTTTTACCAGCCCAGTAAAAATAGTTAGTATAGATTCAATAAACCAAGATTCAATAAACCTGCATTTAACTTTGGCACTGTTGAACAACATTTGTTGTAATAGTTGACATATACTAGCATTTATGAGCATTTGGTAGCGCGTTGCTGCAAAAAAATTATCAACAATTATCAACAAAATGATATTTCAAGTCTCCAAATCAAAAATACATCAAAAAAGGGTGCTGGATCGTTTATTTGGAAGATATAAACAGTATTAGACATTTATCACGTTTATATATTTCATTAATTGCTTATGCAGTCCTTTAAAGTAAAACGTTTGAATTTTAATTCCTTACCGAAGTGTGTTATAGCTGAAATTGTAGTTTAGATGTGTTTAAAATGGGAGCCAATAACCAGAACAAAAATTAGTAAAGTATATTTAATTATAAACAAATTATCGTTAACGTATCATTAAAAATATTAAAATCTAAAAAGTTGCTATCTAAGCTTTTTCACTTGAAGCTGAATCATCCATTAAACCACCTTCTTCTTTATGTTCAACACTCATCTTTCTTGCTAATTCAGCATCTGTAGCAAGAGGAATTTTTGGTTGCCATGAACTTGATCTCCAGGCTGGTACTTTTTCTTCCCACATTTGACCAATTTCTTCCAATCTTTTACCTCTAGTTTCTGGAAAACCAAATAAAACATGAATGAACATACATAAACACATAACACCATAAATAATATAAGTTCTCCAACTTATGTTTTTGAAACCAGTTGGAGTATACATTGCAATTGCAAAATTCAAACACCAATTAGCACAAGTTGAAAGAGAGTTACCTCTTTGAGAAATTCTGTTATCACCCCAAATTTCTGAACAATAAACCCAAATACCAACACCCCAAGTGAAAGCAAATGAACAAACGAATAAATAACAACATGCAATAGCACCATTAGCTGCTGGTGTTTGATTAGACGGAATCTGAATTGTAACTGATTCATTACCTGAATCTGGCCATGGAATTGAGTACAGACCCAAGATACCAGCTAAACCAAATTGCCAAATCATCATCATGATAGCACCACCCATCAATAATGGTCTTCTACCGATTTTATCTAAACAATATAACGCAGGAATGGTACAAACAGTATTTAAAACGTATTGAATTGAACTTGCAACAAGATTTGCTGAACCAGTTTTTCCTGCCCTGTAAAAATAGTTAGTATAGATTCGATAAACCTGTATTTAACTTTGGCACTGTTGAACAACATTTGTTGTAATAGTTGACATCCGCTAGCATTTATGAGCATTTGGTAGCGCTTTGCTGCATCAACAATTATCAACAAAATGATATTCCAAGTCACCAAATCAAAAATACATCAAGAAAGGGTGCTGGATCATTCATTTGGAAGATATAAACAATATAATACATCATAACGTTCATACCCGTGAGTTGTTGCCATATTTGAGCGAAAATTGCTGTTAAAGTTCTTGGTAAATATTTTTTTCTGAATAAAGTGGCATAACCAATATTTTTAGCAGCTTGTTCCATCATTAATTGGTCTTTAATTTCTGAAATTTCAATTAAAACATCTGGATCTTCTCTATTACCTTTTGCCTGAATTCTTGCAACAATATATTCAGCGTCCTCCCATCTATCTTGTTTAGCTAACCAACGTGGAGATTCAGGAATAATGAAACAACCTAGTAATAAACATAAACCAGGAATGATTTGAATACCCCAAGCAATTCTGAAACCTGCAACACCATTAATTTTACCTAAACCAAATGAAATATAAAACATTATCAAAATACCTAAAGTAACAAAGAATTGAAACAATCCACCAATTAAACCTCTAATTTTTCTTGGAGCTAATTCTGAACCATAAACTGGAGCAACAGATGAACCAAAACCAACACCTAAACCTGAAATAATACGACCTAAAATTAATTGAGTTTTATTTTGAGCTGAAGATTGAATTGCTGCACCAACTACCCAAAAGAATGAACAAATAATTAATGATAATCTTCTACCAAATGGTTCTGAAACAAAGGAAGCACCAATTGAACCAAATATTGAACCTAAACTCATACTTGCAGTAATTAAACCTTGAATATCCGAATCTACTATACCTCCCTTAAAAAAGTAATTATCATAATGACTTTGACCAACGAAAGCACTCATCGATGAAATATCAAAACCAAACATCATACCTGCAATGGTAGATATACTGGCAATAAAATAAACATTATAAATTTTTGGTAAGTTATCAATAGCAAGATTTGCTTTCAAAGCAGGACCTGAAAATATCCTTTCTATTCTTGAAGACATAATATGAAAACTGATGAATTGAAAATTTTAGATTTGAATTTGAATTTTATTGAGTATTTATAGTAAATTTTTTTAACCTTGAGCCATTCCTTTGTTTATCCCCATAAATCATTCAGTAAAAAATCTTTTTGTTATTAATGTTACTGGGGTATTTTATTTTTGTGTCTTCTATGCAAGATCCTTAAAATATTTTATCCGAAGAATTTTAAAGTTTAAGTAAATGAATTATGATGACTGAATGTCTTTAAATTTTAGTCTCTTAGCACATCGTATCTAATTAGTAAAATTTTTAATGGCACTCTTTTTAAAAAGGCGGGGATAGATAATTCAATTCTAAGACAGTATTAACTTATTTTACCGAGTTGAGGTAGGTTTTGAAAATTAACTTTTGATTCTATTAACTATAAACCTTCAAGGTCGATCTTGACAGGTAGCAAAGCTTGAAATCAGAATTCAAGCTCATTAAGAACTCTACAAGAGGATTAAACAATTTCTGGAGTAGATCTTTCATCCCACACATCGTAATTCTTTACTCTAATTCTGTACTTGAATGAATATTTACGTTTAATGGTTTCGTGTAAATTAATCACCTTACGGATTGTCTGGTTGCAAAATAAAAAAAAAAAAAAAAAAAATATGCGTAGAACATTTTTAATGATCCGGAAACACTACTATCTCGAGCGTCTAGCTCACCAGATACTACCAATTTTATTACCGTTTAAACTATAACTCTAATGGTTTGAAGATCAGTAGAAAATGTACCATGGAATGAATCATGACACTTCAAACATTATTATAGTGCTAGGCAAAATACTAATTGTATAGTATATGTAAAATAACTTATTTTCAATTTTTAATTTTACTAAATTTGTACATCTTAGCAAGAAATCCCTCAATAGCTATTATTACGTATTTGCATCTCAAAAAGCCTTCTTTTATTCAGTTTTTCGTGTTGAAAGTCGGGGTATTTGTAAATCTCGGATCTACAGTATACAAGTTCCTAGTTGAAATTTGACAAGGCCTCGAATTGACGATTTCTTAATTTGACTTTTTAAATACCCTTCAAGACATCACCAAGAAAATAATATAGTACGTTTTATATCACCTTCTTACTAATTGTAATAAATTAATAATCTAAATAATCTATGATTGTATGTTAAAAAATTTTGAAATGCACTGACGGTAAAACTTCTTTCCTCCCACTGAAATTTAAGAAAAAGAAATTTCAACTCTAAAATTTGACTAAAAAACAATAAGCCTATCGGAATGCTCCTTGCTCTCGCATTAAAGTTTTTCCATTATCTCATATTATATGGAATTCCAAACTGAGATTGTACTTTAAAAAACCCACAAATTAATTCCCAGGTGCGTTTACTCGTTTTAGAAAAAGTCTGATTGAAATCATTTGAGGTGTCAGATATCATCAGTTTAATGCTTTACAAACCCCATGGAGTTGCACATAAACATACGATCAAAATTAATTAGATCTACAGTCATTTTTGAGTTGAAAATGCCGCTTAATGGCGAATACAAAAATGCCAAGGAAATTGTCTCTCGTACAGATTTTCCGTCCGAACTTAAATTATAGGTGGGCCAACTTATTCAATAACAATAACTAATCTAGTTGTTAAAAAATTCAGAGTTATTTCGCAAATAAGAACAGGTTTAAACGATTTTGTTAACGACATAGAAAATACAAATAAAATAACGTATAGACATTCAAATATTCAATGTAGTTTATCAATGGTCAAGCTGAGATAAAACATCTTGACTAAACGACTATCATTCATGTCTTCAAGTGTAAAAGCTTCGGATTGGAACTGTCTTTAAAATTTTTACTAGGTCTGTGTTTTTTTGCAACCATGAACGACCTATTCACGATATTTTCAACATTGACAATGGAGATTTAAAGTTCAGTTATTATTTCGTTTTAAACTTTTAACTTAAAGTTATGGTTTGTAAATTTAACCTTTTTATCCGATTTAGCTCTATTATAATTCTACATTTGTTAAAACCCCCGAACGTTTGCAAAACAATACAAATAGGGTCTGGATTTCCAAAGATTTATAATAAGATACTCAATACTAATTGTTGAATAAAGCTCCAAGGTATATAAGTTTTCATAGACGGAAAGTATATGCTTTTCTTTAAACGTCAACAAATCTCGAAAGATGTTGAGATATATCTAATAATCTGCTAATCTGCCAAACTTAGTTAAGTTGTATTTACACACAAACTGAGACAATTTAAGCTAATAGTTATTTTCCTGCACTCTAATTGCTAGGAAAATCAACAAATATCAAGCTTCGTTAAAAAAAAAAAATTGAAAGGACACAATTTCTGACAATCAAATTCGAATTGGTCTAATTTTTCTTGTTCAAATGATACCAAGAACTATATGTTTTGAATGCAAATTAGTTGCGCAATGCTGAGATGACGTTTGTCAAAACCAATGGCTATTTTATTTTATTTTGCGCGTTTTCGATATATTTTTTTTGTGTTAGATCTCAGATCTAACTGATGTAAATCACGCTAGTGCGACATTGTTTTGCACTTATTTTGCAACACCAATTTTAGTCATTACGACTACAGTTGAGCTATAAGCAAAATAAATATGAATTTGGTGTCAGTAGCTGCTGCTAGAATAATGAAGCAATTTGATTTCTAAATTGAATGATGTTAAAAATGTTATCTACATAGACATTGAAAATTTGAGTCCCAAATATCACAACTCGTGTTCTTAATAAATTAAGTATATGATACCTCAATTTGTCATGATTTTATGTCAGAACAATTTCAATGTCCATAGAATTTACTTAAAACTACTTGATAGTTTTGAGAGAACCACCGGTGGTGGTACCATTCTTGATTGATAGAAACTTCTTTTAATCATTCTTTTGTTCCATACTTGGAAACGATAGCTTAAATATTGATGGAGTTTCTCACAATTCAAGTATTAAGACATACTATGATGATACTGCATATAAGTCATTTTTAGTGTGTGTTTTTAGGGCCAACATGTGGTGCAAAAAAAAAAATTCTCGCACTATCTTTAGGGCGATGCGTACCAAATGCATTTTCTTATATGTCATGAACAATTGATTTTTTTTGAATGAATACTATTTATATCAAAATAAGGAGTTCTCAATTATATAATCTATATAGCTTAGATCTTTATTATCAAATTTGTTTTTTTAACTTGAATTTTCAGGCTTTTTCCATCATACAAATATTTTTTATAAAATGTAAATTTGTATATCTTTTTATGAGGCCCAAAACCTTTGAATAAACAACTGATTGTTTAGATTATAGTTTAATCAAAGATGTTGTAATTGATTCTGGCTGTTCTCAACAAGAATTGAAAAAAATTAAGAAATTCCCTTAAATATGAGGAAAATTGAATAAATTGACCTTTTGAAAAATCAGATTACACAATGAATATTCAAATTTGACCAGAATGAAGCTATCCACTTTTGTAGTTCTGGAAAGCTAATAAAGATTGAGAATTTTTGTATTCAGGAGTTCAAATTTAGAAAGGTAATTTTTCCACAGCGCTTTAAAATTTTTAAAAAAATTTCAAAGTGATTAATGCGTCTTGAGAATATAATACAAGAAATTTTTGGGATTAATCGACTAAATTAGCTTTATTAGAAGTTGTTAAATGAAGTCTAAGTATTGTCTATTTTGCAAAATAGCGTTTTTTTGCCATTTTTTAAACGATGGATTGAGTCATCAAAATAATATTTAACAAGCGCATATTAACATTAATATATTTCAATAGAATTGGCGTTTATAATAAAGTAAGTTTAAGGATCATATCATAAATAACGAAGTTATTTGCAAATTAAATTTCATGATCAACTACTATAAGACTGTATATAACCACATTTGTCCCAGAATAGTCATATAAGAGCATAACAATAACAAACATATAAAAGTAGAAATTACATTTTTTGTAACAGCAAGTACATGGTTTCAAGGCTAATAATTTTAGACCGATGTGGTTCGTACTATTTTAAGTTGAAAGTTTATAATTTTGTAAATTGACACACTTGGTAAAGGGAACTAACATTCTTTGAGTTTAATTCATATAAGGATAATATTAACAGATATATAAAGGTACACCACAAATTGAGTAGCAACACATACGTGATATTGAGGATCTTTTTGATGTGTAATTGTGTTTATCTAGTTCGTGTTGAAAAATTTACAGTTTTGTAAACTGGTACATTTGGTAACTTAATGTCGTTTAAAATTCGCTCAAAAAACAGTGCTAGCTGTCGCCTTAACCTAAGTTTTCACCGACCATGTCATCGTTTCAAGTAGGTCGACGGCCCTTTATTCTGGATATAAGGCAAAAGTTGGGGGAAATTTACGATTTAAGCTTTGGGCCTATGTGGAGCAAAAACACAATGAAATTTTCAGCTCAAGGCGATAGGTGGTACCATTGCTGATAACTAACTTACAAATTGAAACAATTGATAATGAATTAAAGACTGTGCTTACAACGAATTGTTTTGAAAATTGGAATTAGAGGTCTATCTTAAGATAAAGTTTGATTTGCTTCTATTGGCTATTTTAAGAGATATTGACTACATCGAACGTTTTTTCATTTTACTTTAACCATTTTTGCAATCAAATTGTTTCAATTTTAACTAAACGAGTTGTAAATTGAATTCAAACATTTTTACATCTTGAGAGGACAAATTGTCAACTAAAAAGTTCATGCAGTTAGTGTTCCTGTGATAGTTTAGCAGTTAGAATTGCGCCATAATATTCTATTCAATTTACTTGCCCAACATTATCTTTATTGTCCAATTTAAATGATCAGATACTTGCAGAATGATAAACAGCTTATGTAAACTAACAGATTATGTTCAAAACAAGCAAGTATATATAATATCACATGAAAGATCAATTGATAAACTACATGTCAGTCACGTGTACCTTGAAACTAGACTCGAGAACAATCTAGATCGATCAAATAAACCACAGTATCTGTAGTATTACTAAAATAAAGGTTCTATTTCGAACTACTTGGACACCCTATGATAATCATTTCACTTGCCTTTGCGTTAATGACAACAATCAATCAAGGGGCTGCTAATAAATACAAAAGTTTCTGAATCTGCTGAATCGTGTCGCCTCTCATCTTTAAATAATAAGGTATAAGCTTTTTTAGCACAAACTAAAAATAATTATCTCCGGCGGAATTTTTCAATTTCTTAAAAAAACCGAGCAATTAAGAAAAGAGCTACCAGCTGTAAAATTGCAAAAAAAATCACGAGCAGATATATCAATAAATCATTAAAAATATATATTAGTCTATAATTAGGATCGTGACTTCATTAAGTATTAAAAAAAAAATGAACTGATTAATAAACAATGCTGTTTGATGGAGTTTCTAATGCAAATTTTTGTAAATTCTCTTTATAAAATGGTTGTTGTTGTTTTGTTTGGTATGTGATTTGATCTTGTTGGTATTCATCATACTCTATTTCTTCATCATCGGTGTAAAATTCTTCGTCATCTTCATCAAAATCACTAACGTATGAATTATAAGCAGTTGTTTCTGGTGGAGTATATAATTGTTGATTTCTGTGACGATGATGATGATGTGAATGATGATGATCGTCTTTAAAGAAATCACATCTTATTACTTCTTTGTATAAATTGATTAAATCTATTCTATCATTTGGATTTAATTTGAAAATTTTGTCTAATAATTTATTGAATTGTGATGAAATTGGTAAAATTGAAGATAAGATTGAATGATTGTTATTTAAAATATAGTTTTTGAATACATCATTTGAATTATCATTTAATGAAGCTATTGGCCATGGATTTCTTGAACATGTTATATTAATGAATAAAACACCTAATGACCATACATCACCAGGTAAAGTTGGTAAATATTTACAGTTTGATAAGTTGGTATTTGGTTGGTCATAAACTGATTGAAATTGTGACATATCAATTAATGATTTAATAATTTTATTAGTATTAAAATTGATTGTTCTTTCTGGTGCCATATAAAAACTTGAACCTCTACAAGCGTTACAGCAAATTAAATTTGTATCTAAAGCTAAACCAAAATCAATTAAAGATAATCTTAATTCTTTATAATCTATTATTGAAGAATGTTGTGATCTTTGATAATATGGATTATATTCAACCATTATATTTTCAGGTTTCAAATCACAATGATAAATGCCTAATTGATGACAATATTCAACAGCATCAATTAATTGTAACATTGCATTTTTCATTAAAATTTGTCTATCAAATCTATGCTTTTGGAAAATTTGTTTATCAATGATGTTATTAAATAAATCACCTTGTTCAAAATAATCCATTAAAATTATAATTGCAAAATTATCTAAATCATAAACTTGATGTATGGTTGTAATATTTGGATGCTCATGGGCTTTTAAATGTAATGAGATTTCAGTCAAAAATTGACAATCATGACCTTGATCTCTAATATAGTTTAAATTCATTGAGGTTGGTTTTGGTAAATTATGTGAGTAAAAATATTGATAAAATTGTTGCTGAATTAATTTTTTATTAAGTTGGGAATCTTTTGGATCACCTTGTGTAAATGGTGGTTGTTTTAATAGCATTTTAGCAGCAAACCTTTGATGTGTATAAATGTTTTCAACTAAATATATTAAACCATAGGTACCAGCACCAATCTTTTTAATAAATTTTAAGTCTTTATTTAACATATAGCCATCTAATAGCATATTATTATTAGGTATGTTATTTCTTGTTTGTTTGAATTGGTCTTTAGTAATGTAAGGTTTTGATATTGAACTTTTTATATCAAGCAATGGTAATATATCTAAAGCCATTGTTGCAAAATTATGTAAATTATTAAGTTATAGCAGTATTAAGTAAAAAATTTTTGTAATTGATAAAGTGAACGAATAATGAATGAATAATGAATGAAATTATAAATAAAGAAATCTTGATTTATATAAATATCATTTTGTAACAACTGGTTATGTTATAAAATAAAAATTTCATATTATATTAGAACTATTTTTGTTTTCCGAAATATTTTCGGTTGCAGCAAGAAGAAAAAAAAAAAAAAAAAAAAAAAAATATGTAATATCGTCTAATCTATTAACATTCCTCAGTAGATCAACTATATGAATATGATAAATTTATACTACACGATTTACATATTACTGTTTTATATCAAAATGTTAATACTCTTTATTAGGTAAATTCTACGCGTCCAACAATAAATAAACACTTAAAACCTTAGTTTAGTATGTACTCTACATTTCTAGAATGAACTCGAAATTCCATACAACAGATGATGGTTGAGGTTCAGGATCCCAAACGTATTTCTCCATATTGTTTGATGTTTTCAATCATTTAATCGTAATTATAATGTAATAGAATTTAATGAAATAAGGTGATTTATTTTAAATCAGTCCACTATAATATGTTCCATTTTCCGTTTTCCGTTTTCGTTGTGAAACGGGTCTAGAACGATAAACGAGTGATCTTGTACTAAAATTCTCGCCCTATATCAAAAATCTTGACACCACCAGTTTGGCCCTAAATATTCCATGCGACTTGACTAACGCCACTTTTTTTTTAAAAAAAATAGCAAATTATATTATACTATCCTAATAATACCGATGATGTATAATTTCTTAATTTTTTTTTTAGACTATTTATGGTCTCTCTTGCATAATCTTTATTACTATGATAGAAAATATCGTAACTGAGTAGATCAAATCTATAAAAAGCATGTGAAAGGTTGTGAAGAGCTCATCGCAAACTTATTTTTAGATAATCTTGTGATATTTTTACCTGAGTATACACGGTCTGATCATACAATACTTAGACTTTATTTTTTCTATCAAAGCTGATCTTGGCACCCTATGTCAACAAAACCTTTTATTTGCTGTTGGTAGCGGAGCTAACGAATGATGGTTTTATCTTAGTGCGAACATCGTTTATTAAACGAGCGAAAATATAATTCAAGAAAATCTATGCTCTTATAGTAGTAGTACAAAGCTCAAAAAGGAGGTTTCACTTCGTTGTAGTCTAAATCTAGATAATATTGACTATCATTATAGTTTTGAGGATATTCTGTTACTTTATTAAACGTGTTGGTATCGAACTATTTCATGTTTACAGTTTCTTGACCAAATTCTGTATGGCGGTTATGGTAATAATAGATAAAACTTTTTAGCCATTCGTTAAAATCGTTCTGCTAGTTCGGAATAACAGAATCTAATATTGTCCTATTATTCGCTTCTAGATTCTATCAATCTAACGCCACCCTTTTAAAGTGAAGGCTTCTTTTTTTCACTTATTTGACCTTGTGCTTCAGATTTTATTTTTAGAAGTGCTTTACTTCAAGGTCATAGAGTCATGCCAGGACACTGTATTCGAAGCTTTATATTATTATATTGTTTTTTTATTACCGCCTCGCTCGATCTCTGGGTCAACTACAATTATGTTTAATAATATAATTTTTTAATTTTTTCACCTGTCTTTATCATTAATTTAACTATTTTCGGCAATTTAGATCTTATTATTATCGGAGATTATGGTTAAAATCCTCTTCTTGCATTAAGTCCTATACTATTGACCAAATAATTCAATTTTTTAGGTGAACATACTTCGCTTATTTCCAGCTTCTCTTCTCTTGCTTTGCTTCTAACATATATGTGCCTGAAATTTGGCATAGAAAACTCCCCAACTTGCCCCACTCTAACAATCGAACCACTAATGAAATGAAATAAAGCATGGACTCAAGTATAGACTCAAGTATAGACTCAAGTATAGACTCAAGTATATAATAGAAAGAGAGTGAATTTATATGTTTGTATTAATTTTATATGTAAAATATTCGTTAACAGTATAACATAAATACTCCTATTGCAAAAAATTGGTAGTTACTATCGATGAACCATTTGCTGGTTTACTTACTAAGATAGCTTCTTTTAATTCATCTTCAGTTATATTTGGAAATTCAACTTTATAATAATCGTTTTCAAAAGCTTCAATTAACTTATTCAATTTATCAGTAGTTGTTAAATGAACTAATGAACCACCCCAACCAGCACCAGTTATTCTACTACCAAAAGAACCATTAGCCAAAGCTATTTCACAAATTCTATCCAATTTCTCATTTGAATTTTCACATAAATTCTTTAAATCATACTGACTTTTATTTAACAATTGACCAAAAGACTTTAAGAATGTTGTTTCATTTTCAATTGGTGATTTCAAAAGTTTCAAAGTTTCTAATACCCTTAAACTTTCTTGATATACATGTTTTGCTCTTTGGTAAATTTTTAACATATCAAATCTAACTGGAAACTTAGTCAAATACTTTTGAGTAAATTCTTCAGTGGTTATATTTAATTCTTTAGATGCTTGTTCTACTGTATATCTGTCATGATTCAAATTACCTTCTACTAAATCAATCATTTTGTTCAACTCCTCAATACCTCTTTCAATATCATTATCATCCCATTGACCATAGTTACACTCCATAACTGATCTTAAACTTGAAGTTTTTGAATTTGAATCTTGTAATACATTTTCAAGTTGCAATTTTTTAGACAACATATCTGCTCCAATTGCCATTTCTACAACTCTTAAATTATAATGAACTGGCCCAGTTTCTGCTTTATTTGATACTTGTAAACTATTAGTAATTACAAATACTAAATCATCTAATGGGAATTTGAATGGAGTGCCTTTAATTTCAGGTCTAAATTGAATTAATAATGCTTTATTCATTTCTCCATATATACTTGCACATTGATCCATACCACCATTGTTTAAACCAACGTAATGCTCAGAAACAACTGTAATTTTAGTTAAATCAGATTTAGGAATTTGGGTTAAGCCATTTGCATAAAGAATTGATAATGCAGTAGTAACACAGAATGCAGCACTAGAAGATAAACCACCGCCAGTTGGAACGTTACCATCAAAAGTAATCTTCATACCTTTTAATCCATCAAGTAAATTCTTTTCAATTAAATATTTTTGTGCAACAATTAAACCACATTTGAAATAATTTGCCCAACTAAATGTTTCATCTATTTTGACAATCTCCTTTGGACCTGAAGGTAATTGAATAGTGGTTCTTTTAAAATTTGCATCTGTATTTGTTATGATAATTTCTTTATCATTTGTAATTTCAATAGCTGCTATAACATCATTATTTATAGCCATTGGTAAAACAGGAAAATAGTTGTAATCTATATGATCACCAATTATATTAACTCTACCTGGAGATCTAGCAAAGAAATCAATTTTAGAATCATTACCAAAATTATCTTCAAAAGTTCGTTTCAATTTAGTGAATCTGTTATTCTGAAAATTTGAATCTTCATAAAAAGATAAATCATTAAAAATAGGAACTAAAGACATTTTCACAACTTAGTTGATGAGTACTTTTTTCTTTATTCGGACTCCAGATTATTTATATATAGTTTGTGATCATCAGCACACGATTGGAATAAGAACTAAATACTTTTGTGACTTGTTTATTTAAAATTTTTTTGGATCCCCCAGATTCTATTTTTTCTAACTTCCATTTAAACAACAACAGACAAAATTATTCAAAATTGCAACGTTACATTGACAGTTAACTATTCGATCTCTAACAAATGAATCTATTTTGTGACACTTTTGCGTGTCTAGTACAGATCTCAGAAATGTCAGCATTCGGAAAAAATAGCAATTATGAGCCCTGCGTTTACGAGCATTTCAGATTCAGTCCGACAAAAAATGTGATCCAACAAACAATCTTATTGCCAAATCAGAAGTCTACATCACGTTAAAACAGAGTGAAAATTTTTCTTATTTACTTGTTTTTGCGGAGTGACTGGAGTTTAACCCTTTCGCATAATAGATCTGGAATTGTGAATCATTTATTGATTGTAACGTTACATTAAAATTCGATCTACTGGGGAAGGTATATAAACTAAGTTAATTTCTTACTATTTCCATAATTAGCAAAGGTTTTTCTTAAAAAATGTCAGAATCAGAGTATATCTTAGTTACTGGTGGTGCTGGTTATATTGGTAGTCACACAGTTATTGAATTAGTCGATAATGGTTATAAACCAATTATAGTTGATAACTTATCAAATTCATCTTATGATGCAGTTTCAAGAATTGAATTTATAGTTGATCAACATTTTCCTTTTTTTAGAATTGATTTGAGAGATTCTTCAGCATTAACTAAAATTTTTGAAAAATATAACATTTCAAGTGTTATTCATTTTGCTGCATTAAAAGCTGTTGGGGAATCAACTAAAATTCCAATTGATTATTATGATAATAACATCAATGGTACTATTAACTTAGTTAAGGTTATGCAAAAATTTAATGTCAAGACCATTGTTTTTTCATCAAGTGCAACTGTTTATGGTGATGTCACTAGATTTGGTGATGATAGATATATTCCAATTCCTGAAGAATGTCCAATGGATCCTACCAATCCATATGGGAAAACAAAATACATGATTGAACAAATTTTAAAAGACGTTTCAAATAGTGATGCTGGTTCTGATTTGAAAGTAGCAATTTTAAGATATTTTAATCCAATTGGTGCTCATCCAAGTGGTTTACTCGGTGAAAATCCGTTAGGCATTCCAAATAATTTATTGCCTTATCTTGCTCAAGTTGCAATTGGAAAAAGAGAAAAATTATCAATCTTTGGTAATGATTATGCAAGTCATGATGGCACTCCTATTAGAGATTATATTCATGTTATAGATTTAGCAAAAGGTCACATTGCTGCTTTAAATTATTTACATAAAATAGGAAATTCTGGTCTTTATCGTGAATGGAATTTGGGCACTGGTAAAGGTTCAACAGTATTTGATGTTTATCTTTCATTTTGTAAAGCTGTTGGTAGAGAATTACCTTATGAAGTTGTTGCAAGAAGATCTGGTGATGTTTTGGATTTAACTGCTAAACCAGATAGAGCAAATGAAGAATTACAATGGAAAGCTGAACTAGGTATTGATGAAGCATGTAAAGATTTATGGAAATGGACAACGGAGAATCCATTTGGTTTTCAAATTGACAATTATCAGTGGAAAGAGTTTAGTGATGATTTAAATGATAGATTACATACTTTTAAAATTGATAATTTTAAAGTAGGAATTATAAATTATGGTGCAACTATACAAAATATTCAAATTGGTGATCAATTATTAGTTTGTGGGTTTGATAATGGTTCTGATTATAAATCTTCAAGCAATCCATATTTTGGTGCAAATATAGGAAGATTTGCAAATAGAATTAAACATGGTAAATTTACATTAAATGGTAAAAAATATCAATTGTCTCAAAATGAAGGTGATAAAAATTGTTTACATTCAGGATTTAATGGTTTCGATAAACAAAATTGGTATGGTCCAATTGTTAAATTTAACGATGATAAATTTAAAGTTGATTTTAAATTGATTGACAAAGATGGTAATGATGGATTCCCAGGTGATCTAGAAACAATTTTGCATTATATAATTGGTTATAAATTTATTGAAATTGAATATGAGTCAAAATTATTGAATGGTGAATCTACAATTGTAAATTTAACAAATCATTCTTATTTTAATATATCAAATGGTGATTCAATTGATGATACAGAATTTGAACTTGGTACAGATCAATATTTGAAAGTAGATGATGAATTAATTCCGACTGGGGAAATTGCAAGCATTGGTTCTGCAAAATTTACATTAACTTCAGATAAATCTTTTGATAATTGTTTTATAGTAAATGAAAATGATGATAGAATTGATACAAGATCAAATGAATTAAAACAATTGGTTAAAGCAAGTCATAAAGATTCAAAAATTACATTAATTGTTTCATCTACTGATCCAGCTTTTCAATTATACCTGGGAGATGGCATAAATACCGATGGTTTCAAAAAGAGAAGTGGATTTTGTGTTGAACCAAGCAGATTTTTAAATGCAATTAATCAACCAAACTGGTCAAAACAAGTTATATTAAAGAAAGATGAAACATATGGAGGTAAAATTAAATATGAATTCAAGTAGATCGTGAAAACTACAGTAATTTGTATAGCTTATATAATCTATGACGTAATTATATAAAAGGATCTTGATTTTTTTTTTTTTCATTCGCGATCAAAAAAATGTGATACAAAATAGAAATAAAAAATCCTCGAGATAGTCAAGAGAATACCAAGACTAAAGTAGAAAAATTTTAGTATTAATTGATGATGGCGAGTAAATAAGAGAAAAATTTTTGCTTTTAGATTGCAATTTGTTAATGGTTTTATTATTAATTCAAGTTCCTTGGTATATTCTATTATACTTCCGGCAATTAATGTATCTAATGGTCATTGAATGATGCTTTTCCTTTCAACTTTAATTTCTATTTTGTGTAAAGTACTAAGTTATTCTAAAAAAATTATTCTAGATAATTAATTGTGGTCTCAAGTACCTATCAACTCGTTTTGATACTTTATTGATGGTTAAATATAACTTAATTAATTCTGCTCATAAATCAGTTAGAGAAATATATCAAATCGAAAATAACTTAATATCCATCTCCGATTATGGCTTACAGTTTTGGTCAGTAGATACTCTGGAATTAATACATACTGAATCTTCAGGTAAATTTCCACTGAAGTTTAAAATTATACAAAAGAATCTCAAGAGTGGCACAGTCCTTACTTTTATTGCAATTATAAGTTTTAATGATTTTCAATTCAAATATTATTTGAACGGTGATATTTCAAATATTAAAAGTATAGAAGTGAGTGGATTTAATAATGATAGTCGACGATTTTCAAACATAAACAATTTTGAGATATACAATGAAGAAGATGAAGAAGAGAATTATTTGATCTTTTCAACACGCAAGTCGAATTCAGTAAATTCTTTGACAATAATAGAAACTGAAAACAATGTCAAAATGTATTTTAACGAACTATACCATATTCCAGACTCAGATGATTTTCCGAGACAATTTGCAACTTTTAGGAACAAAATGTTGGCTGTGGGAAATCAAGACGGCCATGTCAAAATTTATAATTTGAAAAATGGGGACTTAATAAAGATTATCAAAGTAAGTATTGAACAGTGTAGCGTTCAGTGTGTATCAATCTATGAGAATTTAATAGTTATTGGTTTTGATACCCTTGATGAAAATCTAAAAAGTCAATCATTTGTATATATTTATGATTTAGATGATGGGAAATTATTGAACAAATTAACTAAAAGTAAGGCTGAAGTAATACATAAGAGCTGGATACAACAGGTTTCGTTTAATAAAAGTGGGAAACTAATAGGTACTTGTGGAATGGATGGCTTTTTCCATTTATGGGACGTTGAAACTGGAAAACTATTAACATCAATTAAAATGGAAAATTTACCAGATCATGATTTCAAATACAAAACAATGTTAAATAAAAGCATATTCACATTTGTTAATGAGAATGATTTATGTATTGTATGTGGTGGTGAAAGTATTCGATGGTTTAAATTTGAACAATAAATTATAAATTCAATACATAATTACAAATTAAATTTATCTTATTCTCTGTAATTAAGTAGAACAACTATATTTATATTTTAATAATGATTATAGAGTAGTCTAAAGTGACTTGGAAAGTGTCTAGGCGTTAGTTTGATTATTGCAGCATCGTGTAATTGTGAAATCCGGCCGCGCTAGATAAAAATATTTACCACAAATAGCGCGACTTTTTCGTGCAAACTTTAATACGTTTCTAAGCGATTTGGCATCAAGATTGGGCGGGAATCTAATGTCAAAAAAAAAAAGTATTCTGAAACAAGTTTGACCTATATGCAGTCTCCTCCTAGTTTATCTTTAAATTTAGATCTTTAATAACTCTCTCGATAATCAAACTTATATCCTCCAACTTTTTCCACATACGTTTCAACTTACTCTAAACATAATGATCAGAGCTTAGGACGGTTTGACTTAGTTTTGTTGGACTTTATCGATCATCTAAAAAACCTGAAAAATCGTTATATTGCAATATAACCAACACTCAGACCTCATTTATAGGCTTCTAAGATATCCTATCTGGTTTATTGAATTCCAAAAATTCTTTGTATTATGCTTAAAGGCACCAAAATTGGTTTAAAATTTTTGCAAAAATTTCGTTTCACTATCGAAAACCTACTTTTCTAATTTAGAATACCTTAACACCAAAAAATTTCAAGGTTTGCTAGGTTACAGGAACTAATACATTGGATAGTTTTATCATGTCTTAATTTGAGTATTAGAGGTGGAGTCAATTTCTTCGTAAAGTCAATTTAATCGATTTTCCTTATAGTTAAGAGAATTTTTTGAAATTTCTGAATTTTAGTTAAGATCACTTTTAATCAGGCTCAGCACCTTGAATAGAAGTATTATATATATAATCGGTACTTTAATTGAAAGTTGTGGCCCTAGATAAGAAAACACAATGTATCTTATTTTCCGCAAAAATTTTGTATGATGAAAAATACCCAAATTGACAGCTTAAACTAAAAATATTGGAAACATTCAATACGAAACATATGGAGCATATAATTCAAGGTTCCTGATTTCATAAAACTGGTTTCCATTTTGAGACAATGCTTTATTCAAGACATTAGAGTCAATAAGCTTAGTACGGTTTGCCCTAGAAGTAGCGCGAAGAAATTCGTTCCAAAAAAAAATATTTTTTTTATCAACAGATCAAAGCATTTATCAATTCATATTTAATGAAAGTTTATTCAATACTAATATTAAATAAAGCTGGTGGTTTAATATATCAAAATGAAATATCATCAGGCTTAAATAAACTATCAGCTAATGATTATTTGGTTTTAGCAGGCACCTTACATGGTGTTCATGCAATTGGATCTAAATTATCACAATCCATATCAACAACAAACAATTTAAAAAATACAGAAGAATTAAATAGCATACAGAATTCAAATATACTATCTTTTGGAAAAGCATTAAATCCAAACAATAACAAATCGGGGCTACAATCTATTGAGACAGATTTTTTTAATTTATATAATTTTCAAACTGTAAGTGGATTAAAATTTATTATAATAACAAGTCCGAATGATAATTTTGAAAATTTTGAAACCTCAAATGAAATATTCAGGAAGTTATATATATTATATTCTGATTATGTTATGAAAGATCCATTTTATTCATTAGATATGCCAATAAAATCAATATTGTTTGATAAAAATGTTAAAGAGCTATTTCGTTGATAGAAAAGATAGACCATTTACACTTTCACACAATGGAGAAGTAAATAGAGAGCATACAGATTGCGAATTAATGCATTATTACATGTTATTAAATTTTGGAATATGCCGTAGGGTTGAATGAGTCTTCAACTGAAGAACTAGAGAAAAGTTTAATATTACCGTACCTATTTATTTTTATTTGCCTCTACGTACATCTTGTACAAGTTTAATCCTTCCTTTAATGAGAATTCTTGTTTCCAACCTAATTGCTTAATCTTTGTTGATAATATTGAATAATCTAAATCATTATAATTCCTATCTTTAATATGTTCAACTTTAGCATCTCCATTCTCATTGAATATCTCATTTACTAATTTGACTACTGCATTATTATCAATTGGCTCATCATCACTTCCAACATTGAATATTTCACCCACCACCTTATCTCTATCTTCATGCCAAATTAAATCAATAGCATTTACCAAATCTGAAACATATAAATATCTCCTTTTGCACTTACCATCTCCATGTATAGGCATTCTAGTACCATCTTGGATGCACTTTATTGTTCTTGATATGATTTTCTCGGGATATTGTAATGGTCCGTAAATATTATTTGGTCTAATTATGGTAATTGGTAATTTATAACTATAAACGTATGAATTTATAATTAGATCCATGCATCCTTTAGTTGCAGAATAAGGATTAGTGGGGTTCAAAACTGAATTTTCATCTTTGTCACCGTCTTCATCTCCATATACTTCATCTGTAGAATTATGAATCATAAATGATATCTGATCTGGTAACATTCTGCAAACCTCTAACAAATTTTGAGTCGATAGTACGTTGTTTTTGGTGAAATAATACGGATTTTCAAATGATCTATCAACACAAGATTCAGCAGCAAAATTAATAATCTCGTTAACTTGATACTCTTTGACAATTTCAATTAATGAAGGATCTCCAATATCTAATTTTATAAATTGAAAATTCTTACATGATTCTACCAAATGTTTGATATTTTCATAATTAGCAGCATAATTTAATGTATCAACACATAAAAAGTAATAGTTTGGATACTTTGGAACTAAGTGATTTAAAAAGTTGGAGCCTATAAAACCAGCACCACCACATACTAAAACTCTTTTCTCAAATGTCATTGTTGATTAATGAGAAATCCCTAAAATTGGTTTATAAACTCGAAAAAATTCAATATTTAACTCCAGATCTTAAACGTAAATGATACAAAATCACCATCACCAAAAAATGTAACGTTGTACCAAGATTTCAATAGATAAGTTGATGGTATTAGTCAGATAAATGATCTAAGCTAAAGGCAAATCTCATCTCAACTGTTTTTGTGAACAGTGAGTCAGCAGCAATAACTAAAAGTGGGGGACCAAGTGGAATGCTCGTGGTTCTAAAGATCTAAAATAGACAATAATCTAAAAAAAAATGTCTTCGTGTTTCAATCATTATTAGCAAAATCCAACGTTACATTGAAGTTTTCCATACATTATTAATTTTCTTTTTCCATTTAAGTAATAACACGCATTGATATTTATGTCTGCATTTTTCATTATCATCTAATACTAAAATTTCATTGAGAACTAATATACCAACACGAGTTTCAACATAATTTGCCGAAATTAAATTTCTCATTTTCAATCCTTTTCCTATTGTCATTCATTTTATCACAAAAATAAAGCCATACTGGCCAAATTTTTTTCATATAAATTCCCCTACTCATTTCCATAAATTTCATTTTCAAAATGTCAATAAATCATTTATTAAATCCAGTACTAACTTCAACTCCTACTTATCTTGAGATGTCACAACAATTTGATTTTACAAATCATTCGCATAGAAGATTAAATTTATTAACTAATAGATATGTATTATGTTCACCGCATAGAGCAAAAAGACCATGGCAAGGTGCTAAAGAAGAAATTAAAAAGACACAATTACCTGAATATGATCCAAAATGTTATTTATGTCCTGGTAATGTAAGGGCTACTGGTGATGTTAATCCAAAATATGAAACAACTTATATTTTCCCAAATGATTATCCAGCTATGAAAATAGATCAACCAGATTATAAACAACCAAAAGGAAAAGATTTAAAAAGTAAACTATTCGTAACTCAAGCTGTTAAAGGTAAATGTTTCGTCATTTGTTTTTCATCAAAACATAATTTAACATTACCATTAATGAATAAAGAAGGATTAATTTCGGTTGTAAATGCATGGCAAACTTTATATAATAATCTAAATGAAGAACAATCTAAAGGTGATGCACCTTTTAAATATTTACAAATTTTTGAAAATAAAGGTTTTGCAATGGGTTGTTCAAATCCTCATCCACATGGTCAAGCTTGGTGTTTGGATACAATACCAACTGAAGTAAATGAAGAATTGACGAATATGGAAAAATATCATGAAGAAAATAGTAGTCATCTATTAGGTGATTATGTTAAATTAGAACTACAAGAAAAAGAAAGAATAGTAGCTGAAAATGATTCGTTTTTAATTGTGGTTCCATATTGGGCTTTATGGCCATTTGAAACTTTAGTTATATCAAAAGAGCATTTACATTCAATTGCTGAATTTAATGATACACAAAAACAAGATTTAGCTTCAATTTTGAAAATCTTAACTACAAAGTATGATAATTTATTTAATACTTCATTTCCTTATTCAATGGGTATTCATCAAGCTCCATTCACTTGTACAAAAGAACAGCATGATTGTTCTTGGTTTCATATGCATTTTTATCCTCCCTTATTAAGATCAGCTACTGTTAAAAAATTTTGTGTTGGTTTTGAAATGTTGGGAGAAGCTCAAAGAGATTTAACTAGTGAACAAGCAGCTGCAAGATTAAATGAGTTAAGTGGTGAAGTACACTATATGAATCAATAATGAATAAACGATTTTAATAAAAGTTATAGAATTATATTCGATTTATAATATCTCTGATAAAGTCATATTACAAAGCACACAAACATTGGGATCTTCCTAAAGAAAAAAACATAGTTACTCCATCATGAGAAGCTTTTGAGCAAGAACCGATCTTAACTGTTCTCTCTGTCGGGCTGCATTTTTACTTTGATAATGTATTTGGTACGATAAAATGGTAGCTCTAAAATTTTAGCTGCAAACGGGCTAGAGTAACTTGTATCAATGAACATCAACTAGAACGAAAAAAGCTAACAACTCAACTTTTCTACTTAGATAGTGGAACTCACTGAATTAGTCTGAAAGCCAAAAATGTTGGTTGGACATTCAAAAAACAATAACATTCGAATTTTCAAAAAAAAAAAACTTCTCCCAGACAGGGAATTGAACCCTGGTCTACCATGCGACAAACGGTAATTCTAGCCACTAAACTATCTGGGACTTCTTACAAAAATTGAAGGAGCATATTTGTACATATCATATCAGAGTTTGTCATGAGCTAAAATTTTGCTGAAACTTCAACTTGATAAGAACTGAACATGATTGATTTTTTGATATATTCTGTCTTATAAGGGCCACTTTAAATGTGTGTAACTCGTAGCTGTCAATTAACTTGAGTTTTGAAGGAGTCAGAGCTAATCAACTAAAATTTGTAAATATTCCTAAATTTCAAAAAAACCTTTCACAATATCTGAAATACTAAATTTAATAAATTCATTGATTATTAAATACTTAGAGATGGTAATCTAGAGCTCAGGTGTAGTTAATACTTGCAGAAGCATTACTATCAGGTCTATAACCGAATATACAGCCTCGAGACCAGTAAAACAATACAGGAATGTATCATGAAACTACGTTCTTTATAACAGAAGTTTGATCCTTCTTAGATCTTCAGTTAAGATCAAAGATTCATTAAGAGTGATGAGTTTTGTATAATACGTATTACATAATCAAAAAATAATTTGTTTCAGAATTGAACTTAGTGACTAAAATCAATTAATTAAAAAATTAAAAAAAAAGATTCAATTACATTCAATTATCAATTAATCATAGATATGGAAGATATAGTTGAGGTTTTACAAAGATTACGCGAGTTCCCACCTGAATTAATCGAACTATAACATTATTATTAGATATTACAAATGTTGAAACTTTTTTATGTAATCCAATTTTAAACCCAACGCAATTGATCATTTATTCAAAACGGTTGTCATTTCAACCTATAGGAGTGATAATGAACTTCACAAGATATGGGAATAATTACATTGTCGACTGAAGAAAAGTTTGATTTCACAAAATCATTGGTATTGAAAAGTTACGAAATGTTTCATGAGATGATGAACGAGCTCAGAGTAATTCCCAAGTTTGTTATATTTACAAAATTACCTGTTGGCTACACTGAAGAAGGAGAGGACTCTCCAGTAGACAATTCATTGAAATTTGAAGCTTTCCTAAATGTTTAGAGCTTATGAACATGTGTACCAAAATCTTTATTGATCTTCGTTATGAAGACAGGGAGCTTATTTCATTGGAAGTGAATATGGCTTCACTTTCTTGGTTGAGTCAAATTTCCACAAAACGTTGAGATTTTACTCTTATATCAAGTCAGGTTCGAAATGAAAACAAATATTGATATTCGAAATCATACGGGATTGTAAAATTACTGCTTGTTACTTTTATTCTAATGAAGATTCCAACTAGCGTATAATCGATTCCATAATTTACATTAAATTTTAATGTATACCATTAGTGCAATAAAGTAATATTTCCATCTCTGTCAACCTTTCAAGGGCTTGATTTGTACTCCATTTTTTAATTAGTTTCACAATTTTGGCTGCAAAATTCTTTTTTTATTTTTTTTTTTTTTCTCGTACACCGCGCGTTATCAATTAATTTTTCATCTCATCTAAGATTATTTCACTACCAAATGTCTTATGAAATTAAACAAGTTAAAGAAGTTAAACCACCATTAGATTCAAGAATAGGTAAAGATTCACCATTCATCTTTGGTCAACGATATTTAACTGACGAAGATCAAGTTTGGAATCATAATGCATGGGATCATGTAGAATGGGGAGAAGAACAAATAAATCAAGCAAAAGAATTAATTTCAAAACAATATGATCATCCAGTTAAAGAATTTGATAAAAATTTATATAATTCAAAACCTGAAAAATATTGGGATATATTTTATAGACACAATAAGGAAAATTTTTTTAAAGATCGAATGTGGTTACAAATTGAATTTCCAAATTTATATAAAGTAACTTCAAAAGATTATAATAAACCCGTATCTATTTTAGAAATTGGTTGTGGGGCTGGTAATACATTTTTTCCAATTTTACAACAGAATGAAAATTCAGAATTGAAAATTTATGGTTGTGATTATTCTAAAGTTGCAGTTGATTTAGTTAAATCAAATGAGACATTTAAAATAAATTCAGAAAAGGGAATTGCTTATAGTTCAGTTTGGGATTTAGCTAATTCAGAAGGTAAAATACCTGAAAATATGGAACCAAATTCAGTTGATCTAATTGTTATGATTTTTGTATTTTCTGCCTTGCATCCAAATCAATGGGAACAAGCAGTAAATAATTTATCCAAGATTTTAAAACCTGGGGGTCAAATTTTATTTAGAGATTATGGAAGATATGATCTTGCACAAGTACGATTTAAAAAAAATAGATTATTAGATGATAATTTTTATGTTAGAGGTGATGGTACAAGAGTTTATTTCTTTACTGAAGAAGAATTGGAGAAAATATTTGGTAGAAAGTTTAAATGTGAAAAAATTGCGACTGATAGAAGGTTATTAGTTAACAGAAAAAGACAATTGAAAATGTATAGAAATTGGATACAAGGTGTATTTAAAGCAGATGATGAAATTATATAATAATCATGTTTATATACAAAAAATTATCTAGATGTTTGAAAATTTGATATATTTCAAGTAATGGTTTATCAATTAAGGAAATACAATCTATTCCGTGTATGAATGGATGTGAAACTTGAAAAATATCATGTAAATATTGTTGCAAAATTTCATTTAATGTATTTGTTGGTTTAATTGGGACTTGCAAAATCTGGCTAGATCCACTGATATAGATTTTTATAGGTAATTTTAAATGATTCTTTACTATTTTCTTATTTACTGAATTATATTGACTCAAATTTCGTGAAATTATCGATTTTATGAATAACTTTGTATTTGATTCACTTAGTGTCATGATTGGCTTACTGCTTCCATTTAATACAAAACATGACTGTTTCAACTGGTTAATTAATACATGATTAAACTTAGACTCATAACTATCAGTAATTGGAATTATTTGATCAATTGGATAATCTTTATCATGCTTCAAATTTAACGTCCATAAACTATCATCATCACCTTTGACTCTTGTCGGTAGGCATAAATTATCATATAACACACCAATTGGTAAGTTCCATTTAATAGGAACGTTTTCAAATTCCAACCACGCGAAATTGTTAATTGTCGTAAAATTATTGAAATAACTTGATATTTGTCGATAATATAATAGGAAATATGAATTACGATTAGCAATAAGTAAATATTCTATATTATCATTGTCTAATTCCAAGATTATTCTAACATTAATTGTACCATTCCATATTCTTTTCTTTATTGTTGTTAGATCTTTGATCATACATGAAATGCTGGTTGTATATATTTTTTTTTCGATTGGAGATCGCATGTATGGAACAAAATCATTGACAGATATTGATACCACTCAACCAGCCAGCACCCTTTTTTAAAATTAGACCCGCTTTGTTCGATGTGATTTACGATGGAAAGATATAAAATAATAATTATATCTTGCTTTTTTGATCTTTAAGAGATATTAATAAGAAATAGGTCAAATAAAGTACGATTATCATCATACGACCTACCTCCAATTGTACCAGCTTTAGATTTAATTGATATAAGTCATGCTATAGATACTTTCAAACCTGTAAGTTATGAAATAAGTGATCTACCTGAGAAATTACCAATTTTTAAAGATAATGGGAGATTCAAGAGATTTATTAGAACCGAAAGAAATATAAGATGTGTTTCTGCTCCAGTTATGCTAAATAAAGATCTACCCAAAATTAAAGTTCAAGATTCAAGTAGATCAATATCTATCTATGATTCGAAACCATTACCTGAAATTCAACCATATGTGTCGTCATTTTCCCAACCAAATAAATGGCTGCAAAATAAACCGAAATATGTCGTTATAGATGAAGAAGATTCAATTACTGATTCAATTTCAGCAAGATCCATTTTATCAAAAGAAAATAGTTTCAACTATGAAATTATTAGTGAAACAGACAATAGTTTAGTGGATATCGATAGTTTTCAAGATAGTTTATTTTCAAATAAAAGAAATTCCTCTATTGAAGATATTCAACTACCAAAGAATGTTCTACCCAAGATCAGGAGTCAAGAAAACAAAGCATTGGACATGAACCCACTTCCTCCTAATGTGCAAAGTAAACCATTACCAAAAATAAGAAAACCAAAACCTACCGATGTCTGCTTAGATACACCCAAAACTTACATGGAGAGTAGATTTCCAATAACAATCCAACCAAGAGAGGTCACAAAGCTCAAATATCAAACACGTAACAAGAGAAGAACTGTGACCGAGACTTCAAACTCATCCAAAAAACCACAAAGATCGAATAGTGATTATCATTTGTTCAAAAATAATAAACAATCTTTAGTTAAACAACACCTTAAACTGTTTATCAGTCGACTAAAGTCAAAAGACATGCAAGAGTCTCAAAACAAACAACTTGCACCATTACCCAATGAACGACAAAACAGATTTAGTAAAATAATATATATTTAACATTATAATTTAACGACCAAATCATCATTTTTATATTTCTTAATCAATTCCTCGATATCGTACTTCTTTGCAATCTCTTCATTTATAAATCTACCACCTAAATAATGCTTACCATTTTTATTCTTTTCAACAAATATACTAGCGCATGGTTTTGGAGCAGTTAAACTAATCAATAAAGATGGAATAATATTATGTTCCAATATTGCACCTTCATCTACATCCCAACCACTAGGTACATCAATTGAAACAATAGGTGGTAAATTTTTAGTCTCTGATAAGTATTTTATAGTTTCATCAAACGGTGCTCTAATTGGAGGTTTAAATGAGAAACCAAACAATCCATCAACTATTAAATCAGTACTACTTGCAGTCAGTTTAAAATCTTCTATTGATTCAATTTCTTTAATTTTCAATTGTTGCAATTGAGTAGCTATATTTAAATATAACTGATTACTTTTTGATTTCTTTGGATAATATAATATTGGATTATAATTCCATAATTTTAAATGTCGAGCAGCTACTAATGCATCTCCTCCATTATTACCTGGACCAGCTAATATTAAACAATTTTGAAATTTTGTAGGTGGATATTCTTTAAAAATTGATTTTGCAACTGCTAAACCAGCCAATTCCATTAATTGATCTATTGAGAAAGCACCAGTTGACATCAATTCTTGATCTAATAAACTAGCAGCTTTACTTGATAATGTTTTAAACATGGTTAATAATAATTAAATGTATAACAAATTTAGTAATAAATTATGTCCTAGGGTTAAAGTGGTAGTGTACATTCGAAATACGGGGTTGGGCCTAATCGAATTATAATTTCAGGCGCAGAATATGGACCAAATATTGATTTAACCAATAAACAATAAATCAATCCGAAAAAACTTGTTTCAAATTTAGACTAGGGCCATTAATATCACTTTATATTGACTATCTCTTGATTAGGCAATAACAGCTTTAACATAGACCTAAATTGTCATAGAAAGTATAAGATTTATCATTTGTTCTATTATTAAATTATCGTGTCGTACTGTATATAACAATTAAATCAATCTCATAACAAAAAAGAAAAAAGAGAAGAAAAACAAAAAATTAAGGAAAATCAAAGTTTTGGTTCGGAAGGCATATATATTTATAATTATAACTTCTTAGCTAGTTTAGTTGTTTTATAATTGATTATTCCAATAGATAATATAGCTATTATTTAATTCGAAATCAAGTTTTTATACCAGTTTCTTTTCATCCCATATTTATTTAAGTTTTATTTTTGACAACGTTGAAAAATTTCACAGCATGAATCAACTGTATTCTTATGAATCTCCTTCAATGAGAAATAATGTTAATGGATTTTCCAATGGTCATTCTACACATTCACCAATTATAAATTATAGAAAAGATGCTAAAAAGGGGGTTAAATTCACATTTATGGTTGTTGGTGAAAGTGGTACTGGTAAAACTACATTTATCAATAGTTTATTAAATAAAAAAGTTTTAAATCATCGTTATGAACATTTAACACATAATAATAATAATGATAATACCAAGATATTAACTTTCACATCTGCAAAATCTGTTGCTTTACCAAATACTTCAATGTTGACTAGACAAGAATTTAATCCAAGAACAATAAATGAAGAACCAGGTATTGCTTTAACCGAAACCAATATAGAAATTGTTGATGATGATAATATGAAAATTTTATTAAATATAATAGATACACCTGGTTTTGGAGAAAATTTAAATAATGAATTGTGTTTTATTGAAATTGAAAATTATTTGAAACAACAATTTGATTTAGTTTTAGCTGAAGAAACTAGAATTAAAAGAAATCCAAGATTTATTGATACAAGAGTACATGTTATGTTGTATTTTATTACACCAACTGGTCATGGTTTAAGAGAAATTGATATACAATGTATGAAGCGATTATCAAAATATGTTAATATAATACCTGTTATAAGTAAAGCTGATTCTTTCACAAGTTCTGAATTGTCACAATTTAAACAACAAATTAGATATGATATTGAAAAATTTAATGTACCCATTTTTCAATTTGATAATTTTTTGAATGAATATGATGAAGATGAAGATCGTGATTTAATTGAAGAATGTCAATTTTTAGCTAGTTTACAACCATTTGCAATTGTAACTTCAGAAGATACTTATGAAATTAGAGATGTAAATGGAGAAGTTAAAACTATTAAAGCAAGAAAATATCCATGGGGTTTAATTGATATAAATGATAGAAAAGTTTCTGATTTTGCAATTTTGAAAAATGTTTTATTAGGAACTCATTTACAAGATTTGAAAGATTTAACTCATGATTTCCTTTATGAAACTTACAGAACTGAAAGATTAACAAAAGTTACAGGTAATGGTTCATTGGAAGATGAAGATTATGAAGATCTGGAATTTCATGATACAGTTGAACATCATAATGAAGGAATTAAAGATATACCTTCATTAAGTAACTTAGCACAATTGACTGACTCAACTACTTCAAATAATTTAGATGTTAATTCAATGTCATCAAATTCATCACTCAGAAAATCAACATCAATGTTGATTGATGCACCATCCTCATCATCATCACCGAAATTAAAAAATGCAGCATCATTTACATCATCAACATCTACTATTTCATTTGAAAATGGTGGTAGTGGTGGTGGTGGTGCAACAGAAAGAGCTCCAAATAATAATGCATTTAAAAGATTATCAATTGGACCACAAAGAAATCAATTGCGTCAAATATCTGAAACTGTTCCATATGTATTAAGACATGAAAGAATATTGGAAAGACAACAAAAACTAGAAGAAATGGAACTGGCAAGTGCAAAAGAATTGGCAAATAGAGCCGCTTTATTGGAGAAGAAAGCTGCTGAATTGAAAGCAAAAGAAAGAACATTGATGAAACAATTGGAGATGGCAAAACAAAGAGAATTATCAAGAACTAGTTCAAATAATATAAATGCAAATTCAACAACAAATTATGAAGATGATGAAAAAAATATAGAAGAAATTAGAGATGATTCATCAAATTATGAAAATTCAGGATCAATACAAAAGGATGAAACATTGACTGATTTACATTCAATTGTAAGTAACCAACCAGAACATCAACATATACCAAAACAACAACCACGTTAAATAGACGATATAGTAGTTTATATATACAATATATTTTCTTAAGTACTGTAGTGTATTTTTTACCAATTTATATTAGAAAAGCGCAATCTTATAGTATGGAAACAAAAGTCACATAGAAAATATCACATAGTAAATATCACATAGTTAATTTCGCATAGTTAAATATTAGCGTGGTAACAATAATAATAGACAGTGAGAAAAAAAAAAAAAAAAAAAAAATTTATTAAGAAATCAATACTATTTAAGTCAAAATCTATAGGATATATTTATCACGAAGATGGAGAATATCCTTAGAATATTAGACAATGCATTAAGTCGTGATCCAAATGAAAGAACTCAAGCAGAATTAGAATTACGTGAAGCTGAAAATAATCATTTCCAACAATATATGCAATTGTTAATTGAAGTATTATTAAGTGAAGGAGCTAGAATTGATGTGAGAATGTTAGCAGGTCTTGGATTAAAAAATGCATTAACTTCAAAAGATAATAAAACAAGATTATTCCAACAAGAAAGGTGGTTACAATTAGGTACAGATGCTAAACAAAAAATAAAAGAAGAATCATTGCAAGGTTTAAATTTTAAAATTGATCAAGTTGCAAGAACTGCTGCTCAAGTTGTTGCTGCAATTGCAGATATTGAATTACCTAGAAATGAATGGAACGAATTAATACCAATTATAATTCAAAATACAAAACCTGAAAATCCAGAATATGTTAAAAAATCAAGTTTATTAACAATTGGTTATATCTGTGAAAGTAGTGATCCAAATAATCCGAATATTTTATCGCAAGCAAGTGGTATATTAATTGCAATTGTCCAAGGTGTCCAATCCAGTGAACCTTCAATTGCTGTTAGATTAACAGCTATAAATGCCTTGGTAAATTCTCTTGAATTTATTAAATTTAATTTTGAAACTGAAGGTGAAAGAAATTATATAATGCAAGTTGTTTGTGAAGCTACACAATCTTCAAATTCGGAATTACAAGCTAGTGCTTTTGGTTGTTTAGCAAGAATTATGTCATTATATTATAGATTTATGTCATTATATATGGAAAAAGCATTATATGGTTTAACAGTTTCAGGAATGCAACTGAGTGATGAAAAAGTTTCATGTATGGCTGTTGAATTTTGGTCAACTGTTTGTGAAGAAGAATTGGAAATTGCATTACAAAGACAAGAATTGGGTATAGATCCATTACAAGGACAACAACAACCTGAATTAGTATCGTATAATTTTGCATTAGTAGCATCAACCGAAGTATTACCTACTTTATTAACATTATTAACAAGACAAAATGATGATCCAGAAGATGATGATTGGTCAGTTGCAATGGCTGCAGGTGCTTGTTTACAATTATTTGCTCAGAATATTGGAAATTATGTAGTTGATCCAACAATTTCATTTGTAGGAGCAAATCTTGTTAAATATGATAATGAAGATAGTTGGCATCAAAGAGAAGCAGCTGTTATGGCATTCGGATCAATTTTAGATGGTCCAGATCATGAACAATTGAAAAATATTATAAATCAAGCATTAGAACCAATTTTAAATTTAATAAAAGATGAACATTTGCAAGTTAAAGAAACAGTTGCATGGTGTTTAGGTAGAATTACTGATATGGTTGTTGATGCTATAAATGTTGAAACACAATTACCAATTTTATTAGAAGCATTAACTCAAGGTTTACAAGATCACCCAAAAGTTTTGACAAATTGTAGTTGGACTTTAATTAATTTAGTTGAACAATTATGTACTGATACAAATAAGGAAACAAATGTAATGTCACCATATTATCAAAAAATCATACCTATATTGATGAATATTTCAAATAAAGATGATAATGAATATAGTAGTAGAGCATCAGCTTATGAAGCTTTGTCAACATTTGTTACCTATTCAGCATATGACACAATGCCAATTGTTCAAAATATTGCAACTGAAGTATTGTCAAGATTAGAAGCTACTATATTATTACAATCACAAGTTACATCAGTTGATCAAAAAGGTAATCTTGAAGAATTACAAACAAATATACTTGGTTTATTAACTAATGTCATTCGTAAATTAGATCATGAAGTTATAATGGCTGCTGATAATTTAATGGAAAGATTTATAAAGTTATTACAATCACAAGAACAAAATTCGTTAATAGAAGAAGATATTTTTATTGCTATATCTGCATTAGCTGGTGCAATTGGTGATCAATTTATGAATTATATGCCAGTGTTTATACCATTCCTTACTAAAGCATTGGAAAATACTGAATCTCCAACTTGTTTGACTGCTATAGGTTTAGTCGCTGACTTATCACAATCTTTAGGTATGCATATATTACAATATCTTCAAGGATTAATGCTTATATTAGGTAATACATTAAATCAACCAGATGTAGGAAAAGAATTAAAACCAGCTATAGTTTCATGTTTTGGTGATATTGCAGCTGCAATTGGGCCAAATTTTAAAGATTATCTCGAACATGTTTTAAAAATATGTACTGAAGCTGCACAAATTGATGTACAAGATGCTACATTAGAATCATTAGATTTTGTATTCAGTGTAAGAGAATCAGTATTGGATTGTTTTGTTGGTATAGTTGGAGGATTTTCATCACAACCAGAAGAATTATATCCGGCTGTTGGAAGTATATTACAATATGTTATAAAAATTGCTGGTGATCCAAGTATGTCACTGTCTGAATCAGTTTCAAGATCAGCTGCTGGATTAGTCGGTGATATTGCTGCAATGTATCCACAAGGTCAATTTAAAAATTATTTTGAAAATGCAGTTTTATTAGATTTTATTAAAAGAACAAGATCCAATTTATTATTTGATGAAAGAACAAAAGACGCTGCAAGATGGGCTAGAGAACAAACAAAAAGGCAACAAACAAGTCAATAGTTGTGCTTTAATGTTAGTCAATATTCAACTCGATTTTTTTTCAAGAATTATCAGAGCCAATGGAATACAAAATCAATTACAATCCACACAACATCTTTTTCACATCATTTTTTATCATATAATTTATTATATTCTCCTTTAATGAACTCTTAATGTCTCCTAGTTTAAATTTAAATATACATCATTCGCAAAAAATTGTCTAAAAATTTATCCGGAACTGATTGCAGAAATGAAACAAACTCAAAGGAAACTAAAGTCCGAAATGCCTGGTAGAAAAGCTATTTCATTCTTTAGTACAATTGGATGGCAAGAATTAATCCTTATTACTAGTGGAAATACCCAAATTGTTGAGTTTGTAATGGCAGTTATATATAAATTTGCAACATTAATACTAATCCATTTTGACGGTGTAGAATCAATTAATGCTTTGAGTTCTCGAAGAGTTGACAAGACAGTTGATGAAAATGAGAGCATGCATTCATCAATATGCATAGAAGAACAAGAGAAAGAAGGGTTGGAATAGAATTTATGATGACGCGGCGAAATTAGCCATAATTCCATCGTATATTTTTTTTTGTGAGAAATCGTATATCAATGTTAAACAATTCGTACAATCCAATACCATTTGATCATACATATATATTATACGATCCAAATGATATATTTTCAATAATATCCGTTCAATTTTCATTATTACCTATTTATATCATGGTATTTTATACTTCATGGTTTTTAATTACTCATGAAATTGAACCAGTTATAGTAGTTGGAGGACATTTAATTAATGAAATTATAAATAAATTAATCAAACATATGATAAAACACCCAAGACCTGATTTTCATAAAGGTTTCGGCGCTGGTTCTTATTCATTAACTTATGGTATGCCATCTGCTCATTCACAATTTATGGGATTTTTTATAACTTATTATATATGTGTTATAATATTTAAAATACCATTGAAAAAATGGCAAAAATGGTTAGGTTGTAGTATTTTAAGTTTTTGTATGTTTGGTGTTGGATTTAGTAGAATTTACTTATTATATCATCTGTTTCCACAAGTTTATGTTGGTTTTTTAATAGGTATTACATTTGGTATTACATTTTTTATAATTAGTTCAATTGCAAGAGATTTAGGTATAATTGATTGGATACTAAATTGGCCAATTGTAAGATTTTTTTATATTAAAGATACTTATTATCATAATTATCAATCATATAAAGATGAATTTAATCATTATTTAGAATTGAAAAAGAAGAAAAAGAAATCATTATCTAAAAAATATTTATAGAATTCTTTAGCATATCTTGTATATATATACATTTTTCTAAAAGTTATCCCATTTATCATCATCTTCATCATCTTTCTTTTTTGAACCTCCTGATAAACTTTCATATTTAATTCCATCTTTTGGTTTTTTAAATCCAAATGCATCTGGAACTTGTTGATCTTGATCATTTCCATTACTAAAATATTTATCAATATTAAACCCATTTTCATTTATATCTTTTGTAAAAGTTTGAAAAGTTTCTTGACCATATTTACCAGTTTCTTGCATTCTTTGACCAAATTGTGCCATGGCTCTTTTTGCTTCTTCTGTATATTCGCTTTGTTGTATTTGATTTAAACCTGGTTTTATAACACTTTCATTAATTTCTTGGGCTGATTTAGCAACTGATGATGAAAATAATCCCCAACCTTTTGTAAAAGTACCTAAAGGATCTTTTTGAAAATTATCTAATGAAAAACTAGAAAATGAAGATTGTGATGAATTACTTGTTGTTGGTTGTGGAGTATTACCAAATCCAGCAAATTTTCCTCCTTGTGATGGTGGTAAATTTTCAGGTCTTTGATTATTTCTTGATCCTAAATCTGCAAAATATGCTTCATTTTTTGATTTTTGATCTTGAGTTAATGGTTGTCTTGAATTTTTGTTATTATTTACAGTTGAATTTGAATTAGAATCAGATTCAGTTGGTAATTTATCATTACTATGATCTTTAGGTACATATTCTTTACCTTCAACTTCACAAGTTAAAATTTCTTTATAATCTTCAGCCACATAATTATCATATTTTAATTTTGGTGATAATTTTAAATCAATACCATTTGATGTAAAATAATTTTTCAATCTTTCATTACCACCAATTTCCATCCTTAAAGTTTCTTCTGGTTTAAATTGATCCATTGTAATTGATCTAACAAATGATATATGAACACCTAAACCTCTATGTACACCTGCACATTCTAAACAAATAAAAATACCAAATTTTGGTGAAGCCCATTGTGGATTTGGAGCTTGACAATCAAAACATTTTTTATTTTCACCTTGTTTTTGTAAATTTAATAATTTCCTACGTGTTTCCGGATCAATTGACATTGAATTATAACCAATCTATATTTATATCTATCTATATCTTTTGTTGATAAGTAGAAGCAGAAAAAAAAAAAAAAATATTTTATTGTTTTGAAATTTGATGTTCATACACGAATAAATATAAGTAAGGTATAAATGCTATTAAACCAAGCGCCTGCTCTTATAATTTACCACCTTTTGGAGCATTTAAGTATTTAACAATTGATACTGGATAATCTGCTGCTCCCACTCCTTGACTGACTTGCCAGCTACCACCATCGACAACTAAAACATCACCAGTAACATACGAACCAGCTGGTGAAAATAAATAAACTGTTGCATCAGCTATATCTTGTTTAGTTCCTAATCTTTGTAATGGAACTTTATGTTTAATTTCATCCAATTTACCTCTACTTAATCTATCCATACCTTCGGTTTCAGCAATTGGACCTGGGGCAATACAATTTGATCTAATTCCTAATGGACCTAATTCAATAGCTAATGCATTTGATAAAGCATCAACACCTGCTTTTGCAGCTCCAACATGAATTTGGAATGGAACACCATAATAATGTAATGTAGCACTAACAAATATAATTGATCCTTTATTTTTTCTCAATTGTTCAAAACATGCTTTAACAGTATTAAAAGAACCTAATAAATCAATATCAACAACTGATTTAAAAGCATTTGATGATAAATGATTAAAATCAGCTAAGAAATTACCAGCAGCACCAGCAATAACAAAATCAATTCTACCTAATTCTTCAACAGTTTTATCAACTGCTTTTTTTAAAGATTGGACACTTCTAACATCAATTTCAGGTAATGATAAAACTTTGGCTCCAGATCTTAAAGTTGCAATATCTTTAGCAGCTTTATCAGTTTTTTCTTTACTTCTACCAACAATTGCAGCATCAGCACCTAATAAAACTAATGCCTCAGCTTGAACGGAACATATAGAACCAGCACCACCAGTAATAAATACAACTTTACCTTTAAATAAATCTGGTTTCCATGAACCATTAGTAACATATGATTGATCTAAAACAGGCATTATGAATGAATAATATAAATTTGAAAAATAAAAACCTTGGGCTTCTTTTTTCTATTTATATAATTTTTTCTTAGTTTTCTCTCCACGATTCAAAATGTACCGAGCTTTTCTTCATGTAATTGAAGATAATAAATTGATTATAATTGCACGTAAAGAAACATTCTATTTTGTAAGATGACTCTATCGATATCATGTATTGGTGCTCAGTTTAATACTGCTAATCAGGAAGTGAAACTATCAGTGTTCGGCCATTATATGATATTAATCTCATCTATTACCTCCACAGTTAACAAGCTCCGAGGAGTTAATAATTATGAGTACAAAACCATGACCCAAGTTTCGGATGTAAAGGTTTATACTTTAAAGACAGTAAACGGTCTTCAGTTGAGCTCCCATAACACAAATAGACTCTAGTAACAAATAGACTCTAGTAAAAGATTATGAAAGAGAATCGAATCCAAATTGTATTGGATTTAATTACGCGGCAAAAATCTGTTCGAGCTTTCTTTTCTTGACCTCTTTCAATAATATTTTGTCAGCTAGATTAGTTTCGAATAGAATCTAGTCGATAATTCGAGTCTCTGAGCATTTTGTTTATTGTTCAAACAAGGGGTTTAATTTTAATTTTGGCTGCAAATTTTACGAGATTACGCAATATTTTAAAAAGTCATTTTGCGCTTAGACTAAATTGTGGGGCAAAACTCAAAAGAGTCAGAAACTAATCGTCAAGCATCAAATATATATTATTACAATTACATTATGGAGTATTATTACAAACTAGAAAACATTTGTTACTATCAATCTTAGTATTATTACATTTTTCATCAAATTCATTATTGGAATTATTCTTAGGTCGTTTTGAACCATTTTCATTACCATTATTTTCATTTTTAATTTCAATTTTATGTTTATTCTTCCCATTACTTTCTTCTTTCTCTTTTTCATTTTTATTTTCGTCATTTTTACTAATTGCACTTTCTTCAGAATGATCATCTTCATTTAAGGGAGTAGATACATTGTTTATCAATTCTTCATCCGATATACTTAAATCATCAGTAGTTACTAAATCATAATTACTTGCACCAAGGGCAATTCCATTTGATTTTGATTCATAAAAATTATTCTCAACCATTAATAAAAATTCCTTACCTAGACTAACATAACCAACTTTTAGTTTTATAAATTCTGACCATTTTTCATAAATATATTTTGCCAATAATTTATAATTCAATTTTGAATCACTATTTTTCGTAATTATTTCTAATAAATCTAAACATGTTGAATTTGATAGTGAATTTTCATCAACTATAGATTCAAAATATTTGAAAAAAAATGATAGTAAATTTTCTGAAATGATGTATTTAATATATGATGAATCATTTAATAATATAATATTTTTCAAACATCGTATAACATGTAACTTTAAAATTGTTTTAACATCGGGATTAATTAATAATTTTGATATTCCTAATAATACATTATTATTTAAAAAAAATGGTCTTGATAAATGAATTTCATGTTCTCTTGTACAAAATGAAATCAATTCACATGATAATTGAAATAATGAATTATCTGATAGTGAAACAATAGTGGAATCTCTTAGGTTTATAATTTTTTCAAATATTTTAGGTGCAACTTGTGAATAAAATGCTTTAAAATAGTTATTTGTATTTATTTCTCTGAATTCTTCACCATTAAAATTATTTGAATTTAATTGATCTTGTTCAGTAGTGCCTGCACTTGAACTATTTGCAATATTTGAATCTAATAAAGTTTTTAAAGCTTCAAATGCTTGAATTTTAATACTATTTTTGGAATCTTCAACTAATAATTTACTTAACATTGTAAATAAAGTCATATCATCAGATAATTTTAATCTTGATTCTTTTGAAGTTAAAGTGTCATCATGATCTATTTCATTTTCATCATTTTTAGGTATTTCAATTGATGGTGGATCTAAATTATCAATTGTTGTTTCCTCATGATCTATTGAATTAACTAATGATACATCTTGTTCAATTATAATTACAATTAATTCAGTTCCTAATACTCGTATACTATCTAGTTCATCTTGTAATGCAAATCTAATCATTTTAAAAACACCAGCCTTAACTAATAATGGAAAGAAATCTTGCTTTTGGGAAGACTTTGCAATTAATACATATTGATGTAACATTCGAACACCATCTCGTTTTAAATCAACATCACTTAATTGTTCATTTTCTTCATCATACATTATAAATATTTTTTCTAATATGCTTGATTGTTTAACATATTTAAAAATTTCAATTTGATTTGAATAAATTAATGAATTTATAAAATTATAAGTTGAATCATCTGCGAATCTAGCAATTACAACATCTTTCATAAATGTAAGATAAAAATCTTTTTTAAAAATACTGACATTATCAATGGGAACAACAGTTTTAAACGGTTTATTATTTAAAAATTCTCGATGATCAGCTTTATAATCTGGATATTCAGAATCATATTCTAATATACTAGCTAGAACTAATATTTTCTCTTCAGAATCCAACATACTTTCTAATAATGGTGATTCATTATACGAAAATAATGATTTTATAATATCACTTAATAACTGTAGATTGGTCAAATTCTTCTCATTTTCAGATTGGTCAAATATGGTTTTTAGTTTATAAAAATAATCAATATCTAGTAAATATTCCAGTATATTTGATCTTGTAAATTGTGCAGTTGAACCTTGATTAATTCTTTCCAATATTAAATTTAAATTTTCCATAGTAGGTATTTCAGGTGGATATTTAACAGGACCCGTTATTAACTCAGTAATATTTTCACCTTCAGAAACATTAGGTATAACATAATATAATGAAATATCAGGACTTAAATTATTTTGTTGAACTTTAATTATAAAATCACATAAATCAGCGCAACCTTCCGATTCTTGAAAACTTAAAGCTAAATCACACCCATTTTGATCTGTCCATACTATTAAAGTATCTTGTTGTCTTTGATATTGTATCAGGCCTTCTAAATAAGACTGTAACAAAATCTCATCAGAATTCAGTTCGTTAGTAACTTTAAAACATGCAGCATTTTTAGCCTTATCAATTTGACCAACACAAAAACCAGTACCATTATCTAACCAATCATCGCCTTTTAATAAATAAACTTTAACTCGTCTTGGAGTATTTCCAGCTGATTCTAATCGTGATAATTCTTCTTTTTTACATTCGGTTAGTTTCATAACCTTTTTTGCATCATGTTCTCCTTCTTTTAACGTGACCAATTCTTTTCTATCCTTATTATCATTACTGATAGTATCTAACTGTGCTTGTGTAGTTTCAGTCATGATATAAATCTATAAATTGTATTTCTAAAAGGGTGATACCCTAGTGGTAAAATTCAAAAACTTAAATGAAACTCGATATAAATTTGATATGAAATGTAACTGGTATAATTGTTTGTTAATTAATAGTCTTATAATGAATAATCAGTGGCTTGTATTAGATATATATCTCGTATTCAATGGTAATTTGGTTGTAAATTGATAAATAATGCAACTTTTTTTTTTTTTTTTTCTGTTTAATCTTTTTTTATTTTTTTGTCTCATAACTATTTACTTTTTTTACGTGTCTCGAGATTACTAGAAATTTGGGTGCAAAAGTAGACGATAGAATGTTCAGATTTGTATTGTATATTTACAGAATATTTACATAGTACTAATGACATAATAAAGCAGCACTGGCTAAGTTTCTTAACCAGTCATGTTTATCTACATCATGTGTATCTTCAACTTCTCCCCATTGATCAGTTTGTAATATAGTTTCTAAATTACCTAATTCAACTAATTCTTGTAATGATTTATAATAATATTCATCTGGAGTTGATTTATTAAATTGATATATTTCTTTATGTGTTATTGAATTTGATCTTAATAAGGTAATACCACATAAAAAAGATTTTGTTGTAAAAATTGTCTTTTCTAATGCAATTATATCGAATATTGGTAAATGATCTAACCAATCTAATACCACTTGTTGTGTCTTTTCACCTTGTTTGTTACCTCTTAAACCATCGGTCTCACAATCTAAATAATTCAACCTTATTTCTTCATCTTTTTTTATTAAATTTTGTTTATGCCCCCATTTAGTGAAAAATTCATTAAATTCTTCGATTAATGGTTTATGTATCTCATCTTGTCTTTTTCGTAACTTACCATCACAATCTCTATGTTGTGCAAATATAAGACATGTATCAGTATCTAAATATCTCAACATATTTAACTTAACTTCTTCCAAAGCTAACATATTTTCTTTTTTCTCTATATTATCACTCTTATCTTTATTTTCCAAGTCTATAACTCTTGAAGCCAAATTTGTTAATGGTAGAGTACTTGATTTAACTGAAATATTAGGCAAATTAGTCCATTCATGAGCTATTAAATAAGCCAATTGTTTTTTATTTTTAGGTAATTCTAATGGGAAACCTAATGGAGTACGTAATGTCTTTCCATCTAGTTGAATTTCATATTTTTCAGTTTTTGGATTATAATAAACATTTCCTTTATCCCAAAATCTTGAATTTGTTTTCGATAATCTATTTGTTTCAGATTTAATATTATGTTCTACTGTTTTATCAATACCTAATGAAGTGGAATTACCATTAATGTTTATTCTAGAATTTAATAATCTATATGAATTGGATAAGCATCTAATACCAACAAGAATATTTATAGATCTAATAGATCTTTTTGAGATTTGAATCATTTATCGACTGGTGAAATTTATTTTCTCTGCTCAGAAAATATTATACCACCCACCAACGGAATTTTATAAAAGAACCATGAATCAAGAAGCATTACAAAAAGTCCTTTTGGAGATGGACAATCAATTGAATAAATCAAGAGCTGAATTAAATATGGTAAATTTACAAATAGATAAAGTAAATACAAATTTAAAAATTATAGAATCTACAAAATCAAGATTATCAACATTATGTGAACCAAAAGAAAGAGTATGGCAAGGTATAGGTAAAGCATTTTTTGAAAATGATGTAAATTCATATTTATCAGATTTAAATGACGATGAAAAAGAATATAAAGATACAAAGAAAAATCTAACTATAAAACAAGATTATTTAAAAACAACACTTGATAAAACTATAGATTCAATGACAAATATAGTTGGTAAAAAGAATTAAAACATGACTTCGTAATATATATTTGTATACCTGTGGTTACTCACTTTCGTCTTCATCAACACCTTCATCTAATAACCTTCTTTCGATGTCAGCTTCTTGATTTTTATTATCTTTTTCTAAATTCATTCTATCTGTTAAAAATATATTAATTTGATCTTGTAATGTAGTTAATTCAGCTCTTAAATTACCCAAGGGTGTATCATTATGATCTGTTGGTTTATCTCTATCTTCACCACCTGCTTTTATCACTATATCTGAAATTTGAGTAGTTTTACCATATGTAGTATGTGGTCCGTCACTAGGTTCAAATTTGTGTGACTCAATATCTGGTGCATTATATTCTGCTGTTGGTACTAATCTCATTAGATTACTTGGTATGAAATTTAGAGATATTTTATTTTTTACTACGGTGCTACCTGAAATATATAGTCGTATATTTATTTATATTCATGTTTCATAATCTTCAATCTTTATTCTTTCAGCTACATTCAGATAAGCATTAAATTTAATTTCAACGATTTCATCAGTTTTAAAATCTAACGTAGGTATATCATAACATGAACATGACAATAAATAACCATAAAATACTTTTAATACAGTTTCATCAGCTATAATTAATATATCACCACTCATTCTTTCCATTTCTAAAATTAATGGTTCTATTTTAATAGCTAAATCATGATAAGATTCAGCTCTTGGAAATCTATAATGATATGGATCTTGTAAATATTGTTGATATTCATCTGGATATGTTAATTTTATTTCTTCATCATTCATACATCCAACTATACCTGGATTTTTTTGAGTTAATTGAATTCTATTTCGAATATTTATATTTTTAGTAGCAAAAAATTGAGTTGTTTCAATTGTTCTTTTTTTAACTGAAGTCCATATAACTAATGAATTTTCATCAATCCCATCTTGTCCCACAGCTGGTTGTCTTTCATCAACTGATAATTCTCTTTTTAAAGGTGGTTTAACTTCAGGTATTTCTTTTATATAATCTTTACCTTCTTTTTTCAATTGATTAATTAATGTATATGTTAAATTTTTGGCATAATTAATCCCCTCTTCATCTAATGATGGATCATAATTTACATCTAATGAATTTTTATAACATCTAGCAAGGAAAACCGATCCAGATTTAATTCTACCATTCATTAAATAAAATACAACTTTATTAATTAAATAACCATAATTTGAATTATGTAATTCTATTCGTTCACCAAAATTTATAAATTTTATATATGATAAATGATCTTCAATTAATGTTTTTGATGACCCCATTTCTTGATAAAATGGAGCTAATGCATTAATTCTCTCGCTATAATCTTTATGAGCATCATCATATGACCAATCTTTATAATCTGGTGAACTTCTTGCTGCTTCTTCAATATTTTTTAAAATTATTGAATCATCAGTAACTAAACTTTCAATAAATAAAACTTGAATATTTAATTCTTTAAAAATTTTTTCCAATTGTAATCTAAATTCTGGTTTTGCATTAACTGCATCATAAATTGCAACTTGACCTTTATCATTTTTAAAAAAATTTAAAATATCATTTAAACATTCATTCACAACTTTCTCTCTTAATCCATGTGCTTTATTTGATTTTGGAGTAGGTACAAATAAATCATGAGTTAAATCATCTTCTGCACTTGCTCTTCTATAATCACCTAAATGAAAACTATGAGTTTTAACTCCCAACCATCTTAAATATCTAGTTAATGAAACTGATAAATGTGTTTTACCTCTACCTGGTAAACCAGCTAATGCAATTATAATTTTACCAGCATGAAATAATCTACCTGATTCAGTTGAATATAATTGTGCCCCACCCAATTCATTAAATGGATCCAATTGCTTATGAACACCATCAACACCAGTTATATCTGACAATCTTCTTGGTATTTCAATACCAGTAGTTGCTTCTGACGAAAAATCCATTAAATTTGGTCTTGTATTATTATGGAATGACCATCTTTTACTTGTTCTCATTTGGTTTCTTGAAATTGGTGAACTTCCAAAACCATTAAATAATTCTCCATCGTCATCAGAAACGACGGGATCATCAGTATTATTATTATTAGTAATATTATTATTTTCTTTAGTACTAGACATTATCACTTTCTTAGTCTTTATTATTTATGTAATATGCTGTAGTCTGTTGATTACAGTCTATTTTTTTTTTTTATAAATCTCGCACGAAGTTTTTATCGTCTACCCCAAAGTAAAAATTAAATCGGTTTGAAAAATTGATATGAAAAGAAAAAGCCGCCTAAGGAAGTATACCAAATAATTAAATATACCTGGTCTTAATAGATATGATTACTTGCATTCTTACGATAGAATTTAGAAATTATTCTCTTTTAACGTTTTTATATATTAATATGTACTTTTTCGTTTAATTCCTAATTTTACATTTATTCTAATTTACCACCTTTTCTTTCAATTAAAGCTTTTCTATCTTTATCTAAATGTAATTTAGTAATGACAACTTTTGATGGATGAATATTAATTGGAACTGAAGCACCATTTGATTTTTCTTTTTGTAATTTTTCAATTTGAATAGCAAATTTTAATCTATAAACTGAATTAACTTTACCTTCTGAACCTTTTTTTGAACCTCTAACAACTTGAACTTCATCATTTTGTCTAATTGGTAATGATTTGATGTTATATTTTGATCTTAATTCTTTTGATAATGGAGCTGATAATAAAACTCTTCTTTCAACTGATGATGAAGTGAAATAAGCTTTTCTAGCTTTAGAACGTGATGATGAAACGTCTAGAAATAAGTTAGTATTGAAATTCATAAACTTATAAATTGGAATTTAAATATTTGAGACGATAATTTGCGTAAACTTCTTTGATATGACTTCCCACGGTGATTTTTCACTTTTCAATATTTGACTTATTCGTTGATTATAACTTCTAAAACTTCTCTTTCATTCAACATTTCATTATACCTTGATATGTCTACTCTAATTCCATATTTGTCACTATTCAAATGCATACCTTGACTAATTTTGGCCATTATTAATGTTATATTATATGCTAGATCTCAAAAGGAAAATAAAAAAATTTGATACCTTCAATTCGTGTAGTAATTTTTCGCACTATCAAAAAAATGTCATACCAAAAATGTCGCCTTACATAATATTTGCATAGTTGATATGAAGCTACCAATCATGCCCCCTTCGTGGTTGTAGCCCTAATTACCAGTCATTTTAGAATTTTTCAAATATTGCAGCCATTGAAATAAGAATTTAGATTGGAAACATAATCAAACAGATTAAAGAATAAACTAATGGTAAATCACATTTGTTGACACCAAATTGCAGTCATTTGAACCGATACTCAAAAATAAAAATACAAGATTTACGGAGCTTTGAGTCTTTTAGAGATTGATTTCTACTGAGCTTTTTGTACCTCTTCACTTTTGCGTTTGATACTTCAAAAAAATAATGAATTACATTATTTCACTAGTTTCTATTAAACAGGCTCAAAAATTTTCAAAGTGGCCCGAGGCGGGACTCGAACCCGCAATCCTTCACTCCGGAGATGAAAACCTTAACCAATTAGGCCACAAGGGCAGCTTTGTAAATCCAAAATGTTGCTAAAAAATAGACATTTGGCAACATAGAAGCACGTGAAAATGTTAATTTTTACCATTCATCAACAACAAGTATAGACAGAGCCAATTAAAGGTCTAATTAGCAAATAGAGGGCTCCTAAAAACATGAAATTATAAGTTTCAGCTCGATATCTTGAAAATTGAGGTATCTAGACTTGCAACTTGATTTTGATGAAAAATTTATAGTAAGTTCAATTGTGGTAGAACGAATCAAAATTAGACCCTAATTCAAATGAAATCAGAATTGGTGACATTTCTCTATATATCCTGATAATTTTCATTTCCTCTTGATATATATTTGTTGTTGTAAAAATGACTGCAAAATATTTAATCCTACTATCATCGAAAAAAATTCAATTCTCAACTTATTAACTATTCAAAATATGTTTCCAATTCGACAATGTATAAAAATTGGAATTAAACCGATCCAAATTAATCCAGTAATAACTAAATCAATAATTATACCATCAATTATTTCATCAAGGTCAATTTTCCAACAACAACAACAAAAACCACTTCTACATTTTAAATTTTATTCTATTAAAACAACACCACCAGCCCCACCACCACCAGCACATCATGATAAAGATTATAAAGGCAAATTAATACTCAATAGGATATCAAGAGCCACTACATTTTCATTATCTACTGTCCTTGTAACTTTTGCATCAATAGTTGCCGTTTTAGTTGTTTATTTGATAATATCAGAATTATTCTTCCCTAGTGGAGATACAAGAACTTTTAACAAGGCAGTTAAATTAGTTGAGAAAAACGAACAAGCTCAGAAGGTTTTAAACTTTAATAATGGAGAAAGATTAAAAGCTTATGGTATGGTTGCTGCTGATAAATGGGTTAGAAATCGTCCTGTTCAAAGTACAAAGACTAAAAATAAACAAGGTAAAGATATTTTAATTATGAAATTTCAAGTTGAATCAGACAAGGGAAAATATGGTGTTGTTACATTAGAACAAATTGATAATTCATTTTGGAATACTGAATTTACTTATATTGCATTAGATGTACCTGGTGATAGAACAATTTATATTGTTGAACCAGAAAGATCAGAATTGATGCCTAAATTAGGTAGAGGCACTGGATTTTTAGGATTAAATTGGGGACCAAAAAAGGATTAAAATATATTGAAAAATATATACTGTAAAAAGTTTAACCAGAAAATGGAAATCTTGTTACCTTTTGAAATAAATTTCTTTGAAGATGGGAGAGTTTCATTTAATGGAACTTTTTTGATTATTTTCTTTTTAGGTGGTGGTTGTTCAATTTCTTCTTCTTCTTCATCTTCTTCAAACAATAAAGCTTGACAATTTCTACCATCACTTGAATATTTATTTCTTAAACTTAATACATTTTTAACTATTTGACCTCTACCTTGAGCTAAACATACATTTTCATTCTTTCCACATTGTTCATAAAATTTATTTAAAGCATATGAAGCTCTTACTATCGGATTACAATGTGAGTATTTCCCATATTTACCAGTATTACCATTTGCTTTAATTTCTTGACAATCTACTTTCTTACAAAGATCTTGTATCAATGGTTCTTCATCAAATCCCCCATCATCAATAACTACGCACCCAAAAGATTGCCATAAACATTCACATTTTCCTTGAACGGGAGTTGGTGGTAAATTAGTTGCAACTTGAAAATTTTCATTATTTGGACATGAACAACTTGTAGTTTCCAATTGATAACATTCATCAATATCACTCCCTATTGGTTTAGCATCTTCATAGTTCTTTTTTAAATGTTCAAAATCTGGTAATTTTGTCAATTGTCCATCTTTTTTAAGCATTACAATTCCATAATGATTTGCTTCTTCAAAATATTCATAAGCAATTGCTCCTGACCAAATTTTAGACATTTTTGTACCATAAATTGCTTCAATTTCAGTAAATGGCCTTGGATTTATAATATTGCAACCAAACTCAGCAAAGAAAATTGGAGCCGAATAATTTTCAAAACTATTAGTTAATTCTCTATATCCTGATGTTGTATAAGTTGAATATCCACACCATTCATAAACATTAATTGCAAAAAAATCAGATTTGGAGTAATTATTATCATTTTCTAAATCACATACTAAATAATTTGCTAAATGATTTCGAATATTTGTATCATCATTTGAGGCATAACCAACAGGAATTTTCCTGTATCCTTGTTCTTCAATATATGATTTACAATCTCGAATTGAAGCTCTAATGAATGGTGATGAATCAATAGTATCAATGGAGTTTGCAACTTCATTGCCAGCAATGAAACCTAACACATTATTATATTTTGCCATGGAGTCAATAACTTCTTTATATCTGGTAAATAAATCAGTGTCCCAACTTGGGTTATCCCTTCTGATACTTAGATATGGCTCTGATAAATCTGCTAATACGTAAATTCCTTCTTTTGCAAATGCGTTCATGCAAACATCATGATTTGACGTCGGAGAAATTTGATATACTCTAATTACATTAACTCGTAATTCTTTTAAATATTCTAAATCACGTAAACATGAGAATGGGTTGGCTAATGAATCAATATAATTTGGTTCTTTTGTATTATCGTAAAATTCACCTTCTTGTCTCGATTTCTGATATGCAATACCCTTGATGAAAAATTGAAATTCAGAATCAGAAGTAAAAAATTTGTTACCAACAATCTTAATTGGTTCAATTAAACAATAATCTTCCTTTGTGAATACAAATTGAAATAATAATAATAATATAATTAACATTTGGTAAGTGTTTGTTGCAGCGTGTAAATTTTGTTTTGTACGTAGGGCGCATTATTAAAAACATTTCAAGAACAAACAATTAACAGAGTAATTGGTTCAATAAACAATTGTAGTAGTAATTTAAGAATCGACGTTTCTTTTGGATCGGCAACTTCGTTGTTGTATATTAATTAATTTACATAAATATATCATACAATTTTTTAAAATCTTTCTTACCCTTGCATTCAATCATGTAGATTTCTGATTCATTGCATTTGATTAATAATCCAGCCTTACCTATTTTCTCTAAAGTATTAAATCTTGTTTCTTCCGGAATTAACCAATTATATTCATCCTCATCATTTGTCATTTTAAATTGATAAAAGCTTTTCAATGTAAGATGATCTATTATCTTATTAACTTGTAAATTAAACATGCTGAGTATTTTCCAACTAGATGGGTTATGTATTTGACCATCTAAATTCGTTTGTAATCTTATTGTTTGTTGAATTTCATTTTTAATTGTCGAATTTGGATTATTTAAAATACATGAATTATGTAATTCTTCATCATTTCTTGAATTAAAATCAATTGAACTTAAACTTGTAAATGTTGAAGATTTTGAATATCCCATCATTGAACTTGCAATTGTATTATCTGAAGTTAATAATTTTGAAGATTTAAGACTTGTAGGTAATTCATTAATTGAATCTTGCAAATTGGTTAATATCTCGTTTGATAAATTTCCATTTGAACATCTAATCATAATTAATGTTTTCTTGTTATTTATGGCATCTGTTGTATTGATTTGCAAATCTAATGCAGATTGTCGTATCTCAGTTTGTGAATTAAGGTTTAATAATAATACAGGTTTGTCTATTTCTTCATCATTTATGACTTCTTCTTCGAATACAATAAACCAACATTTTGCCATTTCCCTATTAAGTGCAATTTTAATGAATAATTTTTCTGAAATGGACAACATTTCATAATTACCTTGATTTTGTTTCCATTTTGATATTTTAAGTGATTTTGGTGATGATTCACTGATATAAAAATCTTCAGTTGAATCCTGATTAATACATCCTTTTAAATCTTGAGGTATATTTAATTCAATATCTATTGGAGTATCTTCTTTTTTGAAAAATGTGGTACTTGTAGGAGATGGTAATGCAAATGGACCAGGTAATGAAGATGAAAATCTTGATAATTGTGGTCTCTCTTCTTTTTTTGATTCTGATTCTGGTACTACGTTTAATGTATCTGTTGATTTATTTGATTTCTTAAAAATACTAAATATTGATTTTCTTCTTGGTTTTGATTTATGTGGTGCTGATAACGTAGTTGTTGAATCATTATCTAATAATGTAAAACTTGGTTTATAATTAGATCCAAAATTATTAATATCGACAGCTGATCCAGTTGATAATTCATAAAATGACAGTTTATTAGTTAAATTGGGCATTGAATTTGCAAATATATTTTTATTATATGGTAATTCTTGAATATTAATTGGATCATTATTGATGTTTATACTATCTGGAGTTAATTCTTCAATTTCAGCACGTATACTTATTGGTCTTTCATTATTTTTGACATCATCTTCACTTAATTTTCTTCTATTTATTATATGGAATAATTTATCATCATCATCATCACTATCTTCACCCAAGGATTTCTTAATTAATGGTAATGATTTATCATATTGACTGTGGATTGATGAATTTGATCTTTTTATAGGTGATGACGGTGGTGATATTAATTCTTTAAATTGTTCTTGTTTCTTTGATAATATTAAAGTTTCTTCCAGCGACATGAATTTCTTATGATCAGAATCAGTAATTACATTAATACCTAAACCTGACATATTTTGATTTGGACAACTTAATAGAAATTTATCACTACTTATTGGAGAATTATTTCTTGCTAATGGACATATTGTAGATAATTTAGAAACCCAAGATTCTAATAATAATCCATCTTGAAATTCAATAAGTAAATTTTCTTCATGATTTGATTCTGCAAAATTAATAGCTTTTAATTCTATAGTTGAAGATGTATGAGACATTGATAATTCATTAATTCTAAATGGTGGATAAATTAACGTTCTTGAAACTTCGGTATTGTCATGTAAATCAATTGATAATATAGCTAATGCATTGTATTTACCAATACCAATAAGATCTAATAATACTAGTTCTATTGGTTTATCATCCATGTATAAATTTGAATTTGAAGTTCTTTCTTTTATTTGTTCGATTGTGAAATAACTCGAGACTGATTCTTTATTTAAATTTCCAAATGACTTGATATTTGTAAAATGTATGTTATTTAACTTTTTTGAGTCTGAATTTAATCTAAACTCATTTATTATGCTCTGCAATTCATCTTCATTAGTTTTTAATTTTTCAACAATGAATGGATTTCTTATAAATTGAGAACATGAGTTTATGAAACTTATGATATTGTTTATATTATTAATTGGATTTATTAACTTTTCATTAATATCAGATTGTAAGTTCAACTGATGTGAATATTTTTCAAATAATATCAATCCGTTACTATCTAACCATAGTAAAAAATCATTAATGAAATTTTTAAAAACTTGTATCTCATTACCATCTATTTCCTTTAGTGATGAATTTATAATTGATAATAATTTAGTATTCTTTGTATATAATCCTCTTACTATTGATGTAAAAGATTGTGAGTCGGAATTTTTAGATTTTAAAGGTTTGACAATCCCCAATAATTCAATTAAATTTTCATTCTCAATGATTGATGATTCGTAAAATTGTTGTAATAATTTTTTAGGATTGATATCAACACCAACAGTCATAATTAAATTATGGAAGGGTATAATTACTCAGTTGTTGAAAAGTACAATTTGCTGGATAACTGGAGATATAAAAATGAAAAAATACTTAAACTTTTATTACCCTTCGTGTATTGCATGCATCATGTATAATCGCATATTTGTGTTAATAAATAATATTAATTGAAAGGGTTATTTGTTGTTTAAACTTTTGACAACAAACATAATCATTTTAATCTTAAAAAAATCTTGTTATAATTTTCCAAATTGGTGAATAATTATTCCCAATTAGGATAAAATTTAGATCTGATTAGATTTTGTGCTACCAATTGGTTTTAAACGCGTAAAAATAAAATAAGACGCGTTTTTTTTTATTTTATTTATTTTTAGATGAGATTTAAATCTAGAAATGCTCTCGTATATTTCGGCTTCATTATTATTGTCACAATACAATTAACTAGCTAAAAATCTCTTGTTATTATCCAATCTAGTACTTGAGTTATACCTTGTCCTGATTTACCAGAAACTAACTCAATTTGAAATTTATCTAAAGGTATTTGTTTTTCTAATTGTAATAAATCATTGACTTTCTTCTTTAAATCAATCGACTCTCCTTCCGGTATTAAGTCAATCTTATTGATTAACACCGCCAAATATATCCCATTCAATCTATCCTGCTGTATTATTTTATCTTGTAATTCTTTAAACAGTTCATTCAATCTTTCAATATTTAAACCATCAATAACCCATATTACTAAATCAGTTTTATCAAAATAATTTCCCCAGAATGTTCTAAGACTAGTTTGACCACCTATATCCCACATGTTGAAAGTATAATCTTTATATGAAACTGAATTAATTTGAAAACCCATGGTGGGTGATATTATATTTGTATCCTCATTTAGTAGCTTTTTGATAATTGTTGTTTTACCTGAGTTATCTAATCCTAAAGTTAATATTCTGATTTCTTTATCTTTTATTTTCTGTTTCTTTATAATAGTTAGCAATCCCATTCTGTTTATTGATTATCGCATCATTGGAGTGGCAATCAAAAAAAAAAAAAGTTTAACTGATTAGATAAAAAGTGTTTTGGTTGCAAATGATATAAACACAAGAGTAAAACAAAATAAATTATGTCATCCCAGTCAAAAAGAAAACTGCAAAGTTCCATTTTGAGCTTTGCACAATCTCAAACTATAAAACAAGAAGAAGTTGAAATTAAAAGAGAAACAATTGATATACAAGACACGCCTATAGTTCCTGTTCCATGTCCCATATGTCAGTATAATATAGCTCATTTGGATTTGGCTCAACGGAATGATCATGTTGACACGTGTTTAGTTAGAGTTACATTTGTTGAGACAGAAATAAGAACAGAAATATCTGAGAAAGTTGAATCAAGTGAAGTAATAATTAAAGAAGAATTTAAAGAGAAATTTAAATCTCCAAAGGCAGAAAGGAAATCTAAATCACCTAAAAAGGAGAGATCTGAATCAAGAGAACCATCATCAATGGCCAAAAAACGAAAAGTTGAATTAAAAGAAGATAAACGTCAGAGATATGTAAATACAGAAACTAAAATTCATGATGAACCAAAAGTGATAAAACCACCTACAACTATTCAACCATCTAAATTTACAAAGAAGAGTATACCTCCTTTAAAAATTATGACTTTCCCCATAGACAAATCGCAAAATTTAAAATATCAATTATCAGTTGATGCATTTTGTTTTGCACCTTCAGATTTCATAGATAAATATTTTCTTACTCATTTTCATGCTGATCATTATTGTGGTATAAGTAAAAAATGGGCATATGAACGAGTATTTACAGATGAAGATTTTGAAAATCGCGGAAAATATAAAAAGATTATATATTGTACAACTATAACTGGTAAATTATTAACATTGTATTTTTCAATCGATGAAAAGTTTATTAAACATTTGGAATTAGATACAAAGTATAGAATTGTTAGTTTTACTGATGAAGTTGTGGAAGATGGTGGTTATATTTGTGATGACATTACACCTGGAATTTATGTTACTCCAATTATTGCAAATCATTGTCCTGGTGCTGCAATATTTCTATTTGAGAGTTATGGTTTAGATGGTAATAAAACTACAATACTACATTGTGGTGATTTTAGAGTCAATAAAGAAATGATAACACATCCATCATTAAGACGTTATAATATAGAGTCCAAGGATTGTTTAATGATTGATAAAGTATACTTAGATACTACTTATATGTCACCAACTTATATATTCCCCAAACAAGAATTGGTTTGTGAGACAATAGCTAATTTATTTTATGATTTAAAATCGGCAAATTTATTCAATAAATGGTTTGGAATGTTAACACAAACTAGAATAACCGACTTTTGGAAACCACTAAAAAAGAAGAAGAAATTCTTAATCCTTGTTGGGTCATATGTTATAGGAAAAGAGAAATTGGCAATTTCAATACTGAAGAAGTTAAATTCAAAAATATATGTTTCAAATATAAATAATAGAAAGAACAAGTATGATATACTACGAACGTTTCAGGATTCATATTTAGATTCAGTGTTAACAGATGACGATATAGGAGAAGGTGATGAATCTGAAGCATTAATACATTTAGTCCCAATGAAAATTGTTGGTCAATTTCAAGAAATGCAAAATTATTTCAATCATAATAAATATTTCGAGCATTTTGAGAGATGTGTTGGATTAAGACCAACTGGATGGACATTTGAAAATAGAAGAGAGGAGAGAGAAGACTTTGATTTACCTCAACTTTGTATAATTTTGGAACATCAAACTGAATTTTCTTATGACAAACATATCCTAACTCAACAATCCAAGAGTAAAGAGAAATCAGAATTAAACAAGATATATACATTACCATATTCTGAACATTCATCATTTAGAGAATTAGCATATTTTATCATCTTCCTAAATTTCAAAATGACTATACCAACAGTCAATTGTGAACATGAAAACTCCATACGTAAAATGAACGACATCATAGAATTGTGGGAATTAGTCCGAAGAGTCAAATTAAACAAAATGAAACCATCAGATTATGATTTTATTGAAGATGATTTATTGAAAAGGTTTAAAAATATTACATTAGATAATTTTTAGTCTATAAATACCTTATTTATCTTTTAATTTGTCCAAATTATCTTGATAAATGCTTACAATTTTTTCACATTCAATACCATTACAATCACTCCATTGTACCATAAAATCCCCTTCTTCATATTTTGATTTATGACTTGTATTTATTTGTTTTGCAGGTACAATTGTAGTTTTACTTAATATAAATGGATGCCATTGTAAAATATGGGTTAATGCACTATCTGGTCCATATGGGAAACTTCCATAATTAAAATATAAACTATCAGACCAAATTTCTATAATTGATTTACCTACTTGATCATTTTTAATTAAAAATGAATTTGTCTCTAGTTTTTGTTCAGATTGAGTTAATATTAATTTTATAGCTTCTGATTTAACATTTTTATAAGTCTTTATTAATCCATGTGGTGGAATCAAAGGTTGTTCTCGTAACATTATTGAATCTAAAGTATTTGCATTTAATAAATATTGTTCCAAATTCTTATTCAAATCCATTATAAATCCATCTTGATCTAGAAACCAAATCCATTTAGCTTTTGGAAATGCAAACATAGCTGCTCTTATACAATATAATCTAATCCATTTAATTTTTTCAACATCTTTTAAATCTTCAATATTATTCAACATTGGTAAAAATTCTTGATACCATCGAACATAAATACCATAATTTTGTCTATAAGCATAATCAACTCTATTTTGAACAATTTTAGTTAATGAATCAAGTGAATATTTATCGAAATCAACAGTTGTTACAATTATAACTTCAGGATATACTTGACCTGATTTTGGTTTAAATCTTACTTTATCTTGATTTTTAAAATGATTTTTAGCTTTATCTAAATCTGATAATTTATTTTCTTCTTCTTCTTTTGCTTTTTGTTTAATTGGATCTGGATCATCAAATGCATTTAATGAAATTAATTTCGTTCTATCTTGATCTGGATTATTTGAATCTTTACCCTTGACAAATTTAATTAATTTTGTAGGAGTTAGTTGTTTTAATAATGGAGCATCTTCAATTGGTGGATACAAGTATTGAGAAGATAATTCTATAATTTCATTTGATGTTAATGGATGTGCCTTGGGATATAATTTTAATGTATTTGATTTAAAATTAAACAAACTCAATGGATTAATAAACCAAATCACTATTATAAATATAATTATAATTGCTAATTTCCTACGATGACTTATTCTATTAAAAGTAGCAGGTAGTGGTAATATAGTTTTTGATTTATTACTATATTTTGGTTTGAACATCGTATTGTTAAAGAGAAGTTTTTTTATACGCGAAAAGTGAAATTTATATATTATTTTGATTATTTATTCTATCTTCAATTACTTGTAAAGCAACTTGTCTTCTTCTTTCAGCTACTGATTTATTAACTGCTTTACTAGTTTGTTCTTGTCTCTTTTGTGCTCTTAAATTACTTTGTTCGACAATTTCATCATTAAATGATGTTATTATACCTAATAATACAGCCACTTCATAAATTTCATTAAAAATTGGAATTAAATATGGTTTTAATAACTGAGGGAAAAATTCAACTAATTGGAATGTATCACTTGCATCTCCGATTAAAATTGAATTATCACCACCTGGTAAAATTGCTTCAACATTTAATTGTTGGAAAAATCTTAAATAAATAAATGAAACAAAGAAACTGAAAATTGATGGGATGGCAGGGTATAATGACTGACTAATAATCAATGACCAAATAGTTAATATAATTAATAATGCAAATGGTACATGTTTAATTCTAAAATTAATTAAACCTTGAAATAATACAATATTATGTTCTGGTATTAATTGTTTAAAAACAACTAGAAAACCAAAATAATAAGATATACCACCACCTAATGGATTATTCATATTTTTAACATCTTCTCTAACTATATTTGATATAATTGCAATTATAACAGTTATTAAATTTGTAATACTACCAACAATTAAAATAAATTTTAATACTTCAATATAACCCCAAAATCTTTCAACAAATTTTGAACTAATAAATAAAATTGAAAATGATAATAGATATGAAATTATAGTGATTTCAGCGAAAATTGACGTTACAAGTACCCAAGGATTATAAATTGTTGATTTTGGAATTAACTGAAGGAATGGGATTTTAACATCATGAAAATTAATGGGATTTGATGAAGTAGTTAAATACCTGTATTGTTGATATTTTAATATGAATGATAACCCACTTATAAATGTAAGTATACCTAATAATATCCTAGTTGATTTTGGGATGTTATGAAGTCTAATCATGATTTGAGATTGAAGATTCGCCTGGTTCCTTTTTTTTTTTTCTCGAATCTCATTGTTTGTTTGAAAATTAGTTTGTTGCAAATTTTTATCAAAGGCTGCAAAACTATTGACGAGACAAATTCAGTTATAAATAAGTCAGCTCTTGAGCTCTTGATGCTCTCGAGTAGAATATAATTTTGAAAAGCAATGTATAGTGATCTTCAAAAAACCAAGATGTGTTGAACTAATATTAAGTAAAACTGCTGATTGGCAATGTGGCTTTTTTACATACAGAATTGATGCTTTCGACTAGTATTTGGTGCAATCTCGATTTACGAGTGCGTTATTGAAAGCCTAGTATAACCGCAAAATTGACACTAGTCAGCATGCTGTGGTTTAGCACACAGTCAGAAATAATTAATCACAAATCATAATGTCAAAAGATTTCAATCCAAGTATGTGCAAGCATTGAGTTAGCCGGACAATGGAACGTAACTGGAACTTACCACCTCATAAATTTGTTTTCTTTCATGGATTTCTTGGACTTTCCTTTAATGCAAGATCGAAAACACATTTAAACAGAATAAATTCCGATAAAAAGAATATTTCAAGCTTATAATGGATGATATATCATTAAAAGATAAGAAGAGTAGTGTCGAAGAGGAAACCAAATCCATTGAAACGGATTTAGAATCACAGAATGGAAATCAGGAGTCGCTAAAGGAGAGTAGGAGTGAGAAATCAAAATAGCTAGATGTTTTTGGTCTTCTATTGATGGTTGGCAGTTGCGCTGGATTTTTTATAGCAATGGCAATATGTCCAAGAAAAGTTTTGGGTGGGTAAAATTCAAGCAAGTTTGAAGTAGAATAAAATATATCTTTTATGTATAGCTATTTATTCTTCTGGTATAACAGAATCCAAATTGAATTTTAGTAATACACGATAACTACGAAATTGTTATTAGCATGTTCTTTATTGTATAAACTCTAACCTGTTATTGTATTCGATTATTTTGATTTTTTAGTTATCATTTTAAAAATAAAATGTATGGTAAAGTATGAAGCGGAGCTACAAATACCCTTTCATATCATAAAAGTCGCAAATAATTTGTCTACAGTACTTTAAATTGACATGAAATCTAAAGTGGCATAATTTCTATTTACAAGAAGCTACTGAAACTAAAATAGTTCGTTTAAAGATTTAAATTAACTTGCTATTTATTTTAAAAGGGTTACAGTTTAAAATAAAGATATTCAATTAGCTAGAGGATTAAGAAGTGAATGGCCTCGATTGAATAAATTTGACTCTAAATTTAGAAAACTGTTTGATGTGATTTTAAAATTGGATGTTTATTAGTTTATTGTTGAAAATTGTTTATTTTGAATTTAAAACTCACCATTTAAAGTATGATGTTTGTTTATTTGTTAAGTTTATTTCAGGAGTATACAATTTCAAAATGATATTATTTTGATTTAAAAGTTTACAATTTTAAAGTATGTTGTCGTTTTATTGAGAAAAATCTTGTTTCTTTCTTTTGACTATTGTTGTTCATTTGTTTGGATTCTACCACCAAATGCTTACTGAATTTAAGTAGGTATAAAGTATCTGCTTAAAATTTCAAATTTTAGCACAAAAGATGAAATATCCATAGTTAAGTCGAAAATATTGATAGTAGAAGTTCTGTCAATATCATGCTATGATTACTAGATTTTTTTTCTTTCAAATGATACCAATACTAGCACGTTCTGTGAGCAATTGAGCTTATGAGGCTTTGAAAACACTTGTGAATACTGTTTTAGTTTGTGTCATTTTTTCTTTGCGCTCGTTATAAGATTTTTTTTTTTTACAGCATTTCCTATTTCGAACAATCTCGTATAATTTTTCGATATAAGATCCTTTTGCGCTTCAATATTATTTACTGTGTTATTTGACAATTCGAAAAATTGTTGATGATCAGTACGGTTGATACAATAGAAATAACTCTGAATTTTTACGTTTTAAATCATAAATTAAGTCAACAGATTTGATGCAGGTTGAAAGATTAACTTAAAAAAAGAGCTGCAAAAAATACATAAATTTCAATATCAACTGAACATAAAAGTCAAAAAAAGAAATTGTCAAATATAGCGGTACGGAAACAAAGACTTTTAGTCTCATTCAAGTTGCTCTTATATGTTGAAAATGCATTCCACATGAGTAATAAGTCAAAAAAATGTTATACGAGGTCGCCCTAAGGATAGCGCGAGAAACTATTTTGTGACGCCAAAACAACCTTCACATTAACTTTATTAAATACTAAGAATAAATGAGATATATAGACCTGATGTAAACTGTGCAATTTCTCGTTCATTCACTTACAATTCAAAGTAAACTGTATCCAACCACAAGAATTACTTCTCAAATGTACTTTAGAGTTAAATTTCAATCTCTATTACAAAACAAATTTATATTTACTATACAATAATTTAAAATGGATTGGTTGAGTAACCTTTTGTGATTCCCGTTACTCTTGTAGATAAGTATGACCAGGTATATGATTGTGGACGATTATTACCAGTATCATTGTTACTGACATTTCTTGGTTGGAATAAACCATTAGCAATTGATCCCTCGCCACCGATGTTAGCGAATATATCATCAGCAACTACTGCTGATGCAGCTGCTGGTGCAACTATAATAACAACAAACAATACCAAGACTGCAAAATATAAGGTACAGTATTTTCTAACCATTCTCTTTCTTAATCTAGCTTGTTTCAATGAATAAATTGGTGGTCTGATTAATCTTGATGGTTTTAACCAGAATAACATCATTGAATGCCATCTGTCAACTAATGGAATGAACAAGATTGGTAATTGACAGAATAAGATAACATGTGATAACATGAAATCACCAGCAAATTCTGACATTTCAATGATTTTGGCAACGAATTCACGAGATGGTTGGGTCCAGGCCATCCATCCCATACCTGAACCGTACCACTTACCTGTCCAAAATGCCGTATTGGCCTTATCATGTTTGAATTCTCTTGTCAAAAATGCAAGAGTCAAAAATTTGAATAATAATCTTTGGATATAAATCATTAATGCTAACCCTAATAACATTCTGGCAAAACTAAAACCTTCAGTAACCCACATAACAATAAAGAAAACAATATGAATAATAACTGCAAAACCGTGTGCAATACCAGCAATTACAGCACCAGTTTTTTTACAACATAATCCCATTAATGGACCAGCACAACAAGCCATACCAACACAAACAGCTAAAACACCACAATCAATAACAACTGGAGCTAATGAACAAATAATAACTCTTAAAGTTGCATTAACAGGTTGTGGATCAGTTGAACCTAAAATTGGTGTTCTATAACTCGTGACACCAGTTTGAGCATTAATATAAGTATAAGCAACATATAAACCAGCAGTATAAATTAAACATGGTAAGAAATCAGCAAAGAAAACATTTGATCTATGAGCTCTTGAAGCATCACCTGCAGCTTTTTCTGATGCCTCACCACTTAATTTACGTTTGAAACCTGTAATTCTTGATCTTGATAATCTTACATAACCAATCCATGAATTTCTATGCCATTTTGTATTACCTCTTGATAACCATCTAATAAAATCTCTATAATCAATAAAGAAATCTTCCCATGCAAATTGATGTGGGTTGAAAATAAATGGTGAAAACATTAATGATGATAATGAAGCCCAAAACCATAATAATGGAGCTTGCCAATGTGCAACTGTTCCAAATAATAAAATTAACATTAATCTTGCACCCATATAAATTGAAGAATCAGCAAATCTTGAATATAAAATTGAAAATGGAATTCTTGAAGTTGCAAAACCTCTACCTGTTGAAATATATCTTGCACCACCAACAGTTAAATCGGTGAAAACTGATGATGAATAGATTTGTGCAACGAAAACTTCAAACATTGGTGATAATGAAATAAAATGTCTAACAAATCTTTGGAAAGCTTTCCAAACACCTCTTTCAATTAATTCTTGAACAACTAATGGAATGAATGAGATGAAGAAAACAATAAAGATAGAAAGGGTATACCTTCTAATCCAATCAACAGCTGGTGCAATATTATAACAACCAAATGGATATAAAACATCAGTAACTGGAACATCTCTATCATATGAACACATAATACTTTCATGAGCAAGTGAATTCAAATTAGCTAAAACTAAAATAAAAACTTGTAATGATAATTGAATAAATAAATTATTAATATGGAAACCTGGATGACCATAATAAAATGATAAAAACCTATCCAATGGTAATTGAGTACTTAAATAATAATATTCTCTTGATAACATTTGTTCACCCATACCAGCACCAATTTTAGTTGTGAAATTCAAAATAGATCCAAAACCCATATCTCTACCTTTACCACATTGATAATATTCACAATGTTTAATTTTACCACCTCTCATCATTGCAGTCATACCAGCATAAATATCTTCATTTAAATGTAATCCCTTCTGAGCTTTTGAAACACCACCTCTTGTTAACATAAAAGTAGCATTTAAGAAATCAGGATGACCATAATGTAATTTACCACCAATTTGTGCTAAAGTTCTTGCAAATAATGTACCAAAAGTTTGTTCTTTACCAGCTGCAACATCACCCAAAACACCTGAATTTTCTGAAAAGATATACTCTCTTGCACCTAAAATCGCAACAGGATCTTTTCTAACAACATTTTCAGCATTCTTCATAGTTGGTGCATATGGATTAACATGTTCAACATTTAATTCTTCAAATTCAGCTAAAACACTTCTAATTTTCAAACATTCTTCTAAATAATTATCTTGATTAGCATCAATCAACTGAATATATTCACCTCTATGGAAAATAATTGCATGATTTTGATTATCAGATTTACCATCACCTAAAATTGGATTACCAGATAATTGAACTCTAAATTTTGGACGACGTCTACCATTTTCTAACATTTCACAATGACCATCAATCAAGGATGAATAAACTCTTGGTTCTTCGTCTTCATTTAAAGCAGGTTCTTCATCCAAAAATGCAATTTGTAAATCTGGATAAGCTCTTAATAAAAATTCAGCATTTTCCATTTCATCATCTTTAAATTTTGCTAATCTTTGCATTGAAACTAAAAATCTAAATTTTCTTCTTGCCATTTTTTCCAATGCCAATTCTAAACCTTCTGGATCACCACCAAAATATTGAACTAATTCAGGATTTTCAACTCTATATAATAATTTAATTGCTCTTGCATAATTCATAAAACCAGAAACGGTTCTATATAAAGTTTGTGATCTTAATGAAGCCCAGATCCTTGTACGTAAAGTATATTCAGGTGCAGCAGATTTAAAACCAATACAATAAAATGGCAAATCATCAATTTTAGATTTTAATCCATCTTCACTTAATTTTTCAGAATCATCACCATTTTCATAAGCAGCAGTTTCTTCAGCTAAAATTTTAGTATCCTTGACAAAACAATCCCATTCAACTGGATGTAATTGTTTTAAATATTCTAATAATGTAACTCTTGAAAATTGATCATCTTCTCTAATGATTTCTCTAAGACTTAATAAAATCTTTTCTGAATAATGAGGCGTGAAAACAGTAAATGTTGGCATATTATCAACAGGTAATGGTTCAGGGATTGGAGTAGCTAATGATTGAGCAAAAAATGAAATTCTTCTTTCAGCTTCTGAATTTCTTGGGAAAAATTCAGTTTCAAAATTATTATCATCTTGACTAACAAAGAAAGTTGGTGCTCTTAAGGTTCTTTTACCTTCAATTTCTGATGGAACTTGATGATATAATAATTTTTGAACATGATCAATAGCTAATAAATGTTCTCTATACATTGAAATAACAATTGCATTCCAAATTTGTGAAATTAAAACTTTTGGTTTATATTTAATTTCCATCTCAGTTGTTGCCAAAATTTTCAGGTAAATTCTTTTTGGTAATCTTGTGAATATATTTCTCCATGGTGTTAAAATTGAAATACCTAAATAAAATGATCTACCAATTGAAAAAATACAATTACAAATAATGTACCACATATAAGTATCTAAAAAGAATAATAACAAATCAACAAGGAACATTAAACCTAAAACAATTTTTGCTTGATTTCTACAAACAATATCTTGATACCAAACTTCACCAATACATCTCATTGTCATTTTAGACAAGTTTCTAATTGGATCTCTTAATGACAATGTTAAAAAGAAGTATGATTCAACTAATTTTGCAAGGAAAACTAAAAACCATAAAAGATATGACATCCACATATCTAAACCTCTTAATTTGATAAAGTTTGCAGTAAAAGTTTGTGATGAAATATATCTTCTTGATCTTTTGTTCATATATGACGTAAATAAACCACCCAATGGCATAACTGCAAAGAATACCAAAGTTGCAATTGCAATGAAGAAACCAACGATTGAAACAGCATAAGCAGATTTTGAATATAAAGTTAAACCAGTAATATAAAAAGTATAAACAACTGGTGCTAAATTAACAATAAATATCAATATTAAAAACATTAATCTTCTAGTTAAATGTTGAGCACCTGCCCATTCTCTTGGAACAAACATCCATTCAAAAAGAGTTGCTAAAATTTGCACCAATGAAGCAAAAATACCACCAATTGCACATGCAGCCCATCTTGATGAAGCCAATGGTTGTTGATTTCTAGTTTGAACATAATTTTTTGTATAAATTGAAGGAGAATTATAAGCAGTATACATCCAATAAACTGTACCATGAATAATCCAAATTCTATTGAAATTTGTAACAAAATGTAACCAAGTTCTAATTTCTTTATAAGTTTTGAAAAATACATTACTCCATTCAACTTCACCTAATCTTAAATATCTTTCTTCTTGAGGAATTTCAACTAATCTTGAACCATCTTCAAATATAATTCTTGAAATACCTTCTGGATACCAAAATAATTGATTAACATCATCATAACCAATAACTTTATTATGATCTTTTTCTCTTTTAACAAATCTACCTTCATAAATTTCATAGACTTGAGATCTTAAAAATCTGTATAATGGAGTTATAACTCTATTTAAATAATCACCTTCAGGTACTGGTTCTTGTCTTTGTTGACATAATGGAGATTGTAAATAATCATAAGCTGTTTTATAAATATAACATAAACATTCAGGAGCAAATCTAACTTGATTTGCTTCACCCCATAATAATAAATATAATGCAATATCTCTAACTCTTTCTTCTGGAGTTAAATTATTCATTTTAGCTTTCCATCTAATTTCAGCAGCTTCTAATGAATAGTCACCTTCTAATTCATTTGCTAAAGCATCAACATCTTGACCATGTTCTTCAGCAGCTTTTCTTGCTTTTTTAGATTTTTTACTTGCTTTTCTTGCTTTTCTACCAATTTTACCTAAGGTCATATTTGCAAAACCTAATGAATCATCTAAATCTTGTTGAGATGAGAAAAACCATTTTCTATAATTTGCATTTTCACCACCAATATAATCAGCATGTAAACTTAATAAAGCTTGAGCCGGTGACATTCTCGAACTTCTTGAATCTAACAAAGTCATGAAATAATCAAACATATTTCTCATTGAATCTCTTTGAAAACCAAATTTATTTGTTAAGTCAATGAAAATATCTTCAACGTGTTCAACTTTAATTGGAGCTTGAAGATCAGCAGACCAAGCTGGATAAGGTAAATTTGATGACATTTGAAATTGTGAAGGATCATAACCTTGACCTTGACCACCATAAATTGGGGTTGAAGCACCACTTGATCTTGGATCACCACCGTAACTCATTTGAGAGGGAGTGTATTGAGTACCATATTGATCATAACCAGGAGTACCAGGAGTTTGACCACTATAACTAAAATCGGAAAAAGCCTCGGGATCAGCATTATAATTTACACCTTGCATTGGTTGACCATTTGGACCAGCCATATATTGATTTGGATCTTGGTAACCATCCATATCATAAGGTTGTTGATGATATTGAAGATTTGGATCGTAATAATCTTGTTGGGACATTGGAGGTTGATTCGGATATTGTTGATTCGTGTCAATGTCATAAGGTTGTTGATAATAACCTTCATGATTTTGAGGTGGTTGTTGATTGGGGTCGTAATAGTTATTATTATGATTATTATCGTTATACGACATCTAATCAGAACTTTGTTAGTAACAACTTAATGATGTTTGAAATATTTCAAAAAAAAATCTAAAATAAAAAAAAAAAATAAAAAATAAAATAAAATAAAAAATAAAATAAAAAAATATTTTTTTTTTTTTTGGTTGAAAAGTGAAACTGGTAAACGATTGATGATTTTGTGCTACTAGATCTATTAATAGTTAATAGTTGGATGAAATTGAGTTTGTTGATTTGAAGTTTCCAGCAAATTTAAATTACAAAAGCTTGTATCTCTAAACCTTAATCAAATCTCGAGTAATTATATAATTATCTCGAAATTGACAAAAAATTACCGAAAATGAAACAATAAAATTTTAGATTTTATTTTGGTTGCTTTTTTGATTTTAAAAATGCAAATGAAAGTAAGAAAGATTGATGTAATATGATTTTGAATTAAACTCAACAAATTGATTATACAGATGAGTTAGTAGTATACTGATTTTTCTTTGAATTTTCTTAATTCTTTGACTTTGTTTAGTTATTGGTTGATTTTAGTAATTCAATTTTGATAAATGCAACCCCTTAATTCTGCTTAATCTTTTTTCTATGATGCAAAATTGTTCGTGTACTGTTGAAGGCTATGGTTGTCAATACTACACTACTTTTTTTTTTTTTTTTTTTTACAATTGATTAAGATTGCAGATTTGGTTGATCTGATGATAGTTTGTATCTAATTCTAATTCGATCTGTTGATTGACTGAAGTTGTATTCTAACTGAAAGCACAAATCACTTTTCACCCAGTCCCACACTTTTCTTGTCTCTCTATTTTTCCTGATTTTTTGAAATAACTTGAATAGTTTATTACATACCTTTTTCTTCACTTTATATCTATCTTATCTAATTGTTGTTCTATAAAGCGAATGTGATAATGATAATGATTGATAGATTATAAATGATAAATGATTGTTGATGTTGTATTAAACGAATAACTGTTGATTGAAAGAAAAAGAAGAAAGGTTAAAATATAATTAAAAAAATAAAACTATAATCAAAAATAGAAGGAAATCAAAAAAGAAAATTCTTTGAATATGAGACACTCTAGTATACTTCTGCTTAACTATGGTGAAAATAAATTTTTAAAGGGTAAAATTTTAAAAATAGTGAGATCAAAAAATTTATAAGGTCTTACATAATAAGTTTATCTTAGCAACTATATATGTATAAACTTAACTTCTTGTGCATAAAACACGGTTCACGAAATAATTTCAATTTGAAAGAAAATTATAAAACCTTGTTTATAATTGTACAATGTTTAATTCGCCAGCTCATAGACAACAGAGTATGATTTTGTGGTCCTCTCGGGCATAAAATTATTGGTATCTATTTTCAAGCGACGGAAAAACTTATTCTGTCAAATTCATTTACCGTTACGAATATTATATCTAGCAGTTAATCAGGTTTGAACTACTTACTTCCTACCAAAATACTCATGCTCGGATACTATTCTATGCAAACTTATATATCTTTTTAGCTAGCTTCCTTACTTGCTTCCATACTTGCATACAGCTTTCTTTCAATTGCAGTTGACTGTGGATAATTAATATTCATGTTGAAAATTATCTCTATTTCCATTTGCAACAAGCGAGATTCAAAATTTCTTTTTTTTTTTATTATTTTTTTTTTTTTTTGGCAAGATTTAAGCTTTCATACATTTTAAAACGTACAATCACCAACAATAATTTAATATAAAGACGCGAAACAATCATCATATGACTTATTACTAATAACATCTTCAATATTATCTAAAACTAGTATATAATTATCTGTCTCTTCCAGCGAATCCCTCGAGTTTTGAAGCTTTCAATCTTCATATTCTTGATTCATTATTAATATTATCCAAAATTTCTTGATTAAACAGTTGTTTCTATTTTTAGAATCTTCGTGTAACACTGTTGGTAGTATTTGAATTTCAATATTTTGTTAGTAGTGTACAAATTCTCAAAAGATCGCCTCATATTTCAAATTCCATTTGATCTTTGAAAAATTTTGCAATTACATTTCCCAATTAGGAATACACTCCACAAAAATTTATGAATCGAAAGGGATCTTAATATTGTATACAGTTCCAATCAATCTTTGAAATAAAGGAACTCCAGTAGACAATATAAATGTTTCTCGTTGTCGATTAGAACAAAGTTGTTGAAGATTATTATCACAATAAAATCTTGATAAACTGATCTTTTGATCTCTAATTTCTGCATCATTTTAGAACTAAGGTTCCAAAAGCTTTAGCTTTGCAGCCACGATTTTTTGAATTTTGACAGTTTTTTGCAGTTTTTTGAAGAATATGTCATAATCCCAAATGTTTTTAACGACATGGAACAAGAATGCGGCCAAAAAAAATCTACTCAAACGAGAGCTGATACCACAGCTTGCTCTACGGGCCATTCGTCGAATATATAATATCAATACGACAAAATAATTTTTCGCGCTATCTTTAGGGCGACCTCGTACTACTTAAATTGGCTCATAAGTCATGAACGACACATTCTTTCCGAATAAACAACAGATTATATATATTAGACCTCATTAAATATGCTTAACTTGATTCCAGTGGCTCTAAGCCAAAATTGGAAATCCCACAATTTTCTCTCAAGTATGGTGAAATCTGAATAAATTTACCTTTTGAAAAATCTAACTGCACATCCTATATTCATATCAGAACATTATCAAACTGTCCAACTTTGTAGTTCTGAATCTTAATATTTCTTTGAAATTTTTATGTTAAGGTATTCAAAATTCAAAACGTTATTTTTCAGAACTGAAATGAAATTTTTACAAAATCTTCAAACCGATTATGGTACCTTGAAAGGAATGGTATTTGACGCCAAATAAACCAAACCAGCTCTATTAGAAGCTGCTAAATGTGGTCTAAGTATTAATTATCTTGCAATCAGACGTTTTTTGGCATTTTTTGAACAAGCGATTAAAAAATCAAAATTAGTGTTCTCTGAGTGATACTACCATGAATTTACTCCAATTTTGCTGACGATTGCAATGAAATTAGATTAAAAGTTACATTTTGCATATTGAGGGAGTTATTTTCTAAAAAAATTCAAAGATTACAGTAAGACTGCATACAAGCTGATTGTGGGTGGTAAATTTTATTCGCCACTTTAGCATCTACTATCTACAATTTACGAATTATAATAAGGGGATAAAATTTTATATTTCAATTGTCTATGTAATCTTATTCATTCCATCCTAAAGATAATAAATCACTTCTAATTTCATCTTCTTTTTGAATTTTAATTAATTGAGTAGCTTCTAAAGTTTCATTATTTGCTTGTTTCATTTTTAATTGTTCAATAGCTCTTAATTTTTTTAATAATGATCTTATCTTTTTTTCTTCCAATGAAGCAACACCACCAATCACACCTTGACCTTGACCATTTACAGGTTCCGGAGTTGAAGTTTTATCAGAATCGTTATTTTCTTTTTCATCAGCCTGTTTATTAGATTTCGCTTCTCTTTTCTTTCTATTCTTTGCAGCTGCTTTTGATTCTTTTTCTACAACTGGAGCAGCACCAGGAACAACTTTAGTTCTAGTTAAACCAGGAGGACCGTTTTTAATTTGATTTTGTAATTCTCTTTGTTGTAATGAACTTGAGGTAGTTGTTGAACTATTTGAATTTCTAGCATGTGGTGGTCTATAAGCCCCCATTTTCTTTGGTGCTGCATTAGCTCCATTCGCACCTTCTTTCTTTTTCAAATATTCTTTAGCAGAATCATGTGATTCAGGAGCTGGTTCCAAAATCTTCAATGGTGGGAATTTTCCTAAATCTTGTGGTTTCCATCCAATTGAATATAATTCATTAAATTCATTAATATATATTAATTTACCACTTGCGTGCCAAATTTTTAATCCATTATCAACTCTTAATCTTGGACTTGTAGTTGCAGTCAATATAAATCTTCCACATGGACTCCATTCACAAACTGATGTATTACTAGCTTCAAATGTAACAACTTTATTAAATTTATTTTGACGATCATATACATCTACTTGACCTTGTAAATTACCAAAACCAGCAACTAATACAAATTTAGCATGTGGTGAATACAATATAGTATTTCTAGGTAATGGAACAGGTAATGAATAAATTGCATTACCTCTAGCATCAAAAAATGTAGTTTCAGAAGGCATATAACCATAATTTACAGCAAATTCTCTAGCTGTTGGAGACCAAGTAATATCATGAATTGGTCCTTCTCTTTTTAAATCAATTCTAGAATTATAATTACCTGCAATTCCTAAAAGATATAAATTTGTTTCTCCATAATATGATTTATTCAGTTTGTCATGATCTATTGAAGATAAAGCTAATACAGCAGTACCTAAAACATTCCATTTCAATTGACATTTTTCAGCTTTAAAAAAATTCTTAAAACAAATTGGTGAATTAAAATTGGGGATATTGTATATGGATACATTTGCTGGTTTACCAGATTTTTCAGGTATGAAAATTGCAATTGCTGGATTTTTACCTGGTGAAATTTGAAAAGTTGAATAACTTAACTCTGACTTGTATCTATATGTTGGAGTGTTTATATTTATCACATCTTCACTTTTTGGATCGATTTCATAAAAGAATATTTGTTGATTATTGTTTATACCACCACGAGCAAAAATTGATTCATCAGATGTAAATTGAGGTTTCCAACCATTTTGATTACGTACTGACCATTCAGCAATGAAAGTTTTAGTTACCAAGTTGAATATTTTTAAATTATTATTCCATACAGCATCAATTTGTGCAGGTTTACACCAAAGGCATAAATAAGTACCCTGTGGTGAAAAATTTAAATCAAAAATTTCGTCAGAATCTAATTTAATAGAATGATATAATTTAGCAATATTTGTAGTATCAATTATAAATACTTCATTTGGTTGAGTGTATGCAAATCTTTCACCATTTGAGGAATATAATGCACATCGAACTTCTAAATTTGGTTTTGGTAATGGTGTTACATCTTGATAATCTTGTATTAATTCGATACTTTTAGGTAATCGACCTAGAAAATGTTAGTATTAGCCCATCAAAGTAGTTTAATTTCTTACATACAGAATATTTCAGTTGATTTTGACATATCTACTCTATTCTTTCAAAAGATTGTTGTAAGAATTGGAATTTTTTTTGCGTCCTAATAAAAAATCTATTCGTGATGAATTTGATGCAACTTGAAAAATTTAATATGGTTGCAAAATATGTAAACACGCTGAAAAACTGACTATACATGCTAATACTTTGATATAACTCAATGTAAAATTTGTCTATGGCATAAAGACTAATCTGATAAGAGTTGAAGCTAAGTTAATTGGCTTTAATTGATCAAATTTGGTTAGTTTTCTAAACTTGATTAGTAGATACCCAATAGATTAATAGGATTGGCCTACATCGATTACTGATCTCAGGCCTAGTTCATTTCTGAGGACGAGTAATTACGTCCTTCCACTAGTTTAATTGGCTTAAACACGTTTTTCTCTGTTGAGTTTTAGGGTAAGGTTATAAATAGACCTTAAGCAATCCAAACACGAACTGAAATCAGTACAAATAGTCCTTGGTTTTGATCCATTATGTATGAATCTCAGTGATAATGCTCAGAAAACAGAGCATTAAAGTAATCAAATTGTAAAAATTATACATTTCTCATTGTTACAAAATTAAACAACATCTTTACTTTACTTCACCAAAATTTAAATGTCCAGTTTCATTAGCATGATTAGAAGCACCCATTTCACCAACTAAAACAGAATAACAGTCAAGACATCTAACTCTAAAGGTAGTAGTATTAGTTGAATAATCCTTTTCTTGTAAATTTTTAGTCAATGTATCAGCAGCTTTAATTATATCCTTATCTTCAGGCAATTTCCAATTTCCTTTATCATTAATAGTAAGAACATCATAATGTATCCCTGAATAAATCAACATAATGTATTTCTCTTCATTACCCGTCTCAAATCGCATGAAATTACCAGATTCTATATCGATACAAATTATCCTAACTTTGAAATGGGAAGATAAAATACCTAATTCAATCGCACCTCCCCAACTCTCATTTTTAAGTATCCATTTACAATAATCTTGTCTATCTCGACCTAAAATTGCATCATTATATAATATTGGATCTTTTTCAATATACTCCACAACAATTTTTCTTAATTCTTGCGGTTGTGGCCCTTTTATAGCATATGATATTGAATTGAACAAACATGAATTATCATCTGGGATATTATGAAGTTTAAGATATGAATTAGACAGCGGAATTAATACTTGCGGTATGTCGAAATTTGCTTTCTTGTTGTCTGTTGATGATTCCGGCTCTGATTTTCGTTTCTTGGATGTTTCTTTTAAATATTCTATGAGTAATTGATCTCCATCTTTGATACCTTTATCTGAAATTGAGCCCGATGTTTGATTTAGATCTATTGGTTTTGGTGGGAAACCAGTTTTTATTGATGTGACTTCTTCTAAATCTTTTCTTATGTAATTGTCTAAAAACTGTTTAAATGCAGTTTCTTTATCTATTGTTATTGTTTCTATTCCTTTATTTGATTTAAGTTTCAATCTCATTGTATATCGATTAAACTTTATAAATTTCGAATGCGAATGAAGAAAATTGATATCGTAAATTGAATCTTACATATGCAAGACATAAAATTACTGATGCGAGTTTGACATGAGAACTAAACCATGAGCTCGGGCATAAATATTAACCAAATTTACAGTTCTCATTAGAGAGTAAATCTCAGGAGGGTATACTAAGTTTTTTTAGCCTTCAAAGATTTGTTTTTTTAATCGACTAAACTAAGAAGCCAGAGAATTAAAACGCCTAGTCAGAAAGTGAATTGTAGCTTGCAAATGTAAATTGCTTGACCTAAACGTCACTTGTATATATAAATTCAAATCTATATCGATATATGAAATATAATTTTGAGATACCTGCTCTCGATTTATTGAACTAAGTACTTCAGTTTCGTGAGCTTCTACCTTCTAATGTTACTCAGCTAACTTAATAGAACAACTAATAGTGATTCTAGCCCTTTTGTGTGGATGTTGTAGGCAAAATGTTATTTTATGAAAATGCACAATGGTTACAAAATGGTTGCAAAATGGCTGCAAAAAAAAAATCAAAAACTTGAATGCGGAATTATGATTTTTGAAATTGTCGAATTGTCGAATTTATTCAGCCATTGCAACTTCACCTTGACCTTCAACTTTAACTACTTGTTCCAATTCCTTTTCTTGTTCCTTTTTAAATTCTTCAGATGGTATTCCAGTAATTAATGCATCCAAGTTATCTTTCTTTATATTGTTCAATTTATCAAAGTCCTCTTTGTTCTCTAATTTATATTGTTCTTTCGATTTATATTTCTCTACTGATTCCATAAATTTTTGCATATTTACTCCACCAGCAGCTTCAGCTTCTAATGGAGTATAAGGTCTTTGCTTCAATAATTTTACTCTTCTTTTATGAATTTTTGACAGTTGATGTCTATTTAAACTTTGTTGATTTTCGAAATATTTACTACATTCAATACAATAATATTGACCTAAACCAGGTTTATATTCATCCAATGGTTGGTTTTTTAATTTATATATCGATTCTTTAGTTGATAAATCATCATAAATCAAATCTAAATCACGTTCTCTTCTTTTTGTTTTATATCTTTTAACTGAATATCTACCCATGATAACACACTGATAACGATTTAAAGAATTGATTTGATCTCATCTCATCTCGAGCCAAGTATTGATCACGCGTTGTTCACATGTTTTTTTACAGGGCTATGTAGTGTATTTTGGTTAATTACGATTAGTAATTTTTTTTTCACCTTGCGAAATTCAACTAACAAAAATTAAATTTTGAATTTTAATACTTTTCATCAAGTAAATCCGAAGGTATGTTTAAATATAGAGATAATAGTGGATTAATATGGAGTAGATTATACAAGAAATGAAATATTAAATTATACAAGACAAGAGAGATAAGGGTGAAAAACAAGTGGATGGGAATCTGAAACATTTTTCATTTTTGATTTGTAATCAATTGCCAGACTATAAATTTGAAACAATTTCCACAATTTTTTAAATTTCATTTTACTAACGAGTTTATTAGACAAAATGGCTAGAAGACCAGCTAGATGTTATAGATATTGTAAAAACAAACCATATCCAAAATCAAGATATAATAGAGCTGTTCCAGATGCTAAAATTAGAATCTATGATTTAGGTAGAAAAAAAGCACCAGTTGCTGAATTTCCATTATGTGTTCATTTAGTTTCAAATGAATTGGAACAATTATCATCAGAAGCTTTAGAAGCTGCTCGTATCTGTGCTAATAAATATATTACTAAAATTTCAGGTAGAGATTCATTCCACTTAAGAGTTAGAGTTCATCCATTCCATGTTTTAAGAATCAATAAGATGTTGTCATGTGCTGGTGCGGATAGATTACAACAAGGTATGAGAGGTGCTTGGGGTAAACCACATGGTTTAGCTGCTAGAGTTTCAATTGGTCAAGTTATTATGTCAGCAAGAACTAAAGATTCAAATAAAGAAGTTGTTATTGAAGGTTTAAGAAGAGCTAGATATAAATTCCCAGGTCAACAAAAAATTATTATTTCTAAAAAATGGGGTTTCACTCCATTAAACAGAGCTGATTATGTTGAAAAAATGAATAATGGTGAAGTTAAAGATGATGGTGCTTATGTAAAATTTTTATCTAAAAAAGGTCCATTAGAAGCAAACTTGAAACAATTTCCAGACTATCAATACTCACCACAAGAAATCTAAATTATATAATTTAGCTTAATATAAATTGATCTATAAAAAATTTAGTTTACTTCACTTGTTTTCTTTATCTGTTTTATTTAATTGGTAGCTTTCTCTGATTTGGTAGCGATCTTGATAACTTCTCATTTAGGTTAAACTTTTCAAATCTAGGCATAAATTTTAGATCTACAATTATTTTACTCCTTAAAAAAAATTATAACCATCGTCATCTTTTTCTTTTCATCATGGCATCTTCAATTAATACATCTTCAGACGTTTTTATTAGTGGAGCAGAAGAGTTTCAATCACCATCGTCTCCAGAACCAGATTTGGCATTATTTGATCATATGGATGAACAACATGAATCTATATTAAATCAACAATTTGAATTACATAAACCAACACAAAACTCAAGACCTTTTTTAAATGATAGTCAAAAATCATGTATTAAAAAAACATTAGTATTTATTGGATATACAATTTCAACTATTTTATTTTCTTTAAATTTATATATTTATTATTTTTTTATCAAATTGAGTTATGACGATGAAACAGCAATGAAAATATTAAATAATGTAACGAGAGTGCAAGAAAATGCAATAAATAATTATCATAGAAGAAATGGAAGTGATGGATATGATAGAGATGATTAATGATGCTTGTAAGGATGTTATCAACATTTGAAGCGATTAAGATACGATGATTGATTTTTTTATTTGTTTTTGTTTGTGTATTAATAGTTTTTAATTTGATTTTCAATATATATTTATGGGATTTTCTTCAATTAGAAATGAATTGAGCTCAATTGTATCTACTTTTCGGAGTTTTATAAGCCCAGTGCAGCTCTAAAAAGTGGCTTTTAAAGCAGAAAGAAGCTCATAAAACCACTTAAGATTGATATTATTTCATCGTCATAGTTTACTCTTTCTTTAGACTAATTATTACTCAAAACACGTATATTATACCAAATTAGTGCTGATTCAAGAGACACGTTGAAAATTATTTTATTTGTCGTTCAAAACAAAAATAGAAAAAAAAAAAATTATTTTATTTCATCAATTTTTGTTCTTTCCAATTAGTATATTTCAATATGTCATTTTCATCAAAAGAAGATCCAAAAACTTTGGTATTATTCGATGTTGATGGTACTTTAACACCAGCTAGATTAACAATTTCTGAAGAAATGAAATCAACTTTGGAAAAATTGAGAAAAAAAGTTGTTATTGGATTTGTTGGTGGTTCAGATTTAAGTAAACAAGTTGAACAATTAGGTCCAAATGTTTTAACAGATTTTGATTATTGTTTTTCTGAAAATGGTTTAACTGCTTATAAATTAGGTAAAGAATTAGCTTCACAATCATTTATTAAATGGATTGGAGAAGAAAAATATAATAAATTAGCTAAATTTATTTTAAGATATCTTTCAGATTTAGATTTACCAATTAGAAGAGGTACATTTATTGAATTTAGACATGGTATGATCAATGTATCACCAATTGGTAGAAATGCAAGTACTCAAGAAAGAAATGAATATGATGAATTTGATAAAAAAGCAAAAATTAGAGAAGATATGGTTTTAGCTTTAAAAAAAGAGTTTCCAGATTATGGTTTAACTTATTCTATTGGTGGTCAAATTTCATTTGATGTTTTTCCAACTGGTTGGGATAAAACTTATTGTTTACAACATGTTAAAGATGAAGGTTTTGAAAATATTCATTTCTTTGGTGATAAAACTTATAAAGGTGGTAATGATTATGAAATTTATAATGATGAAAGAACAATTGGTCATGCGGTAAATAATCCAAATGATACAATTAGAATTTTAAATGAAATTTTTAAATTAGATAATTAAATTAATTAATATAGACTATTTACAATAATGAATAACTAATAATATTCTTTATAAAAGCAATCTCTTATCGTTTGTGTCATTTAAATCATTAAGTTTTATTTACAATAATAAATAACGGAAGCATCATTACCAGCGACGATCTTTTGAGTTACATTACCCTTCTTCATCTTATAGTCATGTAGCAAAGTCAATCTCTTACTATTAGTATCATTTAAATCATTAATTATTTTTGATTTGTTAGTTTGGTCAGGCTCAATTAATTTTGGTAATTTAATGGGTTTGCTAGATTTAATCTTTTTACCATTTCCTAATTGTCCATTTTCATTAGCACCACAAGCATAAACATCTTTAAACTCACCTGCATTATCCAATGTAATAAATAAATGATTCTTACCAATGGAAATATCACTAATACCTATATTAGTAACTCTGTTTTCAGCTTCATTAAACTCTTGCAAATTAGTTAATGATTTAACAATCTCAGGCCACGATGATATTTGTTTATATTTACCACCGCCCAATTGGCCGTCAATACCATTACCAAATGATAATATAACATCTTGAGAGTGATCTAAATTAATTAATAAATAAGATGAATCATGACCTGCTAAAACTTTCTTAATCTCAATTGATTTTGGATTCTTAATTACATTTCTGCAAATTCTTGACAAGTCAGAACTGTTGAATATTGGTCTAGGTATTGGTTTCAAATCAACAGTATTTATCTCGCCACATTGTCCATATGAATTATCACCCCATATCCAGACATTTCCAGTTGAATCAGATACAATATTAAAATAACTACCACTTGCAACATGACTGAATGTTCTAGGTTTGATTATTTTCTCACCGTTAACTGTTGTAATCTCGTTATTTAATAATGTGATGTCTATAGGTTGATTAACTGGGACTATTTTGTTATCAAATGGAGAATATGAGGGGCCATACTGACCTCTATTAACTGCATTCTTATCAGTATTCAATATCAAGACCTTACCATCCTTTGTCAATAATAATACATGTGATCTACCACTAGTAATTTGTTTAACATTTTTTAAATTTTCAATTTTGTTAAATTTTTGAATCTTAAATAAACCTAACCAATCTCTAGTTTTATCTTCACTAAATCCATCTCTTTTAGAATATATTACTTCTCCTTTATTAGTCAAAAAGTAAAAATAATGCTCAGTAGGTACTATTTTATCAACGTTATATGGAATTTCAACCAATTTTGGATCTTCCTTACTTGATTTCTTCCAATTATATATTTTTCCTTTATCCGTAATTGCAATAATCATATCCTTTTCAACATAAACATCTTTAAATACCATATTATTGAAGAATGGAATACGAAGCGGTAATTTGGACTCATCTCCTCCAAAATAATACAACCCAGAGACTTCCTTTGAGTTTTGTAGATTCGCCAAATTGTCATCATTTAATTCAGCACTCAATTGTTCGAGTTTATATGCTTTTGATTTTGTATTTTTAAGTTCTTTAGTCGTATCTTTAAAATCTGCATAATTGAAATCTTGTAAAATTCGATTTTTAATTGATCCATAATTCATAAATATTTGATGAGCAGAAATTAATCCAATAATAGTAGCGATGGCAATGAACAACCCTTTAAACCCCTCTCTGATCTGTTCTCTTTTTTGCTCTTTGTGTGCATTTATAAGAAATTGTTGATGTAATTTATGCATTTGTTCTTTATATTCTGGACTACCATACTCAAAAGCTTTTAAACTTGGATCAGATTCTAAAATTTCATTTATATTTACAATGTCTCTTTCTGCTGTTTTTTGTTTAATCTTTTCGGGATTTATCTTTGAATCTAAATCATTTATTGAGTCAAAATTATAACCAAAATTATATTTTGTTTTACTATTATTAAATTTCTCAATATCTGAATACTTATTTGACTTGGAATTGAATCTGATACACTGTAGTTTTACTGGTTTCTTTAGTCCACCCCTTAATATTCTAATCATCATTGATATATAAGTATTTTTTTTTTTTTTTTTTGGCGTATTAAATCTGAAACAAATTAGCAATATGTTTATAAGATCACCAATAATATTTAAACCATGGGTTAATAGTAGGTGTTTGTCTAGTATTACCAAATTTGATACTAGAAAATTTGTACGATCTTTACAAGAACAAGGTGGATTTAATGAAAAACAATCAGAAGCAGCTGTATCGATTGTAAATCAAGCTATAAATGATGGTATATATTCAATTACAAATAATTTGGTTACTAAAGAAACCTTAAGTTCAATAGCTTATCAACAAAAAGTTGATTTTGCAAAATTAAAAGGTGAATTACAAACACTTGATAAATCGGAATTTTCAAGTCTTAAAAAAGAGCAAGAAAAATTAAGAACAGATTTAACAAACTTAAAAAATAGATTAAAAGAAGAAATTACCAAAAATCAAGCTAGTGTAAGATTAGATTTAAATTTAGAAAAAGGTAGAATTAGAGAAGAAAGTTCTGTTCATGAATCAAAAATTGAAGATACATATTCAAGAATAGATGAAGAAGTAGCAAATATGCAAATGCAAATCAAATCGGTTAAAACACAAGTTTTACAATGGTTGATGGGTGTAAGTACTGGTTTACTTGCATTACTATTTACATTTACAAGGTTCTTCTTATAAGTTACATAGTTTAGCATTGTATATTATCACGAAAAAAAATATATATATATCAACAAACAATTGATTGATGAACTCTGTTTATAATCATGGGTTAAAACAAACTCAAACAATAACTAAAGATCTAACTGAATTTGAAAAGAATTTATCTACTTCTCCGTTATCTTTACAAGGAGCTATAACAACATCAATAACAGCATTTAAAAAAACAATTAAGGAATATCAAGATTTACTCGACAAAAATATCACCAGTGAAACATCAACAAAACATGAAAATAGATTAAAAAAATTTAATTGTGATTTAATTGATTTCCAATCTAAATTTGATAATTTAAAAAAACAAAGAGAAATACTAGTTCAAGAATCAGATAAACAGGAATTATTAGGAAGAAGACACATACAAACACAACCACAGAATAGTAATAATAATACAGATAATCCATATAATCCAACACAACACCAACAACAGACTATGTCATATAGAGAAGGCTTATATCATGAAAAATCATCATTAGAACGTGGGTCTCAACAATTGGATAAAATTTTAGAAATGGGTCAACAGGCATTTGAAGATATTGTTGAACAAAATGAAATATTGAAAAAAATTCAAACTACTTTTGAATCTAGTTTAGTTACATTGGGAGTTAGTCAAGGTACAATAAGGAGTGTAGAACAAAGAGCAAAACAAGATAAATGGTTATTTTGGTTTTGTGTAGTAATGATGTTGGTTATATTTTATTATATAGTTAAATGGTTTAGATAATAACAACATTTTTCAGATGGAGAGATTGATTTTGGGGTAACTAATATAATATATGATAATTTTTGGTTGACAATACAGTTGATTTCAAATTTACCATTTACCATATCGAGAAGTGATTAGTAAAATTAATTTTTCTAAGCCGTTAATCATGCCCCACGAAATCGGTTATATTAATAACTATTAAAGGTTAAAAAACTAAAGAGATGGGCTCGAGACTTGGCTTAGGTATGAGAACTTATCTATTTGAAGTAATTTAATAATCTGAAACAAATTTAAATGTTGATCACGTGAATTTTGCAGCATGTTTTTTTCTTAATTTCGAAACAAGTTACCATTGGTTTATATGATGATGTTATCATGAATTATCACTGTATATATCTATCTGGTCACCCCCACTTAGACAATAAACTGTTACACTTTTGACATTTTCGGGTTTTAAATTAAACAAACGAAGTTTCAAATTTTACGATTACAATAAGTATTTTTATTTTGGTAGCTTATGTAATATTATTACCAAATTAGGTAAATTGACGAATGGGTGCAAAATCAAATTAGGTAAAATGATAGAAGTTCATCATATACTACTGAAACTTGATATAAAATGATTTCTAAATCTTCAAATCCAGAATTAAATTAAAAATTTTTAATTATTATCACTATCTTATCAGATTCAGATTCACTCCTTTGTGGTATATATTAATATTCATTCATTTTTATACTGTTCATCATTCATATAATAAAATATAGTTAATGAAAACTCTTCATTTGTTAGCATCAATTGTAATAATTATTGGTGCTTCAGAAGCTGCTCCAGTTAAAAGAGGATTTTGGGATGATTTATTTGGTTTAGATCAAACTACGACTCAAGCCGTTGCAGCTGCAACTACTACTCCACAGGCAGTCACTATACCTACTCAGCAAGCAGTTGCTCCAGCTCAACCTGCTACTACTTCATCATCTGGTGGATTTTGGGCTAATTTATTTGATTTTGATACCCCATCAACAGCAGCAGCTACAACTCCAATTACTACACAAGCTCCAGTAGCTCAAGCTCAACCAACTGCAGCCACTACAACTTCAAGAGGATTTTTAGCTGGCTTATTAGATAATTTATTTGGTAATAATGATTCTACAACTTCTCCAACCACAGCTCCAGCAGCTATAAGTATACCAGCATCAGTTCCAACTACATCACAACAACCAGCTCCAATAGCGTCATCACCAACAACTGCACAAGTTCCAGCAGCTACAACAACATCAGGAGGTAGAACAGCTCAAGAATTATGGGATTTCTTTTTTGGATCAAGTTCTTCAAATGCTGCTGTTTTATCTCCAGCAACTACACAACCAATTCAATCATCATCTAATAATGTCAATTCTTTAATTAATACTTCACAATCACACGTTTCATCTATAGCTTCATCAAATCCAAATACATTAGGTTCAACATATCAAGGTGGATCACCAGGTAAAAATACCGAATCAATCAACACTGCAACCGCAACTGCCATTAATGGTGGTAGTACAGATGGTGCAGAAGTAGCTGAAGGAGCATTAGGTATTACCTATTCACCATACACAAAATCTGATGGTTGTAAAACAGCTAGTGAAGTTGCTTCTGATATTGCTAAGTTATCAAGCTATGAAGTTATTAGATTATATGGTACTGATTGTTCAGGAATTGAAAATGTATTATCATCAATGCATTCAGGTCAAAAATTATTCCTTGGTGTTTGGAATGCTGCAACTCCAACAAATGAATTAAGTGATATTGTTAAAGCTATCAATAATTCAAATCAAGGTTGGGATGTTGTTCATACAATTGCAATTGGTAATGAAAGAGTTAATGCTGGTGTTTATACTGCTGCACAAATGAAAACATATGTCGATCAATCAAGACAATATTTGAAACAAAATGCTCCGCAGTATACTGGTCCAATAGTTACTGTAGACACATTAGTTGCATATTTAGCCAATCCATCATTATGTGAAATGTCAGATTATTTAGCTGTTAATTCACATCCTTATTGGGATGGTGGTGTACAACCATCAAACTCCGGCCCTTGGTTACAACAACAAATTTCATCATTACAAAATGTTTGTGGTAGTCAAAAAGAAGTGTTAATTACAGAAACTGGTTGGCCAACACAAGGTCAAGCTTATGGACAATGTGTTCCATCAGTACCAAACCAAGTTAGCGCTGTCGCATCAATTAATAAATCAATTGGTGCAAAAACTATAATGTTTACAATGTACAATGATTATTGGAAAGATCCAGGCGCTTACGGAGTAGAACAACATTGGGGATTATATGGAGATCCAAGTGAGTAAACAATAGCTCATTAGCCTGCTTTTATTAAAAACGTTATATTTCAGTTCTTTAGATGTACCATTTATTTGCTTATGTAATTTGTTTCAGAAGTGTATATTAATATAGTAGTGTACTTTGTAACAGAAGAAAATATATATTTCGATTTATTTTTTTTTTTTTTTTCTCAATACCAAATAATTATCAAATAAACAACCAATAGGTAGTTATGTCAGATAGAGAAAAAAAGAAGTTACATTCGAGAATTCAACCATTATATGAAGGTATATATCAATTAAAAGATGGTGGTTATGAAATAAATGTCCCATTTCATACGTTGCCTTTAAGAACAGGCACTGATTATTATAAAATTATTTTAAATCCATTATCATTACATGCTGTTGGTCGTAAAATTAAAAAATTTCAATATAATGATGCGCAAGAATTTATTGATGATTTGGCTTTAATTTCATGGAATGCAAGATATTATAATGAACCAAATTCAATAATTTATAGGTATGCTCAAATTTTACAAAATTATATAAATGAAGTTGTATTACCAAAATTAAGAAATGATAAAATGATATCAAATGGTCCAAATTTAAAATATCCATATATTGGTGAATTACCTGAAAATAGAGAAAATGATCAATTAACCGGATTTTCATTTGATAATATAAAGTTCAACAATAACAATAACCATAATACACCTGTCCAAACTTTAGAAAGTACTCCAATACCTACTCATCATCAAGATTATGAAATGAGTGTTACTCCACAACAAATACCAGAGCCTATAAATCCATCAAAACCATTAGTTCAAACTGGTTATAATACAAGACAAATTTCAAATCCAACTCCAATTTCAAAACAAACATTATATCAACAAAAACATTCAAAACAATCATCTTCACAACAACAAATTGAATCTGGTATAAGAAGAGGTAGACCTCCAATTATTGATAAACCATTTGAAACAAGAATCAAATTAATTTTAAAAGGTTTTAAAAAATTAAGATCATCAGCTGGACAACCATTAACAAAACATTTTGAAAAATTACCTGATATAAAAATGTATCCTGATTATTTTCAAATTATTCAAAATCCAATAAGTTTAGCAGAAATTAGAATTAAAGTTAGATCTAGAAAATATCATTCAGTTGAAGAATTTATAAATGATTTAGATTTAATGTTTGCTAATTCTCAACAATATTTTCAAAATGATCCTTATAGTGAAGAATCTTTAGACTATCAACAATTTAAAAAAGAAGCTCATATGGTTATACAAACAGAATTAAGTAAAAGTGATAAAGAAATTATATTAGCAACTTCAAGTTCTTCAGATGGTGTTTTAAGATTCCCATTAGAAACTTTAGAAGTTAATGGCTATTCATATAAAATTGGTGATTGGGTATTAATGAAAAATCCAGCAGATCCAGAAAGACCAATAGTTGGTCAAATTTTTAGAATGTGGTCTACTGAAGATGGTAAAAGATATTGTAATATGTGTTGGTATTATAGACCAGAACAAACTTGTCATGCAGTTGATAGGTTATTTTTTCAAAATGAAGTTTGTAAAACTGGTCAATATAGAGATCATTTAGTTGATGATGTTGTTGGACCATGTTATGTCTTATTTTTAACAAGATATCAAAAAGGTGATTTACCAGAAGGTGTTATACCAAGAGATGCACCATGGTTTATTTGTGAATTTAGATATAATGAAACATCTCATGTTTTTAATAGAATTAGAACTTGGAAAGCTTGTTTACCTGATGAAGTTAGAGATGATCCTGAACAACCATTAGTTCCACTACATGAAAATAGAAAATTGATAAAATATGAATCTCCAATTAAACATTTATTACCACAGGGTTCTTATGTAGGTATGGCAATTCCTGAACCAGTACCAGGTACTGCTAATTCGCCACCTATTACAGGTTCGGTTTATCTTTCATCACCATTACCAAATGATGATTTAGGTCAATATATTACATCACCAAATACTGTTCCTGTACCAGAACATGATGATATGAAACACGGTAGAAGAGCTTATTTATTCACACCAATTTCTCAATTAAAAGGTGGTGGAGGTTCAACAAATGCAGTTTATGCAACAACTCCAGCATTACCTCATGGTTCACCAAATCATGAACCAGCAAGACCAAATATGTCATCAACTTTGTCTAGTACGTTACCTTCAACAACTAATATACCAACAATATCAACAAATACAAGTTACAACACATATTCAAAACCAGTATATCCACAACCACAACCACAACCACAACAATCACAAATTTCACAACCTCAATTACCTAGTGGTTATAGATCATTACAAACTGAAATGCAAGAAAATCAAGCTAAAAAATTACAAGAACAACAATTTCATCAATTACAACAACAACAACATCAACAATTATTTAGAAAATCAAATTCACCAACTACACAAGATTTAATTCCTCAAAATACAAATTATCATACTTCAACATCAACATATTCGAATTTATTACAAGGTGGTACTTTGGCTTATGGATTACAAGAAAATGAAAATGAAAGTGATATGGAAGATGATTTAGATTCTGATTTGAATGGATTAGGTCAATTTATAAATAAAAAACGTAGAATTATAAATGTTGATGGTGATTATGTTAATGAATTGATTTTTTATAGAGCTCCTCCAGTTTTAATTAGTGGTTCAAATAGAATTATAACTAATAATGGTACTGAATTAGGAAATTCTGCAAAATATTTAGCTTGGAAAATTAAAAATGAAAAGGGTAAAGAAACAAAAGCTTGATTACGGATTGAATTAAATATTGTTGGATTTTGGTATAGTGTATTATTAAAAATATATGAATTAAGAAGAATGAAATTTGAATTGTTGGCAATTTAAGTTGATATTGAGCTCATGAATTGTAAATTCTGTCATTCGAAACGGCTGCAAAATCAATTTCATAGACGTTTTATTTGCGATTACTTAGTGCTCTTCGGTTAAAAAGCTATACTACATATACCTTAGTGTTCTTCACTTAAAAAGCTATACATAACATCTCAACCTTCTTATTACGTTGAATCCTTTGTATTTTAGATCTAACTGTGCTATCGGTAGTCATTTACCAATCCTTTTCTATTCTTTGATCTTCTCTTATCAGCAGCAATTTACTTTTTTTTTTTATTATTTTTGGTCTGCAATTTCAAAAATGTTAATATGAATTCACAATTACAACTCCTTGAATTTCAAGAATATCTTAAATCATGTAAAAAGATAATAGCATTAGTAGGTGCTGGTTTATCAGTATCGTCAGGATTACCAACATATAGAGGTACAAGTTCAGCTGGTGCACCCCTCTGGAAAAATTTCAATATGATAGATTTAGCCACTCCCGATTCATTTTATATTGACCCTGGTCTAGTATGGCAATTTTATCATTATAGAAGATATAAAGCATTAAACGCAAGTCCAAATGACGGACATTATACATTATCTAAATTATCTAAACTTTCCAATGTTAATTTTCTCACAATTACTCAAAATGTAGATGGATTGAACTTAAGAAGCGGTCACAAGAAATCTAAATTGATTGAAATTCATGGAAGTTTGTTCGGTACTAAATGTACTAATTTCACTTGTAATTTTAAAGAAAATGAGAATTTTAAAATGCCAATGACTGAAGCATTGGATACACCTGAAGATGATGATAGGGTGAGAGCAATTGATGAGAAAGACCTACCTCGTTGTCCCGTCTGTCAAGGTCTACTACGTCCCGATGTTCTTTGGTTTGGTGAGAGTTTATCATTGAATAAAATGAATAAAATCGATAATTTTATAGAAGCTAAGGATGGTGTTGATTTAATTTTGGTCATTGGGACTTCGGGCACTGTATATCCTGCTATTTCTTATGTTGATAGAGTTGTTTTAAAAGGTGGAAAAGTTGCTATTTTTAATACTGAAATTGAAGATGATATATTGAATGGGAAAAGGAAAAATTATTGGGGGTTTAGGGGTGATGCTGCTGAAACTTTACCTACTGTTTTAAAACCATTATTGGAAGAAAATGGGGTTGTAAAAGATGACAAGAAGGGAGCTATATGAGATTAAGGGACTGGTAATTTGTGAATTTTGAAGTAAAAGGAGATTTAAATCATGATCATCAATGTTGAAACGGTTTGAAGTGCTTTCTTATTAATTGATTAACATTTAAGCTACGTGGGTAGTAAATCCAGACTCGAATGCCTAATAGATTGATATAAGCTTTCGTTTCACATGCAAACTAATACCATTGATCTAAAATCTAAGCCAACAGAAGCAATTTTCAGATGTTATGAAAAACCATTACTATCCAAAAGCTAATACTAGCCTCTTTATTGCTGGAGTGCTTAATGAACTTCAAATAAAAGTATTTGTATTTACTCAATGCTTATTTTCTTACTAAGTAAGGTCAAAAGTTTACATTAACAATTTGCTGCAATATATAATTATTTATTCATTAATCTATCTATTTATTCTAAGTGTTTGTTTAAATTTATAGGTTTGTAAAATGGGTTACCTACTTTACTTACACTATTACTCACTTTTCTGTGATCTAAATGTATACGATTCAAAGTGTCTACTGAGTTAATAGTAATTGATGGTTTCAATGGTGGTCTTCTATTATTAGTTAATTGTGGAGAAGCAGGTTTACTAACTTTATTAACATTAATATTAACATTATTATTGTAATTATATGTGAATATGTCAGTATCAGAATTGACTTTTTTATTCTTTAATGGATTTTCAACAGCAACTGAATCCTGTTCTTGTTCTTGTTCTAGTTCTTGTTCTAGTTCTTGTTCTTGTTCTTGTTCTTGTTCTTGTTCTTGTTCTTGTTCTTGTTCTTGTTCTTGTTCTTGTTCTTGTTCTTGTTCTTGTTCAATTGGTATTTTCTTATTTTCTAGCAATGGACTCTGTAATGTTGTATATTTCGACTGTGATCTTGAATGAGAAGGTGAATTTAATATCTTAATGTCCTCTGGTTTCTCCTGCTCTATGTTAAATAAAGATGATTCTAATTGGAAATAGAAATCAAAATCTTCATTGATATCCGAATTGAAATAATCTTCACTTTGAGGATTAGTATTTGTATTAGTTTGTTTTATTGGCTCTAAATAAGTCATATTTGTATTATCAATTAATTCAAATAAGAACTCATCATTATTAAGTATATCCATGATTGAAAACCAGCTTAGAGATCGGCAATGTGATCTAATTTAAGTCTCTTTATATACTTTTAATTGGATCTGAATTATCGAATTTTCCAATTATAATAAATTATTATTTAGTATATCTTGATTTAATAATTATTTCTGATGTAATTCTTGTATTGTAGTAACCTAACAACCTAAGAACCTAACAACTCAACAACCGCTAAATTAAAGAAGAAATAATAGATGACGAATCAATGAAATACTCTTGGTATCTAGAATTGAAATTTTGCTATAGATTTAAATGAAACAAATGTAATTAATTAAATAAATAGTTCAAGTATTTGAAATGAAATTCTGTCAAAAAAAAAAAAGCCCCTAAGATAGTAGTTTTAAATTGTGGATATTAACAGTTTATATATCAATGATTGTCGAGAGTGAACAAGGAATAGATTGTATGTATATTTCAAGTTTTAGTTTATAAAAGTTTAATGTTTTCGAATATTATTTAATTTTTCTATTAGGCGTCTCCGCAGTTTAACAATTCGTACTGAAAAATTAAGCGTATTCATTGTCACAACCAGGACGAAAGAAGACACAAAAATCAAACACGGAAGAATTAAAACTTGGAACCATACCTGAAAAGGAGAGGTACATCTAGATTGTAAGGCAAAATATCTACCTTTGAAAGAAGTTAATTAATTAATTCGGACGGCTCGAAAATGAAAAGTTATATTGAACATGTCTCAGAAGCACGTAAATTCCTGAAACATAGTTTCAAATCATACATTTGATTATCAACCCACCATAATAGTATTTCTTTTTCGAATTATAATCGAATTGTTGAACTTGTTATCTACTGAAAATATGGCTTTTTGAGTTACATTGAGCAAGTATAACTTTAATAATAAATAAATAGATAAATAACACAAACTTCTAGAAAAGAAATAATTTGAATGGAAACGGAGTAGAGATTGATGCAAAATTGATTATGCATTAGAAACTTGTCAATTCTATAAATATTTCTTAATTGGTATATTTTGTGTAATTTTAATTTAGTTTAGTAGTGTGGAAAGTAAAGAGTAAATTTTTTATTATATAAACCACTTTGTGTATATAAACGGCATTGAGTAAGCAAAATACTAGACAGAAATCATAAGATTTGGACATAAAGAATGTAGATTATTTTTAAAGGGTTAGTTAAAGGGTTAGTTAAAGGGTTAGTTATCTTTTTTGTTGTTTTCGTTTGAACTTGAAGGATATCCATTTCCATGGTAAATTATTAAGTTGTAACTGTAACATCAACAATTTCTTTTATTAGATCATATCAGATCACAAAATTTAACCTAAAACTATAATTAAATAATAAAAATTATTTAATCGACCGATAAATTACAGAAAAGATCTTATTGGTTTTCGAAAATGGAGTACATAATGCTCAAAGCTTACGGTTTTAAGTTTTGTCTGTAGATAAGCTTTCAAATTTTTTAAAACGTATTCTAAAACGTTTATCAACTAAAAATCCAAGGTTATAATAACTCTTTACTCTTAATGGTTATAAAACTAGTGTTAATCATTTGTTAGGACTAATTAAAATAATCATAAGAATAGGAGTAAAACTTAATGGTTACAAATTATTATTATTATATGTCAAAGGCTTATATGAAATTTAGCTCTTTTCATATAAATTAATTTCAATTATGGAGATCCATTTAACAGTTTTTGACAAAATTTTTCAACTTAAATAATCAATTATGTAATTCGATGATGCGCGTTTTCAATTTTCAAAGCGAGAGTAGAACGATGGAAATAAGAGTGGGGGGCTACAAGATATAATTATGGCCGTATGGGCATAATTCAATGCTATCGGTACAGCCAATGAAAATTGAATACTATTTTACGCGTTATAATTAATTTTAATATGCAAATGATTCACAACATAGCAAATCTGGCGAGATTATAAGCATATCGAATTGAAGTAGACTTTAAAATCTATCGACTGATGTTACAAATTTAATGATAGCTTTATTTTTACTCATTTTGAGCTCAGTTGATCAATCAACATGAGCAATAGCAGCGAATTAAGTTTTCCCAAATTCAGACACAGTCGTAAATCTCTTTTTACATAATCACTCTTTATCTTTCGAAAACTTCAACTCCATAATCAAAACCAAGATAAACCTATGTCAAACGTATCAAGACTTGCAGATCCTGTGAGATAATAAGTCTTGGATATTTTTATGTTAAGGTATTCAAAATTGGAAAAGTAATTGATCAAGTTAGTTCGAAATTTTTGCAAAATTTCAAAACGACTATGGCGTCTTGCTATGACGTCTTGAAAACACACTACGATGAATCATTGCACCAAATGAACCGAATCAAGTATTTTAGAAGTTGCTAAACGAGGTCTAAGTGTCGAATATCTTGCAAATTAACGACCTTTTTCATTTTTTAAATGACGAGTAAAGTGATCAAAATTTTGTTTACCCAAGGCCTATTGACATTAAGTTACTTTAAATATGCTTACATTTTTATAATTAAATAAGCTTGAGAAGGTGAACTTGATTATTGTCGGAGTTATTCACAATTCTAATTTCAAAAATGACTATGGAAGGACTGCATATAAGCGATACTTTTCAGGATTGTGCAAGAATGCCTGTATTTTTCAATGCGATAAATTGGCGCAGATAGAATTATTTCTCGAGCTAGCTTTGAGGCGACATAGCATTAAACTAATTACCTCTGTATCTCTTACCTTACAAGGACTCAAATTTTCAAAACTCTATCACCATCTTTGGTGGCACTTGTAGCGAGCGACATCGACTCAAGGCAGGATCAACTTAAGAAGCCACACTAACAGTTGATGTATTAATCAGGAGTTTCGAAAAGTAAAATCTAATTTTTGAAGTTCTTTAACATGTGCGTCCAGGCTCGCTCTAATTATCGTATTGACATTAGTTCATCCGTTTAAGGTCGCGCAAAGTTTATGCGAGCTCGTGTAAAAATTATTATGCAACAGAAGTGCTCACCAATATTTTTTTTTTTCCAACCAATTTTCTACGTCTTAATATCAATCACAATTCATCATGGAATCAAAAACATCAACACCAAACGCAGAAAATTTCTGTAAATGGCAAAATTGCAACAACAAATTTCCAAATGCATCAAATTTAGTATCACATATGAATTCACATACTTCAAATCTAGATAAAAATATTTGTTCGTGGGAAAATTGCAATCGTGAATTACCTTCAAAACATGCATTAATTTCACATATAAGAACACATACTGGTGAAAAACCATATTATTGTCCAATACCTGAATGTGAAAAACATTTCAGTAGAAGTGATGCTTTAACTAAACATGTAAAAGGTGTACATGAGTTAACGAAAACTGAAAATAAAGAACTTCTTGAATTGAGATATGCAGATTATGAATTAAGTTTACCATGGTGGTATAATCAGGACATTATAGAATTATTAAATGATAAAGAAGGTAGACTTGATTTTCCATTTGATTTTAAACAATATAAATTGGCTAACGAAAGGTATAAACGTTTTTTGAATGTTAATAATGAAAATGAAATAGATGATATAATAAAGAAAGATGAGAATAATAGTTTAAATTGGAAGAATATAATTAAGAAACAATTACAATTTGAAAATAAGAAGGTTAATGATATTAACTCAAATGAGATATTGGAGAAATTGACTAATGAGTCAAGAAAATTAATAACGGAATATAAGAAAGAAGATGATAAAGATGAATTTGATGGAATGAATATTCAAGATTTGGAAAAAAGTTATAACGATATGATGAATAAATTGAATACTGGTTATAAAATTAATAAAATTTTAGCAAAATCATTAGACGAAAAGATTAAATTGAAGAGAAAGTATTGGGTTTACAATCAATTGTTTATTGATGCAAATTTGAAGGTAGGATTACCTCCAAAACGATCACTGGTACCTCAAAGAGTAATGCAAGATGAAATTGATGAAGAATTATTAAGATATTGAATATACATATGATAGTCATTCTATTATCTACATCTATCTATAAAGTTTTATTGTTTTGCAACTTACAACAATTCATCTAATCTTGCAGCTGGATTTGTTTCAATAAAATCTAATGACACTTTATGACCTAATAATTCTCTAATATTTGAAACACCATATTTAATCATAGTTGGTCTTTCCAACGATAAACCCCAACCTAAAACTCTTAAATTTTTAGGTAATCCCATTGATTCCAACATTTCTGGTCTAAACATACCTGAATTACCAATTTCAACCCATTTACCTAAACCTTTATGATATGCAAAAATTTCCATACTTGGTTCAGTATATGGATTATAAGCAGCTTTAAATCTTAAATTATCAACACCCATTTTTCCAAAGAAATCATCCATAAAACCAATTAAATCACCTAATGTAATATCGTAACCTGCAATAACACCTTCAACTTGATGAAATTCAGCTAAATGTGTAGCATCAACAGCTTCATTTCTGAAAACTCTATCAATTGAAAATAATCTACATGGTTTTGGATCTTTAGCTAAATCATGCAACATTTTTGATGAAATTGCAGTTGTATGAGTTCTTAATACCATTCTTAAACTTTCTTCTTCTTTCCATGGATATCTATAACCAATTGAACCATATTTACCTTGTTGATGAACTTGTTGAATATTTTTCCAATATTCTTCATCTTCTGGTTTTTTAGCCTTTAATGGATCTTTTAAGTAGAAAGTATCTTGCAAATCTCTTGCTGGATGTTGTTGTGGTACAAATAAGGTATCGAAATTCCAGAAACCAGTTTCAACATATTGATTTGATGGCATTTCTTGAAATCCCATTGAAAAGAAAATCTGTCTAAATTCTTCTCTAACTTTATTTAAGGGATGTAAAGCACCAGATTGTGGGAAGAAACCTTCTGAGTTAAAGTTGTATGGTTTGAATTTTAAATCTTTCCAATTTGAATTAAGAATCATATCTGATGTTATATCAGTTTCCAAATTTACAATTTCTAAAGCAAATTTATCACCTTTTATAACTTTATAACCAATTATTTTAACAGGTGTAATTAACTTTCTCTTTTTTAATTCTGTCAATTCTTTAGCATCTTGCAATGTACCTTTTTCTTTAATTTCTTTCAATTCATTTAACACAGTATCTTCAGGTAAAGTTTCAACTTGAGCAATTAAAACATCTTTATCTTTACTCAACCACTTATTTTTAAATGCTTTACCTTGTCCTACATTTGCACTTGCTCCCAATTTACCTTGTAATTCTTTTATAGTTATACCTTTATTGTTTAAAACTTCATTTACAACTTCAATTTCTGGTGTAAAACCTTTTGCAATAAATGATTCTGATTCTTTAGTTAAACTCCATTTATCAAATTCTAGTTTTTCAAATTTAATCATTTCTTTTGACCATAATGAAGTTAAAACAGCTTGTAAAGTATTTGAATCTATTGATTTTAATTTTGGATCTTCTAAAGTATTTGAAATTATACCATCTTTTGAATCATTCAATATTTGCAATATCTCAAGCTGTAATTTGTCAGTAGATGAAGATGACATGGTAAATATCTAGTTAATTTTGATCGTAGGGTGTGGTGATTTATCTATGATTCATCAATTGAAAAATCAAAATTAAATTTTTTTTTTTCATTGAAAATTACACGACAAAAAATTTGTTTCAAATTTTATTAACTATGATGAAAGTATAAGTATTGAATCACTCGTTGAAACTTGATCTCATCATGCTATTAAGGGTCCAATGTGGAATTGTCGATGAAATTGATATAGTGTGCTACAATGAGCCAAAATTTGAGCGTATTTATAAAATTATCTCCATATGAATATTTATTTCAAAATGGCCACGCTAAATTACGAATTAAAGATAATCCCCAAAGTTGTAGATGTATATGTCTTGAAATATCATTTCCTAGTCATTTTTTCGTTGTCTAAAACCACGAATTTCGCAGGATAACATGAAACTATTGAAGTAATACAAGTTATTAATCCAGTGGCTGATGAACAATCTGGAGAATAAATCGCCAATAAAAGATGACTGATAAAATCCAATCTGGAGAATAAATCGCCAATAAAAGATGACTGATAAAATCCAAAACATAATGTATCAAAATTAATAATTCATGATGTAAATTTACATAATTCTCCGGAGAACGATTTATAAATTCTGTACCTTGATTACTATCTAAATTTAGTAATAAAAACTCGAGCAATTAGTGATTGCTCTACTAAACTATTCGATTCCTTAAAATAAATAGCAATATGGCTGACATTGGTGGCTTGTAAAATTAAGAGACATGATTTCTTAAAAAAACCGCAAGTATTGATTTACATGACGAACATAAAAACTGCTAAGAAAATTTTATTTAGTTTGCTTTGCTCTTTCTGATTTTATAACATTAAGGACCAAAAAGTGATCAACAACTATTAGAACTTGAGGTAGAGAGTTGTCAGAGGTAGTCAATTGAGATGAACAGAGCATAGAATGTAGTAGTAAATTACAAGATGAGTAGCAACAATTAAAAACGTTGTATGAGATTGCCGTTAGCAATGAAAAATGGTGTAAGGCTGTATCGTTGTAATTTATATGCATGACAAAGTTTATATTAATTACTTAAAATTAAGCCGTTAACAATAAAGAATTATTACTATATAAATAGATTAAATTCCTCTTAGGTTTTTTTTCTTTTGCATAATCTTTTTATCATCACTTTATTACCAATTAATTAACAATGCCATTTACTTGTTCAGATATTATCAAAATCATTTTTGCAATTATATTACCACCATTAGGTGTCTTTTTAGAAAGAGGTTGTTCATCATCATTCTTCCTTAATATTATTTTAACAATTTTGGGTTATATTCCAGGTATCATTCACGCTTTGTATGTCATTCTAAAGTATTAGTATAACTTCAATTGAATTGATCTTATACTCTGTAATTGAAGTGGCGCAATTTTGATTTCAGTGTTGCTATTTTTATTAAACGGAATTTGAATTCTTACGAAACAAAACAAAACAAAACAAAACAAAGAATATCTAAAAAGTTACAAGAGAGTTGAATTGAGATGCTAGTATATGCAATGTTTTATATATCATGATGTTAATGAATACTTTTGAAATTTAGGTTATTACTACTGTTACTCTATCGCTACCAATTTGTGGAAAATAAATTATTCTAAAAAGAATGGCATCTTTTGTTACAGTTTTTACAGCTCAGCTATTTACAACTCAGCTATTTGCGCTCTAATATTCAGTTTAGAACGTTTCTCTTCCAACACAGCTTGAAGCATTATCGTCGAAGCCCAATTACGTATCATTTTGATCTATTTAAAGCAAACGCACGACTTTCACGTTTAAATGTATCAACGCTTAAAAACGACAAGTACCTTAATGGAGAAATGAGGCTTTAAACTCTTGATAAAAGAAAGAAAAAATTTAATCAGATTAAACTTTTAGTTATCAGATCTAACATTATTTAATGTCGTGAGACATTTAGAGAAACTTGTCAACAGGGTTGCGTAGTTGAGACTCTAGAACTAAATAATGAAAAGATTTCGTTTAAAAGAATGGACCAACAATTTAATATATTAGGTCTTAATTCGTGCCGTTTTGTTTTATGGAAAAATATGTAACAGAAAGCAATTACAAAATTAGATTACATCTTTTCAATCTCATATATATATATATAAAGAGAAGTTTAGATCCATGATCAGATACGACATACAGTACAAAAATCCAACTCGAAATGCTCTCATCTAGCTTATCACGACTACAACTACACGTTTATATAACAAATGAAGCCCTTTTTAATCGAAATCTCTTTTTGGTTTCATATCTCGGAAATATTTTCAATTTGAGATTTTTTTTTTTTTATTTTTTTTTTTATTTTTTTTTCTTTTTATTATAAAAATTGTTTCATAAATTCAAGATTTCCTTTTTAACAGATAATCAGCGACAACCAACTTGTTGTAACATATTCACTCCTTTCAATATTATCTAAGAGACCAAAGTTAGTGCTTTACCAACTGCTGTGCATTTTTTGACAATATTTCCAAATATCTCAGTTTGTTTCAATTTTAATTTCATTAAAAATTTTGTATTATTATCAACATTTCATTACCACCCCTATTTCATTCACTAATATTTAATATATATGCAATAGAAGCATACTCATTTGCATTTAATTATCATAGCGTTATTTCATCATGCATCCAAAAATCTCAAATTCTATAAAAATACCCTTCCTACAACGAATAGTTCATTCCAAAATTGTTAAATTCATACTTGCAATCATACTTATACTAAACATCTTTTATATTTCATCTATAATAACAGATGGAAACATATCAAAACTAATCAACATCAAACAATCAAATAATATACCCATAAATGAAGATCAATTAACAATAACGCCAACCCATAATGATCACAATACTAAAAAGAACTCACTACCCAAAATTAAATCAATCACTAGTCCCATAATACATTCAGATGATGATTTATACCCCATACCCAATTTACCATATGATAAATTAACATCTGTGGATAAAATTTTATATAAATTAAATGAAGTTACTATTAATAAAGATGGTAAATATTGGTTAGGTCACACTGAATTAACAGATTATGAAATTGAAATTAATGTTTCAGAGTTTCTTCAAGAAAATTGGGTTGGTCAAAATCTCCTATTTTATGATCCTAGATTCACTTTATCTATTTATTTATCAGAAATTAAAAATCAATATCAACAAGGTAATAAAGAAGTGGTGCTACCTTTTTCATGGTCCGATTGGGTAGATTTAACAAAGCTAAATGAAGAACTTGCAAAACCTGAGTCTCAAAGAAAAGGATGTGCTTATTTAAAACAAACTCATCATATACCTACTAAAATTAAAAATTATTGTATTGATAATAATCAAATAACAGATTCAGATTTAAAAGAAATGAAATTACCAAATACAAATTATGTACCTGGTTTTGCTATTCGTCAATCTCCAACTAATAAAGCATCAAATGAAGTTAGAATGTTAGAAGGTAAATCTCATTTATTAACATATGCAAAAAATCCATATAGTATAATTTGGTTGAACAAGAATGGAGGTACATATGAGGTGAAAATAGATGAAAAGCAGAAAATAGTGGATTCTGAAATGTTTAATAATTATTTAAAGAATAATAAAATTAAACCAAATCAGGAAAAGATTGTATTAAATCCAGTTAAAGAATTTAGAGAGTTGTTGAGTGCTATTAAACCTAAAGTTTCTGAATCAGATGAATTTGGAATGATTGAAAAATTGAAAAGTCCAAATCCTACAGAATCTAGAGAATTATTTATTCCTGAATCTGCTTTTAATTATCAACAAGATAAAATTGATTCACAAATTAAAGAATATGACATTAGAATGGCCAAATTAAAAGATTTAACTACTAATGAATTAAATTTTGATCTTTCAACAATTGAACAATTAAAATTTACAAGAAATGAAAAATTATATTATGAGAGTTTAAAATATGCAAATAGATTCCCACTCAAGAAAGAACAAACTTATTTCCGTATGGCTAGGTTAAATTTTGGAAATGAGGAGAACGATCATGATGCTGGCTGGCATTATGAGTGGAGATTTTTCAACGGTGCTCTAAGATATTTAAAAACTGGTTGGTCAAATGATGAATTATTAATTAGAGAAAAAGTATTATTGGATCGTATATTGAGAAATTGGTTCAGATTTGCAAATGAAAAGGGAATAATTAGTTGGATTGCTCATGGACCTTTATTATCTTGGTATTGGGATGGTTTATTATTTCCATTTGATGAAGATATTGATATACAAATGCCAATTGAACAATTAATCAATTTTAGTAAAAATTATAATCAAACTTTAGTCATTGAGGATATCACTGAAGGGTTTGGTAAATATTTTATTGAATGTTCTACTTTTATTCATCATAGAGGTAAATCATATAAGGAAAATCATATAGATGCAAGATTCATAGATATAGATACAGGAAGTTATATAGATATAACAGGAATAGGATTAAGTAATGAAGAAGCACCAGAAAGATATAATGAATTAATTATTCAAAATGAATCAGAAAGTAAATTACCACAAGTTTATAATTGTAGGTATCCACATTTTTATTCATATGAAGAAATAATACCATTGAGATTTACAATGATGGGTGGTGTTCCATTATATGTTCCAAATCAAATTGAAACAATTTTGAAACAAGAATATGTTAAGGGGTTGACAAGTTATGATTATGAAGGATTTTATTTCATTGATAAGTTAAATTTATGGATACATTATCTGAAGATTGAATTTTTATTTAAAAAGGAAGATTATTTGATTGATAATAATGTCAATGTTGAAAAATTTACATCTTTAGTACAAAATATAACTAATGATGATATTGTAAGAATACTTGAAAATGATGAAGATATTTTACTTGAATATTATTTGACTAAACAGGTTACAGATTTGCATAAAATTGAATTAACACATATGTTTAATTTACCAAATGGAAAAGATTCAAGAATTTGTGACATACATGGAATGAAAAGTCAACAAGATATAAGTTCTAATATTGAATATCATAAATTAACTTCACAGTTCAATTTTCAAAAACCATTTAGAAGATCTTTATTTAATTATGAAATGATTGATAGACCAAGACATCATAAACATTGAATATACAACTAATAGACGTTAATTTATATTTCCTACATCAACTATACATCTCTTACATCAATTTCTTGATGATTACTACAATTGCTTCAAATCGAGGCTGGATCTGAAAAGATAAAGTAAATATCTGAGATACTTGATTATCCCCAGAATTCAAATAGATTTAAATTGATTCGTTTTACAACTTCTATATATTTGTCAACAATTCAATAAAAACTCATTTTTGAAACCTCGAATTCTACATACGTTTTGGTTAGCCTTCTTTGGGTTATGTCCAAAGCCAGACCAGATCAAACCGTATTCATAAAAGGTCGATCCATTGGTCACACAATACATACAAATTCACTCCGGTTCAAAGTTGTTCCATTGCGGAACGACAGTCATCAAGGATATGAAGTTGAGGTAGGTACAATCCAGTAACGACGGTAACAACCACTATTCAGCAATTCTATTTTATTTCTGAATTTCAAGCGATACTTTTGGCGAGATTCATAGCGAGTTATTAAATTCAGAATTTTATATATTTACTTTGAAAATCAATATTTACTATCTCTTGAGTTATTAAAATCCATCAATCTCTTGATGATTCACTTATTCTCTTCATTGAACTGAAGAGATAAAGTGATTGTTTAAAATTTCTTTATGCTCAAGTTTAAGATTATCAAACTGACCTCAATGAATATCATGTTAAACAAGTAAATTCATCTTTTGTCAACACTTTATTCATGACCCATTTGTTTGAAAAATCTGGGAAATTAGACCAACTAGCTGAGTTGGACTTATTTCCATTGATGCAAACGTAATTTCATATTTAAATTTACGATTTGCAATCGCCGCCAAAACGCAGTTGAGTTCTTACAATAATCTCGTGGACCATTATATATACCATAAGAATTATAATTGGATATAGTATATGATCAAATCTAAGCTTAAGCTATGATTGAAATTGTTAGGATGATATTAAGTATAATGTATTTAGAGTTAAAGAACAATTTCCCCGAATATATGAGATCTCCAATAAGATACGAATCTTTTAAAGTCTTCACCAAACAATTTGACAGATTTCATGAATATCTCTCTTATTAGTGAGTATGTTTCGGTACTAGAGCAACAAACTTTAGATTATTGAACAGAGTTTAATTCTGCGAATGGGTTTCACGTACAAATGCTTAAAACTCAATCAACTATTATCATGTTACATACTGTTACTAAGTATCCATTGAATCATTTGAGAATCTAACTAATGAAATTAATAACATTTCCAGTAGGTATTGTCATCTCATTATGAACTGAACGAAAGAGAAAATATAAGTCAGAAGAACACCTTATTTATTGATAAAAGTTATTTGGTAACAAATTATCCAAGGTACATAGTATATCTGCACCATTTGGAACATCAGGAATGTTCTGAGGACCCATAACATTCCAACGAAAATCAAGTATTCTTAGATTTAACAAATTTGAAAAATCAAGATTCTCAATATTTCTTAGATAGTTGTGTGTGAAATCACCAACTTGCAATCGGGTAGGAAATTTGAATTTATCAAGACTAGCTATGTTCGAATCCAACTTCAAGTGAGTGACTGAATCTGGAATATTCAAGTCTGGTACAGGCATACCTTTTCCTATAATTTTAAGATTTTGCAATCCAATTGGAAATATAATTTTCTTCAAATTTAGCACTCTACCCTTATCCGTAATAGTGACTTTTTTAGTACTTGATGGAATAGTTACTTGATCGTAATTTGGTATGAAACCTGTTTCGAGACTTTCGAATTCAAACTCTTTGAAATATAGTAAATTTTTTTGAAACAACTTCTCAGGTAGATAACATGCGTTTAATTTTATAACTTCTAAATTATAACATATATCTAATGCATCTAGATTCTCCTTTGACTTATGTATATGTAAATTTAATGACTTAAGACTTGGAGTTATCAATCCTAGTTTTTTCAATGAACTTAAATTACCAGCAGAAGCTTTTAATGAAGTTAAAAATTGCAATGGTGGTAAAGAAGTATCGTATTCTTCCTCATGTATTAATTTTATTGATACACTTCTTAAATATTGGGGAAGTGATACTAATGGCTTATATAAATCAACGTTGTACATATGTAAAGTCAACAAACTTTCTGGAAAGTGGGCAAATACTTCACCATCTATTAAACCTGAAATATACAATTCTTCCAATTGTTCAAAATTTTTCAATCTCTTATAATGATCGTTCGTTTGCATAGTGTAGTAATCATCCTCTGCAAATTCCCATAAACTATACGTTTCACCATGAAATTCCAATTTTTTGATTGAACGTGGAATTTCATATAAATCATCACCAGATTGAGCATAAAACCCCATTTTTTCTAGATAAACCAGTTTTGAGCTACTTATTATAAAATTGAATTTATTTCTATTTGTCTCGGTATCCATATGAATAACTAGTTCAACCTTTGCACTATGTGTAAGTAATTCAGAATGATGGAAAATCATGTAATTAAAACCCAGTACATTTATTAAACACAAATTAACTGGATAAACACCAAATTTTTGAACTCTTAAAACTAACTCTTGTATTGTTAAGTAAAATTTGGATGGATCTGGACTTTTTCTATTCTTATACTCCACAGCTAAAACATTTTGAAATTGAATTTGATTTATCAATCTTTGAGTATCAAACTTTGAGATGTTGTAAAACCATTCTAAATCATCCTGGTCAAACTCATCAAGTATTTTCCAAGCTAATTCATACGGTAACTGGGTCAAATTGTTCAATTCATTGAGTATTTCCTTTGACATATGAATTGCAGCCAAATATTATTTTTCGCGGAGAAGAAATCACAAGCGGCCGAGGGTGAAAGAAAAATATGGCTGCAAAAAAAGGTTGCAAAAAAAGTCTAACTATTTATTCTACTTAATTGATAAAATATCTGTGCCATTGATCCGTCATATAATAATGTTCCTTGACCTCCTCCTTGACATGGTAAGTTATAGCTTACAGGATTCATTTGATAATAATAATTACCTTGATCATTAACTTGATTTATAAATGATGTTTGCCCACCAATTTTTATTAAATCACCAAATCCAGCAAATAATAAATGTATATATTGTACTTGATTATTCCAAAATCCATTGGTTAAAAATGTATTTGAAGTCAATGAATTTGTAGCTAATGTTATTGCTGAACTCAAAGCATTTGGTAGCATATTATATTTGGCAAGATAAGTATATGTTGAAATTACAGTACCCACTGTATAAGTCAATTTACCTTTATTTGGTGTACTACCATTTGCCGAACCTATACCGTCGTAATAAAATCCATCCAGTGGATCCCTCAAATTTGCATTCATCCAATCTATACAATTTGTGGCGAATGTTAGTAAATTTGAATCATGAGTATATTCATATAATCGAACAGCACTCAACGCTGCTTCAGTAGTTGATATTGATGCAATATATGAAGCATCAACTTGCCATAATATTCCACCTCTTTGTGACCACTGAGTTTGTAATAAAGTCATAATTTGAATCGCAGTTGTTAAATATCTAGTATTATGAGTTAATTCATATGCGTCTAAATAAGCCCACAAAACTTGTGCATTATCATCGGTATATATTTGTGACGAGTCAGGAGTGGCAGCAAACCAACCGATAATATTTTGATAATTATATAAATTATTCATTATTAAATTTGTTCTTGCAACATTTCCAGAATCTATAATTGGTTTTGCAGCAACAGCTAAATCCCAGATAACCGCAGAGCTGAAACTTCCATTAGAACATGAGGAATGTGCTGATATAGCTTGTTGCTGATGATTCCAAAATGAGTCCCATATTATATCAATTGTATTGGTATATTCATGTTGTGCATCAAATGATAAATCTCGTTTATAACTAGGTATTGCAAAAACTATATTTAATATGAATAACAAAAAGACGAACATGAACTAAAATATTTTGTATTGACAGGTAAGGCTGTTATTAAATAGACTTGAAAATTTCAAATTTGGAAATTTTAAGGGTCTAAATGCATTGCATCATGCATCTCGCGTATCTAAAAAGCTGCAGATCAAAAAAATAACCAGGTCAAAGGGCAAATAACCAGTAGTAAACATTGACTACCAATATTGATTAGCAACGAAGGGAAGATAAACTGTTTACATTTGACAGCAACCGAGTATAATTATGAAGCTGTACCTTTACATTTGATCGAAAGGATAGTATGATGCGCGTTTTAGTTTCATTCAAACACGTCTTAATTAATAGCCTTATTGTTCATAATCAACAACAAAGTGATTTATAGTTGCTATACTTCTTGCTTCTTCATATGGTAATAATTCTTCGCTGCATATTAGTTTTCCAATTTAAGAATCTTGAAGCACTGCCCAACATTGCGCGTTTTTGCGCGCCTCGTATTTTTTTCCGAAACTTTATAGTGTATATATATTATCTATATATCTTTCTTTATAAAGAACATTAGGTAAACGTTAGCATTCATAACTTCATCTTCACTAGATAATGAAATAACAGCGTCATCAAATTTGAACCAACGGTTATCAGATTTTACATAACATATATAATGACCAGTATTAACTGAACCTTGATGAACAACAACACTAAATAATTCATATAAACATGGATCTGATGTAGTTGCTGTGGTATATTTTGATAAATCAAGATATAATGGTATCTTTATTGGTGTTTCTATTTTTGATGAAGTATCATTCATTACATTATGTTCGAATCTTTTTAATTGTATTGATAAAATTTTTGGAATAGTTTTAATTTTCAATTGTTTTACAGCTTGTTCAGCTTTGATATTACAAAACTTACATGTATAATTATCATCTAATTTTTCTTCCTTTGTGTATAAATTTAAACAATCATATAATGTATTCTGTTCTTTACTTAAATGATTTATTTCTAATGATAAATCCATTATTGGATCAATAGTTTCAGTAATTTTATTACAATTCGTACATTTTATACAACTTTGTAATTTGAATGCAAATGTGGAATGAGCGATACAAGAGCAATTTTCTGAATCAATGGAGTGTTGATTTTGATTTGCTTTTATTCTTGTAAAATCTTGATGAAATTCATTTAATAAAAATTGCCAAAATTCATGAGCATCTTGTTCTTGAAATCCAGCTAATGATTTTTTCTTATACCATGAAGTAATTAATAAATTTGTGATCCCATAACCTTCTTGATTTGATGAAGTGAAAAAAATTTGAAAAATTGAATCAATACTACATGTAATACAACTATTATTTTCATCAATCTCATCATTATTTAAATTAACATTACAATTGAAAAAATGTTCATCATTATTAAAAAATTTATGTTTCAAAATTGGATTATGAATAAATGTTTGTAAAATTGAACTCATAAAACATGTTGCCCCGAGGTTAACAAAGCCTTTTAAACCTTTAATTGCAAATTTATTTGGATTTGAATAATGTTGATTTATAGTTTCATCAAGTTCATAATATTCATTATGCATTATGTCCAGTCTAATTTTCTCTAAATGATCATGATTTACAAATAGATTACATTTAAAACAATATAATAAACCAGTTTTTGCATCTATTGCAAACATATGTTGAGTTTGTTTATAATGCAATTGAGAATGAGAATTAAAATTATCATGACAGCCAATATGTGGACATTGTAAACATATAAATAAATTTTGAAAATTGCTTAACTCACAATTTGAACATTTTAAACTTGATAATTTCTTATTTAAAAGTTTTTGAAACGGTATTTCTTGTTGATCTTTTTTGGAAATGAAAGTTTGTTGATCTTCTAATAACGGTTGTGATATTATAACTGCTTGTTTATAAGTTTCAAATACAGTTTCTTTAACTTTTGATTCTAGTACTGATTTTAAATGTGAACATGAATTTAATGATGAAAAATTATAATTAATTAGATGTTGAACATCTGACATAATGTTAATAAAAGGTATATAGTAATGAATGAAATAAAAATGCTTAAATTATGAAATGAAATGCAAAATAATGAATATATAAAATGTTTATTAAATTAATTATACGTGAATCGGTTGCTTAAGTATTTTTTTTCTTCGTTTGATTCAATACCAATGTAACAAAAAATTTGGACCCAAATATAATCGTGGTAAATTGTAGTAAATTGGTATTGAGATAAGGACTCTTGTATATAATTAATATATGATGTTGTTTGTAATTTCCTTCTAATCAACCAAAATTTAAATCAGATTGATTGATAAAATTAAGATATTTAATTTTAACTCACAAGAGAAATTTCGCTACCAATTGGTTTTGATTTGATCCGGGATGGTCTTCGTATTGACGAGCGAATGGAAATGACGTAGACTGACCTTTTAAAAGAAAAATAAATGAGCACCTACCATACTCTCACATCATTATTTGTATCATGTGATAGAGATATTTAGTTAAAATGGTTGCAAAAACAGAGAAAACGAAATTAATTATACATTAATTAAAGCTATTCAGCTTTGAATATAATTGCAGACAAGATGTTTTCTGGCATTTTATCAGGAACTTCTTTTAATAAATTACCAGCTAAATTGATTTCATTAATTTCAATATCATCATTTTCAAATATACCAAAATCAAATTTCTTAAAATAATTTAAACTTAAATCCAAATATTTTAAATTGGATTCTTTACTAATTGAAAGTTTAAAGTTGTCAAATTGTAATTTATTATTATTTAAACATAATTGCATTAAACTCTTATTAACATTCAAATCTAAATTAACTTTTTTAATCTTACATGAATTTAATTCTAAATGGATTAATGATTCAGGAACTTGATTGATTTCATTAAAATTATTTGACGTGACAATCAAAGTTGATATAAAATTTGGAAATTCCAATTTTGTAAAATCAACAAGATTATTACTTGTTAAATCGAACCAAATCAATTTTGAACATTCTTTAACTTGAACTGAAGATACTAAATTATCTGATGCATTGATTGATTTTATTGAGAGTGGGAAGTAACCTGATGATAAATTTGTAAGATTATTATTTGATAATTGTAAATCCTGAAGTGAACGAAATTTCGATAATTCAATATTTCCAAGATGATTATTTGATAAATCTAAATATTTTAAATTATTAGCATGTTCTTGTGATTCAAATTTTGTTAAATTACAATTCTGTAATGATAAGTAAACTAATGAACTTGGAATTTTGAAATATGTCCAATCAATTTTATTACATCCATTTAAAATCAATTTCGACAATCCATTTCCGATAATTGTTTGAATTTTGGTATTTGAACAATTAAAAAATCTTGTTGCTTCGTTTAATGAAACACCGGTGATATCTTCATTGGATTCGATATTCATTTCTTTAATAGGATATAATTCAAACTTTATAAATCCATTTAATTTATTTTCAATAACTCTAACACTTTTAAGATTCATTTGTAATGGTAATTGATCAATTTCATTTTTTTCTAAACTTAAAATTTCCAACTTTGATAAACTATGCAAATCAATATCTTTCAATGCAATATTTGACAATTTAAGAAATTTCAAATTCTTTGGTAATCTCAAAACATGATCCTTATTGTAATCACAATTGTTAATTTCTAATCTTGTTAAGTTTTTTAAAAAAGTAAATTTTTCAGTTAAATCTTTGACTTCGATTTGTATCAATTTCAATCTTTGTAATTTAGCCAAGTTACAATTTCTTTTTGGCATCCATTTACTTTTAATCATAGCTAATAATCTTAATGTGTCAGGAAATGGTGGGATATGAGAAGATAATGAACAATCAATGAATTCTAACTTCTTCAAATTATTTGGAAATTGTAATTTTCTGGATTGGGAAAATGATAAATTCGATAAACTTAATGAAACTAAATTCTGAAATCTTTCAAAATTGAAATTAACAATAATTGATGAATCAAATTTGATATCTTTTAATTCTAAAAATCCAATTGGGAAATTTTCTAATCTTCCAATCATATCGATTCTGGATTTATTAATGTGTAAAGTATTTAAATTCTTAATCAAATTGAATTTACTGTAGTTGATTGATTCAATGTTATATAACCCAATACAATTTATTGTCATTGGTAATTGAACAAAATCTGAAATTTTCAAATCACCAGTTAAGATTAACTTTTCTAAATTTGTTGGTAGTTTCAATTTAATATTTTCTTCAGGTTCACCAAATACATATCCATCTTCATACAGATGTAAACCAATAAATAATCCCAATTTTTTAATCTTATTATACAATTTAGTTAATTCAATAAACATTTCAAGAATAATCTTAATTTGATTTACAAGTTTAGCCAGGATTTTAACAAATACATCATTTATTTGATCAAGTCTTTTTTCATTTTCTCTGAAATATTTAATAATTTGTAATAAAATGCTACATCCATTATTATTCATAATTAAATCAATAAATAAGTCTTTTTTATCTGAAGATTTTGAGAAAAACCAATCAAATACTTTATTTGTATTTATAATTCTTGTTGAAATGTAAATTATTGATTGATTATTCTCTGGTAATTTTTGTCTATTTGATTCGTCAACAAATCTTAATGATTTACAAAAATTGATTTCCTTTTGAAAATTATCATTACCAAAAAACTGTTCGTAATCTTGTAAAATCCATGAATTTTCAATCAAAAGTTTTGAAGAATCATTTGAATTATTGTTTAAAAGGGGCGTTCCTGGAATTGAAACTGAATCATCCTTAACATCACCATTATTATTGAGCAACTTATAGTCTTTTAAACTTGGTTCCATTTGTAATGTTTCACTGACTGGATTCGATTTATTTTCATCATTAATTGATAATTTTTCAAATGCGCCAGACCCATTTCGTAAAGATTTAGTTGATGATGATGGTGGAAATGATCCATTTTGTGATTTAACTTGCGATGAATCATTTTGACTAGGTGACAAAATTGATTGTGAAATTGTTTGAACTTGTGGCCCTACCTCAATTTTTTTAATTGATTTGGTTGATCTTCCGTAAATTGTTGTATTTGGTGGACTTTCAAGCTCTTTAATTAATGATGATCTTAATGGAGCAATTTCTTCAAATTCATCAGTTGGTGCAGCAGAATGACTATGAACATTTGAATTTGGAAAATTAATTTCAATTACATGTGAGCCAAAAACAGATCTTTCAATATCTTGTAAATCAATAATATCATCATCTACTTCATCACGAAAATGCTTAATTGGGAAAGTATGATTCTTTTTAATTGTTGTTGTTCCATTTGAATTTAAATTTAGTAAATGTTCTTCATCTTTAACGCTTTCTAAAAGTGGACTAGTATCTAATGGTAAATCAATTTGATCAGAACCGCCATTTGAAGATACTTTTCTTGACTTGATTATATTATCGATTTGATCAATACCACCAGAATCATGTAATAATTTATCAACTGCTGTACTAAGAATTGACATAACTAAATTAAACAATTTGTGGTATAAAATATTAAAAAAAGCTGCAAACAAAAAAAATTATCGTCTATTTTTATATATTGATATTCAGTCATAAAAATCATCATCATCATCATCATTATCATTATTATCATCATTATCCTCACTATCATTATTACTTTCATTAGTAGTTCTTATTGACTTCTTTGCAAATCTTAATTTTCTACTTTCAAACTCTTCTTCATCTTCATTATTTATAATTAATCTTTTATCATTATCTTTAATGGCCGCCACGTCAACTAAAACGCGTTCAATATCTTGCAAACTAGTTGAATTGCCACCCAATTGAGTTAATGTGATATATTGTTTTAAAACTTGAGTCTTATGATATATTATTAAAGTAGGACAATTTGATTCTGGATAATTTTCAATACATCTTTGAGCTGGTATTTCGCAAAATTTAATTTCAGGAAATTTCTTTGACAATTGTTGTAACAATGATGATAATAATCTACTTTGTAAATTTGATTGTAATGTAAGATGAATTACGACATATGAATCATTTGAGGCTTGAGTAACTTCTTGCTCATATTCAGATTTATTGATCGGGAAAATATCACCGAACTTTTTTGATTCAGTCAATTGCTTCAATTCGTTTAATCTTTTTTGTTTATAGAAATTTAAAAAATCTTCATCTTCTTCATCTTCCAACTCATCTAATTCGTCAATTGTTTTATTTTCTAATCTGTTATCATATTGTTTGACAATTGCTTCGTCTAAAGCTTCTTCTATTTGCTGAGTGGGAGAAGGAGGTTTTTCAGGTATAATACCATGACTTCTTAAAATATCATTCCATTCAGTATCTTCATTTGGATCTACTTGAACTTGAATTTTTGGATCCATTTCTAATAAACCTCCAAATTTAACTAGTATAAAAAAAGAAATTGAAATTGAAATTGAAATCGAAATCGAAATTGAAATTGAAATTGAAATCGAAAAAAAAAAAAAAAAAAAAAATTCCGAGCAAATTTTTGGCTGCAAAAAAAAGCCGATTTTTAAAAATGTTACCCTCGAGAATATTCATATATATGTTTCAAAATTTTCATCTATAACAAAGATGGAGCAGAAACATGTAGTATCAATGGAAAAGCTAATAATAATAATAATAATAATAATAATAATAATAATAATAATAATAATAATAATAATAATAATAATAATAATAATAATAATAATGACAATAACAATAACAATAATAATAATAATAATAATAATAAAGTCAAAAATATAAATTAAATATAAAAAAGTTTATATACAGAGTGAATTAATTATTTTGTTTTTTTAAGTTATAATTGTAATCTCTATTAAAATAAAAATATGAAACTTTTTCATTGAAAATACAATGTAAATTATAATAGACTATTCTATCATGAAATAAATAATGAAATATAATGAAGTATAATGAGGTGATAATGTGTAGTTGTAATTAGTTTAATTAATTTAATTAAATGAAATTAATCTGAAGTAGCTTATTTCAAGTAAGTAACAAAATTACTCTGAAGTAGCTTTTTTCAAGTAAGTAACTAAATCGTTTCTGTCTTTTGGTTTTTTTAAACCACCAAAGGCCATTTTAGTACCAGGAATATATTTTTTTGGATTTTCTAAATAATCAGCTAAAGTTTGTTCTTCCCAAGTAACTCCTTTCTTTTTATTAGCATCTGTATATGAAAATCCTTCAGCATGACCTGATTTTCTACCAAAAATTCCATGTAAATTTGGACCAACTTTGTGTGGACCGCCTTTTTCAACTGTATGACATTGTAAACATCTAGTTTTAAATAAAGTAGCACCTTTTTTTTCTGAACCTTTTTCGAATGGAGCTGGCATTGTTATTAAATATTAATCGATGATATAAAAGTAAAAGTAAAAGTAAAAAGAAGAAAAAATCTTGAAAGAAAGGGAAAAAAAAATGTCAAGTATAAAAATGAGAAATTTACTATTGCTTTTATAAATTCGTTAATTGGCTTGAAAAATTATAAACAAATGTTAGTTCAATAGTTTATTTTATTAGGTATTTCAAACAACTAACATTTAATTGGCTCATCTCATGGAAAAAATGTACAACGGAAAAAATTGTTTTTTTAAGTATGGGCTGTAATATACAGTACTGTGTATCATTCAAATTTTTCAATTTCTTATATAATAAAGTAAAAGAGATGAGAGTCGAATGGGAAATTGATCTGTAGATTAATATACTATGCATTAACCACAACCATGCATGTAATGTAAATTGTTTATACCCGAGTAAATTTATATAGCAATTAGTTTAATATCCTAATCAATAGAATACCATTGCTATATTTGATAAGAAACCATTATTACCATTATTACTATTATTACTATTATTACCATTAATACCATTATTACCGTTGTGAAAGTTAAAACACGGTTATAAAGCATCAATAAAACAATGTAATAAGTAATCTTCTAATCTTCCTTTAATATGCCACTAAATAGTTGTTATATTATATTTGTCAATAGTGAACAACAGGCTAAATGGAATTTGAAAATATTTTTCAGCATATTCCGTGTTCATCCATAATTAAAAATAGACAGCGAAAAAATGAAAAAAATAAAAAATAAAAAATATAATCGTGACACTTTTTCTGAAAAATTTATGTTTAGTCTTGCATAGTTTGTTTTTATTTTCCGTAGTTTTGTGTAATTATAGTTTTGATTAAACCGATAAGTGCGAGATATATATAAAAATGTAGATGTAGATTCATATATAATTTATATTAATTAAAAAATCGTTATTCATTTACTATTGATATTTGAAATCAATTACATAATTAAGATACAAAATTGATATTTGAAATCGATTATTTGAAATCAATTACATAGATAAGATACAAATTCACTTCAATACTTCAACTCACTTCAATTCACTTCAATTCACTCAATACATTTCTTAAAGTCTGTCTTTTGATATTAGATGATTCACGAGATGGTGTTCTTGATCTTTTACTACCTTTTGCTAATTCCCTACATGGTGTCCGTGATAATGTTACATTATTCTCATTGCTTGATTGTCGACCCCTTGGAGAAGGTGATCTTGAAAATGATTGACCTCTACTTTTTGATCTCAGTCTAGACCTTGATCTAGAAAAACTTTCATTTGAACCAATACTTCTTGAATAACTGGATCTACTACTACTTCTACTTCTTGATCTACCTCTTTCATAATTCTCTTCTACATCTTTCAACACTTCTCTCATCTCATCAGTTAATACACCTAATCCAATGGCAGTGAAATAATTAATTGAAAATCTTAAATCATCACCTAAATCCTCATCATTATAATCAACATTAACAACGGGAAAAATTCCAGTAATGTGTGGTGTCAAATAGTCATCATTTATCAATCGTTCCTTAACTTCATTTATACCCAACTCTTCTATCATTTCTTGAAATATAAATTTCAACATAATTCTTTTTGGTGGATTGGTATTTTCCTCATTTAATTTAATTTCATTCCAAGCTAAAGTTAAATCTATTGAATCACTTGCAAATAAATTACCAAAGAACTTGCCTAAATTCCTTAATTGTTGAGAATCAAAATTTTCAATTTTTTCATAATACGATTTGAAAAATTGTATAAATAATTTGTGCCATTTCTTATTCTTATTAATCAACTTGATGGCAATTTGACTATAAAACTTTGAATATGTCTTTTCGGTACTACAACATTTTATAATCATATCGATTAAAATATCATCATTAGAGATTTGTTTAGTTTGACACAATTTTAATAATTTATGAACTGCTTCATCTGATGACATAGATGACATAATAGTTAGATACACTAATTTCTGTACTTCTAATAATTCAGATTTGGACATGTCTGTAATGACAACTTTGTCTTCTTTTTTGACTACTTGTTTTTCGTCTTCTTTTTCATCTTCACTTTCTTCTAATATCTCCTCAATCATTGAATTATATTTCTCCTCATTCTCACTATATTTGTCATCCTCACAGTAATAATTCAAGTGGTCCAGACTTTCTATATCTTCATTTAATGCAATATCATGAATTTCTTTATCCTCATCTTCAACTAAATCTAGCCCTTCTTCTATTATATGTACATGCTTAAAGTTTGATCTGTTTAATCTTAATAAACGATCTATTTCTTTCTTGTTATCTCTCGATACTTTAGTATTTTCTTGTAGGATTACTCTCAATCTATCAATAATTAAAATTAATGCTTTTTTGGAATTTTTAAATAAATAAGCACCAACAATTTTAAGAACTTCAATAGAAAGTGACAAGCTTGTATTGTTTAATTTATCATTATCTAGGAATAGTTGAAGAATTTGTAATATTGTAATCTCACTTAATACTTCAAATTTGACTAAATTGCTAATGAATATAATTGATGACTTCACAATCTTATAGTTGTTCTCCATATAATTCTTTTTAAATTGTAGGACTAATCTCGAACAAAGTAATTCTCCAATTTCAGGTAATTTTGAATTTATGACAGATATTAAACTTGCAAGCAAAGCTGACTTATTAATATTATTCAATTGATTTTTCATAATTTGTCGCACAAACACACCTTTGAATCTTATCAAATTGATTTTAAATAATTTTACAATTACATCCTTGATGTTCTCTGAAGTAAGGTCAGCTAGTAGCTGTTTTATTTCTATTTTCGTATCTTTCCATAGTTGTTTTTGATCCATGGCAGCACCAAATAAATTAGAAAAAAAAAATTAAAGATCTAGTTTTGAAACGCTCCAACTTACTCGTGCGACAAAAATACTTTCTCGCGTTAGCTTTAGGGCGACTAGTGCTAATTTCATTAACTTATATTTCAAGAACAGCGACTGTTCACGAGGTAAATACCGATTTTATGAAATCAGAAACTTTGAAATGTATATTCTACATACGTCAACTAAGGATATTTGAAAGTTTTTTTTTTGAGTTGCCATTTTGCATTTTTCTAGCATACAAAGTTTTTCAAAAAGGTAAATCTGTGTATCTTTTCAGTTAGTTAGGCCACAACATTCAATCAACAACGCGTGTTCTATCTCAAGTTTCAATTGAAGGTGCTGAAACTATTTCTAGATGATATATTGAAAAATTTCGAAATTTTCTCTTAACTATGGAAAAAATTGAATAAATTGACTTTACAAAAACTCTAATTCCACAACAAATATTCAGACTAAAACATGATGAAACTATCCAGCTTTGTAGTTCTGCCTGCAAACAAGCCCTAATTATTTTTCTGTTTAGGTATTCAAAATTCAAAAAGTAAGTTTTCAAGTGTTTCGAAATTTTTGTAAAATTTTTGAACCAACTATGGCGCTTTTAAAACGCTATAGATATAATCTTTGGGTTTAAATAAACCAAATCAACTATACTAGAAGTTGACAAATAAAGTATATGTGTTCATTATCTCGTAAAATAGCGTTTTTCTCCATTTTTTGAATGAAGGATAAAGTCATCAAAAATATGATTAGCCGGCGAATAAACTAAGTCAGTTTGTGAAAGAGAACTAGATAATCGAGAGGGTTATTCACGATTCAAATTTTAGAATCAAGTATTACAAGACTGTCTATAAGCAATTTGTCTTAGACTTATGCAAAAATGTGCGTATTTTTTAGTGCGATTAACTGGTGAGATAAAGTAATTTCTCGCTATAGGTTTGGGGCGATTTTGGGCGAGATTAACAGGTTTAAAATTTTATTTCTGATACAGATTGCGTATATGCAGTCCTATAATAGTAAATCTTGAAATTTAAATTGTTCATAACTCCGTCAATGATGACTTATAAACGAATGAGTTTGGTACGACTCGCCCTAAAGCTACCACGAAGAAACTCACTTGTTGGCGCCGATCTTGTACCACAAATATCGCCGAATATAATTTCACAGACAACACATTTCAATTTAATTTAGTGACAGAGAAATACAGGTATCACTTACGAGTTGAGCTATGAGTTTAACCAAGATTACTCTATTCTATGAACTTACATGTCAACTATTTCAGCTCAATGTAGACGTCATCCATCTACATTTAGCTACATATCTTCTTTTCGCAAGCTTTGATTCGATCCTACACTTGCGCTCGAACAGTCAAGTCAAACAAAAAACAGTCTTGAGGGTAATAGTTATACGATCTGAGCTAATCTTCACGCAACTCTAGATAAGATTGTATTAAAAGATCGAATTGATATAATTCAAAAAAATGCGCATTTTTGCGCTTTTCAAAAATGGGACGAAATTAATATCCTGACATCATTATCCTATTGAGCTAGGAAGTAAAAACAGTACTGTCTTTTGCGTTAGAAGTATAATCGAAATGGTGCAACAACAGAAACCTCTGCTCAAAAGCCATCTAAAAATCTGCTTCAAAATTCTGATTATGTCAAGTTGTTTATCTAACAATAATTTAGGTAGGCTAACTACTTCTGACTTGTTAGCTACTTTTAAAACTGGAGCGTTAGTAGTGATTATTCGTTGTTCTTATCGTGTTTTGCAGCTAAAACAGTAAGAAGAGATAAAAAAAAAAATATTATTATTATTATTGCAACCAAATTTTTCATGTTAAAAGCTAACAAATACATACAAAATGCTGCAGCAAAACGGCCTAAAATATTCAAAAGTTATAAGCAGGATCCTGAAGTAGCTTTGAAAAGGAAGCAAGTACGAGAAAGCATTAGAACCAAACTAGAAAATTTTATCAAGCATGATAATCTTCAAAATTATAAAGAAACTAAATTGCATCGTAAAACTGACATATTTCAATCCATAACTAATGATTATACATTACATCACGGTCTTAAACGATTAAAGAATAAATATGATAAGGACGTTTTTTTAGATGATGATGGAGAAGTTATTAATTTACAAGAATTGAAAAAAGATGATATGAAATATAATAGCCCCATGGCAAGACTGATATTTGACAATCTTGTGAGGATTAAACAATTAAGTGATAAACGAATAGATAGAAGAGTTGTTTTAAGTTTATTAGGAATAAATGGAGAACAAGTCAATGATTCATATTTTGTAGCTAAACATGTCTTGGAATTGCTACATCTTGATCAAGATCCGGAAAGGGCATTATACTTATGTCGTATATCAAACAAACTACAATCTATAGTGGCTATGAACTTAGTTATGAAGTGGTATCTAGAAAAAAATGATTTAAAAACTGCATTCAAATTATATCATGATAGAAAAAGATGGTTGATTCCAAGTGATACAAGTACATACGTTACTTTATTTGACGGAGTTGCTAAAAGTTTTGAATGGGGGAAAGTGGATAATAACTACATGAATAAGTGTATTGATATTTTCAAAGACTATAGAAAAGAATTACAAGAAAAGAAGAATGAAACTGTTCCAGTCAAAGTATTCAATGCTTGTTTGAGTATTCTTGTCAAAGATTTCAATAATAGACAAGTTGAAGCATGGAGGTTTTTTGATGAGTTGAATAAAAATGAAGATTTGGAATTACAGGAAATAATTCCTGATATACAAACATTCACCATTTTATTACAAGGTATAAAGAAGTATATTGAGAATGAAAGAGTTAAAATACTTGAATCTACAGAAACTACAGATGCTAAAACTTTAAAATTATTAGATTTAGAAGTTGGGTATACGAAAACATTTGAAATTATATATAAACGAGTACTTGAATTGGCTAAACCACCATCAGAAACAAATTTTCAAAATGAAAAGTTAGTTAAAAGATATTTAAAGAATAAAATAGATATAGATTTACCATTTTTATCAATTTATTTATCATGTTTAATTAATAGATCATCAGGTACTGGTACTTCTTTAAAATCTCCGTCACATTATTTATATAATGAATTAGGTTTAAAAATTCTACAAGAATTATCTCCAGAATTACAATCAATAGGCCAGTTTTTAGAAAACGTCACTAAAAAATCTCCTATTGAAGTTGAGTCATCAATTAAACATAAAACAGATAGTAGAATAAGTTCTATTTTGAAAAAATCAGACACAAAAGTAGATTTACAATTTTCAAATTCAAAAGAGGATTTAATTCCATACAAATTTATCAAAGACGAAGAGACATTTAATTCAGAACTAACCTTCCCCAAACTTGAAAATAAATCTGTGAGAACATATCAACTGAAACTTATCAACTTACCTGAAACAATCAACAAATTCATAATCAATCAATATTTTGATGGTCTTGTAAACTTAGGTAAACTAAATGAATTTGTTTTAGCATTTTGGTTCTCGATAATTAAATATGGTGGAGTTAGATTACAGCTCAAGATATTTCAAGATGAGTCAAATGTCTTGGATGGTGTTATTAAAGGTAAATTTTATAATTTGGACTCATATATATCAAAAAGTACAGTTAAAGCAAAAGAATCCATAATTGATAATTCATCATTTAATTTATTCATCTATAAAGTATCTGAACATGGTAGAAGCAAAGGAACAACAAAGACAAACTTAATAATTGAATTGTTTAGAATTTTTAATATGAGACAGATAACTGCAGATTCATCAATCAATGTTGAATTTGAACATATTGATCATATATGGTCAGTATTCTTTAATGATCTCAAATATTACAACAACTACAACAAGACAAATCATGCACAATATAACTCATTGACGTTTCCACAATTGAAAGAACTAATGACCAATTTACATGATTTTAACGATGCTCATCTTCTTTGGAATAGACATCGATTTAAAAGAAACAATATTCCACCAAAGTCATATTTCAAAAATTTGACTAAGCTTTTCAATATTGTGTTAAATGATACAAAATGGGTGATGACAGATGATGAAAAGCTCAAGATTCATAAATTCGTAATCAAAACATTTGCCAAATACTACAAACCAAAATCATTATTGTTGAAAAATGAAATTCATCATGAGTGGATCCAATTAGATACGTCATTCAATTACATATTTGAACATATGAAAGACAAGACCGATTTAAATGCAACTGATAAGAGAATATTATCAGGCATAAAATTAATTAAAGGTTTGAATAAGATTGAAAAAGATCAAGAGAAATTCAAAGAATTGAGAAATGAATTATATGAGTTAATTGAAATTGATGAAGAAGATTCACCTAATAAAGCCAATGGTTCTGCACCTGAAGAGGATTAAGCCAAATTGTTTGAAACTAGAACCAAATCTGTTGATAATCAAATTAATGCCACTCCAATTAAACGAGATAAAAAAAAAAAAAATTAAATAATTTTTACCACTGTAAATAGTAATAACACATGATGGTTAATCCTGTAATTATAATTGAAGATCCTATAAACTATGATTATTCTGATTTCATAACTTCAATAAATCATAATTTTACAAATTCATCTCAATTAGATTTATTAATAACTGGAAATATAGTAGATGCATCCGATTTAAATGAAATTTTATTTAAATATTATTCATTAATACGAAAATTGAATCCTAATTATCAATTCAAAATCAACATATTATTTAATTTATTGGGTTACAAGATCAAAGAATTGAGTCTCAATTGGAATAAAGGGTACATGGTCAACAATGAAGCAGATTTCAAGTTTCTTAATTTAGAAAATGCAAATTATAAATTAAAATCAGAACATTTGAGTGACGTCCATGATTATAAAACTTCAATGCATTTCAATACTACTGCTTGTGGAGGAACATTTGATCATTTACATGAAGGTCATAAAATATTATTATCCATGTCCGTATTCCTAACTCGTCAAGATTTAATTATTGGTATAACAGGTGCAGAACTACTCAAGAATAAAAAGTTTAAAGAAGTATTACAATCATTTGATTATAGGAGAGCTGAAGTCGCTAAATTTATTCAATTAATTATTCCAAAAATGGTTAGATTTGAAATTTATGAAATTAATGATATTTGTGGTCCAACTGGTTACATTAACGATATTGATTCATTGATAGTCTCCCACGAAACTAAATCTGGTGGTGAATTTGTAAATAGTTATCGTAAAAAGTATAGGTTTAAGCCATTAGACATTACTGAAATCAAAGTCATTGGTGACGAGAATTCCAATGAAAGTAATAAATGGGCAAATAAATTAAGCTCAACTGATATAAGAGAAGCAGAATATAATAAATTACAAAATATAGGACAAATATAGAAAATATAGAAAACATAGAAAACATAGTTTCGTTTACGTTATTTATTTTGCGTCGGTTAAACTACATAGTTTGTTAGATTTATCTAATTGATATTCCTTTATCAATTTGATTTTGACGTTTTGGACTTCTATCTGGATGATCCAATGCCAAGTTCATTCTTCTTGCTCCAATTTCAGTATATAAATTAAGTGAATCATTTGAATCATCTAAGTAAACTCCTTTATCATTACTATCAGCAATTGCAAGTCTTACCTTTTCAAACGCTTGTTTACCTAAACCCAATTTTAATCTTAACCTTTCCTTTGTTTCTTTGATTAATTCATTTTGAAAAACTAAAAATAGGAAAGGTACTCCATGATGATAATTTGAATTTTTATAAAAATGGAAACCTGGAATCAAATTTAAATTCTTACTATTTTCTTTTGCCATCTTGTATTCTAGTTTAATAAAATCTGGTAAATCAACTAATGATGGATCCTCACCATCATTTGATTTAGGTTCGTCTATTTCATACCTCTTCATAATATCATGCTCACTTAAAGTATGAACTTCTGCTGGGAATATACCACAATATATCTCTGTATCATCTAAAAATCCTGAGATTGGTGCATCAAATCTTAATATCTCATTAAAAGTATGATTATAACCAGCCCAAAGTAATAAGTGTTTCAATTGTTGCTTTTTTGGAGCTGTTGAAGAGTCAGCCAACTTATTCAATAATTTTTTTATTATATCGCCAACTGTGCCTAATCTTGGAACCAATAATTCGTAAATTTGATATTGTAATAAAGTATGATTCAACCAGTGAATCTTTATAGATTTCAAATTTTCATAATCTTTGAATTTAATATTTAAAATTTCATATTCGAAATCAATAACTTGTGATACTGAAACTTGTTTTGGAAATAATTGTGATAAATTACTTGTTGTTTTTAATGGATATCTATGGCCTTGACCAGTTAAAATGAATAATCTTAGATATTCCCAATCACATTTTAATTTTTCTGCAATTGCTTTTGCAAATGTTTGATATGAATATAACGATGAAATCCATAAATCAAAACTTTTACTTATAGACTTAGCAGCTTCGATTTCCTTAAACTCTGAAGTTTCAAGAATTTCACCTTCACCATCCTCTTTTTCTCTTTCAACTACATCTGAATCTTCTTCGTCTAATTCCAATTTACATGATTTTACCCTTATGTGAATTCGAGTTACCAAAAACCTATAATAATCTTTGATTGAACGAAACTTCTTATCTTGATATAATGATGGATCTTTGACTTGAACAACAATAATATCACCTTGATTTATCTCTGCTTTATCAAAAGTTTTTGATTGATCAATTAACTCAATTATTCTTATACTAACTTCTTCAAAAAAGTCAAATCTTGTATCTGTTGGAAATTGTAAAAAGTCAATTAAGGTATCTTTTAATGAACCCACGGTGGCATTTCTTGAAATTGTAATATGTGATAATCCTCTAATCTGTTGTGAAATTGGATCAAAATATTTGATAAATATAGTCATAACTTGTGAGTACTCATTTATACTTTCAAAAAATGGAGTTTCTTCTTGTTCACTTGAAACTATTACCGGATCAGCACCAACTGAATTCACCTTATCTATAACTTTTTCAAATTTGAAATCTTGTGGTAAAATTATCTCGTTTCCTTGATCTTTAGATTTGACTGTATCATTCAAATTTTTCATATCTTTATTTAACTCTTCAACAAAAAACACTAATTCATCATATCTCCTATTAAATAATTTTGAATAAACATTTTGAATTGTCAATTTCAGTAACTTTTCTTCTGATAATGGATAATCTAATCTATTTGATGAATTTGATCTGTGAACAACTGGAACTAATCTAAACCCATTCAAATTATCCTGGTATCCTAATTCTTCTGCAACTTTTGATTTTAGCTCCATAAAATTTGCATCCTTCTTTATTTTAATCATTGTTGGATCAACATTTGAACCTTTCAAATCTTCAACATAAAGTTTATCACTTGTTGAATCTAATGCATAGTCAAACTCTGAATGATTATTAAAATTTGAAATTGTTATAATTTTAGCATATGTATAATATAACGCTTCTTGTCTTGCCTTTTCAATTCTTTCACGTTCTTCAATTTCTTGTTGTATTTGTAATGGTATATGTTTCGGAATATATGAATTTAAAACTTCATCATTATCAGGTAAAATCCTCTTCAATTCTGTTTCTCTATAATAAACCAACATGTATGCAGATGTAACTCTTCTCATAAAATGATCTTGTTGTTCATTTCTTGTCATTTGATTCAATTGATCTTGAGTTAAATTAATAGCACCAAAATTATCTTTGAAAACTTCTTGAGGAGTAACTTTCCAAACTTTATCATCATCAAATCTTAACCAAGTATCATTTTGAGCTGCTGGTTTAATCATTGCATAATAATGACCATTGGAAATAGTACCTTGATGAACCAAAACACCATGCAATTTATAATTCCAATTTTGATTTTTTACTTCATCTGGTAAATCATCATTTAAATAAGGTTTTAAATCTATTTTATCTGGAAATTCATAAAAATCATCAATTTTAACTAAATCATCAACCATAAAATCATACTCAAATCTTTTCAATTGTAAATGTAAAACAGGTGGAAATGATTCAAAAACAACCCCTTTTTTTGCATCTTGATATCCATAATCTTCACCAGCTTGATATTTATTTTCACCATCCAACATTTCAATTTCAATATAATTATTGAACGACTCTTCAAGATTTTTGAAACCTTTTACATTTAATTGTATATCCCAAAAATCCTCAACCCTTGATGATTCGTAAGGTACATTAACACATTTTATATAAGATTTCATTTTACCAACAAAGATATCATTTAATTTATTTTCGATTTTAGTACCTTTCATTGCTGTTTCTAATTTATCCATTAGTATTCTGTTTAATTCTTGAACGTCATGTTGTGTAAATGCATCTGAAGAATCCCACCCAAAAGCTTTTGTCAATTCCAATGTACCCACAGGATCATTTGAGTTTGTTAGTAAATAAAAAATTCTTTGTAATGATAATGGTACCGAGGTTGAACTTTTCTTATTTAACTCCTCTGTTGGAATTTGATAAACTAATTGTCTAAATAATTTAGTTGTGAAATAAGATTGTAATAATGAATTTAAGTAGCATGTTGCACCTTGATTATTTAACCCAACATAACCAGAATTTTTCTTAGAATCATAATCAACCAATTGATGCCATAATACACCAGTTTGTGAATCATCAATAACTTTAACAAAAGCAGTTATATTTAATTTATTATTTTCTAAAATTGCATGTGGTGACGATTGTTGATTCGTATTACTAAATCGAATTTGATTATTTCTATTATTTAAAACCGATGATTGTAACTGTTTTACATCCAATAAACTACTAAAACCCCAATCAGTTTCTGCTTTACTGAATCTACGAAAACTATTAGTTGGATAATGAGCATCTGGATATAATGGATTCCATAAATCTAAACCAAATTGTGCACAAACATACCAATCATCATCAACCTTTAATTCGTCTGGTGGATGTGGTTCCATATATATTGATAACATTCCATTTTGATTATTTCCTCTAGGGAATAATAAAATATTCCATTCAAAACCACCACATTTAAAAGTTGGTGATCTTAGTTTTTCTTCTTTCAATGCTTTTGCCCAGTCTTCAATCTCCCACACATAATGAGTTTGTTCTTTAATTGGATAATCAGGTATTGGTTTCATTAATTTATTTGCTAATGCTTCAAATTCAGTAGCTAATGGATAACGCTTGGAACTGTGTGGTTGATGTTGTTTATGATCATTGACAGCGATGACATCTTCTAATTCATCATCAGAAGATTCTTCTTCCTCTTCTTCATCTATTTCTTCTTCTTCTTCATCTATTTCTTCTTCTTCTTCTTCTTCTTCTTCTTCGTCTTCTTCTTCTGCTGTCATGTCAATAATTTCAGTTGGTGTCTCCAATATATTCTGTTGCTTTTTATTCATTTCCGAGTCGGAATCTAAATCAATCGCATCAGTAGTCATAGTACCATTTGTGGCGGCAATTGAAGTATTTAAATCTTGGGTTGGGTCAATTGATTTTTGATGTTGTTTTTTATTAACTGATTCATCAAGTTCTTCTTCTTCTTCTAGTATTATATCCGAATCAAAATTCATTGTTGTACTACTTTGAGTATCATTATTATCTATATTATTATTTGTATTTTTTGTTGTTGTTGAATTATTGTTAATCATATTAATGAAACTTCTTTTTGATCCACGATCAATATAATCGTATTTATTATTAATATTTGAATTACAATCCACTTTTAAGATTTAAATATTTAAATATTTATAAATAAATGATATTAATATCCCTGAATATAATTAAATTGATCAAATCACAAAAAAAATCTAGTAAAATGCTTTGAAATTAAAAATGAAATTTATGAGCCTCAATTGAACTGATTGATAATAATTTATGATAACACTGTCGATAAATGATAAAATTGTACAATTGAATTGAATCGATAACTTGTTGTAAAAATAAACTATTGAAATCAAAATCAAATATAAATAAATTTAATAAATAATAATAAAATTAATGATTAAACTTTTATTATGTAATACTCCCATACTATTTGTTAACTATGGACGTTAACTATTGATGTATGGGGGTGTGTGATCATATTATATTATATATTTCAAGTTGGTTCAATCTTACACTACCATTGTTTGCACCCAAATTTAATTGCTATCAGTAATTAATGTTTCAGAATTTGGTTGGGAATCACTTCTTCATAAGAATATATAATATCTATTATTAGATCAAGTGAAATGATAAGTACTTTTAAACCAAACAGTACAATTTAAATTCAGTATAATGTATATAATGTAGGGAGTGAACGGAAATTTAACTCCGAAAAGAGTAACACCAATGACACTACAAATTTAACACCTACACTTGATATCTCTGTGTTAAAATGATTAGGATATAGTTTTTGATCCTTCAATTCCATTGTTTTCGATCACAACCGATTGTTGAAAATATTTTCAAATTTTCACCAATTTTTTCCAAATTTTAACAAATTCAACCAATTGACATATACTCTTCAAACAAGATGTATATTGCATTATTGTAAGTAGAAACTCTGAGTTTGCTTTGAGAGTAGGATGTGTGTAGGTATACTCAATAAAGTGCGAGATCTATGTTAGTATTTTTTTTGCAGCCATTAAATTTTCTACTTTAGTTGTAAAGAAAACTGTGTTTCACATCCATCCTTAGCAGTTTGAAATCTAATTGTTGTTAAATAACATAATATGTTTTTGCAATGCACCATTCCTATAAAGATAATTGTGTGTATAAGTAATGATAAAGAGTATTCGAAGTAATGCAGCTGTTTTATCATTATTGGAGCCCTGGTGAAAAAAAAAATTAAAAAAAATTAAAAAAGAATAAAAAATTTTGCAGCTATTCTTTGAAGTTGTGTTTAAATGCTTAAGAACTTATGAAACTTTTTGGAACATTACCAAGTCGTCAAATCTTAAGCATATTCAGATTTTCACTAAATGAACGCATGTTTTCTTAAGATTCTTCAGCATATATTCTCATGTTTTCTTAAAAATTCTTCAGGATATATTCTCATTTGCAGCATCACGTTTCAATATTTGAAAAAATTAATGAATTGACTTCATAGAGTCTTCAAAACAAATCCTGATAAATTTTAGCTGGATTAATATCAGTATATTACCCTAGTTTACCACACAGAAGCTGGGAATGATAGTAAAACATAGCCTAAATTAAATTCATTACAACTAGATTGTTATCGTATAGGATCTTAATGCAGTTAGAAAATCACATTTATTCAGATTCTAAAATACTTCACTGATTGTAAAATTCTTAGCATATTCAGGGAAGAGCGTTTAAAAATATATGTTGGAATTTTATCGGATTAAATTGAAAATTTTTAATAAGGATTTAGGAGATTATGCAATTAATTAATTAATTAATTAATTAAAACGAAAATTAGTTAATATAAAAACGATTTCATAGAGAATACAAAAAAATATTATAAACAGATTAGACTTTTTTTAACCAAGACTAAATTGAAATATAATAATTTCACCTTGTCTAGACTTTATTGCAACTGCTGGCTGTAAAAATCTGTACCGTTCCAATCAACTCAAGTTGATGTTGCAGAAAGGGATGTGAATGATAAAACATGTGCACACTTATAATCGGCTTATATTAGCCTCTTCGTAAATATAGTGAAAGATTTATCAGCAGAGTTTATTATATTGCATGATTCGCACTTTGATTGGTCAATAATTTTTTTTTCTTCATAACCACTTGGTAGTGCGCGACGCGAAAAAATAGAATATAGTAAGATTTTTCGATAATAGGTAAGATTTGAGATTTTGTGGAATATAAAGAGTTTATCATCAACCTCCTTTTTTCTTCTTAACAACCATGATGTCAAAGAAATTATGAAACAAATTCTCTTTACAGGGGAACAGAAGAAAGTAATAAATTTAGTTTCAAAAGTCATTCAATGTTTCAAAGCCAAATCAATTAATTTTTATACGTCCGATCTCATACGTTTTCTCAGGAAATATCGTATAATAAATGAATGAGTATAAATATATATATATATGTATATATATATTTTTTCAGTGAAACTGGTTCTAGATTTGACAGTCAAACTAACAAATAATGTAATGTATTAGACAAGAGTTTAATATGGAAATGTAAAACCGGTTAAATATTTTCATAAATTGTTGAAACAATTTGTTACAAAAGTAAACACTTCCTGCATACAAGAGATCTAAAATATTATATGTTTTTTTTTTTTATTTTTTTTTTTTTTATTTTATTTTCTTAGTAGTTAAAAAATTGCACTGTAAATCTCTCTCCCTTTAATTTACAAATTATCAACAATTCATATATAATTTTTTTATATTCCTTTCTTCTTTTTAAGTTTATCAACTTTTTTTTCATTTTAAAAGATTAACTAAGTGTTCCCTATCTATAGTCACTCCTTAATTTTATATCCTAGAGAAAGAACATTTTATTTCATTCATTCATTTTAAATTAGAAAAAGTATCTTACGCTCGTTTTATTACAATGTTATTTAAATCATTAGTTACATTTACTTTATTAGCTCAATCTTTAGCTGCTCCAGCTGTCCATCAACATCATCAACATGAAAAAAGAGCTGTTCATGTTGTTACTAAAACAAATGTTGTCGTTGTCACCGTGGGTGCTCATACTACTACTTTCCCAGAAGTTTCATTAGCTACTCCAGATTCATCAATTTCAGTTTCTACAGTATCTGATGCTCCTCAAGTTGCTCCAAGTGGTGGTGCTTCAACTACTGAAACAGATGTTCCATCATCAACCGAATCTCAATCATCATCATCTTCATCATCAGTTGTTGGTTCAGGTGGTGCTAGAGGTGTTACTTATTCACCATACTCAGACCAAGGTGGTTGTAAATCAGCTGGTCAAATTCAATCAGAAGTTGCTGCTTTATCAGGTTTTGATTTAATTAGATTATATGGTGTTGACTGTGATCAAGTTGCTCAAGTTTTAAAAGCTAAAACTCCTTCACAAAAACTTTTTGCTGGTATCTTTGATGTTGCAAACATCGCTTCAGGTATTGAAACTTTAGCTTCAGCTGTTAAAGAAAATGGTTCATGGGATGATATTGATACCGTTTCAATTGGTAATGAATTAGTTAACTCAGGTCAATGTACCCCAGGTCAAATTCAAGGTTACATTAACACTGCTAGACCATTATTAAAAGCTGCTGGTTTTTCAGGTTCAGTTGTTTCTGTTGATACTTTTATTGCTACTATTAACAACCCGGAATTATGTAAATACTCAGATTACGTTGCTGTTAATGCTCATGCTTTCTTTGATGGTTATTACACTGCTCAAGATGCTGGTGACTGGGTCTTACAACAAATTCAAAGAGTTTGGACTGCTTGTGGTGGTGAAAAACAAGTTTTAATTACTGAAACTGGTTGGCCATCAAGAGGTGATTCAAATGGTAAAGCTGTTCCATCAAAACAAAATCAACAAGACGCTATTGCTTCAATTAAAGCAAAATGTGGTAGTGCTGCTATCTTATTCACTGCTTTCAATGATTTATGGAAAGCTGATGGTCCATACAATGCTGAAAAATACTGGGGTTTCTTATCAAACTAGATAAGTGATTATCAACAAAACCTCAATTTTTATACCCGTTGATTCCTTATTTAATAATATTTTTTTTTGTTTAGTTCCAAATGTGAAATAAATTTACATTTTTTATTTTGTTTTTAATTAACTTTTCGTTATTGTGTCATAATGTATTCTCTTGCATGTTGCAAAAAAAAAAAAAATTAGAACATTTCCATATCGATACCAAATGTAAATAAATAATAAACATGAGATTTACGAACTGTTGCTAAACATTTCAGTCACTCATATGATTTACTTTAACTCTTTTATACACTACATTGATGAACCCGCCTTCGAATAGAAATTAGAATATGGAGATCTAATCGAAATATGTATACTTAAAGTGGAGATTTCAAGCTCGAATATGTTATCAATTGTTTCTGCACTCAAAATTACTGAAAAAAGTAACCCTCTGATTAGTTTTTAGACTTAAACCTAAACTTTATGTTGAAGTGCCTTCGACGATTTTAAAAAATATAAAAATATGAAATAACAAGTAAGGCTCCTGTCAGTATGTTCCTAAACCAAGTATATTTAAACTCCTACAACCTTAGAATTTGTTGAGAAGATTGCTCTACTCAAAGGATGGTTACAACCAACTTGTGAAATCAAAAACTAGAGTAAGTACGAATCTTTCTGACTAGTGAATCAACATTCAAAGCCGAGCTTTAAAATGACAAGTATCTCATCCAAATCACATAATGCTACAATCAGCCAATTATGCCAATCATTTCTGAAGAGTTACACTTCATTAATTAATTTTAAAATAGACGAAAATAAAATATCATGGTTTCAACGCATGCAAAATAATTTAATATACTATTGGCAATAACTCTTAATCCATAACCATAGAGCAAAAATGCTTCATACTAATACTATTCACCTTTTGAGTAAGTATCTAGAGATGATATCAAATTTACTAGACGGATTCAAAAATGATATTTTTACAGAATTTTCCTGATCTACAAATGTCCACCGGTGTTCACATGTTTTTAATTGACCAAAATTGATTCTTGCAAATTTCTTTCACTCAATAAACAAGACTAACTAGCTCATTGAGGTTTGGAAGGACAATTATAAATTCTTTCCATATTGTCAATCTAATGATTGCAAATCTGATGTTTTTCCTAGATTCTATACAAATTATATAATGCCCTTGGTTGTCAATGGTTCCAAGTATCGCGAAGCTCTAAATTTTGGACTATTAGAGTTACCTAACATAGCAATAAAGAGGATTTTCAAAATGTTTGGTGTACTATGAAAAAGCTCAAGCATTTAGGTTCATGGAGAAACAGAGCTACCAAATATATACCCCCCTTAACGAAAGCAAATTAATCGAAAGCAAATTAATTGATGATTTTTAACAAGTTATCAAGTGGACAAGCTGCTATACTCTGTGCAAATACAATGCTCTCATGCTAATTACTATGGTTTTTTTTTTCAAACAGATGCTGCTTTACGCAATGGATAATTATAATTTCTAAGACTAACTTAAAATGTCATGAAGTACAAATCATCATACTTAAAAGGCTTCTAGGTTAGTAAGGTAAGGGACACTAGTGCTAAGAATCGGGTACAAGGAATACATCATACGATTACAGTGAGTTCTTTTTTAATGCTATGAAGGTATTAAATCATTTTTCTATTTTTGACAAAAAATTACCCCCTAACAAAATCTCCCGATACTTGTGTAATAAATCTTAAAAAATAGTCGCTATAATATTTGTAACACCATTTGAATTTGTAGCTTTCTTTTATGATCAACTCAGATTATCACATCATTCAGCATGTATATTAGTAGAGTATGACGATGCGTAAAGTTTAGGTGAAATAAATCCAATTTTTACAATTTAAACGGTCAAGAATGACCATGAATTTTGATTTTTGCTTTTTCTAATATACAAGACTGGGTTATGTGGGTAATAAGGACTTCGGGTTTTTGAACGATAATTATGCGTTCTATTTGCTTTCTTATTATAAACCAAACCACCATTGATGAAGGAACAACCAGCTCCTGAATATCAGCGTTGACTATCGAAAGTCTTCTTTGAGGTCCCAGGTAATGATGTTTTCCAATTCACTCAAAATCTGATTCCATCTTATTAATGGATAATCTGATGTATTCACTTCAGTGGTGTGTACATCCACTTGAGATATCTAAATCAATGGCAATATCTTTATTGTTCCTTGGTTCGGGTGACATATCTAAAAATGTTGTTGATTGAACTGATCATCATTTCATTCTTGAGTAAAATGATTTAGTCCACTTCTGAACCGACTTTTGAAATTCCGTATAGAAGTGTATGGACTACATTGTTTACATTTAGACTTGTATTAGCAAGCTAAGTGTACTCGGATTCAGTTGCAATGACATAAATAATTAAGAATGATGAAAAATATTGTTCATTATTCTGATTATCTTGAAGGCAACACAATATCCACTTTCTTTTCAAGGTTTTCAAATATTAATTAAATTCAATTGATTCTTAATTACTTTGAAATTAAATTCAAGATTTTCACATTATTAATTTCCATATATTCATCAAATAAATAGCTAGACAATCAACCACGATTTTATTATATACTAATCAAGGCCAAACATTTCCAAACCTTTTAAAAATTCTTTCCTTTGATCAATTGCAATCCGCAGTTGATATTGTAACAATTGATCAAATTTCCCTTTATTTAACATGAAATCTAAATTATCATCCCATACGCCAGGAATATCACCAAATCTTAATAATTTAAAAGTTGGTTTATCATAATCTTTAGTAACATAATCTCTTAAATTTTGAATAAAAATATTTGCAATTATACCGAGCAATTTAGTATCACAACCAGTTGCTAAAATTAAATGACAAATTAATGAATTTGTAAAACCAATTTTACCCAATTTTGAAAATAATTCTTCAACAGTTTTTGATTCATCTGATATTCTAACAATTGATTCAATTTGTTTACTTAAATCGGAATCAATAAATTCATAAAATTCATCATTAATTAAATCATCTAAATCAGCTTCTTTTGGAATATATTTCAATTCACAATTAGGAACTTGAGATTGTAATTGTGAAAAGATATCAGTTTTTTGAGTTTGTTGTGTTTCTTCTTTATCTTGTGAATCATCCGCAAGATCTGCTAACTTTGGTACTTCAATATGCTGATCACCTGCTTGTCTAACCAATAATGAATCATCAATTTCTGATTTATTAATTTCTTCATTTAATTTTTTTAAATTATTTGAATCAGTTTTCGCTTTAGATTTTTTTGTAGCTTTTGGTTTTATAACTTTTGTCTTTGTTGACTTTGTAGCTTTTGATGCTGTAGCTGTTGATTCTGTTACATTTGGTTCTGTTGCTTTTGGTTCTGTTGCTTTTGATTCTGTTGTTTTTGATTCTGTTGCTTGTGATTCTGTTGATTCTTTTGGTTTCTCTGTGTATTTATTTAATCTTGTTAAAACATTTGGTTGCACTTTATCCTTAATACATTTGTCATAATATTCAATATATTTAGGTATTGTACCTCTTGTAACATGCCTTCTAAATCTATCTCTCCATGAATGAACAGAATGACTTGAATTTTTTCTATACATTGTATTGTAAAATGAAAAAGTTGGTTCAATATCATCATTTATATCAAATTCTCTTCCATCAGATTCACATTTTTCTCTTTGATATTGAACTGCCTCCATACATAGTTGATAATCATCTTCAGGAGTAAATTTCTTCTTTAGAGTTTCAATTTGTTCAAGTGAAACTTTAATATATTCACCATTTTCATCCTTAATCATCTTACCATCTGGACCTTGTTTATAAATATAAATTAAATCTTTTGAAAGATGTCTTCTATATCTTGATCTAATTGAATTACCAGTATGACCTCTTAAAGTTGGGTGAGTAGATAATTTATCAAAAAATTTATGACTATTTCTTAATGTTGGATTTGCTCTAATTTGTTCTATAATATACGAATCTTGTTCAGGGGTAAATCTTGAAGTCCCTTTTCCTTTTTTAACTAATGGTTCATCAGGAATTTGACCCAATGCAATCATATCATCAAAACTTGAATTATCAATTTGATAAGCACTCATTGGTAATAAAGTATTTTGAGCAATTGAATCATCAATCCATTTAAAACTTGTAGTTAAAGGATCTGTATTTGATAAATAAATTGTTGTTGTACTAGCGCCTGGGTCATCAATTACAACACCACCATATTGAATAATTAAATTTTTATATTTAGATTTTAATGGATCATTTGGTTTAATATAAAATAATAACGACCTATTTTGTTTATCAGCAAAAATAACATTTCTATGTTGATAATAAGGATTTGATTGTTGTTGATGTTGTTGTTGTTGATATAAGTTTTGATGATGTTGTTGTTGTTGTTGTGCTTGTTGAACATGAGCTTTTCTTGTATTTTGTAATTGTTGATGTAATACAGCGGCTTGAGCAGCAGCTTCAGCAGCATCCGAATTAAAACCGTAAGAAAAATTCATTCGATAAAATGGTAGTTCTCTTTGTTTGTTTGTTTATCTTATCTAGTTGTTGCAAAAAAGTATTTGAAATGATGTCTGGATGTTTATTTGAATGTTTACCAGAATTTTAAGGATAATTTCAAAAAAAAAAAAAAAAAAAAATCAATGTTACGGATTAATGGTAAGTACACGAAAACACGTTAAATAGTCACGTGTATTGGAATTTTGCAGCTAAATAATAGATACCAGTTGATTATACTATACTAATTGATGGTTTATCATTGAGTTGTTGGTAAACCAAATCTCCCAAGTTTGAGGCCGCGGACAGATTAATCTTGAAATTCTAAGATACATCATATCTACAAAATGCAAAGTCAGAGTTAACCAAAATATGTACTTGTTATTATCAAGTATATATTAAATCAAGAATATGATATAATTTTAATCAAATTATAATAAATAGAAATCCCCAATTAAACCAATTGTAGCAATTAAAAAGCTAGCACCACTTATAATACTACCAACTTTATAACCATTTTCAATTTTCTTTAAATCGATATTAATTTCTTTTTGTAATAAAGTATTTTCAATTTCTTGATCAATTTCCAATTCTTCTTTTGTTTTATTTGTAGTTGTTGGTTGATCTTCAGATTCAGAATTAGTCAATTCTGGAGTAGTATCACCAGATTCAGAAAGATGAACAAAATCATCAACTGAATCACTCAATTTTTGAGTTTTTGATTTAATTGGTTTTATATCATTTGTAGTATTTGTTGTGGTATTTGATTTTGCAGATTTTTGTAATAATTTTTCTTCAATTTGATAATTATGATAAATTAAATAAATTAAACTAGCTGGAATTGAAGCATATATTAAATAAGGATGTTTTTCAGTAACTGAACTATAATTATAAGCAGTAATAAAACTAGCTGTTGATATTAAATTTAAAATACCTTGTACAATTCTTGAATTAATAATTTGATTTTTAATTGTAAATAATGATTTATTAGTTGATGAATTTGAATTATAATTATTATTAGTAGTAGTAGTAGTTGTTGTTGATATATTATTAGTTATATTATTAATTACATTAGGTATAATATTAAAAAATTCATAATTTAATTGAGTTGTTAATAAACCTAAACTACCAAGACCAATTAATTTTATAACATTAATACAAGTACCAGCCATAATGAATATATACTAAAGTGAATAAGAAGTAGTAGTAATTGATTGGAATTAATATGTTGTTGTAAAAGAAAGTAAAAGAATGATGTTGGATGGCAAGATAAAAAAAAAAAAAAGAAAAAATTGACTATAAAAATTTAAGCCCGTAATAAAAAATATTTACTAGTGAATGATTATGTAATATGTATACAGTGGAGTATTTTAGTAGATAAGGAGTGATCAATTTTACACTACTAACTAATTGATTGAATTTTTCCTTATCTATATTTATACCATATTAAGAATTTGTTATATATATATATATATGTATATAACTATAATATATTAAACTCCTTAAGGGGTTTTTTTATTTATTTTATAACAGATCTTTCATAATAAAGTAAACATAATAAACTAATATACAAGGGTAGATTTCAGATATAAGATATATATAAGATATATATAAGATATATACATCAACAAGTTTGAAATCTATTCTCTAATTTTGAATCAGCCTTTAAACGATCAATTATTCGGATTTATACTTTATTGGCTATTTCTACTTAACGATGAAAAACCCGCGATATTTTATTTTTGAAATTACCCCTTAAGCTCGTTAACTAATGTTTTACACAATTTAACATTGTTATAGTAATGTTTTACACAATTTAACATTGTTATAGTATCTTTGAAACTTTAGTCTCATTTTAAATGCACTATATTATTGACTTATGACAACAGCATTTAATCTTTTAAGTAGAACTGATTACTATAATTCGACAAAAATCGCTTAAGGTTGAATCTGAATCATACAACTAGAAGTATTGAAGCTAGTTTCACAGAATGTTTTACTAACTCAGAGGAACTGGAAGGTTCACAGAATGCAATCAGTCGATTTCAATTGGATATATAAAAACTTCGACTGACATCGCCTCAAAAGAGCGCGAGTCTTCGGACGATAAAAATTTATGTTGGGCTCAGTAGTTCGCGCAATTCTAAAACCGTCTCCTCGTAAAGTACATTAAATTTTTATTTCAATCAACTTTTAACCAATCCGGAGCTTTTTCCAAATCAATTTCAACACTATTTATATCAAATCCTTCTATCAATAATTCAACTAAAATTCTACCACCTCTTGCACCAGTAAATCTTCTATATTCTTCAGATACACTTGCTAAATTCCATCCTTGTAATCTTCTTAAGCAACCAATTACAGTACCAGTTCTGTGTCTTCCCATACCACAACTTATTAAAATTGGATAATTTTTCTTTTGCACTATAATTTGTAATGCTTTTCTTATAGTGGAATCAGTTAATGAATCCCAAGGATTTTGTAATCTTTGTTGATCATATTCAAATTCATTAATCATTCCAATAAATTCAATATTTATATCATTATAATTACAATATTCAAGAAAATCATCACTTGGTTCTTCTGATGCTAACCAGATTATAGTTTTTAAATTTAATTCATTTAAAAATGATTGATTTATAATTGACGGTTGACCTGATCTATATAATTGTTTTTCAACAGGACAAAAATTTAACGGGGGTATTATTCTTAAAGCTGGAGGATGACTTATCTTTCTTAATTGTTTATTAGTATTAGTATTATTATCATCTTGATCTTGTATAGTTGTATTGTCAATTGACATAATAATTGTTGGTTAAATATTGCAACTAAAAATAAAAAAAAAAAAAAGAAAAATATTTACGCAAGGGCCAAATTTTAACTTGTTTTCCATTTATAGGTACGTGGCTTTTATGGGCAACCATTTAATTAAGAAGTAAGTAACGTAGAGAATCACTAAAGACTCTTAACAGATGGAAATTTCAATCTAGAACTATTAAACCTTGTTTCTTTCGTTGTTGTTTGATAATTCATGGTATATCCGATTAAGCCAATTTTCCGTTTTTGACCATATTGAACGAATTGATTTCAATTAAAGCAAAACGAAAAATAAAATTATTCAACGTGTTTTTAATAGGAATAGACTAGTATAATTATCGCCATGGTTAAAGATAAATCAATTGCAATTAAAAAAGCAGCACAAGCACAATCTAGAGCGACTCCAACTACTCCAGCTACTACAGTAGTACAACCTGTTTCAACAACTTTTCATGAATTGCAATCTGCTATAAATACAACTTTTAAAGATTACTTCAGAAATTTAACACCAAGAACTAAATTGATTGATTTATTTTTATTGTTTTTGGTATTATTAGGTGTATTACAATTTATTTATGTTTTATTAATTGGTAATTTTCCATTCAATGCATTTTTAGGTGGTTTTATATCTTGTGTTGGTCAATTTGTTTTATTGGTAAGTTTAAGATTACAAATAAATGATGAAACAAAAGAAGGACAAGTAGAAGGTGAAGAAGATTCAAAAATATTCAAATTTATTTCTCCAGAAAGATCATTTGGTGATTTTATATTTGCTAGTTTAATTTTACATTTTATAGTTATTCATTTTATAAATTAAAATTATTATATATTAAATAAACACGATAACAGATAAATAATCAATACTTTTTTCTTTTTAAAATTGAAAAATCAAACTAAAATTAGATAGAGTTTTGTAGACCTTATGCAATTGAAATGAAGAATGTTAATTTTGAAAAATATGGAAAAACTTTTCACAGAAAAGTCTAAACTATCACACAACAACCTGATTTTTCTTTACCTTCAGGTTTAGTACTTGATTGTTGTTGCTTTCGTTGTGAAGTTGCTTGTTGTGTTTTTTGTTGTTGTTGTTTTTGATTTTGATTACTCAGTATTGCTCCGTTATTATTTATATTTGAAGTTTCTTCATTTTTATTTTCTGCTTGATTCTTTTCTTGTTCAATTTTCTTATTTGAATCTCTAATATATCTTACTAAATCATAAAATGCTTCTTCAACATTAATTCTTTGCTTTGCTGAAGTTTCTAAAAATGGACAACCAAATGAATTTGCCAATTGTAAACCTTCTTCATAAGAAACTTGTCTCTCCATTTCTAAATCACATTTATTACCGACTACCAAGACTGGAACTTGATCTTGATCTTTTACTCGTAAAATCTGTTCATAAAATGATTGTAATTCTTCTAATGAATTTCTTGAATTTATAGAATAAACCAACAAAAAACCTTCACCTGTTCTCATATATTGTTCTCTCATTGCTGAATATTCTTCTTGTCCTGCGGTATCTAATATATCTAAAAGTACTTGTTCTTGATCAATTGTACATTGTTTACGATAAGAATCTTCAATTGTTGGATCATATTCATCCACAAAATGAGATTGAATCAATTGTATAGTTAATGCTGATTTACCAACACCACCACCACCACCAACAACAACTAATTTATATTCTCTTAACATAACTGCAATAACCTAAGTAAAACAAAATATCAATTTGGGGTGGGAAATAAAATTATATTTATATATGTTGAAAAAAAAAATTAAAAAAAAAAATATATAATAAAAATAAGGCAGTACAAAAATTGCCTATATTTGGAATGGGGCTGCTACCAATAGAACTATTAACACAAACTTACCATATGATAATTTGCAATAATTAACCAAGTATCAATTCGTATAACTAACTGGTTTCGGTGTAGTTTGTTCCTTAATATAGCTAATTCTATTGGTTTTCCATTATGTTGCTAGTAATTATATCATAATAATTATTTTATCTCGAATTAAATAAGAACTAATAATGTCAACACTAATTATAATATTCAATATTCGTTTAACCGAAATATGCCAAACATAAAACCGAGTAAGATATATCTATTGAACTGTATCAAATTATGTCAATGTATTACCAGGATAAGAAATAGATAAAAGCATTGAGTCATGCTTTTAGTCACTTCAATCTTTCGTTTTGATCTTTTCTCACCGCACTTTATACCAATTTCAGTATTATGGTATTCTTCAAAATTTTAGCGATGTCACATTTACAAGAAAAGTGAAACTATGCATTATTGTTGAATTATAATTTCGTTTCACAAACTATGTCGTAGAAGTAGAAGTAGAAGAGTTCTATTGTGAAAATTTTTACATTTAAGACAATATAAATGCATTTTTTAAATGAATTTCAAATCGTAATTCATTCTATATTCGGATTAAATAGTTCGTTTTTAATTTGAATCACCATGAATATCTTATATGTTTGAACCTTGCTGGGGTAGATTGTGCGGAAATAATCGCTATTACCTTCAATTTTCATATATTATAGAGAAGGGAGTGATTTGCGTTCGTTATTACTTGGTGCCTGAGTTACGTTGCATATATGTTCACTCGCATATTTATCCTATTTCTGATCATTTGTGGTGGTATGTTGAGTCTTGTTGATTTCAGAATCAAATGTTCACATATTTTGCAGTCGATGAGGTTCAACAAAATTTTGTAACCAATTTTTTCTCACCTATTTCGCAACCCCCTAAGGATTATAGTACCTTGAATTTCATTGAACGAATATTAGAGTAGTTATTCATACAAGAAATAGAATCTAATCATCATTATTTATCTTTAATTTCTATTTTGCACGTTTGCTCGCCACTATATGAGCTGTAGCTTTTGATTTATAAATAATACTGATTTTTAAGTCACGTAAAACGTATAAAATTTAATTGACATTATAAACGAGAGTGGTCGTTATACACAGGAATGCAATGTGCATTATATCATTTCATTTAACATTTGAAACAAATAAATAATGAAATTACTTAAATTATCAAGTTTTTTATTCTTTTTGTCACAATATTAAGGATTATCATTATAGCTTCTTCCGTTGGTCCAGTAATTAGTTGACAACAAATCGTCCATTGTTCTAATCTATTTGAGTATTAGGACACCCGCTAGAGGAGAGTTTAGCTATGGGTGTAATTTGCCATAATTAATTCGACTCCGTAGGAACAAGTAATCGAAGCAAAACAAAACAAAAACAATAAGGACAAATCATTATCACAGCTACTCAGATATTACAACGTATACTTAAAATTGCCTGATAGCCCATTACGTGGTTACTTGTCATATATTACTTTTGGAAATTTACACCTTATATTTGAAACGAGTTTCATAATTTTACAGCTTATATGCAGTTTCAACATAGATAATCTTGAAACTTAAATTGATCATATCTTGGTCAATATTCAAGTTGACACTCTCAAACCTAATTCATTGAAAACTTCGGAACATTTTTAGTAAAGTGATGCTAGTTTAATTTAAAGAAATATGATTCTGATTAAGTTATTCTTTGTTTAAAAAATTGAAAAAACGTTAAATTGAAAGATAATCAACACTTAGACCGCTTTTAACAATTTCTATTTTAGGCTGATTTAGTTTCTGGAATTTTATGTATGTTGTTTTCAAGACGCCAAAATCACTTTGAAATTTTTTTTAAAATTTCGAAACATGCTTGGAAAATTACTTTTCCAATTTTGAATACCCTAACAGAGAAATATTTAGGGATCGATAATGCGCAGAGCTACAAAATCGGATAGTTTCATCATGTTGTAGTCTGGACATTCAATGTTGAATTGAATTTTTCGTTAGGTCGAATTATTCGAATTTCCCATACTTAAGAGAAAATTTTGAAATTTTTCAATTCTGGTAGTGAGCAGTTAGAATCAAGCCCAGTATCTTTAATCGAGCTGATATACATATAATCCGCTGTTTATATGAATGTTTTGGGCCCAAACTTACAGATACATGTATTTATATTCTTCAAAAAATTTTTGGATGGTGAAAAAAGGCCAATATGACAACTCAAAAAAAAAATTTTTGAAATCCAAAATTTGAAATATGTAGAATATCCAATTCAAGGCTCTTGATTCTTTTAAATTAGAGCTGATGTTGAGAGAATTTGTAGTTCTTGACATATTAGCCAATGAGATTTGTACGAGTCGCTCTAAAAATCGCGGGAAAAAAATACTATGCTGGCACTAAATTTGGGCGACAGTTACATACTGAAAAGATAATTCGGTAACAAAAAAGCAGTTTAGTACTTAAGATCGATAATTATCACAATACTCAAGAGGGCGAGGTTGTAAATAGTACACTTTATAAATTATATCTTTATTTAAATTTTTTACAATTATCACAAAACCATTTTCCTTTTGGTGGATTTTTATAACCAATACAAGGAAGATGAAACCATTCAATAGCACAGTTTTCACCATCACAAGCAACCATTTCCCCAAATGAAACTTGATTACAATAACAATAAGTAGGTTCAGTATTAGCACTACTTTTACTTTCAATTTCCTTCTTCTTTTTGTTATAATTTTTATTTTCTTCGCCATTCTTCTTCTTATCTTTTTTATTACTTGTGTTATTTTCAGGAGTAGTCAACTTACGTTTCTTGTTTGTACCTTTATCCTTCTCAGTTGGCGGATCTTCATCATCTTCATTTTGAACTTTCTTTCTTGATAATACCTCTCTTCTTGACTCTCCTCTATTATTATTAGTAGCTGAAGCAGTATCTTTCCCACTCGATACATTTTCATTTATCATAGCTGGATGATTCAATGGTCCAATTCTTATACTTTCTGGTATTTCATTATTCATGACTATCAACTTATAATTCTGATTTATTCTATACATATGTTTCAGTAGTAAATCAGAAGCAACGGATGTGACATGCATTTTCTCTTCGAGACATGGTATAATTTCATTTATTTTGTTCTTTATAGTTGACAATTGATCGAATTCGTCTTCCTCCTTTCTTGTTTCTCCATCATGTAATTGATTTATATATGTTTTAATTTTTGAATTTATTTGTGGGATTGTGTTTATACATTTTGCATCTATTTCTTTAAGCAACGTGAAATATTTAATTAAATCTAACGGTAAAGCTTCAAATGCATCACTTATATCATTTAAACCAGGTAATAGTTCATGTAAATTGTTTATCTGTTTTGGTTTAGACTTGATTGATTGGATGATTGATTTTTTTTTCAAAGTTGTGGTTGCACCTTCTAGCACCTCTTGTTCTTGTTCTTGCTTCTTCTGCCTGTTGATTAATCTTTGAGACTTTTCACGTATTGGTAAGTCAGTAAATGTCATTGTGTTAATACAAAGTTGTAGTAAGTTGTTGTATATTAAATTTTGAAATTTTATTTTGATACGAGATATTGTAAAAATTCGTGCACGTTGGAACGAAAATTTAAAAGTAACCATTTTACCCAAAAGTGGTAGCGAACATTAATTTCAACTTAAAGCTTTTTTGAAATAATGCAAGATAAAATTTTAACAGTACTGGCTTAGAACTAATTGTTCTTACGGGTTTGTTGGTAGAAAAACCTTTATGCTACAATTTTTCTGTGTAGAAATCAAATTCTAATATTAAATGCGCTGATATCTTTGATTAGAATTGTAAATGGTTTACCATTGTACTGAAACAATTTTTAACTTTGTCCTTGCCCTTCTTTGTATTCGATCATAACTACAGAATTTATGGTGAATTTTTTTGAATTTGGTGCTTCATAAGACTAGCGACTCAATATCAATAGTAAAATAGGATAGACTTAGGATTCGGGCTTTGATTTAGGTTTGCTAGGTTTCCCAGAATGAATGTCTAGACAAAGTATGTGGATTCTATGAACTTTGTGAGTGAAAGACCTGCTTTTGGTATTCGTATTCAACGGATCTAGCGGTACATTTTTAGTAGAGCTTAGGCTGAATTACTTTCATTAACAGCTTGGATGGTTGTTATCTTTTGATTTTGATGGATTTCACTAAAATTAAAGCTAAATGTTGCTTGTCGTAAATTCGCGTATTTAAATTGCGCATATTTCGTAAATATATGAGTTATCAATTATGAAACAAATACAATCAAAGAAACAATTTTTAGAAATTAATAGATAACTCGTAGTTGTACTTTCAGCAAATATAAAGTCAAAAATTTTCTTAAAGTTGGAATCAAACTAGGCTATACGAAAGTTTCCACGTAAATATGTTAATTAACTGAAAAATTGCATAACAATTTGAGTAAACAGAGGTGAATGCTTAGGGTGCGGGTGACAAAAATCAATATGCTTTAACGAACTATTTTCAGAGACTCGATACCGTAGAACTCATTTGTTCGTTATGTCCAAAGCACAATCGAATTTCCTTTGTAGTACTTGCAGCTTCAATTCTTTGATCCATTCTTTATTCAAGCTCAACTGCACTCACGAAAAGGCTTTAGTACTTTCTATCTCTATACTTTACCTTGAGTTATTCAAAAGTTCAATTTACAATTGTCAAAGGTTTAGCCGCATCTACCAATTTAGAAATTCAATCGATAACTTTTTTTTTTTTTTAGTGATAAAGTAATTCCACATGATCTAACAAAATTATAACAATAATTTTCAGTATATTTATACATCAGCAACATAATTCATTGTACATTTACAAGTCTATACCGGCTCATTAAAAGGCTTCCATTGTTAGCAAGAAAACAAACCAAACTCGTGGATCATTTCATCGATCAATGACTTTTTTTTTGACCTTTAGCCACAGTTTTTTATATTAATAGATTTTGACAACCAATATTTAAATCAATCAATTTTGTATAACTACATTCATAATTTCATCAGATCAATCGTCATAAAATACTAACCCTAATTAGAGGTACAGAATCATAACTGGAATAACTTAGTAAGTATTATCTGTCAAAATTTTAGTGTTCATTAAAAGTTTCAATTACAAGTTTAAAATTTCAATGTTAAATTTTGCCATCATATTTGTTAAATATAATTTATGCAATAGAAGATTCAGAATCATCATTTACAGTATAATCATATTTTTAGTTTATTATTATTTAAGATTTTTAGTGTTTATATTTGGCAACTGTGGCATCATATATTATAATTTATAATAATAAAGAGAAAGAAGATAAAGAGTTAATAGTTAAAACAAGTATTCGAAGTAATGAAACTTATAATAAACATTTCTTTTCATGAATAATAATAATAATCAACGAGATACTAATATTAATAGACCAAATATCCCAAGGCATAATTCACAATCATCTATAATACTACCATCACAAAGATCAAATAATCAACAAGCAAATCAACAAGCAAATCAACAACAACAATTGATATATAATAATCTAAATCATAATAGATCAATGAGTTATACTGCTTCTTCCACAATGTTTTCACCAAATCCAACAAGTCCTTTATATCCAAATTTTAATTCAAATTCACCACCGCAAAAGAAATCAAAATCTAAAATCACAAGTACAGTAGTAGATGATGAAAATAATCTATTTTCAAGTGCTAGATCTCCAAGTAATCCACAGCCAAATATAAGTTATACTCGAAGTCAATCAGCGAAGGATAATGACGAGAATGAAGAAGGTGAAGAAGAATCGGAAAATGAAGATGAAAGGTTTTTAAGATTAGCTAGAGATGCATTAGTAGCTACTGCTCAAGGTATAAATCAACAAAATAGAGGTATAGTAGATCCAACAATTAATGATTTATTAACTCGATTACAATATGCTGCTTCACCACATGGAAATCCAATAAAACAAAGTGAGACATTAAATGTAAATAACAAAGGTCAATTAAACATACAAGAATTCTATCAATCATTTCCCAACCTAAGTAATGATGTATTTGAAAAATCACACAGCATCAAAAATGAGATGATCGATCCAATCAAAAATCATCATCCTTCTGGAAACGAAGCGGGTTGGAATTTTCTTATTGGTGAATCAGTAATATTAAAAGCAGATTCAGATAGACAAATACAACTACCTACTCAATCAAGTGTGAAAATAGAATCAAGTAGTACTGCTCAATCGTCACCTAATGAAAATAAAATTCAAGATCCATCAAGGAAATTTCTTTGTGATCATTGTTTTATGTCATTTCGACGTTCTTCAGATTTGAAAAGACACGAGAAACAACATTTAAGTATTCCTCCTAATATTTGTGAATTTTGTGGTAAAGGTTTTGCAAGAAAAGATGCATTAAAAAGACATGTTGGAACTTTAACTTGTAACAGAAATGCAGATAAACAATTATACATAGATAATTTGGATTATTTAAAGAGTCAAAAAAATGGAAAATCAAATGAAAATACTACCTTATCAGCAAATACAATTAATAATGAGAATGAAGAAGATGAAGAAGACGATGATGATGATGATGATGATGAAGATGTAAAGGCAAGTTTTCCAACATATGGGTTTCAAAAAGAAAATAATAATTCAGGTTGGTAAATACATGATTGGAAAACTGTCCAATAATATTCAATTAGTTAAAAAACGATTATCTTGATGATCGATGATTCATATAATGTTAATGTCTCAAATGAAGAAGCTGAAGATTTAGCTATTGGTTTATAAAATTTATAGAAATTCATGAATGAATAGAGGAAAAGATCATCTAATGAATCAATTCAATCCTTGGTAGAGTATCCCGAGTATGTAATCTGACATTGAACCACACATTCATACTTCTGCAACACATTATCCAATTCTAATCTATGCGAAATGATGTTGTACTAAAATAATGAACCGATTGATAAGCAAAAGGTAAAGCCGTCGGTGTAAAACCATTACCATTTTTGAAATTATACTAAGCTATATAACTTTTTTTTTTTTAACCAAGATAACCATTACATTTAGATCATTATAATATAAATATTTCAAATCCACTCATTTGGTAGCGCCAATGACCCCCCTAAGTATATTTAGATACCCCTTAAAGGTAAATCCATAAAGAAAAGCAAATTAATACCATATGACGTACTGGTTTACTAACCAATTGATTGCATGATTCTCGCACAAGTATAAAGTATACCTGTTGAGTTGATAGTTTAAAATTTTTGTTTATCGAACCTTGAATCACGAATTATAACAATTTAGAACACGATTTATAAAGTCTGAAATGCTATAGTGAATTTTTCATTTGACATATTGTAGGAGTTCAAAATTACTTAAATTTTAAATAACTAACGCATACTGGTTAGCCTAATTCGGCAAAAATTATTGAAGAATCACTTCTCAGCACAAATATACTTCAAGAGTCAGATAGCTATATTCTTAACTAGTCTAACTAGAAACGAATACTATGTCCTAATAACATTTTTCCATCATTTCAAACAATGAATTGCCCCTCTAATAAGATCCAAACGATATCTAAAATTAAACAGTTTTACTTCAAATTTCAATTCGGTCGACTGGAGAGATAAAAATTACGTCAAAAAAATTAAAATAGAATAGTTCATATATTTTATTTTTCAGATGCAAACCAATTAAGATTAAATTAGTTTTAACTCGTTCGGATTATTACGTAGTACGAATGCTTACCACGGCATAATAATAAAAAATGATTCACATTCAATGTAGAGTTTAAAAGCAATTTCAACGGTTATTTACTAACCGATTTCGGATTAAAATTGGACTAATATTGGACTAATATAGTTTTCTTACCTCACGAGATACTATTATACTGCAAGGAACGTGATGTTACAGTACAAAATAGAAATATAAGAAACAAAAATAAATAAAGGGATGTGAAACAAATTAAATCTTTGATTGTACAAGAGTTGTTAATATGATGTAATAAGTATACTATTGTAACGATGATTATGAACCATAGAACAATAGTTGATTATAGACAATGTTTCAATACTGACAAAAGATTCAAACGTTTCAAAAATCCTCGGTATACTCATCTCCCTTAACTTTACATAGTTACACAAACAAAAAAAAAAAAAAAAAAAAAGAAGAATATTTTGTATCAGATCTTAAAACATATCGAAATACCGCTTAAGTTGTATTTCTTTAATATTTTTTAGTACTACAGTCACATTACTCATAGTTAACATTTCACAATATAATATTATATTAGTCGTCTGTGAATATTTTTATCAATTAAATTTTAGTTGCGAAATATTTCTAATTTGTCTTCGAAGTTTATATAAAATATTAAGAGATTCCTCAACAAAATTTTTATTCCAATTTTATTTTATTCATTTGTACTTCACAAATTAAAATAGATTCAATTTGTATTTATTCAAATCATTTTTATAGAATTTATAGATCATCATTACAATTCAATCAGTTGCATCATCTATTCAAATTTTAATCAAATTTTAATCAATTTTTAAACTTTGGTATATTAAATTTAATTTTTGTTGGGAAAAAAGAAATTACTACCAATTGAGTATATAAAGTAATCATATCCTTTATTTTAAGTATTATATTATGTCGGCTGCTGTTACTAGATTACAACAATTATCAAAACATTTACAACCACATTATTCACCGAATCCAGAATCTTCATTGTCTCCAGAAAAGCCTTTTAAAATTTGTGTTATTGGTTCGGGTAATTGGGGTACTACAATTGCAAAAGTTATTGCAGAAAATGCATTAGCAAGACCACATATATTTAGTCATTATGTTAAAATGTGGGTATTTGAAGAAAAGATTAATGGTCAAAATTTGACAGAAATTATAAATGCAAGAAATGAGAATATAAAATATTTGCCCGGGGTAAAATTACCAAATAACCTAATTGCGGAACCTGATTTATTAAAAACTGTTGAAGGTGCTGATTTAATTATATTTAACTTACCACATCAATTTTTACCAAAAATTTTAAAAACTTTAAAAGGAAACGTTCCACCAACTACCAGAGCGATTTCATGTCTTAAAGGTTTAGAAGTCTCAAAAGATGGTTGCAAACTATTAAGTACTTATATCACTGAAGAATTAGGAATAACTTGTGGTGCTTTATCAGGAGCAAATCTAGCTCCGGAAGTTGCAAGATGTAAATGGTCAGAAACTACAATTGGTTATAAATTACCAAACGATTATAGAGGTACAGGTAAAGATATCGACAGATTTGTATTAAAAGCTGCTTTCCATAGAAGTTATTTCCATGTAAATGTAATTGAAGATGTTGCTGGTGTTTCAGTTGCTGGTGCTTTGAAAAATATAGTTGCATTAGCAGTTGGTCTTGTTGAAGGTTTAGGCTGGGGTGATAATGCAAAAGCTGCAATAATGAGAGTTGGTTTATTAGAAACTATTAAATTTTCCGAAACTTTCTTCCCAGAATCACAATCATCTACTTTCACAGCTGAATCTGCTGGTGTTGCAGATTTGATAACAACCTGCTCTGGTGGTAGAAATGTTAAAGTTGGGAGATATATGGCAAAAACAGGTGCTTCTGCTGAAGAAGCCGAAAAGAAATTATTAAATGGTCAATCATCTCAAGGTATAGTTACAGCAAAAGAAGTTCATGAATTATTAACAAATGTTAATAAATTAGCTGAATTCCCATTATTTGAAGCAACTTATCAAATTATTTATGGTTCAGAATCAATTGAAAATTTACCAAATTTATTAAACAATTAAATTATAGATATTATAGACAATCACTTATTTATTCAATTTTAACTCGTTTGGTTGCATCTTCTGCTTGTTCTGGTTTCCTTTTCTTAGCTCTATACTTTACTATAAATTTTTCCATATATTGTTTAGTAAAATCTTTAACTTTTTTAATTTTATGTTCTTCTAATACCTTAGGTGGTGGTTTATTCTGTCTAAGTTCTTTTGACGTTATAGCATTTACAAGTTCTTTTGCACAATGCTTGACATTATCTCTACCTATTTCCGGTTCATATTTTCTGATCATATTAGGTACGTATTTAGCAAGTAAATGTTTCCACTTCATTTCCAAATTTTCTGGTGAATTGTTATGACTATGACTATGACTATGACTACGTTCTCTACGTTCTTTTCTTTCGGGTTCTTTTGGTTTTGGTTTCTCTGGTGCTTTAGCATTGGCTATTAATTCTTTTAATCTTTGTTCTTGTTGCATTAACTTATTATGTTTTGCTTCCTTTTCTCTTTGTATTCTTCGTTCTTCTCGTTTTGCTAAATCATCATCTGTATTATATTTATTGGATCTGCCCATCGGTCCAGGCCCACTTGGAGGTCTTGGTCCCATTGGTGCTGGAATAGGTTTTTCCCAAGTTGTGACATTTGTAACCGTATTAAAATAGTAATATTGTTTTGAATTAGCATCAAATGCAGCTTCCCAATTTGGTGGTAGACCTGGCATTTTTGTAAATTGTGCAACAGGTTTATAGTTTGAGTATTGTTGTGCTTGTTGATTTTGTTGTGGTTGGTCTTGTTCAGGTGTTCTCGATATTCTTCCAAATGATGGCATGGTAACTGCATTATTATTCTTCGGTATTCTATAAGCCATTTGTAATTTTGACCATCTTTCAAACAACAGTGATGCTAAATCTTTAATCGTTTCATTTTCAGTTTTCAGATTAATTTCCAGAATTACTTCTTCAATTTGACTTGCAGCAATTTTGTTTTTAGTAACTGCTGGCCATCTTTCCAATGTTTCCAAGATCAGTATTATTAATTCATCATCATCAGTTGATTGTAAAACACCACTTAATGATTTATAACCATGAAATTTAACAATTAATGAATTTACATGTGGATCTTCCGTCAAATTCATTCTTGTAATTAATTGTTTGATAATTGGTGTTTCTTGTGATTTCATTAATGCTGACATAACTTTCGAAACATCATTTTCGGTGATTGGTTGTACTTGTAAACTTTTAACAAATTGTTCATTTATAGTAGCATCATCTTTTTGTTGTTTTGATCTAAGATGTTTATTTTCTTTCAACCAAGCTCTTTCTTCTTTTGAAGTAACACCTAAGGCATCAGCAATACCTTCAGGTAATAATAACGCAGCATCAGTTTGAGTTTTACCACCCATAAATTTTATACAATTTGGCTCACCACAATAACATGGTTGTTTTTGAGCACCATATCTATCTACATTATAATCAAATGAAATTTCTTCACCTTTTAAAATTTTCCTTTTGGCAAATATCCCCATTTTTAGCTTATCACCAACCACCCATTTATCAACATAAGCATTGGGATTACATGAATGATTTACAAATCTAGCTAATGAACCTTTTTCGGTAGCATCTATAAATGCATCTGGTTTCAACATCATAAAATAAAAATGTGTATACTTTTTACTATCATACTCAATCATTCTTTGTCGAAATTTAGCTTCATCTATAACCTCTCCAATATATTCATAAATAAATTGATTCTCATATAAGTCATCTTCAGCTTTCAAACCATAACCTTTTAATTCAGTTTTGAAAACGCTTACATTTGAGTATTGTTGTTTTTGAAAGCGTTGATTTTGACAATCATTCCCACAAAAACAACTATCATTTATACATTCAACTGAAGTAATCCTATTTATACAGTTTGAATCTTCACCACAAGCTAAATTTGAAAACCCATCCCATTCTTCTTGACAATCACAAGTCATGAATTCTAATTTTCGTTTGGCATTTGTATTTGTCGAAGGGTTACCAATAATTTTATTTTGATAGGTACAAGCTGGAATTTCTTCAAATTTCGAGCATGCTTCTTCTGTTTTATCTTCAACATCTAGAAATAATTGTGGTTGTTTTGAATTTAATGGTGGAGTTGGGGGAGTAGTATTCTCTCGAGATGAAAACGATGACATTTTAATATATTTATTAATAAATTGTTTGTGAATCAATTTTGAAAATTATTTTTTTTTTTTTTTTTTTTCACCTAGCGAAATCGCGTAATGATAATTCAGAGTGAAACCAAATGATAGATGGTAAATTAACATTGATCATATATGATTATAGATCAAATTGGTGTTGAATTATACTTGGACTGTTCAGTAATACTTTATTCTTGAAATTTAAACTTTCATCTTTGATCTAACCTGAGATACAGCGTATCCTTGCGCTAGCTTGGCATTCTTGATGAATTTTAATAAGAACAATTTACTTCTCTTACTCGTTACTCAACCTTTATATGGTTTGTTGTTAAGTGGTGATGATGATACTAATATAGTAATTGATTTTGCGTTCTAATTACGAAAGAAAAAGTGAGTAGTGCAGTATTTTTAAACTTTCTATTATATCATTATTTTTTTCTTGATAAAGTTACAGCCAATTTCATATTTACAACCAATTTATAGCCATTTACAATCATAATAATATTATAATGGCAGAAGTTGAAACAAAAAGACCATCTAGTAGTCATTTGAAAAATATTCTACATAAATTAGGTGGACAACCAGATTCTTATTCAAGAAAAGAAAATTATACTTTTGGTAAAACTTTAGGGGCTGGATCATTTGGTATAGTAAGGTATGCAAGAGATAATAATACGAATGAAGAAGTTGCAGTTAAAATAATATTAAAAAAAGCTTTAAAAGGAAATGAATCAATGATACTTGATGAAATGAAATTACTTGAAACTTTACATAATCCACATATTGTTGGTTTTAGGGATTGGTTTGAAAGTAAAGATAAATTTTATTTAGTTACTCAATTAGCTACTGGTGGAGAATTGTTTGATAGAATAGTTCAACAAGGTAAATTTACTGAACATGACGCTTCTTTGGTAATTATACAAATTTTAGAAGCATTGAAATATTTACATGACAAAGATATTGTACATAGAGATATTAAACCTGAAAATATCTTATATTTAAACGAAGATAAAGAATCACCAGTTGTACTTGCTGACTTTGGTATTGCTAAAAGATTACAAAATCCTCAAGAGAAATTAACATCATCTGCTGGTTCATTTGGTTATGCTGCTCCTGAGGTTATATTAGGTACTGGACATGGTAAACCTTGTGATATTTGGTCATTGGGAGTTGTTACATATACTTTATTATGTGGTTATTCTCCATTTAGATCTGAAAATGTTCAAGATTTTATAAATGAAGTCAAACATAATAATGCAGTTATATTCCATGCTGATTATTGGAAAGACGTTTCAAAAGATGCAAGAAGGTTTATTATAAAAGCTTTACAATTTAATCCTGAAAATAGGCCAACTGCAGATCAATTATTAAATGATCCATGGTTAGTTTCAATTGCTCAAAAATATAAAGAATGTGATTTATTACCAAATTTGAAAGAAGGATTCGATGCAAAAGCAAAATTTAAACAAGCTATTGAAGTAGTTAAATTGAATAATAGAATCAAGAATTTGAAATCATTACAAACTGAGGAAGATGATGATCCTAATGAAATTAATTTATTTAATGAACGTGGATCTATAAATCATGATATACCATCGAAAACAGCAACTAAGGATTCTCAACAACAACCATTGGAAAATTGGGATAAGTTTTCAAATTCATTAAATAATTTTGAATCAAGAGATGGTTCAAAAGCAAGTTTAGCGTTTGTACAATTAGTTAAAGCTGCAACAAAGAACAAAGAAAGAGTTGAAAAATTTAACGAAGAAGATGAAGAGAAGTAGAATTTACAATTTCTAATTTTTTATTAATAAATAATTTAAATATTACAATTAAAATCCAGTAATTTTTTGAAAATCTTCAGCTGTAACATTCGATTTTTCACACATTTGTTGAAATATACCATTTTCAAGATTAAATAAATTCCATGGAGTATCAAATTCTTTAATTTCACCTTTATCTAATACTAAAATTCGATCATAATTTATAATTGTTTTCAATCTATGGGCAATACATAAAATTGTACAATCTTTAAATTCTTTTATAATTGTTTGTTGAATTTTTGAATCAGTTTCATAATCAACCGAACTTGTAGCTTCATCTAAAATCAAAATCTTTGAATCTCTAACTAAAGCTCTTGCAAATGCAATTAATTGACGTTCACCTAATGAGAAATTAGAGCCTTCATCTTCAACATTTTGATCCAAGTGGAATTTATGAATTTCATCATCTTCATTTACTGATTTTTGTTTTTTAACAATTTCTAATCTTGATTCTTCAATTAAACCAGTTCTTCTTAATGCATCCCATAATTTATTATCTGAATGTTCATTAAATGGATCCAAATTTTTTCTAATTGTACCTCTAAATAAAACAGGATCTTGTGGAATAATAGATAATTTTGATCTTAAATCTTTTAATCCCAATGTTGAAATATCAATATTATCTATAATAATTTTACCACTTTCTAATTCTGATAATCTATATAATGCAGTCATAATTGATGATTTACCAGCACCTGTTCTACCACAAATACCAATCTTTTCCATTGAGTTAATTTTGAAGCTTAAGCTTTTCAAAACTAAAGGTAATCCAGGTCTATATGCCAATGAAGCATTTTCAAACTCAATACTACCTTTGTCTGGCCAATTTGGTGGCGGTGTATTTTCAGTTATTAAATATGGTGCTTCTTCTGGTAAATAAGTAGCATAACTATTTAATCTTTCAACAGAATTCATTTCATTTTCAACTTGGGTATAAGTTCTAATTAACATGGATAATTGACCAGCAATTTGGAATACATAAGAAACAATCAACCCAACTGAAGATGCATTAACATTGAAAACACGATTAACACAAAGTAATGCAATTAATAATGCAAATAAAGAAGCAACAAAATCCATATGAATAGCTAACCATCTTTGATTTGCAATTGTTAAATAATAAGCTTCATTCATTTTATCAATTAAATAATTGTTTTTGTCCAAAAATCTATCAGTTGCTTTATAAGCTTTAATTGTAGCCATACCAGATAAAGTTTCATTGAAATTATTGTAAACGAATGATCTTTGGATAGCTTCTAATCTTTTAATTTCTCTTGCTGACGCTTGATAATAATTTGCAATTGAAACAAACAAAATACCTAAAAACGGAATAGCAATGGCAAACCAAGGTAAATAAACAATACATAATATTAAAACACCAATGATATTACACAAGGTAAATAAAAAAAATCTCAATTGATCACCAATTTCATTATCCAAAACATCAGTATCTTTTGTAAATCTACTTAAAATTCTACCCATTGGTGTTGTGTCCATGAATGACATTGGTGCATGTAAAACTTTATTAACTGCAAAAACATTTAACATAACAGAAGCGGTATTTGTTATATAAACCAAAACAATAAATTCACAAGTTAAAAATATAAATGAACAAAATGTAAACATTATATAAACTCCAACATAAACTTTATCAGGTTTATCGAATTTATATTGTGTCCAAAATGATAACCAAGTATTTGTGAAAATTTGACAAAATGTAGAAATCATCATTAATGATAATAAAACAGGTACAATAACCCACGGTGTAAATTTACCAGAACCTAATTCAATATATCTTGAATAAACTTCCCATGAAATGGCATTAACTGCTCTTTCTTCAGCATCAATTAATTTACCATCAACAGATTTATCAACATTAAATTCACGATGTCTTGCTTCTTCATCTTCAATAGTTTTAATTGTAATTTGTCTTTGAATTTCTTTTAATTCTTCATCGAGTTCTTCTTCTTCTTTTTCTTCAATTTCTTCTTCTTCCTCTTCTTTGGTTTCAGATGAATAAGCCATTAATTTACCAAATCCTGGATTCGTAGCTTTCAATTGTTCAAAAGTTCCCATATCAATTGATCCATCACCATTTAAAAATATGACTCTATCAGCAGCACCAATTAATGATAATTGGTGAGTTGCTAAAATTCTTGTTTTATTTTTCAATAGATCTAATAAACAATTATTCATTATATGTTTACCAACTCTTGCATCAACAGCAGATAAAACATCATCTAATAATATAATATCTCTATTTGCATAAACAGCTCTAGCTAAATTGATTCTTGCCTTTTGACCACCAGACAATGTAATACCACGTTCACCAATTTCAGTTCTATCACCAGCAGGTAAAATTTCTAAATCAGCTTCTAATGAACATGCATAAATAACTTTATTATAAGTTTCTTCATCATATTCAGCTCCAAAAATAATATTCTCTTTAACTGTAGTATTCTGAACCCATGGATATCCACATAATAACAATGAACCATTGACACTAACTTGACCGGATGATTTCTTCATGACACCAGACATGGCAGCTAATAAAGATGATTTACCAGAACCTATTAACCCGGTAATAACAACAAATTCACCTTTTTTAATTTTGAAATTTATATCTTTCAATCCACCAAATACAATTTCATCATCCGAAGAGTCAACAGAATCACTAATATCTTTTGATGATGATTTTTCAGAATGTATTTGAAGTATAGTCTCAATTTTTTCAGAATCTGATGATGTTGCCTGTTTATCTTTCTTTTGTGTTGGATTTGATGCTTCTTCTTCAGCGGCAAATATTTCCCATTCAAAATCTGCATGTTCTATATCAATCGCAACATCTTCTGTGTCCATAATTTGTTGTACTTCAGGGCTTGCTTCAATTTTATTTTCTTCTGGATTAATTTCACCTTGTGACATAAATTCACCAACTCTAGAAATACCCATAAATGCATCAGCACCAGTAGCTAAAGCCATTGGTAATAAAAATACTTGTTGCGTTAAAATATTATACAAAGATAATGATGAAAAAATGGATGCTGGATCTCTTCTATGATTTGAAATTGAATATAAAACCAAAAATGCAGTCATTGAAGCAAACAAAGTCAAAGACATTGCAAATGAAGTAACAATATTTCTTAAAATTTGCATTCTATAAATAATTTTCATTTCTTTCTTTCTAATTTCTGAAATATTTTCATGATATGGAGGTTCCCAAGAATAAAATTTGATAATTTTCAAATTATTTAATGCTTCTTTAACATAATTCACCCTAGAATCAGTAAAGAAATTTGCAGTTTTTCTGTAAGCAAATAATTTACCAGTTGAAAATGCAATACCAACCATGAAAACAATTAAAATAGCAACACCAACTACTGATGCAACACCTATATTGACCACTAAAATAGCTATAGCAATAGCGATAGGTACTGGGAAAACAAATAAAAATGGTTGAAAACCTAATGCAAAATCAATTCTTGATAAATCGGTACCCAACATTGAAGTAATTTTACCAACTGGATATTTATGTTTAGCCTCTGAATCCAATTTAAAAGATTTATCTAGCAATGCTTTTGTTAAAACAGCTTTTGCTTGTGCACCAGTTAACATAGACCTGAAAAAGAAATGATTAATTAAAATACCAACGACGAAAATAACAATTGCAGAACCAAACGAATAACCAATACCAGTACCAACGTCTTCTACTAGACCCAATGCTCTATCTTCGACAAATTTGATTAACTTTTTAGTAAGTAATGGTAATAAAGTTTGACCGACGTTACTTAGTGCTAAACAAGCGCATGCCCATAAATATTGCCATTTAAAAGTTTTAGCTAATGCCCAAACAGTTATAAATTTACTCAATTCAAAATCTGACAAATCTTCTTTTTCACCAACTGAGGAGTTCTCTATACTTTCACCTCTTTTTTTACATTTTTCAGCTATATGCTTATTTCTTGCCTTTTGTATATCATTTGTCATATATTTATAAAAATCATTAGCCATTGTTTGAACTTTTATATCATCAGTTAAATAAAATAAATCTTCAGGTTGTATAGTTCTTTTATAACCAACTTTCATAACTGGAGATAACCACCAAAAGAAAATTCTTGACACTATATTAGTTTTCCTTATAGGATATTCCAATCTTTCATCTTCTTCAGGTACAGGTGGAACATTTTTAGATAGTAACCAACTCAATAAACGTTTTTGTCGTTGTAGATGCTGTTGATTTTCAAGTTGTGTTAGATTTCCATCACCCATGGTAAAATAAATCTATGAAATGACGGTGATGTTTGAATAATCTATTAATAAATAGTTGATTGTACTTTTGGTTTACAAATCAATGAAATGCAAAATGATATAAAATTCGTTGAATAATAATTCAGATGGTTGTAAATCTTAACGTTTATATGTATCAGAAAGCAAAAGAATTTTTTTTTTTTTAATTTTAAATCCGTGTATTATACGGATTAATTAACTTTTTAGGTTACTAACACGAAATCGATATAAATTTACCGTAAAAAGTATGCGGTGTAAAGTTGAATATATTAATTATATGGAGAGCATAAGATTGAACATGGCAAATTAGATACTTCAGGACTAAAAACTTAATTCCATTACTAATATCAACTGAGAGAATGGTTTAAATTTACTATTGAACTCCAGATTTTTCGTCCTTTGATCATTTGTTTTATCCAGAGTCATGTGGTTACTTATGAATTGATATTCTCGAAGAAATATTCAAGAAAAATAGAGGTCTCTATATAATATATTTTTTTGTTGAGTAGTAAGTCTAGATGTAAATAGTAAATGAATTGGTTGCATTTTTGTTTGATAAGTTAAAGGTTAAAGGCTGAAACTTAAAATATTCCGTTTAGTCGAATGGCATCAAAATAATAGATTGAAATACAATATTCAGTATTTAAAGAATAGATTTAGTTTAAATTTTCAAAATGAAAGATTGTTAATACATGTAATGCACAGCCAACAATTTTATGTAGAGTTAAAGTTAAAAGTAATGGAAAGGAGGACATTTCTCGATGTTATCCTTCTTATCAGTATTCCATCTTCTTAGAATGCCGTTATGATACTATTTTTAAAACGGAACGTATTACTATTGTGGGTAAGCACGGCTCATCTCATCAAAAAAATTGATTTTGTGTAATAAAGTCGGAGGTATCGGTGATTTGGATATTTCCGATCCAGTAATATATAGAGTAAGCGTATGAATACGATTTAAATTATACTTCAATAATTTACATATGAAAACAATCTGAAAACAAGCTAAGATACTATACAATCATTAAGTTGAGCTCCTGGATTTCAAATCCAATACTAATCTTCTGTTTTCAATTCTTGTTTTGCTACTTGTTTTGCTTCATCTTTTGCTTCACCTTCTTTCAATTCTTCTATTCCTGCTTCACTTGCTTCTCCATTTGCTTCTACTTTTGTTTCTTTATCTTCTTCTTTTATTTCTTTTGGTTTTGCTTTTCTTTTCTTAATTCTATGTTCCAAACCTAAATGTTTAACTTCGTAATGACGATTGAACCCTTTCAAATCAGTGTATTTTTTATCACATAATAAGCATTGACGTTTCAATCTATTTTCATCAATTATATTAACAAATTTACCATTATATTTAGGAGTATTTGATTTATTATAATGTAAATTAAAATTGGCTAATGAAATAGCTTCGGCAGGAGTTTTATTAATTTTAATATCAGGAATTGGTTGACTTATGTCATTTGCAACATTACTCAAAACTTGTAGTGGACTAATTGCTTGTTCTCCAACGTCATCTTGTTCTGTCATTTGCTTTTCTTCTTTAATAGTTGACATTGTAATGTTACCTTCATCTTCAGTAATTGAAACTTCTTGATAAGAAATTCTTTTTCTTGCAGCTGATCTCAAAGAAGTTTTTCTATTTGGATTACCCCCGAAATCATCTTGAATAACTTGTCCAATATTTTTTTCAGCTTCTTGTTTTTCTAATAATTCAATAAACTTAAGTAATTCACTTGATAATTCAGGTGGAAATGAAGGTGCTGCGTTTGTATGATCTGGAAATAATCCACTAGGATATTCATTTTCTTCTTCTTGTGGTTGTTCGTTGGTTGAATCAAATGAATTGGTAAGTTTATTAAAAGAAGTTGTTGAACGTAATTTTTGACGCTTTAAGCTTGGTCTAAAATTGTAACTAATAAACTACAGTTAGTAAATAAACAAATGGAGTTGGAGGAGGTCTCAACACACATTTCTGACATTTAAAACACCTATGGATTGAATTGAATGAAATAAGCGCTATGGGAAAATAAAAATTTAATTTTGGAATATTTTGCAACCAAAACAAAAAAGTGTACGAACAAATGATTAAAATTGGAACCAGTTTACTCAAAGACAATTTAAGCTCAAACTCAATACTCAAAGAATCCAGACATTGAAAGTTTTTATACATTATACAATTCCATCTGTTGATTCAGATTTGAAAACATCATTAACAAATAAGCTTAAGATCTCAAGGAACCAAAGATATATTAGATTTTTATTTGTCCAGACTTTATTGAGTTCCTTTGACTAGCTAGAAATATAACAAAACGTGCCAGATTATCTCTCTAAACTTTCTCTCTACGATTTAAATTGAATATTAATTCAAATTTTGCAGCCAATATTGAAAATGATCTGATTACCAAATTGACACACTTTAAACACTATAGAAATGGTTAATACTAATGTCCAATTAAGTAACCGATTGTGGCTGGACTACTAACATTGATTAGCTCTTTGTTTCATAAGCCGAATGTTAGATCTAAAATAATTCGACCAAATCATAATAATTTTTTTTTTTTTGGCCCCGAACAAACCATGAAGGTGCCACAGTTGAAAATGGTTATATTATATTCTTGATAAATTATGTTAATTTACAATCTATCGTGATTTCCTAAATATGATTAAAGTATTTAATATTTAAAGATTTAGTTTTCAGTTTTAGGTTTCAGTTTTAGGTTTCATCAATTTGTTTTCCATCTTCCAAATATGACTACTAGAAGACAAAATAAAAGACAAAAGAAACAAAGAAAACCATTAATTATCAATGCTTTCGACATGGGTTGCCCAGGTTTACAAACCCCCGGATTATGGAAACATCCTAAAGATAAATCAAGAAACTACAATACCATTGAATATTGGACCAATTTGGCTAAACTTTTAGAAAAGGGTAAATTTAATGCATTATTTATTGCTGATGTTTTAGGTCCTTATGATGTTTATAATGGTCCAAGAAATTTAACAGCAGCTGCTAAATCGGGAGCTCAATGGCCAATTAATGAACCAAGTGCTGTAATTAGTGCTATGGCTGCAGTTACCAAAAATTTGTCATTTGCATGTACATTTTCCACAATTAGTGAAGCTCCATATCATTTTGCAAGAAGATTAGCTACTTTGGATCATTTAACTAATGGAAGAATTGGTTGGAATATAGTTAGTGGGTATTTAGATACAGCTTCAAGAAATTTATTAAATGGAGAGCCTTTACCTGAACATGATTCAAGATATGATAGAGCTCAAGAATATTTGGAAATTGTATATCAATTATTTTTAAGTTCATGGGCTGATGATGCAGTTGAAACAAATCCAAAAACTGGTGTATTTACCAATCCAGATAAAATTAGAGAAATCAATTATGAAGGTAAATTTTTCAAAGTTCCAGGTCCTAATATTACAGAGCCTACTCCACAAAGATTACCAGTTATTTTACAAGCAGGTGCATCAACTAAGGGTCTTGAATATGCCGCAAAAAATGCAGAAGCTGTTTTTATAAATGGTTTGACTCCAGAAGGTTTAAAATATAAAATCGACCAATTAAAGGAATTAGTGAAGAAAAATGGTAGAAATCCAGATGATGTTAAAACCGTTAAACTTGCAACTGTTATAGTAGCTCCAACACAGGAAGAAGCAATTGAAAAATTTAATGAATATAAAAACTTATCAGATTTGGAAGGTGCTCAAACTTTATTTAGTGGTTGGACTGGGATTGATATTGGTGATTATGAATGGGAGGAGGAATTAACAAATGTTGAAAGTAATGCAGTAAGATCAATGGTTGAACAATGGACAAAACCATTTCCAGGAGATCCACCAAATTTGAAAAAGACTAGAGAATATTTAGCAAATAAAGTTAGTGTTGGTGGTTCTGGTACATTATTTATTGGTACTCCACAATCCATAGCTGATGAAATTGAAAATTGGGTAGATATATCAGGAGTTGATGGTTTTAATTTTACTTATGCAGTAACACCAGGTTCATTTGAGGATCTTGTTGAATTATTAATACCTGAATTACAAAGACGAGGATTAATGTGGGATGATTATCCAAAGGAAGGTATTACATTTAGAGAACAAATAAATGGATTAGAAGGTGAAGAACCAAGATTTTTAAGACCTGATCATCCTGCTTATAACTTAAGATGGAGGGCTGGTGAATCAAAAGAAGAATTTGAAAAGAAATTAGAAAAAACATTAAAGGAAAAGTTTTAAGTTAAAATATATCGGCAATTGTTATCTTTTTGATCTCTCGTCTAATTTTATGACTCTCGGTTCCATTAGTTTTGGAGCCACAATCCACAATAATTACTCCCGAAAGATAACGAACATATATAAGGAGAGCGAAATGTTTAACAAAGAATCAAATCGGATATGCCAGTTCAAAAAAGTAGATATAACATTAGACCTTTTGTTGAAGCTCCATTATCGAATATTCCAATTGAAAATAAAATAGATTTACAAACTATTGATTTATCTTTATATAAAGATGGTGATGAAAACTTTGCAGCTCGTAAATTGTTAGCTGACAAAATTGAGAAATCATTATCGACTTATGGTTTCATATCTCTCATAAATCCTGGTTTCCCCGTTGAAAAATTAGAATTTTTGAAATCATTAGCTCAATCTATTTTAGAAGTTCCATTAGAAGAGCAAAAACAGTATTTAGCAGGTGCTTTGAAAAGTGATCTTGAAGACAGATCAAAATCAATTGGAGCCGAACGTGCATCAGGATATAAACCTAAAGGATATTGGTCAATGAAAAATAATGTAAATGATTCAATCACACATTACAATTTTAATAATATGCAACATGATAGGTTTTTTGATTTAGAGTTTAATAATTATCCAGACATTGTTATAGCTCACTTGGATGAAATTGCAGAATACTATAGGTTCTTACATACTGATACGTTGAGAAAACTTTGTAATTTGACTGATATTGTTTTAGAACTACCTGAAGGTTATATGTATGGAAACTATTATAAAGTATTTAATGGTGATTACGAAGAATCAGGTGGTGGTGCTGGTAGATTTATGTTATATGAGAAAATGCAAGAAGAAGATTTAAAGAAAGTTGACAATGAAACATTAAGAGGTCATTCCGATTCAGGTGGATTTACCTTTATAACCAGTCAGCCAATATTGTCATTACAAATCAGAGATTATTATACTGGTCAATGGAATTATGTTGGACATGAACCAAATGCATTAATTGTAAATATTGGAGATGCTATGGAATTTATCACTGGTAGTTACTTTAAATCAAGTATTCATAGAGTTGTTGCATCACCTATAGACCAACAAGATTATAAAAGGTTAGTTTTAATATATTTTAGCAAACCTAAAGAAACTTGTATATTAGATCCAGAACCTTTAAATTCTCCGAAATTAAAAAGATTGGGTTTTAATAAACCACAAGAATGGGAAAAGATAACTTTTGAACAATGGAATAATGAAAAATCAAGATTATTTGGCAAAAAGAAACTTAATGATGTTAAAGGTGATGAACCAAAATTGGTATTAGTATACGGTAGATTACATGAAAGATGGCACCAAGCAGAAGCAAATTTTAGTTTAGAAGAAGCTGCAAAACACTTTCAAGTAATTGAACTAAATGATTCTAATTAAATAAGGTATATATTTTAACGAGTCGAACTGAATTTGAGTTTTAGATCTTTTTAACTTTTCTAGAAGATGTATTGGATGACAGCGACTAATTGTTGAACAGCCCAAATGAAGATAATCTTTCTGTAATTTGAGTCAGCAATAATTTTAGTAAATGTATTAACAACAACCCCTGAATCTTGTAAAGCACTAATTAAACCACTAAATGTAATAACGTTATTATTTACAATTGAAGTAATTAATCTAACAACAAAAGTTTGCCCATCACTTGTTGTTAATAAATCGTCAACAATTGAAACACCGATACCTGATTTGTTAACTGAGATACAGATAGATTCTAAATCAGTAATTGCATTAAATAAAGTTAAAACTGATTGAACAATTGATTGTTGAATACCACCTAAAATATCACCGACAAGATCAAGTATTAATCTTTTACTAAAACCTGGAATACCAATAACACCATTATTCCATAAAGTAACTAAAATATTCCATAAGTTTGGAATTAAAGCTGGGTTAATAAAGAATCTCATAACTAAAGAAACAGCTAAATCTGAGCCATCAGCAGCTGATAAAATTTTAGTTAAACCAGTATTTATAATATATTGTTCAATTAAGTCTATAGTTGATGGTTGAGATAATGGATTTGTAGCTAAACCATGAACAATTTGGACACCTTGTCCTGATCTGTTCAAAGCAACTAAAGCTGCAGTTAATGCTTGATTTTCAGTAGCTCTTTTTGATAATGATGAATAATTTGCAACTTGATCTTGAGGTTCTACACCAGTTACAACAGCTACTAATTCTTTTAAATACTCATCTAAAGCTTCTAATGTTGGGGGATAATCTTGCGAATCATCAGCTCTAACAACTAATTCACTACCTATTGGTGTATTGATTATGTTACCTAATGTTATTGAAAGGCAAAAGAATGCAAACAAAGTATTTAACAACTTCATTTTAAGTTTCAATGATTTGCAGTGATAAAGAATACTTGTTTCTTTTTTTCGTAATTATTTAGCCAAAGCCATGGCTTTAAATATATTTCGAGATTTGATAAACTAGAAAATTTTTTAATTCAGCACAAACCTAAATATGGTAATTGAATAAAATTATAACTTAATTTGACATGGTTAGATATTGCTAAATATGAAATTAGTGATTTTCTTGACTCCTATATAGAAACCGATATAACTTTGTGGCATTCAATTTCAAATTTGTATGTATGTTTTTCATGTATTTCGTAAATTGACGCAAGTTTGGCTATTTTTTTCTTTCTGTTGCAACTTATTTCCGAAATAGGTAATTTTTTTGCAACCAAATTGGAAAATCATTGTTGTTAATAATAAATCTAAGAAATCTCCACTCTAAACAATTTGATTCATAACTGGTTGAAGATTTACAACAGTGGTGGCATATACGCGACGATTTGCACGGTTGATTGTCGATTTACGTGTGCAACTGTTTATTACGAATAAAACTTACGACTAGCGAGTGCAGATCAATGATTGACAAAAACATTAACTAACTAGTATTGAGTCAAGTTGAATTGACTTTGAGTACAATGGAGATTTAAATCTTACTTGAAATCTCGAAAGTGTAAATAAATAAATGTTCTATTATAATCCAAATTTAAAAGTTTAACCATAAGAAAAATTTCTTTCCTTTTACATCTTGTGCATTACCCAATTATTTCATCACTCTCTTTTAAAAAGAAGGAGTTCACATACGAAATAAAACATACAATTGCCAAGAACCACCATGATAAACCTCCCTTTCCTATGTGATCGAAATTTGCCATAATCCAACCAAAAATTAATGGTGCTATAAATCTAGCTAATGAAGTACACGAGATTGTATAACTATTAATTATTGCTCTATGTTGTTTTGGAGAAGCGCTATGAATCAAGATAAACATCTGTGAAAAATTAATTGATGTTAAAAATGATTGTAATATTGAGTTAATGTATAATAATGAATTTGTAATGAAGTATGATGATTTTGGATTGTACTCAGGTAATGTGAATATGATTAATGGTATAGTAATGTATATAAATGGGGTTATCAGGAGCCCTAATCTAAATGAGGTGAGCAATTCAAAATGTTTAGTTATGATAGGAAATAATAAACTAACCATTACGACTCCAATGATACCAGTGATTGAAATTAAATTACCGATTGGTTTTGAACTATAACCAAATCCACCTTTTATATCAAATGGGAATTTTAAGTGATTAACCTCTAATGTTTTAGCAAGAAAGATTGGGAAAAAATCAGTATAAATGATATTCAGAAATGACATTAAAAAATTGTTGATAATTCTAATTATTATAGGTTTCGTTAATAGTTGTTGTTTTTCATCTGTAATTGTATCTTCACTATCTGTGGAAAATGATGACAACTCGAAATCGTCTACAAGATGTTCTTCTGTTGAATCCGGTAATTTAATTTGCCAGGGACGTTGAGGTACTTCAAAACCTAAACTTCTTCTTATAAAATCACCAATCTCTAATCCTATATCTCGACGGTTCTTCTGTTTTTCATGTGTTTCTTCGAGAAATAACCATCCCTGTAACATAAATACAATTATCATTGCTGCAACAATCAAATTTATCTTTATAAATGGAAATCTTTCCTCTACTTCTTGAGTTTCTCTAAATTTATCAACATCAGTTAACCAACCACCTAAAAATCCACCAATACTTTTACCAAAACTCCAAATTAATGATAAGTTAGAAAATGCAATACCTTGATGTCTCTTTTCATGAGCTATTTCCCCGACGGCTGTTCTCATAATTGCAACATTACCATTTAATAAACCCATTAATATTCTAGCTAATAATGCAGTATAAAAATTTGTACTAATACCGAGTATTACCATTGATATAGCAGTACCAAAACATCCTAGCAATATAATTCTTTTTCTACCATATTTATTTGATGCTTTCCCCCATTGAATTGATGTTAAGAATTGCGATATTGAAAATGCAGATGCCAAATATCCACTATATTTAGATATATTTGCATCGTTTGACGCTATATTAAATGATTTAATCATAAAGTATAGATAAGCAAATATAGAACTGAATGATATTGGCTCAGTTAATCTTAAAGTACCGAGTACTATCATTTGAAATAGCGGAAAACCCTCCAATTGTTCTCGTATAGTTAGTTGTGTCATGATGAATCAAAATAAATGCTTAGATAGCAATTTTTGATTTTTAGGGATCCTTTCATTTAGATCTATTGATATATGGCACAAACAATATATCAAAAATACATCGCGTATAACCTTACTACACGGAATTAATACCGAAAAGAGTATCTTGTTTCATGTGTTATATATTATACACTACCTTGTAATCTAGCTTCATCATATAAAATTATAGTATTTAATAATACTTTGAATCCATTATCTACTTCTTCTGGTGATGAATATTCTTCTGGAGTATGAGATAAACCATCTTTTGAAGGAATGAAAATCATTGATGTTGGAATACGAGTGTTGCAATAACATGAATCATGACCAGCACCAGATACAATTTCTCTAATCTCTTCAGGTTTAAACAATTCTAATGCTGCTTTTTTAACAGTTGCGATATTATTTGGATGAAATTTAACAGCTTTTGAATTGACCAAATTATCAAAATTTACACTCAATGGTTTTGCCTTTTTAGAATTAATATTTATTTGACATATATGTTCAGCTTGCTCTTTAATTTCTTTCATTATAATTGCAACTTTATCATCTTCAAAGTGTCTGACATCTAATGAGAATTTGACAATGTTAGGTATAACATTAACTGATTTCGGTTCTAGTTCCAATGTACCAACGGTAGCTAAACCATCATATTTCTTTGCCGTCTCGATAGCCAATTGAATGATTTTGGAAGCTGTATACAAAGCATCTGATCTTGTATCCATTGGTGTTGATCCAGCATGTGAAGCTCTACCAGTAACAGTTATTAAATTCCATTCAAATGCTTGTCCACCAACAACAACACCAATTTTCTTATTCTCGTGTTCTAATATTGGACCTTGCTCAATATGAATTTCAAAATGACTATATAATGGATTTTCTTTATATGAACATGGAACAGCACCATCATAACCAATTGTTTTCAATTCATCACCAAAGGAAACAGGTACTTTATCAATAGACATTGTATTTAAACATGTTTCTAATGGGATATTTTCAGACCATACTCCACTTGCAACCATACTAACTGGGAATCTTGCACCTTCTTCATTTGTCCAATTAACTAAAGCAATTGGATAGTTTGGTACATAATTATTATCTTTAAAAGTACGTAAAACTTCTAAACCAGATAAAACACCTAATATACCATCATATCTACCTCCACTTGGTTGAGTATCTAAATGTGAACCAATACCAGTTGGTAAACCATCATTTTTCCCAGGGTAAATTGCAAATATATTACCAACTTGATCTATTTTAATGGTACAACCTAAATTTTTACATTCTTCAACAAACCAATCTCTAACTTGTTTATCCAAATCGGATAAAGCTAATCTGCAAACACCAGTATCTGTTGGATTTGGACCCCAAACACCTTTCGCTCCCCATTTTGCTGTTTCATGAATGGTATTGATTAATCTATCTTTGCTTAATTTTAAAGTATTAAAAGTTGAGTTTGTACCAGTAGCGGCTGATGGCATTTTGAAAATTGCTTTGGTGAAATTTATTTGACCAATTTGATCTATATTTATACCTATCTTATCTTGGACCCACAATGAAAAAAAAATAAAAGCCGCTGCGCGTATTATTCTCGATTAGGCACTAAACGTTAAAAGATGGAATAAGACTCCACATAATATAGACGTAACTTGGCATTCTTATAAAACCAACACATTTTGTAGAATTTAAGAAATGAACTAACGTAGCGAAGAATAGGTAATAAATCGATGAAAATCAAGATAATTCCCCACCCAAGACAAGGATTTCTTCGTATCTTGCATCAAAATAGCTCTATTATAATGGTGGGTTTAAAAAAAACGGTGTTTGGTTCCCGTAAAATAGAGCACCAAGGTAGCTAGCTCCTCTACTCAATAAATTTAATTTTTATCCATTTTACATATCGGCAGCATGGATATCATTTGATTATTATGCCAGAAATCGTGTTCGAGCTGTGAATTTTTATAGAATTGCCTATAAAAGGATTTAGCCTGAGAGCGCGACTAGGGAGTAAGAAAACCTTTTAAGGAGCAATATTTAGGGGGCCTAAGCGCAAGGCTATGATTGGTCACCTTTAATTTCAATGAATTGTGATAGTTTTTCATGTACAAAATGCAAATAGAAAGAACTATTTATGTAGTACAAACATTGCACTATGAGATACTCTTAGAAGCACTAAATTGGCTAGCTGTGTAGAAATTTGAAAAGACAAGCGTTAGCCGTGCCTGTCAATTTTCATATATGTAGATCTCAAGATGTATTTTCATCGTATTGTAATAATAAATTTGAGATAATATTCAACCTTTAAGGGTCAGCCAATAAAGCAGACCTAGTTCGTCTATATATTAAGGTTTGATTTGCAACTTTATTTATTAGGTAATTTTTTAATTGGTAGCAGTTTTGTTTTGCAAGCATTCCGATTTTGTGTAATATTATTTATCGAAATGGCTGAACCAAGAGATTATTGCAAGTAAGATCAACAAATTATTAAAATGTTTACTTATTATTTATTTTTAATGCTCCATCGTACTATGAAGGAGTAACCAGGTTCATCAGTAAAATTATTCTATTTTATGCACATAAAATGAAATAACGAATTTGCTGGTTGATTTTACATGAATTTTGATTTGTATACAGTATTCAACCTTATAATTACCTTGAATTTCATGGAATAGAAGACAAAACTCCGGTTAAATAAACATTCTATACGCGGATTGTGCATTAGAATTCTCCTTTTCTTTAAACTAATTGAGCCCTAATAATCTTATTGTAAAATTTTCCGAATTATTTATAAATTTTTTGCAATGCAATTTCATATTTATAAGAATTTTCTTCTTTCAGTTTAGATTTTGGATTTCTTCAGCTTAATATCCAAGTGAACTACGTACTATTAGCCATATCAAGAGGTTTTAAGTGTTTAGTTATTGCAAATTATCAAGTTTTTATTGTTCAGGTGAAAGAACACAAACGAAAAAAAAGATTAATTAAAACCTCGAGAATTTCTGAATCAAGATTTCAAGAATAAGAAAAAAAGTCAAAGTTTATTGCCATTAAAAGATCATCAATTCAAGTAATTCATATATCATTTGCTTATAAAATACTTCCAGTTTAAAATTATTTATTATTTGTTACCTTACATTCGCTATTTCCATCATTATTATCACATTCGCTTATAATCAAATTATACCCCTTACGTTTTAAATCAAATGAATCTCAATTTAAATTACATGGATAATTCACCATTATCTGCTAATCAAGATGAGTTTCATGATCTGTTACTAGATGAGCTAGATGATTTTCCACCAGATTTGTTAAATTTAATTCAACCGAATCAAAATGTTCATAATCATAATCAAATTCATAACCAGCATTTAAATCAACAACATTTACCACAACAATTACCTCCTCCTCCACCTCTTCATTTACAAACTCCTCAAGCCACAACACGTCCAATACGATCAAATCAAACAATTGCTACAACTCCTTTAGTTTCCACCAATTTTTCAAATCAAAATACTCCAATTATACCCATGGGTACATTTACAAATTCATCACCAATTACTCCAATTCAACCACAATTTAATGCTTTACAATTTACTTCACCACCATCATTTATCAATTCAAGAAGAGAATCATATGAACAAATAAGTCCAATTGGATTAGGTGTAACTACTATACCAGAGCAAAATAATGATAAAATATACTACCAAAAGAGAAATATTCAATCAGAAACAAATTTAAATGACACAACAAGAGTAAAGATAAAGAAAGAAGATATTGGAAACTTTCCAGATTCTCCAACCACTATAGATTGTACAAGTCCAAAGTCAGATTTAGAAGATAATGAAAAAGATGAGAAGAAGAAGAATAATAATAATGTCACAGTTGAAGATATACTAGAAACTGATCCGTTTGAAAATATAATGAAGAAAGAGGATTCAGAAAGTCAAAGTCCATATAGACATTCAGTCAAAGACGAAAATGATCCATTAAATGAATTTCTTGATTTTGATAAGAATGAAGAAATTGCAAGTATATTTAGTGAAACTTCAAAACCACAACAATCTCAAACATTAACTCCAAAGAAGAAACGTAATTCAGTTCCCAAATTTCAACAACAGAAAACGACAAATAACAATAATAAAGTTCTTAAAAAATCTTCGAGTTTTAATGGACAATCTACATTTATTACAAATCCGAAATTACAATGGACAAAAAATAATCATGGTCAAAACTCAGCCAAGCAAAGAAGTTTAAGTTCAAATTACTCATTAGGTGATTTAAATCATAATGGACAACCGATATTCACATTAAGTAATCATTATTCATTTGTTTATGAAAATAATGAAAATAATCTACTGAATTCAAATCCTAATAGCCTGCATGAGAAACAGCAACAACATCAGCAAAATAAGAAGTTTTACAAAGAAAGTCTAAAGAATTTGGAGAGTGGATTAATTGAGTTTCAGCTTGATTTGAAAAAGAAGTAACATCAATTTCGTACTTTTATGTTTAATTTTAAGATAATTTTGTCCTAATATACGATAATGACAGATGAGATAAATATAAAATAACTATATAACTAACTCTTGTTGCAAAGATCTGTTTCTATTGTCTTCTGTGCCTGTAATTGACTTTGTGCTTCTACCTTGCGCTTGATTAATTTAACTAATGACGATATTAAGTGTGCATAATTGAAACCATAAAAGTAAAAGATCACTCAACACTGAAAAAAAAAGCCTTAAGAGTAGAAACAATTGTCTGGTGTCGATTTGGATATATTCTATTGTACATTAACCTCATCTATATGCAAATTAAATAAACATGCCCTTTCTCCTACGTTTACTTTCAAACCAAACTATGCCAATTTTACAAATCTTTATCTCTTGGTACATATTCTTTATTTAATATTGGTTTATGTCTAAATCTATCCAACATTTTTTTACCATCGACATTATAAGCAGAAATAGTTAAACCAATAGGTATAATACCCATATATATAATATTAAAAAGAACAGATCTTGGTTTAAATCTAAAATAATGACCTAATTTTTCCTTTGCAGTATTGAATTTTTCAAATTGTGGATCTGGATGTAATGTACCTGCCATTCTTTAATAGTGTTTGATAGTAATAGTAATAGTAATTTTTTTGTATGAAATTTGATTGGTAACTACCAATTTTTTTTTTTTTTTTTTTCTGTTTTGTTTTGTAGTGTAAACAAAACAGAGATTGTTTCAGAGTTGATTTCTATATGGATTCAAGAGTTAATTCAATTCTAACTGAACATTTAGGATTTAGTCCAGTGGATTTAATAGATGAGGTGATAAATTCAGTTAATCAAATCATGTATAATGGGACAGAAGAAGTAGAAAGACATTTAATTTCAAAATTTCCACAAAATCAAAAAGAGATCAAAGATGGTATTTTTAGATTAGAAGAGATAATGGAGAGTGAGATTGATTTTAATTTTGATAAATTTGAATTATATGTATTGAGGAATATATTTAATATACCGAAGGATTTGGTGGAGGAAGGGTGGATCAAATTGAAACATCATCAAGGTATAGAATTTAATGAAACTAATGTAATGAGAAAGTTAGAGTATGATAATGAGGTGAAAAATTTAATGAGGATGATATCTAAAGAGTTACAATTTCGGAAAATATTTAAACTACAAATTAGGAAAGCCAAACACATTATTAAAATTATGAACGGGATTGAAAATAATTTGAAATTTTTAAATTGTAAAGATGATACAATTACTAAAGACATTGGTCCATTAGATGAGATTTTATATTTTGTTATTAAGGAAATACAACGGTTAATTGAAACTTTCGAAAAATTGACAGTGAAACTAAATACTAATTTAGTTTTTAAATCAACTATGAGAGATAAATTTATAAATGAAAGGACTTTAAAGATACTACAGCGAAGAGAAATTACAGAAGCAAATAACAAGAAAGGAACACTTGAATCACTGTGAGAAAAAAAAAATGTGCAAGGCATAACTTAGTTGAGAATTACAAGATTACTTCAACCCCAGATCCTTGTCTATAGTACAGCTCGTGAAACATACTACCATCAACCAAAGAGTTTTTAATTTTAAGGCACTCCATGCAATCAGTTATGACCTCATGACAACGTTAGACAATACCAAACAATACCAGACAATATTACATTCAGCACTCCCGATATGAATTAACTAGCATTCACCTACTAGACACTTCATTTTTAGACACTATGGCTTTATTTTATTTGCATTATTGTAAAATCATTAAATCAAGATAGGTTAGGTTAATCATTAATTAAATTAGCCACTTCAAATCAAAACGATAGATTTTAAGCTTTACCTGTAGCATTATGTATTATATAATTATTAATTTACGACTTCATGACTTTAAAATGAAAATTTTTCTTATTATGTAGCGTTCTACCTTATATTTTTGTGTATTTGTAATATTTTGCACCCAAATATTGATGCCGTATATTCGCAAATCATAAAAGGAAATTTTATCGCGGTAATTTTTTTTTTCGACTCAGCGAAATAATTTTTTTATTCTTTAGTCATTTCATTTTTATCACTTCATTTCATTTTTCATTATGATTCATCTAATATCAACTATGATGGTAGCTTCTACAAGAAGTAAAATATCGGGAGTAATGGGGTCAACTTCATTAGCTTGTTGGATAGTATTATTAATGCCCCAATTAATTGAACAATGGAGATTAAAATCAGTTGAAGGAATAGCCATAGGGTTTATTTCAATTTGGTTTCTTGGAGATTTATTTAATGCAATAGGTGCTATATGGGCTCATTTATTACCGGAAGTTATATTTTTAGCTATTTGGTTTTGTATAGCTGACTCATTAATGATTTTTAGTTATTTTTATTATACTAAAATTTATCATAAAAAACATTTACATCATCACCATGGTCATCATCATCAACATTCACATGGAGAAAATGAAGAACATAGACCATTAATTAGAAGAAGAAGCTCAACATTGACTGACATTGCATTAGAACCAGAATATCATTCAATTTTTGTAAAATATATACTCCCAATTATATTTGTTATAAGTTGTGGATTTATTGGTTATTTTTTGAATGGTTCAAAGGATCAAGTTGATAAACCTATTGATTCACCACATGACGTAATAAGTTTTGGACCTCAAGTTATGGGTTATTGTTCTGCTATTTTATATCTTGGTGCAAGAATACCACAGATTATTCAAAATTATCAAAGAAAATCAGTTCATGGATTAAGTTTATTATTCTTTTTATTTTCAACATTGGGTAATTTAACTTATGCTGGACAAATTTTATTTTATCGAAGTGATTTAAAATATGTTGTATTAAATTTATCTTGGTTATTGGGTTCAATTGGGACTATAGTTGAAGATGCTATTATATTTATTCAATTTTATATTTATAGAGAAAATTCAGCAACTGAATCAATAGAAGACTAAATTTTATCAGTATTGTACCAGAATTGTACCAGAATTGTCTCAGTATTGTATCAGTATTGTATATATACAAAAAATAAACTTTTTTTAATACAAACTAAGGTCCTTCTCGATTTGAGGTCAATGACTTAACTCTATAAGTTATCTTTCATACGCTAATTCGTATTAAATAGTAACAGGCAGCCCACAAATACATGTTATAGACCATGTTTAAATTTTGATGTTGTATTTCAAAAAAAAAACCTTAAGCGGCTGCAACATCTAATATCGCCAAAAAAAGTAGTTTAGAGATGTGATTTCTAATTGTCTCAATGTATATAATTAAACCTATTAAAAAACCAATCCTATAATAATAATAATTTTGTTCTAGAAGTAAAACCACCTAATAAATAAATAAATAATATAAAACTCTATTGTCTATAATTTTTTCCTCATTATAAATATTTTTCAAATAACTCATCATTTAACCATCCAACTTTTTCAAAAGCTGCAAATAATCTACTTGCTTTATTGACATCTATCCTACATGCTTTTTGAGCATCTGTTCTTCTAAATTGTTTACCAATTTTCATCCTTGAAACTTTTTCAAAAAATAATCTCTTTTTTGAGTCTAAATATATTATAACAGGTAATCTTAAAATACTAGCTAATAAAACTTCAGCAGGATGTAATTTATCAATATTTGGATCATTTGATAAATCCATAGGTTGACCTTTCCATTCAATTTTTAAACATTTTGGATTATTTGAAGGCAAGGTAGAATAATCTGGTGAATAATCAGGAATTGAATCATCTATTAATGATTGTTGTTGTGAATTAACTGTTGGTGTAGTATTTACTTTTCTTCTTTTTGGTGATGATAAAATTGGTAATGATATTTCGTCATCTGTATTTGAATCTACTTGTTTATGAATTCTTCTTGTTCTAACTCTAGTTTCATCATCAGTTGGAGAATCGTAATAATATACATTTCTTTTCTTGTATGATCTAGTTGGCAAATTATTTATTTTTTTATTTCTTTCTTCGTTTGATGCAATTGTTGAATATTTATCTAAAAATGATAATTGATCATGATAATAGCTTTTTGTAATTGGTTTTATATTTATGGTCAATTTATAATCTTTATAATTTTCTATTTTAAATTCTGATTTTGATGGTAAATAACTTGGTAATTGTTTAACTGATTGTATGTTATAATTTGAAGGTTGCAGTTTACTATATAATGTTAAATTTCTTTGATATGGTGATAAAGGAGGAGATAATGGTGGTTGAGTAGATGTTGAAGATGAGAAACAGTTTAAATTTGAGGAAATTGATTTCACTTTGGAACTAATTGAATCTTCAAAATTGTTAGGTGTTAAACAATTAGGTATATCTAAGTTCTTATTAAAAGTATCGAAATATGACATTATAATTGAATTGTTAATTTTGAATGTTAATTGATAAGATAAAAAAGAATGAGTTACAAAAAATAAATTTTTGATAAATATTTGATATTTATATATAAATTATAAAATTGTCTAAGGTTGGTAAAAGTCATATGTTGCATTCATTATATACTTGATTATTATTACTGCAAAAGAAAAAAAAAAAAAAATAAATAAATAATTTTTTTATCGTATGCACAATTGCTTAAACGATAATAAAAAGAAATTCAGTCAGATCTAAAATAAAAAATTTTAATCGATGACTACATACTTAAGAAATGAATCATTTGGCTGACTACGATTGATGGTTTTGCGATTGATCAAGCATTGAAATTCTGAGCAAGGTCAATTGGTTTATTCTGAGTAGAATTGGTAATCAACAACCGATAAGAGAAATCATATTATAACAATTAGCCAAAGACAAGAGAAAATTTTTCATTTTACATGCATTTTAGTATAAGCATCTTGTGTAAATTAATATAAATTTATTTCTTTTCTTACCGATAAAAATAATAAAATATGAAAGTTTTATGACTGGCTGAATTCATTAGTTGGCTTATCAACAGCGAAGACGCGAAGACTTTTATATACCGGTGGATAATCTATTTATAAATTGTCTATTCAATTCCATGCATCAGAATTGAATGCTTCGATACGATCTATTTGCTGTTGGCATCGGTCATTTATTCAAATGGAAATCTGCCAATAGTGGAATTACTATTTAAAGTTAAGCTTTTTTTCTTTCTCTTTGTATTCTACAGATAAGACATTAAACCAAAAGAGGAATATAATACTTTGTTAATTTTTTATGCTAAGATCTCTAAATGTGTCATTTATTTTTTTTTTATTTTTTTTTTTTTTATGGAGAAAAAGACGTTTAATTTTTTTTATCGTTTCTCAATTGCACCCTGAAAAAATGAACAGATTTACTCAATGACAAGCACAGTCACAGTCTCATGGATGTAGAACACAATTCAGTTGGAATGGGATGTATATCTTAATTCATTTTTCTCAATTGGTGTCTGAGTTCGACACTTGTAAGTCTTAAATGAAAAATTTTCTTTATATGAATTTCTTTTTTATTTTTGTGTCATGTTTCAGATCTCCATATAAAACTTTATTAATTTCTTTTTACTTATATACACTCCCTGAAGGGCTACCAGGTGTTTTAATAGAATTAGTAAACTTACATTTGTTTAGTAATTAATTTATAGCCTATTTGTCGGATATTCAAGTTCAAAAGCCCCCGCCTTTTATAGGATAAACGACTTAGAAAGAATATTTCATAACGTATATTATTGTTTTATTGCATTTACTAGACAATAGTAACAATGTATACGATAAAGGTAACAAAACATTATTCCCAAAATAGAAGTTACTCAAGCCTTGGACATAATACTTTCCGCTCCACTATCGTAGCAGTAATCAGTTGTTAAATTTTCAATTTGATATCTAGTCGTATAGTATTGTCATTTGGTCTCTACTTTTTGACATCTCTTCATACTTTTGCTACACGACCTGCATCAAAAAATATTTTTTTTTAATCTTTTATCAATCTATAATTTACGAACCAGGGCCATCTACAAATGTTATGATAAGAAAAATGATGATTGATTATTCAAATAAAGTATGTTTAGCACCTATGGTTCGCAGCGGTGAATTACCAATGAGATTATTTGCACTTAAAAATAATTGTGATTTAGTATGGACACCAGAATACATTGATAAAAAAATCATAACTACAAAAAGAATAGAAAATAAAGAATTAGGTACAATAGATTACATAACTAGGTCAAGTAATAATACAACTGATGTAGTAGTATTTAGAAAACATCCTTTAGAAACAGGGAAATTAATATTTCAAATGGGTTCTTCTGATCCTTCAATAGCTGTAGATGCAGCATTGCATGTAATTCAAGATGTTGATGGTATTGATTTAAATTGTGGATGTCCAAAACATTTTTCGATTCATTCGAAAATGGGAGCTGAATTATTGAAAGATCCAGAATTATTATGCTCAATTTTAATTAATTTAGTTGAAAAAGTAGGAAAACCAAATAATAAACCAATAAGTGCAAAGATTAGATTATTACCAAATTTTGAAAAGACAAAAGGTTTAATTGAGAAAATTTTATCTACTGGTATTTCAAATTTGACAATACATTGTAGAACACCAATTATGAGAAATAGACAAGATCCAATATGGAATTATTTACCTAAATTAATACCAATGATACAAGATTTAGGTGTGAATTTAATACTTAATGGGAATTTTCAAAGTAGGGACGATTTAAAGTCTGTTCAAGAAGCATTGAAGAATTTTAAATTGTCAATTATGATAGCTGAAGCTGTTGAAGCAAATCCATCAATTTTATCTAGCACACCAAAAGTTCAAAAATTTAATGTTGCAGAAATTGCAGAGTTGGGAATGAAGTATTTACATTTCTCAGGTGCTAAATTTATGATTCTTAATATGATACCTGGTAAGTCGAAATGGTATCAAGAATTAAGTAGGTTGAAAAATTGGGATGATATGATGAAGAAAATAGATGAAATGATTAATGATAATGATACAAACGATAAGATTAATTTTATAATGAATAAAAATAATCAAAAGGTGAATTTATTAAATGTTGAGGAGTTTAAAAAATTGATGAGGCAAAGAGGTGAGTTAATGAAACTATTTAATGATAAATGGGATGAAGAAAAAATGTTAGATGATTTGAATGATGCATTACCTGAAAATAACAAGGAACAACAAAAGCAAAAACAAAAAGGTAAGAAAAACAAGAAGAACAAGAAAGCTAATCAAAATGGAAATCAAAAGGAGGAAGAAAAGATTAAGACAGAAGACCAATCAGCTAATTCACATCAAGCGGAAGCTATATCAAAGCAAGTTAAAGCTGAAAAGAGTTCAAAAGAAGCTGTTACCGATACTGAACACACAGTAGTTGATAATGAAAATGACTCAACTACTAAGAAACACAACCCATTAGATACAATTACAAATGAAAATGAACCTAATAGAAAGAAAGTAAAGGTAAATTAAATTTTGAATCCAAAAACAGCAGAATTGGGACCATTTATGATAGACGTTGTCAAACTTTGACTCAATCTTGATTTCAAATTATATATCAAAAGAGTAAAGTGTGTTTGTTTTTTTGCAGAAATGTAACAACTCGTACAATAGCTTAAACTTGATTGTAAATAGATGTTAAATATTCCGGAACTTTATAGAAATTAATATATTATATATTTACATGATTATTTATTGCAATAAACGTTTTATACCACACCATGAACCAGCAGCAGTCGCCATTACAATTGAACTTATAGCCATTGGTTTTAAACCAGCAGAAGATTTAAATAAAGCACCTGATAAAGCACCTGAAACAATTGAATTTAAATCATCATGTTTTTCTCTTAATGCATCAATAGAACTATCAATTATATTATAAGTTAAAGCTAAAACACCAGCATTATTACCTAAAAATGGACCTCTTTTAGTAATTGAATTTAAGATATGATTTAATTTAACTTTTCCTGGTTGATTTGGTTGTAATGTATTTATACCTTCTTGTAAACCAAATAATCCTCCAATTCCTAATCCAATCAAATATACAGCACCAGTACCATAACATAAATCATCACTCCATGATCTACTTGGAATTAAACCTTTTGAACCTTCAACCGTATTTAATTTTTCTTCTTCTAAATCTAAATATTCAACACCTTTATCTAATCCAGCTAATGGATGTAAAAGTGAAGCATGAGATGATGGAGATGGAGAACTTATAATTTTATTTACATCAGATATTTCATTTGGATCAAATCCCAACGTTTGTTTAATATTTGAATCTGAAGTTGAATCACTACTATTTTTCCCAAATAACCAAGATGACATTATAATATTATGATTCTATTATGAAGTTGATGGTATTTATAAGCTTCGTTTGGTATGTTATTCTATGTATAATATGTAAATTTGGTTATATTCTATGCCAATTTAGAATGAAAATTTTTTAAAATCTATAAATATTGGTTTTTTTTTTTGTGTGTGTAATATTGCCAACGGTCATTGTAAAATTTGGCTGCAAAAAGATGAATAAAACAATCAACCAAGGTTAATTAGAGAGTCACATTACCTAAAAGTGTTATAGAATTGGTATTCTGAATCAGATAGTTAGTATAATTGAAAAATCGTTGAGTGTTGATGTTCTGTTTCGTCATAATTTTCCGCCATCGGATTTTGAATCAAAATACAAGTATAACGTTGACCGGCATTCAATTTTCTTTAAAAGCGAGCTTTAATACTTATAACAAATGAGTTCAGCTTCTGGTGATATTTTTGAAAATGGATAAGCTTCAATCTGTTGATCAATCATCAAAGAAACACCGTGACAGACAAGTCTCAGAACAATATTGGGCTACAACATGAATTCTTATTTTAAGAAGTTGATCAATGCAACCATGACATGATACTTGTAGTCTGTTAAATATCTTCTTGATAACTCAATATCTCTTTCTTCTATTACTTCACCATCGAAAGTCATTTGGTAGCATAGTTTTCCAAACTAAAATTGAAAAATTGCACACTATCAATAAATACGACATTCCGAATATTATAGATTATCAGATTCAAATTCTTTAACGTGTTATGTCAAATAATAAACAAGTTGATACGATCATAAATAAACTACTAAATGAACAAGAAGAAAGAGAAACTAAACAACCTTCAGATAAACAAGTACAAGAAATTATTCAAGATCAAAGTACATCAAAAAATTTATTAAAGACTAACCCATCAACTCAAAAATCATTAGTACCACCATTAAATTTTTCATTAGTTGAAGATGGAATATATAGAAGTGGATTTCCTATGCCCATAAATTATCAATTTTTACAAAAATTAAAACTAAAGACAATAATATACCTTGGAGATTTATCAATTAAGAAATCAAAAGATAAAAATAAAAATGGATCAGTAGATATACTAAATAATTACCTAAAATGGATAGATACTACCAATATTCAATTTCATAATTTGTTAATTGAATCATCACAAGAACCATTTAATAAATTGGAAGAAAATGATCAAGCATTAAAAAGTTTAACTATTGCATTACAATTAATTTTAAATAAGAAACATTACCCAATACTAATACATTCAAATAAAGGGAAACATAGAACTGGTTTACTAGTTGGTCTAATGAGAAAATTACTACAAGGTTGGTGTCTAAGTGGTATATTTGAAGAATATGAAAAATTCGCCATGGGTAAATCAGAATATGATTTAGAATTAATTGAATTATGGCAACCAGAATTATGGATAGATGATAATGATAAACCTGAATTTGTACGAACATAGAATATACATATATATTTATAGTTTATTTTTCATTTCTCTTAATTTATCCATAACATAATTTGAATCATCAATATCTCCAACTTTTTGCAAAACTTGTGGATCATGTAACATCATAAATGGATTAAATTTTAATTCATCACCAATTGTAAAAATTCCTGGAGTTTTTTCATGATTATTTACATAATCTTCCAACTTTTTAATTGCTTCATTATTTATAATTGTTTTTGAAAATTTAACATTTGATTTAGTATATTCATGACCTGGGTATGTCTTGGTATCTTTTGGTAATTTACCAAGTATTTGATTTAAAGCAATATTCATTTGAGAACCAGTACCTTCAAAAAATCTACCACATCCACTTATAAATAATGTATCCCCCGTGAAAACTGCTTTTTCATTAGTTTTATTATCTTTAACATAATAACATATCGAATCTTGAGTATGGCATGGTGTATGTAATGCAGCAATTGATAAATTATCACCAAGATCTATAATTTCTTCATGACTTGGAGTATAAGTAACCAATGGAGAATCTTTACCAGCAATAATTGGTAAATCCGGATACTTTGAATGAAATTCAACATTACCATCTGAATGATCATAATGATGATGAGTATTTACAATTGCTTTTAACTCAAATTTTGGATTATACTGTTTTAAATACTTTGCAATATCTTTTGGTTCGGCTGGATCAATTATCCATGCGTGTCTAGTTGGTTCATCAATTAATAAATATGAATAATTGTTACCAGTACCCCATCTCATTGGAATTGATTCAATATGCATCTTCCTAATTATAACGTTCTTAATTATATGTTTATTAATGTTCAACCGTTTAACCATGTAAAAAGAAGAGTAAAATATTATCTAGCAAATTAAACTTATTATATATTTGATTAGCCAATCACGTGACTCGTCGGGCATTAAATAACATCGTATTTCCAAATCAAGCTAAACTCCGAATTATCATAAAACACATTACTTTACCATTTCTTTTCAACCATACCTTCTGGTGGTGAAGTTTCAAATTCTTTATCTTTTGCTTCATCCCAAGATGTAGTTAAAACTGTTCCATTTGATTGAACATAACTTTTCATCATTGCTCTTCTTGAATCTTCATCAACATCTTTAAAAATAGTTTTAAAAAAATCATTTGGATCTTTCTCTTCATCTTTATCATCATCAACTTTAAATTTATTCCAATTAACTTTCTTTTTAGATGATGTTGGATATGCTGGTGTTGATTCATTTACTTTAGCTTCTTCTTCTTCTTGTTCTTCTTCTGATTTTTCCAAAGATGGCCATTTAATATTTTCAACTTTTTTAAGATAAATTTCCAATTTAGTTGAATAAACCTTAAATGAAGATTTTTCAGCATCAATTTCTTTATATAATGGATCTAAATTATAATTATACTCTGAATTTGCTGCACTTGGAAATAGAATAGAAACAGATTTTGATTCAAATTCAATTTTCAACTTGTCCTTATTAACACCTTTAGCATAAATTGTAATAATAATTTCATCATTGGTTTGATACCAATCTTCTCTAATTTTGATATTTAATGGAGCAATTTTATTAATTTCATCAAAGTTTGAACTTGATACTTTTTGAGAAACTTCTTCAACTTGAGCATCTTCTTCTTCTTCTTCTTTTTCTTCTTCATCGTCTCCTTCCTCATCTACATTCCATTCTGGATGAGTCTCCAAATCATATTTAGTTTTATTTTTCCACATTTCTAAAGTTGCTTCTTTACAATCATATTCACTAGCTTTATCAAATTGTTTTAATGCCATCTTTAATTTTTTTTCACCGAAGTATATCAAACCTAATTTATAATAACATAAACCAATTTCATTTCTCTTACCTCTTTCATTAGCAATTGTAAAAGCAGTTGAAATATCTTCTTTTGATTTACCATAATTTGATAATTTTTGATAAGCAGTTGATCTTTTTAAAAAAGCATTTAATGCCAGTGGGTTTTGTTTTATAGCATCTGAATAAGATTGAATAGCACCTAAATAATCTTTGGATTTAATTAAATCATCACCTTTTTTAATTGAACTTTCAACCGTCATTAATACAATAAAACTTAATTAATTATGAAATTCTATTTCGAGGAAATTATCACGAATTTATAGTAAAGAATTTTCTGGTAATTAATTTCAAATTTTAAACGAAAATTTACGCGAAAGAAAAAAAAAAAAAAAAAAATTCTGGACCAAATTTATTCAAATTGCGTCGGCTAATTATACGGAATTAATTAATCTATAAATATATATAATAATGTCTACCAAACCCTTTCCCATAAGTTTAATTGGACTTTATTTAATTTATTCTGCTTTTCTATATTTGGTAATAACATCCATAATATAACCATAATTGAATAAGTAATCAAAAAAACAGGTAATACGACAAATGTACCCAATTTTTGCAGTAAAACACCAAACTATAAATGGTTGTAAAGCTCCACCAGAACTACCATAAGCTGTCATTATAGTCAACGAAACCAATTGTATTTTTCTCGGTAATAAACCTCGAGATGCTGAAAATGTAACTAATAATGGAAAGTTTGGACCAATGAATAAACCAGCTAATGATACAGTAATAGCTTCAATTGTTGTATTTTTGATAGCCCATGTTAGTCCAATTAATATAATCGATAAAATCGAAATTATAAATACTCCTCTTCTACATCCAATAAATCTATGAATTGGAGTTGTTAATAATAATCTTCCTAATGTTAAACCAATCCAAAAAAAACTCAGAAAATAACCCGATAATTTCCTATCTGCATTTCTATATTCTAACATAAATGTAGTTATCCAACCAGAAACAGCAACTTCGGATCCTTGGTAAAATAAACAAAAAAATGAAATTAACCAGGTGATATGATTTTGTAACGCCAATATCATAATTGATTTTTGTGAGGAAGACACTTGTGCTTGGTTTCTATTTGAATTCATTGAATCCATTTCAATTATTACTTCTGGATGATCATACCATGGTTTCAAGTCGTCATCTGCATTTTCAAATGAAAAATAAAATGAAACACCAGTTGCAAACATGAAACCTAAAGCTATGAAATAAAAATAGTTCCATTTTATACCTTTTGTGACCATACTAGTTGCAATCAATGGGGATATAGTAGCTCCAAGTCCATAAGCACCATGATAAACAGATAAATATGCAGATTGTTTATCTAATCTACTTAAAAATACATTACATTGAGCTGAACAAATAGCTAATCCCAAACCACCAAAAAAAAAACCAATTACAATGAATGGGAAATATGTACCACTACTTACAATACCATACATTACGCAACTTAATAAATTTCCAAATGGATAAATGTATCTTTTACCTAACCAATGTTGGATTTTATGTGATAATGAAGCAACTGATATAAATCCAACAGCATTACTGATCCAAATACATGAAGCTTGTGCGTAGTTTACGTTATATGATTTTTCAATATATGGTAATAAAGCACCAGGAGCAGCATCACTAAAACCAGCACAAAAATTAAACATAACTGCTGAAATGATACGATACTTATTCTTTGGCGGATAATTAGCTGTCATTAATGTTTCAATTGGTTGTTGTGAGTCAATTGAAGATTGTGGTGAAATTGAAGGTGAAGTGGTTGTTGAAACTGATTCTTGTTGTTGTGGTGGTTCAACAGAGGCACTTTGTCTTCTTTCAAATTGAACCGACCATAAATCTCCCTCAACCGTAACTGTACTGAATTTTCTCATACTGTTAAAATGAACTGAAATATCTATATCTCTCCATCTTTAATAAAGATCTAATGTGGTGAATTATTAAAAGAAAATGAGCAGTGCCACAAACCATTATTAGTAAGAAAATTGATTGATGCGAAATTGCAACCGAACTACCAATTGAAATTGATTGCAAAATAGAAGATACAGTAGAGATTAAGGTAAAGAGGCAATTTAAACCAAGACGTAGTGAACTGTTTCATATCAATGAATCTATTATTCTTCTCCTGCAGCTTGTATCAAATCTAAAAATTTATCTTTTGAAACTTCAGTTAATAATTCTTCTTTTGATTTAGATCCCAATTTAACATCACCAACACTTGCACTTGTTTTAATTTGAGTTGATAAAACAGCATTAAATAATTTAACAACACCCTTTTGTGCTATTTTCTTTAAATTCTTTTCTTTTTCAAGGATTTGTCTTATTTCATTTGGATTTTCAGATGATGAAGCAACTGGTAATAATTGTTTAATTCTATATTTATCTTGTAATTGTTTCTTTTCAGCTAATAATGCACGTTTTGCTTTATTTTCCAATTTTTCACTCTCGAGTTTTTTTAAAGTAACTTTATTTCTTGCTAGTATCGGATCTTTTCTATCATATGCTTTTAATTTGGAATTTATTATAGAATTGAATGCATTTGCAAATGATTCTGACCCATCATCTTTATTTGATTTCTTTTTCAATTTAGGATATGATTCTGACTCTGTATCATCGGAACCATCTTCGTCACCTCCTCTTTCTTCTTCTTCACTATCTTCACTGGATACTCCGTCTACATCTACTTCAACATTTGAGTCTATATCATCATCTTCATCTAATATACTTTGTACACTATCTGAAGCAGATTCTTCACTACTACTTTCTTCTTCTATTTTCTTATTTTCTTCTTGTTCTATTGTTACTTTTGCCTTTGATTTATTTATAAATTTACCTTTATTATCTATCTTCTGTTTCTTCAAAGTTGGTGCCATATTATACTGCAATCTAGTTATATTATACCTTACGGTTTTATGATGAGATGATGAAAATATATTTTTAATTTTTTCGTTTTGTGTTTCAGATTTGAAAACCAAAACAAAAAATAAAAATACACTGAAACAAATTAAATTACCATTCCAATTTGAAACAAGTATTACATTTAATTATGCATGATGATTCTAATAATAGTAACAGTATAAATACAAATGAAACAACCAAGATATTGAAAGAAATTAATCCACTGGTGATAAATTCATTAAATCATTTGAAAAATCTACAAGGAGCAAATCATAAAATGAGAAAAACAACTACTCCATCATCTGATTTACATAATTATAGACAATTGATATATGAAAAAGAAAGAGAGATGGATCAATTGGCAACTCAAGAAATTACACTCAAAACAGAAATTGAAACTCAAATTTTATCAAATTATCAAATTGAAAATAAACAATCCAAATTAATTACCTTGATTAATGAAATAGAATTGCAAATAAATGAATTAAATTCATATAGAGATAATTCAATTGAAGATTTGAATAAGAAATTTAAGTTACAGCATCAAGAAATGGTGGTTCAACATACTGCAAAATTAAATAATTTGAAAGAAGAAGTACTGAATCAAATTGAATCATTATTGGGAGAAAAACATAGAAGATACGAGAAAGAATTGAGTCAGTTGAATGAGGAGATTAAGGAGTTAAGGAGTGAGAAGTTGAAATTAAGTGAGGAGTTTAATTCAAAGTTGACAGAGTTAAAACATAATCATTTAGAGAGGAAGAAGCAAAAAGTGACAGAAATACAGAAGGAAATTGATGAGAATAAACTAGAATTGAACCAATTACAAGTATCTATAACTACTAAGAAGCAAGAAGTTGAAAATATAAATACTTATAAAATCCCCCTGGTTGAAAAAGAGCATACTAGATTTAAACAAATACTTAATCAATTAAAATACAAAAATATGGATAAACAAAATGATATAGATCTTATCAAGAAGCAAATAGTGTCAACTAAGAATAGAATTTCACAATTACATGAAAATGCACAATTAAGAGATCAAAACATTATTACCATGAAATTAGATATGGAGACTATGAACAAAAATTTAATAGAGGTAGAAGCGTTAAGAAGGAAATTACATTCCAAATTACAAGATTTAAAGGGCAATATTAGAGTATTTTGTAGATTACGTTCAGTTGAATCAAATGAATTAATGGATTATACAGTTGTTGAAGATGAATTAAATGATGATTCAAAGCAAGAATTGGTATTAAACAACCAAGAAAAGAATACGTCTTATAGATTCCTGTTTGATAAAATTTTCAATATAAAACATACCAATGATTATATATTTGAAGAATTATCACAGCTTATTCAATGTTCATTAGATGGTCAAAATGTATGTGTCTTTGCATATGGACAAACTGGATCAGGTAAAACATTTACCATGTCTAACTCACATAATGGTATGATCAAATTATCAATTGAAAAGATATTTAATAACATCCAGGATTTGAAAAAGCATGGTTGGGAATATCAATTAAATGGTAAATTTATTGAAATTTATAACGAATCAATCATTGATTTATTAAATCCAGATGATGAGACCAAAAAATTAAAACATGAAATTATCCATGATGATATAAATTTTAAAACTACAATTACAAATATAACAAATTATCCATTAAATAGCTCACAACAAGCAAATTTATTATTTGATCAAGCTAATAAGAATAGAAGTACAGCAGCTACTCGTATTAATGAACGATCATCGAGATCTCATTCAGTTTTCATTGTTGAAATTAAAGGAAGAAATTTAAATACTGGTGTTGAAATTAATAGTGTTTTGAATTTAATTGATTTAGCTGGTTCTGAAAGATTAAATGTTTCAAAAGTAGAAGGAGAAAGAATGAAAGAAACTCAAGCTATTAATAAATCATTATCTTGTCTTGGTGATGTCATATATTCATTGCATGCAAAAATGGGACATAAACCATTTAGAAATTCAAAATTAACATACCTTTTGAAAAATAGTTTGAGTGGAAATTCAAAAACTTTAATGTTTGTAAATATCTCACCATTGAAAAAGAACTTTAATGAAACATTGAATAGTTTAAGATTTGCAACAAAGGTAAATAATACAAAAATATAATAAATAAAGGATGTTTATTCTATTAACTTTGTCTCTTTATCACCTAATGCATCACCATCAGGTAAATAACCCTCATTAGTGACTAACTTACCAGATTCAATACATTTGTTCCATAAATCAGGATAATTTGCTTCAAAATATGTCTTGAATTTTTGTTGTGCATCTGTTTTATAACAAAAGTTATAAATATCTAATACCATCATTTCATCTAACTTCACTTCATAATCTTCCTCGATATTTTCAATTAGTTGAGTACACTTTTTAACATCTCCATGATATGAATAAGCAATTAAATATTGTTTAACTAGTGTTTCATCGGGTATAATTCCAAACATACTCAAATTATTCCAAAATTTTTCCACATATATTAAATCGTTGTAAGTATATGCTTTTAACATTATAGCAGCACTTTCATTCGTGATTCTACCTTGTGAATTTAGGATCAAAAATAGATCTCTTACTTTACTTACATTTTGTAGATTACAATATGATTTCATTAGCAGGTGTTGTAATTCCGAATCTTGTGATAATAAATTCAAATCTGTTTTTAAATAATCATGTATTTCAATAACACCATACTCATACAAATTATTCCCAAATTCATCAATTAAATATTTGTACATAGCCTCATTTGGTGGATTGAAATTATGATCTCCATGTAATTCATGCAATTCAATTTGTTTTTGAAAAATAATTAATGCTGCATTCCATCTTTTATTATCACAAAAGAATTTCATTGCTGGTAAAATATAACTTTGTGGAATGACAAAATATGAATAAAGTGTATCAAATAACGACCATTTTGCTAATATTGATGAATCATGAGTCGATTCGATTGCATAAGTATATAAAGTGTCAAACAATTGTTTATATTTGTACCCGTATGGTTTGTCTATCGGTAATTTATTGGCTTTGTTTGATGGAATTTTAGGTAATTCACGTTTCAACATTTCAATTATATCAGCTACTAAATTATGATTTAAAATTTCGGGAGTAAGGACATTTAAACTATCAATATTGATCTCGGATTGTAATTGAGTTTTAATCTTTTGAAACAATATGAAACTTTCTTTAATTGGAAAATTTTTAGCAATGAGTTGAATCAAGTCATTCAAAGTTTTATAAATCATTGGATCTTTATTATTGCTGGACCATGGAACGTGAGATTGCACACTTTGTTCGTATACTGATAAAGCTTCATTGTATTTTCCTTCTTCTATGAGTTTATCTAACTTGTACTTATATGAATATATGGATTCTTCAAATAATGAGCTTGATTTTACATAATTTGTAACTTCCTCAATGAGTGTAGATGATGAAGGGTATTTGATGAGTGCTACTTGTATAAATTTTTCATATGTTTCACCTGATGAATCTGGTAATATATCAATAACTTCTTCTGTTGAATTTGTTTCATATAATCTTACTTGAAATCTTAGCATTTCAGAAAATTTAACATCATCATTAAGTATAAATTGGTTTAGTTTGGTTGATAGATTAGTATAGTTATGTTTCCACGCTATGTACAAGATGGTCTCTACCAATGTTTCATTATCTAAATTTTGCTGAAAAATGACGTCACAAACTTCATCAGGTTTAGTATTTATATACTCCATTATCTTCTTGATCTGTGTTTCTGACTCTTTGCATGAATTTACATTTATTAATTCCCACTGCTTGTTAAGCAAAATCAACAATGTCTCTAATTTAACTGAATCAAAATCTATGGAACTTTGTATATTATTTAGCACCATTTGAATTCTATCTATATTTAGCTCCAAATCTTTATAACAATGTATTTCAGGTAAGTTATTCTCAAATATGTTTTCAACATACTTATTTAACTTTCTTATTATGTAGTCATTAATCGTAAACTTCGTTATTTCTTCGAATATATACAACTTCAACTTCTTGTTTTCGTCCAAGTGTTCTAGATACTCATTAATAAACTCAGCATTTAAACTCAACTCAAAATTCTCAAGTATTTTACTATATTCTATATTTTGTTTCTGAAGTAATTCAATAAGTAAAATAACGGTCTTGTTTGGTAAAATGGGTAAACTTGAAAACAATTGAGTTAACAAAAAATTTGGGTAATGGAAATCAGATCCTTGAATATATTCAAACAATCGTACATTTAAATCTGTGGGTATTTTATTTTTACTATTTCTTTGAAAATCACTTAAATGTTTGAAAATAATTTCTAATGCCCTGCGTGATTCTTCATTTTTAGGTTGTTCCAATATCAATTTCAACTTGTCACATATAATCTCATGCTTTGACTGATTTGATAATTGTTCATTCAAGAAATTATCTATTATTTCATTATAATAGTTTTGCAATTTCTGATTTTTGAATTGTTTTGGTTCTTCAATTATAACTTCATCTCCTAATTTTCTTTGATACTTTCCAGTTGGTAAAAAATTTTTTTTAAAAATTGATGTAGTTTTATACCTTATTAAAGATCGTAGTAGATTTCTTCTTGGAATTCTACTTATTATATTGTTCATGTACCTAGCTATTTCAGATTTGATAAATTTTTCAAAGATATAAAAATACGCTACCAAATAAATATATTTACAAGACTCTATATTCTAATTTTTATCTTCATTATCTGGTTCATATTCAGGTAAATGTTTTTGTAATCTCTTTATTGCCCAATTTTTACCTACGAATTTTAAATTTGGTTCACTTAAACCTTCGGTATTTGTATAAATTTTCCAAAATTTTGGATCTTTAAATCTTACATCTTCTGGATTAAATTGTCCTATTGAATCACGAATATTTAAAACTTGTTCTCTTATATAGCTAGCTAAATTGCTCCTTAATGTTTGTGCTAATTCGCCAGTCTTCAATTCTTCTGATAAATCAGTTGGATTCAATTTATCAATATATTTACCTACCAATTGTCTCCATTTAAATCTAAATTTTTCTATAATTTCATCATCGATAGCATCACCTATAGTCATATGTATTTCTGTACCCATATTTGCAGGCAACCAACGTTTTATTCCTTCTTCTGCTGAATCTTCCGGTGCTACTTTTTCAAATCCATATGTAAAAATTGGTATAATGATAGGTGCTCTTGTACTTTCTAATATTAATCTTGATATTCCCCATTTGAAGTATCTCATGGAATTTTGATGTGGTTCTTGTAATTGTAAAACAAATCCTTCTGGAAATACATGAAACCATGAAGTTTTAGTTCGTATAAATGGAGATTTTGACATGAGAACATTTGTTGAATCACTGGTAGGTTTAAATCTCTTTATTAATTCTTGATGCTCTGGCCTTATATTATTATTTACTTCTTGTAGTAAGCTTGGTTTATCATAATCTTTTACCCCTGGTTCATATTCTAAATCTAATGTATCATCAGGACTTAAAATTCTAATAGCTGCATCTAAAGAACCTTGAAAAGGACCTTCACCAAATCTTTTGGTACCTAATATTTTACCTAAATTGAAAAACCAAGATTGGAAAATATTTGAAAAACATATATTGTGTGCACCAAATCCCCATCTAATTGTATCTATGTCCAAATGATATTTCCATGGTAAAGCAGCATAAAATGCAGGATCATCAACAACTGACATATGATTCATTACAGTTAATAAACTTCTATTTTCTGATCTAGCTTTGATCAATGCATTATCTAATTTTTCTATATTATGAATAAACGGTTTATATAAAGTGTTCAATATAATTTTTGACCCCGTTATCATCATTAAACAAGTCGCATGTGAGGCATAATTCCATAATGGTGAAGTTCTCGGGTATTCTTGTAAGAATTCATCACCTCTTTTCAAAACATCTTGAAATGACATAATGAAAGTTACTTTGTGGTTAATGCAAAATTTTATTACCCCGTGCTTCAAAATTTTAGAGAGAAATGAAAAAAGTTGCTACCAAGTGAGACGCATATATATTACATGTTTATAATTTCATAAGGAATTCTTACATCTGGTTTTCCATCAGTTGCCAACATTGGTTTAAAGTCATCATTAATATAATCTTTAAAACTTGCAGTTGAAATTGTGGAAAATCTAGCTGGATCACAATAATCAATAAAATCATTATATTTAATACACTCGTTATTACTAGGCATTACATTGTAATTTGAATAAAAATTTTTGAATAACTTTTGAAAATCATTGGCTTCTAAGTAATCTTTTAATGAAATATTAAGTTCTTTTAATTTGTCCTTTAAGTCTAATTTAAATGAAACTAATTTTAAAATTTGTTTCAAATCTAATGATTGAGGTTGACATCTTAATTTTGATAATTTTCTTAAATAAACTTGATTGAATAACTCATTATATGAAACAAGTTCTGAATTTGTTTCATTAAGTCGAAAGAATTCATAAGCTATTAAATGACGACGTTTAATTTGTGGCATAATTGAATATTTAAAAGAACAAGTAGTATATAATTTTCAAAAAAAATTAAATTAAACGCTTATTACAATGAATAAATATAAAGATTCAACATTTGATAATACTGCATTAACTAGATTAATTATAACATCAAATATATCATTTAATAAGAAACAGATTATGAAGATTTTGAATCTAACTAACACGCAAGAAAGTGTTTATCAAGAGTTAATCAGATTGGTTAAATTAGTTGTTGATCAAATTTATAATGATGCTCCATTAACTGAATTTCCAATGACTATTTTGAAATCCATTTCATTTCAAATTGCTGATAAGTTCGAAGAAATATTTTATACTCCTATCCATAAAGTAGCTAGTTATACTGAACGTTCCATTATTGAAAACTTACATGATATGCAAAGAAAATTACAACCTACCGTTGTCAATTGCCCAAGATACAATGAAATGTGGATTATAACATATTTAATTAAAGCTGAATACAATAAGGTTAGTAAATCTAAAGCTAAGTAATACCATTTGGTGGAATTCATATTTTTCAATTGGTTCCTAGAATTACATTGTTGCTGAATAAATTTTCAAATAAGATTTATAGTATATTGAGGCAATACATTGCAATCAGTGGTTCAATAAACATAATAATATGGCTATGGCTATCTGAGGCGAAGTAGATATTCTATTAATCCATCCATTTGAATGCTTATAGCTTTTTTAGGGCTTCTTTAGTGAATTATCTGAACTGTTTAGCTCGACAATGTAGTTGAAAACGCACAGTAATATATTAAAGAGTATAAAATTATAATAAATATAAACAATCGTTTAATAGATTAGTTTTATTATACATAGATAATATAAATTTTGCAACCAATAGCTTTGCAGCATAAAATGTCTAATCGTAAAATGTCGTATATCTTATTTTTTTTTTGTATGAGAGATGAGATGTATTGAAAAATAAATTTATTATCAAATTGACTATCAAATTGATTATCAAAATTAATCAGCATGGCTAGAATTAAGAAAAGAGGAACCTCTGGTAATGCTAAAAACTTCATAACAAGAACACAAGCAATCAAAAAATTACAGATTTCATTGGCAGATTTTAGAAGATTATGTATTTTCAAAGGTATTTATCCAAGAGAACCACGTAATAAAAAGAAAGCTAATAAAGGAAGTACAGCACCAGTTACATTTTATTACTCAAAAGATATTCAATATTTATTACATGAACCAATTTTAAATAAATTTAGACAACATAAAACATTCGCTAAAAAATTGACAAAATATTTAGGTAAAGGAGAAATAAGTCAAGCTAATAAATTGAACAAAAGTCATGAATCAAATAATTATAATTTAAACCATATTATAAAAGAAAGATATCCTACTTTCTTAGATGCGTTAAGAGATTTAGATGATCCTTTAAATATGTTATTTTTATTTTCAAATATGCCAGTCACTGACAAAGTTTCAACTAAAATCATTTCAAACTGTGAAAAATTGTGTAATCAATGGTTAGCTTATATTGCAAGAGAACATGTATTGAAGAAGGTGTTCGTTAGTATAAAAGGTGTTTATTATCAAGTTACAATAAAAGGTCAAGAAATTAGATGGTTACAACCTTTTAAATTTCCAACTAATATACCTACAGATGTTGATTTTAGAATAATGTTGACATTTTTAGAATTTTATTCAACTTTGTTGCATTTTGTTTTGTTCAAATTATATAACGAAGCTGATTTAATATATCCACCAAAAACTGATTCAAAAAATTTGAAAAATTTAGGTGGTTTAAATTCATTTATATTACAATCAAAAAATGAAGTTAATGGTATAAATAATGAACAACAAGTTGAAGAAACAAGCAATGAAAAGGGTAAAGAATTATCATCAGAAGAATATAAAAAAGCTATTGAAGCTGATCAAGAAGAAAAAGAAGAGGAAGATATTAAAGAATCAGAAGTAAATGATGAATTGGATGAGTTTAAAACAGATAATGAAAAAGTTGACTCATTAATACAACCATCAAAATATCAAAGTCCAACATCAACATTATTTTCAAATTTTATATTTTTTATTGGTAGAGAAGTTCCATTAGATATCTTGCAATTTTGTATATTATCATGTGATGGTCAAGTCATAAGTGAGATTCAACTAGATGAATTAAAAATAAATGATCCAAAAGCATATGAAAAATTGAATTTAGATAACATAACTCATCAAATAATAGATAGACCTAAAATTTTGAATAAAGTACCTGGTAGAACTTATATTCAACCACAATGGATTTTTGATTGTATCAATAAACAAGAGTTAATAAATGTTAATGATTATGCACCTGGTGAAACTTTACCACCACATTTGTCACCATGGGGAGACGCTGGTTCTTATAATCCAAATAAAGAAGATGATAAACAAGGAGCAGTAGCGGAAGAAGAAGAAGAAAGTGAGGAAGAAATTGAAGTTGAAGAAGATGATGAAGATCAAGAAGAAGATGAAGAGGAAGAAATTATGGATGATGATTTGAAAGCACAAAAAGAATTGGAATTGGAAGCTAAAGGTATTAAATATTCAGAAATTGAAGATAAGAAACCAAAACAAAAGAAACAACAATCAAAGAAAGAATTAGATGAAGAAAAAGAATTGAAGAAGATTATGATGACAAATAAACAAAAGAAACTATACAAGAAAATGCAATATGGTATTGAAAAGAAAGAAAGTAGAGATAAAGAATTAACCAAAAAAAGAAAACAATTAGATAAAAAGAAAAAACAATTAAAGGAATTATAATAGATCGAAATGTATACTTGGTAATCAAACTTTTGTGAAACTAATCTCTAAGAGCAATACGAATACTAAAAGCGCTATTTTAATCTTAGATCGGTTGCAAATTTATAGATCTAAAAATACGAGATCTGACACAAAAGATAAGACAAAATGACATTAGTTTTGGGCAAATTTCAGTATAATATTACATGCCGAAATTTAAAGCAAAATCCATAGCTCATGGTACCAATTTATCGAGAAACGTTTGCTCGGGTCATATTCAGTGGTTTTAAATTGCAGCTCTTACTTTCTTAAAACATTTTATTTCGCTTAAAATCTGACCAAGTTAGCGCTGCATATGGTACCATCTCTCGCCTGAAGTGATGAATTCTTTGGTCGTTCCATCGTTCCATGTCGGTCTAAAACTTAAATTGAAAATTTAAAAAAAAGTTCAATGTGGGCCTATATGCAGTCTCTTAATAGTTATCCTAAAACTTCAAGTGTAAATAACTCTTACCACATTAAAGGGGACTTTCTCAAACTTCTTTCATTAGTGTTTTTTTTGGGATAGAATACATTGATGTCCATTCGTTGTTGTAAAACATGATTTTGATCACGTAACACGTTTTTCAAAAAATGCAAAAAAGCGCTAAAGATTGAATATCACATTTAGACCCAGTTTAAAAACATTTAAAATATCTTATCTGGTTATTTTGATCCCAAAAACTATTTGTATATCATTTTAAAACAGCATAATCGTGTTGAAATTTTTTCAAAAATTTCGAATCACTTCTGAAAAATTACTTTTTCAATTTTGAACATCTTGATACAAAAAATTTGAAGTTGATTAGCTTACCAGAGCTACAAAATTAGATAGTTTTATCAAGCTTAAAATTTAATATTTAATGCGGTATCAGATTTTTTTTAAGGTCAATTTATTCAAAGTTCCCCATACTGAAGTGAAAATTTTGAAAATTTTCAATTCTTGTTGAGAGCAATCAAAATCAATTGCAGCATCTTTGATTGAGCTATAATTTATATATTCAGTCGTTTATTTGAAGGTTTTGGGCCTAAATAAAATAAACTTTTCATTCTCAATTATTGCAAAATTTTTGTATGGTGAAAAAAGTCCCAAATGACCTCAAAAAAAGATTTCTAAAAATCCGAATTTGAAGTAGGTAATATATATAATTAAATGCTCCAGCTTCTGTATAATTGGTGCTTATCTCTTGAAAACCCGTTGTTCATGACATATAAGCTATATTATTTGGTACGAGTCGCCCTATCGGTAGCGTGAAGAATTGTTTTGTCGCACCACATAATCGTAAACAAAAATGGCCCAATATTACTACTAAACCCAATTTCTGACCAATCAGAGATTCTCATAAATACCTCTTAAAAAGCTTTTGTATTACCCCTTAACCATTTTTTCATAAATAAAGGGAACTGTTATGCTTCAGATTTTTATTTGATTAACCGAAAAGATAACATTATATCAAAATAATTGAAATAGACGAACTTATTAAATTTTTTCTTCACTTAAACACCATTTGAGTTTTGATTGGCCCGTGTTATTACTTAATAAAAGTGATCCCACTGCATAAGTACCGCTTCAGCTTTCATTCCAGATTTTCAAGTTAAAATTGTCGAAAATGTAAATCAACTATTTTCATCCACATTCGATTTTAGGTTTTAAAACTCACTCGCAACTTATGTGAGTAGTAAGAGATATTATTTGAATCGATGTAATTTGATAATATTAGGTTTTGTGCAAAGGTTTGTTTGATATAACAAATCGGTATAAAATTCAATGCGAGTCTCGTTTGACACTTGGTAGTTTTCTCGTTTTAAAAAAAATATCAACCCAATCCATCTTTGAATCAAGATCTTCAAATGTTTAAAAGATCATTACATAAATCAACTAGATTACTTCGACAAATAAAAACAAAAGAAGATATAGATAAATTATTAAATAATCCTACATGGTCAGTTAAGGAACTACTGCTGTCGAAACAAAATTCAAATTCTGAAATAACACATAAAACAGTAGCTAAGATGATTAAACTATCAGGATTTAATGATGAAGTGACTCCAGAATTAACAAAATCATTAAATTTACAAATGAATTTTATTGAGAAGTTGTATGATGGTGAAGAGGAAGAAGTACATAAACATTCAAACAATGATTCAATTTTTAGATTGATTGCCAGTGATCACATTCCAGATAAACCCTTAACTTTAAAACAATTACAAGAAGAGATAAAGAATTTGAAACCAAGTAAAGAGAAAGGAGAAATAAGGGACGACAAAAATACACCATAGGAATTAAATTTTCACTTTCATTAGTCATTATATTCATTGTTTTAGTCTTGAGTCCATATACATCCTATCTGGTATTTCCAAAATAAATAGATTCTTTAAATATTCTTGTAATTTAACTAATTCTTTAATCCCCAGATTTATCAGTTCAATTTCGGTCGAATTTTTAATATTTATATAACATTTAATTTGAAATTGATTCGATTCATCTAATAGTTTTAGTTTTATTCCATCTATACCTTCACCATCTTGATCATCTCTAATAAATACTTTATAAATTTCAATAATTATATCACCATAGAAAAATCTAATTCCTTTTAACCAGTATTGATTTTTAACTTCATACCCTAAATCCAATAGAAATGTTAAAAATGAATCAGAAGTATGTATTAATGTACTTTCATATATTTGTTGTTGACATACTTGTTGATTTTTTCCTGCAATTGGTATATCTGAAATATTCAATGTCCAAACCCGTTCATTTTCGCCATCATTAGTAAATAATTTTGATACTATTATATTATCTTCTTTAATTATTGGATTATTTAAATCTATATCTGTATCACTCCATGTAGTATTACATTTCATATAATATTGTTCAATTTGATTAATTTTACCAGGTTCAAATTTTGGTTTAAATATATGATTTGGTTTTGTTAATATACTATAAGTTGATATTGGTTGTGGTTGAAGTAAACCAGTTAATACTTTAAAAGACGATATGGTTTGTAAGTATTGTGAATGTGGTATGGATGATACTAATGATAATTGATGAACCATTGATTATATATACAGATTTGTTTACTGAAAAAAAAAAGTATTTGTTGCAAAATATTAAATTGATAAATGAAATTTAGAAATATTAGCAGAGTACAACTTTGAAGAGTGAAGATGGTTTGTATCAAGCTTCATTGCCTGGTGGAGACTTTAAATATATCATCATTGATCAGTTTGTAGCTCAAAAAGTAGCCCAAGCAACAGAATGGTTTAATATAATAAAAAACAAAGCAGATGCACTGCAGTTCAGTGATTTATATCATTCTTCATAGTTAATTGGAGCCAATATTAATGCAAATGTATTAAGATAAACATGTTACAAAGTAATCCTATTTCTCCTTTTTACTTTCATCCAATTCTTCATCTAATTTAGTAGTATCTTCTTTGAATGCAACTACTATATAACCAATCAATACAATATTAGCACTCAAGGCACTTAAACCACCACTTATTATACTATTTGAAGTAAACCATTGTATTGTGAAAAATGTAACTAAGGGTAATATAATCATTAATGCAGTAAATATCATTAATTTTTGAATTACTGATCTTAAATATAGTTAGTATCAAATTAAGTTATCTATTTTGGGTCTATACTTACTTGGGTATATCTGCTGGCATCTTTATATCTGAAAATTGTTAATAATAATAAGCTTTGATGATAAATTTATTTTTCGTATTGATTGAGAAATTGAAAATTTTATAGTTACGAAAACATCAGCAAAATCTTTGGTGAATGAAGACTAGACGATACAATTGAGCTGAGAGAGTAGCAAAGACGTTGAGACAAGCTCTCTTTATTATACTGAAAAGTTTCAGGGTTTGCGTTCCTCTTATAATCCATATTCTTTGAATACAAAGCGGACGAATAAGCCCAAGGTCATGGTTGCAACAAGCAAGGTAGAATTCATTATTTCAGGTTACAGCTTACTTCCTTACTTCTCCTCATCTTTATATTCAAACTATTCAATGTCAATTTGCAACTGTTCAATGTCATTTTTCAATTTTCAAACCAAATTACACTACAATTTATTTTCAACAAATTTAACCAGTTACTGTTTCAGACTTTAGCAAATATGAAATTATTAATATTATTAAGTTGTTTCATAACATCAATTATTGCATTTTCAAATGTTGCTCCATTATATATACAATCAGGTTATAGAAATTACCGTTCTAAATTAATAAGTAAATCAAATTATGTATTGATTCATGCAAAAGAATATAATCAGGATAATGTAATACTTCAAACAAATGATGTTACAAAAGTACCAGAGTCTTTCAAACCATTATTCAATATTGTATACAAAAATATAGAAGATGTTAAATTAGATCTTTGTCCAACTTACAACATTGACGAAATTGAAAATTTCAATATTGAACAATTCAAAGATAAAAATATAGCATATCAAGTCATACCTGACTTTAAAACTGAAGGAAGTCCAAAAGAAGATCAAGAAAAAGTTATAAATTTATTTGACAATGGTGTAGTTGATAAAAGAGATGTAGATGCTAAGAATGGTACTGGCGTTGATAACTTATTTACACATTATCAATTCTTTACTCCTGGTTTGTTTTCAGCAATTTTAGTTTCCTTATTCTTAATATTTATATTAGTTAACGCTTTATCTTGGCTTACTTCATTAGAAATCACTTATGAATCATTTGAAAAACAAGTTGATTTGGATAAAAAATCTGAATAGATACAATATACATTAATTAACTTAGTCTTAGTTTTTAACACTTTTTAAAGCTATGAATTATTTATAAGAGAGCTCAGGGAAACCGATAGCTGCATTTTGTTTCATAACGATTGTCTAATTTACATGTATATACAATTAATATTTAATAAATATATGGAATAATCTTCCAAGGAACTATTTTATTATATTCATCCCAAGTTTTACCATATTTTTCTTTACATTTCATTTCATCTCTAACTTGTCTATGGATTAATAAACTAGCAAAATAAATAACATAAAAATAAGTTAATGGTGTTTGAAACCCTGTTGGTAAACACCAAGAAACTCCAATTAACCAATCTCCAAAATAATTTATATGTTGTGATAATCCCCACCAACCTTCAACTAATAATTTGTTACCCTTTTCACTTTGAATATATTTTAAATTTGAAATTTTACCATTTCTAAATAATGATTTTTCACGATTTGCAGATTTAAATATATAAAATCCGAGAAACATTAATCCTAAAATTGAAATAGATTTAAATATACCTAAATTTACTTCATTACCTTTTATACTCATATATCTAGTTTGTAATGAATATGACCATGGTAACCAAGCTAAATCACCAAAGCTTAACATATAACCAAATCCATCAGTTGTAATGTCTATCATTGTCAAACAACCTTCTTCATTTAAAACTCCATCAAATATATAAAATGCTTGCATAAAATTGACTAAAATCATAGAATCAGTAATATAACCTAAATTATGATATTGATGATGTAAAGCTGAAAGATTTATAAGTAACCATAATAACATACCTGGTCTCAATTCACAGAATAGTTTAATATCCCAACCACCAATTCTTGGATTTAATTCTCTACCAATAAACCAATCATAAATAATATTACCAGTGTTACCATTAATGGATAAAATTCTTTCATTAGTTCCTGTTCCATTTTTGGATCTTAAAGGGATAAAACTAGTAATATAAACAAAAACAGCTAATAAAAATGAAAATAAAATTGTTGTAGCTGTTAATTTTGTTTGATTTTCATAGATGAATTCCAATTCTGGGAGGTAATAATCCTCAGATGTAAATAAACGTGATAATAATACACTAATCAATATTCCACTCATTGCTAATCCATTAATTTTATATACTAAACTTGTACCATCTCTTAATTTTACTCCATTTAGGATTGTACCCGGTATGATCTGATCAAAAACAACTAAGGTGAAAAACCAAGATAAATAATATTTCCAACATATAGCGTCAAAAAATAAATTAATTAAAGCTTGAGTATTAGAAGGCAATTGAGCTATAATTTTATTTATATCAATATTTATGCCCTGGATTGAATAATGTTGATTTGTGATTAATGCAAAAAAATATATGAGTGTTGGTAAGAAAATTGTAATTGATAAAGCACCATAAACACCACTGAATTCTCTATGTTTTGTATGTGGATTTAGCTTAGACATAATTATTCAATGTTGATTAATTTGATAATTTGCTGCAATTTATTCACTATTTATATATTTTTCAATGATCTTCTCTCGCGTCGCGAATTATACGAACGATCTTAATTTTTAAACGACGCATTCGGACGGCTAAAATGATAATACGGAAATCTATAATAAATCCAATCAGAAAATGAGTGTTTCATTGTTGGTATCTTGCAGATTTGATATAAGTTGGCTGTGTTGTAAGTCTCTGTTAATGTTTAAATTTTTGTCGTATGTAATTTAATTTGGCTGCAAAATAATAGCAACTCGTTTAGGTGACTCGAAAATGACTTTAATGCTTTTCTAATGGTGTCAGTGGCTATGTTTACAATTTAGATAAACGTTAAGATCTTTTAGAACATTGGTTTTGATTTTAAAATTTTTAATTTTGGATTCCTTCAAGTTATTCATTTGATTCCTTTGCTGAGATAAGAAAAGAAGATATTCAAGCAACAAGAATCAATTGATTATCATTGATAAGCTTTTCAACCTTTAAAGCCGGATAATTCTCCACGCTAAATGTAAACTCATCGATATTAAAGACACTTTGACTAATTAATCATAATTGATAAAATCTTCTTCAAATAATATAGTACATTCAACAATTTTGCAATCAGTCATGCCTTCTAGAATCATTGGTCTTGTTTGAAATTTTATTTTATCCAAATGCAAAAACTTCAAATTGATGAGGAATATGAACAAGCCCGAGGTGTAAGTATTAAGTATCTCGCAAAAACCCGTTTTTTGCCAATTTTTAAATGACGAATAACATAACCAAAATTAGAGCTGTTTCAAGGATACTGGTTTTAATATACCTCAGGATAATTGAATATTTTGAAAAAAAAATTTGGGAATAATAGCTTGAGTATTGAGGGACTTATTCACGATTCAAGTTTTAAGATTAACTATGATTAGACTGCATATAGACAATTTGTTTCAGAATTATTTTTGGAAGTCTTTAAATTTCAACGCGATGTGGTGGTGCGACAAAAGTTGCTTCTCGCGCTAACTGCAAAGCGACCTTGATACGACTTTTGGTTTTCTCGCACCGTGGTTAAATTTGAAGAAAAAATGAATGGTTACTTAAAAATACAACAAATTAGAGATCTAAAAGTTGATTAAAAGAATAAAAAATTGTGTATATCGAAAAGTAACATATTAAATAATTAACAAATAACAAATCACTTTGATGATTTACTTAAATCTACCAAAAATTGGCGAGTAAAAGTAAATAATTAAAGTAAATAATTAACTTTATACTCCGATTTGAAGATTTCAATATTAAATAGTGAAGTATATCGTCACTATTTGGCATCTATACCCATTTTTAACGTTAGATTTTTCAATGACAACATTGTTACCACCACAACAGTGGAAATCTTTATCTATATACCTCTATACCTATTTACAATGTTCAATCAATTGAAGATGTAGTGGACGACAAGAAAACGTAGCTTTTCAAACCTTGACTCTATTGAAATGCACAGGGCCAAAGATAGATTCTTGAATATTTATCGATCGAGTTCAAATTTTTGGTTTTAAAGTTTAGTTGTACTCTAAAAATGCCAAACCTGCTAATTTTCAAGTCAAAGGGAGGAGTCCGATTGGTGATTGGGTAGTACATTCAATATACCGTTTTACTTAATGATAATTTTTATTCTAAAATACTACAAAACGAATTTCCGAAACTTTTTAGTGGTCATCATTTCCACTTTTGATTTGAAAAGCATACAAACAGTGTAGTTTTTAAGTCTTATTGTCTTCAGCATCATCAGCTCATCGATTTGTATAACAAAAGATGTAATTCATGTACATACGAATGTGAAGTTTCGAATCTTTAATTGATTTCTAGCTTTGCATTACCAAATCATATTGATTTTACTTAAATTCACAAACTGACCTTTTTTGAGAATAGACTTTCCAGATATAAACGAAACTTATGTATGCTATATTTTAATGGCTGCGAATTTCATCTTTATCAAAGCATCTCACTAAATAAATAAGTATGGGGTAAAAAGCACCCTCGGCAAAAAAAAAAAATATGTCAACTATCATTATCAATATATGAAGTCAATTGAATCATAATTGTATGTCATTCAAGCATAGTCAAGAATTCTATCATGTCAAGTAAATCAATAGTAGAACAGTTTGGTGTTGATAAAATTTCAGATTCTGAATACAAGAGTAAATCACCATTGATCTTACCATTTCCAAAAGCAAGAGGAGTATATGGTGGAAATTTAGTTGGTCAAGCATTATTAGTAGCTATAAAATCATGTCCAAATACTAGTTTTAAACCACATTCTTTACATTCATATTTTATTACTGCATGTAATAATAAAGATTTGGTAACTTATAAAATTGAAAATTTATCAAATGGTAGATCATTTATAAATAAGCAGATAAGAGCATTACAAAATGATACATTAGTATATATTGCAAATGTATCTTTGACAAACAAGTTTAAAAAAGGATTTAAATTTGAATCAGTGCAACAATCGAAAGAAAAAATCAAAGATATTCCAATTTCAACAGTTGATTCACATTTAAATATATATTATAAATTTCCAAAGAAGTTTGTCAAATTAGATGAAACAAAATACGAAGAAGATCAAAAAGTAACAGAAAGAAAACTTAGTTTTTATTCAAAATTTGGAAAAGATAGAGATATTACCAATGATGAAGAAGGTTGTTTAAAATATTTAGCAATTACTAATTTAGCAGATAGTGGATATTTAACCTCCCTAACTAGATTATTAAGAATTGAAGACTTTCCAATAAACAATCATCGTTATTTATATTTCCTTGTTAGTATGGATCATACAATGTACTTTCATGATGATGATTTTGATATAAATGAATGGATCAATATTCAATTTCATTCAGTCAATTTTAATCATGATAGAATAGTATTTGAAGGAGAATTATTTAATGAAAAAGGTACACATATAGCTACTTATGTACAAGAAGGGTTAATCAAATTAAATCAATTAGAAGAAAAGGCTAAATTATAGATTTTCAATACACAATTGGTAGCAACGTAGCAACGTAGCAACACGCATAAAACGCGTCTCTCTCATTAATAATTGCGCTTTAATATTTCCTAATTAGGCTAAATTATTACTTGCATGAAAATTTATATGAATCTAAAAATCGTATAACAATATTTTTTACGTGTAAGTTGAAAATATTGAATACTCGGTTTATCAATTGATAAATTATGCATCTATTATATTGGAATGGCGTTAGTTATCCTCAAACAATAAATAAAAACTGTGGGACGAAAAGATTTGCACCTTGCTATGCATTTCAATCCTACAGTGAACAAACATTCCCCATCCTTAATCGTTTAAGTCTATTTATAATTTTTAAGTTCACAAAACTGAAAATTTAACGAAATTTCAAATCCTTAAAAATCTAAAAAATTTCACTATGATAACGAAAATACAACAATGGATTTTAGGTTTCATAGTACTTTAGAACCAGAGATTTAAACTAATGCAATAAAAGTTTTTGACATCATGATGATGTTATACTCTGCGCGTGGTGGTGGTTAAAGATATTCATTTAAAAAAAACGTTTGATCTGTTCATTTGACTAAACCTTGATTATTAAATGTAGGTCCATTTGTTTAATTGGAACAGAAAATCGTCTAAGTAGAAAGATGCATATTGAATCCTCTACCAGCATGGAATTTTTAAACAATAAGTAGTTACATTTTCGATAAATAAATTTTTTTTTTTTCACATCATTCCTACGGACAATAGAAATGAACCAAATTAACAAGCCTCTTGAATTACAAGACAAGACAATTGGATATAACTTCTAAATGCTCAAGGTGTTACACTGCTAAGTTGTTAATATAATATTAGAAAATCTGGGTTGTTAATATATAATAATTTCAATATGCCCCTTTTTCGTACTAATAAATTTTCTCTCTTCGTCAAAATTAAATTCAAAAAAAAAAAAAAAAAAAAAAATATTATATTTTTTATCACTCTATATTTTTCAATTAATTAAATTTATTTATTCATTCATTCATTCATTCAGTTCCTTTTTCATTTCAATGTCAAGTAATAACCAACATCTTCATGTTAGTAATACTCATCCGTCTACTTATCAACATCAACAACAACAGTCACAATATGAATCAAGTTTTGAACCTCCCACACCTATTGCAACTCCAACTAAAAAGAAAAGAGGTAGACCTCCGAAACCAAATAGTTTAAGTCAAAGAATTACTCATACTATAAATATAAATATCAATAAAAGTCCATTTCAATCACCGGCTGAGTCAAATTCAAATTCAATTGTGAAACAAGGTCAACCTGATTATTTTACTCCTGTTATGAGAGTATCTCCTACAAATAGAAATTATCAGACCAATAATAGTATAAATCCAGTTAAGAGAAAAAGAAAAAATTCCAATATTTCAGTTACTAGTACTAGTTCAAATTCTTCATCATCATCTTACAATACATCACCAATTAATTTGAAAAAACCAAAATTATCAAGTTATACTACCGTAACAACCACCACTCCAAAAAGTAACTCAAGTGTATTACCTTACAATACCCCATTAGAAACTTTAGCTGAAATTAAATCTCATTCAACACAACAATTGTTATCTCCTGTTTCGAGAAAATCGTCCTCTAATGATTCACAATTTCAACTAACTTTACAAATTGATGAAAATGGAAAAGCTGTTTTGAGAAAGGAAAAGGAAAAGGAAAAGGAAAATGATAAGGAAAAGAAAATAGTTGAGAAAACGATACAAATAAGAGAAGAAAAGAAAGAAGAGGTACAAGAATTAGATCATGATGATACCGAAACTGAAACTGTTGTTATTAATTTACCAACTCCAATAGTTCATGGTAATCCTGAATCTGATTCTCATTTTATTCATACAGATCATACTAATAATACCAATATTCCAAATTCATCTATTTTATTACAACAACAAACCTCAATTAATGAATTTTTAGAAGGATTAAATGATCATCCTGATTTTATAATGACTGATTTGTTACTGCATCAACAACAGCATTTACAACAACAACAATTACCTATTCAATATCAACAGTTGCCCATTCAATATAATTCGCATTATCACAATTCACCATCTCAACAATATACTAATATTCCACATTATCAACCATCAAGCTCATCATCTAGTTCATCGAATGATGATTCTGGTGATGCAAGATTGGCATTGAAAAGAATTTTGGAAATTAGAAGAAGATAAAAAAACCTCAAGTTTGTGTGTTTGATTGTTAAAATTCAATTCTGCTATTTACAATTTTTTTACATTTTTACATTATTTGCTAATGCGTTTTCACTTTAGTTCTGATTCTTCTTTTATAGATTTTTCCAAATATACATATTACTATGATTATTGTTTCTTCTTTGACTCAAAGCAATAGTAAACTATTGTTTTTAACTCTTTGTTTAATTGAACGACATTCTGAATATTCTTTACAAATTTTAAAGTTCCACTACTCTATGTAAAACATGATTTATGTTATCTCAAAATTTCAGCTAAAATCTATAAATCCTCAAAAGTTTCACTTTACTGTTCAAATTACTCTCTTGTATAGTTTAATCTTAGTAATAATTATTCAGCTAACACAATTATACTTTGTTTTTACAAAGTTCTTACTTTTCAATTATACAACATTTTAATCTTCGAACATTTTGGCTGCAAAATGATTGGTAGCATTGTCGGGTAACTCTTGGACTGCACACAATATGTTGCAAATTTTTTCGTGCGCTATCCCAAATAATTTTTCACTCTTTCATCTCATAGTAAAATTTTCAAATTTTTTTATATTCTATCAATTCATTCTTCATTAAAAGATGTCTCATAGAAAATACGAAGCACCAAGACACGGTTCATTAGGTTTCTTACCAAGAAAAAGAGCTGTTAAACAAAGAGGTAGAGTTAAATCATTCCCAAAAGATGTTAAATCAAAACCAGTTGCTTTAACTGCTTTCTTAGGTTATAAAGCTGGTATGACCACCATTGTTAGAGACTTAGACAGACCAGGTTCAAAAATGCATAAAAGAGAAGTTGTTGAAGCTGCTACTGTTGTTGATACTCCACCATTAGTTGTTGTTGGTGTTGTCGGTTACGTTGAAACTCCAAGAGGTTTAAGATCATTAACCACTGTTTGGGCTGAACATCTTTCAGAAGAAGTTAAAAGAAGATTTTACAAAAACTGGTTCAAATCAAAGAAAAAGGCTTTCACTAAATACTCAGCTAAATATGCTGATTCAAAATCAATTGAAACTGAATTACAAAGAATTAAAAAATACGCTTCAGTTGTTAGAGTTTTAGCTCATACTCAAATTAAAAAAACCCCATTATCACAAAAGAAAGCTCATTTAGCTGAAATTCAAATTAATGGTGGTTCAGTCTCAGATAAAGTTGATTGGGCTAAAGAACATTTTGAAAAAGAAGTTTCAGTTGATTCAGTCTTTGAACAAAATGAAATGATTGATGTTATTGCTGTTACTAAAGGTCATGGTTTTGAAGGTGTTACTCACAGATGGGGTACCAAAAAATTACCAAGAAAAACTCATAGAGGTTTAAGAAAAGTTGCTTGTATTGGTGCTTGGCATCCAGCTAATGTTCAATGGACCGTTGCTAGAGCTGGTCAAAACGGTTACCATCACAGAACCTCAATCAACCACAAAGTTTACAGAGTTGGTAAAGGTTCAGATGAATCAAATGGCTCTACTGAATTTGACAGAACTAAGAAAACTATTAATCCAATGGGTGGTTTCGTTAGATACGGTAACGTTAACAACGATTTTGTTTTATTAAAAGGTTCAATTCCAGGTACTAAAAAGAGAATCGTTACTTTAAGAAAATCATTATACGTTGATACTTCAAGAAGAGCTACTGAACAAGTTAACTTGAAATGGATTGATACTGCTTCAAGATTCGGTAAAGGTAGATTCCAAACCCCAGCTGAAAAACATGCTTTTATGGGTACTTTAAAAAAAGATTTAGAAAACTAAATTAATTGATTTATAGTCTAAATGTAAGATATACCTATAATTTTGTTATGTACCAGGTGCAAACTTGATTTTGTAGATATTTTTTTTATTTGATACAGCGTTTAATTATCACCATGTCAAATTCAGAGGATACAACCGATTTTATCACTTCAGTTAATGATATTCCTCAATTAAAACGTAGTGTTAGAGTATTAAATCCTTCAAGAGTTGAAATAATGGAAAGAAGAGCAAATCCAAGTCCAAAAAATGATGAAAATTTAATTAATTTTAGTACCTTAAAATCAAATTTTAATCAAGCACCACCAAAATTTAACAATATTCAGTCAGAGTATATTTTAAATAATTCATTTTTAAGTGGATTGGATAATGTAAATATTTCATTTCCAGAAGAAGATTTGAAACAAATTTGTGAATTAATTAAAATTGATTATTCAAGTGAAGGAATGAAACAATTATTGAATAAAATATCAACACTTGTTAATGAAAATAAGAAAAATAGAGAATCTAAAGATGGTTTAGAATCTCAATTAATTAAATTAAATGATATGGTTTCAAAATTGACTAATGAAAAGGAAAATTATACTCAAATCAATTCAAAATTAAGTAATGAAATTGAAATTATTAATAATGAAGTTATGAATTTAGAAAAAAGTCAAAAGAGATCTGATGATGAGTATAAAATAAATATATCAAAGTTGGAAAATGAATTATTTTTGATTAAGGAAAAAGAATTGGCATTAATTGAAGAAAATAATATGAACCAAAGTAATCAGATGGAGTTGATGAAGGGACATAAAGAAGCAGAAGAACAAAATAAACAGTTAAATGAAGAATTGGAAGTTTTAATTAAAGAAAAAATTGAAATGGAAGGCGAATTAAATAAGGAAATGGATCAATTAAAAACAAGGGTAGAATCATTAATTGAGTCAAATAAATCAATGGATAAAAAGAATCATCAATTGAAAAAGGTTCTCAATGAAAAAGAAAACAAACTTGATAATCTAAATAACCAATTATCCACAATCAAATCCAAGTACATTAAAAAATTACAATTTGTTGAAAAAGAATCAGCTTTCAAAATTGATGCACAATTGGTTGAAATTAATTTATTAAAAAGAATCAATCAAAAATTAATTGATGGTGAAATTATCATTAATGAATCAGCAACCTCTGCAAAAACAAATGGATCAGACTTAAACCCTGAAATAATTTATAAATTTTCAACAAATAAAAATAACAATACAAATTATTCAGAATATTTAAGTGTATTATATGAAAGGAAATATTTAAATGCATTAACTGAAAACAAAAGTTTATTAAATTCAAATAATATTTCAATTACTTCATTAATTACAATTCTTAGATTTAATTTAGTTAATTTTGAAAAATATTTATCAACAAATAATAAAGTTCATTTATTTAAATTATTAATTACTGAATTAGAAAAAAGGAAAAATTTAAATAAGAATGATGTTAATTTACTTGAAAAGATTATTCAAAATAATAAATATTTATTAAGTGAATTAGTTGAGAAAGGTAAACAATAAATTTTGCAGCAAACAATTGGTAGCATAATCGATCTTGTGATGACACATCGAATAATTTTTATTTCATCTCTTTAATATATAACAATTATATTCTAAATGTCTTCTGCTAGACAAAATATACCACAGGTTCGAAATCCAACATTACCATCTCAAACAACTCCTGAACAAAGATATTGGAGAAGTTATGTTAATCCGCAATTAATAAAAGAAAATCACCCAATAAATCATATAGATTTTAATCCAATTAGTCCTTATGATTTTGCAGTAACTTCATCAACTAGAATACAAATCTTTTCATCAAAAACAAGACAAGTTTTGAAAACATTTTCAAGGTTTAAAGATGTTGTATATTCAGCAAATTTTAGATATGATGGTAAATTATTGGTTGCAAGTGATGCCACGGGTTTAGTATCAATATATGATTCTTATCAACCAAGAAATTTATTAGTCAGTCTTAATCCAAGTTCACATCAAACTCATGTTGCCAAATTTCATTCGACTATAGGGAATCGATTAGTTACTGGTTCAGATGATAGAATTTTAAGATTATACGATATTTCACAGACTACAAAAGGTCCAATTTTACAATATAATGATAATTTACATGATGATTATATAAGGTCTATTAATTTTATCCCCGAAAATCCAAATTTAATAATAAGTGGTTGTTATGATGGAAATGTGAGAATATTTGATACAAGAGACACTTTGAAACCAATAACTACATTTCAACAATCAAATCTTGTGGAAGATGTAATAGCAATATCCCCAACAACGATTGTAAGCTCTGGTGGTCCTGTTGTTAAAATATGGGATCTTACAAAAAACTCACAAATTCATGAATTGAATAATTTTACAAAATCAACAACATGTTTATATGATACAAAAGAAAAAGGTTTATTAGTAGGTTCTTTAGATGGTCATGTAAAAGTTTTTGATTATAATTCGACAAATTGGAATGTTTCATTTGGTTGGAAATTTTCAAGTGGAGGTGTTTTATCTTGTGGTGTTTCACCAAATAATTATAAACATTTTGTAACAGGTTTAACTTCAGGTTTAATAAGTATTAGAACAAAAGAATTGGAACCAAAGGTGCAACAAGGTACTAAAACTGAAGTTTCAAATGCATATGCTAGAATGATGAAAGGTAGAGATTATTCAGGTGATGAAGAACATAGAATAGTAACAAATACATCAACACCAATTAATAATAAAAAATTGAAACAATTTGAAAAATATTTAAATCTGTTTAAATGGAATGAAGCTTTAGATTCTGCATTTTCACCAGGTTTACCAAAAGAACAAACAATTACAATTTTAAATGAATTGAAAAAGAGAGGTAAAATAAGAATTAGTTTGTATGGTAAAGATGAAATAAGCTTATTACCTATATTAAATTGGTTTATTAAAAATTTAGAAGATTTAAGGTCGTTTGATTTAATAAGTGATTATATTGGTATAATTTTAGAAATGTATGGTACATTAATTGATAAATCAGTTTTATTGGAAGAAGCATTTAATAATTTATTAAAGAAAATATCAACAGAGATAAAGAAAAGTAAAGAGGCAAGTGAAATAAGTGGTATGTTGGAATTATTAACTGTATAGACTATATATATTACCACTTTCTTCTACGTTTTCTTCGTTTCTTTTCCTTTAGAGTTGTACCTTTTTCTTCCACAATTTTCTGACATTCTGGAGAGCAAAACCATTTAGTTTTACCAGTTGTATATTTCAACGCTTCAACACGATTGAGTAATCCAACACATTTATAATGAAACCATTCACCATTAGGACAACTTTCTTCATTATCACAAGCTATCATATCTCCAAATGAAGGTTGATTACAGAAACAATAAGGTGAGTTGTCTTCATCTTCGTCACTCTCTTCGTCTTCAACTTCAACTTCAACCACTTTTTGCACCTTAATAGGTTTCTTCTTTTTTGTAACTACTTTTTTCTTTACTTTTTCATCCTTTTTAACTATTTGATGTTTTGGTTTTATTACAGTATCATTTTTCGGTAATTTCAATATCAATTTTATACCCAGTTTACTTCCGTCTGTAGTTGTATCTTTTTTCTTCGCGATTTCTTTTTGTTCTTCAATTGCTTCTCTTTGTGATCGTAATGGATGTTCTTTATAATGTCGTTTCAACTGTTTTCTCAACGCTTCTTGGTTTTGTTGAATATTTGTTTCCTTTTTACAATTTATTTGATTTAATTGATTAATTTCCTCAGTTAAACTTAATTTATGAGTTATTAATTGATTATTCAAAGCTTTTAATTCTTGTATTGTTTCACTAGTTAGATAATTTATAACCTCTTTAAGTCTAACGATGTTTTGTAATTGTTCATTTGAAATTTGTTTAGTTTCCAGGTATGAATTAATGATACTTTGTAAATCTTGTTTTGCTCCATCAATTTTAATATTGCATGATTGTATTAACCATAAAGAACGTATTATATCACATGGTAAATGATCTAATGTAGATATGAACGAATTCTGTAATGAATATGATGGTGGTTGTAAATCCGTCATTGATCGAAGTTTCAAAATAAAATAATAAAATAAAAAAAAAAAAAAAAAAAAAAAAAAAAATAAAAAAATAAAAAAAAAAAAAAAAAAGTTACACAAAGTTAAAATAAGTAACCACATGTTATAATAGACCAAGAAATGTTATACAAGTTATACAATATAATAGATTTTTTATATATAAATGGTGATATTTCACTTATAATATGATAAAGATCATCATATAACAAATTTATAATTAGAGGAATCAGTTAACTTGTTCGAACGCATATAATATAATAGTATTCTTAATTAAACAATTATTTTGCAACCATTTAAAACGTATCAGCTGCTGTGACTTTTTCATTTCTTTTTTGAGCATTAATATTATAACTCCTTTAGTACGTATTATATAACTTGGCAATATAAATTGTTGATTAACTACTGCCTCACTATAAATAACCTATAAATAACCAAGTATTTTTGTTTGATTTGGTTTTATTCACTTTTTTATTCTTAAGACGATGATTAGTTTAAATGACAAATTTACATATTAGAGAAGATACTTGTTTACAAGGTAATCATTATAATGGTGAACATTTCATTGCGAGAATTACTTCGATACCAGTATTATTTATCGTATCTGCATTGGGTTCATTTTTTCCGTTAGTCGCATTACATTGTAAATTCATACGATTGCCAAGTTGGCTATTTTTTGTTACTAGATATTTTGGTAGCGGTGTTATTATAGCTACTGGTTTTATACATTTAATGGCAGAGTCATCACAAAGCTTAAATAATGAGTGCTTAGGTGGTGTATTCAACAGATATCCAATGACTGAAGGTATTTGCTTAATGTCGGTATTTTTCATATTTTTTTTTGATATAATAGCTCATAAGAAGGTTCATGAAAGAGCAAAGTTAAAAGATAAATCTATACAGGAAGAAACTATTGAAGTGGATAGTAAAGATGAAGTTTTAAGTGATAAAGTATCACAAGATTCAACATTAGAATCACAACCGAAACCAATAAATCATCGAAATTCTGAGAATATTTATCAACAAATTTTAAATTGTGTTGTTTTAGAATGTGGTATTGTTTTACATTCGGTATTTGTTGGTTTATCTTTAACTATTGCTGGTGATGAATTTGTTACTTTATATATTGCAATTGGTTTTCATCAATTTTTTGAAGGTTTAGGATTGGGTTCAAGATTTGCAACTACTTATTGGCCAAAGGGAAAAGGTCATGTACCTTGGTTAATGTGTTTAGCTTATAGTTTAACAACTCCAACTGCTGCTGGTATAGGTTTAGGAGTACGAAATTCTTATCCAGTTGGTTCACGAACTTCATTAATTACCACTGGTGTTTTTGACGCTTTATGCGCTGGTGTTTTAATTTATAATAGTATTGCTGAATTAATGGCTTATGATTTTATGTATTCAAATGAATTTGCTGATAAAAGTATGAAGACTTTATTATCAGGATTTTTCTTTCTAAGTTTTGGAGCTTTTGCAATGGCATTAATTGGGAGATGGGCATAAAAAAAAAAATTTATAGACATATTATAATATATATATTTTCAATAAATTTAAGCGTTTATAAAGAATATCTAAAACCTTCATTTTCAAAATCTGTTTTAAATCCAATAAGTCAAGACCATAACGCATTGTATCAGACTCGAACTGAAGTAAATTATGAAAGAGAAGGAAACAGTGCTTTAAATCTTATAAGATTTCCTAATTATAGACATATTAAAATATATATATTCAATAAATTTAAGCGTTTATAAGGAATATCTAAAACCTTCATTTTCAAAATCTGTTTTACCTTGGAAACCTTCAATCAATGCCTTTTCAGCTTTTTCATCATCAACTTCACCATATAATTTATCCTTTTGTTTATTTCTCCATTGAAGTAATACTCTCATGCAAATGATGAGAAACATCATAACAGCATAACTTGCAATACAACCAAGCATACCGGTTCTATATTTTGGTGCTTCATCTGCTTTATACAAGTTTGGACCAATAATGTTACCACCTGCATAACAGCAAAACCAGAAACCATTTGCAATTGTCTTTTTGGTACTTCCTGAAATATTAGCATTTGACAAAACCCAACACATAATAATAGGACCACCGATCATATATTGGAAGAATGTAGCAACAACCAATTCCCAACGTCTTTCTAATGGTAATACATGAATGGAAATTAATCCTGCTAATGGTGGAATACAAAATACAAACATGACATAAAGTCTAGTGTTTTTAAATTTGAAAGCAATGATACCACCAGCAATCACACCAAATAACTCGACGGCACCGGTAGGCATTTGTAATGCACTAGCTTGAATACCAGCTATATTGGGTTAGTTTTGGTTCTTTAGTTATTTTGGACACTTTGGATACTCTTGATGAAATTATTTTTGTTGCAAAAAATCTTGTCATACAAAAAAAATTTATCAAAAATAATTATGCTACCAAATGGATAAATAATATTAGCCAGTCATTTTATCCCAGCGAATAATTAAACAATGAAATATACATACTGAAGCCAAAACCTGTAATTAAGGATGATGCAAAGTTTGAAACACCACCATTAACAATACCACAACATAATCCAACAATTCCCAACATCCAAACAAATGAATCTGTAGCAGCTTCAACAATTTGATACTTCTTATACTTTGAATCTTTCAATCCCATATTATTTTTAGCAACTTCTTTAACCCATACAGCTTTTTCTTCTTCTGTCAAAAATTTTGCTTCAACTGGTGAACTTGGACAGAAAAAGAAAAATACAATTGACCATACACAATTTATTCCCCCAATAGTCAAAAAGATTAACTTCCATGTCTGGATAGATTGTGTTGGAGCATTACCCACTTAAAATTGTTAGTATTATCTTAAAAATAAAAAAAAATTGAAAAAAAATGTAAAACATACAACCATAAGCTAATACAGCACCAAGTATTGTAGCTATACCATTGAAAGCAAGGAAAATACACATTCTGAGACTCTGTTGTTTAATTGGGAAAAACTAAAACCGTTGGTTAGTAAATGAACGTGTTTGCAATGTTAAATTTTGAAATGTTCAAAATTTTTCATAATTCACATACTGCTTGGTTCAAAGCCATACAACTTGGACTAATACCAGCTTCAAAACAACCCAAGATAAATCTAATAACCATAGCACCTGCATAATTTGTTAAACCAACATGACCAAATAAAATAATAGACCAACAAAATACCATAAATGCTACATACTTTGCAACTGGAACTTTTTGAATAATCATATTCCCAGGAACTGCCCAAAACAAGTAACCAACATTAAAAATTGAAGCAACTAATGAATAACGTTGACCAGACAAACCAAGATCTTCTCTAAAAGTATAAGCAGCTGCATAATTCAATGATAACTTATCCAAAAATTGTAACATATAAGTGATACTGATTAACGGAACAATTCTGTAATCAAGCTTTCTCAAAATTTTCTTTTTCATTAACTCTTCATCCTCAGATGAAATATCTTGTGCATGTTCGTAGTATTCAAAACCAACAGCATTCAAATCATGGGTATCTTTTACATCAACATGTACTTTATTATCCTTTAATAATGCTTCTGGTTCAGTACTTTGCAGTTCTGTTTTTTCTATCGATTTTTTTTCAGTTGTCATAGTTCTTGGATCTGTTTCTAAATGATCTTTAAATGCAACCAATACTATTTATTGTCTAGTGATGATTATAAGTTCAATTTATGATCATTTTATAGTCAATTTATATACATAACCTACCAACAATACGATTTTAAATTTAATGGAAGCTGCATTCCGTCTATCTTATCTTTTACGTATAGAAAAATTTTCCAAAGTCTCGGCCTACAATTTTATGATATATGGTTATTTTTATTCAGTAAGATTTTCCCCTTTTGGAGTATCGTGCGATACGATTATGCAGGATTGTTTCAAAATAATCTATATTTAAGAAGCGCTGCAGTTTTTTTTAAAAATAATAATCTATATACAAACCATCAGTCCAGATTAAGTATAAGAAAAAATTAACTCATTTTCAATGTAATCAATTTTTTTAACAGTAATCTTTGCTGGATTATTAATTAATTCACCCACTTTTACATCTCCCGACTTTATATCGTTTAATAATTTGTCATTTACTTCCGATTGTCCAAACATAAATGGAAATCTATCAACTTTAACACCGACAAAAGTACCATTTTGTGGAGTAGATTTTAATCTAATTTTAAAATCTATACAAGATTCTTTTTCGTTCTTGTAATTTCTAATTAAATAACCTTGCCAGAATAATTTTGAATTTCTATCAATTAATTTCATAATTGAATTTTGACCGTTTATATGACTTGCAATACCTGGTAAACAATCATCTGGTATTAATTTTCTATTTAAAAAATGATCTTGAAACTTCCATTGATTTAAAATATCTATAAATCTTCTTAATGGTGAAGTAATATTTGTATACATTGATAAATTCATGGGGAAATGTTTCTGTGGGACATGTGTTACAGCCGCTCGTGAAAAAAATTTGAATATTTCGTACTGATTAACATTTAAAGTTGCAATTTTTGAATCATTAATGAATTTTTGATATTCTTCTAGTAATTCTTTACTTAATTTTGGATCAAGATATCTATAAAGAATTTTGATATTATTTTCAAATGCATATTTTGCAGTCAAATAATTTGCCATAATCATTTGCTCACTAACTAATCTAGTTGATTTACTAGTAGGACTTATATCTGAAATTGAAATCATTTTATTTGTATTTTTGAGTTCCATTAAAATTGTATTTGAATCTACTTTTATTGTATTATCTTTGAAAGTTTCCAAACACGTTATAATTTTGATACTTTGATTTGTAGCAAAATTTTCTACTGATCCTCGAGTTTGATAAAACAATTCCGATATATTATGCAATTTAATTAAGTTATTAAAATCTTGATTAATATCATTCAAATAATTATCATTATTATCCAATACTTTATTGACTTCATTATAGGTAAAACCTTTTCGAAAATTGTTGGTTATTGCATACTTTATAGATTTTGATGTTTCAACTTGATTTTTTATATCATTTAGTAAAGTTTCCTCAGCTTGATATTCAGGATTCTTAACTTTATTTAATATGAATTCATCAATTTGCTTTTTATTTAACTTGTATTGAGTAACAAAGGTTTTTGTATCTTTATTTCTACCTAAACCAGAAATATCTGAAATCACATTAGGTAACATGGGGAAAACTTGGTCTGGTAAATACTGTGTAGATGCTTTTTGAAAAGCAATTGAACTTATGGTTGAATTTGGTTTTATATATGCACTTGGTTCTGCAATATGAATTGAAACAATATATTTGTCATCTTGTTCTTCAATTGAAATACCATCATCTATCTCATGTGCTGACTCATCATCAATACAATAGATTGGAACCTCTCTCATGTCAACTCTTAAATGTTGCAAAGGATCATTTTGGTAAAACTCTAAATTCTTTGATTTTTCAATTTCATCAGATTTATATAATTCATCAATCAACTTGTAAAATCTCTCTTGTAATTCAAAATTTAATGAAGTGTTAAACCATTCGTTTGGATCGGAAACAACATCTGAATTTAGCTTTAATAATAAATCATAAGCTTTACCACGAGAATACTCATTTTTATAGGCGTCATCAATTATTTTAACACCATTTTCAATCAAATATTTATCAACTTTACGTAATAAAAACACAATTGCTGTTGATATTTCATCATCATTATCAAATTTACCACTAACAAATAATTTTAATAATTCAATAACATTTGAATACTGATCATTGTACCCAACGTCTACACCAATTGCCTTTTTTGCAATATGTTCCGCAATTAAATCTAATGAGTCACTTTTTAAATAATCTACTGTTTTTGATTCATATTCAGATTGTGCTAATGGCCAAATTGTTACTTTTGTTGATGTGTATGAATTTTTATTTGATTGTATAGTCCATAGTTTAGATTGAGTTTTCAAAAGATATAACAATGCTAAAGTATCTGAAATTTTAAACTTTTCTTCATCATAATTGATCAGCTTTTCTGGTAATATACATATAGAATTTGTTAAATTGTGTTGAGGCTTCTCTTTCAACTTTTTTAAAATCTCAAAGATGGAAATGGTTCTTGGTACATTTAAATTTCCATTCTCATCATATTGCAATGTCTTGTATAAATTTTGCAACTTGATTTTTAACTCACTTATTGCCGTTGTCGATTTTATTGATAATTGTGTTAAAGCATCAACATATAATTTTCTAGCTGATATTGGTACTAAATAAGTATTTACATCTGAATTAGTTAGCAATTGAGAAGCAGCTTGTGCAACAATAAAATTGTTTGGTTCATATTCTGAGTCATTTTCTTGTTCATTGAAACCGGCTTCATTAATAGTTGATCCTTTAGCCCTTAATTCATTAGGTAATGCATTAGTTGATTTTGAGAATGTTGAGTCAGGTATTCCTGCTGGTTGAATATTCAACAATTTCTCCTCCAATTGAATAAATTTTTCAAGTATATAATGATATTTTTGAGGTACTATATTTGGTAATCTATGTACAATTTGTTGAAATGGAAGGAATAGTATTTCACCTCTATCACTTAATAAAGTACATATATTTGATTTGAATGATTTAGGTATTCCAACAACTAAGAATAACCGTAGATTCTCAGAACTTAAAGTTACTAAATCACCGATATCCAAAGGTTTTGATATTGAGTCACCACTAATTAAAGTTTCCTCATTTGGAAGGTGTTTAAGATGAGCCTGTAGCTCTTGTATCTCATTTTCTGGCACGTCTTTACTCCAATTATTCACTTCTGAATCATAATACCTTCGTTTATTCACTGATTCAGATTTCACTTTTATAAATTCAATTAATTCTCGATTTGATTTGGTAAGATCTAGACCCAGTAGTTTTATCTCTAAACTTTTATCAATTTTTTGTTTCTTCTTCACAAGTTTCCTTATATCTTTTATAGTTCCAGATTGTTTTTTTACCACTCCCTTCTCTTTTAGTATAGATTTTAAAAAATCTTTTTCTTCATTTGGTATTTTCACAATAAGATTTAGTTCATTAGTTATACCATCAAGATTAAATCTTTTATATACTACTGATTGACAAAAACATCGTCTAGTAATAAATCTATTCGGTATCATCTAATTATTAGAAGAGATGATAATTCGCAGCTTCTATATTTTTTTTTCTCGTTTCAAATTTGAAACAACGCGCGGGAAAAAAAAATCATATAAACAATAACAAATTAATAGCCATTTGATTTAATGAAAGTTGAAGAATTAATCATAGATGGATTTAAATCATATGCTACTCGTACTGTTATATCTGGTTGGGACTCACAATTTAATGCTATTACCGGTCTAAATGGTTCTGGTAAATCAAATATTTTAGATGCAATATGTTTTGTTTTAGGTATAGCATCAATGACAACGGTTAGAGCTTCAAATTTACAAGATTTAATTTATAAAAGAGGTCAAGCAGGTGTTACAAAAGCTAGTGTTACAATTGTCTTTAATAATTCAGAAATTTCAAAGTCTCCAATTGGATTTGAAAGTTGTTCAACTATAAGTGTTACACGACAAATTATATTGGGTGGTAGTTCAAAATATTTAATAAATGGTCACAAAGCTCAACAACAAACTGTTTTAAATTTATTTCAAAGTGTTCAATTAAATATTAATAATCCAAATTTCTTAATCATGCAAGGTAAAATAACAAAAGTTTTAAATATGAAGCCACTGGAAATTTTATCATTAATTGAAGAAGCTGCTGGTACAAGAACATTTGAAGAAAGAAAAGATAAAGCTCAGAAAACTATGGCAAAAAAAGAAGCTAAATTAGTTGAAATCAGAGGTTTATTAAATGAAGAAATTGAACCAAAATTGGAAAAGCTCAGACTGGAAAAGAGAATTTTCTTAGAATTTCAACAGACTCAAATTGATCTTGAAAATTTATCAAGAGTTGTTGCTGCTTATGATTATAAAACATTATCAGACAGATTTACTCAACATTCGAAATTTTTGGAAGAACATGAAAGTAAAATGTCAGAATTACATTTAACAACTGATAAATTAAATTTTGAGATTCAAAATTTGAATGAAGATTTAAATGGTTTGAAACAGAAAAAGGAAGAAACTTTGAAGAAAGATTCTAAATTAAAAGAGTTGGAACAAAAAGAAAATCAATTATCGACAGAATTTACAAGATTAAATACAACTAAGGATATAACGTTGGAAAATTTAAAAGAAGAAAGGTTAAAACTTGAACAATATCAAGATCAATTGAATCAACTACGATCAACTCTACAGAAAAATGAAGAAATTTACAAGAATCATGAGATTCATTATGAAAAAGCTAATCAAGAATTGAATGAAATTAAAGACTTATTTACAAAGAAGGAAGAGTTGTTGTCCAGTTTGGTAACGGGTTTATCTGCATCTGGTAAATCATCAGCTGGTTATACTGCTCAATTGAATGAAGCGAAAAGTAGATTAAATATTTCTGAAAATTTTATAAAAACATCAAACTTAACAATTCAACATTTACAACAACAAGTTGATGGTGATAAGGTCAAATTAGCTAAAGCTAAAGAAGAGAATGAAATTTTACTTTCCAGTATACAACAATATCAAGCATTTATTCAAGATAAAGAATCGGAAATAAAATTGAAATTTAAAGGCACTGAAATAAATGAATTAAGAGACCAAGAGCAAAACTTATTAAATCAAATTAGAAGTATTAAACAAGAAATAAATTATATGAAAAGAGAGATTGGCAATTTGGAGTTTCAATATAGTCGACCCTCACAAAATTTTGATGATAATCAAGTTAAAGGTGTTGTAGCTCAATTATTTGAATTACCTGAGGCCTCCAATGACAAAGCTATGGCTTTAGAAGTTTGTGCTGGTGGTAGACTATATAATGTTGTTGTTGATACGGCTGAAGCTGCTGCTCAACTTCTTCAATATGGTCAATTACGAAAAAGAGTTACTATAATTCCGTTAGATAAGGTAAACTCTAAATCAATTGATCAAAATACTCAAAGAAAAGTGAGGCAAATAACACCTGATAAAGCAGATGTTGCTATAAACTTTATTCAGTACGATCATGACTTACAACCTGCGATGCAATATATTTTTGGTAATACTTTTGTTTGTAATGACCCAGACACTGCTAAAGCTGTTACTTTTGATCCAAGTATTAGAGCAAGATCAATTACATTGGAAGGGGATGTTTATGATCCTGAAGGTAATCTTTCTGGTGGTTCTAGAAAGAATAATTCTGCAACTTTAATTAAATTACAAAGATATAATCAATTGTGTTTGCAATTAAAGATCCTTGAGTCACAATTACACACTATACAAGATAAAATTAAAAACATGGATCAATTAATAAACTCGACCAAGTCTTTACAAAATGAAATAAATTTGAAAAAACATGAACTATCATTATTAGAAAAGAAATTAGAAAATAATCCATCATCATTAATTCTAAAACAAAATGAAGCTCATGAATCAGAAATACAACAATTACAACAATCAATAGAAGAACATAAAGCTATTTATCAATCTTGTCAAGTGGAAATACAAAAAATTGAAAATGATATAAAAGAATTAAACTCAGATAAAGGATCTAAAATAAATGAGTTGAAAAAGGAAGTTGCACAATTAAAACAACAAGTAGATCAAAAGGAAAAAGATTTGGAAAATCAAACTGATACATTTCAAGCAATACAGGTTGAAAGTGAACAACAAAAATCAGAAATTGCCAATGTAAATGATTTGATTAAAACTACAGAAGCAAATGTTAATCAATTGATGATATCATCAGAGCAGCAAATTAAATCAAATGAAACTATTGGTAATGAGTTACAACTTGTCAAGGCAGAACTTGATGATGTAAAGGCACATTTGCTTGGCATTGATGAAGAAATCACTGAGTTAACTAATTTAATCAAACAAAAGTCAACAAGTTTAAATGAATTAAATCTTGAAGTTCAAAAATTAAATCATGAATTAGAGAAATCAACAAGCATAATGACTACCTTACAAGATAAACTTAATGAAATTATTAATCAACATGAATGGATTTTAGATGACAATGTTTTACAAAATTTATTACAACAACATTCAAATATTAATCTTGATGAAAGTAAAGAGCGTTTTAAAATGCTTGAAGATAAATTTCAAAGTATGAGAAGAAAAGTTAATGTAAATATTATGAGTATGATTGATAACGTTGAAAAGAAGGAATCTGCTTTAAAGAATATGGTTAAAACAATTGAAAAGGATAAGAAAAAGATTGTTAATACCGTTGATAAATTAAATGGTTATAAAAGAGATACATTAAATACAACTTACCAAAAAGTTTCAGTTGATTTTGGTGAAATATTTGCTGATTTATTACCTGGATCATTGGCTAAATTAGTACCTGTTAATATGATGGATGTAACCAAAGGTCTTGAAGTTAAAATTAAATTAGGTGAAGTTTGGAAAGAAAGTTTAGTAGAATTATCAGGTGGTCAAAGATCATTAATTGCTTTATCATTAATTATGGCTTTATTGCAATTTAAACCAGCTCCAATGTATATTCTTGATGAAGTTGATGCGGCTTTAGATTTGTCACATACACAAAATATTGGCCATTTAATCAAAACAAGATTTAAAGGATCGCAATTTATAGTTGTATCTCTTAAAGAAGGTATGTTTACAAATGCTAATAGAGTTTTTAGAACAAGATTTCAAGATGGTACCTCAGTTGTTTCAGTTATGTGATAAAACACGTAAAATTATTTATGGAAAAAATAAATAAAGAAAAAAAAAAAAAAAATTTGAATCAATCGTAACTATAAATCATTGCAACATTCGCTATATCTCATATATAAATGTCATCACAGCTAAATTCAATACTGGTGACACCTTATGATTATGAGGATGAAAAGAAATCTAATAGAATACTAGGGAAACCTATTATTGCATCATCAAAAAACGTACTACTTGGTATAATAGCAACATGTATAATTATATTTATTGGATTGTATCAATTTATAAATTCAAATAGTCTTTATGTACCTAAAATAACAAGTCTAGGAGATAATGTACAATTTTTTGATTTAGCAAATTATAAAGGTTCAGCAAATGGTTGGCAATATGATGAAAGAGTATTATTCTGTGTACCATTAAGAGATGCAGCAGCTCATTTACCAATGTTTTTCAATCATATGAAACAATTGACGTATCCTCATAATCTAATTGATTTAGCATTTTTAGTTTCAGATTCTTCAGATGATACAATGGGAGAATTAAAAAGGCATTTAGTTGAAATTCAACAAGACTCAAATCCAGAAATGAGATTTGGTGAAATTGAAATATTTGAAAAAGATTTTGGTCAAATTATAGGTCAAAGTTTTAGTGATAGACATGGATTTGCAGCACAAGGTCCAAGAAGAAAATTAATGGCTAGAGCAAGAAATTGGTTATGGTCAGTTGCATTAAAACCACATCATTCATTTGTTTATTGGAGAGATGCTGATGTTGAAACTGTTCCTGAAACTATTTTAGAAGATTTAATGCATCATGATAAAGATGTTATAGTTCCAAATGTTTGGAGACCATTACCTGACTGGTTAGGTAATCAACAACCATATGATTTAAATTCCTGGCAAGAAAGTGATGGTGGTTTACAATTGGCTGATGCATTAGATGAAGATGCTTGTATAGTTGAAGGTTATGTTGAATATCAAACTTGGAGACCTCATTTAGCATATTTAAGAGATCCATATGGAGATCCAGAAGTTGAAATGGATTTGGATGGTATAGGAGGTGTTTCAATTTTAACAAAAGCAAAAGTTTTCCGTACTGGATCTCATTTCCCAGCTTTTTCATTTGAAAAACATGCAGAAACTGAAGCATTTGGAAAATTAAGTAAAAAAATGGGTTATTCAGTTGTTGGATTACCTCATTATGTTATATGGCATATTTATGAACCTTCATCAGATGATTTAAAACATATGGAATGGATGGCTTCTGAAGAAGTTAGACAACAAGAAGAAGCTAAAATTAAAAAAGTTTATGATAAAGTTTGGAATAAAGGTTTTGAAGATGTTCAAGATGATTGGAAATTGGAGAAGTCGAAATTTTTAAAGAATACTGATATGCTGAAATATAGAAAAATTCATGTAGATTGGTCTGGTAGTGATGATTGGAGTATAGATCAAAATGAGAAGGAGGATAAAAAATTGGCAGATTTTAATCCATAATGAATATAGATTTTTACGTAATAAATTAAAATCTCTATATAACTAGATTTTAATCCATAATGAATATAGATTTTACGTAATAAATTAGAATCTCTATATAACTTGGTGACGATGTAAATTACTAATAACAATTCTGAAATAGGTCAAATTCTTATCAAATTTGGAGATTTACCCACGTTCAATAGGTGACAAACCAGTTGATATGGTGATATTAATATTAACTTTTTTAAATTTATAATACTTCAAACCATGCAGTCTAGGAGAAATTGTATGAGAGAATAATTTCATTATCTAAGAGGCTACTTACTATCTATTTTCTTCTAAAGACATACCGTATAATAATATAGGATGAATCAGTTACATATCTGATCAACCTGAATGTAAAATACCATAATCTTTGTAACAGATTGAGTTTGATATAATCAAATATTTTTTTTTTCTAATGTTTTATACTTGAAACATTTTTATTACACAATCACCATCTTACGAATTATATTGTTGAATAATAACAATACAGAAAAAAGGAGGCGTCAGATTGATTAAATTGTCTCTAATTACGATCTCAATCAAATTATATCGGAGATCAACATTTCATTCAAAATTTAGATCATAATTTCAAATTATTAATACATTTCAAATTGTAAAAATGAAATGTAGAGAAGATTATTATTATCTATGATTGCAACCTAACTTAAGTTGATAAATCATCTCAACAAATTTTTATAACCAACAAAATGTCTCCTTATATGAATTTTCTACAACCACTCATAATAGAAATGGGCATTACTCAAATCAAATCGATCAAATCGATCGTTCTTTTCTTTTCTAATTTGTAATTGGAATCAGTTGATCAAACAACCTTTGATTGTCTTTGATTGATTCACATTTTTAGAGTTTTATTGACACGAATTTTCATTTTTGTGAATTTGTTATCGTTTTAGAATATTATTTTTCTTGATGGTTATGAAGAAAACTTTTCTACATAAAATTAAACTTTTTAAATTGCTTGCTGTTTGTTTTGTTCTAGGATTGTTATTTCTACCTCCCTAAATTGTTTAAGGTTTGATTTAATCCAATCATGTTCCATAGATTTATACTCGTGGTGGTAGAATTTGTATGCACACTTGAAGTATTTTTGAATCTATTTTTAACGCCATTTAGTGAAACGAGCATGGAAAAAAAAAATCTGATTCAATTTCAATTTCAATTTCAATTTCAATTTCAATGCTACCATTAATAAGATCTTCTATGATGCTGGTTACAATATCTAAGCAGAGGTCTAATAATAGTATAGTTGATTGAAGTTTATTTGAGAATCTTAGTTTTATGTTGTAAAATTTAAATTTAAAGGAACATAAGCTTTTTATATTTTGGTATCAACACGAATTTATTTTAGATTGTGTAATGAAATTCAGGTTTAATTTTCTTAAAGCACCAATCACCAAGATATGGAACGGCAATTTTTAAGCAATTGGTGTAGATTTGTTGGCCCTTTGATATTGAAGTGTTTGCATAAATATTGTTTTTTATGAAAACGATGGTACATAATAATCTGATCAAATCTGAAAATAAACTTTTTCTTCTAATGTAATTTGTATTATTTGTTTATTTATGTAAAATGGATTAAAACTTAATTGTTGTTGGTAACATAACCATCTTATTTACAAAAATCCAATTTTATAGGTTGCAAATTTATTTACTTATATATATCAGGATTTCCAAAATTAATATTCCTTCTTTTTTTTCAAAACAATTTGCAACCATTTACATTCGCTTAATATAAAAAATGAAATTCTCATCAATAATCGCTGTAGGTTCAGCTTTAATTTCAACTGCTTTTGCTCAAGATGTTGGTTGTTTTGTTAACGGTAATCAAGTTGCCGTTGTTGATTTAGATACTGGTTCATGTCCATTTACCATTCCAGCAAATTTACCAGTTCCAACTTTTAGATTTGTTGATGAAAATGATTATACTGTTCAATTCTATTACTCAGTTTTTGACGCAATTAGATATTTCACTGATATTGTCAATGCTGGTAATGTCATTTCAATTCCAGCTAATTTATTATACAATGGTCCAGCTTTACCATTATTCAGTGTTGCCGCTGAAGAAACCCCTGCTTCAAATTCAACTGCTGCTTTAAGAAAAAGATTTTTGAAGGATACTCCATTAATTAAAAGAGAAACCGTTGATGAATTCGTCGCTGGGTTAAGAGAATTAAATGGTACTTTAATTGATTCAGGTTCAACTTTTGAAGTTAGAGATCCAATTGTTTCTGCATCACCAAGTGTTTCTGCATCACCAACTTTAACTATTCAAACTACAACCATTACCACAGTAACCACTTGTTCAACTGGAACTGGTTTAGCAACAATTACAGCCGTTCCATCAGTAGTTACAACCACCGTAAGTGGAGTTGAAACCGTTTACACAACATGGTGTCCAATCACAACTGATTCAGAAGGTCATACTTATACTTTAGCTCCAGAACATGGTCAAGGTGAAGTTACTTCAAAAGGTGGTGCTGGTCCAGCTACTGTTACAGAACAAGAAACTACAATTATTACAATTACTTCATGTCATGAAGATAAATGCCATCAAACTACTGTTCCAGCAACTAAATCATTAGGTACCACAACTGTTAGAGGTGTTGAAACTGTTTATACTACTTGGTGTCCAGTTACAACCACTGAAGGTGAAGAGAAACCAGTTTCTACTCCAGCTGCTTCAAAACCTGCTTCAAGTGCTCCAGCTGCTTCAAGTGCTCCAGTTGCTGAACAAGTAACCACTGTTACTGTTACTAAACCAGTTTCAACTTCAGTTCATTCACAAGGAACTGAAGCATCAACTTCAATTTTCTACACAACTGTTACTTCAATTGTTTCAGCTGCGTCAGCTCCAGGTGCTTCAGCTCCAGCTGGTTCAGCTCCAGGTGCTTCAGCTCCAACCGTCGCAGCTCAATCAGGAACTCCAGTAACTCAATCTTCAGTTCCACAACCAACTGTTGCTGCTCAATCACAACCACCAGCTTCAGCAGTTCCATCAACTGCTGCTATCAGTACCTATGAAGGTAATGCCGCTAAATACGGTGCTAGTTTCTTAGCTGTTGCTTTAATTCCATTAGCTTTAATCTAATTTTAATGAAAAATCTATTTCGGTTTATTTATTCAATAAAATTAAAATCCTTAAAAAAAAAAATAGAGTAACATTGTTCTCGAAATTTCATAATCATTTGTTATTATTTTTTGATACCCCCTTTGAATTAGGTTTACTATTATTATTTTCTTGTATTATTAAAATGGTTTCTTTGGAACTTTCGGTTTTTCCGTACACTTTAAATTTATAATTTAAGTTTAAAATATTTCGATCAACTCTTTGATTTTTCACATCTATATTTTTTGTTGCTTTAAATAAGGAGTATGATCCAGTCTTCTCAAATGTTCATTATTTCATCAGTTTTGTGCAGCCAAATGAACTTGGTAGCATTTAGATAATAAAATCTTATATGCAGTCCTCTCGTGGTTAAACATGAAATTAAGCTTCGTTTTTTGGAAACCCTACTCCGAAACAATCATCTATATGGTTATCAAGTGAAAGTAGAGCAAATTTTAGAAATCCAAATATATTGTTTAGTGAATGAATAGCTGACTATACAAAAGTTGGAAATTAATACAAAGAATAACAGAACGTGAATCATTTAAATCGGAGTTATGTAACTCTGTCAGTATCCAAGTAATTATTCTCAAACTAGCTTTACCAAACCGTCGGTACATTTGAAACACACTGATGTTAGTATCCGCTGGTTAAACAAACATTTGATGACTTTATTCATCGTTTAAAAAGTAGAAAAAATCGTTATTTTGCAAGATAAAGAACCCTTAAACCTTGTATAGCAGCTTCAAAAATAGTTGATTCAGTTCATTACAACTCAAGAATCTTAATGACACAGTTCTCAAGATGCAAAAATCATTTTGAATTTTTTTTAAAAATTTCAAATCTTTTTCGAAGAATTATTATTCCAATTTTGAATACCTTAACACAAAAATATTCAAGGTTTATTAAAATATAGAGCTACAAAATCGGATAGTTTTATCATGCTTAATCTTGAACATTTAGTGCGGAGTCAGTTTTTCTGTAAGGTCAATTTATTCACTTTTCCCCGTACTTAAGAGAAAATGGTGAAATTTTTCGATTTTAATTGAGAGCCGCTGGAATCAGTTGCAGCATCTCTGATTGTGCAGTACTTTATATAATCAATTGTTTACTTAAAGATTTTGGGCCTAAATAAAAAGATTTACACATTTTTTGAAAAATTTTTGTATGATGAAAAAAGCCCAAAATGACAACTCAAAAAAAAATAATCTTTTAAATTCAACATTTCAAATGTGAACAATGTATTATATGAGACTCCTGATTTCATATAATTGGTTTTTACCTCGAGTAAAAGCGTTGTTCCCGATATACAAGCTAAGATGTGTGGTACGATGTCGTCCCAAGAATAGCGCGAGAGTTTACATTGTTGTATCAATAAAAATATGGGAGCTAATGGGCATCTACAAAACCAGCAGTTACGCCAGCTCTCGCCTTATGTGAAATATTTTTTGGTCGTGCTCTCGTTTCACTTCGTTTGAAAATTTGTAAAAAAAATAAAAAGATATTTTTAATTTAAGGCAAAAGTTAGTACGAAGAACAAGAATCTACTCGATATGTTTGTACGATGAAAAATACGATGGTCGCATTGTCGAACGAGCTAATACCGCAAAATATGGATTTGAGAAAAGCGTGTGTATCGGCTAAATCGTGAGGATCTGAAAAAAGTTATTTACGAAAAAATTAAGGCACGGTATTATTTGTTTCAAGATTAAAATATTTCCTAATTAGTTCTTCAAAGGGAATTTTGTAACAGAATGGAATTTAGAGATACTTTTTAGCATGCTCATTTATTAATTTATTATGATTGGTGCATTAAGAGTATTTATATTTATTGTGACAATTATTATTATCAACGTATATTATCCTCCAATCCTAAAGATATTCAATACATTTCAAAGATTCCAAAATTGTTTCAACACAATTCATTGCCCAACTATTGGTATAAAATTTTATAATCATGCAAGGAGAAAAATTTTTGTATCAATTTAATGCACGAAGTCTTGTTTCAAGAATTTTATGTGATCAATTGTGCAATAAGTAATTAATCATGTCGAAAGTTACATTTAAATCTAGACTGTTAATTCAAAAGTTACGGAATGCTGAAGCATACATTTGTTTCATGTTTATTTTTAGAAACATTTTTTGAATGGTATAAATAGCCAGGTATTATTCAGTTTTGAACTGTTAATTATCATTCATTATTCAAATGCAGTACAAAATTTTTGCTTTACTAGCTACATTAGTGGTAGTAAATGCTATTCAACAAACTTCAAAAACTATTGTCACAATTCAAGATGGTACCACTTCATATACAACGAATTGTCCTTTAGCGGAATCAAATTTGTCAAATTGTTATGAAAGTTATATCACTGATGATAAAGGTTATTGTTCCACAACTACAATTTGCTCAACAGATGGTGAAACTAAGTCTGATTCTTCTTCATTTTTTGATTTATCAAGTATTTATAATTATGATTTAACTACTTCAATACCAGAAACAAAAACTACTACATTAACATTGGGGGATTCTACAAGTATCATCAATTTTACTGAAGATATTACCAAGATTATAACAATTACATCATGTTCAGAGGATAAGTGTCATACAATTACAGTTCCAGGAAGTTTATCGTTCAGCACAGCAACTATTAGTTCGATTGAAACAATTTATACAACATATTGTCCATTAACTGATGTTACATTGAGTGAATCAATAAGTCAAACAAGTGATAGTTCATCATCAGTTATTACTTCTAGCTCAATTTTGTCGTCTGGTGATATATCTAGTTCATCGAGTTCAGAATTTATTAGTTCATATGTTTCAAGAACCTCGATTTTGTCTACTTTTGTTAGTGAAAGCTCATCATTACAATTATCATCAACAACTTCACTTGAATCTACAACTGAATCTTCATCAATATCTTCATTAGAGAGCTCATCGCAACCTTCAGAATCTTCATCAGATATTTCACATTTTTCATCACAAACTTCATTGGATTCTATCACAAGTGACCACTCAATTACTTCAATTCCAGATACAAAAACCACAACATTCACAATGGGAGATTCTACAAGTATCATCACTTTCACCGAAGAAGTTTCCAAAGTTATAACAATTACATCATGTAGTGAAGACAAATGTCATACAACAACAATTCCAGGAAGTTTATCATTTGCTACAACCACGATCAGCTCAATTGAAACAATTTACACAACGTATTGTCCAGTAACTGATGTTACATCGAGTGAATCAATAAGTCAAACAAGTGATAGTTCATCATCAGTTATTACTTCCAGCTCAATTTTGTCGTCTGGTGATTTATCTAGTTCATCAAGTTCAGAATTTATTAGTTCATATGTTTCAAGAACCTCGATTTTGTCTACTTTTGTTAGTGAAAGCTCATCATTACAATTATCATCAACAACTTCACTTGAATCTACAACTGAATCTTCATCAATATCTTCATTAGAGAGCTCATCGCAACCTTCAGAATCTTCATCAGATATTTCACATTTTTCATCACAAACTTCATTGGATTCTATCACAAGTGACCACTCAATTACTTCAATTCCAGATACAAAAACCACAACATTCACAATGGGAGATTCTACAAGTATCTTCACTTTCACCGAAGAAGTTTCCAAAGTTATAACAATTACATCATGTAGTGAAGACAAATGTCATACAACAACAATTCCAGGAAGTTTATCATTTGCTACAACCACGATCAGCTCAATTGAAACAATTTACACAACGTATTGTCCAGTAACTGATGTTACATCGAGTGAATCAATAAGTCAAACAAGTGATAGTTCATCATCAGTTATTACTTCCAGCTCAATTTTGTCGTCTGGTGATTTATCTAGCTCATCAAGTTCAGAATTTATTAGTTCATATGTTTCAAGAACCTCAATTTTGTCGACTTTTGTTAGTGCAAGTTCATCATCTGAGCTGTCATCATTTGAACTGTCATCAGAGACTTCATTTGAATCCACTACAGAATATTCTTCAGAATCATCGCAAATTTCATCACAATCATCACAAACCTCATCACAATCAGTACAAACCACATCACAATCATCACAATCGTCACAAACTTTATCACAAACCTCATCACAATTATCAGATTCCACAGCGTCAAATTCTTCAATTACTTCAATTCCAGAAACAAAAACTACAACATTAACATGGAGAGATTCTTCCAGTATACTTACATTTACAAATGAAATTACAAAAATAATTACCATAACATCATGTTTTGAAGATAAATGTCATACGACTACTGTTCCCGGAAGTTTATCATTCAGCACAGCAACAATAAGCTCAATTGAAACAATTTATACAACATATTGTCCATTAACTGATGTTACCTCAAGCACATCAGAATCAAGTTTACTTTCATCATCATTACCAAATTTATCCGATACTTTATCAACAGAATCAGAAACTCAAAAATCATCATCATATTCATCTGAAATAACTAGCTCATCATCTGTTAGCTCGATTACAGCTAGTGACTCAATATCATCTTCAACAACTATGTCTTCAATTTCAAGCACTACAGCCGTTTTAAGTTCAGAGATCAGTTTATCATCTTCAAGTCTAACAACTACAAATTCTGAAAGCGCAATTAGTTCTTCAATTTTATCAAATGTTGAAAGTAAATCCAGCTCAGTTGAATCATATTCAGGATCAGCAATTCTGAGCTCAAGCTCTTCATCAGTTGAAATTACTTCATATACAGAATCTACAACTTCATCATCAAGTGAATTATCTCCTTTATCATCATCAACTTCAGTATTAACAAGTTTAAATTCAGGTTCACCATCAACTTCAGTATTAGCAAGTTTAAATTCAGGTTCATCATCAATAAATGAATCATCATCAAATGGAGTAACAACCTCAATTGCAACATCAACATGTATTGAAGATAAATGTCATTCTACAACTATACCAGTCAGTGTTTCTTTATCAACTTCATATAATCAAGGATCAATAGCCACGATATATACTACTTATTGTCCATTGACAGAAACAAAAAAACTAGAAGATACTACAATAACAAGCACCGTTGCAACTACAATGACTTCATGCTCAAATGGAGTTTGTTCAACATTAAGTTCAATTGAATCAACATTCATAACGATAAGTTCATCGATGAACAATACTACAACTGCTCAAGTTTCAACATTTGAAGGAATGGGAAATGTTCATACCTATTCAATTTCATTATTATTAGCTATTTTAGCTTATTTTGTTTAGTTTAAATAAATATATTGTGTTTTAGATCTGCATATAAATATGCCATATGAAGATGCGCATGATGAAAATAGTGAAAATTTTATCAATTATGGTATACTTCTTTTATTGTATGTTTTAAAATTGATTATGGTTTATTTTATATGATTAATTTATACATGCGTTATCGTCATGATTATTGCCATTTTTAACAATGTCTTCGGCTTTAATATGAAATCAACTAACACTTAAATGAGAAAATGAATCAAGAAAATATTTAAAATAACTTACTAACTAAAATAGATTCAAAGAGCAATGTTTTAAGTAATTGAATTAACTAAATAGATTCATGATTAATCTATTAGTCAATTGAATTTTCAAAGTACAATTATTGAGCCAAAACTCTTTTGAAGAATATATGAAATTTGCGAAAGTGTTAATATGACACACTATATATGCATATATTCACCTTCTTAAGCTATTAACCCAATTTTGAGATAAATGAATCTTTTGAATATCAATAGTCTCAATTTCATCTTCATTATCTTCTGGATTAACAATTCCATTTAATAAGCCAGTATTAAAATTTGCCAATTCGTTATCAATTTTATTAGTTTCTTTATTTACATTACTTGCTCTTTGTTCAATATAAACTTGATCTTTTTGACTAATTTCAACTTTATGTAACGGAGGTAAACTTGACATTATGAACACATACCAATTTTCAATAGTTGAAAACCAATCATTTAAATTATTAGGTCTATCAATTAAGTAAAAGAACTTGTTTAAAAATGAAGTATCTTGGTGTTTTGTAAAAAATGATGAATAATCATTATCAACTTCCATATTATCATCATTATTAGGGGAATTTAAAGAATCTAAAGATTTCAAATTATAATATATCTGTTTTGGAGTTATTGAAAGAGGTAATTCATTTCTTTCCTTATTGTAGATTACTTTATTTATGAAATCAATTTTAATTTTATCTAATTTACCAGATAAGATTAATTTAGTTAATAATTTCTCAAATTCGTTATCTTCAAATTGTAAGATTTTTTGTAAATAATCGAATTTCAAACTTGAGTATGCCTTAATATGATATAATAATAATTTTGTTTTTAAATTATTTAAAATCTTCTTTGATGCATAAATAAAAATATCATCTTTAAAAAAAGGATCATCTTGATTCAAAATATAATTAATTTCATTTAAATCTAAATTATGATATGCTTTAATTAATAATTTCAAATTTTCAAAATCTGAAGATTGGGCATAAGTTTGAGTTTCTTGTGATTCAAATGGATCTAATTCATTTTCACTTAATAATGAAACCAAAGCCAAGTATTTTAAAAGTTTATTTTTTAAAGGAGATCCAGCTTCATCATAACTTTTAAAAGATTCATAAAATTCTAATCTTGATTTTTCAAAATTATCTCTATAAAAATGAACTTTACCACCACATTCTCGAATTATACCTAAAATTTTTGGATGTGTAACTGCGGTAGTAATTTTAAGACTCATTCGATATAGTTGATTCATTCTAGGTAAATTTAATACTTTAATTCTTGAATAATAATCAATTTCAGCAGCTATAATTTCCAATGTGAAGGATTTTTGTATTGATTCAGGACAATTTTTCAATTTTTCAAAAATTTGTGATAATAATCCTGGAACTTTATCGTAGTTAGTTTCATGATCCAAATAAAAATTTAATAAATTTGAATTGATTTTTAACCATAATCTATCACTATTTAATTCTGATTGATTTAATAAAATTTGATAAAAATTTGAAATAAATGCTAAATCAGGAACATTTGAATATCGTATAATCATTTTATTAATTGATTCTTCAACGTATGATTTTTGTAATTTTGAAATTAAGGAAAGGAGTTGTTTTAATAATGTTAATATTTCATTAAAATTAGATAATTTAAATTGTAATTTCATCAACTGTTTATATGATTTAAAAATCCATATAGTTTCTTCTGTGGTATAATTTGAAGTTGTTATATTCATAAATTGATCAACTGCAGTTTTGGTGTCATCATCTTTACTACTTTTAGCTTGATAATATTTATTTTCCTAACATGTTATTAGTATTTACCTCGGGATTGAAAAATTGTTGATACTTACAATTGATTCATCTTCATTTTGTTCTGATTGATCATTAGCATCATCTGCATCTCCATCTTCTTCTTCAAACTCAAATTCATATGATTCTTCTGAATAAAATTCTTCGTCAGACATTAAATCTAATTAATTAATGTATCTCGTAATAAATTAATTTTAAATTTTGATTCAGAAATAACCAAATCAGTCACGTGATAAATTTTTGTAGGATAAGAAGAATTAAAGTTTTAAAGTTAATCTTTGAAAGTAGGATATCTCAATGCTGTTGATATAGGTTATTGAGAGGTATCTTGATAGCAATTGGAAAAGTTCGAGGCAGTTGAAACGTCCTCAAATATGTTCTAAACTTTTGAGCGAATTAGTTTACACTATAATTAACATTAACCGACTTCAAACACTTTAAAAAGCTGTTAAGATCCTTACACATTTTTTATGAGCAAGAACCATATTCATAGTTTAATTACACGTGAAAATCTCATGCTATTATAGCTCAGAATACGTTTGAACCTTATGAAAAATTTTCAGCAAATACGATTTGGCATAGTTTGTCTGAAAGTACTAATACCATTCCGATGTAGTGTAACGGCTATCACGGTTCGCTTTCACCGAGCAGACCGGGGTTCGACTCCCCGCATTGGAGTTTTTTTTTTGACAACCATTTTCTAGATTTTGCAACAAAAACAACTTAAACTTAAACACATCTAATTCAAAAGACTCCTTGCTAAGTCAACACGTTTATTTTTTATTTGAAAACACCTTTTCAGCTCGTTGCCAGTGTAGAATTCACAATTTCAAAAAAGTATCCATTTTGTTTAAATTTTACTAAAATTTGACTGAATATTGACGATATTAGCGTCAGTCTCGAAATAATTAATTTAATAATAAGCTTTATAATGTAATTTAATAGATCTACAAGTTACAAAGAATGTCAAGAGTGTCAAGAGTGTCAAGATTGTCAAGATTGTACACGTAAATGTATTAGCTGCCTTTCGTATTTTTCTTAGCTTCATAAGAATTTTACATATTTCAATTCATCGCTTAAACTAGCCGTTAGATCCACCAGGCGCAATAACCAAAATAGAAATTAAAAACATTCTGTGCATTTACGGAATTTAGAATCTAGGTCCATCTGAATATGATTTTTTTCAAATAGATAGAATAAACATATATTAAAATCTGCACCTACAAATTCCCCCATTTAATTAATTGAATAATTATAATACAAATTATCAATAATATAATAATAAAAATGTTTATATGGTAAATTGAAAATCTCGGTAGTAGTAAACCCATTTTTGTACCTTCTTCTTTATTGTTATTTTTTACATCATCGAATGATTTAGTTTCAGATGGTTTATTATTATTTATTTCACCCAATATATAAGGATTTAACATTGTTAATGCATAATCTGAATGACCTACATCTCTGAAAGCTTCAGTTGCATCTTGACCACCACAATCAATTAAAACTTCAACACCACCAGGATGTTGATGACAAAATTTAGTAACGTCATAAACTTTATCATGTATAATCATCCACAAATCAGTTGGTTTATTATGTTTTTGAACTTCATTTAAGGTAATTATTCGAAGTGGGATGGCAGCCATATTAAAAAGTTAAATGGGGATTGGAATGGAATATGTCTCTCTAATACTGTCTGGTTTATATATTTCGACGATAAATCATATAAATGTGCCTAGTACCTTGTTTATATAGTGAATGAATATGGGAATGAGTAATAAAAGAAAGCAATGAATAGATTGATACGAATGAATGTATTTCGTAATGAGTTTCAAATATAAACCACTTCAATTGTTTTTTTTTCTATTATCTATTTTTAACCATGAATGATTACGTAATATACAACACGTTCTTACATAATATCGATTGGCTACTTTTTTTTTTTTTTTTGTTGATTTCTGATATTTCTTTTTCTTTTTTTTACCAAGGTGTTGTTGATAAAGCAAATATTTTGTATTACACTATTAGTTTATTCACAGTCATTCTTTCACATTTATGAGTTATAGATCATCTTCAACTACCTCTGCATTAGCATCATCTCAAAAAGTTCATCTGGAAAGACATAAACAAATTTTAAAACAATTATTAAAAGAAGATGCAAATAAATTATGTTGTGATTGTAAATTAAGTAAAAATCCAAGATGGGCTTCTTGGAGTTTAGGTTGTTTTATATGTATTAGATGCTCTGGAATTCATAGATCTATGGGAACTCATATTTCAAAAGTCAAATCGGTTGATTTAGATGCTTGGACAGATGATCAAATTGAAAATATGATTAAATGGGGTAATGAAAATTGTAATTTATATTGGGAAGATAAATTACCTGATGGTTATATACCTGATCAAGGTAAAATTGAAAATTTTATTAGAACAAAATATGATTTAAAAAAATGGACAAGTTCAAAAACGGTACCTGATCCATTAACATTAAAAAAGAAAGCTACTAGTACAACTACAACAACCACCAAACCAACTAAGAAGTCAAACTTATTAGATGATGATTTTGGATCTTTTACATCAACTAAGGAAACACCACCACCACCACCAAGTAAAAGAACACATTCATTTCCATCTACTCCACAACCTCAGTCACAACAAATTCCAATACAACAACCCCCAATTAATCAAATTCAATCTGCTCAATCTACAGGTGGAAGTATTAATAGTAATAATAGACCAGATTTAAAAAAATCAATTCTTTCATTATATGCATCACCATCTTCATCAAATAGTTTTATACAACAACAACAACAGCAACAACAGCAACAACGGCAACAATCAAATCAACAAGTAAACCATTTGTCAGGATCATTGGCTGGTTTGAACTTTAATTCATCACCCAGTTTATCAAATACAAACCCAAGTTCATCAAATTCATTAAATAGATCGAATAATTCATGGAATAATGAATGGACTGGATCTCAGCAGTCATTAAAATCATCAACTAATAATATTAATGTAAATGGAATAGATGATGATTTATTCAAAAATGTATGGAACTAAAAATAAATATACGAATTTAATTTATACGAGAATCTTTTTTTTGTTTTTTTTTTAAGTTTTTGGTGCGGCTAAATCTCGCTTAGGGTTCCTAAAGTAGATATTTCAGATTTACCACTTATCATTTATCTATTATTATATTACAAAATCTAAAACTTCTAATGATCAGCAGTAGCTAGTAACCCAACATAAACTTCAAGTGCATCCTTACATGCAGTTAAGCTTTTCTTGCGTCCCTTACATGTTCTAATGTCCACCGGTAGTTGGTAAACCAACATAAAGTTTAAAAGAATCGTAAATTAACCATTGGAAACCTGTTAATGTACCAATCATAACAATTCTAACTGGTAAACCATTCCATAAACCAGCAAAACCAATTTGTTTATAAATTCTACTTAATGCTTGACCAGTAGATTCACTAGCTTTTTTATCTGAATTAATTTTTGAAACCATAACATCAGCAGGATGAGAAACAACAGCACAAAATATACCAGCAATATAACCACCTAAAAATGAAACACCAGTTTGTTCTAAAGTTGAATATGACTGTTTTGGTTTACCTAAAAATATATAAATTCTTTCAACTATATTTTCAAAAGAAGCAAATTTAACCATTGTATAAGGAATTTGTCTACACCATAAAGGAACTAAACCTTTATATAATCCACCAAAACCTTCTTTTGAAACAATTTTTTGCCAACCATCCCATACTGAATTTGCATATGGTGGAATAGTAGTTTGAGTTTTAACTTTTATTGTTTCCCATGGACATAATGCAATATCAGCTAAAAATTCAGCAGAAGCAGAAGCAGCTAAAAATACACCAGTTTTATAATCATGGGCAATTTTTGGACCAACTAAATCTGAATAAGTTTTTTTAAAAAATTCATAAAAACCATATTTACCGGCACCTTGGAAAGAATAACCAATAAAAGTAGCACCAATACCAGTAAAAATTGAATCACCTTGAGTTCTTAAAATAGTTTTCCAACCTTGCATATTTGATTTATATAAATGACCATCAACTTGACGTCTACATTTAACTAAATCTAAAGGAGTTACAGCAGAATGAGTTGGTCCACAAGCAACCATACCTCCTATAGTACAAGCAGCATAATATTCTGGAGTGAATTCAATAATACTTGGTTTTTTAGGCGCAGAACTTGAACTTGAGCCTGAACTTGAACCTGAACTTGAGCCTGAACCACCAGTAATTTTTTTTAATTGATCATTAATTGGTTGTGTTATTGAATCAGCTAAATTACCAGCCATGATTTATATAATTGAATAGATATAACTTAAATTTGTTTATAAGAAAAAGAATCGATAAAGAGTGAAATTTAGTTTATATATATATTGCTATTGTTGCTGAAATTTCGATTACATAGGTCGAAACAATGGACCGAAATTTATTATTTTATCTAAATTTATATCCACTAATGCCGACCAGATGATTAAAAAGCTTAAATTAAAGAGATATAGTAGTTAACTGGTACATTGAGTCATTAGATTATACAAGAGTATAAATACGTGACTAAATGTCTTATAGTCTTGAACTGAGTAGATTCATTACTGTTTTTTTATTTTGGTTATCTTTTGGTTATCTTTTGGTTATCTTTTGGTACCAGATCGTATAAATTTTGGATCGAGAATTTATTTTTGCAACTCCGGAAATAAAATAAATGGCTGCAAGTTTTAACAAGATTTTGCAATTGTTATCTCAGAACGATATCAGGTACCATTTTAATGTATAGAATATATATAATTTCAGTCAGAAAACATATTGGTTTTTGAAAAGTGGGGGGATCAGCAGTTTTACAAATGTTGGCTACACCAACTCATTCTGAAGTGTTCCTGGAAAGTTAGACCGGTCAATAAGATAGAGCTTGGAAGCTTCAACTTGAAGGTTTGTATTATTTGAAACGTTGACTAGTATAACGATTGCAAGCACACATAAATAGGATCAAAAGAAAAAGCTCATCAAAATAACCACATCATTAATTATATTTCATCACTTGATTATTTATCGTAATTAAACCAATTTTAAACTTCCTCCTCCATCAGTCTTCCCTAGGCTCAACTTCTTGAAATTTCCCATTTTACTTCAGTAATTGAAACTTCTTCATTATTTTTATCATCAACATCATACCATTCACCTTCATCAATTTCAATATCATTAAATTTAGTATTTGTATCTAATCCAACAGCTTTAAATAAACCCAATGGTATAAATTGTTGAAAATCAATTCCTCTAGCATCTATTTCTAATATTGGTATCCATTTTTTATCTTCAATTGTAAACACATTTTTTGTTCTTTCTATAGTTGCAGACAGTTCATTTTTACATTCTTTACATCTAAATACAAACGAAGCATCACCTCTTGAACCTGATATTTCATGTTTTTCAAATCTATTTATGGATATATTTTTATCATGCGTTGTTCTACATTTAGTACATTCAATTTGAAAAGTGTACTCAAAGGGTGAATCAACAGTATCTACTGGTTCTAAATCTGTAACATTTGATAATTCAGCTTGTAATTTTAATAAGAATTTAACCATGTTTTATACCATTCGCTTACAATTGTCAATTTTTCAGCGGAAAAATAAATTTGATACAATACGAAAAACAATCAAGACAAGACTATAAAGACGGTATTCTAGCTATTCAGTCACTATTTATTCATTATTTATTCATTGCATTAATCATTTCATTAGATGGTAATATTTATTTGTATTAACTAAATTTTTTCCATTTTCCATAGATATCAAAAATTGTGGAACTCGATTTCCAATGACAAATAATCAACCAATAATAATACATGACAGTAACAGGGCTAGAGACTTTTCAGATATAGTACAAGGAGAAGATTTAGAGTTTAGAAATTCAAATAATGAAACTTTCCCCATTAATCATAAAATTGACCATTTAGGTCGAATAAATCCGCCACCTATATTATCCCACCTATCTACAAATCAATTAATAACAATAGCAGGAGCAGCATCTGGATTTTTAGCAGGTGTTGTAGTGTGTCCCTTAGATGTAGTGAAAACAAAATTACAAGCCCAGGGGTTAAAAAATGGTAAGTATCGTGGATTAGTACATACTTTCACTATGATTTTAAAAGAAGAAGGTATACGAGGATTATATCGTGGTTTAATACCAATCACAATTGGTTATTTACCTACTTGGACAATTTATTTCACGGTTTATGAAAGATCAAAACGATTTTATCCAAACTTTCTAAAATCAGAATTTAATATAATTAATCCGTCAGTTATACATTTTTTTTCTGCATTGACTGCTGGTATGGCGAGTTCAATTGCAGTTAATCCTATCTGGGTAGTTAAAACTAGATTAATGGTGCAGAATAAGCAACAAAAACATAAATATAGTGGAACAATAGATGCATTTAAAAAAATGTATAAACATGAAGGTATTAAAGTGTTTTATAGTGGGTTAGTACCTTCATTATTTGGTTTGTTACATGTTGGTATACATTTCCCAGCTTATGAAAAACTAAAGAAATTATTTCATTGTAACAATCAAAATCAAAATAAACAAGGATTATTATGGAGATTAATTGGAGCTTCTTCAATTTCTAAAATGATAGCAAGTACAATCACTTATCCTCATGAGATTCTAAGAACTAGAATGCAAATAAGAAATGAGAATAATGTTAAAAAATTATCATTTATAAATACAATTAAAAATGTGTATTTTCATGATGGTCTCAAGGGGTTTTACGCTGGTTATTTAACAAATTTGGCAAGAACAGTACCTGCGAGTGCTGTCACATTGGTTAGTTTTGAATATTTTAAGACATATCTATTAGAAATCAGTGGTAAGATTAAAAGAAACTAGTTATTCATGGATTTGTTTCAACTCAACTACCTCAAAAGCATCCTTACGATCCGTACTGAGTGCATCCTTACCCATTCTGACCTATCCTTACCTTTTATAGACTTTTAACGTTTAATGGCACAAAATCGGATTTTTTTTTTTTTTTTTTTTTTTTCGAATTCTGAAACAAATCTAGTTCTAATGAATCTAATAATTATCTATTTGATCTTTATATTACACAATGTATTATCAGAAGAGATCCAACTACCTACAGAATTAAATACCGAGGAATTTGATAAAATTTCATCTTCTAAATTATTATTCGTTGAATTTTATTCACCATATTGTCATCATTGTAAAGAATTTTTTCCAACATGGAAGAAAACATATCAACAATTTAAACTGAATTATCCTGATATAGACATTGAAATGAGACAAGTTAATTGTGTCGAGAATGGTGATTTATGTGACAGGGAAAATATAGCATTTTATCCGAATTTACAACTATATGCTCCAAAAATCGATAAGGAAGGGAAGGTTATAGGTTCGTCCAATGTTGATTCATTCCCTAGAAATTTAGAGAGAAATCCGGATAATATTATTAAATATTTAAAATCATCTTATTCTGAATTTGATAAGAGTGGAATAATGCAAAGTAGCTCAAAGTTAATTGACAAAAATGAGATTATGAATGTTATTGCTGGTGAAATTGATATTCCTCATTTTATTACATTTTTCCCTACTATTCAATCACAATTTGATAATGATAAATATAGATATGTAAATTGTTTGGATTGTGTAATTGGAAAACAAACATGGGATAGATTATCAAATAAAATATTATCAATAATTCAAACTGGTCATTTTATGTGTACTGAAAACCCAACTATCTGTGAGAAGTTAGAAATTGATGTAAAACATAAACCAGCTTTCATAATGTTCTTACCTAAATCAGTTGGATTTATTAGAATAGATTATACAGATCAAATTAACTTGGAGAAAATGAAAAATTGGGCTACTAAATTATATGAAAATACAAGATATGAAGTTGTATCAGCTAGAGGTATAACTGAAATCATGGAATATACAAAAACATTACCACATGAACCTATCCCACAAAATTATCCATTAAAATCTAAAATCACCATAATATATTATTATGATGTAGATGCAATTTCAAAAGAAGATGAAGATATCCTACCTTATATTGTTAAAATATTACAAAAATCTCCATTTAATATCCAATTAGTCAAGGCAAAACATGCGAAAATTGAACAAAATTTAGATATAATGAGTCAAGAATTAATCAAATATATAAATTATGATCCAAATAATCAATATGAATTTGATAAAAACTTAGATGTAGCTTTAAAAATAACATCAAAACCAACTTTATTGGTCTTTAAAGATAATTCATTAATTGCTGATGTTTATCAAAGTTATGCACCGGAAGATATTAGATCACCCGATAAGATTGAATCATTTATAAATGGACAATTTCCACTATATGGAGAATTACTAAATGAATTAATACCATATTACTTCAATGGTGAGAGGAAGATAGTAGTTATATTTATAGACACAACTGATCTTAAGAAATCAGATGAAGAATTGTTCAAGTTATCTTTATCTGCTCATGAGTATTACTATCTTCAAAAGAAACATAATTTTAATGACATACAAAAATTGAGAGAGAAGAAACAGGAAAAAGTAAATAAATTAAAAGAAACGGGTGCTGAAGATTCAAAAATTATACAAGCTTCGAGAAAATACGTACCTCATCATTGGAATGCTAACGAAGTATTATTCACATTTATAGATAAATCAAACACAAAAATAAAAAGGATAAACCCTGATGATTATGAAGTTGGTGATGCTATCGTGCTTGATAATACATACTTATGGAAGACAAATTTAGAAGGAAGTAAATTAAAGAATGATCCAAGAGAATTAAGAGATTTATTAAAAGCATTCTTAGATAGAAAACCAGGTATTACTTTTCATTTACAAAATAGTCCATATTTTGGAATACTTCGTTTTATGGATTTTATTCACCAGTATGGATTTTTTGGATATTTAGTAACAATAATAACCATTTATATATTAACATCAGTCTTATTAAAATTGAGAAGGAAAAGAAGAAGAAGAACAGATGGAATTATTAACTCTTTCATACCTAAAAAAGACTAGATTAATAATGTATATTTAAATATTTAGCTTCATATTCAATAACTTTCTTAAAACTACTATTCAATGGTTTAATATAGAAATCTTTACCTGGAACTCCACCAACTTCACAATAGGCAGGAATAATCATCTTTGACGGAATAATACAATTTGATTTAATTAAACAACATTCATAAATTACACAACCATCATTTAATACACAGCCGTCTTCAATCATGACTCTATTACCAATATTAAGAGATCGAATATCACAATTATTTCCTATAATTACGTAAGCACCAATATTTGAAACACCATTCGATGGTAACCGTATAGTTGAATTCTCTTTTATAATTGAATATTTACCAATCTGAACAGAATCAACTTTGCTAGCTTCTATGTTAACATTATCTAGTATAGTTACATTAGCACCAAGTTTAACATTCTTTATATTTACATTACTATTTCTAGTTTCAGTCCAATTCATTCATTCAACGCGTTTCAAAACAAAAACAAAAAAAATATTCCAATTTTTTTCTATTTTTATCAACACGTATCAGAAATTTATTGGCATGTCTTTATTCAGATTAAATTGTGGGTTTCAAAATTATGACTGGGGTAAAATTGGATCATCATCAGCAGTTGCAAAATTTGCTCAATCATCAGACCCTTCATTAAAAATTGATGAATCAAAGCCGTACGCTGAATTATGGATGGGTACTCATCCAAAAGTACCTTCAAAAGCACCAACCATGAACAACAAAACCCTCAAGGAGTTAACTGAATCAAATCCGGAACAATATTTAGGTAATGATGTCATATCTAAATTTGGTAATGATTTACCATTCTTATTCAAAGTATTATCAATTGAAAAAGTATTATCTATTCAAGCACATCCTGATAAATCACTCGGTGCTCAGTTACATTCTAAAGATCCAAAGAATTATCCTGATGATAATCATAAACCAGAAATGGCAATTGCGGTAACACCATTCGAAGGATTTTGTGGATTTAAACCATTGGATCAATTAAGTAAAACAATGAAGACTATTCCTGAATTATATGAAATTTTGGGTAAAGATTTAGTTGAAGAATTTGTAATTAATGTTAAACCGGACGCTGAAATTGGTTCAGATGAAGATAAGCAAAACAGATACTATTTACAAAAAATTTTTGGAAAATTGATGAATACAAACGAGGAAGAGATAGCTAAATATGCTGAGTCATTAGTTAAACAAGCGGAGACTGAACCTGATAGCTTATCAGCCATCGATTCAAGATTGCCTGAATTAATTTTAAGATTGAATAAACAATTCCCAAATGATATTGGTTTATTCTGTGGTTGTTTATTATTAAATCATGTTCATTTAAATTCAGGAGAAGCTATGTTTTTACAAGCTAAAGATCCACATGCTTATATCAGTGGTGATATTATTGAATGTATGGCAGCTTCAGATAATGTAGTAAGAGCAGGATTTACACCAAAGTTTAAAGATGTAGATACTTTGGTAGATATGTTAACTTATTCATACGACTCAGTCGAGAAACAAAAAATGAAACCCCTCGAATTTGAAAGAACTAGTGGAAATGCAATTGTTAAATTATTTGATCCTCCAATTGCCGAATTTTCAGTATTACAAACCATATTTGAAAAACTGGGTGTTCAAAATTATCAGGGTTTAAATGGTCCTTCTATTATAATTGCAACTGATGGATCTGGATCAATTGAAGTTAAAGGAGAAGATAAAATGGAATTAAAAACTGGTTATGTTTATTTTGTTTCACCTAATGTTGAAATTGAATTAAGTACTGATGAGAAATTGACTACTTATAGGGCATTTGTAGAGTAAGGAGTAAGAAGTATGGAGTAAGGATGCAGTCAGGATGCAATAACAAGGTAAGGATGCAAACAGTATAGTGGAATAGAATTATAAATATATAAATTAACTAGACGGTATAACTTTTATATTTAGTAGGGCGTGTACTTTGCAACATTTTTTCCCTTTCAATTTTTTTGAAAATCACCAACCCACAAAATTTCAATTTATTGTCCAATTGATCAACAAAAGGGAAAAGAATAAAACTACCAGCATTTGAAGAATTGAAGTACCATGTCAGAAGAAAATAATAACAGAAAGGAAAGAGTTCCAGAAACAGAGGAAGAAAAGCAAGAAAGATTAGCAAAACAAGAAGAAATTGACCTGAGATCAATTTACGTTGGTAATGTAGATTATCAATCAACACCAGAACAATTGGAAGAATTTTTCCATATTGTTGGTGTTATTGAAAGAGTTACTATTTTATTTGATAGATTTTCTGGATTACCTAAAGGTTATGCATATGTTGAATTTGAAAAACCGGAAAGTGTAAATAAAGCAATTGAAGAATTACATGGTAAATCATTTAGAGGTAGAGATATTAGAGTTAGTGCTAAAAGAACAAATGTTCCTGGATTTAGAAAAAGTGGTGGTAGAGGTGGTAGAGGAAGAGGTAATTTTAGAGGTAGAGGTGGAAGAGGTAGAGGTTCATTTAGGGGAAGAGGAAGAGGTGGAAGAGGTGGTAGAAATAATAATGAAGAAGATGCTCTTACTACTACTGCTGAAACAACTGAATAAGTTTTGGTTGTTGAATGAATATATATAAATATGTGTATCGTATATAATTTTTTTTTTCTTTATCAAGATCAATCTCATCGCAGTATAATTTGTATTACCTTGGGTTATTGAATTAGACATCTTAGAAGTTATAAAGTCTACGTATTGATAGTTCAGTTTACAGTTCTTTGACATCCTTACATTTATTAATTTATACTTGCATCATCCTGACTTTTTTGCATTTTTACAATGGTTTCAGTTCGTAAAAGAAAAATGGCTAGATCTTCAATCAAGAAGAATACAAGAAGAGTCAAAGATAAACAAAGAAATATAAATATTCATTCAAATCCAATCATAGCAGCCAATTGGGATAAATCATTAACATTACAACAAAATTATAAAAAATTAGGTCTTACTGCAAAATTGGGAAAATCACCAGGAGGAAAAGAACAATCACTTTCTAAAAAACGTAATAACAAAGAACACATAACTATCGATCAAATTGATGACACAGATGATCCAGAAAAGATACCGGAGGGAGAAGCTAAGATTATTCGAGATGAGGAGGGCAATGTAATTAAGGTTATATACGGTACTATGAAACAAAAAGAGGAAGAAAGTGAGGAAGAAGTTGATAATTCTGTTGTTAAACAATTGGAAGAATATGCTGAGAAGAATAGTAAAATTAAGAAAGAGAGGCATCAATCAGATAGAGAATCTGAATTTTTGAAAAATTTGTATGAAAAATATGGTGATGATTATGATAAAATGAAATGGGATAAATTGAATGTTTATCAACAATCTGCTGGTGAATTGAAAAGGAGGATTATAAAATGGAAAAAATCAAATAATATATAATTTAATATAAATAACTAGGTTAAATCTTTAAAATTTTGCAACCATTTTCAAAAAATTCAATGCATGGAAACTGATTAACATGCGTGTAAGTAGATTGAATTTGAGAATAAAGTATGAGATCAATCAAGAACAAAAATTAAGATTTCAAGTTGAGTTGCTTCTATCCTAGTTATAAATAGAAACCTTTGGTATGTATCAATTAAAATTCTTAAAAATTCAAGGTATTCAGTAGTTACATCTGTTTTCAATTCTTCTTAAAACAAATACAGAGATCTGGAACTGAAGACTTTGTCTTATAGTGTTGTCTTTTAGGCAATCACTGAAGTAGTTTATAAATCTATTATTCTTTTTATACTATAATTGAATTTGAATTTGATACGTCAATGACATTTGATGCTCCAAGGTAAATTTCTCGCGCTATTTTTAAGGCGAATGGTACTAAACTCATTGGCTTATAAATCATTAACAATTCATTCAGACAATTAATACTATTCTTGGTACCAGTCATTTGAGAATTTTTAGATTACCTCTAATATGAGGGTTTTGAAGAGACTCCACACAAGTTTTTTAACAATATTCTTAGTTTTTTCGTGAATTAATGATATTTTAAATTAGTATGTACTCAATAACATTGTACCTTCAGTTATCTTTTGAATGGACCCACACTAGAGAACTCATCTGAAACAACAGTGGTCCTTGAAACGAACTTGATGGATTTCAATTCTGAAACAATACACAATATCAAGTTTATTTGTCTCGCTATATATTAAGTAACCTATCTGTAAGGATGCGACAATGCTTTATAAACAAAATTAGTATTAAGAAATGAATAGTGTAACCAGTAATAAAGAACAAGTTATGAAAGACTTACCTCTAGTGAACCAGTAGTATAAAATGACTAGCAAAGTTGTAATATAGAATTACTACCCTGGAGTAAGTAACGACTAACATTACTTCAATGACTAGCATCCTTACATTCATCCTTATACTCTTGATGGTAAATCTTGTTTCAAAATCTTATCAATAATACCACTCATTATCACTTCCAATTCACTATTTTTATACATTTCAATTAATATATTATCTTCATTTTGTGATTCAATCATTTCAACAAATTTAGGATCAATAGGAACATTACCAAGATACGTCAATTCCAAATCTTTACTTAATAATTCCCCTCCACCACTTGAAAAAATATTAGTACATTCTTTACAACTCGGACATATAAATCCAGACATATTTTCAATAATACCTAGTATATTAAAATTAACCTTCTTACAGAAATTTATCTCTTTCTTTACATCATTTATAGCTACTAATTGAGGAGTAGTTACAATAATTGCACCATCTATAGGTTGAGCAAATCTTAATTCTTCAGCAATTGCAATATGTTCATCTGATGTTCCTGGTGGCGTATCAATTAATAAGTAATCCAATGGTTCATTGCCCCATACAATATCTTTAAGGAACTGCTTGATCATTGCTGTTTTTTTAGGACCCCTCCAGACAACTGAATCACCTCTATTTTTTAATAAAAACCCCAAGGACATAAGTTTAAGATTGGGATATACTTGAACTGGAACCCATCCTTGTGTTGATTGATGAATTTGTTTATTTTCTACTCCGAACATTCTTGGTAATGACGGACCAGTTAAATCTATATCTAATACTCCAACATTATACCCTTTTGAAACTAATGTGAGGGCTGTTTGAGTTGTTACTGATGATTTACCGACTCCACCCTTACCTGATAATATTAATATTATATGTTTGACTTTGTTTAATGATTGGGGTATTTCATATTCCATATTAGAATGTGTTACAAACGTCAGGATGCAATATAGTAATAGTATATATAATATAGATCTAAACGGTTCTTATTTTTTCGTTTGATGAGATCAACAAAAAATAACCAACTTATCACCAAATTTATCAAATAGTAATTTCCCATCGTTAAATGACATCCAGATATTCAGCTGCTGGCAGCTCACATCAAAGAGATTTAAGAACTCAATTATTTAATAATCCAATAGGTATAAGAACACCACTGAGAACACCACTGAGAACTTCATCACCTTACGAAAATCAACAACAGTCTAGATATGATGAGAGTTTATTAAATACATTAGAATCTCAAAATGATGATGAAATGTCATCAATGGGTCAAAAAGTGACTATGCTAAAGAATTTAGGTGAGAAGATGGGTATTGAAATTAATAAATCAAATAAATTAAATGATAATATAACTAATTCGTTTGAATCAGGGAAGGTTACATTAAAAAATACGTATAATAAAATGATTGTTATGAGTCAACGAGCTGGTATAAGTTTTAAAATGTGGTTAGTTGTTTTTGGAATTGTATTTATATGGTTTTTTTATATTTGGATGTTTTAAAATTTAAGTTGGAGAAGAAGCTTGTATATTGTTTCAGTTGGTAAACTGTTCAAACCAATAGGATAATAATGGATTCAAGCTTAAAATTGAATAGAGTTTCAAATTTAATTAATAATACTCGGTTATATTAGCCATATCTAAGCCGAATAAGTTTCAGCATTTACAATAGCATTTATATAGTTCTTTTATATTAGTATAATTTAACTATACTTCTTTAATATATTAATTGGTTCTTCTTCATTTGTAATTATTCCAGATACAGTAAATTCAGACAAAACATTAACAGTCTTAGAACCATAAGCATTATTAACAGCACTTAATGGAGTAATCTCATGATGATCATGATTAATTATTGCTGGCTTATTTAGTGTCTTCTGTTGTTTAGTTTTCAAAATTGATCGTTTTGGTTTTAATATATGGTGTGATGGTTTATGTTTAGGTGTAGGTGATAAATCCTTCCCTTCCAATTTCCTCTTCCTTTTTAGATTCATTTCTAAATTTGAATAATATTGATCAATTTCATTTTCAGAAACAGAATCTGAGGAGTTTGAAGATGAATTTTCTGTATTTAATCCTGAACTATTCCATACTTCATCATCATCTATTATTTTCAAATTATCTATTATCTCTGACAAGTCCTCTTTCTTTTTAAATGATTCTGAAGTTATTGGTGCTCCATTAATTCGAAGTTTTTTATAATGAGATATTTGTGATGATTCATCAACTGTTGCTGTTGACTTAATTGATAATAAATTTGAAAATGGATATGATTTAATTGGGGTTATTATTAATTGTGAATATAATAAATTTAATGGATTTGTTTGTGGGTTTGATTCTGATTCTGATTCTGATTCTTCTTGTTGTCGTTCTCGATATTTAGCTATTGTTGATGCCATAAATGTTTCAAACTCAATTGGATCCATGGATGTAGGAGCTTCTTGAATTGGTGTAGATTGATCTAAGTTTGAAACTTCTTTTCGCTTTTGATTTGGAGTAGATGAACCGATATTAAGTTCATTTTGATCTTGAATTGGAATAGATGAGCTTATATTTAGTCCATTTTGATCTTGAATTTCGTCAATTTCAGTAGTTGGTAATTGTTCATCTACGATTTGGTCTTTATTTACCTCCTCTTTCATTATAGCATCATTATTTATCTCCTCATTCACTATAACATCCTTATTCACCTCACTATTCTGTTCGCCGTGCGATTCAGTTTGTAAATTGACCAATTTATATAGATTAGGATACAATTCTCTTTTAGTAACAACTATACTCTCTTTACATTTCCTCTTTTCAATATTCTTTAGTCTAGTTATTATATCCTTTATTTTATTACTTGATTCAATCGTATGTTTCAACAATTGATTAACTTCAATCTCATCATCATTATTATAATTCAATAAAGCCTTACTTAATTTCTTATTCCTCAGTTGAATCAATTGATTTAAATTCTTTGACAATTTAGCTATTTCTATATTCTTGAATTGTATTCGTTGTTCAATTGATAGCTTATATTTGATCTCTTTTCTTAAATCATTCTGATAATTTGATGTAACTTTTAATAAGTCATTTATTACTTGATCTGATTCATTTCGGAGCACGTCATTTAAAATAAAATCTAATTGAAATTGTTCAATTGATGGTAATGGTGTATTTGTTACGAATTTATTACTCTGATCCATAGATTATAGTTTTTTCAACCCCAGGATTTTATATGAAGAAAAAAAAATGGTACCAGTTCTCGCCTTGAATTATTAAACATTCGACTGATTTTTCGTTCCAAGTTTGAGAGTTATAATGGACTCAAAAACGCGACGTCTGCATGGGCGGCGTTACTAATTCTCGCCTTGAGCCATAAATTTCCAAATTACAGAGTTATACATTGACTGTTTATTCATATATAGATTTACTATTATTCACCGCATTTCTATCACCAAATGGATCACCTTCAATTGATTCCAATGTCTCCATTTTGTTTAATATTGGTCTGTTTAATTTATTTGGCGGTGGTGGAGGTGGTGATTTTAATGATACTTCTTGTAATCTTTGATCCAATGAATCTTGTTCATCTTCATAAGCATCTTCATCCTCACTTGTATAATAACTTTCATCACTTTCTGTTTCTTCATCATAATTTGGTGCTGGATTATCATTATTATACCCAGCTTTTAAATCAAATTTTTTAAAAACTTCAACCAACAGTTCATTAGCACTAATTAAAGAACCTAAAAATTCTTCATCTAATGCTGCATATTCTGATGATTTACTATCACTAGTTCCAGCTCCAACATATTGTAAATAATTTAACACTTTTCTTCTAATTTTTTTATTTTTTTGAAATTCATTTAATATTTTATCATCATCCAATGGTGAATCAGTACAATGAGTTAATAAATTATCTAATATTGTTGTATGGGTATGACATGATGATATTAATTCTCTAATTCTAGGAGCTTCAACTTTATAATTTATTTGTGGAATTGCATAATCTTCGTCTGCATAAATTATACCTTTCTTCTTCTTTGATTTTGATTTCTTCTTTGACTTTTTAGTTACTTCTTGAAATGTTTTCTTTGGACGTGGTGGAGGTGGAGATTTAGTTGGTTTGGCAGGTGGTGAGTCTGAATTATCACTTTCAATCTCATTTTCAAATGGTTGTTCAAATTCTTCTGATTGTGATCTTGATTTAATTTTCTTTTTAGGTATATATTTATACAATTGTTGCATATATTTATATTCTACCATATCTTGTAATTCATTTCTCCAACCTAAAGCTAATGAAATCACTCTGTTTTGTACTTTTGAGTCATAATTGGTACCACTCCCAGTTTTACCATGGCCATTTATAATTCCCTTTAAAACATCTAATAATTTATCATCTCTTGCAATTGTTGAACCGATTGACTTATCAGTATTAAGGACTAATAATTCCAATATTTGTAAACTTCTAATTTGTTCTTTTATCGAATCACCATATTTAACTTTTTTACGAATTGCTCTTGCAGCTTCTATAGCACCGTTGCCAGGTTGGATTTTAATTAATTGAATTAAATCAGATAAATATAATTCTATAGAATCATCTAATTCATTATTAGATTGTGATGATAATTGATTAATTTTAATAGTTATAGAAGTATATGAATGATCGTGGAAAATGGGCATATTTTGTTGTTAAGTTGTTGATTTTGCTAAGAGGTAGTATTTTTTCTTTTGGTTAATTTTGTTGATAATAAAAATTGATAAGGCAACTACAATTTAGATATTTCAAGCAAATACTAATACATAAACAACACAAATACTCCGACAACCAACAGAAACAGTGTTAGTGAATAACTATCAATTGACTGCAAATCTTTGAATTTTGTAAATGTACAGCCGCACAGTCACGTTCTTAGTCACATGACTCAATTTAAATGATGTCTGAAAAATTTTAAATTTTTTTTAATAGCAAAAGAAGTTAACCACTTGAAGTCAATTAAATCAAATATGTCAGATCAAGATAAATTAAACCAAGGCTTCCAAAACTTCAATATTGGCGGTAACAATAATAATAACAACCAACAACAACAGCAACAAAATCCATATCAAAACTACTACAACCAATATTCAAATGATGCTCAAACTTTCATTCCACAAGGTGGTTATCAACAATATCAAAATCAACAACAAAACCAACAACAAAATAATTATTACCAACAACAACAACAATATAAAGGATATAATCAACAACAACCTCAATATGGTGGCTATCAAGCTTACCAAAATGGTGGTTATCAACAATATAATCCAAATTCTCAACCTCAACAACCTCAAGGTATGTCATTAGCTGATTTTCAAAAACAAAAAGCTGCTCAACAATCTTCATTAAATAAACCTGCAGTCAAAAAAACTTTAAAATTATCTTCATCTAGTGGTATTAAATTAGCAAATGCAACTAAGAAAGAAGCTCCAAAAGAGGAAAAAAAGGAAGAAACACCAAAAGTTGAATCAAAAGAAACTACACCAAAACCGGAAGAAAAAACTGAAACTAAATCAGAACCAAAAGTAGAGCAACCAAAAGTTGAACTTAAAACAGAGTCAAAAGTTGAGAAAACAAAAGAATCAACTCCAAAACCAAAAGATGTTATCAAAGAACAAGAAGATGAAGTTGATGAAGAAGTTGTTAAAGATATGTTTGGTGGTAAGGATCATGTTTCAATTATTTTCATGGGTCATGTTGATGCCGGTAAATCTACAATGGGTGGTAATATTCTTTATCTTACTGGTTCTGTTGATAAACGTACTGTTGAAAAATACGAAAGAGAAGCAAAAGATGCCGGTAGACAAGGTTGGTATTTATCCTGGGTTATGGATACAAATAAAGAAGAAAGAAATGATGGTAAAACTATTGAAGTTGGTAAAGCATATTTTGAAACTGAAAAAAGAAGATATACTATATTGGATGCTCCAGGTCATAAAATGTACGTTTCAGAAATGATTGGAGGTGCATCACAAGCTGATGTTGGTATTTTAGTTATATCTGCAAGAAAAGGTGAATATGAAACTGGTTTTGAAAAAGGTGGTCAAACAAGAGAACATGCTTTATTAGCTAAAACTCAAGGTGTTAATAAAATCATAGTCGTTGTTAATAAAATGGATGATTCTACTGTTAATTGGTCACAAGAAAGATATAATGAATGTACTACAAAATTGGGTATGTTTTTAAAAGGTATTGGTTACAACAAAGAAGATATCGTTAATATGCCAGTTTCTGGTTACACTGGTGCTGGTTTAAAAGATAGAGTTTCAAAAAAAGATTGTCCATGGTATGATGGTCCTTCATTATTAGAATATCTTGATAATATGTCTACATTAAATAGAAAAATTAATGGTCCATTTATGTTACCAATTTCTGGTAAAATGAAGGATATGGGTACTGTTGTTGAAGGTAAAATTGAAAGTGGTCATATAAAAAAAAATTCAAATTTATTATTAATGCCAAATAAAACTTCAATTGAAGTTTTAACAATTTATAATGAAACTGAACAAGAATGTGATTCTGCTTATAGTGGTGAACAAGTTAGATTAAAAATTAAAGGTGCTGAAGAAGAAGATTTACAAGCTGGTTATGTATTAACATCACCAAAAAATCCAGTTAAAACAGTTACAAAATTTGAAGCACAAATTGCAATTGTTGAATTAAAAAGTATTATGAGTAATGGTTATTCTTGTATGATGCATATTCACACTGCTATTGAAGAAGTTACAATTACACAAATTAAACATAAATTAGAAAAAGGTACAAATAGAAAATCTAAAAAAGCTCCAGCTTTTGCTAAAAAAGGTATGAAAATTATTGCTGAAATTGAAGTTGCTGAATCTGTATGTGCTGAAAGATATTCTGATTATCCTCAATTGGGTAGATTTACTTTAAGAGATCAAGGTACAACTATTGCAATTGGTAAAATTACAAAATTATTATAAGTTTAAATATATAGAATTGAATTTCTAGTGTTGAATGTAAGGATGCATTAAATAGTAAGGATGCCGTAATTTAAATGTGCCGTAATCTCAAATCTCTACTATTCTTTATTGGTGATTCATGAAATTCTCGCCAATAGATTATTTTCTATTTATAATGAGTATACTTTTTTTAAAGAATAAAAGTAAACCAAAAGATCCATATGAAGAGATATTCTATGAGTATAAGACAAGATTTATACCGCTTCTAGATCATTCACATGAGGATAAGGCTGCAACTATAAATTATTTAAAAAGTGATGAGTTTTTGAAAGTACCAATTTTCATTATAACTTCGCAAAGGGCAGTTGAAATGTTTAGAGAATGTATTGAAGAAATTGAAAATAAAGAAGAAATATTAAATAAAATAGGTTATACTGTTGGTCCAGCAACTTTTAAAATACTAAGTGATGTTGGTTTTAAAAATGTTAAAGGTGGTGGTAACGCTGGTAATGGTGCAAAATTAAGTGAAATTATAATAGATGAAGTTGACAAATCGCTACCAATTGTATTTCTTACAGGTGAAATTAGAAAAGATATAATACCGAGAAAATTAAAAGAAGAAGGTTATAATTTAACTGAATTTGTGATATATAAAACGTTTGAAAGAGAATTGGGGAAAATTGAATTTAATAAAGATGATTGGATTGTATTTTTCAGTCCTCAAGGAACAAAAGAAATTGTTAAATATCTAAAACATGATAATCAAAATTGGAAAATTGCAAGTATTGGTCCAACTACTGAAGAGTATTTAATAGAAAATAATTTACCGCCTAAGATTGTTTCACAAAAGCCATCCCCATCATCGTTATATGAATCAATTAGTAAATCTGATAATGAAAGGTGATAATATTGCTTCTTATGTTAGAGTACTTGGTTAATATAAACTAATATACTTTTGGACATTGATCTGTTTTGTCCATGGCCTGGAAGACAGAGAAATGCTCTTATACGGATAACTCTTTAAACACAAGTAAATCGTAGGTGCCCACAACACAATAGTGCTAAGATTTATTCTTGCTACAATAGAACACAACCACTCTCTGTCTATTACAAGAAATATCTCTGTTAAACATATCATAAAACTAAACCTGGAGTTTGTAGAGACTATTGCAGGTCTCATAAGGAAGCTGCAATTAAAGGAAATAATATAATTAGTGTCCCAATCACACTATTGTAATGTTAGAGCTTAGGTGATACATGAAGAATATTTTTTTAAAATTGAAATAACTTTATAGATTTAATCTGAAATTTTAGCGCTTTTCAGCCGCAACTCAGATCTTACCCAACAATATTGCGCTTAAATACGACGCGCAAGTTTTGTTTGATTAAGAGTAATTATTTTCAATTAAATGAATTTACGAAAAACGCTTAGGATGGTGCCACTCCATCAAAAGCAAAACTCAATATATCATTTGTATTTCTTATCAATGTTATTCTGGCCAAGTACCGAAGATGGGCCCATAACTTATCCATATACATCGAATCAAATAACATGTAACGAAAAATGCCTATGACTCATTTATCAGGTATATTAAAACTAACCACGAAATGATTTATCACGAAGGAAATGGATTATACATTAAAATAAATGGTAAGAATGCAACTAAAGTAACTAGTATCGATTCTTTCACATTTATTCAATTACCTGAAGAAGGTCATCCACTTTATAATTATTCTATGAGATTACTTAATAAAGAAAAGGACCCAATAGTAAAAATGCTGAACAAGTTATGTCTAATGAAAGACTTGACGATAGTAAATACTATACGCTCGAAGAAATTATAGATCGAAATGAGAAAGTTAGAAAAGGAGAATTAGTATTAAGTTTGACTTGTTCAAAGAGAGAATTAAATTCTTATAATAAATAGTATAAATTATTTCATTTTACAAAATCTAATGAATGGATTCGTGAACAACGTCAATAATTTGTTTAACCACACTTGGATCACTTAAAGTAGAAATATCACCTAATTGATCTTCTTCGCCAGCTAAAACTTTTCTTAGAATTCTTCTCATAATTTTACCTGATCTTGTTTTTGGTAAATCATCAACTAACAAAATTAACTTTGGTGCAGCAAATGGACCAATTTCTTTACGTACAGTTAATATTAATTCTTTTTTAATAGCATTTAAATCTTCTAAAACTTTCTTTTTCAATGAAACATAAGCAGCAACAGCTTGACCAGTTAAATCGTCAGCATAACCGACAACTGCACTTTCAGCAACTAATGGATGTTCAATTAATGCAGCTTCAATTTCTGCTGTTGACAATCTATGACCAGACACATTAACAACATCATCAACTCTACCCAAAATCCAAAAGAAACCATCAGCATCTCTTGCAGCACCATCACCTGAAAAATAATAATTTTTATATGGAGCTAAATATGTATCAATAAATCTATTATAATCATTATAGATACCTCTTGTTATTGATGGCCATGCATTTTTAATTGCTAAAACACCTTCAACATTATTTTCAGTTAATTCTTCACCAGTTGTTGGGTCTAAAATTTTTGGTTCAATACCAAAAAATGGTAGAGAAGCTGAACCAGGTTTTGTTGGCGTAATGCCAGCTAATGGAGTTAATAAATGAGAACCAGATTCTGTTTGCCAATAAGTATCAACAATATGAGCTTGACCTCTACCAATATTATCATTATACCAATGCCAAACTTCAGCAGCAATTGGTTCACCAACTGAACCTAAAACTCTTAAACTTGATAAATCATATGATTCAACAAATTTTGTACCAGCTCTTTTCAATAATCTTAAAGCAGTTGGTGCAACATAAAATTGATTAACTTTATATTTATCAACAATATCCCAATATCTTGAATAATTTGGATAAGCTGGAGTACCTTCAAATACAACGGTTGTAGCACCATTTAATAAAGGACCATAAACAACATAACTATGACCAGTAATCCAACCAACATCACCAGCAGTGAAAATTACATCATCTTCATGAACATCAAAAGTATATTTTGTAGTTAATAATGCACCTAATAAATAACCAGCAGTAGTATGTTGTACACCTTTTGGTTTACCAGTTGAACCTGAAGTATATAATAAAAATAATGGATCTTCTGAGTTTACAGGTATTGGAGGGAAATATGAACCATATTTAGCCAATTCTTCATGATACCATAAATCTCTACCTTTTACCCATGGAACATGAGAATTACCAGTTCTTTCTAAAACAATAACATTTCTAACATCTGGACATTCTTTTAAAGCATCATCAACAATTTTTTTAGTTTCAATTGTTTTACCACCTCTTTTTGATTCATCAGCAGTAATAACAATTCTTGAATCAGCATCTAAAATTCTATCTCTTAAACTTGCAGATGAAAAACCCGCAAAAACAACTGAATGTACTGCACCAATTCTAACAATTGCTAATAAAGTTACAAGAGCTTCGGGAACCATTGGTAAATAAACAGCAACAGAATCACCTTTTTTAACACCTAATTTAGTTAAAGATTGAGCTAATTTAGAAACTTCTTTTAATAATTCTCCATAAGTTATAATTTTACCTTGATTTGGTTCATCTGATTCATAAATAATAGCAGCTTTATTTGGATTTTTAATAGCCCATCTATCAACAGCATTATAACAAGCATTTAATTGACCATTAATAAACCAAGCAGGTAAATCTCCATTTTTAAAATCATCTTCAGGATTTTTAGGAAATCTAGCTAAATCAAAAGGTTTAAACCAATCTAAACTTTCAATAGCTTGATCAGTAAAAAATTCATTTGGTTGTTCAATTGATTGTTTATATAACTTCTGGTAAGTTTGAAAATCTTGTAAATTTGGTTCTTGTTTACAACGTTGAAAAAACCCTTTTGGAGGTTGTTGTAATTTTTCATGATCCAATGAGATATGAGGTTGATTATTATCTGTTTGTTCAGGCATTTTGCTGAAAAAATATTAGAGAGAAAAAAACTGTTGATAATAATATTTCTATTTATATATTTATATTATTTTATTTTTTTTAAGGGTTAGCGAAGAATCGCATCACTCAACATTTAATAAATAATAGTCAATTTAACGTATGAAGAGATGTCATTGATACCAAGAATTGCATTTGTGGGGTCAATTGATGGGTCTTTATTCTGAGTCAAAGTGGTGTTGGGTTTATTAGGATTTCGGACTAAATAATTTTTTTTCTATTTTATTTTGACCCCCACAATATAATATTTTTATTCGCGTTCAGTAATAATCAGGTCGTATAGAATTTTCAAATATTTATACCACCGACGGCCCAAGAAATTTATAGTACCGTGTTTTAATTGGTAATGGGGCGCATCTTAGATCTTATTATAGTTTTTATAGTTATTATAGTTAATGTTAAGAGGTTACGTTATTTTATAGTTGATGTTAAGATATTACGTTATTTTATAGTTAATGTTAAGACTTTGCGTTGTTTTATAGTTATTGTTAAGACTTTGCGTTGTTTTATAGTTAATGTTAAGATATTACGTTATTTTATAGTTAATGTTAAGACTTTGCGTTGTTATTGCATCTCCTATATACAAACTATAATTTAATCATACTTCTGTTGGTCTTGCATTAATATTCCTATTCATATCAATTGCATCTAATATTTCTTTTGCTCCTTTTGCTTTTAATTTATCTCCTAACGTTATACCTATTAATTCACAATCTTGTCTTTCTTTTATTACACTTTTAACTTCATCTTCAATATATTTTGTACCATCGGGACTAACTATTATTCCTTTTAATACTAATTCATTTGTTATTTCATTATAATCTGAATGAACACCTAATGGTACTGAACATCCACCTTCTAAATATCTCATTAATGATCTTTCTGCTAAACAACATATTGTTGCCTTTTTATCTTCAATTTTTTTCAATACAGATTTAATTTTTTCATCATCTTTTCTAATTTCAATACCAAGTGCGCCTTGTCCAACAGCATAATACATATCATCTAAATAACTAGTAATTCTATCACTTAAACCTAATCTTATCAATCCAGCACTTGCTAATATTAAACACAGATATTCATTATTTTCATCATCTAATTTACATAATCTTGTATGAATATTACCTCTAACTGATTCAAATTTTAAATGTGGATAATTTTTAATTAATTGTGAAGATCTTCTTATTGATGAAGTACCAACTATTGAACCTTTTGGTAAATCTTTTAAAGATTTGTATGCACTATTTTGTTTCATAACTATGGCATCTCTTGGATCTTCTCTATTAAAAATACATCCTAACTCAAATCCTTCTGGTATATTAGTTGGCATATCTTTTAATGAATGTACTATAACATCTAATTTTGGAAATTCATCTATGGCATCTAATAATAAAATTTCCAATTCTTTTGTCCATAAACTTTTACCTCCAAATGTATATAATGGTTGTGTTTGTACTTTATCACCCAAAGTAGATAATGCTAGTATGGAACATGGTATATTTGAAGTCTCTTCAATAGCTTTTTTAACTAATTCTGATTGTATAACTGCTAATTTACTTTTTCTACCACCAATTTGAATATGGCTTATATCATTTATCATATGAGGCATCGAAGTTGAAAATTATAGTTTTGGGTTGTTAATGAATGAAATGACAGATGAAAGGCTATATAAATATACCTGTTGGTTAGTTCTTTCCAAACCAAAGTAATGTGAAATTTCAAACTATAAATTTTTTGTTCGGAAAAAAAAAAATATAATATAATAAATTATGTAAGCGATGTTTATCGAATATTAATTATGTATTACTTTCTTCTTAATTCTTATTGGCTAATTGTCTAATGTATATTTAATTGTCTTATATTGAATTTCACCTAAGATCTGAAATCTGAGAAATGAAAGATCTTAAATTTTATTTGTGTTCTACCCTTAATTCTATAATTTAATTTAATCATCACAGTTAACGATTTGACATGCAATACCTCCAGGGTAGTAACTTTTCAAGCTGATTTTGTATATGTGCCCGAGCTATAGTTTCAATGGAAATTGAATATTGGTTTGTTCGTGGTGCTAATTCGCTATTTTCAGCTAAAACAATTTAAAGGGTAATATTTAAGGGGTATTTAGATAAAGATCGACTAATATTCAGTGGTCTACAAAAAAATTTCTGGCTCGCGCTATAGGGCGACTCGTGCTACGCATTTTTGCTTATATGACATGAACAAGCCGGTACCGTGATCCCTAGAAATTTCTGTTTACTGCGAATATAGTGATTTGCTTGAATATCACTGGCAAATACTAAGCCTTCCGAAACTCGGTCGTACAAAAATAGTAAAATATTTAAAAGTGTATAGATCATGATAATGGATTAGATGAGTTCTGTAAAGCATTTTGCATTTTAGATGATGTGAAGAATTTTTGAACAACTCTATGCTTAAAAATTAAAGTAGTCTTAAAAATTTGGCAGATTTCGTCAATGTATTATCTTTTATATTCGTTTACTTGATCTTATTCTTTGCCATCGGTACTTCATAGATATTATCGAATAAATAGTATCATAATTACAGTAATTTTATTCACAAGGAAAAAAAAAACCAATGCAGCTTCTGTGGCTCGAACACTGTACCTCCAGATCTGCAGTCTGACGCCCTCCTAGGTAAGCTAGCAGAGTGTGATTTTTTACGGCGGCGTTTGGACCCGGAGATAACCATTCGACCGAAATTTTTTTGGGTATTTTTTGATGGTTTCGAGCGCCTGATCAGATTTGGTTTTGCAACCAAATATACATCTGTAGTCATAGATATTCTACATTCTATCTCCAACATTCAATCTATAATAGTTTATTAAAGTCTATATAGTCTCATCACTATCATATTGATCTATATCATTAACTGTATTTTTCTTAGTTAATGGAATTATATCCTCTTGTATATCATAAATTAATACCAGTCTAGTTTCAGAATCTCTTCTATTAAATTTCAGTGTTGAAGATTCGTGAATTGGTTTCTTAAATAAATCATTAAAATCATAACTGTACCCACCATTTGCGTTTCCTCTTTTTGATAAATTTGTAATAATTCGTTTATTTGTATTATTATTTCCAGTTCCATATTTTTTATTCAATATTTCATTTATGAAAAATGAATCAGTACTTGCTGTTCTATAATGTATAGTATTGAAACTTTGCCAATTCTTTAAATTATCTTTTATGAATGTAAAATTTTTAAGTTCATCATTTGACTCTTTGTAGAATTTACTTAATATTAATTCATAAATGAAAATTCCTAAATATATTGGAAATTTGAAAATATTTAAGAACAATGTATTATTTAAATTTGCCAGTTTGAAATATAATATCAAATTTTTAGTTTTAAAATAATTAAATTCTTCAAAATTTGATTCTCGTATTTTTGCAAATATTGAACTTAGACAAATTGCCAATATTGTACCTATAATAAATTGAATCAAAAATAAATAACCCATTTGTAAAACTTTTCCTAATGTATTAAATTTTTCCCAATTGTTCCATACTGAAGGAGTAAAACCAAAAAATATTTTAACCATATTAAACAATATCTCACCATTTGATTGATTTATGGATAATGTTATAAAACTAAAATAAAAACCTGAAATTAATGTGAAAAAGAAACAGGTGAGTCCAAATAAGTTCCAAATCATTTTGTTTAATGATAGGACAATCAAGTTGAAGAATTTGTAATTGTTGAGTATTGATAATATTCTAGGAAATAAAATTATTCCAATCAAACTGAACACATCTGAATAATAACTTGTCAATTTTAAAATTAAACATGTATCAAGCAAGCAAATTAATAATATATCTATGTAATTCCATATTATCAATTTCATATACGTCCATTCAATATGGACTAATTTAGTAAGTAATTCAATGTTAAAACTCAATGTGAATAACCAAAATAAAATCTCTGTATATGGATATTTATAATTTATTTGTAAAAAGTATAATAGTGAAAATACAATTAATTTAATATTTATAACAATTGATTGATATTTAGGTACTGTTCTTGCTCTTTTGCAAATATGTCTAAATGAAATTTTCTCAAATTTGTAGTTTGAAATATCTAATAATCCCTTCTCTTCTTCAACTCCATTATTCAATATTATCTCCCCATTGTATAACCTATCTAAAATTCTAATGATAATTGGTTGTGATAAAAACTTCTTACTCTTTGATAATACAGATAATTCAAGTAAATTAAATTTATATTCTGGATTTATAGATGCCAATGGATTTTGAAATAAAATTTCAATTCGAGTAGTTGAATTATATTCTCTTAACATTCTAATACTTAATAATTCACAAATATTAGCTTTAGTTATTAGCAAATCATAATTGATAAGGTTATTCTCGGATTGTATCAAATATTCATAACGTAATAGCAACAAAATGAAGATTAAATCTGGTGTTTTCTCTAGTAAAATTTCATCAGTTAATGGTTTGATTAAAGTTGGATGTATTTCTGGTAACTTCAATTGTTCATATTTGAGACTAAGTTGAACTGTGTTAATTTGTTTCTGAATTCGTAGATAGTTAGATCTAAACATGGAATGGTAATTAAGAATTTAAACTTTTGATAGATGGTAGCAAAATATTCCAATTTAAATTTAACTAAAATGGGTAAAAAGTAAACAAACTATCTGATTGAATATTAAACTGTTTCGATGGCTTTCATGCAATATTCTCTGTGTCAATTGTTGAATTAGCAAGCATATCTACATTATCTGCTAAGAGTAGCTCAATGCGAGAGTTTGGTGGTAAAAGCTACTTCGTAAATTTTAATTTCAAATAAAATTTGATCAATTAGCCACAATCTTCTCTGATTACATAATAAATATGTTTCAGAATATTATTGATTATGTAATAAAAATATCCAATAGTATTAGTGTACATTTTACAAATATATATATAGAGAAACTAATGGATCGCGAAAGGATGTTTATTATGTAGTCGTGGTGAGCTTGAGCTTATTGCATCATTAACTTTCTATTTGATTGTTCTGTTTATAAAATTATAGGCCTTTCTACCATTTTCATCACCTAATATCTTCATGAACTCTTCCTTTTCCAATTGGACCAACTGCTCTATATTATTCACTTTTTGTATTAATTGATAACAATTTAAATTATTAATTCCAGGTATAGTTTGTATAAAATCTAAAGCATCATCATTTATAATTGGAGGTCCACCACCTTCAGTCACAATTAAATCTTTATTCACACCTTTATCTAACGCCATTCCAACATCTGGTTCTTCTTGATTTGATTTTAATTCTAAAAGTATTTGTGCTGTTTCATAAGGAGATGCAGACCATATAATTTTCAATTTTGGAAATGAATATAATAAACTTAGAATTTTTGATTGTAAATTTTGTTTTAATCTATTATCATTATTATCTGAGTTTTTAGCTTTTAAAAATTTTGATTCTGAAAATGGTTCCAATGCAAATGATTTATTTTCATCAAATTCAATTAATAAAATTGGAATTTCATAATGTCTAAACATTGCTTCACATTGATGATATAATCTACCACTTTTAAAAGATTGAATTAAATCAGGTATGGATTTTCTTTCAATACACATTCGAGGTGATAATATATAATCACCAACTGTAATCATACATGGAACAACTTTGATACCTATACGATATAATAAATTAGGTAAAGAAGAACCAAATTCTCTAACATCAACAATTATTCTCATTTCATCTTGATTGGTCCGGAAATTTGCACCACCGGCAATCCTTGTGTTAATTTGATTTTTATGTACATGGAATTTATTATTATCTTCTGATGTTTCAAAATGTTTACCCAATTTAGCCTTTTCTTTAATTAATTTTGTAAATGAATCTTTCTCTTTTTTTATTCTTTGTAAATGTTTTTGTTCCTCTATTGAATTACCATAATACATTATATAAGTTTTTGCAGGATTATCATGATTTATAGCTTGATAAATTTCAACACGCCTAATAAAGGATAGATTTGCTTCATACATGATTATATGTGATGGTGATAATTCTTGTAATAATGGAGCATCATTTCTATCATCATATGCTTGGATAATAATTTGATTTGATATGTGTTTTAAATGTATTCGTGAATCATGTACTTCTTCATTTATATGTTCAACTACAAATTGTTTAATATCATCATCTAAATCTTCATGAGTTACAACTGGTTCTGGTTTACCTCCTCTCATTCTTCTACGTTTACTTATAGGTTGACCGTTTCTTGAAAATGTTTTTGATGTGTTAATTTCCTCCTCTTCTTCTTCCAACTCTTTCGATATTCTCTTTACCAAAGTATTCATTTCTTTCCATGCTAGATAATCACGTAGTTTTTCAATCATTATATTTGAGCCAGATAATATTTTTGATAATTGATGTGCAACTCTTCTTGATGAACACATAATAAGTATGGTACCATCACCTTCATGCGAAATATCTTCAACTAGAATCTTTAATTGTTTCCATTTTGGTAATTCTTCTAATAAATATTCACCTTCAAATTTCTCCAAAGCTCTTTCTTTTGCAAAATTTAAAATTGTTGTAGATTCATCAAGATTTAACCATGGACTCATTGATCTATTCATTTGAGTTTTAATATTTGCATCTACTATAGTTTGTATTTGTTGATAAAATGTAACTGAATCAACTAAGATTAAATCATTTAATAAATCAATCAATACTGCAATATCACCAACCAATTGTCTTGATGTGTAAGTTAACCTATGCCAATGTGGATCCAACCCTATCCTAATTTTCTTTGCAAAATCAACATCATGAATATTTACCATATCCCAATAATCATTTACAATTTCATGATTATGTCTTTTTAATTCACCTAAACATGCTTGTATACATGATAATAATGCATTTTGAATTTTATTCATTTTATAAGTTAATTTCACATTTATTTCAGTTACATATCGAATACCTTTCTTTTGATACTTGAAAGATTCAGTTACATTAACATGAAATCTTGGCCATAATAATACATTTGATATTCGTAACATTCTTAATCTAGTAGCCAAAGGTGTAAAACCAGTAAATAATTCAGGTTCATCAGAAAATGCTTTTATGAAACCCCATTCATTTTTATCTCTGTATAAACTTATAATAAACGCATCATTTGAAGTTTCTTTTATACGATCGGCATGGAGTATAAATAAACCAGTTATATCATTTGGGTTTATAATACCACTTAATAAATCAACAACTAAAATCCTTGGACTAATACTTATAATCCCACCTTGTTGATACATTTTACTTCTTTTTTGAGACGTGTTTTCTTTCATAATTATACATTTATTTTCTAAATCCTCCAATTCTTCACATAATCTTACAATTTCATCATCTTTAGCATTTAATATAAATATTAAACCTTTCTTATTCTCTTTATTTATAACAAATGGTGCACTTAAAGCATGTAATAAATTTGCGGTTATAATATCCCAACCTAACCCATGGCCTAAAATTAGCAACCCATCTTTAATCAACATATCTTCCACAATTTCTTGTTGATACTTCAATGGTAGCATACATTCAACTTCTCTTTCTGGAAATTCAGGTATTATTTCCTCATCTTCTTGAAATTTAACTGGTATTTCATGATATGTTTCATCTTCATTTTCATTAACAAATAAACTCATTAATTTTTTTCTAATGTGGTTTCATATAATCTGGTTAGAAAATATAACGAAATCATGTTTAAATCAATTAGATGAATTAAATGATGATCATGTTATAAGAGATGTTGATGAACATGTGAAGAAAGATCCTGTTTACAAAATATGGTTGAAAAACGGTGATGAGATAAAATTCGCTTATGAATTAGAATCTTTAAATTTTATAAGAAAAGACGAATTTAAATTGGGTGGTAGATTAGAAGTTAATTGTAATTTACAAAACGGTGTTTATATGTTGAATCATAAGAATTGCAAATATTTGGGGTTGAATGATAATGATAAAGAATTGATTGAATTATTAAATGATGGGTTGGTCAAAAAGAAAATTGATTTTTTGAAACAGAAGTTGGATATGCAATAGGATGATTTGCTGCTTAAACATGGGTAATTGATGTTTAATGTGCTGAGACAATTTAAACATCCTATAAATACTTTTTAATTATAGGACGCAGGTTTTAGGTTTAGTTCTAGGTTTGATTCCAAATCAAGTCACTTCAATGCATTCTGGAGACCTATCCTAAGTTGATCGGGTGAATTAGTATGTTATGAGAAGCAATAGTAGCTATATTCAGGTGATATTGGCAAGCGAGTTTCCATTTTTCGAGACATTATGGCTTCATATAATATCAAACCTCGAAAAGAGATATCAAATTTTACTTAGATAGAATATATTATGATTTGTTTTTTAAAAGTAACTCTCTCGACTTCTTTCTTTGTGCCATTAAGTCTTCAATCAATAATGAGCACGTCATGATCTAAATTGCTCTTAGCATAAATATCTACGAGAGCCCAGATTATAGTAATGATAACAAAGGTTTACTTCAAGTTTTTGAAATAATTACCCTTATTCTCGATCTGATGCCTTCAATCAGAATACAGTTAAAAGTCAAAATTAAGAGGCTTTTGAAACCACATAGATCGAAAAATTTTAAGGGGCTTTTTTTGAACAAAATAAATCTCGGGGTCTCTGATTCTACAAGATTAAAAGCATGATCAATCCTAATAGTTTTACTAATGGTTCAAGTTGTGTCAAAGAGTGAAACTCCAGATCTGCATTGATGCTACAAAATCAAAGATCAGACTATACATACTTGCAAACAGATCGAAAATTTCATTACAGAGTGTAAACGAAACAACCTTTGCAAGCTTATACAATTTCAAAAGAGACAAGACTACAGCTTGTACAATCAATAATTGATTTAGTGTGTCATTTCATATCTGATATCAGATCTCAAAAAAAGGTGAAATTTCAATCTGATAATGAGTGATCTTTCACTTATACGCAATCTGGACTATCTGATGGATTTATGGCTACTTTTAGATGTTTATTCATCAAATTATCAGGTATAGTTGCATAAATCATTGTTTCATAATTGTTGATAATTTTCTGACTCTAATAAATTTTTTGTGCTACCGTTCATCAATTTTCAATGTCAGTTAAAGAAAAGATTAACAATTTGAAACCAAATGAAAAGTTTATATCGTTTGAATTCTTTCCTCCAAAGACAGATTCTGGGTTCAGAAACTTAATGGCGAGGTTAAATCGTATGCAAAGATTGAATCCTTTATTTGTTACTGTCACATGGGGAGCTGGTGGTTCAACAAGTGAAAAATCATTAGATTTAGCTGCTACTTGTCAAAATGAAATTGGGTTAACTACTGTATTACATTTAACTTGTACAAATACCAATAAAGAAATTATAGATCAAGCATTGAAAAAAGCAAAAGATGTTGGAATTAAAAATATTTTGGCATTAAGAGGTGATCCACCAAGATCTGAAGAATATTGGACACCAAATTGTGATTTTAACAATGCAATTGATTTAGTTAAATATATCAAATCAAATTACGGTGATTATTTTTGTATTGGTGTAGCTGCTTATCCTGAAGGTCATGTTGATGGTTCAGATTCATCTGGTCAAAATCCAAAAAAAGATTTACCATATTTAATAGAAAAAGTTAAAGCAGGTGCTGATTTTATAATTACTCAATTGTTTTTTGATGTTGATAAATATTTGTTATTTGAAAAAATGTGTAAAAAAGAATTACCTGATATACCTTTAATACCTGGTTTAATGCCAATTACAACTTATAAAGTTTTTACAAGAGCTGCAAAATTATCTCATGCATCAATACCTGAGAATATATTTAAAGAACTTGAAAAAGTGAGTAATGATGATGATGCAGTAAAGAATTTAGGTGTTGAAATATTATCAAATATAATAAATAGATTAGATTCAAAAGGTTTCCATTTTTATACATTAAATTTAGAAAAATCAATAGCCATGGTTTTAAAAAAATGTAATATTGAAATAGCTCCAAAAGAAATTGATGAATGTGCTATAGATTATACAAATAAAGATATAGTGTGGGATGATTTTCCAAATGGTAGATTTGGTGATTCAAATTCTCCTGCTTATGGTGAAATAGATGGTTATGGACCAAATTTAAAAATGTCACCATCAGAAGCTATAGGTAAATGGAAATTTCCACAAACTGTCTCAGATTTAACTAAATTATTTTCAGATTATTTATCAGGTTCATTAGATTTTTTACCTTGGGCTGATTCAAGTTTATCACCAGAAACTGCATTAATACAGGAACAGTTATTTTCATTGAATGAAAAAGGTTGGTTTACAGTTGCGTCACAACCAGCAGTTAATGGATGTAAATCAACAGATAATATATTTGGTTGGGGTCCAAAAAATGGTTTAATTTATCAAAAAAGTTTTGTTGAAATGTTTATACCAAAGAGAGATATTAATAAATTAAAACTAGATAATTGTACATACTTTCTCGGTGATAAAGATGGTATTATAAAATCAAGTTCAAAAAGTACAATAACTTGGGGTGTATTTCCAATGAAAGAAATCGTTCAACCAACAATTATAGATCATGAGTCGTTCAAAGCATGGAATGAAGAAGCGTTTCTATTATGGTTACAATGGGCTAGATGTTATAAAAAAGGTTCAAAATCTTACAATCTTTTAAACAGTATATATAATAATTACTATTTAATTAGTATAGTTCATCATGATTTCCCCGATGAACTTGCATTATGGAATCTACTTTTATAGCAATTAGCTAAATTATAATTATACAGCTGAATATTCACCTCTATTACCACCTGATATTTTTTCAATAATTTCTCTACCAAAACTTGGAAGTGCTCTTAATAAATCAATAAAATTTTGAACGACTTCTTTTAAAGCTGATTGGAAATCAATTGCATTACCTTTTCTTAATTGAAACCAAGCACCAATAACAACATAAAATGAAATTATTAATACAAGGAAAATAAAAATCCAAGTAAACCATCCCCATGAATCTTCAACTTTGAAAATACATGCAGCTTTATGTTCTAAGCTAAAAGTAACTGTTTGTTCATTCCATTCTAGATTATATAATTTAAAATCATTTGCATTCTTATTACATTTAAAATTAAAAACTGCTGGTATAGTTTTATCTCCCCATTTTGAATCATAAGTTAATTTCAAATGATCATCTTCTTCAATTTTTGGATCTTTGAAACTAATAACTTCTGAAACTATACTATCTTTACCATTTTTAACTGTTTGAATACCACATGCATCTCCTTCACATAAATCTGTTTTAACTTGTTGACAAAATCCTATACTTAATTCAAATTCTGTTTCTGATGGTGGTGTTTCATTTGAAATTTTAAATGATTGAATACCTTTAATACTTTGAAAATCATATTTAGTTAATTTCGAGCAATCAAATGCAATTACTGCTGTTATAAATAAAAGTAGAATCTTCATCTTGATTAATGGAAAGTAGATTCTTTGTTGTTGATGAGAATATGCAGGATCGGGTATAAATTTATATATTTGCAACAAAATGGAACCAACAGTAGATTACTTGATAGAGATCTCATAATAATATGAATAGATTTAATGGCTTCTGTTAGGGTGAGCTGACTAGGATTGAGACAAGTAATATTTGGCAAGCTCGAGATGATCAAAATTTTCATATCTTGATCAAATCAATGTTCGAGTATATACTCAAAGATTGTCCTCTCTAGTTGACATTGTTTAGCTTGAGAAGTCAGTAACTAGTCGCAATTGAGCCTTGTAAACCTCGTAGAATTCGTATAAATTAGCATCTTTTGATATTTAGCAGGTGGTAGCGACAATGATTCAAGGGGCTTTTTAATCTTTACCTCAAAATCAATGTGATTGAAAATGCAAAACACTTTATTGGCTTCCAGTTATTATACTTGGTAAAGTATTCTTAAATAAAATACAAATTATAAACGTCGCTCTACAATGGGTAGCCAATTGTTGGGACTTGAGGTTTATCTTCTTTTTGTTGTCGCATTCTCATTGGTCAGGTAATTTAAAAATATTACCTCCTAAAAAGTTATATCGAACTATACGATGATTGATCACTGTGCTTTAAAGCTAATACCTTTCCTCGTATGCCAGCTCAGTACTTTTCAGCTATAAAAAGACTAACAATGCGATTAATGCTCTACCAATGGCATTTAAGCTCACAACATCTCTTGATCATTAAGACGTCATTAAGATGATATCATATTCTTATAAAATCACATCAATTTTGAATACCCTAACATCAGAATATCTAAGATTTATTACACACCAGTACTATAAAGTTGGCTGGTTTGATTATGTTCAGTTTGAATATTTAATCTGGAGTTAGATTTTTTGTAATGTCAATTTATTCAAATTTCTCCATACTTAAGAGAAATTTTCGAATTTTCGAATTTTCTCAATTTTAGTTAAACCAAACCAGATCATATCTAGCACCTTAACTTGAGGTTTAGTATGTATAACTAATTGTTTGATTGAAAAATATGGGCATAGATAAAACGATCATTGGAATATCATTTTTTTAAAAAATGTTTGTATGGTCAAAATATTTAGAAACTTAAAATTTGATATATGTACAACATGTAGTACAGGACCCTGTATTTTTTACAAATGGTACCTATTTCGAAACAATGCTTTGTTCATGGCCTGTACGCCAAAATAATTAACACGACATGCCTCAAGAACAGCGCGAAGAAAAATTTTCGTAGCACCAAGTGGTCGCATTCAAAATTTCATATCACATATTTAACTTATATGCAGTCATATCAAAGTTAATCTGAATATCACGACAATAATTGAAATCTCGAAGTGTGTTAATAGACGAGCTTCTATTGTCGTGATATTCAACAGCTTTGCCATTGGATTGATTATGACTTGACGAGTGTATTGTTTAAATGAGCAAAACTTTCATTTGAATTTGAGTGGCGTTTTATTATCATGATAATCTTAATATTTTCCAATGTAAAAAGGAAATGGATGGTACTGAATCTATTCCATTTAGTATAAGGAATATTTTTTCTACATCTGAACAAATTTTATCTTTACTGTCACTTGGTATGAATGAAGATACATTATTTAATAGGGTTAAGCGACAGAGCAAAAAAAAAGCTTGAGAGGCTACGAAATGGCTGCAAAATATGAAATCTTTCAAATACTACAAGCTAACAATAGCTGTAAACCTAAAGTTGTAGTAATTGATTTCTAGAGTGACAGTTTTCAAAATGTTAAGTCAACTTTACTCAATGAGCCTCTATTTAATTTGTTATTTATAAACGAAATGCACAGGCTCTGTGAAGAAGCTGCAGTAATGTTTTACGTCTAGATTTACATCGGGGCGGATTTCTACCAGAGTATGTATTTACCTATGCTTGCGTTCATTTTTTCAACATCAAGCTTTAATAATAATTGGTTAAGTCTCATGATAAATCCTAGGCCTCATGAAACAATCCCAGTATCAAATGAATTAGTTTACTCAAAGTTCGAGTTGTTACTTAAATCAATTAGATTATTCACAATATGATCTATTTATCTAGACACATGGTAGTGCTTTCGTTAAACTTTCAGTTGAAATTTTTCTTCGGTTAAATTGATTGACCCCGCGAAAGAAAAATCCGTTCAATTAACAAACTACTATCAATCATGAAAGTTACTGTTGCTGGAGCAGCTGGTGGTATTGGACAACCATTATCATTATTATTAAAGTTAAATCCATACGTTAGTGAACTATCATTATTTGATATTGCAAATGCAAAAGGTGTTGCTGCTGATTTATCACACATTAATACTCCTGCAAAAGTTGAAGGTTTTACCCCTGAATCAAAAGACGATAAACAAGCAATTATTAATGCTTTAAAAGGTTCTGATTTAGTTATTATTCCTGCTGGTGTTCCAAGAAAACCTGGTATGACTAGAGCTGATTTATTCAATATTAATGCTTCAATTATTAGAGATTTGGTTAAAAATATTGGAAATACTTGTCCAAACGCAGCAATTTTAATCATTTCAAATCCTGTTAATTCAACTGTTGCAATTGCTGCACAAGTTTTAAAAAAATTGGGCGTTTTTAATCCAAGAAAATTATTTGGTGTTACAACATTAGATGTTGTTAGAGCTGAAACTTTTTTGGGTGAATTAACAAATACAAATCCGCAAGAATTAAAAGGAAAAATTTCAGTTATTGGTGGTCATTCTGGAGATACAATTGTTCCATTAATTAACAATCATTCAATTCAAATTCCAAACGATTATAAAGGTTTTATTAATAGAGTTCAATTTGGTGGTGATGAAGTTGTAAAGGCCAAAAATGGTGCAGGCTCCGCCACTTTGTCAATGGCTTTTGCTGGTTATAGATTTGCTGAATATGTTATTGATTCTTTAAGAGGTGGTCCTCAACCAAAAGGTACTCCTGATTCTTCATATATTTATTTACCAGGTTTACCCGGTGGTGATAAATTGGCTGAAAAATTGGGTGTTGATTTTTTTGCTTTACCTGTCTATTTACAAAATGGTGAAATTAAATCATTTATTGATTTAGATAAATTGAATTTATCAAAAGATGAAGAAGAATTGGTTAAAATTTCATTAAAAGGTCTAAAAGGTTCAATTCAACAAGGTATTGATTTTGTAAATGCAAGTAAATTGTAATAAATATTTTTCTTTTTTCCTCGCTTAACTTGCGCTTTAGATGCGCGTTTCTAAAAATCCGGCGCAGAATTGAACCAAGCTGAAAGTCATCGAAAAATTTCAGCAACGTTGTTCGTTGAATAGACTAAATCTCATTGAGAGTTACTGCTCTGAGGTACACTTCTCTGATAACAATCGTAGAGCGACTTTTAATTTGACATTTCGAAAGACCGATATTTTTTACCAGTTTTTTCGATAAAAATTAACTCCCAGACATTTATTTAATACACCAAGTTGATCACCAGAAATGAAAAAAAAAAATAATTAGAGCATCTGGGATTCGAACCCAGGTTGGTTGCGAACATTAAGGTTGTTTACTTAATTTATCTTAAATATTTGAAAGCCAACTAAATCCGAATTGCAAAGAACTCGAAGCTAGCTAGCCCTACCAATGTAAAGCAACAGTACTAACCTCTATACGAATGCTCTTGCAATTGTGCCAAAGTTTACCTTGTACTACTATGCGAAAATAATTTTACATCTGGTAAGCTCTTTATGAATCATGTTTAATTTTTCTTCCAACCATTTTCTGAGCACCCAAGACTTTCGTGCGCACGAATAAAAGAAAAATCACAAAAAATATTAACTGAAGTAATTTTCACGGTTGAATTCAAATAAACGGATTTAATAAATACTATGAAGAATAGATTGAAGAAGGTACTGCTGTTGACTGAACTGATAGATGAAGAGCTAATATTAACGTCAAAACACTGGTGCTTGGGCTTAATTCAATATATCTATTTAAGAGCTTCTTCAAGAGATTATAAAACTCAATTGAACTTGATTCTAGTAGCTCTTAACCAAAATCAAAATTTTCAAAGTTTCCTCTTAGGTACGAGAAAATTCCGATAAATGAATCTCCTACGGAAAATCAGACTCCACAAAAAACTAGCCAACTTTGTAGTTCTTGTGAGCAGATAAACCTCTGTACTTTCTGTGTTAATATATTAAAAAGTAATTTTTCAAAACTGAATCGAATTTTTTTGCAAAAAATTTCAAAAAGATTTTGGCGTCTCGAAACATTCCAAATATAAATCTATGGTCAAATAAATTTAATAAGCTATCTTTCAACTTGCTAGAAGAGGTTTAAGTATGGATTATCTTGCAATTTAACGCTTTTTGCCAAATTTTTGAAGGAGAATAAGGTGAGCAGAATTATGTTTAGTCAAAGACTTCTAATATTCTAATATATACCAACTTTGAGCTGGGTTGAATTCTTTATTGAGTTAAGTTTGAGAGATAATCGGCGGTGTTATTTACGAATTAAATATTGAGATTAACAATTGCGAGACTGCATATAAGTTAAAGTTGCCTATGTTGGACCTATGCAAAACGATATTACGGCCAAAAATTTTACTAAGGCAAAAGCTGGTACCACCATCAATGCAAATTTTATTTCTACTACAAATAAGTTGGTTTGCTTGGATATTTAATTACTGTCCAATGCTAACTCGGTCGTAGAGAAATACTAGAGCATTTGATAGTTTATAGATTATGATAATACTCTATAGATGAATTCGTGATGCATTTTGCATCTCAAATATGTAAATTTATCATATAATTATGCTAAAAAAAACTAGAATTGACTCAAAGAACCAGATAGAGATCATAAAAAGAATTACTTAATCAAAAAAAAAAATACTATTGCTGAAAATGCAGCTTCTGTGGCTCGAACACAGTACCTCCAGATCTTCAGTCTGACGCTCTCCCAGGTGAGCTAAAGCTGCAAAATAAACAAGCAACCCACGCCGGGATTCGAACCCGGAATCCTTTGATTAGAAGTCAAAAGCGATAACCATTTCGCCACGCAGGCTTGTTGAAACGAAAAGTGTGCTCTTTTAATATTATAGCTCTGAAAATCCACGTGATATGTATAATTTGATACATAAAATAGAACTATACCTAGAAATTCTAAACAAAAATATGTATAGCTTACCTGCGGCTATTGGTAACTGAAGCCAGGTGACAAATGAAATTAAAATGATTGAAGAAGAAACTGAAATGTTCAACATTATAAAGTTCCGACTGGTTATGTTGTCATGAGATTTTGTATTAAAGAAGATGGTGTAATTATAAGATGGTTTAATTATCAAAAAAAAATAACCAATGGTTGTTCCTGTCTTAAAAGGTAGAATATATAACTACATAATGAATGTTTTACTCTCTAGCTTGAAATAAAACTTATAAATAATCGGATTTAAAACCAAATTGGATTCTGTATTTAGTTCAATACATTTCTGAGTTACCATACATAGTATTGTCAGATTGTATTCATATGTTTAATTTCAGCACATTAACACTCTACTTTACCATTAAATATATATTATACAAGTGTTAATTTCCTACTTATTGAAACTAAACCCTTCTCTTTATTCGCTAACGTTATATAATTTGGACTGTAATGTAATAACTTATCATAATTTTCAAAATCTTCTGAATTAAAACATTGTAAATCAATTGTCAAATTATCGGCATTAAAATCTTCAGTATAAAATAATGATAAATCAAATGAATTATTTAATCCATTTAAATAAACAACTTCAATTCCAGAAACATCTTTATAAATATTTAAATCTTTAATTTTAGAAACTCCTTCTGGTAAATTTTTAAAATTTGGTAATTTACCTGATCCTAAAACAATACCTTTTACTGTTTTTTGATTAAATTTAAGGTTACACATCGGACTACCTTTTAATGTAACATTTGCAATATTTAACCCATTCAGTTTTGATGTAGATAATGAAACATCTAAAAAATCAGGTTGAAAGGTTTTATATGAGCACATTTCATTACCATCTGGTATATCTTCACATGTATGTTTAAATGGAACTTCAACTAATCCTTTCCTACCAAAAATTTCCACATTGTTATTGTTTTGTAAATATCTCAATTTTGATGGATTAGTTATACTGAATGGTTCTATTATAGTTGATAAAATTATCCCAATAATTGAAAATAATATAAAAAGTGAAATAAGGAATTTGTTAAATTTATAAATAAATGGTAATATTGGAAAGATCCATAATTGAGAAAACACCAATATAAAAAAATAAATTGTCTTTTCACTGGCTAAAGATTCTTGAATTGATTTATGAATACCATCTAATACTAACCAACCAGAATTATAAATAATATACATGGATACGGGAACAATGATTAAAAATTGTATTGACCAATCATATTCATAATTTTGAATAGGTACAGGTTCAACTGATTCTTCTTCTAATAATGGTTGTTCTTCATCAACTACTTCCTTTCTTGTAAATAACCAACCTAAAACACCAAGACCAGATGCAACAAGTTCCAATAAGAATACAAGAGTTATTGGAAATGAACCAGTCCAACTTTCAACCTCCTCCGTAGTAAATATTAACAAAACCCAGTAGATGAATGCAATTTCCATAATTGAAACCAATTTTTGTTCACTTGGCCATATATAATTAATCCCATTTAATACTAAATAATAAATCACTACCGAAACTGAAGATGCAGTAGTTACAATTAACATTGGATGTGAAGTCGGCAAAAATTCATTAACATATTTAATATATTGTATTAATAACCCACTTGTAATAAATGAAATTAACATTCCCAATGGTAAATTTAATAAATTCCATTTAAATTTGAATATAAAAGGACCAATAAACAAAAAGGATATTAATAAAACTAAATTGATCTTAAATAATGTCCCACTTGAAATTGAAAAAAAAGTATTAAAAAAAGTAGTATAAATAGCTTGATCATCCAGATCCTCCAATTGATGCATACTTACATATTTTGTAAAATCTTTTGCATTTGATAACATATGTGCAAGAGATTCCCTTTTTACATTTCTAATATTATCTTCTCTTGTATGATAAATATCTCTTGGTTTATAAAATGCTAAATCCAACCCTCTTAAACCATTTTCTTTATATATTTTGTAATCAGTTTCAGAATGAATCAATCCCTTATTAAATCCTTGTTGAAAAATACTACTTGCATATGGGTACCTAACTTTATTGAAGTATTTAACAATTCCATAATCTGTACCTCTAAACAAGATAGCTTTACCACCAGCGCCAGTACCTTCAAGATTCAAAAAGTACTTTATCTGTTTAAACCATGGATGATGAACAAATGCTTTGGCTCCGTACAACCCAAACTCTTCATTATTATTAAAATTGAATATAATTGTTCTTTTAGGTTTTTTAATTGACTCCAAAACACCTAATAAACATGCTATTCCCATACCATCATCAGTAACTCCATAGCTTGACGGTACCGAATCATAATGTGCACTTAATAATAAAGCAGGCCAATCTTCTGTCCCATTAATTCTAACTAATAAATTATTACTTTCATAATAATGTACACCATTATTTTTAAAAAAATGTTTACTTATTTCAAAATCATAATCTGAAGCCAACTCCTTTATTCTACTTTCTAAGTAGTCATGTACTTGTTGATTACCAATTGAACCATAACTATGTTCAGTTTTTGAAATATTCTCCAAATCTATCCAAGCATTTGATTCTTCGCCTTTAATATAAGTATTATCTATAACCGACAATAATACAGTAATAAATATGACCACTACAGTCAACAAAGATAGTGATGTTTTCCTATAACCAAAAATCGCTCTTATTGAGCGTATAAATATGTTTGGTTCGTCCATAGTGGAAAAAAAATTGGCCTCACGAAAATTATAGCATCAATGTTTCCAGAATTAAAAAACGATTTAATATTAAGAGCTGCTAAAGGTGAAAAAGTTGAAAGACCTCCAATATGGATTATGAGACAAGCTGGTAGATATCTTCCAGAATATCATAAAGTTAAAGGTGATAGAGATTTTTTTGAAACTTGTAGAGATGCAGAAATTGCTTCTACGATTACTATCCAACCTATAGACCGTTTTAAATTAGACGCAGCAATAATTTTTAGTGATATCTTAGTTATTCCACAAGCAATGGGTTGTGATATTAAAATGGTTGATGGTAAAGGTCCAGTTTTCACTGATCCAGTAAGAAAACCAGAAGATTTAAAAAAAATCAATCTAAAACCTGATATTAAAAAAGAATTGGATTGGGCATTTAAAGCAATTACATTAACTAGACATAAATTAAATGGCAAAGTACCGTTATTAGGGTTTGTTGGTGCACCTTGGACTTTATTAGTTTATATGACTGAAGGTCAAGGTTCAAAAATGTTCAGATATGCGAAAGAATGGATTTATAATGATTATGCACAAGAATTATTACAAGCTTTATGTGATAATTGTATTGAATTTTTAGCTCAACAAGTTGTTGCTGGTGCTCAAATGTTGCAAGTTTTTGAAAGTTGGGCTGAAACTTTAGGTCCAGAAGAATTTAAAAATTTTTCATTACCATATTTAAAACAAATTGCCGAAAAATTGCCTAACAGATTAAAGGAACTTGGACAAGAACCAGTACCATTAACAGTATTTGCTAAAGGTGCATGGTATGCATTAGATGATTTATGTAATACCAAATATGATGTTGTGTCATTAGATTGGTTATATTCGCCAGAAGAAGCAGTAAAAGTAAGAGGTGATAGAAGAATAACCCTTCAAGGTAATTTAGATCCAGGAGTAATCTACGGAAGTGATGAAGTTATTGAATCAAAGGTTAAATCAATGATTCATGGTTTTGGTAAACAACAGTATATAATTAATTTTGGCCATGGTACACACCCATTTATGAAACCAGAAAAAATAGAATACTTTATTGAAATGTGTCATAAGTATGGTAAATAATATATACGAATTAACCTCAGATTATATTGATTCTCTTAAATTATTACATTTTGATTATGAAACAAGGGAAATAACAAAAGAAACTAAGGTGCTTTCAGACTTTGAAAGGTACAACCAAAAAAGAACTGCTAAAAATTTGCCACCAGTCGATGAAGATGAATTTGATAGAATTATAGAGGAAGAATCAATTGAAAGTTTATCAGGCGATGAAGAGGAATACCTAAACACTAGATCTCCATTTATATTATTTGACCATAATGGCGAAACAATTGGTATATATAAAGCTGTTTTTAAAAATGAACCAAATTTACATGAAGTTCAAAAATATGGTAAATCTGCATTATTTATGGTTGGTGGTGGTCATTTTGCTGGTGCTATAGTTGAAAATAATAAATTTATTAAAACTAAAACATTTCATAGATACACAACTAGAAGAAAACAAGGTGGTTCGCAATCAGCTTCAGATAATTCAAGAGGTAAAGCAAATTCAGCAGGTTCTTCCATTAGAAGATATAATGAACAAGCATTAGCACAGGAAATAAAAGAATTGATAAAATCTTGGGAACTTAATGAATGTGAAAATATTTTTATACGTGCAAATGGTGTAACTAATAGGAAAATTATATTTGATGCAGTTGAAAAGGATTCAAGGGTTAGAAATTTTCCATTTACTACAAAAAGAGCAACTACATCTGAATTAAAAAGAGCATGGGATGAATTAATGTCGGTACATCATGTTGAATTACCCAAAGTTGATCAAAAGCAAGAGGTGATTAAAGAACAACCAAAGATCATAAAAATCAAAGAGAAACAAGATGAGCTTATACCGTTGCTTAAAAAACAGAATAAGTCAAAGATTATACAGTATGTGAAAGAGCATAACATCGATGTCAACACACACAAAGTTAACAACACTCCATTATTACATTTTGCAACTACAAATAACCTCCATCATACAATTCAAGTATTAGTAGCCGACCTACATGCATCTCCATTAGTATTCACTCATAAATATCCAGCAGAATTGGCAGATAAAGAAACAAGAAAAGTATTCCAACAAATTAGATTTAAATTAGGTGAAAATTATTGTGATTGGGATAAAGCAAAAGTATTACCTGCTAAATCAAAAGAACAATTTGATAAAGAACTAAAAGAACAACAGGAAAAAGAAAGATTAGATAAACAACAAAGAATAAAACAAGAATTGGCTAAAAAAGCTGAAATGGAATTAAAAAAACCAAAATTTCAATCTGTAAATAAATTGGGTCAAGGTGAATCATTAAATGGGTTAACAGATCAACAGAAAATGAGAATAATGAGAGAACAACGTGCAAGAGCAGCAGAAGCAAGAATGAAGTAATGATTATGAATGAACCAAAATTTCAGTAAACCATTAAATGGTATTCGAAAGTTGAGGTTGAAACGCTGAAGAATATAAAGGTATCACAGATTCAACCGAGTGTTATTACATTACTTAGAAGTAAAGATAAAAGAACAAGAAATTAGAATTGTCTAGATTCATCAGAAGAACCTAGTGTATATCCATTTAATTAAACAAATTTGCATTTCTTTGAATTTTCAAGAATGATACAATGTAGATATAGTTTTAGAACGATCAGTTACTCCAATAAACAACATGCTTGTGTACATTTTAATTCTGAAAACTTGACTACTTTAAAATAATTCTGAAACAGAACAATCAACTTATATGCAGTTTCTCTACAGATTATCTCAGAACTTGATTAGTTAATAACTCCCTCTATATTCAAGCTCTCGTTATCAAACTAAGTTTTTTTGAAATTTTCATTCAATTTAAGAAAGAATGATTGTTAATATCTTTTTAAAGAATACAATCTTGATAACGCAATTTTGACCCCACAAGGCAGCACTCAAATCAAAATATAATAAAAGTAGTCGAGTTTATGCTAATATATCCATGACATTTTTGTGTTTAGGTACTCAACATTGGAAAAGTAATTTATCAACAGCGATTCGAAATTTTTGCAAAATCTTCTAACTGATCGAGTTGTCTAAAAAACATCATCTAAAGTATTTTAAGAGTTAAATGGACTGTTTCAGCTATGTTTGAAGTTACTAGGCTAGATCTAAATGCTAGTTGTCTTACAATATACCGTTTGTATTTTTTAAATGATGAATAAAGTAATCAGAGTTCAGTTTTCTTTGAGAATACCAAAACTAACTTTAAAATGATTGAATCCTAGAAGAAAAAAGTTGGAGAATAATAGCTTGTATTATGAGAGAGTTATTTACGATTCAAGTTTGAAGATCATCTAGTATAAGACTTCATATAAGTCAATTTGTGTCAGATTTGATTTCAAAAAGTACGCAACTCTCGATGCGACAATTTGCTACAAAAAATTGAATTCCCGCGTTAGGTTTAATGCGAGCAAAATACAATCTTGCACGAGTTTTCGGGCGATACTGCAGGTGTAATTTTTTATATGTAATATACAATGAACAAATTGTTTCAAGATAATTACCATTAATATGGAAACAAAGCTTTGTATTGAACATATCAATATTATGAGAAAATAAGAGCTAGACCACCAGAAGCAAGAATGGTGTTATGGCAATAAATAATGCATTTATTTATTTAGTATCTCTTCTACCCTTTCTAACAATTTCTCTACCCCGTATTCTAATATTTGTTCATGATACTTTAGACATAACAAAAGAAACCTTGATCTTTTTTAGAACTTTTTCCAATACCTCATCATGATTAAAACATTCAGGTTTAAAATGTTGATAATCATTCAAGGCCAACTTAACAGCCCTCTTCTTAACATTATCATCCTTAATATCCTTAGCACTAATCCAATCCTTCACATTCTCCTTTTCTTCTTCATCTTCTTCATCTGCCTCATTTTCGACTTCCACCTTCTCACCAGTCCCCGCACAATCACAAATTAAATCATGAGTATTACAAATAGTATTCTCAACGTTAAACAAGTTCTTTAAATCTTCATGATCAAAATCATTTATTCCATCACTGTCATTTCCCAAGAATCTTGAACTCAATTTCAATTTCAATAATTGCCTTTGGAATATTTTTTCATCAATACAACCACTAGTAAACAATCTATAAATAAAACAAGGTTTCAATTGTCCATCTCTATGTATCCTAGATATACTTTGTAAATCAACACTTGGATTCCAATCATTGTCGAAAAGAATTAACCTACTTGCTCCTATTAAATTTATACCCATTCCACCTGATTTCGAAGATAATAAAAAAATATTTATACTTGAATTGTTAAATTGTGATACTAGTTTGTTTCTGATATTATTTGGAGTTGAACCATCTAGTCTCAAAAATGTGAAATTTAATTTTTTGATTATTTCTTCCAATAATGTTAGAGTTGATGTATAATTTGATATCAAAACTATTTTCTCTTTATTTGCAATACATTCAATCAATAATGGAATTAATATGTTAATTTTTCCTGAAGCTTTAGGGAGTGAATTATCATGTAGATATGGTGAATTACATATTTTCTTAAATGTGTTAATTAATTGAAATGAATGTTCAAATTCTGCAGATTTGAGTAATTCAATTTGTTGAGTTGTAGGAGGAACGAATAATAATATATCTGTTTTCTTAGTCAAATTTAAACCAGCTGTTCCTGTTCTTCTTAATATAAACTGACTTGTCAAATTAACTAATTCCTGAGTTGCTTCTTCACCTGGCAGTCTATCAATACAATGCAAATCCCTTGATCTAGTAATTGGACAAACAAACTTCTTTTGAAATGTTTTCAAATCTGGAAGAACACCAGGATTTAAAAAATTAACTAATGTATAAAATTCAAGCAATTCATTTTGAATCGGTGTTCCAGTTAAAATTATCCTTTTTGGTATGTTCAATGATGTTAGGTTTTGTAATACTTTTGAATCTTTATTTTTTAATCGGTGTCCTTCATCACACACTAATAAATCAAATTTCACATTACTTAATTCTTGAAAACACGTACTCAATTTCTCATAGTTGATAATCAATATTTGATAAACATTATATCTTCCAAAATTAACTATATCTGATTTTTCAGCACTCAGTTGAATTGATAATTTATTATTAATCCATTTTTTAAATTCTGCTTTCCAATTATTAATCAATGTAACTGGACAAACAATTAAAAATTTCTTATAATCAGCTTGTTTGTATAATGTATAGATTGTAGTAATTGCAGTTAAGGTCTTACCTAATCCCATTTCATCAGCTAATAAACAACCAGAATATGATTCCAAACTTTGATATAAAAATTTAACACCTTCAACTTGATGAGATCTTAATTTTTGAGATAGAATAGGATCAATACTTATTGAATCTGATAATTTAATAGCATTGGGTGAATCATAAACAAGTGGGACCACTTTTGTCTTTTTACCAACCAATTTTGTTTTTTTTTGAATTGGTTCAGTTATTTCACTTTCTACTTCTATTTCATAATTTCCAATAGATATAACATCATCAAACAGTGGTAATTTATTATATGTTTTCCTTGTTATTGTTTTATTTTCTTCCGATTTAAGTATAATTTCGTGATTGTTAATTTGTATAGTACCATCACCATCCCAAGTTTTATTTTTCTTATTTGTTTTCTTTCTCCATTGGACAGACAATACTTTGGATTCAAAAAGGACTTTTTCTTCTTTCTCTTCTTTCTCTATCTCTTTAGTTTTGATTAATCTTGGTGGTTTAAAAGGTTTATTTAACATATTAAAATCATAAACAACGCGTAAATTAAATTTTCAAACTATAAATTTATATAATCAATTGATGAAGCAGTCGAAGCATAAATACCATATATAACCACCACAACAAACAGTAATAAAAAACAATGTAATAATATACATTCTGTATTAGTTAACATAATAAATGGGAAATGATTCCAATAAACATTGTATACATATCTAACCAAACTCATCTTGAACTACTGGTGTTGATAATAAATTTTTTTTTTTTTTTCATTGTATGAATTTGCAACAAATTAAGAAAAGGTTGATAGAGGAACCAATTGAAGATGAGGTTAAACAATACTACAAGGAATTAGTTGAGGATATAAGGACGGATGATGTTTTATACAATGATACACTAGCTGTTTGTCTACGAAGATTAAGAATTTACCAACTGGAAATAGATGAAATAGATACAATATTTGATTCAGCCCTAACTTTTACAAATACAAAATATAACCCACTCCTAAACTCGCTCCAGTCGCTCATTGATAAATTATCATTATTTAATCATGATGTCCAAAAATGGATAGATTTATTAATGTTACAACCTAAAACTAAGAATTTTTTCGTTTTACTCGGGGTACTTTTAAAAAAAGGACACTTAAATGATTATCCAAATTATGCACAGGAGTGCTTTGAAATCTATGATGATACTGTTGCAAATGCTTGCTCAAAAACTCTAGTCAAGTTTTTTAAAGATGATTGGAGAGAATTTGTGAATAAGGGTTTACGTGACGAGAGTAAGAAATTTCTAATACTTACTCATTTACTACCTGGTTTAATCAAAAAAGATAAGTCTGTATTTCAAAAACTACTTCAAGATAACTCAGACCCTTTAATTTTAGTAGGTTTGATAAATTTAGGAGAGGTGAATATCGATTTAGAACCTTGTTTAATCCATTCAAATGCTCAAGTTAGATTAGATTCTTTAAAATATGTACTAAATAAGAAACTATACCATTTGATAAAGGACAATTATGTAATTGAGATAAATTTGAATGAAGGTGATGACAGATTTATAAGTTTGATGAATCGAGAATATGACCCAGAGTTTGAAAATTGGTTGAAAGAGGTACTTTATGATCATTTGCATGAGGAGAATAATTTCCATCAGAAACTATCAGCTATGCTAATATTAAACTTTCTTAAACTAGATGAAAAAGTAGTTCCATTATTGGTTAACAATTTATATTCCAATTATAAAGCAATTAGAGATGCAAGTCTCAGTTTATTACAGAGGTTATCATTTGAGTACCATGGAGATATGGATAAATGTTTTTCAATATTGACTAGACTAGAAGGTAGAGAATCTGAAGGTGGTGTTTGTGCAATCACATACTTTTCAAAATTCAAGGACTTTTCAAGAAGACTTAAAGATGGATTGAAAGAAGATAGAATACATGGATATTTACTGGCACTTGCTCAAATTGCCGAAACTAAAGATCCAGAAGTATTAACTGAAGCACTAGAAATATCTAAAAAATATACTGCAGTGCTTTCACTCGATCAAGTTGCATATAAGAATGAAGATGAGTTTAAACATGCAAAATGGGAAATAAATTATGCTTGGAAAGTATTACAAGCCGCGAATGAACTAATGTTAACAATTGCTGAGAAGTACAATTATGGAGCTGAGTTAGTTTTCAATCAATTACAATTACAATTACGAACGATTAAATTCCGAGGAGCAATTTCATCAACTTATCCATTTTATGAACGGGCTTGTAAATTACAAAAAGGAGATATAGACAAGGAATTAGAATATATTCAAGAAGGTAATCGAAATCGTTTGATTACTAGAAGATCAGGTGGGATAATTTATATAATACCGGGTATTTTACAAGCTGCAGAAGATAAATTTGATTATGCAGTAGAAAGACTATTTGAATTAGCTCAAGAACCAATTCAAGATGATTTCGTGACTGAAGATCTTCCACAGATACATGCATTTAATATATTAAAACAAATTTTCACTGAGAAAAACTTAACTAATCAAAGTCAAAAGTATCTAGAAAGAGGTCTAGTCTTATCTTTAAATTATTTTGAGAGTCCAGTTTGGTCAATTAGGAATTGTGCAATGATGTTATTTGGATCACTAAAGAAGAAGATATTTAATAATAAGATTGCAAGTAAACGATTCTTTGCCAGATTTAAATTTTTATCATTTTTCATAGAAAAATTGAATAATAATCAAGTTGTGATACCGATTTTAGTGATACTTGAAAGTTTAGAATACAAGGAATCAATTGAAGAATTAGTAATTGCATTAAAGACGTCATTAGGTAATGAAATCTGGAAAATTCGAGAATTAACAGGTAAGGTATTAAGTAAAATGATCAATTGTGAAGATTTAATAGAGTCATGTAATGATAATAATAGTTTCCAAGGTGTATTATTTGGAATACTAGCCGGAAACAACCCACCAAATTTGAATCCAGAACTATTATATAAATCATATTTCATTGCTGATGTATATGTCAAGATATTGGATAAATTTAGAATCAAAGTGAATGTCCTAGATTATTTTCATGAATTACTTGAGAATTATTCAATTTATAATGGGAAGAAATTATTCATCGAATCATTGTTAACATATTTATTAAATAATGGAGAAGATGTCCTAAAAGCAGCATTAGATTCAAAATATGAAAACCTATACCCTATTGTTATTAATCATGTCGAGGAGAATGATATTCAATTTGATCTTAGTCCATATTTATCATATCCTAATGCAATTCGCGTATATTCAAGAATGAAAAACATCAAGATATTAAATATAGAGAACATAGAATATCGTGCCAATTTTGAACACATCATACCTGACATTTTAAAGTTCACAGATCCGAACCAAGATTTAGATACGAGAATACAAGGTTTTAATGCATTATATATTTATTTAAAGAACGCAAGTGGATATAATTACAATTATGCACTTATGTTATTATTTGAAAGAGGGTTATTTGATGATGATGAAGATATAAGAAAAGAAGTCACTAAAAAACTATGTGATATATTTAAGATTGATGTCAGTACAACTTACTTATCTTTAGTATTTCCAACATTGCACCAATTTGAAGATGAGATAATTAATGATGTATTAATGAGAAACACATTAGATTATAAACAACTAGATGATAATTTAAAAGAAGCTCAAGAACCGAGTTTATATTCATTTGAAAGAAACAATTTTTATAAAAATGAAATCATGTATACTAGAATACTTCAGAAATTTAACTACGTTTCCGAGCAAGTTAAAAATAAGGTGTTAAAAGACATAAAATATATTCAAACCATCCCCGAATTAAATCTACCATTAAATTATATTATGTTGGATTATAAAAAGAAGACAGAGATAAATGCCACGATTGCTGGTATCTGAAATATAGTTTATAGCATTGTTAAAGTAAGATATATTCACGATTGATCTATTCGCCATTGAACTATTCAACATTGATCTATTCAACATTGATCTTTTCACCATTGATCTATTCTACTATACCATCATTACATTGATTTTACATCCTTAAAGGCGCTACCATATCGCCATGCGTATAAATTGAAACACCGAAAATTTTTTTTTTATACCATCATCACCACTTTTCAAAGGTATGTTTTTCAAATATTATTATAATGATGAATTTATATTTAACAACAACGAATTTCTTCAACTGAATTCACCTTGTGGAAAGAAAAATATTCAGAGCTTTTTAACACTGATATAATAACCTTTTGAACTCATTTACTAACAATCAATCAGCCCTTAATAGATTTTTTAATATATAATTTTTTTTTTTCAACTTCAAGTTTAATGCATTACGAAAATTTGATATCTTTCTTAGTTACAATCGTAACAGTTCCTATATTTCTTATATTGATTAGATTAGTATATATACTATATGGAGATCCACCAAGAAGGGTTGAGAATGTTTCAATTTCAGTGTTTTTGGGATCAGGTGGTCATACTGGTGAAATGTTAGCGTTAATTTCCAAATTGGATTTGAAGATAAGTACTTATATATGTTCAGATGAGACATCTAAAAATAAGGTTAAAGATAAAGGTGAAGTGATATATATTCCTAGGGCAAGACATGTTGGACAACTGTATTTTACAAGCATTTTTACTACATTACATTCATTTATCATATCATCTATACTTTTATTATTCAATTGTCCTTCTGTTTTATTATTAAATGGGCCTGGAACAAGTGTACCTATTGCATATATAATTTTCATTTATAAATTTTTAGGAATTTGTTCAACTAGAATTATTTATATTGAGTCATTAGCCAGGGTTGAGAAATTGAGTCTAAGTGGATGGTTACTCCTACCTATTACAAACAGATTCATAGTTCAATGGGATAAACTATATCAAAAATATAATAAAGTTGAATATTATGGGATTTTACTATGAAAAATATATATTTTTGATCATTTTCTTTTACTATCCATTTCTAAAGTTAATTTAAACTGAGAGTATATCATTTGCATCCTTACATTGTTGCATCCTTACTGTTTTAACATCCATATGTATTTGATTTACCAAAAAATTAGTACAATGAGTAGCACAAAACAGAATCACGTTGGGCCCAACAAGAATATTTTTAAAACCGAAAGCTGAGACGAAAAAAAAATCAAGTATGGCGAGAATTTAAGCGGATTTTTTACGCATAAACAAAAATAAATTAAATATTGAATCTGATCTTCTGAAAGGATACCAGTGAACTTAGAAATTTGTCAACAATACAGATTCGTGGCTAAATGCTTAATTCAAGCTAAATAGAAGGCAGTATAATCAAAATTGCTTTCGTGATATCGATTTTTAAGTTTGATGTTCTACAAAATATTGACACCAAAATTGCCGCGCGACAAAGGAACGTTAAGCCCAAATACAAAATTCCGAAAGCGAGAACTAAGGCGAAAAACAAAATAGATCAGGCCTTTTTCTCATTTTTTAGCCAAAACATAAAATAAACCATACGCGTATTTACAAAATATATGTCATTTTCATTTAATGGTTTAATTCATGAATTTCCATTTCAGATAGATTGTTTTAATAATAATGCAGAAGCTTATTTTTTAACTCATTCACATTCAGATCATTTAACAGGGTTACTTAACAAATCATTTACTGGTTATGTTTATTGTACTAAAATTACGCGTGATATATTAGCCACAGATGATAGATTTTCAGAAGTAATTAAATATTTCAAAGTTAAAGAATATAATACTCCATTCTACATAGACACATTCATTGACGGTAGGGTCACAGTTACATTAATCAACTCTTATCATTGTCCTGGGTCAACCATGTATCTCATGGAATCTGAATATACGTCAATTTTATTCACTGGTGATTTAAGAGCTGAAAGTTGGTGGTTAAACACATTAGAAAAGAATAAATATTTATTTCCATATTTAACTGGTTTGAAGAGGTTGGATAATATTTATCTAGATACTACGTTTTCATATCGTGGAGAACCATATATTGATATTATGCCAAATACCGATGGAATAGTTGCATTAATTGAATTTCTTAAATTGTACCCGCCAGATATTGAATTTTTATTTATTGATGCTGTGTCTGGATCAGAAGAAGTTTGGTTCAATGTTGTTGAATATTTCAATGGTCTTTTAATACCTGATGAGAAAATTAGAAAGAGATTAGAAGTGATAGATGAGAAAATTAATAGATCTGATGAAACTGGAAGGAAATTCTATGTTGGAAAACATGAAAATAACGGGAAAAGAGTCTGGATCAAACACTGTATCGATTTTAATATTGTCGATTATATTACAAACTGTATACCCAAAAAAACTAAAGATTATGATGTTTTAGAAATGTTTGATAATTATTTACTTGTAAGACATGATAAACAAGAATGGATATATTATAATGAAGAATTACTCCCAAGAAATATATTACTCATGTTTTCTCGTCATTCATCATATACTGAATCAAAACAATTAGTTGAAATGTTTCAACCAAGGACAGTGTGGCCATGTACTGAGACTCAAAAATCGTGGCTTAACGGGTTTTCAATAGCTCATGCATTTGGAGGAGATAATCACAGATACGATTTAGAAATGACTAAACTTTATGGCGCTCCTTTAATTCCCGATAGACCTGTTGCTGTCATTGATAGATGGTCATTTGCTCAGTGTTTACAAGAAATTGAATTTTTGAAACAATATAATGGCGAAAATGTTAAAGATCATCCATTTAAGGGAACTATGAAGTTTGAAGATCATCAAAAATGGAAAAGAGACTTTAAATTACAAGGAGTTATTACAGGTAGAGGTGAATTTAAATATAATGAAATTATAAATTTACATCAACAATTAACTAATCAATATTCAACTGATGAAAATATACAAGATCATGATTATGAAATTGATTCTGAAAGTGAACCAGAACAACTACCTTCAATTATTGATTCCAGTTTTCTTGAACAATCATTTGATGAAATTTATTCAAGTCAAGTTAGTACCACAAGAATAGATTCAATAGTCAACAATTTAAATAAAGACCCAAGAAATTGGTTTATGTATAAATTTAATACACATTAATGACCTTAAATTAACTTGACTAGACTCTGTTTACAGCTTTATTTCTATTGACGTATCCGTAGTAGATCATTTTATTGCACCTTTACCATACACCTTTACTTCTATTAAAGAATCTATACCATAGACAATCTTGCTAGCATCTTTACTAATTCTCTTTCCATCTATGACCACATTTTGTACATTTATAAAAAGTAGTCATTGGTTCATCAGCAGATCTAATTTGTAATTGGAAGAAATATGCTTTATCACCTGAACAACCTTCTTTTTGACAATTTACAGCAGTTTGGTCAACATTATCCCAAGTACCTTCACCTCCCAAAACATCATCAACTTCTTTTCGATTTAATTTTTTCCTATCAAACATTTGTAAACCTTGAATTTTAAATTCATAAGGACATGTAGAACAATGAAAACTATTCATACCATCTTCTTCAGATGGAGAGATCATAAGCATATTTGAACAGCTGGGACAAAATGAAAGCATGACTCTTGTATTCTCTTGAATCTATTTGGTTCAATTATACGAGATGATCTTTTGCATCAATTAATTTTTTCTGAAACGCGACTGGTGAAAAATTATGGATAGATTATTATTTACACCAACAAAGAAAAGACTAATTGGTGGTGGTAGAAATGGTTTAAAGTCACCAGAGAGGAGAATAGAATCACCTGAAAGGAAAAGGAAAAGATTATTGGTAGACGATGTGGAAGATTTCGATATTGGAATTGAAATTGATATGACTATCGTATCTGAAGATGATAGTGTTTCAGAAATTGATGTTTCAGAATTAGAAGAAGGAGCCCCAAAAAAGGTTAAGAAAGAGACAAAAAAGAAACTGCCGATACGAGAGAGTAAAGGTGGTAGACCACCAAAATCTAAATTAGTTAAATTTGTTAAATCAATATTCAAACAAGATGATGATTTGTTTAATGAATCAAGACCAAAACGACAAAAAACTTCACCCAAAAAGATTGAAGATCCTAAACCTAAAGCATTCATAGATTCGTTAATAGATAAAACTAATCTCAAGTCTATACCAATTATATCTGGAATCAAACAGTCAAATATTAAAATCCCTGAAATTGAAAAGTTTGAACCATTACCTGTCCCAAAGGAATTAGATCAAGATTATTTAGATAAATATTTTGATGGGATAAATCCGTATGAGTCCAGACAAGGTAGGTTCCTTGAAGATAGAGTTTTCTTTCTTGAAGGTCCAGAAGGTTATTTTGAACAACACATGACAAGAGCAAAACCTGGTTTTAACTCATTAACTTCATTAGCTCCAAATATAGAATATCCAGAATTTAATAAATACATCAAACTACAAGATGAATTATTTGCTAAACAAAAGGTTAAATTAAATTATTATCATAAATACTTATATCATCAATGGTATTTCACATTAACTCATGGGTTTAATTTATGTTTTAATGGAGTAGGATCTAAAATGGAACTTATTACAGATTTTGTGGAGAATTACGTCCCATTGGACATACCTACCTTGGTCATTGACGGGAATAATCCACAATTAAATTTTAAACAATTAGTTTATGAAATTGCATCGACTTTAATAGAAGGTAGACCACCTAAACAATTATCTGAATTGGTTCCTTATATCGTCAAAAACCTATCCACAGAATCACCTCAATTACTTTTAGTCATTCATAATATCGATGGTGATTCATTTCGAGATGAAAGTGTACAAAATTATTTTACACAATTGGTTTCAATACCTGAAATATATTGCGTATGTTCAGCTGATCATATAAATACACCATTATTATGGGATTCATCAAAATTGGAAAAATTGAATTTTATATGGCATGATTTAACAACATTCAAAAGCTATACTCACGAGTTATCATATAAAGATTTGTTGAATCTAGGTAGATCTAAAAAATTTATAGGTAATTTGGGTGCTAAATTTGTTATTAGATCATTAACTGAAAACTCAAGAGAATTATATAAATTATTATTACAACAACAAATGGACGTCATTACTTTGAAAAGTACCGAAAAGACTAGAAGTTCATTCAAGGGATCAATTAAAGCTGGTGTTGAATTTAAAACATTGTATTACTTATGTTTGGATCAATTTATTGTTTCTAATGAACACACTTTCCGAAATTTAATAAATGAATATATCGATCATAAAATGTGTTCATTAGTTAAAGATTTACAGGGAGTTGAATATTTGTTCATTCCTTATACATTTGATGAAATGATGATTATATATAATCAAGAGTTTGAGAGGAAGGATGAAAATATAGAAGATTAGTTGTTTATTAGAAATGGTTAAAATATATAATATTTTGTTGCTAAGGCATATTCAAAAAGAGGTTATAATTGAAGAATTATTTGTTAATTATGGTAATTCAAGTAGTTGTGAGCTGTAAGTGACCAATTCACGTTTTTGAGTAGTTCGATCAATATTGGCAATTTTGTTGATAGTGAATAAATAATATACACACTAAAAATAAATTACCACGCATTAACAACTGCGCTTTAATTTACCAATGGCAATTCCAAAACTTGTTGAAGGTACTCAGTTGCAAGTTGGTAAACATACGGTTACTATAACTAAATATTTATCAGAAGGTGGATTCGCTCAGATATACCAAGTTTTATTAAATAATGAACCTGCTTGTTTAAAAAGAGTTATTGTTCCCGATAAGAATGGTTTAATTCAATTAAGAAAAGAAGTAGATGTAATGAAAACATTAAGAAAGGGGAGAAATATAGTTAGCTATATTGACTCACATGCTGAAAAATTAGAAAATGGTTCATATCAAGTATTAGTGTTAATGGAATTATGTCCAAATGGTTCATTATTAGATTATATGAATTTAAAAATGAAGACAAAATTGACAGAGACTGAAATATTGAAAATCATGTTAGATATATCTTTGGGAATATATGAAATGCATAAACTAAAATTAATCCATCGTGATATCAAAATTGAAAATGTTTTAATTGATTCAGATCATAATTTTAAATTATGTGATTTTGGTTCAACAACTGGAATTATATATCCCCCACAAGATCATAATCAATTTGCTCAATTAACTAACGATATTTTATATCAAACTACTCCACAATATAGAAGTCCCGAAATGGTTGATTTATATAAGGGTTATCCGATTGATGAAAAAGCTGATATTTGGGCCCTTGGTTGTTTTTTATATAAATTATGTTATTATATTACTCCATTTGAAACTCAAGGTGATATTGCCATTTTACATGCTAGTTTTCAATTTCCAACACTCCCCAATTTTTCAGGTGATTTGAAAAATTTGATAATCATAATGTTACAAGATAATCCATTATATAGACCAAACATAATTCAAGTAATTATGTTAGTTTCAAAATTAATGAATATAGAGTATGGAGGTTTGAAGATTTTAGATTTTTATAAAACTGGTGCATATAATTTTCAATCATTACATGAGTATCAAGTACAGAAACAAAATGAGACTATTAGACAAAAACAAAAGTATATGCAACAAATGAATCATAAAGTAGAAGAAGAACCTGAAAATGAGACCGAAAATGAATCATTATCTGGTTTTAGTCTGGACAATGACGTTTCATATACTGAAAAAATTGAAGATGCAGAGCAGAGATATCCATCATTGGAAAATATTAATAAGTTAGATGTTTCAAGGAACTCAAGTATGAAATTAGAAAATTCTAGTATGAAAGTGGATGTTTCCAGAAATTCAAGTGTTAAATCAAAAGAACCAAATGATGATACAAAGAAATTAGCAGATGATATTTTTAATGATGGATTAGTTGAAGATGTCGATAAATTAAATATATCACCAAATTATTATATAGAGCCAATTAATGAAGAGAAAGTTTTGAATAATCAAGATTTTATAAAATCTGAAAGGAATTTACAAGAGAAGTATCCTGAAATAGCACCTAAATTTGAAGATTTTCAAAATCTGTATCCTAAAACTGAAAGTAATTTACAAGAGAAGTACCCTGAAATTAAGTATCCTGATAGAAATATAGAAACTCAATTTAGTTCTGATAGAAAACAAGAAATTTATAAACCAGAAATGCAATATAAACCGGATACACAATATAAACCAGATTTCAAACAGGAACCCCAATATAAAACAGAGTCTCATTACAAAACAGAAGCTCAATATAAACCAGAATTCAAAGCAGAAAGTCAATATAAACCAGAATATAAACCAGACCTGCAATATAACAAACCAGATTTTATACCACCTACAGTTAAAGAAAATTTTACCGAACCAAAAAACCATAATCCGTGGGGAGAATATAAAAATGAAACAAATTTAATAGATTTAGATACATCAAGTACGAAACCAACAAAATTAGAAAAACCAGGTTTTAAGAAAAGATTATCATCACAAAATCATATTCCAATAAATTTACAAGAAGAAGTCATTGATTTTGCAAGTGATGATGAAAATAATAATAGTGATATGAATAGAATTAAAATTAGAAATTCATTAAAGAAACCACCAAAATCTAATAGAAAATCATCAGATCATAATAGAAGTGAAAGTTCAGAATCAAAAAAGAGACTTTCATTCTTGGGATAGAAATTGAATAGAAATGAATATATAAATATAGAAGTAATTACAACCAGCTTATTATTTAAACACATTATCTAACTTTTAAAATTTACTATGGGACTGCATATTAAATCTGTCTCAATTTATATTCTCGAGTATGTACTTCTCGCCCAAATCTAGTACCAGAGTAATATTGTCCTTGCGCTAGTTTTAGGTCGACTCGAACTATGCATATTGGCTTATATCTCATGACCAACTTAAGCTCACGAGATATAGGTCAATCTAATGAGTTCAGGAATCATGATTCATACATTCTACATACTTCAAACTTCAGGTTTCAAACACTTTTTTTTTGAGTTGTCATTTTGAAGATTTTTCACCATACAAAAGTTTTCCAAGAAATGTAATTGAATATATTTCTAAAAATAGTGCCAGAACTTGCAATTAAACAACACATTGTATATATTATAAGCTAAACTAAGGTGCTAATCTCAATTTTGAGAGATGTAATCTAAAATTGAGAAATTCCATGATTTTCTCTTCAGTATGGCGAAAATAGAATGAATACATCTTAAAAAAAATCTAGCACCACGATCAAAATCGTGTAGACAGTATGATAGATGTATTCAATTTTGTAGTTCTAGTACGCTAATAAACCTTGTATTTTTTGTGTTTAGGTATTTATAAATTGGAAAAGTAATGTTTCAGAAGTGCTTGGAAAATATTTAAAAAACTTCATAATGATTTTGGCGCCTCACTTATTACAGCTAGAAACTTTGAGATTAATTGAATAGAATCAGCTATTCTAGAAGTTTCTAAATGAGGTTTAAGTGTTGTTGATCCCAAAAATTAGCGTTTTTTGCCGTTTATGCATAAATTGATCAAAATCATATTCTTGCAAGAAAGATTAATATCCTTTTAATCTGCATTTTTTGGGGAATTTCAATTAGGTTTGGGATTGAATCCTAAGGGAGTTATGTACGAGTTTAGTTTCGAGATAAACTACTATAAGACTGCATATAAACAAATTTTTATCTGAACAAGTTTTAGGTTTTTAGACGGATGCGATATGGCACAAGAATATGGCCTAAAATATTTCATTTCAAGGCGAGAAGTCGGCATCAGTGACTGCTGATTTTGGGCTAATTTTGGACCTAATTGATAAACCTGCCATATAGATAATTCAAATACATTGTTATGCGGTGTATGTTATAAAACATTTGGTCAAAATGATTTACATTTTGGTAAATACAAACTACAACTATCTAGATAAGATTCTTTTCTGATTTTCTTTGAGGCGTTCATGTCCATGTAAAGATACATTCAATTTTTGCTAAAATATTACAATCTTGTTTATTCTGTAATTACTTATTCTATTTAAGCCTCACTTCCTAATGGTATTAAATGGAATACTTATTTGGTAGCGTAAAATTTTTGGAACAAATTTCTGAAACTCTTCATCCCATAATGCAACAATTAATAGATTTATTATTATTAATACCACCTGAACAATTTTTAAGTTCCAATGATCCAATTCATAGATTTATTCACGGGATATTAAAAGGTAAACTGAACGACTTATTGGAAATTAGTGATTTTAAAGAAATTCATTCATTACCTCCCTTACAACAAATATTGCGAAAATATCCAGAACAGCCATTATATGAAGTATTAACAGAATATACAGATGAATTTGTCAAAGTTCTTGAACGATTCTCAAAGGATGTTCAATTATGGACCAGTGTAACTGCAGTTTGTTTCTTTCAAAGTTTTATACAATCTAATTTCACAGGGCCATCATCATTTCCAGCTAAAAAATTATGGTTTCCAAAAGTAAGTGATGAAAAAAAATTACAATATGATTGTATTGATATTTTAAATGTTGAAGGTCAATCTGCTTATGATTTAATGCATGATCCATTATATTTAATAATGGCTGAATTATTCATGGAGAAGGTTTTAAATGTTCCATCTATAACATCAAATCATGAAGAGTTATTATCTCTTTATGAGAAATTGGAAATTGATACTCCAATTAAAGCATTTACGTCCTGGTGGTTGGTCAGAACATTACAAACTCATTTATCTATTGTTTCAGAACCACCAGGTATAATTTCATCAATTTGTGGTATTCTAATGAGTCCAAAATTAATTGAACTATTCGATGATAAGTTATTGAGTATTGAATTTTACTTAGAACTTGCCAGAATTCATATCCATTCAAATAATGAACATCTTGCAATTAAACCGTTAATTAAAGCTACTAAATTGTCAGGTTTACAAGTTTTATTATCTGGTGCAAAGGCTAAGAGAACAAAATTTCAACAATTCTTCACTTCAAATTTAATTGTACTTGCTAAGAGTGCTGGTAAGACTCTTTTTGAAGATGACATAGAATCAAGTCTTGAAAGTTTACAACTTAATGATGATGTATTATTAGAAAAACCACAATTTGAATCACTTGAAGATTTAGAAATTGAAATTGAACAAGACAGTAAACGAATAAGAATGGATAGTTTCTTAACTGAAGATGATAAATTATTACCATTGGCATTGAAACAAGATGATATTCCAAATGATTTAAAAGAATTAGACCCAAATAATCAACCAACTTTGAATAATGTAGATAATTTAAGTATATTATTGCGATTGGCTGTATTGAAACAGACCAGTCCAACTAATGATCCATTAGTTGATGAAGAATTAATGGCTTTAGTTTCAAGAATAGTTTATTCTGGTTCAAATATAAATTGGTCAATATTCTCCAGGTCATTATGGGAAAGATCATTATTAGAAACAGGAAAAACTAAAACTGTCGAACGTGGGATATTACAAATGACTGCATTAATTGAAGAAATTGGAATTAATATTACATCTAGAGTTACTCCACAAGTTGAAGATTCGACAAATGCATTATCTTCAAGATTAAGATTTATTCATCAATTACCATTATTACCTCAATGGGTCATGGATGCAAAATTGGCTGAAAAATATATGTCATTAGGTGTTATTAAATCTGCATTGGAAATTTATCAAAGATTGGGATTAGATTGTGAAGCAGCCTTATGTTATGCTGCTGTAGATCAAGAAACTGAAGCTGAAAAGATATTAACTAAAAGGATTGAAAATTATCCCAAAGATGCAAGGGCAATTTCAATATTAGGTGATTTAAAACAGGATCCACAATTATGGGAAAAAGCATGGGAGATCGGTAAATATGCAAAAGCGAAATCTTCCTTATCCAAATACTATTACAATCAAAAAAATTTACAGTTGGCAATTAAAAACATGTTTGAAAGTCTTTCTATTAATCCCCTTAATTATGAAAATTGGTTTTTTTATGGTTGTTGTGGTTTAGAAAACGGTCAATTTGAATTAGCTTCAGAAGCATTCTCTAGATGTATTTCATTGGATGATACTAATTCATATGCTTGGTCAAATTTAGCCAGTGCTTTATTGAAATTAAATAAAGATAAACCAGCATTCAATGCATTAAAAAAAGCAATCAGATGTGGTTCAGAATCTAAATCATGGAGAATTTATGAAAATTATATGAATGTAGCAGTAAAATTACATGAATGGAATGGTGTACTATTTGCATTTAAAGAACTACTCAAGATTAAAAAAGATGAAGGTGATAAAGCAATAGATATACCTGTATTAGAAAAATTGGTTGAAATATTAGTATCAGAACAATATTCTGAAAATTTAACATATTTTCAAAAATCAACTATTGATTTAGTCTGTAATATATTACCAACTGTAATTACTTCATCTGCTAGATGTTGGAGAATAGTAGCAAGAGTTGAATTATGGAGAATGAAACCTTGGAATTCATTAGAATGTCATGAGAAAGCATATAGAACAATGATTCATTTATCAGAAGTAGAAACCAATGAACTGGTATGGAATGAAGTAGTTGATGCTTGTTGTGATTTAGTATCTGCTTTTGAATCGTTAGGTGAATTGCCTGGTAAATATGGTGCTGATGATTTAGTATGTAAAGATTGGAAGTATAAAGCAAGGACTACAATAAGGTCATTAATGTCAAAGGGTAAAGATATGTGGGAAGATTCAGAAGGATGGGAAAGACTAAAGGAATTAAAAGAATCATTTTAATTACTAATTATGCTAAACCTATCAAAACCAAATGATGTAATACGTTGTGGTGGATCATAAGTGTATAATTTTTGTAATAATTTAATAGATTTAATAGATGTATTTGATTCTTCAAGTCTAATTAAATAAACAATAGTATATAACAATGCATTTGACCCAAAAAATGATTCGATCCAAAATGTAAATAGTAAACAGTGTTCTAACATACCAAATATGAATAAACAAGAAGGTTTGAAATCAGAATCGGTATCATCGTAATGAAACACATTAATTAATGAAAATAAAGCATGAAGTTGTAATAATAAAACTTTAATTATATTTGGACTTGAATCAAATATTAATTTTGAAATCACAATCATTGTAATTTCATCTCTCTTGAACTGGAAGCTTCTCTGATATACTAATACCGATATAAATTTAATTATTGAAACAATACAAATCAATTGATAAGCTTTGATTAAGTTGTTTGTATTTGTGTAATTCAAGATATAAATTAAACCACCCAAGAAAATAGTTAAAACATTACAACTGAAATAAAAATCTGAAAATGATCCATCAAATTTAACTGATCTGATATTACTTTTTAAAACTATGAAGAAAACTGAAAAGTATTGATAATAAAATTGTAGAACTGAACAAATTTTTAACACTAATGAATTCGGTTTGATATGCATCATGGTGAAAAATTAAAATTCAAATTTGAACTCAATTTATAGTTGATAGATTGTGAACTTACTTTTTGTGATATGATGAAGATAGCGTCCATGATAATATCTTTTAAAATAAGCTAGAACTTCCAAAATAACTTAATCATTTTTCTATAATGCCTTTATTCTTCGATGATCAACCAACAATTTCCAATCTAACTGGACTCACTCTTCAATAATACCATTTTATCATTATTTAGACACTTTAAATCCGAGATTTTGATCTCCTCAAGCCTCAACCATTCGTTCATCTTCATTATTAAATAATCAATATTTTACAGACCATCAAAAACCAGCTAGAATGACCTGCTTGATCATATTCCTTTTCCAGCAACATATTTAATTCTACCACTTTTATCTAATACCAATTAATTCCATGTTATTCCATATTTCAGAATGTAAATCTAGAGTTTAATCGTTTAATCGTTTAATCGTTTAATATATTTTTTCAAGACGTGTTTCAGTTTCAACAAAAATTTCATATCACTACCAGATATTACTATGGATGATAAATATATAGGACTAGCATTGGCAATGTCATCCTCATTAGCCATAGGTACTTCATTCATAATAACAAAGAAAGGGTTAATGGATGCATCATCTAGATCTTCAAATAATAATGGTATACAAGCTTCTGATTATTTACAAAATCCAATTTGGTGGGGTGGAATGATAACAATGGCTATTGGAGAAATTGCAAACTTTGCTGCTTATACTTTTGCTCCTGCTATTTTAGTTACTCCATTAGGTGCTTTATCAGTTATAATTGGTGCTGTATTAGCTGCTATTTTTTTAAAAGAAGAATTGGGTACCTTGGGAAAAATGGGTTGTGCTATATGTTTAATGGGTTCAGTTATTATAATATTACATGCTCCACCAGATAAAGAAGTACAAACTGTTGATGAAATATTAGGATATGCTACTCGACCTGGTTTTTTATTTTATTGTTTGGTTGTTGGTCTATATTCATTATTTGTAATTTATAAAATTGTTCCAAAATATGGTGATACTAATCCAATGATTTATTTATCAATTTGTTCATCAGTTGGTTCTATTTCAGTTATGAGTATAAAAGCATTTGGAATTGCATTGAAATTGACATTAAGTGGGAATAATCAATTTACTCATGTATCGACATATTTATTTTTAATAGTGGTTGCAATTTGTATAGTTACTCAAATGAATTATTTCAATAAAGCTTTAGATCAATTTGATACAAGTATAGTTAATCCGCTTTATTATGTCACATTTACAACATTTACATTAGCTGCTTCATTTATTTTATTTGAAGGTTTTAATACTTCTTCAGCAGTTGATATTATCAGTTTATTAATTGGATTTTTAATAATCTTTAGTGGAGTTTATTTATTAAATATTTCAAGAAAAGAAAATGATAACAGAGAAATATTTGGTGTTCATTCATCAAAAGATATGGCACCTTTAGATAATGGAGTTGGTGGATTTTCAACAGTTAGAAGATCAATGCAAATGAATAGATCAATGGATTATGATAATGAAGAAACTGTTGGATTAAGAAGATTTGATAGTTTTGAAATAGATAGTGATAACGAACAGCATTCTCATAGACATTAAAATACTAAGGATGCTTTGATACAGTAAAGATGTACAGTAAGGATGCAAGATACTCAAGTCTCGGGTTAATTTAGAAATAGGTAATAGCCAAGAACAGCATATTCATAGACATCAAATATACATTTACATATCTAATTAGGAACTGTAGTATTACAAAGAGCTGCATAATAGTAATCTATATATACATTAAATGTTTAAATGCATGCTTACGGGTTTTGCATCCTTCCTAAATATCATCAATATCTAATTCATCTTCACTTTCATCTTCATCTTCATCAGCACCACCAAATTCGAAATTAACATCTTCATCTTCATCAGCACCAAAAGTATCAGTTTCATTAATTTTAGCATTTTCAGGTAATTCACCAAGATTTTTCAAAGATCTTGCTTCATCTGAATTATATTTATGTACAACATCACATTGATCATCTTGAAAATCTCTTAATGAAACTAAAATAATATCACCTTGACCCATCCATACTTTTTTTCTTAATTTACCTCTAATATGACCCATTCTTTTAATACCATCAAAACATGAAACTTCTATTCTACCATTACCTAACATTTTTGTAATTTGTGCATATTCTTGACCTTCTTCTTTAAATATTAATTCTCTTTTTTGGCCTGAATTATCATTTTTACCTCTTCTTCTATTCTTACCACCTTTACCTTTACCTGTTTTACCCATGATAAATGTAAATCTATTCTATTATAATGGCAAACAAAATTAAAATTTTTCGACTCGCATTTTTTTGGTGATACTAAAAAAAAAGAATTTGTAATTTATTATATAATCAGTTGATAATTGAAAATTGAAACCAGATGGATTCATTTGATATAGCTAATCAATTTGCACAATTATTAAGGAATTTAACTCCACAGATAGGGGTATTGAATAAAGCTGCTACTTTTGCGTTGAAAAATTCAGATAATGAAGATTATTTATTTCCAACTATACTAAATGTTTTACATGATAAAAATCTAAATATTAATCAAAAATCAACAATTTTTCAATTTATAGATGTATTGATAGATGAAGCTCATAAATATAATGGTGCTTATGTTAAAAACATTGAAAAAATTTTGCCTGCGATTATTAAAAACATATGTGTGAGCAGTTCTAATATGTTCAATGTTTATCAAAGTTTATGCTCCATATCAAAACATTTCAAAATTAATGTCAAGGAGTATGAAGACAAATTTTATACTGATTTATTGACGGAAGAGGATAAGAAGTTAATTGAAGAGAATGGTCAGATTGAAAGTAAAAAATTTGATGACCATGGCCTAATTTTAGCTTGGAAAATATTACTTGAAAGGAAAAGAAGATCACAATTTGAAAGGGCAAAGTTGCTTAGGTCCAATCCAATTCATGAGACAGTTGAAGAAGATGAATTATTCAAAGTTAAATCAAAAGATAAATATGCTTTATCAAAACGCCAAATTTTATCTCGATTAGAAGATGATCGTGAATTACACAAACGTTCAAAAGAGAATTTATGGAATGTAAATAGAGATAAATCAGTTTTAACAGAGCAAGAGTTTAAAGATCATTATTGGAATAAATTCAATGCATTAAATGACGAAGAAGGTAAAGAATTTTTCAATGCATTACTGGATTTAAATGATTTAGTATCTGCAAGTTATAAAGATCAACAATATTAACTTAATATACGTAATAATTCATTAATACCATTAACTCCACAAACAGCAGCAGTTTTAAAATCATTACCAGCTGTAATTAATGTAATTGTTAAAGTATCAATGCCTTTTAAATGATTTATAAATTCATAATTTGCTTCATCGATAGATGTTAACCCACCAGAATATAATACAGCACTTACTTTATGTTCGTTCTTGATAATTTTCTCAATTGTAGAATGTTGAAACTCTTTTATATGTGACTTAATATATTCTTCAGTGACATCTGAATTATAATATGCAATTATCAACTTCAAGGCTTTTAAATTAATTTGATTCTTTTGTACAACAACTGAATTTCGAACTAATGTTGCATGAACGTCTTCATGTTCAAATAATGTATTAATATGTTGAATAGTCTCACCCATTGAATCTAATGTTCTATCACGATCTTCAATGAATGATGAACCTGCATGAAAACGTATTGTACTATTTTGAACCTCACAGAATGAACCAGGTAATCTTTCAACTTTTGATTCAATTAATCTTTTAATTTCAGGAAGGACTAGTTGAACTTCTTCCTCATCTACAATTGGAATCCACTCCTTGGATCCTATTAATTTTACATAATTACCATTTTCTGCAATTAATCCAATTTGAGGATATCTTTTAAACATTATATCTAAATCTGATTTTTGTAAATACGATAATAAATAAACACAAGTATCTGGATCATCCATTAATTCATTTAATAACCCAACTAATCTAAAAGGTTCAATGACATTAACTTTACCCGAGGAAACAGTAGTTGACCCACCTCTTGAAATTGCAGATGATGAAATTTCTAAAGCTAAAATATACAACCTTTTTCCCTTATGTTGTTTAAATTCTTCAAATTTTTGCTTTGTAAATGGTAATATCTTTTCACTTTTTCTATGATCTAAATCCCATGCATAATCTATATTTTTTAAACATGTTTCAACCCAATGTTTTGAATCTCTAGTAACAACAACATTATAACAATTTTTATATCTCTTCTCTTTGTCTTCATCAGACATGGTCAATGCAGCTTTGATTAATTCTGAAAACTTCTTTAAATCCCATGGATTTATCAATAATGCTCCTTCACCTTTACAATTTAAAATCGCTGAACTACCAGTAAATTCAGAAATTAATAATGGAGATTTCTTTTCTTCAGTTGCTGTTATAAATTCATGACATGTTAAATTTAAACCTTCTCTCATTGAACTAACTATAAATGTATCTGCCTCACATTGTAATGCTAAATATTGATCAAAATCAAGATCTCTTTGTAATAAAACAACAGGTTGTGTAACTGATATATTTTCAGGTAAGGAATTAATTCTAGATACAATTTTCATAATTTCTGCTTCATAATCTTGATCTTGAGTACTTGTACAAATTTGAATTAATACTGTTTTTTCAATATATTCTGGATTTTCTTTGAGAAACATTTCATAAGCTAATAATTTCTGTTTTATACCTCTTAATTTATCAAGTTTATCTCTTGAAACTAATAACTTTTGATTCTTCCATCTATCTTTAATTAATTCCCTCCATTCTTTAACTGTGTCAGATTGAACAATTTGTAAAACTGACGGAGCATCAATACCTACTGGTGATGTAGTGGTCACGGTTAAATTACCTTCATGACTTACTCCATATTCATTTGTATCAGCTAATAAAATTCTATTACAAGTTTGTAAAAAATGACGTACATATTCTTGAGTTTGGAAACCAATACAATTTGCACCCAACATACCTTCCAATATTTCTTTCCTCTGTGCAAAACATCTAAACACTTCTGATGATGGAAATGATATATGTAAAAATAATCCAATTTTAGCTTGGGGTAATTTCTTTCTAATCATATTTGGAACTAATAATAAATGATAATCATGAACCCATACAACATCACCTTCTTTATAATTCTCAACAATTTTATTTGCTATCAATTGATTTAGTAAAACATAATGACCCCATGAATGATCTTCAAAAGCTTTTGATTTTGGATCATCTGGAATTTGATAATGAAAAGTTGGCCATAAAATTTGTTTACAAAATGATTTATAATGACCTTCAAAGGTAATATCATCTGGAAATATAGCTTCACAATCATAATCATCAGACAACTTCTGGGAGATGTTCTTTTTTACTGTTTCTGGTACTTCATCAGATGGCATAGCAACAACACCAACCCATTTTTCAGATTTAATTAGGTGATCCTCAATTGATAAATTAACAGCTTTAATTAATGATCCATTAGAATTATCAGCATCTATAATTGACCATGGTGCAGTTTCAAAAATATTTCTATCATCAATTAACTCAGCTTCAACATTTGGTCTTGAGAATCCACCAAATGGTGCTAATTTTGTCTTACCAAGTATCATATCACTAAATGATTGATCAAAATTCTCATCATCTGAAACTAATGAATTTGTAGAACTATTTCCATGGAATGTAAAACCTGATGGTTTAGTTAATGAAGATTTTGTTCTTGATAAACTTGGTAAACTTAAATTTGGAGTTGAACTTATTAAATTTGACGATGCAGATCTATTAATACCAGATAATTTTAAATCGTCAATTGATGATTTTGAACCAACTATACCTGATTCAATTTTTAAATTTGATACTCTTGATTTTGGTTGAATAAAATGGAATTCCTCTTTCTTTGGTTTCCGATTGTAAAAGAAACCTTCTGGAGTATTACTTCTTTCAATATCTTCAACTTTGTTTAGGATAGGTGACCCAATTAATGGTGTTGATTTTAAAGTTGGTATTAATGACCCGGAGGGTTGCGGTGTAATATTTGGCCTCGAAATTTCAATTGATTCATTATTTAATGTTTCCAATTCACTTTGTCCAACTTGAAAGTGGACAGAATATGGAAGGAATCTGACTAATTGTTAGTACTATATAATCAATTGAACATGGTTAAACATACAATGAAGCTATAAGTAAAGTCATTTGGTTAGGGATGATATTTTTTGTGCAATTAGCAATCGGGGAATTTATACATAAACAAACGCTACCTGAAAACTATATACTAAAACTATACAACATCTTCCATATCATCATCAGATGATAATTCAAAACCAGCATTCAACTCATGATCAAGTTGTAGATCATTTTGATCTGGTAGTAGTTCATTTTCATTATTTTGTTGTGCCTTGGCAAAATTATCTGACCCCTGGTTAATGGTTACATTGACGTCATTTGATTCAGATTTTTTGGAGACTATATCATCAAACTCCATCTCATCTGAATCAATATCTGGTTGAATTGAAGCAGATTCTTCAATCGTTGGTAGTCTCGATTGTGGTTCAACTGATTGTGATTTTGATGGTGGTTCAGTAGATTGCGGTTTTGATTGTGGTTCAGTTGATTGTAATTTTGATTGTCCTTGATCTGGTTCACTAGCTTGAGCTTCATTGGATCCGGTTACATTAGGTACTTCTTCTGTCTTTTCACTAAATAGTATCTCATCAAATTTATCTTCCTCACTTTCTGAATCAGAGCCACTATAATGCTGCTGAAAATTGAATTGAATTTCATTTAATCTTCTCTTCTCTTCTAATTCCGCCTCTTTCAACTCTCTCTCTTTCTTCAATCTTTCTTCTTTTAATTCTGTTTGATGTCTAATTGACTTGATTACATGTTTAAACTCGTTATGTAAAATTTCTTGAAAATATTTATTAATTTCCTCTGTTGGTTGTTTAGTCAAATACGGAGAATAATATACCTCTGCCTCCATAAATATATTCTGTTTCCTCTGCTTTCGTTTATTCTCCACCATATTAGCTCGCTTTTCAAGTGCTTCTCTTCTTTGATTTGCATATTTTGTAAAATCAAATTTAAATTCCTCCTCTGTTTCCTTATTCTCCACAGGTTTCACTTCTTCTATCGGTTCCGGTTCTAATACCAGCAACTCTTTTTCAAGTTTTTCCTTCCATTCTATTTCATCATTTTCAATTAATTTATATAATGATTTTTCAGTCAATCTTGATTCTTCAACAAGTTTAATTCTTAATTTTTTTAAATCTGTTAATGTCTCAGTATATTCTGGAGTGGATTGATATGTATAATCTGGTGGTAGATCAGGTAAATATGATGGTATATAATTTGGCCGTTCGTTGATTCTTGGAACTAATTTTGTTATTGAATATTGTTCATTATAAGATGAAGTTTCAGATTCTTCAATAAGATTTATATGCTTAATATCTTTACTATTTATTTTCTCATCAACTATCCCATTTAATGATATCTTTCTTAATTTTAGTAATGTATTTAAATCTGATTTTGATGGAAGTCGCCTTCTTTGTAATTTTGTATAATCTGCCAAATTTGAAATTAATCCATCAAAATATTCTATAGATAATTCAGTTAACTGATCTAGGAAAGACTGAGAACATGTATAACTCTTTGATAATAATATATTACCTACAATTTGTTTGAATTGTAAATCCATAACAGCCAATTTGAAACAAAAAAAAAAAAAATATCAAACAAATGAAAAACGTGTAAGAAGAAGCGTAAATTTTGAATAACTTGCCTACTATACAATCTGTTGCATATAAACAACAGATTCAGAATCATATGAGTGCAACAATTACAATGGTACCAAAATTTATACATTTAATTATTTAACAAATATTCAATAGCACCTTGAACACTTCCACCTGTCCTTCTTAATGCTTCTACATTTCTATCAAAATCAAAAAAACCCATATCATTCAATTGTCTTAATTGTGATTCGTATCTTTCTTCTGGTGGTCTATTATCTGCTGGAGGTTGAGCACCACCAAATAAATTTGCTCCGCCGAATAAATTAGCAAAATTTGGTATTTCAGGTGGTGGGTTAGTATTTGTATCTTGTTCTGTATCATTACTAGCACCACCTGGAGCTGGAAAGCTTGGAGTAGCACCTGCTCCACCTTGCTGTCTACCCATTTCCATTGCTGATCTTAACATTTCTGGATTTGTCAACATTTGTCTAAAAAATGGAGATTGTAACATTTGTCTAGCTTGTGGACCTAATGCTCTTAATTGAGGATTTTGTTGAATCATAAAATCTAACATTTGAGGATTTGATAACATTGCATTCATTTGTTCTTGAAATAAAGGATTTGACATCATTGATGTTAATTGTTCAGGATCAGGCAAATTAGAATTCATTCCTCCATCTGGTCCAAACATTGAAGCAGATGGTAATTGACTATAACCAGCATATCTAGCACCTGTTAAATCAGCTAAAGGATTAAAAGAACCTTGACCAGCAGATATATTTGAAGGAACAGATTGCGTAGATGATGGTTGTTGTGGTTGTGAAGTAGAAGCAGCAGGTGTTTCTGTTTTCGTAGCAGATTTTACTAAATGTATACTATGACCATTTTGTACTTTATAAGTTGATACTTGTTCTTGATCTTTTAAAACTTTACCAGAATAAATTAATCTTTGAGATGAAGCAGGAATATCAGCAATTTCACCAATTTTTTCTTTTAAATTAGCAACAGTAATTGATGGATCAAAAGTAATTTCATATTTCTTATCACCAGAAGCTTTTATTGTAATTGTAATATCAGACATTGTAGTATTTCAATAATTCGTTGGCAAAATATAAATTGTTGGTGTGCGATAAAAATAAAAAAATAAATTTAATATATTAATACAGAACGAAAGAACTATAAAATTAACACTGACTACTACTTTTTAACTTCAACTCTCCATCCACATTCTAAACAACTATATCCTTCATGACCATCTTCAAATTTAACCTTCTCTTTACTTTGCATTAACGACCATTCTCCTTTTGCAGGAATTTTTCTACATTTATCATTTAAACATCTTGCTGATGTTTTCTTATATCTTAATCCACATGAATTACATAATTGTCCTTCTTTTATAGACCATGATGGTCTCCAGCATGGTGATTGATCACTACTACATGATAAACATATTCTTGTTGCATGATGATGATGATGATGGTGGTGGCTAGTCTTCGGCGATATTTCACTTTTCTTCTTTGGAGGTGTCGTTATTGGTATAAATTTATGAGTAATTGGTGCTGGTGGATAGTATACTGGTTTTGGTTCTGATAGTGATATCAATGATTGTGCTAATTCAAGGTATTCTGGAATTTCTTTCAATTTATTTATATTGTACGTATAATTTGATGATTCATATGGTAGATCAACTGCAGTTTTAATTTTTGGTAATAACACTGACGTAGGTTGTTGAGCATGATTATTAAGGTAGTTATATTGATTTAAATGAAAATGTTTTGATTGTTTTGTAATTTTATCTAATAATTCATATCTCCAAGAACTCGAATTTTCTTCAAAGTATTCAGTTGATGGAGTAATTGGTTTTAATTTAATTGGTTCTTCAGTTAATGGTTGTACTTGATTTAAAGCGGCACTTATACTTGGTAATTTAATTTTCATAGTTTCTGGTGATGTAATTGGTGATGATTTTGGTGAATTTGATGGAGATAATGGATTTATAAATTTCTTATTTGGTGATAAACTTCTTGATCTTAAATTTATATTTGGTTTAATTATATTTTTAAGTGATAATTTTTGTTCCGGGGTAATTAATTTATTATCATAAGGCGGTGAAGGTGGTGCAGTTTTTGATCTTTTCAGTTGTGAGTGTAAATCATCACTATATGATCTTTTATTAGACTGGATATTGTTAACTTGTTTTAATAATTCAAAACTCCTAGATCTATGATGATGGGATGAAGATCCCGATCGATTTAAATGATGATTGAACATTGTTGATTGTACTAAACTCATATTATGTTTAGAAGGTATATTATTAATATTTGATAAGTCACTCAATATTGATAATAATTCAATTAATAGCTGCAAATTGAAATGTCTTTGTGTAAAATATAGTTTAAACTAATTAGGAAAATTAATTGGTTAATGGTTGTTGGGTGCTACTTTTGATTTATATTTATATTTCTTTTTTTTTCTGTTCAATTTTTTTTTTTAAGATCAAACAAAATTATATGAAATTAAAGATCGAATGTAATTAACCAGTTGAATATTAAACGAACGAAAGCTATTAAAGGGTGCAAAATAGTATAATTGGTACTTGGGATATTGATTCCTATTTATACATGTCATATATTTTTCTTACTTGTTGATTCTTATGATTTAAGGTACAACAAGCCATTTTTTAATTTGATAATCTCAATCCTTATTCTTGATTCTGTGTAATTTATTCGATTTCTATGGATCAGAAAAGCCACATTACTTGATCTGGACAGTTTCTTTACTAATTGGGATAAAAACCAGCAAGATCTGGATGTGTAATGCTACCAAATTTTGCAAATTATAATAATTTTTATTTTGATTTATTTGATTTGATTTATGATTTGATTTCTACTGCCAGCCGTATTTTGATTTAGTGATAGAATTATTTGATTTCTATGCTGGTAATTTGATCTCTCTTTTGATTTCTATGCTGGATGATACATTGAATTATAGCAATATTTGGGTTTAATATCTAAACTATGAAAATCTAATGCTGAGGAGATCGAGAGTACTTAACATGAGTTTAAAAAGTAGAATGGTAGCTGATACACGAAACACATATATTGATACTTATTCAAACCTTATGCTTTTGAAATTTTCTATGAATTCGGTTGAATATTGACAAAATATTTCAAACAGCTTCATAAAAAGTTTATACTCTATTCTCTTTTATTGTAGTATACTTCTCTTAGTGACTGGTACTTGTATTCCATTGATTCATTATCATTATAAAATCTCGCTTTCAAATAACGAGAGCCATACAATTACTGGTTACCGCATTAAGATTTAAAATTGGTATTCGGTTTTTCGCGTTTATCTGGCCCCAGAGAAATGGTTATAAATTTTACGACATCAGAGTTTTGCGTCACTATGCGGTCTCTTCAAGTGATTGATCGTAATTCTTAAATTGTAATTAACAATTTCAATAATGATGGTATTACCCTTCAACTTTTTTCATTAGATTCTCAAACAATTAAGAACTAATTGGCTCTATAATCTTTTAGTAAAACACAATTTTGATCACGTAATTTGAGTTTTAAAAAATGGCAAAAAACGGTTTATTGCTAGATAAATAGTCAACACTTAGGCTACGTTTAACAACTTCTATGATAGCTGATCTGGTTCATTCAATACAAAAACTATAAGTATGATGGTCTCAAGACACCACAATCATTTTGAATTTTATTCAAAAATTTCGAACCACTTTTGAGAAATTACTTTTCCAATTTTGAATACTAATCTGATGATTATGGGTGATACAACTTTGTTGGTACTAGAAATTGGTAGCGTCTAATAAATTTATATATTTCCGCGCGCGCTAATTATTTACAAAAAAGTGTATTTGCAACAATTTGAACAACCAAATCAGTTAATAATTTAAGCAACCAAATCAATTTAAACTACCACTTACTTCTTGTTAGCTTCTTCTTCTGCTTTGGTCTCGGCTTTATTTGCCCCGAGCCCACCGGCTACTCCCGAAACGATGTGTCCAACTTGACCCAATCCCAAACCATCTGCAATTTTTCCCTATTCGAAGTTAGTATTAAGAGATTCTTCTAGCAAGCAACTCAAGCTTTTAAAAACACATACACCGATTAAACTTCCTCCGACACCAACACCAATATCTTTAGCTGCTTGACCTTTATCTCCCATTTTTATATAACTTGCTTAATTTGAATTTGTTCCTGAAACAAAATTATGGGGATTCTTTTGGCTTAAATATACAATATTTGATTATCAACTGCGGCACAGAATAAATTTGATTGCTACAGATTTCAAATTTCATAACCTAGCATACATAAACACTACATTAAATGGTCTGCAATATAGGCGATCGAATAGCAAACCTATTTTATTGTATGGCTAATGTAAATTGGTAGTTGCGCATTAGTCTTTACACGATAAAAAAAAATAATACCATCATCAATTTCAATGAATCAAGATCCAAGTAAGTTCCACTAAAATATGGAGATTTTCACGAAACTAACTTTTTAGCACAACCAATAGAATCCTTTCTCAAGAATTTTCTAAATTCTTTAGATTCACAATATCAACCTACTTCCAATGTTGCAAATTATGCATTACAATTTGGTTCAAGTTTAAAACGAACAAGTGCTTTAATATTAAATGGAAAACCAATAATACCTACCCCACAAGAAGATTCGAAATTAACATTTCAAAAGAAATGGTTATCTACTCCATTAACATCACATCAATTAACTAGTTATGATGCTCATTTAATTCCTGGTACTGGTCAATTTATTATAAATTTTTCAGCTAAAGTTAAATTCGATCAAAGTGGGAAAAATAGACTAGGTGAATCTGCTGATTTAATTAAAGAACCAACTACTGTAACAAACGCAAATTCAAAACCAAGACCAATTTGGGGTTCTTGGAATGGTATAATTGGAAACTTGGTGGTTGATGAAACTTTACAAAATGAATGTATAAATAGTTTGGATTATAGATTGACTTATATTCCTCAAGATAGTATATTGAAGTTTTGATAAAATATATATGATTGGGAGTTGACTTAAGTTGATAGTTCTCTTGGTGCTGATAAAAAAAAAACGTACAATTTTCGTCCTGGACTGAGGAATCAGCCGACATGGCGCCCAACTTGGACGAGAAAAACTTTTAGTACTGCGTGAGCTGGCACGACTAATGGTGCTAATTTCAAACCTATAAAGCAGTATGACACAAAATTAATAGACACATCTAATTCATTTTCTATTGAAGTTTTGATATGTAGTTATTTAATAATTCACCTAAATATATGTGAGAATAAGATGATGGCGATGATTCAATTTGATAATCTAACTCTTTTAGTGCCCATAAAATATTTGGAGTTATAAAATCATAAAATACTAAATTAACAGGAACATCCAGTTCATTTTCTAATTCTATACTTTCAATCACATTTGGGATTGGGAAATTAATAACTGCTTTATGTGGAGTATCATCACCATCACTTCCAAAATCATCATGTGTAACATACCCCTTTGATAATCCTTTAGATAATACAACTTGTCTCTTTTCAAAACTGGGTTTCTTGAGCCATTGTTGTGGGGGTGATAACATTATATATTTAGCTTCATTCAATTTTTGAGCTACTTTAACTGCAACTGATTTTGGAATTGTTATATTTACCCATTCATTTTCAAATGGTGATACAATATATTGGGAATCAATTGTATACGGACCTTTGTATAAATCATATCTGATAGAACCGGTATTTATAATAATTATCCTTTCTTCATCATCACCAGGTAAAGTTTTTAGAACCTTGTTGGATAATAGATTAAAAATGTTTTTAGGACTATCTATTGGAACATAATCAACATAATAATTACTTTTAACATACCCTATTGGTTTATTCAAATTTAAATACTTTCTTGTATCTTTAATCAATATTGACACCGCTAGACCCTTTTCAGTATCAAAATCCTTAGTGGTATGATGTTTGAATGAATCTAAATTGAAATCTATATAACTTCTTGCAAATCTGTCATATACTGTTTCACCAGTTGTATTTATACTTATCCATCCAGCAGTTTCACAATATCTACCACTTTGTAAACCAGTTGATCTATCATCAAATATCGTAAAATCTCTAATATGTGAATGACCTCCAAAATATTGAACAATTGTATTTGGATAGTACTTTCTCAATACATGATGTAATTGATAAAACTCGGGCCATTCGTGCGAAATAGGTGTATGTCCTACAACAATAATTAAATCCACTTTATCTTGATATTTCACCAATACATCTTTAAACCATTGTTCTTCGGCTACTTTCAACATTGGTATAACCCTAGTACCATTATCAAACCTTTTAAAATCAAATAAAAAACCAAATGCCAAAACATTTTTACCAGTTTTAGGTAACCTAAAATATTTATATTTTTGTCCAAATGGAACGTATTCATCACCATCCCAAAATTCAACATTTGAAGTAATATATTTATCTTTAAAATGAGTAGCAACTGTTTCAAATTCTTGTTTTGAATTTTCAAATAAATATAATTCATGGTTTCCAATTGTTAATAAATCATAATCTTGTTTTATAAAAATTGGAGTTGAATATAATCCGTTTGGTTGAGTTATATCTGATAATCCATTACCATCATGCCTATCACCACTATCAATTAATAAAAAATCTTGATTTTGAAAATGGGCTTTATTTTTTAAATGATGAGTAAATGAAATAAAATCACCCCAATTTGCATTATATTGTTTTTGATTTAAATGACCAGAATACCAACCATGAGTATCTGTAGTATGAATGAAATTTATATCATTCCAAGTTAAATTTCTAATGTAGCCAAAAGTGAATGGTAATAAAAAGAAGATAAACATATCGAACTAAAAAGTTACGCGGCGCGAGCTGATAACAAAATTGTGCAACCACTACAGTATAAAATATATACCAACTAGGCGATAGAAACAGTGTTTAAGTTATATCATTAGTTTATTATTTATACAGTTAAACAAGTTTAAGCAATTAAACCATCTTGTCTTCTTTTTCTGTCTCTTTCTTCTGTAATTGACAATTTAATACCTTTACCTTTTGGTAATGAAACCCATGGTTTTGATTGTTCTTCACCAATAACAAAAACATTTGATAATCTAGTAACGAAAGTGTTATCTAATTTATCTTTAATATGAACCAAATCGAAACCTCCTTCATGTTTTTCTCTATGAGTAATAACACCAACTCTACCCATGTTTCTACCACCAGTAACCATAACTAATCTACCAGTATCAAATTTGATGAAATCAGTAATTTTACCGGTAGCTAAATCAATTTTAACTGAATCATGAGCTCTGATTAATGGATCTGGATATCTAATTGTTCTACCATCATGAGTAACAACATATGGAATACCTTTCTTACCTAAAGCGACTTTTTCAACTTTAGCTAATTTATATGAAGCTTCTTCTGATGAAATTCTATGAACTGCAAATCTACCTTTAACATCATAAATTAATCTAAAGTTTTCATTGGTAGCTTCTAAGGTAATAACATCCATAAAACCAGCTGGATAAGTAGTATCAGTTCTAACTTTACCATCAACTTGAACATGTTGTTGCATCATAATTGCTTTAACTTCTCTACCATTTAAAGCATATTTTAATCTATTTCTTAAAAAGACAATTAATGGTAATGATTCTCTTAATTTATGAGGACCTGCACTTGGTCTTGGTGCATAAGTACCTGATAATTTATCAAGCATCCAATGGGATGGAGCTGCTAATCTTTTCAAATGTTTCTTTGGTCCTCTAGCCATACTGGTTTTACTATGAAGATGGTATTTAACAATCAAAAATTGAAATTTATTTTTTCATAAAAACTCTTCACTATAAAAATGCTACCATGTGACAAAAATTTGGTCAGATGATGAAAGGTCTATAGCCCTAATTATTTCTTCAATATGAATTTTACTGGAAGTCGCGTTCGATATGAGAATTAAATGAAGTAAGGCTTTGATTCTTACACTTTGATAAGCCAAAAATAGAATATCAAATGAAATAAGGCTTTGATTCTTACACTTTGATAAGCCAAAAATAGTATATCAAATGAAATACAGTATGATAAAATTTTAAAGACTTTTCAATTAAAAACTCATTACGAAGCTTTTTGCATTTAAGGTTTTTGTTGTAAGCTCATGAATCATGCCTTTATAGCATAATAATTGCATAAATAAGTCAACGTGGTACACCATGCTGTATCTACCGTGTTTTTTTTTTTCAGTTTTGATTCCAAAACGTAAAGATTGTACAAAAAATAAAGAGATTATCTTTCGAGTTGCTCTTAAATCATAGCATTACGTCAAGTAGCTTATATGTAGTTTGTAGGTTATGTTTATAATCCACTAGCTTTAATTGTTGTGAGTTTAAAGGGCTCTACTATCTGAAAAAACCTCTTTTCAGTTACTAACTATGCAATTTTAATTTGTATCTCGTGCATTTTCAGATTAAGCAATTTTAGGTATTGTCGAATTTGCAGTATGGATTTATTGTTGAATTTCTGGGTGTTGATTTATAGTTTTCAAAACGTTGTTTGGCCTTGCGCTTTCCCGAACATTGGTAGCGCACTTTTTTGCAGCCACTTTTTGTACATAAATAATCGCATAGTTAATTTGAAATACATGAACATGCTGATGGATGACACGATAATAGTGTTCTCATTATCTGCATAAACGTAGTAAAACTCTGAAGTTTTAAAGAATAGACAAACTCCTAGTGAAAATTAGTAGATTAATGAATAGAATAGTTTCCTCACTTTGCAATCCAAAACATAATGCAGTAAAGAATGAAAAGAAAAAAAGATTAAAGTACATAAATTGAGGCTAGGTATTACTGCGTGAATGAAGCTGCTTATGATCTGGCACCGTCTCGTCTGTAATAAGTCATTGGGTGATTTCGTTAACTTTAAAATAAGAAGATTCACCCAAGCTTTCATTCGTCTTCTTTTAACAGCAAGCCAAAGCAAAAACAGTCTTCATTCGTCTTCTTTTAACAGCAAGCCAAAGCAAAATCAGTCTTCATTCGTCTTCTTTTAACAGAAAGCCAGAGCAAAAACAGTCTACATCAAGCTTGTTGGCTATTTTTAGATAGGCAAATTTATTGGTTATGACTGTTTGAATTATAACTGTTGATAATTTGACAATTCGTGGAAAATGTTCAAAATTTTTTATTCTTGTCAAAAATCATCCTTTCGAATTTTAAAATCCATGGCAAAACCACATCCATTTCATAAAAGACTTATTAAAGAATATACATCAATTCAAAAGAATAAATTACCTGGTATTAAATTAATTTATAATGATGATCAATTAATAAATTACATTTTCCAAATAATTATATTAAATAATGAAGAAATTTATAAACCAGATGTTAAATATTATTTATCAATTATTATAACAAATGAATATCCAGTCGATTCACCACAAGTTAAATTTATAAGTTATTCAGAAGATGAAAATACAGAATTAAGTGATATACCATTACATCCACATATTTATTCAAATGGTCATATATGTTTAAATTTATTAGGAGAAGATTGGACACCTGCATGTTCAATTGAATCAATTTTATTAAGTATACAAAGTATGTTAAATAATAATCAATTATTAACAAGACCACCTGATAATGATTCATATATTAAACATGCACCATTAAATCCAAAACAAAGTAAATTTATTTATCATGATGATAATGTATAGAAGGGAGGGATGGATGAAATATACGGATAACTAATAACTAATATTACATAATAGACAATCCCTTTACCTTTATTGCATAGATTAGAATAAAATGAATAATAATTGCAACTGGTGATAAAAAAAAAAAAAAAAAAATGCAATGAATTAAATTTTAATAAATCTCGGTAATGAAAAAAACTCCGACAACGCTTTTTACTAAAAGAAAAAATAATAATCAACACTATAACTATAACAATAACAATTAACAAATAGAACAAATAGAATTTGACTGACATGAATGATATCTACTATATTAACTCATTGTTATTATATCAATTGGTTAAAGTAGTTAGCTTAGCCTATATAACTGGTGTATCTGAAATCTAAACTAAAACAACTGTAATCAAGTATATCTGTCTCTTATTCATTCTTTGTTTATGTTTATGTTTATTCTAGAAATTTCTTTTTTTATTTGACACAAAGTTGACCCCTCAGCTCTTGTTAACCTGCATCTCTTAGTTTTTGTGGTTGTTGGTATATATTTGTTGATCTCAATTTACAAAGAACAAAGAACAAAGAACAAAGAACAAAAGAATTGTAATTTTACACGACTAAGATTATTTTTTGTAGACCCAATAAAAAATTAACAAATTTTAGATGAAATTTGGTTAGCAAATTATTTTAAAGTTTCAAATAAGGAGATCTATCCTAAATATCCTAAATACTGTTAGATTTAGTAACCGATTCTAACTTAGTAGAGGTATTTCAAAATCAGTTGATGAATACCTATTCTCAATTTGATATAATGAAACATGTAGTCAAAATAATAATAATAATAATAATCCTAATAATAATAATCCTAATAATAATAATAATCCTAATAATAATAATAATACTAATACTAATAATACTAATAATACTAATAACAATAATAATAACTTCTAATTATAAGAAAAATAAATGCAAGATTATACTATATAAGATAATTGGTTGTAGATTTCGTCTTAATTATTACATTAATCAAATTTTTTAATCAAATTTTGTAATCGAATTTTGTGTCAATGTTTATAATAAATAGAAAATTTTTTTGGTTTCACTTTTGGTAAAAATTTCTCAAGTATTTAAACAACTCCGAATCTCCTTCGAATTTATTTTTATAAAAATTTTATAAATTGGAAAATGATTTCTTATATTTCTTTCTTCTTTTAAAACTCTTTGACTTATTCCTTGTCAGTTATCACTTATCACTTGTCACTTGTCACTTGTCACTTGTCACTTATCACTTGTCACCTATCACTCATCAATTGTCTAGCACGTTGTTCATTTGCTATTTTATTTCATACATTTATGGTAGAATTTCAAGAAAAATTATTATTATCTCATATTTTTTAACAGCAATTAAAACCATCATAAATTACATCTAAATTTTAATATCAATTGCAGAGAATAAATAAACGTACAGTAAACAACACCCTATATTTCAAATTTGATTAATTGTTTTAAATATCTCCAGTTTTCATATTAAAAAATAGGTTGTTCAAAATTTAATCATGTCTGAAATTTCACAACAAGATATAGCAAAAACAAAAACAACAACAACAACAACAACAGCAACAGTAGTAAATAATGAGTCAATTAAAAAAGACTCTACTTCTACTACTTCTGCTACTTCTGCTACTTCTACTACTTCAACTTCAACTTCAAAATTACCTGCCATAGAACAAGCTTGTGATAGTTGTAGAAAACGCAAATTAAAATGTTCAAAAGAATATCCAAGATGTTCAAAATGTATTCAACATAAATGGTGTTGTTCATATCTGCCAAGAACCATTAGATCTCCATTGACTAGAGCTCATTTAACAGAAGTAGAATCTCAAGTTGAAAAATTAAAATCAGTTTTAAAATTTTTACTACCGAAAAATTTAGAAATTAATGATGAATTATTAAACACTTATGAAAGTATATTATCTCCAATTAAAGAAAAATTAAGACAAGATGAAGAAATTGAAGATGAAAAACCAAAAATGACTTATCAATCAATTCCAACAACTCCAACTCCAGCTTCAACTCCAACTCCAATAGACACTACATCAGATTTAAATTTACGACAAGTTCAATCAAATCCGGAAACTCCTGATGATATAAAATTAAAACAAGATATTATAAATGATTTTTTGTTAAATAACATACCTACAAATAACAATCTAGGGAATTTTTCATTAAATTCAATAAACGATAATTCTTCATTAACTTCACCAAGTTCATTATTATCATTAACAAATTATGAAAATGATAAAGATCACGAATTAAATGATTTGAATGAGTATATTAATGATGATCTTGAAGATTATAATGAACCAAAATTTAAAAAAATTAAATTGGAACAAGACGATAGTTTTACTTTACCTTCTCAACAATTAAATTTAATGAATGATTTAAATGTTAATTTTGATATGATTTTTGATAGTATTGATGAACGTATTAATGTATAGACCCAATATACGAGATTATGATATAATGATGAAAACTTGACAATTGTAGATCTAGATCTCAAATTTGGCCTCGGTCAAATTTTTTTGGTTGCACAAATAAGCCCCCTAAAAAACTACCGCTTAACAAAAACACATTAAAAAAATGATAACAATTGATCTTGGATGACACAAGTACGAAACACTAAAACAACATCAATCCTTGAAATTTTAAATTTACACTACTCCTATTGTTCACTATTTTAGATTACGAGCAAAAGCTTAAATTTAAACAATAAGATTCATAACCGATATTCGTTGGCATTACTATACGACTAAACTGCAATGTATTTTATAAACAAAAATTCCTTTCTTCTAATGTTGAAAACTAGCCAAACAAGTTGTTCAAGAGTTGAGTTGCTATTGGTTTTGCTATTACAGCTCAAGCTAATTTAATTAAAAGACACAATACTGGTTATCTTCATTTGCTGATTTGTGAAAGGGAGAATGCTAACGAGGAAAGGGATGTTTTTGAGGAACCAACAATTGCTGCTGAAATGGTGAATGGTGCTAATTTGGAATATGGCTAATTTGGAATATGGTAGATATTTGACTTAATTACAAGTTGGTTCTAATAAAGATGATGTTTCTTTGTTAATTGATTCTGGAGTATGTAACTTTCTTTGAGCGTTAGCTACTCTTACTAGCTAAAACTTTTTAGTCATGCGCAGTTCAGGTTATCGATAAACATACCACTTCTAAAGTATGTACTCAGCATGGTACATATGATTTTAGTTCATCAAGATTTGCTACTATAGTTGCTTCTTATAAAAATTGTTTTGGTACTTCACAATGTGATTCAGGTTATCATACTTACGAAGATGTTTGGTACGATGGAAGGAAAATAACTTTCTCTAATGTTGATTGGTTAAGTTTATAATGATACGGCAGCACCCCTTGGTATCCTTGGTTTATTAGACCTCCAAAAGATTCACCAAAACTAAGTATTCTCTATGTAGCTAAAGAGCAAGAACTTATTCAAACTGCATCACTTTCATTTTATTTATATTCAGTTTATTCTGACAGAGGTTCTTGGTGGTATTAATAAAGCTGATTGATGACTTAATATTTTCAAGCTTGAGTAAAGAACAAATTATTGGATATGGTTCTCCGATTGAGGGACATTTTGATAGTGTTCAATTTAGTGGAGTCAATATAACCATTAATAGAAAGGTTTTAGTTGGTATGTATGATAAACTCAATTGTCAGATATTATGGATTTTAAGACAACAAGTTACTAACCAAACATTAGATACAGGAGGTACTCTGTTATACCTTAGAAGCTGAGTATCAGGAATTTGTAGATGCTTTAGCTCATGATCCAAGAAATGCAAAGGGGTTCAGGAAGAATAGATTGGAATTTAATAAAAGGCAAAACTGATAAACTTAATTTTAATAGTAAGATCTGGAAATTCCCAGCTGATGCTCTAGTTTATCCAATGGGCATAGGTAATCAACATGCAAGAATCAGTGTTGAACAAGGAGATCATAATCAGCTTCATACTTACTTTTTTAGATATCTATATTCCGTTGTTAACTGGGACCATTATACTTTAGGATTGCTCATGTTAAAAGTACAACTGAACCCAGTCCTATATCACCAACCAATTCTATAGAGCAAACTGCGTATTTCTATGCATAATTATCGATGGCTATTGCTTGTATAGACTCAACATCTTCAATTGGTAACGAAATTTGAGAAAAGAATAGTTAGGGGGGATTTTTTAAGGAGCTACATAATTTGAGTTATATTCTAAAAACCTCCTACAGTCTCAGTTGCAACAATTTTGTGAATACATGTTCCATATAAATAATACTCAAATCAATCTAAATCATCACATTTCACTACTCTTGATCTCCTACGTTGTCGAATTTTTTTCTTAGATTTTTTTAGAGTCTAAAATTTTACCAATTGGCAAAATATGGGATTAATTGATATTCAACAAAGTCCAAATATTATATGCTTGCAGTATATTTGAGCAAATATGTCTCATTCAAATAATGCTCAAAATCACTTAAATATCTGTTATTCAACATGCTCGAGATAAGATGTGATCGAGACATTTGTTTTAGATAAAGCTTGGTTCTACATGGCTGGTGCCGTTTGATTAAAAATACGCATTTGAAGCCAATTGCGCTAGCTCAAAAACTACCTCTTAATGTATAACAAATCATTACTGGATTTGATTGGTATCAATTGCCTTGGGCTATAAGACAACCAACCAACTTTCCACTAGCTATAGTTTGACGCTAATGTTCTCAACAAATCATTTAGAATTAAGTATTTCATATAATTCGGTTCCATTGTCGCAAAACCCAATATTTTAAATTTTTGGTCATGCACATCAATTTTGATAAAATTCCTTATCAACATCTTTTTACAGCACGAATCAATATACATCTATTCATTCAATAACTATTCTCCAAACTTTGAATAATGTTCAAAAATATACTTCAAAAAACTAGAAACCTTTCAAGAAGGTTATCTAAATCCTTAGAAGAATTAAGTAGAAATTTGCAACAACCAAGACATCCATCACCACAATTTCAACCAGTTAGAGTACCAGTCCATAATCAAAGACCAAGACAATTTGTTAGAAATTTTTCAACTTATCATTCATTCAACTATAATACATGGTCATATTCAAGGTATTATAAATCTAAGATATTAACATTATTAAAACATCAAAATTTTATGTTTCATAATTTTAGTCAAACTTATCAATCAACGTTTAGATTAAAAATGTATAATGTAAATTTGAAATTTACATATAGAACATTATTCAATGGATTAAAGGAGAAATTTCAAGTGTACAACAATTCGCAAAATAATACGCAAGATTCATTTAATCCAAGTTTAAGATTAAATTTAAAATTATCAAGTAAAAATCATCAATTAACACTTCGTCTATCAAAATCAGAATCATCAGCTACTCAAATTGAAAATTTAAAAGCAAAAAATTTACAAAGTTCAACATTTTTAGAAATTCCTCTTCAATTTTCTTTATCAATTCCACAAGAATCAATTTTAAGTGATGAAATTGTTGAAGAAGTAATGTTTAATATAAAATTATTTGAAAAGAAATTAAAAGATTTTAAAAATGATTTAAAAGGATTATTTGATCTTGGTGAATTACCAATAAAATATATTTCATCAAGAAATGTATTTAGAATTTATTTTCCAAATTGTGATAGAGAAAGATTGGAAATTTTGCTAAAAGATAAAGATATAATTGGAGGCGTTATAGTTGAAGAAGAAGCAATTGTTGATATAAAACCAAGAATAGTAGAATATGATTCTGATATTTTAAGTACCTCAATTGATTCAAATACAATATCATCAGATGTTTTACCTAGTTCAAACTCAAATATATCACCATTAAGTGAGAATAGTATAATACGTCCAACTAATGAATTAATGACTATTAATAATATATCAATTAATGATGATTATCATTGGGTTTAAATATATATTCATTTCTTATCGTGTATAAAATTATTTTTTCTTACCGAAATATTTACCCCCATGGCCGAACCAATTGATTCAATACTTCGTGTTAATTTAAATACTAAACCAGATGCTATTAACAACTTAAAAACATTATCATCAACTTATAATAAAGATTCTGGTAATTTTTTATTACAATCAAAATATAATCAATTAATTTTGAATTTTACTCAAAAAAATCCAACAACAAAACAATCTTTATCTTCAGGTACTGAAACTATTAAAAAAACTTTTCAAACGATTAAAAATACTGCTGGTTCATATGAATTTGCAAATGAAATAGATTGGGAAATTTGGGAAGCTATAGTTGAAAATTATGAAAACTTTGTTAATGAAAATACAAATACTTTAAATGAATTAATATCAAAAGGTATACCTAAAGAAATTAGAGGTATAATATGGCAAGTAGCTGCTTATTCAAAAGATTTAAATTTAGAAGATTTTTATCTTCAATTAAAAAATGAAACTTCAATACATGAAAAAGCTATAAAACGAGATTTAACAAGAACTAGTTTTTTCACAAATATAGATGCTGTTAATAAATCCGATGAATTATTTAATATAATAAAAGCTTATAGTTTATATGATCCAGATGTTGGTTATACTCAAGGAATGATTTTTATTGGTGTTCCATTAATTATGAATTGTAATGAGTCCGAATCATTTTGTTTATTAGTTACATTAATGAAAGATTATAATTTGAGACATTTATTTTGTCCAGAAATGCAAGGATTACATTTATTATTATATGAATTTGATCGATTATTAGAATCCTATTCACCAATTTTATATAATCATCTTACAAAACAAGGTATAAAATCATCAATGTATGCTTCACAATGGTTTCTTACATTTTTTGCTTATAAATTCCCATTAGATATTGTTTTAAGAATTTATGATATTATAATAACTGAAGGTATGGAATCAATTTTAAAATTTGCAATAAATTTAATATTAAAAAATGAATCAAATTTGTTGAATTTATCATTTGATAAGTTATTGGAATTTTTGAAAGATAATCTATTTAATATTTATATTAGTGATGAATTTATAAATACTGAAAATAATAAAAGGTTTAGTTTTACAAAGAAATCATCAAATTCATATTATAAATTAGATCAATTAGTACAAGATAGTTTAGATATTAATGTTGATCCTTTGGATTTGCAAAAATTTCAAAATGAATTTAATCATATACTTGAAAAGGAAGAAAAGAAAGGTGAAGAAATAACAAATTTGCAGGTTGAAAATGGTGCTCTTCGTAAAGAAATTAAACAGTATGAGTTTAAATTTAATTCTATAAATGCAGATCATTTAGATACTGTACAAACAATGGTTGATTTAAAAATCACATTACCAGATTTACTTAATGAAAATTCAGAACTTAAAGAATTGATAGAAATTAGAAATCAAGAAATTGAAGAATTGGAAGCAAAAATTGGTAAAGATATACCAACTACAATAGAAGATCAAATTAAAGAATTATTAGATATAAATGCAAAAGAAGTTGAGAAATCTGCAAATTTAGAAGAAGAATTACAAAATTTATTAATTGAAGAAGAAAATTTGAAGAAACAATTACCAAATCATACTTGGTTTAAGTGGTGATTCTTGAAGTATTAGTAAATAGACATAATATATGGTATGATCACTTGCTACAAGTCAACATACTAACCAAATTGATTGGTAATTGACCCCCTACATCTAAAGTAACATATATCATCAAAAACTTCTTAGTATTAAATTAATTTACAGAGTTTTTTTTAGATTTTCGTAATGAATAAACTCTTATCAGGTACATCTATATGTTAATCTATAAACTTTAAAGGTGGGCGAAGATAAATTAATTTCTTGAGCTATTTCAATAAACTAATCCTCCGAAACACCTCTTGAAAATTTAAATAAACATCCATATTTCATTAAATTTTCGGTTCCAACAACTACAAAATCAATTTGGTGGTTGAATAGAGTAGTTGGCTTTAATGAACGTATCTGATTTAATGATCAATGCACGCTTGCAGTTGTACCAATATGCAAACCTAAGGATAAAACATTAGGTTTACAAAGATGGATAACTGCTAGCTCCACAATCGAATCTGAAGAGATTTTTTAAAAGACATTTTGGGTTCTGGATGAATCAATTGATGATTCTGCATTCTATATCACTTGGAGATATAACAATGGTGGAGCCTTTTGTTTTGCCGAACTTTAAGAACGCTAATTGCAACGAGAAACGAGGTTTCTCAAGTAAGTTCACCATTTATAAGTTCTTGTCTTTAAAATATTGGTCGTCCAAACAAAAATATTAAGAAGAAGATAAAAAAAAAACTGGCGATCTTTTGATATTTATACACCAAGTTTTTATATACAATACTATTTACAATATAATTGCAACAATTTAATGAAGACGTGTTTATATGATACAACAAAACTTATCAACTGAATTAGGTTGGTTAAATCAATCTCATCCTTATAAACCATTAGAATCTCAATTAAATATTATATTAAAAAAATATCCAAATTTATTAAATAATCAACAAAATATGAAAACCCCATCCCATTTTCAAATTCATAATATAAATAGTTCAAATAAAGAAAATCAACTACCTAAACAATCTCATAATACTCGAATTCAATCTCAATTAAGGAGAAATAATCGATCTGAACTACCTTTAAGAAATTTACCAAATCAATCTCAATTACCGTCAACAACTCTACAAATTAATAATTGTCAACCAAATACAAATACAAATACCATAGATGATATAGTCGATTTGACTTTTGATACAACTAGTCCTATTATAAATAAAGCTTCAACCTCTTTACAAAAAACTCCTACTCATAGTTTAAATAAAACATCATTCAATAGATCTGCTAGAGATGGTATTAATTCATTAATAAATAGCCCTTTCATATCAAGCTCAAGAGTCAAACGCGTTGGAGATAATGAACCAATTTTCAACTCAAAACGTCGGAAGTTACCTCAATTATCATTAGATAAATGTCATCAATTAATAACATTACAACAACAAAAAATTGAACTACTAGAACACAAGATTAAGATTGGTGATAGTACATCATTATCATTAGATTCAAAAGTCGATATTTTTAAAGACTTAGAATCTGAAATAAAAGAAATTGAAGTGAAAATTAGAAGTTGCTATGAAATTGATGAACCAACAATACAATCCATTGCAGGAGCAGATAATCAAATAGAGAATGCAAGAAATATTAATAAAAATGTGCATTCCGATAACGAGCATTCTGAATTAGAAGACAATTTTGAAAATGCTGAACTAGAGGGATTATTAACTCCCACACAAGATAGAGAAGATGGAGAAGATGATGATGAATTAAAAGATTTTATAGATGATAAGTCAGATAGTGATTTTGATGATTACGAACCACCAGTTGCAGATTCTGAAGATGAATTGGAAAATATTCGGTTGTCAGCAGATACAGCAACGAAAATGGGTATTAATTATAATAATGAAGTAATCGAGGAAGATGACATTGAAACGGATTTTACTCAATTAAATGTAGAAAGAGAAATTGATTATATTGAAATTTCAGACTCTTCAGATTCAGAAGATTTAGATTTAAATGATAACTTAAGATCAGAAGAATTACTTAAAAAAATTACACAATATAAATATAAGGAAGAAGATAATAAAATTGACTTATCAAGCTCACCAAGAGTAGTGGAATCAGAAGATGATTTCTCTGATGATGAAGATTTATTCACATTAATGAGTAAACCGAAAGTGATTCCTGGTTCTGAACCCTTCATTGATGAAGTATATAGTGTACTTCAGAAGGTTTTTAATTTAAAAACATTCAGAAGCAACCAGTTGGAAGCTATAACTTCTACATTGTTGGGTAAAGATACTTTTGTTCTTATGCCTACTGGAGGTGGGAAATCATTGTGTTATCAATTACCTGCATTAATTCAAGGTGGAAAAACAAAAGGAACAACTATTGTTATATCTCCATTGATTTCACTAATGCAAGACCAAGTTTCTCACCTTTTAAATAAGAACATAAAGGCCGGGATGATCTCATCTAAAGCAGATCATTCTGAAAATAAAAATAATTTACATCTATTTAGAGAAAACCTATTAGATATTGTGTACTTTTCACCTGAAAAAGTAAACAAATCTAATATGATTAAAAAGATTATTAGTAAATTATATCAAAATGGGGAATTAGCTAGAGTTGTCATAGATGAAGCTCATTGTTTAAGCTCTTGGGGTCATGATTTTCGTCCTGATTATAAAGGTATGAGTTTTTTTAAAGAAAAATTTCCAAATGTTCCTGTTATGGCATTAACTGCAACTGCAAATGAAAAAGTAACGATGGATGTAATTCATCATTTGAAAATGGACAACCCTAAATTTTTGAAACAAAGTTTTAATAGAATAAATTTATACTATGAAATTAAATGGAAAACAGGTAATTTTATTGAATTAATTAAAGATTATATCGAAACAAAATATAAAGATAAAACTGGTATAATTTATTGTCATTCTAAAAATTCATGCGAACAAACTTCAGCAAAATTGGCAAGTTTTGGTATTAAATGTTCATTTTATCATGCTGGTATGAGTCCTGAAGATAGATTTGAAATTCAAAATAATTGGCAACAAGGTAAAATTCTAGTAATTTGTGCTACGATTGCATTTGGTATGGGTATTGATAAAAGTGATGTTAGATTTGTTATTCATTCATTTATTCCTAGATCTTTAGAAGGTTATTATCAAGAAACTGGTAGAGCTGGTAGAGATGGTGAAAAATCTGAATGTATTTTGTTTTATTCATATAAAGATGCAAGATCTTTACAAGGTATGATTCAAAGAGATCCTGATCTTGATGATGATGGTAAAGAATCTCATTTATCAAAATTAAGACAAGTTGTTCAATATTGTGAAAATAAAACTGATTGTAGAAGAAAATTAGTTTTACAATATTTTAATGAATCATTTGATCCAAAAAATTGTGGAAAACAATGTGATAATTGTAAAAATTTTAATCATATAACTGTAATTGAGAAAGATGTAACTGAATATGCCAAAGATATAATTAAATTAGTTAAATCAATTCAAAAGCAAAAGGTTACAATTTTACATTGTCAAGATGTTTTTAAAGGTTTAAATCATTCTAAAATTGTTAAAATGCGTCATAATACTAATGAATATCATGGTAAAGGTAAGAGTTTAGATCGTACTGATATTGAAAGAATATTTTTTTATTTGTTATCTGAACAATGCTTACAAGAATATCAATTGATGAAATCTGGTTTTGCTTCAACTTATGTTTCAACAGGTAAAAATGCAAATTTGGTATTAAATGGAAGGAAAATTATAAAGATTAGATTTCATAAATAGCTAATTAATTGAGGTAGTTTTAATTATGCATTTTTTTAAACTCTTTGGAAGACTTGAACGCCAATTTGAATCTCTAAATTCTACCGTTTGTAAATGGAGATCAATCAATATCTGGTCACAGAGTGGCACTTGAGCCAATTTTATGGTACTGGTTATTGAAAATTTCTGTTCATACGAAAAAGATGCTTTTTTTTGAATTCTAGTGAAAATTCGGTGAAATTTGAAAACTTTTAAGTTTTAAAACTCTAATAATATTGTGGATAACACTTTGACTTCTTATATAGCTAAGAGAAATGTAGTTCGAGCTTAAGCAGACCCAGATATGGTCAATATTGACAGATATGGTCAATATTGATTTATAGCATTAGTTGGTTCCGACCTTTTAGTTTTGTAGGTAAAAAGAAACGTTCAAATATTAACATAACGATATACTCAAGAATACTCAATTATAAAGCAAAATCGACTTCGTATTTTCTAATATTAATATAGGTCATTGACTGCTTGTTAATGAACTATTTAACGTCACAAATGACTCTTATTATCTAATGTCTTTATCTAATACTCAAGTCTGATATCTTGAAGCAGTAGATTAGTAAGAACTCACGTGTTTTTTCACGTGCAATTCATTATAAACTTCAGACTAATATTTTTATGGTATTAAAAGCATGTTAGTCATAAATTGAATTGTGGAGGTTCAATTACTAATTAAATGCAAACTGCAAGCTGTATGAGAGAAAAATGTTTCAAATTGAAATTTTACTGAATTTGTTATCATCGTCTAAAACCTTAATTTAAAATTAAGTGGGTGGTGTGTTCTCCTCAAATTCTCCAACTCTTCTCCAATTTTGAGTTTGAAATGACTGTGAAACCATCAACAGAGTTAAAATTAATGATTGAAAAGCCAACTTTAATGACTTTAATGACTAAATCAAAAAAGCCCACTAGTATCATAAACTCAACATAATAATTTAAATGGTTGCAAATTAATTTAATCAACTTCATCGTTTATATATCGTATCAAAAAATAACGAAAAAATAAAAAAAATAAAAAAATAAAAAAAAAAAAAGATCTTAAAATTTCTTATTCTTGACTAAAAATTTGAAGTTAATCCGAAGATCGAAAAAGACAGATAGATTAAAAATGAATAAAAGAGACAACGTGAAGGATATATGTCTTGGTTATGAATTTAACCAGAATAGTACTATAGTTAATATCAATTCTTTGGTTGAACTAAAGTTAAAAGCAATAGAAGGGTACTCCTTAAAAATAATCACCCTATTCTATAATTAGAACTTGATAGAGATCCCTTTCTCTTTGTCTGTTTCAAAATTGAATGTTATATTGCATAGATAATTTTTATCATAATTAGCACGACTTTGTTAATATTGTACGATAATACATTCCTGCATAAAAACTCAATTTAATAAAGAAAGAAAGAGAGAATGTAACCAAATGATGCTTGATTTTGGTTTTGTGTCATAAATTTGGGAAAAAAACGGACTTTCTATTACTGATTTAGCCACTTATAAATCATTTTGCAACAACTGTTCCAACAAATTAGTAATTTCAGAATAACCTGATTTTTTAACCAGTAGTAGAAAAATCCTATAAAGAATTAACTCAAACTTCCTAATAAACTCTGGCCCTTTGAATTTCATCATATCAAATAACGTTAAAGACTGGTTAAACAAAATAAAATATGAGGGGTATTGACTATTGCCCAAAATTCTGAATATTATTTTTAGATTAGTGCCATAAAAAAAAAAAAAAAAAAAAAAAAAAAATATAAAAATAACAAAATAAAATAAACTATGTATGTACGACGTGATAAAATAATATATTGCAAAAAGCGATTTAGTATATAAGCATCAATAAATTTCATAATTTTTTCTTTTAGCTTCCGTTTATTATTTATCATTTAACATTTAAAACTTGTTTATTTTATTTTTCAACAGATACTTTATTTATTAATATCATTAACGAACGGCCCATATTATCCATTTCGTCTTTACATTCATTTTAATTTTTAACTTGAATTATTAATTTACGTTCTTTTCCACGATGATGGCAAATCAAACACAGTATCAACAACCATTTTTTAATAATAAATTATCTACTTGTTCAACTTTATCGTCAAATTCATCTTCAACTACAGATTTTAATGATTTAAAAGAAGATTTTGACTGTGATTTATTACCAGATTTATGGCAAACTTCATCAAATGAATCTAGTATATCATGTAATACAAACTATGCAAATTTATCAAAACCATTTAATACTAGTACTACTAGTAGTACTACTACTACTAATACAACAAGATCATTATTTGAACCACAATTTAATTTATTTTCATCACCATCACCACCTCAACAAATTAATCAAATTCAACATCAACCTGTTAATAGTATTTGGAATTTACATGTTGATAGTATGTTATCCTCAGATGATGATTTATTTAATTTTGATCAAGTTATTCCTCAACAAAAGCAACCTGTTAATACACAATTATATAAAACTGAATTATGTGCTAGTTTTATGAAGATTGGTATTTGTCCTTATGATAGTAAATGTCAATTTGCTCATGGTGAATTGGAATTGAAGAAAGTTGAAAGAAGTCCTAAATGGAGATCAAAACCTTGTCAAAATTGGACAAAATATGGTACTTGTAGATATGGTAATAGATGTTGTTTTAAACATGGAGAATAATTGAAAAAATTTATGAATTAGAAATGTTTTATTTTATATTTATTTTTATAATGGTTTAAGGGTTGGTAAAAGTTTAATTTTGTTTTTTAAGAGATTGTTTTTAACTGTTTTGAGTTTTTTTATGATTCTATTTATAATATATAATGATTTGTTTTAATTTGTTTTGAATTGTTTTGGATTGTTTAAATTATTGCTCGTTTTGCAGCCAAATTTTTCATCGCCAACGGCTTTGTTTTGTCGCCAGTGGCAATTTTAACAAAAATTTAATGAGAAAAAAAAATTGATTTAAGCGATTATGGACCTAGACTGGCCACTTGAAATCGCCCTGGTACTACGGATCGAGTTAAATCAGCGCTACAACTTTTTTTAATCATAGAGCAAACTTGTTGAAAGCATTACTCTTCAAATCGATGCAGTCAGTTATATATACTATAGTATCGCTCATCTCAATAATCAACGGCTAGTCAATACTTCTCATCTACTCATTGGCTCAAAATTAATCTTTTACAAATTTCTACAATTAGACACATTTCAATTTAGATTTAGTATACATTTAATACTATATTTGATCAATTAAGACAGCCTCAGTGGTTTTTCTAACATCAATTAAAATTGGTGTGGTGATTAGGATTATGATGTTTTCCACATCGCCCAAAAACTGAAAACTCCAATTTTCGAGTCGAATCAAATCCAAAGATCGAAATCTCCTTCATCAATTCATTACTGCAACGGTTATACCTATCATCTTCGACTGTTTAGTTGATAAAGAAGAAAAAGAAGAAAAGAAAATTTTTTTTTTCTTCAATTTGGTTTTTGTATTGAGATCGCAAGACTGAAAAATTTTAAATTATATTAATGAGTGTTGATTCACCATGGGCTCAATTGGAATCAAAAATCCATGATTCATCAACAAAGAAAAGAATAGAAGCAATAGAAGAGATTGGGAAACAAGAAGAAGTCCCTGAATTTATAATTTTATCATTATTGAAAACTTATAATTATTATCAAGATTCAAATTCAAGAAATAGCATAAATGAAGTACTTATAAAGTTGGGACAATTTGAAACATATTTAAACTTTATAAAAGGTGAATTGGTTCATGAATTAGCTGTATCTGATTATCTCACATTTTTAAATTGGATAAATACATGGATTCCTAAAATAAATTTAAATGATCAATTTGTAAATATTTATAATAAATTAATAATGAAATGTGCAAGTTATAAAGGTAAAGCAATGCATAGAAGGAGGATTTATAATAGTACTATCTCAAATTCTAAAATGGCAATAAAGAAATTGAATAATTCAGAATATATTGAATTGATTCTAAGGAATAAATGTTTAGTAATTATTGGATTAACTTATGAAGCTATACCAGGTTCGCATATAAATAAAGATAAATTGACGGAAATTGTTAATGAATTTTTATTGGCAAAGAAATTACCATCAGATTCAGAATTGGAAATTTTTGCACCCGTTATGGAAATTATCAACGTTGGTGATTTAGTTATTGAGAAAGCAATTTTAAGATCAAGTGAAGTATTTACTATACTTCCTATGTTGTTCAAGCATGTTGTTAAAATTCCAATATCTGTTAAATTTTTAAACTCAATTATTTCAGGCATTAAATCAAATAAAGAACATATTAAAATTAAAGCTTATGAGACCTTAAAAGTTGCATTGTCCAAATCTGATGATGATATCACTGGAGAATTACTAAAGAATGTTAAATCTAATTCAGGTGAAGTTAAATCATTAATTATTTCAAGTTTAGAATATGTAAATGTGAAAATTTCAGATTTATTACCATTAACTAAAGAACAAAATGAAATGGTATTACATTCAGTTGCAAAAATTTTATTAACAGGTTTTAATGATGAATGTATACTGATTTTTAAAACTGGATTTAACTCAAAGTTGAAAAGAGTTTGGTTTATTGAATATGCAAATGATCCAAAATCAATCGAAAGTTTTACAGCAGAATTTGAAAAGATATCAGACGATTTACTAAAGAACCCTTTAAGTGCAGCTACTAATAAAACACTTGTTTGTGCATTTATAATATTGAATTTATTAAATAAACAAAATGAAGTACTTGATGAATCAAAATTATATTCAAAATTAGATGATGTTGATTTAATTTGGTTTACAAAAGCATTGAAATTTAATCCCACTGGTTGGTTATTTGCCATAAGTTCAAAAAATTATAAAATTAGGTTATTAGCAATTGATGAATTAAAGAAAAAGATTACCCCTGAATTATCAACCGCAATTATTAACCAAATACAAGATGTTTCTCCTTATTTAACTGGATTGTTTTCAGTACTTACACAAACTGGTAATAAAGCTGAAGTTGAATCAAATTTAGTTAAATTAATACGTTTAGCCAATGATCCAATTATTAACTTAAATGGTGGTTGGATTGGTTTAATACAAAGAAGTGAACCAAGAATAAATGTTGAAGAATTAGTATCTAATAATTATGAAACTTTATTCAATGCATGTGTTGAAAAATTAGATGTTCGTGGAATTGCAGATTTGGCATTCATAAAACCAGAAAAAATTGATACAATAATTGAATTAATTGAAAGTCTTGAAATCAAACAATTTGATCAAGATGAAATTGATATTTATCATGGTGTAGATGGTGAATTAGTCAAATCAATTTTTAAAACTAAAGAATTGGATAAAAATTCAAAAGATTATGAAATAAAGAAATGGGAAGAAGAAATGAAAAAGAATAAAACTAGAAAGTTAACAAAGGAAGAACAAGCGCAAATGAATGAGCAATTAAAGTTTGAATCAGAAATTAGAAAAAGTGTTGCAGAAAATGTCAATCTATCCAAATTCATACTTAATTTGATCCTTGAACTAGCTAAACAAGCTAAATTAGTGAATAATTCACAAGATAAATGGTTTCCAATTGTTATTCAAAAATTATGGCCAATGTGTAAGGTATCATTATATAATGCGGCACCTGTGTATTTAAAAATGTCAGATTTGATAAGTCCAAGATTGGAAGTACTCAAGGAATTCGTTGGTATAGCTACATTAAGAAGTTACAATATTGAAATTGATGAAAAATATACTCAAGAAACCTTATCTAAATTAATTACAAGATTATTATATAAAATTAAAATTTTATCAGATCAATCATCATTAGATTTGATTACATTATCATATGCATTACCTTTATTAATTAAAGTACTTGAAGATGGAAAGAGAATTGCTATAGTCAATAGTAAGAAAGGAAAGGTTATTTCTGAATTTGTCGATGAAGATGATGAGGAAGAAAATTTGTTACTTGCAATTGAAATTATTTCATCCCATTCTGAAAATTTCATAAATCCAGTTATACCAAGAACTCAAATTTTGGAAACATTAATTTTACTTTTGAAATTACCAAGTAAAGCTAAAATTGCAAAAGAATGTTTTCTTTCATTATGTCAGTATATCTCAGATGATATTAGTGATGGTGATTTACAATTATTATATGATAATTTAATGAGTTCAAGCGTATTCGTAAGGTCAACAATTTTAGAAGGTTTAGATACTGAATTTCAATTAGATAAATATTCAAAAGAATTGTATGTTTGTACATTTGATAATGATGAAAATTGTAAAGAAATTGCACAAACTATATGGGAAGATAATGATTTAAAAACTGAAGGCACAACCAATTTATTAAGTTTATTTGGTAATACTGATTCTGGTTTACGCTATTCAATTGCACAAGCATATGCAAATGCAACCACCACCGTAAATTTACAAGAATTGATTGATTTATATGAATTGAAAAAGAATCCTCCACCTCCAAAGAAAGATAAGTTTGGTCTAATTATTAAATCTACAATTGATAATAAAGATAGATGGGAAGAGCGTTCTACAATTGCATTAGCATTGAAATTATTACCATATGGAGATGTTGTTCAATTGTTTAGGTTCCTTGTTGAAGCAGTCGGTGATAAGGACGAATTAGTACGCGCAGAATTTCAAGATGCTGGTATACAAGCTATAAAAACTTATGGTTCATCGAATGTTGAATCTTTAATTGAAATTTTTGAAGAAAATTTACAATCAAAGAATATCAAAGAACCTGTTATTATCCTTTATGGTTATTTAGCTACTTATTTAGATAAATCAGATCCAAGAATTAAGATTATAATTGATAGATTAATGAAATCATTAAATTCAAATGTTAAATTTGCAGTTTCACAATGCTTAGCTCCATTAGTACCAGCAATAGAAGATATTGATGCAACTTTTGATCAATTATATAATACATTATATACTGGAAAGCCATCAGAAAGAAGAGGTGCTGCTTTTGGTATTTCTGGTTTAGTTAAAGGAAGTGGTATAAAAGCATTACCTGATGTTATAAGAAACTTAACTGATGCTTCGGATGATAAAGATCCAATTAAAAGAGAATCAGTTTCAATAACCTTTCAAACATTATCTAAAAGTTTAGGTAAATATTTCGAACCATATGTTCTTGAAATATTACCAATTATATTGAAAAGTTTAGGTGACTCTTCACCAGAAGTTAGATTAGCTACTGATGAAGCAGCCAAAGAAATTATGAAAAATACAACATCATTTGGTATCAAAAAATTAATTCCATTAGCTATTAGTAACTTAGATGAAATTGCTTGGAGATCTAAAAAAGGTTCAGTTGAATTATTAGGTACAATGGCATATTTAGATCCAACTCAATTATCATCAAGTTTATCAATTATTATACCTGAAATAGTTGGTGTTTTAAATGATACTCATAAAGAAGTGAGGAAGGCAGCTGAAACTGCTTTGAAAAGATTTGGTGATGTTATACGTAATCCAGAAATTCAAGTTATTGTACCTGATTTAATTAATGCAATTGGTGATCCAACAAAATTCACAGATGCAGCATTAGACAAGTTGATTAAAACCAATTTTGTTCATTATATTGATGGTCCAAGTTTAGCTTTAATAATTCATGTTATTCATAGAGGTATGAGAGATAGATCAGCTGCAACAAAGAAAAAATCATGTCAAATTGTTGGAAATATGGCTATTTTAGTCGATTCAAAAGATTTAAAACCATATTTGAATGAATTAGTGGGAGAATTGGAAATCGCCATGGTTGATCCTGTACCACAAACTAGATCTACAGCTGCTAGAGCTTTAGGAAGTTTAGTTGAAAAATTAGGTGAAGATCAATTCCCTGGATTAATAACAAAATTGATTAATACATTACAAGATGAAACTAAATCTGGTGATAGATTGGGTTCTGCACAAGCATTATCTGAAGTTATCTGTGGTTTAGGTATTGATAAATTAGAAGAATTATTACCTACAATTTTACAATTTGCACAATCAAGTAGGAATCATATTAAAGCTGGATTTATGCCATTATTATTGTTCCTTCCTGTATGTTTTGGTTCACAATTTTCACCATATTTGAATAAAATTATACCACCTATACTTAATGGATTAGCTGATCAAGATGAAGAAATTAGAGATACTGCATTAAGAGCGGGTAGATTGATAGTCAAAAATTATGCTAAGAAAGCTATTGATTTATTATTACCAGAATTAGAAAATGGTTTATCAGATTCAAGTTATAGAATTAGATTATCAAGTTTAGAATTAACAGGAGATTTATTATTCCAAATTACTGGTATTTCAGGTAAGAATGAATTAATTGAAGATGTATCAGTTCATAAAATATTAATTGATGTATTGGGTGAAAGAAGAGATAAGATATTAGCTGCTATTTTTATTTGTAGAAATGATGTTGCTGGTATTGTTAGAAATGCAGCAATTGATATTTGGAAAGCTTTAGTTGCAAATACTCCAAAAACAGTTAAAGAAATATTACCATCAATTACAAATATTGTGGTTACAAAATTAGCATCAGATGATGAAACTCAAAGAGTTATTGCTGCACAAACTTTAGGTGATATGGTTAGAAGAGTTGGTGCAAATGCATTACCACAATTATTACCAGTATTAGAAAATGCAAGTGATAAACAAGGTGCATGTATTGCATTAACAGAATTGATAAAATCAAGTTCAGAAGAAGGTTTACATACATATAAATCAACATTTATCAGTATTATAAAGAATTCATTATCAGAAAGTTCTGCTGCTATTGCATTTGATGAATTATATTCAAGATTAGGTAAACCAGTAATTGATGAGATTATTCCTGATCTTCTCTCGAAAATTAAAGATCCATCAGCATTACAAGCATTACAAAAAATTATGTCAACTAAAGCTGATGTTATATTCCCAATCTTATTACCTACATTATTAAAACCACCAATTAACTCAACTGCAATTGCATCATTAGCTACTGTTGCAGGTTCTGCATTGTATAAAAGGTTATCAATCATTATAAATACACTTGTGGATTCAAAATCTGATGCATTTGATGCTGTTTTATTAGCTGTTGAAGATGAAGGTGTACATCAATTATTACAACAATTAATGGCATTGATAAAACATGAAAATCCAGAAAAACGTGAATTTGTATTTAGTAAATTACCTAGTTTTTTTGATTCAACAAATTTGGATTATTCAATGTATTTGGAAGATATTGTTTCACAAATGATTTTAAGTTTATCCGATCCATCAAGTAAAGTTGTTGAAGGTGCAATGTTATCATTAACCGCATTAGTAAAGAAACAACCTAAGGAAGTTTTAGAAAGGTTAGTTAAACCTGCTAAACAAGCATTAGATTTGACATATGAAATTCCTGCTTTTAAATTACCAAGGGGTCCACAAAGTATATTACCAATCTTCATTCAAGGTTTAATGTACGGTAATTCTGATCAAAAAGAATCTTCTGCATTGGCAATTGCAACAATTATTGAAAAAACACCAAGTGAAAATTTGAAAAGTTTATCTACTACAATTACAGGACCATTAATTAGAGTTGTTGGTGAAAAAGTATCAACTGATATAAAATCTGCTATATTAATTGCATTAAATAATTTATTACTCAAAATTCCACAATTTTTGAGACCATTCATACCACAATTACAAAGAACTTTTATTAGGTCGTTGACTGATTCAAATGATAAATTGAGAAAACATGCAGTTTTAGCATTAGGTACTTTAATCAAACATCAACCAAGAGTAGATTCATTAATTACAGAATTGGTCACAAATTCTAAAAACATATCAGATAAAGATATAAAAGGTTCATTATTACAAGGAATGTTGGTTGTTGTTGAAACTAGTGGTAATAATTTGTCCGATGCTTCAAAATCAAGTATTTTGGGATTAGTTGAAGAAGAAATTATTGATCCAATTTCATCTGCAAAATTATTAGGTTCATTAGCAAATGTGTTATCAAAAGAAGAAGTTGAAAATGTTTTACAAACTAAAATTCTAAACCATCAATCTAAATTTTCAATACTTGCAATAAATTCATTTTTAAAATATTCACCGGAAATTCAAATCCCAGTTGATTTTATTGTAAATTTTTCAAATTCAGAAAATGTTTATTACTCAGATAATGCAACAGTTGCAATTGGTAAAATGTTATTAAACGGTATAAATGATGAAAGGTTGTATAATCAGTTGGCAATACTTATAAAGAGTCCACCTTCAAATTCACCAGATACAAGAAGATTAGCTTTGGTGGTAATTAGAACAGTTGCAAGAAAATGTGATGTTCCATTAAATATTGTTGTTCCAAGTATATTTGCATCAATTAGAGATCCAATAATTCCAATCAAATTAGCTGCAGAGAAGGCATATTTAGAAGTTTTTAAAATTGTTGAAAAAGATCTTGAGTTGTTTAATACTTATGATGCTGATCGATCAATGACTGAATATACTAAAAGAGTTGGATTAAGATTAGCAAACGTTGAGAGAGAAAGAATTGCAAGTGGTGGTGATGAGGAAACTTTATATAGTGATAGAATTGAAGATGAAAATGAAATATGGCAAGTTGGTGTATAAAATTAAATAGAATATAGAGTAATTGAGAATAGCCCTCTAGAAGAACATTTTGTACTTGTGTTACGAAGTCTTGTGTAATTCCCTAAAATATGCGTGGAAATCTGTCAAACACAAAATTAATCAAATGGATTAGGTTCGATTTTCTCATTTTCAAATGGTCTTCTATAAGATAATGAACCCGTTTTAACACCAACTTTACTGTATAAAATTCTTGCTTTGTAATTATCAAATTCAGTATTCCAGTAACATTTTTTACAATTTAATTTATCAGCTTTTTGGTAAATATACTCAACTAATGATCTACCAAGACCTTTACTTCTAAAATCTTTAGCAATGAATAAATCATTCAAGTATAACGCGTCTTCAATTGTCCATGTGAATCTATGAGTTACATAATTTGCAAAACCAACTATTTTATCTTCAACAATTGCAACAACTGAGTACACAGGTTCATTTGGATCTAAAAATCTTGAAATTAATGTATCTAATACTTCTTTAGTAAATGAAGGTTTCCATTTATCATGAACGTAACCTTTTTCACCAATGAATAATTCGAGAAACTGCGGTTTATCTTCTTCTTGAAACGGTCTTAATGTAAAAGTCATAATTACAGAGTAAACAAGTAAACGTTGTCATATTTATACACTCCATGAGTCATGAACAAACAAACAATGACTACGAAACAAAACAAAACAAAACAAAGCAAAACAAAACAAAACGAAACGAAACAAAACAACTTAAAGAACTTGAATTGTTGAAAAAACTAACCCCAGGCCTCTTCAAAACGAACCCCAGGCCTCTTCAAAAAGATCCCCGAACAATTTTCTCGACAAAAAATATCATTAAATTTAGTTATAACTATCACGGTTAATTATAATTCCGGATTAATTTCGTATCTCTCGAATCGTGTATATTATTTTTGTTGAAAAAATTTTCATTGTCAGTTTTTTTTTTAGAAGATGCCATAGAAGAAATAAGCGAAAAGTGGGGAGATTAACACCGATTAGAAAATTGCAACCACTTTTCAGAGTTATGTATTGGCAAAACTCGCTCTCTAGAGTTGAAGATCTGGACTTTTGCTAGTTTGGTAATTTTCACAAGTAACGACCAGTGTTGTTCTGTACCCCTTAATTTTGATATAATAAATGTGAATCTTGGAGACAAAAGGTAGTGTAAGATTGTTTTTGTTTACAATGAGATGAAATTTAGTAATCGATTATGTTAAAAAATTAAATTAGGCATCTTTTCCGAGATATAAACAACACTTCTCATTCGATCAAATTTGTATTAACACAATAAGACATTTTTTCCTCATCGAAGTTTCCTTACTCGATCTCACTCTATCTATTAAATCACCACAAAGAAATTGGTAAAAATAGAAATTCTTAGGTGGTAAAAATTTTTTTCTCCACATTAAAAAAAAAAAAAAAAAAAATTATAAAATAAAATATCATCAAATAACAACCAACAATAAACCTTTTCTTCTCTTTTCATCCATGAATAGTACAGCTACAACTACTACTCCACCACTAAAGAAAGATCAGTCAAGACCTTATAAATGTCCTCATTGTGATAAGGCTTTCCACAGATTAGAACATCAAACAAGACATATAAGAACTCATACCGGGGAAAAGCCCCATCAATGTACATATGAAGGGTGTAACAAGAGATTCTCAAGGTCAGATGAATTAACAAGACATTTAAGAATACATACAAATCCAAATTCACGAAAGAATAGAAAAGAAAAGAAGCCAAAAATTGAAAAGAAAATAGATTTAGAACTACCACCTTCAATATCATCACCAAGACCAAGTTTAGCTAAAAATTTATCATCCATAGAGATTCTTGCAAATGCAGCTTCAAAAGAACTACAATCTTTACAATCAAAAAGTTTCCCTTCATTAACAAATTATTTTCAACATAATAATCTTTCACAATTTAGTAATATAATATCACAACAAGGGTATTTGGAAAATAGACATCGTGTATTGGAAGAAGATGATTTAGACTATGTCAAACAAAGGTTGAAAAGATCAAGACCTACTAGTCCAAAACCAAAAAATTATACTTTACCAAATTCACCAATAATGGGATTTTCAGCAGCTACAACTCCATCTATATCAACATCAAATTCATCTACTAATCTAAGTTCATTGGCCATGACTGCTGCTAGATCAACTACTCCATTACACTCAACATTACAAACTCCGAAAATGTCACCATCAAGTTCAGATGCTTTACCTAGTTTAAAAAGTTTAAACTTACCCACTGAATAGTAATAATATACATCATAGACTGTTAATGAAACTCTTTTTTTCCCTCTAGTATTCCAATTAACAGCATAGCTTAGAATTGACTCCTGCCTGAAAATTTGCATATTAGTAACTAAGCTTCACGACTCTTTATGGTTTATAGAGTGGTAAATAGCTCTTAAACGTCTCTACAAGATTTACTAAATTGTATAGAGTCAAATTTTTCGTACAAAACTTCATTATACATGCATGAAATCTAATTCAGAAGCGATTGTGCATCTAGAAATCTACATTTCCAGGAATTATTGAGGTAAGGATGCAACAAAACTACGCAAATGTGTATATGATGCAACAAACACTTGAGGTAAGGATGCAACAAACACTTGAGGTAAGGATGCAACAAACACTTGAGGTAAGGATGCAACAAACACTTGAGGTAAGGATGCAACAAACACTTGAGGTAAGGATGCAACAAACACTTGAGGTAAGGATGCAACAAACACTTGAGGTAAGGATGCAACAAACACTTGAGGTAAGGATGCAACAAACACTTGAGGTAAGGATGCAACAAACACTTGAGGTAAGGATGCAACAAACACTTGAGGTAAGGATGCAACAAACACTTGAGGTAAGGATGCAACAAACACTTGAGGTAAGGATGCAACAAACACTTGAGGTAAGGATGCAACAAACACTTGAGTAAGGATGCAGCAAACACTTGAGGTAAGTGCAAC